TGCTTTGCTGTGCTTTGCTGTGCTTTGCTGTGCTTTGCTGTGCTTTGCTGTGCTTTGCTGTGCTTTGCTGTGCTTTGCTGTGCTTTGCTGTGCTTCGTTGCCTCTGAGAAGCTGTGCTCGCTTTGTTACTTGCATGGTGCTTTCACTGTTGTGGTCTCTTTCACCCACCGCTTCTGATCCAGTACTACTAGTAGTATATCAGAACTCCTTACCGGGGCGATTGCTGGGGAAGTGGCCATCCAAGAGGAATCAAAAATGAGCATGGAGCAGCAAAAGAGGGAATATTGAATATCCCAAATCATCACCCAGTCAATGCTATTCCCGACATGCCCATATCAATTCCTCATTCTATATCTGACCTGCTTGGATGTCCCACATGATAGGCTTGCTCGCATCCTCAAGCTTACCGGTAAAGGGTAGGTACTCCAAGTACTGTAGTTATCCAGTAGCTCTAGTATTAGTGGCAGTACTTACATACCTAGACACACAGTATACACCTAGTCCTGGCAAAAGTGCGGGATCTCGCAGGCTTCACTTGACCAACTCGCCATGACCCCGACCTCTCTTATGTGTATGCTTCCTCCACACCAATCATGCCACCATTGGACCTGCAACTTCTCAGTTGACTTGACGCACATCGGCGGACACGAGGTCAGTTTGTCGACAGATACTATGAATGAACAACAAGCCAGCGCTGTAGACACCGCAGTGCAAAATGATGACTTGAGGATCGCAGTGAATTGAGTCTCCTACTAATAGTACGTACCTAGTACGACTAAGTACGGCGCGGTGCAGTTCGGATCTGCCTCCTCCACTTTCCTAACGCCCCGGATTTCAAGCCGCCTCTCCGCCTGCCGGAGCATTTACTGGCGCTCACCATCCTTCTTATCTTGCTATGTGCCGACGTTCACCCGTGGGCTTCGACTGTGGCATCGGCGACAAAGGATCATACTCGCGCACTACTTGATCCACGATGTCGTCCATCTCTCCTACCGGCTCCTACTCCCCCTCCCAACCTCACGACCCAGGCAGCGCATACAAATACGAAGATCAGTCCGCATACCAAATTCCTTCCACCTACGCCAACCAGTTCGAGGTTTCAGTGCCTGCCCCTCGGTCCGATGCAGGACCCTCACAAGCAAAACCTACAAGGCAGCAGTCAACGGGCTCATCCGAACCAAGGGTTCGTCTTAGAAAGGCCTGCGACAGTTGCAGCGTGCGAAAGGTCAAGGTGAGTCGGCAATCTGTGCTCTTCCGAGGGCGCCATAGCTGACGGAAACTTAAACAGTGCGACGAAGCTGGACCTCCCTGCAAGTCATGCGCCGCCCTCGATATTCCTTGCACCTTTGATCGCCCGAGCCGACGCCGTGGCCCTCCCAATAGACATGCAGAAGCCATCAAGAGACAGAAGCTGGAGAGCGTGGCATACGAAGCGTCCCGAGGTTCCCCAACCCACGATGCTGCATACAGTCTGGCAGCCCTCTCAGCTCCCTTGCCGCTGTCCGCCGAGTCAATCTGCGACCTACCCACCTTGAAGATCCTTCTGGACGATTACTTCACATACATCCATCCATTGATTCCTGTCCCACACGAGCCCACGTTTCGCAGAGCTTTCGACGCAAGAGAAGACAGAACAAATCGCAGTTTCCTGGCTCTGATCGCTGCCATGATAGAGTGCTTGGTGGCATCTTTCCCACGCAGACCGCGACAACTTTTCGTCACGGAGCCAGGCAAATCGCTGTTCCCCAATGCTGGGGCCTTGATTGATCGGTGTCACCAGGTCTTCGTCGAAGCTCGAGGAATCGGATATCAAGATAGACCCTTAGGACTTTACGACGGTATAGCCAGCTATTTGACGGGCTTGGCCGCTGGATATTGTTTGAACGTTCGACGTCTCCGTTTATATCTTTGGGAGTGTACGATCATTACACGGGAGCTGAATTTTCACCGACCAGAAACTCACCAAGCTTCGCTGGTGACGCCTGGCGGGTACGCTCCTGCCGATGCCGAGAAACCATCATCCGTTGACTACGTCTATCAAGAATCCGGTCGCCGTCTCTTCTGGTTACTCTTTGTGGGTGCCATGTCAGCTCGACAACTGGACGACGCAGAAGGTGATCTGTTGATGCCCCCTGTATCACATGCGGAAATGCTCCCGCCTTTGCCCTTGGAGGTGGACGATGAATACATTACGGAATCCCAGGTGTTCCCCCAACCGCGTGGCGTCGTGGCAGAATTGGTAGGGTTCAATCTGAATGTCAAGGTCTTCAGGGCATTTCACTTTCTGGCGGCTCTAGAAATGGCGTTCGGCGCTAATACCGTCTACGATTGGGACCGACAACGTCAGATCATCCGCCGCGCTCTTCAGAACGTGAAGGATGCCACTCGAGATGCCCCAAAAGAGCTGCAGCTGAATCCAGCCAATGGCTTCGGCGAGTGGCCACCCACCCACACCGATATCTCCGCCTATTCTCACCTGTACATCGATCGCGAAGGAGCGGAGACGGACCCCAGTTTGACGTCTGGGAGTGCCCGAGGGTCCTTATCCGTGCCGCCGTTTTCGAAGCGAGCCATTCAATTTGAGATACAGAAGGCCAACATCTACGCCACCCAACTCTCATCCAGATCATATCTGGTGGAGCGGTTTTGGAATCTCTATGAGGTTGTGGATCGCGACAAGCTCGTCCTTCCAACTGAGAAGTCGGGGATTGGTACTTCTCCCACGGCAGGTATACTCACTGCGGGGATGGAGCACAGTTTCAACAAACAGGCTACCGCGCGGACCCCGAGCGATAGCATGATGGATGCTGGTGAACAAATGATGGCGGTGGAGCGTGAAGACATTGTTCGTGATATGGCCCTCCTGTTGAGAAGTATCAATCAGGTCAACATGGAGCCCAACGGAATGAGTATTGTGAGTCAAGCCATTGTGGAACTAGGGTGCTCACTTTTCTGACCGTTCCCAGTGTAATAAAATCCGGACCGTCGCATCCACGTTGCTGGAGACCAAGCGTTCTAGAATGAGCGTGATGCCTACGCTGGACTCGGAGAGTGTCAACGCCTACCTCAACACGTTCCTGCAGATTTTGTCTAGATTGGAACGATTGGGACCGGCGCGATACCGAGGCCTGGCCGACAGTGCTAATGGAGGTCTGTTGAGGACACCCGAGGAAATCGAGGAGGAAGAACTCGTGCATTGGGCCAGTCTGAAGGAGCACCAGGAGCGATTTGTTCGGTCCAACGGGTTCTGGTAACGACGGTCTTGCGAGATCTTCCGGCATTTAATGAAGAATTACAATGGGACATCTGCCTCCGCGGCCATGGAACAAGGGATTGTTGTGTTGTGCTTGTCACGCTCGAGCTCCTTACCGTAGTCAGGGCTGAGACGCCCAGCAGTAAAAGGGAACTCCGCCGAAATAAACCTCACATGAACGAGGCAGATGAAGACCGGATGCCTTTCCTTGGTAGGTACCTCAAATACTACGGATCGTACCTAGCCTTGCTACCTAAGGTACCTGCGTAGTTGTGTGAGATATGGATGACTCAGCTAATGGGGTCTGTAGAGTACAAGGCGGCGCCACTTTCATTCCGTATTGGGATAAGGCTGGTGCAGCCCGAGTTTCTCCAGAAGCTTGGCGATGGCGACGCGATGAAAGAATCAATTCGAATGTGAAGTTGAAGGTGGCCAGATATCTATCTGCGGGCAAATACTGTGGACAGACACAGGGGAGGCGTACCCATGCCTATTTCGACTGAAATCTACGCTTGAACAGTTCCAGGACTTGAGATTGATGAAAGACCATCCCTCGACCGAGCCCTAGAATCACCCCCAGTCAGCTAGAATGGAAAAGGAGTCGCTCCTTGCCATGACCAAGCTGCTCAGGTCCGGGTGAGAGAGACCTTGGGCATCAAATCCTCAAGGGGTTCTTGATCGATCAAACCGCGCTATTCAATACACGAAACCAAAGTGCCTGTTATTTCTGAAAGGCAAAGCGACCAGCCGTGTCGCGACCATGAAATCTTCCTTCTATTTTGGTCGGCCACCTCACGCCACTCGACGACCGAAGCGTCCTACGTCGCCTCCGAGACCAGTGGTTGAGCGAAAGTACGATGCGGAGTCGGGACAAGTCTACTCGGAAGTCGAGGTCCGCTTCAACAGGAAGCAGTACTTTGACTGGATCGGCGAGCCCAAGACGCCGGGGTTGATCAAGAAGTCTCGTCCCAACGAGCACGGGGCCCGTTCACTGGCCGACATGGCAGTGGTGAAGGTCGCCAAACTGCTTCCAAGGCTGACCCCGGAGCATTTCGCGGCTGTGCCCTGGGCGATTGCGGAGAAGGTCTGGAAGCAAGTGCTTGCCACACGAAGGGAAAGCTTCCATGCCTGGAGAACGTTTGCGGCCGCTTATCCCGGCGAGGATGAGTTCGGCCAGCCCGAATACAGATACCTGCTGGACATCAAGCAACCGGTGCTCCCACTGTGCGACTACTTAGTCGGCATCACCTCTCCAGATTTGAGCTGGTTGACATGTCTCCGGCTGTCACCCAAGCAGATGACCACCGTTGACCTTGTTTCGATTCACACGGTCACGAACTTGGCGGTGCTTGACCTGTCTGACGGCCAAGTCACCATTGATAACAACGTGTCCAAGTTTGACGAACGGGTGATGCGGTCGTGGGCAGAACTCGCCGCGTCGGGGCAGGCGTTTCAACATCTCCGTGTCCTTTTGTGTGGCTGGCAGGAGTTTGTGTCGGACTGGATCTTCAGATATACAGATTCCTTCCCATCCTTGTGCCATCTGATTGTCACCGACTGTCCCCGGATGCACCAGCGAAACCGAGGAGACTGGGAGCCTGTCTCGCAAGCGGCGGGTTGGGAAGCGAGACATTCCAAGAGAAGTGCCAAAAGTCTACGTCCTGTCATCGGCAACGACGACTTCTACTATGGTTCTGTGTCGGGGTGTTACTACGACAGCATGGCCCTCTTCCGCGACCTGGCGCATCCCCGCCGGCCGAATGTGGTGGAGAGGTTGCCGTTGCTGGAAGTCTGGTTAGGATCTCCTCGTCAGTGGTCACACATTGTCGACGACTTCCCTTCGACACGGACGGTTTTCTTCGACAATGTCAGGACTCAGGCATGGGCGGAACGCGAGGGTCATTCTTCTCAGGCTGCCGGGCGTGATCATACCAAGAGACTGAGAAATTCGGAAATGATTTCACAAGGGACTGCCTCGCCGCCGGCCAAGAGGGGATCCAAATCTAGGGCGACGATGAGATCAAACGTGCCAAGCGTGGTCGACATGCTTAATGAGTTTCAGGGTCGATAGTACAGGCGTTGAAGGGCTGCTATTCGGGAATATTCCTACTGCTACTAGTAGTACGTAGTAGGTCATTTGGGGACGACTTCGTCCATGGGATTGTCGTGGCCTTGACCAGCCCTGGGTCCGTGGTTGGGGACGCCATGGTAGATTCTAGATGCTAGAGGGAGCTCAGGGATCAATTTCCCAGAGCCTGATGCGCCTACATACCTAGGTACCTTAGATACTAATTGCCAGTCAGCAGTAATGGCACAGATGGCAGTGCAGTCTAGGTAGTCAATAATGTCCAGGCTACAAGGTAATCCTTAGGAAGCTGCTAGTATTCAGGAGCCTCCCTAGCCCTAAGCCGTCGTCGACGTCAGCGGTAATAGTGGGAAACTCGCTTGCGGTGGAGGGCTAGGGAGGCGCCGAGGGGCTAGAGGTTACTACTAGTAGTACTACGTACTATGCACATGGGGTAACAATCAGGGACAGCAAACACGGTAGGTACTTAACCAGGCCCCTAAAGAAGATGCCTAGACGAGAGAGAGCCTAAGAGACCCCTGTCTGCGGGACAATATGGCTCACCTGCTCTCGTGATAATACAAAATACACCACCAAACAAACAACTCATCTTCGATTACTGTCCTCTGTATGCCGTCAAGTCCAGACCAAAGAAGAAATCATCCGCTAGAGTATCTCATCACAAGCCTGATCGATCCTGCGCTTCCCGTTCCCAACAATCAGTCGTGTCGACACGGCTTGACCACCTGGACGTAACAATGGGCGCTGCCGCCCATTAGTTACGATTAGGCAGACAATCTGCCCCTCCACCTCTAACTCACTATCTTTCTACCTGGGGAACTAGAATTCCAGCCTCCTGCCATCACCGCCCCAGCACATCACATCACATCATATCTCCATCGCAAATCTTTCAGAGCAGAAGACACCATCACCTTACTACCTTAGCACGTACCCTCTATCAGCAAGCTTCTAACCTTGCCCTATCGCCATGTCGACACCCAATCGCGATCCTTCCGCCACCTCGTCCAGACCGAGTCTGGATGCCCAGTCGCCCACCGGCTCCTCTAGAACATCTCTACGCATCCCCTCTATGCCCAGCGCCGCAGCCCAACACCGCCAAAGCTTCAACGAATTAAGAGGCCTGCCTCCCTCTCCCAGATCCCAACGACCACCTTCTCTGTCGCAGTTGGCCGTGCAAGAACTCATCGACAATCCCCCAATGAAGAACCCCGATCCCAAATTCGCAGGTCGCGAATGGACCACCATCAAGGTTAAAGAGCTGGTCAGCCCAGGGGACCTTCGGTTCGTGGACATCAAGACGGCGGTGGAATCAGCCACAAAGGTAGCATGAGACTTCTGCTCAAGTTGTGAACATGGCATCGTTGCTGACAGCCAGCAGATCCTCGTCGAGTCAGGAGCCCCCGCTCTGCTCGTCCGCGAAAACGCCGAGTCTGACGACTCGCCCGTCATTGGGACGTTCGACTATCGCGACCTCAATGCCTATCTTCTGTTGGTCGTGGGTCTGATCAAACCCGAGGATGATGATCGTGCCGAAGAACTGGAAAGATTGGCTCAACAAGCACGCGAAGGAAAGGCCATGCACCTCCGAGACATCAAGTCTCTCAGCAAGAAAGAGCCGTTGACATTCCTGAGCGAGGACTCGGATTTGCTCAAGGCAATCGAGACGTTCGGCAAAGGAGTCCATCGCGTCGTCGTCGTGAACGAGTCGACCAAAGAGGCAACGGGCGTCCTGAGTCAGACAAGGCTGACCCAATTCCTCTGGGAGTATGGCAGGAGTTTCCCGGTGCTGGAACACCTCTATGCCCAACACCTGCGCGATCTCAAGATTGGTTCCAATGATGTCGTGGCCATCAAGTAAGTCATATCTTTTGTTTGGGATGGTTGGCGATGGCAAGGCTAACCTTCGTTTCTAGCGGTGACCGACCTCTGGCGGACGCCCTGACTATGCTCTACACCGAAGGCGTCTCGTCGCTCGCTGTGGTGGACCACAACTACAATGTCATCGGCAACATCTCCAACATCGACGTGAAACTACTCATCAAGTCCACCTCCCTGCCTCTCCTGCGGAATACCTGCATCCACTTCATCACCGTCATCCTCTCCACGCGCGGCATGAATGAAGGAAAGGACTCGTTCCCCGTGTTCCACGTCACCCCGCAGTCGACGCTCGCTCATACCGTTGCCAAACTCGTCGCCACCAAGTCCCACCGCCTGTGGATTACAGATCCGGCTTCCCCGATCTCCTCGGGCCCGCCCACACCCTCCATCCATTCCGCCACCCTCGCCCCGACCTCGAGCCACGCCTCCTCCGTCGTCACGGGCAGCGCATTCCCGGCCGCCACCCCCTCCACCACCTTGGATCCATCTTCAAGCGCCATAGTCGACCAGTCGCCCAAGACACCGTTCATCACGCCCACCGGGCCCAGCGTCTCTGCGTCTTCGTTGCCTGGCGCCCGGATTTCCGGCCGTCTTGTCGGCGTCGTGAGTCTCACGGACATTTTGATCCTCTTTGCCCGCGTCGGCGGCATGGACGATGTCGCCGACCCCAACGAGGTCCGCATGAGACGACGCCGAAGCAGCTCCAGCAGTGTCCGGAAGAGTTTCGACCTAGGCCCACGTCCGTCTCTTACTGGACAAGGAAGCGGTGTAGGGCGCCTGTCAGGTGAACGTTCCAGGTCGAGGAGGAGCAGTCTGGCCAGCGTCTCATCGCCTGGTAACGGAGCTGGGAAAGGTTGAGCCGGGGATTCGGTTTGCTATGGATATTGTCATTCCCATGGGAAAGAAGAAAAGAAAAGAAAAGAAACGATGCTTTTTGTAGCCCGTCATTGGAGCCTTGTAAAGGCGGTATCAAGGACCAAGGATAATGGCAGAAGCGAAGCCCGCTCCTCTGTTCTCTGGAGTGACTTGAGACCTGTTCAAATGACTGACTATCCCATGATATCGATACTGGTCCTGGTCCCTGTCCCAATCCTGATGCCGCCGATCCAATCCAAGGCAGGAAAGGCTCTTGTAATCGAAGAGAAATGCCGAGGTCAGGCTGGCCTCCGAACTGCTGTTTACTGGAGAGAGAGACATGGTTGAAGGAGTTTCCCGCGGTTGGTCTCATGGATTATTTTCTTACGGAGTGAGTGTACACGACACCAAGCACAGGATATTTGTGCGGCCTACCTAGAAAGACCAGAAGAAGACGGCAGTAGCAGCAGTAGGCGGATTTCATAGTGTATTGCGACTAGGTCTGCCAATCGGAAAAACTACTCCATGCTTTGATGTGCTCGTGGTACTGTAAAAGGGGTGAGATACCTACTCTACCTAGGTACCAACCTTGGTTACTAAGGTACGCAGGTCTTCTTTTGCCAACATAGGCATGCTGTACTGTGTTTCTGATATGGAGGGAAGATAATGTTTTCATTTCATATTACTTTAACCAACGTAAATATGGTTCTTTTCCCTTCTGGACCCAATCCTCCCTACCTATATATTAACACCCTCCAGGTGATTGACTCGACCCGACCCAACCCCTGACTCCTGAGCGGACTGGAATCTGGAACACCTGGTCAAACCCTTTGAGATTTGACCTTTCCCGTCCTTTCGAGGCATCCTTTTCAGATGCCGAAACGCCAACGGCGGAAGCAAGAGAAGAGATAGATAGAATAGAATATATAGATATAGAGGGCATTGACCCGACCGACCAAACCGACCCAACCGACCCGACCGACCAGAAAGCAATGCAAGTCAGGGTAGCAACGCAACACCTGGGTCTCAAACTCTTTAGAGTCCTCATATATGTATATGTCTGGGCACACATGCGTTGGTAATCCACGTGAACTGGCGGCAGAGAGCGGAGATCCCGAACCCAGGCAAACATGACTCTCGTTGCAGCAGCAATCATCATTTGCTTTTTCCTCCCAAGGTGCCCTGTTTTTCGTTTTTTCTTTCGTGGAAAAATACCTCCATCGTATAAGGAATCGAGGATTGAAGTCTACACTTTCTCCATATGCTCGGGGTCAGGATGACTCGAGCGGTAGAGGCTTCGACAGATAGATGGTCCCGGATTAAATAAGTCCACTCTCAGACTGAGAGATAGGTGATCAGGTTACCAGAGCCTTTCATTCGGGATTTGTCGAAGATAGCAGGCGGTAACCAGTGGATTGTAGTGAGGCGGCACAATAGTGACCAGTAGATAGATCTCACAGTGATCATGAGAATTATGAGAATCATGACCGCGTGGCTGCATTGGGTGAGAATGGTACGGAGTACCGATCCAAACAGCACAGCATTCATCCCACTGGCCGGCACCAGTATCGTCATGGACAACTGATGACATGCATCCTTCATGTTGCTGGAGAAGTAATGCACTGCAAGATATCCGTGCGCCGGCGCCGATGCAGCGTTCTGCTCGGGGCCAAAAGGGAAAGACCAGATCTTGCGTAGCATAGAACTACAGTCTGTCCATCCCAAGACAAGGATTTAGACAAAGATTTATCCTGTAGCGACTGCACCTTCGACCTCGGCGCCATCGTCCCAACTTCCGTCCATGACGAAGTGGTCCCAAAAGCCCTCTCCGGCCGGGGTGATCTGGCCCGAAGTCAAAGGCATGGCACCGCCGAAGTCGAGCCCCTTGCTCTCCTGGCTGAAATTGAAGTCCAGCCCAGCGGTAGGGAGGGAACTAGCATCACTGGCTGTGCGGTCAGCTGCGGACGAAGCAGTGCTGCCGTGCGTGTTTGTCGGTGTCGACTCGGAGTTGATCTCCTGAGAATGGGCGCTCTCGACACTCTGTTCGAGCACCGAGGGTGCCAAAGTCGCCGACATGCCTTGATATGCTGACGCATGGACAGGCATACCCTTGACGCCGCCGCCACTTCGCATGTCGTGCCATGGGTAGTATGGGGAGGAGACGTACTGGTCCGAACCGTGCATGAGCATGGCGTAGCTGGGATCATTATGATCGAAACCAGGGGCATGGGCAAACATCTGTTGAGACTCCGGGGGTAGAGTGGTGGTGAACGGGCCCATATCCTGCCATGATGACGAAAATGCATGGCCACCACCGCCGTGGTTTTGTTGCGCTGAGAGAGTGGCGGACTGCGTTTGTCTCATATATTCGGGATCCGGCTTGATCCCGTCGGTGTTGACTTGTCCAGCAGAGGTATCTCCGAGCTGGATTGTAGCGGGGGTCGACAGTCTCCTGTGGTCCAGCGAACCTGGTGGGTCGGATGAAGGGGGCGACTGTCGTTCTTGACGAGTTGGTATTGAAGCCATGGAGAAGGCTCGGCCGTGGTTGGACCGGAAATTGGCTTGATGGGGAGAAGGATATGGGGAGGGTCGGTAGGAGCCAGTGGCCGCCGGCGAAGCCATGTTGGGGTGAGACAGTAGAGGCGATGAAAACATGTTGGGTCGGGATTGGTAAGTGGCAGCATTGGGGTACTGAGCATACGGGTTCTGAATCATCTGTTCCATTGCACTTCTCATGGCGACTTGATTGGTAAGGTATGCGGCTAGCCGTCGATTGAAGTCTGCCGATCCCGTCTGGAGATGTGCTGTGAGACGTCGATATTGGAGAGGCAAATCATCGTCCTCCTCTTCATACATTTCCTCGTTGATAACATCTTGCTCAGTCACACGCAGTGACCGACCTGTGCGGCGTTTGTGGATTTCAGATGCCCTTCGTGCCGACTCGACTCGAGCTTCCAGACTTCGATCACTTCTTCTCGACGCAGCGATGTAGGCTCTTGAACACGAAAGTCAGCTTGAATGCCCCGTATACCCAGGTCGGACTTGGTGTACCTCTCCTGGTTCTCTTCATGAGTCCGTTCAGTCTTGATCGCCTTGGCAGGCGGTGTCGTTCTTAAAGGCGGCATTTTGTGAAAGAGTATTGGGTTTTGATGAAGAAACTCGAATGTTTCCAGCGACTGCTTTCAGTGCGGATTGGCAAGCTATGGGCCTCAGTTGCTCAATCACTGAGTAGCTTCACAATGCAGGAGGCCGGGGATTGATCAAAAAGATGACGGCAACGAAGTAGATGCTGTTGCTCTCGGTGATCTGGTCTCACAACTCAAGTCACTGAAGAAGACAATATGTCGTGTAAAGTAAACAATCGACAGATCGAGATCCGAGAAGAGGAAGAGGCAACATTAAGAGCAAGACATATAAAGTGGCGAAGCAGCCCAGGAAAATCATCCGGTCAAGAAGAAACTGGCTTTGGGGGCAGGGGCATGATGGCAAAGAGAGTGTAGCGTAGAGTTCTAGCAAAGCCAGCTTGGGAAGATAGCTGCGCGAGGAAGCTCGTACAACGTTGGTGACGGTGCTCAGTGTTTTGACTGAGTGGAGACGACGGGCTAGGAGACCACTCCCGGGGAAAAAGGTATGTCGTTATAGCGTCGATGGCCAGGGCTGCAGCGGAGGCGATGTGTTGAAGCGAGGATCGCGGGCATAATACTGTGCTAGTCCTGATGTGCGTATGTGCCAAAGTGTGGCTGAGAGAGACGGCACAAGTCGATAGCCTGAGAAGCTCTCCAGCGACCGAGGAATACGCCAAAACCATCCATCCTGGTTGGCTGAAAGTCGCCTGCAAACGAGTAGCAGGGAAAGAGAAAAGCCGGAGAGTGTGCATCCTGTGCACAGTCATCGTGGGCGAAAAGCTGAAATGGTAAACCATGGTGGACCCGGATGGTGTTGGTATGGAATAACCATTCGCCCTTCCAGCGATCGACCCTGTGCCTTGTGCTCTGTGCCCACACTTGGTGACAGGGTCCTGGGCATCGGGCCACCATTCTCGATGAGGAAGGTCTGAAATGAGATAGAGTTGGTGAGCGCCGCTAGGCCAGCGATCATGGAGGAGAATTGGTCCATCCGGTCCTCCACCCTCTCGTAAACCATCTCCGCCGGCGCATATTGGGCCCGTGGATCGAAGAGCCTATGTCGAAGGGTTTCACCATGATCCCAGATCCCAGATCCCCATGCCCTTATCCCATGCCATTCTGCCGGGGCATCCCTTCTTTTCTCTCTTGATGCTGGCTGCTCTCGCTCGGTTTTTTACCATGACGGAAATTACACCCATCTCCTTCTTCCAGCTCCATAGGTCTGCATTCCAAGCCCCAGAAAGAGGGTGTCTTGTGAACTGCCAGTAGCAGGGTCCGATCTTGCCGTGCGACTCCGCGAATTGGCTCTATCGGTCGTAGTTCCAGATCCTAGCGTGCACCTGCGATCGCCCAGTTTCAACAGACACACGTCAACTGACGGTTTTGATAGTGATGGCAGCGGATTACAGATCCCCCAAGTGGCCTGATTTCAGATCGGACCTGATATTTGGGTTTCACCATAATCATGACTGGTCGGCTATTCAGGAAGGTGGTCAACTGCAGGGGAGACGACGCCGGAGAAGGTATGCGAGGAAACTGGGAGAAGAAAATCCACCATGTAGCTGCAAGCTCAACCTCAGCTTCGAGACCTGTTCATTATTGCAGTTCAAGTTGGCATTCCTGCAGTGTGAAGATTCCATCACGAGGGCCCGTGCAGAAACTCATGCCAGAGATCAGATAGATTCTTGTGCTTCTCCTGCAAAGGTGGATGAGGTAGTGGTTAAGACAGGTAAATAGCCATTATTGCACGCCTCCACTGCAAACATCGTTGCCACTATGCCCTGCGGTCCGCAGCGGAGCATTGTGGGCTTGGATCGTTCGCCCATCCTCGGGTTGGCCACTGCGGAGGTGATCGTTGAGAGGCTCAGGGACTATGGTAGAGGGACGGGGGCCGTCACTGAGCGAGGGAGTGACTGAGCAGGTTAGTGCTGGACCCGGCGAGGACGCGAGTATGTGAGAATACTTGGCCAGCATTCATGGCGCTCCGAGTGAGGTCCCCTCGTGCACAAAGTGCGAAGATAGATTGGTACAGTTGTCATCTTGGGGTGCGAGTGGCTCTGGGAAGCCATCGTTATTCGTTGCGTTGAGGATGCCGACCCTGGAAGAAAAAAAGTCACAACGGCAACGGATGTGGTTGATCCTCTCAAGCTGAAGTGCCAACTCCACGGGTAAGACAATTCCGGCAGCAAGTATTTCAAATTGTTTGGGAGTCAAGTAAGAAATTGATGAAGCCTAAAGAAGTGGAACTTGAAGCAGCGGTAGAGTTTCGTACAACGCCCCCAGATCCGCGACCTGGATTTCCACCCACCGTGACTGGCAGGCAATTCGATGGGCTCCTTAGGCTCCCTACCTTAGGCTCCTCCAGGGCTCCAGCATCATGGATTGTTGATCTTCAATCACTGCACCCTCCAGCGTCCAGTGCAGTGCAGCGCTCCCTGACACCCTCGAACCGGTCTCATCTAGCAGTTCCCACCATCACTCAAACTAGTCCTTCAGCTCCTCCTCGCATCTCCTGTCGTGCCGGAGTTGACTGGCATCTGCAAGATCCAGATCTGTATCCGGATCTGGGAGCCGCATGTTGATCGATCTGATGGCCGCCTATCACTTCTCTCCCCCGCCGATCGTATCTCTCCGATCACTATCACCCATCATCCATCAACGTGGCTTTTCCTCATTGCAACCTCGACGAAAACTTCCCCATCGACTGAGGAAGGATGACGATTTCCTCGTGTTTTAGGCCAAAAATGGAATAAGAAAGCGCTGCAACCTGCATTGGGCGGACGTGGAAGTTGTTGGGATGCCAAGTCAAAACAACGGACCATATCACTAGACAAAGAGAAGGTCCAAACGCACGATGCACTGTATACTAGTAGAGCATCGGAACCAGGGAGCTGTCTGCAAGTGTCAAAACGGCGGATTCGTGGTACCTCCCGGGAGGACACTCAGCTCCACGGTGGCTCGCGCGTCATGTTCCCGTTTACAGTTTCCTTCTGGTTGCTGCTGCCAGTATGTAATATAATTCAATTTGGTTGAGAAAGCTAGAGAGGCCAGTGTCTGAATCTCTGATCTCTGTCACGCTAACTGATGCTCAACGAAGGTACATGGCCCTGGTCTTCCCGCGCCTGCCCATTGAGTTCGTAGGACACTTTGAACCGCATCTTGACTGTACTGCCTTTCCCTACTGGTACTCCATTGAGGATGATTTCTTGATGAATGGCGTGTCGTGACTTGGGTCGCATGTTGCGTCCACTCTGTGGCTTCAGCTCCAAGGTGTAGCTCTTCTCCACAGCGACATAGAAATGCAGGCCAGTAATGGGTTGGTCGGTGGTATTTGAAAAACGTGCTGTGATCTGGATAACTGACTGTCCTGCCGGCCGTCGCGGTTCAAAGTCAATCTCCACCGCTGACGAAAGTACTTTCACCACCTTGGTCTCAGGCAATGACGACTCAAACATCCAGTCATCTTCGGCCGGTTGAGAAAAAGTCTGATGTTGCGGTACCGTGGACGCCTGTGATGCGGGCTGCGGTGGTTGCACCTGTCGTGGGGTCGATGGCCGTGAACTCGAGGCTACAAGAGCGGCGAAGGGATCGCCATGTGTTTGACTAGCTTGTCGAACTTGCGGTGCAGCCGGTATGGGAGTTGCCGGTTTGGAGGCCGGTAACGCGCTGGTAAGCGATGCAAAGGCATCATAGTTTGGTTTGGGTGAAACCGCTGGGTGAGGCGCAGGAGGCTGGCTTGGTGTAAAATTGAGGGTGTTGGAAAAGCTGCTGCTTGCCGGTGCCCCGGTTGTCGCTCCTGGGCCCAGGAAAATCGATCCAAGGGGTGCGGGACTGGGATCTGACAAGGAGAGTCCCAATAAATCGTCTTCTACGGTCTTCGGCGCGGCTTGTGTCGAGGCACTGGCGCCTGTATCGAGGAGGGAACCATTGGTATCTGCCACAGCCGGTGCAGTCGGCGCGGGCGGGTCTGGGTCGAAATCGATCAAGGACAATTCGTTGGCGGAGTTTTTGCCAACTCCTGTCGTTGTACCCAATGTGCCCTTCGCGATCTGGTTGGCCGCATCGACATTGCCCGCCTTCATCAATTTGTACCTCTCTATTGTCCGGTGTATACTGTCGTTGATTTCCAGCAGTTTCGCGACTGCTTCGGCGTCGTCAGACTCTTCCTCGCACATCTTCTGGATCTTGGGATGCGCGCTCCGGAGCGCTGCTGCGAGTTCCTACACCAAATCAGTCATCGTCGTCAAGAGGCGGTCGGGAACCAATACCTCGAAAACATCTCCATCTGCGAATTTGGCGCCTTCCCTGTGGCTCTGGAGCATATCCTCCAGGATCTTGGCTTTCTGTTGTACTTTCGCAACCTCTTCGGCTGCTTTTGCTCGATAGTCCGTTTTATGTCTTGTGTCGTAGCCGGCCATAACCTTCATCAGGCGGTTTGCTTCCTGGAGATCCTGTGGTCGTCCACGCCGGATCAACTCTTGAAGTTTAGCCGATTGTGCCGCCCGATCTTCCGCTTCCATCTCCTCGGGAGACTGGAGATTCTGTAATGCGTCAGTATGGGCGCTGTCATCGAGACATGCTGCTCACATCGCTCGGGTTCAGCACTGCCGCATCTTCCCTGCGTATCTCCGGAAACATATAGCCCTTGTACAGCAGGAGCCGATGCATATCTCGTATGAAGCCCAGGTCGTCCTTATATCTTGAGGTTTGACATATTGTCTGCCGCCACTCTTCAATAGCTTCCAAGATCTTGCCCTGCACACGGCTCGGACGTATGGGAGGTCGTTCGGGGAATCGGCGGACGAGTTCGTTGAGAAATTCCTTGGTACTGATCTGTAGATGGAACGGATAGCCGCAGTTCTTGACACAGATATCTAGCAATGATAGAGCCAGCATGGCCACGTTCGGGTTCCGGTGATTGATGAGTTGGACAATAGTCATGGCAGCCTCGCGAGGCGCGTTGCCCTTCTTGGAGTTGATCAAGTCGACGATCTCGAGGTTCAACGCCAGATTGGGTTCGAGGTTGGCTACCGGGTCGCAGGCATTGTAGATGTACCGTTGAAGCGTCGACCGCGGCGGCGCGAACCCCTCGAACTGGTTCCTCGACGCCATTCTGGCAGATGCCGCCTCCATATCTTGCGTGAAAAGCCGCAATCGGCAGGGTCGAACGTTTGCTCGTAACTCGAATTCTGGGCTGCGGGCTTCTGAACGAGACGCGGATGGCTACCTAGGACCTGTACAAAGTACAGAGTAATCAGGCCAGGCTGTGACGAAACCTTGGCGGTTCCGCGCCCCCTATTCGTCCTGGTAAGACAGCGGGACCAAACTCACAACTACCCGACTCAGAGATGAGCGGAGAATGGACGGCCCGACAGGAGTTACAGCCTTACTACTACTACGTATTCCTCGGCATCTCAAAAGTACTGAAATGGTATAACCCCTGTCGCACTTGAGGATTACTTGAATGAACTCCAGTGTAAACGTGGTGTCCTCGCTCAAGAAATACAATGGACATGACGCTCCTGGCAAACGAGCTACGCCTGAAGACATGCTGAGCCATGGTCGGCCGTCCCAATTCACCCACAATGCTTTACGCTCAAGGTCCCAAACGATGTCGAGAATATGTACTCTTAAACATCACCTCAGCCGACGCGGACTGGCTATGCCCGCACCATGCAATAGTGGAGGCGCCGGCAAATCCTTCACCGGGGGTGGTGGTAGTGGCCCTGTTGGCGGTGGCTGTCGTAAGGACAGAGGTGGACTTGCTAATGGGTTTCGTCCGTTCATCGCTGAACCGTTGCTACTTGTTCGGGGAGGAAAGACTGGCCGCTGTGAGGGTTCAATTGCCGATGCAGGCTCAGGAATGTTGTCACGGTCGTTGTACCCCATGCGGTTGGGACGCGGCACAACTCCGCTCGGGGCGTCTCGCGTCTCAAGGGACAAGTGTTGTAGTGACAACGGGGGTGGTGGTGATCTTTCCACGATCCCTGTGGGAGTATGCTGACCAACAAATTGAGGTGCGGCAACGGGTATATGACCAGTCGCGGGCACTTTGTGTTGCCTGGCAGTAACAGGCGTGCCCCGGATGTCGCTGGCAAAGGATGCTGTAGACGCGGCCGAGGTCGTGTAAGAGGCATCCGAGCTTGTACCGTCACTCTTGAGAGATTTGGGCGCGGGTGGTGCAAGGTAGGATTTCCGATTGTGTCGCTCCATCATTGATACCGCCCACTCTTGCAAATCGACTGGAGTTCTCTTGGCCGCTTGTAGAAAATTGTCCCTATCATACAGCTCTCTGGGTGTTGGTCTTTCGTCAGGGTTCTTCAACAAACACTTGGCCACAAAGTCTTCCAAAATGCTGGGGAATGCTTCACTCTTGGGCAACTTCGGCGCAGGCTCGTGGACAATAGTCTGCAGAAGGTCGAGGATTCCCATCGGTCCCGCACTAGCTCTGTCGCCTGCGGCAGAGTCGCTAGAGTCGAAGGGAAATCTGCCGATAGCCAATTCCATCACTGTAAGACCAACACTCCACACATCTGATTTGATCGAGTACGCTCCTCCCTGGATTCGCTCTGGAGCCATGTATGTTGAAGTCCCCACAAAGGTGTTTGCGACCGAGTTCACGGTCTCTGTCGCAACTCCGAAATCACACAGTTTGATCATGCCACGAGAATTGACCAGAACGTTGGAAGGCTTGATGTCTCGGTGCATGATGCGATGCGCTTCGTAGAGATAGACCAAGCCACCTAGAATTGACTCTGTTATCTTCCCAAGCACGTCGACCCGAATAGGTCCGAAGTCTTTCGATATCCGATCCAAAGAACTGCCCACATTAGTTGCGCCAAAGGACGAGTCTACAATCTGAGGACTCACCCGCAGTCCATGTATTCCATACACAGTACAATGTCACGAGCCTCATTCTGAAAGGCGCCGTAAAATGTGATCACATACGGGGAACTGCAGTCATGACCGACTTGCAACTCCCTCACAATCTGCTTGCGGACGTTCTCTTTTGCATCGACCCGGATGATCTGTGTTTGTTCAGCGCGCGTGACACTAGATCGGAGAATTCTATATTTACCTTTCTGGCCATGATGACTTTGGTGGTAGCATGCATGACTTTACTGACCGTACCTCCATTGCCAGCGCCCAACTCTTTGAGGACCACCAGATCTTCACTTCTCAAATCCAACTTGAATTCTAACCCGATCTCCAATGTGTCCGTACGGTCACTTTCGGAGTTGCCCAGAGCCCCCGGTATCTGCGCATCACCCTCCGACGGATTCGCTGTTCGTGGCGGAGGAGCATTTAGAGCCAGCCCTTTCACATTCTTCCTCTTCAGAGTTCTGGTCTTGAACGGGTCAGACATCTTGTTGGAGTTGATGTGAGGTCTAGGTATGATCCAGTGAACGGGGCTTCTGTCACTGTCTCGTGGGCCGGAGGTTTGAGGAGGGGATCAGGTATTAAGCAGGCTCGATCGATTCCGTGGGGTTGTTAAGGTGCGGCAGGTCGAACGAGAGAGATAGCCTAGGATTCAAATGCAAAGGTAGACTGTGCCATGGGCGCTTAGGTGAAGGAGGGCCAACCGATGGATTGAGGAACGCGTGGCGGTTATCTCGCTCCTGTCAGTGCCATGTACCCGAGTCGAAGAGAGCCACGCATACGTCAGCAGATCCAGAGCAGGGCAAGTCGTCCAGATACTAGGATGACTAGAGGAGATGGCTTGGAGAGTCCTGCCGCAGGTGACAGATCAACTGAGCTTTCGAGGCAGAGAAGGAATCGTCAAAGTCGACTTTCGTTTGGAGAAAGGGGTTCACAGGCAGGTAGGACCCTCCTGACGACGGAGGCGTTTATTTTGGGACGTTAACGGCAGAATGAGAGAGATTCTGGCCAAATGTCATTGCATAGATAGTTGATAGACTGAAGAAATCACCAATAACATGGCCTTAGTTCAAGCGAAGGCGCCTATTCGGGGGACGTTCAATCAGATCTACTACTCCTCCTGGTAGGCTGGTAGGATGTTGCAGATGTAGTGTGCAGTTTGAGGGCAGGTTGCTGCAAGTGAGGAGGGACTACACAGTGTTACTAGGCGATACCAAGTTAGGCTTAGGAGGCTTAGGAGGCTAGTCTCACGCTCAACTTGCCCTGGCCGCACAGAGTCCTAATATCAGCCTGCGCCCCTGCGTCTTGCGACAGATCTGGAACGCCCCGAGACCCCGCCATTCGTTTGGAAGCTGTACGCCATGCCGCTTTAACCTGCCTGCACCAACACAACTTGAACTGCAACTCCAGCTCTTGGAATCCTCGTCCCTCTCACCTCGACGCACCTAGGTTAGGTAGGTACTTTCTTTGCAGTCAATCCCATGGGCACATCTAAACCCAGCCAGAACATGATCTTGACACACCTCCTTCAGCATTGAGATAAACATTGCTCTGCGTGCCCTCGTTCCAGGTAGACGGCAGTCTCATTGGATACCTGCCTACGTGCCCGAGCCTTCGGCTACCTCGAAATGAAAAGGTCCAAGAGGAAAAGAACATGACGGTGCCCTCGGCGGACAGCAGCGGTGCAAGAGTTGAGGTGCTATTGCGGATCGACGACAAGTCATCTAGGAATAGCCTGAGGAGTCGAGAGCGGTGTGTATAGTGTTTGGCACTCATCCATACCACGGGCGTACCCTCCCTATTCTTTTGTTGCATATCTTCTCCTGCCCGGCGCTAAATACATGGGTTCTTGTCTCAAGCACCTCTGTCTATGGGTATCTCAATATTCAGTGATTTCTTACGACTGTCGCCATTACTGGCGCTGCATCACGGCTCTCGGCTCTCGGTGCGTGAGGTTGCTGCGGCTGTTGCTGTTGACAAGTCTCATCACCGTCGACTCTAGACCTGTTGGACCTTGACCGTCCACAGTTACCTATCTAAAACACACCAATGTCAAGCAAGTTTCTCGTATTGGCAACTGAGCAGCCTTGATCAAAAGTTCTTCCAATCGACATGATTCTCCCAGGCATACGCTGCTTTGAAGATTGTTGCCTCGTCCCAGAACTTTCCCACAATCTGCATACTTGCGGGAATTTTTATGTTCGGGTTGGCGTGTGATGGGACGAAGCCGATCGGGACCGCCAGAGCAGGATGACCGGTGATGTTGAATGGGCTTGTATTCTCCGTTTTGCCAGTCGAGGCCATGATGTGTTCCATTGGAGTGGCGTTCACCGGGGGCAACGGATCCGCGGGCGTCAGTGTGGTTGGCATGACCAACAAGTCGTACCTCGAGAGCACTTCGTCGTAGGCATGGGTGAGTTTGCGTGCGAGATTGACGGCCTTGGGATATGCAGTGGGGTATTCTTGCCAGGCATATTCGCCGGAGAACAGGCCCTCTTTGCTCATTGCGCTCAACTTCTCCCACGATTGTTGCGTGTAAGGCAGGGCTTTCTTCTCAAAGAGATCGGTGAGCATCACTTGTCGTCGCCCCGTCGCCCGGCCCAGCATGCCTATGTGGTTTCCCATTTTGGTGAGCACAGAGTAGACCTGTCGAGCGCTGGCATGCATTGGGACGGACACGGTTTCGACGTTGGCCCCTAGTTTCTCAAAAACAGCCACCGCTGCTCGGAACTTCTTCGCGATCTCTGCGTCCATTACGGGAGACGTGAGGCCTTCGTGGAGCAGGCCGATTCTCATCCCTTTCACGCCCTGCTCCTTTGTATCTCGCAAGATCTGGGAGTATGCTGGCACATTCTTAGGAAAGGGGGTCCCTGCGATTTGCCGGTCATCTAGCCCATCAACGCCCGCAATCGCTTCCAACATGATTGCGTTGTCAAGGCACGTCGTTGTCATGGGGCCGACATTGTCTACGCTGGCGTCGTTACTGGCAATGCCCGTGTACGGCACCAGTCCAGTGGTGGCCTTGAAGCCGTAAAGGCCACAGAGACTGGCAGGGATTCGGATTGAGCCGCCCTGGTCGCATCCAACGCCCAAATCGACAGCGCCCGATGCCACCAATGCCGCCGTCCCCGAACTGCTGCCTCCGCAAGAATAGCCTCGAGCATACGGGTTGTGCACGGGACCTGTGGCGGCGGTGTTGCTGACCGCACCTCGAGACAGGTTCTCACAGACTGCCTTTCCCGTAATGATGGCCCCGGCATCGAGGACTCGCGTCACTACCGTCGCGTCCGTTTTTGGAACCCAACCGGTGAATGACTCGGTGCCCACTAGGCAAGGGACGTCGGCGACGCAGATATTGTCCTTGAAGCACACGGTCCGCCCCTCGAGTAAGCTGGATGAAGGGTTGGCCTTTGCGCATTCAAATCTCCAGGCCCATGCCCCGAGAGGGTTCTCCTCTGGCTTAGGCAGGTAGAGTTTGTTTCTGGGAGTTGCCACCAGGTCTGGCGTCGGTTGATAATCTGGAAGCAGAAGTCAGCGGTCAAGGTTCCTGTCTCCTGTAGTCATGGGGTTACGACCCTCTAGCTGTGACACCGTTTCCAATGCTGCCTTCATACGTTTCAGAAGTTGGGCATATTGTTCGGTCTCAGCCTCGTCCAGCTTGATGTTCAGCCGACCTGCAGCTGCCAACAAATCGTCCATGGTCGAAGCCATGACTGACCTGGTGCCTCTTTACGATCGTCGAACGGTCAGCATTAGTTATGTCTACCTTTCATTATAAGGTAACGATCTGGATCGGTGAGCAAACGGTAACATTGACTGGTTCTGACCCTGCAACTCTCCAGTCTTCCTGCTCGACCAACTCTACCTTTTAGTCTGTCAACACAACAAGTTGTATCGAAGGGTTTGCAGCGGGGTCGGTCCCTATGAGTCTGTCAAAAGAGTTCAAGGTGTCGGACGTGCGCGTTCTTATCGGAGAGCCGCAAGCGATGGTGGGCCTGGTCTCGTCTATCTGCGGATCTCCTACCATGACCACTCTCCCTACTACTAGTAGTACCACGCCCTCCAGTGGTCGCTGGGCCCGTACTGGACCTTCAGACCGCCTTGTATACTGCAGCTACTGACCCTAATGCCTAATTAGGTCCACAAAGTCGGACCCTCCGACAGCCGGTCATCGGTGCTTATCATCAATTTCCTCGGGCGTATGATGGTAAGACAAAGTTAGCTACTCAATATTAGTCCTTCTCAACCTGATGAAGCGAAACCACAGTCCCCAAGCATTTACGGGTATCAGGAGACTCTACATTGAAAAAACTAACCTGAGTCTGACCGTCGATATCTGTCCCAACAATAGCGAAAATGGTGGTCGTTGAAGAGAAGTACCAGATTCCGCGTGACTTCGAAGGCAAGACTGCACCCCTGATCTCACACAGTTGTTTTGTTGTTCTTCAATGTTGACAACCAGACAGGGTTTGGAGAAGAAGGCTTCGATCCCAAGTGGCCCAACGGCGCGCGGATAGCAGTGTCGTTTGTTCTCAACTATGTAAGTTTAAAGTGATTACGCTGGGTCCGTTGTTTCGGCCAGGGTCCTGAACATATATTGTCTCTCAGGAAGAGGGAGGCGAGCGAAGTGTGCTCGACGGAGACGCCCACAGCGAGCCCTACCTATGGGAAAAGGGGGCGTCTGGGGGCTATAAAACGACGAGATATCTCAATGCCGAGCAAGACTTCGAATATGGAAGCCGGGTAGCCTCCTGGCGTCTAATCCGTCTCTTCAAGGAGTTCGGCTGGAACTTCACCACCTATGCCATCGCCGTGGCGTTGCAGAAGAACCCTAAATTCGCGAAGGCGTTGGTCCGGGACGGCCACGAGGTTGCTGCTCACGGCTATCGATGGCTGGAATTCTATGATTACAACCTCGAAGAAGACAAGGCTTATATTAAGAAATCACTGACTACCTTGAAAGAGGTCACAGGTAAGAGTCTGGACACCAGCTGAGTATCAATGCCTCAGAGCGGTAGTGAAGATCAGCTGACCGTGGGATGTTGATATATAGGAGAGTTCCCTGTTGGTGCTTACTTTGGCCGAGGGACTCCACAGACACACGCTCTCTTCCCAGAAGTATGGAAGGAGCTGGGCGAGGAATTCCTCTGGTCGTCCGAGTGCTACAACGACGATGTGCCCTACTGGCTAGACTTGCCGTGGGAAGCCAGTCTGCCTGAAAAGGAACGGAAAGGAATGCTGCTTATCCCCTACAACGTACGTGGGAATTCCCCCTTGCTACCTACAGCGGCTGGCCACACGACTGACTTGATCGGGACCATATGATAGTACGACTGCAACGACGGCAAGTTCCACATGTCTCCAGGGTTTGGGAGTTCTGTGGCCGAGACGTACGAACAATATCTCAAGAATACGTTCGACATGCTCTACCGGGAAGGAGGCAAGTTGATGAACATCCCGCTTCACACTCGCATCATTGGCAAGGCTGGCCGTTGCGAGGCATTGAGGAAGTTCATGCTGTACATTGCCGAGAAGGAGGGCGTCTGGGTCACAACGAGAAGGGACATCGCGAAGCACATGCACAAGAACTTTCCTTATCAGCCCGATAGAAAGTGGATGGAGGGAGTTAAACAGTAGTGCAGTGCTCAAGGGGCGTCGATATTCTGTTCCTACGCACACAGGGGGTGCAATAGATGGTCGTAGGACACGACTTGCGAGAGAGTCACTGTTCAAAAAAGCCTGGCTTGAAGCTCCAAACCTCACATTTCGACTTATCAGTAATGTGGTATTTGGCGGTGCCTAGGGAGCCCACTGCCCACAGCCTATAGCCCCTTAGCCCACAGCTACTGTATACTAGTAATTGGAGGTGGATGAAGAGATAAGGAGTTGACGATGCTTCCCGGACAAATCCGTAATCAAGAAGAGACGGCAAGACGGGTTCTCTCTCTCTCTATCAAATCAAACCTCTCGACATCTATCTAGTCGACCTAGTAAGAAACCCACACTCAGAACCATCCATACCACTGTGATCCCCGCCAGACAGGTGAGTGGCAAGCGAAGCCACCCAGCCTTCATGGAGACAATTTGCGACCACTGGCGCATGTATTCAGACTGTATCCAGATTCGGAGACCAGCATCTAGATAACACTGAGTGGTGATGGCATCAGAGACAGGCACCAGGTCCTCAATATCCACGAGTACGAGTGTTCCAGGAACACCTTCAGTAGCTGAAGACAACCCGCGAAAGAGAGGAAGAACGGCTTGTACGCGATGCAGGGCGAGAAAACAAAAGGTAGTGCCAATGTGTCCATTATTGTCCTCCGAGTCCCATTCCCAGTCCAGCAAGACCGCGGAAGCTGACACCGAGACACTGACTGATTCTTGAAGTGCGATGGCCAATGGCCAGTCTGCTCGAATTGCGAAAAAGCAGGCGTCGACTGTGATCTGACTTCGATCAGAACGGAGAAGCCAATGCCAGCCAGGTATGAAGATGCTCACCAGCATTCCCCGAGATACTAGGAATGAGTTCCTGACACGCCGTCCAAGGTATACGCGCGCACTGGAAGATCGAGTCGCCTTTCTTGAGCTCCAGCTCTCGCAGTCCCGGCAACAGGGCGTCAAAGCGGCCAATACGCCGTCGCCTCTCAATCATCAGCATAATGCCCTCGAAGAAGTCGTCGACACCTTGCATGGAGGCAACTTTGAAGCCCCTGCGTACGTCGGCACTGCTTCAGGCTTGACCCTGGCCGTGATTCTGGGCGAGATGGTCCAGGCAACGGTATGGAACAAGGCCCTCCCCGTCCATCCCGAGGCCGGAGACCGCCAGGAAACAATGGCATCGCGGCCCGCCGACCCCAAGCACGAGCACGAGCGAGGCCGGCCTTATAACATGGACGACCTGCGCGCCAACAGTGCAGAGCCGCCCAGCGATGACCACGGGCGCCGCATGATCAACGCGTATCTGTCCATGCTGCACAAGAGGTATCCCCTGCTCGATCAGGCTGAGCTGTGGAGTCTCCACGATGACCGACTTCGTCTGGGCGCCGCCAAACACTCGAGGTTGTCCAAGGCGGAACGGTTTGGCATTTTCAAATTGTACTTGGTCTATGCCATAGGGGCGATGCTGCTGCAACTCACCGACAAGCATACCGGCTCCAAACCCGAGGTATGTCACAAAGCACAAGTCACAAAGCACAAGCGACCATGACCATGACCATGACCATGACCATTCAATTCACAATTCAGGGGGTGCAATCTGCGAAGAAAGAATCTCCACTGACCAGGTGCTTTAGGCTTACTACATGACGGCGCTGCAGCATATATCGGCGGCGCGGGAATCGAGGACCATGCAAAACATCGAGGCCATGACGCTGTTGGTCATCTACCACCTCCGTTCCGCGTCGGCCCATGGCATGTGGTACATGATCGGCCTGGCCATGCGCACCTGCATCGACCTGGGCCTGCATCGCAAATCCAACGAAGACCATCTCCCGAAGAAAGCGGCCCAACTGCGCCGCCGGCTCTTCTGGTCCGTCTATTCTCTGGACCGGGTCATCTCGATCTCGCTGGGCCGGCCGTTCAGCATCACCGACCGACATATAGACGTGGAACTGCCTGACCTGGTTGAGGAATCCAACAACAATCCAACAACAACAACAACAACAACAACAACAACAACAACAACGACTACAGCAGGCGGTGCAAATGTGTCGTCGCAGTCCCCAGCGACACGTAGATACCACACCACGACAGAACAATCAAAGTCACAAGGCGGCCCACAACCACCACCGTCTACTAGTCATACTACTCGACATCCCAACCGACCTTCCCCCATCGCAGCAGCAGTGTCTCTGTTCAAACTCCGCCGGATCGAATCGCGGATCTACCACTCCATCTATCGCGCGGATCGGCCTCTGACGTCCCTACTGCCGAAGATGCCGCGTCTCTACGACGAACTCGAGGCCTGGAAGAAGGAACTGTTCCAGCGCGCCCCGGACCCGGCCGACCTAGACTACACGATGCTGCACTACAACCGGGCGGTGAGGCTCTTGATTGTGCCGTTCCTCTCGCTCCTCCCGGCCACGGACTCATACTACGACATCTGTCTCAAAGCCGCGGGAGAGATCTGCCAGGCCCACAAACGCCTGCACCAGACCCTCGACTACGGCCACAGCTTCATCGCCGTGCAGACCGTCTTCGTCGCCGGCATCACCCTGCTGTACTGTCTGTGGACCAAGGGCGAGCAGATCTGGTCCGTGACCTTGTCCAACGACATCCGCGCCTGCTCCGCCGTGCTGTTCGTCATGGGCGAGCGCGCCGCCTGGGTCAAGAAATATCGCGACGCCTTCGAGTTGTTGGTCAGTGCTACAATGGATAAATTGCAGGACAAGGAGTCCGTGAGCGGTGGCATTCTTCAGACTGCCGTTGCTGTGGCCGCTGCTACGGGACACTCTGCTGCTGCTGCGTCCTTTGCTGCTCCTGCTCCTGCTTCTGAACCGTCTTTTAATGACAGGTTTAGTGCCAGTGGTGCTGCCAGGCCTGTAGGCGGCTATGATACCACTCCGGATATCTTGTCCAGTCCTGCGAGTTTTCAAGAATACAATCCCAACAGCAGCAGCCACAGCCACAGCCACAGCCACAACCACAACCACAATGACTACAACAACTACAGTCAAACCCACAGCAGTCTGCATGGATACAATTTCCAGTATTCCCCTTCTCAACATCAGTCCCAAACCCGACCAACCCCCGCTGCAGACCACAGTCCCGATCTTGACGATGGTTACGGTCACTCGAATATGCCGCCAAACCTGGATCCGTTCCCAGCTGCCAATGGCACCAGTTCCCCATCGAGGAATGGGAAGGGGACTGGGACTGAGAACATGAATTGGAGTAGTACTGGGGCCGGGAGTGGCCGGAAAAGTATCAACGACCCTTTCAGAGTCTTCGTTCCCGATACCCGAAGCAGTGCACAAACTCCAGGCTCCACGGACGACGAACGAGGCAGGGCTCACGATGATGCCATGAGGGTCGTCAACGAGTTGGCATCGTGGATCGATCAGGACCAGGACACGCCCGTGTGGATGCCGGACTTCGAGATGCTGGAAAACGTGGTGAACCCTACTAGTATGGGCCAGGATTTCAATTTTCACCTTCAATGAACAGAGGAGTCCACCCTCAAGCGCCAGTAGGCTTCGCGAACTGTAGACCACGGGCCTCGTACACTAGTCTTCTCGACATGTATTCTCTTCCGGCTATGGTTAAGAAACCAATGAAATGGAGATGATCATAGACATATAATCCAATGCATCTGAGCAGTTCGGCATCGTATTGACCGATCGGTCTTGTGGCGTGGCCGTACCGAGCCGTCCAGACCAAACCTCGTATGGAGGAACGGGTTGTTTGTCCCGACATGAGATGCGTCCGGGCAATGATGAGCCGAAGTAGTGGATGAAAGGCGTGCCAGCGATGATATCCGCGCCTGGCGGCATCTGTTATCCGAATCCCCCACAGCCTTGGGAAGTATCTTCGGACCTCCGACAGACCCTTATCCGCCACTCACGCGAGTTTTTCCCAAATATTCCTTCTGTCGGATCCGGAGCCCTGGAGCCCATGACAACATAGAGCCCATGATTGCAAAACATACCTACCTAGGAAGGTATCAGTGCGAAGAGAAAGACTGAGGTCCGCCCGGCACTCCGGCAGGCGATGCATCTTCAACAAGATTCATTGGAGATCCTCTGGGTGGAAGACATCGGAATTCAGTCTAGTTGTTCCTGGACAGGATGAGGCTGGATGCGAGATCCAGAGCTCTCTTCATTCGCTACCACCGTTTCACAGGTCCTATATCATAAAAGTTGTCGACGTTCTTCAATCAAGCAGCGCAGCGGTGTCCCTGTCCCTGGGATATCTCGCTGGAGAAGCGATGAAACGGTCCGACGATGCAGAAAAGACACTGCACAACCAGGAGAACATCCTTCCGACAGCTCAGCTGTTGGTTGTCTTCGGGGTGCTGGCGCTAGTCCTCTGCGTCTGCTTCATGGATCAGAATGGCATTTCCGTGGCTCTTCCTACCATTGCCAAGGATCTAAATGCACAAGAAACAATCTCATGGGCAGGGACGTCTTCCTTGATCGCCAATACCGTCTTCTCCGTCCTCTACGGAAGACTGTCCGACATCTTTGGCCGGAAGGTTATCTTCTTGTCAGCATGTGCCCTTCTTGCGCTCGGTGATCTACTATGTGGCCTCGCCCAGGACCCGGCGATGCTGTACGTCTTTCGCGCAGTGGCCGGGTTGGCTGGAGGCGGAATCACCAATCTCACCATGATCATCGTCTCCGATGTCGTGACCTTGAAGGACCGTGGCAAGTTTCAGGGTATCTTGGGAGCCTGTGTGGGATTGGGCAACGTGGCTGGACCATTCGTTGCGGCTGCATTCATTGAGAACACGACCTGGCGTGCCTTCTTCTATCTTCTTGCTCCCTTGGTGGCATTGTGCGGCGTAGCAGCAATGTTTCTCTTGCCGTCAACCGCTCCGGCCGCGGGCTTCCTAGAAAGCGCACGGAAAATCGACCACTGGGGCACGTTGACCTCTGCCGTCGCCGTGATCTTTCTCCTTGTTCCCATATCTGGGGGAGGAGCGTATTTCCCCTGGGCTTCGCCTATGGTAATCGCCATGCTTGCAATTGGGAGCTCTGCTTTGGTGTTGTTCGTGGGGGTTGAATGGAAGGTGGCAAGTCTGCCAATGATGCCGGGTGAGGATGATATCGCCCCTGAGGAAGTTGTGATGGCTGGACTGACAGAAATTTAGTTCAAATTTTCGGCGATCGAGTCGTCGCTACACTTCTGGCGCAAAGTTTCTTGCTGGGCTGGGTGTATCAGTCATACCTGTATTACCTCCCCATGTACTATCAGAATGTCCGAGGCTATAGCGCTGTGACTTCCGCGGCACTCACCATCCCCATCATGGCCACGCAAGCGGTTGCGTCCATTGTCTCGGGCCAATATATGTCCCGGAGAGGCCGTTACGGCGAGGTTCTCTGGGTCGGATTTGGCGCGTGGACTCTGGGCTCCGGCTTGACCATCTTGTTCAACCGTACCACCAGCCCTGCGGCGTGTGCAGTCATTCTCTGCGTGGTGGGATTCGGAGTCGGCAATGTTTTTCAGCCCACCCTTGTCGCCCTACAAGCACATTCCCCCAAGGCCCGACGGGCTGTCATCGTATCTAATCGCAACTTCTTCCGCTGTTGCGGAGGTGCCTGCGGCCTGGCCGTCGCGGCGGCCGTGCTTCAAGCCAGTTTGAGAGCCAGCCTGCCCGCGCGGTTCCAGTATCTGGCCGAGTCCACGTATGCTAGACCGAATCTTGGTTCCGCAGACATGGCCGTTGTCCTAGACGCTTACATGAAAGCAATGCGAAACGTCTTCATCATCCAGGTGCCCTTGATCGGCCTCTGTCTACTCGGCTGTCTTCTGATCACGGACCAAGGTTTGGAGCGACCGGATGAAAGGCCAGTTCAGGCGGTCCAGGAAGACGGCATCGAGGCGAAGGCCGCAGCTTCGGACATCCACGATGGTCGGTCTGTCAACCCCAGGGTGGAAATTTTCGAGCAATCCGAAGGTGGTTGAAAAGCACTGCAAGAGTCTCTCTGAAAATCGCCGAACAACAAGAGGAGATGCATTCACGCGTTACAATGCGTCAACGTTTCCTCTTGCTCAATTTTAACCTACTAGGACGGTTCCGAGGGAGAGGCAGCATGAAATCACTCCTCTGACGGTAGTAATCCCGAGCAGGTCTGCCAGAGCCGTACCGACCGAATCTTTCAAGTTATTCGAGTCCAACAAGCATCATTCTGAGGTAGCACGTTCCGACAAGTCTCGTCCTCGACAGCACCTAATCGCGTTGTCACTGGTCGAAGACATGCGGCCCGATCGGACTTGGGGGGAGCCGGGTGCACGAATGGCCTCTTTCGGGACTCGAGCCTCGTAGACCAAGAAAAGGGTCTGCAAAGTGTGGCGAGCACCTCGGCGAAGGAAGGGAAAAGTTGCACTGTAACATCCATTGAGGAACGGAGTCCGGGAGGTCTATTGCATTGCGGGTGGAAGTTGTAGTCTGCCTGAATAGAGGTATTCAAAGAATGGAAAGCATGGCACCCAGGGCAAGCCTAGGGCGGCATGATATAATCTCTAGAACTACAATAAACTGCATGCCGCTTTTGCATCTCTAGCTTGCGTAGCTGCGCCAGATACTCCTCCGTATCACGAGGTGCACCAGCACGCGTTTGTCTTGTTTGCACGCTTTTACTCCTAAGGAAACTCTGGCGAGACCGCAACCTTTTTGCCCTTTCGCATCTTCCAACCACTGGCACCGCAGCCTCACTTCTGTTTGTTGCCTGGTAGAGGAGAGTTGAGGTCAATCCAGGCCAGCTGTCGAATCCCATTTTTGGCTTGTGTCCAGTCCACTTATCTGCGCCGCCCACCGGGCCCCTTGTTCCACCATGGATCTCATCGATGATCGCGCAGTCCTCGACAATGAAGAGGACGACGAATCCTTCGACGAAGACACGGGCGAGGTGAGGGAAAAAACGAACGGAACAAACGGTGGCTTTGATGATTCCTCGGAGGAGGAGGAAGACGATGACGACGAAGAGGCTGCGGCAGAGGTGAGCTGTCCACAAGGCTGCGCCGAGGCTGCGGGAACGTTAACAGCTATTTTAGGTCGCCAAAGATTTCATTGTCGATGAAGACGAAGAAGACGAAGAGGCCAGGCGGGAGCGACGGCGTGAACGAAAGAAGCGCAGACGCGAAGAACGTGAAGATGAAGGACTCGATGAAGAAGATCTCGAGCTGATCGGATTAAAACCCACGGAAGAAGCTCCTGAGCCGAAATTCAAACGTCTCAAGCGTGGCCCCCGGGAAGATCGTGATGTTCAACAACCTGCTGGCGTCAACGAGATTTTCGGTCAATCTGACGAAGAGGAAGAAACTGTCGATTACACGCGCCGGAGTCGTCCCGATCGACGAGGCCTGCAGGACGAATTCGAGGATTTCATCGAAGAAGATGTCTTCTCCGATGAAGAACAGCAACGGCAACGCGAAGACGAGGAGGTGGCGCGCCCAAATCGAAGAGGTCTCCCAGACTTGGGCATCGCAGATGCAGCCGGGTTGGACGAACAGGCGCTCGAAGATTTCCGTGCTGCCTTCGGCGATGGGACTGACTATGACTTTGCTCTCGAAAAGGAAGAAGAGGCGGATGAGGTGGAAGCCGAAAAGGACAAGCATCTTGACCTCAAGGATGTGTTTGAGCCGTCGCAGCTGGCAGAGAAGATGTTGACCGACGAAGACAACCTTATCCGCCACGCCGATGAGCCAGAGCGCCACCAGCTTGCCAGGAAGCCGTATCGACATGTGGAATTGACCGAGGACGAGTTCAAAGAAGAAGCCAGCTGGATAGCTAATCTTATGCTCCCTGGAAAACAGTTCACGTCCGACCTCCAAGAGCCTTTCAGGCGAGCCATTGGTCAGGTACTGGAGTTCATGGTGCGGGATGATTATGAGGTCCCCTTCATCTTCCAAAATCGCAAAGACTATTTGCTCCATGTCGTTCAAAAAGTCGTCGGGAGGGACGAAGATGGCAACGAACGGACAGTCGCAGACGCAACCCGCTTACTCGTCCAACGCGATCTATGGCAGATCTTTGAGCACGACCTGAAATACCGAGCCTTGATTGAAAAGAGGCAGGCGCTGCAGAAGACATACGATGATCTGAGATCTGCTAACGTCCCCGAGGACAGTATGTTCCAAGAAATGCTCCCGTTAGCAGCTACCATGGAAGAACTTCAGGATCTCCAGGACTATCTCTATTTCCAGTATGCTTCGCAGCTCAAAGATATGGCGTTGACCTCGAATGGCGAGACGAATGGTATCAACATGTCTCAGAAGAAAGCGTCCACCAGGACGGTCTATGAGGAAATCCGAGCTTCCAAGGCGTTTGGTCTTGTCCGCGCTTTCGGCATCACTGCGGACGGTTTCGCACAGAATGCTGCTCGGCAAGGCGTCCGAACATACGCAGAAGATCCCAGCGATAGCCCGGAGAACCTGGCAGACACAATGATCGACGAAGAATTCCCAACCGGCACAAAGGTTCTCAAGGCAGCAAAGTCTATGTTTACAGAGGAGCTCACCACCAACCCAAGATTCCGAGGTTTAATCAGAAGGAACGTGTACATCGACGGTGTCATAGATTGCCATCGCACCGAAAAAGGCCTGAAAAAGATTGACGAACAACATCCATACTACGAGTTCAAATACCTGCGGAATCAGGACTTTCGGTCATTCTCTCAGCGGCCTGATCTATTCTTGAAGATGCTCAAAGCCGAAGAAGAAGGTCTGATTGAGGTCATAGTCAGATTGCAGAACCCCGACAACTTCAAAAAACAGCTCTACAAGTACATCGAGACGGATAACTACTCCACTACCGCGGATGCCTGGAATGCAGAGCGACGCGACGTCGTCTCTGCTGCGGTGGATAAAGTGATGAAGCTTATGGGTCGATTGGTCAAGGAGAATCTCAAGGAACAGTGCGAGAACGCCATTGGCATTGAGTGCCGCGAAGAATTCAACCAGAGACTCGATCAAGCTCCGTATCAACCAAGAGGTATGAAGAAGGGGACGACACCGCGTGTTCTTACGCTGTCTAATGGCGGCGGGACTGTGGGGCGCGACCCGATTTATTGGGCATATGTCAACGACGACGGCAGAGTCCTCGAACATGGTCAGTTTAAGGAACTAGGCCCTGGCGATCGCGAACGTGGTCTTCCCGACGGCAAAGATGTCGAAGCGCTGCTCGAGGTCATCAAGAGGAGAGAACCTGAAGTCATTGGAGTGTCTGGGTGGAGCCCCGAAACCCGCAAACTTCAGTCAAATCTTGCGACGTTGGTCAGCAATCATGATCTCCGAGGGCCCGTCTTCGCGGATGAAGATGACAGAGATCGAAGCGAGCTTCTAGAGGTGATCATGGTCAACGACGAGGTTGCTCGAATGTACCAGACCAGCGATCGGGCGAAACACGACCATCCTGGGTTTCCTCAACTGGCTCTGTACTGTGTCGCTCTGGCTAGGTACATGCAAGACCCTCTCAAGGAATACGCCGCCCTGGGACGAGACATTGTATCCATCAGTTTTCATCCGGCCCAAAATTTCCTGCCTCAGGAGAAGCTTTTGAAGAAGCTGGAAATGGCTTTGGTTGACACTGTGAACATGGTCGGAGTGGACATCAACGAAGCCACCAGCGATAGTGCCATTGCAAACCTCCTGCCATATGTGGCTGGATTGGGTCCGAGAAAAGCTTCGCATCTCTTGAAGGTGATGAATCTCAATGGAGGAGTCATCACTACTCGCGAAGACCTACTCGGCCTCAATGACAAACACTCCGCAATGGGCTTCAAAGTGTGGAGCAACGCGGCAGCCACGTTATACATACCGTTTGAACCATCAGAGCCGACGTCGGAATATCTGGATGGCACGCGTGTGCATCCGGAAGACTATGATATTGCTCGCAAAATGGCGGCTGATGCGCTCGAGCTTGACGAGGAAGATATCGAAGCTGAGCGACAGGAAGGAGGATCCGCAGCTATCGTACGCCGTCTTATCCGTGAAGAAGCCCAGGAACGTGTCAATGATCTCGTTCTCGAGGAGTACGCCGAACAACTGGAGAAGAATCTGAATGCCAAGAAGCGCACCACGTTGGAGAACATCCGAGCGGAACTCAATGAACCCTATGAAGAGCTCCGAAATCCCTTCCGCAGCAATCTAGGAGAATCGGAGATCTTCACGATGTTGACCGGTGAGACGAGGGAATCTCTACAACGAGGGATGAACGTCCCGATTTCCTTGAAGCGGATCACAGATACCCACGTCGAGGGTAAGCTGGATTGTGGCTTGACTGCAGTTGTCGAGGATGGTCAATGGTCGGATACTGGGATGTCACCGAAGCAATTGTACACGCTGCACCAGACCGTGCAAGCCCACATCACTTCGATCAATCGGAAAGACTTCAGCGCCACGGTGAGCTTGAGAGATGACCAGCTGAAGAAGCCTTTCAAGAGGTACAACCATAACGACCGGAACTACGATGAGTGGGATGACCGTGAAGAGGCCAAGGACAGGAAACTGTTGGAAGAGAAGGCCGACTCGGGAAGCCGAGCCACTCGCGTGGTCAAGCACCCTCTCTTCCGCCCGTTCAACGCCAAACAGGCCGAAGAGTATTTGGCCAACCAAAACCGCGGCGATGTTGTGATTCGGCCGTCGTCCAAGGGAACAGACCATCTCGCCGTGACGTGGAAGGTCGCAGATGGCATCTTTCAGCACATCGACGTGCTTGAACTCGACAAGGAGAACGAGTTTGCTTTGGGCAGGACTTTGCGGATTGGAGGACGGTACAACTACTCCGACTTGGACGAGTTGATCGTGTTACACGTCAAGGCCATGGCACGGAAAGTGGACGAGATGTGCGGCAACGAGAAATTCCAGGACAAGTCCAAGGCGGCCCTAGGTAAGTCGATATCAATAACCGCTGTGGCTCATACTGATTTGTTTGTTCCAGAGGAGTGGTTGACCACATACACCAACGCGAATCCCAAACGGTCCATGTATCAGTTCTGCATCAACCGAGAGCGGCCAGGCCAGTTTCATCTGGTGTTCAAGGCCGGGCAGAATGCGAAGTTGATGGACTGGAGCGTCCGAGTGATTCCACAAGGGTTTGAACTGATGAAGCAACCGTATCCCACGATGCGGGATTTGTGCAACGGGTTCAAGCTCATCTTCCAGAACATGCATCAAGCAGCAGCTATGGGTAGGGGAGGGAGAAGATGAACTCCATCTACCGCTAAACCCGTGTCTGGATCACGTCTGCAGCAAGGCAAGGGCTTTGCTGGTCGCCAAATAGCGGCTTTCCGGCAAAAATCATGATGTTCTTCGATGTATTCTATCACAAAAATGCGTTCGGCAAGGGAGCAACGGCGAGGTATCCTATAAGCCTGCGTTAACAATCAAAGTGTCTTACAACGAGTTCCTGTCTTCCATTTGAATCTAGAGCAGTATGCACGAGTCGTACAAGACTCTGTCCACCTTGGACAAATCACCCAACACATCTCTGCCCCTGTATAACGCGCACCAATGAGAACAGAATGATGAGCAGCTCTCTATCATGGGCGGCAAACCGATCCAGACCAAACCAGTGGTCATATCGTGCTATGCTGGTCCTGACAAACAGTCAACACAGCTTGCCCATGTCGATGCAAACTAGGCAGTAATCAAGGGGTTGTCAGCCTCATCAGCCTCGTCGAAGTTCATTTGCGTGTTTGTCTGCTCCACGGTAGTGAATCAAGCCATTCTCGACTTGCACACTGATTGATTGAACTGTCTTCCACCTTTACTATATACGTAGCTAGGTATATAAGGTAGATATACTTACGACTACTACTTAGTAGTGATTGTTGCAAGTGAAAGATGATGTTGGTTGCACTGTGTCTCCGAATTTGTTAACAGTTAGTAGGCACTACTACCACTAGTATAGTAGTATCGAGTATCACAGTCCAATTCTCCACTGACAAGCGATCTCTCCGCAGTCTTCAGCCTCAAGTCCCAATCCTCAAGCCTCACCTTCGTCAACATCCAACAACAACAATGGAATGCCCTTGTGCTTCCTCCCGCAACTTGAGATAGTGCCACTCTTCCCCCTGTGATGCGACTGCGACTGGGACCCGTCGCTCCCTGGCAACATGGCCCATTTCCTGCGCGGCAAGCAGGTCGGCGTCCAGAATGACCTCTCCGTCGGCATCTCGCAGGATGTGTTCATGGTAGACGACGTACGTTCGTGCCCACGCTCACTGATTGCCACGAAGATTGTCGATGTTTGCTGACACACCCCCAATAGTTCGCGCGCTACGGAGTCGACTCACAGATATCGGTGCTTGCCTACGACCCCGTTCAATCCCTGCTGGCCGTCGGCACCAACGAATCCCAGTTCGGCCCTGGCCTCGTCTATGTCTTCGGGCAGAAACGAGTTTGCGTGACCTTCACTCCTCCACGGCGATCCTCCATTCGAGCCCTCCAATTCTGCGCAGACAAACTCATTGTGCTGGATAGCAAGAACGATGTCAGCATCTTCAGCCTCGAGACCAAAAAGATCGTCACTACATACGCACCCCCGGGCCATGTCACGGCCATCCTGACAGACCCCAGCCTGGACTATTGTTTTACTGGACTGCAAAATGGTGCGTGTTCACAATACAGAAACTTGTACCTGTCTACAAATCACTAAGACCTTCCTATAGGCGATATTGTGGCATACGACCTCGATCGAGAAGGCCTCACCCCGTTCAGGATCCCCAACCTCTGGCGAGAGCGGAACGCCAGGGCACGCCTCGTGCCGGTCGTGTGTATGCAGTTCCACCCCAAAGATATTGGCACCTTGCTGGTCGGCTATTCCGAGGGAGCCGTGGTCTACTCCTTCAAGCAAAATAAAGCGACCAAGTTCTTCCAATACGAAGTGCCTCGAGGGGCCCGAGGTGGGGACGGAGATGTGGCTACGGCCGGTCAGTTAAGGCTGCCGCGCCTGACACATGCAGTCTGGCATCCCACGGGCACCTTCATCTTGACCGCCCATGACGATGCGAGTTTGGTATTCTGGGATCCTCGGGATGGGAGGGTCATCCATGCGAGGACCATTGACGACACGGATGTCAACATCCCAGGGCGACCGAGATCCAAAGACGGATCAGCCACCATCGCCTTGAGGCAGCCGTACATTAACATCGCCTGGTGCTCCAAAGTCAATGCCGACGACACCGGCCTCCTCATCGCCGGCGGCTCCCCGACGACCAATCCAACTCGAGGTCTGACATTCATCGACCTAGGCCTAACCCCTGTGTATCAGACTTCGACGTGGGATTCTTTGGCCGCCTATTTCCGAAACCCCAAGAGAATCCACGTTCTACCAACGCCCCCGGCTGCCGATATCATCACCTTCACTCTTGTTCCGCGTTCTTCTCCTCACTACGCCGGCTCTCACGATCCCATCGCCGCTCTAACGGTCCTCTCCTCGGGCGAAATGGTGACCTTGAGTTTCCCCTCCGGCCATCCTATCACGCCGACCAACCAACTGCATATTTCATTATCTTTCGTCCATCCGTTTGTGACAAAACTAGCACTGGCCTTTGTGGACCGGACCCGGTGGTTAGGCATGAGGGAATTGCGTCAGCATGGACCCCGTTTTCTCCTGGGCGGAGCTGAAGGAAACCGACCTCTGAAGAGGTTTGAGAATCGAAACATCGTCCAGGTGGCTCATGCTGATGGAACCATCCGAATCTGGGATGCGGGACATGGCGATGTCATAGAGAACCCTGGTGTCCTCCAAGTCGATCTTGCCAGAGCAGTCGGTAGGTGGGATCTACTGGAAGTCTCGGAAATGAGTATGTCTGGAGCTACAGGAGAATTGTCGGTCGGATTGCGCACTGGTGAAGTCGTCATCTTCAGACTGAATCGAAACCAATTTGCTGGCCAGCCTCCCTTAGATCCCCTACCCAACGAAGGCCCCGGTAAGATGACGGATATCACCGAGCGGGCCGATCCCGGGTTGAAAGAGGGCCTCCTCCCGTTGACCATGGTGAACGACCAGCAAGGTCCAGTGGTCGCTTTGAGGCATTCCGACGTTGGATTCGTGGCCGCCGGATATGCTGGAGGGGGCATCACTATCATCGATCTGCGTGGACCCGCCATCATCTACACGGTCTTACTCGGTGAGCTGGTCGGCGGCAAACACCGCAAAGGCAATCTGAAGCGTACGAGCACAGGCACCACCCAGTCTACGGAATATGCCACCGCCATGGACTTTGGGATCATGACACTGGAAGGCGATGGTAAGTTCTTCACAATAAGACAATAACGGTTCCGTTTGACTGACCCCCTACAGATTATTCGTCTTTGGCACTCTTTGTTGGGACATCTCACGGTCGAGTTGCCACGTTCAAGATCCTCCCATCTCCAACCGGGCGGTACACTGCGCAACAAGCCGGTGTGATCCAATTGTCAGACAGCCGCGTCGTCTCTGTTTCGCCGATCGATGCCCACACCGGATCGCCCGCGGCAGCCACCGGACCAGGAATGGCAGGGTTGCAGACCGGACGCAAAGTCGACGGGGTGTTGGTGGCAGCCACCGTGTCGTCCGCCCACATCTTCCGGCCGGCCCATTCCAAAGGCGCATCCAAGACCTTCGACCACTACCTGTGCGACTCGGCGCGGGTGGCGCGCTACGAAGATCGAGGCCATGCACTCGTAGGGCTGTTTGGAGACGGAGTCGCGCGCGCCTTCTCCATCCCGGCCCTCAAGGAGATTGCGCATGCGCGAGTCAACCATATCCTCGACACCAAGCGATTCGGCGAAGCAATCATCACCCCGACCGGCGACGTGCTGGGCTGGGTCGGGCCCAGCGAGGTAGCCATAATTAACGTCTTTGGCGCCGACCTGCCGTTGCCCGCCAGCACGGACCAGCTATTCGACGGCACGAAAATGGTGCCCCCGCGCCCGACGATTAGCAATCTCCAGTGGATCGCGGGCACACAGTACATCACGCCGTCCGACATGGACGTGCTGATCGGCGGACCGGACCGCCCGCCTTCGAAGCGCATGATGGCCGAAATGCGCGCCGCCCAGGAGGCCGAGTTCCAGAGACAGCGTGAGGCCGCCCGCACCGGTCGCCCCGCGGCCAAGGACCCGAGTCAGGAGAGTTACTGGGAGTACATGCAGCGGCAGTTGGCCGAGAGGACCGAAGCCCTCGGTCTGGCCGGCGACAGTATGGACCGGGCCGCCGAGTCGAGTAACTCGTGGAGCGATGGCGTCAGTAAATTCGTCGCCAAGCAGAAGCGACAAGCTGCGCTGGGCTATCTGGGTTCGAAATTCGGGTTATGAGGCCTTGATTTTGGTTCGAGTGAGCGACATTGATACAATTTTCTGGGATCCTGCATGTCATTGGCAAGACCAAGGACAAAACCGAGACGGTGTTGATGCTTTCTCAAACAAATGCCGTACAGCAGACAGCAGTGGTTATGTTCAGATGATTTGAATGAATCGGGAAGGCGGACGTTTGTCTCACTCTTGACATGGCGAGGCAACGCAACGGCTGAGAAGAAGGTGTTTATTACATGTAGTCCTAGGCTTGGATGTTCTGTAGAGTTCTCAAGGGTGGATGGATGGTTGAACCCAACGGTCATGAACCAGTCATCTATGTCATGTATGCCACTGATTGACTGCCTTGCCTTGCCTGTCTTCCTGTCCGCCTGCTCTATCTAAACTGCCTGTCTACCTGTCTACCTGTCTATGGTTTAGACACCTTGAACCTCTAAGTATTCTGTATTCCATCCATACGACACGCCCTCTTTACTATATATCTCTAGCTAGATATATATATATATCTGGATATACGTAAATACCCCTGCGCAGTCTCGTCTCGTCGATTTCATTTCATTTTACCGGTCTCAGTTCTCAGTTTTATTCATCGCCGTGCTTCGTCAAGAGACATGACACGATGCGTCCTGATAGCGAAAGCGAATGTGAAAGGGAAAGTAGTGTAAATAATTAACAGATTATTTTTCCGAAAATCGAGAGTCGTCCAAGAATTATCATTAGTTCCCCCTGAATCGAGCTCAGCCTTGCGAGAAATACTAGTTATTTAGTAGTACATAGGCACCCCCCCCCCCCCCCCCCCAAAACTCTCATTTCTCCTGGAGACATCGTCCCTAAATTGTCCTTAACATATCCTCTTACATCTCCTCTTGGCTCTCCTCTACCATTCTGCCTAACATCTGCTCTTAGATCGATCTCCTCTCCTCCTCAGGAAACGAACAATGAATGAGAAGACAAAAAACAAACAAACAGACGAACAAACGATCAACAAACAGAACTCATGAGTTCACCACGGTGGGCTTCCGTCCTATCTGTCCCTTCTTCAATTAGTATCTCTCCCTTTCTGTCTTTTCTTTGAATCGAACGAATCGTCATCACCACCACTGTCGAGAGACTTGGAAGTCGCTATTTCTTCTTCTTCGTTGCAGCTTTCTTCACCGGAGTTTTCTTCACGGGAGCTTTCTTCACAGGCGCTTTCTTTACAGGAAATTTCTTCACAGGAGCTTTCTTCGCAGGAGTCTTCTTCATAGTTTTTGCTTTTGCTTTTGCTTTTCCCGCTGTTGTTCTTGTCGTCTTGGCCTTGGTCTTCGCAGCACCAGCACCAGCACCAGTAGCAGCCTTCTTAACCGGCGCCTTCTTTGCGGTGGGTTTGGCATTGGTAGCAGCTTGAACCGCTTTCTTCGCAACAACCTTCTTCTTAGCCGCCGCTGGTTTCGCTGTCGTTGCTTTCTTGATTCCAGCGGCTTGGGCCTTGACACCTCCGGTTGTTGTTGTCGTCTTCTTCTTCGACGCACCGCCTGTAGTATTGGAAGTCTGTCCCCTTTTGCGAGCACCGCCTGGTCTATTCAGTGCTCTTTGCTGGCTGGGGAGAATGCCGGGAGAATAGCGGTCCGGTGGTCGGCGAGTGCGTTGGGGCCGGGTGCTGGTGTTGGTTATTGGGATTGGGGCCGGTCTTGGTTTCGCTTTCGCTTTCTTGCTGATATTGGCTTTGGTTTTCGCTGTAGTTGCTGTAGTGTTGGTCGTGGGGTTTTGGACACTTGTAGAAGGAACCGGGTTGTTGAGGTTGCTATTCCCAGCACTTGCCTTGCTGGTGCCAGTACTATTGCCAGTACTGTTACTCTTACTGCCGCTACCGCTGCCGTTCTTGTTCCCCGATCTGTTACTGCCGCTGCTGCTGCCGTTGTAGGTGCCCACACTGTTCATGTTGACGTTCCCGGAACCGGCACCGGTACTGTTGCTGCTGCTCCTGCCATACGTCCATTGAGGCAAATTCTGGAGTTGAGCACGTCTCTGCTCTGCACTGCTGCCTGACGAGCTGATGCTCTCTTGTTTAGCTTTGGCTAAAGCCGAAGCCGAGGAGGAGGAAGCGGAGCCACTCTGCTGACGACCAGATACAGGCAGACCCGCAGACCCAGACCCAGACCGAGACGCAGGTGCAGACATGTCCGAAGCCGTAATCGTACGTCCCGGTGAGACGGTGCTTCCCCTACCAGTTGCAAATCCACGAGACGGCGATCCCGCATGGGGGACGAAGCGGGGGATGTTGTTGTCGCTCCCGTTCAGCGCGGGTGTTTGGACTCGAAAGCTGCTGCTACCGCTGCTGCCGCCGCCGCCGTTTCTGGCGGGACTGGGATGCTGGGGAGGAACACTGGCTCTCTGTGTGTGCGCAACACAATGCAATTCAACCATCAGTGACAACACCGGACAAAATGGGCTTGGAGCATTGATTGCATAGATGTGTCTGTTGCGATCGAAATGGGAAATACTCCAGAGATAGACTCACTCCTGATCCGGAAATCGTGCCGTAACGTAGCACCCAGTTCAATGCTTTTGCGTTCTTCTCTGGAATTCTCGCTGGATGCGCACCGTGAAATCAGACAGAGAGCAGTGGTGGCTGTATGCTAAACTGTTTCGCGAATGAATCGAGCAGTGCAAAATAGTGCTGACAATGAGAGCAAGTCAACAGAAAAGCACCCATGCGCCAAGACAGAGCAGAGGTGCCTTGATTGCCTTTGACACGATGATACACCGTACCAGCTACAAGAGTCCGGGGTCGATATGAACCTGCAGCACGGAGGTGGATAAATGGGATGGGATCTCAAGTAAGGTATGTAAACACTGCGCATAGTAAACATCGACAAGCGACAATGGAAATTGGACAAAGTTTGGTCGAGATGATCAAGGAATGTGATGGCAGGCATTGCAGGAGGGAAAAGAAGATTGAGCATTCCTGAAATCCTTGACTGTCTCCTGGATCGCGGTAACCAGGTCAACACCAAATTCATGTATTTCATTAGCGTCTTCAGAAGGAAGTGCACCAGTCCTTCCAGACTTCTGATAAGTCTTTGCGAAAACAATACTCGAGGGGATAAACCAAGGCACAACAATAAAAATATTTATACAATAAATATATGTCTCGTCAGATCGAGCGTCGTTATGTCGTAGAACTCGGCTTCGTGCGTCAATGTAGTATTAGTTATAAGGGTTCTTCGTTCAAAGTCGAGATGATATAGTCGCAGATAGTGCAAGATGGTTCCAGCTTTATTTGCAGAAGCCCCTCGTGCCCGAGGCGTACGTTGCGGATTGCACTCTTGAATGGCGGTATCAAATGCTTCTCCTCATCATTCACCAAGTGTCGAGCTATCAACACTTCGCAGTTTGGCCGCCAGTGTGGTGTCATAGAAGTTGTAGTAGGGGTCTGGAACGCAAAAGGTCGAGTGTCGAAGGAGAGTATCAGCGGTTGGGCGATCGGCGGGATTGCTAGAAGACTTGTTAGCACGCAAGCTAGACAACGGTTTCAATCAGGAAGATTGTACTCACACTTGGAAACAGTCGTACATAAAGTTCAGCCCATCCACAGTGGCCGTGGACTGCACATCTTCCGGGATGGGTGGTGCTTGACTCAGACTGCCCAGCTTGAAAATGGCACCAATGGCCTCTTCGCGACTCCAAGGTCTCTTGCCGGCAAACATCTCCAACACTACACATCCCAGTGACCAGATGTCGACTTTCGCACTGTAGCCTTGACCTTGAGAACGCACCACTTCAGGGGCCATCCAGAAAACAGACCCTTGCATGCTGTTGGTCACGTCGTTGCCGTAGATGTTGTCCGACTTCTTGGAAATTCCAAAGTCGGAGATCTTGCAGGTGCCGTCTAGATCCAAAAGAATATTGTCCGCTTTGAGATCGCGATGGAGAATACCCTCATGGTGGAGATACGCCAACCCTTCCAGAGTCTGTCGAGTAAGGGATCGAACCACCGCCTCCTCGAATTTGCCGTGTTTGCGAAGACAACTGCCAATGGAGCCACCGGGGATATACTCGAGGTAGATGCTGATCGAGAACTCTCTACGTTCACAACCAAGGTATTGGACAATGTTGGGATGTTCCAGATGCTGCATCGTGTCGATTTCTTGGTCCAAAGCCGCCACCATTTCCTTGATGCGATCTTTATCCTGTCCGGCAGACTTCTGGTTGACTTCGACCTGTTTCACCGCCAGAAACTCACCGGTGGTCGCGTTCATGCCAAGGTACACCCGGCCATAGGTGCCTTTCCCAATCAATTGACCCCGGATGATCTTGAATGTCGCCTGGCGCTTGGGCATATCTTCCGACGGGACCTCTTCCTGCGGAATGGGATCCAAGGTTGAAAGACGATTGCCTGGCTTGGGTTTGATTTGAACAATATTGGCCCCAAACATCTTGGTACTCTTCCGCCGAACAATGCTGCTGGAATTGGCTTGTTCCACCCGTGCAGCAACCGAAGGGCCTCTTCTGATGTCGTTTCGCTTCTGAGCCACTTCACGAATGGATTTCATTCGCGTGATTCCACCAGACGCTTTCCCAACCTGTCTCTCCGCCACACTGGCCACCTTTTCTCGATCTTTTGCCTTGAGGGTTGATTCATCCGAGCCCAGTGTATCTGATTCGCTCTTCCGGTTGAAGTTAAGATCCAGCCCTCCGGTCCCAAAGGTCATACCACCTGATCGAGCAACCTGGAGGCTATCAAGGGGGTCGTAGTCGGCGGACTTCATTGGTGAGCTATTGTCGCCCTTTTCTTCAAGATATGGTTTGTCAAGATCGACGCCAGGGAAGAACTCGTCGAGGTGATGCACGACATTCTCTACGGCAGGTCGATTCGCCCAAATATCACTGACAAAGGATTCTCTTCTGCCCATCCGGTCATCCGGAGACCGTGCTGAACCACTGAAACTGCCCTCTGAGAGACTACGTTCATAGCCCTCTCCGCTGGCCGTGGCACTATCGTCTCCTGGATTGGGAATGCCCGACATCTCACTGGACGAGCCGGGCGATTTGAACCGAACGTTCTTGGCTACGTTCTGGTCAGTGTCCACAGTCAGGGCGGGTCTTTGGTCCTTTGTGCAATGGACACTGCTTTGGCCCTCGCTCTTGGGCATGGATTTATTCCCAAGTGGAATGGCGAAGAGGCCATCGTCCGAGTCATCATCCGAGTCATCTTTCTTAGCCGGGATTGGTGAAGGCGCGAATGTTATATGCGTTTCCTGGAAGTCATAATCTGGACCATATGACTTCCTGGTCTGAAGCCCGGGTCGAGGTGCGTTCTCCGTCGAAGGACTGATACTGGGAGAAGGAGGGCCATATTGTCGGCTGTTGTCTAAGGCGGTGTTCCGTGGCCGAGTGCCATATTGTGGCACGCCGAACCCTTCTTCATGATTAGGATATTTGGACAGCGTATACCCTTTGGCTGCAGTAAAACGGGGACGATCCGCCATACCTGTGTTGCCGCCTTTTTGATCCGAGTCGGCTGAATGCATGCCTCGATCCCTCTCAGACTGCAAGCCCTGACTCCCCACGGCTGCAGGAGCACCTGCCATTTTGCCCACGTTTGCTAAAGCCGCACCAATCCCACCGGATGCAATGGAGCCAGTATCGGTCCTCTTCTTCCCACGGTCTGCTTTCTCTTCGGCAATCGGATCGGATATTCGCTTCAGGGCATCCACGGAGGACCTCGTGCCTGAGTTCTTTGCCCGCAGGGAGTTGACTTTGGTCAGTGTACTGGACTCAGACGGCGCCGTGGGCGGCCGTCGAACGGGAACAAGAGTGTCGACCTTCTTGTCCTCGAATGGAGACAGGCGCGGTGTATCAAAGTCTATGACGGTACTGCCGCGAATACCGCTGCCATTGTAGGTAGAGCTCTGCTCTTTCTGTCCACGCCGAGTGTCCAAGTAAGCTCGGTGCTTGGCCTCTGTATGTCGTCGATACTCTTCCTGCTTCTGAAGCAAGTCGACATTTGCCATCGGCTGTTCGGTGCCCGACGATGTATTCACAGAGTAGCCAGTACGGTCCACTCCGCCAGCCGAGTTGGATTTGACCATAGGAGCACCTCGTGAAGTAGCCTCAGCTTGAAGCCCATGATTGAATGAGACTCCAAGCCCGGTCGACTGACCTGCAGGTCCTGAGACCGCGGATAGGGTTGGACTCTGCACATACAACTTCAGACTGCCCGAGTTGTCGGTCCGACTGCGAATAGAAACCAGCATGTTGTCCGACAGCGGATTTTCGTGCTCAGTCCGGCCGGGTTCTGTGACGAAGATTTGGGCGTACTCAGCGTCCGGAATGCCTAGTTCGATACATATCAGGCTACGCAACGCAACGGCGCTTTCCACCTCTGTGACATCAACAAGCCGGTAATTCCAACCATCCGGGGTCACGAAAATGTACCTTCGGGACATAGATTGGGTCCGCCGGACTGGGGGTGGTCTTTCATCTTCACTTGTCACACTCGTGGAAGAAGGGCGTAGGGGCAAGGCCGATTCACTACCATTTGCGCTTGGTTTCGACAACAGCCGGAAACCACCGGGGCTAGTGGGTGATTCGAGAGCATGATCGTCGGGATGCGGTTGATTGTGCTCATGGCGTTTCCTCATGAACTTGCTCAAGAATCCCTTACTCTGATCCTTTCCGCCGGGGCCTGGTGTATACTCGTTACTCCAGGTTCGATGAGTCTCGACCGGCGATGGTCTCGCCGTTTCCTGTGCATCACGGCGATCTGCGTAAAAGCGGCCTGCGAACGACCCGTCTGTGTTCCCAACCGCTACGTTCCTGCCGGTGTCGACGCTGGGTTGAGTACTGGTATTCGATCGGGGATGGCCAGTTATCTTAAGCAAGGAATCCGTGCTGTTGCTTTTGCTATGTTCAGGCCGGTGTGTCAGAGAGGTACCGCTCGCAGATGAGGCTGGAACAGCAGTTCCCAGGCCGGGGCTAGCATGGGGAGAAGCTTCGAACCCTTTTGCAGCCAAGCCCGAAGCGGTGTCGCCGGACATGTTAGGGCTATGGCGACCACGGCTGTTGATACCTGTCAGGACATTTCTTGTGTAATCCGCGCGGCCACTGCCATGAAGGCTGTCTGTCGGTTTGGCGTCACTAGGAGTTGAGGAGCTGCTGCTATGTTTGCTCAGGACTGGCATTGTGCTACTTCGCGACTGGGAAGTGCGTGGACCCAATCCTGCCGGGAAAAGCGCCGGCATTTGTTTTCCTGGGCTCCCCTCCGAACCGGCCGTGCCAGGGGTACTACCAAACTCCGATCTAGGGAGGTGAGGTGAGTTCTCCACGGTCCCATCCGTCGATGCACTTGGGAGAAGACCGGATTCTCGTCTGCGGTGACCATGTCCAGCGCTGGATGGCCCCTCACCGCCTTGCTCGACGAGGCGCGATATGAGTTTTCGCAGTCTCTTGCCTTCATCGCGCTCCCGTGATTGATCCCAGCCAGTACTGCTGCTGGAGCAAACCTTTGCGAGCTGTGGGTAGATTGTCTGGTGCAGCATGCCCAAGTTACCACGGCCATTAGGCCCACGACCGAGGTCGAGGAACTCGGAACCCTGTAGCTTCAGGATCCGGAACGTTTCCTGCCAATCATTCGAGAATCCATTGGCGGCCAACCATACGAGCACACGGTCCAAGGGCCATTGTGATGCCATCTCGCTTGCATTTCCACTGGTGACAGCAGCACTATACGCTCGCTGCCGACTTTGCTCACTAATCGCCTGGGGATTTTGGAGTGTTGCAGTTGGGGGCCCTGGAGAGATTGGTTCGTTGACGTCCCGCACAGGGAGGTTGAAAGGCGGTCGGGAGGAAGAGGCCGAAGCCGCACGCGATTCTCGATTCGCAATGTCCAGGTTCGGCTGGGAAGGATTCGGGTAAGAATAACTATGTGAATTGGTAGTACCGTCTGAATACTTCTGATCTGGATGTGAGGGCGGAGGTTCGGAGCTGAACTGTGCCTCATACCGGGAGTATGATGAATAGTCATCGAGTGGAGGAATCCCTACTCCAGGGCCGAAAGAATCCCCGGTGGGTATGAACGTCGCCGAAAGAATAGGTTTGTCGTTCTGCGGAGGCGGGGGAGGGAGGTTCATATGAGGTGTCTGCCGCATCCCGTACGGGTGATGCTGATTTTGTGATTGATTGTGATTGAAAGGGGGAGGGGGAGGCGGAAGGCCTTGACCCATGCCACTTCTTCCCCATGGTTGCTGCCATCCACCTCCTGGCAGTCCAAACACTGTTCCCAAAGGCAGAGCTGAAGGATGAGGGCCCGGTGGTGGCGGAGGGAGGTTTGAGGGCGGATAAGGTCGAGGCGGAGGCGGAGGAAGGTGACCTAGGTTTCCCTGGCTCGGGGGCGGAGGAGGTCCGGGGATATATTGTGGACGTTGGTTATCCATGATCTCTCTGTTGGAGACCATGTTCCCAGACACCTAATATCATCCAGTCCAACTGTTGTCGCTGTCGCTGGTTCAACACGTTGCGTGGTTGCAAAAGGGTGGAATGCTGGCATTAATATTGAAACCCAACATATTTTTTGTATATTATCCAACCACCTGCGGGCCCAAGCAGATCAACCGTATTTTGCGTAGTAGGGAGAGATTGACGCTGGCTTCGGACAATTTCTAGCGCTCGCCAGCATAAAGGGGAAAGAGCAAGTCTGCCTTGCCGACGCGATAGATCAAAGGCGCATGGTTGTAAAGGGTTGTCGGTAGACCCTTGGAGCGGGCACGGAGGCTGTTGGATCGCAATGGACGGGGAAAGTAGTTGCAGCTACTCGAGCAAGTCAGGTAGGATGCAGGCAAGGATGTCGCACTGATGCTCGAGGTGAGCAGACAGCGCAATCGTTGAGGTTCGAAGTAGGGCGGTGGGTGCAAGGAGTCCTAACAACGGCGTGGTGGAAGTACTTGACTTTGTTTCTGCCTGAGGCGGAGAAGGTTGACTGACTGTTGTGCTGTGCCCTAGTAGGGTCAGTCATAGTACGTAGTCAGTGCCTTAGGTGCCTATAGCTAGCTGCCTACCTCAGAGTTAACTGTACCTAATACTGATTGATCCAATAGGAGGCCTAGAATAAGCGCGTAGCGAGGGGTTCCCTAGGGTGTCTTAAGGCACTTGATGACAGTATCCGTCATCGCCGATAAAGGCCAGATTAGATAAGAATAGGCGTCCTAGGCCCCCTGCCAGTGGCAGAATAACTGGCAGCTGCGGTATTTATAGGCCTGCTGTAGATGCTGGAACTGCACTGCAATGCACCACTGCATCATGCATATCAGAGGTCAATAGCAGTACAGAGTAGACTGGCATTAGGAATGGACTGTATGAGCCTCGTCCATCAGATCCGATCTACAAGAGTGTAGGTACTAACCACCCAGTGACCCTCCCAAGGCACCGTCCCCCATAGTCGTCGATCCATCATTACCTATACTTTGCTCACTCAGTGATCTACGATGATCAAATCCACCTAGTTAGCTGTCAACCTCCACCATCCCACCAGACATCACACCACACATGCACTTCGCGATGATTGTCTTGCGCGTGGCATGCTCTGTGCAGCTTGAGCTTCGCTCCTTCGGTACATAGTTCTACTCTGTATCCATATTAATATATTGCTTAAATATATGCCTCTTACTCACGTCCGGACCCTCCTCCGACTCCGCCGCCGCAACGTGATGACGTTGAGTTGGTGCTGTCCATAGATTTACTTAAGTTCTTGAAGCTACTCCCTACTATTACCTTTCCCTTCCGATCGCTCTCTATCTTTCTTTGTCTTTGTGACCATACCTAAGATTCGATCCTCTCAAACAAACATGACTAGTCAATCCGATATTCGAGCAGCAGAGCTCCGCGAGCCTATTGACGTCGTCACTTATCTCTTTACCAGACTCAAGCAATTAGGGATCGATTCGGTCCACGGTGTGCCCGGCGACTTCAATTTGGTCGCTCTCGACTACCTCGAGCCCTGTGGGTTGAAATGGGTGGGCAATGCCAATGAACTGAATGCTGGCTACGCGGCCGACGGGTACGCTCGTGTCAAAGGCATCTCAGCCGTCATAACCACCTTCGGCGTGGGCGAATTGTCCCTACCCAACGCAATTGCGGGAGCGTGAGTCCATCTTTCTCCGGGTATCATCCGATGGCAATGATGGCTGACTTGCTGTAGCTACGCCGAGTTCGTGCCTGTCGTCCACATCGTGGGAACCCCGAGCACCCTCTCTCAAGCGAACGGAATGTTGCTTCACCATACCCTTGGTAATGGCAACTTCCAAGTGTTTGCCGATATAGCTTCACGTCTTGCCGTGGATGTCGCCAAACTGAACAATCCTCGAGACATTCCTTCCCAGATTGACCAAGCCCTCCGCATTTGCTACCTCCAGAGCCGACCGGTCTACATCACGTTGCCTACAGATATGGTGACGAAGAAAGTTGAGGGTGAAAGACTGAAAACGAAGCTCGATCTGAGCCCCTACAAGAACGACCCGGAGAAGGAGGACTATGTGGTGGATGTCGTTCTGAAATACCTGACGCAGGCCAAGAACCCGGTCATCTTGGTCGATAGCTGCGCCATTCGTCACCGGGTGCTAGAAGAGACACACGAGTTCATCGAGAAATCCGGGCTTCCAGTGTTCGTGGCACCTATGGGTAAAGGTGCTGTCGACGAAACCATGCCGACCTTTGGTGGTATCTATGCCGGGGCTGGCTCGAACCCTGGAGTCCAAGAACGGGTCGAGGGGTCCGATCTCCTCCTGACCATCGGAAGTGTCAAGTCCGATTTCAACACGGCCGGCTTCACGTACAGAACTTCACAGCTCAAGACAATCGACTTTCACAGCACCTATATACGGGTTCGGTATTCCGAATATCCTGGTGTTGGCATGAAGGGCGTCTTGCGCAAACTCATTGACAGACTGCCCAAACTCAACATTGAGCCAGGCCCGACACCCCCCCAGAACCTGATTCCCAAGGAAGAAGACGCAAGCGACCCGACCGTGACTCACGGTTGGTTCTGGCCTCGCATGGGTCAGTGGCTGCAAGAAGGCGACATCGTGCTCACCGAGACCGGAACTTCCAACTATGGCATTTTCAACACTCGATTCCCCAAGAACGTGACCAACATCAGCCAGATTCTGTGGGGAAGCATCGGGTACGCCACGGGTTCGTGCCAAGGAGTAGCACTCGCCGCCCGAGAGATTGGTGGCAAGCACCGGACCATCCTCTTCACCGGAGACGGAAGTTTCCAACTCACCGCACAAGAACTCAGCACGATGATCCGGCACAAGCTCAATCCCATCATCTTCATTGTCTGCAACGATGGCTACACGATTGAGCGTTTCATCCACGGCATGGATGCTTCGTACAACGACATCCAGAACTGGAGGTACAGAGACCTTCCCGCCGCCTTTGGGGCCAAAGAAGGAACCTACAAGACGTACCAGGTCAAGACAAAGGATGAGGTCAACGCCTTGTTCCAAGACGAGAACTTCTCCAAAGCCCCCTATCTGCAGTTGGTTGAACTTCACATGCCCAAAAAGGATGCTCCTGCTGCCCTGAAGTTGACAGCAGAAGCCAGTGCGCGGAACAATGCCAAATCATGATCGGAGAGCACCGACGCATCTCTGCCACAAAGAACGCCGCTCATACATCGAGGGTGAGCGAGAATGATGGATGACATAGACTAGATGAATTCTTAATAATTGTTCAACTTGCGATCCTCACGTAGCTGGATCAGCTGTGAATGCCAGATGTGACATTTGTTGTATGACGAGTATCTAACTGACAATACAAGAGTGATATGGCTGTGTATATTGTCGTAATATACGTACCTAATATGGTGGAAATACGAGACGGATTGTGCAGCCGAACCTCGCTTACTCCTGCCTTGCCTTCTAAGTACTGCCGCCTTAATGTCACGTGGCACCCCCATGCCCCTACTCCCGATGTAGTAGTAGATACCTGTAGTCTGCAGTACCAGTAGTAGAAACCCCCATGGCCATGCCATTGTCTCACGCTTCCCCGGTCCAGTAACAAATGCATTCCAAGGCCTCGAGATACAGTCACCGATTCTGAATGATGGCCAATCCCGCTTTGACGCGTTTTCAAAGATCAATAGACGTATAAGACAGAGTGCTTCACAATGTCGGACCTACCATGCACCACCTATCTTGCTGGCTTGCGGATTCGTCTTCCTCGACAAAGCCATTCCTCCATCAGGTGAGCCATCGTTGCCTGAACCTGTGACTCCTGCGGTCGACATCAAACGACTCTACTCTTGTCCTCAGGCTGTGAACCAGATGCATCGCAGATCACGCCTCAACTAGGACGGTCTGTTTGACCGCGCACACTGGTGCCCAACACCCTGCCCCCAACCGCAGCCGCAGTCGCAGCCCCATCGCCTAGCGACGAGGCAGTCGTCCCTCCAAGATGGCGAGTCTTGACCCTCCTCCCAAGAAGACTGGCGGTCGCAAGCTCCAAAAACGCAATCCAAACCTCAACCGCCTTCCCTCCTCCCACATTCCCAGTCGCCTCCGCCTGGGTCCTGACGCTCAAGACGACGTGACTGCTCCAAGCAGAGGCAGAAATGCTCCAGCTGCATACATGAATCAGTCCATCTTCTCCATGATTGCGGCGGCGGGGTCGCGGACAGACTTCAATGCCAGATTCAACGATTCGAGCGAGAGTGAAGATGAGATTGCCGAGGAAGAACAAACAACAGCCCCGGGAGACAGACCGGAAGCGAGTACTTCGGCGCCCGTAAAGAACGAGCCAGCGAAAGAAGAGGATACACAAAGTGAGCCTACAGACCAACGATCGCCTGGACACCGGATAGTGCGGTCTCTTCCGCGGCTGTCTGCCAGGGCTTTAAAACGCAAGGACAAGGACCGGCCTTCCCAACAGAGTGGCAGTCCCGACAGCGATAAAACCTCGGAATCCTCCCGGAGTAATCCTCGGGATGCGCCCGTTTTAAGTCGACTACTCAGTGCAGAAGCGGAATTCCAAGAGAGTGGCGGCAATGACACGCAGAGGGAGCCTGGGTCAGACGCCCAGCAACCCAGAACGAGGGCCGAATCATCACCTCAAACACTTTTGGCTGCAAGATTGATGGATATCTTTGGGTTTGACAAGCCAGAAACAGTCCTGGCGGAATATCCGTGCTGGTTGCTACAGAGTGTCCTACTACAGGGCTATTTGTATATCACCAAACAGCACCTCTGCTTTTACGCCTATCTTCCGAAGAAATCGCACACTGTCGCCAAGAACGGGTACCTCGCAAAGAAAGGTCGGACCAATTCCAAGTACAAGAGATACTGGTTCTCATTGAAAGGGGACGTCCTTTCATACTACACCGACCCATCCAACCTGTATTTCCCTTCGGGGAACATAGACCTCACGTTCGGCATCTCTGCTGCTCTCTCCACTGAGAAGGGCAAACGCAAGGAGTGCAGGGACTTCTCCGTGACGACAGACCACCGCACATACCACTTCCGTGCCGACAGTCCTTCAAGCGCCAAAGAATGGGTGCAGGCCTTGCAGAAGACCATCTTCCGATCTCACAATGATGGAGACAGTGTGAAGATATCTTTGCCGGTGGAGAATATCATCGACTTCGAAGAAAGTCCTGTTGTGGATTTTGCCGAGACAGTTAAGATCAGAGTGATCGAAAGCGAAGATTCCTATGCCATTGACGAGGTAAGTAGACCCCTGGGTAGCTGGACCGACAGAAACTAACCCGGTACAGTACTTCTTTTCTTTCTTCAGTTTCGGCCAGGATGCACTCCACGTCTTGGGCGAGTTACTCACCGAAGCGCCTGCAAGAAGGAGATCGGAAGATGTGTTCTCGCCAATAAGACGAGCCGAGAGTCCGTCCAGCCCCCAAAGTAGGCCAGCTGAACTCGGGCCTGGGAGTCCTGGACGCCCTTCGACTCCGGTTTTGAAGGACAGCATCAGAGCAACCTTGCTACCGTTTTCCCCTGGTGGTGATGGCAGAATGTCCCCCAGAAAGAGTGGGGAGCTGAGCCGTGGAGCTAGTCCGTCGCGATCAAGTGGCGAGCTTCCGCGTGAATATGGTCGAGCCAGCTTTGAACGGGGCCGCAGAAGTGGAAGTACCAGTCGTCTTGAGGTGAGCGCCTCTCGACGCAATGGCAGGTCCCCCCTTGCGAGGCATCACGATTCCGAAGATTCCTATGTCCCCTCCATCGACAAAGAGACGGATTCATCCACAGCACCATTATCGCCGAGAGTGGAAGCCCAAATGTCTGCTAGCCAGATCCTGACTCGCAGCGATGTGTTTCATTCTCGACCGGCCAATCGAATGGAGACATTGGCTTCGGTCTCCACGGAGCCTACGCGAACATCTTCGGACGGTGGCACCATTCTTTCCAGTTCACCACACCGGGAGGCAGCCTCGCCTAGGGCGGTGCGAGGCATGGCTGACGTGACCGGACATTCTCCGCGAGGCGCTCGAGCACCAGTGCACAACGAAGCCACATTCCCCGACAACGACAAGAAAGTGGGCAAAGATGACCCGTCACCCGCGCTCCAGGATCTGGTCAAAGCAGGGACGTATCCTCTTCAACGTGCAGGTGCCTTTGCCTATTATCTCAAAAATCGATCCGTGTCGATGAGGAAGCTGTTGGCAGAGGAATCCATGTCGTATCTGGAGAAGGTATCGGGGATGTGGGCCGGTGGCAGAAAGCACTACGGGGAGAACGAAGGAATCGTGCCTGAGGATCGGGGTATCGACCCGGAGGATGAAGAAGCCAACGTGGGCCACGGTGATCGATTTCGTGCACATTTCGCCTTGCCTCCCACCGAGAGATTGCAGGCGACCTACTTTGGCTTCCTACACCGTGTGCTGCCGTTATATGGTAAGATCTACATCAGCAACCGGAAATTCTGCTTTCGGAGTCTCCTTCCTGGTACACGCACGAAACTGGTCCTGCCCTTGAAGGACATTGAGAATGTGGACAAGGAGAAGGGGTTCCGTTTCGGGTACCACGGCCTGGTGCTGGTCATCCGTGGCCACGAAGAATTATTCTTCGAGTTCAGCTCGGCGGAGCATCGAGACGACTGCACGGTCACACTCTTACACAGCTTGGAGACTGTTCGATACATGGCCGAGTCTGGACTGCTTGGACAGCAAGACGAGGACGATGCAGAGGCCGCCAGAGAAGAACACCGCATGCTTCAGGAAGCCCGCCGCAACTCGGGTGGAGAGCATCAACTTGTGCTGCCCGACACTGCGGAAGCGATCTACAGTCACGCCGAAACTTCAGCTGCTTCGATGGGTGACCCCGGTGCCTCGATCATCAACTTCCGCCCAAGTGCGCCAATGCGAATTACGTGTCTCACGATCGGCTCCCGAGGGGACGTGCAACCCTACATTGCTCTGTGCAAAGGCTTGTTGGCCGAAGGGCACCGACCGCGAATTGCAACGCACGCGGAGTTTGGCCCTTGGGTCCAAAAGCATGGCATTGACTTCCGGCCGGTGGAGGGCGATCCTGCGGAGTTGATGAGGATCTGCGTGGAGAATGGCATGTTCACTTACTCCTTTCTACGGGAAGCCTCGGTCAAGTTCCGCAGCTGGATCGACCAACTACTCACATCAGCGTGGCGGGCGTGTCAAGACAGCGACCTGCTGATCGAGTCACCGAGTGCGATGGCAGGCATCCATATCGCCGAGGCCCTTGGAATTCCGTATTTCCGGGCCTTCACGATGCCGTGGACTCGGACGCGAGCGTATCCTCATGCGTTCGCGGTGCCGGAGCACAAGATCGGCGGGGCTTACAATTACTACTCGTATGTCATGTTTGACAACGTGTTCTGGAAGGCGATTGCGGGACAGGTCAACCGGTGGCGCAAGAAGGAACTGGGCCTGCGCAGCACCAACCTGGACAAGATGCAGCCCAACAAGGTGCCCTTCTTGTACAACTTCTCGCCTCATGTGGTGGTACCGCCCCTGGACTACAGCGACTGGGTGCGCGTGACGGGATACTGGTTCTTGGACGAAGCGCAAGACTGGCAGCCCACCGAAGAACTGACGGCGTTCATCCGGAAAGCTCGGGACGACGGGAAGAAGCTGGTGTACATCGGCTTCGGGTCGATTGTGGTGTCCGACCCTGCCGCACTGACCAAAACCGTGGTCGAGTCGGTGATGAAGGCGGATGTGCGGTGCATCCTGTCCAAGGGCTGGAGTGACCGACTGGGTGACCCGACGAGGGCGGTCAAGGCGGAAGTCCCGCTCCCGGCGGAGATCTTCCAGATCAAGTCTGCACCACATGACTGGTTGTTCCGACAGATTGACGCCGCGGTGCACCACGGAGGCGCCGGGACCACTGGGGCCAGTCTGCGGGCTGGTGTGCCGACCGTGATCAAGCCGTTCTTTGGCGACCAGTTCTTTTTCGGATCGCGCGTCGAGGATCTGGGCGTGGGGATCTGTCTGAAGAAGGTCAACGTCAGCTTGTTCTCGCGCGCCCTATGGGAAGCGACGCACTCGGAGCGAATGATTGTCAAGGCACGACTACTCGGCGAGCAAATCCGGAAGGTGAGTTTGACCTTTTCTCCCCCCTTGCGCACTTTGCCGCGTCAAACCATGCAAGGAGTCTATTTCCGTTTGTTTGGATCCAATGGCAGGCGTCAGAGGAAACTAGCTTTTTTGTTCTATCCACTAACGTGACACAAATCGACAGGAAAATGGAGTGCAGACCGCCATTCAAGCAATCTACCGAGACCTCGAATATGCCAAATCTCTGATCAAACCACGTCCAGCAGGGCCAGGGACATCGGCGAGCGCAACCGGCGAGCCGGACGATGGCGGCGACATCGAAGAGAACTGGACGTTCATTGGCGACGAGAGCGATCCGGAGATGCAACGACGCATCCAAGACTGGGAGTCGCCGAGACGAGGTCGAGCTGGGCCTCGTTGGAGTATGGATTCCCCTGCTCCGGCAACAACACCAGGTCCGGCGGCAGCGGCGGCAGCGCCAGCAGCAGGGTTGCGGGCCATGCAACGGGTGGAACCGGTGAGGAAGGGTAGGTAGTGAATCGTGGACGACGGTGGAACGGGTGAAACAGTGATGGTAATAATGGTGCTGGTGATGGTGGTGGGAACGGTGACGATCATGATCATGATGACGATATTAATACTGATGCTGATGCTGATGAGATGACAATGGGTTTGACCTTTCAAAAGGGGTTGTTGCTACTGACGGGTCTCGCTCGCTCGCATACTAGGGCGTGAGCAGGGTGCAGTGAGCAGTGGCAGTTGATCAGTACAACCCCCAGGCTATTGCTGTTGCTTGTTGCTTGTTGCTTGCTGTTCAGTTACTTGTTTGTTTAAACGTCATGGCTAGACGTGGAGTTTTATCACTAGTACTACCTTACGTTTACTATGCTATTGCTATTGTTAGATGATGGCTACGGTTGGACAGTGCTGGACACCAGCAAGTCGAGAGAGCTGGGACGGGACGCAAGAGCATTAATTACGACTGTTTTCTTTTCGAGAAAGACTACCTTACTTATTAGTTCTTAATAGAGTACTCCTAGGCTTGTCGGGGTCGTTGTCGTTGTCGCTGTCTTTGTCTCTGTTATGAATTGAAATCGCTTTACCACTGCGCACTTGTTATACATCCACGATGATGGGTACAACGATGTATCCGATGTATCGACTACCTCTACCTTAGTAGTGTCCCGCAGTGAACAAGGAGAGATCATCGCCGGCAGTCCGGTACTCTTTGCAAAATGGTTGGTATACTAGTCAGGATGCGGGTACGGCCCATCCGGGGGCATACACCTGACGCTCCTAACTCCTGAGGTTGGCAGCGAGCAGAAAGACGAGCCATACCGCTGTAGCTAAGGAGGGCATCATGGTCCAAGGCTGGATGATAAAATTTCAGGAAGATGAAGAGCAAGAACTTGAAGGAGAGAAGGGAGACAAAGAAGAAGCTTTGCGCAAGCAAACATTGGCAATGAATGCTTGGTGGCCTTTGCGAGGGTTATAACGTAGAAGTAGAAGCAGGAACCCGTGCTTCTAGTGAGATGGCGAAGAAAAGCTTCCAGCGACAACAGGCTTCGATCGATTGATTTGCAAGGCAGTCTTCGTATTCAGCCGCAGATGGTGAACGCTTGTCGTCCCTTTCCAGCCAAACAACGGGGTTTGATAAGGGAGCTTTGCAGCCTTTCCCCTTAGGCCTTCGTATTCCAGAAGTTCAGCTGCATTTGTTTGGCTCCTGGAAAGCCCCTCTGGCCTCGAGAACCAGTCTGCTGGCACAGTCAGTCATGTGTCTTCGTTTCTCGATGGCCGGCAGTTCATCTCTTTGTCCTCCTATGACTGCTGTCTTTTTGGGCTCCAGCGAGCCTGAGGAAGAGACAGGAACTGTTGAGATACCACAATCAAGCCTTTGACAAACCACGGATTGTACATGACTTCAAAGCAATGGCGCTCATACGAGGTGAATCAAGGTTGGGAATGTCACCTGTTTCCAGCAGCCTGAGTGCCCGTGGAGGATCTCGGGTTCTCCAACAACAATTCTGATGTTAAGCTGGGACTTGCACCAGCCTCTGCAGTGGTGGTATGATGTGGCGTCAAACACGGCAGAAGATCCACAGCCTCAACTCAAATGTGTTTCTGGGCACGCCGAATTTGAGAACAACAAACCTTCCTCTCAATTCCGTACTTCGACGCACCGTGTCCTAAATTGTGTAGACGTTTAGGTACCTAGTCAGCGGTGCCCCCCTTTTTCTTTCCTGCCGGAGATGTGGATCAGAGATTGTTATGTAGATCTAGGTCGGATACGAGATGATTTCTCCACCAGTCATTCATTCAATCTGGAACTGTCAGACAGTAGTCGGGGGTCCCGTGTGTACAGACGAGCAGAAGTAGAGCGAAGTCTATGTTGTGGAGTCCGGAAGGAATAATGTATAGTGTCGTGTGCCAGTGCAGTGTCGAATACGATTATCTGATGACATTTCGGAGTATGTTTCCGGCATAGATGTTGTTGGTTGTTGCTATTAGTACTAGTACTAGGGGGTTGTAGTAGGTGGATGGAGAAGCGGGTGGGTGTTTTCGGGTAGATATATCCGGCACTGTGCTATGAGTCCTTTTCTAGGACTGCTCAAGGCTGAACCTGAGTAGCGTGATGGTAGAAGGTGATGATAGAAGAATTGAGGTAGGACGTACTTCAAGCTAAGGTAGGTAGTTCTTACAGAGTAGTCGGTTATTGTGTGATTGAGTGGTAGAGCTGTCGAGCTGGTGCAAGCCTGAGGCAGAAGTACCAGAGTGGAAGTGGAAGTGGAAGTGGAAGGATCCGGGCCCGGAGCTGGCCGTGGCAGTCACAACTGCAGAAGGTACTACTGGCACTGGCAGTATTTGTGGTATCACAGTACGTAGTATTTCCTTTTGGCAGACCTGGAATGTTCTCTTTTCTTGTTTAAGTTTCGCTTCTTAGCCTCTAACCTTGTCCCTTGAGGTATTATGACTATTGCTATAACCACGTAGTACCTAATGGTAGGTACCTAAGGTTAGTACCTAGTCACTGCCTACTAGGTGTGGACTAGATACCTAGGTAGTTAGTACCTACTAGTATTGTTGTTGAGTCATGGCACCACTAGCCCGCCCCCTGTCACGAGTAATGTGTGAAGGGGAATGTTGTGATATTGATACCTGCGACTTTCTCACGATACTTCCTCCTCCTGAGCGATGTTGCAACTGAAATCCATCGGCACTGATGACTCGGACAATCATTTCCAGATGCAAGTTCTCCTCGGACTCCGCCGTTCCAATTGCCGACACGGGTCCAACCTCTTTTCTTTCTCTTTCTCTTCGATATTTCCCAAATCGCTCACGACACGAACCACACGAACCACCCGATCAAGAGCTGGAAACATTCTCCGGAAGTCCAATCCAACTTGACTTCCGCCATTCTTCCACCAATCATATTGGAAATGTTCAATCTCTGGCCAGCATTGGCCTGATTTATTCTTCGTATCGATCGCGTTCAACCCTTCGATCATGCCCATCACGGCTGTCGTCCATTAGATCCGGAAGTGTATCGCGACCATATTTCCGGTGACCGCGGGGGACCACCATCACCAACAATCTCGTCGACGTCAGCAGCAGCAGCAGTATGCTGACATCGCAAATATTGGTGGGACCAGATGGGGATATCCAGCTTTGTCCGGAAGTGAGATCTTTTCCCAACTCGCTTTGTGTGATCCGAATTCTGAAGCTACGGAGGCCATTCTGACACTCGGCGGTACAAGACACAGCCGAGTACCATTCATGCTTACACGGTAGTACTAGTAGGAGTACACAGTACAGTACACGAGAGAGGCACCTGCAAGCTGGATACTTTATGCTGTAAGTGTCGCGATCATCCCCGTCATCTCCGAAGCAGCCGTCCCGCCGTTTCCTTGTTCTCTGTAGTACATACTTCAAGGTTTAGGTAGTAGGTGTCTGTACCAGCCGCTTTCACCTAGAGGTGCCTAACTTACCTTCCAGGTTAGGCAGTTATGTAGTGCGTACTACTAAAACACTCGTCTCACCCAGCCTTGTCCCGCGCCTTTTGACCCTACAGAGATTTTCATCACATCCCGTCTATTACCTAACCTAGTACCGACTGTCCTTACGACTGTTTCGCTGCTGCTGCGCCACGATTTCCTCTACCCCTCTACCTCTACTACTGCAAGGACTGTCCAATCACTGTACTTAGTAGTAGTAGCAGGTAGTCCTCTTGCTACCGCTAGTAGCTACGACTCTGTCCTACTGCCGCTGCTACGAGTCTACACTGTACGTACTGTACTACTACTACGTACAGTACTACAGCATAAACTCACGGCATCGACCGTCCTGCGTCTGGCCCTTTCCACTCGCTCCATCCTCTCCCACCCGATCAGTTTCGACCTCGACCTCGACCTCGACCTCGACCCCTTCAGACCTGCGACCTTTGATCCCACGGCCCACTTCTCCTCCGCCTTTTCCTCCGTGCCTGTCACAACTACTTTGTATACATACGAGAGAGCCCCCATAAGCTACCTGTGTTTCTAGCCTTGACCTTCCTGGCCACTACGACCAGGGTATTACCAGTCCCTTCTATTACTCCTACTCCTACTCCTACTCCTATTACTATTACTATTACTATTACTACTTTTACACCCGATTACTACTTCGCCAACACCCTCTCCTCCTTGCCTCGGTACCTAGGACTAGGCTACCTTCCTATTATACTTCTGCATCCCTTCCACCACGGGCATAGGTCGCAGACTGCTACTAGTAACAGACATCGACGATATCACGGTACTTCGGGTCTGCTACAACCTAAGGTAGTCACGACTGGCCACCATAGCCACCTCTGCCATCTTCAGCATACATCTACTTCTACCGCCGCAGCCTCCTCTTCCTCTCAACCACTGCACCACAGACAAATTCCTTGTCACTCCTTCTCACATCCTCGACCTACCTCTCTCCTCTCCCTCCGCCCCAAACCTGGGCCACATCTTTTCCACATTACCAGTACCACTAGACGCCGCCACCCGCCACGCTACCACACAACGCTCGACCTCTCCCTTACTCCACCGCTGATCCGCAACTCTTCCACAGAAGATCGTCCACACAAAAAGCCACTACTCCAAACATCAACCCGTCCCTACTTGCCCTGGCCTTGACCCCGACCCCGGCCCTTGCCATCTCTCAATATCTGTGCTGGCTAGGGTTGCCTTTTTGATTTCTCCTCCTCCTTTTGACTACTATATCGACACTGCTTCTGCTGCATAGTCACCGAACTGCCTCTCGCTCTCCCTTCCAGACATTTTTCTCGCACCCGTTGCAGCCTCGGCGGTTCCAGGATGAGGCCTATCAATCCGTCTAATAGTCGGTCGCCGCCTTCCACGGCCTCTCCAGCCCTGGTACCCAACGGCGGTCCTTCCATAGCAGCGCCTCGATCCAACGGCAACAGCAACGGCAACAGCAACGGCAACAGCAATAACCATAGCAGCGGCAGTGGCAGCGGCAGTTCCACCTGGGATAAGCCCGAACGCGCCCGCACCTCTCATGCCTGCGAGCCATGTCGCGAGCGGAAAACAAAGTGTGATGGTTCACGGCCAGCTTGTCGACGATGCCTCCATACAGGCACCACCTGTTACTACGGCTATGGAAAGGGTTGGAGGAAGCGAAAGTGAGTGCTTATTCTTGGTTGCCTGTCGGTTGACTTCGGTGCATTCCCAAGCTGACCCCCTGTGCTTCTAGAACAGCAGAAGATCTCACGGCTACCTCGCGTCGGTTGGCGCGATACGAAACCCTGCTGAACCAGATCTTTCCCCTGGTATCTCCCGAGATCCGGGCTCTGATCGAGGACGCGCGTGACAATGTAAGTTTGCTAACCCACCGGCCCTTGGCCATCGGTACGCCTGGCTCACGGTACTGGCAGGAAGGTTCAATTGCTTCCAACGCCTCTGAAGCAGCAGACAATGACTACGGCTTGCCTCCTCCGAGACTGGAGTCAGGCCTCCCGGGACCTGGCGGTCGAATCATCCTGCCACTGCCCATTCCGAGCCCGCACATACCCACCGTCTCGCGTTCGTCAACATCCTCGGGCACCTTTGATGCAGTCACAGCTCCCCCCATCGGTCCTCCATCCCTCCAGGTCGGAAGTGGGAGTTCGACCTCGAGCATCCCGCCGTCTCAACGACCCTCTCCCGACTCCAACGCACTAACTCGGCTGCCCTCCATCACTTCGGGAGGCATCTTGCTTGAGGCTGGTCGACCCGACCAGTCGCCGCCGCCGCTATTGGCACTGGCGCCAGTCGGTTCTGGGGTTGAACCAACCGCCATCTTTGCACAAGATCGTCTGGGAGTTCTCCCGACTTCCCCGTCGCGTCACACCTCCCTTGGAGGTTGGTCCACCGAATCGCCGTCTGGAGGTTTACATGCTGACGTCCGGAAAAGAGATTACGACGCTGCCCCCGTTCTCCCCTGGTTGACATCAAACCAGGCCGCAGCCGTGCAAACATGATCACGTGCAATCGGTCGGTCAAGATTGTAGCCACCTCCCCATCGACAAGGCCGTTTGACGGTACAAAAATTCAACAGTACAGAGTATGTCGGCCGAGCTACCGGAAAAGCACCGGATCCAAGTAGCGACCATGTCCACGTTTGCATATTTTGCAGGGCTGTGGCATGGTGTTGGACAGCGTGCCCGAGACGGCATGATTATCTGAGGGGTGAGCCACTTACGACGAACCGCTCCTCAAGCCCGGGGCCCTGGCGTAAGAAACGGAGGTGGGAATCGAGGATTGTCAGGGCATCGTGAAACGGTGCACATTACCCGGGTTCGGGTCAATCACATGGGCACCAACGATGCAGCATTTTCGCTTCTCCATTTGGGTGGATGGCATTTATCATTGGCCCCTCAAGATTTGACATCCACATTTTCACCGAAATCTCGATCTGACCCTCCAACTTGGAAAGGTTCGGTCTGGCCATTGGGGTCGATCTCGGCAACCGTCCAATCACACACCACCGTGCGGTCGAGCCTCCGGAGGCTAGAAATGGGCAACTCCGACCTTTGGGGCCGCGCTGTCTTGACTTCTGTTGATGCAAGGGTTGGTGCTGGAAAATTCCAAGACATTTTTGTTATTATTGTTCACAAACCCAACGCCGTCAGTTGTCGTCCTGGTTGGAACGCAATTGGATGTCTCGGCCGTTGTCGCCTCTTCACATTCCTCCGAAGAGCGGGGAGCCCCTTTTCATTCCGCGTCTTTGGTCTCGACCTCTGGAACATGGGCACGTCATCCGAGGTGCCCGGAAAGCCAGACGGCCGGAGGCGACAGAGTACAGAATACCACACTGCAGTCCATACTGTGCGATAACTCGTACCGTTACATGGCGGCGGTCTTTGAGCCGGTTTCCGACAGGACAGCTTAGACGTCTGCCCACGCCAGCCGCACAGATCCCGACGTGGAGGCCCACCCAGAACATGCCATATGCATCTACTCTGTATGCCATCAATGCCATTCGTCCTCTTCACGGATTCTTATTGCGTTGATTTGACAAACGAGTCGAAGAGATGGTGCGTGGGTGAAAGGGCCTGCTAAGGGATCCCGACGGACCTCAACCGCTGTCAGCTGCTCCTGTTGACCCTCGTATTCGCCGGGTCAGCAACAGGCGGCCGCCTCCATTGTCATTTGCTTCGGAAGCATCTCCCGGACCACACCGAGCGAATACCTACCTCCTATAGGTTAGATGCCTGTAGGTACGTATGTACTGTACTGAACAACGTACCTACCTACTAGTCCCTACCTAGGTAGCTAGCTAAGTAATACATGGGCAAATTTACGTATATGTTTGGGTCCCAGGTAGGTACGTACTTAGCAGTCAACCACTGCATGCCGGGAAGGCGTCCTGGGCAAAACAGCACGAACAAAACGTAATAAGGTAGTGTAGTCATACCACAATAAAAACCATCGTACCTCGGGGTACCTACCTACGGGTAAGTGAAACTCCGATAGATCCCTTACCTCTCAGCGGCAGGTGTCAAGGCAGATGTACTTACGTGGGTGGTTGGGATCTAGGAAGACAATTTCCCCATTCACTCATTATGTCATATGCACATCGAACCAATACCTCAGTACCTAGTTAAAGGAGTTGACGGATGTCATGTCCGATCAATTATCATCATACCAATACTACCAGGTATGTGGTACCGCAGCAAGGGTAAGGTGCTAGGTAGTAGGTACTTTCTTGAGGTGCCTGAGGTTCTATATATACCTAGAAGACGAGGCAAAGCACTACAATTGGGCATGATACCGTAGCTATGATAACAAGTCAATAACCTCCCCTCGCTGGGGTTCGACGGTCAAACTCGAGTGTGCGCAAGAATCAGGTAACTCAAGTTGTATTACTCTGGGTTTTCTAGCAATCCCTGATCCTTCCGTTTATCATATTCGATACTTTCAATATCCCTCTCTAGCAGTGAGTCTTTGCGAGACCGAAACCTGGCTCCGTGCCTTGACCTGTCCTGACCTGTCCTAATTCATTTCATGTTCGCGTCCATGTTATTGTCTCCTTCCTTCCTTCCCCAGTGCCGGGTCGGACGAGTTAGACGAGAAGTCTGAAGGGTAATATACCTATCAGTTGCTGAACTGTTAAGGATTCATGATCAGTCAGCAATCATCCATTTCAAGGTCGAGTTCGAGTTCGAGTTCGAATTCGGTCGGTTTTCCAAATTGTATCATGGAGATATCCTCGTTAGAACCCCATGTACGGATTCACAACAAGGCGCTTCCCTCTCCGACGAGAGATACACGCAGAGGGGGGAAGGTGGGTGAACACTGAAAGGGGACTTCAGGTGGGAGATGGGGAGTCCCGGTCCAAAGAGTTCATATTCATACCTTGTCAGGAATGTTCTTGCCGGTCGTCTTCTCAAACAGGTCGCGGGCCTTGTCGGTGATTTTCTCGTTCGTGCTGCGCTGCTTGGTCGGGTCGACTTTGCCTGTTTGTGTTTTTGGGAGTCAGCCCCCGTCAAGGCATTGTGTCTCTCAAGTCAGGTTCCTTTTGTTCGCAGGCACTGTTCATCTCTTGTCTCTCTCTACCTCCATCGCTCTCTGTCTTTCTGAGCAGGGTTGCTAGGCTAAAGGTGGTGACGAGATTGAGAAGCGTGGACGAGGCATGTTGTCAACGTACCCTGACCGAATTTCTTCTCGGCAGCATCGAGACCTAATAGTCATCGCTGGTCAGTGATATGGACAAGATGGAGAGAGGAGTTATCAAGGGTGTCGTGTGAATGTTGAGGCCGTAATGACAGGGTACAGTGCTTGATTGCTTTGGTGGTTGCCTACCTTTGTCGAGGTAATCCTCTTGCTGGTTGGAGCCGGCGGCAGATCCTTGAGTGTTCATGGTGATCTGATGTTACTGCTGGAGATCGGAATGGATTGAAGGCTGGTTGATTGTGTTGGTTGAGAAGGTCTGCTTTGGATCTTGAGATGGAGGTGTAGTAGGATAAGGTAGTTGAAGAATGAAGATCAGGGAGCGAGATAATATAATAAAGTTCAAGTGGTCGGTGAACAACTGCAGTGTCTGATGTGTTCATCAAGCTGGATGAGGGGCAATATCCTACGTCGCTCTGCACTCTACAATCTACACTCTACACCGTCCACAGCATCTGCCCTGCTTCTACGCACAGGATCCTGCAAGCATAGACGTCGAGACGTGAACCCTGCACTCGAGCCATGTCCAGCTGAGATACTAGTATCGCTCGCTGGAAATGTTCAAGTTGGTACATGCGCCCAAAGACCAGAGACCGAAGCTCTGTCACCTGTCCTCCCAGCTCCTGAACCCTGCCATGCTCGAGAATACCTCAGGCGGCGTCTTTGGTATCTGTCGAGGCGTCTGAGCGTCCATATGATGGCTTCTTCAAGCATTCAGTACCATTGAGCTTGTCGTGCTTCAGTGCAGAGTACACGATATACTGGACTTCACATCATAGTGGATCCCCGTTGGATGATCTCGTTGCGCGACTGGATTGACAGGTTCAGCTGCAGTGATATAACCTGAATGAAAGATAGCCCCACGGCGGCCAGAGCAATTCTTCATTGGTAGATGGCTGGGATGATGAAGCTGGTTCAAAACTGGGCACAAGAGAGAGGGAGCTGAGAGTTCTGGGGGATTAATACATCATCATCTTCAAATGGGAAGAGGAACGTGAGGTGGGGGAAGACAATGATGTCATCGGTGATGTAGCAGTCAGAGTCACATGAAGATAAGATATGACCAGCTTCTGTCGTTCAATTGGTCGAGTGACTGCAGTGAACGATATCAGTCTTGGCATCCGTCTCAGTTCGTCGCGCTGAAACACTCACCGACTCAATTCCATCCACAACAGCCTCACCATCGTCCGGCTTTTCCAGTCTCCGATTGCCCCAGGTTCACTCGCAGACATTCAACCGTCTCATATTCCTCCAGGTCTGGTCCTGGAGGTCTGTCCTAATTTAGCAGAAGCGCCGGGTTCTGCAGTCCTTCTGGGAATGGTTGCTTGCAATCCACAACTAGGTATCTGATCGGTTATCTGTCAGCTTCTTCGCCTTGGAGTGGCATCTCACTCACTCTCGTTTCCTCCTGAGTTGTCGCACGCAGGTTGAAATTCCCTACAAATGAAATGGCTGGTCTCAGCCACTGCCATGATCTCTATCAGTTTGGCGCTCATCCAGCGTCTAGGCCTTCTCTGGCGGGCAGGGGGGCTGAGAGATCTCTACAATCTCCCCAGCTCTTCGACCCCTTTCTCCGCGTTTTCCATCTCAGGACAGAATCTCCTTTTGTTTCGGCCCTTCCGCTCGGAATCTCACAGCATCCGAGAAAATTGCCATAGGCGAGGCTCGCAGCGCTCTTGTCATCCTGGCCTTTGGTCCTGATACACTGCCAAAAGCAGAGTTGAAACGTCAACATCTATGATCCGGTATCACAATTTGTCGTTTTTGGCTTCACCTGCACGGATGTCTTTCGCCAAAAGCATGAGGTAGGAGTATGTTCGGATCTTCACGCTTCCTGGCTTCGTTCTCATCGGCATATTTACTATATATATACTCGATATGTCCCATTTTGTGGTGGGTGAAATGTCAATCCAATATCAAAGCACTCGCATTCCATTCATTTTTCAGAGACCTTTGACAAATCTTCGTTCATTAAATCTTCGGGCTTTTGATCAGTCTCGTTCACTTCCTGACGTGTAACGGACACTCTCCTTCCAACTGCCTTGCTGGACATATACACCATCTTTTGTTTTTGAGGATTGATATAACGAGGACCAGAGCATCCCAAGATGAGAACATCTACTCTCTCTGCGTTAAGCACTCTCTTCGCCGCCTTGACCCTGGCTCATCCTGTCGATATCTCGGCACGCTCATCATCCCTCTCTGCTGTGGACATTACAATCCTCCAATTTGCCTTGACAGTAAGCTGACACGCGCACCTCGGGGTCCTGGGAATGTCCTTCGGTATCTGACATCGCTCAGCTTGAACACCTCGAAAATACCTTTTATCAGGAGGCATTCAACACTTTCAACCTCCAGCACTTTGTTGATGCCGGCTTCAGCGAGGATTTCTTCCTCAATCTGAAGTTCATCGCGGCTGATGAGTCGGCCCATGTCACAACACTCGAGACTGCCATTCTAGGAGCCGGCATCGTGCCTGTCGCTCCCTGTCAGTACAGCTTCCCCGTCACTGATGTGGCCAGCTTCGTGGCTTTGTCTGCCATTCTCGAGAGCGTCGGGACCAGCGCCTACCTAGGTGCAGCCCCGTTCGTTTGCTCTAAAGATATCCTTGCTGTCGCGGCCAGCATTATGGTCACCGAGGCACTCCATACATCCCTGCAAAGGTCGTCTATCGGTGCGATAGGCGCTCCCGATCCCTTCGGCACGGTATGCCACATATATGCCACATATACCCTGCCCTTGAGTGCTGTTGGTGTACTAATGCACCATTTGATAGCCCCTTGACGCCAACTCTGTATTTACCCTCGCAGCGCAATTCATCGTCTCCTGTCCGTCGAGCAACCCGCCCTTGCCTTTCACCGCATTCCCTGGATTAAAAGTCAATGCTCAGTCATGCTTCGCGGAGAACAGCTCTGCCGCATCAATGTACGACACGTCTACTTCGAATTCCACCGCCACCGTGACGGCTATGGTGTCTATCGAGACCGCTACCGCTACCGCTACCGACGGTAGCGCCACCACAACCACGATCACTGCTACAGAGTCCGCTTCTTCTGCCGAAGCGAGTGCCACCGAGACCGCAGCGGCCGAACGCATGCGAGCTCGCACTGCTGGATCCTCTGCCGCGTCCTGCGCCGCACCATCTGCCGGTTCGAAAGTGAGCCTGGTTCCCGACTTCAGCAAGTCCATGCACGACTTCAGCCAGGTCGTGGAGATTTTTGTCACTTTCGTTGCTGGATTGAACGTCATCTCGGTGGGCGCCCAGATCTCACAGACCGGTATCGACGTGGCCATTCCCGGCGGCATTGGTGGACAGGTGTATATCTTCATCACCATCGTTGACATCACAGGTGGCCGGCTGAGCGATTCGGAGGTTTTGTTTGGGCCAGCTATCATGGAAGGTGAGTTCATTTTGTTTCTTCTTTTAGTCATGACCTGGCAGTCCTGCTTGGTGCCTTCTTACCGCGATCTAATGGATCTGGTGTGCTGATGATTGCGATCGAACCGTAGTCGCCCCGGCGGTCCCATCGATTGGATACTAGGAGACACGTTCGAAGACGTTGCTGAAGTCTGATGTATCTGGAAAGCCCACCTGCATCACGATGCAGATCGAATGTGCCACGCATTCTTTGGGGTTAAGGAATTGCAGCGGCATTATCGGTCTCTGCTTGTATTTTGGACCAACTTGACCATTCTTGACCCTCATTTGACGAAATTTCATGTTCGCAATTTATGTTTAGCGGTTTGACCAGGCTCTACTCCTGTGTGTCAAGAGGCAAGCTGAGCTGGAGGAGTGTCCTGACCGGCAAGGGATGAAGCGACAGAGTGACGAGCCGCAGAAGACCGTGCAGATAGTTGCACGGTGTCAAGACCATAGAACTGACTATGATTTGGTGGTGTATGTGGAAAGGGGAGCTGCCCCTTTCTATAGCTAAAGATGAATCAAAAGTGTCCAACATATTGTATAGCATGAAACAAAACATGACTATCTATTCCAAGAGTCGAGTCCCCTGTGGTATCCAGCCACAAACAGGATGGTAGGAGTAGCAGCAATGGCGACGGAGAAGTCAGTACTGTGTCTGATCCCTGATCCCCATCGATGGTTGGATTCATGTCTCTTCTGATTGGCCGCCCCTCGTGGAGATCGATGGCCACAATCCGGGGAAGACGCCGAGGATGAATTCGAGTTCAAGTTCAACGTCGGTACAAGTCGGTAAACGTGGGATAGGAGTAGTTGATCTCGTAGAGCTTCAGAGGCTTTTCTTCCATTCTTTCTTGTACATCTGGATGGCCATCTCGGGCAAGAACCCCTCTTAGCCGTTTGTCTACATTCACAATTGAAAAGCTTCTTCCGGGTTGATACATATATATTGCGTGAACTGGCACCCCGCACGATCAAGGTGATAGCAGACATATTCAAACCGCTTTGGGAACACCAATCAACAGCCACGCTCTGCCATCATGAACCGACCCAGCGGCGTACAGGAACCGCTCTATCTGAATTTCACCCGATCCGAGGAACCCAACGGCATCGATGGCAAGCCCATGCTCAATCGCTATTCCACCCATCTAACCCGGGAGCATGACTTCCCTGGCGCCCAGGCGATGCTATATGCTGCGGGAGTGCCCGACAAACTCACGATGAAAACGGCGCCGCACGTCGGTGTGGCCAGCGTGTGGTGGGAAGGCAATCCATGCAATATGCACCTATTGGATCTGGGCAAGGAGGTCAAGAAGGCGCTGACTGCCCGCGGCATGCTGGCATGGCAGTACAACACGATCGGAGTGAGCGATGCCATCACCATGGGTAACCAGGGGATGAGATTCAGCCTGCAGACGCGCGAGATCATCGCCGACTCGGTGGAGACGGTGACATGCGCGCAGGCCCACGACGCCAACATCACCATTCCCGGCTGTGACAAGAACATGCCCGGCTGCATCATGGGCATGGCGCGCCACAACCGCCCCAGCCTGATGATCTACGGCGGCACGATCGACAAGGGATACTCGGAAACGCTGCGTAAGCCGATCAACGTCGCCACCTGCTACGAGGCGTTCGGAGCATACACGTTCAATACACTCCGGCAACCGGATGACGGAGGCGACACGTCCAAGACGAAAGACGATATCATGGACGACCTCGAACGGCACGCGTGTCCCGGCGCCGGCGCCTGTGGCGGCATGTACACGGCCAACACGATGGCGACGGCGATCGAGTCCATGGGCTTGTCGTTGCCCGGATCCAGCTCGACGCCCGCCAGCTCACCGGCCAAAATGCGCGAGTGTGCCAAAGCCGCGGACGCCATCAAAGTCTGTCTGGAACGTGACATCACGCCCAACAAGCTACTCACCAAGAAATCGTTCGAGAACGCCCTGGTCATCACCATGGCGCTGGGAGGCAGCACCAACGCCGTGCTACATTTCCTGGCCATGGCCATCACCGCCGGAGTGGACTTGACGCTGGATGACTTCCAGCGCGTGAGCGACAAGATCCCGTTCCTGGCAGACCTCGCCCCGTCAGGGAAATACTACATGGCGGACCTGTACGAGATCGGCGGCGTGCCTAGCGTGCAGAAACTGCTCATCGCCGCCGGTCTCCTAGACGGCTCGATCCCCACAGTCACGGGCAAGACGCTGGCCGAGAACGTGGCCAGCTGGCCCTGCCTGCCCAGCGACCAAGTGATCATCAGGAGCCTGGACAACCCAATCAAATCGAGCGGACACATCCAGATCCTGCGGGGCAATTTCGCCCCTTTGGGTGCTGTGGCCAAGATCACCGGCAAGGAGGGCCTCAAGTTCACCGGCCGAGCCCGCTGTTTCGATAAAGAAGCGCAGCTGAACGAGGCGCTCAACCGCGGCGAAATCCCTCGCGGCCAAAACCTCGTGCTGATCGTCAGATACGAAGGGCCCAAGGGCGGCCCGGGCATGCCGGAACAGCTCAAGGCCAGCGGTGCCATTATGGGCGCGGGCCTCACGAACGTCGCCCTGGTCACGGACGGTCGCTACTCCGGCGCCTCGCATGGCTTTATCGTCGGCCATGTCTGTCCCGAGGCCGCGGTGGGCGGGCCCATCGCCTTGGTCGCAGACGGCGATGAGATCACCATCGATGCCGAATCGAATTCCATCTCCATGGCCGTCAGTGATCAGGAGCTCGAGAGGCGGAGGAGGGATTGGAAGCCCCCGAAACCGGTCGTGACTCGAGGTGTTCTGGCGAAATATGCCGCTTTGGTCGGCGACGCCAGTCATGGAGCTGTGACGGATTTGTTATGAGACAGGAAAGAGACGACGGGACTTCTGACAGAGCGGGAGACTTTTGTTTAAAATTTTGTCAAGAAGGGATCTGTAGTGGGGTGTGCTCGCGTTGTCATATGTGCTTGCTGATGGGCAGGTCCACAGAGGGTTCAAGTTGGCAATGGCTCATGTGCCTCATATACAGAGTATAGCTCGAACAGAAGTCAGATAAAAGTAGCCTTTTCATCCATCCCGTCAGGATTTGCCCCTTATCTGTCTGGCCATCCCTGGGCCACAATTCAGCCCCTGAATATAAACACAGCTATCAGCAAGGAAGCTCCCATCTCTCACTGATAGCGACGATTCTTCATCTTCAGGGCCTACCCACCTACAACCACTTTCTCTCTTCTCGCAAGCAGCTGGCATGGAGCCGAGCACAGATTCCCTCGTTACCATCTCCTTTGCCCGGCATTTCCTGGCTTTAGTAACGCTCCCTTCTATCAGGATTGTTCTGATCGACTCTGTTGCTGGGAGAAGCTGCAGTGTACACCAAACGATATTGATCCCACTCCGTCCCTCTTCCTCGACTTACTTCGTGGCAGACGTTTCGGCAGCCCAGTCCTAGGCTTCTTTCTGCCCCTAGGTCTCGACATGGGTCGGACTGCTGGCTGGCCTCCTGTCTTGGGGCCCCCCTTAAAGCTTGATGCCAGGCGGCATGCAAAGCTTTAGGGGTGAATAAAGTGTGTGAGGACTTCTTTGGCAACTAGAAGTGTATGTTGGGGTTCTTCGAGCATCCAATCTCTGGAGCACGTCAATGTTGTTTCTTTTGTCTGATCTGCTCTGCTTTCCTGGATCTTGTTATCTCTTGCTAGAATCTCCATTTGTGAGAAGGAGTGACTGATTTCTTCTTCAGGCCAACCAGACCATCTTATGACAAGGTGTCTTGGTGTGCTGGATTCAATCTACTGGCCACAATTCTCCGCTGATGACAGTGAATGAAAGGTCATCGTCGGCCCACGGACTGTCCTAACCAGGTGCTTCATATGCCATATCTGGCCGCACTCTCAGCCTCGTCAAAGCCGCATTCTGCACTTTCAGCCGCGTTCTCTCTCCTCACGCTCCAGTGGTCGTCGAGTAAGATACAGTGAATACAAAAACTCGACACGTCGGGTCACCAAACGGCCCATAGAGGTAGCCTCTCCGCCATTTCAGGACACAAGCATCAGCCTTGTCAAGCCGCTCCTCACACCACCAGCCGCACTTACTGGACTAATTTGATTGGCTTCTTCCTGGGGTACAGTGAATACAGATATCAACCACGTCGGACCACGAAGCATCCCGTTCTGGGAGACCACCTACCCAAATCACTGATCAGTAGTAAGTACTTCAGCCTCGTCAAAGCCGCACCCTGCACCTTAAGCCGCACTTCCTCCAGCTGTTTGATTGGCTTCTCTCTGAGGTGTAGTGAATACAAGGGCCCGGCTTGTCGGAGCACGAACCCGCCTATCCAGGGATCCTACTTACCGCTCTCAGGAAGTGCCTCAGCCTCGTGAGAGCCACACCTTACACGTACAGCCAGCCGCAATTTCTTTGTTGTTTCTTCCATTCATTGGTCAGCTGTGCAGTGATGCTAGATTCCAGTGAAGGAACCGCCTTCGTCGGAGCACGAACTGCTCTATCTAGGTATATGCCTACCAGTGACCATTCTGGGTCATGGTTCCAGCCTGGTCACTGGGCAAGCCATTGCTGGTGTCACAGAGCATTCTGCCCCCTTTTATTGCCCCCAGGCTATATATGCCATCTGGCATTTGCCAGTGCTAGGAACTACATCTTTGAGGGTACAGAATACCCTCTCTTGATAGGTACACACTACACTCTGTATCTGTGTCAGCCCTCATCCAGAGCCTGTCACTCATCAGGTCTGCCTTGCCTCAGCACAAGGCCATATCTAGTGACGAGGAAACCCTTTGTCGGGGCACCCTTTGTCGGGGCACCCTTTGTCGGGGCACCCACTGTCCTGGCTAGGAAGGTATACACCATATATATCTTATTTTGATCATGGTACAGTCACTATCCCGGTCACTCTCCCAATGTCTCTCTGCACACGCCCGTGATAATACTCTACTTTGTCGGATCACAAAAAAAATCCCATCCTGTCAGGATACGTATTTACACCACCTCTGTCTCAAGCCTTGTTACTTGCCACGATCCCCACTGTCCCCTCCAGCCAGTTCCCCTGTCACTGTTTCTTCTCCTCTGCACATGCCAGTGGCAACTGTTTACTCTGACGAATCTTGAACTGTCTCGTTTGGGAATACAGCTTTGCTATCCCATTCATATACTCAGCCTCGTCCGGGAGGGGGCTACGCACCACGCCTACATGCCATGTCCTCTCATGAAAGTTCCGTCCTGTGACTCCCACACTGGAAAGTGAATGAACCTCTCTCGTCGGATCACGAACCGCCTATTTGGGTATTGTCGCTGCCTATTGCCAGCCGCAACCCCAGCCGCAACCGCAACCTCAGCCTCGTGCCATACTGGGCGCACCTATTGACCCTATTGACAGTACCAGCCGCACTCTATTGCTATTGTTCTGCCAGTGTTAGGCTCTGATAGATCCTCAGATAAAGATCTGCTCTTCTCCTCCTTTCACCCTTCCTCTTCTCTTCTTGTTCCTCGGATTCAAACAAACCAACCTCAACCACCACCATCATCACCAGTGACAGACACGTTGATACAGTCAGTCAGTCAGTCAGTCAGTCAGTCAGTCAGTCAGTCAGTCAGTCAGTCAGTCAGTCAGTCAGTCAGTCAATCAACCAATCAATCAATCAGAGAGTAAGTGATTCCTCACTGTCAGGATGATATCTGGCTTCTTTGCTATGATAGACAAATACCAGCTGTGAATGGATCTCAAGCTAACCTCAACTCGCCTTTTCAGTCCTGCCGCCCGCCTCCTCCTCCTCCTCCTCCTCCTCCTCCTCCTCCTTCTCCTCCTCTCCCTCCTCTTTGTCGTCTGCCCTCGCCCTCGCCCTCGCCCTCGCCCTCGCCCTCGGCATTCAAAATGGCAGACCGGGTCGGTGTCGTCGGTGCCCTTGCTCTGTGGGCGTTGGTTCTTGTGGTCGTTGCCGCCGTCACCGCGGCCGTCATGTCCGTTGTGGTTGCGGTCGGTCGGGCCTTGACCGAGGCGATTTGGTTGGCGCTGGGGCGCGATCCCCGTTTCTAAGAAAGAAACAAAAAAAAGTGAGTTCTCCTGTATCTGTTGTCTCACTGTCGTCTTCCCCTTTCATACTACTACCCTGGCGTTGGAGACCGGCGGGTTTGGGACTTCATCATTCGTTGTCTTGTCCTTCCCCCATCGTCGTCTGCTCCCGTTGGATGCTTCTTCCTTTTTGTTCTGACTCCGGGTCTTACTCCTATATCTCATGGACAGATTTGCTAACCCGTGAACCTCTGATAGCAGAACTTACAATCACAGCTGCTGATAGCAGCGAGGAGACGTCTGCTGGTGTCGCTGCTGGTGTCGTTGCTGGTGCTGGTGCTGGTGCTGCTGGTGCTGGTGCTGCTGGTCTCCTGGCCCCTGGTCCTTTTAGGGCGATACATACTTGAAGCAATGCTGTGAACCAAACACAAGTCCTGGCTCCTTTCTTTGACTATAGTGTCCCCCATGCAACTTGATGACGGCGGTGCCGGTCCTGAGTCACTCCCCTCCCATCGTTATTGTCCTTGCTTGTTTCGCCGTTGTCGCTCACCAATTCCATTACTAAACTACCCTTTGTAAACGACTAATACCTATATCCTCCGTCTACTCATCGTCAGGTATAAAACGATTTATGAGAGCGGTCGGTGCCAGAGAGAAATATACCATTACTCTCTGTCTTTGTTGTATATGGCTTACGCCGTGATGTTAATACCGATTTGTCCTGGGTTTGATCAAGTATACCTTATATCTGGTCTGGTTCGATGCTGACAGTGACATGCTTCAGCGACATCAACGGTCTTCATCCTATGTTGGTATATCGTGACCTCCGACCTGTTGTTTGTCTTTAGAAGCAGCGGACGACATGGCTTCATCGCTTGGAATCAAATGGAATGGCTATTGGGTGAACTAAATTTCAACTCCAGCGACATAGGTGAACAAGCGGATAATAGACACTACGGGACAGCTTGGGTGATAGGTATCCTCTGCTGTACCATATGATTATCGCTTTGTATTTCATTTTGTGTGTCAACCCTTCCTCGACTCAATCAATACATGATATGTTGGCATAATGCATTCGAGATGACCAAGCCCTATATTTTGTAACCACGAGAGACGAGGGAACATTGAGTGTGGCAGCTCCGTGCATAGTTATGGCCCTTTCTTTTGCCTCGAGGAGGCCATGACTGCTGGAGACCCATGGGATTCTGGCTTTGAGATCAGATCGAGGACTTCCACAACAGTCAGGTATCTGGCCTTATCCCGTACGCCACCAGTAAGGATGTGGTCATTCGTTGAGCATCACGAAGAAGACATTCAAGACGTGTGAGATTTGAGCATAGGAAGAAAAATCCCAGAAGCGAAGACCACAATCGGAATCCAACATAAAACTTTTGTATTCAGTCGCTCCTAGGTGTTAACCGTCCGGGGGTATCAATATCTTCGTAACTCGAGGCTACGCCATCAGCATGCAGATGCAGGGATATGTCCTGCGAACAGAGCAATATAGCTCGCTCGTCCCTTCGAATCAAGGTCAAGGTCCTTTCCCACCTCCGCCATTCACAAATCGTCGAGCAGCCCAGGCACTACCATGCTCCAAATACTCTTGCCGCGTGACGCCGTATTCTCTGACAGTTCCTGGAAACCGACTGGCCAACCTCGCCCCGCCGAGCCAAGTCGATGTGATGGGATCGTGCATCTTGCGAACACGCACCATCCACTCCGTCTTGACTCTCGTGCGCAGCTCGGCCTGGATACGTTCGACAAAGCCGGGGATCTTGGCGTTCCCGCCCACGACAAGCACGTTGCTCAGCATGGTGGCCTGCACCAGCGGAGGAAGCACGGCCAGCGATTGCATGACGATGTCGGCAATGCCGGGTTGTTTCGAGCCAATGTCGCTGGGCGAGAAGAGGATTTCCGGAATGGAGAAGCGCTCGTTGCCTAGGGTCATTGCAATCTCGGCATCGGCTTGACCAGACAAAGCGGCTTGTTTGCGTTTGCGCGCGGCTGAGATGGCGTCGTATGGGCGACTGAACCCTCGTAGCAGATGGACGCCGTCGGGAAGAATGTAATCGACTCGAACCTCGTCCGTTGTTCGGAAGTCATCCTGGCTCGTTGGGTTGTTGAGGTTGACATTGGTATCACCATGGTGTCCTACCACTTTCCCACCGCCCTTCTTGCCCTGGTTGCCCTTCCACGTCTTTTCAAGATCGCGCTTGAAGTCGTCACTGACGAAACAGACGTCTTCTTTTATGTCGTTGACGATTTTGTTGTCTTGATGGAGATCAAAATGGCGCACCGATATCACTTCTTTCAGTAGGTTCGTCAAATGTTTGCCTCCAAAGTCCAATCGACGGATTGCACGGTGTAACGGCCGACCATTGAACAGTGGCGTGATTGTGGTATGGCTGTAACCACTATCAATGACCAGTAGGCATTCCATGGGCAGGTCGGCATCTTGATCGGCCGGAGTCTGGACTTCTTCAAAGAGAGGATGGAGATCGTTGTACGCGTTCAGTGAAGGGCCTAGTTCGAACTGTCAGCACAACTTGAACAGGTCGCAAGCTCACGTCGAGTCCCTCCTGGCTCTGCCATACCTACCGATCACCCTGGAGTAGCCACCAAATCCCCATTCCTCCATGATGATTTCGTCGGCGTTCTTCTGTAACGCAGGCATAGTGTTTGGTGGTTCGGTGAAGATCAGAGTCGTGTCCACCGGGTTCTTGACCGATAGGTCCTTCTGAGCAGTCCGCTCATCAAAAAAGGACTGGTCCCAAATCTCTTTCTGCGCCTCCCAACTCACGACCTGTCCATTCTCTACCGGACGCCGGAACAACGCCTCGCTCCAGTCTGTAATGACTTCGGTCTGGGCGCCGACGTATGTTTTCCTGTCGCGAGTGCGCACGAGTGTGTTGGGGACTATGTGGCATTTCGACAGCGCCTCTGTGTCCGGCACTGTTTCTGGGGGAGCGAACCCGGCTTTGATGGTGTAGCCTCCATTGTCGAGGACGAAGGTTGTAGAGGGCAGGCCGGGGACGTTACGTGCGGATGCTTTTGTACCGCGTCGCATTTTGGGTCATATGGTTCTCGTCATGGCGATGAGCCCCGCAACTCAGGGAGAAATAGTGGATGGGAGGTCTGTCACGAGAAGAAGTCTATAGACTGAAGGAGACACCTACGTTCTGTTGAAGACCTGATGATTGATGGTTGTCGAACTGCGGTTGAAACGCATTCGTGTACGGTGGAGCAATCAAAAGATAATACGGCAGATCACAGAATCGGCGGACGAAGTGATTGATATCGCCTCGCATCCAGACTCTCTCTTCAATGTCTCATAGCTACTATGGGACCTTCTTTGACGCTTACTAGTAATTGACCTCATATTTCCTGGGAACGAAACCCTGCTCGTACGCAGCCGCTGTATTTCGTTGACATACGATCACAGTATCAAGAAGATATATGTAAGCTCTATTTCGCAACGCCTCGACCATCGGGGAGTGGAAACAATGCTCTGGTATCAGGTTTCTGACATTCAGAAGCTCGTCCGGGTTGCTTCGCTGGCTTGTGACTCATTGATTTTCGGCTTCAACTGATCCGTAATGTTCTTCTCGTCCTTCCAAGCAACCGCAACGAATTTGGTGTGGCTGCCTCGGGCGACGATTTCATGGTTCTTGTTCATGAACTTGATCGTGGTATAGGCAAGGGTCTTGCCGACTGTACACCGAATCAGTAACTCAAAACACCACGAGAAGATCCAAGGAGGAGGATCCATAGACCTAGACTTACATTTGTCACAGATCACTTCGCCCTTGACCAAATCGCCTATTTTGCCGCCCGAGTTGAGGTATGTCACACTCAAATCCGTCGACACTCCAGTTGAGTATAGGCCACGAGAAGCGACGGCGAGGGACCCGCCGGTGTCGACCATCGCAGCCAGCGTCGCGCCGTGCAAGATCCCCAGTCGATTTGTGTGATGCTTTTCAATGTCGAGTTCGAAGTTGACCTTTCCGGGTTCGGCTGCTGTTATTCGCATCTAGATGAAGAGTAGACCATAAGAGAACGTTCCAACCATGACACAGTCGAGTGGGTTCTGTAGGCCCTGATAGCCCTAGGTCGTATCAGGATCCAGAAATCATATCACTTACGGTATCAATCAACCTGGCAATTGCAATCGTCAATGAGAGATTCGCCAGTCGACGACCTTTGAGCTTACCGCGGTTCGAGGCCAGAGGTGGCCCGAAACGACTCCCATACCTGAATCTGTCAAATGGTGATCTTGTTGTAACGCACAGAACATGGTAAACACACTGATCTCACAAACTTCAGCGCCGACATGTTGACTCCAGTCTGGTTTCTCCCCTTGGTGCGGATACCGGTGAACTGAACGATCCTCTGAGATTGGCGGGGACTGACGGGGTCTGGTGTGGCCCTCCTGCGTCAAGTATGCAAGAATTCAGACCCACGATAGGACGAGATGCGACCGACTACCCTGACAAGGCAAGAGAGAGCGCGAGATCCTAACGTTTACATAGAAGGGAATCTATCAACAAGATATGCCGGCGAACGTTGGAGCTTCACCTCCACTGGGTGTCCAAATGCTTCACCGTATCGGGTATCGATCCGTGAAGCCGAGGTGTTGGCTAAACGCGGCTCGGATCTACATGGATATCCTTCCACCATTACAGCACTGGTGTCGAATGCGTGTCTCAAGCCTGGGGAAATAAATGAATGCAAGGCTTTTGTGGACATGCAGGTCATGCTGCTTGCGGGAGAAGGTAAATGTAACGCGTTGCTTATAACAGACCGCCTATGGAAATCCCCCATATCCCTCCCTTTGGGCCAGATCGAGCTCCTTCCGGGGATACTGGATGGCTTCCTGCAATCTGGCATCATCGGCATGATATCGTTCGAGATACAAGCAGATGGCTTGGCCCTGAATAATGGCTCTCGTGGCAATCCACCATGGTGCTCGACAGATCTTGACAAACCAATAAGCGAGCATAAGCATAGCCCAGGGGTCTTTGGCCTGGAGTAAGACCTTGTAACACGGGTCGACTTGGGCAATGAAAGCCAGAAACTTGTTCCATGTGCTGTCATCGCAGTCAAGGTCGAGCAGTTCCGTCAAAATCAGGGCGGTTTTGCGATACGGGTTGAATGGCATTGAAACCGGGGAGGAGGCGCCATCGCTCTCTTCGGACTCAACTGCGTCGTCGTCACCACAGAGATGGCCAAACACCGAAGGTCGCTGTTTTGGGGATTTGGACATGGCAAAGGTATTCCGTGCGTAGAGCCTGCCCAAGCCCCGCCACACGCTGTCTTCACGTAGCGGGTTGGCAACCTGCCACACGGCTTTCTTGCCTTCACTGATGTTCAGCCAGGCAAAGTCGCCCTCTCCTAACGGCCAGACTTGTTCGATCGAGGATGCTTCAATGGCAAAGGTCAACACGCCGACTATAGACGCTGCCACAAACACCGCGTCACGATCTTGGTCCCGTATGGGACGGGAAAGCTTGTACTGGAACGCTCGCACCCCCTGACTCATGTGGTACACCTCGGTCGCGGTCCGTTTGGAGAGGGCCGCTCCCGACAGGAAACGGTCATGGGCTGCAGTCAACGATTGGACCAAATGCATCAAGAACCGATTGCAACAGGCGAGTTGTATCAGTTCCTTCCGGAGAAAGTGCGACGCCGATCTGGTCCCGATGGTGAGGACCGTTCGCGTCTGGAATCGGTCCATGAGGGCCAGATCGGAATAGTCAATCTGCTGCTTGGCCGTATATCTTCCCATCACCAGAGGGAAACCCGGATCCTCTTGTAACGATGAATTGATCCACTTAAGTGTAGGTCGGTTCGCTGAGAGCAGAGACCTTTCCATGGTGGTGGTGGCATTCATACAGCCCATCTCTGCAGAGGCGGGCCCTCGCGGCTGGAGATCTGGTATATTTGGGTCATAGTTGCACACGACATCAAAGCTGAGACATTTCTGGCAACCCGGCTTCTTTTCGTCGCATTTGACTCTTCGTAGCTTGCAGTTTCGACATCCAAGTCTTGATTTGCGATGTGTCTTTCGCTGGCGAGAGCCCGACTCTCCACTAGCAGTGGGAGGGGCAGATTTGCCGTCACCAGCCATATTGGAGAGCCACTCAGATGCAGGCACTTCTCATTATTGGCGGTTGTTTGAAAGCCACAAATAGTGATCCTGCGAGTGCACAAGTCGAGGCAGGCCTGGCTTGACGATTATGGGAAGATAGAGATGCCATCCATTTAGGGCCCGGGTGCGAGCGGCCATCGAGGCTCGGATATAAGAGGAAGAAGGCAAGATACGTCCGAACGCTCGGGTCAAGGCGAACGTAGAACGAATGGACACATTCTGCTTTTCATTCGTTCATTGATGTTGTTGACAGCGGCTCCTCATCGGACGCTAACCTCTGCTCGTATTTTCGAAGGGAGAGCATCACTGTTGGCGATCCGGCGCCACCCAGCAGCTCAGTCCACGCAGATATGTGGGCGTCCAGGATCAAGGTATCTCGCTCCGCCTCGTAGGGTCTCGTTATGTAGATTGGAACACAGCAAAGGCAGTATGAACTTGAAATATATAGAAGAACTGTCGAGGCTGTACTCTGTCTGTACACCTGTTGCGGAACGTGGTAGACAATGAAAAGTGACGCTGCTATATCTACTTAAGGCGGCGTGGGAGGTGGCTGACAGGGCGGCGTCAATGTCTGTCCCAATTGGGACTGAGATTGACGTCTTTGTATTTGATCTTCACATCAAGTCGACGCCCGACTTCACGTCTGCCTGCAGTCTCTATCCTTACTGACTGCATAAGCTATCCGTTTGAGTCAAACTTGTGATGACCTGAACCTGAATGTCCTGGTGTCTCTGCGCCGTGTCGCGACACCTGACCCTGGAGCCCGGACTCCTCGTTCAATCTGTTGATACCGCAAGATGGCCGACACCACGTTGCAGTCGTGGGAATATCTCGAGACTCTTCCCGGGACCCAGTTCTACCGATTGTACCGCAGCCCGGCATCTGCACTGGCCATCTTCCGCAAACGGCTGACCAGCCTAGCCAAGACCTTTGTCATGATGCTCCTGTATATGCCTGCCCCTCTACCTGTGAAACAGCTGGAGCTGTTCGTCAAGGACGCCAGTCGCGGAGAGCGTGAATACGCCATCGACCTACTGCACCGGTACCACATCTTCAAGGACGTGAGTTACAACGGTGCCAAAGCGCATGCGTTGACCCCCGACTTCGCCAGATCCCTGCGCCGCGCCTTGACCGGCGCAGGCGACAGCCGGTCGTTCGGACAAGTAGCCACCCACGTCCCGCATGGCCAGAAAGTCACGATCGCGCAACTCGACGAGTATGCTCGTCAACGATGGGAGGGTATTTTGGGGTACATGGTCGGCTCGTCCGCAGTGCCGCTTGAAAGCACGACAACGGAACATCAGGCGGCCATGCAACCGTCGCCGGGCGTCATCGAACTGCTCAAGGCTGGGCATCTGATCGAACTTTCGGGAACCCATAGCCGAGGCCAAACGGCTAAGATCACCAAAGAAGGATTCGCGTTTGTGCTGCAGGACATCAACACGCAGATCTGGGCCTTGTTGTTTCTGTATGTTGATAACGCCGAGGTATTTGAGATGGACAAGGTCGACGTATTGTCATTCCTGTTTTTCGTTTCATCCTTGGAACTCGGCCTGGCCTACTCGACCGCGCCCCTGGACGAAACCCAGCAGCGATGTCTGTCCGATCTGGTCTCTTTCGGCATCGTCTACCAGCCGCTCCGAGATGATGGCACGCCCGTCGACTTCTTCTACCCAACACGCCTGGCCACCACCCTGACATCTGATTCAAGCACGACCCTCTCAGCGACCAACACGACCATCGGCTCCTCACTTTCCAAGTCTTCATCATCATCATCCCAGTCTTCTTCCGGCACGGCCAAAGGCTTCATCATCGTCGAGACTAACTATCGACTTTACGCATATACCTCGTCCCCGCTACAAATCGCACTGCTCTCATTATTTGTCAACCTCCGCTCCCGCCACCCGAACCTGGTCACCGGCAAAATGAGCAAGTCATCCGTCCAACGGGCCATCCAAGCCGGCATCACCGCCGATCAAATCATCTCGTACCTCACCTCCCATGCGCACCCGCAGATGCGGCGGCACGCGCAGGCCGAGCAAGCCCGCAACTCCGACCCGAACCTCGTTGTCCCAATCCTACCAGCCACCATTCTCGACCAGATCCATCTATGGCAGCTAGAACGTGATAGGATGACCACGACCCCGGGCTTCCTGCTGAAAGACTTCCCCAACCATGCCGATTACGAGGCGCCCTGCCGTTACGCGGACGAAATCGGGGTCTTGGTGTGGAAAAACGACAAAAAGCGCATGTTCTTCGTCAATCGTATCGAAGGCGTGCGGTCGTTCATGGCTGAACGCCGAGCAAATGCCCAGGGATGATCAAAGAACAAGTTGGCTGGAGACCAAGCTATCTACAAACAACCCATCGGATGAGCTGCGCTATCGGCCTCCACCCACCATTGCGTAGAGCACATGATGCTCTGTAGCAGCAGTCACAGTCATGATTGTATTGTGCCCTCTCATAAAGAGCACAGGGGGCGGGACGAACTGCCCAGCATAAAATCGCCTCCACAGTTAACATATCAGCTGGAAAGACATGTCAACCAGCATACAGGTGAGAGACTCAAGATCTACAGGTATCAGAACCCGCCTCCGACCGAGATCAGGAAAGGTGTTCGCCACACACTCCCCATCCCCCAACTCGATCGAGCATTGGTCGACTGAACCGCGCCGAATAGAGTCAAGCGCACATCTGGAACGCAAAACGCAAGATACACTGTATCTGGCCACAATACGCAGGAGGGGATACTTGTCGAGATCCCCATTATCTTGATCAGACTACAATTTTGCAGAACGTGCTGGAGAAAGCCAAGCGCCAAAATAGCCCGACGACATATCCACAGCTGCACTCTCCAGTCTAAGGCTATCATTCTATGGGTCTGTGCCTGGACAATTTCCTGTCCCCGTCGACGGTCGGCTCGGCGTATATCTTCAGGAACCTCAAGTCAAGCAGCCCGGTGACGACTGGTCGCGATGAGGCGCTGAGAGACAAAACGCAACGAGGACGGAACGGGAGACAATATGCGTGCGTTGGCTTTCAGTGCTCTTGGACGTCTGGGAAGCATATTCCACAGGGCCCCCACCTTTGAAGCGTATACCATAGACCGCCTACTAGGCATACAAGATCTGGAATATGTTCGAAATGGTTATGATTTGGTAGTCATGTTCCTATCCTCCCACAACCTCTGCTCTATCTCTCGATTCCTTGCACACGGCACACCCGCCCACCGCCAGAATCTTGTCCTTGAGGAGCCTCGCATTCGTGACTTTCGGCCCGACTGACCTGGAAAACCTCGTTTCCTCTAGATCGTCATCGCCGTCGGGCCCCCGTCGTGCCAGTCCCGACTGAGGCAGAAGCATCTCATCACCCTCGGCATCTGGTCCGTGCAGTAGATGAGAAACGTGGTAGACATGTCCACAGGCAAATCCAACCAGTGTCTCGGCTTCCCCTTCATGGAATGCTTTGCCGCACGACGCACAACGTCCAGATTCGACTTCCGGCTCGGGTTGCTGTTGCTCCAACCCCTCTTGTTCTGCACTGCCGTTGATGGGTTGGGCGGCGTTTGCGTTGATTTGGCGACGAGGAGAGGGTCCACGAACGTCGAATTTGATGCCCTTCCTCCGTCCGCGGCGTAACATCTCCATCGCCACGGCGACCTCGCTGCTCAGGACCCGCGCCACGCCGGAGCTAATGCTGTCCTGCAGATCATACTCGCGGATCATCTTCTTCAGCCCGTCTTTGAGGCCTTCGACTTCGAGCCCCGAAGGGATTCGTTTGACCAAGGTGATCGGGTCAATGGCGGTGCCCACCTCGGCCAAGAGACCCGAGATGAAGCGCGGCCGTGACATGCTGTATTCTAGCAGGTCATCCCACAAGCTCTGGTCATCTTGTTCTTTGGCGAAGGCGATGGCCTTGGAGACGTCCTTGAGTTCGTCGATGATCAAGAACAGAGCCTTCTTCATTTGGCCCGTTTTGCTCAAGAGATACACCAGCTCTTCAATGTAGTGGTTCTGCTCACATATCTTCACGGCCGTTTCGAAGGTGTATGCAGTGGATGTCTGTAAAAATTCCATCAGCGAGTCTCGTCCATACTTCGCAAATAATTCGACCGCAGTATCGGCGAAGCGCTCCACCAATTGTTTCCCGGCATCCGCAACGATAGACGTCGCGATAGCCGAGTGGCCAACTCGAGGAGTTGCCGAGCTGTTCTTGGTACCATCACCCCGCCAGAGGGCCTTGAGGTAGAAATATAGGAGAGGTCGATAAGAAGGTGTGTCCAGCTGTGCAACGACTTCATCGGGCTCGACCACTCCCGCCGTTGCTTCATCCACGAGCACCTTGATCGGATCAGACGCCAACTCCTCCAGTTCATCTTGGGACGCGGATTTCAGCTGCGAGGGTGAGATTCGAAGCATCACAAAACTGGGAACGTCGTCGGCAACGGCATCTACCAGATGATGATCCTTGATTAGGGCCAATGCTGTGTCTGCGTCCTGGAGGTTGATATAGCACTTAAGAGCCTCATTATAATGTCCATCGGCCAGATACAACTTGGCCAGACTTTCTTGTAGGTCTCTCCAGTCTTCGGAACCCTTCGGGGCACCTCCACCTCGGAGTTGGCCCTCGATCGCAGTAGTTATACTGCTGATCTCAAATAGATCTGAGGGCCACTCGTCCAGGAGCTCCTTAAATCGCAGTCTGTCCGTTTCGACGTAATGTCCCAGGATGAGTTCGAAAATTGACGATGGCAGAGGAGGCGTCAATTCCAGTGTGGGTATGTGAGGTGATATCTCATCAAACTTCTGCTTCTGGATAAAAACCCAAATCCAATGTTCCCATCGGGTGGTGGTATTGAGCACTTTGGCGGCCACTTGAGCAGCCTTTGCCCACTCGTTAGCACCCACCAATTGTTTGAGCCAGAGTTCACCTATTCTGCGCTTCTCTTTCTCTGCCGCCGAGAACTTCGTTTTGGTTCTATCCTGAGCGGAACTGGTGACCGAGGCAGAGTCCGCGAAAAATTCGGCCAACGTAGCTTCTTGAAGTGCTTTTGAGGGACTAGCTGGAACAGCCGAGCCTGACTTTGCAACAGAACTCGACTTTGAGGGAGTCGGTGGTGACGAGATGTCAGAGAGATCGGATGTAGTGCCAGCTGCCTCAGGATGTTGGTCAACCAGTTCCCAAGCTTGTTGATATCGCTTGACACTCAGCAACCACTGCAAACGGTCATTGAGGTTGCGTCTGACAGCCACAATACAATCATACGGACTGCAGATGAAGATTTTCATGCCCTGCGCGGTTATCACACCGTTGGAGTCTCCGGTAGCGTGTGTCTCATTGGATCCGAGTCCAGGGAGCCAGCCTGTAAGATAGTTGCGTTCCCGAGTGCTTCCACCACGTTCAGGGCCACTCATGCCACTTCCCACACTTTCGGCACCACTAAAGAGTCGGTTCGCGCCCAGCATCCTAGGCCCGTACATCGTAGCATCCCACATGCCTTGTCCAACGGTTTCGGCTCCGGTGTAGAGGCTGGTTCCAACAGTACCCATACCAGAGCCGATCGTATTGAGGTAGCCTTTTGGCACGAGCGCGGCAGGGATTCGAATGGGGGCCAGAACGGACAAATGGTAGTCTGAAGAGGAAAGAGTCTCGAAGCGGCTCACTGATAGAGTATCCGTGTCGATCTCTTCCTTGGTATTAATGTCAACCAAACGCAACTCCGGTTCCAATGCGTTATGTCGAGTGCGGCGGCCTCTTTTGCCTTCTCCATTGCCTTCAGCTGTTGACTTGTTCCCCTTTTTCTCCGTGAATGCAAGCACCAAAAGCAGCGACGGGGTATAAAGCGAAATTCCAGATATTGTACAGTCATCAAATCGTATACTGAAGTGCCCGTTAGTGAGAAATTCCAGCCAGAACGATCATACTCACATCGTAGCAACCTCTGCACGACCCATCTTGTTCTCAGTTGCATTCTCCGTAGATCCAGGGTAGACTCTGATGATCCATGCCGAATCTCCCCAGCCCACCAACACTTCCTCGACCTTGGTCTTTTCAATGGCCGTTTTGAGTGGTGTCCCATTTGCAGAAGGCTGAGTTATACCATTAGAAGCAGGGTCTTCATCGTTTTCGAGATTGTCTCGATCAATCCAATCCGCCCGAGCCTTCCAAACACCGGCCATTTCTTCCCAGCCTGGGCGATTTGGCCGATCAATGTGGCTCATTCGTTTCCACTCAAGGCCAGATTCGATGCCTTCCATTTTGAGATTCGACCGCATGATCTTGATTCCCTGTTCGTTGACCCAGAGAACATATTTTCCCGAGAGAGACCATTTGATGGTGCTGATAATACCCTCGCCACTATGCAACACCTTGTCCGAACCTGTATTATGTCCTAGACCTAAGGACCCTAGCCAGCCACTGGCCGCGGCTGCCGTCCCGGTCGTCGTTGCATTGACACTCTTCCCGGGCTGTCCACCAGTAGTCAGCACAAGACTTCCGGCTTGGCCGCCAGAAAGGTAATTTCGGTCTGCTTTATATTCTGGTGACAGAGCAACGGTTTGCACCGGCCTCCCGAAGTTGCGGAGCTGGACATCTCGAGGGTCGACCAAGGAGGCAATGCAGACGTTTCCATCAATGGACGAGGTGGCAATGTAGATCTGGTTCGAGGGCACGTTGGGCACGGGTGGGTGCTGCTGTTGCTTTCCTTTCGGTGTCGGTGAGTTCGCCGGCGACTGGTCTCTGTTGGTGACTTTTTGTAGAGATTCGGATCTCAGAGAGGGGAGGGCAGGTGGGAACGGAGATATCGAAATCGAGGAAACGCTGGCCGTATGCGCATGGTACATACGCAAGGGCGTAAAGGAAGGCAAGGTGAAGACATGCTATTCAGGTGAGCCAGCAATTTCGGAGGTGAGAGAGCAACAGAGCAACATACGATATTGCCATTGTGAGTTCCCACGATCTAAATAGTCAACGTATCAGAAGACAGTCCATGCGAGAGCAGTGCCGACAACACGAAGGAGACTTGCCATCTTGTCCCCGGCCACCAGAAACGTGCTTGTAGCATCTCCATTGCGGTATAATGGACCCAGGTTCCGCGTCAACGTAGCATACTTGAGGCGTGGTTCTTCTTCTTCCTCTTCCTCCTCTTCCTCGTCTCCTTCTTCTCCTTCTTCTCCTTCATCTGCGTCCTCCTCCCCATTGTCGGTGTCGTCTGCGATCGGTGCAGGTTCGGGGGACTTCGCGGTCTGCCCTGGCTCAACCTGACGCTCTTCATCGTCGCCTGGCTCGGATGAGCCATCTCCTGCCGCCATCCAGACTGAAAATGGTTAATGTCGCGTCATCTGTACACACGTGTTGGACGCTCGCATGCGGAGCGTTAAGATTGGTGTCGCACTCCAAAGCTACTGACTGGCAGTATGTAAGGTACATGCAAGATGCCCTCGATGCTACTACTTATTACTCTACTACCCAATGTAGTTACTGTGACGAGCGCCAAGCTGGGGAATGAACTGCCATAGCACCCCGTTTGGGGAAAAGTTGACGCCGACCTATGTGTTGACAACTAGCGAGAACAACGAACAACGAACAACCATTCCTTTCAACCTTTGTCCACTACATACCTATCTTAACGTGTAGATGGTAGACACCTCTACACTCAAGCCTACACTCACCGAGGCAAGAGCGAGCTACTCCCCCCCCCCCCCCCCCCCCCCCCCCCCGACGTCCTTCTCGTTTCCGTCCTCGTCGATCATCTTCTTCAGGGGCACAAAGTGACCATAAAAGCTACCAGTATTGCCGCAGAAGAACTAGTCAGACCCCGATATGGGCACTCCTAGCTCCTGTTTAACTGGACACTTGAGCCGACACGAACTGATGCTGAATGCCCTCCGGAGCACGATGACTTTGCTCTTGCGAGATAGCCCTTGAGATATGACGGAGACCATTCAGTTGCTCGCATAAGACTAGAAGATCGAGTGCCAAATGTCAAGCAGTGCCGCCATATCTGTCTCCCCAGTCCCCGAACAGATTCTCCCTATCAAACCTACAATTCACCATCCAGTTATTATCCCCAGAGTGGGAGACGTGTGCCAGTTGATGCTGACTGACTTAGGGCCACGGCCTACTGCAATCACCACCTCCCTAAATGGCTTGTCCCTCGAACGAGTATGGATACGTGGCGACGCCGGATCCCAGACTGGAACGAGTTAAAGAGCTGGTCCTCAGGTAGACGCAATCTCCAGCTCATAGCTTGACTGCCTGCGCCGTAATTGGCAAAGACTGTACCGAAAAGAACCCACGCTGGCTGGCCTGTCTTTGCGAGGAGGGCTTCGCCCCGTCTTCAGTTACCAACGGCACGAAAGATTCGGCGGCTTCGGCGTCATGAGCAAAGAGCCACTTCCTGCGATCGGCCCAGCCCCAGAACAGGGGATTGGAGTCTCTGTCCATGGCCATCTCCATATCCCGTCGACGCTGGAACTCTCCATCCTCTACGTGCAGTAATTCTTGATGCTCCCTTGACTTTGCTTGGATGATACTTGCGCGAGGTTTGCGGATGGCTTCATAATCCGACAATGCGGCAGCGATGGTTGACCGTCTGCGCAGGCCTTGAGACAAACAAGCAGCGTCCTCGAACGCTGCAGCCGCGCCTAATGCCGAATGTTAGCACCCCAGGGAAGATGGAAAGTGAAGAATGCTGCCTTGGCTATTCCAAGACAACTTACCTTGTGACAGGTAGGGAAGTGTAGGATGGCAACTGTCGCCCAGCAATGCCACCTTGCTAGCAGAGTGTACCCAGGATGGCACAGGCATCAGATCGTGAAGTCTCCACTTCAGGAACTACAAGTGGAAGAAATCTTTGCGTCAGTACGATCGTGCTCTCTAACCGAAACACTGGGAAAGGAATCTCATTACGCCGAGTGTGTCACATACCGAGTCTGCAAGAGCGCACAATTTCTGGATTCTCGGCTCCCAGTCTTTGAATCGATCCATCAGGTCGGCCCTGTCCCCCTGGATGACCCAGTCGGTCTCACACTCTCCAGGCCTTCTCGTGGCGCAGACGACAATGTTGTACAATTCCCCGGCCCTGATGGGATAGCCGACAATGTGCGCTTCAGGCCCGCACCACGACGTTGTGCCGGGTTGCAGGATCAATGGGGCAAGCTCAGCATCTTTCAGCATCTGCTCGCCTCTGATGAGTATTCTGTACGCAACGTCGCCTGTGTCTCTGGGCGGGATACTGTTCCCAAACAGTTGCGCCCGGGCAAGCGATTTGATGCCTAGCAAATGTCAATCTTCCGTGAGCCACTGATGGCAAATTGGAGATGTAATAGGGACTCTGACTCACCATCAGCTGCAAGCACGAGCTCGGCTGTCAGCACCTGGCCATCCTCGAGCGTTACAGAGGGAGCATCGAAATCGTACTTGACGACCTTGGCGTTGTTCACCACCTGGACGCCGTTTGCGAGCGCCTTTTTCAGCAGACCGGTGTGTAGATCTGCCCGATGAACATGCAGGTAGGGTGCTCCCCAGAGCGTCTCGGCTTCGTGAAGGGGGATGATGCGGATCGTGCTGCCATCTTGCCATCTGCGAAAATGGTAGGATCCGGCACGGCAGTATTTGATCTCTCCGAAATCAATGTTCCATTTCTGAAGCAGTCGCGTCGAATTCGGCGGCAGTCTGATGCCTGCGCCGGCCTGCGCAAGGAGTGAAAGAAAGTCAGAACAAAGAAAAGGCTACAAGCTACAAGCATGTCCTCGTATGAAAGACAAGACGAGACAGACTTGGCTCAAAACCGAGGGTCAGATTGAGGGTGAAGAGTGAGTCACTGAGTGTTGCCATACATACCTCTGCAAAAACTTTGGTTCCTTCCAGGACTCGGACCCGATGCCCATCTGCTGACAGGGCTGTGGCAGCAGCCAGGCCTCCCAAGCCACCTCCAACGATGAGTATATCGCGCGACGTAGCCGGGGTGATCACCATGATTGAGAACTAGGACTCGTCGATTGGAAGTCAAAGTCGAATCTTGTGGCTCTCCTGGGCCTCCGTCCTGCTCTTTGGAGCTATTGTTATGTAGACGGCCTTTGAAGCCTTGGCCGCGTCCATTCTCTATATCATGATTGGCATAGCAGGTTGACAATGGTGTGTGGTGCGGCAAGTTGCAACATTCACATCTCTTCGGCTATCAGTCACCCGATGCTTATCAGGCCAGCGTCGAGCCTCCTTTTTTGACAGTCCAGTTGCCGAAGACCATTTGGTGCTCAGTACGACTCCACCAGCAGATCCACCATTTCAGGGTCTGGCAATCTGCCGGAGACAATCGATCCATCTTGAGACGCAGAATGGCTAGCTGAATCTGAGTCAAGTTGCGTGGTTTGCCGCCTGTAGACCGGTCCCTTCCATGAAACATGAAGACTGATGGTGGTCCCTACACGATGAAGCCGCTGATAGTCAGGCGAGGCCTGTTTCTGCAGTCTGGTGGCAGGAGAGATGTACATTTCTATCTTTGAGGGAGACGACGTTCGTAAATAATGTGTCCAGATTCTATCGACTATTGAGGTTGACAGCTTTACCTTATGCTCAAGGAAAGGCATAATCTGGGATCAGAAGCATGCCGCTGATATCTTCCCAATTGGCAGCTTGAAAAGCCCGACCAACATCTGCAAAGTCTATCGATCCTGGATCAAACAGGAGAGGTTCGCTGGACGCTACTCCATCGTATCTCTCCTGGGTTTCTGGCAGTGTAAACCTCAACTGGGCAGCCTGCTGAGAGATGCCTCTCGACTGGGTCGTAATTTCATCTTCTTCGATTCCTTCTTTCTCGCTCACCACGGCGAGTGAAGTGGATGAGTAGATGTCGATGACGATGTTTGCCCAGCGTTGCATTGTAGGCGGCATTTCCGGTTTTTGGACATGAATCTGCATCGCAGCAGAAGCATCTCTCAGGAGTGCCTGGGCCGTAGGGTGGTTATAGGTGCTCTGCCGCATGAAATCGCGATGGATGCCAAACGCGACTGTCAGAACGGCCGAGTACAGCCAGAAGACGTCCCACCAGATAGAGACATTGAAATGGCCCATTGCATCCAGTTTGAGTAATAGAGCGCAAGACGAGTGTCCTGCCTCCACACACGCTTCAGCCATATCCGACAAGCCCTGCGGCACCGCGCCCGAGGCCATGTTCTTGAGCAGCGACACGCTGCTCAACAAGGCCCAGCGCGTCGCCAGAGAAATGGTGTAATAATACTGAACGTGAAGCAGGATCACCGGTCTCTGATAGTAGGGCGGCAGATACTCGACCGAGCCGGGCTGCAGATGTCGAGGCAACGCCTTTTTCCACTCGTCCAGCTCTCTCAACAGACTGGCCGCAGGAGACAAGGGTCCCGCGTTCGGCGTTGTAGGGGATGTGTTCTTGGCCGTCTGGCATGCCTTCCCCAGCAAGACGACCAACTTGTTATGCCAGGTCATATAGTCGGGCGGGATGTCGGCGCCTATTCCCATCATTGTGCCCGACGACGAATCCGCGACAGGGACAAAGACGCTCAGCGCAGACGGGCGCCCGAGCGAAGAGACCTGCATCTGTTCAAACGCATATAGGGTCCACCAGATTCTCTTTCGTAGGGTCCTCAACAGCGGCGTCTGGCTGGTAGTGGTACATTGCACATCGTTCTGATGCATCCCAATGGCCAGGGCAATGCGGATCGCAGACCCCGTCAGCGTCCAGCAGGCGTCTCTCCGATTCGAGTTGTGCAGGTACAGCGCCAGCACCATCATCGCCTGGACGGACTGCAGACTCGACGTCAGGAGAGTCCGCGTCAGCAGCTCCTGAGCTTTGATCCATATCTCCTGTTCCTGGCTGGCTGGCATGCCTAGCGGTTTCGCCGTGAGCAGGAGCATCCCAAGCAACGAACACATCCAGGTCGGATCGACCAGGTCGGAAGGCGAATGGCGCCAGGCCTCGTAGGTCTCGCGAAACGACGGTTCATGGAACACGGTGAAATCGGCATGGACATGGGCGAAGAACCAGTCCACGGTGCGATTCGTCTGGGAGGATGTCGGCAGAACCACGTCAAGACTTCTACCGGCTAATTGTTGCGTAGGAAATCCTGTCTGTTCGGAAGCGATGGTGCTGCTGCTCGCGGGCGTGAATGCAACTGCTGTCTCTTGCGGAATGCTGCTCACCACGTTGAGTGTCTTACACAGCTCTTCGGTGTTGGGACTCCGCTTGGCCCCCACGGCGCTGCAGACTTCGGTCATGAAGAAATAGGAACTCGTCGGTCCAATGTATTGCGTCGTGCCTCGGTTGTCTTGGAGCAGCCGCTCTCTGAGGTCCGGCAGACCTGACTGGGACTCGCTTGCTGTCGAACTCCCGTCGTTCGCCATGGGCATAGGCATCGGGATGCCCAGCGAACATCCTAGGTCTCTCATCGACGTTAGGTCGGCCAGGTCCGCCTCCGGTATCAGCCCTTGCACCAGGCTCTCGAGCACCGCGACGCGCATGTTGTCTCGGGTTGTGGTCCCAGTCCCAGTCCGCCCGGTTCGGGGCTTGCGAAGCTTGGTCGCCGCGCATGTCACGCCCAGTCCGCGGCAGTAGTTGCAGCTTTGGTCGGCCGATGAGCGACGGCATTTCTGCTTGCGCGCTTTGCAGTTGTCACAGCTGATTTCAGCTCTCTTGCGCAAGCCTGGAGGTACTCTCCTTTTAAGCAGGTCCGGTCGGATCTGAGCCAATGCCGCTGAATGATGCTCCATCATTGCTCTACGCTCCGCTCGCCGGAGGGGTTGTATCGGTTGGATCTATTCGACAGCAAGCTCTTTGGCACCTAGCCTCGCATCGCGGTTGGATGTTCGCTTTCCTATGCAAATGATACTCCAGCGTGCGTAGGGAAGGTTGCTGGTAACAACGTAGCTGCAATAATGAGAGATGCACGAGAGCGGGGAGTGTCGTCGATGGATTGGAGAGCACAGCAATCATGGATGCCCTGAGTCAGGAACTCGAGTTACTGGACCTGGCCTTAGAAGTCGAGATTGATATGGGCCATCAGGTATTGAAAGGGTCAAGATAAGGGACCGGCTCTAAAGGGTCCATATCTGCCGGTTTTCCATGGTTGATCGTCTCTAGAGAGACACATGGGGCGCTAAATAAGGCTTATTGCGTCTTTCGACCAACCGATAGACTTGCTAGACATCGCTTGCAAGCCTTATCCTGGTTTTTAACCTAATCAGGACTGGCGTTATGATTGAAATGCTACCATTCACATAGCATCTAGCTAAGGAAATTAGCATAGTGGAGCTCAGATAGCCCGTTATCCGATACCCGGTTGGTCTCCGCTCTGTCTATCAGATCGGGCAGGTGCCCGGGATCCGATACGCACTTCCTCCACAGCGTCTTCGCCATCTTTTCGACTTGTAGATATGGAGTACAGATATCACAGGGTTCCTGGGTGAACAAATATAGTCGGCTCCTATATAAAGTTCGATTGAATATGTACTAGTATATAGCGCTGTCTAAACTTGTACTTGCGGTTCCAGGCCACACCATCTTCCTCTTCATTGCTTATGTGAAAATGAAAACATCGGTCCTCTGGCTCTCAAGTTCGAGCCCTTCCAGAGAAGTGTTCCGACACCGAATGGAAAGAGGCCGACAGCGAGACAGGCAAAGACGATATAAGGCACTTTAGCTCCACCTCCCGACTCGATCCACTGGGGAACATAAAACGGTGGGTGGAAGGCCATGAGGTTCCGCCAGAATTGGAAAACAACAGAACACTCCGAGGCGCGCTGCGGGTAGCAGTCGACCAGGTATGTCATGATGGCTGTCAAGGCAACTTCTTGCCCAAAGGCAAAGATGGCGACGCCAGTCAACGCCGCCGCCCAACCCGTAGGGTATTCCAGTTCCAGCCCATAAAGCAGTAGGCCAGCCTAGTCATAGATGTTAGTTGTGTCGAGCAGAAAAGAAATTCGGGTGATGATACTTACCGGTATAGTGACCAGTGAGATGAATGTTACAGGGAGGATCTTCTCAGGAACCCACGCCCGTTTTTTGGCCAGTGCTCTTCCGGCGATGAAATCACAAAGAGGGCCAGCAAAGATCTCGCCTAGCAACGCTCCAATGAAACCCGAAAAGGAGCAGAACCCGACCGACCGCGTGTTAAAATTCCACCTGGTGTGCTCGCCGAAGTTCAGTGGGAAGCCCGCCGTGTTCGCAACTTCCGTCATGGCAGCCAGCGAGAACCAGATCGAAGGAAGCAGCACAGTCGGGTACGCAAACATAGCCACCGGCCGACTGAACAGATCCAGCCAGGTGGGGTCTTTGGCGTAGGTAGGCTTCCGGAAGCCCAGTTTGCGGAGAGTACCAGTGGTGGTACTCTTCGGGGCCGGCGCTCCTGCGGCTGGCCGGGGATACAGAGTCTCAGGAACTGAAAGCAAAAGCACTTTGTCAGCAACAGAGAAACATAAGAGGGCTTGACGTTCGCCCTTTGGCATTCGGCAACTCACCCAACAAGAGCTGCGCAACAAAGAGTCCACTATAGATGATGGCGGCGATATACATCGACCAGCGCCATCCAAGACTCTTGTTGAACTGCACCGCGCCCCCAGCCACGCCGCCAGCATAGGGAGCCGAAACCAGCAGAACAGTATTGAGACCCATATGTCTGCCCTTCTCGTGTAAGAAGAACATATCTGCAATACCGGCTGGGCCCAAGCAAAGACCTGCCGCACCGCAGAAGCCCATGAAGATCCGGCAGACCAATGCCGAGGCGTACGACTCAGACTCGGCAACTCCGATAGCAAACCAGATCGCCATGAAATTGCCGATCAGCGTGATCGGGCGGCGTCCGTATCTCGACGAAAGAGGGATCCAGAGCAACGGAGCAACGGAGAACATAATGGTCGGCGTAGAGCCGATATATGTCGCCTTGGACGCAGGCGTGCCAAACTGTACCTCGTTTAGTGATTGCCCAATGCCGACATCCATCACAGTGACAATGGTCAACGGAACATACCTGTGCAGCCAGGGTGTGAGCTCCAGGGGCGATCAGAGTAGTGGTGAACTTCAGCACGAATGACATAAGAGCCAGAGTCACCGCCGCACTATGCTTCTTGGCCGAAGACCAGTTCTGAGAGAGTCATCAGTCAGCATCCATCGTCTGGGCCTCACAAAAACAAACACGAGCCGGGGGGAGGGGGGCAATCTTACCAAAGGATCCTCGGGGTCATCGCTCGGCTGAGGCACCAGAGGAATACCATCCGAGCGACACTTGACAACACGTTCGTCTTTACCACCCTCGATGGCGATTTGGTCGTCAGAGGTCGTCTTGTCGGCCGCACTGACGGCCATGATCTCCTTGTTTCCAGACATCGAATCGACGTTTGATCCGTCCACAACTGTCGTTCTCCAACAGCGACTTTATATCGCCTCATATCTGAAGTCCTTATCTCTCGCTGGCTGCCTAGAAAAAGGATTCTTGAGGCATGGTGAGTACAGTACTGAGGTAGACGCTGGCAGTTCTCTCGTTCTTTTCGCTTAACAGTTAGCCGTCCCAACCCAGCGAGATACTAGCGGCATGCTGCTGGTGGAGCATCAACACCAAAACGCGTTGCGGCAATCTGATTGTCGGCAATAGGCAAATCCAGAAGATTTAGACTGCTTATGCCATAACTATGCAGTCTTGTGTGGTGTTTGAGTAGCCAATCACTAGCTAGTACACAAAATACCTCTATAAGAGACGAGTGTGAGTCGCGTCGGAAGTGGGCTCCGAGACGTATGCGTAAGGTACCTAGGTAACTTCCTGTAACGGGAGAGCCTGTCATGTGACCTGACTGAAATTCCCATTGCCCTGATTAGTAGGAATGGGGCTCCAAATGAATGACAAGATAGAGAGTGCTTGTCCTTGTCGGAAATCTGCATCGGGATCATGTAACCGCTTCATCAAGATAGCGCCAGATATGTGACATGCCCGGCTAGGCGTAGGCTGGGCTGATCCGTGAATCACCTTGAACATCGCAAGCCTCAAGACCAACCAAGTGTGACCACGGCTGCCGGTGCAGTACAGATCACTAACAAAAAATTTGTCTGCTAACAGTCTGGTCGGATTTGCCCAGAGCAATAATGCTAACCAACAGCACATGCCGAGAGCTCTTATGGCTAGCGGCTACCCGATGAACCTGAGTGAGATCAAAGGCGTGTCTTGGTTCATCGGCCCGTCGAATATCGGGTTATGGGGCCGATGAAGCGAGGCTTCGGCCCACCCTCAATGCTCGCAACGCTGTCATATAAGGGAGGGATCAAGATAAGGCCATTCCACCGATCATCAACGATCTTGTTGAATTGTTGAGATTTGGATTTCGGTGCCATGCCTCACTCTACACAAGATGCTGCCGCTGGCGGGATCGAAATCGCCATTGATCGAGGCGGAACATTCACCGACGTCTGGGCCTCTATTCCAGGGCGAGACGAGGACTTGGTCTTCAAACTGCTCTCGGTCGATCCCCAGAACTATGCCGATGCGCCCACAGAAGGCATTAGACGTGTTTTGGAAATCGCAACGGGTAAGGAGATTCCACGAGGCTCGCTACTCGATGTGTCTCCCGTCGTCAATATTCGAATGGGCACGACTGTGGCCACCAACGCCTTGTTAGAACGCAACGGAGAGCGGTCTGCGCTCTTGATCACGAGAGGATTCCACGATCTGTTGGAAATTGGCAATCAGGCTAGACCGGATATCTTTGACTTGACTGTCGCCAAACCCGAGGTACTGTACGACAAGGTCGTCGAGGTCGATGAGCGAGTGACTCTGGAGAATTTCACCGAGGACCCCGAGCATGCCGTCGCAGATGTGTCCTCGGATCCGGCCCTCGTCACTGGGATATCGGGCGAGGTGGTGCGAATCATCAAGAAGCCCGACCTGTCTGCTGTGAAAGAGCAATTACAGAGGCTGCACGATGAGGGATTCCGCAGTGTCAGCATCTGCTTCATTCACAGCTACACCTACCCAGATCATGAGCTGCAGGTTGCACGCCTTGCTTCGGACATGGGTATGAGCGTTTCGGTCAGCTCTAGTTTGCAGCCAATGGTATGGAATCCCTTTGTTCTGCAGGATCGAACCATATGGCTGACCAGTTCTTCGCCCTACAGATCAAGGCGGTCCCTCGTGGACAGTCTGCCACAGCAGATGCATATCTAACTCCAGTCATCCAGAGATATCTGGACTCTTTCAGCAAGAACTTCCAGGGGGGACTCACCACTGGAAACACCCGATGTGATTTCATGCAGAGCGACGGCGGGCTGGCCGACTTCCGAAGCTTCTCGGGTTTGAAAGCTATTCTCTCTGGCCCTGCCGGTGGTGTCGTAGGATATGCCCAAACGTCTTATGATACTGAATCTGGAAAACCTATCATAGGCTTTGATATGGGAGGAACTTCAACAGGTCGGGATTCCCGATCTCGTCCGAGAAAGTTGGAAGCTGACAGTAGATCACAGATGTCTCGCGCTACTCAGGATCATACGACCATGTTTTCGAGACTGTCACGGCCGGTGTGGCTCTGCAGTGTCCCCAGCTGGACATTAACACTGTGGCAGCAGGTGGTGGTTCAATGCTGTCTTGGACGAACGGTCTCTTCAAAGTTGGACCCGAGTCAGCGAGTAAGTTTTCCCTGACTTTGTGAACTCTTGTGCCCGGTAAGCTCACATCGACTCACAGGCGCTCATCCCGGACCGGCTTGCTATCGGAAAGGCGGACCCTTGACTGTTACCGACGCGAATCTGTTCTTGGGCCGATTGCGTGCCGAGCATTTCCCAAAGATCTTCGGCGAGAACGAGGATCAGCCTCTGGACGCGGAAATCACACGCAAACTCTTCACCGAACTGACGGAGAAAATCAACGGGGAGCTCTCAGCTGAGTCAGACAAGCTCACTCCTGAAGCGGTCGCCCTGGGCTTTCTGAAAGTCGCCAACGAGAGTATGTGTCGACCCATCCGAGCTCTGACTGAGGCCCGTGGACATGACGCTTCTCACCACGATCTCGCCGTCTTTGGAGGTGCAGGTGGCCAGCACGCCTGTGACATCGCATCTTCCTTGAGTATTGGGAGGGTAATCATCCACCGATACAGCTCTATCCTTTCCGCTTATGGCATGGCTCTGGCCGATGTCGTTTCTGAGGCACAAGATCCGCTCTCTTGCGCTTTCGGCGAGGCCAGCCTGCCCATCATCCAGCAAAAAGTGGATGCCTTACTTGAGCGTTCGCAGGCGTCTTTGAAGAAACAAGGTATCAAGGAGGATGACCAGGTCGACTATGAGATCTATCTGAACATGCGTTATGACGGCTCGGATACCTTGATAATGATCCCGAAGCCAGAAGACGGGTGGGATTTTGGCACGGCGTTTATCGATCGACACCGGCAGGAATTCGGCTTCACGATGCCTCGAAGCGTGCTTGTCGAGGACGTGCGGGTACGGGCTCGCGGGCGAAGCAAGGCCAGCCAGTCCGTAACGGCGCCGGCCAAAGAACTCTCATCGACCCAGGTCCGTCCTATAGCCAAAGAGTCATCGAAACAGCAGCAAGAGGTCTACTTCGAACATGGCGGCTGGCAGACCACGCCAATACTGCCCCTGAGCTCGCTGGAGCATGGTGACCAGATCCAAGGGCCCGCCATCATAATCGACAACACACAAACTCTTGTTATCACCCCAGAAGCCAAGGCCACAGTATTACGGAACCACGTCGTCATTGATGTTGAAAACTCGTCGCGGCTGGGTTCAAACGCGGCCAATACCGGTATCGTCGATCCTATCCAACTCTCTGTGTTTGGGCATAGATTCATGGGCATCGCCGAACAGATGGGCCGCACCCTGCAAAAGACCAGTGTCAGCACCAACATCAAGGAGCGCCTGGATTTTTCTTGTGCTTTATTCTCAGCTGACGGTCGGCTCGTCGCGAATGCCCCCCACGTCCCAGTGCATCTGGGCAGCATGCAGTATGCGGTTCTTTGGCAGCACGAGCACTGGAAAGGCCAGTTGAAGGACGGTGATGTTTTGGTCAGCAATCATCCCGTCTGTGGCGGTACTCACCTTCCTGACATTACGGTGATCACTCCGGTGTTCGAAGATGGCAAGATCATCTTCTACACCGCGTCCCGAGGTCATCACGCCGACATTGGCGGCATCAGTGCCGGCTCACTTCCTCCCAACTCGACGGAGCTGTGGCAGGAAGGTGCTGCAATTGAGAGCGTCAAGCTGGTCGAGGATGGTGTTTTCAATGAAGAAGCCATGGAAGAGCATCTTCTGCGCCGGCCCGCCGCCTACCCTGGCTGCAGCGGTGCACGCAATCTCTCCGACAATCTGGCAGACTTACGTGCCCAAGTGGGAGCTAATCAGAAAGGTATCAACCTCATCAAGCTCCTAACCAAAGAATATGGACTGCAGACGGTTATGGTAGGTTACCTTGAAGCTCTCGTCCAGCGCGCGATCCTTTTCACGTGTGGTAACTGACGTGGAGACTCCGAACAGTTTTACATGAAAGCGATCCAGCAGAACGCCGAACTCGCAGTCAAGGCATTGCTGAAAGAGACGTATCATAACTTCGGTGGCAGGCCGCTCGAGGCAGTAGATTACATGGATGACGGAAGCCCGATCAAGCTTCGAATCACCATTGATGGCGAAAAGGGCCTTGCAGACTTTGACTTTACTGGCACTGGGCCAGAAGTATATGGTGAGTGCCAATCATGAAATAAAGACGTGAGCACAGAACTCACATGTATCTCCCCCTGACAGGAAGCACCAACGCACCCAAGGCAGTCGTGTACTCGGCCATCATCTATGTCCTGCGAGCCTTGATCAAGACGGACATTCCGCTCAACCAAGGCTGCCTGAACCCAATCAACGTCATACTTCCCGAAGGAACACTCCTGTCACCCAGTCCGACAGCCGCCGTGGTCGGTGGAAACTGCGTGACCTCGCAGCGTGTGACGGACGTAATCCTGAGGGCCTTTGACAGCTGCGCGGCCAGCCAAGGGTGCCTGAACAATCTCACTTTCGGACAGAGCAGCAAAATCGACGCCGACGGCAAGTACACGCCCGGATACGGGTACTATGAGACGCTCGCGGGCGGCGCTGGGGCGGGCCCCGGTTGGGACGGAACCAGCGGCGTACACGTGCACATGACCAACACGCGCATCACAGATCCCGAGATCTTCGAGCGTCGCTACCCCTGCCTCCTGCGTGAGTTCAGCCTCCGGAAAGGAAGCGGTGGCGCTGGCGCGTTCCGTGGCGGCGATGGCTGTATCCGCGACATCGAATTCCGGAAGCCTCTCTCCAGCGCCATCCTATCAGACCGCCGTAGCCACGCCCCCTATGGCCTCCATGGCGGTGAGGACGGTGCCATGGGATTGAACCTTTTCATCAAGAAAGCCACAACTGCAGCTGACGGCACAGTGACGCCGGAACGCGTCATCAACCTGGGGCCGAAGAACACCATCAAAGCGGACGTCGGGGATCGTATGGTCATCATGACCCCTGGCGGTGGTGCGTGGGGAGCCGTCGGGGACGAGAAACTGCGCAAGGATGCTCTTTATGCAGTGCAGCATAAGAAGCCTCAGCCTCGGATCGGCGGCGGAAGTCTGGCTGCCAGAGGCGCTCAACAGAATAGTAATTGAGGCGGCAGCCCTCCTCCGGGGCTGTTTGTTGTCACTCTGTAGGATAGAGTTAGATCAGCGGTAGACAGGTGCTCAAAATGATGTCTTTAATAGGACCTTCCAGGGCGCTTTAGACCCGGATAGGCATTTCCTTGATCACAAGGGAAACGCAGAAAATGGTCAAGCTCCGTTCAAGAGTGTACCATCCATGACGCCGAGGAAGCGAGGGTACCTTGAAGCGTCAAGCGAGAGGTGAGAGATTGATTGATTGAAATCTAGTCGTGAAGCCATTCATTCATTCGTTCTTAAAGCGGCATCGTCTGATGTCGTCTGTTTGAGCAACCAAAACACGCTGCCCCAAGGCATCAAAAGTTCCACCGACCGTGACCAGAGGTACAAGTTGTGTCGAAACTGCAATGCAATCCAATGTCTGCTGCAGTCCTCAATTACTTACTTGAAGTAATATGAACCCTCCACGGTCCTGATTGCGACACTTTGTGCTGCACAAGTAAGTGATGCGGACAGCTGCTGCGCGACCGACGCTATGTCTCGGGAACCAGTTCATTTGCTCGACATGTCGACGCACCGGATATGAATCCCTCCGACAGCCTTCATTCCGCCCACTGCATGCCTCTCCGATTCTCCAGCGGCCGCGCCGGCGGGAATTTTTCTCCTCGAACCCAGCGCTGTTAAGCCAGACAGCCACCAGGAGAGACGAGCAAAAGGAGGATGCGAACTCAACACCTGCAACTGTGGCAGTGCAGTCGCCGAAACGGAAGACCGCACGAACACCAGGGACCAAGACGTCGCTCCGGCGCGTGGGTCTGGAGGCACAGCGGTCCAAAGCCGGGAACTTAGTCAAGTCTTCCAACCGGGGCGAGGGCGAGAATGAGTCTGCAACGCCCAAGATCGTGACGGCATACGCTGTAGCCGAGCAGTTCGATTTGAGCAAGGTCGTGGAAATCCTGCGCAGCAAAGGCTACGAGCCGGATCCGTTGCGCACCGGCCTGTTCCCGCAGGTCCTGCACGTCCAGATCCCCATCTCGTCCATCTACCGCTCGACGAATCCGGCCGCTCGCGATCTGTCGTCCACCGAGGTCGGCGATGTCTTTGTATTCCCTTCCGGGACGGTGGTGACGTGGGCTCTGCCAGAGGGGTTTACATCGTACTTTGCGACCCGCACTCTCCTTCCGGCCGCGATCGATCCTCACAAGGAGCCGATCGAGACCGAAGACTTGGACTACATAGAGGACCCGAGCCGCGAGCACAGTCTGATCCGTGGCGACACGATCATTCTGGGCACGAAAAGACCGGACCATCTCCATTCAGGACAGGGACAAGACCACGCCGACGCGCAACCGGAGTCGCAGTACCAATCCGTCGACACCGTCTTGACCAAGATCGCCTTCTCCTCGGGCTTTGCGAGGAGCACCAAGCTGGCCGTCCTCGAGACCAATCTGTCCACCTACCTCGCTTCGACCGCCGACATTCCCATGCTCCTGTCGAAAGGCTCGCGTCTGCCGTTCAAACTGTCCCGACGATTCATCCTTCGCAAGACCGGCCAACTTCTTCTTCTCCGAGCACAGCTGAACCTCTATTCCGAACTCACGGACTCTCTACCGGATCTGTTCTGGGATTCCCGCCATGAGCTCAACCTGGAGAACTATTACGACCAGGTTGGCCGGGCGTTGGACGTCGGCATCCGGATCAAGGTCCTCAACGAGAAGATGGACTACGCCTCCGAGATCGTCTCGGTCTTGAGGGAGCGGCTTAGCGAAAAGCACGGTCTGTCCCTCGAGTGGATGATCATCGTGCTCATTGCTGTCGAGGTCGGCTTTGAAGTGCTGCGACTTAGGAAGGAGGGGTTCTTCGAGGAGGTCTGGAACAAGCGTAAACTGGGCGACGCTGGCGAATCCAAGGATAGAATACTCGATGCCAACCCATAAGACACTTTATATTAGAAGCACGGCGACAGTTCGCCGCCTTAGAAACTCAACTCAAAAAGCAGCACTGCAATAAAAAATACCTAGCCGTATGGCTAGATCTGTTGGCAGGCTGTACCATCGGCTGCCAAAATCGCAAAATGGATGGACTCACTCAGCGTCTTTGGAAGTTAAGCAGAGACTTGCCTGCCTGATCGTCATGATATGTCATTGTTTCCAATATATCATGTTGGAATACTGGGACTTCGTTGTTCACATTACTCCAACAAAGACATGTATCAAATACTACCTTGTGCCTACCTCTCTGTACATCCAATATAGCAAATAGCCTTTGTGTGACGAGTGATAGACAGAGATTGAGCTTCTCCACGTAGAGGAGATAAATGGCAGTAAGATATCACGATCAAGGCGGATTGGTGCACGACATCACCGAGTGTTCAGGACAGTCAGGGGGTTCTGTATAAAGCCGAAGAATAGCCGAGAATCACAGCCTCGTCACAAGTCTGGGTGTGTTGATGATAAGGAGAACTCAGGATGCCTTTGTTGATAGATCGCTCGTGGCTAAAAGGGCACAGCAAAAGTCAGAGTAAGGTGAGTTCTCTCACTGCTATCCTCACACGGTGCTCACAGCTACAAATTGATGCGGTGCTTGGTTCCTTGCCGTTGCTATGAGACGGTCTATGGCAGAAGGGCAGGGGACAGCGGGAGACATGTAAGAAAAGTTACGACTAAGGCATGAAATCTCTGTCGAAGTCTCAGTCTACCATGGCTATGACAGCTACAAGAGTGCAAAGAACAGAGGAAGGAAGCAGAAGGATTGATTGCAGAAGCAATTTTATTAGTTTTGGAGTAGCTATGGTTCAAGGATCATTTGATCCATGTGCACACCTAGTGTGGCTGAGAACCTTTGGTAGAAGCAATAGCAATTGATTCAAGACCTGTCCAACGCAAGTGTACCTGCCATCCATGGCCAGGCTTCCATCTAGCCAAACCAAATGGCCTAGCTTGGAGAAAACCCCGGTCAAGTATGCGGTTCCTTGATTGCTGGAGGCTGAATTCTGTCTGTGTGTCCCTTGCAACCAGCTAGCATTGACTCTTCTTGGATCTCACCCTCGAGATGGTATGTCTTGTCACCACTTGCATATGCTGATGAATGCATGTGAAAGTACATGGCAGACATAGCTGCAGAGAGTGTCGTGGTATGTGGGTGATGAGGTATGTGCTCAGATAAGAGCCACCATAGCCACCAATCCGAGCAAGCCGACATTGATACCAGGGGTGTTGGCACCATTGTTGGGAGCAAGTGGAATGCCGGTGCTAGTGGTTGGAGTGACCGTAGTCCGAGCCGAGGTGGTGGTGGAGACAGTGAGATGAGCAGTAGTAGAGGAGGTACTCTCAACGACGCTGCTCGAGGTAGAAGTCTCGACAGGAGTGGTGGCCTCGGTGGTGGAAACGGTGGTACTCTCAACGGTGGTGCTCTCAATGGTGGTAGTAGTGGAACTGACCGGAGTGGTTGCGACAGTGGGAGTGACCGGAACAGCTGGAACTGGAGTCTCGAGGGAGGTAGTCTCGATAGGAGTGGTGGTGATCTCTGGAGTGATGGCCGGAGTCAAGATCGCAGTTCCAGTGACCGAAGTAGTAGTGGTACCATCAGTGGTCTCAGTGGTGATGATGCCATAAGACGATGGTGGTGCTGGTAGATATGATGGTGGACCATAGGTAGCGCAGCCGACAGGAGTGGTGGTAACGGTAACGGTGTCTGAAGGGAAAAGATTAGCCGAGCACCTGGAAACGAGGAATTCTCTTCACTTACCACGTGGAATGAGATTGACGATCTCCTTGATGTGGTGAGCTGGAACATCACGAGCTGGATCTTGTGTCAGTTGTTTGATGGTCAAATTGGAAGAGAGTTGGAACCGCAAACTTACCCTGCAAGACTGCGATGACCTTGTCCTCGAAATCTCCAGTGACGGATGCGATGGCTAAATCCGAAAGTCAGCAAGATTGGAAGGAACTGGCACTGGCACAGGCACCAGCGGATCTTGGCACACAAAACTCACCCAAGCCAACTGCTGCGAACCAAACAGCCACGAGGCCCAAGACGCTTGAGATCTTCATGGTGGATGAAGCCTTTGCGAGAAGGGTTTGGGTAGAATGTGGTGAGTAAGAGTAATGAGGTATCCAAGTCCGAGGATGTCTGGTCCAAAAGGTGCGACACAGAGAGAAGGTTGATGGGACTTGATGAGTTGAGTAGAAAAGGTAGGTAGGTAATTCGGTGAAGGTGGTAAGAGAGATGCAGGAGTGAGGATGCAGAGGCAGAAATTTATAGCTGTGAAGGAGTGTCCCCAGATCGACCCGGCCAAGAGTTGCCGCGCTCTCGTTTGGGATGATCCCAGTGTACGCCTCTGATCAGATCGCAAGGCAGAGCGATACCGGCCAATCGAGCGCTGCGATCAGATCAGTGATTGATCCAGCAAAGGACGCCGCTGCGGAGCGTTGTGAAGGAAACCGCGCTTCAGTGATTCGGGCGCCTGCCGATGAAGGGTTGCAATGACCAAGGGGGATGGGAATGGGGATTGGGAGTCTAGCGAGCAACCACCATGCATGAAGCCGACAAAGACGGCAGAGACAACAGAGACAGCAGAAGGCAAACGGGCGGCCACAGCATCTTCACTTAAACTTGTGTGAAGACAGAGCTGAACAGTGACAGTGGCTGCTTGATGGGAGATAACAAATTCCAATACCCTACCTCTGGGTGATGTCCGCCAGTATCACAATTCACAAGGCTCCAGGCATGGTGGACTCTGGCAGCACTGCATTCAAAGCTCAGCTCACTGCCAATTACCTAGGTAGGCCAAAGCAGGAGGCTGGAATCCAGCGTCGTCGGCTACCTGCAATGTCTCATCTCTCACACCCTGGACAGGATTGCACAGATCTGTCACACCCCTTTGCCACCTTCGGAAAGCTTACACGGGACGAGGATGGCTTTGTCAAATCATGCAGAGGAGAGTGATACGGAGGAAGTTCAGCTACAACAAGATGAAATTGAGCTTCGACCTGTCTACAGCGGCTGTACCCGGAGCTAAGAGCGGGTGATCGACCGCTAAGAAGCTTATTCCATATTAGCGTCTTTTGGGGACAGTGGCACTGAAGAGAGCAGCTGGAAACAAGACAGCAGATGGACAAGGAGGACGAGGACATTGTTTCTGGAAGAGTATGATCTACAACAACAGGAGGGAAGAGACAGAGCGGTGGGATACCTACGTTGGCAGGCTACAGATATGAGGACACCCATGGTGATATCAGAGACATGAGGATATCTCCACGATGAACCCTCGACCAAAGCCTCGAGGCCTGAACTGGCCACGAGCAACTACTCTCGCCATGCTATTCGATGTGCTTGTTGATGTCTATAAGCAGCACGGTTCACAACAAAGTGTGGACGTGGAATGGCATACATCTGCTGGCATTTGCCGACCCGCTTATCATCCGAGGATAATTGAAACCCGTCCGCGAAGCAATATCAAGATCGAGGAGAAAATGCGGCGGACATCGGAGCCTAGCTTCATCGGTTTGATGCACTCGTTCTTCAGACGTCCGGCCAACTTCGTCGTGGTGGCCTAGTACCCTTCAAACTGCTAGACCATGCCCGTTGAACGGACAGCGTTGGCCCATCAAGCACGCACGTAAGCTACTTCAGCTTCGTAGCTATGGGGGATTCGTGCGATCATGCGCTCGAGCACAGTTTCAAGTGGCATCCTTGCGAGATTGTTCCTGTATCACCCCGATACAGCAGCTACATAACCATGGATGCGCTGTGTCGTATCAAATGTACAACCCAGATCGTTCATTTAGGTGCATATGCGGCGCCGTACCAATGAGTGCTGTTGATCTGGAATCAGGGGAACGTGGAGCTCAAGTTCCAACAACGATCGTGTTTCCTGGAGTTCAATTCTAGGTTCGCGAGTCTAGAAAGAATGCCTCTATCTCCTCTCCAGAGCCGGTGCAGTCACACTCACCTTGAAACTTGACAGGCGCAGGGACTTGTATTCCCTTCAAAGAGCAAGGCCTGACTTTGATCCCGCCGTCAAGCGATCGCATGCATGCACCCATTCTCGTCCCTGACTATCGGCATCTTCGTTGCTGGTTATATCACTGCACGTTGGGATCTCGTCACCCGACTCTACGAGTTGGCCATTTTTGCTTGGGATCACGGGGTTATCGTAAGACACTCATTCGAACTCTGGAAGCGCAAAACTGACTGCTCTCCAGACCCGGGCGGCCAAAGCCTTTGTCATAATCTCCTTGATCTTCGCCCTCATCGCAATCCCTCTGGACCGACTCGCAGCGCAGGAGGCAGCAGTTGTGGGTTGATACCCTGATTGAGGAGGGGGCAGAAGCTGATCTACAATAGCATCCTCGGTTGCCTTCGCATGGAATTTCAGCTCGTGAACAACTACGTCGAAGAGGTTCCTTCTGAGCCTTTGACAACATGTTATCATGGTCGAGAATAGCGATGGCATGCTACGGATATTCTGGCCGAACAGTCTTACTCGGACAACCGCACCCGGAGTAATAGTAGGATGGAAGAATTCAGAATTGGATTTCTTTGTGATAACTGTCTTGGAGGATGTCGAGGTATGCAATCAAAAGCAAGAACTGGGGCCAACTCTGATCGTCACAGGTCCGAAATGTCGAGTCTGCGCTGCGGATAGGCACACTCTTTCGCAACAGTCCATATCCCGTGGCTAGGATCTTCCAACTTTGCGACCGATCCGCCATGCACGTCCTGGGCACGCTCAATCATCCAGATTTGCCCGAGATATATGACCCAACCAGACTTTGTGCCTTTATTATGCCTGGGGAGAAAAGGCCTCGCATATACTGTCCAGCAAGAGCGGAAATCTCGGTGCAAGTCGTTCTCTTCGATCCACCAAATCCAACTCAAATGCAATACATGTCTCTTACGCCAATATCCCTTGCTCTCGGTCGGGATTATTACTCGGAAAGAGCCCCCCTGTATTTTCCGGATGAGGTGGAGGTGCAAGCAGAGAGAGAGCATGAGAGAGTGACTCAGCTGGTCAACAAGCTCCGATACCATACCGTTGTGCGACATCGGTCAACAAAAAAGGAGCTTGCCTTGAACGCGATCCTGCGGCAAATCAACTGTGCGCAGGAAGTTGCCGATTTGTTACAAAAGAATACGCCCCTGGTGGGACCGCGTAGGAAGAGAAGCTTGTCAGTCAGTGAAAGGGTCGTCGAGTCGGCACAGTCTCTCTACGCCTTTGCTGCGTGGACTGTCTGGACACTTTTCATGACATACGCCTTCCCGACTCTATTGTCCTTATTCAAGATTGCCATCATTGGGCATCGCATCCTTGCTGAAGGCATCCTGCAGATCCTTGAATGGCCATTGCCATTGCAGAGACTACAGCTCCCGGAAAGTCGACGATCATTCAACGGAACTGTTGCCCTGAAGGACATCTCGGCCTGCTGCCAACAGGTCCACTTGCGGCTCCAACAATTTTCCTACTATCCAACGCAGTATGCGCTTCTGCGGCGACGACATGCGACTTGGTCTTCTTTTCCTACGAGCAACAGCGATTACATTCGATTCTACAACTCTCTCTGGCTGGTTGCGAACGACGTTATCATTGGCATAGCCCTAGGAAGTTTTCTCAGCGACAATGCTCAAACCGCGTCGGAGTTCATCGGCGGAATACTCGACGAGTACACAATTGAAGGGCTGAGACGAATGATCCGATGGCTTATGTCGTTTCCTGGTGGTCTCAAGTTGAATACCGAACTGGCAGCATTTCTGGGTGATTTGTTTCTGTGGGTTATTGAGTATTGGTCCTCGACAACCGTTATGCTCGTTTTGCCACGATTACCGACAATTGTATATTTCATTGGAATTTCCTCCTTCGCCGGGGCGAGCATGCCGATCGCCATCTTTTCCGACCTGCTCAGTCTGATGACGATCCACATCTACTCGTTTTATGTGGCCAGCGCGCGCATATTCAACTGGCAGCTCACCATCATCATCAGCCTTTTCCATCTGTTCCGTGGCAAGAAGAGAAATGTGCTGCGCAATCGCATCGACAACTGCGACTATGATCTGGACCAGCTCCTTCTCGGTACAATCTTGTTCACGTTGCTATTTTTCCTGCTCCCAACTGTGGTCGTCTTCTATTTGACGTTCGCCTCGGCTCGAATGGCAATCATATCATTGAAGGCAACTCTGGACACTTGCCTCGCATGCCTCAATCATTTTCCTTTGTTTGCGTTGATGCTCAGGCTCAAGGATAGCAAGAGGTTACCAGGGGGGGTGCACTTTGAACTCTTGGACGCCGAGCAACATCGACTTCAGTGGCAGGAAGAGACAGAGCGCGATGCTAGCAAAGAGGACGACGCAGACGTCGACGTCGACGTCGACGACCAGCATGAACAATCCGAATCGAGTGTCGCGTACGTGCGTCTCTCCTCCACCCCTTTGTCACTGCGACACATCTTCGAACAATATTTCCAGCTCTGGGCACGGATCCGTCAACACTATCTCTCACCCAAGGTGGTCTTTAGACTTTTGACGGGTCGTTTTGTGCCGCCTCTGGGCAGAAGCGAGATGTATGGGCTGCAGTATTCGGTACTTCCAAGAGAGCGTGCGACAATCTCTGAGGTCTGGAAGAGCTTGAGTGAGACCATGACCGCGGGCGCAGTGTCGGGCAGTAGCCATGCGCATTCACATCTACAAGAAGGATCTCTAGGCAGTCATGGCAGAGCCATCGGCAAGCGATGGGGATGAGCCAAATGAAATCGAGTCAAACTAGCTATATTTTCTTGCTTCGTCGAGTTATCATTGCCTGCACTGTATCGTGGTGGCTGTTTATAATCAGCCCCTGCTGTATACATGATATTGTCGTCTCTTCACAACAGGGTGCATGTACCCTTACTACAAAGTAATTTGCAGCGTTGGCAGGCAAGACACAAGTAGTAGTATTGTTTCTGGCTGGTAGTTGATCTGGATCCAGTTGTCTACCATCGACAAACACTACTAGTTCTTCGATACGGGCATTTCGCAGTACAGTTGCAATAGCTTGGCATCTACGTATCGACGACGTCTTCCATCGCGCGCTCTTCTTCAAGTTCTCTCAGTCCATCATGATCTTGCCCAAAGCATCTGATTGTCCTGCGTCTCCAACCTCGACTTCTACATCTCCAACTCCTCATTCCGCTCATTCTCCTTGAGTCACAGCTATATCTGGTTCAACAACCGTTTAACCATGCCCAAATGTCCCGAGTGCGGCGGCCGAGTGGACCTAACGAAGGATGGAGATTGGGGACATTGTGCCGATTGTAGTGACAGTCTCGTGCTCTACTGATCCATTCATGCACTGACTTCTTTCCAGGCAATAATGTAAGGTGATGGAGTCTTGTGATTTCGATGGTACTGAGATTTGCCAGATCATTGAGATCAAGAAGGATGAGAAGGTAGAAGAGCCTGTCAAAGAGGGAGGCGGCTCCTCGACGGATGTAAAGAAATAGGAAAGATGATAGCATAGGGAAGGTGGAAAGATTGAGACTTTTCAATTGTAATTGTGTGCAGCGCAGGCTGCAGTGACTGACTGCGACGACGAGGACGACGTTGAGACCTTGCGTCCCTAGCTGCCTCCTGGAACCTGGTATTCACTGCTCCTTTCACTACTACCTGGTAATACTTCCACTTCTTCCTCCCATTCCAGTCTTCCCACTCTTCCCACTCTTTCTTACTTGGCGACCGTCTGGCTTTGCGTAGTATGAGCTGAGCTGAGCTTCACACTCTCCTCAATCTTCCTCGAGTTCATCATCATCACTCAAAGCGACTGGCTGCAATCGAGAGACTTGCTGGATCTTCCTTTGCTCTTAGACTGCGCACTGAGTCTTCAACCTCCATCTTCGCATGCTTCTCCATCTCCTTCCAATCCCACTCACCATGGAGTCCTTCTCTCGAGTCCTGGTCCTTCTTTGCATCCTGCTGTCCGTCTTCGGCTGCGTTACCGCTGCCCCAACCCAGGAGAGCAGCGACGTTGATACGAAGGCGTCAAACGTCAGCGAAAGCTCCAACACCAACGACGTCTCTTACCAACCTACTGAGTGGGCTTGGACTGTCCTTTGCTTGACCACGGATCAAACCTACCTGACGCAATGTATCCTGAGCCAGAGAGATGAGACCACCAACGGTAAGACGTCGGCATTCAGTTGAAACAAGAGCACAGATTTGCTGACTGGCGCGCCAAACAGAAGCCGGCTTGGACGATCAATCTGGACAGCCTCAACCGACTTAGAATGTCTACACCTCGACCTGTCGCAGACTCTGTGCCTGCACTCCATCTGGAACCTTGGTCTGCCATGCGTACGGAGGTATGCACAACAACGTCTCTAAAACACTTGGTCGAGTCCATCTGACATGCTCATAGCTTGCACAACCCAAAACATCTACGACAAGTGTACCATGTAAGCACCACTCGGGTCCGGTCGTCTTGAGGCGACGTTTCATGCTGACTGATTTGCTCAACCAGAAACGCCCGTTGCCAATGCGCATGGAGAGAGAAGATGGCTGGAAACACAAATGCGTTGGGCGTCATCAATGCAGGATCTGGAACAGTCTGGACCGGCAGCTGGGTTCGGGATGTCAAGGAAGAATCCGATGAATCTGAAGCAGGCTCGTCGGCAGGCATGGATTGATACGGCTGGACTTTGAGCAGGCCGCGGCTCTTACCGTACCACAAGGCTACAGCGTCAGGTCTGATCATACACGAAGATGGCCAAAGACCAAGAGGAAGCAAGCATTCTTTAGGGCCGACGGAAATCAGGCAAGGGGTCTGCGTGATGGACAATAGAGGTTCAAACCCGGTGCCTGACAACCTCACATCTCGGATCTTGACAGAAGTTCGTCAAAGATCATAGACTTGATTCCCTCCATAATAATTCCCGAAAGACTGGAATGTAGTAAGCACTGTCTGTCGATAGCTCACTTACTATTGGGCTTTGCTTATTTTCCCCCTTTTCCCTTTCCTACTGCACGCCAAAGGTTGACACCAACCACAGTTGTCAGTTTTCTTTTACCGAGCGACGCCAGCATGAAACATGTTCTACTAGTAGCACCGCGATGGGTGTTTTCCTATCCATGCTGACTCCCTTGACCTGGTGTGGTGGCATCGACATTCGCCTCGAACGACTGACTGACTGTCTGACTGACTGTTCGTTCTAACAATTCGCCAACTCTCGCAGTCACGATGACCCAGCTCACTTCCTCTGCAACGACATGCTCGCGAAACAGTGGAGGAAGCGCTGGGTGATAGGACGTGGAATTGGGATTGGGATTGGAATTGGAATTGGAATTGGATTGGGTTTGTGGCTAAGGTAATCAATCGATGGGACATAACTCGAAAGATGGGATTCTAAGATCTTCAGACTTCCAGTCTTAGCAGTAGCAACAGCAACAAGTTGCCGTCGGGTCGCTTCAGGTCCGAGGATGATGAACAAATACATAGATTGATCTTGGTCTTGATTTACGGTGGCACCATCGATGACTGACTATCACGATCCTAGCCCATCCCATCCCATCTTCCACTGCTCCGTCCTGTAGCTCTACATTCGCCCTCCATCGTCTGTGTTGTCTCAGATTCAAGACAACAACACAAGCCCAGTAGCCACGGGATTTATTTCAGGGGGCTCACAACAGCTCCATCCAAATCGTTCGTCGTTGATTGAAAATCCAATCGATGTCAGGAGAGCCACAGCCGTTATTCGTTTGCTCACTCGCTGTTTGTGCGGGGGGTTTCCTTTCCCAAGACGCCTTTCGCCCAGCCCAGCGTTTTTTAATCCTACGCACCAACAAAAACAATGATAGTCGAAATTAATGATGATCTTTTTGTCCAGGATTTCGATGTGCCCAAAAAAGAAAGCAGACAATATGGGGGTGTCATCGAAGACAGGATGTCAACGCCTTCTTTGCTTCCGCTGGTCTCCAGAGATAATTTAAAGCCCTTAAGCGTCTTCCTCGTCTTTAACAAGGTGATAACTCTCCGTCTGTCTCTCCAGTCTCTGACCGGTCGTGGGAGTTGGTTTGTCCACTCTCAGAATCCAACACAACACGTCCTCCGCTGGTAAGAGGAAAAACCAGACCTTGTTGCATAGGAACGACAAGGAGGTGGTGCACATCGCGGCGACGGCGTCGAGCCAGTAATGGTTGGCGGTGGCGACGATCACGGTCAAGACCAGGAGAGGGTAGCAGATACCCAGGACGAGGAAGAAGATCTGGGTGAAGACGGATTTCCGGGGTTCGTTGCGGCCCAGCGCGCGACGGAAAATGCCCGAATGGCACAGGAAGGTGGAGCCGATGACGAAGGCATAGGTGAAATGCAGACTGGGCATCGCGGCCAGTTGGTTGACGTAGTTGCCGCCGACCCAGACGGACTCGGCATTGGCTTGACGGACGGTGTCGTGGAAGCCGTAGTCCTCAGGTAACAGGCGAGGAGGCATGCAGGGGAAGAAAGTGAAGATGCTGAAAGCGGCAAAGTTGCCCAGGGTCATTGTTCGACGGACGGTGGCGAAGGAGGAGTGGGATGGTGCGGCATAGTAATACCACGATAGAAAGCTGGGTAAGAGCATACACATGTTAGTAATGGCCTTCAAACAAAACCGGGGGCTGGAGGAAGAGATAAACATACGCAACCGTGCCGGGAATATGGACCAGCGAGTAAATGCGATTCAGAAAGGTGATGGCGGACAAATGGTTATTGAGGAACCAAGCTTGAAAGTCGCTTTCTTGGATGGGGAACAAAAACCTCAGCCAGGATTTATGCTCAATGTCGAGGATGAGCACGCCGTGGTCCTGGGCCAGCTGCCACAGTCCGTCGTAGCCAGAAAAGGCCACCTGGGCAATGGCCTTGGTCAGAGTGTAAAACAACAGGTTCAAAACCCAGTAGAACATTTCGATCAGGAAGGGAAACTTGGCGAGAATGCGCGAGTGGAAGTTGTCGGCAAATCGGGACGAGTTCGGGGTATGGACCACCATGCCACAGCAATTGCGTTTCTTGGGCGGGTATTTGGATGAGGTGAAGACATCGGAGTCGTTGGACAGATACGAATCATCGTCCACCGAGTTGTCGGGGGATCCGTCTTGCGATTGGGCGTGTGGTAGGAGAGACTGGGTGGGTGAGCGACCTCTATTAGACTCCATGATTCGGTAACCTCGGCGACGATTGACCGTCAAGGAAGCGATCATGATCGACACCACAATCTAGACATCAGGCCAAAGCGCCATGGTTAGACATGCTCCCAAAGGAAAGGTAACAGATAGGATAACAGCGCGAGACGAGACTCACAATGGGTTCCACCCAGGTGTGTGAAGAGAATTGAGCCCCGCCCAGATTGGGCTGGGCGGCCACGGCGGCCTCGGTGACGTTGAGAGGAACCGACACCATGATTGAGACGGCGTATTGATATTGTTAAAACTCGAGGTTGGATCAGCCGCGCCGCGAGTCCCAGGATGAAGTCAAGGGACGAAGTGAGATTGAGGTTGAGATGGATGTCGCGTGTCCCGATGCGGTGCGTTGGACAGTCACGTGCGCGGAAGACTGACCCGGGAAGCCAGCTGGAAAACCAAGTCGGAAGTGAATGTCGGAAAGAAAAGGAGTGACAGGGCAGAACGACAGAGGCTCGTTGCTGAAGTGGTTCTGACTACCGACGGACGTTCCTGGACTGCTCGATGGAATATTCGGTACCGCCAAAGGGTCGGATTACGCTCGTGGACAGCTGAAGGTGAAGAGGTCGGGCGGTAGGCGGTTGTTGGTCGAGGGAAGGGAAAAAGGTGAGCGTGGCGGAGCAGCAGCAGGACACGACAACTGCACTCCACGCCAGTCGACCTGATGGAGGAAGTAAGTGAAAGAATAAATCGAGAATGAAGGAATGGAAAAGGACAACAGCGTCGACCACTGCAGGTTCGAGATGAGATGGTGGAAGACACAATTTCGTGAACTGTCAAGAGGAAGAGAATCGAATCAACTCAAAGCAGGAAAGAAGCCTGCGAGGAATTGCAGGAGAAACAAAGGGCGGGGCGAGGGGGCTGCGGCTGAGTTGAGGCGGAGTTGCAACACAGTAAGTGACAAGTAACGTATGGGTCAGGACGAGGATTACCAGTATTATTGGACTAGTTGTAGGGGCAATTGGGAGGCATCTTGGGATTATTGCAGGTTACGTACGCCAGTGATACACTCGAGGGACCTTACGTCGGCTCTTCATCCTCTGCAGTACTAGCAGGTGGTGGCCGTAGTGGATGGCAGCAGGCTGGCGTGGCGCCCCTAAGCCTCTAATAAGCGTGTCTTACTTGCAGGTGTGTTTGGGGTTTGATGCCCTGGACCTCTTGTAATTGCATGGCGTCCAGGCTCATAAGGCCCCCCAAGCCGCCTAAATTACCCATGTACAGTCCCCATTATCCACTGCGCAGTCCAGACCAAGTGGGCTCTGATGTGAGGCAAACTGGGTCACCCTCCTAATAAGATTGTCGCCTAAATTACGGAGCAGACTCGGAGTACATACAGGTACCGAGGATCTAATACTCCTACTACCAAGTTGCCCGTATCACTGGGCAGCGCATGTCTTTGCCTCACGTCGAGAAGGTCAAGTCACTGGCGAACACATGCATACGTGTATGTGCATATGTGTTTGAATATTGATCCATTCTTCTAAAAGCCCCATCTCATGTCCCAGCGAGTGCGAGTGCGAGAATAAAAGTAGGTATAAATCACGTGCTAGTGTCATGCTTCATCCATCTGTAACCCATGTGCCAAAGTTGTTCTTGCGAGCAGGAATATCCATCTCTACCTCTCCCTCCACCTCCCCTACTCATCCGCCGACAGGAAGTCTCCTGAAACAAAGCGTCGACTGTCTCGATATCGTCCTTTGCTACCTTTGTTGCTCCCTGCTTTCCGGGGACTGCGCATGCCCTCGTCCCCTGTCGAGCGCATCAGCATCGGCAGCGCGTCCAGCACTTGCTTGTTGCCTTCGAAATAGTGATTGACGAACCCGCCGCCCAACAATCGTCGAATCGCGTTCAATCGCATCAACTTCCACCACTTGTCCACCCGCATTTCTCCTTCTCGGTGGATTCGCACCACCATCTTGGATGCGTTGTTGGCCTGCAGTCCAAGCTTGGGATTCTGCACCGTGACCGAGATCCGGGCAAATGCTTGATGTAACATTTTCTTGTCGCGCCGATGCATCGCCTTGGTACTGAGCGACGCCAACGCCGTCACCTTTTCCACCACTTCATGCGTGTTGTGGTACGCGTTGTATCGCTTCACCAGCCCCGAGTCGTCCCGCCCTCCGCCCAGTTCTTCAGAGGATCCGTTTCCAGTCTCTTCGTCTTCCCCTTCCGACGAAGGGCTGTCGTCCTCTTCGCGTGGTGTGTAGCTCTTCTCGTACAGCAGCGCAATGTTTTCTCCCGCAGCCACCTGCACCCGCACGTCATTGGCGTCCAGCTGGTCGAGAAACGTGGCTACTGCGTCTTCCGATTCTTCCTCCACATCCTCGATCTGGGTGGCCAAGAACCCATAGGTACTTAGTGCGGCCGCCACCACTTCGGCGTTGTCATCAGCCCCAATGAAGGCACCGTCGCTCGAAGCGATCTCGAGTAAGAATGTCATGAACTCGGCAATTTCTTCTTCCCCGGCCCCACCAAAGGAGAGGCAGATGCCCAAGGAGAAGATGCCTTCTGCTTTGACCGCTAAGGACTGGGAGTCTGAAATACTGCGTTTCAGCACCCCGGATACCATCTCATAGAGGGTGTTGTCTGCAAACGTGATGGCGGTGAGTGCCACGGCTCTCAGGGCCAGTGTCGTCTCTTTCTCGCTCGTCTCGGCCTTGATGCTCCGACCAAATGCTCCCAATAAGTCGGCCACACGGCCATGCAGGATTTCGGCCAGATAGTGCGAGGTCAGACACTTGACATAGGTGCTCAAGGAATCTTCCCGGCTTTTGGTGCTACTGCCTTTTCGTTCCAAGAGATCGGCAATCGCATCGGTCAGTTCTTGTCGAATGACCTCGGTGGTCTGTTCGTTGAAATCGTCGCTTTCCAGGAGTGCATCGATCGAATTGATGCTATATGAAATCGCAAAAGGTCAGCCCGGTCTGATATCAACTGCGCACTCTAGCATATGCTCGGCCTCACCTCTGGGTTGTATCATCACTAAGATTGCCATTGCCGGCGTCTTCCTCGTCGGAGGCATCTCGGGACGCTACTCGGGAATTCGCAGCCGACGCCGCCAGGGAACTGGCCCGGGACGATTGTTTCGACTTGGCCTTGTTCGACACCGTCTTGTGGCTCTCGAGAGCTCTTCTGCGTAGATCTTCGTGCATGATGCGTGGGTGGATGATATTTTGGCGTCTGCCTAGATGGCAAAAAAGGCAAGCAATGTTGGAAAGTGGTAAGATTCGAGACAGCCGTTTAGAATAGATCTATCCTGTAACCGTCGGTGTCGGTCGGAGGCAGACCACGCGCCGGATCAGATCTGTCACCCTTTGGGGAGGGAGGCACGGTATGAGAGATGATGGGGTGGAAGTCGTCGAATTTCCATGTGGAGGATCTTCGTCCTGAGCTTCCGTCCGTGAGTCGAGAATGGAAAGTCAGGTCAGGCCAAACCAGGCAGAAGCTGCAACAGTAGCGGCAGATAAGTGAAAGCTGCCCCGAACAGGCAGACTCGGAGATGGCAAGGAAGCGGTGAAAGCACTTTAGAACGAGGAACGAGGAATGCACGAGAATGCGGAGAGCGGAATCAAGGCGGTTAACGGCACTGTAGAGGTACAAGGAGTGTGGGAGCCGTGAGAGGTCCCTAGTAATGTGACGACATTTTGACATTTTACAAACCGGAGGCCACAGACTCGGAGGCCACATGCCTGCCTCTGGTCGTAGGACAGCGCGGAGAATCTCCCACTCCTCCGAGAAATCCTGTGCCTTGTCACGGTGAGGTGACACTGCCAGTGTCCAGAAGACAGTGTAGAGCCTACTTCCCTAGGTATGGTAGTCCACTATCGCCCCTCTTCAATTCCTCAGGCTTGTAATGAAATCCCCCGGATTGGCCATCTCCGACCGGCCAATACCAAATAGTCCTCCTACTCAAACCTACAGAAACTCTCCGCAGTACAAACACAACACCGATGTGGAGAGCAGTGGAAATGATACGTAGTGGAGTGGACAAGGCATTCATGCTATCAACTTGTGTTGCAGTGCGTACTACCTAGGTAAAGAAAAAGCAATCATTCATCCCATAATAACCCTGACACCCCCATTCAGCCTGATCCAAATGCCCTCCCACTTGCTCCATTATGCTTCAATCTCAGCCCGGTGTTGCGAAAAGCCCGCGAGGCTCAGTCCCTGTCGCTTGTTGCTCGACATGGAGAACCGCAGGAATTATTCCAGACAGTTGGTCTAGCCTGGCAACCGAGGTTACTTGCTCACTGCTTGATGTGCCTCGATCAAGAAATCCTCGTCGCTTGCATCTAGAATATCATATTCTTCGTCAGTCAAGAACCCTTCCTCCTCACTGTCGGATTCCTCCAACTCCAGACTTTCCACATCCTCGAGGAGTTCTTGTTCATCAGTCTTGGTGGTCGGTTCCATCACTGCCACTGGGGCCACTTCGACGTGTTCGGCGCTGACGTCGTGAACGCTTGAGATGGGAGATTCCTTGTCCAGTGTGGGGAAAATCATGGTGGAGCCAACCGGTGACTTGTCGTCCTCCTTGGCCTCTTCGTCCGCCACAACGCTGGCCGGGCCCGAGGGGAGCAGAGCCGAACGGATGGGCAAATCCACAGGAGTCGATCGGACATCGATGTCCACCCAGAGCTTGTGACCAAAAGGAAGCCCTCCAGGAGTCTTAAGGCGCCAGTAAGAAATGGCCCGTCCCTCACGATGTGGAGATCTCACAAGCACGGTGAAGACAGCAGTCTTGCCTGGTTCAAGGGCGGTGGCAAGGAAATTGCTTCGATTGGCGGCGGTCATCGTAGAGACACTCGAAGGGTGATGGAGGTCCAAGTTACGCATATCATCTCCACCGATATAGTAGACTGCACAGCCGGCCGGCCATGCCTGAGGCCCGGGGTTGCGGAGCGTCCACGACTGAGAGACGAGATGGTTGGGTGCAACGCGAGTCCCATCAGGGGTCGAGTCAGAAACATACCAAGCCTGGAGGTCATTCACCACTGGCTTGCCTGACATGACGTCGTTGACGGTGCCAGGCTCACCCACAAAGGCTTGATCTTCAGCTGGCTGAACCTCTGCGACAGTTTGAACTTGCGTAGCCGCGTTGGCAGACGTGGAGCGGGTGGTCTCGGTAGCAGCGTGCTTCGCTGTTGACCGGTCTCCCACCTCCGAAACCTTCTGGCCGTCTTCTGACTCGTGCTGAGTAGTGATGGATATGTGGCGGATCGGGACTTTGATCTTGATCAACGGGTGAGTTGCGTTGTGTCCGTTGTTGGGCAATGCTTCACATTTGGCACAAAAATCAGTGTCATGGCATACGGCGCACTTGTAACGATCGCCAGTGATGTAAGCCATGTGGTCGGTGCACAAGGGACCATCACAGTAGATACCACGATGATATTGCTTGGGAGTCCGAAGAATCTGAAGCGGTGTGTAGATGGGCGCGAACCGATGACCAGGGTGCTTCTCCCCGGCAGTCTCCACGCAGGTGCAGCAATAATCAAAATCTGGGCAGGTCAAACACTTGTGTCGGACTCCGTAGATGCTCTGCAATCAAAGTGCGTTAGTCGGATATATCAGCTCAAATGGTGAGTGGGGTACTTGCCATATCGCAGCCATCGCAGATAGCGTCATGGCGAATACCGCGACCCGGAGCACAAAGCACCTTGATTGCTGGATCTACCATGTCGTCAACGGTTCCTTGGGGTTCGAATCCATGGGATGGATCATGACCATGTTCACCATCCTGGAAGCAGGTGAAGCAAAGATCAAAGTCGGGACAGGTTCGGCAAGTAACAAACTCCCGGGCTGGCAGTTCTATAGCAACATTAGCAAGCGCCAAACCAAGCTTGGGTATAGACGTACGGGAGATGCAAGAGTTGCAAGTGCGTTCACCATCTTCCTGGTCAGGGCTGACCGGTGTGACGACCTCGTCGGAGGAGAGCGTGGTCGTCTTGGCCGACTTCTTCGGAGCCAGAGTCTCGGTGATGCTTGGAATTACGACTCCGTTACGAATCGTTCTCTTCAGAAGCCAATGCTCTTCTCCATCACAGGTGACGCCGGCATCAACACATGTCTTGCAGAGATCAAAGTCGCCGTTCTCACAGATACCGCAATGGTAATGCTCATTGGGCACGGACTTGCCACAGCTATTGCAGTCGATGCTGTAGGAGGTGGACGGAAAGTCATTCAGCGACGGGAGGGTGGGGAAGGAGAAGACGTTGGGATCGCGAGAGAGTCCTCCGCGAAGAAACGACAGGTCTTCGGAGCTCATGTTGTTGATATCAAATGCACCTGGGATGGCACAGGTTGGTGAATATGTGCAGCTCTTCTGGGCGGACTTGTTCGATGGTGCAACGCCACTACCCAGAGGCTGTGACAGGACGGTCTCCAGGAAGGTTTGCCTCGGCTCTGAGGCTGTGACAGTGTTCTTCATGACCTCCTTGATTTCAAGCACTTTGGGGGTATCGGCAGCGTCTTCATCGATGTGAGATTTCACAGGTGCTTCAACGATAGCTCTCAAACGTAGCTTGAGCTTCGCTTTCGCAGCCCTATACAACTGTTTGTAGATGGCTGGGTTGTTGCTATCGAGGGTGACGTAGGTGCCTGCGGAATCGGAGAATCGATCGAAGCGGACCTCATGCTCCGCGGGGATGCTAAGAAGAAAACGGAGCTGTAAAACCAGGAATTAGCCGTAGTTCACGCAGGCGTTGGTTGGGGATCCAGCCGGGCCTGGTGAGGATGAGGCGTCAGTGAGGCAGACGAGCGCCACATACCTTCTGTGGAAGCACGTTGGCTCCGAGATCACGAAGAGCGAGCTTGAATCTTCGATTGGTCCCATCAATGATGACCTTGACAGTGATCAGAGTATCAGGGCCAACGGGACCTGGATGGGGATGAGGAGTAGCCATGCTGGATGATAAGGACCTAGGCAGGCGGTGTCAACCGGGTTGGACGATTAACAGCGAGCAAGGCGAGAGGCGCGGCTGATGCGTAGAGACACCTCAAGAAGGAGAGAGCATGGACGATAAAAGTACCCAGGATACCTCTCCCTAATATCAGGAGGAGTAGATGGAGGATGGAAGGCGGTTTGAGCAAGATCAAGGTGTAAGTGAGAGAGAGTGAGAGAGGCGGTCGGGTCGATGATAGAGAGATGACGGTAAAGCCGCAGCCTGTTCCGTGGAGCGGGCGGGGAAACCAGCAGCACTGGCACTGGCACTGCACTTCCCTTCGTTGCACGTGAGCAGGCAGCATCGCAACAGCAACGGAATTCAATAGTACGCACGAGTTACGGCTAATCATTCGACATTATTGCTCAGTGGCACGTACTGCCACTGTAGCCGTGACGGAAATACCTATGAGACGCTCCAACCACTTCAACCTCTCATCGAGCCCCATGCTCACCGGTCGGTAGCCGGCCACTGTCACTAAATACACACCCTCGACACGTACCTATTTACGACACCGTGGGGGATGATTATCGCCGTCTCTTTTCCCACCTGCCCAAAAGTCCGGACATCTCATCCCCTGCAGTCGATCACGGCGTTTTTCTGCTCGCCCTGTTGATCATCGGAGTGTCGCTGCCCGCGCCCTCACGGAGAGCACAGCCTTGTGTCATTCGCCTAGGAAGTCAACTACGCCGATCAAGAGAATGCCTGAAACAGTCTTTCGATTTGTTTCTTTTTACAAGCCCGCGTTGCCCTACTTTGGCCAGTCTGTTCCAAGGCTCCTCTAAGCGTCCCCAGAGAATGTTTTTGCAACCACGAGATATAATGTACATGAAGGATATGGTCAAGAATATCTCGAAAGCAGGACAAGCGACGTAGGAAAGCCCTCCGATATCGCTGAAACCGGACATGCCTGCTCGCTCCCCAAAATGCAAATTGACTCCGTCTCTCGTGAGTCAAACCAAGTCGAACCTATTAAGAGACAATAAGCGGCACAGAGGAGATCATCCAGACTGTGCCTGGTAAAACATGCCAGCGGGCGCAGAAGGAAGGTAAAAAGGAGGTTGCCCGGACATCCTGTTGGACATCGCCGTCATGTTACCATTGGAAGCAACTGGTAGGGGTTGCAGTCCGCTTGGAGCGTCAGGCGCGAACATCGGGGGATTATAGTAATAGACCATTCCGTTTGACTCGTGCGCAACAGGGTTGGGTGGCATTCCGCCTTCCACAGCACCAGGAGCAGGCATGTACGCGACAGGATGCGAATGAGAACCTGGGACGAAGCTAGGTGCCAATGAGGGCGCATGCATTTGGACGCCATAAGAGTTCGTGTCCACCATGGGGGGATAGAACAGCGTGCCAGGGTTGTAAGGCGCGCCAAAGTAGGCCGGCGCTCCCATTACAGGGTACGATGGATAGCCTTGTGCGAAAACTGCGCCTTCGGGGATCTGTGATAGCGGCGCCACTCCAGCCAGAGCTGGTGCGGCTTGTTGACCAGGTTGGACCTCCTTCCCCTCCGCATAGGCATCGACAATGTGGGCTGGGACCTGTTGATGAAATGGTTGTTCTTGCTGCGGTTGCGGGGCCTTGAAATGGAAGGATGCTGGAGATTCAATGTCTGCAAGAGACACCGCTTTCTGAGGTCTTGGTTGATGCATTGGTATAGCAGTGGAATGGCTGCCATACATGGGGGGAGCTGGTGCACTCATTCCGATCTGACCATTCAAGCCGTGCATCCCACTCCTCGAAAGCGACGGGGTAGGAACCGTTGATGGCATCCGAACAATAGGCCGGGTGCTTTCCATGCCAGGAATGCCCATGCGCGACAACACCGAATCAGCTGGCGACCGTATACCGTCCCTTAGGGTAGATGCCCCCACCGAAGATTTCCGGCTCATTGCAACACTCGGAGTGTAGGTGCTGCCATAAATGCTCGGTCTTCGGCTTCCATGGAAGCTTCCCCGCCCACGACCACGATATGATTGTTGGTTTGGACGCATTGCTCGAGGAATGAAGATGAAAGATCTCTCGGTGCTGGGGAAAATATATCGGGGCGCAGTGTCAGGTATTGAGATTCGGACGGGTTTGTCTCGCCTCAAGGGGGGTCGGTGTTGCGGTAGCAGTGTATGTTGTTTTTTGACCACATTTGGAACGGAGATTTTCTGAGCCATTCCCGGGAAGGAGATCTGAACGGTGACATTTCCCAGAACTGTTGAAAATGAAAAGGATCTGTTTGGAGCCGTTGACGCTGCAGGGTTCTGCGTTCGTTGCATTTCTGAAAGTCCGTCTTGCTTCCCTTGCAGCGCTCCTTCTCTCGGTGCCGTTTCAAGGCCTTCATGAAGATCATGAGCCCAAGGTCTGTTCGTAGGCTCATTAAAGCCGCCGCCGCGCCTGTAACAAGTCAGAAATTGGTTGTATCATATGTTATATTGAACATACCCTGCTTCATGTACCGGGGCCGCGAATCCCCGGCCTCTGCCGCGTCCAAATGTCCTCGGGTGCTGTCCCGAGGACCTTGAATTGCGATCATCGTGAAGGAAGAACCCGCCTCGAGTAGGCACGAATGCAGGATTGGCGTCGCGCTGCCTAACATATTCTTGATGCTCCCTTCGGCTGCGTTGTGAGACTGTCTCATGTCGCGGAGCCTTGGGAATCACAGTTTCGCTGCCAGTGGTAGCTTCATTCCCCGCGGGTATTGCCAGTTCTTCGAAACGAAGTTCTTCGGGCTCTTGCGATTTTGGAGGCGCATTTGATTCGGGCGGCACAACATCTGTACCGGCGGTGGGCTGCAATGGATCTCTAGAGTCCGGTGCTTTGACTGTAGGAGCATGATCATCCCCATCTTCACCTTGTTGCTTAGCGGATTTGGCTTTCTTTTCGGCAGCTTTCGCCTGCTCATGTTCATCTCCACTGGAATTGCTGCCTTCTGCCTCTACATCTCCTTCTTCATCTTCATCATCATCAACATTGCTCAGTGCAGAGCCTTCGCTCATCGAGTCATCTTCCAAGTCTCCCACCACCGACGCATCATCTTCCCCATCATCTTCTCGCCGTCTTCTACTGGCAAGCAGGTTTTTCTTGTGAGTCGCAGGCATGGTTTCGGATCCTCTGCGCGACGCAGACTGGCAAGAAGGACACGGGTCAAGAGGCCAAAGTTGAAATCATTCTCGTGGTCGCGATGACTGGTCCTGAGTCGACAACGGCACGACGCAGCCAGTGGTTTTCTCCGAGCACTCGTTATTATGGAAACATGTCAAGGCGACGCCGGAATGCGAACAGGATTGTTGGGGATGTGATCATGAAACCACTGACAAGATTGTCGATGTGGACAGCAAAGAAGTCCCAGCAATCGAGACACTGTCCTTCTCCCAACAGCTTCAGGTCGTCAGAAAAGTCCGTACGTAGTACGTAGTGGTGTAGTGTCCAGTCGAGGGCGAGACCTTTTGAAGCACTGGCATTCTTGCCCCAGACTTTCGTCACGGGGTTTATTAGTACGACGCCAAGCGCATCTGTTGCCTGCACAGGATGGGGCCATGTTATTGGTCAGTGACCCCAACTGGCGAGCCTCTAGGAATTGTATGTACATGGATAGACATTGTCAGATGGGAGTGTGGGAGTGACTTCACATGTCTCGTTCCTCTAAGTCTCCCTTTGTCTCAGTGTTGGTATCTTCTGTGCATCCGTCACGTAGATAAGGTAGAGTACATTTTGAATGCCATTTTGGCACAAACTAAGTAGCATTGCGACAATCTCCATATCATTCTTCAAACACAACTCTTTGACCTTTGCTCTCGACAATGGCACCGGTCAACTTCTGCACCGTCTCTTCCGCATATCTGCCACCTGACCTCTTTTTCTTCCCTTTGTCTGATCCACGCCAGGCGGGCTTAACCACTGTGTCCTCGCTGACTTCCTGAATGGGCTCCTCTGCTTCAGACCCAGTCCCTTCTCCTGAGGTCGTTGATTTGGCCTGCTTTCCGTAGCGCTTTTGATATCGGGTGGCTTTGTCCTCAGCAAATTCCATCCTCAATTTCCTTCCTTTTAGGGTGGAAAGCCATATTCTCTGACTCGACGATCTCTTGTTCGTAGAGAGTCCTTCCCCGGTGTGTCGGGGTTCGATCCAGCCTCGCATTGCAGATTCAGCCGATGATTGCTGCTCGAAGTCAATCCAGGCAAAGCCTTTACATTTGCCAGTGTCTTCGAACGTAGCCATGTGAGTGTGCACGATTGGACCACAAACACCAAAATGTTCCTCAAGGTCTTCCACGGTGGTGTCGAAGTCCAAGTTGCCCACGAAAATGCGCTTGCTGGGTGGATGAGCCGGCCCTCCATCCGAACCCTTTTTCGGCTCCGGTCTGCCTTCAAAGTTGTTTGCGTTCTTGATCAAGACCCGACGTCCACCTAGAAGACCCTCGCTGAATTCCAGAGCGTTCTGGAGAGCGTCTTCATCAGAGAAGTCAACATAAGCAAAGCCTTTGTTTGCAGGTTTGCCGAATTTTGGCTGTCCCTGAGGGAGATGAATCCTGGTGATCTGATCGTTACGGATAACATTCTTCGAGCTCTCAGTAAAGAACTTAAGAAGGTCGTCTTTGGTGGTGCTGAATGCTAGATTTCCGATCCAGATTCCATATTCGGACCGCTTCTTATTCTCTTGGGTCTCACTCCGTTGATTTGTAGATTGGCTGGAGGTGCCATCATTGTTAGGAGTGATTTTCGCTCTCTTTGCTTTTCGTAAGGCCTTCTTGGAAGGAGGCTCTGGGGCATCAATATCGATCTCAATGTCTGCTGCCTCTGCATTTCTCTTTCGACTCTTAGTCTCCTCACTGGAAGTCGTGACTTCTGTGACGCTCATTTTTCCGTCTGAGTTTGCGTAGGCCTGGATAAATGATTGTGATTAACCGGGGTGAAGCAGACAACGTTACAGGAGTGGTGACTTTTACTTGAGGGTAAGGATTTTCCTGCAACGGAGACCTAACAAATAAAAATAAAATAACCCGCGCTATCACTTCGATAGGCCCAAAGTGCAACTCGGACTTTTGGAGACTTCGTCACTGCAACCCCCAAACGCGCGCAGGGGTTTCAATTCAGCAGCATTTCACTTTCCTCTTGCACTTACGCGACGTTCAAGTTCGAATTCTCCCACTTGTTACAACTCATTCGCGCTCTGCTTTTTTTCTGACGATGAACGACATGTCTCTGGCAGAAGAGCCAGTGGTTGCTCCCACCATGGCGGATCAACCAATTCCACCTGAGCAACCTGCCGCTTCCAGAAAATCATACAGGTAACTAGCACTTCGCACCGGGAACGGGTGAAGCGGTGTCCTAATTCTTCGGCAGGCGCAAGTACCGCAAAACCATGGTGGCATTTGAGGAGAAAATGAGAGAGAATACGTCGCTTTTCAGAGAGGAGCAACGACTCATGAACATCTCACAACGGCTGGCGGAGCAGAACGAGTGAGAGCACAGATGGCTCGCCGACCTTCCACTGCTAACGATCTCTTCTAGTCAATTGCTTCAGCTGCTCGTCGAATTGAACTCTTGCCCGCAAGTGCCACCGACACTACGTTATGATCTCAAGCCCCTGGGAGACCAGAGCACAAGGGATGAGGGTCCGGAAGTGCTCATTAGTGAAGAAGATGGACACCTAGAGTTGCAGAAGGCCCGAAACCAGCTACGAGCGAAAGAAATTGATGAGACCCGATATCGAGAAATCGAAGCTAGCCTTCTGAAAGCCCCGGCCTTTGCACCCAAACGTTCTTACGCCTCCCTGCTCTCCGTTGCACCCAACCCCCGTCAGTCGGCTGAGAAGTTGGAGACAAATGGTGAAGAAACCAGTGCATTTCTGTCGACGAAACAAGAGGAGCAATATCTACAAGCACTGGACGCGTTCCTCGACGGGAGCAGCACGAATCCGAGATCGCATGCCGCCGGCAGTCTGGGAAGCCGAAGCGTGGAAAGGACGGCGGACCGCGAACGAGAAACACAGTTAAGAAATCCCGTGTCTGTGTATAATTGGCTTCGCAAGCACCAGCCGCAGGTATTCCTGCAGGATCATGAGCCGGGCTCTGAAAAGCCATCCCGAGCAACTGGTTCTCGAGTTTCCGCAAGGAAATCTGCCAACAAAGAGGCTTTGAAGCAGGAACAGGAGCTCTACGACGATGACGGGATCGCATTGGACGTGGGCTCTTCTTCAAGAGGGAAGCGTAAAAGGGACGCAGATGGCGGGTATCGACCGAAAGGGGGCAATTCCAAGGGGGGCAAGCGCAAGAAGGAAGCGAAGGAGGATACCGGTCGTAGCAAACGGTCAAAGAAGTCGGCCGCGGAGGGCAGATAGCACGCGGTAGGTACCTAGGTAGGTATCTACCTGATGTTATTACCAGGAGTCCAGCTCTACGTACGTATGATGCAATCACGGTCAATAGCTCCGCGCTCTTGTGGAAGAAATATCTCCGGGATTGAAAAGGCCTCATATGTTCCCGAGTTTTACAGTTCCCTAGGTATGTTGGATAGGTGCGATGTCTTATGCTCGTATTGTCTCCTGCAGAGACAGACGTTGTGTGGCGAGGTAGTAAGCTGGAGAAATTGGTGCTTAACGTCGTGGTATGTCAGATGTGCATCGAGGGGCGGCTTCATTAGGTGTCAGCCATCCGTGCTCTCTCGGCAACTTTCTGGCATCCGCCCCGATTGATAGCTGCTGCTACTCTACAAACATACGTAAGTATTCCTTCTTCCTTTTCTAGGAACATAGATAGTCATCTCAAGTCGACCAGCTCCTCACAACGTGGCTAAGCTACCGGTGACCTTGTTTGTACGAACCTCAGCATGCACTAGGCCAAGCAGCATTGATCAAGAGGCCGAGCACTGACGCCATCCCTCTATCTTCATGGCCGGACTGGAGCAGATCGAGGTGCACTCGAGGGTACGCGGAATCTCACTTCACCTGCAGACGGCGGCGACAACTGCTAACTGGGCACTGTGCAGGACTACCTCATACGTTGGGTGAATGTGAAACAGGAGCACACCATTTCCTGGACCATTCAGCCTCACAAGAAATCAATCAACTTTGGCTTGTTCAAGCATCCCGGGCCGCAGGCGAACCAAAATCCAGGCCCTCCTTCACTACCACCTCCCTCGCCCAGCCCGTCCGCCGTCGACGAAGACAAGTCAGACACGAGCTCCACTGCGATCGAGAGGCTGACCAGTATCGGACTCAAACAAATACGATGGATGGGCAAGTGTGAGGCCGACCGGGTAACCCAGGGCAAGCATGATGTACGTTCAGGAGAAGGGGGCAACTATGCTCTGGTGTTCGACAATACATTCTCGAAGAATACATCCAAAACAGCAACCATCTTTGTTTTGACATATCCCACGGCATGTCAACCGCAGATCCAATTTGGCGCTCAGACCCAGCACACCCCAGCAATGGCTTCGGCGATGGCCATCGCTTCAGCATCTTCTCAAAAGTCCAAGAGGAGCCCCAAGCTAAAGGCCAAAGATAAGGTATCCGAGGACTCACTCAGACAAGCATCTGTTAGTCAATCGGGAGCTGGAAGTATTGCTCCTGTTCCGGAGGGTCTGCAACTTGCGGGGGATGGGGATCCTGCCACAATCCATACAGGAGTCCTCCACAAGCGCCGCCGGAAGAAACATCAAGGCTATGCGCGGCGATTCTTCTGCTTGGACCTGACCACGGCTACCTTGTCTTACTATCGGGATCGGAACTCCTCAGCACTCCGAGGCGCCATCCCGCTGTCGTTGGCAGCTATTGCAGCCAATGCCAAATCAAGGGAGTTCACAATCGATTCCGGGGCTGAGATATGGCACCTTAAGGCGAGCAATGAGTCCGATTTCGAAGAATGGAAGAGCGCTCTAGAAACCGCTGCGCGGCTGGTGAAGGAGTCTACCACTCCAGGTGATAGCATGAATATCTCCACCGGCAGTACCGGGGCCAACGAAAAGTCGAATTTGTTTGATGACCAGGAGTGGGCCAGGCTGGAAACTCTGCTGAGTAGGATTTCAGGGACACGCGATGCCGTACGAAGGCTTTGCCTGGAGACGCTGGCCCAGTCAATGCCGCCGTCGTCACCTCTTTTGGGTCCTACATCTGTAGGGTCAACCCCGACGGATGGCCCGACGGAGGATTATTTCAAGCAAGACGATAGGCGATCTTTCTGGAAACGAAAACCCAGTACTCATAGCAGTCAACCGAACATTTTTAAGCGGAGTGTTTCTGGTCAACTGGCAGTCCCTGCGCCCGCCACCGAGCCCGGTCAACGCAATGGCTCGGTATCTCCTGCACCAGCTCAGCGGCCCCGGCTTGCTCATGAAGAAAGCATGCACGACCACTGTAGAGCAGTGCTTCACGACCTTGACTCAGTTGTCAGCGAATTTGCGTCCTTCGTGACGGAGCACAAGATGCGACATGCGGCGCCGCCCAGGTCGGCAGTTTCTCGAATGAGTCTGCAGTCGGTGGATTCACAAGAGTACTTTGATGCGGAAGACAAATCTGGGGTTTTCGATATCCACAGTGATACTGAACATGAGGGTTCTGGGTCTGATGATGGTGGTGCCGAGGACGAATTTTCCGCGACAAGCAGTGACTTCGGGGACGACAACCTGGAGGTGGTAAAGCGACGATCTGGCAGTGTATCCACGTTTCTACCACCGAAATCTAGGGCATTGACGCCCTTGCCATTGTCTCCGATCCCCCGAAGGCGGTCCATCACAGCCCCAACTGTGATGCCTCCCAGCCTGATAGGGTTTCTTCGGAAGAATGTAGGCAAAGACCTGTCCACCATATCGATGCCGGTTTCAGCGAATGAGCCGCTGTCACTACTGCAGCGGGCGGCAGAGCAGTTGGAATACTCCCAGCTTCTGGACCATGCTGTGCAGTGTACGGACGTTTTCGAACGACTCATGTACGTGACTGCGTTTGCTGTCTCATCACTGTCGAACTCGCGCGCCAAAGAGCGGTCGATCCGCAAACCTTTCAATCCCATGCTGGGGGAGACGTATGAGCTGGTCCGAGAGGACCGGGGATTCCGCTTCATCGCCGAAAAGGTGTCACACCGCCCCGTGCAACTCGCATTCCATGCCGAGTCCCAACATTGGGTCTTTACCCAATCGCCTCTCCCATCGCAGAAGTTCTGGGGCAAATCATCCGAGATCGTTACGGAAGGCAAAGCTCGATTGGTGTTGTACCCCACGGGCGAGGTCTACAGTTGGTCCGCGGCGACGTGTTTCTTGCGGAACATCATTGCGGGAGAGAAGTACGTGGAGCCTGTGGGAACCATGACCGTTGTGAACGAGGCGTCAGGCCACAAGGCGGTGGTGACATTCAAGGCCAAAGGGATGTTCTCTGGGCGCAGTGAGGATGTGGAGGCGCAGACAATCGACAGCAATGGGCAAGAATTGTCTATTGGGCTGACGGGGACGTGGACGAATTCACTGCAGCTGAAGGAGCCCGGCAAGGTTGGGCGATCGACCATTTGGACAGTAGGGCCACTGGTGGACGATCCCCACAAACACTATGGAATGACTCGCTTTGCTGTGGAGTTGAACGAAATCACGCCGATAGAAAGGGGCAAGCTGCCTCCAACTGACAGTCGACTTCGACCCGATCAACATGCCTTGGAACAGGGGGATCATGACCGAGCGGAAAAGCTGAAGAATCAATTGGAGGAAGGGCAACGAGCACGGAGAAAGCAAATGGAGGCCAAAGGCGAGAGCTGGAACCCTCGATGGTTTTCCCGGATAGAATTGGGGGATGAAGTGGTGTGGAAGCTGAAGACCGGGAAAGACGGATACTGGGAGGAACGAGCCCGAGGTGAATGGACGGGGGTGGTGCCGGTGCTTCAAACAGAACAGTAGTCAGTCTGGGGTTAAGATGAACTTCTGTCCTCGTCTCCCCGTTTCCTATTTCTGTTTCTGTTTCTGTCAAGTCTGGCTTGCCGTACACAAAGTGTGGTTGAGATCGGGCTCTATCAAAAGTCCCTTTACGGACATTTGGGGTAGGGCCGGAGAAGAGGTGATAGGACCCACTTAAAGCCACATAGTGCTGTCCTAGCGTGATGACTAGAACATCCTAACATATTAAAACACCGCACCGTCTCTACCGGACTAGGAACTCTAACTAATAGTGGATGTTGGTTTTCCCTATTTCAGTAAGATACACCGGCTAATTCGGAATCAGTGGATTACTAATATATAGCTTACTTTCATGTCCAATCAAATCTCTTACCATCTCGGCCCGGCGGCGATCTGATGTCAGGGCTTTACAAGTTCTGCCACCAAAGATACCGGCCAGTCAGCGTGACTCAGGCTACAAGTAGTGGCGTTGGACTAGCCATTCCAGAGTTAGTACGTACTACTAGTTACTAGAACATGAACTTTGCACTTTGCACTTTTGGACCCTCGCTGCCTCGTGCTTCAACACTTCAGACAGGGTTCTTTCTCTTTCCCTTGAACCCTGGCATCTCCCGGACGCTCTCTTTTCCCTCCTTTTCTTCTTATCAGTCCGTAGTCGAATCCTCTTCGCTCTCCCATCCACTTCAGTGTCTGTGGTGTCAACCTCCCTCTATGACGTACCAGCCCTCGAACTGGCCGCATCTTCTCTCGAGCCATATCCTATCGCAGCATCCCCTTTCGTTCGTTGGCCGGCCTCTTCTCTCACCTCGCGCGTCGCCATTATTGCGGGAACCTTGAATAGACTTTCTCCTGTCATCTCCCCGCCCGTCCTCGTGGCCTGCCTTGGAACAATATCCGACCAGTGTTGCATGAGATTTCGCTGAGGAAGCGAGAAAGGATTCGCGTTGGCCTGGGCACGGACAAACAGTTGATCACTGCCCCTCGGCCTTCCCTATCGGTCTCGGATACGAGTTCCAGATCTAGGGAACCGAAGTCAATAGCGCCCACAGTCGGCGGACGGGCTGCATGATTTAATCTTTTCGCCCGCGTTGGCATGGCCTGGATCACAGTACATACAGCGCAACATCTTCCTTCTGACTCCGTCGTCGATACTTTCTCATACCGCTAAACCCCGTGATCTGCTTGTGCACGTCCGAGCACTACGCACACAAATTCGCGCAACCTGAACTGATGAGACGACGACACGCGTGTGTCTGATAAGACGTTCCAAAACCCAGAGGGACAGGAAAGACAAAAGCGATGGCGACTCCTCAACGCCCTTCACTTGTCAATCGCACGATGGACACTCCTCCTACAACTCCAGGATTAGACGCGACCGGCGATGCCAAACCTGACACTCGCCACGCCCTCGCCTCCGTTCTGACTCCTCCAACCTCGCCACGTGTGAGTCGGTTGTCTTCCTACATTTCGACTGTTACGACCCCTGATCCTACGCCTCAATCGCCAACATTGGGTTCGCGGTCGCAAGGCCGGGGCATGAGTCTTGATCCTATCCAGACGGATCTACCCCAAAGCCGGACAGCCCCCGCGGGATATTTGGTACCCAAGTGTCCCTTTGACGTCGAAATCCTCAAGGACCAGCGCGGAAGAGATGCCATCTTCGGCACCGGCGCATGGAGCATCGTCTACAAAGCCACGACGCGCCCCAAGGCATGGTCTGCTTCAGAATCTTTGACGCCACCACAGTCTCCTACCGTATCCACGCCCGCGCTTGTCGCCGTCAAGACACCCAGCCGACAAGACGCGGCCATCATCCTCAGAAACGAAGCCAAAGTCCTCAGCTATCTCCACAGCTTATCTGGAAGCGATCGATATATTGTCGCCTTCCACGGCATACTTGACGATGCCACCCTGGTTCTCGAAGCCATACCACTTTCACTGGAAGCGCATATTCGCAAACGCGCCGTTGCCGCATCGCGCGAATTCTCGACTTGGACCATGAACGAACCTGTCATCGGCAGCACCAGCACATGGTTACAACTCGCACACCGACTCATCTCCGCCCTCGTCTGGCTTCATGGCGAAGCTGGCGTCGTGCACGGCGACATCAAGCCTGGAAATATCCTGCTCTCGAATATGCAGGAGTCGGACTCTCCCACCGACGACTTGACCTTTGATCCCATCTACGCCGACTTCTCGTCTGCGCAGCTCCTGATCGCTGACGAACCTACTCCCAACACTCTGTCTGCGGTGACGAGAGAATACACGGCCCCCGAACTTCTCAAGTCAAGTGTCCTACGTGATCCTACTTCGACTGCCACCACAGCCTCCGATGTGTTTTCCCTCGCCGTCACTCTCCTCGTCGCTGCGACAGGTCAGCTACTCGTATACCCTGGCAGTGTATTCCAACGGCAACTAATGGCAACGCAAGGATGGATGGTTCTCGACCACGTGAGAAACGGAGAGCAAGGCTCGAGAGTGCCTCGAATGGGTGTGGTTGAGAGAGTCCTCGAACGAGCAGTTCTGAAGGCTGACATGGGTCGCATCGGTGCGCGGGAGTGGCTGGACATCGTGGAGAGCATGGGCAAGGGTCAGCCGAGAAAATCATGACCCCGGCTACGGACCCTGTGACAACCTCCGACTTCCCATCCAGCCTGGATGTTTCACGTTTCTCAGATGCTCGTCTCAAGAAATGCTTATACCACCCCGTTTCGCGCTTTTTTACCCGCACCAAGAGAGAGAGAGGTTCGCTGGATTCTGCCGGCGGAACTTCCACAACACAAACTGAAGCGATCCATATGGCATGGCAGTCTACTGAGATGAACAGCCCGTTGAAACTTTTTTCTGCCTGGCTGGCGGCCAATATCTTTGACCGCCTTGCTTGGGCTCTCTCCGTCTCCGTCTCTGTGCTCCGATACTTTCAACACATTCATGGACCCAAGCAGTCCATTCGCACCGCTGTTGTTCCTTCGAGCCAGATCACGATTCACGTTCGACCTAATTTCATTGACTGAGGGTCGGTGGACGAAACGACAAGCCTTGCCGTGCACCCAGCGAGCAGAACAGAGGAAAGCAGTCAAGTGCTTTTGCTTCATGCTTGAGATGGCACCGTTCGACAAATTTCAATTTACACTTCTTCAGCCGGTTGGTTCCACGGCTAGCTGGCTATGTTATGCTATGCTAGTTTTGGTGTGCAGTCCATGCTTCACAAAGGCCGAATCTGAAGTTTCGGAGTTCACTTGGGACATTGGGTTCTGCCTTTTTTTGGTTCTTTTTCTCTTTTTTCTCTTCCTTCTCGGAATCAAGTTTGGGAACTGCAGGGTGGAGTCAGAAACGCGGCCGCAGGGCCACGGTACGGGGTAGGGTATGTGATGACCTCTCATGACTGGACTTTGAGCGAGGGCGATGGATTGACGGTCTTTTGGTGGGCAGCGAGGGAATGGAGGGCGCTTTTCTATTCTTATCCATTCTGGATATTGATGAATTTTTTAGTATCTACCTAATTAGGTATTTTTAGTATTTTTATGTATGGCGTACCTTATGCCATATGCTCTAGATGAGATTGATGCAAATGTGATACTTGTACCAGCGCAACCTACCTTACCTTACTAGTAGGTATGTGCTTGAAGTGTGTCTGATTCTTATTTGGTGCACTGTACGAGTCATCACATTAGATATACAGCATGTCGACACGGTGCAAGAGTCCGGCTCACTGGAACGAACATCACCAGATTCGTTGAATATTAATACTAATATGGCATAAATTATAAGGTACATGGTAGCTGAAATGCCTGTCCGTTTGCTGTGGTATGAAGTCGTATAAATTGCTCGTCAATGCGCCTTGTCCAGAGTATGCCCGTAATCCTGACCTATATAGTCTCATGCTGGCGGTATTCGGCATGTCAAGACATAGTCCAGCTTATTGCTTGCTCTGCATCGCCCTGAGTGCCTTTCCTTGGGTCGATACTGGGTAGACCTGTAGTGGGCACGTCTCTTTGCTTCGCTTGCTCTCAGATCATAGTTTCTCGTTGTGTTGTTCGCGCATTCCCTCGGCTCGTGGTCATTACTTCGTTCTCGCTCTCCCTATAGTTTCTTCCTCTGCTGCTGCTGCCGCTGCCGCTGTCAACCGCTCACAAAATCTCTCCTCTCGACTGCGCCGCCCATGCTTTCGCAAAACTCGCCCAACCTCGTTCCCCATTCGGCCATTCTTTCTTCCATGTATTTGGCTTGCTCCCTCTTGTTCTTTTTGGCCAGGATACCTTTCTGCGCCTCCCAGTCCCAATATTCGCATGTCTCCGTCCCATCACCGCTGATGATCGGCCGGATTTCGTGCACGCGTTGCGTCTGTAACATGAATTTGGGATATGCTTTCGGCGGATTGTAGCTGTTCACCATCGACCAGACAAGCCGATACACCCCGGACTTGGAAGCCGTGTGAGTGGGAGCGCGCATCAGACTTTCAGGGTCGGCATCGTCCAGAGGGTCATCCGGGCGGGAGACTTCGGTGACGACGACATGCTGTTCGCGCGATTCGTGGCTGTGAGGCAGTTTCATCCTCATGTGCAAGGTCATGCGTGTGCCCACTTGGATCCGCACGCTGGGCTCTCCGTAGAGAGCGTTAATGTGCAATTGGCGCCGGAGCGATGAGCTGGTGCCGCTTTTCCGCCGGGAGGCTTTGTTCGAAACCGCCAACGCGGTTGACGGCGTGTTCGCCGGGGCTGGCATGAGGATTGATGGGTGGGCGGGCGATTCGAGTAGCACGGCGTTCTTGGCTGGGGCCGGCTGTTCACCCGATGCAATGGATGCTTTCCGCGCTTCATATGCGGCTGCATACTTCTGGGCCGCAGATTGACCATTCGTCGAATTTGACCGAGGTGTTTCACCGCTAGGCCTTTCAGAGAATCTGCTTGCATTGCTGGCCAGACGTTGACGCGTCACTGGTGGAAGACTGAAGCCTTCTGAGCTCTTCCGCCTTGAATCACCACCAGTGCCCAGAGGCGAAGGGTTTCCTCCTGTTGAACCCTGTGCACGACTGCCTCGCTTCGGGCCTGGACTGGATGACCTGGCAGCTCCATCTGTGATATCCGAGTCGAAACTCACGGCGATGGATGTGTTGCGCACCAGTTCTTCGATCTCCGCGAGTGTGGCATCGTCTTCTTCTTCAGGCTGGAATGTGATTGTTACTCTGGGCACCCACCGGTTCCAGTCTCGCCATGTCTCGGTGTTCCGTAAAGTGCGGAAAACCAGACTAGCAGGCGCGTTGATTCGTGTACATGCTGAGACATAAAATACTGCCTCAGACATCGGAATATCAGGCGTAGAAAAGTCGGTCTTAGTGTTCGCCATGGTAGGTGAAGACGAACGTAAAGCGGGCAAAGAATTGTCAGGCTGCACTTATGGTCCAAAGCTTGCTCACAACAACCATGCGCAGTCCCCCAGAACCCAGACAAACGTTCTTAAAAGAGGGAGGGGCAGAAGGTGAGCCCGGTCGCTTCTAGCCTCCTTGTCGCCACGCGAAGGAAAATTCAGAGATCGGCCACTGTTGAAGGAGTTAGATCATTCAGGCTTAGATTGTTATCGCGCGCAATATGTCTTAGCGCTCGTGCGACTATCTCCAAAAAGACATGTTCAAGATGATCACCCGGCCTTGAGCCCTCGACAGTTCACCAGCAGGATCAGGCAGAAGAGTATGTGTGGTGGTGTGCAACTGGATCGAAGTCGACAAAAGGGCGTGCCATATGATAGGTAGACGTTGCTAGGTTCTTCCCTCTCCGCAATTAATCGAAAATACGAGGAAAACCCTGACTCAGCTCATACGCATGAAATATAGCTGTGATAGGTAGGTATCTTCAGTGTCACTTCGTCATAGAGGTGCTTGCTGGCTTGAGGTGATCGACAGGCCTTGGAGGGGCAGTTATCCCAGCCACAGTGATAAGGAAAAGTCCGTCATACGACTTGACTGAGGGCGGTCGTGGGGGGAATTAGGAAAGTGGCTGGCGTTGCGACCGAGGAGAACTTGAAGGAGTTGTCATTTCGTTTAGGCCCAGTCTGTGGGGTGCTAGGAGCTGAGACAAGGCGACAGTTAGCGAGGGAGAGCTGCTGCTCATTGCAGTGGGAGAGGGAGGCATGCATCGTTGGCGATGGGAAGGTTGAGAAGGGATCTATTTCCGTAAGAACCTTGGGTAGGTTCTTCTTCCAACTCTGTAGAAGCATTATTGGAGGTGGAGCAAGATCTTGCAGGGTTCAGAATGGTGGGGGATTTTTTTGGAGGCGCTGCAAGATGGAAGATTTCCTGATGAATAATCATAGAGGAAGTTATGGGTTGGTCATGTGATCAGAAACCCCCTGAAAATCTTATCTAATGTGTATATACGAGCGGATGGATGCGAAACGGCTGATACGCCCAAAGATGGCGTTTGGCAGTGTTGGGTAAGAGTAACATGAGGATGAGAGAAACAGAAGAGAGCGAACCTACAAAACTCGATCACGGCCTCGCAAGAAACCAAGGTCATGGACCGGAAAATCAACTTCCTTGACGCGTTTTACATACTTTATTGCCCAGCATTCCCTCATAATCGATGGGCCGCTCCCGCAATCCTCCAGACACCACTGTCACGCCCTTGCTAACTATCCATCCGTCAAGATGACCAAGAGGTACATCTGGCCGAGGCCGGTGTCGCTTCCTCACTGGCCACAGTCTGTTTTCAGCGCAAAGCCAAAAACATTCATTGGGCCGTAAAGAGAGTCAAGCATCTTCGCGTTCGAAAAGATTCTCCAACAACAGCGCCAGCAAGGTGAGAAAATGTACCGGTCCTTGCAACATGATCTTCGAGGGCTCCGCCCCTTTTCACGAGAGGCAGGATGCAAGAAACTGTACTCTCTCTCCCTCAAGAACCTAGGTGTGTGGAAGGCGCAGGCGATAGGGCGCAAAGCGCTACTAGGTCCCAAAGGATGCCAGACACAGAGCAAGTCTGACTCTGCGCATAGATTCCGACATCGCAAACAGCTTTTGGCAGCTCGTCGAGGATGAGAACTTGTTGCTGAGCTTATGGTTCTGACTGCACACGGCGAACCGTCCTTGCGATACCGTAGAAGCATATCCGCAGGCAGGAAATTTCCACAAATGGTACCACCTGCCGCAAGTCGCCACTGGCCAATACCCGATAACGTCGGAGGAAATGTGGAAATTTTTGTATCTTCATTCAACGTAATCATACAATCTCGCTCTTGTTTTCCACTGCCAACGGGGTATCATGAGGAAAAAGGAGGCATGATGATGGTAGTTCATTTTCGTGCTTGTTCTCTCTCAACCTCATACATGAAGTCGAAGTAGGGTTTGTCGAAGGCGTGCAGCCTCACGTAGCCGTCTTCACCTCCACTACCATACCCTGTCCCGAGTGGGTGTACTGCGATGGTGTTCAGTGGCCCGAAGTGACCCTTGATACGGCCAATTTCGTCCTCAAAGATCTTGTGGTAGAATCGTGCTTCGAATTTGCCTTGTCGGGCTGATGTCGTGGTAACGTCCATGGCAGCTTGGCCTCCACCTAGAATAACAAAATCTTTCTTGGGCGTGATGGCCGCAGTGTTGAGCGGCGTGTCGGCGACATACGTCTTGAGAATGCTTAGGTCGCGCGAAGCTATGAGCTAATAACGACGTCAGTAAGAACAGTGTAACCGCCGTGAACACGTAGACGACTAACCTTCGCAGTCTTGTCTTTACCAGCGGTGATGAAGTAGGTTCTGTCGGGCGAAAATTGCAAATCGTTGATAGTCGTATCATATTCGTGCGCCTCCACAACCTGCAAGTTCTCGCCGGTCTGCAATGGCCATCAGCTGATTTCCCGCTAAGTAGCATGGCACAGCTTACCTTTGCATCCCACTGTGCCACTGTCCCATCCTCATGGGCAGAAATGATGTATTTGTCCAGATAACTCCATCCGGCGACGGTGGCCTTGCTGTCTTCGCAGGTGATTTTCAAACTGTGCTCATCGGTCTGGTCTGTAAGGTCTTCTCCGTATCGGATGTCGTAGACAACAATTGTTCCGAGATAGCCCATGCGCTTTTCGGTCACAGCAAGCAGCTGTTTCCCGTCCTCGCTAAACTCGACACGTTTGACGGCAGTCGGAAACTCCCAGGTCTTGACACATTCTCCCGTCTTCACGTTCCACAGCTTTATCGTGTTGTCGGCCGCTCCAGAGGCGAGAAGAGTCGAGTCGGGAGACACATCGACGGTCCAAATTGCACCCTGGTGGCCGTTGTATGTTCCTAATCTTTCTCCATTGCTGGTATACCAGGCACAGATGACCTTGTCTTTTGCTACCGAGAACAGTAGATCGCCTTCTTTGTTGTACTTGATCTGATTAATCGACCGCTCCTAGTAATGAACGGTCAGCGCAATCTCGGTTTGAGTTTTCGAAGGCTACGCACATGGCCTTGCAACAGTACAGGCCTCATCTTGGAAAAGTCCTTCTTCGAGATTCACTCGATATGTCCACCGTTGGAATGAATTCGGGAATCTATGAAGACTAAGCTTGTCGATTACCAGTCCTTGGTCTGAATTATGCTGGTCACGTCTGCTGTGAAGTTGAGGCGATGTGGGAATTTGCTGGCCAAGACTGCGGTCCGCACGAGTCATGGGGTTTTCGACCACTTCCGTCCACGACTCGCGAGCACAAATCCTTGACATTGTCATGACTCTTGAAAAAGTTCGTTGCAACCATTACCCGGCCTTTCAATGGGATCATACGCGTAGATCGAGAATAACAACATCTCGGTCTATCGTCCCTACGTTCAATCCACGGAGCTGCAGCCCTGGATATGGCCAGCAGATTGACCAGTGCAAGTCATCTACGAGGAACAACTTCTGCAGGTCACGTATATTTCTCCAAAATTTATACTCCCCGGCCTCCAAGATCGATCTTCCCTCTTACTCTCCCGTGTCACCGAACGCTCAGGACTGCGCCTTCGTTCAGCTCTGTTTGCGAACGAGTCAATCGCGCTTCTAAGGCCTCCGCATCTCTTGCGCTCTCAGCTGCCACCTCTATTACCCACCTGCGAGCTCTCAACTCGGTGCATGGTGCCGCGCTCACAAGGGACATCCCACTATCACTCTCAATAAGTCGCCGACACTTCTCTACCACGCAAGTAAACATGGGGGCAGTCAAGATTGATGGCAAGGCTGTTGCGCAGAAGATCAGGGAGCGCTTGGCTACTGAAATCCGTGAGAAGCAGGAAGTGAATCCACGATACAAGCCATGCTTGAAGATCATTCAAGTGGGGGACCGCCCCGACTCAACCACATACGTCCGAATGAAATTGAAAGCTGCTGAAGAGGCTGGCATTGAATGTGCCCTGATCCATCTCCCAGAGACAATTTCAGAGCCCGAGCTGGTACAGCAGATCACCGAGTTTAACAACGACCCGTCCGTCCACGGTATACTCGTCCAATTGCCCCTGCCAAAACATCTATCGGAACACACCATCACGTCTGCCGTGCTCGATGAGAAGGATGTCGATGGTTTCGGAGCTACAAACATTGGCGAACTTGCAAAGAGAGGCGGGAAACCATTTTTCGTACCATGCACGCCGAAGGGCGTCATGGTTCTTTTGCAGGAGGCCGGGGTAGAGCTCAAAGGCAAGAACGCCGTGGTCCTTGGCCGCAGCGACATTGTCGGTAGCCCTGTCAGCTATCTGCTGAAGAACGCTGATGCAACCGTCACTGTGTGCCACTCGAAAACACAGAACCTGAAAGAGGTGGTTAAACAGGCCGATGTGTTGGTTGCCGCCATCGGGCAACCTGCTTTTGTCAAGGGTGACTGGCTGAAACCTGGTGCTGTAGTCATCGATGTCGGCACGAACTACATCCCCGACCCCTCGAAGAACTCGGGTCAGCGCCTAGTGGGAGATGTTGAGTTCGAGACGGCAGTCGAGGTTGCTTCCTATATTACACCTGTGCCTGGAGGTGTTGGTCCCATGACGGTGGCCATGCTCATGCAGAACGTCGTCGACGCTGCTTCAACATATTTCGCAAAATTAAAGGCCAGGCACATCATCCCTCTTCCCATCAAGCCTCAGACGCCCGTACCCTCGGACATTGCGATCTCGCGTGCGCAGCATCCCCGACATATCACTCACATTGCCAGTGATGTTGGCATTGCGCCACACGAGCTGGAGCAGTACGGGCCGTACAAGGGCAAGGTCGACCTCTCTCTGCTGTCAAGGCTCGAGCACCGCAAGAACGGAAAGTACATTTTGGTCGCCGGCATCACGCCGACGCCCTTGGGAGAAGGGAAATCCACGACTACGATGGGTCTTACCCAGGCTCTAGGAGCGCATCTGGGTAGATTGACCTTTGCTAATGTGCGACAGCCAAGCATGGGGCCGACCTTTGGAATCAAAGGCGGCGCGGCAGGCGGTGGTTACAGTCAAGTCATCCCCATGGACGAATTCAACCTTCATCTGACAGGCGACATCCACGCCATTACTGCTGCGAACAACCTTTTGGCTGCGGCTATTGATACGCGTATGTTCCATGAATCTACCCAAAAGGATGGACCACTATACAAGAGGTTGGTTCCTAGCAAGAAAGGCAAGCGCGAGTTTGCCCCCGTTATGTTCCGACGCCTGAAGAAGCTCGGCATCAACAAGACCAACCCTGACGACTTGACGGAGGACGAAATCCGTCGCTTCGCCCGGTTGGACATTGACCCCGACTCCATCACCTGGAGGAGAGTTCTGGACGTCAACGACAGATTCCTGCGAGGGATCACCATCGGTCAGGCTCCGACCGAAAAAGGCCACACTCGACAGACGGCGTTCGACATCTCTGTTGCGAGCGAATGCATGGCCATCCTTGCCTTGAGCAACGACCTCCGTGACATGCGTGAACGTCTTGGACGGATGGTCATCGGGTTCTCGAAGTCCGGCGATGCCGTCACCTGCGACGACATCGGCGCTGGTGGAGCGCTGACTGCCCTCATGAAGGATGCGATCAAGCCCAACCTCATGCAGAGCCTGGAGGGAACTCCAGTATTTGTCCACGCCGGACCATTTGCCAACATCAGCATCGGCAACAGCTCCGTCCTTGCCGACAAACTGGCCTTGAAGCTGGCCGGCACTGAGCCGGATGAAGACCATGAATCCAAAGCCGGATTCGTGGTCACCGAAGCCGGCTTCGACTTCACCATGGGCGGAGAACGGTTCTTCAACATCAAATGCCGGTCTTCGGGCCTTGTGCCCGACGTCGTTGTTGTCGTGGCTACCATCCGTGCGTTGAAGGTGCACGGCGGTGGCCCCGACATCTCAGCAGGAGCGCCACTCCCGGAAGCCTACCGCACCGAGAATGTCGACATGCTGCGCGCCGGTTGCGTGAACCTCAAGAAGCATATCGCCAACGCCAAGTCGTACGGTATCCCTGTAGTTGTCGCGATCAACAAGTTCGACACGGACACCGAGGCCGAACTCAGGGTCATTGAAGAAGAGGCTCTCGCTGCCGGTGCCGAGGCCGCCGTGCCTGCAAACCATTGGGCCGAAGGCGGCGCCGGTGCTGTCGAACTGGCCAAGGCCGTCATCTCGGCTTCGTCCAAGCCGAAGGATTTCAAACTCTTGTACGATCTTGAGGGAAGCGTGCAGGAGCGTATCGAGAAGATCGGCAAGGACATGTACGGCGCGGCAGCCGTCGAGTTCAGCGAGTTGGCCCAGAAAAAGGTCGACTTGTACACCAAGCAAGGCTTTGGCAATCTGCCCATCTGCATTGCGAAGACTCAGTATTCCCTCAGCCACGACCCTGCTCTGAAGGGGGCGCCGACCGGCTTCACCGTCCCCATTCGCGATGTCCGGCTCGCCGTCGGTGCGGGATATCTGTACGCCCTGGCCGCTGATATCCAGACCATTCCTGGCCTGCCTACAGCTCCAGGATACTTGAATGTCGATGTGGACCCGGAGACGGGCGAGATCGATGGCTTGTTCTAGGTGGAGAAAAGAAGAAGAAAAACTGATACGCGTGCATGTCTGGTCTTGTTGGCGACTTTCAACAATTGAATATTAAAAGAGATACCCATTTCAACATTATAAGGTGGTAGCTTGAACACTCCAATACAATCCTTGTCTTACAGATTCCCAAACAAACAGAAATCCCGAATGGTCTTGCTTGTAGAAACGTATTTGAATCTTGAAAGCCGCGGCTGCTCTTCATTTTCACACATAAGAAGTCGTCAGTCATCGTTCAAAACAGGAACTTCTTCTCAGTCCAACAAGTTATCAGATGGCGTACTTCATCTTTCCGTCGCCGACCAGCAACAGAGAAATGGATGCTATTCTGTTAGATCATCATGGAACATTTTCCGCGTAGGACAATCTTCTGCCCTTCCACAACATCCACCGTGTGCGTTCAATACATGTAGTTACGTCGTTCCACATGGTATTGTCCGTGCCAGATCATGCCTATGCCTCTGCCCAGGCATCTGTCTTCTCGTCCACATTACCTCCCTTTTCTCTTTCTTCCTTAGGATCCTTCCGGACCCAAACCTTCACGCTTCCGACATTGAATAAAGCAACCTTGACCAAATAGAAAAACGCCGAAGCCATGAACACGTTGAAAAGGACGAATCCCGCCAGAATTGCCAAATTTCTCCAGCGCTCCGAGTAGAACATATTCCGGGAAGCGAGATACTGGTCGCCCGAGGTATAGCGACAGTACTGACAATCCACAGCTGCGAGGGGGTTGAGCAGACTTCCTCCGGCGCCGCGGACGAAAAGGCCAGCATATTCAAGACATGTCTGGCCCAGGGCGGTTGAAAGACATTGATTTCGTGCGGAGCGCACACGATCGCGGTGCCGTGCACGCCGTTGGCCACCAGCCCTGCCATCAGATAAGTGAATGGCGACGCGCGGTACATGAAGTGCCAGAACTGCGGGAGCTGGCTGAAGGGCTGCAGCACCCCGTTGAAGGCGAGCACGAACGAGGAGAACAGGGTGATCAGCGTGGCGGCCGTTTCGGCATTCGGGGCCAGGGCGCCCATGCTGACGGCGAAGGTCGAGAACCACATGGTGAACAGCATCAGCATGAGCCACATGTAGACGCCGCGTTCGCCGTTCTGGGCTTGTGTCCCGTCCTCGTGGAAGCCGATGGCGAAGTACCATGGCAGAAAGAATAGCGTGGTACACACAAGGTTGAAACAAATTTCGGTGACCATGAGCGGGATGACGAACGTCGTCCAGCGGTACATGTAGGACGGCTTCTCCCGAGCCGTGTATAGTTGGGCCATGGTGTAGAATTGGTGCTGGAACTGGTTCATCAGTGGCATGGTTAGGATGACTGCAGCGAAGACGGCGAATAGCTTGTTCTGCATTCCTTGCAGCGAGTTGGCTTCTTTGTAGAATGTGAAGCCCAAGAATAATCCAGCAAGTATGTTGAGCATGAGTTTCGCCATGATGAAGCCCGGCGTTCGCCAGTAGTGGAGGAACAGTCTGGATTGCACGGCGCGGAACTGGGTGCTCCAGCATTCTGCGTAGTCGCTGCCAAAGCTGTCGGCGTGATGCTTCGCAGAAGGAGGGTGGACAATGGCATATTCATTGTGGAGGGACCGGATTTCTCGGTGGACTTTTTCATATTCAGGTGATTTCGTCCACACGGCATTCCAGTTGAATTTGAGGTCGGATTTCGAATCAGCGCCGATGACATTCAGGATGTATTCGGCGGGGTTGGCGTTCCGGGGACAGCTTTCTCCGCCATTAGATTCGAAGTACTGGATGACTTCCTGAGATTGATCACCGATATCGCCGAAGTAGACTGTCTTTCCGCCTTTGGCCAACAAGAGTAATCGATCGAATTGTTCAAAGATCATGGAGGATGGCTGATGAATAGTGCAGAGGACCGCTTGCCCAGAGTCGGCAAGCTTTCTGATCAGCCGGACAATAGACCAGGCTGACAGCGAGTCAAGGCCGCTGGTTGGCTCGTCCAGGAAGAGCAGGATCTCAGGCTTCGCCACCACTTCCACTGCGATGGTGAGTCGTTTTCTTTGTTCAAGGTTGAGGCCATCCCCTGGTGTCCCGACAATGGCGTCGGCAAAGTCCTGCATCTCCAGCATTTCAATGACCGTCTCTACATAGTCGAGCTTTTCGGCCAATGGGGTCTCCTTTGCCTGTCGGAGTTTCGTTGAGAACTGCATCCCCTCCCGCACCGTGGATGACTCGAGGTGCACGTCCTGTTGTTGCACATATCCAGTCATCCGTCTGAACGAACGGCCAGGCGGTGAGCCATTAACATAGCAACGACCGCCGACAACACCAACGTTAACTGGTGCGGCAAGCACCCGAAGCAAAGTTGTCTTTCCGGCACCCGACGCTCCCATTAAGGCTGTTAGGCTCCCTGGCTTGATATAGCCGGTGATGTTGTCAAGTAACCTGCGGTTCGAGCCATTGGAAAGTGTGATATCGTATGTTATGTCTTGCCATGTGAAGAGATTTTTCGTCTTCACAATGCCGCCGGACCTCGAGACGGTGGCTGAGATCTCCGTCAGGGGTGCGTTGTAAGTCTGCGCCTCGGTATCATCGGGACTTCTGCCTGCCTTGAGAGCCTTCTTCACGCTTTCGGGTTCGTGGCCTCTCAGATACATCAACTTTTCCTCCGTGCGTTCAGCCCCAGACATCTTCCACTCGGTTGCCACTGCAAACAACACAAGGAAGCCCAACAGAAATGCGCAGAGGATACCGAAGTTTCGCCAGACATGGGAGTAATTATAGTCAAACGACACTTGAATGTAGTCGTCGCCATTCACAAGCTTTTGGCCGGGCCCTGCCCCGGTCACGGCACATACTTGGTGCTCGAGACTGACATTCTGATACCCCGGGCCAGATGGTACCAGAATGTCGCATGGTGCCTTTAGACTATGGAACTCGTTCGCAACAAGGCTCGCGAATGCATATTGGAGGGGGTTGATGTAGATAAGCCATTTGAACCATGGATGCATGCTTGGTCCTGGAACCATGTAGCCAGTGTATATCACAAATACCAGTACGGAAATGCCGGCCACGCTAAACGCCGCTTCTGATGTGTCAGTGAAGGTAGCAACGGACCGGAAATAGGCGCTTATAATGAGAGCCGATACGTATGTGATCAGGCAGAAGATAAAAAATGCGCCTGCACTGGCTTTGAGGCCGACCATGAAATAAAATATGATGTTGAAGACCATAGAGTTGAAGAGTCTGTAAAGGTCATCCACCAGTACGGTGGCTAGGGTATCGATAAAGGGGTGATACATTGCATAGGTTCGTTGACGACGGATAATTGGTCTCTGGTCGTACATGGTGTTTATTTCCGTCATAGTTTGGAGGGAGTTGAAGAGAATTGCGAAGAAGAGAGCTCCTCCTTTGGAGAAGAATCCAGAGGTGGATTCAGGCACACTGAAGAATAGACTGCCCATGATGAGTGCCATGAACACAGAGGAGAAGCCGGTAGCACCCAGATACGCCTTGTCGCCGATAAGCCTTTGGATGGCGCGTCGCGTGTTGGCATAGAACTGTGTACGCAGATCGACGTTGTAGATACTGCGTTGTCTCTGACGCTTTGCTTTGGTCATGGAGCGATAGGCTTGATACTTTTCCAGTTCGGCCTCATGGTTACGATGGGCTTCCACATACGCACACAACTCTTTTTGTTGTATAATGTAGTGTGGGCTGGCTTTCCATAGCTTCACGAAGTCTTCAGCAGACCTAGGTACCCGGGACTCCCAGCCGTTTTTCGCTGTTCGAGCAGTCGGGTCAGTCATGGCCGTAAGGAAGTCGGCCGTCGTTTGCTGCGGGTGACGAAGTAATCCCAGCTCGTCGAAGTAATCTGCAGCATCAACTACTCTTCCGAAGAATATTTGACTCCCTTGGTATAGCAAGCAGACTTTGTCGAATTCGTCGATTAGGTTCTCACCAGCCTGGTAGAGTGACACAACAATCGTCTTGCCAAAACGAGTTGCCATGGCTCTCATAAGAGAGATCAAGCCGTGCACTGTTGAGGAGTCGAGGCCGTGCGTCGCATTGTCCAAGATCATTACAGAGGACCTCGTAGCAAGCTGGTGAAGAGTTAGTAATCAGCGACCGTCATGAAGCAGAAAAGATTTGAAACAGACCGCCTCGGCGAGCGAAACCCTCTTTCTTTCACCGCCACTAAGACCTCGCACGTAATCGTTGCCAACTTTGGTGAAAAGGGTGTGCTGCATCCCAAAGAGTTTCGTGTATAGATCTGTAAGTGCCCGTATAGATTGTGCTGGTGCGCTATTGTCGATTTTGGGTCGCGGTGTTTTAGTCTCGGAGGCGAAGTCCAAGGTATCGCCAACGGAGAGATGAGGAAAGTGGACGTCAACTTCGTTCGTTAGTATTCGTATCTTGCTCGAATTCGGTGGACCTACCGTCTGGGATATATATTGAGTCTCCAGGGAAATGGCTTTTGAAGGTATGAATGTCCAGTCCGTTGTATTGGATTTGACCTTTCCACCTTTGCCCTGAGTCGTTCACACCGGCGAGAGCTCTCAGGAGGGTACTAGAGGCGCTGCTGGGACGTCCCAAGACCAGGAGCATTTCGCCTGCCTGCACAACTCCTTCTAGGCCGTACAGAGTACTTCTCTCCACCTTATGATGTCGGAGGAACAGGTCACGTACGACTTTGAGAGGTGCCAGGACTAGGTCTCTCACCGTTGGCTGTAGTCCGATTCCGGTACCTTTCTGCCATGCGCAGAGGTTGGCAAACATCACTGAGGAGTAGGATGAATCTTCTGGGAGTTCTCGTCTCCGGAGCAAAGCCGCCAGCTCCGTTACATTATCTTCAGTCGAGTGACCGTGTAGGAGTTCGTCTGAGACTTGCAAGGCCGTTGCATCTTGCCGTGCATTGTTTCTCTGACCAGAGATTTCTATCCTGTCTTTGCCCTCGTTCATAGGCCTCCAATATTCCCCCTCGTTTAGTGCCTCTTTTGGCGTCTCGCCAGAGCTCGACATGTCGCCAGAGCTGTGCATTGTAAAGAAATATAATCAAGATTTTGGCCAGATTTTCTCTGGCTAGGTAGGTAAGTATGGAGATCTCAAGGAGTAGAAGAGGATGGAGAGTCTGTTAGATGAGGAGTTTTGTGCAAAACTTTCCCTAGCTTCCGGCTGGTACAACCATAGCGACGATCAAAGTATAAACGAAGGGCATCTACAATAAGCCGGCACGGGGCTCCGAATTAAGCATATTTGGGGTAGAAGATCCCCGTTGAAACATCGTGTTTCACGGAAAAACAATACTTGCCGATGAGGCGCCAGGCAGACATCCGCGCCGGCTGCTGTATTTGGCATTGCCAATGTACAACACAGTCACCTTCCATGCTCAAAAGCCGCAGAGACCTACCTAAGGCTTCTGAGATCAGGTTGGTGGAGGAGTAGTCGAGTTCTAGAAGGGCGATAGGGACCTGAAGGAAGGAGAGGTGCAAAGGATGCAAAGGATTCAGGATGCGTCGTTCTGTTAAACACGAAGCCAGTCGCTCATTGCGGTCTAGTGCCGGACATTGCCGGTGGAGTTCGGCTCCGATACGGCGCCGTGACGAGATCTGGGGCAAACCGTGCGTAAAAGGAAATCAAATTAGTCGTCGGACAGAAGATAGGGAGCATTGCACACCCTCAGAATTTGGGTCAGACAGCGGAGACGGCGGTGTATTAGTCATTACATCTGCTCGGGGTTTTCTGTTTTCTGGCGCGGAACACATACCAGTTGGTATTAAATACGCTCTATTGAAACCTTGCAGGAAGGTGCCTGATTTGGCAAGTATACGATGTTCAGGTCTTCTTTCCTGCCTGGACCGAAAATGTGCTTCGTCACCTAAGATGATCCTAGTGTCTTCAATATTCAATCTCGTTGAGCGAGCATCTTAGTCGACTGACAGAACCTTGTGGTTCATTCTGGCGAGCCTAGCGCCCTCTTCGTTCCCGTCAAGGATCTTTACAACATGGTATTTGGAGCCTTCGCATTCGTGCACAGATAAATCCTATTTCTCCGGGTGATCTTACACCAAGCGAAAGATGTCTCTGTCTACCAAAAGGTCGGATTCACGGCGAGGAGGCCGGATGTCGTGCGACCTATGCAGACGTATGAAGGTAAGTTATACTAAGCAAGTCTCCCAAACACAATCCCACAATGTGCCCCCTGTTTCCCAGGCGGTACCTTGGCCAAAAGAGAGTAACTGTGGGGAAACCATCGCACAGCCTTGCGAGAGGGCCACCAATACGAAAGATTGGCTTTATGGTGTTACTTGGTGAATGTGACCAGGAAAGATCTCTACAGAGTTCTCGGTTCTGACATCGCCTGGGTATCCTTGCTACTGCTATTGAAGCGTTTTTTCGTTTGTTCATGGCCCCATGGGCTGCCGACTTCCCAATACTACGTCTCAGGTACTAATGTGTCAATGTGTCCAGATAAAATGTGATAGACAAGGCAACCAATGTTCAAACTGTCGACCACGGGGTGTCCAATGTGTCGTCACTCCAGTGGACCGGAAAGCCAACAAAATGAAAAGGTGCTTGTGCAAATCGGTCCTGCGACGGTGATAATTGCTAACCTGCAATGCGTTGGGTCGTCGCAGAGCGGTATTTCTGGATTCAATAGAGTCTCGTATCGAACGTATGGAATCCCTGCTCCATTCGACCATTCCAGATCCTCCAGCCACAATACACGACACGAAACCCTTAAATGAGGAGACACCCGAGTCACTTCCAATCGAGAAGGAGCTGGCAACTCTGGTCATCAACGAGACAGGCTCGCAAAAGTACATCGGTATGTATCAAGATCGCTCCTTGGCCTACAGGCTACAGCTCCACCATTTCATGTGATCTGATCGTCCTTCTGGCGGACAGGAGCTGCTTCTGGTATGTCTATTTTGTCGCCGCGAGGACTGGCTTGGGTTGAGCGGAAGACCGGGACCAGCAGAATGCGAGGAATCATGCGGGAATTTCAACGCAGCGGACACTTGTGGCCATCGTCCAAATCTGGCCACCAATGGAACGACTTCAGCTCCCCCAGGCACAACCTCCCATCGAAGGAAGCAGCCATCCATCTTGCGAACCGTAAGTAATTTGACACTTGGGGCTATCACAGCAACCAACACGCCTGCAGATTATTTCGACTTTTTCAATGCCTCATTTCCCCTGCTTGACCGGCGGACGTTCTGGGAGAACTTCGAACGACAATACTCCAGGGATGCCGACTTCAAGCACTCTTGGTTCGCGTTATTAAACATCGTCCTCGCCATCGCCTGCATTACAGCCACGGACGCAGTGTTGACCAACGTGCTCATCTGTGATCCTCTCTGCTCCACCAATATGGCAGACATGGGATCCAAGTACTTGCAGAACGCTTGCTCCATGTTGTCAGAAGTCATGCTTCTCGACACGGATCTCACCGCTGTTCAGGTGCTTATGGGAATGGTAGACATTTCTAATTCCTACTACAGCGATCTCTCTTTGCTAATTTTCGGGCAGGCTTTCGTCATGCAGGCCTCCATGAATCCCGAGGGGGCCTTCACCTTGATGGGCACAGCTGCACGGCTTGCTATGACTCTTGGTCTGCATCAGTGGCTTGAAGGGTTCGGCCTGTCCAAGTCCGAGCTTCAACAACGCCAACGGGTGTTTTGGATCCTGTACATCCTCGAAAAGGACCTCTCTTCCCGGGTTGCTCGGCCTTCCGCCATTGATGATGATGACATCGACCTCGACGCCGCCTTGAGAAGGGTAGACGATGACGCGGGAATCGCCATATCTTTCACGAGCAAGGACAACCAAAAGTTCTATGCGTTCAAAAGCATGTGTGCCCTGGCCGTTATTCAGAGCAAAATCTACCGAGAACTCTACCGCGCCAACTCGCGCAGAAAGACGGTCGCCGAGCGGATTCGGTCCATCAGCAGACTCGATGCAGAGCTTCAGGACTGGAAAGACAGCATCCCATTGGAGATCAGGCCTGAGCATCAGATCCAGTGCGACGATCAAAATCGCTTCCCCATCATGGTACTTCACTGTGGATATTACGGTTGCTTGTCATCCATTCACCGTGCCAATGCTCACCACGAAGTATGGACCTCCGGGGCGGAGGAAATGGCGACCGACGCGAACGACCTGAAGGAGTCTCCAGCGTCTCCATCGAAGAAAGCCTGGACGAATGTTCGGACTCAGTCATCATATGCGCTCTGCCTTGCTGCGGCCCGGTCGATGCTCCACCTATTGATCGAGTTTCTAGTCAGTAAAGACGATCCACGCAACAGCATGCTCTGGGCCGCCCCTTATTTCCCCTTCCAGGCCTATATGGTCCTGTTCACCCATCTAGTACAGTATCCATTGGACGAAAGGGCCAACGCAGATATGGTACTCATGGAGAGAGCCTTGACCAGTCTGAGCCTAACGATCCTCCCCAATGATGCCTCCTTCTCGAATTTTGCCAGTCACGTCCTGCGTGAATTTCTCATCATCGTACAAGAACACGTCAGGAATGCAAGGGCTAAGGCCTCTCCACCGCCCCCTGGGGAGTTTGGTTTCGGGGCGCGACAGCCACAGACGGGCGGTCCAATCCCACAACGAGAGCAAGACTCTCACACGCATATGGAAACGTCGCCGGCCGCAAGCCTCTCATCGACTTTCGGTCAAACGACTTCGAATAGCTTCCGCTCCGATAACAGAGATTTCAATTCGACGACCGCCCAACCAACTCCTTTCGAACTATTCAATTTGAATGGGCCTTTTTCTACGCCGTCGACTTCTATCAATACTACTACTTCGATTGACCCTACCTTTGATACCGACCCAGATGCTTTGGGGAATCTCATTACGGACGATCCTTTCTATCTTCTACAGTATGGCGACTGGGATTGGAGTACTTGACCCTAGCATTCGCTCTGACAAGGCCATCATACATAGGCCCCTCTGCGCGCTATTGAGAGTTGCTGCCGGTTACTTGAGGGTGGCCAGGTCAAACTGCATGCCTGCACACCTGGCAGACTGACAGACACACCTCCAGCGAAGTGCTTCGCCACATGGGTGATCATTCTCACAACCTCAATATCACCAGTCTCTGTCTTGCACAAGGAAATGGGAGTTGCCCAGTTGCCAGCCAGGGATGGAGACTGTGTGGCTTCAGGGGAGTTCAAGCTCGCAAGGCGTGAGAAATTCGGGTCAGGAGCTCTCCACGAACGGGTACAGCCTTGCCAGGAGAGAAATCTTCGCATGTCCTACACAAAGCCTTCAATGCTACGAATGTCTTTCGGAACTTCCCTCTCTCGCACGCACCAAAGTGGGCTTGACGTGGGCCAACATGAACTTGTCCATGTTGACTTGATGAGCCCGTGTAAAGGATCCCTTTTGGGCAAACACCTCCATGGCATCACGCGTGGACTACAAAGCAGTCAAGCACCTAGGTACGCTGGGGATGGCTGTAATATGCAATTCACTCGACGGACACCAATGTTAAATCTTTGCACGACGTCTGGAGCACGTGAAGCTGGGACCACGCACTCCAGAAGGCGGAGGTCGGGACGGCAAGCAAGTGAAGCCGGATGGCTAGTATATTCTCTGCTCTCTTACCGAATGCATACTTTTACAAGGCCTGGCCGTTCCTTGCCAGAAACGTAGCCCCAAAAGCCTTGCCTTTTCCATGCGTAACAAAGCATCCTTGCGTAATGCTCTATTGGTTGGCCTTGGTTTGACATTCAGTCGTCATTTCATTTCCAAGACCATTCTCATTCCAGCAAATCTGGCCATGCATTAAGGCTTGGGAACATGCAGCGTCTTGCTAACCATCAGACAGCCGTTGATGACGAAGAGAAGACCAACAGGGTGGAATTCGAGCAGTGTTCCGGGCAAGGCCGTCCCCAGAGGTAAAGAATCGTGAACGTGGCCCATGAAAGTCCATGTAGCCATGACCGCCGAACTCGTCAGACAGGCAAAGGGAATCGGCGTGCCTTCAAAGTACTTGGACTTTCCGGTCTTGTCCTTAGGAAGCATGGCAACCGTGACGTTGAACCTGGCCAATCTGGTCAACCCGCAGAGTACGTAGAAGGCCAGGAATAATTGGTCGACATTCGTGCGAAATCCGATGGCAAAGGCCGCCGCGGCAGGGGCTACTCCGAAAGAAACCTGCACAATAACTTCTGTTAGAGAGGATTGCCTTCCCACCCAAACCAAAAAAATGTGATGTTGCCGTGATGCATACCAGATCAGCCAATGAATCCAGCTCTTGGCCCATCAATGAGGACTTCTTCCTCCACCGTGCGACTTTGCCGTCGAAGAAGTCGAAGAACAGTCCAAACGGCATGAGTGCGAAAGCGAACCAAAGGTTGGTCAGGTCCTGCGGGTCGGATAGGCAGTATCGCATGGAGGAGAGGATAGACATGACTGCAGCAAGGCTTGTTAGATGCGAAATCGAGGGGGACTCGACACTGTCAAGGGCACAAACATCCACAGAATCCTGTTCGATCGTGTTAGCATGATACCCCCATACCTTGGTACCGGAAGGGCGCTTACCGTTCATTTCGGTGATCAGGTCGGCCAAGTGCAGTGCCCTTGTTGTCTGTCAGCCTCGGAAGATACTTGAGCAGGGCCGTTGCGTCTCGTCTACCTAATCATGCTGAAATGGCCGGTGTCCTGAGCCAACAGCATGGCCTGCTTCTCTTGGCTGTTATTTGTTGGCTCGACCGAAGTCTCTTTCTCGCCGGCATTGGTGGCACCGGTTCGTCGTGACATGGTTGCGGACTTCAGGACTGGAGGGGACTGATGAGGATGCAGTGGGAGCTTCGTGGTTCTAGAGGAGTTCTAAATGACAGAGGTGTGAAGTGTAGAGACCAAAACCAGAGGTTCTTTAGGTGCGAAAAGGTCGCTTTCTATGATGTTGCTTGCCTGTTGGAGAAACATCGAAACAAGGCGCAGCCACGTTTGCTTGATGACGAGCCACATTTTCTTTCGTCATAGTGCATTAAGCTGGCTACAGAGGAGCAAACTGACTGGGGCGCAGTCTTGAGGCCAAAAGAAAAAAGAGACTGATCACGTGCCAGGAACAATTCAAGATCTGGAGAAAAGAAAATCAGACCCATACAATTGACAGAGGCCTCGAAGGACAGTTCTCAGGCGACCGGCATGGCACATAGGGAAACCCCTAAGTTCTGACCCAGCGACGTCTTTTGTTATCCCAGCGTAATATCTCCCCAACCCAGCCGTAACCATAGTTTTCTGATGGGTATCCTCCTGAACGCCGGAACAATACTTCAGCAAAGACATATGACCGTAGTATAGGTCACAATGTCTAGAACCTGCCCCGGCCTCGAGAGCCGCCTCGTGGGCCACCTCGTCCGGAAGAAAAACCAGAAGAGAACCCGCCACCAAAGCCTCCACGGCCTCCTCTGGGTGCGCCTCGAGCACCACCACCGAAAGACCCTCTTCCTCTCGGTGCGCCTCGTCCTCTGGGAGCACCTCGGAATCCGCCTCCTCTCGGCGCGCCTCGGGCACCAGCTGATTTCTTGACTCGTGCAGAACCTGTAGAAATGTTAGCTGTGTGTCCATGTGAGAAAACAAAGTGTGACTCTGACCTGGCGGTGGTTTGGGCTTGGGCAAAAACCTATCGACTCTTTAGTACAACATCCTCTTCCCACGTCTGCGACAGCACAACTCACTTTTCCAGCGGTAATAATTTGTCTCCTCCGATGTAGAATTTATCTCCGGACTTGAACGATGTAGCCTGGATGCCCTCTTGTGGTTTGATGGTGAAATAGACCTGGTTGATGGGTCCCAAGATCTCATCCACCTTTCCTATCGAAGTCTGCACCCGTCAGAACAGTCACAATTGTATAATCGAGGGATACCTGTTGCGCACCTTGTTCTCGAGGTAGATGGGGGCGTTGAAGTAGGGAATCTTCGCATTGACGGACTCGCAGACCATTTCTCCTTCGGTTGCATGCAGGAATTTGCCCATTTCTGCATCCAAAGTCAGCCATGAACAAGCTGTAGAGACATGTTGGAACTCACCAAACACCTGTGCAGGCGGACCGAAACTCTGCGGTTGGAAACCACCTCGTCCTGCGCCACGACACCCGGGTCAGTCCATTTTGGCGCTCCAGGAAATTGTTGTGCGCGGAGACATGAATTTACCTCCACCTCTCCCTCCGAACGATCCTCTTCCTCTATCACCACCTCGAAAGCCACCACGACCGCGCGAATCGCCTCGGAACGCCATTGTCGGGATTGTTGTTGGGAGAATTGGTTGTGGCCTCGACGCAGACTCGGATTCTGGGGAAGAACAAAATTGTTCGGTCTACGAGCATTAATTATTTGATGCTCGATGTTCCGCGTTGCATGCAGGCAGAATTTCGGAAAACACGTGATCGACATCTCAAATCGACACCGTACCCACTACCACTGGCACAAGACCACATTATTCCACCACATTCACCCCACGACGCTCTCGAGGAGCTTGATTGTGAGCCACCAGAAGAAAGTCAGCCTGAATCCGCACGATCTCTGGGGCGTTTTGAAAGGCTCGAATATGAGTGGAAACGGTACACCCGGCCCTGAGTCATCGGCCCCTGAGTCCAAGACCTCAAAAAGACCAACCAGCCCGACGGCCAGCAAAAAGGTTCCTAGTAGACCCAAAGACATGTCGACGCAAGTAGCCCCTGCCGGTAGCCAGCCGCCGAAGTCATTGCCCGATTTTATCGAGGAGAGAAACAAACTTTTCGACGAGCTCAAGAAACAGCGTGACGAGGAACTGGCCAGTAAGGAGAAACCCGCCATTCAAATCAAACTCGTGGCGGCGCCTGGCCAGGAAACCACCGTCGAGGGCAAAGCCTGGGAAACCACTCCCGGCCAACTACTCAAGAATGTCCCCAAGGAGCGAGCGGGTCAGATCGTAGTCGCCAAAGTCGACGACAAGCTATGGGATCTTGACCGACCGCTCGAGAAGGACAGCAAAGTCTCGTATCTGACCTTCGACGACCCCGAAGGTCGGGATGTCTTCTGGCACTCGTCAGCACACGTGCTCGGCGAATGTGCGGAACACGAATACGGCTGTCGACTGTCCCACGGACCTCCCACGGCCATGGGGTTCTTCTACGACATGGCTATGGAGCCAGGTCGCTCGGTGAAAGAAGCAGAGTGGCCGTCTCTGGAGAGCCGGGCCAAGAAGTTCGCCAAGGAGAAGCAGGCGTTCGAGCGACTGGAAGTGTCCAAGGACGACCTGCGCAAGATGTTCGGCTACAGCAAGTACAAGATGCACTACATTGAGAAGTTCATCCCCGATGGCGAATCGTCGACGGTGTACCGCAACGGCACGCTCGTCGATCTCTGCCAGGGCCCACACATCCAAAACACGCGCAAGATCGAATCGTTCAAGATCATGAAGAACAGCTCAGCGTATTTCCTGGGCGACCAGAGCAACGACTCACTGCAGCGGATCCACGGCGTGGCGTTCCCGACCAAACAGCAGCTGAAGGAGTGGGAGCACTTTCTCGAGGAAGCCAAGAAGCGAGACCACCAAGTCATCGGCCAGCAGCAGAAGCTATTCATGTTCAGCAAACTGTCGCCCGGGTCGCCGTTCCTGCTTCCGCACGGCACCCGCATCTTCAACGCCCTCCAACAAATGTTGCGCGAACAATACTGGGACCGCGGCTACCAGGAGGTGCAGACGCCCAACATGTACGACGTCGAGCTGTGGAAGACGTCCGGCCACTGGCAGCACTACCAGGACGACATGTTCCGCGTGGTGGTCAAAGACGACACAGCCGAGCCCATGCCGCTGGCCGACCAGAAACCCGACGGCAAGCCGATCGCAGAGCCCAAGGACAAGGACAAGGACAAGGGCGTGTTCGCGCTCAAGCCCATGAACTGTCCAGGCCACTGTGTCATGTTCCGCGACGAGGAGCGTTCATACCGCGAACTGCCGTGGCGAGTGGCCGACTTTGGCGTGCTGCACCGCAACGAAGCCTCGGGCGCGTTGTCAGGTTTGACCCGTGTGCGCAAGTTCCAGCAAGACGACACCCACATCTTCTGCACCAACGACCAAGTCCAAGCCGAGATCGAGGGTCTGTTCAATTTCATGGAGCACGTCTACGGCCTGTTCGGCTTCCCCTTCAAGTTCAAGCTGTCCACCCGCCCGGAAGGGTACATGGGCACATTGGCCGAGTGGGACTCGGCCGAGGCCCGTCTCAAGCAGGCGCTGCAAAACTTCCGCGGCGACGACTGGGAGTTGAACGAGGGCGACGGCGCCTTCTATGGACCCAAGATCGACGTCACCATCTCCGACGCCTTGAAACGCGAATACCAGTGCGCCACCATCCAGCTCGACTTCCAGGGTCCTCAGAACTTCAAGCTCGAATACCGTACCGGCGAGGGCGCCGAGGCCGTGCAGACGCAGTCGTCCGAGCGTGATGCAAAGGGTCTCGCTCCTGGCATGGCTCGGCCTGTCATGATCCATCGTGCCATCATCGGCTCCTTTGAGCGTTTCATCGCCATCCTGTGCGAGCATTTCGCTGGCAAGTGGCCCTTCTGGCTGTCTCCGCGCCAAATCCTCGTCATTCCCGTCATGAAGGCCGCCGAGGACTATGTCCGTGAAATCCAGTCCATCTTCCACAAGGCCAGAATGTATGTCGACATCGACGTCAGTGGAAACACCTTGCAAAAGAAGATTCGGTCTGGCCAGCTGGCCCAGTACAACTTCATCTTTGGTAAGTAAATCAAGCACACCACCAGCACTTTCCCATCCCCTTGCGCATTGCTCGGACTGCAATGTCCGATCATCGAAAGACCAAGATAAAGATGAAAGCTAATTGATGTCTCCTTTTATAGTCGTCGGTGCCAAAGAACAAGAAACCCGCACCGTCAATATCCGTAACCGTGATGACCCGGCCACGCAGAAGATGGGCGAGCTCATCCCGCTGGAGAAGGCACTGGAGAGACTGGTCGAGCTACGTGATGAGAGACGGCTGGAAAACAAGATTGACATGACCCATTAGCCGGGCGGCCTTCAAGGCAAAAGCTTAGACAGACGCCAATTTTCACCGGCTCGAGAAAGAGCTTGGGATGACGAGAAGATCACAAACTGTCTGGCTGGGAGCAGTGTACAATACGGCAAATGCCCAACTACCACGAGCGAGTCGTTCTATGTCCAAGTTAGATATATGATTCGCACGAATCATTATCGTAGCACGTTGGCTTACAGTGCACACTCTGTTCACGTTGATAGCTGACGAGAAGACATATTCCACGTAGTCAAGGACGGAATGAACACAACTGCGAAGAATTCCTGTGCAACCTGCACGGCATCTCATAGCATTCATTTTCCCCCGGCTGTTATAGCTTAACAAACATTGGACCAGGTCCCCTGGAAACGCCCCGTAGCAAGTCCTAAAACAAACCAATCCTCAATTGGCGAGAGCTTATGCTGCCTGCTCTGGCGTTTCTCCCTCCGCAACAACTGGCACAGGGAGTCCGCGGTTTGGGCTCTGTAATACCAATTGCTCATGCCGCCTCGCACGCATAAAGTCCGAAACTGCCCGTATGAGAATGAACCAGCCAACAATCATCAAAATGTAAGAGATCCAATCGGAGCTTGTGAGACCGCCCACTCCGCCTTGTGACTTGTTGTCCGAGCCGTCTACACTACCGGGATCGAAGTTGTGGCTATTTGGGTCCGGTGGCGACGAACTCGAAAACTGTCCTGGATTGCCGGTATCTTGGTTCGCATCACTGGACCCGCTCATGTAGAAGCCATATTGAACCAAAGTCAAGCCCAGGCCAGCTCGGCTACCGTGTTTGGCCGCGTGGGTGGTGTGGAGGAGATATGTGAGAAGGAATCCGACGAGTTGGAACGACATGGAGATCATGGCATTCCATACGAAAGAGAACAACGAACCGACGGGAAGGCCATCGACGTAGACTTCATCGGAAGACATGCCGGGGGCGAGGATCGTTGTCTCCCAGTAGGGAGGGGTTGCATCGGCGGCCGCCTGTTCATAAGACTAGATAGCCAGGTCAATGACAAGTTGCTGTAGAGGAGATGATGAGTCACTTACCGGAGGCTTTTCATCAACCTGGTCACCGCGCTCGGGTTTAGCAGACAGGTTCGCGAACACACCATCCATCGGTCTAAGAGATGGCGGCATAGGTCTGAAGGCCGGTAGTTCTGTCACTCTCCGCTCGACCGCAGGTGCCTGGCGAGTATCGGGGTCAGATGTAGCAGCTGGGGCGCCGTCTTGTCTCGCAGTCGCCGGATCCGCCCTCATCAACCTCTGTCTATCATCACCATCGTTCTCTGCATCTGAACCTTCTCCGTCGTCGAAAGTGTCTGCCAGATCTTGATCGGCTTCATTGGAAAGAGATTCTTGGGCTAATAGGCGGCGTGATGTCGGGGAGGATGTGCGAGATCGGAAAGAGGGAGGAGGTGAAGATGGAATGCCGTGAGGATGGTCGGAAGAGATAGGAGAATCAACATCATCGTCATGCGAGTTTACCTGGGCATGGTCAGCGACGTTCATGTTGTGGTCTCAGTCCAGAACGGATTTATCAGCCTAGGGATAACATACCACTTCATATCGCTGGGGGGCCATTGCAGGGCCTGCTGTCGCAAGAGAGCCCCTCACTGTACTAATAGTACTGAGAGGAAAGACGCTCGATGCGAGGGAAAGAAGGCGACGAAAAAGAAGACAGGAAAATAGGTATCTCGGGGATTGTGATGGGAAGAGTGTAGAAGGACGTCGTCGTCGGCCAGACGCTGCCAGTTTCAGGTCAGGTGCCTTGCCACTTTGACTAGAGGTGCTAGTCCCATGTCGTACTAGTATTCGACTAATAGTCATTAATACAGTATTTTAGCACCAGGCTGGCCAAGTGCTTTGCTCCGCCCTAGCAGCCACCTTGCCTAAACTGGTCTAGCCTAACTGATCATGATCCCAGCGTCATTCAAAATACTGCGCAGCTGCTTTTGATGCCGCGCCGCTCAGATCAAAGAAATCTCAATGCTTCTTGTATCTCTGCCAACAACCGACAGCTGACTGTATATTCTATCCATCACAATCCCCAACACCATGGCGACTGGACAATCTGTAAGTATGTCGCGGTAGATCGCGGTATCATGTCTGACGCATTTGTCTAGGTCGCCGTCAAGCACTGGGCGCGAATCATCAAGCGATGGCCCGTCGACCGAGTGCGTCCAGAACACATTTCTTTCCAAACGGTTATGCAAGGCCGTCTACAGAAAGCCTCGTCTCCCAGTGCAGCTGCGGAAAATGTAAAAGCAAATGAAGCTCTGGTGTCGCCAGCCAATCCCCCCCAACTTGACGAAGCACGAGAAATGCGACAAGTCAACGCTTTATATTCCTTGCTGGAAGATCGATACTTTAACGCATATCCCATCCCAGCTAAACTACGGAATCCGGAGAGCATGCCTACACACTACGACGATGTGATCAAAGAGATGGACGAGGCGCCGAGTCGGACATGGACCCAGTCACTGATGAAGAGGATCAAGGGCTCTCTGCGTTTCTCGTGAACAATGAACCCTTTTCTGTGGGAGACAATCAAAGCTTGTCCAATATGAGTTGGATTGCAACTTGCAATCCTAGGGTCTAGAGGGCTGTCGGCCGGCAGATCCCGAATTGCCAACGCACGCCAGAGAATCAAGCAGCAAGCGTGCTCTGGGGCATCGGACAAATCAACCCCAACTCACCAATTGTTTGCCTCCTTGGGCTTTTAAACTGGCTGAAACTATAGCCAAGAGGCTATTCCTGGTACAGTCAATATCGAATTGCCCATGGACGTCGGAAGCCGAGACATTATACACTCAGCGCCGTCTCATGGACTGTACTGTGCAGCGCCTCGACCGGCGCGAGGTGCAAAGGTCCAGATGACAGAGACTTGGTCTTGTTGTAATCACGCTCTCAAACGTGAAAGGACTGGCCAAGAAGGACGGCGAAATGCCTCAGGGGAGGGCACGTTGTAGTTATTCTGGACAACAGCCGGCATCTACCAGCGCTATGGGAACATAGCGCGTTCCAAAAGTACGGAAACCCTACCTACCTGGTGCCAGTGGACTTCCGCTACCAATACTAGGATACAGAGATTATGGAATACCTTCACACCAATTCTGGATGTTGGTAACCATTCATAAGTACTATCGAGACAGAATCTATATGACTGGAGATCGCGGATAGAATCATAAACCGTCTCCCCTCAATTCACTCCAATAAAGTTGAGCCGCGGTTATTAAATAAAACCCGTCCATAACTTACTTAGACACTATCCGGTAGATATGGCAGACGAAGTAACAACTCCATCGTCTACTCTCTTCCATATTCCTCTCTCTCCTGGCAGCATTTTTCCGCGAGCGTCGACTATCTCCATCATATCATCCTGAACAACCATGTCGAAGAACAACACGCCCAACCCGGTTGCGTACACCTACGGGGCCCCAAACACCGGCTCGACAGCGCATTCGGTTCCATACCCAGAACCGATCTCAGCAGTACAACACCACATCGCCGGGCTCTTAGTGACAGTATTCGGCCTCAACGAACTGCCGTCATCAGCGACGGACGTCGCAGTGCTATGGCTGCTACACCCGCGGCTCCAGACGCAAGCATGCATGGCGCCGTTCGCCGCACACCTGATCACCGAATGGAACGAGCACCGCTCCTCGAGAAACATGCATAGCGGAACGAGCAACAAGGGCCTGATCGCCGTCAGTTTCGACCAGCGCAACCACGGCACACGGCAAGTCAGCGCGCTGGCCAACGAAGCGTGGCGCGGCGGCAACGAGCACCACGCCCTCGACATGTTCAGCTGCTACGCCGGCACCGCGGCCGACACGTCCATCCTGCTCGACTACCTGGCTGGCTACATCTTCCCCACCAACGAGCGGCGGATTGTGCAGAATCTGGTGCTGGGCATCAGCCTCGGCGGCCACGCGGCGTGGCACTGTCTGATGCACGACTCGCGCTTCAGCGCCGCCGTCGTGACCATCGGATGTCCGGACTATGCGCGGCTCATGAGCGATCGCGCCAGACTGAGCAAGCGCAAGGCCTGGCTGGATACCCAGGGCAAGGAGTTCTTTGGGTCGGCTGACTTCCCGCCTTCGCTGGTCGAGGCTGTGCAGAGATACGATCCCGCCGGGCTGCTGTGGTCTTCTCGCAATGGGTTGCAGAGGCAGCCTGGTCAAGAACTGTTGGATGATGAAGTCACGGCCGAGGAGAAGGAGAGGCTGAGGCCGCTGATGGCTCGTTGTTTCGCTAACAAGCGTATCCTCAATCTCGCCGGTGGGAGCGATAAGCTGGTCAGTTACGCCCATAGCAAACCCTTCCTGGATTGGTTGAAGAAATCTATCGGTCCGGGCGGTTGGTTCGAGGGTGCCGGGCTGTATCTCGAAGATATTGTCTATCCGGGCGTTGGCCATGACGTGCCCCCGGCAATGGTCACGGCCATGGTCAAATTCGTGAATGAAACGCTCGAGAATGGGCAGGACATGACCCATGCAAAGCTGGGCAGTAAGATATGACGAGCCAGAACTAGTAGAACAGACTAGACTTGCACAGCCGAGAGGACATCTCGATACATTCTATTCTTACCAAGTGCGAAGACAAGGTGGAATTGAATCGACCTTACGAAGGACTATCGCACAGAAGTGTGTTGGATGTTCAATCTGTCAAGCCGACAATTTCTAGTCTCTTGCTATCTCTCTGGGCAGAGTGTGCCTAACCCTTCACAAGTCGGCATGTCGTCGCCTAAACTCAGCAAGCAGAGCACATCTGCGGACTTCGACCGAAGAAAGTCCAAGGCAGTTGTCTGACCGACGGCACTACTTCCCCGCGAGCGGTTCTGCATACACTCGCGGATGCCCGATATGGAGTGGCCCACTTCTCGATCCTAGGGTTAAGGTTGACGCCATCATCGGTTGTATCTGGCCAGCGTATCCATGATATTCTGTACATTTTGCTGGGGTTGCTGTCCTGCCCCGTAGGCTGGAGCGTTCCCATAAGCTGGGGCCTGCTGATGTTGTGCTGGATATTGAGGAGTAGCAACAGCTTGTGGAGGGAACTGCCCAGTCGGTCCATTTTGACGACCTCCATTCCCAAGATAAGATGTATAATTCGGCGTTGGTCTCTCACCCTGTGGTATGCCGCTCTGCGCATCTCCAGGCTGTCGAAGATTCGCCAGCAGCTGCTGCAGGTTCGGTGCGGAAGCGGTCGGAGTGACTGGTGTTGGGTATTGAGCTTGGTAGTGAGGCTGTTGGCCGTACTGAAGCTGAGGAGGACTGTGCTGTGGTTGCGGGAACGCTGGAGGTAGTTGAGGCGGATATTGATGAGTTGGAGGTTGCCCGTATTGTCCATGTGAATAGCCTTGCGGCGGCGGAAAGGCCTGGGGAGTGGGCGGCGCAGCACCTCGTTCTTTTTGGCGTGCATGAAGCACAATGTCAGCAGCGACGGGGACGTCAAGGTCGACATATTCGTTGAAGTTGACGTTTGAAGCCCCTACATTCCTATCAAAGACCTGCAGCGGGATTTTACTGTTGTACTGATTGCCCTGTGTCAGCTTCACAACGGCCTGAACACCCTCGATGATCTGCCTCTTGACGACGGCACCCAGGGGAAGTCTAGGACTGAGCCAGATGGTCGAAGCACGCAATCCTTTGGCCCGAAATCCCTGTTCAATCCAATTGATGAAGCTCTGCGCAACTGAAGGCTCTAGGATGAGGAGCTGTACATCGGGCACGTCTCGTGGATCTCGGCGAGGTAACGGCAGGGTAGCCTCCTCATCGTAAGCTGCAGGGAGCGGCGGTGGAAAATTGCTGGAGAATGGAGACCTTTGTCGTGCGTCAAGGCTGAATCGTGGGCTTTGTGCTCTTGCTCGATAATCGTCCCGCACACGAAAGTTTCTCGGAGAAGGAGACCGCGCAGGTCGATAGTCATCACGCCTATTCTTTTCCTCACGAAAGTCATTAAAGTTAGAGCGGTTGTGTCGATCAGATTGCCGCGCATTTCCACGGTCTGGCGAGCGCGAGCGCCGTCGTTTGTTCCCCTGCGCCTGGTTCCTCGTGTTCTTTTGAGGCTTTGAGACTTCCAGATCTGTGACCAAGTCAGCTAAACGTCTTGGTCGATCCGCTTGGGGGTGTAGGAACTCACGAATCTTGCGACCTCGGATCTCTGAGGCCTGTTCCGCCTGCAGAGCGGCTTGACAAGAAGACGCCTCCAGATACTGCACGAATCCGTATGCTTGCTTAATGGATATCTGTGCCAGCCGGCCATGTTTGTGAAACACGTGGAAGAGATCGCGCTTGGTCACCTTCTCCGACGCGAGATTGCCCACAAATAAGCGGGACCCTGGGGGGAATCTATCCCAGATACCTTCTGTCACATATCGCCGTTCCTCCTCAAGAAATTGGTCATACAAGCTCTGTGTCCGTGGGCTCCATGGACGTTCATCGGGGTCTTCTGACCTCGATGGTTCTACCTGTTGAAGGGGATGGCCGACAAAGCCAGCATCAGGGTTCGTGGGGGACACCTGTGCAACATTCTGATTCCATGTACCAGGGGCTTGGGTGGGGATATTTTGAATCATGGGTTGTACGGGCCCGGATGTGGACGACTCTGTACCATTGACTGGGAGAGCATCGGGATTCAGTGGTTGATATTGGTCTCGCAAGTCGCTTGTGGAGCTAGGAAACGCATAGTAGCTGGGGGACTCTTGCGGAGTCGCTTGCACCGGCGGTTTTGGGGGTAGGCCTGGGACTGGAGGCAGTGAAAGGGAAGATCCGTGGTCGACATGCGATGCAGCAGTGGTTGGAGCAGAAACAGGGTCTGCGGCAGGAGCAGTAGAAGCAGACTGAGAAATGGTGTCGAGAAGTGACTGGTAATCTACTCCACCTGTACCCGACTGAGCATTGGACTTCACGCTGGGTTCTTGCTCGGACTTCCTCGCCCCATCTGACTGGAAGGGAGACTCAGGCTCTCCATGGCTTGCATTGGCATTATGTTCATTGGTCGAGGACTCATTGTTTGATTGCGCGACAGTGTGGGACTGGCCGGAGGCGTCATGGGAAACATTTGAATTTGCCTCAGGTGCTTGCTGCGCAGAGTTCTCTGCAAGGGCTGAAAGAAGATTGGTCTCAAAGCTGGCATCATTCTGCGTAGTCCGGCCATTTGTGTTGGGGAACTGTGCACCACTTCCGAAACGACCGTTCTCTTCTTCCGCGCCTCGCAAGAAGTTCTGCACAGCATCTTGTTCCTCGGAGTTGGATCCATTCATAACGCGGGGAGAATCTGGATAAGGAGAAAAGGTCTGATTGTGAGGAATGTTATAAGTCGCAGTGTCATTAAAGACGGGATCCATCTGGTTCAGCAGAACGGGAATATTTGAAGGCTCAGGTATGTGGACAGGCCGTGGGCTTTCCGGTGTTTGAGATCTACCAAAGCGTTGCGCTTCAGGCGGAGGGCTTGTTTCAGTCATCTTGAGGCGGACAATGCATGAAGGGCGACGCGAAGTGATTTGCCTGGATGGCTGGCGACGTGGGGCAGGCTGACGCCGAGTTGGAAAAGGTGCAAGGACAGACCCGTGAAATCACCGCGCAGAACAGAAGAGAAGCTTAGGCAAGCAATAGTACCTCGATGATGAGCGGGCCGGTGGGAGGCGAGGAGATGAAGAAGAAGAAGTCCAGATGTTCCATCAAACGGGTAACGGCATGAAATAGTAGTTGAGTTGGAGGGGAACAGACCGCAGCATGAAGAGAAACATACAAAACTTTCAAGGTGCAGTTGCCAGAAGAGGCTAGCGTAGGCAGCGAGTCGGTGTGCACACGTGACCAGACCTTGCGCCGAACCTACATCCAGATCTGTTGAAGAGCATGGATAGAAATCGTCCCTTACAATCAATCCTGTGTATGCTGATGCTAAGACACCACATCACTAGGGTTGGCAGATGTTGCGATGGGCCAAACCCCCGACCTCCAGCATCACGCTCGCGGCTGGCAGATGTCTGCCATTCCGGCTTGCACCTCGATTATATGTTTCAAAGACTGAGCGTCGTGAACCTGACTATGCTGCAGCGCGTAAATGGTTCAAGAACTTTGACGCTCTGAATACATTGCGCGATGTTGGAGAAGTCAGCTACAGTCGTTCGAGTGGTCCTGGTGGCCAGAATGTCAATAAGCATGTTTGACCTCCTTGTTATCTCGCGCCAGGGTCTAATGTTTCTCAGGGTCAATTCCAAAGCTCAATTGCGAGTTCCTGTCGATCGTCTCCTTCCCTTACTCCCTCCTGTCTTGCATGAAGGTATCCTCGCTTCTCGATATTATGCACAGGGTTCGTCCAGCCTCGTGATACAGGCAGATGAGAGCCGTAAACAGCCAGCGAACAAGGAGACCTGCTTTCGCAAGCTCACCCAGCTGATTGTCGATGAATATAAGCGTGCCGTGCCCGGAGAAACAACAGCGGATCAGAAGAAGAAGGTGGAAAAACTGCAACATGCAGAGAATGAATCGCGGCTGAAGACTAAGAAGCTGCATGCAAGCAAGAAGCAATCAAGGTCGAAGGGTAATATGGATTGATTGGGTTACGATTGCGACTGCGGAACTCATGTTGTGCCGGTCACCTCCCGGGTGCTTAACGACCTTAACACAGAGCTCCCAATCGTCTTGATCGCCGGATCAAGGTCAGGCGTATCGATGAGCTTCTGTAGCCAAGTGGCTGCCCAGGCTGTAATCTCAGTGCCCGTTGTTTTTGAACGCGCCTGTTTTAGTCGTGCCAATGCCTGTCGCAGTGCAGAGGGGAATTCTGGTGTGGAAGGAGATATCGAAACCAGTGGGAGCTGAATGAGGCATACTTGACTGCACCAACTCTCCGGATATTCTTGAGCCAATCTCGTTGCGATGTGGTCTGCTATTTTGCGGCAAGGAGGGAGCTCGTCAAACTCGAGGACCATGTTGAAAAAGTCGTACCCGACTGCAGGGTCTTTAAAATGATCCATTGCTGCATCGAAGACTGCAATGGGAATGGCACCACTCAAAGCTGGTATTGAATCCAAATGGTCCAATGCTGAGCGGTCAGCTTCATGCCCTTCGACGTCAGGATTCACATCCATAGCTGTCAGCTTCGGCAGCTGCATGATGTTTTCGTCTTCTTGGGATGCCTCTCCAGCTCCTCCTGATTTGATGTCTGCGATTCCCAAGATCTCACGACGAGCATGGATCTTAGCGATGTAAGAGAGTTCTAGTCTCGCATACTCCAGCCAGATTGTCGGTGTCCTTTTGCAGAACCTGAGACCGCGTTGCATGTAGCTTCTTGCTTCTGTCATGTCTCCATTCTCCTCTATCGCATACTGCGCGGCATAGATCCACAAGTCCGGTTTCGTGGGGTGTAGTCGGAGCACACTTGTGAATATCTCCTGCAGTTTTTTATGCGCTTTTTGCCTCTTCGCGAAGTCTATGGCCTGAAGCCACAGACCAACATCCCCTGGATGTTTCCGCGTCCCTCGGTCGAAGATAAAGAAAATGCGTCGCTTGCCGTTGTGGGTTGTTGCCTTGATGCCCATTCTCTTGACCCTCTTGCGCCTCAAGGCATCGACGTTCATTTCAAATTCTGCATACCGAGCGTAGTCTGAAGGCGTAGATCCTCTGGCGTTGATCTTGTGCTCGAAGTCGGATCGTTTGCGGGCGATGCTGGTGATTTCGTCTCGACTAAAGATCTTCTTGCGCTCATACTCTTTCAATTCCGGCACGGACTGCTCGAGAAAAAAGCGAGCCTTGTCGCTGGCTGCGGCCATAGTTGCAGCAAGGGCGGTCTGACTGTAGAGGGATCTGCTTCTTGTTCAGTGTTTCGTTGCCAAACCACGCTCTCGCCGTGACGACTTGGGGATGTGGAGTATTGATTCAGGAAAATATAGGAAACTTTTTTGAGGAGTCCGCCACGAGATGTCAAATGTCGCCCGCAAATTTCGGGTCGCCTCGGCAGTGGCCGACATAAAGTAATTAAAGGGGTCCGCGTCGAGAGACATCCTTTCTCACGCGCAGCTTGATCGATAGTTGAACATCCTTTCTTCAGAGACTCGCTCACTACATTCTTGTCACTCCTTCTCGGCGTTGTACACCTACTTACTTTGATGCCTCCGGTGGCCTCCTAATCCCCTTCTGTGCACAATGGCGCCGAGGAAAGACGGCGATGTGGTGGTTTCTGTCAGTAGCCTTGCCAGACTTTCATGTCCAAGCTAATGTTCAGCGCCTAGATCAATGGGAAATATGTCTCTTGGGGCCATACTCTCTTTGCGTACGCTGCATTCCTCGGAGCGTTGATCGTCGGAGTTGCGCTTCATTATCACAAAATTGTACAAAATGAACACTATGGATATCCTGATGAATGGTTTCCCTCTGTCTCGGCCACCATTGGCGATCGATACCCCGAACGCTCGGTGTTCATGATTTTCATCGCCATCACTTCGGGCGCTCGGTTTGCTCTGGTTGGGCTGTGGTATCTTCTCACCAGGAGACCAAACTCGAATCTCCCAGGGATCATCGCCGCTGTCGGGTTGTTCAGAACGGTTACATGCGGAGGATGGACATACGTGACTTCTACGGACGACCATGACTGGCACGATATCTTCATGATTTCGTATCTTGTGGCAACCCTACCATGGACGCTAGGATGTCTCGCTTTGAGTCCTCCAAATGCCAAAGCCGTTAAATATCGGAAGGTTTTCGCTGGGCTGTTCTTTGGCACCCTGGTACCTCTCATCTACTTCTTCATTCAGCACAAGGTCCATAGAGTTGCTGGCGGTATGCTCTCACTTCCTCTCCCCGAAGCCCGACCCGCAGCTGACGTTGCTAGCCTATACGATCTATGCATTTTTCGAGTGGTCGCTCATCCTATTCGATGTGGCTTTCGACGCTGTCACCGCACTTGACTTTGAAACGTTCGAAATTGTGGTGAAGGACGTGCAGGGGCTCAGTAGAGGGTATGTGCAGATGCTCCCGAGATACTCAAAAGTACGGCCAAGGTAGACAGTAGCTTGGTGGATGATTGACAAAAGCACAGTGACGCGAAGCTTCTGAAAGATTCGGTGAAGGAAAAGGAGTAGGTTATCAAAGAGTTGTTTGGCTTCTAGCACTAACGGCCTGTCAGACGCGATAGCACGCTCATCCAAACATCTACTTTCGACGGACCGTATTACTGGCCCGCCATGCTTGACGCTGCCGCTGACATCTTCCATGGCTTCGTCTTCTGGTCAATTCTCACCTCACTAGGTGTTCTCGTCTGGTATTTCCCACTTTGGCATATGGGCATTTCAGGCTACGAAGTTATGGTTATGTCTACAATCTCACCTCTCTTCCTCGGCATACCGTTCATTCGGTCTCTCACTATTAGAAATCTCCGATGGGCACACATGTCGTCCCTGGTAGGGCTCCTCGCTTGGTTGGTGAAAGACCCTGCGAACCGGTTGTTCACTGTCGGATTCGCTGTCTGGATGGGATGCCTGGCATGGTCCGCGGAATGGTACGCTGAACGGAGAGACTCGGCACGACTTCAAAGCAGAATTTTAGCCTGGTGTATTGGTTTCATCCTCTCGAGCATTGCCAAGTTTGCGAATCACACCAATAACCCCATATGGCCCATCCTACACTCGGGCATTGGAGGCTGGAACAAGACCGGTCTAGCGCTTGCCGTCATTGCCGTCTGGCGCTCTACACGATCGAGTTCCACGAGCGGCGGCGACTACATAGCCCCGAATGCCAAAAAGGGTTCCAGCGTCCTGGCTGGACTTGGCCTCGGAGGACTGTTTTTCGCCATTCATTCCTTGCTCTCAGATTCCAGTACCATGATTTTGTGGGTTTGGGACGGTTACCCTGTCCAAGGCCCGCTAGCAGTTCCCCACGGTGCTCTCACGATATTCGTTATGAGCGCGGGACTGTTCGTAGGAGTTGCGCTTCCCAGACTCCTCGGATCCTGGACCGCCTACGGATTAGGAGCTGTCGGCGCAGCATTTCTCACGTGCTATAGCAATTGGCGAGGCTACTATGGCGGTCTTGCACTGGCGTTCTATCTGATGGGAGTTGCTCCTGTTCTGATTTCTTCCGCCGCTCAACACAACCCCGCTCCTACCTTTGGGCTGGGCTTTTTCCTCTACAACGTGATGGTTTTGTTCCATGTCTGGGTCGTTGCATATGCTTTCGTGCCGGGTGGACCGCTCGTACGGGAGCACACCGACTGGATTATGATCACCACCATGTTGATGATTGGCGCTGGCGTGTTTTCGGCATTGACCACCGACTCAGGCCACCAGCAAAAGATCAAGGCGAGCCCCCGTGGGCGGAAACAGTCGGCATACTACCTTCATCTTCTGCTGGCACTTCAGCTATTGACAGCGTCAATTGCATATCTACGCTTCCCCACAAACGACTATCAGCCTTATCACAAGGATGAGAAGTTGATTACCGCCGGCATCTGGACCATCCACTTTTCACTTGACAATGACATGTGGTCTTCTGAGCGGAGAATGCGCGATGCTCTCAAGGAGCTTGAACTTGATGTGGTTGGGCTTCTGGAATCAGACTTGCAGCGCATCATCATGGGCAATCGAGATACCACACAATATCTGGCTGAAGATCTGGGCATGTATGTGGACTATGGTCCGGGCCCTAACAAGCATACCTGGGGATCAGCACTGCTGTCCAAATTCCCCATCCTCAACTCTACTCATCACCTGCTCCCCTCACCCGTCGGTGAATTGGCGCCGGCGATTGAGGCGACTCTCGATGTGTATGGCACCCAAGTCGATGTGTTTGTCTTCCACTCCGGGCAGGAAGAAGACCCCGAAGATCGACGCCTTCAGTCCGAGTATCTGGCACGAATCATGAAAGCCAGCCCTCGACCGGCGATCCTCTTGAGCTACTTGGTGATCAAACCAAAAGAAGGCAACTACAACACGTACGTGGGCGAGAAGAGTGGCATGCATGACATTGAACCGAGCGACTGGGACCGATGGTGCGAATATATTCTGTACAAGGACATCAAGCGTGTTGGATATGCTCGTGTCAGCAGGGGGACCATTACCGACACTGAGATACAGGTGAGTCCATCGACCAACCGCCTTTGAAGCACAGCAGACTAACGGTATACAGGTGGGCAAATTTGTCGTGGGAGAACCAGTTTCATACTCAGACGAGCGGATACCTGAGGAACAAGTACCGCCTGGCCGAAGATTTCCAGCACTGTTCCGTGGAGAGGGTGTTCGAGGGCACAGATATCACGTCTTTGATGAGCCATGGTACTACGCATGAGCTTGAAGTTAGCCCCATATCCTGAACTGAGCAGCAGAAGCTACAGTGTGTAGACATGGATGCCGCAGTGCTATCACCAATAAATGTTCCCCTGTCTATCTTACTCTGTACACGAACAATCGTACAACATCATGTGACTCTAGTCCATCACGTGACTGTAATGTTATCTTATCTCGATGAGTCTATATTCGCGCCTTTATCTTATCACGAAAATGATGCGGGGTGTTTCGGCAGCCTCAAGGCGCATCATCTGACTCTGCAATGACTCAATCGGAAACGTGACTCTTGTGCTCGCTCCATCTTACAATGCACAACAACTGGAATTGGAATTGAGACTGGAACTGCACCGCTTGACTGCCTGCGTTTCTTGTATTCGTTGTTCTTCACCAAAGTGACCCTTTCAAACGTCTTCACTCGTACTCCCTTCTCTCCGATCCCCCACTTGCATGTCTATACTTGCAGCTGGCATCTGAGTCTCCTTCCAGGTTCCGGAGCTGGTGCTGGTGTTGCGTTATTAACTCTTCCTCTTGGTCTTCACCTAAGCTGTTGTCAAAATGGCTGATCCGGTGGCCCCTCCGCCTCCAGGCTCCAGGGCCATCAAGATACCTCTATACAGCAAGAACCTCACGGGATATTCCACACCGCGCCGCAGCAAACGCTATGTCAAGAGTGCCGAACGAGCCGACACCTCCGATGCTGGCCCATCGTCGCTCAGTTCTGACCAGGAGTCGGCCTGGTCATACAGCCCGGTCTCTAAACTCTCTCAAGACCACTTGCAGACCGTGGCTTATCCGTCAACGCAAGACAGCCGGTTCGATACCTTGTCGACACCTTCGGGGGACACGAACACATCGCAACGAAAGGACAAGCACAAGGCTGACGTCGCTCCGCCCAGCACCATGCCTGTACTGTCTGGCCAGGCTTCGTCACCCCTCGGCCCTTCGATGCTGTCATCCAGCTCCTACAAGTCTATCAATCTCAACTCCCGCTTTGACGATCCTGACGAGCCCCCTCGCCTGATCACCTACACCAAGCACAGTCAAGGGTTTACATGGAACGATGAGTTATTCCTCCCAAGTTACATGCTCGGGCGTTACGGGGAGCGCGGCAGGAAGAAGCAATACGACGGAGACTTTGGCGATGAAGAGCACTGCCCGGTTGCCGAGATATTCGTCACGGACGAGGAAGCCGAGGCCATGATGCCATGAACGCGGTGGCCACCATGGGGCAAGATGTGCTACGAACATAACATGATACACACGGTTGGGCCGCTGATATTTGATGGCGTTGGCAGCGTCCTCGTACTTTTTAGGGCACCAGTCAACATTGGCTACTACTGAACACATCACGCATCAGCATGGGATAGGAGCTGCTTGTGGATTGGAATAGGGTATCGTTTGATGGGTTGCGGAAGTTTTGGAGTACAGGTTACAAGTATAGGGGTGAACATGGGCACATACATGGCCAGCAGTATTTACCATACAAAATGATCAAAGGACCTCTCTCGACTCAGCAGCCGTGAGGATGGAGTTCAATATAGAAGTTGGCACGGACGGCGTTGGCAATCGGGCGTGGAGGGTGATTCTTTGCTGCGACGGCTGGCTTCACTCCCAATCTACCTTTCGCAGCCGCGCAGGCAATACATATACGTAGTAGCTGCTTTAACGTCTGTGTTCATGCTCTTGTTCCTTTCTTCCTCTTCTGTCTCCTTAATCTTTTCCTCTATCAGCAACTTGAACATCTTGAACTGTCTGCAGCTACGTACTAGCAGACGAGGGACGGATCTCCAACCGCCGCACATCAGTCACTTGTCCATATCCACCGGCTAGTGTTTAGCCAGTTTCCTGCTGTCCGCCTAAGAAAGAGTCTTGACCATCCAGTGGACCCTTCGCCGCGCCAACCTCGACGACATCAATGGTCGACTGGCCATATCGTCTCCCTTTTGACGTGTCGACCCACGATGTGCTGGCAAATGGAGATGCCACCAAGTCGCCTACATGCGCACATGCTGTAACATGCGTGACATTGACCACTGCTGCACACAGCATGTTTCCCATTCTGACATGCCCGATCGACCTTAGGCCGAACACTGGACAAGTGGTACGGACGGGCATATGCGGGTTAAGGTGGCTATCAGGTATCAATGCCGACTCGGCACAAGGGAAGCTACACGAGCGGTACATGAGGGCCTGAGGAGGATGATAACAGCTTGACCTTGTCACCAAGAAGACAGAAATGACACTTGCTACCTCTTGTCGTCCCTCACCTTACTGTTTGTCAGTTCTGGGACTATCACCAGAAAGATAGCGATTCCACCGTTTCGGCTGGACACTGGGGCAGGCTAATTGGGAGTCTATTGCAACCTTCAAGTTGTAGATTGGAGACAGTCCTTCTATCGAGGACGCCGGAACATATAGCCATTGGGGACTATTCTGAACGTTCACTCTCTCTTCAAGTTGTCAACATGACCGATCCTTCGCTCACTTCGCTTGTAGCCGAGCTCTCCAAGCTCGCTGCAGAGTATGTCCCTTCCGATGGACACGATGCCGCATCCCAAGCTCCCAAGCTGGCACTGGTCAATCTGAGCAAGAAGATCATGTACTCACTCATGGATCCTGGAATGATGGTACAGGCACATTCTCTGCAGATGGCCGAGATGGTCTGCATCCGGACGCTGCTGGACCTCAAGGTGTTTGAGAAGATGTCCAGCGAGGAAGAGGGCAAGACGATCACGGCAAAGGAGTTGAGTGAAAGGTCTGGTGTACAAGATACACTCCTTGGTAAGGACTTTCTGTGTCTCTGCTCCACTCACGTTCCATACATCATCGCGGCTTTATCTGCGAGCCTCTCTCTGAAAGAAGGCCCTTTCCTAAGTCTGCAGCCTGTTTTCCTTGATCATCTCTCGAGTGGTCCATAGGGTGTCTCTTTTGAAAAGTTGGATCTGATCTAATGGCTTGCTCCGATCCAGAAAGACTTCTCCGTCCTCTCGTGGCGTCAGGCTTCATCACCCAGTCTCCAGACGACGGCTCGTACGGCTCGACGCGATTCTCGCAGGCCTACACATCCTTCCCCGGTCTGTTCTTCACTCTGATGTTCGACCACTTTCTGCAACCAATGACCGATCTGCCAAAGTACCTCCAGAAGCACGGCGCCGTGGAACCGACCTCCTTCTACGTCAACCCGTATTCCGACTACCACAACGCGAGCGATTCCGGAATGACGACCTGGGAGATCATGTCCAAGGACCCGGAGAAACTCAAGACGTTCCAGATCGGCCTGACCACGGGGGACGCCATGGTCCCGGTCACGGGCTACTACGACTTCAACCAGCTGGCGCTGACGCCCGCGGAGTTGGAAAAGACTCCCGACCGAGTCAGCCTCATCGACATAGGCGGCGGGGTCGGAAATGTCGTCAAGCGGATCTTGGATGCCTACAAGGACCTCAATCCCGAGAATGTAGTGTTGCAGGACCAAGAGAACATTATCGACATGGCGAGCAAGGAGAAGATTGCTCCCCACGGAGTGCAGTTGATGAAACATGATTTCTGGGGGCCGCAGCCTGTCAAAGGTACGTCGAAGGAACGGAAACCCTCCAGAGACTGCACTAGAAGTGGAAGGCGAAAAGCACAGAATGACAGCAGTTTGACTCTCCTCTTCCCTCTATCTGACAACTTACAACTCTCTCCTTCTCTCCGGGGTTTGCTCTGACCTGTCTTTTGCAGGTGCCAAAGCATATTATTTCCGCCGCGTCTTCCACGACTACAGCGACGAGCTCTGCGCCAAAGCACTCAACCAAATCATCCCCGTCATGGCTCCGGACTCGCACATCCTCATCGCCGACATGCTTCTCCCGGAAATCATGACGGACAAGGAGGCGCACACGGCCGCCCTCGACGTCGCTTGCATGGTCATGGGCGGCAAGGAGAGGACCGAAGAGGACTTTCGACGCCTGTTCGACAGTGTTGGCCTGGAGGTCGTGGCGATCCATCGTGCTCCAGGGGCGGCGGCGGGAGTTGTGGAAGGGAAGCTGAAGACGGAATAGATCTAGATTCGACATGACGGGAGCTGAAGACAGAATAGATCTAGATCCGACATTGCTTCCCCAGGACGCAGGAACTTGGACAAGACGAATGCAAGTCATCAGTTATTGTCTCCTGCAGTGGGACATTCCATTCGAGCGTGCCTAATCTCGAGACTTCTTTCAGCCACTTACTACGTAGTAAGGTAATGTCGATATCATGTTATCCCCGTCACATCCTCCTCTTGTTCTCCATCTTTCCATTCCAGATCAGACTTCTCGTAACTGAGCATAACTCCCACAGCAACTTATCACATCACATCTGGGCCATTCATTGTAGACATGATCTCTGCCAACTAGCCCAGGGTGTTGGGTCGATATTCTTCGGCTGATGTCCTCATTCACCATCGAACCCAATGGCTGCACTGAGTTAGCTTGATAAAGACAAGATCGACGGATGATATGTGATACGCCCTTCAGCACCACCTACTGCATAACTTGAAAAGAAAACACGATAGAGTAATCAGAACAGAGAGAACCAGTTAGTATCTCTCGATGGATCGAACCGAGTTTGTATTAATTGATAGTCAAGACTGCCTTTAACTTCATTAACCCATTAGTTGCGCTCTATCAACCAGTTCATCAATCAATCCAGCAATGCATTAACACTGCTTCTCCACCCACTGTACAAGTCCTTGCCAGCATTCCCAACCATTTGTAATACCCTTTTTGAATACCAGCCAGAAGTGTCAAGGTGCTTTGAAACAGGTTTGTACAGACAAAGGGTGACTTCTTGTCGAAGCAAAACAAAGCCTGGGACGGCAAGTAATCTGTCACTGAAACACAGATCACCGTTTCCGTGTAAGGACCTTGGTGATTGCATGGCGGATGATGATGCCGGACTTCTCGATTTCCTTCTTCGTCAGACCCAAAGTGATGCAGACCTTGAGGGCGGGTAGAGGCGAGAAGATATCCGTCTTTGCGCCCGAGGGTCCAGCAGGAAGGGTTTTGGCACGGGTGATGAGCACGTTTTGCGCCAGGCACTGTGTGCGAGACATGACGTTAGTGTCTTTTTTTTCCTGTTTTGACAGAAAAGAAAAGAGAGAGAGAAAAACATACCTCGTCCACTATATCTTGCAGCAATTGCTGCTGATCATCGGGCGTCAGCCGCCGAGAAGAAACGACTTCGGGCTTCAGTGCCAGAAGCATGATCGGGTTCTCGGGCGCACTGGTGCAGTACATCCAGTCACTTCGGGGGTCGAGTTGCGTCCACATGGATCGGATGTTATCTCTCAGCTGGGTGAACAGTTCGGGCTGGGTCTGCAGCATCACGAGGATCTCACTTGCCGTGACGGCCGCGATCGCCGAGGGGGCTGCGGAGAAGGTGTACGACGATGCTGAAAGCCGCTGATGCTCCACGACTTCGTCCGATCCGGCACAGAAGCCTCCTGCCGCGGACAGCGGGCCGGCCAGAGATCCGACGATCATGTCGACCTCGGCGGCGTCGACGTGCTGGTGCTCCGTGATGCCTCTGCCCGTTCGGCCTAGCACTCCGAAGGACCATGTCTCGTCGAGGATCAGACGGAACTTGTACTTGAGCTTCAATTCGATCTGGGTAGAAGCGACGCATTAGTCAAAGTCGAAATATCCCAGGAGAGACAGCGAACTCACAATCTTGGGCAAATCAGCCATATCCCCGACGTTCTCAAACAGGCCTTCGGTGATGATGAACCGCCGAGTCAACGGCTTCTTGGCTTGTTCCTTGGTCACCTTGGCCAGCACTCGTTGCAGGTCCTCCATGTCATTATGCTCGTACCATCTCACTGCACTTCGAGAGATCTGGATGCCTTTGCGGATGGCGTAGTTGACCGCCTTGTCGGCGACAATGATATCCCCCCTCTTGGAGAACGCCGGGATCACACTCGATATGGTCGAGAATGCCTGCGCATACATGATACATGCCGTAGTGCCGAGGAACGCTGCGATGTCCGCCTCCACCTTCATGTGAACATCTTGTGTCCCGTAGAACCCGGGGGGGCCACAGGGGCCGACGCCGTAGGTGCGCAGGGCTTGGATCGCCCTCTCCTTGAGATTTTCGTTCGAGACCAGGTTGTAGAAATTGTACGAGGCCAAATTGGTCACGGTCCGGCCGTTGGTCAGTTTCGAGCGCGGTCCACTGGGCCTGGAGTCGCTCATCAGCATCTGCTCTTCCAGATATCCTGCAACAGGCCGTGGCATACCCGACAATCACAGGTCGCTTCTCCAGCTCCGCCTCCTCAAATGGGGTCGTTTTGGCCACCAGGGGCTCCGGCGTCCACTCGTCCACAAGATCATCGATCTCCTACTCGGGTGTCAGTCTAGAGAGGCAGCCACCACTTCTGTACCGCGGGCGCTCACCTCTTCGGTCAACTTGACAAAATTGGGCTTCGTCGAGTATTTGGGCGCCAACAGATACCGAATGGCAAAGAGGACGAGAAAGAGTTCGACCGCGGAGCGGACAGGGTCGTCCTGGTAGCTTGACTTGACATATCGCAGGAAAATCGCCGACCCGGGGAGCTTGTGAAACTGCGTCGAGGTCACGTTGACAAAGTTGGTGAGATATTCTTGAGCGTCTTGGGTGTCCATGTTGGGCGAGCCAGCATGGGTTGAGGTGCAAGTCTGTGACTGGGAGAGAGTCTGTCGAAAGATCTCACTTCCTTGCATCTACAAGAAGATTGTCGACGCCGCGGCGCACGGCGCGCAGTGGACGCCTTCCAGCGCGGCATGTCACGTGATACAACAAAAAGGGGCAATTTGAGCCCCAGCATTAATTTCCGAAATGATCCTGAATCTCTGCTGCCTAGTACGTAGTAGTAGAGATTCAGAGGAAGAGAGCAGTCTACAGGCACAGACGCCATCCAGTCCATCATGTACACATCTCTCGTTTGCAGACTTGCATTGGTTCTCATATACAGTACGGCTAAGTCTAACGTAACACAAAAAAAATGCCCCAGCCCACCACAACGCCGCTCCCCCAAAATTGAGACAGTCAAAGCACCGGATGTGTGAAAGCACCTTGTCTGTCGCATGGAAGGCCGAAGGCCGCTCATCGCTGCCATTTCATTCAGTCAGTAGTTTTGTAGGGCGCTGGCCGGCATCGCATTCCAACTTCCTGCAACCATTATTCCCGGCTCACGCAACCCTCCCCTTGCATTCTCTATAATGGAACCCAACTCCACGATTCCATGCTCTGTCGCATCTACCATCGCACAAATCTGCCTCCACCACCAAAGCTGAATGGGTCGTTGGAGTCGGAGCCGGAGGTTGTAGCCGCAGCCGTTGCCGCAGCACCGCCACCGGCAGCTGGAAGAGTGGCATCTTGACCGAAATCAAGAAGAGCAGACCCTGTGATGCCGGTGGTTGTATCGTTGTTGTTTTGTCCGGTAGGCTGGACTAGGTTCATGGGAATGGTCGGCAGATTTGTGATGTACTTGCGAATAATGACCGGTCCCACGATCAGGACGAGGAAGATGATGAGCAGAGTAAAGTACAGGATGGCGTAGCGGATTACACGCCGCTTGCGCAGGCGAGACTGCTTGAGAGAGTAGATTGGTGGCCGAATTTGACGACTAAGAACTTGTTAGCAATGGTCTCGTTGTCAAAGCAGCAAAGTCACATACCTAGGTCGCAGCCAGAAAAGCATCACCGAGTGGAACTTGTCGATATAAGGAATGCAGAGGGCCGGCAGCATGAGGAAGAGAATGGCGTGCCCGAGGATGAAGTCGGCCGCGAAGAAGCCGAGCTCGGTGATTTTGCACAGGAATTCTCTTCCGGGTTGTGACATCGAGTGCCAACCCATCGAGTACCATTTGCCAGTCCACCACGCAATGTTGGACGTGTCCTGCTTGGTCTCACGAGTAAGGCACAGAGCAATGATCAACTTGTACACGAACCGCTGGACGGCCGTGACGGCAATCATGCCCAGCAGTGCCTTGGCGAAGACCCATCCTTCCAGGAAGAACATCACCTCCCAGAAAGCGAAGAGCATGATGACAGCGATGGCATGGGCGATTGCTGCAAGCACAGAGCCGAACTTCTTGCAGCACATGCTCAAGAGAGGACCCATACAGCACGCCATGCCGAAAAAGCCGGCAAGGACACCGGCATTGACGGCGATAGGACCAAAGGCAATGATGGCCACTCGCACCAGCGAGTTGGTGGGGGGCGCGAGGTCCCGGCCAGTAACACCTGTCTGAGCGTTGATGAAAAGATAGGGGATCAGCGTAAGACAGGCGAGCACCAATGGGCCCACAACCTCGCTCAAGAAGATACTGGTGAAGTGAGCTCGGGGGATGTCACCGGAGAGCTTCTCGGACGGCGCACCGAGTGCCTTGCGTTTGAAACCAGTGAGACGAGTACGCGACAATCTGCAAAACGCGATCCAGGAAGAGGCGTGCGAGCGGGAGTTGCCGCGAGAGAGCCATCGAAGATAGTCGCGGTAGTCGATGAAGAAATCGTTCCAGGCAAACTGGTGCGGGTTGAAGATGAAGGGCGAAATGCAGAGCCCAAGCAGCGAGAACCAAAACCAGATCAACCAACTACCCCAGACGGTCATGGTGGCAAACAGCAACATCATCAAAGAGCGGGCTCCCACATAGATGGATGGACCTGCAAACCGGGAGTATAGAACGCCGAATGGAATACGCGCGGTAGCAAATCCACGACCGGTTCCGATGTAGCGAGCGCCACCGAACGACAGGTCCTGCTGAATAGAACTGGCATAGATTTGACAAACGAACACCTCAAAGATTGGCGAGGCTGAGGCAAAGTGCTTAGCCAAACGAGTAGCCGCGCGCCAGAATCCACGTTCAGTCAATTCCTGTACGACCAAGGGGACGAAGGAAATGAAGAACACAATGAAGATGGAGACGATGCAACGAGACACCCAGTCCATAATCGGGGTCAGGTTCGTGCATCCGGTAGGCTTCAGGGGGTCGGTGGCGGGGACATTGTGGTTGTAATGACACAGAATCGTCTCGTGCCTCAGAGCACCCAGGTTGATCAAGACGATCATAAAGAGCTGCACAGACAACATGATGAACATGTTGTTGATGTGGAAACCCGGATGCGCATAGTAGAAAGACAAGAAGCGGTCCAGAGGAAGCTGAGTGCCGAGGTAGTAGTACTCGCGAGACAACATCTGTTCACCCATACCAGTGCCAATCTTGGTGGTGAAGTTGAGGATGGAGCCGAACCCAAGATCACGACCTTTGCCGCACTGATAGTATTCACAGTGCTTGATACGGCCTCCGCGACACAACGCATTCATGCCGGCGTAGATATCTTCGTTCAGATGCAGACCTTTCTGGGCTTTGGAGACACCACCACGAGTAGTCATGAAGATACCGTTGAGGAAATCAGGGTGACCATAGTGAAGCTTGCCGCCGATTTGGGCAAGAGTACGAGCAAACAGGGTACCGAAGGTTTGTTCCTTGCCGGCAGCAACATCACCCAAGACACCGATGTTCTCGGAGAAGATGTATTCGCGGGCACCGAGAATGGCAACAGGGTTGGCCTTGGACGGCGCAATTCCAGGAGTGTACGGCGAGACGTTATCCGTGGTCATTTCCTCGAACTCCGCCAAAACGCTTCGGATCTTCAAGCACTCTTCCAGATAGTTGTCCTGGTTGGCATCGATAAGCTGGATGTATTCACCGCGGTAGAAAATGATGGCATGATTCTGATTGTCGGATTTACCGTCTCCAAGGATAGGGTTGCCGGAAAGCTGGACTCGGAATTTCGGTCGTCGCTGGCCGTTTTCAAGGAGTTCGGAGTGACCATCAATCAAAGCTGAGTACAGGCGTGGCTCTTCGCCTTCATTCTGCGGAGGCTCCTCGTCCAGATATGCGATCTGGAGATCGGGATAAGCACGAAGCAAGAACTCCGTGTTTTCGCGTTCCTCTTTCTTGAACTTGGCGTATCGTTGCATCGACACGACGATCTTGAACTTGCGTCTGGCCATACGTTCGAGCTCACGCTCCAGTTTGTCAGAGTTGCCGCCGAACATCTGCACGACTTCGGGGTTCTCAACACGGTACAAGAGTTTGATCGCTCTGCTGTAGTTCATGAAGCCGGAGATGGTACGGTACAGAGTCTGAGAACGAAGAGAGGCCCAAATACGGGTCCGGAGGGTGTACTCGGGAGCAGCAGACTTGAATCCGATGCAGTAGAAAGGCAGATCGTCAATCTTGCTCTTGGCGGTATCCTTTTCGGACTTCTCGTAGTCACCGTTGAACTGGGATGTCTCATCAGCAAGGATTTTGGTATCCTTGACGAAACAATCCCATTCATGGGGGTGGAGCTGCTTAAGATATTCCAAAAGCGTGACTCGGGAATACGGTTCATCCTCACGAATGATTTCTCGCAGCGAAAGGAGAATCTTTTCGCTGTAGTGCGGAATGAGAACCGTGAAAGTTGGCATGTTGTCGACCGGCAGAGGTTCCGGAATAGGCGTGGACAGTGACTGCGCAAAGAACGAGATACGACGCTCGGCTTCGCTTTGCGACGGGAAGAATTCTGTTTTGAAGGAATGATCTTCCTGCGAGACGAAGAAAGTTGGTGCACGAAGTGTCCGCTTGCCTTCTTGTTCGGAAGGAACTTGGTGGTAAAGAAGCTTCTGAACATGGTCGATGGCCAACAGATGTTCTCGGTACATGGAGATCACGATAGCGTTCCACACCTGTGAGATCAGCACTTTGGGCTTGTACTTGATCTCCATGTCGGTGGTGGCAAGGATCTTGGAGTAGATACGCTTTGGCAGTCGGGAGAAGATATTGCGCCAAGGTGTCCAGATCGACACACCGAGATAGAAAGACCGTGCCACCGAAAAGACACAGTTCCAAATGATGTACCACAAGTAGGTATCCAAGAAGAACAGGATCAAGTCGGTGAAGAACATGATGCCAAGAAGGATCTGAGGCTGATATTTGCACAGGTATTCCTTGAGAATCTGGTCCCCTGCGCAATGACGGATCTTGGTGTAGGACAAGATCTTGATGGGGTCTCGGAACGACAGTGTCAGGAAGAAGTAGGATTCGGAGAACTTGGCGGCGAAAACCATGATCCAGAGACCATAAGACATCCAGAGGTCGTTGCCCTTCAATTGCGGGAAGGAAGCCGTGAAAGTCTGGCTTGCAACGTACTGCCGCGAATTGCGAGTGAGATAGCTTCCGAACAATCCGCCCAATGGCATAATCGAGAAGAAGAAGAACGTTGCCAGAGCGATCAGGAATTGGACGACACCCAGGACCAAGGCGACCTTCGACTTCTGGCTGAACCCAAAAATGTAGACGCTGGGTGCAATGTTGAGGGCGAAAACACCGATCAGAAAGAGAAGTCGCTTGGTGAGATGCTGAGCACCAGCCCATCTCCGTGGCACATAGGACCATTCACAAAGAGTCGCGACGATCTGGATAAGCGTGGCTACGGTACCACCCAATCCCACTGCAGACCATTGAGCAGCAGCATGCGGTTTGTTGTTCAGTTGCTGCTGATAGTTGTGGGTATACAGTGTTGGGGAGTTGAAAGCAGTGTAAAACCAGAAAGCTGTCAAGTGAATGACCCAGATACGGTTGAAGTTGACAACCAAGTGAAACCAAGACCGTGTTTCCTTGTAGGTCTTGAAGAAGACTTTCTTCCAGTTCACTTCTTGAAGCTTCAGATATCTTTCGGCAGGAGGAAGGTCGACCAGGCGAGATTTATCTTCCAAGACGATTCGTTCAATGCCCTCCGGATACCAAAAGAGCTGATTCATATCATCGTAGCCAATGACATGGTTGTGGTCCTTCTCACGTCGGACGTACTTGCCTTCAATGATCTCGTAGCACTGATCCCTGATGTACGTGTACAGCGGGGTGATGACATTGTTCAGATAAGTGAACTCCTCTACTGGCTCGACGCTGTTCTGGCCGGCAGGCGAATGCAGGTAGTCATCTGCGCATTTGAAGATGAAGCAGAGGGTCTCAGGCATGAAACGAACTTGATTGGCTTCACCCCAGCAGAGCAGGTAGAGGGCAATCTGTCGGGCACGATCATGCTGGGACATCTTGTTCATGCGCGTCTTCCAGCGGTACTCGGCGGCTTCGAGAGAGTTGTCACCCTCCATGGCTTCAAGAACTTGTTCTTCGTTCTCTGGGTTCTCCTTCGCCTTCTTGGCGGCGGCCTTGCGTGCCTTGCGGGTTCGACGAGTCGACTTTCCAAGGTTCATGTTGGAAAACCCGACGGCATCGTCAAGATCCAAATGAGCTGCGAAATACCATCTGCGGTAGTTGGCGTTGTCACCTCCGATGTAATCCGCATGCAGGGACAACAAAGCTTGGTTCGGGGTCATTCGAGAGGCTCTCGAGTCCAACAGAGTCATCATGTGGTCGTACATGTTCCGCATGCTGTCACGTTGGAACCCGAACTTCGCAGTCAAGTCCAGGAAGATGTCCTCGACTTCCTCCTTCGAGAGAGGGATCTGTGCATCGGAGGTCCAAGCAGGGTAAGGTTCGCGAGAGCGTTGCCCAGCAGGCAAGGTACCGTTGTAGTCCATTCCGTAGATCGGTGTGGAGGCGCCGGAAGATCTGTTACCACCGTAGGAGATTTGCGAAGAGGGTGGTCTGAAACCACGTGCTCCCTGTCCTTCGTAGCCGCTGTGGTAGCGCTCATCTCCCCTGCCGTAGTAGTCCATTTCAGCAGCACGAGCCATGTCCGATCTCATGGTGAAGTCACTGAATGTCTCCGAATCTTCCTCGGAATCATGACCACGACGTCTTGGACGTTGACCTTGGTGCTGTTGCTGGCCAGCAGCTCCCTGATCATAGTACTGGCCGTCGTAGTAATCATCCTGGTAACCTTGGTGTCCTTCGTAGTAGCCACCGTCGTTGTGGTAGGGGTTCGCGGCATCTGCATTGTAGTAGCCACTGTTTTCCAAGGTCAGCCAGAAACAGCGTGAGTACGGAGCCAAGATGTGCTTACGATTCGTCATAATACCCTTCACCATACTGTTGCTGATTGTGGCCATAATCGTATTGTTGATCATGGTAGCCATTTTCATCTTGGTAATAGGCGTCATTGCCATGTTGCTGGGCATAGTCTTCGTCATAATGACCCTGCTGAGGGGGAGGTGCAGGAGGATGTCCAGACATGTTGAGAGAGATTGCTACAGCAATTCAAAGTCAGCACGCGCTGGCTCAAGCAGGGTTTGGCATTCAATATCCAGGTGGTGCAGGCTGTTCCTGAAGTTCCACGTACCTTAAGACAGTCCCATCAACAGTTTGCTTGTACTGAATATGCGAGATATGCGGTTCGTGAGGTTGTGGTAGTATTACGGCGGTAACGACGTTATAAACAACGAGCGATTGGTAAGGGGTAACCGACGACGGAAATGACGAGAAAGCTGCGCAGCGTGGCCGCAAAAATCGTCACCAGGCGATCTCAAGGAATCCCAGAAAGACGGAGGCCGGTGGTTGAGCTGGGCCAAACGTCGAGGTCGCAGGTGAAGAATAGGTTGGGTGTCGCAGCGATTGTTGTGAAACTGAAACGAATGAAGGGGGAAGAGTGTTGGTTGCTGAGCCAATGCAGCCACAGGAGCGCGTTCACGGCAAGCGTGGCTAGTCGGCCGACTGCTGTGCAAGCTGACCACTTCCCAACTTGAAGGCCAGGAAATCCGAGGGGCTCTGCTTTGTTTAAAACAATCCCTACGCACCTGCCTTTCCTCGCAGCGATAGAAGCGAGTGAAGGAGGAACACGAAGGAGGAGGTTGAAAAGAGAACGAAAGTACTGAGGCAAGGCTGGTCGGACGTAGAAAAGAGGCGACAAAGGACCCAAGAGAAAAAGCAGGATTGGAGGGAGAGTAGGGAGCAGGCGGAGCTCCTACACTGGGAGCAGGAGTGGTGCTGTGGTGCTGTGCTGCTTGTTTCGGGATTAGGGGCGTGCGCCGGCCAGAAATTTGGATGGTCAAGGTGGATTGCAACTTGGAACGGGTGGGTGGGTTCTACCAGTCATTTCATTTCGGGGGGCCAGGGGGGGTGCAAGAGGTGCTTAGAGCAAATCAGAGCTTGTCCAGTTCCGGGCATGCACGACAGCTCCTCACGATTTCAGCAGGGAAGGGGCCCTGGATGTAAACAGGGGCAGCGCAGCGCAGGCTGACCTCCAACCCGCCACGCCGCAAACGACACTCCGTGTTCCCTGCCACCGAGTCTTGCTTTGTCGTTAGAAAGTCTTCAAGTTCTTTTGGTTTCTTATGGATGTGCTACTGTTAACTCTGTGCAAACTATATTGTGTGATGGGTACCAGAGCCAGAAAGCGAACGCGAGAAAATCAACAAGGTCTCTTTCCACCGACCTTAAAATTCTTTTGCCCACCAGCTCCATTTCCGAGTCAAAATCCACACTGGGGCCGGAGGTCGTCAGTCTACAGAGTACGACAGTTGCTCCGGCCACCGCAATTCGCTGCCCATCCTTGATTGCGACGTCTTTAGCACCTTCATGCGCCCGCTTAACGTGAACAGCTTGCTACGCTACGGACTGACTTTCCGCCCTGGTGCAGCTAGATTGCTATCCCTGCTGCCCTCCCGCATCAAACATCTGGCCATGTCGTGGCTGGGCGGTGCTCCTAGCCAGGCAGTGTGGCTATGCAATCATGCAGAACTTGAAGATCCAGAGCACAAGAGCAAGCGAGAGAGACAGAGAGACATCCATCCATCTATAAACGGTCATGATTCTGCAGAAGGCAACCAATCTTGGACAGAAGATGGCAGATTACACACAAACCCCCCGCCTCGTCTACAAAGACATAGACAGACCTTGGGTCAGTCATCCTGCACCATGGTCACACAACCCGCGTTTCAGGTGAGGAAGCATTCAAAAGTCGTAGATCTTGACTACGGTGCCGGACATTTAACGCAGTAGATGGCGAATGCAGCTACCCGTGCCAGCCTATGCAGACTATCCGGAAGCCGTCGACAAACTTGACAGGATCTCTAGAACCCATGTTGGCGGCCCAAGCTAAAGATGAATATATGAAGACACCAATACGGCGCATGCCAACTTGGACTGTTGATATACTACGCACACAGCTGTGAGGCATGGTCGTCGGGTTGATAGGGACTGGAGGTCAGCAATGAAGCCGTTGAGCACTTTGTATCTGATGAATGGGCATGACTTTTCTTCCACAGAGAAATTTCAGAAATAGTCGAAGATTTACACGGCTTTCACTTAACCTGCACCTCTTGCAAGGTCCTACCGAGAGCATTGATTCCCAAGGAATCACCATTTATATTTTCATACGTATATGCTTCACCATGGTCAGGCATGCCACATGGACATACGGACCTCCCATGGTTGTGCTGGACCCGTCTTCCCTGTAAAGTGCACTCTTTGGTCCTACCATATCACCAATCATTCAGGTGGCGGTTGAGCCAGAACGCCAGCATCATCCATTATGCGGGCCTTCATATCAGATCGGCAGCCATTGACGACGGTGGAACGCCCATGGAAGATCAGAACCCTACCAGGCATGGCTTGACACACGGAATTGAGAACTCCAGAAGATGAATACTGGGTATGAGAAATTTTGCTTTCACTTTCAACGTGTTCAACTTGTTCCTCTGTAATGCGCAAACCTATCCCTCTCTGTTTCTGCATAACAGAAACAACACACTGGCAATGTAGCAAGCCAACGAAGCTAAGCTGTTTCGGTTTGGCCCGGAGGTCGTGACGGAAATCGCAAGCATCCCAAGCTCTCCACAAGTACCGGAACAAGCTTTGATGGGAATCAATAGCCAGGGGGCGTGGTTTCCTGTGGCGATTGCTATTTAAGGTTGACAACGCCATGGGCCATCATGTTCAAGTTGGCGCGCGGCGGTTCAGGGGTTAAGATACGATTCGTTCTTCCCGGTGAGATGACACTGCCGGAGCCCCCTAAGGTCTTGGGGTGCAGGAGCAGCGATTTGACAAGATGGAAAAGGGGGGCCGCTTCCAATCAATCTTGACACTGTCAACGACCCGGAAGTGTTTAATGCAATTTGACCGGACGAGCAAATTCGGGCGACGGCTGGTGGGCGGCATCAGATCATCTCCTTCATGTTCCTGTCCAAGGTCCAAGCTTCCCCGGGCCGAGACACAGCTGGAGACTCGAGACCTCTCGAGACCTGCCGTTGGAAGATATGGCACCGATGGGCCCTTCGTGGTGAGACATGCATATGTTTCTTCTGTACTATTATTTATTCGCTTTGATGAGCTCGTGGCAAATGATACCTTCCCCATCACAGCTTCCACAGTAGTATAGCGATGTAGTGTGTTTGCCAGAGTCGTCCGATCTTCTTCGAGACATGGTGGACCGCAACAATAACTACTGTGTATATCGCCTCTTGTGCCGGCCTTGGATCTAGAAGTGCAAAAATTTGAACGGTCTACTCCAACACGGACGCCTTGTCTGTTTGCCTTGCTTCTGATGGATTTATGAGCAGCATATTCGTACCAGCAACGGTCGGTCCGGAGTAGAGAAGCTGTGAGCAGAAGAGGAGGTAAACATCATGTTTTGATTGCTGTTCAACATCGTCAAGCTGTTTTGTTCGCTCTTGAGGCCGTCACACATTCACGGAGGTTGGAGAACAATTCTGTACTCTGTAAGATCATATCAGTGCGCGTCCAACAACGGATGAATTGGCGCAAGCTTTTGTCGTGTTTACCACAAGAGAGCGCGTCTCGGTGTCAACGGCGACAAATCTTCCGCAAATCCGTAAGGCCAGCGCACATTTCATGGAGGTTTTTAGCCCACTGGAGTGGTGGAAGAGAGGACGCGTGTTCAGTTTGTTGTCTTCACCGGCAATTGGCGGGAGGCCACGAACACAAACAGATCTGCCACAGGTCAGTGTCTGGGCCAGATGCCAGAAGTGAGAGGGTCAGAGGGTCAGAGGTGGCCCTAGGCTGAGCAGTGAGCAGTGAGCAGACAGCTTTCGCAGCTCTCCCAGGGTTAGTGGACTTGTTGCCGTTCCAGGTACTATGGCGGCGGTCCCAGTGGTGCGCGGCCTTAGGCTCCCTAGGCGTTAGGTACTGGGCCTTAGCCACCCTAGCCTCGGCCAAGCTGCCTACAACACCAGCGTTAGGGGCCAACTCCAGTGCTAGTGCCCAGTGCAGTGGCAGTGGTTGCGTGGTCTCAAGTGCCAAATGCCTGCGTTTCCGTACCAATGCGTTGCTGCGTTCCCATCCTATTATTGTTGATTAACCTCGCCGATCTTGACACTTCATCCCTGGATTCGTCTCTAATCCTGTGTACATCCTCCGTTCTCCCTTTACCTGGCTAAAGTCGACGAGTCTATCACATAGACTCGCGCACCTTAGGTCAACCTCCGCGTCACATTCTTTGTCTTCACTTTCGTGACACTCTTTATCATCTTGGAAACTACCTCCTACTCATCGCCGTTCGTTCCGTTCCTGCCTTCGTTTCGGCGGAGTCAGGTCTTTGCCCTCACCTCTCCGAGAGAGATTTCTTCGTAATCCGAGAATTGTTTGGCCATCTTCAACTGCGACAAAGTCCTTGGAGCAACCACATTCTTGCCCAGACAACATATCTCGCCCATCCTCATCATCATGAAGAGCTTCACTGCCGTTGCGACGGCCGTTGCAAGCGCTGCTCTCTTTCTGAAGACCGCCTATGCCGATGTAGACCCCATCGTCATCAAAGTATGTCCCATTGCGCAAACTCGGCTCCCCTCATCATAGCTGGATGTCTGACTCTCCTTCCCTTGCAGGGCTCTAAATTCTTCTATCAATCCAACGGAACCCAATTGTGAGTGCTTCTGTGCATCTGCGCAGGCGCGCCGCTGACCTGAGAAAATCACAGTTTTATCAAGGGTGTCGCTTACCAACGTACGCTATTCCGTGGACCTCTCGTGGACAGCATGAACTGACGGAGATGTTTTTAGAGGACTATTTGGGCAATGGCACAACATCTGGATCGACATCTGGCTCAGACAGCTACATTGACCCTCTCGCCGATACATCCTCGTGCAAAAGAGACATTCCTTACCTGCAAGAACTCCAAACCAATACCATCCGAGTCTATGCTCTCGACCCCACTAAAGATCACGATGAATGCATGTCTATGCTAGCAGATGCTGGCATCTATGTCATTGCTGATCTCTCCTCCCCTGGGAACTCGATCGTGCGCGACAGCCCGACGTGGAATGATGACCTATACGACCGCTACACCTCGGTGATTGATGCCATGGCCAACTACACCAACACACTGGGATTCTTCGCAGGAAATGAGGTTTCCAACAACAAGAGCAATACCGATGCCAGTGCCTTTGCCAAGGCTGCCGTCCGTGACATGAAGGCGTACATCAAGCAGAAGGACTACCGCACCATCGGTGTCGGCTATGCCACCAACGACGATCCAGACATCCGGGTGGACATGGCCGACTACTTTGATTGTGGAGACCGTGCAGATGCCATCGACTTCTGGGGTTACAACATTTACTCCTGGTGCGGAAACTCCAGCTATACTAAGTCTGGTTATGACCAGCGCACAAAGGAATTTTCGACCTTCAACGTGCCCGTCTTCTTTGCCGAATATGGCTGCAACGAAGTGCAACCTCGGACATTCACTGAAGTGCAAGCACTGTACGGCCCTCAGATGACCCCTGTGTGGTCGGGTGGTATCGTCTACATGTACTTCCAGGAAGTGAACGACTACGGTAAGCCAAATTCTCTGGAGGGTCGTCAATGTCACTGATCCCGATGCAGGTCTTGTCAGCGTGTCCGGGGACTCTGTCAGCACGTTGGCGGATTTCAACTACTTGTCCTCGCAGATCGCACAGATTGACCCGACCGGAGTGAATTCCAAGGACTACACGCCCACCAACACTGCGGCACAGGCTTGCCCCACAGTGAACTCGGATTGGCAAGCTTCCTCTGAGCTGCCTCCTACCCCGAATCAGCAGCTTTGTGAATGCATGTACAATGCTTTGACCTGCATCCCGGACAGAATTCCCAGTGATGAGATTGGCGATCTTTTCGGCATAGTTTGCGGTCTGGGTCAAGGCACTTGTGATGGCATCAACGCCAACGCGACGGTGGGCGAATACGGTGCCTATGGCATGTGCAATCCCACACAACAGCTGGGCTGGGCTCTCAACAACTACTACGAACAGCAGGTGGCAGCCGGCAATGGTGCTTCGGCCTGTGATTTCTCAGGCTCAGCGAGGACACAGTCTCCCACCAGCCCGACCGGGACTTGCGCCACTTTGATCAGCCAGGCCGGTAATGAAGGCACTGGGACGGTCACTTCTCAGCCCAGCCGCACTGCTGGTGCTGGTTCTGGGTCAGGGTCTGGGTCTGGGTCCGGGTCCGGGTCAGGTTCCAGCGCTAGCTCTGGCTCTGGCTCTGGCTCTGGCTCTGGCTCTGGTGGCAGCAGCAGCAGCAGCTCCAGTGCAGGTATCCCAGGTGTCTCAACCCCAAGCCACATTGGTCTTGCGTCAGTGGCGTTGTATCTTTCTATTGCCTTTGTGTCCGGAGCCGGCATGATCTTGTTGTGAACAAGAGTGGGTGAAGGTGCTTTGGGGAGGATGATCGAGAGGGAGGCTGAAGGATGTGTTCATATCGGTCACGCAGTCTGCTTCAAGTGGTCTTCGGGACAGCCCCGGCTACAGGGGGGAAATGTATCACAGCATTGCTGGAGTCTAGCGAGCACCGGAAATGGTTGGTTTAGTTGTGGCCAAATAGATCAACCCCGGCCGGTTATCATGATATTAGCATTGCGCAGATAGGAAGTGTTCTATTCATCGTGATTGAGCTCTTTGTACAGTCCATGCCTGGTCAACCTGGTTGAAGGGTATCTATTCCTGTTGCGTTTATTGCAGATTCACATGTCTTGTTCCTCTTTCCCAATGTTGGTAGGCATCAGGGCCTGGTAGAGGCCGATGAGCGTCGATGGCTGAGTAATGTCGAGCAGACCCCATGAAATATCGCGGGTGTTCTTCACCGCGAGGTTGTAAATGGGTGCGGTAACGATCGAGAGAGGAATCGTAGGACAGCGACCGGTTCCTAGCTACAATGTCAGTTATTCTCAAGGGATGCTTGTGTTGCCTGGTGCAGGTTGATGAGGTTCTGTGCAAATACCCAACCCCAAGGCTGTCTCGCAGAATTGGATAGAAATAATCAGCAACAACACATCTTGAATTTCCGACGACATTCCCACCATCGAACCCTGCTACCGCCCTACACAGATCTGATCGCCTGTGAACCAGAAAGACACAGACTCCCCTGCAATCGATCCGTACCCATACCTTTTCGACCAGAAAAAACAACCATCAAGACTGAAGAATATGGAAGAACATGGGAAAGGCGCAAGTCTGTCTGCTCGCTCCACCGATATGGCGACTACCTACGGCATTCGAGACCTCTACGGAGGCGCCATGACGGTGGAGCTACCGGTAGACCTCATTGATTCCAGGTAAGTTTAGGCCCTCGACGGTTGGTTCTCTTCTTGTCTTGTCTTGTCGTCAACAGTCCAGCCGGGGCGATCCATTTCCGAGACCTCCAAAGGACCACGGACGTCGTGTCGATACGTCGATAAAAGGGACATCAACGAGTCCTCTTTGACGACGGACATCCCGTTACCAGTACACCTGACAGCAGGAACTGGAGCCGGAGCCGGAGCCGGAGCCACTGTGTGATGGGGTTTCTTTTTGCTGTCCCGTCCCAACTGACGACTAACTACTCTGTTACGCATAGCGACCTTCGCCAGATCCCAGACCATCAAGAAGTTTTTCTCTCCCCGACGACGTTGACGTCGCTCATCTTCGAGATCAACGACTATGCCGACGGCGGCCACCTGGACTATCCCACCACAACGACGACCACGACGACCAGACCGGACGGCACTACGACGACCACGACGACGACCGTTGTGAACGGCACTTCCACTTCTGTTTCTGTTCCTGCTTCTATTCCTGTTTCCGGAGACCAAGCAGAAACAGAGACACAGACAGCGCAGAACGATGCAGAAGCCGCCAAATTCCATTTCACAGACGTCATCTCGCCCCCGGACACGCTGGCTTCACCGCTCCCGACGCCGCAGAGAGTCACGCTGCAAAGGCCCAGCTTGGCTGCATATCCGGCATATATCGTCACAGGCAATATCAGGAGCCACGATCAATCTCGCCGAGCGGAACCTCCGACGGCAGCGACAGCGACAGCGGCAACTTCAGCATCATTATCGTCATCGACAGCGAACCAGCTCCAGTCACTCGTGCATCAGATCCAGCTCCTCATCCGTATGGAGGATTATGCCACCGACCTGTGTGTTCGGGTCAATGTGCCTTTGAAGGAGCTCGTCGACAATAACGAAGTTGCTGCCGAGGCAGCGTTTGCCAGAGATCTGATCGCCAGTGTGGTTGCGACTCTTGACGTTGTGGACTTTGGCCTTTTCGGGAATTGAATTGAATTGAACTCAACTCAACTCAACTCAACTCAACTCAACTCAACTCAACTCAACTCAACTCAACTCAACTCAACTCAACTCAACTCAACTGACCTGAACTGAAGAGAGTTACAGTGAGTGAGCTGACCGCCTGGATCACCCGAGACTGACTGGCACGACATATCGAGTTGGTGCATATGTGACAACCTCGTCGTGGTCCGAGTCTGAGAAGCCCAGCCGACAGAGACAGAGAGAGAGGTCTCCGCCAGCCACTGCATATCATGTCCCTCTCTCCCAATCTCGAAAATGGGGGAGCGATCTGAACACAGAGCCCGCCGACGCAGGGATGTTACTTCCTCCCTGAGACAAGGCTTTCCAGGAAGGATTCTGATCGCATTACCTCGTAAGGCCGGCCTGATACTCTTGCCCTCCCATCACTCGAGAACCGGAATGGACGGAGCAGAGCTTCTTCTTCTCGCCGAAGGGATTCGGCCCACCTGCTTTCATTTCACGATCACGATCACGATCACGGAAGCAAGATATGAGCCATGGATGACCAGGAAAGTAAAGGGAGGAAATGAATAAAGACAGCCCAGCCCGACCACGCCAGTTCCAGTTGTGAGCGGACGCACCTTATCCTCGTCGATTGGATTGGATTGGACACGGCGATGTGGCATTCACTTTATGCCAATGGGGAGGAGAACAACTATTTGAAACCAGAAGGAGGGAAACGACCTCGGCCGGCTGTCTGTCTGAGCGTCGCACTTCTCAAGCACGAGGATGACTGCAGAGCGACCGCAGAGCAGACACCGCTGCTACGGGCTACGGGCTACGGGCTACGGGCTACGGATTGGAACGAACAGCAAAATCTGTATGACTCTATTCTATAGCTGTCATCAAAGGCACAATATCACTACCGATTAGAAGTATGGGATCCAAGATTGTGGGGGGGATGCTCAACAAGACATCTAGCTGCTGACTGCTGGCTACCTACCTACTCCTTTCTAACCCCCCGGAACCCTCTCTTCCTTGATACCGAGGAGACAGACATCTGGGGAGATCTGAGCGCGGGATGAAATTAGACCGATGTTGGACTGAGCGAGCCCGCCTGGTAGAGAAGAAGGGAAGCCATGCCAATGATGGTCTTACTCTCCGAGGCTCCGACTGTACACTGTACGTTCATTCTACTATGAAATCCACGAATACCACTACAAACAAATGCTACGATGCCGGTTACATTCGGAGAGGCAAGTCAAGTCCAGCCAAGTCAAGCCAAAGTCAACTTGCAAGATGGGTCTCTCATTCATTTATTCATTCATTCTCAGCCTTGTCTGTCGTTAATAACTCCGCTTAAGGCTGTCTTCTCCTTTGACATGCTGACAGAGCCTCCGAGGGTACGTAACAAAGAGCCAGGCATTTGAAAGTGACCCTACGTTCAGCACACAACGACAAAAAAAGCAACTCGGCATTTTCATGCAAGGCACTTACTGTACGTGATGCAGTCTCTGCGGCATGGTAGTCTTTCAGTCCAGTCAACCCAGTCCAGTCCTTCCATGATCCGTTCAATGCAGTCATTCCAGCCAGTCGAAGGAAAGTTGACACTAATCATGCATGCATGGCAAGCCCTTGCTCCAGCAACATGAACCATACCTCTCCCCCCCATTCAACAAGCCCAAACAGCAAAGCCAACGTGCCATATTCTCCCAAGTCCACATGAGTTTGGTGTACAAGAAGACTGTTGAACCCTGAAGGCCTCAGGAGGTGACACCGACTCAGTCACTCAACTCGACGGTTTCGATCATTGAGCCCGAAACAGGTCCAGTGCTGCTACCACTCGAACTGCGTGATCCTGTTTCTGAAACAGAGCGTGACCCAAATGTCGAGCCAGAAGTCGAAGCAGATCGTGATCCTGATCCTGATCCTGAACCAGACATTGACCGAGCTCCAGATCCAAACACAGACCCAGACCCAGACCCAGAACTCTCGACACTCCCCTCTCTGCTTGACTTATGGACACCAAACTCAATCCTCGACTTCTTCCTCGGGCTCGTCCTCGCCCCCGCCGCCACAGTGGCTCTAGGCTTGGGCCTGACCTGGACCAACTTCCCCTTACACTTCCCGCAGCGATGTTTGTCCGGATCGATGCTGCGACTATGCCTGCCGTACTCGGCGCCACAGCCCGCCCCGACACCAACAGCACCGGGGCTCAGATTGAGGAAATCCATGACCGGGGTTCGGTCCCTGCCCGCACAGACCCACAGATACTTATGGTCGATAGTGTAGCTGTGTTTCGTGGTGACCTGGACCTGGCGCCACACCGGCACTCCGGTACTCTGGCGCAGATGGGAAGTGACTCTGGCCGCCCACTGCTTGAACGACGGGCCGTGCGGCTGGTCGCGCACGTTGCTGACCATGAAGTTGGCCAGGTGACAGAACTCGTGGGCGAGGGTGTTGACGAGCCGCTCGTCGCGGTCGATGATCTTCTCGGCGAGTTCGATGCTTGCGAAATGTTGGATCTGGACTCCCGGGCCGGCCGCTGCTCGATTCTCGTCTTCTGCTCCCTTGACAGGTGATCCGGATGTCTTGGTCACCGTTCGTTTCCAGTTGGCTCGGCCGGCCGTGGAGCGCAGCGTCTTGGACCAGATGATCTTGACTCCGCCCGTGCTGGAGGATAGCTCGGCTAGTCTGGAACCGGCCACGTGCGTGTCAAGTTCTCGCAGCAGATCCATGGCCATCTGTCCCTTGCGTGCGTCAAACTCTTTCTTTCGGGCCGCGGCGGCTCGTTTCTCCTCCAGTAGACGCTTCTTTTCTTCCTTCTCGGGACTGGTTTTGGACGGCGACTTCGATCGTGCTCTCGTTTTGCCGGGTGACGATGACGAGAAACATGGGCTTGGAAGGGATTCGAAGCTTTCGTAAGTCTTGTGGTCTCGCTCTCCCTGACTCTCTCGCTCTTCTTCTGGATCCGAGTTTGAATCCGAATCTAAATCTGAAAAGATTGTGAACGGAGCAAACAGTCTTTTGCTGGGAGACGTTGCTGGGGCCTTTTTTGGTGAGAACGTGTCGTTCCACTCATTGACCACGTTATGGTCCCAGAACGCATCCATGCTTTGCCGGTGAGGTGACTGCGGGACGGTTTGTCGCTTGGAAGGAGACAACAGCTTGGACGGAGACTTGAGCTTGCTTGGTGATCGGGGTGGTGTGGTGGGCGGTGTCTTGAACTCGGCGCCGGGCTCATCTACACCACCCGATCTTTTTTGACCTTTGCCTTCTTCACCACCTGTCTCAACGGTACTCTGGACAGGCATGACTTTTGGAGGTAACAGCAGTGACGGCTTCGAAAGAGGAGGATTGAGCTTCAGGAACGTGTCGAGGTCCTCGAACGGGGTTGAATTACGAGGTAATCTCTTGGGAGAACTGGGCTTCTCATCTTGTTCTGATTCAGGTTCATGTCCGGGTCGTGTGTTGAGATCAACCGCCGGTGTTGCAACGGGTGATGAAGTCAGATCGATCACCTCAATCTCTCTTTTCCTTTCCTCATCTTTCCCGTCATTATTGAGACACATGTGTTGCAACGCTTTGGATAATTTCTCGGCCGACCTGTTTTCTCTGCCTGATTCAGAATCTGATTCTCCTTCGGCGACATCGAAATCCAGCCGCCTTCGAGTTGGTGAACCACGTTGTAGTCTTCTGTGTGATGCCGTATTATGGGACAATCCTCGTCTTGAGACTACTGTATCCTGATCCGACTCTGGCGACGAAGACTCATGATAGCTAAGCTCGGCGTTATCATCCACGATGAACCCACTCAGGTCTGTATCCTCGTTCTCATCTTCTTCACCCATCGAGTCACCACTGTCGTCGTTGCACCGGGCCTCCGTCAAGACGAACCTGCTGGCATAGGCTCGCCCAGGCTGCTGCTCTCTGCGCGGGACTGTTCGGGTTTTTGAAGTGCGTCCTGATGATTTCTCATTTACAGACAACAGCGATTTATTCCATTTTCTCATCGCGAGTCCATCTGCTTCTGGTATTGGACGACCATTCCCGGTTCTTGTACTTCCGTCCTCCAATACCATATTCTTCAGCGGAAGAAGGAGGGAGTCCGCTTGAGAGACTTTCAGACCGTGCTGGCCACTGACAGGTGATCGGCGATTGTTGGAGGTCAACATGGTACTGGTACTGGTACTGGGAAAGGTTGAATGGTGAGGCAGGTGAGGAATGTTGTGTATAACAGTGGACGACTGCGATTTCATCGCCATTGCTGGCTTTGAGGGGGATCGATGCTCCTGGACATTCTGCCTCACGCTTGGCTTGGTTTGCTTTTGAGGACTGGGAACACCTCGTTGTCTCTTCTCTGGTGAGCGTGATATATCCGATTCCAGCGCTGCTTGCTTTCGAGGCGATCTTCTTAGGGCGGTGTTTGTGCTCGTCGCCATCAGCGGTCTCGGAGCGAGAATGGTCGCAAGGTCGGGCAAATCGTCTTCGGATGAATAATCCGACATCTCTTCAACACTATGACTGGGATCACTCCGTTTTCTGCTGGCCGGATCGTGGTCGTTCGTTGCTGGCAACTCAGTTGCCTTCATTGACAATTGCGGATGTAGTTCCTATATTTACTTGTCCCCATCCGGAAGTCGGTCCTTGCTCGGCGTTTCATGGGGCAACTGGATCACGTGAGACCAATAGCCGCCAAACACAGCCTCTTCTTGTCGCCTGGAGAAAGGCAAGGCTGTGCCTCATCAGGCTGTGGTCATCATTGGTTGTGGTTGATGGCAAGCCTTGCGATTCCTCCATGGCTACTGATCTTGACCACAATTCAATACCGTGTCGATGTTTATCGTGTAGATGGCATGTTGTCTCTCAACTCTCCATCTCCTCCGATTCGTTGACGTCATGGTGTAGCGTTCATGCCAGTGCAGTGGAGGGCTGGAGGGCTAGAGGGCTAGAGGGCTAAATGAGGAGGCTCCATCTCTTATAAATCCAACAAAAGCAGCAACTGTGGTCTGGGAGGGCACTGATCAAACCCGCTCCCAGATATAGAGACATAGCCGAACACTTACAAAGACAGGAGAAAGGAGAGGCGGATGAGAGAGAGAGAGATATATATATACTCCTGCTCCTACAAAATCGTATCGAAAGATCGCTCACATCATCCCGTGTTTTCCTCTTCTGGCCCCCTTTATAGAAACCCCCTGCGTTGACTGATCCCTACTACTATCACAATGTCTCCCGGCAAGACCGTGCTGATTGTCGGCCCCGGCTTTATCGGCTGGAACATCCTTGACAGACTCGTCTCCGAGAACTACAACGTAACGGGCCTCGTACGTCGAAGCGCACAGGCACAGCAGATCCAGCTCTCAGGCGCCAAAGCAGTCGTCGGCAGCCTCGACGACACGGCTCTGATCAAGACACAAACCACGGCGCACGACATCATCTTCCACACCGCCACCGCCGACCATCAGCCATCAGCGGAGGCCATTTGCGCCGGCGTAGCAGAGCGCGCGGCCCAGGGGAAATCGACAATCTACATCCACACGTCGGGCACTGGTGTGCTGGACGATGGTGCCCAAGGCGACTTCGAGAGCGATAAGATCTACCGCGACGATGAGCGCGACGAGATCGATGCCCTCCCGGACAGCGCGCCGCACCGCCAGATCGATCTGGCCATCGTGAAAGCTCACCGAGAGATCGGCGACAAGGCCAAGATCGCGATTATGATTCCTCCGCTGATTTATGGATATAATCCGTCCCATCGTCGGCTGTCGATCCAGATCCCGACTCTGACTCGGTTCGCCTTGAAGCATGGCTTTGCAGGCTATGTTGGCAAAGGCCTGGCTGTCGAGTCGCAGATCAATGTGCTCGATCTGGCTCGCGCCTATGTCGTGTTGTTGCATCATATGGAATCCGCCCCTGCCGACGAGTTTCTTAAGAACCCCTATTTCTTCTGTGAGAATTGCCACGACACTTCCTGGAAGACGGTCGCCGAGATGATTGGGTCTGGGCTGCACAAGGCCGGCAAGATCCAGGATCCGACTCCCAGAACGATCCCAAAGGATCTGTATGGCGATCTGTTCGGGGATGATACCGGCGCTGTCATAGGGTTGAACTCACGCAGTCGTGCTGTCAGGTTGAGACAACTCGGTTGGGAGCCAAAGGAGCGTAGCATGCACGAGACCTATGAGATGTTCGAGCTGCCCGAGATTTTGAAGGAGCAAGGTCTGGATTTTCAAGGGTATCAAGGAGTGGCCGCGTAATAGAACGCGAATGCCTAGCAGGCATGGATCGGTGGTAGGGGCGACAGAGAAAGAGAGAGATATTTTGTGGTCGCTTCATCATGACCCAAGGGGTAATAGCCGACAGAGCCGGGCATGGGTGTTCCAGGTCCGTATCAGTTGGTGTTCCAGCCGCTTAGTGCTTCGAAGCATATGGTCTTCTCTTGTGCTGCATGGTGGACGAAGGAGACACCGGTGCCAGTCTCGACCTCTTGGTAAGGAGGCTGGCGGCTTTCTGCGAGAGGCATCATCACGGTAATGCGGTCGCAATAGCGTCAATCGAGCCTCCATTGCAAAGAAATCACAGACCACTGTCACGCGAGTGGTTCTCCTTCTGCTGAGGAGATGTTCTCAATCACCATATATTCAATCTACCAACCTGGTCCAATGTTTCAAGGATCATGCTCGTTCTCAAGTTCGCGGGACTATACATTTTCATCTGCCCTCGCCACATTCACCATCTCATAGCTCGGTCCGGTATCGACATTTCTGCTCCGTCCCTGACCGCCACGAACATCGTCATCAGCCTCGACCAGCCCGTCTCCGGCACTCTGTGTTCCTTTCTTCGGAACCGTGCCAAACGAAATAGGCTGCATTTCACGATACCGACAAGCCCAGACCCCCAAGCTGATCATGAGACTGGCACTGGCGGCCTCCAGGCCCCACCAGAGAAGATTTGTTGGAACCGATTTTGTATAGAAGGACGTAACTAAGAGGTGGAAGAAGTGGATGGTCAAAGCAAAATCGGGGACCAGTTTGGAGCGCGCGATGAGAAGGATTATTGGAATTACTCTGGCATGCGGTTAGCCAAACCACTCCTGCTCGTGAAGAGACACAACGTACGTTATGAAGCCATCGATCACCCAGAGGAAGCCGATGGTCCAGCCGATCGTGTTGTCACCTCTTACGCTCTTCCAGTCGAATATCAGGGCCAACGAGAACTTCTGGCCGAGCACGAGCGTAGTAAATAGTATTAATACAAACGCAGTCGCGTAGTAGGAAAGTTGAAGGAGGAGAATAGAACGGATGATCTTTAGAGGTGGGAGTTCAGTGAGGGCGCCTGCGCGAGGTGGCTTTCTCCGTCGCGGTGGCATTCGCCTGTCGTTCTGTCCGCTGGCTGTTACGTTCCGCTTGGAAGATCGCTGACATTAGCATCGCCACAGGGATTTGGTGTATCAGCCGTGTTTAGACGTAAGCATGGGGCGAGTCGAGGTTGGTGGTGGTGGTGGTGGTGGTGGTAGTTGATGCTCAATATGTAGTAGAGTCAGGCCAGGGGAAGAGACGTCAACCACTGCGCTTCATAGTACTAGGAGTATCACGTGGAGTCGGGGTTTCTCTTTCTCCAACTCCAACGTCAAGTTCGCTGCAAGCCTGATCACTCCGAACGGCGCATTGCTCGAAAGATTCTCTTGTCGTCGACACCTTTTCTGGAACGCATCCTACACATATCACGGATATCTGACTATATAACTGCCCCTCGCCGAACTAAGAGACCTTTCGACGAACACGACCTTCAACCAAATCCTACATCCGGTGCACCTCGTTGTCCTGAATATTCCTCAGTGATGGCTTGGGGACTTCCTACATGGTTAGGAGGTAGTTCGACTCCGGCGCAGCCAGAACCAGTTCGGCCAAAGTCCAAGGATGGTGGCTTCGTCGCTCCGGACCGGAATGCCCGAGAATTATGCTACGAATCCAGAGACGTATTCTTCGATTGTCTGGACAGGAATAACATCTTGGATGCCATCAAAGAGGACGAGAAGGCGAGAAAGGTGTGTCCGAGGGAAGTCGCACAGTATGAGAAAGATTGTGCTAGGAGTTGGGTGAGTCATACCGCAGTTCACCTGGAGATCCGAAGGCTTTACGTGGTGAATTCATGCTGATGCCGTGTTTGGGGCGTGTTCAGATCAAATATTTCAAAGAGAAGAGGGTGATGGAATATAACCGAGATCAGACGATAGCCCAGATCCAGAAAGACGACGCGAAGGCTGCTGCGAAGGCCAAAGGCCGGCAGTCAGGTTCTTGGTTGGGATGATATGATGTTGCTCAAGGAGATGTTGCCTCAGGGCATTCTATTGTCGGGCATATTCACCCTTTGGAGAGATTCAATCTCTAGGACCTCTTTATATGCCAAAAGTCTCGTTTCCTACGGGCGCCGGCTTCGACACTGTGTATTGAAGTAGGTGAGGAGACTGATGAGTCCGTTCAAAGGTGCGGGAGGGCATGATTCTTGTATAACAGACCTCCCTGTATGCATAGCGTGGTATGGCGATAAACACATCAGATGGAGTCTTACTGTGGGAACGGAAAGGAGCTTTGTCTCTTCACGGCCGGTTGGGAGATCCTCAATGAACATAATCTTCACTCATACTGGGAATGAGGTACTTGGACTTTCGTGCGTGCTTGAGAACACCTTCAGATATCAGTGGCTCGCGGCCAAATATGGGTTGTGAAGCCATGCTATCGTCCTAGCGGAGCCAAGACACTCCCAACCATGACAGCAGCTTCTCTTTCCCAGTTATCCACCGGTTGCTCTGCCTTTGCTGCTGCACCACTATTTCCTAGAGTAACGGTCCGAGGCATCTTCGAACCCCGTAGCACACATTCGCGTATTTCCGCTCGGACAGTGTCGCGTTGACTCCGAAGCGTGCGTGCAGCAACTCCTCCCCGATTGAGGATCTCGGACACTCGGGGAGCTAGAGAGGATGCCAGAGAGCGCCAAAAGTAAGATGGTAGCGAAGCAGTGTCAAGGGCGTTGAGGAGGAGGGAGAGGAAAGACTCGGACGACTGTTCTGTAGGGTCCTCGATGCCATCTTCCTCGTCACTGTCCTCATCAGTGGTGTTCTTGATATTTTCGTCGGATCCGTCAGCGCGCAACAGGGGGTGTTCCGGAGCATAGATGCCTCGCAGCAAAACTTCCAGGGCGACCACATTCTGGCACCTGGCACTGGCTTCCAGTAACGCCCTGTCTAATGTGGGAAGCTGACCAAGGGCACGTCCAATGGAGGCGGCACTCGAAGTGATGGCTGTGTGAAGGTATCCTTGCAACGAACGGATCAGATGCTCGGGCTCAAAGTCCTTCTTGGCCATGCGTTCACCGTCGATTCTGGGTGCAGGAGAGAGGAGATAGAGGATATGCACCGCACTCATGAATCTCGCACGACTGTCCTCTGTTTCGCGAAATGTTGGGCCGGCAGTAGACAGTCCACCGCTAGGTGTGGACGAGAGTGTAGTCATTGAAAATTCGCGGACGACGCGTCGGGCGAAATCTAGAAGCCTAGCCTCGCCATCTTCAAAAACCCGACCGCGCAGGGTCTTGACGAGGTTGATGCGGCCAAGGTCGTCGCCATCCTTCCCGCTCATGGCCTCACGGAAAGCAAGGACGATGAGGCTTGCACGGGTGAGCGCGGCATGGTCCTCTTTTCCATGCCTCGCACCACCTCCCAAGCCCGACTCGGCCAGAATCACCTCGAGCTGTCTTGCAAGGGCAAGGATCCTCTGCACATTGCGGCCTAGTCGGAGGACTTCCCAGCTTCGTTGAGCCACCTCCTTCGCGTCGACTGCCCGCTGGTGCCGGACCATCACTTCCTTCTCTAGCCGTTCGTAGCTGGTGGTAAGCCGCGCTCGCTCATCTTCGACCTTGGCAAGGATTCTTTGTGCGGCGGCGTTTTGGCTAGATGTGTAGGTCAAGATCTCCAGGGCCGACCGAGATGTCAATGTATGGATGTGTGAGTCGATCTCTTGCAGATCGAATAGGACCCGTGACAGCGGAGTTGTAAGGTCTATGGTGGGATCTGAGGGGTTATTGGTGGCGAGGATGAGACTGTTGGCATGAGAATATGGAGAGAATTGGTCTGATGAAAGCGAGGCAATGTCGATGTAGGTCGAGGTTGTAGTAGCAGGGTTTGAGGCTGCCATGATGCGTAAGGACCGGACTCAACCCGGTTGGGACAAGAAGGCAAGATGCTGTACAGGCCGTCTGTGCCACTTCCGTCCTACAGGCGTGTTTCAAGGTATGGATTTATCTCTTGGAGAGGCCAGGTTGTCCGTGAGGGTTTCAAGATTTGAGCAATCCAATGATTGATCTCCAGGAGCAAACAAACATGAAGCGGAATGGCAGGTTACGGAAATATGAACGTGCCTACTGGATTTCAGCGGACAGTTCGTTGGTAGACCTTGACATATATTGTGGCTCTGTAGACCGTGAGGTGTTGATGTCCATGGATGGATTGCACAGTAGATACTTCTATAGTACCAGTGCAGTGGGTTGAGGGGCGCCAGCAAGGCTGCCAGCTGGCGCCGCTTTTAGGTATCTCAACGTTGGTAGTACGTACTATAGCAAAGTCAACCCTCAACCAGGGGGCGCTGACTCCTATCTATTTGTTTACTGTTCAAAGTCAAAGAAGTCGGACTATCAGCTTCTTCACGATGGTACATGATGAGGTCTGAAATGGAAATGCTTCCTCTGTCGAACGAGTGGTTTCAGAATGCTGCAATTTGAGATGCCTTCCCGTGATCTTCTACAGAGTATAGATCAGAGATAGTCGAATCGTCTCCGTAAGAATGACTTGATGGCAAGGATGGTGACAGACAGAGAAGCTCGCTCGGCTAAGCGGCAGCGACAAGGCATGACAGGTACATACATACCTTAGGTAGGTACCGCTTGACCGGTCATCTGAAGCTGTCAGAAGTGAAGTCGCTGCCTCATGTGCCTACCTGTACCCAAGATACAGACAGATAAAGATGTGGCTTGGACCTCCACATGGGAGCACCTGGATATGCCTGGGACTGCCCACTGACGCAAACAGTATGAATAATAATTTAGGCTCATTTAGGAGGCCCTAGGCGGTCGCGATACCTAAACGTGCCTGGTGCCTGTGCCTGTACCGGTGCCTGAGCGGGTGCCTGAATCCAGCAAAACCCATTGTCTCAGCTCTTCCTGCGGCGCTGATCGCACCAACCCCTCTGCGAGTGAGGTACCTTGTACCACTGCAGTACCTGACCCAACTTACTCGGTTCATGCACAGATCTTGAGGAGGATGAGGGCTGGCGTCTCGGTGCAGACGGATTGATTGGCCGAGCTGCGAAATGCCTGGTTATCATGTGCACAGCGGGTTCTGCTGTCAGCAAAAGTAGGGTCGCTCACGCGCCGAGAGCTGGTGCTAGACATGTATGGTAGTGAGTAGACGGGCCGGACGGACATGGGCTGCAAGGGAGCAACATTGAGGCGGTCGAGTTATCGACGCAGGGAAGTATGAGCGAGGGTGACACATGTGGCACTGCTCGCAACATGCTGGCGGTCAGGTAGGTTCGCTGCGAGAAGTTGCGCCAGCGAACTGACAGGCGAGCGAAGTCGACAGAGATGCAGGTTAAGCAATGATAATGATGGGGTTGAAGCACGAAACAAGGCGAGATGATGTGTTGGTTGCAGCGATTGATGTCACGCGTTTCGCCGCCGAGCATTGGTAAAGGACCAGATCGCGAATCGCGACACTTGACGGCGAACAACAGTTTGACGGGTTGCTAAAGGCCCTGGTGGTGTGTGCTGAAGGTAGTCGCTTTCGGAGTTTGGGCTCTTTTGACTGGCTCCAGGCTTGCAGCTCGCGGATCTTGCAAGGGGATCGCAGGGATGGTACGAGTCTGGCGGCCGCTCTTGTTTGTTAGCAACCCTGCCCCCTAAGCCCCTCGGTTAGTGCGGGTGCCGCTGCACATCAATGCTGGGCAGCAAGCATCCTGCAGCCTGGGGCCCTTGGGCCTTTAGGTCTGACCGATGCCCTCGACGACTACAGTCAGTAGTCAGTGCACGCTGCACCACCTGTTTCGAGTGACTGGTCTCCGTGCTCAAGCGCCTTACGGTGCCTTTTTCGTACCTTGGAGGCCTAGGGAGTTGCTGCACCCCTCTTAGCCTGGACGTGTTGGTCCAATCAACCCTGTGCTTCCAGTCCGTTAGCCTCCTCCTGGGCCCTGAGAGCCTAAGAGCCTGCTGCGGGCTCCAACGCGGGTGCGAGCGACATGCGCTGTAAGGAGCCTTGGCCACTGCTACTTACAGGTACCTACTCGTGCCTTTTTCAAGGACCGTTCCTCCATGATGCCCCTCTTTGAGGCTGGCTGTTCCCTTCAACGCACCACTACAACCACCTACGTTACTGCCAAACACTGGCAGCGCTCTGACTGCGATATGCAGTGCCTGGACCTTGGACCCTTCCGTCCTTGCACCGGGCGCAGCGCTACTAACAGCATTATTACCGCACATGCACCCCATCGTCCGAAACACTCAATAATGATACTATTAACTCTGTGCCCATCCCTTTTTGCATTCACGGAGTCATCGTCATCTACATCTATTTGCTACCTCGTCCGTCGAGCTCTTCCCTCTTCTTTTGTCTATATTATATTAAGGTATAGTACTGCGTACTACCGTACTGTTCTCACACTGACCTGTCGTGGGCGTCGCCGATGATATCAAGGGCAGGCTGCCACTGCATCACAATTCCTCCGGAGCCCTCCCGCTTCACACACCGCTCGGCCCTTCACTTTTAGCCTGGCGTTCTCGTCATCTGCCTCCTCGTATCCACATCCAACCTACTTGCGTAGGCCTATTACTACCGCTGTGTACCATGTTATGCACTGGGCTTCGCCTTGCCACTTACCGATAGACTTGTCTACGGCGTCCTGTTCGAGATCCCACGCCTCGAGTGTCTGAGTCGTCAACTCGAAGGAGTCGTCAACAGTCTCAGAACTCGTCCATCTTCTCTCTTCCCGCTAGTTACCGCTCAAACCTCTTGGGCGTGTGCTCCCGGCTCGCCGGCTACGTCGATCGCATGGATCACATTGTGTAAACGTGCGCAGCCTCCAAGTTCCTGAACCATTCTTCATTCGGAGCCCCTAGTCTTATCACCGCCTTCCTCCCCTCCGCCCGCGTCCGTTGCCACCATCCGACATTTCATCAGGCCCTTTCCAAGTTCAACGTTTGCGAAACTATCTCGTGAACATCGCATTGTCACCATCATCCAAGAAAAAGTCGCTCCGGATGCGCCTCAATCTGGGGGCCGAAACGCCGCCGTCACTGGGATCCTTGATCGTCGCATAGCCTGACGCCAACCCCGCGATGGCTGCGATATCCAATCTCGTCGTGAACGAGGCAGTCCCACCGAAAGACCGTATGGAAGAGTTGGACACTCCGACAACTCCTCGAGCAGGTCGTCACCCGCCAACACTCACGGACGACGTGAATGGGGCGACTGCGGATAAGAACCCTAATGCGCATTCCCATAATGCGCAGTCTTCAAGTGAAGTCACTGACGCGGATGGAGTGAGCCGTCATCAAGAGCCTCACCAGGACGGCAGAAGTCAAGACCAGACGGAATCTAGCATGATGGATGTTGATGTTGATGACGATGACCACGATAACGACAACGACAACGACCAACCGGGCACTGACAACGAGGGCGAACAGGGAGATCCGGACTCAGCCTCCCGGAAAAAGAAGGGACAACGGTTCTTCTGCACGGGATACCCTCCTTGCAATCTCAGTTTTACGAGAAGCGAGCATCTGGCTCGCCATATCAGAAAACACACGGGTGAACGGCCGTTCCAATGCCATTGCAACCGAAGGTTCTCACGACTGGATAATCTGCGACAGCATGCCCAAACGGTTCACGTTAATGAGGAGATCCCTACCGATTCTCTCGCCGCCACTGGTACCCGGTTTCAGCGACAAATCCGTACTGACCGTGTCAGACCCTCCGGTCGTCCTCGCACAGGCACCACAGGCAGTGCCGGAGGACATAGTCGAGGACACAGTCGAAATCTTTCGGCTTCAAGTGTCGGGTCGACCTCTTCCAACTACAGCATGGTTACGGAAGCGAAGAGGCGACCGCCGCCGCTCCTCATGGCCACTGATAGTTCCTCCAGGTCCAGCTTGGGCCTCGACCCGCCACAGACACCCCCAGCACAATATCGTGGCTACGGTCCGAATTCTCCTGGCGGCATGAGCACGCCAACATCTGCCAATTTTTCGGCCACCCCTGGCAGTCCCGGCTTCGTCTCGTCCCTGGGCTCGCCAGTCTCCACGAGTTCTAGGTCTGGGGGTTTCTTCGGTTCAAGACCCGCCGTACGTAGGCTGTCGGTCCCGTCAGGCCCCAATCCGTACCAGAATCAATACCCTCCTGGATATCCGGTCTCTTATCCAAATCAGATGGGTCCTCCCAGCTCTTATGGTTCATCAAATCCGAGCGTATTCGCCAGCCCTATCTCAACAACTTTTCCGATTGCACCTGGTGACCAGGTCCCGCCTGGGGATGATTGGCGCAGGCGGACGTGGCATCCGTCTACATTCACTGCCAATTTCAACTATGGCCGTCCAGCAACCAGCGGTCTGACATATTCGCAAACCCCAGATGCCCCGCAGCCTGCGCACGCTCAGTATGCCACCGCCGCCGCGGGTCAAGCTCCTAGGCTCCCGGGTATCGAGAGCTTCGATCACGTCCAGCATCGATCATATACACCACCTCGGCGGCAGTTAAGCCCAATGCAGGTTGAGATGTCGGGCGACGCACAATTAACATCGCCCTCCAGCAAGGACCGTCGTGCTCGTTCTGGACATGCTTCGTGGGACGGTTCACGCCCCAGCCAATATCCAGAACACGACCTTCATGGGGAGGGAAGCCAGGCTGCAGCAGCCTGGAGCCAGCAGACTATCCATGAGCTCCAAAACATGGGCGACCGACGGCATGCCGCACAGAGACATATGGACATGGGCCCGCCTCCCTCAGTAACTCCTTCTCAGCAACAACAAATAGCGCGCGAGGCACTAGAGGCACAATCTGGCCATAAACACTCCAAACGACAAGGCTGGTATAATGGTCCCTACCCGCCTGCTCGAACGTCACCGGAAGATTCCAGCAGCAGTGATGGCGTCCCCACCCCAGGTATGACGGCGGTCGAAGTGCATCCCATGATCATGCACAGCAACGGCTATATGGAACCACATCATGCAGCATTGCCCCCGGATGGGCAGCAAAATGTGAGTTTGTACTCGGCCTGACGAGTCTTTTGCGACGGAGGCCTGTGCTGATATCTCGATTAGGTCTGTCTTGCCCCGTCTCCCTACATAGGGGCGACCCGTCATCAACACTCGGCGTCCTTTGGTGGCCGTAGTAGCGGTGGCGAGATGAACCGTTTGGAAGCTCTGGTGGCTGTGGCGACAAGCGAGGAGAACAGCGTCCGATGATCGACGAAGACGAGGCAGCCGGGTCGAATACAGCGATGCGACTACCCAACTGGCCATTTTCGATTCGATCTACGAGACATGTGCACATCCTCATCACGGGTCCAAGCGAAGGAGCAATACTTCGAGACGCAGCACCTCTCCTTGGATTCTTTGACGACTTGCATTGAGAGATACCCTTATCAACTCTTGTTTTGGTTGCATTCGATTTGTGTGTTCACGCTTTTTGGATTTGTTGGATGCATGCTTACGGCTCACGACTTTTGCTTTGAAACGCAAGCGGGCGTTGGGATTGTGGGATCGGTTGTCTGAGCGGATCATGAAATACCCACATTGAGTTCACGAGCCGTGTGGTTTTATGAGAGGACAGCTCCAGTTGGTGTTGGATTGTTGTCTTTTCTCGGATGCTCGCTTCTCATCTCTCGCCGTCCGCCTCCCAGCGATCAGGCTCTCGAGCATTAGGCTTTGGGCAGTCTTGGTTCGCTTGGTGATGGCGACTGAGGCTTTCTGCCGATTTGATTCTATTGACGTTGGCACATATTCTGCTGCCTGCTCGTGCGACTAATGACTATTCTTGTAACGACTTGCCTTTATAGAACGCTGTTGCTGTTGTTTCCCTATGAACTCGGGACGTCCTGTCGTAGGCTGTAGGTATGGTGCTGTCTTTCTGCTACACGTGTGAGAACCTTGGTAGATGGCTGGCTGGTGCCATTGATGTGTTCTGACTCGAAGCTGCTTGTGAGGTTAAATGCTCGACAGTAAAATTCCGCGTTTGTAGACGACGACGATTGACGAGTCCGTCCCCAGCAGCGCCTCGTCGGACGGTTCCTTTTGCTGTCCATCTCTCAGAAACCTCCTTTGTCCGTGTCCAACGTAGACTGCTCAGGCAATCTCGGCCGAGGGCCACTGAGGTCAGGTAGGCAAATCCACCTTACCATCAATGCCGCTCTGCAAATACGCTGGTAGACTGTGCCACGCTTTTTTTGCAGGGCCGCTTGTACACCACAATGACAGGTATGCATCTCAATGTTCACCCCATGGGTGGCTCGTGCCATATCCGGGATATTGAACTGCAAGAGTCCCCTCCTGCCCTGCCAGCAATGGCAATCAGAACCAGACACACGCTTGGTGTGTACACAGCATGCCGTGAATGGTCCTTTTCATTAAACTTCCGCCATGGCCACCGCGTGCTGTAGGTACCCGGTCGATTTGGAACAACATCATCTCAGAGCAGATGCCGCCAACCTCGAAGAAGTGGACCAGCGCCCTGTTGTTATTGACAGATTGCGGGAAGAGCAAACATTGTCGTCGTCTCCTTCCGAGCCTGATTTCAGGACTTGGTCCACCTCTTGCAGCAAATGTTGCCTTCAGAGGTCGAGATCCACGAAGCTGCCCTGCAACGAAGAGGGGAGATGATGCAGGATCGACCATGGGATAGGCTGGGACGGTTTCTTGAGTTACACAGATATGGGAACACAGATATGGGATGTCTGCGATAGCTGCAGGTTTCGTCTTCAGATACCCGTTGCCACGTGTGTATCTACTTTCCCTTTCTCTCGTGGCGTCAGTCGATGAGCGATTACCAGTCCACAGTAAAACATCCCAATGACCTGTCGTCCATTGGATTGCTGGTCGAGAATGGGCCCGAACCTGACAGGCTGGGAGCTGCAGAAGTCGAGCACGAGGGATGAGGATAGGACAAAAGACGGCCTGTAGCAAGCCGGTGCCAGACTGGACCCGGAAATGAAGGCCATGCGGATGGAGTCACCAACAGTGAAGTTCAAGTTGCACCCGCATCTGGAGGGAGCCTGGAAAAGGCGCAGGCAGAAAAGCAGGCAGGCAGGTGCGAGCCTTGTCAATCGCGGTTTAACGACCTGTTATTTCCTTCATAACTCGTTTTGCGCCCTGCATTCCTTCATCTTCTTCTCTCACGCTCTCTTCACTCTCTCTCTGACTCCTCATCACTCCTCCAGTCAATCAGGCACAAGATCAGTGGATCTATCTGGTCAAGCACTCAAGAGCAGAGATTCTGCCACAGACACTCTTTGTTCACCACCAGTGCCTTTCTACCTTCCCTCAGACAAACCAACAAAGGCAAGATACAAACAACTGAAGGGATCACATTGTTGGGGGACTCAGGAGTGTTGTCACCATGAGACTCTTGCAAGCTGCCCTCCTGGTGGGAGCGGTGGCAGGAGCTTGCGAAGGTGCTATCTTGCCCATCAGACACGCCTCTCCTACAGCACAGTAAGTGACAGACTATTGGGAGCTCATAACATCTCACAAAGACAGTGAGATGTGTCTTTGTGGTTTGCTGACATGTCCTCTCCAGGGCTACTCCAGCATGCTCCCCTGTCACGATCTACGGCACAGTCACAATCACAGAGGTGGTTGCCTATGCTCCACCAACTATCACCATCCTCCAGCAAGACCCTTCTTCACAGGCGAAGTACATGGCCTCAGTCGACACTGATTACGTCATGGAGCAGAGCCAGCTGGCCCCGGTCTCGAATTCGAAAGACACCCGCATTCCGGTCTTCACTCAATCGGTCTTCGTCTCTGGCTATGAAGCTACCGAGGTCGCTTATGGAAACTCTGTCTTCTACTTGTCCGACCCCCCTTCCTACACTGGCTCCAGCTACACACCAGAACCATCTATCCTGGCTGAGGTGATTACCGTGACTGTGTTGCCATTCTCCAAGGCTGCGACGACCGCTGAGCACGATGTCGAAACAAGCAGCAATGGTCCCTCGGCGTTCGCGAGTCCCTCCAGCGGCTGGAACATCACATACTCGAATTCATCCATTCTAGGAACTGGCACAGGTGGCTATCCTACTGTGGGCACTGGAGCAGCCGGGTCTTCCATCCTAGCAAATGGAACGGGAGCATCGGGCCCTCGCTCGAGTTATGGTGCTGTCTCCACGGTCACGTTGACAAACATTGTTCACACCATCACTCAGAGCGTCACTGTCAATGCCACGTCTGCTCCAGCATCCGGGTATATTCCGCCCAACTACGGATATGGCTCATCGAAGTCTTCAGAAGATCATGATAATGTGGAGAAGAGACAGACTTGCGTGTGGATTACTGCTACCATTGATGGTCAAGAGGTTGGCTGGTGTAACAATTGGGACGGGAGTAGGACCCTGACTTACACTTCTTGGGAAACTACCAGTAAGCAGCCCAAATTTGCGCCACGTCTGGGAAAGATATTGACAGGAGAATAGCGACTCCTACCTACATTCCCGGCATCGGGACCATTGCAGTCGCGGGCACCACTCCAAGCGGCTCTGCGGAGCCCACCTTGACGATTGAGACATCAACGCCAGCGCTAACCCAGTCCTCGCCATCAGCAAGTGCAAGTGCTTGCGGCCAAGTCGGTCCATTTGAGATTGGAGTGAGTGGCTGTGATACATTAACCTTTGAACCTGGCTTACATTACATAGTTTGACGACCTCCCAGCATTCTCTCCAGTTGACAACAATACTGCGGACTTTCCTCCGGTCTTCAATCCTTACGATCACTTTTTCTGGGGTGATGGATGGGCGTATGTACCACCGCCAAATGAGCCCTACCCACCTCAGTCAGGAGATCGACTCGCTCAATTTATCCCTTCGCTTGCCAACAACGACACCGGCTCCCCAGATGCAGGTCTCATTCCACCCAGCTCATTTGGCTGCGGCCCTCGCAACTATGACAATCGATACTGGTTTACCGCGCGCTCGGCCTATGTGGGCTGCGACAACGGTGGTCAGAACTCCAGCTCGGCCTGTGACTTTGTTGCAACTTCCTATCAATGGGACAATACCTCGGCCAGTGAGGTGTTGGTTGCAACTCAACATTTCAAGATTCCACCGTGTCCGGACTTCAAGAATTGCCAACTCACGAAGATCACTTTCAACTACTTGTTTTACAAGATGACGACTCTGAGTTTCTACGCCAATGTGCATGGCAGAGTCAGTATCTTCTGGCTTGACAGCTTGGACCTGAACTGGTACAACAACACTTGCGCAGCTGGACTGACTCGCATTTCGTCTCGGAAGATTCGACTTTGATCGGCGGTCACTGAACACGAGGTGAAACACCGCACCGAGCGGTTGGCGACATCGTCCTGTCGTCGTTGAGAAGGGGCTGAACTTAAGTAGTAGCTTGGGCTGGAGGTAGAGCGCTTGGTGATATGTCATTTCATGGATGAGGAGTTCAAACTACTCCCACATAACAAAAGCATGATACAATGTTAGCGACAATTGGGGCTCAATGGAGAAGAATCGAATAGTCAGCACAGAAGATGACAGATCGAGTCGATCATCAAGCCGCCACGTCGAGACGAGTGCCTTGAAATAAAAATACAATTGCTTTGAAACATTTTCTGTTTGGGTGAAAGACTCCGGTGTCTATGCATAACTGGGTGTTGTGCTTTGTTCTTAGGCTGACAATCTAGTGTCGAGGGAGGAGAGAGAGGTCCCCGAGGCTGGTCCTACAAGAAAAGCCGCAGACCAAGAAGCACGGTTTGAGAAACATGAGGGTATCATTTCGTCGTCCGTCGTCGTCTCCAGACGCCCATCCAAGAAAAGAAGGATGAGCAGTACATGACCCGACCTGTCTGACTGAGGTACGTAACTATTATATACCTAGGTCTAACTTTGAAGGTCTGTGAGCAATACTCAGCAAGCAAAGGGCTCAGGTGAGGTCAAAGTATTCTAGTAAGACATTCACGCCTAGCCAGGCCCGGAACTCCAAACGCAATGCAAAGACCCATCCCACCCGAACCGAACGGACAGTTTTTGGAAGCAAAGCGCTGGCGAGGGACATATCAACCAAATCCAGGGAAGCCAGCAAAAGGATTTCCTCCAGCACCACCACCACCACCGCCTGGGAATCCTCCTCCACTGAACTTGAACTGTCTCTGGCCACCGCCACCTCTGGAGCCGCCGCCGCCGCCGCCCGGGAAACCTCCTTGCTGGAAGAAGAACTGCTGACCGCCCTGTCCGAAGGGACCACCACCTTGCTGGAACGGACTGCCGCCCTGCTGGTTGGCCAAGGGATCGTTCGGGTCGTCACCTTGGTCGAATCTGGCCTTGAGTTCCGGGTCGCTGAGGACCTCGTAGGCCTCGTTGATGGCGGCCATTTTCTTCTCGGCCTCTTCCTTGGGGACGCCCTTGGCGGCAGCCTTGTCGGGGTGGAAGTTCTTGGTGGCGGTGCGGTATGCTTTCTTGATGGTGCGCTCGTCGGCGTCGCGCGACACGCCGAGCACCTTGTAGTAGTCTTTCGTCTTGCTGCGCTTCAAGGCGGTCTGGGCCTCCTGCAGCTTCTGGTTGATCGTGGCTTGCGCGTCGGGGTGGTTCTCTCGCGCGGTGTTGAGCGTGGCCACGGCCGCGTCGAAGTTGTCGTTCTCCATGTGTTTCTGGGCCTGGTACAGCAGTGCGTGCAGCGAGGTCGGGTTCAACCTGAGGACTTCGGGACAGTACTTTGTGGCTTTGTTCAGGTTGTTCATGGACATGTACGCTTCGCACGTCTTCTCCAGCAACCTCGTGTAGAGTTCCGAGGGGGCTTTGGCATGGATGATCCCACTTGTTCGATGTGCGTCGATGTTGGCCTTCAACTCGGACAGCAGGCCCGGGTCGTCTTCCGTGCCTTTGCCTGTGAGGATCTTGCTGGCCGAGTTGAATTGTCGTTTGTCCATCAACCCCTGAACCTTCTCGATCTGTTTTGAGATCGCCTTCTCTTCCCGGAAGAGCGCCTTGCAAGGTTTCGAGTCCGGGTCGGAATGCAAGCATTTCTTGACCTGCGTCAGTCCACGCTCGGTGTCCCCCAAGCTGTAGAACATCATCGCCGAGATCTGAAGATGCGGATCACTGAGGCCCGGATGGATCTGCAGTACGTGGGCGAGGTCGTTGAGGCCTTCCTGCACCTCGCCCCGCTCGAACCGACACCGCGCACGCAACTGGCGCAGCGATGCTGCCGTGCCGGCCGTCATGATTGCAATCCCGGCCTGGTTGATGCATGTCTCCCAGTCTCCTTTCTTCTCCGCCTCCGACGCGAGGTAAGCCGCGCCCTCTGCTTCCTCGAGTTGTGCCAGATCCGCGGTCGCTCGTGCCCCCAACGCGGCATAATCCTGTCTTGCGCCAGCCCAATCCCCGTTTCTCGCTCTGATTTTGGCCCTCTGCACCAACGCCCCTTCGAATCCTGGCCGGATCTTCAAAACTTTGTCGAAATCCTCGCTTGCTTGTGCGTTCCTGCCCAGCGACAATTGCGTCACTCCGCGGTGGAATAGCGTCAGGTAGTCGGCGGGATCTTTCGACACGGCTGCGTCGAAGTATGCGAGGGCTTCGCTGTTGGCGCCTCGAGCACGGGCTGCTTTGCCGGACGCGACTAAGGAAGAGACCGTGGCATCGGAGGGGATTTGGACGGCGTCGGCCGCGCAGAGGGTTGCGAGAGTGACTCCCAGGACAGCGGCCAGGAGTCCTAGCCGGCGTAGGTTGAGCATCATCTTTGCATGCTGTCTGAGATTATCTGAGGTCGTCTTCGAACGAATGAAGATCCAGTGGGAAGATCTAGAAAATAATGAATGGCCGGGGAGTGGATGATTGTAGCTTCAAGCAGGTAACGAGTGGTGGTTCAACTGCTACGCAGTAAGTGTTGTCGCTTTGGAGACTGGTCGTGGAATGCAATGGACCAGTCGACAGATTGTCCTTTTGTTGCCACGGCCTCCAAATGCGGTGCGGCTTCATTCTTTGCGGGTCAAAAGTGATGTCGGGAATAAGCCAATCACGTGTTTATGGCCGCTTTATTTGATCGTCTCTTCCTGCTACAGAGTACGGTCCGCCATCTTTCCAACGCATAAGCCTACTGTGAGACTGGAAGACTGGGCTTCTATTTTCCTAAGGCACCTAGTGTACTCGAGTCATTCATTAATAGCACCTTTCCGTAGATCGAGCATCAGGCCGGTGGACGATTCCAAATAGATCACGTGATTTGTATTAAAGCAGCGTCATAATAACCGACTCCCCCAGACCCTATCGGTGGGGAAGCATCGTTATTGGCCAGGCTTTTCACGACACGTCTATCTCGATACCCGTAGATACCTTCTACATAGTACATGAAATCCCTTGAAAGATCGACCTCCCGCCCTACCAGTACATACTCACTCCATCGGGAACGGTTTGCGACCTGGGGTCGTCGCTATCCTCGTACTTCTCTCTATCCAACAGGAGCCCTGCATCATTCCGAAACAATGACCTGATAGGCGATGGCATGGGTCTACAAAACATGCCGTCCGCAGTTGAGGGCATGTCAGTCCTCCAAGATGGATCGCCACACCGGTCCAGGAAGGCATCGGTCAAGGTCCTCAATCGAAACATCGGCCAGGTCGTGCTGGGCAACCTGCTCTTCGATACCTGGTACTACTCGCCCTACCCGGACAGTATCATCCTAGGGCCAGACTACCAACCACACGCGGGCAAACACGTCGGTTCAGCCGCCGACCTGAGAAACGGAGCCGCTCGTACCAGCTTGCTGAACAGTCTCGACCCGATGTGCCGGCGGCTATATGTCTGCCCGCGCTGTTTTCGCTACACGCCCAGTGAGCGCGACTACGTGCAGCATCTACAGCATCATCAAGAAAGGCATGACCGGGGCCTGGAGATGCAACCCGTGCCGGACTCGGCGGTCAAAGTGTACGATTGGGAGGGTTATGCGGTCTGGGAAATCGACGGCGAGAAGGAGAAGCTCTATTGTCAGAATCTGTCGCTGTTTGGGAAATTGTTTCTCGAGCAGAAGAGTGTCTTCTTCGATACGGCCGGGTTTAAGTACTATGTCCTAACTCACACCCCGACTAGCCCGTCACCGCCGGCGATGAAAGGCCGAGGAAGGAAACGGAGCTCGTCGGTCTTTGACGACGACATCTTATACGAATCCCATGTTCTTGGCTTCTTCTCCAAGGAGAATTTGTCCTGGGATTCGAATAATCTGGCCTGCATCCTCATCTTCCCGCCCTTCCAACATCGGCAACTGGGTCAGTTGCTCATGGCAGTTTCCTACAAGCTGAGTGGATGGGAGTGGGAAGGAGGTGTGATCGGCGGCCCTGAGAAGCCTCTCAGTGCCATGGGCCGTCGAAGCTACATGAGGTTCTGGTCCGAACGTATTGCTCGGTTTATGATGGGCCAGACAGCAGATGCCGATGCAAAACGGGTATTCCACAGTTCCAGGAAGAGGACCATCCACCCCAAAAAGGAGGAACTGACCGTCAAGGAAATTGGCGAGCGAACGGGCATGCTAGGAGAAGACGTTGCGGCTGCCTTGATGGAGATGGGAGTCTGCCAGCTAGTGACCCCGAAGCGGAAGAAGAAGACCTCGACCGAACTGAACGGGACCACAACCCACGGTGACTCGGAATCGGATGAGTTGGCTACAATGATGATTCAAAGATCCAAGATAGTGGAATGGGCGGAGAAACACGGTGTGGACTTGATAAGCCCAGTGCCCGAGCAGGGATTTCGGGGCGAGTGGGCACTCAGCGACCTGGAAAACAATTCGGGCAACGGCGGCGAGCATGACAATGACAGTGCTACCACATGACAACACCCTAGGCGAGAATCCTAGCTCACTGTCGAGTTTGTGCTGCCTGGTGAAATGAGAATTGGGTTTGGATCACAGTAGTGCTCTATATCGTCGACATAGCGTATCACGGCTGCGAGAACATTTCCGGGCGACAATCCTGTCTCGGTTTTCTCCAGACGTCACCCAGCTCAAAGGAGGTTTGGGAGAAGTTAGTCGAGCGGAACGTACGACAACCGGCCCTTGCAATTGCTGAGAAGGGTTTGGTTCAAGTGACCGAAGATTTCTGTTTGACGATCCGTTTCCGAATCGGTGCATCAGTTCGGATCCTCTCCAAAGCATAGTGTGACGGGATTTGTTCCGCGACGGTTGGTTAAGAGGTCCAAGACATAAGGTAGACACATCGTTGCCGCTTCGGAAGTACGTAGTATGACCCGGTATGCCAGTACTATGGGAGCCGCGATACTTGGTACATACGGAGCAAGGCCCACCCGTGACCGCTGATGATCGCCGGCAGGGGTCGTGATCTGCTGCATTTCTCTTCAAAAGGAGTCCTGGAGCCATCTCATCCATGTCGAGAGCAGAAGACACCGACATTATCGACTTTTCAGATTCGCACTTAGGACGGGAGGTCGGTTCTCCGTTCGCCTACAAGTCAAAGCATTTCGCCCCGAGAGTCAGAGTCCGCAGTCAGTAGTGAGTACGTACTCGTCTGATGAAGTTGTCGATGGTGCCTGAAGTTCATCGTTCTGAAGGCCAATTGAAGGCCGGATCCGCGACCGTCCGGATACCGGCGAATCTGTTAGCGCAAGGTAGTGATTTGCCCGTTCCCCTGCATATCGCTCCCCCTTCTCCTGTAGCGACTTGTCAGACAACGTCAAGGATCCGGGGCCACGGTATTGAAGGGAGCGAAGCTATGTTGGGTATCGTTTGCTGCAGGAACAGTTGGTTAACCTTGCAAGCATGATCCAACCTTTTCGGAAGAGACTTGCAGATTTTTCTTCCCCCGGAATAATGAATGACCTTGGCCTAGAAGCGCGAACTGATTTACGTACTAGGTGAATCACCGCTCTATAGAGCTCGAGTGGACAACACGCGTCAACAGTGATTGACCTAGCACGCAAACACATGCATGGAGGCTCAGGGGAACTGTAAGACATCGCGTTCAGATGCCCAGTAGCACCATCAGTAGTGTTGTTGACGCGTTCTCATAGCGTGTGAGGATCCAGGTCGAGCGGCTGAGGAGAGTGGAAGCCCGCAACACACAGCCCCGCCAGATGGAAAAGGAAAAAGGAGTCGAAGATCATGATCGACTTGATCCGGAAATGCTGACCCAAGTCAAACGCTCTCTTCCAAGCCCGACTTCCATTGCGTCTGTTACACTCTGTCTCGTGCGCACTGGTTCCAAGTTGGAATGATCCCCATGTCAATGACGGTGATGAGGGTGACGGCGGTTTCTAATGGTGCTTCACATGTCGATTCGGCTCAAGTACCGTGACAGGCCTTTGAAGTATAGAGGGACAGCAACGCCGGACAATTTTTGCCATTAGTGCTGAACTAGCCTAAGGCTATTTGCCGTTCGGTTGGGTCGAGGGACCAGGGGTAAACAACTATACGCAAGCCGAGTGGTCAGCTTTTAGCAGTCCAATAGGTAGGGACCGTAGGGGAACGGTAGGGTAGCTGTAGCGTGCCGAAGCTGCGGCCGCCCAGCTACGGGGGATACGGATTTGTGGAGTTGGCTGCGCTTTGGTTCAGGGCTGAATCGAGTCCAGCCAGGGGCCCTTGTTTGGTCTGTTCAGAACGCTGATGGCGGGGAGATAGTGGTAATTGATGTGCCGTGATACTTCGTCTCTTCCGTGGAGGAACAGACACTGTGTCGAGTGAGTGAGTGGTCATCACAGTGAGTGAGGGCGAAGAGAAAGGAGGCAGGACGGATGCGGGAGGACAAGGCAGGGCAAACATGGATACGGAGGTGGCGAGGAGTCGAGATGAAAGAATGTCGAGTTGTATCACAGTATGTTGATTGCAGGTTGATGAAATAGTATGTTGAGCATGGTGTGTGCAAAGGAGCCTCAGCCTGCGGTCGAGGGAACAGACTGCGGTAGTAGATTTCCCTCTTCCTGCGGTGATACTACAACGCAGGCAGAGAGACCTCATCACTGTCACCACTACTACTGCACTCCGTACTCCCGCAGATACCTAACACAGTAGGACATCACAATAGTAAACAACTAGTTCTGTGGTACCTCCGATCAGAACAGAAAGAAACCCTTGACTCGATGCGATACAGTATCCTTCCTGTTCAACATCCCTGTCCGGACACAGTACGTACGGATAGCACCTCTGCACCTCTGCACCTCTGCTACTTCTCCTGCTACCGTCCTTCTTCAAATTCCCCATCTTCATCTCCACCACACTTGTCATCTAGCATTCGGTTACTAGCTTCGACGTGGTGTCTCCTCCAGCTCTTTTATTACTGTGTTGCTCATCCTCCTTCACTACTAGATACTCCCACTCCCAGACAGTCAACCTCGCACGGATCTCCCTCCTCCAGGCCATATCACTCCATCGGCTGCCACCGTCCACTCGAGCTCTTCCTCTTCGATTCAAGCAATACTCCCACAGCACTGACCTTCGGAATACCCTGTCCTTGAAACCTCTGGCGTCATTGTGCACGAAGCCCAGCTGCAGTCGAGACTGCTTTGCCATTTGACAGCGGTCATCAAATTTCAATCGTGGCATGGTCCCCACTCGAATCAATACGTACATGGATCATCGCTCCGTCCCGAACACCAGTACACACTTTTGATCTCGTGGTCTACGCACGGTTCACGAAGTTGTTTGATTCTGCCTCGACGCTCGATCCTCATAGGTTTCACGATCTCACGCGTTGTTGACAAATTCCCCGAGTCGTAAACAACAAGGCGTTGATCAGGGTGCTGCCAATCCTGGGGACGCGAAGACAAGAGTAGGAACTCGCAAGTCCAATCCTCTCTACTCGCGAATCCATTCACACCACCGACCTCATGCGGTTGTAACCAACTCTTGGAGAACAGCAACCACACAACATGGATAACACACAATACGCAGACGGAGATGGCAGTTCCCAGGGAGCCGCCTATCCCTGGGTTCTGGAGCATTTGTTGGCATATCCAGGCACTTACGAGATCCCATTACGGACCATGTACACACTCAACGCAACAACCCAGAACCAACAACCGTCTCCGAAGTTACCTCCGTCTACTGCTGTCCCCGGCAATGCATTTCCTCGATCATCCCAAGAAGCTCTTGATGAGCAGCAAAACATGAACACAGCCACCGCAGCCGCTCAATTACGAGCAAATCTCATGACCCATATCTCCCAACTACCTTCGCAGCCCACCTCTCTGCCTCCGAGTTTCATCACCAGCTTTGTCCGACGCTGTTTCCCACCGGAGCTCGACCAGGTCGACTTTCCCCAAGCGCTGACCGCCATGGATTATCTTAAGGACCTTGAAGTCAGACGCCGACGCGAGGTGGTCGCAGCCTTCGAGAAATTGGGTATAGACAGAGAGGATATTGGCTATCGAGACAAATTGGCCCGCAAATACCCCGGTGTGCTGAAGTGGGTGACCGATATCGAGGAGCGAGAGCGCAAGGTCCAACAATTGTACACCCATGTGTACCTCGGCTTAAGACGATGGACAATGACCAATGAACTTTCCCTGACACCTTTCAACAAGGCGAACTGCATTGCAATGCTCAATACCCTTTATCCACCGATCAACATTCGCTCGAAGCAGCAGTTTGTACCACCTACGGCACATTTGACTCCGGAGATTCTGTCCAAACAACGCGAACAGTTCTTCCTCTACCTCAAAGGCGTTGAACGGAAAGGCCCGGAGGCCCTGTCGACTCTAATGGCTGCCAGCAAGCGAGAAGACGATCCCACCGGATGGAAAGGCCTCCGGGAGACGCTGGACAACTATCTTCGCATGGCAAACAGTATTATTGAGGAATGTAATGAAATCACTGGCCGTGGCCTTTCTCCCACCACCGCATCTTTCAATCTCACCGACTCGGAAGAGGAAGGTCGGCGGAAGGTAGATTCCGCAATTTCGTTCGGGTCTACAGCTTCGTCCAACCGCAACTCTGGTCAGAGTCACGCCACAAGACCCAGTACCAGCAGCAGCTTCAGCACCGCAAGCCTCAGTTATAGCCGTCAAGTGTCAAAGGAGAAACAGTTGCCGGAGAAGCCACTTCCCCCGCCCAAGGATGACGATGTCACGGTGACGCAAAAGTCGTCCGGGTCGACCCTGGAACGTATTGCGCGAGAACTTCGAAAAATGAAGAGCCGCAACAACATCAAAGACGACCAACGCCCTCGGACAGTCTCAAACCAGTCCGCGGATTCGTCGGTAATGGACGGTTCTGGACCACCTCCGCCGGCTCCCGCTAAGGACCGTAGCTTGAAGCTCAAACGCAGTCTTCGGAGGATGAGATCGAATACCAATCTTTTGGATGGCAGCGCCTTCCGCCCATCCAGCCGCGGTAGTGAACCCAATACCCCAACATTACCCTCATTTGACGCAGAGGAGATGAAACGAAAGAGACAGGAATGGGAGTCTCAACAGAAGTCGACGGATTAAGGCACTGGTGTGCAGATCAGCCTTTGATAGCCCACTTTGTTCTAACGGCCGATGTGTATTTGACACGGATTGGATTTGGATTTTCAGGCGTACGGTCGCGGCTACTGCTACCGCAAGAAGACATCAAGGGACTCAGCGACTGGTTATGACATGGCACGGAAAAGGGCATGAGCACAGGAATTGTATTGTTTTCGGGGCCTGGCGAAGACTGTGCAATATTGGCATCAGGAATGTGAGGCTCTCACGAGCAAAAGTATGATTACAGGCAGGGAGAATCGACAAGACAGAGTCGACCAAGTCAATGAACTTACGGATTACAAACACGTACCATTCCTCCTAGGCGAATTAAACAGCTCTCATCGTCGAAGACATAACACAATACGTATAGGGATTCGGGCACCCTACTTGGACATGCTGGGCTGGTGGTCGTGCTGTATTTGAGTCTCATGTGTTAGTGTGTCGGAGTTGACAGCCACAGGTTTCTTACCTGATTAGTACCTCACACTCTAGCACTGTTTACAACAGAATACGTACAACTTGAACCCACCTCTTCTATTCCACCTTTCCAGACTTCAGTACTATTAAAAGTTCAACCTCAACAAGTTCTCCTTCCCAGTCACCCCCTGCAGCTCTCTGATCTCACATAGCAGAGCTGTGAAGGTTGTTACTCTCACCTTTGACGACCAACTCGCAGAATCTCGTTGTGTGTGCGTGCCAGCCACTGGCAGTCAAAAACCACAAGCGCCATCCATCATGGACGAAACAACGACGAACCCGCGCGGGATCCCGTCCTTCCCCTTCATGACCAACGTGAGCGACTACGTCAAGTCGATCGACGACGTCGAGCCCACGCTGCAGCGCTTCCAAGAGATGGTGTCGAAATACACATTCATGCAACAGAACGTGGAGCGGCGCGCAGCCGGCCTGAAAGAGAAACTGCCTGACATGAAGCGGACGCTGGAAGTGGTCAAGTTTCTCAAGAAGAAGAGAAAGAATGTTGGTTCTGGTGGCCACGAAGGAGACGAAGGAGACGAAGCAGAAGAAGAAGAAGAAGACGAAGAAGAAGGAGAAGGCTTAGCAGGAGGAGGAGTTTCTTCTGGTCAAATCGAAACCACATTCAGTCTGCAAGATACTTTGTACGCAAAAGCCAAGATCCGGCCCGCGTCCATCGACGAGGTCTATCTCTGGCTCGGGGCGAACGTCATGGTCGCGTATCCCCTCGACGAGGCGGAGGAGCTGTTGCAGACGAAACTGGATAAAGCGAGGGAAAGCCTGGCCGCGGCCGAGGAGGATTTGGAGTTTCTGAGGATCCAGATCACGACTCTCGAGGTCGCGATTGCTAGGGTCCATAATTGGGATGTTGGCGAGAAGCGGAAGTTGAGGGCTCAAGGGAAACTTAAGGACCATGGGCCTGGTGAGAAGGAGAAGGAGAAGGAATGAATGATTGGCACGCTGGAGAAGCACATGAGACAGAGACACTGAACGATGGGGTTTGGGGACAGCATACTGTGCATTCGCTCTTACGCAGGGTACGGCCAGATACTTACGCTGGACTTGAAATGATACGCAGGGCACGATGTTTGTGGACAGACATTCGCGACAGTGTGTGATTCCACACGAAGCACCGACCGGCCTTCAGCAGAAGGAGAGGAATACTTGGACTTGGACTTGGACTTGGACTTGGACTTGGACTTGGATTTGGGATTGTCTCGAAGAGAAAAAGAGTATCATATCATCATCAGAGATGCTAACGACGGGATGTCTCCCCCAAGGATCTCTCTACTCGTGCTACACTCCTGCGACAATCTCATTCATCCAACGAGGTCCGATACTCCAACTTGAAATCGCCATGGACTGTATCATCCCTGCGATAATCGCCATGCTCCCAGGTCGGCCAGGCTAGCTGCGAAGAACCAGCAAGACCTTGAGATGACAACCCTCAATCTACTTGTCAGGACCACCAACTACTGTTTCGAAAAAGAAAAATCTGGTTCAATAAAGGAAAAGCTGAACGAGGCCGGACTCAAGTCACCTTCCTTCTCCCTCCGCCTCCATTTTCCCCGGGGGCTCTGACGTCAACTGGAAGTACCACTGCATGTCATGAGACAGGAAGAGATCCATTCAAGTTCGAGAACACAAAAGGAGAAAAGAGGGAGAAAAATGGGCTCTTCCTGCCCGAGTGAGGATCAGAAAATAGGAAGGACCAGATCTCTGTTGGCGGGCTGGCCGGATTCATTTGATCTCATACTCGAAGTTGTCAGCGAATGCACCTAATGTTCCAGGGGATGTCATGAGGCAGCGAAGCAACTCGAACCTGACACCATCCCTACGTCTCCTTTTTGGCGGTGGACTCTGTCTTGTCCTGTCCTTTAGATGACGATGACGTGCGGAACCATGATCAGGGAGTAGCATCAGACAACTACTTACAAAAATTGGCGCAGGCCATGAATGCTGCAAAGGTTCGAATAGACATTAGTATCTGCTTCCCGTGAGGGATTGTTTGTTCATTATCATTACGGCTCTTTAATCTCTCCATGTACCTCATCCGCGATCACCACCCAGGTAAACATACAGCCATGCCAAAGTGATTGGGCTATTGCTGCTTCTGATGTTCGCGGACCCGATGCGCTCTTCATTATGGTCCATAGCAACAGTGGATCATCATATGGTGGTCAACGTCCAACCCCTTGTGACCACCCTCATCTTGATCTCACAAAATCATAAGGCGCAGTGTGGTGGTATCATTCGTAACCTCATTAATCATACAATGCCTCCTATAGGCCTTATGCAGGCCACCCATCTGTCGGAGCATTTCAACAAAAAGAACCACTCAGGGTCTCCTGTCCGACCCAGGCGTGTTCAGTATTAGCCATTCTCAAGCAAGTGCTGGATCGAAGCGTTGTCACCATGGTCTGGTGGCACATTGATGTCGGCTGGTAAGTCTCCAGTGTTTCGGCTTTGATTCTCGGCAGGCGGGAGTTCGAAGAGGCATCCCAGCCCCTTACGGTCGGGTCTCATCGGCTTGATTGTCTCATTCGATGACGAGTCGTGGTGGTCAGGACCAGTAAAATGTTTGTGGAAGACAGTGTCAGAACCTTCTCCCTCAGGTTCCCTGCTGGCCAGGCTTCGGTCTGGAGACAGAGGCCGAGCCTCATGAGTCCGCGCTGGCGGTGTGGGAGAACTAAAGCTCCGAGCCTTGCGGGTCGTTCGTGGGGCCCCGATATCCTCTCTCTGTTGCCTCGAGTCTGGCCTAACAATACGTTCACTTTCGCCGAACCGTCCACCACGTTGCGGCAATCCACGCTGCTGTTCGTCGACCTGGTCTGTACTGAGACTGCTGCTGCGTGACCTCCGTCTCTCCTCCGTCTCTCGCAGCATCTCACCAGGGCCTTTAACAATGGCACCCCCAACTGCAAGCATGATTGCGACACTGAACTTGCCCCAGAGAAATAAAGAAGTGCCCCAACCGGGTTTGGGTGCTTGATTTGGTTGTACCGGCGCATCGGGTAATGCTGTATCGTGCTTTGTTTCGCTGCCACCACGCTCAGTCGCTGGACTTGAAGGCTCCTTTGCATTTGAGTTCCCCGCTTCAGTCGATGAATTTCTGTCACGCTGGAGCGAACAGTAACGGTCAGCAATGCTTTCGCCGTCATATCTATCCCAATCCCAAGCACGTTGCTGAGGACGAGGACGCCGATGGCCAATGAACAGTCCAAGTACCCACCAACTCAACTTCCCAAAAGTTGCCCAGTTCGACCGCCATGCATTGGCGATGACCCGGCGGGCTAGTGCAAGCGGATCTCGCTTGAACGTCTGTATGTATGAAGTGTACCTGGACAAAGTCGCATAGACGGTCTGAATGGTCAAGGCGGCAAGCGGTCTTGCGCCTACGTTGCGTTGTTGGAGCATTTCCAATGGATTGCGACCTTTCTTGACACCTCGTCTCCAGGAAGGAGATTGCCTAGGTCGAGACGAGGCGGCTTCCACTTTCTGTTTGATCGTGGAACTTGGAGTCAACATCGGACGAGTAACAGGGTCAAGTGCCACCACATCGCAACTGATCACCTCCTTTCCTTGTGTCGACTGGTCAGAAGCCGAACTTGCTTTTCGACGCTTCCGTGGGTTCGATGGAGGGAGGTCATCTGTAGAACAGCCTGGTGATTGAGGGGCAACTAGCCCAAGCGTGAAATCTTTTGAGAAAAGCGGACGTGGAATTTCGACATGTTCCTCGAGTGCCTGAAAGACTCTCTCACACTTTGACGGAGTCTGGTCGAACTCTGATAGCATCTGCAGGGTGTGAGAGCCACTGGCATCATCATTGTGGCAATTATGGCCAATCTGCTCATCGTGCCTGTCATCGATATCTGCCGGCATGGCGTCCTGGATTCCAAGGCCCCAAGAACCCAGTCTTGGATGGGCGTCTTCGTCGTCGTGGACTTCTGTCGCTGCTTCCATGTGAGAAGGCTGGGTTGACGTATCCAGCTGTGCGCATTGGCTCTGGTCGGGTCGACCGTCTGAAGGCTCCTTAAGTACTTCTCGACAGTATAGTCCACGATCGGCGGTGAAGACTTCGTCTAGGCTCTGAAACGCATGGGCCACCGAATCGGGAGTGGTATGAGAAAGCTCGAATGGTTGCACCTCAACAACACTTTCCATTCTCCTCTGTGGGGCGGGAGGAGATTCCCATTGTGGCATATAAGGCAGGCCGCAGTCAAACATGACAGATGTCGGTCGTTTTGGCGAAGCAATGGGGGATGTCGAAGGAAGATTGCCATTTTCAGCGGTGAACGTGGGCAGCAGAAGCGGCTTCAACTGAGTAGACCCCGGCATGAACTTGCGAGGTCTTCTCTTGGATGGTTGCCTTGCAGGCATCTGCGGTCTGACTTCGGGCTGAGAATGACTGATGGGGCCGATTGGGGGACTATTGCTGGCACAGGAAGCCAGTGTTGACCGTCTGGAGCTGGTTCCGTCCGTAAGTTGAGAGGACGACTCCCCCGTGCCGGAGTCAATTGACTGGACATCATCCGGAGCCAACCCATGGTTGTTGACAATGCAGCTGGAGCTGGATCCCAGCGGGGATGATGTAACACTCGCTGGGAAATAGTCGGAAGCCGGCAGGGCTGGTGAGATGAGGACTGACTGAGGCCGGCTCAGTGGCGTGTGTGCTCCAGGCGATGAGGGCAGCCGTGGAATGATCATGGACATGGGACGTGCACTCCGTCGTCTTGGAGTGGGAAGTTCAAATTGATGGTGCATCTTCGTGGGTGACAGAACCAGCAGTTGCGTCAAGACCTCGTTGCGCTTCATCATATCCCTATTGGTGATCTCGAGGCTGGACTTTTCTTCTTCCAGCTTTTCGGTTTTGGCCCTCAACACCTCCAACGTAGATTGCTCGAGTTGCTTTTCCTGCCGGTCGTACTCCAGATCCAGGATCACCGTCTGTTTGTGCTCCACTTCATCCTCTAGATCCTTAATCCTCCGCTTCAATCTCAGCTCGATTTCTGTGGACCGCTCGACGGTCTGTTGCAATTCCAGCTCAAAGGACGATTTCAAGGCTTCCATGTCTTTCCTGAGTCTGTCGTTCTCCTCTTTCGCCTTGCGGAGCTTCTCTTTCCAGGGAACGTTAGTTGTGGGAGAGTACATAGCATCCTTGACCAATTGCAGTTCATTTTCAATGTGTTCAATGTACTCTTCCGAGTTGAAACGGGGTTTGCTATGAGATGAGATACGCCGAGAACCACTTCGCGTCGAGCGGTAGTATGGAGACTCTCTGCTTGGTGAAGGTCGATGCAGGTTGATGGAAACCTCTCTAAGACCCATGGCGGCTGGGGAGGCCCTGCAAGGATCAGTGACCGAAGGCGATGGGACGTCGCTAGATGCGTCGTGATACACCGAGGGTGTATTAGATCCCGCTGTGATGCCGACTCGCTTGTCTGGCGCGTCCTGGAATACCGGGATAGGCGCTCTTCTCTGAATACCACGGATACGATAGGCGCCCGAGTTTGTAATTTCATTCAAGATACTCGATCTAGGCGAGGTGCTGATGAGGTCGGAAGCCCTCTCTAAGTCAATGCCATTCTCTTCACGCTTCGTCATCCGAGGTACAGAAAAGTAGGAAGTATCGTTCTCGGCGGATCGAATCAAGTGTGGAAACGGAACTGTCATGCTATTAACAGAAAGCCTCTGGGCGGGAAATCTGGCATTTCGAGTCTGTAGAATCCTCTGTTGACGAGTATGGGGGACTGATTTCGGCGTCGCGTGGGCGGAACTCGGAGGTTGGTCTCGAAGGATCAGAACGGTAGTCGATCTCGAACGCGTGTGGATAGTGTTGACCGGGGAGAGAGGATGGGCATGGGCGTCATCCATCGTTCAAGTGCTCAGGAATTATGTTGTCAAGGATGTCCCTGACCGACAGTATGGTTCGAACAGGGCAAGGCATACCATTGGCGTTGACGAGTCGAGTGGCGTAGGGGCGTATAGAGGAGTGAACGAATGGTTCGCAGGCGTGGAAATTGGCCTGACATTCCAGACCTCGCGCAGCGAGGAATGATGCAATACGGAGCTCTACGAGCAAAGGAATGTGAGGAAGAAAGCAGCTTTTGAAGTCTGGCTGAGGAAGAAGATTGAAGTGAAGTGTCTTACGCAGGTGCGATGACAATAGAGAGGAGAGTAGTAGTAGTAGTGTACGTGCTACTAGTAGAAGCTGGAGAGATTGACAGCAACAGTGGGAGTGGGTTGGGCACACAAGTACCTACTACTACGACAGCAGTCAATCTGTTTACCTTTTCCTCAACTGGGATTCGGGACATTTTACTATTGCAGTAATTAAATACAATGAATTGGCGAGTCAGATTGTCTCTGACATCTGCAGGTCACCACACGTCCCACGATCTTGTCCCGAGCGCTGCCGCCAGGAGCCGCAGAGTTTAGGGGCCTTTAGCCGAGGGGCTTAGGTCTGATTCCAGTCGCCCTAGGCACCGGACTAGGGGTCGGTCCCTGAAACCCTTACAGAGTAGACTCCTTAGGCCACACTAATAAGCTGTACACTGCTTTCAAGTCCAGGCACGTAAAGGCGGCAGCTGTACAAGTAGGGTTTCTGGGGCTTCGGCAGTCCAACCGAGGTCGTGGAATCGACCCAGATCGATTCACAGTCACAACTGTCCAGTGCGCAGGGTCAGGTACCTCTGCGCTGTGCCTGCGCCTGCGCACCATTTCAGATGTAAGGTACTATATCCTTGAAAATTATTTGACACCAATCGCAGAAGATAGCAGCTCCAATCTTGTGCTTGACTGCCATGGAAAAAAACAAAGAGCAAAAAAGAAATTCCGCATCGGGGAATTGAACCCCGAGCTACTGGGTTATAGGTTTTCTATGAAAACCAGTGATGTTACCATTACACCAATGCGGATGTTGATTGCTAATTGTTGGGAGAAATTCCCCATATCAAATATATAATATTATTTTCTTTCCTGCTAGCGTCAATTTTCCCCCCTAGAAGCTAACGGCGATTCTCTACTATCTCCAGGTGGTTTGGATATACATTTTCGTTTTGAAGTCAACCTGGCCATACTGTCGTTGTATTGCCAAACATGTCGACTGGCAGGTAGGCCACTCACCACTCTGTTCATTATTTGGAGTGGTATATCCCATTCCACCCTGAGTGTAAGCAATTCCATACGAGTGCGGCCGCACAGCGCAGTGAGACATGAGCAACGCCATCAACACCATCACGAGTCTTCCTTTCACCCACGAGCACGACAACCATCATGGCAAAGCATTGCATGTCTCGCTCCAGACTCTTCGGGCGCTTTGTTCGAGCAAGGACATTTCGGCGAGCGCCAAAGTCAATCTGACCAGGCAGCTCTGCCCCCTTCGTCCTCATACTCGGTCGCCAACAATGAATCTGACACGAGTCAACCGGCAGTGCTTCATGTCAACAACAATGGCATCCTTTCAACCGCAGATCATCACACTTTGTCAAACCTGCCGCTTTATTCTCTACATAGCATCTGCCAGGTCGCATCATGCAAGACTGATTGTCCAAACGACAAAGGCCAATTCATCTTCATACAGTGGCTGGCCAACAAAGAAAGGTGGGAGCGAGCTGCCCAGATTGCATCGCAAGTAGGTGTATATCTTGCCTGTCCGTCCGTCCTGTCTCCTACGAGTCTCTGTCATACCCTCGATTTGCATTGCTGTTTTCTGCGCCTTTTAGCAGAGTATAGTTATATCGCCGGTCGGGCTGAGCACCGGGAACTTCTCTCAACAACCAAGTGAGTGAGTGCATGGTGTGATCGAAAAAGATGTGCAAATACATCCAGTATGTTTTCTCGGGCTGCTGGGGAGATACGCGCACTTGCACCGGCAACATCGAGCCTGTGAACATCGAGCCATGCGAACAAGCTGCCGCGCAAGAAGCTCCTCCCTGGCAATTGGGCTATGATCGCCTCGGCCTACATGGAGACTTTTGCATCCCGGATATCGAGTACCGCTACATCCGAGGGAGATGCTCCGAACACGAGAGCCCGCTCTCCGACGAGGATGGAGTACTTCAGAGATATGATCCGCGATCACCGGTGAACAATGTGTTTGAGTCTGCTAATTCGCCACAGGATGACTACACGTGGCACGTCGAAGAGGCTCCTTGGACAAACGTCCTGTATCGTGAGACTGACTGGAATCCCGTCCCACGGCCCGTTTCGCTTGATCCTCCTCAGTTCAGTCCTGGCGATCGGACCGAGTATACTCATCCTCCCGTCGGGGTTCAGAATGCCGCGTATGATCCCGCATATTGGCGATCAGCCGATGGCCGTCCCGTACGCCGTCTTCAAACCCCAGCCGACCCCCCTGCCACTCATCACCCTCGTCCACCCATGCCCACCATCCCCGATGACTTTGCCGAACAGCTCGACGCCCTGGTCGCCGGGTATCGAGACAGACAATCCACCCCGGAGTCTTCGTCGGGCAGTTCGTCACACAATGGAGAATCAAGCAGTGATCATGGCCCGTTACAAGGTGCACATCCGGAATGGCAGCCACCACCAATCTCGCCACCAGGATGGGAGCCCGAGTCGCCCACACCCATAGCCAACAGTGCCCGGCAGTCAAGCAAGCGACCCAGAAGTGAATCTGAGGATCAGTCGCCCTCTCCTTCTCCTTCTTCCATATCCAGATCCAGCCCAGATACTCCCAACAAACGACCGAAGGTCATGCTGAGATTCCCCAACTTTGCAAAGGCAGCCCAAGCCCAAGCCCGTCCAACTAGCCGTGGAAGTGATGGAATCGTCCCTACCACCCCACAACAGCCAGGACCAGGACCAGGACCGCTGAAGCATCGACTCAAGATGCCATCGAAGCCCACGAAGCCAAAGTTGACTCTACAGATCCCCCAAGGTCCGAGACAAGTCATCATGCTGAGATTCCGCCTGCCAGCAAAATCTACAATTTCTGTTCACGGTAAGTCTGGAAGTGGCAACGGCGCAGGATCTGGTCCCCGTACTCGAGCCAGCAACCGCTCATCCCAGTCCGCTGCGATCAGACCTGCACAAGCAATGCAAGGCCCCATGACGCGTAGCCGCTTGAGACAGCTACAGCTACAGCTCCAAGTCAGCAACCGCTCAAGCCATGCATCCCAGCCTACTACGATCAGACCGGCACAAGCAATGCAAGGCCCTATGACGCGTAGCCGCTTGAGACAGCTACAAGTCCATGCCAGCCAGCCTGGGAACCAAGCAAAGATGGACCAGCTGGAGGCTTTCTTGCGCCATGCAAACGGTGTCTCGCGCTGATGAGATGCTGAAACACTGGGAAGAGCGCAGGCCGTAGTCGGTAGGAGAGGAGAGGGCAGTAATGTAAGTTGGCAAGAGTTCGGTCTTTTCAATATCAGAGCTGGTCTCGACGCAGGGTCTGGGTTCAGGGGACGCAGGCCGGCAAACATATCAAAAAATATACGATCTTACAAAAAAAATTGGCTCAAATCTTTGCCTGTGAAGCTTTACAAATCCTAAGATAGAGGATAGAAAGGAAAAATACTAGTATTTGTTCGATGAGAGGTGATCCTGTGTATGATAGATATATATATTGTGACGAAGGCCAATAATAAAAGACTTCATGCCATCCACCAACCGATCCTAAATCACCCTTTTCGGCTCAGCCTCGTCTCTGTCCATAGGAGAATCCCCAGCTGTTTTATGTTTTATGCTTGCAACACTTCAAACTACCACATCTACAGAACACCACCTTATCCTCATATAAAACCAGCTAACCCTCTACAAACAGGCGCTTGAACTGACTGACACCTCTCAGCACTGTCTGCCTCTTCGACTGTACCGAGTAAGACAGCACTCGCCTCCTATATATATACCAGCCATGGCTATAAATGACAGTACCATGACCTTGGACCATAGTGACCCCAGTGAATTGAGTGATCAAGAGGACTACCAGTAACTAGTAGCCATCACCCAGCAAAACGCCGTTCAAATGGGCCTTGAGTGAATCAGATTAGAGAAGCAAGTTACATACAATGTCTAAGTGAGGACATCGAAATGGATATTTGTTGATCGGTTTGGTTCAGGTATTGATCTATTCAGGTCTTCAGGTATTGAGGTATGAAAGTATTGACTTCCAGCGGCCGTCAACTTTTGGAACAAGGTTCACCACCGGCCCCAATTATCTAGGTACACAGCTCTGTCTGGGCCGACACCAGAAAGGACAGTGTCTGTGTGTCTCTCCCTGGTCAGCCATATGTCTCATTCCATGTCCATGTCCTTGACAAGTCGAGTGCAAGTAGCAGAACCCTGAGCAGTCACGCCTCCAACCCCTCCCCGAATCGAACCTTTTTGGCGGCAATACCCAAGACACATCTCTCCAGACCAAGCCGGAGAAGTCCCAACACATGTTTGGTTGCAGCAACTGTTGCCGAGTATTCCCAACCAGCAGTGATGCCACAGACCCCCACAGGCATGTGTCATGTGTCATGATGCTTCACCCAGCTCAGTCGAAACTCCGCCATCACTGTCAGAGGTGGCTGATGACTTGCAAACAAGCCTTCCGGGAGTCACTTGTCACTGATGAGGATGATGGACCGACCGACCCTGCTCGTCTGCAAATGCAACTGAGCAAAAACAAAACCAACTCACAAGCTCTTCGCGCAAACACCTTTCCACACAAACAATTCCAAAAGCACAATACTGGCTGGCTTAATGGGTATCTCTGAACAGGAAGCAGAAAGAGAAAAAGCAAAGGGGAATCATCAACATTAATCATCATCATAGGACAGCATCATCGCCGCCATTTTCGTCCTCATCTCCGTCGTCGAGAACAATGATTGGTGTCAGGTCCTTTGATGCCGAAGGAGTTGTCGCGTGCTTCGCCGCGGCTGGTGAATCTTGGGACTTGCCAGTTGGCTGATCTTCCTGACGGACACCCGACGTTGGTGCAGGGGTCTGCGTGGCAGAAGTGTCTGATGGACCCGAGGATGAAGACGCAGCAACCGAAACAGCTCGGTCCGGGCTCAGCTTGACTTCCCAGGACCCGTCTTCCTTGACCAGGATCGCCCTGGCACCTTCAACTTGATTGCGCTGCTCCAGCGTCTTGCGGACCTCGAGCAGGAAGCGGTCGATTGTCAACATCAGAGGGCGAGCGTCTTTGTTGCAGATGGGACACTTCCACAGGTCGGGATTTGTCACGCCACTTCCCGGGTCACGGCATGTGCGACTCAGGAGGAATGAATCCAGGTCGAAACACTCGCGATGTTGACACTCCTTGCCGCGCACCGGTGTCACCCACATGACTGACGTGAAGGGGTCCACAAGGTCAATACTCAAGACGGGTTGCGCGATGATGATATCTTCGTCATCGTCGTTGGTGTTGCCATCTTTCTGGCCTTTCAGCGCCGCAACTATGCTAGATAGCGATTCTTGTGGCGCGCTTCGACCAACAAACCCAAGGAGGTGTTCACGATCGGAGACCACGACGACCTCAATCGCCATCAGATAAGTCTGCTGTGGCCCTGCAGAAGTCGAGCTGATGGCGATGGAGACTTCGTTATCGCCTGCCCTCAGCAGGTCTGTAACATCCGTCGGTATATCTGTACCGTGATGTGCCTTGCGTCGAAAGTCGACTCCCATGTCACCGTTGATAGAGACAGCGAGGTACTGTGGCCATTTGGTGCTTTGAACGCAGAACTCTGATAATGTCAGACTTGATGTGCCTGGTCCCTCGTCAACGGCAACACACTTCAGTCTGAACTGTACACAGCCATTCCAGATACTGCGGCGTCGAGTCAAAAACTCGCCTGACGGTTTCAAAGTCTTGGCCTTCGAGTCCCAGAGGTAGGGGTCAATATGCGCAATCCATTGTACCAAGTCAGAGTTGGCGCTGATGGTTTGAGGCATTCTGACGATATCCACAACATGCTGGTAGTATCGCGAGTCGGACGTGCCTCCGAGGTAGGCAATCTTGTTGTATTTGGGGCTGCGAAGATGCGCTTGGTGCAGGGCGTGTTTGTCTGGATCTGGACGCGCAAGAGTCGGTAAAACAAATTGCGCAGGAGGGAACAGAGCTGGAGCCGGTGACCGCGACGCGTTTGGCGTCTGTGGGGATGGGACCGCTTGTGTGGGCAAAACCTGCGCTGGTATGGTCGCCTGAGCACGCCGAACACTTTGTACGCGCTGGACTGCTGTGGGCTGTGGTTGACCAATGGCAGCAGATTGCTGCAACGAGACTCGCGAAGCAGAATGAGGCAGGCCTACGGATTGTGCTGCCACTCCACGGCCGAGAGGGAGCGGAGCTCGAGCACCACGAGATCTTGGTGGATTCGGAACAAAACCTGACTGAATTGGACGCTGACCTATCAGTGTGGATGGAAAGTCGGGCTGGATCGAGGCTTTCTGACCCCCTGAACCAGGATACATGGTGGTCTGGGGTATCATCTGCGGCTGTTGTGCCTGACTGACAAATTGCCGTGGCTGTCCAGGTGCTCTTAATGGGGTTGAGGACAAGACATGGACTGCTCCCCCACCCGCTACTGCGCGCTGACCCGGCAAAGCTGGAGGGATCATCCAGGTTTGATGTCCAACTGCTTGCGAGTCTTGATATACCCTCCGGTTTGCCTCTGCGGCGTAGTATTCGTCGAATACAGACTGATACGCCCGGAACATATCAGCCACTGTGGCGCGTTCGGCGCTCGCATGGGCCGAATCGGGTCGTGCCATCGAATGGTTATTGGGGAGATCCATGAGCCCTTGGAAGAAGATCCAAGCCCTCTTGACGTAGTTCTCGTCTGTGACCCCATGACGGATAATGCTGCGGAAGATTGCACCCAGCAGGACTTTGGAAGGGAGCAGCAGCTGCAACTGCAGATCAAGAGGGATCGGCGGTATGGCTAGATGCACGAAGTTGTGTTTGACCTGTTCATAACCCGTGGCCAACCAGCTCAAGAAGGTCTTCATATTCTTGGGAAGGTCGAATCCCACTTTTTCGCGATCACGGAGCCACTCCCTTATGTAGACATGTGCTGTGCTTGGGAAGTTGCAAAGCAATTGGTTCACTCCCCAAGAGAGCTGGTAGTTCGACCCCAGAATTGTGGAAAGTATCTGCATGCCGACGGAGTGCTCCCGAGTCAAGGTGAGGTCGACCAATTCCGTATGTTGACCAGCAGACCAATTGCAATAGATCAAATGAGTAAAGACGAAGAAAACATCGTTCTTCAGGCAAGCCTCGCGTAGCGTTGACAGCCTATGTTCATCGAGATTGGACGGGGAGACCAGATTGAAAGGGCGGTTAAGAGCCCGTATGGCCAAATCGAGCCGCGTGATCAGGGCGTTTATTGTCGAAACTGTTGGGGAACTGTGAGGAGTGGGAAGCTGGGCAGGTCCAGCAATTTGGTCGTTCATCATTCGTTTTCCTCGCCTAGAGTCTGGCTCGGCGTCAGAAGGACGCTTTCTGTGTGTCTGGAGACTCTGGATAGACGAGGGAAGAATGTCCGTATGATCCGCAGGCGGAGACTGTTGTGACAACGCATGTGCAGGATTGTGCTCAAGACCTTTGTGTGGTTCTTCAAATCTCAGAGGCTGATCGGGTTGGGTGTTGCTCGGTGGCGACGGAACCTGAGCTGCTTGCTGTGGTGGTTGTGCTTCAGGATGAGCATTTACATTTGCATTTGCATTTGCACTCGCACTTTCACTTGCGTTGTTCATTCCAGGACCTGGGCCAGCCTGGATGTGTACCGTGCTTTCTCCTGCTTGTATCTGTTGTCTTTCTCTTTGTATCGCACCGATATTGGTAGGCAACGAGGAAATCTCATTGGAGGTTGGGAGACTGTCGAAGTTTGCTTCGACATGCCCAGCGGCTGCATCTTTAGAGGCTGTAGTCACCAAAATGCCATTAGATACACCTGATCGAGGTCGTTCGGAAATCGTGTTGCTTCTTTTAGAAGTAGGCCGTGCGACTGTGGAGGTGGAGGAAGAGGAATGATCGGTTGCGCTGTTCATCCACGACCGCTGAGGGGCGCCGATGAAGTAGTGAGTAGTGTCGTTCGTGGACTGAACGGTAGGGACATTCCGAGCAGTTGGACTGCCACTCTTGGGTTTGCCGCCAGCACGGGGCATGCTTCAGGCTGATCAAGTACAGCCTTGCTCTGACGCGAAGAAGGACATGTAGAGCCCGCAGGAAAAGGCCTTTAAGTAACAGACGCTGATACGATGGCAACTATTTGTCTCGATAGAAGACTAGGCAGTGGACAACAAGGCAGGCGGGTTTTCTGCTTCTGCGAAAGATGGGAAAACCCTTTGATGCGGTGAAGCAACATTGTGGCTTTGAGAGACTGCGAGATGCGACGACCCGACCTGAGCTGTTGCCAGTGAATGGAGAAGAGTTAATTCATAGGTAATTCACAGGCAGTTCATAGGCAGTTCACAGCTCAGTGAATATCAAGATGGTGGTGGGAGGCCGCCATGGTCAACAAGCAACAAGGCTGGGTATATCACAATTCATTAAGGGACGACGAACGATGACAGTCTCTCCAGCAGATACAGATATACAGCGAGACACTGGCAGTTAGTAGTTGCCCACTGACAGTGGAGTGATAGATATGCGGAGAAGCGCTTAGACAACGGACACTGGGACTGGACAGGACGATAGCTATTCTGTTAGCCTCCTTGGTGCTTGGAGCTGAATGGTCTCAACGCCTTGCTATAGGCACTAGCCTTACGCCTAAGGAGCCCTGACGCCCTGAGCGCAGGCGGCGCATGTGCCACTGCAGCCCCCATCAAAAAGTACAGATAGACAGAGTGCAGATAGATACCTATACGAGGTAGATAGATGTACCGAGAACTTCTCCTCCACTACCTGACTATACACACACAGTATTGTTCCCTACTCTCTCTACCTTTGTAACCAGACTTCTATCTCATTGACACCACTCAACCTAATTTTGACAAGGCTCTCTGGTTCCCTCCCACTTTCTTTTCTGTCCGGCATGCCTCTGTCCACCCGTCAAAAGGTCCTGTCGCCGCCGATCTGACGTGTCACCATCCCAGTCCTCTGTCGAATGATACCGTCGACCACTTACACAACGACCACTACAACAACCAGATCGGCTCGCGCAACCTCAACTGCCTCCTACCAAACCCACGTCGCTGTACGACCCTCCTCACCCTCCTGACCCTCCTCACCGACACAAATCAAACACGCCTTGCACCCTTCGCGACTTGATTGCAAAGGACAAGTTTATCATGCCGGCTCTCGCCACTACTCTCCCCGTCGATCTGTCTTCTACAGTTAAATTCGGCTAGATTGTCCATGAACAGACTTGCTTCACTATCCCGGAGGTGCTGTGCGTCAACGATTGTCTGAGGTCGCGCTCATATTTCACCATGTCATTCACTGTCCAGCAGCGCCCAGGTGGCGCCCTCCAACCTGGAGACATATTGGTTGTAATTCGTATGTCGCGCTATCTGGCCTGCAGCCTCTGAAAATATACTGACAGGAAGGTGTTCAGATGATTTCGATGCCCGAAGTTCGGACGAGTTGACCCTTCGAAAGTCAGATCAGGTTGAATTAGTTGAACTGGACGAGGGCTTCGGTGATGGTTGGTATCTGGGGAGACATCTTGGCCAGGGTACAGTAGGCCTGTTTCCAGGAGGTAAGATGCTGCACGATTCCAAAACCATCACTTATTGTCTCACCATGTCTGATCTCCCGCTAGTTTACACTGCAAAGCTGCCTTCGAACTTCACACCTGTTGGGCCTGCGAATTCCAGACCCTCTCAACTTGCGCACAAGCTTTCCAATGGTGCAAAGACTGAGCCATCCGAGCCAACAATACCAGAAGATCAATCCACCGCCCGCCGTTCCCTCGTCCCCAAATCGCCGATGCAACCTTCGTCAATGTCCTTTTCTCCTGTCATACCGCGCAGCATTGGCCAGGCCCTTTCAGGCACAGCAAATGGAGAGGATAGCCCTGTTATGAACGAAACATTGAGCGTTATAGACGAACATATCACGGATCTCAGTACGCCGCGTCAGAGTCTTGCCCCTCTGCGATTTGTATCAGAGGACTCGGAGAGTGAATACAGCAGCCATCTGGACCGAGCCTCTTACGTTGCCGGTCCAGAAACCGAGAGTGAGGAGAGTTTGCGGTTGACGGAAGCCGATGTGAAGCAATGGGATGCCAAAGATACCGCCGAGTTTCTCAGAGCTCTTGGAGTGGATTCCAAACATTGTGATATATTCGAAGAGCAGGAAATAACGGGAGACGTTCTGCTGGACATGGATCAGTCCTTCATACACATGAAAGAGTATGACTTTGGATTGATGGGCCGCCGGTTGAAGACGTGGCACAAGATCCGGGAATTTCAGACTCAGATTCGCAACTCCCCAGACTCGGGAAAGAGCAGCTTGAAGCAGGACAGCTCGAATGAGGACGTGGCACGCATTCATTCCCGCGCTTTATCCGGCGCCACCATTCTCCCTCGAATACCAAGTCTGATGGAGGAGCGAGGGCTTTCTATCCGCCAGTCACAACATGCTCACCCATACGTCCAGACGGGCTCTGCATCGCCTCCTCCTGAGCCGCAGGTCCCGCCCTCGCCTTTCGCCCGGTCTCCGCTTGGTGGAAGTACACCTCCATCACCGTGGAGAGCATCCGTGGCCGCCGAAAGTCCTAGGCGTCCTTCAGCTGCGTCCATTCGGGAGATGAACCACTCGCGCCGCCACTCTTCCATTGACTTTGCCAAACAGGGATATCAAGAGACGGCTTTTGGGACCTTTTCCACCGTCTCCCCACCTCACAAGAAAAACGTATCGCTCGACAGAGACTGGTCAATGAGTAATGCGACAACTGCTGGTGCCGGCGCAAGCACCCCTTCGCTCAGAGCGGATGTCGCAAAGAATGTCAGCGCGCCTCCAGATTCTCCGTTTGATGGTGACCACTCTACCGTCGACATTGACCGGGGCTACTTCAGTGGCAACGAAGTGGACAATCGAAAATCCCGGAATCTCTTGAAAAAGAAAGGGGGCGGGGACACTGGTCATTCTCGTCAGTCCAGCATGATTGAGGAGACACACAGGCCTGGTCTTGGGGTCAAGCGGCATTCACGGCTGAGCAGCGTCGACTCTGTCAGAGACCGAGGCCTCGGAACAGGGTCCTCGGCGGCCCAGGCTTACCACAGCAGCTCGTCTAACGGACGATTCCGGTCTGCCAGCGCGCGAAATCTAGGCACTCAACGATCCCCCACTACTCTGTCGCCAACTGTCACGAATCTCGAGGACGACAACCTGTCGGCGTTGTCATCCCCCAAAATGGCGAGCGGCTCGCCATCTCCCGCTGGTGCTCCTATGCCTTGGGCAGCGTCACAGAAGGCTCGAAAGTTGTTTGGTCTCCGGGCTGCATCCGATGCGATAACCGGAACTGAAAAGCAGGCAGCAAATGCGTCAAACATCACGACGGGACCACTCAAAGAGAGTCCGATAGCCTCACCTTCAGGATCCCAGACACCGTCAGCGACATCACAGAGTTTCGAGATCGAGAATACTGATGCTTCGTCGAAAGGAACCGCTGACCAACTCGGTCCGCTTTTACATACCAAAACCACGGTGCGCACAAACCCGAAGACGAAGCGACAAACCAGTGCCTACACCAAGGGACTTCTGCCTATCTCGCCAGCTGAAGCGCGGAAGCACTGCGACCACTGTGGCTGGATGAAGAAAAAGTCCACCGGGCTTATGACTCAGTGGAAGCCTCGGCTCTTCATACTTCGTGGCCGACGCCTCTCTTACTACTATTCGGAGACCGACACCGAAGAAAAAGGGATCATCGATATCTCCGGTCATAAAGTGTTGAGCATCAGCACCGATCCAATTACGGCACTGCATGCAACCATAGCCGGAGGAACGTCCCCCTCAATGGCTTCAGGTTCTGCAACCGACAAGTCGAAGGGTGCGCCGCGCCACTCTGGTGGAACTGGGCCATTCTTCTTCAAGCTGGTTCCTCCCAAAGCAGGATCGTCCAGAGCTGTCCAGTTCACCAAGCCTACTGTACATGTCTTTCAGGTCGATAACATCGCCGAAGGAAGAAAGTGGATGGGTGAGATCCTAAAGGCGACCATTGAGCACGACCTATCAAGCTTCGAAACCACGAATCGGCAAAAGACTATCAGCCTTGCCAAAGCAAGGGCACGGAAGGAGCGGCCGCCTGCGCTCAAAGAGACGGCGGACATAGCTGAGCTGGCGGAAAACCCAACTCCAGCAGAAGAGAAGGGCCTGCGGGAAAGCGGGTTGAACATACAGGGGCTTGGGCTCAACCAGTCCAATATAGATCTCCGGCTGGATGTCGACTTCAGTGAAATAAAAGCCGGCCTGGGGGAGGATGCAGTTCAGAAGACCGAGACATGATGAGACCTTGAATAATCCACGACGTTGATACACATACAAATGTCCAGTCGGATGAAGCTGACTACCTACTGTTTACTGTTTACTGTTTACTATAGTTCTCTTGTTCTCCTGTTCTGACCAGCCCGAGACACCAAGATGGAACTGATGTTGTATACCGTCTGTCAGATGTTTCGTCTGACAGCCCTATACCATTAATTGCTGCGTACATCCCAGCATCAGAAGTTGTCAGACGTCATAAATTTTTCCCCAAGGGAAACGCGACCTCGCCCCTTTCTCCGCGTTCCAATGCTGCTCGAATAAACAATTGAACAATTCATTCATTCATTCTCTCTCTGGTTGTGGCGTCTGGCTTTGCTCCTCATGGTTCAATGTATATAATTGCATTTGCAGACAAGGCGCTGCATCTTCTTGTCCCCCTCGCTCTCTGTCTCACAGGATATTTGTACCTGTACCCGGTCTTCCATGGATGTGCTTTTCCTTCCAGAAGTGGCTCGACGCTGACGGCCTTCACGGAGACCCTTGAACAACACTTCCCCCTCTCATATGCTTCGAACGTGGCCAACGATACCGTCCATGTACCCTTTCGGCTCCTCGTCTTCGCCGATCCCCAGCTGGAGGGGGACAGTTCGCTTCCCAAGCCTGAGGATGGCTTACTACCCAAGCTGGCGCGGCACTGGACGAAGATATGCTCAGAAGAATTCACGTCCATACCTCCCACGGTCACAGCGGTGACGCGGGAAGTGCTGCTTCAAGATATCCCAGAGGCGTTACAGGCGCTGCGGAAACGGTTGGATCTGTTCGGCAACGACTACTACCTGGGTCATATCTACCGCACTTTACATTGGTGGACGAGGCCCAGTCATGTCACTGTGCTCGGAGACCTGATCGGCAGTCAATGGGTGACGGATGGAGAGTTCGGAGGGCGAGGGTGGAGGTTTTGGAACAGAGTCTTTGGCAGTGCGAACAGGGTGGCGGATGAACTGGTGACACTGGACAGGCCGGAGGAAGAAAAGACATTCAACATGGACGACGATAGCTGGGCTACCAAGATCATAAATGTTGCAGGCAACCATGACATCGGATACGCTGGAGATATCTCAAGGCACAGGCTGGACCGGTTCGAACGAGAGTTTGGGAAGGCCAATTGGGACGTCAGATTCCGCTACCCTCTATTCAATGGTACAGAGTCAACCAATACAACAGACCAAGTTCCGTCGCTGCATTTGATTGTCCTGAACAGTCTCGTTTTGGACACACCGGCCATGTCTGAGGACATGCAAGCGGAGACGTATGACTATCTCAACAGCGTCATTTCGCACCGATTGAGGCCGGTAGAGGATCGCTCTTCGTTTACTCTCCTGCTCACCCATTTGCCTCTCTACAAGCCCAACGGAACGTGCGTTGATGCTCCTTTCTTCGATTACTGGGGCGATGACGACGGTGGCGGCGTCTACAGGCCTCATGGCTTAAAGGAACAAAATCATCTGAGCGAGCATGTTAGCCGTCAGGGGACTCTGGAGGCGTTGTTCGGCATGAGCGGAAACCGTGATGTTCCAGCTCACGGCAAGGGCAGACCGGGCCTCATCTTGACAGGCCATGATCATGAGGGTTGCGATGTGTGGCATCATATCTCGACGAATTCGACCTGGTCTCAGTCTACCAACAACACTGACGAGGACAGAAGGACCTCATGGGATGCCGTACGTTGGACCCAAATGAACCATAGTAGCTCTCATACCGGGATTCGGGAAGTCACTCTGCGGAGCATGATGGGAGACTATGGAGGCAATGCAGGCCTATTGAGCGTCTGGTTTGATTTCGCTACAGGAGAATGGGCATACCAAATGCAGATGTGTGGGTTAAACGTCAAGATATGGTGGGCGACTCATGTTATTGATCTGGTGGTCTTGGGCCTGTCGCTGTTCAGCCTTGTCAGGGGCATACTGGTTCAGCATGACCGTTCGCATGCCGGCCAAGACAAGGCTGTCTCGCCCAACACAAGCAAAGCACATGCCTGAAGGGGCGCAGGCTGTCTGGGTTCCTAACACACGGTACACCTGTTACAAAGATCGGTCGAGCCAACTTTCTCTCTCTGTCTCTCTTCTCGCGCGACCTCACCTCCACTCGGCATCTTTGTAACCACCTGCTCGTTATGACTCAAACAAATCACAATGGCACGCGCCGACAAGAGCAAGCAGGTCCCCAAGAGCCATGCATGCACCAGACAACGCGAGCGAGCCCTTCCCAGGGATTCGCGTTCCTGGCCAGCGCAAAGCCTCAGCGACTGGCACCGGTGGCGCTATGCCACGAGCAAGCCCAAGATTGAGATCCGCGGCGGTCTCCACATATGCCATGTCTGCGAGACACCAAAGGCCGTGAAGGACTTCTCTGACGGAACCATGGAGGTCATCAGAGGGCGTTGTCCCTATCACAAGCTTTCGTGAGTGGTCTCTTGAGATGTCGATGGCGCCCATATCACTGATACCCTGGCGCAGCCCCGACCCAAACCTGACAACAGCGAGAGACCACCCCGAGCAACAAATCTTTCCAAGGATAGAGCTGATATGCACCTGTCACACAGGGCATTGCATCATGGCCGATGACTACCTTGTTGTTGGCGGAGTAAGCATCTTCAAGTCTATCTACTTCACGCGAGTCAGAGTTGGAGTCGAGGCGTTGCCAGGTCCATCTCAGGCTGGGAGAGCGCCTTTGCAAACCCTCCGCCCGTTCAAGGTGAGGTTCTGCTTGAAGATGCTCAAGGAATGGAGCAAGGACACGAAGGAGTTGGAGCAACGCGTTCGTTCGCAACGCGTTCAAGTGTAACCCATTGTTCAGGTACAAGCCTCCGACATTTCCACTATGAACCAACATCCTGTCTCGCCAGCGAATCAGCAAAGAGCGCAGAGGGGAGCGACATTGATCCTGCGAGGAAAAGAAGATGAAGAAGAGAACAGACCAGAACAATACCAAGAACAATAGCAAGGAGTGAGCTATAACTACGACAGTTACAGATGAGCAAGGAGACAGTGCATGGTTCTACTGCACATGCAAGGCGAGTCGCGCAGTGACAATGACAACAACAATAACGGTGACAGTGACAGTCTTCCCTATTCAGGCCGAGCCTCGTGAACCAGCCACCAGGCGCGGTCTGATAAATAGACGCATTCACAGAGACCGCAACCGCTTGGCTTCTCTACTCATTCTTCCTATTTACGCGCACGCACACACCTTGCTCTTCTTCTCCTTCTCCTTCTTCATCTCCATCTTCTTCATCTCAATCTCCATCTCACACTTCTCGCCATCAATCATACAGCAATCAAGATGCCGGTCTTCAGCATCACCTTCACGAACGAGCTCAATTCGCCCCTGAAGTATGACTGGGGAAGAAATGTCTACAAAGCTTGTCCAGATTGTATTCGGGCTCACGAAGTACGGACTTGTGACGGCGAGACCAAGGTTACGTTTGCCATGTGCGAGACGCATGCCCCAATGTGAGTTGAGTCCCATTCTTGAGTCCTCATTGTCTTCTTGAACACTGTTTTGGCAATTTCACTTCACTTTCCGTTGAGAACACTGGAATCGCGGTCTAGGATTTGCAAGTGAGACTACTACAATGTCTACAAAGCACTACTCACCAAGATGTCGCATGGGACACACCAGCTCGCGTTCCCCAGACTTTGACAAAGAGAGACACTGTCTGATGATTCTGTCCAATTTCGCAATCCTTGCGTGCCGATCTCAGACCCAAATCAAATCATGAGCATTGAACCATATACTGACGAGACGAACATAGATGCGATAAGAACTACGAAAAGGCTTTGCTCAGTCAGATCCGAAACATGATTTACCCGCTGTACTCGTGTGTCCCTCTGCCCGACGTATCACGAGAAGAGCTGTGGAAGACCGTCTCAGTCAATCCCTTGCCAGCAGCTACATTCATAAAATCCGCGACGTCGCCCTTCCACTACACCATCGTTCCTCCGACTCTACCAAAGACTCCTCCACCTCTTCCCCACCCGATAGTCGAATACACTCATGCCAAAGGATGCAGCCGCTCCGACAAGCCGGACGTGGTGGCCAAATCAGCCGAAGAGGTGTTTCTCATGGACAAGTTCGCAAACGAGCGACTGCAGACAATCAAGGGCATGCTGGCCGGAGGTCTCGAGGCAATCATGGACGACAACCTGCGCTACGCTCGAGACATGGTCCTCGATCATGTCAAGCAGGACCTGAAGGAAAAGCACGAGCTGAGACGCCGTGCTAAACTTCGCGCTAAGCGTGCGGCTGGCGAAGACGAGGACAAGGGCGATGGTGATGACCACGCATTCGAGTCTCGGTTTGCTCTGGCTCTGGCTACCTTGACTGGAGTTCCCCCTGCCACAGACTCTGGTCTGATGTCTGGCTCCGGTGGTGACAATTCAGATCTCGACGATGCCAACGGCGTCCAGCTCACCGAGGAGATCCGCAATCATCACCTATGGCAGCTCTTCGAGGTCGACGCGCGCAAGTTTCTTGTCCAGGAGCTGAATCGATTGGAACCGCTGGTTGCCATGGGCCCTCTGACCAAAGCGACGTATGTCAAGCGATGCAATGGCGAGTACAGAAACGGAGTCGGCGACATTCTGATCAAGAACGATTTGGTGATTGGGACCGGTTCTTTCTCGAGTGCTGATGCCAGTACTGCTGATACTGCTGGCGACACTCAGATCAGTGCTGGTGCCACAGACTCTACTGCTACGACTGGCACCACTCCGAGCGCATCTACTACCGGTTCAGCCTTGTCAGCTTCCACTCCAACTGAGTCATCCAGCGGTGGCGGTAGCGGTAGCATTGATGTTGGCGGTAGCATTGATGCTGGAACTGATGTCGGAATTGGTCTTGGTCTCGGTGATGATGTTTCATCTGCAGTTTCTTCGCAATGGGCACCCATATCCGCCAAAACCCCCGGCTACGCTATCGTCAAGCGCTTCCTAGACACCGGCGAGCTCGACCCCAGTGCAGACATCCTTCACAACCCATTGCCAAGAACTGAGCCGGCTCCTTCAGCGAGCAGTGACGAGTTCTGGGCCAATCTGGGTCCGCCCATCACCTCGTTTCCCTTCAGAACCGATCTCCTCGTGACCTTGGACAAAGACTTGGCCGATGGGAAGATGGATGCTAGAACCCATTGTTCTCGCTGCTGGGATAATAATCGCTTTGCGCGGAAGACTGCTTTGAGGACCAAGGAGTTGCGGATGAAGATGACGGATGTCCAGAAGCAAGACCAGAAGCAAGACCAGGAGCAAGACCAAGATCCTGAGTAAGAATGTGAGGAATGCAAGCGGGGAGAAGATGCGACAGGGGAGACGAGCTGAAGGACGAAGAACGAAGAACGAAGAACACAGAATGCAGACCGTGATGATTGAGGACTCAGGACTCGGAGGAGAACACGATGGGATGGGAGGACGAGATCAGAGCGTGCAATCGATTGCTGATTTTGAGGTCGCTTGACTTGGCCTGACCTCCTCGCCTGGGTTTGCTTGACTTTCAAGTTGCTGGACTGGCTGGACTCGATTGGATTGGCCTTGCTTGACCTTTTGCGTGGACTGGACGGGCTGGGGATGGCTTGACCTCGCCTTGCTTGCTTGCTTCAAGTTACTTGCTTACTTGCTTACGTGCTTCTTACTTGCTTGCTTTGGTCCCTCATTTCTGGATCTCAGAAGTGCACCAATACCAATACTGCCTTCAATCAATTAAGCAAAACAGGACTGTGATGACCACCTGCAGGAATATATTCTCTCTCACTCACGTAACAAATATGGAGAGGATTGCTCCTGATTCAAATTTCTTTCTTCCAATATCTCTGGAAGGGACTCTAATCTAATCCCTTCATCGTAGTCACAATATAATCACAATCACCGTCATAGTCATAGTCATAGTCATAGTCATAAGTCGTTATCAGCTCAGACTTGAATGTGTCAAGATATATCAAGCAAGGCCACATATATAACGCCGAGAACGACGGCAACAATATCAACTTAGGTAATACTACATCACATATTTAAGACGGGTGATGGTCAAAGACAGCAGACAAGCAAATGCCACACCAACAACAAGGTCCAGGTCCAGGTCCAGGACGAAGACTAGACAAATATGAAATGATGCGACCCGATTCGTTATTGCTATTGTGTTTCTGTCTTTTTGTCTAGAATAGCAGCTACCTTGGGATGGGTCTTTCGCACTGCCGCAGATGTCTGCTGTATCATCTGCTAGAGCTATCGTAAAAGGGAATATCAGGGGGACAGGTGGTCAAGGAAAGAAGATCATTCGAGTGCTTAAACGTGGGCGTCCCGGCTGTTGAAAACCCCCTTTGCTCGCTCCATTGGTTTGCAACAGCCTGGAAGAGTTGCCATTGGGACGCGTGTAAGGGTCAAGACCAACGCCGCTCCCCTTACTCGGCCTTCTCTGTGCCCGCCTCAGCTGCAGTCGAGGCCTCCGCCTCCTTGGGTGCCTCACTTGATTGACCGGCAGCATCCTGTGGCTCGGCCTCGGAAGAGGTCCAAAGAGTCTGAATCCTTCGTTAGCAGAGTCACAATAGAGAACTCGACGGAAAATAACGAACCAAGTTGTCTCTCAGCAGTTGCATGATCAATGTGGAGTCCTTGTAGCTCTCCTCGCTCAGAGTATCGAGCTCGGCGATGGCGTCATCGAAAGCCTGTTTGGCAAGATGGCAGGCCTGGTCTGGCGAGTTCAAGATCTCATAGTAGAAGACGGAGAAGTTCAGGGCAAGACCAAGTCGGATGGGGTGAGTTGGGGCAAGATCGGTCTGGGCGACCTCGGTTGCGGCCTTGTAGGCCTCAAGGGACTTGTCGGCCGATTCCTTTCGCTTGTCTGCAACGGCGAACTCGGCAAGGTAACGGTGGTAATCGCCCTTCCTGTGGTCAAGATTAGCCGATGCTTGTGTGTGTGTGCTTGCGAGCATCAGGGTGATAAGATCCTTACATCTTGTAGTAGAAGACCTTGGACTCGCCCGATTGAGCAGAAGGAATCAAGTGCTGGTCAAGGACCTCAAGGATGTCCTCGCAGATCTTCCCGAGCTCTTCCTCGATCTTTTGACGGTATTCCTTGATGAGCTTGACCTGAGCCTCATTGCCCTTGGATTCTTCCTTTTGCTCAATAGACGTGACGATTCTCCAGGAAGCACGTCGGGCGCCGATGACGTTCTTGTAGGCAACGGACAGGAGATTTCGTTCCTCGACAGAGAGCTCTTGGTCCGCAGAGGCGACAACCTTCATGTTCTCGACCATTTCTAAAACATGTAATCAGTCGCTGCCTGCGCCGCAAGAGAGAGGGTTCCATAGGCTACCTTCATATCGCTCAGCTTGCTCGGCAAGCTTCGCCAAATAGACTGACTCTTCTACACCCATCTTGATGATGATCCCGGTGGACTAGTTGGGATGGAAAGAAACCTGTTAAGATGGTTGATTAGCCCGGTCATCCGGAGACACGCGATCGATCCAACAACAATAACAAAACACGTTTTCGACGACAACGAACTGGCCGCGCTGACGATTGCTCAACCTCTAGACTGTCAAGACTGCGATGCGAAGATTTGCGTTTGCACTGGTAGCAATCGTGGCTGCGCAAAGTCGAGGTTCAGTCAAGTGGGCTTCGGCGTGTGAGGTTGACGTCAACCACGGGGCGTTTTCTGTTGAGAGCACAAGACCAACAGATTGCAGGCAGAAGTCGAGAGTGAGCCTTTGAGAAGTCTGAGTAGAATCAAGGACCACAATCCCAGATGGAGCTTGATCGATCGGGAGCGCGCGAGTCGAAGTGCGAAGCGTCGCGGCTGGAGGAGACGTGGGGTATAGGTGTCCCTGAGACAAACGGGTGCTGAATCTGGAGGGTAGCTTACCGTCTGGAAAGGGGTTGAGAGATGGTCGAGACTGGCAGATGCGAAGACTCGAGAGATGGAGAGTAGCGGCGATGGATATCAACGATGACTGTGGTGATTGCAAGGTGTTGTCAACAAGTTGTTAGAAAAGGGTAGAGATGGGAATCTCAAGTCAAGACAAGAGTGTTGTGCGCAGCAGGGCAGCAGGGCAGCAAGACGCAGGCGGTGGAACTTTAGTGGTGCACTGGCACTGGCAGGGGAAACTGACTGGAGTTGAGTGTGAGCGAGTGACTGCACCTCAAGTTCAAGTTGGGGGCGCGGGAGAGGGAAGTTGTAGGGGCGACGAGACTCAGCAAAGGGGATCATAAGCCTGCGGCATTACTCTGCAGATTGCTGCCTTAATCACGGGAAAGGATTAAGCCTGGCCTGATACATCCAAGCGCCACACTAGGCCGGCCAATTGATGCTATTAGAGGTAATCTATTGCTGCCATCTATCTCTATTGGTGAGTTATTCACCCTTGCTAGTACGTAGTACACGGCATTGAAATCGTGGGAGCCCTGCATCTCTCAAGCAACAAACACAGCCTCAATTGTCTGTCGATGGCATGCTGATGATTGATTGCTTTTGGTTTAGAGGCCCAGCCACCACCTCATCATAAGGCTGCCTCATACTTGATGAGACTTGACGCGCGGTTACAGGATAATGCAAAAGACATGTCAACAGCACAACCTCTGGAGCGGTCTATATCATCACGACTCTGTGCCTTGAAGGCGTCATTAGACTTCGTGTGTGCTTTGTATCCCACCACTTCATACTAGTCGATGGGCAATCTATGGTCGTGAGGTCTCCCACGCGGATGTAAGATTCCTTTATCGACGGATCTGAGGTACTGGTGGGATGCCATGTGCGTGCTTGGTTTGTTTGCATACGTACTACCTAAAAGGTAGGTACTGTTAGAAACGCAATAATACCTTACTTACCAGGCTAGTAGGAGGTAGACGCTGCGAGGAGGACAACCACGTGATTGGAAGCTCCCACCAACCCAGCTCACGTGCACCCCGTCATCTCTGCAACCTCAAGCGAGCTTCCGCAGCCGTCCTTCAACCTGCACATTGTAACAATCACAGACCGGCCCTCCGAATCTCCTGATTGTCAAACCACAATCTCTCATCTGCCCGCAAACATGCTACGAACTCAAGTTGTCAAGCTCGCAAGGGCAACCCCTTCCGCCCAGCGATCGTTCTCCGTTGCTGCCATCAGAGCCTCTGAGGGCGACACTGGCGGCATACGGCCCGGTGGCATGGCTTCAGGGTATGTTCGATTGAGATCCATTCCAATGATCTTGGACATCTTCCAAATCAGACAATCACTGACTTGCCTTTGCCCTCTAGTGACACCTGGACCCGGCGAGAGAACGCCAACGAAACCAAGTTCATCCGAGAGAAGGAAATGGAAAGGTATCTGATACCAACCCCAACCCCACCCGCCTACGAATTAAAACAACATGCAAAACAAAGATGATGTGGTGGTGTTTTGCTGCGTGTATCGTATACCGAGAATCAAAATGACTGACTGTGGTGGGGTTTTCATAGTCTCCGAAAGTTGAAGGAAAAACTTGCCCAACAACGAAAGCACCTCGACGAGCTGGACCAACACATCAAGGATTTGGAGAGTGAGCGTGCTGGCGAGCAGTAAACATTGACAGGTCTGCAATGGCGAGTCGAGGCAAGATGGGAGCTACACGGTTGATTTGAGCCACCATAGCAAGATGTGGAGATATCTGCTTTTCACAGAGTGCTCAATTCTTTTTAGCTACGTACGTGTACAGGGATAGGCTGCGGCATCATCAAGTTGCTTCCTCCACTCATCCCGTCTTGCGCCATGAGACCAATTTCTTTTTCGCGCCCTTGAGGCTTCTTTCATGAAAATACTCGGACAGGGCTGGTAACAACCCCTTTGAAGTCACTCTCAAGTGCTGCTTCAGTCCAGTAAGGACCGCCCTAAACAGCCATGCACCTCATGCCATGCCCTTATCTTCTTCCCATGTAGCTTCGATAGAAGTCCTGAGTTGCTGCACTGCCATTCCCATCGGCATTGTTGGTCAGGTAGCCTAAACTGCTCGCAGACTTCTGTGCAGCTGCCACTCGCTCTTGGAGAGAAACGGTGCCCTGATCGATCGCCTGAAGCTGGACAAGATGGGAGTTCAGAATCTTGACGATCTGGGTGATCTGGAATTTTGTTAGTCTGACCAAGGTCAACACGGATCAGGATAGCTTACCGGCTCATCAGCTTTGCCACTCTTGTTCAGGTTGGCATTGGCGGCATTGACCTCTTCAACCATGCTTTCCAAATCATGCTCCATTTCCTCGAGTCTTTCTCCAAGTTTCTCCGCGAGCTTGTAGGTTCTCTCCCTCTCCTGGTCAGGTCCACCAAGTTCGCTCGGGTTGGTGCTATCCTTGGCCAGCATTTCTTCCACATCATTTTCATACTTGGTTAGCCAGCTCTCCAACTCGGCTTGTTGGTTCTCAACGGCCGTTAGCTGCATATCAACGCTCATCGTCTGCCTCTCACAGGTGCGCGTCTTCACATAGAGCTTGTCAATCTTTGAAGAGTTGTCCACGATCAGCTGATCCCAACGTGCGATCGTCTCTGCATGCTCCTTGAATTCCTTGGAATACCGTGACATATCAGTCGCCCATCTCGTGAGGATCTCATCCATGGTCTTGTTGCGTAGCCTGGATTGGGCAGGAGGAGCCGGACCGGTTGTAGATGTCTGTGCTCCTGCGGTTCCTGGGAGACCACCTGGCGCAGTAGCGGTTCCAGCTGGAGCAGTAGCAGTGCTAGTAGTCGTGGCAGGTTGCGATGTCTGTGCTGTTGATGTGGTCGGAAATGAGAATCCACCAGCGGCGGGGGCTGATGTTGTAGTGGATTGGGGTGCCGATGTGGTTGTGCTGGGGGCAAACGAGAAGGTGCTCTTAGCAGCACCACCAGAGGTTGCGGTGGGAGCTGTAGCTCCACTTGTCGCAGGAGTCGAGGCAGAAGAAGTGGCTGACGCACCGAGATTGAAACCACCAAACAAGGGCTTCTGAGCAGGGGCGGAGGCTGTCTGGGATTCTGCCGCGGAGGCTTGTGTTGCCGGCGGTCCAAAAGAAAAGGTGGGTTTATTAGGGGTTGCTGCTTCTGTGGTTGTTGCAGGTTTAGAGAAGAGACTAGGTGCGCTAGAGGTTGGCTTGGGGGCGTTGCCGAAGAGAGACGGAGCAGTTGTTGTAGAGGGCTGGGATGTCGCAGGAGTTGAGGCTGCAGGAGTTGAGGCTGACGTTGATGTAGGACCGGCGAAGGAGAACAAGGGCTTTTGTTCGGATGTTGAGGCAGCTACTGCGGGCGTAGAAGCCGAAGTCGACTCTGCTGGCTTCGAGGGCGCTCCAAAACCGAATGTTGGTTTGTTACCGAAGAGACCTCCTGCGGGTGCTGCAGTGGACGATGAGGGTGCAGAGGTTTCAGCAGGTTTTCCAAAGCCCCCAAACGCGGAAGACTTGGTTGTATCTTCAGCAGGCTTGGCCCCAAAGAGCCCAGCACCGCCAGTGCTTGCGCCAAAGGTCGAGCCAGACGGTGGAGGTCCAGCGGGTGTGGTTGAAGCATTGCCGAAACTGAACAGATTGCTACTGCCGGTCGTCGCAGGTGTAGTAGAGCCAAACAGAGGCGCTGCCGATGTTGTCGATGGTGTCGGTCCTTTGTCTGGTGTGCCAAATCCTGAGAAGAGGGACTTTGAACCACCACTGGCACTGCTCTGGTTGTCCTCAGGCTTCTTCGCACCAAACAGACCACCAGAGGCTCCTGCACTTCCAGCACTGCTGCTCTGTCCAAAGAGGCTCGGCGTGCTAGATTTGTTCTCAGTCGGGGTTGGGGCTCCAAACAAGGACTGTGAAGGCGGGTTGGATGTTGTCTGATTGCTCGGGGCTCCAAAGCTGAATGAAGGGTTATTTGAGCCTGACGCGCCAGATGTACCAGTATTTCCGAACAGACTGCCTCCTGATGCAGGTTTATTCGTTGTCCCAAATATTGACTGACCACTTCCTCCGCCGGTGGACGAGGGTGGCCCGAAATTGAAGGACATCTTGAGGGAAGGTCAGCGAAGTATGTGCGCTGCGTCGAGGGGTATGGGTTCAGGTAGATAGCATCGCAGTCAGCGAAGGATGAATGACGCTGACGTTGAAGAATTGCCCTAGAATGAGCAACCTTTCTAGGGATTCTGATACAAAGCGATGCTGCGAAGACAAGTAAAGTGCGAGGATGGCTTGGTGGTGTTGAGCGTGCAGTCAAAAGTGATGTGGACGCGCTCTAAGGACGCGGAACAAAAAGTCGTCGCAACTTGCAGTGCAGGCAGTTAAGGCAGTGTCCAAAAAGGGAATGTCCAATGATGGTGGCGCTGCATCTGACCGCAACGCACTTCACCTCCGCCCTTACAACCAACTTTACACCGCTGGTCAAGGAGCACATCTCTCTCCACTACGTTCGCATTTCTTCTCAGCATATTGTTCATGTCTCTAACCCTCTGACAATGTCAAGACCGGCCTCGAGAAGTAGTTCACATCTGGAGCCTCCGCGAAAGAGCGTGGAACTGATTGACCCTGGTGCGCATGAGTGTAAGACTTTCCTACCTACGCATTGGGTGCGATCACACAGCTAAACCCACTCCAGTATCCTCAGAAGGGGAAGAAGAATACTTCTCCGACGCTTCAGAAGGCCGCAGACCTACCTCCAGACCAACTTCCAGACCGGTCACCCCTTCGTCACCTATCCCAAGGACACGAATAGAGAAGATCGATGATGTCCCGGCCCATGGCGAGATTCCTGGTACAACTGCGTATGAACAAAGAGCCAGTGACGCCGTGCCTGATGAGGTGGAGATACTGTTCCCAGGTCGACTCGGTGAAAGCTCTTCCCAATTGCCCGAACATGCAACGACACCCGGAGGCAGTCCAATACCTCTGACGGTAGTGGAGAAAGTTGACCCGGAATCTCCAAGCCACGGCGAAATCCCTGGGACTACTGCCTACCTGCAGAGACAGATGGATGCGGCTCCGGATGTGGTTCTCAACCACCCTGAATCCGGGAGGAGACGGAGTGTAGCCGAGGGTGATTCCGACGATGCAAGTCCAAAGCCTGCTGTATTGTCAACCCCCATTCCGGAGACTGTCGTTACACGCATCGATACCACACCTGCGCACGGCGAGGTTCCAGGGACCGAAGCGTACGAGAAACGCACTCAAGACGCCACCCCGGACGTTTTGGAGATCAAAGACACCACTTCAGGTAACCCTAGCGTCTGACAACATCCCGGGAGGACCATTGACCTGTTTCAGGGTCACCAACACTCGACGAATCTGCAAGAGGTTCGGAGAAGGAGCACACCACGAACGACGAACAAGATAATGACGGCAACGACTTTGGAGACGACTTCGACGATTTTGAGGAGGGCACCCAGGCTGTAGCTGATGATGACTTTGGGGACTTTGGTGGAGAATTCCAGGAACCCGAAGCTGAAGCTGAAGCCGAGACCGCGGAGAGCCCTCCTGTATCTATCTTTCAAAACAATGATATACCCGCCACACCTTTTGTAAGTTCTTACGATTATCATGTGGCTGCTATGGATGTACACTGATGCTTCTTGGTTGGATACAGCCTCTGGTGGATTTCGACCAGCTCTCCTCCTTAGCAGAGCTTCTTACTGCCACTCAAGCTCACCTAGATGCCATGTTTCCCTCTTCTACCGCCGACCGAATATCCATACTTCCACAACCAGACCCAATTGCCGAATCTTCCCCCATCTTTCCATCCGACAGGTCACGGTCGTTATGGAAACAACTTATCACGCCTCCACCATTGCAACCGCCCAATTGGACTCAGTCACGCATTAGACGGCTGTTCCTGGTCAGCCTAGGCGTACCTGTCGATCTCGACGAGATCCTGCCTCCTTCGAAACAGAAGAAGCTCGTGCTGCCGGACATCAACCTGGAGCCCTCGTCTCGAAAGTCAGAATCTGACAAGACGCTTGGATCAGTGGCGCGGTTGAAAGCCCAGGCTGCCAATGACTCGACTGGTTCGTTGGACAGCACCCAATCCGGAACAAAGGAGCGGCCGAGTCGGTCTAGGAGACCGAAAGGCCCACCTCCTCCCCCGGAACTCGACCTAGTCGCCGTGAAGCGTCTCTGCGCAACCACGGACGAGAAACTCGACGGGTTCACGGATGAGGAACTGGAAGCCCATGTCGCCGAGTTGAAGGACGTCACAGAAAAGACGTCGGAGTTATTGGAATATTGGTTAAAACAGCGGGATGGGTTACGGAAAGAAAAGGAAGCCTTCGAGGGTGTGATTGAAAACCTCGTCAGGCATGCCAGAAGGGTCCGGAAATGATATGAGCTTATGGGATCAGCGACACCAGGACATCGTTTAGCCTCTTATGACCCTGTATCTTCGAACCTTGATGATGAGCGTCTTATGAAAGTAATTACACAGCACTTGCTCTCTTATATATCACTCTACCTAAACTGCCTACAGGACTCGCAAATCTATGTTGTCTGCAAACTGTTCTGCCCCCATCAGTAAATTGTCAGGTAGGTAGGTAGGCGACAAGAGGATAAAACCTTCCTCTCGATTTGTGCCACCCAACCGTCGTAGAGGAAGACATCCCACCCTTACGACTGGCCACAAACCTTTGATCTTTCTCCCACGCCGGTGGCGAATTAGCGGCAAAGACAGCAGACCTGAGCGGAAATACTTACCCCGGATTTCCAGTGCTGGAGCATCAAACTGCCACCAGATGGCTCGATGGAGAAATACGATTCCTCGTTCCAGGGATGGGGCCTCTGCATGACGGATATCGTTCCAGCGACTGCCAGGAATTTCTCTCCGTTGCAGTGAGGCAAACTGTCTACTGGATGTGGATGAGGGTTTTGCCCGGGATGACTGCCATGGTTTGACCGGGGCCATAGATGTGGATGTGCATCAGTAGCAGTAGTCGAAGAAGGGATCCATGGGCTCAAGAGGAAGCGATTTGCTGCTCTCCTCCTTTCTTGTGATTGCCACTGGCTCTAGGAGATTCCACGTTCCAATGGGAATGGAAGGACGGGATTAGGTTCGACTGGGATGTACGCTTGACAGAACACTGATGAGGACAGAGTTGCTGCTGGTATTGGTACAACCGAGAGGATCAAAAGGAATATCCCGGGCGGGGCGGGGAGGAGATGATAACTTAGATAAGGAGGAACTACTTCTGTAGGAGGCCTCGATAACCGTGGATAGGTACGTAGTTGTGACCATAAGCCACTGAGTACATGTAGTAGTAATCAAATCTGGGCTGTTATCTCATGTTCTGGCGGATGATCTTCCAACAAATAAGAATGAGTGAGAGAAAGGGGTGCTAACCGTATGGATATACAGTGCCGTGTCTGTCTCCTTCAAGTTTGTCGTTGACTGTCCCTCTAAACGATGACTAGGTACGCCTAAACATAGCAAAGATACCTACCTTAGGTACGGTAGGTACCTGATGTAGTACCTAGGTAGGTACTAAAACGAGTCTTCACTCCCTGTGCCCGCGCTATTGCAGTCTAGACCGAAGCTCGGAATCTCCGCGGAGGCTCCGGTCTGGGATTGATACCACTCACAGTACTAGTACTTGATGTAGCAAATTTGAACAGCTTTTCAAGTGCACGAGCACTGTTGCTCGCGGGAATATCCGGAGGGCTCTGTCCGAGAACTCTCCATGAAGCACTTTCTGTCCTGAAGTTCGTTATACAACACTGAATCGGCTGCTGATATAAATACTGTATGCATAGAGCGGCGGTTTGGCAGACAGAAAGAGGATGCCACATGAAATCTAGTGCTCGACCGTACACAGCGCAGTCACCAGAGTAGATAGTACTGCGGTACATCTTCTTCAGACCGCAACTCAAGATATACTTGTCTCGACGGATCGAATACTATCTTACCTACCTACTCGGTACACTACGCTGAGGTACTTCACCCTTCGATGCCCCCCTCTTTCAGACTAGCCCGGTCAAAGCCAAGCTGATTGATGCCTACGTTAAGTCCTCCAAGTCCTGAACGGCAGAACCACAGGGTTTAGTCCTTCGTTGCGGTATACGGAGACCACTCGCACAGTGAGTGAGGCACGGCATCACCTCTTCAATCTGCCATCATGTCTTTGGCCGGCCCGAAAACGCGGACGGCCAATCCATTAAAGAGACCTCGTCAAGAACCAGTTTCATGTCAGTTCTGTCGTTCCAAGAAACTCAAATGCAATCGCCAGCATCCTTGTTCCAACTGTGTGGCGCGAGGTCTGCCATGTAACAGTTCATCCCAGCCTTCCAACAACATTCGTTCTCCGGTCGATGCCCTGAATGAATCCATTCTGTGCCGCCTGCAGCGACTGGAGGACATGATTTTGGGCCCAGCGCAGCATGGATTGCCAGCTGCCAACCAGGGCTCGCAACCCTCTCCATCGCTTACCCAATCTCGACCAACGGCATCTCCCATGGAGTGTCTTTCTCCCGCATCTGAGTATGAAGAGGCCGTACAGAGCTTAGAACGCATAGCAAACCCAAGAGACCCCTTTCTCTCTTCCAACCTTGAAGGGCCAGAAATACGCGTCCTAGCTACCCAGCAAATCTGCGATATCTATGGAGTTGCGCATATCCGAGCGGCCCATGGTTGGCAAGACTCGAGGTGCCTTTTCCTTCCCCCAGAACACGAGGCATCTCTCTTACTGGACCATTACATTTCCCACATCGACGCTTTGCAACACGTGGTGTACATCCCACGTGTCCGTGCATTGATGGACGAGGTCTACCTACAATTGCAACAGGCACTCCCAGTGGTCCATAGCCAAGTGGCACTTTTGATGAGCATTTTCGCAACCTCCGCCGCCCTCCTTACAGGCGTTGGGGGAAGCTTGCAGCAGCTATTCAGGACCTCTGACCCCTATCAAGCAGCTAGGATCTGGGCAAATGCTGCCCTCGAACTGATGGAGTTCTCTCGTCGTACGACTGCGGGGAGTTTGGAGTACGTTCAGACATCAATCCTGATGGGCTTCTTGTCCTACCATATGGAAGATTTTTCTGCCAGGTCCCGCTTCCTGTTTGTAGGAGCTGTTGCCATCGCACGCGACCTGTGCTTGCACAAGCTCGATGCTCCGACCAACCGGCCCTCCGATTCTTCCAACCCCATAGAGACTGAAATCAAGCGGCGTGTTTGGTGGCACATCGTTGCAACAGACTGGTGAGCATCCTCTTTCCTGTTCTTGACGTGTACTCAATCCCTCTGCAGGCTGTTGGCGCACAACGGAGGTCCCCAGGAGGGTACATATCTGGTTCATCCTCGACATATGTGTGTGAATCTCCCACGAAATGTCAACGACACAGACCTATACCACGACAACCCTTCGATAGACCTGCCATTATCTGAACCTACCATCATGTCATATTATATTCAACGCATCAAGGTTGCCGATATCTGTCGCAGCGTAGTGGATGTCATGCCTCTGTCCAGCCCATCAATCTCGAAAATAGATTACCAGGATGTGATCGCCCTCGACCGTAAGTTCGAGGCCTTTTTCGAAGACCTGCCTTGGTTTTTCAAGATGGACGACAAGAGTCGTGCTGAGAGCGATGCCATCATGCGCAAATACCCTCATATGAGGTTACAACGATACACGTTGGGAACCGTCGCGCTCATTCAGCGGTGTAAGCTACATCAGCCTTTCCTCATTCGACGTTCCGCCGAAGGATATTACAACTATTCCAGGGATGTCTCGTTACAGTGCGCACGAGCGGTCATCAGTCTGAAAGGGGTGCTGGATGCGGAGGTGGGGACCATGGTGCATGCCCCCATCCAACCCGGGTCGATAGCTTACCACATCTTCATGGCAACCATTGTTCTCGTCATGGACATTTGCTTCAACCGCAATGAGGGCGACGACGCAGCTAGGAAAGCCGAGGTTACAGCTGCCTGCAAGGCACTGGAAGATTGCATATCCCGGTCCCGCGCGGCCTGCGATTTCCTGAGTTCTGTCACAGAAACCCTGCGCAAGTATAAGGTCAAGTTGCACCATCCACCTGGCGGTATGGTACAGGAAGCGATCGTTCCGGCCTCGATGGAGATGTTCCACCCTTCACAAGATGTGTTACCAATCTCGAAGCAACAGCCTGACAATGCCAGCTCGATGGACAATACACAGCACGTGTTTGCCGATTTCGATAAGATTTGGAAGGAGTACGTCGAGTATGGGCCAAATATGGACATGCCGGACTGGGACAGCCTGTTCAATGATCTGGACTCGAGGCTCTACTAGTTCGCTCCCAGTGGGTGATATATGAACGTGTCTTGACCAGGGATATTCTATCCAGCCCACACTCTTTCACACCAGACCTAGTGATCTGTCTCCTGTGGGTCCTCCCTCAAGGAAAACAAGAAGATATACTCCGTGAAGACGTCGACCCGCACCAGTTCAAGTCACTGGCGTCACGTTGACCTTCCAAGAATCGTGGATGGAAGATGAGCCTGAAGATATATGCTGCAGTGGCTGACTTTTGACAAGGCCAGCCACCACTTGCTTGGCAGCACGAATAAGAACGGCATTACCAGAGTCCTGGACATGGAAACGCTCCAGTACTTCGCCGACTTGGATCACGCCTGTGGGCCTGGTGCTACTTGCGCGGCTCAACAGAGTCAAGCAGCGACTTATACAAGGCATCCTTCATGACTGGCCAGAATATATCCATATTCCACGGCATACACTCGTCCACGAATCCATCTAATAAGATTGTAATAGACATGAGAGAGCCAATATTCGACGACTGGACTTATTAAAGCGGCGTGGTATTAACCTAAAACGTCGTTCCTTGGCGAGGCAGGCATATGCTCCGATTCGCAAGCCGCCGCCACGAGGCTCTGGCCAACACTGAATCCAACTTGAACATCCGCAATACTAGATCTGTCCACCCAACCATACACTTCATATCGTGTGATTTCTGCTTCAGTCACTCTACTGATGCGTGCGGCTCTCACATAAACCTGTGTCCTCTCCCAAAACCCCCTTGAGCACGTAACTAGTCCTGTGATTGTTCCAAGCCCAAACAATCAGTTGTCCTACTGCGACCGAACCCTCTACCTCCGAGACGATCGCTCGCCTTCTCAAAGACACACAAGAACATCTTACATGCCAGCGGCGATGAGTTCCAACGCTCCCTCGCTCGACTCGATCCTCCACACCCTCCAACAATATCTCAGCCATGGCGACTCATCCCAAAGCCAGCCGCAACTACAAAAGGCGAAGCTCGCTCTTCTCCAGCACAACGCCCTGATCCCATCCCCACAAACCCCTACGCCCACACTCGCCGCCGCTCGATCGATCCTCGAAGCCGGCGCCCTTCTGTCCATCCGCTCAAGAGACCCCGAATCCTTCATCCGATACTACTCGCAGCTGCAACCATTCTACGACTTCCCCGGTCTGCAACAAACACCATCTCCGAATCGATCCAAGATCACTGGACTCTACCTACTCCTACTACTAAGCCAGGGCGATTATGCGGGGTTCCACACACTGCTTGAATCGCTCATCGTGGCGGAGGGCTCTAATGGCGCTTCCAGTGTCGAGGATGACCAGTTCATCAAATACCCCATCGAGCTGGAACGGAGTCTGATGGAGGGCAGTTATGACCAGGTCTGGCGCAAGACAAGCGGTCGCCATGTGCCTGGGGAAGAGTTTGCCTTGTTCTCAGATGTGAGTTGACTTGACTGTTTCTGCTCCCCTTTCGTCGACATTGCTTCGGCCCTAGCAGTTAGTTATGCATGTTTTGCTGACCGCGGGCTTCCGAACCGTTACTTAGATCTTGATAAACACCATTCGACTGGAGATCGCGTCGTGTGCTGCCCGTTCTTATCCTTCTCTTCCGATCGCTTCGGCCAAGAACCTTCTGTTCCTCGACTCCGAGGGCGCTGTGACGGAGTTTGCCAGAGAGCAGGGGTGGAGTCTGGAGGAGGGCAGGATATACTTCCCCGGTCTGGGCGACGCGAAGAAGGCGGAAGAAGGGGACCAGAAAGAAGTCGTTAGCCATATGATTGAATATGCTAGGGAGTTGGAGATGATCGTGTGAAGCAACTGCAACAGTCCTGCCATAGGTGCTTGGACTGCATCACTTCAGGGGACCAACTCGAACTTGTACTCTTTACGCATCGTATCCTGCCTCTGTATCATATGGAGCACAGCGGAGCGGGAGCGGGAACAAGGAATTTACAATACACTAGACGTTGAAAGGGCCCAACGCTTTTGTTCTCTCTGTTCCAATCCGTATTGGAGAATCGACTGTGAGTCTCTGCGTGTGTTTCGTCATCCTGACACGACACCTCAGAGCAATATCAGGTGTTTTCCTTTTTCTGCAGCCACACTGTCCTGATATCCGCCTTGTTTCCAGCACAAAAGTGAGATGCGCAAACCATACCGTGGACCTCGTCTGAATCGGACCGAATTGGATCGGACTGAACTGGACGAGACAGGGTAGGACTTGATAAGACTTCAACTGGATGGCTCTATCCAGCGATCCATACCTACTCTCCAAGACAATACCTCTCCGTCCACCAACTGCCCAACCCGCGCGGCTCCAGTCCCTGCGAATCGACACTGGCTACTGACCCTGGTAGACATACTGTGTTGATCTTGGGCTTTGTTTCTTTTTTCCTGTCCAACTTGTCACCCCTGACCCTGATTCCGATTCTGAAAGATATCCGCCTTGAACCGATCCACATATTTCCACGTACAGATCTTCATGTCGTAGAAGCTCGTGCTGACGATCGTGTAGGTGTAGGTCTTGGGTTCCTCGAGCCACGCGTCGCAGCAGTAGACCATGCTTTCGTGGCCGGTGCGGAATGTCGCGAGGGGCGTTATCGTCCATGAATCGGCGGGTTGTGGCGAGGATCGTGTTGGTCTGGGGTTTGCCGTGTTCGTGTGGGAATGTGGTGAAGTCACGGACATGCAGTGAGTGCGTGTCAGGCGAAGAATGGCGGCGCCACCGTGCATGAGTGAAGCGAGGACGAGGGTGTGATGATTATGGTAGTGCTGTGGGTTTGGTTGAATAGAAGTAGAAGTAGAAGATGGGGTGTTGGTGCTTCTATTGGTGTTGTTGGTGCTGGCGGAGTCGTCGATGCTGGAGATGTCGCTATATTGATCGAGGACCTTGAGTCGCCATACACCGCCGCCGAGTCGTAGTTCGGTCTGGAACGCCGCGCGGTGCGGGTGCCTGTCGACATCGAGCTCGTAGACACGGATGAACTCATCGTAACTCCCTGTGACCAGAGGTACGATGGTGCTGGCATCTTGTCTGCCTCCAGGACCGGGTCCGGGACTGGAGTTGTTGTCATCAGCAGCCTGAAGGCGTGGGAGTGGAAGAATAGCGACCACGCCAGCCGTATGGCTACGTCGATCTTTCCAAAGAGGCGTGATATCCGTCGCAGCCTCATCCGGCTCCGAAGGACCAGACGAATCAGGAGCATGAGCAGGCATTTCGACCATCGAGGCAATCAACGCGCTGTCGTCGCCACCACTAAGAATCAGACGATGCAATGTCGCGTCATGACTTCCATCATCCAACACATCATAGCCAAGGGGCACTGCTGCAACGGTCCACGCTTCAAGATCATGTTTATGGACATCGACCGCCTTAACGGCCAACGGCTCGGAGGACTGTGTTGACAATCGCTGGTCAAATAACCCCCTGATCGCAGGCACTGCTGTGTGGACCACTCTAGTCTCTCCCAGCGAGGTCGTCACGGCGAACACTATCTCCTGTACATCGTTGATGCCCGATACCCCGTGCGTCCGCGTCTCCGGGAACCAAGTGAACTGCGTGACGAGCGGGACGAGGCCATGTTCGTCCGCTTCCGCGACGGTCGCGACGCCCAGAGGTAGCAGTTTCGTAATCACCCGCCTGCCCAGCACGTCTCCGTGCTTGACGAAGCGGAAGAATTGCATTTGCGCATTACTCGTGGCGACGCCCAGCAGCGTGCTGTCGGCCGGGTGGAAGTGCAGATCAAGCACGGCGCAGGGGAACGCGACCCGGTCGAGCTGCGGCGCGAGCATTCCGGCGTATTTCGGCTTGAAGGTCGCCGCGACCGGCATCACTTGGATCGTGCCTCGGCGTGTCTGCGCTTCGTAGTCGCGTCGGTCGTCTTTCTTGACAAGCGAGTAGGTTCCGATGATCATGTATTCCGGGTGGTCGGGGCAGATCTCGACGGCGCAGACTTCCTGGTCGGCGGTGCGCGTCGTGTATTCGATCTCGGGCTCTTCGTATAAGGCCATGATTGTAGAGGTGAGGTCGGTGGAAGTCGTTCGTTTGAGGTGCCAGTTGGCCGATTCGGGGAGAGATGCTTGTTGTGTGCGATACCTTGTGATGTTGGCTTTGATGGTCTGCATGAGCTCGTTGAGGGGTTGCTTGGGGATGGCCATGATGAATGAAACATGAAAGGAGGAGATGAAGGGGAAAATATGGTAAGATTGAATTGTCGGTCACCTACAAGATCGGTAGACTTACTGGTGAGAAGAGTCTCAGTAGAGAAACAGATCAATGACTGTGGTCAGGTTTGTCTGTGAAGTGCGGAGATACGTGGCATTAATTGTGCTGGTGTACGCCGGAGATCCATGTTGTTCAGCTTTGAAGAGGATCGCTGGTGTCCTCCCTTGAGGCAACTGAGGGTCGCCAATAAATGTCGCAAGGCTGAGGAAGTCTTCAATTCATGTTCAAGGAGGCCGAACTTTTTCTCACGAGGCTGAGGCTGTGGATGTACGGCGGAGCATCTCTGCGTCTACAGTCTATACGTGTCGTGGCCTCGCCCCTTTAAGAGACGCGGACGAGACATTGATTGACGTCGCACATCATGCGTCGCTTGCTCCCGTCTGGCCGATGTCTAAATACTCCTTTTACATCATCGTCGTTACTGCACATCGACACACATTGACATATACTCTGTTACCCCTACTGTCATGGATGGGTGGCTGGGGTTGAACACCTCAGCCTGATCACGTGAAGAAGTATCCGAAAGGAAAAGAAAAGGAGCATGTCAACCTGTCACTTTGGTGTCAACGTGCCTTCAACTAGTTGATGGATCACCCCTCGAAACACGACAACTTCCGACGCTTGGAGACTCTCAGGAGAGGCAACCAGTGGCTGTACGCCGGCGGACTGCCGTCAGAAAGCGATCCTAATTTCCCAGCTCGACGCTGTGGTAAAGGGGGACGTGCGATGGGCCGGTCAACGGTCAACGGCCAGAACCAGGCCAGTCAGAGTCGACGAACCACGCTGAGAACCTCAGCCTTTTCGCTACGCATAGACCATGTCCAAGTCGCGCCGTTTCTTGAGGCTGGGAGCCACGAGTCCTCGAGTTCGGGAGTGGCTTTGTTGAGTACTAGTATTTGAGGTTCTGCTTGGTCTACGAATTCTTCTCCATCCCATTCACAGTTACAGTTACACACTCTTTTTTTTTTGATCTTCAGACAAGATGTACCAACCTAGCCTGCTATTCGTTTTATGCTCGGTGTTGAGCTTCTGTGAAGCCCAAGTAGCGTGGTGAGTACTGGTTCTGGGGATGGTTGGGGAGACTCATGCTGACTGTTGTCGTGTCGCAGCGATATTCGTTTGTTATATTCTCGGTTACTGGCCGATGCAGCGCTTGCAGATAGCTTCTGTACGGACTTTCTGGACGGCGCGCAGTTGTCGACCCAGTTTCTGCAGCAATTCGGCCTGGAGTGTCACGATGCCTATCGCTCAGAGCTGAGCATGGGTTGTTCAATCTTCGAGGCGGCCAAGCGTATTCTACAACCGGTCACGTCCATAGAGACGGTCACTGCTTCTGAAACCGAAATCGAAGTCGAAACCGAAACCGTGACCGTGACCGAGGCTGCGCAATCAGACACGATGTCACCGTCTTCGCAGAGCCAGAGCACGACGCCGGCTCTCTATGTGTCCTCCCCAGCCGAGCAGAGCTTACCCATGGACGGACAGTCGCCCGCGATGTTGAGCAGCCTCACATCGACGACGACCAGCACGTTCTCGTCATTGACCGGTGCTGCCCCATCCACAACACTCAGCTCGACCTTGTCCACCACCCCAGCTCTTCTACAATCGACGGTATCGTCATTGGCAGCTCCCTCTCCCACCACTACAGGCAGATGTGTTCCCACACCTTTACCTCCGGCTGTCGATCGCCATGTCTTCACTCCGCTGGTGGATCTGTCGCTGGAGCAGTCGTCGGCGAACACGGCGGCCGCTGCAACCGTGGACGACCCGCACGATCTGAATTCCGAGAACTGCGCGCCATATTCCGTCGTCTATATCCCCGGGCAAGCCTCCAAGTCGTGCGTGCACTTGACAGGAATCTGGACGCCCTTGTACAGCAATGTGTATTATGAATGTGTGGCGAGAACCCGAGCCCCCAATTTCGTCCCGGCGGCTTACCGTGACGGCGTGGCGGGACTCAACTTCACGGCAGCCGACTCCTCCTTCTCCATGGTCAATGCCCGGCATTTTGGTCCGCGCCCGGAAAAGAAATACCGAGAGTCCACCTTGACCTTGTTCGTCGCCGAGGAACAGACTTACACGGTCGACTTCTGGGCTTGTGGTGCTGGAACCAGTTTGATCATCGGAGAATTGAGTTGCACCTACTATGGTTGAGCATGGATCGATCGGTAGCGAGCTCTGCTAGGCATCAAGCATCTCAGGAGAGAACCGAACCGCCACAACCCGCCAATCTTGCCCCCCACATGACGGGCTGAGGTGTACATATACCCTGATCAAGGATCAAGGATCGAGTATTCCGGCGAGGCTGTGGACGGATATCAAAAGCAGTTGAAGGATTTACACACCACGATCTAATGAATCGTGCCGCAGGATGGCACACGATGGAACGGAAGGAGCCGACGGGAGGCTGTGAAGGATCTCACTTGTACAGGTACAGTGACATGTATTGCATACCTTAATGGATTGATGAATGAACACTTTTTGTATCTTTGTATTTTTGCACAAGTTGTCAGCCTCGAGAGAGGGAATGAATGGCTATATATTGTCAGCCTCGTCAGTATTGCTAGTTGTGTTCTTTATCAGTGTTTCAGCCTGATCACCGCTTCCAACTTGAACGTCAAACAACAAACAGCAGACCATCTCATTCATTTCTTCCCGCCCTTCGTTCATAGCTAATTTGCAACTTCCTGTTGCTCTTGTCGCCGCGTGGTCCTGAAAGAAATATCTCGGCGCGCATGTTGCAAGAATATAGTCCATTTTTGACCTTGTTGTGTGCAGCTCCAGCACAACATGTAACTCACCTCTCTACTTTCCAGAATCCAGCACCATGCCTCAGCTGCCTCCCACACAAGTATCAGACTCCACGGCGGAAGGTTCGGTCTCTATCCCCGATGACTTGATTAGCGAAGAATCGGATTTCTACGGTAAGACAGCTCCAACTCCCCGTTCCAAGTGCCCGTGTCTGTGACCATCCAATCCGTTGACCGAATGCTGATCCTCCCCTCGCACGAATCCAGGCGATCCAGGCACAAGATCCATCTACCAAAAGCTGGCGGAAAGATATAGCCCGGAGACATACTGGGCCATTCACGAATGGAACGCACAAGTCGTCGCCGTGAGAGGCAGAAGAGCCCAGAAATTGGCAGCGAAGCTACGGGCAAAGCAAGATGCTGAGAAGCGGGCAAAGGCCGAAGCGGAAGCAGCAAGCGAGCAAGCAGGTCACGGCAATCCTGTACACAGACGCACACGCACAACTCAACCAGCCGCCGACCAGGAGCAGGACGAGGACGAGGTCAAGGTCCAGGATGAAGAAGCAACACTGGCGCCTTCCCTTCCTTCTCTGGATCCCATGGACTTGGATCCTGCTCCTCAGACCCTTAAGAATACCTCTACAACAGCCAACACGAGTAACGGCAACGACATCAACAACGACAATGAGAACGAGAACGTCGGCACCGACAACGACAACAACGATCTCACATCTGACACAACCCTCCAACCACAGAATTACTACGAAGGCATGTCGAACGCGAAACAACTATCCGAATCCGTCACAGACTTCCTCGCCCGTCTCCCTCCCTCCACCACCACCATCTCAACAGCAGGCGGACCCTGGATCTGGATCGCAAACCCCTACCCCGACCGAACCCGAGACGAACCCGCCAAAAAGAGTTCCCTTTCGAACGACTCCAAGCGCAAGCGTGACCGCGCCAACGTCCCCGACCGTGGAGACATCTACACCTTCAAACAACTCGGCTTCCGCATTCTCGAGACCTACACGTCGCGCAAGAGAGACCTAGAGGCCGAATATCCAGACAAACCACCGGGCAGTATCACGCGCATGCTCCGGCCCGAGCGCATGCAGCTCGAACCGGCCATCCTGAAAGCCGCGCAAACCACGAACGTGACTTGTGGGAAATGGATGCTCTTTCCGGCTCCGGAAGATGTCGATCGTCTGTGGGCCATTGTGGCGCATGGGACATGGGAAGGGAAATTGGGGGTGAGTGCCAAAGTTGCTGTCGCCGAAACCGAAGACGAAGACGAAGAACACGCCGAAGGCAAAGGCAAAGGCGAAGAACAGCCCGAAGATAGGGAAGGAGGAGGTAAAGGTAGCAATGACAACGGACAAAAGGGTCGACAAGACCATCATCGTCTGATCTGCGTCTATACCTACGACTTTACCGACAAGGCTGATGTCAGACGTGTCCTTCTGGGCATGAAGGAGCTGGGACTGCTTGACAACAGTAATCCCAACCATGCATCAGGCTTCAATCACACTCGGACCAAGTACGGCAGCGCGACCAGTAACGCCAATGGCTACGGCAATAGGGGTGGCCGGGGTGGTTACAGTAACAGCAATAGCAACAGCAGCAATGGCTTGATCACGATCTACTACAAATCCGACGCCTACACGTACCTCGACCTTGCCAATGGGAACGAATACAGATTGAAGGCCAGCATGTATTGTTCTAAGGATTTCCTGGGATGATGATGCCGACTTCGTTATTAGGGGGGTCAGGTCCAAGTGCAGATGGCAATCCAGGGGTTTGGATCCAAGCAGACGACTTATTTTGCCCAGGATCGATACCTGTTCTTAACTCTACGATGCTTGGTATGGTCTCTGGTGATTGATATCCTATCCCTTCCCTGATGATGGTGGTGGTGATGAAGAACAAATGGAACCAACCAACCAACCAACAAGTCAACAAACCAGCAGACACCTGGTCGGTCCCTCTATGCTGGGGAATCAATTGTCAAAATGGGACAATTCATGATCTGTGTGTGTGTATGGTTGATGTGTTATGGATATCGGATGATCCTTACTACAGTGTTAACCAACCTCCTGAAGTTTCCTAACTCAAAGATTATGAAGTCGAGTGATTTGTTGCTGGAAAGGAGACAACATGTGTCTGATTAGCAAGCAAGCGAGCAAGCGAGCAAGCCATAAGAGCTGAATGATCTTCAAGAACAAGAGACCAAACAAGAAAAAGCAAGCGATGCCGTCGAGCGCTGTTTGTACCTGTCCGGTACATATTGTATCATGAGAAACGATGAGACACGATGAGATGAGCTGAGCTGAGCTGAGCTGAGCGAACTGTACAGGCAAGACGTATTTATTTGTTTACCTTTAGAGGATAGAAAGGAAGACATGAATCGCTCTTCCAGCAGAATGTCATTTCATAACATTCAAGTTGCCTAATCCAATGCATCTTTAGACATACTGTATGCTACCATAAGGGACTATACCTACACTACATGCTACCACTCCCTTCTCCTCTCCTCGAGTTCCGAAGGGTCTTGCAAGGGGTAACAAAATACAACAGGTAGGATTGTTTCGGAGTCTCATGTTATGTTATGTTATGCCATACCGGGTATGGTAAGGTATGGTATTCTGCTTCGATGGTCAACGGTATGTATGCATTGTCTTTGGGTATCTACTGGGTAGAAGCTAAGTACCCCTATCCATCCTCTGGTAAGTGGTAGGTAGGTAGGTACTTGACGGTATGCACCCAGATATTCCTTCCATTGACTTCTGAGGTACGATTGACGCATGCGACGAGGTTGCAAGGCAGCAAAACGCATGCATGGATAGATGCCGGAGGAGTAGTAGTAACAGCAGTAGCAGCAGCAGTAGTAGTAATAAATATGCTCTACTACCGAGTCTCGTCTCGTCTCGTCTCGCTTCGCTTCCAGTCTCTCGGCCAGAGACATTACCCAGTCGCAGTCGCAGTAGCAATCACAGTCGGTCTTGGGCGTCTCGCTCCAACTCCAGAGCCAGACCCCAGAAGAGCACTCACTGCCTGCAACGATCTCTAGACAATTTCAAGAGCATCATTTCTTGCCCTTGGACCCCTTCTTGGCCGTCGAGCCGCCCATAGCCGCCTCTCTCATCTTCGCCTCGCGATCGCGCCTCTCCTTCTCCTGGGCCTCTCGGTCCTCCTTCTCAGCCAGTTTCCGCGCGGCAGCCGCCTCACGCTGTTCTTTGATGAGTTTGAGTCTGGCCAGATCGGCGCGCGCCTCGTCGGTCTTGCCCTCGGCATGCAGTTTCTGATACCGCTCCTTGGCCTGCTGGGCTGCCAGGGCCTCGCGTTCGCGCCGGCTCAAGTTCTCCGTGTCCTTCTTGACGGTAGTTTCGCCGCTGGGGCCCGTGACGGCGCGCGCCTGCGTCCGGGCTTTCGACGTATGGTTGGGGTTGGCCGGCATGTTGGCCGCGTCTTCTTCCTCATCTTCAGACTCGGACGAACTGGTCGGCATGTCTCCCGGCGCGGCGGCCTTGCGGTTCTTCCGTGCGATGGCGGCCTGTTTGCGTAGGCGGGCGGCTTCGCGGCGCTGTTCGCGGGTCAATTCGCTGCCGGCGGCAGAAGATGTTGATGGACCGACACCGCCGTCGGAGGATTCTTCGGAAGATGATTCTTCTTCGGACGACGATTCGGACGACGATGCTTTCGCTTCGGCTGGGTCGCGCCACATCCCGAGAGGGTTGCCATCTTTGTCGAGCGGTTGGAGGTCGCGTGAGAAGTGTTTGCCGCCTGTGAGAGTGGGGGAAGTATTGGTTAGTTTTTATTTAGCTATGTTTTGAATTGTGGTATTGCGGACTGTAGTCGTTGTCGCACAGGATTGAAAGGCATGGGGGTTGTGTGTGTGGATTACTTACCTCCTCTCGATGGTTTGGAGAATTTGCCTCCTCTTCCTCGCGGAGCCATGACGGACTGAGGTGAGTGTGAGTGTGTATTCGTGGAGTCGGCTGAAAGGTGCGCTCGAGGGCTAGCAGCGTCGGTTGTCCTGCGGCGGGGTGGTCGTGGTGGACGTATCTGGCGGGTGGGTAGGAGGATAGAGGCCTCTAGATTAACCTGTCAGTCAAGACGTCTGGGTTGAAGTGCGGAATCTGAGCAGTGTCGTGGACGAGTGACAAGAGACAAGAGACAAGAGACAAGAACCAGGGCTGCGACAAAGATCAAGGATCAAAGAGCGGTGGGATGCAGTCGGTCAGTGGTCAGGAATTTCTTTGTGCCCTCTTCCAAATATGACGTACTATTAGTAGTAGTGTGACTGAACAGACGCACTCACACTGTATCAGTTAAGTAGTTACAGAGCACAAGCTCTTCAAGATACTAGTAGGCACAGACTGATCGATCGATACTAGTAGTTGGTTGACTTTCTGGGACACAGAACAGCAGATGTGAGGGCGCTTCAAGAGTCAAACGCATATGCGACGGTGAGTTGTCATAGGGAAAAAGGGACTGACTGACTGCCATGGCTACAACCAATCATCATCCTGCTGATTTCTACCCTCTTCACCTGCTCTAGAGTGTATTGCTGCAAGGCTGATGCTCCTGAATGAGCCACCCTTGGAATCTCTCTCAGCGTCAGATATTAGATGACTCTGTTCAAAGGAGACGCAATAAGAGAATTTGTCTATATGCCCATGGTGCCGACTTTTTCAAGTTTCATCCCATCCCCTTCTGGAGCAGCAGGATGCAGTGGCTGATCTGTTTGCTTCTATCGTCCGTTAATGTAGTTTCCGAGGACCCAGACCTCGAGGCGCATCGCCACATGTATGAGCAATAATCTCCTCCGTACAAGCCCTGCACGGCCTGTCCACCCCCTGGATCGCTGTCCGTATCCAGGCATTCGCGCTCCGGCCTCCAAACTTGCACCAAATCCTCGCTTGTAATCGTAGTCGTACTCGGACGGACACTGAGTGTTGTGAGTGTGGAAGCTCGGCGTTGGTCGTCGTCTGTCGCATCCACCTCATACTGCCCATTGCGACGTGTACGCAATACCAAGAAGCATATCGCCACGCTGATCTCAGCAGCAGCGTACATCATTGTCATCCAAAGTGGCCCATGGCACAATATGACTCATCCAGGCATCTGTTGCCAGAATCATAGATTCTCCTGCTTGATCAACGAGGCGATACTCGCAATAACATCGCTGGGTTCCAGCAAATGCCACGTGGCAAGGGTCCGCTTGCTACTCGCTCCAACCGTGCAAGCGAAGACATTCTCCTTGGGTAAGTCGGTCTTCAAAAGAGCCCGGAACATATCTGTGCCTGAGTTAGCAAAGTCCATCGCAATCTGCAAATGAGGAGCTTACCTTCGTCCGTCTGATCATCTCCCAGACAAAGCACAAAGTCGGGCGGATCGCCAGCGCCGTATCCATACTCGCTGATCAGCCGCGTGGCGATGAACCCCTTGTTGACGAATTGCGGGCGGACTTCTAGATTCGCTTTTCCCGACATGACTTCGACGTCCCATGTTTTCATGACGTTGTCCTCCAAAGCCTTCTTACATTCACGCGCTTGGAACTCTCCAAAGTCGGGATCGGCCTGCCGGTAATGCCAGGTCAGAGCCACGCGTTTCCTCTCAATCCATGATCCTTGTGTGCGTTCCGTGTAGTGGCTGAAGATGTCCATCACCTCCTTCTGCCAACCCATGTCCATCGATTCGGCGAGGTTCTCCCACTGCTCGGAACCCGGGCGACGCATGAAACAACCGTGCTCAGCACTCAACCCCAATTCGGTGATGTGTCCCATCCACTCCTCCAAAAAGGAAGCGTCGCGCCCGCTGATGATCCAGACATTGTTGCGAGGATCGGCAGCCAGGGCCTTGAGCGTTCGCAGCACGCGGTCGGACGGAATGGCGGCATTCGGGTCTTTGACAATAGGAGTCAAGGTCCCGTCATAGTCGAACATGAACAGGCGCTTCTTAGCCTTTTGGTACTGTTGGATCATGAGATTGCGATCCAGGGCCGGGGTGAGTTCGTTCTGGGTAAAAGATGTCAGGTTGGTGAGCAGTCGCCTCAGGAAATTGTTGCTCCACGTCGCTACGGTATGGGTGGTCACGTAGTGGTACAGTTTCTCGTGGTCGCTCTTCTTCTTTCCTTCGGGCATCTCGAGCGCATATTTCAGTGCTTTGGCCACTCCTCCCAAGTCCCACGGGTTGATGTGGAGGGCATTGCTTAAGCTGGCCGCCGTTCCAGAGAATTCCGAGAGGATCAAGGGGCCATGGTTGTCCTTCTGACAAATGACATACTCCAGACTGGTGGTGTTCATTCCGTCTCGGACACTGGTAATGAGCCCGACGTCGGCTACCCGCAGAAGTGCAAAGTACTCTTGGGAGCTCAAATATTGTGGGTAATGCTGGACGGGGGCGTGGCTCAAAGATCCATATTTGCCGTTGATCCGGGACACGAGTTCCGAGATGTGATGTTCAATCTTATGAGGACCGTCCACCTTCTCTTCCATGACGCTGGTCGGACTGGTCACCTGGATCAGCACCACCTTCTCGCGCCATTCGGGATACCGCTCCAAAAACATCTCGAAGGCCATCAGCTTTTGCGCCACCCCTCGGACGGTGTCGAGTCGGTCGCGCCCGACGATGATTTTCTTGCCCGCATACAGCTGTTTCAATGCCTTCATGTTCTGCGCTATCACCGGGTCCCGAAACGCCAGCTTCTGCACCGAGGCCACGTCAATGCCGATGGGAAAGACATCCACCGCCACGTGGGCGCCGTATGCATCGACTCCAGCCGAGCTGGATTCAAAGCCCAAGATGCGTTTGCAGCATGAATTGAAGTGCCGGGAGAAGCTGTAGGCCTGAAATCCGATCATGGTGGCGCCAAGAGCCCCGGTCAACACGTCCTTCCTCCTAGAAAGACACCGCATGTACTCGCTGCTCGGGAAGGGAATGTGCAAGAAGAAACCAATGTAGATGTTCGGGATACGCTGGCGGAGCATACTAGGCAGCAGCATCAGATGGTAATCGTGGATCCAAACAATATCGCCGGGTTGATAGATGTGCAGAATACGGTCGGCGAATGCTTGATTCATTTGCACATAGTCCGCCCACGAGGTCTTCTCCTCTCGGCCATCGTCTGGACCATGCTGTCGGTAATGGAAGAGCGTGTACAACTCGTGCTCGGGATATTTCCGCCATCGACTCTGATCCCTAAAAACGAATTCACCCTGGTCATCCGTCGAGCCGTCCGGTAGCCATACAGGGACAGTCTTGCCGTTCGGGTGGTGGAGTAGAATCTTCTCGAGTCGGGATCTCTCCGCACGTGGCACCCGAAGATGATCACCGTGGGGATTTTGCTGACTCTGAAGGTTACCATCCACAGGGTAGGGTGCGGCGGATTTGTTGAGAGGTGGATTCGCTTGTGTTTGTGCTTGAGTTTGAGCAGTCGTCGAAGTGGCATCCTTCTGTAAGTCAGTGACCGTATGCGCGTCGGTTTGAGTCTGGATTTCGCCCGTCCATCCAACCAAGGTGTGATTCCAGGGCGTCTTATCGGACGAAAGGTAACGAAATGAGTCGAACAAGGCCGAGGTGCCGCGTCGATTTGAAAGCGCCCACTCGCCATTCGGTCCATGGGTGAGCTGATAAGGAATACAAAAGGTTGCACTGATCACATTCCCGCTCAACCTCAGTCCCGGGTAGGCGGTACGAGGATCGACATCCAGGGTCTCGGCGTCTTTCTGGTCGACAAGGCTGAGCCGGCGAAGCAGGTCTTTGCCTGAACTAGCACCCTTAGCAATTTCCACCGGAGACTCCGGCGCAGCAGGAGCGGGAGCAGGCTCCTCAGCTGGGGGTTGACGTCGAGGGACGGAAAAGTATGAAGTGGTCGCTCGCTGCAAGGCAGGGTTTTGAGGGGCGGCAGTTTCGATTGCTGTTGAACTCGGAGGGTTGTTCATATACTCTTGACGCAGATGCTTGACTGGATCGTCTGAAGGGTCGGTCATGATTGCGCTGTAGGCGAGCGAGCGAGGGGAATGTAGGAAAGGATTGACGATCGCCCTATTGTTCCGTGTTGGTAGAGAGGGGAGGGAATAAAGATAACGAACACCGACGACAGAGCGCGGATGAGAAGGAAGGAGGACGGACCACGGACCCGGGGAGAAGAGGCAGGAGAAAATGAAGCTTCACCTTTGTCGAAAAGAAGGTCGGATAACCAGTCAGGTAACAAAATTCAACAACAAGCGTAACGTTTAAACGTTTACTGTATCCGACAAAATCGACAGATTGACACAAGAAGACGGGAGGTAGAAGCAAGCACAAGCAACAAGCCTGGTGTTGAAACGACGTCACAAGCTGAGGAACAAATTGGTGGATGATGGAAGATGGAATCTTCCTGGTGGAATCATGCGCTTTTCGGCGGGTGGGCAATTAAGAGAAATATCGATATTATTATTATGTTAGACAGTAGGGCACTTCCATCTTCCTCCTGGAGTGCTCCCAGTGGGTAGCGGAGAGAAGAGAGCACCTTGGACTACTAGTACCTAGGACACCCCCTGTATAGAACAATACCACGGCGTGCTCCAGGGAGAAGACGAGGAGAAGAGGGAGGTATTAGAGATAGGAGGGGAGGAGGAGCGATAGAAACGAGGAGGACGCCCGTAGGGAGATAGACCTACACAGACCCGAGAGGGACTAGATTAGGTATAAGAGAGACTACTACTAGGTACCTATCTTAGGTGTTTAACGCCTATAGGCGCCCAGGCGATCTCAGGGTTAGGCTAACGAGACCCCCTGATACAATAATGGCTCGGAGTAGCTTCCCGGGGTGCGCTGGTGCAGCACTGGCTGCCCAACAGACACACAACAAGCAGATCCGCTTTGATATATCACCTGAGGTCAAGTTTTGTGTGTTTGGTTCGTTGTTTGAGACGGATCCTGTCTCCGGTAGTGTAGGAAAACACAGTCATGATGAGAAGCCTGAGTAATACAGGCCGATAACGCCCGTGGGATGATGAAGTGAGTTGGGACATTGGGTGAGGTGCAGAGTACAAGCAGGTACAAGTATCGAGGCAAACGTGCAGTGAGTTGTACCTGTACCCTGTATGTAGGTGGTTTGAGCCCTGAAGCCTGGGTTCATCCGCCAAGGCGATTCTCACAACTTGAACTTCAGTTGAATCAGACAGTCTTTTCTCTCGTGCACTCGCCGTGACACACCTCTGCATGACCATATAATCTCATACAGTCAAACACCAGTTGCTTACCGATATCTGGCGAGCCGGCTCCTCCTCTGCTGACCAACGCCATTCACGCTCACTAACGCACGAATACCCAACTCGGATTCTCACCGAGCCCAAATCCATCCACCGAGTCCTATACTCTGTCCCTTCACCCAGGTCCGTCCATCGTCGCCGGTTGCGCCCGTCTCTATGCTGCATGCCATCGGTCCGTCTCTCCACTCGAACATGCGCTCTTGTCCCTCGCCATGATGCATTAGCTGGGATTGCAGCGCGGGCTCCGCGGAGGCCAACTGCTGCTTTCTACCATTTGTGGCAAAGGAGCGCCGCCGCGCAGGGGGTTTCAACCGCAGACGCCCTTCCTGGCCATCGATCGGTCCCGTTGGCCACAGCAGACCCTGACATTGACATTAAGAGTCTTCGGAATACACTGCAAGCCGTGCGAGAAACCAACCGTGCTTCACTAAATGTTCAAGAGGTCGGTCACGATGGTCGATGGAGCGGCCATCGGAAGAGGCCACGACGCCGCTTTGTCCGAGCAGGCAACTCGACAAGTTCGGAAACACAACGAGAGCGAGACTCCCAGGATGTATCACAGCATGTAGACGGGAGAAGAATGAAGGATGCGGTGAGGAAGGTAGCACTTCCCAGCCTTGCATCCAGCAGCCGCATCAGGCGCTCGGATGAGTTCAAGGAAGAGAAAGGCACAAGCCGCGGGCTGACAAACCTGTGGCTCCCCGACGACGAGGATCAGAGCCTTGCCACGCGGTCCCGTCTCCCATGGCTGGCCCATCTTGCTGAAGCGCAGACTTGGGCCCCCGCGGTCGATCGGCTATCTGACGAGATCCGAGCTTTCGAACAATATGTCGCTCCGTCCGAGGAGGAGCAACTGGTGACGGAGCTCGCCCTCCAAGACTTGATTCAAGCCATCAAATATGCCGACGAGAATCTCGACATCGACATTGTCGGCTCCCGAGCGACCGGCACCGCGGACGCCTTGTCAGATCTGGATGTCAATGTCTCCAGACCGCGAACTCCCGCTTCAATGGACAGCGCCAAAGCCCCCATGGAGATATTGAACCTGCTCGAGAGGGCATTCCGTGGAACGCATGAAAAGATCAAATTGGACTTTCGGCCTCTTGAGGTCGTCTACAACCTCAAGAGTGCCAGAGTGCCTATTTTGCTGTGTCGGCATCGGTCATCAGGTCTACCTATCCAAATTCAGTGCACGCCTCGAACATACGACAGCACCGAATATGTCAAAGCATTCCTGAAAGAGTATCCCACTTTACGGAGCTTGTTCAAAGTTCTGAAGCAGTCTCTCCTGATGCGCGGGCTCACCGTTGGTAGCCACGGTGGTCTGACGTCCTACCCTCTGCTCAACATGATTGTGGCAGCGCTAAAATTCTCCGAGGGTAAAGTCCACCCGCTGGACGCCGGAAGACAGCTCTTGTCCTTCCTCGACTTGTATTGCGAGCTCGATTTCTCGTCCCAAGGCATCTCCACCCGGCCCCTACGGTTCTTCCCAAAGCATGGCGGCGGCAAGCAGAGGCCGTCTGACAGTGTCACACCAGATGCTTCTTTGTTGGAGTTGTTCCCGCAGGAACTTGAGGGCCAGCGCAAGATGAGCCTTTCTCGAGGTAAATCTGGCTATTTGATGACGCTTCAAGATCCCGCAAACCCGTTCAACGATGTTGGACGGTCGGCATACATGATCAAAGATGTGCAGGCAACACTGATCGACCTGAGAGCCAAGCTAAATGAAACCATGGCACAATGGGATCGATTGAGCCAGGATTCAGAGCCTTCCCGAGTCGCTTCACGGCCACAGGCGCTGCTGGAACCCTGCCTTGGTGCTGATTACCGCATCTACGAACAGGAGCGCAGTGACTTGCAGGCTCTCGGGCAACGGCTCCTGGGCCCTTCCAAGGCCACCAGATGAGACGTGTAGAGTAGGTCAATGACAGATTTGACGGGTTGTGTTTCTGATATCGGCAAGGCCAGGCGCTGCGTCTGATTGTAACAAGATCTTCCACCTAATCTACTTGGTCTCCTGCCAGTTCTCGGCGGCCCATCGCATTGAGTTCGGTAGGCAATCCGTGTGTTGGTGTTGACGAGGACGTCCTGTCAACTTCCCACCCACAAGTGATGCTAAGGAAGGAATGACGGTCTATCGAGCAGCCTCATAAGCCCAGGACTAGTACCCCAGGTCTTGTTTCCTGGACTAATAATAGTAGATCTAGAGATGCCACTGCCTAGTAGAGAGCCATGCCTGGGATGCTCCTACCGTTCTTGCAGTAGGTGCATGAGCTGATGAAGACTATGAATTCTTCCACCGCCGCTTCGATGCTCTTCTTCTTCTTCTCCCTATACCAACATCCACAACAAAATGTAAGACTTGCCTATCTCGTTTTCCTAGATCTTTCTATGCCTCCTTTTCGCAGCTGCTGACATGATTTGATAGGCCTGAACTTGACAGAGGACCATCCCGCCGCATTGCCACCAACGACGCCAAGACCAAGCTCAACCAAGCCCGCGACGCCACCATCACCGCCGCCACGTCCGCCTTGGCGGGCCATTTGGGCCTCGCCGGCTGGCGTCGTTGACTCCTGGCCGAAGCGGCCCTCGAGGCCCTTCTCCGAGGGTTCGGAGAATTTCGGGGCTAGACTGTTTTTCACCTGCACAGCACTTGCACATGCCCTTGCCCCCCAGGACGACGATCGAGCACCTTTCTGTGGTGTCCTGGATAAGTAGGCCGAGACAAATGGACTCGGCCGAAACCAAGACTCGATCATTACACCAGTTCTTCTGCGTGGTGACAATGATGATGGTGGTAGTGATGGGAATGATCTCACGCCCGAAACCTATGCTCGCTGAGGATTTGCCGCAGCGAGACAGGCCTAGCGACCTCAGTCGAAAGTCCCAGCTGGCGGATCGCATCGCCGTGGCATCGGATCACATCTGGATCGATCAAAGAGGTTTGCACGACGACCCTGCCATGACAATGCCGGTGGGCGACCACGTCCCAGGCTTGCATGGCCGCAATCCCTAGAGCAAGCTCCGACGTCCCCCGTACCGTGATGATGGCCAACTGCGCACCTCGAGCCCTCTGGTAGCGAAAGAGCATTGCCACACCCCGTCTGCCGTTCCATAACTCCATCGTCTCAAGTCTCGGCATCTTGAGCGCTGTGGTAGCGGCATCTCGAAGCATGTTGTCGATGGCCCAGGTGTCCGCATTGTCGGTGAGGACCCTCGAGGTCAACGCCAGAGAAGTGAGCTTCTCCCACGTCCATGAATCTTGACACGCCGCGAAGAAGTGTCCGGCGTCGGCCATGAAAGAGGCGGATAGCGTCGTGAGGTGCAGGCTGGCGCGGGCAAGTTTCCAGCTCACGGCCGGGTTCGGCACCCTGATAGCGGGACAGTCGGAAATACCCTCCGGGTATGACTCGTTGAAGTTCTCGAATATCGTCAGCTTGCACAATTTGGTCCGGGAAAAAGATTCGATCAGCGTCTGAGTGCCTGTATGCTGGTTGGTCAGCGGCTGCGTCCACTAAATTGCCAGGAGTCAAGCAAGCACTTGCGTTTATCGGTTTGCATCTCAACTCCATACCACTCCCTCCAGGGTTCGTAACAAAGCTCCTTCATGTTAGGGAACCGCGTGAACATGTTGGCAAGGGCAACCGGCTTCCATCGTCGGCGGGTCTGCTGGCGAAGGAGCACGACCCCGACGACGGGTACAACGGGGAGACCCCGCCACCACTGCATCTCGGGTTCCTCGTCGTCGAAAGGCCCCTCGCCCATGATCTCATCGAATGTCTGTTCTATGGCGAGCTCTTTAGGAGCAAGGACCTGCTGCCCGGCAACCCAGCCATGAGCCGGGTCATTTATCAGGGTCGTTCCTTGTTCGTGTCCACGGCGAAACGAGCCCTCGCCTAGGTTTGTGTCTGAGTAGAAGCTGAGGTACTTGAACCAGTGCTGGTTGTCACTGGGCGAGTAGACACTGATATCGAGGACCAAGTCACCGCGGGGCTCCCATGTGCTGAGTGTCGTGAACAAGCTTTTAAACGCATCCGCGATGAATTGGTTGTCGATTTCGTCCAAGCCCCAACGGTCCCGGTCAGTGTTAGCACATTGGTTGCAATCGTCTGCTTCAGTTCTACGCAAAACCAGATATAGCGTAGCAGGCTTCTCTTTCGGAACAGAATAGCTTGAGAGTTAAGGTCGGCAAGGCGCGGTACCGTCAGTCTGATCTCGGCAAAGTTGAGCGGCTCGATAATTGATTGCCATTCTCGGGCAACGGTCGCGAGCAGGCTGCACCTCCCGCCGAGAACTGGCAGGAGACCAATGATCTCGCTTCGAATCTCGGCAGGTAAACAATCCCAGGAGGTTCTGTCCCCAGACATCTCTGATTAGGCGTGCAGTAAGTTGAGTATGAAGGATCGCGGTTGGTGTGGATTGAGAAGGATGTGATGGGATGAAATAGCTCGAAGCTTGAGTTGGTGTTTGGGGGGTGAAGAGAGGGAGATTATAGCAGATTCTTATACCTTTCTGGAGAGGGATTTGCAGTCATAGTCAAAAGTACAAGCTTGCTGAAAAGCTGTACAGCCGAAAGCTTGAATTAGGCAACTGTGTGGTTACCGGCTTGAATATGATGATGGTGATGTGGATTTCCGTGTTCAGCCCAAAGTATAACAGCAAGCAAACAACTTGAAGGGAGTGAAGAGATCTTGGCCGAGAGCCAGCCCCTGCTGGCTCCCCTTACCTAATGCTTGATCTCGAGGAACACCCTGATGGGTAGCATATGAAGGTCGGGTTTGAGCACCTCCTAACGCGCAAAACGCGTTAAGTTGTGCCTACTTACACCCCAGGTAGTTTAACCTCTTGCCTAGGAGGCAAGAGGTAAGCAGTCTGGAAGTTGATACAATAGGCGGTCTCCTTCAGCGTGGGTATACCTACCTATCTACCTGTAGGTACCGCCTCTGAATGTTCGAAGGGCCGCCCTACCAATATCTGGCGGTGCCATTTAGTTTGTATGGTGGCTCGCCGGCTCAGCACATCTGGGTTTCTTGATATCAGGACGACTACATGTACTGAGGAGCAGGGAGAGAGTGACGATGCCAAGCCAGAGTCAGGCTGCAAGCCTTCGGAGTAAAGAGAGTCTTTGGGCCGAGTAAATGCTAGGGCTCTTATTACTACGCATCAACAATCCATAGGTACAAACATACCTACCTACCTGACCTGCCTGTCTCCGTCCTCTGCTGCCTTCCTGCTTCGTCCGCGTTTCCTGTCGCGCGTTCTGGTCGTCGACGAGTCTGGCACTGGACTGTTGTACTCGGTTTCTTTCTCTATGAGCAGTCCCCGAATCGCAACACCTCGTCAATATGGCGGCGGTCACTTTGGCGCCACGTCCGACAGGCGGCGCTCCGACTTGCGCATGCCTCGATTCTTCAGAAGGTATACCACCCATTGACATCTGCTGGGCCCGTTGGCATACTAATGCTGTGACCGTGCAGGCTCTTCAAGTTCCCTCAGATGGATTTCGAGATGGCCGTGTGGGAGATGACACATCTGCTCATCGCGCCCAAGAAAGTATTCAAATCAATTTACTACCACAAACGCACGTCTTCCGATCCTGCCAACACCGTACCCTTCGCTAACAGCAGCTGCAGAGACAAGGAATACATGGCACCGTCCTGATCCTTCCTTTACCTACTTGTTGTCCTTCTTCCTTCTCCTAACGTCCTTCGCCTGGTCGCTTGCCTACACGCCATCCTTCGCTTCCGTCGTCAAATTGGCCCTCATGTTCGTCCTCATCCATTTCCTCCTGGGATCGTTGATTGTTTCGACCATCGCCTACTATGTTGTCGGACGGCTTCTGGGCCCCGGCATTGCAGGACTTCCTGGTCGGAGGCGTCAGCAGGGGCTGTTTGGACCAGCTGGAGGGCCAAGAGGGGCCGACGCCCTGGAATTCGGATACTGTTTCGACGTGTCAATACGAGCGTTCTTCCCGCCGTACGTGCTGCTTTATATTCTACAGTACATCCTCATGCCGGTCCTCAATCACGAAAACCGCGCCTCTACTTTCTTCGCCAATCTCCTCTATCTGGCAGCCGGGTTATACTGGAGCGTGATTATCTTCCTGGGCTACAATGCCCTGCATTTCCTCAGCCATACGCAGCTGCTTCTCTCGCCCATGGTGGCCTGGGTGGTCATCTGGCTTGTCTGTACGATCCTAGGCGTGAACCTGACGACCTGGGGAACAAGGTGGATGTTTTTGGGTGTCAAGGGTTGATCAAGGAAAGTTGATATCAAAAGCATCTTAATCGAGCGAGTGCAATTTATATGCATTTTCTGAAGTCATTTTGCTACTGTTCCCCGTCCACCTCGGTGTCAAGTGTCGCCCATCATATGTGATCAGCCATGCTGTATTGAAACAATGAGCCAATTGAGTGATCTATGTCGTCGTTGAACGTTGGCACACGGCTGTCTGGCAGAGAGACGGTCATCTATTGCGACAGTCAGTCTGGGGACTGCACAGCGCCTTGTTCGTTATGGAGGCATCTACCGAGTTCCTATGTATATACACTTCACTGATCGCCTGTACCAACTCTGTGCACGATTCCGCCCAGCACCAGGGGCGGACCAGCCCGGTCTGACCATTAAATGTAAGGTGGCGTGCGGTAGCGGGGAGTGCTAATGCAGGTCCCTCCACCAGCACTTGGTTTGGGCGTCCACCATTAGGATCGAATGCCGTCCTTAAACGGTAAGGGGAGAAGCCGTATTGCACTTCTTGAGTTATCTGCCGTCAACTCGGGGCTGGAGGCTAGATGGGCGTCAGGGGTAAACTTTTTGGCTATAAACGCATTTAGAATAATGAATATGCAATACGGGATGGTCTCAATGATCCTTGAGCGGAAGAGGCGACATCTACCCAAGGCAGTCGCAGTCTACCCACAGCACCCAGTCCAGAGCAAGCCTCACACGCCTCTGTGGGTTGCGGCAAGCTTGACAGGCTTAGGCCTAGCCTCCGGTCATGCTCGCTGCGGATCATGTGGGCGGAGGAGGTCGGTGCACAACAAGATAAGGGAATACGAGGACGACATCGACTGTTCTCGCAGGATTGTGTTTGTGTCGTCGCCCAGTGAGATATTCTAGTATATTGACTCTGTAGGAGGAGGACACCTGAGAAGAGGATCGCGGGTGGACAGTAAGGCAACGAGTAGCACAAGAAAAAAGAGATGTCGAGCCAGAGGGAAAATGTATCTCAACTTGGTGCAGTTCCAGTGGTTGATTGATTGATTCATCCCTTGCTGCCACTAGCTGCAGGTTCAACCCCTAATCCTTGCGTTGGCCGTCGTCTCTACATAGGTACCTAAGGTACCCATTGAATCGCTCCACCCAATTGGCACTGGACTCCAGCATCTCAGGGTGCCACAACTACAGTCAGGTACATGTCTCCATGTCCATGTCCTGCGCTGCGCTGTTCGTGACCCTTGGAGATCCCATACCTAACATACTCAGTACAGCAGTACAGAATTCTTCTTGATATATCCTGGACACTCGAAAAACGGTCAAGCAGGACCTCCGTGCCTCCATCCCTCCATTTCCTTCAGCACATATTCCAGACTGCTTCTGGCACCCTTCTCCCGTTCAATCCTCTGCATTGCAGTTGGACATGCAACGGCCACCGCTCCGACCGACTGCTGGTCGTGCGACGGCAAACTCGTGTTAGGTGTCTCATCCTCCAACGCACAACTCTTCCGATCGATCGGAGACCGATATTACTTTTCAATATTGTGGTCGGAATCTGAATCCAGCACACCGTTATTCCTCTCCGAAGCCAGCGGAACATCTCTTGAACGCTCAACGTCGACCGTCAACGTCCGCTAGATCCTCCCTCGATGGCGGCTTCGGGCACATTTCTGGCAGACTCGCCTTCCATTGAGCATCTGCATGACAACGATAGTGAACAAGATGATGTCGAGGACCCCCATGACCTGTCTTTCTCCTCCAGCCACATCCTCCGCGCCTCTATGGTGGACAACCTGGTCTTGTCGCTAGATCAGTTCTCGAGCAACGTCTTTGACGAGACACCATCCACTCCTCGCAATAACAGCTATGATACTGGCACGAGGCTGCGGGGAAGGGGGCACACATTCTCCTCTTCGGTTTCCTCGGAGGCAGACTTGCATGACATGAGAGCTGCACTACGGTTTCCAGATACTGTACCTCGCATCCCAGGGCGAAACAACCTGAGGCATCAAAAGAATCTACAACGACTGCCGAGTATTTTTGGCGAGGACGAGGACTCGGTTCGCTCAAAGGCATACGGTTCCCAGCGTGCGGCTCAGCCCAGCCATCAGAGACGAAAGCATAATACATCCAGAGGCGGCAAAAGCCCGGGCAGCAGTGCATCGTCGAGTATTGATCTGGGCCACCTGACCAGTCTATCAGGTCGGTTGGGAGGAGCAGGGGACAGGCGTTCTCGAAGTTTTGATTTGGGCTCCGGACAACGAAATGTCCGTTCCGCCAAAATCGCTATGGCTGCTGGAGGCGCACCGATGCCTATCATCTCTCAAGGGCCAGAGGCACAGAGCTCGACGCCGCCGAATACTTCTGCTTCACCTCTCGTACGGAAAAATAGCACAAAATCCTCCAAAAGCGCCCATGCGAAGAAAGGACGGCCAGGAGCCTTGGGAAACAATACCACGAGGCCGAACAGTGATTCTGTGCCGCAGTTACCTTCGATGCGAAGTGTTCCTGCTTTTGCCAATGGCGGGCACGAGCAGAAGGTCACGTTTCAGAGCACACCCTCTGTCCCACGGCCTGGTTTCTTCCGGCGTGTTTTCGGCTCGGCCAGAAATGTGCCCACTGCCAATGCTGATGCTCACACACTGAATGCCCTCAAACAACAACAGGGTCGATCGACCCCAATTCAGGACGAGACGCCGCAGCCGTTCACGCCGCCGGCTAAGGGTCAAAGACCAGTTCCTCGTTCCTCCCATGATGCATCTGCCAACAAGGAAAATCAACCTGTGGTGACTAAGAAGACTTCCACTTTCTTTCGTCGCAGGAAGAGATCTATGTCGACCAACATTCCTCCTCCTCTCCCGCTGACTCTCACTTCTGAGCTCAAGTCGGAGTCTGCTCCCGTTGGCGAGACGAGTCCGGTCAGTAGTCTCAGAGCCTTCATGGATCCATACCTGGTCGGGACCCCAGTATCCTCCACAGGTCATGTCAGGACCAACTCGATGCAAGGCTTCTATACTCCAACCCTCCCTCCTCCTGCTTTTGGCTTGATGAAAGAAGCGTCCAACCGGCCGCAACTTGCAGCGCACGCTCGCAATGAGTCGCACGGAAGCAACAGAACCTTGAAATCCAACGGCAATCCAAAATCAACCCTCCTTATCTCTCACCAAGATTCTTTCTTGGCAGATAGTAGCAGCACCGATGAGCCTTCGAGACCCTCTGCTCTCGACGAAAACCAACACTTTGATAGTGACCAAACCGACTTGTTTGGTCAAAGTGTCAATGACCCGCGCAATCGCACTATTGCGTTCAGCACCTTAGCAAGCCCGTCTACCGATCCGTACAAGTCAACGACAAGAAGACCGTCTTGGAAGTCTGACAAAGTTTCGCCCATCCCTCACCTTGCCTCAAATCCACCATCTGCCGCCACGCCTACGGACACTCTGCGTAAATCCAACCACAATGCGAGCCGACTGAAACAGTTGGAGGCAGGGCACAACGACTCCAAGGGCTCACCATATGCTTCTACATCCGACGTCAGCGAGTATCGGTCTGCACCCACAACTCCTCTGGTGACTGAGCCGCCAGCCCGCGGCGAGGTTGCGTCGGCATCTTCCCATGCTCCACGGCCAGATCAGCTACAGGTGGTCACAGACCCTTACAAGCTAAGGGCCCAGAAGATCTTCGACAATGCAGATGACGAAATTGATTCCACAAGTGCGGCAGCATGGCTAGGAGAAACTGGACCTGAGCGCGAGCATGTGCGAAAAGCGTACATGGAGCTCTTCGACTGGTCCGATCAGAATCTCTTAGATGCCTTCCGAGGCCTCTGCGAGCGCATCGCCCTCAAAGGAGAAACTCAGCAGATGGACCGAGTGGTGGACGCGTTCGCACAGAGATGGTGCGAGTGCAACACCTCACACATGTTCAGATCGAGTGGTACGTTAATCTAATGTTCTATCCCGGTAATCTTGCTGACTGGTGGAAGATGTCGTGCATACAATATGCTATTCTATTCTACTCCTAAACACGGATCTGCATATGGCCGATATTGGCCAGAAGATGACCAAGGCTCAGTTTGTCCGAAATACGCTTCCGACCATCAAAGTGGTGGCTCAGGGGGGAGAGGCCGATAGGACTCTGCGCGGCCATGCCATCCCTCCTGGTCCGAGCCGATTGTCGGGAGATGATTCAGGCGCAAATGATGCTGAACGGCAAGGTTCAGAGTCGGGCCTCTACACCATTGAGTCGTCAGCAGAAGGTGGATCGGGCAGGACTTGGGAAATGCAGATGGACTCGGTACTCAGATCCTTCTACCAATCCATCGGTCAGGAACCGTTACCCTTGTCTGGCTTTCAGAGCGACACACTCGGGCCATTCAGCCAGTCCAACAACTTCTTGACCGTTGGCTCGAACATGCTACGCCGGAGTCCCAGCGTGCTCAGCAAAGCTCACTCCGAGTCCCACCGCGGCCGACTTGTCGGAGAAAGCCGGTCACTAGGCGCCCGATGGATGACGAAAGCGAGGTCGAGGCCCCGCCTGCCGTCCGCACAAGGCTTTGGCTCTAGTAGAACCAGCATAGACGAGCAGTCAACATGGAGCCCTTCCATGTCCAGCACATGGAGTAGAGCTTCGTTGGGAAAGACCCTGACATCGGTATCGGTCGACTCCTTTGGCACAGAGGCGACTCACGCAGACTATCAATCTTCGATCGGCTTCGCCAATGCTCTCAGTCAAGCCATCATTCGCGAGGACCAATTGGACTTTTCCATTGACGACGGATCCAAGGCCGGTTCGCTGCTTGAGGATGAATCGCTTGAGCTGTGTGGTGCGCCTTGGGCAAAGGAAGGGATTGTCAAACATAAATGTCACCTCGAAGGTGTGGACAAAAGATCCAAAGACCGAAATTGGAGTGACTGCTTTGCGGTGGTTGAAAGAGGATGGATCCGATTGTTTTCATTCTCTTCGCCTGCGAAGTCGACGAGACACAAAACACGGGCTCCTCGAGCCGGAGATGTTGTTGGTGGCGGTAACTGGCAGGACAACGCCGAAGAAGTGTGGAAGTGCATGTTGCGACACACGATTGCAAGCTCATTGCCTCCTCCCGGCTACTCGAAAGCACGACCGTATGTCTGGGCTTTGAGTCTTCCCACTGGGGCTGTGCACCTCTTTTCCGTGGGAACCCCGGACATTGTCAAGGAGTTCGTATCCAGCGCCAACTTTTGGAGCGCCCGGCTTTCGAAAGAGCCGATGATGGGCGGCGTTAGCAACATGGAATATGGCTGGAGCGAGGCGGTCATCAACCGAGCACTGATTGCGGTTGAGTCTCAAGGCGCAATCAACAGCTCCCTCAGTCCGCGTCCAAGCACCCAGATGTCCATGCGGAGTTCTTTCGAGCACGTTGGTGGTGGTCGGGCCAAGCTGGCGGGAGATCGAGCACATATCAATGACTGGGCTCCTCCCCAACAGTCCATGTTTGCCTCCCAATTGATGGAGGTGGACCAATTGATGGCGTTACAAACGTACGTCAACAATGTGGAGGACGAGTTGCAAAAGCACAATGAGCTCCGGGGACCAATGCTACTGGCATTCTCGGCGAAACATCCCAACTCGACCAAAGCAATGCACAATTGGGAGAAGAAGAGCAGTTACCTTCTTCGGGAGATCGTCAAGTTTCGCACATACATTGACGCACTCCAGAGCGCCCAGGCGACGAAGGAACGCATATACAAGATGAGAAGGGAAGAAGACGAGGCTCGAAGGGCCGAAATGGATACACGGGTGTTGAATGCTCAGCCTGTGACGGCGTGAACAGCACTGGTCATGCGAATCTGATCTTTGTGTGGGAGAAGGGGTGGAAGTTAAAGGGGCGATGACTCTGAAGAGACACTCATTTGATGCACTTTGCATTTGTAGCTAACGAATCACGACTTACGAGCAACAGGAACAGGAACAGAAACAACAGAGCAAGCCGGGTTTTGGATGCGTAGCTGATGCCACTGTTCTGCGGGCATGGAGCTGGCGAAGATTGTTGACATGAAATCCCTATGTTGTTTGAGACAGCTTGTTGCACCATCGACGCTGGTTCTTCGCTTACTGTTTGACCGTCTCTTCCTACAGCGATAAGGGACATGAGAACTACCAAGGTGCTACGCAGGAGGACTCTCAAGATATAATGCAGTGGTCGGTGATCAGGGGGGTTGGCTCTTGTCTGACAAAAAGTTTTGTGGGATCCTGCTGTACTCGCCTCTCTTATTCCTAGGGTTCTTTGTAGGGGGTGCCCTACTAGTAGTCCAAGGTGCTCTCTTCTCTCCGCTACCCACTGGGAGCACTCCAGGAGGATGTGCTCTACTGTCTAAATAATGAGCAACGGCTGAGAAATATATTGGTCAGACATAAACCAAGTGTGTTGGTCATGGCTGTAGTGTTGATGATGCGCACGAATTGGGAATGGCGCTTATTAGTTAGAGTAGACTACAGGGGGACTGAGAGAGAGAGGGATGGAGATAGAGATAGAGAGCGAGTTTCAGGGATGGAGGAGGCTGCTTGATGCACTGAGCCATTCACTGCTCCATCTCCGTTCTCCTGCTCATAGCAACTACTACATACTACTCAGTATCCTGAAAGCCAACCTGCGCTTCTCAATCGCTCTCTGTGCAACCGCGAAAACAACGCGCTCCCCAACTCTCCCTTCGTCATCCAGCCGCGTCTATCTGGTCACCATTCCCCGACCTCCCCCCAATGTCCGCGAGACCACCACCCAACGGCTCGACTACAATCGGCCTGCAACGCCGCATGCCTACTGTCGGCTAGCCACCAAACTATCTCTAGCCATCCTTAAAACCCAACGATGTCGTCTTCAATCCTCAGTGGCCGGCCACAGGTGGAGCGCAGGTCGTCGAGGGTACCGGGGGGATTTGACCAAGAAAACGACGAGGATCTGTCGCCCACAGGAAGCATGCACGGCGATTCACAGTTCGACTCTTCCCTGACCAACTCCTTGCTTCCAGGACCCAAAGACCCGAGCAGTCTGTTGCAGCAACTGGACGAGAACACAAATATAGATGGACGGGCAAATGCGACCCTGGACGAAAGCGAAATGAACAACAAGTTACTCGATGTCGAATCTAGTTTCCTCCCTGAACCGTCTCAGCTTGCCATTCAAGACTCGGGGGAGGCTGGCGCGGACGACACGCATCTGTTCGGAATTCCAAACAATAATGTTGCCACGCGCAAAAGGCCTCAACCGATTGTAATATCCTATTCACACGATGACACTGAAAACCACATGCATTCAAAATCCACCGAGATGCAATCTCCTCGTACGCCGCCAGGCGGATATAAGACGCCGGCGCCCGAACAGCAACGTTTCCACGATCTCGAGGAACCAGAAGGGACCACGCCGCAGATATCAAATACGTCAGCTCTCGAAAACATGTCTTCCTCTCCAACTGCGGCCGCCGCGGCTCGAACACTCTCACGAGTTCAGTCTCTGGCGACAATGGGTGGTTACGAGACGGCAGACGAAAGAGAAGACGACTTCGGATCGGACAGAGGCCACGGCCATGCAGGAGAAGATGCTGAAGAGACACCAAAACGGATTGGCGCACAGTACGAGCAGGAGAAACGATATCTGAACGTTCCCAATGCCATGGATGGACAGCAGGAGAAGACAGACAATGGTACCAGTTCGGTGTCAAGGCGGCCACAGTACCTTCACAAACGATCCTCGCAGGCCCGGCTCTCCTATGATTCGATGGCCAGTTCAAACACGGACGCGAGTGATGCTACACTCGGCGCAGACTTCGCGCTGCAGTCGGGTGGCGCTTTACCCGAATCGAGTGCGCAACGCCAGGCAAGAGCGACAATTTCACGACAGGCCAGCCTGGGAAGCATGATGTCGGGCATATCGGGGATGAGTGACGATGAGTCTCGAATACAGCGACAAGCCAGTGTGCCAGATTTGAGTACGCTGGAAGAAGAGAGCCCACCACGGTCTAGTAAAGCTAGTGGACTGGCGACTCCGCGAGCATCGATATTCAATTTCAACATGCCCACCGATACCGTCATTGCCAATAACGTCCGGGACATAGAAGTACCTGGGACGTTCGCGCGGCAATACCGACAAGAACGGAGTATGTCACCCGACAAGAACAATCCAATGCTTGGTATGACGCCCGGCCCCAAGCGAGGATTGACCCTGAAAGAGCACCGAAGCACGGTGGAAAAGCTGGGCAAGGAAAACTTCGACCTGAAGATGAAGATACATTTCTTGGACCAAGCTCTCCAGACGCGCTCTGAGGACGGGATCAAAGAAATGATTACGGAAAATGTACAATTAAAATCGGACCGGATAAAGCTGGAGAAGGATAATCATAATCTACGCAAGCAGGTTCGGGAGCTGCAGAAAAAGCTTGAAGAAAGCGGTGCTCGCGAATCTCCGAACGGCGATCCTGGGTATGGAACTGATGAGGAGCGAAGCCCAACCGCGGAAGAAGAAGTCATCTACCTTCGTGAGAGGGTCGAGATGAACGAAGTCGAGATTGAGAAACTTCGGTCGGAGAACTTTACCAAAGAATCTGAGAAGCGCAGATTGGCTGAGATGGTCAAATCTTTGGGAGACACCCGGACAGCCACCTCAGATGTTGGCTCAAGAGAAGAGCGTGATATGTGGAAGGATATGCTGGAGGCGGAGACGATCGCCCGCGAGCAATCCGAAGAGGACAACAAGAGGCTTCGCGATGAGATTGTGAAGCTCCGGAACGCATTCCAAGCTTCAGCCAAATCAAACTCACGAAAGTCTCGCATGGCAGGTTCCGTTGTCTCAAGGTCCAGCAGTGTCGAAGCTGCGAATGCGCAAATCGCGGAAATCGAAAGACTTCGGCATGAAGTCTCGGAGCTGCAGAAGATGATCGGTGCGCAAGCATCCACCCTGACATCACGCAACAAGGAGAAAGAACGCCTGTACCAGGAAATCGAAGATTTGAAGTTGGGTCGGATGGGCGGCCTTCGATCCGTGGCTGGTGACAGCATTCTGGACCGATCAGCTTCCCGCGCAAGATCTCATTCTCGCGCTAGCAACGGCACGCGGCTGTCTCGGGTGAGCGACCAGGAACGAGAATCTTTGGAGAACAGGATCAACGAGCTCCGCGATGAGGTCTCCCAACTAAAACTTGAAAACCAAACGCTTCAAAACCAATTCGACCAAGCTCTGGCCGAACTCGACGCGGTGGATGCCCAAGCCCAGGCGGATGCCGATCAATTCAATGAGGAGCTTCATGTTCTCACTCAGGAGCGCGACAACGCTCTGCGGGAGGCCGAGGAGCAAGACCAGGCATTCCAACAGCTGAAGAATGAGGCGCAAGAAGAGATTGACGGCTTGGGAGACGAGCTCGATGCTAAGGTGGAGGAATGTGCCAGGCTCGAGCAGGAACTCCAGGGGCAAATCGACAATGTCAAAGCATTGCAGGCTGAAATGCGTTCGGCCGCCGAAGGGCTGGTCCGTCTCGAAGAAGATGCGCAGCAGAACTTGGCCCGATATCAGTCCGTCAAGACCGAGCTCGATGACTCGAATCGCGAAATCGAGAATCTCGAAAAATCTCTCCAAGAAGCGGAGAGCAAAGTGCAAAGATTGACGGTGCAGCAGGAGAGCAGTCATAATGAGATTGCGTTCCTACGCGAAGAGCAAGATGCGGACAAGATCAAGATTGGCGATTTGGAATCGTTGCTCAAGAAGGTCCACCTCAATCTGGAAACAGAAAGAGACAGGAGTCGAGATCTGGAGCGTCGGCTCAACGACGAAAGGGCTCAAAGAGATGCGGTGGCCAACCAAGAAAAGCAAGAAGTTCAGCGAGTCATTAATGATCTCAACCGCGAGGCTGCGGGTGCCAAGGATGAACTGCGAAAGGTGCGCAAGGCCTTGTCGTCTCGCGATATCGAAGCAAATGCCTACAGAGACCGGCTGTCTGAATTGGAGGAGAGCCTGCGGAACATCCTTGGCGATTCTCAGGGCTCGCGATCGAGCCTCATCAGTGGCATCACGAAGATGCGCCGGGAGCTTGATCAAGCAACGATAGATCTTGAATCGCTGCGCAGGCGATTGGACGAAAGCGAAAGTCTGCTGGCTGACCGGGATGCTCTGTTGGAGTCGACGAGTCATGAATGCAAGAAATTGGCCGACGCCCTTGAACGTGAGAAGCTGGGTCGACGACAAGACAAGCTGGACTTTGAGCGGACCAACAAGGGCCACAACTCGACGACGCGCGCACTTAGCTCTGCTTCCGCCCGGATTGCGGAGCTAGAAGGGCTGCGGCAGACTGACCGGAAACGAATGGGCCAGATGGAAAGCCAACTCAAGGAACAACTCGGCGAGCGCAACCAGATCCTGCTCACTCTTTGGAAGCGACTGTCGGCCATGTGCGGTCCTGACTGGACTCACAACAATAGTCTGATCAATGGCAATCTACCGTCGCAGGAAGTTGTTGGAAACATGCTGTTCTGGCCCGGGTTCAGCCGCAATCTTCTACTTGCCGCCAAACAGGTGGAAGGCACGCTGTCGAGTTTCAAAGAGAAGATCAAACGGGTGGAACGGGAATTGTACAAGGAGTACCAAGCGCTCGAACAGACGCTCGAAGTGCGGACGCGGAAACTCGAACGCATCGAGGAGAGTTGGGAGCAGATGAAACTGAAGGTGTCCGAGATGGAGACGCGCATGCCCAGCGACCTTGGAAGTCGGACGCCGAAATCGAGCCGGACTCCTGAAATCAGTAAGTTGAAAGGGGAGAACCGCCTGCTTAAAGCCGAACTCCAACTGCTTCAACAGCAGCAAGCCCATCATTCCCAACACCAGCGACGGGACCGGAATGAGAGTCGAGCATCCGGCTATTCCAGCTTGATGTCCACCAACGAGGCGCCGGGGCCGGGACAAGCCCTTGACGGAGCCATGAACAGTGCCCTCGGAGTGCCGACTCGGTCGTCGAGCATGAGGCGCAGTCGACCCGGGGAGCTGCAACGGCACCATTCGGCAGGGACGGTGGAGCATTTCGCCAGCTTCAACCACGGCAACGCCGGCGACGTGACTTCGCTGCGGTCGAGTTCGATCTCCAGTCGCAATTCGGCCTACATGTACGCCGAACGGGAGCGAGAGCGAGAGCGAGGCCTCATGATCCCGGCGGGACCGTTCAATGCTCCTGCCAACGGGAATTTCTCGTTGCCGCCACCGCGCGAAGCGCCTCCTGCGCCTCCCAGTAACGCGTCGGGATCGGACATTGCCAGTATCACGACGGCCGTCAGCGTGGGCGGACAAGGGCAGGAGTCGAAATGGGTCCATCGCCTCCGGGAACTGGAGAGACGGCTCAAGGCGGAGCGCGAAGCCCGGCTCCTGGACCGCAGTGGGGCACGGAAGAGGTTGGAGGAGAGAGATGCGGTCAATGAAGAGTTGAGAAGGGAACTGGAACGCGAGAGGGTCAGGAAGAGTGTCGAGCCTGCTGATGCTGGCGTTGACGTTGGTGCGGATGCTGGGTTGCAGCCGTTCCCGGCGGGCGAGGCTCATGCCACCGAACCGGATGCTGGAGCCGGGCGTGGGAATGGGAATGGAAATGGAGCGAAGAAGCGCTAGATTCGTTTTGGCGGGTTCAAAGTGACTCGCTGGCATTAAGGGAAAGAAACAGAGAAAAGCGAGGAACACGGGATGAAAGGGGAGAGATGGTATAGGAGGGAAAGCCGGATGGGTATTCAGAATGGTGTTTGCTTCTTCGCTTTGAGTCAGAGATGTGTCTGGCCTTGTCTGCCTCATAGGATCTTTGGAGGATTGATTGATTGGGCTGAGAAGAGACTTGGATCTCTAAGCGTGCTGGGATGGGACTGGACTGGAATGGACTGGGCTGGACTGAATGGTATGGACTGGACTGGACTGGCTGAGCTGAACTGAACTCGGATGGGTTGATCGTCTTTGTATCACTACTGCTACTATATACCAGGCAGGGGGTCAGGACGTCGGGAAGACAACCGACCTGTATCAACCACTATAGCAACCAACAAGAATTGGGCGTTTCCATAGAAAGTAAAGGTCTGGTCTGCTGAGAGAGACGCCCATGGTGGAAAACAGAGAGTACAACTCATTATGGACGGTTAGATCAGATGTGCTGCTCACTCTACATTGACGAGCGCTCACACCCATTCACTCAATCCTCTCTCTGCTAGTCTGTCTGTGTGCTCCCGCCGTCGTCTCCGTACTAGTAGTTGGACTTCAAAGCCAGCTTGGAAGGTGTAGAAGATCAGATCGAATTGGGAGGTACGAGTAAGTATATGTAGGTATGTATAGATAGATGTACAGCGGAGGAATAGATATTAGATACCGTAGTAACTCTGTAGGTACCTAAGGTAGCCTGATGTGATGTGATGTGATGTGATGTGATGGGAGCCTCAGATCATTCTGCTCTATATGTGTTTCTATCTGCATTACTCCGCCGTAGCATATCTGATTCGGTAACTATTACTACATACGGTACTAGTACTACCTACCTCTGTACTAAGTTACTAGTAATTACTAGTTGATCAGATCGGACCGACGCGCCGGACATTTCCAGGCTCCGAGCCGTTCGAACGCCGAACACCGCACATGAACGGCACTTGTTCCTGATCGCCGGCTATCAACCAGCCCGACAGTTGACATCGGGCATCCTACTCTACTTTGTAGGACCTTCGGTATCCGCAGTCTTACTACAGTCATCATCACCGTCACCGTCGCCTTTACCGTCGCCTTTACCGTCGCCGTCGCCCTACAACTTCATCCCTCGTCGGGCAACTTGATCGCATTTTATCGCACGGCATTGCATCGCATCGCATCGCATCGCTTTGCATGTTAGGCTATCGTATCCTTTGTCTGTCTCAACCGTATCTCTTCCTATCCTTTTCGGCTTTCGAGCGAGCGAGCCGGTTTCCTTTCGTCTCGCGCTGAAGAAACAACTCCGAGGGACAAGGAGTGTGCTTTCTCAAAAGAGAGAGAGGAAAAGAAAGAGCGTCAGATTATGGCTGCGCCTCAGTCTCGGCCTCAGACTCGAGCAGCATCGGCTGCAACTTCAACAACGTCGATTCCCGGTCGAGAAAGTATCATCGAGGCCGGAGGTGGAGCAGATGTGATGGCGGTCGAAGAAAGACGACATGAACAACAGCAGCAGCAGCAGTCATCACAGCGGGAGAAGACAGTGTTTGGCACAGCAGCTGAGTCGTCGAAATTGTTTGGCACGGGCAAAGGAATACGTGATGGCACGCTTTTGTTCGGCGACGGGGGTCTGAATCGAGATCCGGAGAAAGATGGAGAGGCTGATGCTGAGGGAGAGGGCGATGAAGGTCAAGAGGGAGAAGAGTTGGAAGAAGACGACGACGAAGAAGGCGAAGATTACGACGAGGATGATGATGTTGATAAGTGAGTTGTCAGTGGACTCAAGTCAGTACTCTTGCTAACATCCTCCAGCTTCTCCACATCTGAAATCGTCACAGTCTACGTCGGCGTCAAGCGCAAGCGATTCTTCCTCCACCGCGAGCTCATCTGCCAACGATCACCGTTCATGGACAAGTGTCTCAAGAAAAACCGATTCGACGAAGGCTACAAGAACGAGCTCTACCTCCCCGAAGACGACCCGAAAGCGTTCTCGATCATCGTCGACTGGATCTACCGCACCAAACTACCGCTGCGAACCGAGCCGTCATTCGACCTGTCCGACATGTCCGCGGCATACTGCATGGCCGACAAGTTCGGGATGGAGGAACTCCAGAACAGCATCATGGACAGCATCCGCGCCAGTTTCGGACGACGCGAAACCGAGTCCTGCAAGACGCCCAATTTCTCCGCCCTCGCGCTCACCCACCTCACTGGCCCGCACAAGTCGCCTCTCAAACGGTTCTACGTCGAACATCTGGTGCATCACATGATGAAACATCCGAAATGGTACCATGACCTCAAACGTACCGAGCCTGCCCGCGTCGATATGGAGGAGCTGTTCAAGATCCCCGATCTGGTCTTCTATATCATGAAGAAGGTGTGGCAGTTCACCGCGGAGCCGTGGAAGGATCCCGCCCTCTGGGACAAATGCTGTTATCATGTTCATGCCACCACGGTCTGTGCGGCCAGGGCTGCTGCCGTGGCGGCCAAGACTGGGTCGTCTACTGCATCGACGTCGGCAGCTGCCGTGGGCGCGGCATCGAGACATAACCATAATCACCCGGGAGTCGGTTTGGCTGGGAGTCTGCATCCTTTGAGGACCAGTCATGGCGCCTGGCCGTCGACTATGGGGGTCTGGAACAATCCGGGAGTGGGATGGTAGGTGGAGCGGAGCTCTGTAATAGGTCCTGGATTGTTGTGGGAATGCGTCTCTGTTGTGGCTTGCGAGACTCGATGACTTGCATAATATGAGGTCGTCTCTTATGCGTGAAGCAGGGACTGGAATATGGTTTAATGGGACCCCGACACAAGGGTTTGCGCATCCATGGAATGAAGGGTCCAACACCAAAGCTGCTGCCCGTCTGCCTAACACCCCTTTGCGACTGCGCCTTGCACTCTCTGTCAAGTGTCACCTTTACGCATCCTCAACTCGATTCGAAGTGGTCTCCTGTCCTTGTGACCTCGGACACAGAGGGATCTCATCAGCACTTGGGATCGGCTCGACTGGGTTGGGTTCATTCGCTTTAGCTGCATCAGGGCCGTTGTCTGCATTGCCACCTCTTCTTCTTGTCACCAGAAAGGGGCGTTCCTCATACACATTCGATTCGACACATGACAAGCCTACATTGTCTTCTCTACTTCTGTCTACGGATTGGTTTCATTGCTGGTCCAATGTTACATCACGAACGAACGAGCGTGGATTGGTTGGTCGGCGAACAGGATGGATTTCAGATAATCAAGGCGCCGGCGCCGGCGCCGGCGACTGTATGTATGTATGTATGTATGAGGATTCGAAACTACGTACTTCAAGGCCATGAATGAGTCGACGGGAGATCTGGGAAGGAGGGATCTGAGATACCTTGAGTAACACTGAATGATTCGAACTACGCCTTGCCTCTTGTTTTCTTTCCGCGTCTTTTGTAGGGTCCCCTTGAGCCATTATTCTTTTCATTGTGTAGGTCTCAGGTACATACATGTATATACCTGGCATTATAGTCCCTACAGTGACCTTTTCGGCCTCGTTTCGTCTCCTCTCTTCTCCCTCTCAGCCTTCGAGCCACCAAAATTGTCGTCCGAAAGCGTTTCTAAATTTGGTACCCATCTTATTTATGCACGTACAGTTGCTTGGCTGACCACCTGAGGATCACTGATATCAATACGGTATTGAGTCCGAAGGCGCCAATCTCACGTCACTTGGTTGGTGACCTGAAGTACCTCGGTACTTTAATCTGAAGATAAGGGGAAGGGGGCACAGTACAGTATCTGACATTGACCAGTGCGAGGCGATCCTTCACGTACATGTCATCTTCCTTTGCTGGGTAGGCACTTCGCCATTGTTGTTGCTGCTTCTGCTTCTTGTTCTGCTCGACCTCCATTTCATTTATTTCACTCGTTGGCTTGCTACGGTATTGTTTGCGTTGATCTGGGAGGGTTTGTGCCAGCGAGATTGGATTTACCGTCGAGGATCCAAGTTCTAAGTTCGTGCGCATCGACCTTGTTTATCTATCGCGTTTCGGATTGTTTGTTTCCAAGTTTGCGTCAACACAGCCCTCCAGCGAATCCTTTTTTTGGAGCGTGGTGTTGCTGACGGTGAAATCACATTTTTCGCTTCCGTCTGCTCTTGATTTGTGCTACGCGGAAAGGTGTTGGCTGGGGACTCCTCTGGGCTGACGAGTGTGCTGGTTGTGTTTTCTTTGCGCCGCGTTGAGTGTAGACATTGAATTTTCGGTGTCCTTCGTTACGTTGCCCATACTACTCAACGTCTCCGCGATTCGAGGCAAGCGTGTGTCTGGCTGTTGCGAACGTCTCGACTAGAAATTGTCGATTCTGATTATCTGACACCAGGTCGGCGGAAGGGGCTACAGTTTGGTCCCACGCCGGCTATCTCAGATATTGCTACAAGGAGGGCCGGTTGACGACGACCGTATGTTCATGGTTGGGAAGCTACACTGGATGACCTAGAACTTGGTGATCAAGCAAAGGAAGGACAATCCCCCAAACAACTTCATGAAGACCTCAACCATGTCGAACGAACGCACTCCACTGCTCTCACGCTCCTCATACGGCGGCGACGACTTCTTTTCAGACCCGCACAGGCAATTCTGCATGCTTGTCGGCGTGCCACCATCAGTCCCCGATCCCAGCGGCAGCACCAAGAATGGCTCCTCCTTCTCGCCTTCCAAGAAATCCCTATACGTTCGAGCGACACGCCAGCTCCAGAAACAGCGCTTCACATACTACTTCACTGCATCACTGTCCAACACACTCCTCCTGTCCCAAGTGGTGCTTGGCGCGGCATTGACCGCCCTTGGGGCTTCCGAGTCCTCGCATGTGCTGATCACGTTGTTCGGCGCCCTGAACACCGTCATCGCCGGGCTCGTGGCGTACCTGAAGTCGCGCGGCCAGCCGATGCGGGCGCGCATGTATCGCGACGACCTGGAGCGCGTTGTCGATGAGATCGAAAACTCCGAGATCATGTGGCTGGGCATTACGCGCCGGGTGCACGGCTACGACGAAATCAACACGGACGATCACCAGGTCACCGTCCGCAGCGAGGTGGCGAGGCTGACTCGTCTCTTTGATCGCGCGGTGAGGACCAACACGGCCAATAATCCGGACATGTACATGGCTGGCAGCGCGGGCATCTATGATCCTATGAACACGGCTTTGAGGCCGAGACCGGCCGTTGTCCAGGTGCCTGGGGCTTCGTCTGCCGTGCCTATTTCTCTGCCGGTCGGCTCGGGTGCCCAGCCTGCGATTGCGGCTCCTGTGGTGACGGTAGATCCTGGGACGGGGACGGCGGCGGGAGGTGTTGCGGTGCCCGTGCCCGTGCCGCCACAGCAGACCTTGGATCCGGATCCGGATGAAAGCCCTGCTACAGCGGCAAAGCCGATGCCAGTGAAGGAGGAGCCTAAGGAGGAGCCTAAGAAGCAACAGACTCAACAGGAGGAGGGTAAGAAGGAGGCCGATAAAGGAAAGGATAAAGATGAGGAACCGACTGATGATGAAGATGGAGCTAAAGACTCTGTTAACGATAGAGATGGACATGCCAGGAAAGAGATACACGAAGGCACAGCGAGCGATGCTGATAGAGATGACACTGAACCCAAGGAAAAGGGGCAATCGCATCACGACAAGAAGGACGATGGCCAAGCTGACAAGCAGAACTCTAGTGGAAAAGAACAACGAGACGATACCACACCTGCGGACCGTCGCGGCCAGAGCAAAGCAAGAGAGAAGGAAAAGGACACAAGTGAAAGCGAAGATGACGGCTCTTCTTCCACAAAGCGAGGCAACGGCAAGTCATCTTCATCTACGTCGCCTTCGTCCCCGTCTTCGCCTCGCTCTTCATCTACGTCACCACCTTCAGGACTCAAAGACAAAGACAGTGGAAGTTATACCACGCCAGAGTCGAGATCTCATAGCTCTCCACCGCCTCCATCTCCTCCAGCGCAACAGCCACAACCACAACCACAATTCGACCCCGATGCGTCGCCGGCCACTGATCCAAATGTACCGCGGAAGAAACTACCACCTGCTCCCACTTGAGCCCCGGCTTTGCCGAATAAAGACAAAGACTTCGAGGAGAAGGCGTGAAAGCAAAGGACCGCGGGCTTCATATAGAGACATAGTCATACATACAGGCGCCAGAGACGGCTATATATCCAACAGACGGATGAGGACAGGATAGAAGAAGATATAGAGACGAATTGGGCTATCGTAGAAACCAACCGAGACGAGGCAAGACGAGACGTGGAGCGCAATTGGCACCCGAATTCAACTAGTTTTCTGAAAGTTAGGGAAGAGTTGGCATAAGGAGCGATCTCATTCTCTTGCTATATACATAACGAGTGATTGCCTATGGTCTATATGTATATATGCAGTAGCGCAGCTCGGTCGAGTGGATATGGCCCATTCTACATGCCTATGAGGCAACTTGCAAGGAGCATCGGAAGGGTGCTATGTACAATCGTTCCTCCAGGCCGGACGCCGGACTGGATGAACACGTATCCATCTCCGTGACTCCGCTTGGCCATTTAACGTTGTCCCTCTCAACCAAACAGATGCCTTGCCTCCAAGATAGGATTGAACGCCTTCCGCCAGGCGTCCACCGAAATGGCCGCGCTCCCGGCAGGAGCCTCCTTGATCTCCTTTGCGGGCTTCTTCAACACTTCGAGCGTCTCCGCCGTGAAGTCGTCCAACTCCATCGGCTTGTAGACGTTATGCAACGGATTCGCGGCGTCCAGCTCGGTGCGCACATAGGGCGGCACGATCTCAATCACATTGACGTTCGTGTCTCTCAGGGCCTGTCTCAGTCCCACGAGAAAGGCGTGCACTCCGGCCTTGGCTGGCGTGTACACGGGGAACTTGCCGACGGGAATAAACGCGATCCCAGACGACGTGATCATGAAGTTCGTCTCGTGCTTCTGGGACAGCAAGTACGGGATGAAGTGGCGGGCCAGGATGATCGGGGCGGTCAGGTCCGTGTTGATCTCGTTGATGATCTTCTCGTCGGAGAAGTTGTCCAGAGCCTTGAAGTCGCCTTGGTACTGGATCCCCGAGTTGACCCAGACGGTGTCGATGTCGGGGTATCGCGAGGTCAGCGTGGCCACATGTTTGGGAAGGGCGTCCAGCACGGCGTTGTCCATGGTGTAGGTCTCGAGGCCTGGGAGTTCCGAGGCCAGAGACGTCAGACGGGCTTCGCGACGGCCGGTGATGATGACCTTTTTGCCCATCTTGTGGAAGGCGCGGGCCAGCGACTCGCCGATCCCGCTGGTGCCTCCGAAGATGAGGATCTTGGACATGGAGGAAGTCATCTTGACAGTTGAGGGATGAGGTTTGATATTGGTATTGGTATCAGTCTGGTAGGAGGCTGTGCTAGTAGTGCGATTGAGTAGTGATCAAGCGAGATCGAGGTGCGATGAAGAGGATGAAGAGAAGAGAAGACAAGAGTCAATGCCATGATGGGCAGCTTTATATAGCTTTTTCTCAACGGGGCAGACACGCTCACAGACATGTAGTTCAGTTGCTGCAATGGGGACTTGGTACGGAGGTATGAGGGTTAACGTTGAATACTGGATGCTGACTGGCTGGATTTTAGGGGGTTCGCGGAGATAGTCTGTGGCGATCACTGCCGAATGCGGTATGAGTTACGTTGTTTCCATCTCGACCAATCGGAGAGATGGGAACCGACGACTCAAGTTCAACGACATATCAATCATTAATCACTATTCAACATTTTATACCAATGCGCAGAGATTCTCACCTGTTTCTTCCACTCTATTGTTACATGTCTCATTATCACCTGCTTCTTACACTGCGAATCATTTTATACTGAGCTGCCGACTGGGGCCGGCTGACAGTCGGATGTTGCACCCTTGACGACGCGGTGTCACTGACATTGCCGCCGCTCTAACGTGACCCAATGGCGGCCGTGACTGGATGGACTTTTACTGTCTTCGCGCCTCGAGTCACCATCAATGACTTCGAGCAGATGTCTCAATCTTTCGATTTGTTCGTCCGTCACAGCCCCAACGACACAGTCGGCCAGCCCTCGAGGCCAGTGAAGGGCTGTTTGCCATGACACCGGGTCGCATGCGTCAGCTCCAGCCTGCCGCGTTTGACCCATGATGACCTCGAGGAGATCAAAAAGCCAGTCTTCGGACGACGAAAACAGTAAGTCTAGTCCTTTTTATCCCCAATCCACGAACCCGCTGTGCCTTCCGTAGAAATCAAAATGAACATGTCTCTATCTTTAGGGGCGGAGGCTTTGATCAACACGACCCAAACCGCCATCGACGTCTTCCTCGCATCCAAACAAGCCAACGGGCAGATCTCCGGTCTGGGCTACTGGCAAGTCGCCAACGGCTATACAGCAATTGCCCTGCACGACTCTTGGTCGCAGACAACAGGCAACGCGGAGATTCTGCATGATCTCCTCGTCGAGGTCGAAGCAAACCAGACGGACTGCATCAACGACTTCAACGACGATTCCAGCTGGTGGGGGATCTTCCTGTTGGAGATGTACGATCTCACCCAAGACACCAACCATCTGTCAGTCGCCCAGAACATTTGGGCTCACGTGCATGACTATGTCATCCCGCCCGGACAGTACGTGATCAACGGCACCGACATGGAGGGCGGCGTCAAGTGGAGCAACAAGAACAACGAAACCCAAGTCAACGCGATCACCACGGGCCTGTTCACCGAGCTCTCGGCCAGACTGGCCCTCGTGCAACAAGACCCTGCACGACGACGGGAGATGTTGACCGACGCCATCTTCGGGTTCTTCTGGATTCTGCGGTGTCGATATCTCTCCGCCCAGTATGTCGTGCTGGACCACATCGATCTCCAGACCGGCCAGTGCTTCGACTGGACTTTCACCTACAACACCGGCCAGGCCATCGCCGCGGCGGTCGCCATCTACGACGCCATGAAACAGACCCAGACCCAACCGGCCAACTCCCCCGGTGCAGGCACGTACCTGGATCTGGCATGCAACATGGCCCGAGCTGCCATGACGCGCTCAACCTGGGTCGACGCCGACGGCACTCTCACGGAGCGTGGCGCGTATCCCGGCACGGGTCCAAACTCGAAGCAGGCGTCGGAAAACGACGACGCCGTCGGGTTCAAAGGAGTTCTGTTGCGCAGTCTGGCGAAACTGTACAAGATCTTGTCCCGAGACCGTGTCTATCCGGACCTGCAGACCCAGCTGGCCGGGTTTGTCCAGTGGCAGTTCCAAAGTCTTCAGCAGCGCGCTACTAATGGCAGAGGCCAATTTGGGCCCTGGTGGGCTGGGCCTATGGACCTGCCTACCAGTCATAGTCAACTGGCTGCATTGGATGTCATGGCTGCTATTCATGCAATCCAATAGCCGACCGAACGACACTGAGAGTCTCAGATGTGATGGCTGACGTTGAAGTGGGAATAGGAGAGAAGACCATAAGAAAAATCGAGCCTCTGGTACGCCAGATATATAATGCCACGGTATACAGTCGGCAGATAGACACACTGACACAGTATCGTTGCATGTGGTTGGATCTCATCTTCCATGGAGGAGTGTCTAGGTCTGACGTACAGAGAAGATCAATAGAGAATTGGCTTTCATTTCCAGCGACTGCCATGACATGGGTTGAGATGTGGCGATTCAATTGGATATCTACCTACCCTATACAGCGAAGTACACTATACCCTTTGCCCAAGAGTACAAGACATACCTTGCAGGACAATCCCAGCACTCTCTTTGATCTGCGTCGAACCGACATTCAATCAGTTGGCAATTCTTCATTCCCCCTCCCTTTTTGAACCGTACGCAACAGAAAGAGAAAAAAAGCAGTGATCAAATGTAGATCAGAACCGGAGCAGATGCCAAATATAATATACCCACCACATAAGGTACCTAGGTAGCCAACTCAGTCCTTTCAAACTCCAATTCGACCAGAGTATTCCGTCTCGCTGGCCGTATTGGCCAGAGCGGTGTTAAGTTCTTATATCCGCCCATCATAAACTGCAGTGCAGGCGCAGTGGTGAGTGCGGAAGGGAGGTACAGAGTACATTATTAGTAGTATGGGCGCGTAGAGCTTAGCGGAGCATGGGAGATCTACCTGCGTGTCCCTGGTGTTCTATTGCTGAGGATGTAATCTTTGTAACCACCTCATCTTATCGTAGGTAGTATACCGATTCGACGACGTCGTTAAGTCAGGTACGTACCTTAGGTAACATCTCTATACTAGTAGTACTTATTACCAGTAGGTGACTACTAACCTGATAAGGTTCAAAGTTCAAGTTATCAGCGAAGTGGAAACTTGACGTGGATTTGTGTTCGGCCGCTAGTAAACTCTAAAGTTTTTCTTTCGCTAACCAAAGCTTGACTGACCTTAATGGACCGTGCCGGGACTCTTTCTCTTGACGCCCGGAGATAAGGATCACCCACCCGCTACCACAACTGCCAGTGCCCTTCATGCTCCTTAAGTCCGTCCGAAGACAAGAACTTTTCTATGACGATGGCATTAATCTACTAAGGTACCAGTAGCACCAGACTTCTCTGCCCCGCTGTACAGAATACACGGCGAGATTACAACTGGCCAAGGGTATCGCTTACTTAGCAGTCCCTCTACATGCACTTCTTGAGAGAGGTGAGTTGTTTGAATAAGGTGAATTGAAGCAAAAGATACATAGTTGAGATATCTATCAATCTACGGTGATACCCAATCTCCCGCATCGTTACCGAATATTCCGGACTGCCATTGCCAGTGGGTCAGACCAGTCAGGACAAGCTAACTTCCCCACTTGGTGACAACGCTCCGCCGCTAGAAGTGATCGACGGAGGGAAGTTTCCCCGCGACCAAGGAGACATATTGACACAAACAAGGGAAAACCCTCACCTTGGATGCACAACAGACAAAGTATATATACCTCCTCTCTGTCTATACTGCCTGAAAGACCGGATACTTAGTTAACCTCGCAATAGGGCTTGTCCTTTTTTTTTTCAGTCTTGACTCTTGAATACAAATTACACACTTCTTTCATATCCAGCGGAGACAAAGACAAAGACAGAGACCAAGAACAAGAACAAGAACAGGACAAGAACAAGAACAAACACAAGAACAGGACACCATGGCCAAATACACCTCCAAACTACAAGGCTCCTCCGTCCTCATCGTCGGCGGCACCTCCGGCATCGGCTACGGTCTGGCCGAAGCCCTGGTCGAGCACGGCGTGGAGAAGCTATGGATCTCGTCGTCCCGCGCCGCCAAAGTCGACTCCGCCGTGCAGCGCTTGAAGACCGCATACCCGGAAGCGACAACAACAACAACCATCACCGGTCTGACCTGCGATCTCTCCGACGAAGCCACCCTGGAAGCCAACGTGCGCAATCTAATCAGCCACATCGAAAAGTTGGACCATATCGTCTTCACCGCCGGCGACCCATTGGCGCCCAGCCAATTGAGCGACGTGACGGTCCAGTCGGCCGTAAAGGTAGGCATGGTCCGCTTCTTCGCGCCCCTGATGGTCGCCAAGTACGGGAGTCCGCTGCTGACTCCGGGCCCGGCGTCGTCGATTACCTTGACGACCGGCGCGGCCGCGGAGAAGCCGGCTGAGGGGTGGACGGTGATTTCGTCGTTCGCGAGCGGCCTGTTCGGCATGGTTCGCGGGTTGGCGTTGGAGTTGAGGCCCGTCAGAGTCAACCTGGTCAGTCCCGGCGCCGTGGTGACGGAGTTGTGGGATGCGTTGGGGCCGAACAAGGAAGCGGCAATGGCCGAGTATGCGAAGAAACAGGCCACCGGGAGAGTCGGCGCCGTCGAGGATGTGGTGGAGAGTTATTTGTTCTTGATGAAGGATCGCAATGCTACGGGCACGGTGGCCAAGTCGGATGGTGGGGTGTTTTTGATGTGATGGACAGCCAAGTAGAGACGAGTATGAAAGGAAAAGAGAATCTGGTTCGTTGTTCGTACAGAATACTAGTACATCGAGAGAGGAGAGAATACTAGTACATCGAGAGAGGAGAGAAGAAGCGTCTTCGGCATGACCCAACCAACACCCTAATCCATTCTTATCCCGACCCTCACCCTCATTGTCGATCAAGTAACCAGCCTACACCTCTCACCGTGTCATCCTTCCATTTTGTCGCTTGCTTGATGCTCTGGAAGACGGCCCAAAAGATATGCGGCGCCCCTGGGTACACGTCCACCTTGGTCTCGACCCCGGATGCAGCCAGAATCTGCTCGTAGATGAACCCGTCATCGCGGAGAATGTCCATGCCGCAGATCTGGAAGTATGCTTTCGGCGCAATCCCCGCGTGCTTCGACAGCGGCTGCACATTCAAGACGCGGTACAGTGGAGACTTGGGGTCCGCGCCGTAGGCAGCATCGAAGAGTGCTTTGGTCTTCTTGTCCAGGACCGGCGAGCTGAGACAACGTTCGTCGGTCCGCGAGCGGTACTGGTCCTTGTACTCGGGCGGGACGGTGTCGCTGCTCGCGATCAACGACGGGGCGGAGAAGTACAAGCCCGTGATCCTGGGCGTCCGGTTCTCTTCTTTGGCCCGCAGCGCGATGACACTGGCCAGGACGGCACCGAAGCTGACGCCACCGACCACAAGCCCGGCAGAACAGTCGGCGCCCAAGTCGGATGCTTTGGAGGTCACATGGACAAATGCGTCCCATCCATCGTTGACCCCCGTGGGGAACTTGTGTTCGGGCGCCAGACGATACTGCGGACTCACGACCACGCAGCCATGCGCGAGAACTAGGCTTCCAGCCAGCGATGCGACAGACTTCGCCGAGCCGATCACGCCGCCACCGCCGTGGAAGAAGATCACCAAAGGTCTGGGCGTTGATGAGTGCGGGTCTGCGTAGGCAGGTTCATAGACAAATAGGTTGAGGTTGACCCCGTCCCGCGTGGTGAACTTGGGATTGGATTCTTTGACTCCGGCGACTGGAGGGGGCACGGGCCATTGACTCTCCAACGAACGAAGTTGAGCGACTCGCGTCTCGATGCTGGAGGTTTCAGTCTCAGTTTCAGGGGCGGGCAATGGCCTTGACCTTACGATCTGTCGAGACGGAGTCAGTGGGTCCAGCCAAACCAGGGCATTGCACTGGTGGAAGAAGGGGAAGCTTACGGCTTCGATTTCAGGGTCGATCACCGAAAGAGCGTCGAGCTCCTCTTTTGTTCTTGGGGCCATGGCGAAGGTTGATTGGGATGGGAGATTGGAGGGTAGCTTTCCACTGCAGAACTCACTCTGTGGTAGTAGAGGCGCCCAGGAAGAGACTGTGTTCTAGTAAGGGGAAGAGAGAAGAGAAGACAGAAGACAGGCGCGGCTGAGTTACTAATTATCTAATAAGGATGGAGGGACTCACTACTAAGTACTAGTAGGTAGTATGAAGGGAAGGGATGGCTAGTTCTGTCGTGACAGCCTCACCCACTCCGATTGGACTGCGCCGAGAGCCTCCCTAGAAGTTGTCGTGATGGCGTCGAATTCGGCGTTAACAATTGTCCGCAATATTACGCCGTTACACGTCACGCAGCTGACCAATCTCTTCTACCACGATGGAGCTTCGAAGGACAGGCGCTCGATGCCCCGGAGTCGTGTTGAGGACAAGCTGGCAGCTTGAGAAGCCGTTGTCTGGCTTGAATCCGGAGCTTGAGTTTGTGAGCATCAGCTTCTTGATTCGAATCACTCCGACTCTTCTTCTATTCAGCATCAAGCGTAGAGTTGACGAAGGGGGGACTGTAGGTCTAGTAGTGCGCTGGCCGAGGGGTGGGTTTGGTGTCGCGGTAGAGGGTGGAACGGGTGGTGGATTGGACGGCCAGCGGGCGGGCGTGTAGAAGACCCTGCGCTAGGTAAAGGACCTGCGAGTCGATATAACGATAGGCAAGGTGAAGGATACTCTGTACAGAGTATGCAAGAGTATGACACTGTAGCTCGAAGAGGATCTTCAAGGATTTCACTTCCAGTTGACCATTGTGCCTCACTGCACCGCGCAACTTCCCGGGCGTCCGCACCCTCTTCCTCAACACAAACCTACCGCGGAGTATCAAAACGGCCAGCCACGGGAATGCCAAAAAAGCAAATCGACAAAGAAACCGAACTCGTATTTATGGGTATGTGAACCTAATCGCTAGGACTGAAGGAACCGGCCCCTAAAGGAACAGATAACCACTCAAGGCAGAAGAACCGGAATCCTCTGATTAGTGCAGAGCGTATCCAAGAGCTGTGGTCGTGCCACTAGGTTATCGAACCTACCACGATGGGCAGGAGAATTTGGGAACTTTTCCCTTATAACCCTTTGATTTCCCACAGATTCTTGCGTTGGTTGAAAATGACGTGCACCCGGTTCTCAAGGATGCAGATGACAAGATTGAATATCGAGAAGGGGAAGAATGCTTGTTATATATCAGGTACATGGGCTAAGGAGGCTGTGGGGCTAGGGCTGATGAGGCTGCAGTCCCTAGGATATGGAACAGGGGACCCGCCTATAGGACCCTAGGCCTAGGCCTCCTAGCCCCATGGAGGCTATAAAAGCCAAGGATGCTCAGGCGCTTCGGGGGGCTCCGGGCTTCACGATAGGGCTGAACCGCCTAGGACCAGGCATCAACAATCCTAATGGATCCCCACAGCAAGATTGCTTATCTGATATCCTGTAACCGAGAGTCTACACGACTTCAATCGACAAACTATAGATATCTAGGTATCTACACGGCGCGTTTTGATTTTGGTTCTATCTCCCTCCCTACTCATCTTTGATACAATCGTTGCTTGCTTTCCATCACGTTCTGTCCAAAATGAGCGAATTCACCAGTCACTCGGTCCTTGAAACCCATACTTCGCTAGATCCCAGTCAGCGGGAGATCTCTCATCCGCCCCAAACATACACCTACTACCATGCCGGGCCATTGTTCACGATCGCAGAACTGCACACCAACGTTCTCCTATCTCAAGCCATCAACAAACAGTCGTCGGGGAAATTCATTCCCATACTGCCACAAGACCTAGAACAGCGAGATCTCAGTCCACACTCGATCCGAGACGAGGATCTTCGTGCATTGTTATCTTCCGACTTGGCCATGTTCACCTATGATGGGGCAGAACTGGATGCGGGCACCGTGGTCGAGTATATGGTCGCCAAGATGGCAGATATCCCCACTGTCATTCTACGCACCGACTTTCGAGGAGCTGGAGACCAAGGCAAAGTGGGTGATTCTTGGAATCTGATGAGCTCATTCTGGCCACGTACGGTCGCTGTCGCTTTGGATGCCATGGTCGGATACAAGACCAGTTTGGCAATGGCGCTGAGTCAAGGGAAAGAGACAACTGGGGGCGAGTTGATGATCGAGGATGTGGCGCAGAAAGTCATTGATGCCTTTGAGAAGGTCCTGAAAGAACCGCCCAGACTGCCGAAGGAAGTCAGGGAGGGTGTATATCAATGGCTTGCCCTGATGCCTGGTTTCAAGGATGGTGGTGATCAGCATAATGTTGAGTTACTTGCAAAGTTATGCAAAGAGAAGCAATCCAAAGGGTTACTATGAAGACTGACCTGGAAAGAGACATTGCATCGACTTCAACATCAGCCAACCCAACGAGACAGGGAAAGCAGGGAAGATCAGCTATTCGGTCTCTCGCAAGGCTTGAGTCTCAAATACTGTAAGCATTCTGGCAATTTCGATCACTATGACCAACACGCTTCGTTCCAGCCCAATCAGAGGACTTGAACTTGCTCATGTCTTCATGTTGACAGACAGCCAGTGCCAGTAACTAAGGTAGGTATTTTGCAAAGCACGGTCTGCCTCTGTATTGGATACTACGTATTACAATGGTAGAAGCCGACGAGGCTGAGGCTGAGTCTGTGCAAACACGCCAAACAATTCCATAAACAGACGTCGCTTCAATCGCGAATTGCGAGACGTTGAACCACCATGAAAGCCAATTCTCCAAAGATATGTAATCCACCGTGTTGTTGCCCTCGAGGCAATCAATATCGACATGTTAAGCAGAGTGGTCTTCACCTCTGTAACCATCCTCCTTCATCTCATTTCTGCCGCTGCAGACCAGTCCCAGAGTCCTCTGCACGATGACCCCCTCCGAGTCCCTCAATCAAAGACACACCGCGTGGCCATCATAGGCGCCGGCCCTGGCGGCTCATCTGCGTCGTTCTACCTCAACCAGTTCTCGCAGTCACTAGACCTGGACGTTGATCTAGACATCACCGTCTTCGACGCCAACCCGCGCATCGGCGGACGAACCACAACCGTCAACGCCCTGGACGACCCTCGCTACCCGACCGAACTGGGCGCCAGCATTTTCGTCAAGGTCAACCATATCCTGTACAATGCCACGCGGGATTTCGGGCTGGCCCCGTCCGGCAAGATCTACGAGGCCACACCGGAGTCACAGTACGAGCTGGGAATATGGGACGGGAACCAATTCGTCTTCAAAACTGCCAGCGATGATGACGATGATGATGACACCCGCAGTTCCTGGCGCGGGTGGTGGGACATAGCGAAGCTATTGTGGAAATACGGGCTGAGTCCGATCCGCACTCAAAGAGCGACAAAGGCCGCGGTGGGCGCATTCCTCCAGGTCTACGAGGAACCTCTGTTCCCGTTCCGTTCGTTGCAGGAGGCTGTGGACCGCACAGCTCTGGACGCATACACGGGCGTATCCGGCAGGGAGGTACTCCAAGAGACGCATGTCAGCGAGTTATTCAGCAGAGAGATCATCCAGGCCAGCACGCGGGTCAATTACGCCTCCAATCTAGGCGGAATCCACGGTCTGGAGACGTTGGTCTGTATGGCGATCGAAGGCGCCATGGCGGTTGATGGAGGCAACTGGCAGATCTTCGACGAGATGGTGAAAAGATCGGCCTCGAGGGTTCTTCTGAACACCACGGTCACCGACGTTACACAGGATCCGGGAAAGAAATCGTACCGCCTGCAGACCAATGACCCCGACCTCGATGCACACTTCAACGCGGACGCCTACGACACCGTCATCCTCGCCGCACCGTACCAGTTCGCCAACATCTCATTCACACCGCCGCTCGTCGATCCGCCCTCCAAAATCCCCTATGTCTCTCTGTACGTGACGCTGTTGACCTCCCCACATCAACTCTCGCCGGCCTATTTCGGTCTACAGTCCCAAGCCGACGTACCTTCGTCGATCCTCACCACTCTGCCCGAATATCTGAACGACGAACTCAGTTCCCGTCGCGGCGTTGATGCCGTCGGCCCGCCAGGCTTCTGGTCAATCAGCACCTTACGCGTCCTCCATCCCGACATAGACGGGCTGAGCTTCTCCGGTCCGATATCAAGCAACAGCAACAGCAACAGCACCAACAGCGGACGAAGACCAACCGAGACCGATACCGAAAGTGACACTAACTCCAAAACAGATTCCGAGACGCAGTATCTCTACAAGATCTTCTCGCCGGCCCCTCTGACCGGAACATTCGTCTCCTGGATTCTCGGCTTCCCACATGCCCCGACATCCAAGGAGGACCCAGTATCCACGCTGCCCAAGGAAGACATCACCTGGCTCTACGAGAAGCACTGGCACAGCTATCCCTACGAGACCCCTCGACGGACATTCGACAACTTCACCCTGCACACGATGTCGTCGCTGATGAACGGGCCCGAGCCCGAGGCTGAGGGCGAGAACCTATTCTATCTATCCAGCATGGAGAGCTTCATCTCCACCATGGAGACGAGTGCACTTTCTGGAATGAACGTGGCCAAATTGATCATCGACCAGCTCCAGCTGCAGCAAAGGCAGCCTCAAACCTGAAGAACCCGGCTGGAATAGTGGACTCTTTCACAAGCCGAGACAAACCACCTCAGCATGATTGTGACTCGAACGAAAGTCTGACTGTTTTCCACCTCTGCTTTGGTTGCTTGGATCGACAACTCCAGTCCATACTCGACTCACAAGGGCGAAAAGACACCAGCCAAACCGAGACTCTGGTCATCGAATGCCGGCCCTCCGGGTGAAAAGGGTCAATTTGACACCCAGCGCATCATTAAATGGAACTTCCAGATGATGCGAACTCCACAAGAGGCTCTCTCAAGAGTCGGTCGGGTGTACCACTTTCTATATAAATAAATAAACCATCTGATCAAATCCTACAATATTCCATCCAAGCAATACATTCCTGCTTCCTCTTCTCTATCCGCACCCAACTGTAACCGATCTCATACTGGTATCCTGACGGAAAAACAGGGTAAGGAATCTCCTGGTTTCCGTAAAGGTCAATCATGCATTGGAAATAGACCATGCGTCTGGAGTGGTCTCCGAGCTATGTGTATCACAGAGCAAATCTAAGATACCCATCTGCACACCTGCCCACCTGCACACCTGTCCACCTGCCCAGATCTACCTGTATATAGGTATGTATATACGTAAATGTATGTATGTATCTATACCCAGCTGGCTGTCTATAACCTAGTCTTTGGAGCCATTTCACAAAAAGGACAAAGACATGGTCGACAACTACTGGACTCTGTATAGTATATACCTCAGATCAGGTGCCTGCGTCCCGTAAAGTAAAGCTGAAAGGACGGGTCCTCACGGCGCGATGTTGAGCAAAAGGAAGGAAACAAACGCAGACAAAAGCCAGAGAAACACCTGAGTTGCTCTCATCCTCTTCTCGCTGACTGACGACGTATGACAAGGGGTTGTTATCATCACTGGGAAAAAAACAGAAAGGAAAAGAAGAAAAGAAAAGAAAAAATTGGCATTTCCGGTCTCACTGATGAGAGGACGGAATGCGAAACCATAACATGACATGACATGATGACATGAAAAGTGAATTTGCTGAGTCGCTACCACTACCTAACCTGCAAAGGAAAAGCTACCTGGAGTGGTAAGAGATACTTGCATGTGGACCTAGACACCTGTCTGCTTTCTATCCGCCTGTCCGCCCGCATGCATAAGGTGCACGCATGAAAGCAATGTCATGAGAGATGCCGAGAGCCCAAACAGATGGCGAGATTGTTGTTCAGCACCACTACCTTCCTGCAGCAGCCATGCGACAAGACATGAATTCCAAGAGAGACGCCAAATACTCCTGACACTGGTGGATAGAAAATGCTCAACTTGTCGCGTCTAATCCCTAGGCTGCACCGTTAACAGAGGGTTTGTCGGTCAAGACTTTGGATCGTTCATTGTTGGCTTCAATCTTGGGCTGAACATCGACCGGGGCCTTGAGCTGCTCGGCGCCTCCATTCTTGTCACCGTTGTCAGCACCGTTTTTGACTTCACCCCCAATGATGGTATCAATTGTTGGCGGAGGTTGAGGAACGGCATCCTTTGGAGCCTCTTTCGTGGTCTCAACCGCGACAGGTTTGGCACTGGAGACAGCCTGAGTCGGAACTGGTGCAGTCGCAGATTGTGATGGCTGCGCAGATGATGGCTCGGCCGACTGAACTGCGCCGCTTGTCGCCGTCGTCGGAGCCGGCGACCCAGTGCCTCTGGTCTGCTCGATGGAGAAGCCGACAAAGTTGGGGTTTTTGAAACGATCAATGAACCGCCGAACGTGTTCCATGATGGTAAGTTCCTCCTTGGTCTCTCCATTAGGCAAAGAAGAATGCGGGGCGCCATGCAGCAACCGTCGTTTGACAGACGCAAACACTTTCTGCCACTCCTCAATCTTCGCCGGGTCGCGCACTTGATCATACATGGCGTTTTCGAAGCGTCTGATGGCGAGCAATCCGTCGGTCGAGCAGGGCATGTTTCGAGATGCGGAGGAACTGGATGGAATGGGTGGAGGTGGCACTGGTGTTGCGGCTGCCGAGTTGGGACGAGGCGGTCCTTGCGCCGTGGCAGCGTTGGGTTGAGAAGCACCACCAGGCTGGACAGGCGGTTGGGGAGGAAATGGCGGACGACCTCCCTGGGGAGGTGGGAAGAATTGGGGAGGAGGATTTTGACCGGGCTGCATGTGTGGAGGAACGTGTCCGTTTGGATTTGGTGAGGCTGAAGATGGAATTCCACCCGGTGGTGGAGGGGGCGGAGGCCAAGGCATACCGTTGGGTGGAGGCGGCATTGGACCATGTGGACCTTGGACGAAGAAAGGTGGAGGACCGCGGGGTGGCATACCGTTTTGCTGAGGAAAGGGAGTATTTTGCCAGTTCAACGGAGGATGAGATCCTGGAGGAGGGGGTTGACGTGGTGCGGGAGGCGGTTTTGGTTTGTTTGCTGCAGCTTGCTGAGCGGCTCGTCTTCTTTCAGCTTGTGGTTGAAGAGCGCCAGGTATGGCCTTCCACGCAAACCCTTTGCCCTCCTTCTCTCCTTTCTCAAACAGTTTGTTCCACTCTTGATTCAAGTTGTGTCGAACACTACTCTGCCAGCCCTCCGAATCCACTCGGTGGACGAAGAAAGGGAACTTCAGCTTCAACGCTCGATAAATTTGTTTCAGCGGAAGAGCCTTCGGGTGTATGTCGATCAGAATGTCGTAGATCAACCGAGCATATGGTTCGGATGGTCGTGCAAGCTGCTCTTCCGTCAAGCTTTCCGCTGGGGGATAATCTGGCGAAGGTGACTTGGATTGTCGCGCTTTCTTCACCGGCGCCTTTTCCGTCTCACTAGGGACGTCGACTTCACCTCCTTCAATTGACTGTACAATATCGCCATCCTCTCCGGGTCGTTTTCGTTTCTTGTACTTCCTCTTCTCTGTTCTCATGTCGGGGATGATAACCTCTTCCTTTACAATAGGCTTCGGAAATTTCCCCTTCAACATCGGCGGTGGAGTCTTGCCTCCGTTGGCCGCTTTGGCTTCGGCCAATCTTTGCGCCTTTTCCCTTTCTCTCCTCTCTCGAGTAGACATGATCCCGTCCTTGGGTGGCCTTCCAGGCCCCCGTTTCCTCGGCGGCATAGGTTGACCGTCAGGTCCAATCAGAGGATCCGCAATTGATGGTGACGGTTGCTGCGAAGTATTCAGAACGATTCTAGTCCTCGTCTTGCCACTGCGCGAAGGCGATAGGCTCGCATCCTCATCCTCATCTTCTTCGTTCGGCGTTGGCGAAGTGTTGCGTTGTGCAGAAGGGGTCTCCTCCATTCGATCACGTTCGGAATCTTCAGATATCGGTTCACTCCTCTGGTTTGGTAGGCGAAATGTCATCCAGACGTTTGAGATTTGTATCTTTGACCCATCTCGGAGGCGCTTAACCCCACCCCGGGGGAGATACTGATCATCCAAGAAAGCACCATTCCGCCCTAATACTTTCATCGAGAAGCAATCCTTGTCAAAGTCCCACTGAATCTTGACGTGTCGTCGAGAGATACTTCTGTGGTTTTCAACTTCGGACTTTTGTGAAGTGCGCATCGCATGAATCGGAATAAGCGGGCAGTTGTGAGCATCAGGGATATGGTCTGCAGTGACCGGAGCCGGTTGTTCGTTGTCCGCTTCGGGCTCGTTCTCGTGTTCAAATTGTGCCTGACGCTCAGCCATCTTGTGGTAATCGAAGGGGATCAGGGGCGGGTTGATGAGGACTTCTTGAGGCTTCACCACGCTACCAGCAGATCGGTCGGAGGATTGAGAATGAAGCGGATCAGGATTGCGGCGGTCGCCATCTTGCAGAACCGGACCATCGTCGACACCTCCAAACCCTCCAGCCTCACTGACGACACTTCCTTGGACTTGGCTATCGTTAGGCTTTGGCATCCCCTCAGACCGCCTCCCACTGGAACTTTGAGTGCGATCTTGCTCGGCCTGGCGCGCCTCTTCCGCTCTGGCAAGAGCTGCTCTGTATGCGAAGGCATCCCGTCCCAGCTCACAGGCATACGTTGTAATGTAGTAGTTGCCGTCTTCGAACTCGATCTTTGCGAAAGCCTCGATTTCTCTTCGTTCAGGAAGAGGGCCGGGAGATGCAGCAGGAGTCTGGGATTCCATCTGCGATACCGAGGGCATAAGCGTTGCTGGCCCTTGATTTGCTGGCGTCGGGTCGGTTGGTGGTTCTGGTAAGGGAGGAGAAAAGGTAGATTGGGGATTCGCATCTAGGAACTCATCGTTGCTCAGTGGAGGAAGCGGAGGAAGAGAGATACTAGGATCGGCATTGATGTTGTCGTTGGTTGCTTCGGTTGCAGCAGGGACGTCGATAGGGTCATTCTCGTCTGTCGGTTTGAATGTGGCTTCGGTTTTGTTTGTAGGCGACCCTTGGTTTACATTTGCATCTGCGTTGGCATCTGCGTCCGCGGTCGCAGTTGCGGTCTGGGTGGGACTTATGGGCGCCAATGCCGCCAGGAGGTTCCCAACGGCTTGACTTCGTTGTTGTGTATCCATCTCACTCCAAGATGGGTGTTCGGCGCCAGGAGATTGAGCGAGGTTCGTTTGCGGCGGTTCATCTTGGGGTTTCGGCTCCGCGGCCTCGTCGTGAGGATTCGAGCGATCGGACCATGTTGGATCTGGAAAGTCGGGCAGGTCGAGCGGATGGGAGGAGAAATCCGGCAGACCTCTTGTTGACGTCGCGATAGCCTGCGACGACATGACGAGGTCTGCGAATTCACGGGCCGGGGGGGAAAAGCGCACGAGGTTCGACTGTGTCGAGGACGCGGCGCAAGACTTGGTTGCGAAGAAAGACGGGAACATGAAGTTCTGCATCGTCAAAGTCTCGAGGCGGCGGGCGCAGGACGAATAAGGGACGGTGATTGGCTGCGGGTGATTTAGTCAAGCAGCCAGCCAATCAGATCCGATCGACTGTGGCTCCATCTCAGATTTTGTTTGGACCCCGAGTCTCCAGCATGGGGACTTTTTCACTAAGGTGATAGAGGAGATACTAGTTACTACTAGTACTGCTACTGCTACTGCTACTACTACTGGCCATTTGGACACATGCTGGAGACTTTGGCTCTACATCGCTACATCTCTATCATGAGTCACCGTCCATCATGGCTCCGCGAGGAAAACAAAAGCCTGCCAAATCAGCGGCCTCGATCAAAGAAGTCGTCAGACCACAAGTGCCAAACTGGCCACCGTTGACTCCTCTGATTCCTGCCGAACACCTCGCCTTAGAGACTCTGTGTCCAGGCCAGATTCTTCTCGTGCGGAATTTGTTCACCTCCAACCTATGCAAAGCCTATGTGTCATTCCTGTCCGCACTTCCCTTGAATACCACGCCGGGGAACCCTAAACGTGGAGAAGCAGTGCGAGTCAACGACCGTTTCCAAATCGAGGATACGGTCTTCGCTAGAATGCTCTGGGAGCAGAGTGGGCTTCAATATCTGGTAGAATCATTTGAGGATCCGACTATCTTTGGAGGGAAGGTGCTTGGATTGAATCCAAATATAAGAGTGTACAGATATCGTCCAGGCCACTTTTTCGACCCGCATTATGATGAGAGTAATAGACTACAGTTTGGCGAGGAGAAAGTGCCCGCCAAAACCACTTGGACGCTTTTGATATACCTAACAACCTGTGAAGGCGGTGAGACCGCCTTCTACCCGACCGTCCGCAAGAGGGGAGAGAAGACCCCGGACCCTATCATGGTGGAACCCGAAGCTGGCATGGGTCTTCTGCATAAGCATGGCGAAGACTGTATGCTCCATGCAGGGAGGGAGGTGACGAGTGGTGAGAAATGGGTTCTGAGATCTGATCTGGTGGTGGAGAGGTGATTGGTAGATGGTGGAATAATCGGAATATGGTCAGGAGGAATCATGGTGCGGTCCTGACATGGTTCGTCAAAACCAGCAGTCGGAGTCATTCTGAAGCGAAGCGAGGCGGTCCTCCCGGGGTTGCGTCGCATCAATGGCTACCGCCGCAAGTGTTCATCATCAGTCTCAGAGGTGCCTTCCCTAGCCTCATTCAGCATAGAGTCGATCCCTCTCTCCTTCAGCGCTTTCTGTGTTGCGCCGTCAGCGTTTGCCAAACAGGAAGGAATTCGCATGTCAAGGTGCTCACAGTCAAGCAGGACTTGTACTGCCGAAAGAGAGGCTGGCATTCGTCTGTGGAAGAGTTGCCGCGGATGTATTCTGAAAGAATCGTCTCAGCTCATGGCATTCTCAGTGATGGAAAATGGTGCAGATATACTCTCGGAATACCACTTTAAGAAGCATGTGTCATACTTCCTGTCGACAGTTAGCTGTGCCAAAACATCGGTGAGGATGGTCCAACGTACTCTTTGACTTCATTGCACTCGGAGGCGAGCGAAGCCGACATTTTCGAGTCGATGTGAACGATAGACTGAATGTATGAGTGACTGTGGAAAAACAGTTTCGTCTTGAAGTCATAAGAGTTGGAGGTTGGAGGCGAACAAGAGCATCTCAACTTGAAGGGAGAGCCAATGAGGCTCCTTTCTCCAGGTTGGGTGCCGGATCGGAAGAACAGTTGTTCCGGTGTCACAACATTCTGTCAGACAGATATTTTGTCATTCCACTGCAGCTCATTCAAGTTGCATCTAGCTTGGTATCTATCTTCACTGCTCTACCATCTTCCACTCTCTCATCGCTGCCATCGTGATGCCACTGTCGCTATTACTGTCAGATGTGCCTCCTATCACTTTGCTGCATACTACACCATTCTGACGCCAGAGTGCAATTTTCGTGTCATTCTGAGTGTTCTCGGGATTGCTATGCTAGGCCGTGTAATTCGACTGCCGAACGAAAAGCAAGACCTGCGATGACCTGCCGAGACTGCCTTGCCTGTCCCTAGTCTGTCATCCGCAGCATGTTGAAGAAATGTGATCAGGAGTGTGATTGTGCATCCGAACATGCACACCCCTCGATATTTCTTAGTCCAAATTCCTCATCTGCTTCACCAAACAATCGTTCCAGCAACAGCGCAAAGACAATGTGCATGTCCTTGCCCTCCTGCGCCCAGAGTCTCTCACCTGGCTCGGCTTCGTTGAAAACCCGAAGCCCCAGATCAGCGCCAGAAGAGGCTCGCTCCATGAATTCTCGATCTGGGAACTGCAACGCCACATGATGTGGCACAACCTTCATGTGCAAGCCCTGCAAGACCTGCTTCAACTGCATCGCTGCTTTATGCCCACCATGCCCGCCGTAACTGACCACCATGGCCGGCTTGCCTGCCCATTCGTGGTAGAGGTAATCGAGTGCATTCTTGAGGCCGGCCGGATAGCCCCAGTTGTACTGTGGGGTGACGAAGACGAACGCTGCAAAGCTGTTGATCAAGTCTGACCAGGCTCGAGTGTGGTAGTGGGCGTATCCCGCCGAGGAGTGGATGCGAGATGGAATGCCTGGCTCGTCATACATCGGCAGTGGATGTTCGGCGAGGTCGATGAGCATGAATTGATACGGTCGCGAAGATGGATGACCGGCTTGGTACTGCTTCAGTGTGTCCAGAACGAATGTTGCAATCTGTGGACCTGCCCGGCGGGGGCGTTGGCTGCATATTATCACACCGATCTGTTCCATAATAGGGTCGCTTGGGAAGACTCGGAAGAGTGAGCCTATGGTTGAATCCATGATCGTAATTTGGCCGAGTTAGAGAGGAGAGAGAGAGAGAGAGAAAGGGGGGAGATTCGACTGCGTTTGATGATGGTAAACAAAGGCTTTGTGTCACAAGTGGATGGACTCTTCCAGAGATTTAAACTTGAGAAGCAGGACCAACGCAATGAACGCAGGCGTGGGTAATGGGCTCAGAATCGAACGCTCAACTTATACCTTGTTAAGCCGTCACACCCAAATAATGGGTCTGCAAGAATGGACAAAGCGATATCAAACAACACTCCGTACTTGCCAAATGATTGCGCACTTTGTTATATCACCCTTCGCACATCAGTGTAGTCAGCGAGGCAGTTGATGTTAACGCTGACAAGTATTTGCGTCCCGAATTGCACAAGCCAGGCTGCCACTGAGTATTTTCGAAGTGGACGGACCAGGCTGAAGGGTGGATAGGGGTTGATGTTGCGCTGTAGCCAATGAGATGCATCCACACCTGAATTGTCTTTGCGGGACACCACATCCCGAGGCCGCCATTCGGGTTTATCGCCCGGCGCGAGGCTCGCTATACAAGATATGGCCGAAGGCTGGTTCGCGCCACACCTCTGAGCAATCTACCGTAAGGATTGCTCCTCTTTAGGATTCAGGGTCGGACTGCACCATATGGTTGCATGTTGCGCAGTCGCCAATCAGTAACATGCGGCTAGCATCATCAGGCTGGCTCCACGCCGAGATGAGATGCTCATGCGTCCAGCACCGAACGTGGTCTGGAGTCGAGTGATATGGGGAATCCGTGTATAAATACATGCCTTTGGTGCGTTGAGAGCAAGCAACATCCCATCAGATAGATACATCGGTGACTGGACTTGAACACCAACACTATGAACAACAGCAGCAGCATGCGAATTGCAATCGTCGGAGGCGGCCCGGCCGGTCTAACGTTGGCACGGATTCTCCAAAATTACAATGTTACCTGCACAGTCTTTGAGCTGGACAAAACACCTGACCGTCGTGACCAAGGTGGTAGCATTGACCTCCATCGGAACGGCGGGCAACAGGCTCTCCGAGAAGCGGGTCTGCTCGAGGAATTCAGGCGCGTCGCGCGCCCGGAAGGAGAGGCGTTGAAACTCATCAAATACGATGGCACTGTGGTTCTCGACGAGAATGTGGCCGGCAGCCGCAGGCCCGAAGAACATGCCGATCGCCCCGAGGTCGACCGTACAAAGTTGCGACAACTGCTGCTCGATTCTTTGCAGCCGAACACGGTCATCTGGGACAAAAAGCTCGTCTCCGTCGCAGCATCGACGTCCATACCGGGCAGGTATGATCTGCACTTCCAAGACAGTGTCGAAGAAGGGTTTGATCTGGTTGTTGGCGCCGACGGCGCGTGGTCCAGAGTGCGCAACTTTCTTACTGAGCAGAAACCTTCTTATTCGGGCGTCACTGGGATCGAGCTCTGGGCGCTCGAGGTCGACAAGCGGCATCAGTGGCTAGGAGAATTTGTTGGCGCAGGAAGCTGCTTCATGTTCGACGAAGGCCGTGCCATCCAGTGTCAGAGGGATGGTGAAAATAGGATTCGAGTCTACGTTGGGGTGCGGCAGCCGGAAGATTGGATAAATACATGTGGCATTGATTGGGCCTCACCTGAGGAAGCAAAGAAAGCCCTGCTGGACCGGTATTTCAACGACTGCGCACCTGACTTGAAACGAGCCGTTCTCGACGCCAACGACCAGCTGATCCCTCGGCAAATGTGGATGCTACCCATCGGCATGAGATGGGAAACGCACCCTGGAGTTACGCTCGTTGGAGACGCAGCTCATTTGATGACCCCTTTCGCTGGGGTCGGCGTCAATCTGGCCATGCTTGACGCAATGGATCTAGCCAAAGCCGTGATCGGCTGTGCCGGTGATGCGAGCCGACTTCCAGACGCGATCCGACAATATGAGGAGGTGATGTGGGAGCGCGCAGAGCAGAATGCCCGCAAGACTGAGAAAGGTCTCATAGGCCATTTCAGTGCCGATGGCATTGACGAGATGGCCCGACGACTCCAAGGACGTTAGAAAGGGTCAAAGGGAACCATCAAACCACCGCAGATTGCCACTTGCCAAGCCAACTGCCGTTCTCTTGTCGCAGCAGCCGTTGAGATTGTCGTTAGCATGACCATTTACATATCATATGACATTAGTCCGGATTGTCATTATAAGAATTCAAGCAAAAGGGTCAAGACCTGCGGTATCGTTGGCCCAAAGCTGCCGTATGCCATATTCCAGGGGCTTTGCAGCTACCTGAGAGATAGACTTGACGACGTTCCAATATTGGAAGGCGGCATCTCTCCTTGTCAGCATAGTTGCCAAACAAGGGCAAAGGCCTGTTCTGTCGATGTCATAGGGTGAACTCGAGATCAGACTCGACAATAATGTGTCCAATCTGACCATAAGGTGATTCGAAACACAATGAACGATCATTATGAGTAGATCCGGCTGAGGGAATTCCGTCTGAGTAGCTGACGCTAGATATGCTGCCAGGTGGTCGCTATTGGGCTGTTCGTCATCTGGCTGTAGGGTGACAAGGGACCTTCGGGGTTCTAGGTCCGTGGAATACCAGCCTTCAACCGACTTCTTGATGGATGATGTTCGAAGCAGAGCACTTTGGTGCCGGTCCGCAAGGCCAACCGACACGACAGCATTTGTATTCAAAGACTCGACAATGTTTGAGACTTCTGTGATGAGTTCCGGGATTTGGACAAGGAAATCACAAAGCTGCGCACGTAGCGAGAAGCCCGAAGGCCATTCGACGGCACTTGGTCTTGCAGAAGCCTCGAATAGTGCTTGCCAACGTGGGTGGGCCAGAAAACAACGATCCTCGGATCCGACATCTTGGACGATCTGTGTGCACAGCCAAATGAGATTCAGCATTACAATACAGCCACTGGGCCGTCGAACAAGAGCTTCACTCACAAACCAAGCTCGCTGCGACTCAAGCATTGATCTTTCGAAAGGTTGTGAGAAGCGAGCAGGCTCGCACTCTTCAATCAGGAGCTTTGAACCCCTGCAGAGACTATTCCATCGCCCGGTGTTGGCACTCAGATTCAGCTGCAGATATGTATTCTGAGCATCAGCAGTTCCCCTTTGGACCGTTATACATGCAGACAAGCACTTGACCTACCTCGCAAAGCTGCAACAAGATAGAAGCACATATTGTCTCAGATTCGGTTCGGACTTGTGGCGAACCCAATGCTCTTCGTAAGGATTTCAGGCTTTTTGCATAGAGTCGAAATGAATCCGTAGAAGCCGCCGTCTGAAACCTCAGCACATCGGTGTATATGCTGCAAATGCATGAAACGGAGTCATCTAACGCAGTATTGCGGCCAAGACGACAGGGTATCATGCTCAGAAACCCACCGAAGGACCCGATAGGAAACCGAATTTGACTTTCTCGCCCGTTAAGCATGTAACTCAGCGCAGAACAAAGCTGATTCAGACGGGTAAGCGGGTTATGTAGGAGGGTAGTATCATGGTTGACTAGAACAGCTGTTTGTCGGGTAACCATGCCATGAGGAGGGTGATCTGGCCGTGCTGAATCTGGACATTGAGGCTCGTCGAGATCTTCGAATATATATTTCTTTCTTTGATACAGCGCAATGAGTTGGGCAGTTTCATTCACGAACTTCCAACGTCTGCGATAGCCTGGGCACTTCCACCCAGCTTTCAAGCATGCCACACATCCGGGGAGCTCTTCATCGCACTGGCATGTAGACGTTCAGTATTGCCCGTATACCTCAAGTCAAGAGCGACAATTGCAATGCTTTACCTTCTTCTTGCGTTTTCGACAGTTTGCACAGCCAGTGCTTTTGAAAGTACCAACCATGGCAATTCTCTGAGTTCACCACCAGAACCTCACGTCTCTGAGGCTGGTTCATGGATGGGAGAAAGATGATTAGGATCCTGCAGCCTAGTGACGAACAATCGTCAGGAGTCGAAGGCGCTTGAAGGATTAGAGATCCACCGTACGGCAATCCAATCTGCATGAGATTATAAAATGCGGCGCCGTGGTTTTAGGGTGGCGCTAATGGGCATGTTTGGCATGTTTGGCACTTGTGGGGAGGAATTCAACTTTTGGAGACTTTTGCAGATGCTGCGACAGTCGATGAAACTGACCTGATGAGAAGCACGTAAGTTTCTCGACCGAGTTCCTTTGGCAAAAATATACCTATGAGGACTTGTGTTACTGTCCATTATCGTAGCCATGGACTTGACCGCGGACTTCAAGTCTTTTCAAGATCTCATACAATCATCCCTCATCGACGTGACGAGGACGGCAACTCAAATCTCTAACCAAGATCTGAGTTTCCATCGCTCGTCCAGCGAAAAGCTGTCCCGTGCCCTTGACCGTCAGAACACGCATCTTCTGCGCTTGACCAGCAGTCTGCTCAAGGCTGCCACTAAAGATACCACTCTCAAACCCCCTGCTGTGCGAGACCAGGATGACATCGAGGACAATTGGCGTGGAATAGTCGACGTGGTTGACGACCTCCTTGAAAAGGCGGATTCCGCACTTGATGAATACTCTGGCGTCATTAAGCGTCAAAGCCCTGGTCAAGATCCAGAACCTCCAGCCAAGCGAGTCAGGACAGGAAGAGGACTTCACGCATGGGCTTCAGAGAATACTCAGAAGCCCCAGCTCCAATTCGATCGACACGTGAACAACGCCGAGACAAAACCATGGAAACCTCTACTGAGAGAGAAGCCGCATGCTATCGTTCCTTTGGACGAGAGTATCGGTAATGAGGACACAGGGTGAGTTTAGTACCTAGGACAAGGGATGTTCTCGCAGCGCTGACGGTGGTATAGTTACAAGCACCCATACCTACACGAGATCGAGCAATACACCTATCCAGCTTCGGTGTATGAATCCAGGCCTCCTGTTCCATTTGCACCACCGGAGGACAGTAAGCCGATATTCGTCGACACTGAGGAAGGAGTGAGGGAAATGCTGGAAGAGTTGAAGGGCGCTTCAGAAATTGCGATTGACCTTGAGCATAATGACCAGCGCTCATACGTGGGTATGGTGTGTCTCATGCAGATCAGCACCAGGGAAAAAGATTGGATCATTGACACTCTAAAACCATGGCGGGAGAACTTGCAAATCCTGAACGAAGTCTTTACCGACCCAAAGATCCTGAAAGTGTTTCATGGCTCCAACATGGACATCATCTGGCTGCAAAGAGATCTCGGCCTGTACGTCGTGGGCCTCTTCGATACCTACCACGCATGTTGCGCCCTTCAATTTCCCGGCAAGGGCTTGAAGCATCTGCTGCACCAGTTTGCAAATTTCGAGGCCCAGAAACAATACCAGACCGCGGACTGGAGAATACGACCTCTTCCCAAGGAGCTAGTAGATTATGCCCGTTCAGATACTCATTTTCTGCTCAACATCTACGACAATCTTCGCAACCTGTTGATTGAAAGCTCCAACCCGGCCGAAAATCTCACGGATTATGTACTGGCGCAGTCGAAGAAAGAGGCCCTCCAGACTTACGAGCGCTCTGTGTATGACATGGAAAGCGGGCGTGGCCCACTTGGGTGGCTGGGACTTCTACTGCAACGATCTGTCCGGTTCAGCAACGAACAGTTTGGTGTTTTCCGAGCCGTTCATGCCTGGCGAGACCGGAAAGCACGAGAGCTAGATGAAGGTCTACAGTACATTCTTCCGAATCGCATCCTCTGGCAGCTTGCAGAGAGTATGCCCACGTCAAATTTCAATTTCCACGCCGTTTTCAGAGGCAGTGCCCCAAAATCAGTCTTGGACCACTTACCTGAGTTACTCGAAGCTGTCAAGACCGGCAAATTCGAGGGCCGTACTGGACCTTCTGTTCAGGAAGTGTTGCAGCATAATGAGGAGGTGTACGGCATCGCGCCACGCCGACTACCAAGGGAGAAAAGAGAACCTGCAGCAACCACAATCCAGGGGCTAGGCGCGACCTTGAAGCAATTGGTTGCCAGTGGCGACGTCGGTGCTTCGCCAGCTTCATTGAATTATGATGGTGGCATGGATGTGGATGTGGACGTCGAAACGCCGGTCGCCACGCGCTCTTCGGCATCCATGTTTTGGGGTGGCATCACTCCGCAGCTTGCACATTTGCCTGCCCAACTAGACACCGTGATGACTGCGCTCCAGTCCGTCTTGCCTCTGCCGTCTGTCCCGCAAGATCCTGCGCAAGAGCCCCTTCCCGCTGAACAGGCGACCCCTGTCGAAGCCGAGCCCATTGCAACCACAAAACCCGCTGTCAAAGCACAATCTCAACCCAAGGAAGCCGAGATCTTCACACTGAAAGACGCGGCTACTGCGAAGAAGCGGAAGGCGGACGAAACGACGGAGGCAGCAGATCTGCCAGTGTCGACCCTGGGGGCAGAACCGCCCAATGCCTCTAGCGACTCGCCGAAGGACCCTGCATTCGAGGGAATGCGTCAAGCCAGAAAACAGAGGAAGGCAGAGAAGAAGGCGAAGAAGGAAGCCGACAGACTTGCCGCCGAGAACGCGGCCAAGGCGACACAACCGTTCGACTATGCGAGCGCGGAATCCCTTCTCAAGCCGCAGGCGCAGGCAGCAAAAGCCGATACAGATGCGAAAGGAGGCAAGAGGATGAATCCATTTGCAAAGGCGTTGGACACCACCACCGGGGCGAAACGGGGCAGGATGGGCAAGGAGTTGGCAGGCAAGAGCATGACCTTCAAGTCCTAAACGTTCCAGCATTAAAACACGGACTACGTTTGGGATTAGGGCTTGGATGCTCTACGTTACATGGAAATGATGCAGCTACAATTGCAAGCGAGCATGAGATACCTACATATTTAGGCATGTTCTCCGCCCTCGGGGAGCGCCAATACAAGTCTGTATCCAACAACAACGATGTCAGAGATTTTTCCCAGCATGACTGGGCCTCGTGTACGATGGAGAGCATGGCTCTTACTAGGGCAAGTTTACGCCCTCCACCAAGCGTGGTTCCGAGGAATATGGCGCAGTAGTAATGAGAGAGCCATAGATCGGCGGGCAGAGTACCGGTCTTGAAGCAAACAGGCCAGAAGGGAGTTCGGAATTGAAGAAAGTCATCGTTGTTTCCTGTAACAGACGGCAAGCATGGGGCCCATGGACAACCTTGCAAAACTAGTAATGTATGATTGATGCAAAAACCCGTGCCCCCATACTAGTACCCCAGTGCGAAACGCCCATCTACTTCGTACGCGAGGAGATTGCCGAACTCGAAAAATCGCAAGACAGATCCCACAGAAAGGTTCCCAGGGTGGTGGCGGTGACGGTGGCGGTCGTGGAGGTAGTGTATGAGAATGAGGAACGGTAGGACTGAACCGGGTGCAATCGTGCTGCGACATAGTTGACTCGGCCTATGATCCGGTGCAATTGCTTTCTCCCACGCCAATGAAAAGGTGCTTGGTCTCCTGAAAGCTCCAATTACACGGCCATCTCGGCTTGCAGTTTCCTGAGTTCTTCCTCTTCGTCCTCCTCGACGGTGGAGGGCTTGGTGACTACTACAAGAGCGTCAGTATGGGTTTGGCCAATGTGATTGTTGTTGGATGTCTCCTGTCTCTGATTGCGGGTTGCCCCAAAACGGCAGGACTTCCTGCTATGAAGATCTCAGATGTAGGCTTTCTGGATGGAAACTTACTAGGACCGGTAGAAACAGAAGGCAGCCTCGCGACCTCGCCCGTGACAGGCGTGGGGCCGGTCTTGAGCATTCTCTCGTCCATGGCTTCTTGCTCCATTCCTTCCAGCTCGTCCTCGAGATCTGCCTCGTCGATGGGCTCGCCGATGGGCGCATTCGTGATGGCGTTGGCGATCTCCTCGCCCAGAGCGTGTTGTTCGCGCAGCTCGTCCATGGTCTGGTCGACCTTGTCGATGGTCAGGTTGCCATGGATCTGCTTCATGGCGGCGCCGGCGTTCTTCATCGCGTTCAGCGTCTCTTGGTTGATGTTGGCGGCCTCGATCGAGTAGATTTGTTGTTCGATCTGCGCGATCTGCGCCGACGTCTGTTCTAGCGTTCGTTCATGCAGCTTCTTGCGTCGAAGGGCGGCTTTGGCGGCTACAAGATACAAAAGAACATTGTGTGAGCTGTCTGAAAAACGAACTAACCCATACAGATGGGAGCCTTCCAGGAAGGAGAGACAGAGAAGCACGTATATTGCAAGACCAGGCTTGGGAGGTTGTGTATGTTGTCTGGGATGTGTTGGGTAGCTTGCTTACCTGTCTTGTTTGTGGTGATGTTCTTCCGTGCCAATGCATCTTGTTCTGCCATTTGGCTCTCTAGGTATTTCTCCCGCTTCTGTAACATGTCCAGCTGCTGGCGCAGGCTCAGAATCGCCTTCTTCGGCGCATCTTTCCTGGCCTGCGCCGATGCCCCGCCAAACCAACTCCACATGTTGTTCGCTTGAGAACGGAAGACACGGGAGATTTATGCTCAGATCCCAGCAGAACAAGCGGCCCGAGACGTCGTTGCGCTCAATGCGTGGTGGTAGGGCCGGCTATACCAGATGGTTGGACCTTCAATGCTGCTGTTGGTGGTGGCAGCGTGCTCGATGGCACTTCCACAGACTTCGATCGTTATCGCGTCGTGTGCCGGATGGCTATCAGCCGGGTTCTTTTCGTGGTCTGCAAGGGCAAATGAATGACGAGGAGGGGGCCTATATTGTACGGACTATTCGAGTTGATGGCAGGTCGAGAGCAGGACGTTTACAGTGGTTTGCGTAGAGGGAGAAGGACGCCGCAGTTTGGATGGAATGGAGATGAGAACGAGAGCCTGGCACGGGATCTGGAAGTGTCCAAGCGGATGAATGAGAGAATGACATCGACGGCGGCTTCGGTCACGTGGCACGTATTTGGCAGGTTAGCCGAGATCCCGTGATTAGTGAGTCAGATATTAGTCATGCGCCCGGGACGAGGGCAGGGGACGAGGCTGTAACTTCAAGTTGGTCTCTCTCGAAGGCATTATGGTTCATAGTTCTATCTGTTAATGGATCTGTCCATCTACCCGAAACAAAAGTCAACGTCCCCATGGCCTGCTTGCCGCCATCTATCGACCACTTCACCCCACCATGGCCCTCGATCAGCCTCATCTTGCCCTGCCCAAACCTCTTCCAAGATGCCGATGACGCTGGTAAACATGTGGTACCCAAAAGTCTCGAACCACTGTCTGCAATATTCTCGAATGAAATTTTTGTGTCGGTCGAAAGTCGTCTGAGCTCCAGCGAGGAAGATGGGTAATAGCAGCTGCTTCTGTGTCGGCGAAGATGGCCGAATCGAGCACACATGGTCCAGAGCCACCCGACTCAGATATCTCAGCTTCGTGCTCACAGAAGCCCGTGTCGTTTCTCCTTCATCGTCCTGAAATACTTGCAGAGCGTAGATGAGTAGCGAATATCGTATCGCCTCGCAGCTGTGATACTGATCCCTAGCCTGCTGCAGACTCTCATCGTCTTCAAGCTCGAGGTCGTAGACCGCCTCGTTGTCGGGAGGCTGGTAACTGCGCAGATTGCCCTCGATCTCGGTGACAATCGCTTTCATGGCCTTGCCCATGCTGCCTTTGGTTTTGGATTGGCCGGCAAGATGGGCAAGCTGCATCAGAGGCACGAGCAGCTCGCGCGGACAGCCGATCAGTTCAAAAAAGGTCCAGAACTGCGACACTTCCCATTGAAGAACGGCTTCAAAGTACGTATATGGCATCACGCATGGGCGACGAGACAACAAGGCCACCACGGCGTCCCACCTATGATCATACGGTTAGCGGTACTTCGGCCGCAGGAGATAAGAGCAATAGAACTTGCCATAGTAGCATTGTCACCTGGGTTTGTGACCTAAAGGACAGCGACCATACATCGATACCGCCCGCGAGCTCGAGGAGAGAGTATGCGTGCGAAAGATGAGCTCTCCATGGATTCAGAGCCGATTCCACAGTCTGCAGAAGAAGAACAAAGAGTCAGCTTGCCGTTTGAGGAGGTCTGCAGCGGCTTTTGGCCGACGCATGATAGCTGCGAGGACTTACATCGATGCACCATAGAGCCAACAAGGTGTCTAGCGCTTCCAGACCCTGGGCTTGGATTTCCGGATTCTCAACCGCTGCTTTGTACAAGGCAGCCGCCTGGTTTTTATGCTGGTAGAACTCTGCGGGCGGACTGCTGTTGATGGAATACGAATTCTGGTGATGGCATGCAATTGCAATGATTGCGTGCAGGAGATGTTTAGACCCGCGAGACGTCTCTCTACGGTAGCGGAAAGGATTGATGTCCAAGTCGTTCGTCACTGGATATGTACAAAACTCCTGGTCATCTAGTATATTGTCAGAACAAAGAGCTGTAATCCACGGTGGTGGGTCAGAGTAGGGACTTACATCTGTCAAGCAGGACGGAGAACTGATCGGCCGTGGAGATATATTGTACTCGGGGTGGAATCGAGGCTAGGATGGTGAAGGAGTCGATATCAAACGTGTCCTTGTGCAGAGTGGCCATTGACAAGGCCATTGAGCTAGGTGAATTTGGCCTCAGCGGCCACTCAGATTGTATCTTCGCGCCCGAGCCCGTCACCGTACCCTCCACGTCCTCATCTTCCTCGGCTCCGTCCATCAACCACAGGGTTGCGGACGGGTGCTGCTCAGACCCTTGGTTTGGCATTCCGTCCAATGTGGCATCAGTGCTGAAGAGCGGCAGCTCCTCGACTCCTGCTGTATCGGGCAGCAGCCAATTGTCGAAGACGGGGCTGCGGAACATGTTGTTGGTCTGCACAGTTGGTGTCAGCTGTAGATCTGCCGAGCCCATGATAGACGTGTAATCCGCCGAGATATGTAGGGAGTCTTGATGCTTCTGCCTCATGTTAGGAACCGGCGGCACTGGCTTTTGCGACGCTGGGTCAGCGACGGTCTTTCCTGGAGCATGAGCATCGGATGCATCTTCTTCTTTTGGCACGGGACTGGCGTGTGCCTGTTGAGATTCCTCGCCGCCTTTTCTAGAGTGCTTCTTCCGGCGCTTTGGTGGCCAGTTGACAAAGGAGAACTCTCGACCCCGTTTTTGAGGCGACGTGCTCCTCTGGGAGCCGATTTTGGTGTGGCCAGCTCGTTTGGCCTTTGTTGATTCCGTCGCTGTCGCCGTCGCCGTCTCAGATGGCACTGGGCGGCATTCGATGCCATGCCTCCGCCTACTGTCGTCGCCGCGTCTGGAGGGCAAGTCGCTCCCTTCCCATATCAAACGCGTCTGGAACCCTTTGCATTCATCCCCGGCGTTCTGGCATGTCGTGCAAATAGGTCGCTGACGGTCACAGACTCTGTGAAGCGCTTTGCAAGTGTGGCAGTCTGACTTGGCGAACGCCAGCGAATTGGTCCTTTGTGACATGTCGACGGCAACGGATTATATCGGATGCTATGCTGATCTGTTCAGGAAACGTAGTCTCGAACAAATTCCAAGATGCCCCCTGAGCGCAATCTCCTGGATTCAGTGCGGGTGTTTCATCGGGTGAACGGCGCGGTGGTTGATGTTGTTAGATGTCGATGGTGATCATCTCCACTTACTCAACAAAGTCGGATCGTGAAGGGATGATAATGAAAGCTTGATCCATGGTAAGCAGTCTGGAGATGAGGGGTGTGTGTTCCGGGAGAGTGCCAGTGGGTGATCCAGGCTTCTTGTCAGCGTCTTACTACCGAAAGAGAGATGGTTCTAGCCTTATCTTGTCCACTTTTTGTGTCAACCCGGCCACTAATACAGAGGGTGCGGCTGATCATGATACGAGGCTTTGAGGTATATTATCGGCTCTATATACGATTGGCATTGGCCGCATCCCGATTCGCCAGGAGACAACTTCGCCACGGACGGAGAAGATCAGGCCTGCTGTCACAGGACATGGCTGACAAGATGCAACTGACTCAAACAATAATACCTCCATTACTGGAACAGGTCGTACACGAGCTCGCTATAGCCGGCATCATCGTAAATCTATGTAGTACTCAGTGACACTCTAGATCAGATCATTATTCACTCCTTCCCGAAAGACCCCTTCTTCTATCTCCCTGTGTGTCGACGTTCTAGCCATCGCAGCGGAGGGTATGAGATACCTGTGAACGCAAAGGCCAAGATGACCCCGAGTTCACCGCCCATCTCCCCGATCTGTCGGGCAGCGACGCCAACGTACCAGGTCTGGTTCATGCCGATCACGGCGCCGACAATGCCTAGCAAGAAACTAAAGACTGCCGCGAGACCCCATGGCAACCTGTGCTTGTCTGCGTAGGCATCGACGTCGTAACCGGTGTTCCGCCGGAAGATGAGATCCTCTTCAATGACAATCATGAACAAGGCACTGGTCCAGTACCCGATGACGCTGAGGAAGTTGCTAATGATGTTCATCAAGCTGTTGCGACCAGCGATGCCGCAGATCGCATAGATGAGCACGGCAACAAGCGTCCAAAAGAGGCGGGGGACGATGGCGAAGTAGTGGGTGAGCGCCTGGATGGACAGGCCCGCCGAGTAGGTGTTGGGGATATTGTTCCCGATAAGCCCTGGGAGTCATTAGCCACGAGACTTTGGGAGACCTTTCAGGAACTGCTGTGCTTACCAAGGAAGAAGACGACCATAAGGAAAGTGCCGAAGCCATGCACAGGTTTCAACGCGGTTCCGATCAAAGCTCCGTAGCCCTCATCAGAGTACACCGTCATCCATTTGGAGTAAGTGCCCATTCCACCACCGATGGCCAGGCCGACGGATTGGAAGAACACCATAGGCACGGTAATGCCCACCCATGTCAGAGAGAAGGTTTTCCAGTGTGGCGTTGTCGCAGGATAGGTGATATAGTAGTCACTTGCGATAGGCAGAAATCCAGAAGCGGAACCGAAGCAGATCTGAAGCATGGTCAAGAAGTTGCCGGAAAACGTGGCTCCGGAGTACAGGTTGGGAGCGCCGGAGTCGAAATGTCTCGAAGCGATGGCGCAGAGGATGATGGCGGCAATGAACCCGGGAATGAAAGCATATCGCTCGTAGAAATGGACCAGACTGTATCCAAAGCCCGCAACGACGAAGGACAGCACTGAGAGAATGATGATCCCGACCACTGTCGGACAGGAGCCTCCTGAGATATAGTTGAGGATCTGGCCACCGATCACAACGCCGACCAAGCACCAGCCCAGCTCCGTGATGGCGTTCACCAGGGCCACCAGCTTCCCTCCGTACCAGCCAAAGGCAAAGCGGGCAAGAATGATCTGTCGAAGTCCCAGACGGGGTCCGAATGTGCCCATGTAAGCTGCGCAGGCCGCGCCCAGGGCTGTGCCGAAGAAGACTGCAAGGAATCCGTTCGTCACACTGAGACCGAGCCATGAAGGTCCTGCGAGTAGTCCAGTAGCCACCGTCGAGATCGTGGCGGAGCAGGAGAACCAGAGGAACATCATGTCCCAATAGTTGAGAGTATCATCGCGCTCGGTGGGCAGGACGCGCTCTATGCCACGACTTTCGATATGCAACTTCCGGTCTAGCAAAGCTGAGAAGTGTTGGACCCGTTGAAGCCAACCATTGGCGTGTGGTTCAACCTCGCCGATGCTTCTGGTGCTTCCGGCATCAGCCTGAGTCCTTTTCTCCGTCATGATTCCTTTTTCCAGGGAAACTTCAAGACTGGCGGCCTCTGTAGCCGATTCTTCAGTCACGGAAGGCTGTCGCTTTTGTTAGCATTTGCCCAAATCGAATATATGATTCAAGTAAATCTCACCATTGAATGATCAACTGTTGCCGTGGTTTGTATCTTGCACACTCACTGCCGATGCGCGAGGCTGAAAGCGTCCTGAGGGTGACCAAAAAGACAAGGGCAGTTCCACAGTTTCAGCAGCAGTACGTTGCGATCTTGGTCAGTCTTATTCGCGCGGCCATGTACTATGTCTTGCGTGTGTGTTAACCGATGGGTATGGGCTTTTGCCACACTTGGTAACCCATCGGACTGGCGTTATCTGTTATCTGTCTTCTGGTTATCAGTCGAATGTGCCTGGACCTAAACGATCGATATCAACGAACAAGTATCCATAGGTGCTAGCGGCGACCTTTGTTCTGGCATCGAGGAAGCGAGAATGTCGTGTGATAGGAAGGAGAGTGATCCTGGCCCGAGAGAAAGTATGAGGTCCGGCCTAGTCCGTTTGAAGGCGAGATGTGATAGACTGTCTACTGGTAATCCAAACGGGTCAGTGCCCAGTAGTCGATTTCCCAAGTCCCCACTGTTTATTCCTCTTTCGGCAACCGGAGACCGATAAGAGATGTCTTCTCAGGAGATAGAGGGGACTAGAGCTCTGTCTGTCCAACATGCGGCAACCGGGAGCTGTCAGTAGGTGTCCACAACCAGTCCGTCGGCAAGCTGTGTTCTCCAGTTGTCAAGAGGACGAGGCCTCTTCAAGGCTGGGAAATGCCGTTTCAGGAAACCAATTGTCTCGAAATTACACGTTCTAGGGAAATAATCCTGAATGTCGCTGTTCTGGACATAATCCGCCCACTTTGATTGTCGCAGTATGCATCGCTGGACCCGAGGGAATTTGCTGTATAGTCATGGTCGATAGGGATCCTTGATATCTCTGGCCACATGGCTAGAGGCTGCCAGCCAGACCAGGACCATCGATCTGTCTCGAGCTTTACCTTAGGTCGTGCTGCCGGTCTTCGATTCGACACCATGGCGCACCACCATCAAGGTGCTTCTCTGCCCATTGTGAATATTGCTCCCTACCTTGATCCCGAGTCAACAGCATCAGATCGCGCAGAGACTTCGGACGCTGTTCACCGGGCATGTCGAGACTTTGGCTTTTTCTACGTCGTCGGACATGGGATCCCCGAGGAATTGCGGCAAGAGATGCTGCGTCTAGGGCACGAGTTTTTTGCCTTACCACAGGCCGAGAAGGACGACGTCTCGATTTTTCACAGTATGGACCGGATTCGCGGATATGCTCGCTTGGGCGAGAACATTACCTCGGGGAAGAGGGATGTCCTTGAAGGCTTTGACATATATCGAGAATACCCACAACCTTCGAGCGAGATGCTGCGAGGGGCGCAGCTCTGGCCATCGCGGCCGTCCACACTCAAGTCCACCGTCCTGGAGTACGTCGAGAGTCTAGTCCCTGTCGGCCAGGCGCTGATGCGAGCGATGGGTGATGGACTGGGGATGGAAGAAGGGGCGAAGGCTTTCGAGGAGATCATTACTGACCCCTTCTGGGGATTGAAATTCGTCAACTATCCGCCTTTGAGCACACCTGACATCGACGAGAGGGAGAAAGGCATCTCTTGCGGAGAGCATACCGACTATGGGGGTCTGACGTTCCTTCTTGCGGATGACCACATCAAGTCGGCTCTGGAAGTGCAAACCAAGGATGGCGACTGGATCAATGCGGACCCAATCCCGGGAGCATATGTTGTCAATATCGGTATGGAGGTCCCTTCTTCATCCCTTGCAGCAACTGACGCACGCATAGGGGATATGGTGAATGTCCTAACGAACAATCGATACACTGCCACCGTCCATCGTGTCATCCACCGGGGCGAGGAGACCCGAGTCTCGATCCCTTTCTTCTTCGAGCCGTCATTGACCACAAAGGTCAAGCCCCTTGAGGCGTGTGCCAGCGATGCAAGCAACAACCTCAGCAAGCCAGCAGTCAACTATTATGAGCACATGTGCCACATGCTGTAAGTCAGATACCAGAATCAAGCTTGCCTCCACTGACCAGTCGCAACAGATACGATGGCAGATTCGTAGAGGCTGGCAAAGAAGTGGAAACGGTGCTGGTGAACGAGATCTCCCTCAAGGGATGATTGACCAAGTACACAGTAAAGATATAATGGTCTTTCCAAGAAAGCGTGACTGGTGGCGGCGGCGAGGCTGGACGAGGCCAGCAGAATCGGTGGCATCATTGTACCTGGTATCTGACTCTGTATGGGATGCGGAACTCGGCGTAATTTCCAGGGATTCTTTGGTGGATCCACTACAGCGGTCAAATGATTTTTGTAATAACAATCAATAAGACCGTAAGACCCCTGACAAGACCGGTAATTTTGGGCCCTGAAGATCCTCAAAATTGACCTCAACACCGATTCCCAATACGAGGATTGAAACACTGGGCCGCATCAGGCACGGCCCACTCGATGAAGCAATTCTCGGTACTGCACGGTATTGGTGGCTATTTAACCTGTTGACAGTCCGTCAGAACCTTGTGGCTTGCTTTCTGCTTTTCTCTTTCGAACTTGTCCTGCTGCATCTCATCAGTTTAATCTGTATCTTCTTTCACAGATCTGTACAAATTGGAGTCAAGATGGTTGTACCAAATATCACCCTCAAGCCTTCGGGGCAAAAGGTGGCCCAGGTTGGGTTCGGGCTCTGGAAGGTCGGTTGGCAGTCCCTGTTCCTTGGCCTCGAAGTCGTGCCATTTCTGACACCATGACAGGTACCAAACGACAGCACATCCGATGTTGTGTACAATGCTATCAAAACAGGCTATCGTCACTTTGACGGAGCCTGCGACTATGGTAAGCGTACCCTGAAACTGTTTTACATACCGCCACTAACCAGTCATCAGGCAACGAGAAAGAAGCAGGCGAGGGGATTCGGCGGGCAATCAAAGATGGTCTAGTCAAGAGAGAAGACATCTTCGTGACCACGAAACTCTGGGCAACCTTCCATTCTCCGTAGGTCGAATCCTCACCAGAGCCAGCCTCAATGCCGTTGACTGACATGACCACCATAGCGAGCACGTTGAACAGGCAGCAAAGAAGCAACTCGGGGACTGGGGCCTCGAATATTTCGACCTCTACCTCATCCACTTCCCACTGCCACTCCAATATGTGGATCCTGCAGAGCGCTACCCACCTGGTTGGTCGATTGCTGCAGACAAATGGGAGACCAAAACGGCCAATATCCCTCTGGCTACGACTTGGAAGGCAATGGAATCCCTTGTCGACGCCGGTCTGGTGAAGAACATTGGCCTCTGTAACTGCCAGGGTGGCCTGTTATTGGACCTGCTGCGCTCTGCAAGGATTCCTCCAGCCATGCTTCAGATCGAGCATCATCCTTATCTCGTTCAGCCCCAGCTGTTGGACTTGTGCAAAGACCTTGGCATTGCTGTGACGGCTTACTCCAGCTTTGGCCCTCTGAGTTATCGAGACCTTCAGACTCCCAAAGCCCTTGGGACTGCTCTGCTGTTTGAGAACGATGTTATCACATCCACAGCCAAGAAACATCGCAAAAGCCCAGCTCAGATTTTGCTCAAGTGGGCGGTGCAACGGTAAGCTTGAGGCCATGAACTGCTTTAGACCAGCACAAATTGACTGTCCGTGCTCGCAGAGGTGTCATCGTGATCCCAAAGTCGGCCGATACGAAGCGCCAGACAGAAAACATGGACGTTTTCTCCTTCGACCTCTCGTCCGAGGAACTGAGCGCTATCAGTTCGTTGGATAAAGGCCTGAGATTCAACGATCCTGTAAGTGTCACCTGTGGCATTGTCATTGTTTCTGGTGCCCTCGAGATTGGCTGACCATATGATAGGGCGAATACTTGAACCCTCCTCAGCGCATCTTTGCATGAACATTCAACTTGTGGCCATTTTGCAATATGAACAATATGTCCCACATTCAACTCTGGGACGTGTCTCACCAGAAGCTTATGTGCTTCGTTCGGCGAGGCTCGACGTACCGTCGCACGCCCTCGACTTATAGATGGGCGACTGCGAGGGACGACAGTTTATGAAGGCCATGTGTTGTAGCTTATGGAGCATAACAACAGTCAGTCACTATTAGGCGCGAGTAGTCGGGTCGGTCCTGGCGGCGCCAGCAAGATATCATAAAAGTTGCCATAGTGTCCCGAGGATGACAGGTAGAGAGGTCTTTTTCGAGACGGTCCATTCTATAACCGGCAGACTCCCAATGCAAGAACACGTTCAATCCGTAAGATGACAAGGGACGGACTCTGTTCGTTCGATCATGGAGACGAAGATGTCATAATCAGGGACAGGGAAGGTCAGCCGAGATCACGTGGACCAAATTTTGCTTCTGCCATAGACGCGTTTGTACGCGTTGGAACTTGTTTGTCCATCATCTTCACCTTACGACATGCAATGGTGACTGAGCTCTTGTGCTGCTGTTTGAGTTGTTGTGTTTCGCAACTCTGAGACCACTGTATCAGCTACGCCATGACCCAAAGTGCAAGCAATGGTCCCACTCCATCCAGGTTTGTTTTCCTGAGCGAAATACCTTCGCTCCCAGCAGCGACCAAGGTGAGATTTCTGGGCTGGTATGCACCTCCCTCGTTTCCAGATATCGTGCTATTGACATCTACTGTCAGCGTGGTCGATTACGATAGCCTCTCCGGTAGACTTCTACTCGAACATGCCTTTCCGAAGGCCGCGCAGCCGGGCCCTCATGCACTGATCGACGTCAATCTCATCCTAGAGAGCACACCTTCGTCGGTGCTTGAAAGAGGCAGGTGGGTCAATGTTATTGGATATGTTCAGAATGCCCACCAAGGAGGTCGGAAGCGCAAGGCTACCCAGCTCCATAATAAGGACCTCCCGGTGTTTGTGCAGGCAATCTTGATGTGGGATGCCGGTCCGCTCAGAATAGCGGACTATGAAGCAACATTGGAGGAACAAATTCAGATGCATCGGCAGATTGAACGCAGGAATAAGTGAAATCGGCCGCTGAGAACTAGAAGGATATGTGTTGAGGCGACCGAAAAATGTATCGTGTACACAGGGCACCAGACTCTCTGCCCTGCGTGCGAATCATGAAAAGCTGGTTAGGAGTTGCAGCTAGGAGATCTGTGATGACTGGCTGTGTATCCAAGGAGGCACGCTGGACCTCTCCAGCTTTTCAACAAGGTGACATTTGGCAGGTTGGGTTTGAAATCAAGCCATCAACTGTCTTAGCATCTGGCGCCGTTTGGCCTTGCGATCAGAAGCACACTCTCGGATTTTGAGAACTCCTTTCGCTCGGTTTCAGAAATTCCTCCACGCTGGTTGAGAAATACTCACCCGAACTTGTTCTCTCGACGCAGTTCCTCTTTCCAGTCTGTCCCGTATGAAGCTCGGCACTACGTCTGTGGAAAGAGAACTGAAAAGCCACGGTTGCATCTGGCCTGAGTGCCCTCAGCCTTGTCTGTCAATGGTATAGTGCTGATGGAGAGTATCTGAGAGAGAATGGCCGCCTCCCAGCCCCTGTGCAGACCTGAAGGGCAATTTGAGAATAAAAGGGGAGCCAGGTCTCAAGAACGGATGAAACGTCTCCTTCTTTTCGGGCGTACTGGTTCGAAGCTCGTTGCTTCGAAGTCACCGATGGTTCTGGCCGACCGAAAGATCTGGAATTCAGTCTCAGAGCAATTCTTCGGGCGTCCCTGGACCAGTCTCTTGTCTCAACACACGCATTGCGATCATCGATGGCACGAATCTCATATCCTGGCTTAGTCCAGATCAGCCAGCTTCTTGGAAGATCTATGCGATCTAGGTCTCCTGAAATGTTGTTCCCGAATTCAATTTTATATCTGTGATTTATTCAACCTCCGTGGTTTTTTCTATGTTGACACACAGGATCTACTATTCACTGAACACCTCGAGGTCGGCTGCAGACTTGGCTATGCCTCTTAATGGAGCCGAACCCCACAGCATTTCAAGTCTGAGGAAATACGAAACCCCTGCAGAGCCAAACATGGAGTCGACCATGCTCCAAGGCAATCATGCCGATACTTCACGCTTCCTCCAGTCACCGCCTCCCAGCGCTTTGCCACCGCTTTCCCGGGTACCTCAAGGTACACTATCAGGTTCCTCTTTGCACGTTGGCTCGGCCGAGACTGCGCCTGGCCGGAATGTGCTCTATCACAACGAAAGCGACTTACGAAATAGCTCTACACAGGAGCTGCGGGATCTCAAGACCGACATGATGTGCACCTGGCTGCATCAGCAGCAGCTGGAGAAAATGTGGTCAACTAATGGATTAGAAGAGGGAGTTGTAATCAAGAAAGCGAGGGACGAATACAAATGTGCCCCTGAAGATCTACGCTCTCGTTCAGACGGAGTGTTTGATGCGGTGAGGAAGTTGAATGTTAAGGTATTATCTGCAATCGCAGCCAACCACTCCTCCACTAATGCTGTCCTAGTGTGCCATGACTGTAAACACAGGCATCATCAAGCTTCTCCTTCGCAACCCCGGCATGGCGTATCTCCCGCTCGATTCAGGCCTTCGATTGCAGATTCTTCCAAGCATATCATACCTGCCCGACTGCCAGAAACACCACTTTGCTGCCTTCATCCAGGACTACTCGATCCTTGTTGTCTGGGACGATGACCCAAACCACATCATGCGACGTGTCCAAGGCCTCATGGATCAGTTAATCGGCATGGTCTGGAAGGAAGAAACGGGAGATGACGACGAATCTGCGACTCCGGCTATGAGTGCAATGCCCAGCACCGTCAATCTCAATGGCAAGGAGGATTCGCAAGAGTCCGAGCTCACAAACAGCATACCTCCACGCCGAGTTGTCCTGATACAATCCGTTCTGACAGCTTTGACACTCGTTCTACTCCTCAGTGCAATCGGCAGCGGTTGGCGTGAGATTGCTGTTGAAATCAAAGTGGACAAGGCCTGGGTCCGGCTTGCCTTCATACTTGTTGTGCCTCTTCAGTGTTGGCTGGCGCTTTTCTTCATGCAATCCGTTGCAGGCTGTCTCGCCCAAATCATTGGGCCTATCAGTCAGATGACAGTAAACTCCAAGTTCTTCTCTGGCGAAGCACCACCTCGACTCTCCACAGCCTCGGCTCTGCCGCACGTCACGATTCAATGTCCGGTGTACAAAGAAGGCCTCTGGTCAGTGATTGATCCGACGATCAAATCCATCAAGGCTGCCATCTCCACGTACGAGATGCAAGGCGGCTCAGCCAATATCTTCATCAACGACGACGGCATGCAAATCATACCTGCCGATGAGGCTCAAGAACGACGCGAATACTACGACGAACACAACGTTGGCTGGGTGGCACGACCTAGGCATAACCCCAAGCCAGCCGACGGCGAGCGGCCATTCATCCGAGCGGGCAAGTTCAAAAAGGCCTCTAACATGAATTACGCACTCAATGTGAGCGCCCGCGTTGAGGACAAACTTGCCCTGATCGACCGCACCGAGGAGTGGACTTCAGAGAAAGAACACAAAGCATATGACGGTGCTCTGGCTGAAATCATCACCGAAGACGAAGGACGCACTCAAGCAGATGGGAATATTCGCGTAGGTGACTACATCCTGCTCATCGACTCGGATACCCGGGTCCCTGTAGATTGCTTTCTCGACGCCGTTAGCGAAATGGAGCAGTCTCCTGAAGTCGCGATCATCCAATTCGCCTCGGGCGTCATGAACGTCACGGACAGCTGGTTTGAGAAAGGCATCACCTTCTTCACCAACTTGGTGTACTCCGCCATCCAATACGCAGTGTCCAATGGCGATGTTGCGCCGTTTGTTGGGCATAACGCATTTTTGCGTTGGCGAGCCGTGCAGGACGTGGCATATGTGTACGCCGACGTGAATGATGGCATTGTCAAGGAAAAGTACTGGTCGGAAGCGACCGTGTCCGAAGACTTCGACATGGCACTGCGGCTCCAGACAAGTGGATATATCCTACGTCTTGCTGCATATGCTGGCCAGGGGTTCAAGGAAGGCGTCTCACTTACCGTGTATGACGAGCTCGCGCGTTGGGAGAAATATGCGTACGGCTGCTCGGAGCTCATCTTCCACCCGTTCGCGCAGTGGCTATCCAAAGGCCCGTTCACAACCCTGTTTCGCGGGTTCGTCGCCAGCAATATGCCGTTCCCATCCAAGCTGACCATCATGGCGTACGTGGGCACGTACTATGCGATTGGGTCTGCGTGGATTCTAACACTAGTCAATTACTGTATCATTGGATGGTTCAACGGGCACCTGGACCACTACTATATCGACAGCTTCAAGATCTACTTTGCCATCATCCTGGTGTTCACGGCCCTCGGCAACGTGGCTCTCGCCGTCATGCGGTATCGGGTCGAGAACACGACCTTGGTCGCTGCCTTTTGGGAGAATTTTCGCTGGGTCCCCTTGCTCACTGTCTTCCTAGGCGGCATCTCACTGCACGTTTCCCAGGCTATTCTCAGCCACTTGTTCAGTGTGGACATGTCATGGGGTGCGACGAGCAAGGAGGCCAGCGACACCAGTTTCTTCAAGGAAGTGCCTGTTATCCTGCGCAAGTTCCGACTGACCTTTGTGTTCTGTGGCGTCATGAGTCTGGGGATGATCATCGTCGCTGGCGTCGGGCCGGTTGGTGCGTTGGTGCCTTATGACTGGCAAATATCATTTTTCACCGCCGTCTGGCCTTTGGCGACCATAGTTGGTAAGTCCTCCACTGTCTGCGATATGATGTCGCATCCGGGGGTGCGCACACGCTCGACTAACATTTGCATAGCTTCACACGCGTTGCTGCCTCTTGTACTCAACCCAGGGTTGATGCAGTTTACTTTTTGAAATGGAGACCATTCGACAGCGTCATATCTGTTGTGGAGGCAAGTGCTGAAAAGGGATATCATCAGCTGGGTTGAACTTACAGCTTGGGCTGAGGCCGTTCTACTCACAGGGAATGAAGATAAAAGCTGTCAATTGTCATGGCTCATGGAATTGCGTCGCTCGAATAGCGATTGGATTCCATAACATGTTAATGCTCATAATCTCATCAAAGTCGTCGACATGAGGACACGATTTGCTGGTCCTTGTTCCATTCTTTTGCGCGTGCCGCCCCTTTCCTCCTCCTTTCGCTACTATACGTACAGTGCCTGCGCTCGGGACGGCCTCCCTGATCCATCCTCCCTCTCATCTCGAAAAGCGGCCCAATACATCAGATGGAGAACCAGCCACTAATCAACCACTTCTCCGGCGGGCCCCTGGGCTGAACACCTCGCTGCTGCTGAAGGCCATTGGTCATAGACTGCTGGACACCCAACCCTGCCGCAGCGACGCTGTGATCATCAGCAGGAACAGGAAACTGTGCATTTGGTGGCAGTTGATTCTGAGTCTGAGTCTGAAGTGCTCCAGCGGAGACGGTCGGCGGAGATGGACTCTCAGCCGTAGTGGCGACCGGATCCGCAGGCAACGGTTCATACTTCCACTCCTCGCGGCCGGCCAGATCCAGACGTCCGTAGTAAAGCCAGCCGGTGCGCCTCGCGGCCTGCAACGTCTCGGTGACCATGAACTTGGCCAGACTGTCGGTGAGCGGTCGAAAGGGCGGCCCGAACAGGCCGGAGCCGCAGTTGACGACGATCTCGACATGCCTCATCCATTTGACGCCGACGCCGAGCCCGAAGGAGAGGTTGCGCAGCAGCTCCTCGAAGCATTTCGGGCAGTGGAACCGCACGGGGAGGGTGGACAGCAGGGAGCGCACTTCGTCGCGGGTCCGGCGGCACACGAGCAGCAAGTGCAGGCCGTTGGTGCGGGTGATGGTCTCGAGTTGGATGACTTGGGCTACGAGGCCGGAGATGATGGACCGTTTGGGAGTGGGGATGGTGCTTGATCTTGGAGGAGATCGGCCTGATGAGGACGAGGAGACGGAAGTCGTTCGGGCGTCTGCTGGGTGATGTTCAAGTTCCGAGCGCCGTGATGTGCATAGGTCAATCTCTATTCGGTCTTCGGGGATCAGGTAGCTGTAGATGTGTAGGCGGGTTTCGGCTGGGAGGCGCAGAAAGGGGGCCGCCTCTTCATGAGGGGCGAGTTGAGTCATTGTCGGTGTATATTCGTGAATCAGATGATTCGTTTTGGGAGTGATTGGAGGCGTCGACGTCTGGATCGTCCAGGACCAGACTGCTACCTACTTGTAGTGTGTTGATGTGTTGTTGGCTGTGGTGTTAAGGTCAAGGCTGGATCTTCTGGCCGAATAATAAGGGCGAAAGTCGGTCTCGAGGTTCAAGTTGGACATTGAAACAGCCGATCAACCCATGCAGTGTGATTTGTCACTGAACCAAATGCAACGGCCAGTCAACTTGAACTTGAAACTTGAACGGGCCTCAAAGAGCAGGTTGGCGGGAAGGCTGCCTGCTAACACTGCTGACTATACTGAGGTGCCTGTACCTACACGCAATGGACGTGTCTGCTGACATGTAGCTGATACGCTTGTATGTCAGTGGTAGTTGGACCACGGTGGAATTCAATTCTGCCCTTATACAGCCTTTGGTGGCAGCTGAGTCTACAGTCCTTCGCGCCCTGGAACGCCGCACAGGAGGTGACACGAAGTCGCTATGCCGCAATAAGCACTTATAGGTTCGACCAACCGACATTCCTACTAGGTGGCAGTGCCTGGTCTCAAAGAGACCATGGAAACATGAGGGACATACACAGAAATGTGAAGAAGCAGGTCAATCAGGACAATATAGGGTGAAGACGTCGATCAGATTGAACCAACTGACATGAATTACAGTAGACCACGCATGTCTCCCCCAACGAGCTCTGTCCGATGCCCCACTGGCAGCAGGGTGTGGCTATACCTTCGCAAATCATGCCAAAGAGACATAGCTGCACACCACACCGTCTTGGGAGAGCTTTGAAGAAAGTATCCCCCGAGACCTTGCATATATCTTTCGGTTGTCAATCCCAACCGTCACATAGCATTCGTCGAGCCTCGTCTCCGCGGGAGGAGCCCAGCAATTAGATCCCCTTGAGAACATTGAGTTCCTTCTTTTCAACCACTTCATCCCAGTGTGCAATGGCAAAGCTACCGCCCGCAAAGACAGTTGCTAGCCACTTGAACCCGAGCAGACTGAATACATCGACGTTGTGTCTCTTCAGCTTGGTCAGGGCAAACCAGACCGTCTCGATCCCATGTATCCCAAACAGGACATAGAACATCACATCTTGAACAAGTTTGGAGTATCTTGTGGCTTTGATGCTCCGAGCCAGCAGGTGATCGTGTATGATGGAACGAGGTTCGATGAATTTCCTTCGGGCAGATAGCGTCATCAATCCCGCGAGAATCAGCGTTGCAACTCTTTTGCTACCCTTTGGGAATTCATACTCGTCAATGGTGATGTAGGAGGCTTTGTGCGTCGCCATGTCTGTCAAGGAGGATTTGGTCTGGCTGACTTGGTACTATGGAGTCTGGTCAACGGTACACACCTAGAGGTACTAGAACAGAGACAGGAGGTAAGGAGGTCTTCGGTATATCTGGGATAACCGATCGTCTGATGTGGCTTTTTATGCTCATTGCCATGCAAGCAAAACACCGGTCTACATGGTTCCCCGCCTGAGGCGGGGAGAGTGGAACGCGGGCATCAAGTCGAACGGGGACGGATGAAGGGGGCCGCTCCCCTGTCAGAGGCAGAAAACAACGGCCAGAGAAAGAAAGAGATGTAAAAAGTATGTACAGGCCGAGAATTGCTGGCCTGACACGGACACGGCTCGGTACGTGTAGTGAAGAGGAGGATGAATACGTTAAGAGGCTGCGGTGGAGGATGGAGAAAGAGGAGAAAGTGCGTGGTCGGGAGTTGACGTGCAAGGCGGGGCACAGGAAACAAGGCTGAGCACTTGTCCTTTATCGATATAGCTTCCGCTCTGATCACAGCTTAATTTTGGCCAATCATAGCTTGGTATTTTCTGGAGAGATTGCGTACCGCCTGGGAAAATTATTCTTACCAAATCCCGAGCGCAGTTTGCCTGGAATTACTGTAATGCATCCAACTCATTCAGAGTCTTGAATTTCACCGCGATGGCTCCCTACGATAGCGAATCATCCGACGACGGCGACGACGACTACTCGACGACCAATGTCGTCCTCGGCTATGCCACAACTGATCCCACTGGCGATGAAGTCAGCCACGTTGGTGGCCATCCCAGCTGGCTAGATCCAAAGCACCCTCCTCCTGCCACCCTCGCCAAATGCAAAGTCTGCAACGGATACATGTCTCTTCTGCTACAGCTTAATGCAGATCTCCAACAGCATTTCCCTCACGACGAACGACGTCTTCACGTTTTCTGCTGCAGGAAGAAAATCTGCTCGAAGAAGATTGGCAGCATCAGGGCTTTCCGAGAAGTCAGGAAACCCGAACTGCGGGAGAAGAGAGAGCCACAGCCGGCCGTAGACACACAACCACAGAGGCCGCTTCAGGACCTCGGGACTGCTCTTTTCGGAGGGAGTGGCCCGTCGTCGACGCTCAGCGCCGCGAATCCTTTCTCCACGTCCAGCTCGACTGCGCAGGCACCTGCAAACCCCTTCTCCTCGCTAGGGTCTCCTTCGGCGCTGGCTGCGAAGCCTCCACAACGACCCGTTGACGACCCCGCGCCTCTCACTCAGTCGTTCGCCGACAAACTCAAGATCGGCTCGGATCCAGATCCGAAACCAAACAATGTCGAAGTGACAGAACCATGGCCGGAGACCTCCGAGTTTCCTCCTCCATTCACCTCATTTTACCTAGATGCCTACCCCGAAGAACTGGAAAAAGAACCGATAGAGCTTACCAAAGCGGAAGCTTCAAAGACACAGTATGACATGGATGATAGTGGAGGGGCCGGCGCCGCGGGCAAGGACGACTTCGAATCAGCGCTGGATAAGACGTTCCAGAAGTTTTCCGACCGAATAGCGCAGAATCCAGAACAAGTTTTGCGGTACGAATTCAAGGGCGAACCGCTACTTTATTCCGGGACAGACGGTGTTGCTTCTCGGTTCGTGGTGCCGCATGGCAAGTCCGGCGCGGTGAGAGGAATGCCGAGGTGCGAGAGCTGTGGTGCTCGCAGGGTTTTTGAATTGCAGCTCGTTCCTGGCTTGATCTACGAGCTGGAAAAGGACGAAGCAATGGACTTAGAAGACGGAATGGAATGGGGGACCATCATTGTCGGGACCTGTGCCAATAACTGTGGTGAGGCTGGGAGCGTATGCTTCCGAGAGGAATGGGTCGGCGTCCAGTGGGAAGAAAGAGTGGCCAGAAAGTAAGAACAGAGCGTCATTCTTCAGTCATCGCTGTGAGAGTATGCATGACACTCAGCACTCTCTTGGGTCATGAGCACAGAAAGCTGCTTGAACCTGTTCAAGGCCGAATACCCTGTGAGAGAGAGCCGGTTGAAAAGCTACCACACTGTTTGTTTGCCCTTGTCGTCCTCCGACGAGTCGTGTCTCAGATCAGAAATCCAGATCTGCCGCACCGTTCTGGGACCATGCGCGGCTCCGGACCGCTTGAATGTTCGGCATGCCAACAGTCCGGTTTTTGAACCACCGGCGTCACTCCGGTCTAGGACTATATGCCTTGATGTGTTCGATGCAGTGATCTATCTCCGCTAGGAGCAGCAGTTATCCTCGTACAATAATGACTATTATGATCTGGCAGCACTTTGGACACTTGCCTTATTTACTACAGAGACTAGTAGCACTACGTACGAAATACTAAGTGATGCTCCGTGCTACTCCGTGCGGTGAGGCTGCTGCACTCCCCAACCTCCTTCCGGCCCCCGGCCGGATTTCGCAATGTCTTATCCGGAGATCTTAGTGCTCCACTCGCGGCGTTTTCATTTGCTGCCACACAGCCACTGGCTACGCGCTAAGTCACGTCACGTCATAAGCTGGACAGCTAATCCGCGCCGGGACGCGTAAAGTGGTAATTTCTCCAAAACACGTCAACAGGGGGAAAACGGACCCTTTTTCGAGTTACTTATCAATTCGATCCGCACCCGCAGCGTTCTGCCGGCCACGATCGACCGATATGCGACATGCGTACTGCTCGACGAACCATGATGTCAAAAAAGGAAATATGATCACCAAGAATCGGCCCGATGGATCCTTTAAAACGTAACGCGCAGACCGCAGATCGCGTGTCCCGCCGTACACCGCGATTTGCTGGGGCAAGAGATCGTTTGCGGAGTTCAGAGAAGCAGAAAAGAAGCCAGCCACATTTTGGCACAGTGATTGCGTGGGGGAGAAAAAATATGTCCACGCCTGATTTATTCAAGTATGCAAGTCGTATGGTATGCGTTGCTCGATACCTAGTAGTAGCCTCACTTCCGAACGGATTGGAGAAAGTTCAGCAGTGCGTGGTCGGTAGGAAGAAGCTTCGATCACCTGAGGCATTCTCAGCCCACAAGTACGATCTTATCAAATTCAGGTTAAGGAGGCAGCAGTCAGCATACATGCAGCAGAGAGAAACAAGCTGATAGACTAAATAACATGAAATTGCAACGGGGATTCGGTGCAGGAACAAGAACGAATGACACACTAGATATATAGTTTGAGTTTATGGCGTCGACAAAGCCCCGCGGCAAGACTGTGAGGCTAAGGCCTAAGCCTTGCCGTGTGCCAAACAAGGATCGGAGAGATATTGCTTATTATGCCCATGGCAGCACGCAATCGATCGATTGACATGATCGGATGAGCATGAATGCAACAGTTACTATTGACAGGTGGCTGGCAGTGTGTATGTCGTGATCGTGATCGTGATCGTGATCGTGCCAGCAAGCACACCTACAAAATAAGTGGCACCGCAAAATGATATAGGTGCCTTCAGTTCCGTAAGCTTGGTATGATAGGCGCCCTTCACAACTTCAATAGGCGGTATGTACAAAGGCGGCTCGCCAGGTGGAATGGTGGTACAAGGAAACCAAAGATGAACCAAGAACGCAATGAAATACTAATACGTACAGACAACGACGACAAACTACAACTAGAAGATTGGCCACCATCAAGATCGGCCGGCAAATAGAGAACATATAGCGGCCAGAGATAGTGGGATAGGCCAAGATGGAATATCTTTGTACTAGCTATTTATTTGCTGGTTGACTACCTACTGTGAATTCAGCGCTCCTTATCGACGGTGTGTTGAATTAACTGTTCGAGGATGCCGTCGCTTGACCGCATTCAGGCGCACAGATGCATGTGCAAGAGCAAGAGCAGAAGCAGAAGCAGAAGCAGTGCAATGCAATGCAGGCACACAAACAAGTGCCCAAAACAGTATCTCCCCGAGCCCTCCCTCCCGATGACTTTCTTTGAGAGCCGGCGTAGTGCATAAAAGCAAAAGCAATCAATACATTCTCTCCCATTGGCAAATACAGAGCCAAAGCAAAACACAAACAAATGTGCATATCCCGAGTGCCACTGCACTAGGCTCATCCGGCGTACTCCATCCTGGTCATCGCATGCGTCGTTGCTAAAGGGACAAATTTGTATGTGTATCGTGACAATTCGAGTTGTTCATCGCACAGTTATCGTGTGTCTTCGTTCTTTGGGTTTATCGTATCGATGTGCAGTGGGTCGACAAAAAAGGTGATCAGACTTTGTGTCGCGTTGCATGACACAAGGCAAGGAACTTCATCTATGATCTTGGGATCAGTTCTTCACCAAGCTGCAGGGCTAGGCCTTTGGTAGTTGGCGTCTTGCGCTGTAAGGTTGGGCTGCCAGAAGGAGGTTGCATGGAATCAAAGTTCAGGCTTCGGCGAGCGAATCTACTGGGCGTCTTGGCCGCATTTGGTGTTCGACCGCCCCATTGGGCCTGCGCTGGGGATGGGGTGACATTGCAAAAATCGGCGAGATTAAAATTCTGTCCTGGAGTCTGGAGAGCACCATTGAATAGTCCCAACTGTGTTCCCGGCGTAGTCATGACTGAGGACGGAAGATGATAGTTTTGCGAAGGTGGGGTAGAAGGAGGTTCCTTGGAGGAACTAGACGTCCGGTGGATGTTGATTGCCGGAGAGCGGGACGGCGAGTTGGCTAGATAGAGAAGGAGATCGGCTCCAGCTTGCTTAGCATTGACATTCAGTAGACGTTTGGTAGGTGGCGGAGTCCGGGGCGGTGAGGATGACAAAATGCTGCTCGATGGATGATCGCTAAAGGGGGGCATTGGCATGTCATGGTCTTCGTCGTCAGAGCGGACATCGAACATGGGAGAGTCGTCTTGAGCAGTTTGTGGCATTCCAGCGGTATCGGAGTGAAACAACCTATTCCCTTGAAAAGAATGTGACCTTCCTAGGACAGGAGATGACTGTGTGAGGCGGTGGTCTTGCTTCCATGTCATGCTGCTAGACTGCCTATCACGACCGTTCGTGGAGGATGACCTGACTCTTTTCTTTCTCGCGCCACCAGGAGGCTCAGGAACCTTGAACTTTCCATTCGAGGGACGAGCGAAGCGGTTCTTTGCGATGGAGGGAGTAGGGACATATTCGTCGTCCGTCCCGGAGGAGCCATCGGATGGGCCGTCGTCCTCCAGGAATGGTCGTTTCCTCTTGAGCTTTTCTGTGACCTCGGGCTCAATGGTGGAAAGGGTTCGATCTTGCCAGCCGTTCTGGGCTTTAAAGCTCGCAAATGCTAGACAATCTTGAAGGTTCCGTGCAACCTGGGAAGAATTTCAGTCCTGGCTCCTTTGGTGGCCTCAAAAAAGTTCAATCGAAGTGGGTGGGTTACCTTTGCAATTTCCACTCTCCGCATAACCTTCTCAGCGACCTGAGCTGCAGCGTAAGGATGATGATGCTGCTGCTGCTGCTGTTGCTGTTGCTGCTGCTGAGAAGCCATGCTGGTGCAGATACTGTCAAAGGCCAGCATGAGGGATCGAGTCTTTGGTCGAGGTCTGAAGAAGGAGAAAGGAACAGGAGTGTGGAATATGTAGTAGCTGGTCTGGCACGTCAAAGCGCAGGCTAGGAATAATACTAGAGCTTGACACTTGCTAAGTCCTGACTCGTGGGGCCGCTGGCCGCTGGCCACGGCAACCGGTGCAACTTGCTGGGGGATGCCTGGTACCGGCGTCTTTCTCGATTAGGGAGAAGAATCTCAAGGCCGAGGAATGGAGGTTTGTCTGGTGGGTGGTGGATTCCACGGTAGGTTTACTGTGAGGCAGAAGAACAGCAAGCAGTAGAGCGGTCGACGGAGTAGCAGATGAGGAATTTGTGAAGCATATGAGAATGCAATAATGTCAAATAAGAGCACCTAAGGCAGGCACTGAGGGCTAGGGGCCACTTTACTGCTAGTCGTTTAGTGAATTTGGAGAGTGAGCGCCAACCGAACCGTGTGCTAGTAGTAATGAGGCATCGGCACCGGTAGTGGAGAGCAGCCTGTCGCGAGGGGTGAGTTCGCATTCCCACCTCCAAGGCCGCCTAATTGTGCACCTACATTTGCCGTGGCTGGTGTTGCCCCCAAGCCTAAGCCTGTAACCCATTGGCTTCAGGCCCTCGAGCCCCTAGGCCTCAACTTGACTGCAACTTGACTGCAACTTGACATGCTCTTCACTTGGGTCTACTGGGAGCTTCAAGTTGCTTACTGGATGTCAGATTCGCGCCTTACATTGGTCGTGTGTGTCTTCGCAACTTACTTCAGCCATAGGAGTCTCTGCAGTCGGTTCCAGCTCAAACCCTACGTTGTCCACGGCCCAGTTACCTTCCACAGCAAGCAGTTCTCCTCTTGTTTCATCGCTCTCTGTTCCCCAATCTGCTCGCCAGCTTGCAGATACCAGATAGCGCCCACCTCTGCCAGACTGTCTGGTCCGGGTAGGGGCTGATGAGCGTCAACTTTGTGTGCCCGCCTCCCTGGGTCGAGATACGTAGTATGGCGTGTGTGCATAGACGTTCTGGAACAACGTCCAGGGCGGGAGATGGTTGATGCGCTGTCACCCTGCTCGACCGCCGTCAAAGGATAGGTAGATTCCTGCCCATCTTTATTGCCTCCTCCTGGCAAGCCTGGAACGATGTTTGGCTTTGCAGTCTCGGTCTGGGAAACATCTTGCCTTCTACTGCTGAGAGCCCTGGGACTACTCTGTACTACAGAGTAGTAATTTTGTGAAGCTTGGTCACGGAATTGCATTATGCGCCCGCTAATCACGATTTATCTAGGTACATCTCGTCCAGTTCGTCTCCAACAAGTCATGAACCTTGTCCCTGGGACGTACTACTACTAGGGGCAGTCGCTAGCGAGTCTTGTTCCAAGCTTCACTACACCATGTTCGGAAGAACGGTAAAGAGACAAGAGATGAGCGTTATTGTGGTATTAGTCGGAAGGCTGGGAGCGGAATTGGACTCGAAGAGATTGATGCTACAACGTCTGACACATGAATACCACCATCGTTTGTTCAAACCACCATCGTTTGTTCAAACCACCATCGGCCTCGGAAATCGAGGCAATGCTTCCCTCTGCACGAATACAGGTCGTGTATAAAGACGTTCTTTGCCCACAACTCGAGACATCTCTCAAAAGAAGCGGCCACTAGGTACATTAGCAGTGAGTCAAGGCTTGATTGAAAATGGAGATGAGGCTGCTATATTGTCCATGTGCTCACCCTTTAAGCATACCACTCATGACTTCGTACTTTTGTAAGACAGCTTCATATATGCCAAACCTAAGCACGAAAGACTGTCAGTCTTGGAGAACAGCCAACAGGTGTGGTCTGCCCTTTTTGCCCTGGTCGTGAGCCGATAACGTGCGCATAAGACTTCAGCTGATCAATGGCGGATTGTTGCCAAAGCTCTAAGCCCTGTCCCGATTAATGCTGTTTCAGGTTGCAGATGAGCTGGTCGGAAAAGATAAGCGCCACACACCGAGGCATACTAATGTATGTACTTTACCTGTGATATGCTACGTTGTGTCGTTGAAATCTGCAGAGCGGAACACCTAGGATGATGGATATGAAATCGGCGTGCCCAACCATAAGCTCCGTGGGGCGCAAGGGGCGCCACTGGCTGCGTCATTGCTCTCTCCCTTGGGCCTCCCGCCCACAAAATGCGTGCACTCTAGGCACCCCGATGGCTACGAGCCTCCGAGCGCCAACCCACAAGCGGTTTAACGGGCGGGCTGAACCTCAATGCTACAGGGGCTCCAGGAACCTCTTTATCTCTGCGGGCGATTAGGTTGAGCTGGGAGAGGAGCATGTCTCGCCAGTGTCGGTCAAGCACCAATCTGTTGAGTGCACAGTGGAGGAAGAGCTGCTGCTGTCCCGCGCACTATCTGAAGAGGAAGAGGTCGAGCGGGATCAAACCAATCGGTGGGAGTTGGGTGTTGTAGAAGTCCGCGCTCATCCACCGCACCGTAGCACCATAGCACCTGCTCGTCGTCGCTCAGTATAGTGACAGACCTCACTGCGAACAGCCTACGCCTCTAATCTTCACATCTCCCTTGCATCCTCATCCTCTCCGTCACTCGTTTGCTGTCTATCAAGGTTGCGAAACCACCCAACGACCTGCTGTACTCCCCTTGGTCGGCCAATTGTCACCCCGGACAAGCTTCATCGCACATGCATGTACCTGCGGTCGTTACATTCAATCCTTCCGCGACATCCCTGGTTGCACTGTCGAGCTCATCCCGCGCCACTGCTCATATCTCAATGCCCGGGTCATAACCACAGAAACCTCCATTCGTTTTGTCGGCCATGCCCTTCTTTAAAGATTTGCGCAGGCGATCAAAGGCTAGCTTTCGAACCTCCGATTCCTCAACCGAATCCAATGGCACCGTCCAGACGACAAAGTCTTCCTCTACCTTGAACTCCGCCCTGGGAAGCACCACTCCACCTTCCACCTACCATACCAATGGCTCAGCATCCAACGTTCAGGCCACGCCGAAGCCCAATGGCGATACCCCTCCGCCGGCGCCCCAGCGGCCCAACGTCATGGTGCAGAGTTCAAATCGGAATAGCATGATGGTAAGGATATGTCCTAGAAAGAGACGGAAAAATATTTTGCAGAAACATTGACATCTTTCAGACACTGTCTCCTTCTGGCTCGAATGGCACAATGCGGACTCCAATGGCCACTTCGGCTTTTGCGCCGAAAGTCACCTCTATCCTGGACAACTCAGTGGTATGTCAAAACATGAGCACTAGTCTGGGCCACAACTTACAAAGGACATCCAGGTCTATAACAAGGTGCTGTCGGTTTACGGAGAAGTTGGAGACCCCAGTCAAAAGGCGATTGACGGTAATTTGACTGTTCACCACGACAAGGACGGGCAATCGTTTCCACCAACCAATTGGCCAGTATCCGAATCTTGCTTCAAAGCCTTGGTTTATCTCTCGCCTGGATGGAATAAGATACGACTTGACTTCACCTCGCCCAAGTTGAGCTCCGTTAGTAACGGTTCTGCTCCTACGATGCACTCCTCTTATATGATGTTGAACTACCTACCATTGAACAGTGCGCCGCCTTTACAGTTGGTCATTCTTGCCGGCAGGGACTCGCCGTGCACATACGACGCCGTTCCCCAGCGCATAGAGACTGAAGGCAATAATCTTGACATGGCGATTCGGAAGTTCCGGATGGCGGCTCATCTTTGGCAGGCATTCACGGCCGAACAAATGTACAGGCACAAATTCGGACGGCGATGCTTCCGATTCGAAGAAGAATGGCAGACGGGAACACTATCCATGCGTGATTGGGAAACGGGCCGGATGAAAAACGAGACCAGGGTACATGTGGTACGATCGGACAAGACCACTGCAGAGTTACGCGATCTACAGTATGCCCAACAGTACGGGCCGGCTTCAAAGAAAGGGGAACTCTATTCGATCGCCGCGGATGCAGTCAAGAAGTACTTCAACATCAAACCAGGCCAGAAGCAGTACGTTGCTTGTCTTTTGCTCGACGCCCACTGGGATCCCGCGGTGGGGACGATCACTGGCCATGCTGCATTAGGGGGTACGGGGGATGACCTTGGTCTCGCCATTTTTGGCTCCCACGCGCTTCAGAGCTACCCATCATGCATCGAAGAAGTGGTGCCAGCTTTTACAGATTGCACCCCAACCGACACCAAGTTTGTCGCCAATGACTGCAACGAGTCAGGCAGCAGTTGGGAAGCTGCAAACATCGGAATCGGCGCGCACCTCCACGAAGTCGGCCACTTGTTTGGTTGCCCTCACCAAGAAAGTGGAGTTATGCTAAGAGACTATGTGCGCCTCAATCGCACATTTTCAATCCGGGAATCGCCTTCGATCAGGACCAAGTCTCCTGGGCTCAAAGTTTGTCGCCAGGAGGATGAATGCGGCTGGCACCGCCTAGATGTTCTTCGATTCCGACATCACCCTTGCTTCAAGCTCCCCAGTGACGAACCTCTGTCGCCAGATGACAGCATCCAGTATTTCCCAGTTGGCAATGGGCGGGTCATTTGTTCAGCTGCGACGGGGATTTCTTTCATCGAAATCTGGACTGAAGGAGACGACCTGTGCCGGCACTGGATCGACTTCAACAATGCCGACCCTCGACTGAGCGGCATCCCTAGACAGGTGACATTAGTCGACAGTGACCTTCGAGCTCGTCTCCCCGAAGAGAAGAGGAAGGCCAAATTGTCGCTCGTTGTCTTCTCCGGCGGCTCACGGAATGAAAAGATTGAGGACCTGGATGATTTGCTGTCCAAGAAGAACATCGTCAACCTACCGCCAGTCAGGCAGGCCCCCAAGCGTGACGAAGGCCTGACTCTGAATGTATATAACAATGTGATGAAGTTGGGCAAGTCGTTCGATACGCGACTGGGATTCAAGGGCAAAAGACTGGGCCACTCTGCGTTGGAGGGATCGCAGCCGGAAGAAGTGATACTGGACTGTGCCAACCTCCAAACAAAACTCCTCACATCGGTTAGAGTGTATCATGGATACGCACTAGATGGCATCGAATTCTGCTATGAAGACGGGCATAGTCAGCTTTTCGGGAAAAGAGGCGGTAAGCCTGGCGGCGATGAATTCCCTCTCGGTAAGCGGAAGACCAATCTAGCGTCTCTTCGGAGCTGATATTCGCAGATACACGTCGAGGGGAAACCATTCTCGGGTTCTATGTGCGAGCTGGTCTTTGGATCGACGGCGTGGAAATCTTGACGAGTACTGGTCGAAGATCCGGGGTCTTTGGCAATGCAAAAGGGGGCTCTGGGTAAGTGATTACATCTGCACATGTTTGTTTCTATGCTCTAACGGGACATCAGGCACACTTTGATGGTGCCTCGTGGTTACAGTCTCGCTGGCATTGCGGGATCTTGCGGCGCGTGGGTGGACGGTTTCCAAATCATCATCACCCGGTAATAATCCTCGATCACGGATCTCTCCGACACGCATCCAAATTCGAACACTTGCCGTGGACGCAATTGTCCATGATTGGAGTACTTGCGACTTGCAGCATTTTCTAATACAGACGGCAATCACTACAGCTGAGGTCAGCTGTACCGATCAGGTCAACAACAACATAAAGCGAAATAATGTTATTACATCCTTCTCTTCGGACGGCACTGCAAGGGTGCCAGGATCAGCCACACGCATATGAATACGGCAAGGGAAGCATAAAAGAAACGACGCGCAGAAGAGGGCATCGAATCATCGATCCTGCAATAATTGAGACGGGTGAGACGGGTGACGTTGATCCAATGCCATGGTTGAGGAAAATAGAAAGCAATTCCCAGCATCTTGTGAGCGCGCACAGACAGTCAAGCTTGTACATAATATTCCGAAAACAGAGGAGCAGCCGCATCGCGACGCCGCGCCGTCCGCATGGGCCATGGCTGTGGTGGTCGCGCGGTTCATCTGGCCTCGCTGGACGACGCAGCTCTAGAAGCGAATACCGAGAAACGGGCGATATTAGGTATAGGTAGGAAGTAATGGGAAATGAGGGCAATGAACAAGAATTGTATTACGGGGATGGCTGCCAGAGACAAAGGCTTCGCTATCAAGTATCTTGGGTTCCCATGCTCTTTACCACAATATCCTGTTCCCCAGCTCCCAAGCAAAATACTTTCCGGCGGTTGTCGACTCTCAGGTAATGAAGGAAGTTACTCTAAGTGGTTTGGCAGACAAAGTGTGTCTTCACAAGACTGTATCACCCGGTACCCGCTGGGTCTCTTTCTTCTTTCTGTCTTGCACGGGAGTTTTGTCTGATACGCCGGTATGAGATGTAAGGCATACAGAGCGAGAGAGAGATGAATATATATACAGTGGGTGCTGTCCTCTCCTCTTTTATGACCTGGATTCTATAAATCTAGAATCCTATATGCATTGGATGCGGTGGCTTCAAACGCTGGATGGACCTGATACTCACTTTTTGTGGTGTGGCGTGGCAAGACAATGACTCTACTACTAGTACCGTAGTACGCAGTATGTGTCCAGACTCGACTTTGGATTCGACCTTGGATTCTGGATCCAAGACTAGACATTTGGTGTCTTTTCCTGATCTGCGAACCTTTTCAAGGAGAGAATGGAATCGCGACGACTTACGCAGGGCTCGGAATCATGGTTGAGTGGATTCGGGTTCAGGTTGAGGTTGAGATTCAGATTCCCAGATGAGATCCATATTAAAGTAAATACTAAAAGTACAGACAGGTTCATGTGCCAGGTATGTGATGCAGATGTAAAGTACTTTGAAATGGGAAGACATATAGATTAGGAGAGGCGGTCCAATGGGCCGAGTGTGTGCTTCTTGTGCCAAAAGATACTGCCTGAACTCACATGTTGTAACACAGCAACAATATACCATTACCCACCAGACGAAGGCAGATAAAGAACTGATGTCTCACAGGAGTAGGCATCGACAACAGATACCTCCATGCGACGACTCTCTTCCATGATCTGCCAACATTACCTGCCGGCCAGCCTGCCCGGCAAAGGCCAGTAAAGCCAGTCCCACAGCAAAGCAAGGCAAACAGAAGCTGGGTTATATATCCATCTCTTGAGCAGCAAGTCCAGATTTCTGTGAGGTAGAAGTGTGGAATTCCTTTCACGTCCTCATGCTTGTGCCAGTGGTTTGCCGCATGCTCGAAGTGTGTTTTTTTTTATCTCTTCTTCTCTTTCTGCTCCTAATCAGAGTTTGCTCGTGTATATCGATAGTACCAGCGTGATCGAATCCCAATATGGAATCTCTGAATGTATATTTCTCTCATCTCTTGAGTGGGGACATCATCTGTGCGCAGGTCAAAATCACAAGGAGCACGAGAAAGGGCCTTGTCCGGATTGCTTGTCGGTGAGCGGTCACTCTCAACGCTGGTCATGGTGGGTATGCCATAATCTCGCTGTATAGGATTTATTAAGGTTGCAGGGGGTCAGCAGTCACCGCATACCTGGTCCGGACGGGCAAGGCATTGACTGACACTCCCTGTAGGTTTGAGACAGAGAATAACTCTCTTCAGCCTTTTCAAAAAGTCGTATGACATTTTGAAGAGTTTGCAACAGGCGCCACACTGAAGCGCGCCCGAGGCGTATGGGTAGAGTACGTTCTTTGCAAACCCACGACGGCAGTAAACTAGTAGTCAATAGTATGGTTGTCCACCTGCTTTTTCAGGAACCTAGAAATGCCGTCGGTGGGAGGGCCGCTCTCATTCTTTCGTCGGTGGGCGAATCGGATTTTTCTGTATCCAGGCAAAGTATCCATACCGGTTGACACCCATCTCGTCAGTGTCCTCATTCTTCGACCTACCAAGTCTTGGAAAAGGAAAAGGGGGGTGCAAAGATCAGCGTCTTACTTACTGCTGTCTCCTGCTGCCGACAGCTTCTAGACCGCCGTGTTGAACAGGCTTTGAACCAAATCATGAATCCTTGATCGGGTCGTCCGTCTGTCCTGCCTACTGTCAATGGCGAGTATGGATCAACTTTTCGCTTTCAAGCCACAGATTTCAACAAAAGACCCATGACTAACCCCACAACGGGAATGATCGTCGCTGACTGTGGCGCAGTGACTGTGGCGGTTTCAAGTGTGGCACTTTTGGTGGGAACTTGAACTTTTGTGAACGAACTCTTCGGCGAGCCGGATCCGTGTGAGGAGAACAGTTCTGTCTCCGGAGTGGGCTGCGGGCAACCCGGCTCAAACTTTCTTTTGGTCCCGCGTGCTGGCGCGTATGAGATTTACTGAGAAAGCGTTGCGGACCATCGGTTTGGCATGATCGGAAATTCTCTTTGCGATCGTAAACACTATGGGAGAGTAGTCGGCGCGAAGTTGGCGCTTGGAAGCAAGGTGCCCCGGCAAATTTGTTGTCACGGGCCCAAAGATACTGACGTTACCCTCAGGCTAGGACCCTGATGCTGGCGCAGAATGAGGAATTTCATGCTTCCCATCACGGATACCAATCTCCCCAAGCCATTAAGAGGAAAAGAATTGTCCCGAATACTGTTGCAGCGATAACAACGGCGGCTTGCCGTGCCCCTTTGAGCGGTTGAGATGGACGGTCTGGGACGACAGACATGGCATGGTGAAGGTACACTACCTTCAAAGCTCCCCTGCGCAATTAGCATTCCGACGACATGGCTGAGGGCCCGAGCAATTTGCATGTTCCTCTGGGCTTGCGGCACGGGATCGAATCAACCGAGCTGGAAGTGTCCACCGTCCCGTCAAGCCCACTCTGTAGGCGAGGGCCATCTGTGCCACAGCTCGTCTGGTCTGTGGCTTGCCGGTGATGCTGGTCCATTATTGGGTGTGCTTTCCGACCGTGCGCCTCGTGGGTCCCAGGCGCCGTTGCTCCCGTTGAAATTCGTTCCATCCGCGTTCCAAATGTCTCGAATCGAGATTACCGGGGTCCGCCAATTCGCCCGGTGCCTGGTCAATGCCGCGCTATGGGCCATCCTCTGAGAGCGGGTTGTCCGACCCTTACGACTTGTCCGTAGCCGATGGAGGACTGAATTTCCCTCAAGACACGCCCAATGAGGCATGCCTTCATTTATTCGAGCGCTAAGGCTGATATCGCTGGGCTCTGCTTGCTCGAGGTCCACCGGGTCACCGACCGGTCCGGCAGGCAGGGGGGTGGTTCTCTGGTCACTTGGTCGCCAGTGCGCCGTGGACGGCGTGGAGAGCGGCCTATACGAGGCCCAGTATGATCCCGTCGAACCTCAGCAGAGTAGCTTGCTGATTGGTGCAACGACACAGGAAGAATGATCAAGATTGCCACGTGAAAGGCAATGCCGAAAGATGTGAGATTATCAAGGGGTCAGTTGACCAACGTGCCCATCTCTATTCGTTGCACCCGGAGTGTTTCATCTTCCAAGGGGCTCACAGACAAAACGGCTGGCGATGTGTGATGGGCATAGGGCATGATGTAATGGCTCGTGTAGCATCGTGAGGGAATCTGCGGTGCAGCCTGGTGTGTGAAGGACGGTGTCTATGTTTAGAGATGGTACCATTCGGCGCTGGGCGTATCATTATTGGTCTGCGCTATCCCCATAGGCTATAGGGATTGACGGTGTCGGGTGACTCTCTGATGCGGTGTCGGTCAAGATGGCGACCACTGTCATTATCAACCAAGTGCCACGCTCTTGATGATCTTCGCAACCAATTAGCCAGAGAGTCGCCGGTAGGTGTCCTATTTCTCGATCCTATAGTCTTCGCTGTGCACGATGTGCTAGCTGCGTACGCGTCACGTCACAGTACAGGGAGGATCTGCCTCCGAAAAGCGATGGAGCGAATTGCTACTTAATCGAGTCAAGTGTTGGCCTGTGTGAGATGACATTGCGGCCGGCCATTGGCGCAGGCGGCTGCACGGAACGAAGAGGGACGATTGATCGACAGCGAAGTGACGGTAAAATATTCTCAAGGTCTCAGGCGACACGTGTGGACGATTGGTGCTAAGATAGAAGTGAGCAGTAGCAGTAGCAGTAGCAGTAGCGTACCATTCTCTAGACGACAGTACGTAGTAGTTTGGGTATGGAGAAACCAGGGACCCGTAAGAGAGATAACCCATCGCCCAATTGCCGAACGACTGTACGGTGTCCGGTACACGGCGTATGCTGCTGGCTGCGGGAGAAAGGATCGTGGCTTGCGGTGGATATTGTGCGGATTGTTTCACCCAGCCATGGAAGTGCCGGTCGAGAGAGAGGGATGGGAAATTGAGAAATTGTCGATGCGAAGGATAAGATGAGAGTGACGGGATCAAGGGCAGAGGCCTGTTGAACTTTCGTAAGGGGCGAGGGGGGAGACGAGTTTGGGTGGAGGACTAGGAGTGAAGAAAAGTCAAGCCACAGATGGGCCGGCAATTGGCGCTTGGGGCCGCTGCGGAGAAAGGCAGACACACAGACACAGGCAGTGTCAGTTAGGTATTTACGTAGATGGCACTGGGTTCGTTAGGTTGATGTTTCCGGGCTTAGGGCCTAGGGAGCCCCCTTTTACAGAGTTAGGCGTGGTCGCCACAGATGCCACAGATGCCACACCTATTTTGCCACTGAGAAGCCACAGTTCCCACTCCTACTATGACTCGTTGTAACTACTAGTAGTTACTTTTCCACTGGCGTGAGTCTCAACAGTCCTGTCGATGGGATTGAAGCCTAACCTCGAGAGACGCGTGGCTGTGCTTCTGTCGATCACGGCGATTGACTGCCTGGGCCCTGGGGGACGCCGCAGTATCAAAAGACTGCATGAGGAAGTGATGCGAAGGAGGAGATGCCTGTTACAGGTACGGCACACTGTTGCCCGCTGTCTGGTCAGGGATGAGCCCGGCTTGCAAGGAGAGGAACAGAGACCAACAAGCACCAAAGAGGCATGTCTGAGACGGACGGGGGATGGGGTACCGCCGTAGTACCTACACTTGCTCTTAGGTGCAGTGCCGACAGAGTACGTATCATTCCTCTACGGGTCCAGTGTAGTGAGCCACTGAGAAAAGTCCCCGTACGAGTGTGCCAGCCACGTCGCCTGACCGGGGGCCACTCATGCTGTCCAGTGAAACTCCAGGCCTCTGCTCGACGCCACGGCTGGGTGACTAGCCTAAAAGTCCTCCACCAGGCCGCTCCATCACACTCTCCAATGGGGAGGCTCCATCACCCCCGGGCATTAATTCCAGGCGTGGCTCAGCTAGACGAGGTTCCCTGACCCCGGCCCTGGGCAGCTGAGGCTTTCACAGTTTTCCGGTAGGCTCCAGGCTAATCCAGCAATCAATCAGTAAACAACGAACGGAGTACAATCCTAACAATCCCACAAATACCGCCTGTGTCTTGCCCACCGTAGCTAGTACGAGGTATCTTTAAGCATGGGTTAGTGGTGAGAGACTTCCTTCTTGACCAGAGTCTCCGCTGCCTGCGCTGCGCTGGGACGAATGCCACTGCAGTGCATCGATGCTTCAAACTACTTCCGATCGATGGGTCGACGCCACGCCACTCCATACACATCTCATCCTCCATCTCCATCTGCTGTCACCCATCCTCCCATTCTAATCCACTCTTGCTTCACCATCCTTGCAGCCGTGACCCCCCCAATCTAGTGATGGGCTAATCTTGTTACTATCCTACTATGAAATGTTAAATGCTGCCACCCAAAGCCCATGGCCACCAGCATCCCACCCCGGTCCCTGTACTACTCCTAGCAGTAACGCGGATGCGTCCAACGCCCTGCCTACCTCACCTCATATCTCAACCTCGATCTCTCTCAATTGAAGTGTACCCCAAGCGAGAACGTCGATCCTTTGACCTCTGTCCTCCGTCCTCATATTGCTTGCTCCGACACGTAAAGAGAATCCATACCGAACAGAGCAAAGACGGCCTACATAGACCCGGCCACACCTCACATTACGCGCAATCGCAGTAAGGCGCAGCAACTCTCGAACTTCGAAAGCATCCTGGCCTCCTTTACTCGATCTCGTCCACCTCTCTAAGCCATCCGTCGATGCGCGCAGCCTCAACTACCATTACACCGTCCGACCATTCAAAGGCCTCATGTCGTTGATTTGACCCCGTTCTCTCGAGAGCCTGCAGCCTGAGACACAGTCTCCGGCGCAAATGTTTCGCAATCGGTTCGTCTTCTTGCCCTCTGATCTGTATTCCTTTCCCCCCGACTCGACCGTCCGGGACGCTAACCGTCAACTTGCTCGCAGACGCACTTCTCAGAAGCCCGACGAAGCGTTGTACGCGGCCTTCAAGGAGTCTTTTCCCGAAGTCGGGCCTGGATCATCCTCATCAGCTGGACCGAGTGACGAAGGCCCTGCTCGCAGATCATCAGTCCTAAGCGAGGCTATTGTGGATGAACCCTCGACAGCTCAACGGTACGTCTCCGACAGTCTTACTTCATCTCGTCTTCCTCTCCTCTCAACCAGCGCTACATGTCAACATTCTTCAACAATGTCGCCGACCTATCACTCCTCTGAGGAGCCCGACCAAGGAGGGCATCGCGCTGACTATTTCTCCAGCGCATTCGATAGTCAGCCTGAGGTCAAAGAACCGCAGGATGCGACACCCAAACACTTCGCTGACGGCTGGAGATTCACTCCTTCCCTCATGGATCCCAACTCTTTCGCCTTCTCGGCCTTCGCAAATCAACCTCCTGGCTACCTGTATACGCCGACCCCTGGAGGCTATAGCACGCTCTACCACCCCCAAGCGGGCGACCTTCACACCCCTGGAATGGGAATGAATACGCCGTTATCGTTGCCTCACTCAGTGCAGGCCATGCATGCGCACGATCCTCTAATGCATCTCCAACATTTCAACCCCCATTTCTTACACCAACCTCATCCGTTCCAGGATGCCTTTCAGCCGGCGCAACCGCAAGTCTCCGTTATTGCGCAGCAACCACAGAGCTTTGCGCCTCAACAGTTCCTCCAGCATCAGGACTCGGGTTATGTGGCAATGGACGATAGTCCGCACAAGACGACCCCGAATCAGGCCGAGTTTGGCATGGAACGACCTCCCATGAATGCGGCCATTTCACAAGCCATGTCCGGGACAATGGGGCTTGCAGATGTGCCGTTGGGAGACAAGTCAGTACGATCCAGCTCCATAGCACGCATTGGCTAACATGACTGTTAGATTACGATTTCACACCACTTTAAATGCTCCGACCGCCATGGTTCGGCATGCAGACGAGATCCCCATCACTTATCTCAACAAAGGTCAAGCATACACCATGTCCATCTGGGACACGGTTCCGCCCATGCCACGAGACAGCGCTCCTCAGTACCGCACCTGCGTTCGTGTTTCATTCGAGGACGAGCAACAGAGAGCCCGACCAGGAGCCTGTTGGCAACTCTGGAAAGAAGGCCGCGGCTCAAACGAGGCCCACCAACGAGGCGGCAGACTTCTCGCTGTGGAATACGTCGATCCTAATCAAGGCGGGGATGACGAACTACGCAAGCCACTGGTCCAGCTTGAGAAGGCGTCTTTCGACGGGTTCGCAGTAACCTGGGTTCCCAGCCTGGTCAGTGGAGGTCCCCACTGTTCTATCTCCATTCGATTCAACTTTTTGTCGACGGATTTTAGCCACTCTAAAGGTGTCAAGGGTATTCCCGTCCGACTTTGTGCGAAGACCGAATTGGTCACTCCACAAACCACGGCCAGCAACGAAGCAGAAGTCTGTTTCTCGAAGGTCAAACTTTTCCGAGACCATGGTGCCGAAAGAAAGCTCTCGAACGACGTGGCCCACGTTAAAAAGACGATTGACAAGCTCAAACAACAGATAGCGCAGGCTGAGGCTGGTCTGGGCAATTCTGGAAAGAGGAGGAGGAGTGGATCGATGGTGAAGGCGTTGACGTCGACATCGACGTCGCGCCCTGGGAAAGTGATGAAACACAAGCGTACATTTTCAGTCGATTCGGAGGCCGATGGAGCCAAGTTTTCGGTCGAAGAAGACCTGCAAATGAAGCTTGTTACCATGCAAGATATGTTCTCGTCGACCAGACCGGTCAGCGTTCTGTTTCTGCGTGGCGATCCAGAAGACGATCCGGACTTGTTTCCTGTCAAGCTACCTGGGGACGACCCTGACATGAAGGAAATCGTCAGAACCAATACATGGGAGTCGAGACAGAGTGTCTCCGACTCCCCGACATCGAATGCAGCCTCGCCCAGTTCAAATTCATCACAGGCCTCGCCCAAGAGGAGATTTTCGGACATGCAGCAACCCGCCATACAGGAGGAGGGCGAGAGCGAGCACGACAAGGAACCGGCGGCTCCATCTGGCGCTCCGACTCGAGCGGTCAAGATCCCCAAGACCGAGACTGATGCGATGGTCAAAAGAGATTTGTTCGCGGTGGACGTCGATAGCAGTTATCAGCCACCTGTCGAGAAACCCATCCGACCCGGTAAGTTGCCTCTCGTGCCTTTGATGAGATTTCGCGCTGACCTGGTACATAGTTGCATGTTTTTATGTGCGCCAGAAAGATTCACGCAGGGACTACTATCGCGCAGTCTACCTGATGCAGCGATCTGTCCGAGACCTGATCAACGGCATATCGGACAAGTTCCAAGTTGACCCTCACCAAGTGACCCAGGTGACGCACATCAATTCTCGAGGATTACACATCATTGTGGATGAAGATGTTGTTCGAGAGTTGCCCGAAGGACAGGATATGATCGTTGAATTTGCACCACTACGATCCGAGCAGCCGGTCAAACCTGAACCTGTTCGTACAGCGATGACCGAGGTGAGGGTCGACAGCGCAACGGCACCTGCGGAAAGCTGGATGTCCGACCCCTTGGAGATGTGGCTGAATTATTGATATTACAACCATTGAGCACCACGACGCGACCCTGAAATTGCATGAGATACCCCTGGCTTCATCAATCGGTTTTATTTCCTTACGAACACGGACTAATATTGGAGGGAGGCAACCTTCGGAGCCGTCTGGCAGTGTCAAAGAAAGACGGCCAGCCGAACCATAACTATTCGATAACCTTTAATGGCGCAGAAGCTTGATATATACTATTGACTTCGTCGGTTGCCTCGAGAGTGTACAGTTGGACGACAACCGGAGGAGGACATTCTTGGATGGATTCATTTGCTCCTGCGCTTTCACCATCACCACCTTTTCCTTTGTTTCGTACAGCACACGGACGATCGAATGACGGGATGATATACGAGTCTCTGAGCGACGTCCGACTATTACTGTTTCGTTTGTGACGATATACACGACCTATCGAGATACCCACATGGGAAGAGCGGAAATTTTTCCTTTCTGGCAGGCAGCACGATACCCCGTTGACTTGGATGGGGGGATATGCCATCATTATCAATTCTATCGACTAATCTTGATTGCGTAACACACCCTACGCATTTTTGTTTCTCTCTTTACTTCTTCACGGGCGACTTGTCCGCGCATCTTGCGCGCGGTCTGAGACCATGATCCGTGCTTCTTCTTCTTCTCCTCTTCTGAGACAGGGACATAAACAGGGGGTGAACACGTTGTGAATGCTGGTCTTGCCAAGGCAAGGCCGCAAAGTTGGTAATTGACGGGACGATTGACCAGCCGGAGCAGTTGAATGGATAGTGGCAGACTGGGATGTTGGGTGCAGTGTCGATGTTGGGAGCGCATATACGGCTCAAGAATCCCAGACTTCGTCCTAGCGCTCTCTGCGTGCTGCAGGAACGACAGTCCGAGTCTGTTTGGGAGATATGATTGCAGGGTGAAGAGCAGAAACCAATCAAAACTGCTTGAATGCAATGCAATGCAACGCGACGACAGTCTCAAACTTCAAGTTTTCCGCTTCAACGGTTCAACCCAAGTGACTCTAGTAACGTTTTGAACCGAGAAATGTTGTCCTTCACAAGCCAGTCACGTCTGGAATCCGGTTCTCCCAGGAGACTTGGAGGGATGAGCCTGAGTGGCAATGGATTGTTGAACTTGTAGAAGTGGCGGTGCATAGCGGTTGCCAGCACACCCAGGCCAAGCGGCATCTTTCCCCCCTGTCGTCTCCTCACATCACACCATTCCTAGGTACGTACATAGTACTGTGTACGCAGGCACCTAGGCTATGGCCCATGTCGCTACCACGTACCTAGGTCGGTAGTTGACCGAGAAACTGTCCAGTATGTGGCGCAAGACTGGTATACCCGGTAGTAGCAATAGAGAGAGACCCCTTCAACTTTTGGATGCAAGGGACTGGCAGTAGTATATCAGCAGACCCGACGATCTGGGCTCCAATGGGTTAAAAGTCCGAGAGCGTGGAGAGACCCTTTTGTTGTTATTTCAAGCACAGGACGTACTGAGATGCCTAAGGTACCTAAGGTAAGTAGAGTGAATGACTGGGTGAGTAAAGTTCCTCTGCCTTTCCTATCCCTTGTAGCCGGTCGGCCAGTCCCGGTCCCAGTCGCCCCTACTACTGGTATGATGCCCGTGCTGATATGATAGAAGGAGGATCTGAGGTACCAGTAGTGCCTGCAGGGAACAATGTCCCGACTTTCAAGGCTTCAAGTTCTGTTGTATATCGCCGGCCACGTCAGCCCTGAAAAGACTCCCTTCGTGCGACGTCCCGGGGCCCTCGGTAGTATTCAAATTGCTGATCGGTAGGTAGATAAAGTACCTACCTGTGTATGTTAGGTACCTTAGGTACATGAGTAGATTAGTAGAATGATTCGGTGGTTGAGTGGCTACCTTAGGTAGATACAGAGTAGTTATGTACCTAGGTGGCAAGGGTGTTGCTACGCTGAGTTAGTCGGGTATCTTTTCCAGTCGTTGGAATTGGCCCCCTGATCCCTTAACCCTGGCTGTTGAAGATCAGCGCTATTAATAAATACCTTGCCCTATACAGAGAGCTGGTACCCCTTATGTACTGTGTACACTGTATACCTTGGGTAGAGTGCGTACCGAGATACCATCTGCATCTTGTCCCAGTACCTTAGGGTACTCTTTGGGTAGGTAGGTACTACAGTTGGAACGAGAAACCGTGCCCTCATTTCCGATATCCATCAGGTATTCGGCACCATGCAGCCGAGAAGGAGGAGGCAGAGGCGTACAGTGGAGCGACGACACCGGCACACCCCGGGACCACTCAATCAACTTAACTGCTGGCGGGCTTTCCGGTTCTTTTTTTCTGGACCTGGCGTCGCTTCTGGAGTTGTCTTCGCCGGAAATCGTGACGGTAGGTACAGACCGAGGAGGCTGAGCTGGCTACTAGGTCAGTGGCGCCCCTTTGGTCCTTTTTCTTTGCAGTTCGAGGAGCTAGGAGGGAGGCAGAGGAAGCGTAGGAACTGCGGTTGCGGTTGCGGTTGCGGTAAAGGATGGGCACACTCGATCACCTGTCTGGCCGCCCTCCTAGTTCAGTCGAGGTGGCTCAAGGCGTCAGGTAACCCATGTAGCTGTAGCTGTGCGACCACAATTGTCAAGGGTCCAAGGGTCCTGTGATGACCCCTTAGCTGGCAAGATAGAGTCCGGGTAACTAACTGTTCCTTGGGTACAGCCGCAGTGGTTGATGCTCGGGTAGTAGTACAGGTTAGTACTCCGCTCAGATATCTGAGGTACTAGTACTAGCGTGTGAAATGCTGTGTAGTACACAACTTGAATTTGTTCTCAACTTTGAACGACGGAAAAGCAATCCAAGATTGCAGTGTGAAGGGAAGGGCTAAGGGCCTAGGTGCAGGTGGGGTTGATAGACGGCGGCTCTCTGACGTCACGGCGGGTCGCCAGAGCCCAGACGCAAGCCACACTCCATTTCTACGCCACAATGGGTGTGCCACACCTCAGCCACTAGCACGCCGACCGGCATATCCGACGCCACACTGGCTCTTCACTCGCCACAATCACATGTCAGAGCTTGTGGCTGTTGTTGCTGCGCCACAGGACTAGTATCCACAGGTTCAGTGCCCTGCATCATGATTCTCGACTTCAACCCTTGTCCTCTCTGGTGCTTCTGTTCCTCGTTTTTCGTTTTTGGAATATACGACTCATTCTGGATGTGAGCGAATCGGAGAAGCATGTCATTGAGGTTTCTAATATCTGGCTTTGAGCAGGCATCTCCGACCGCACCAGCTAACAGGTTCCCAGGATTGGCGTTGGGTGACAACGCGCTCTTTCTTTCCGCAGTCTCAGTCTCGGTCTCGGGGCCTCCACGTCGAGATCAGCATTCCCTGTTTTGTATTCTAGCTGGCTGGACTAGGCTGGACTGGACTGGACTGAATCGTGGCTGTGTTCATGCTATTTGTGGTCGTTGCGACTATTGTCCTGGTACAATATTTCACAGCAATGCGGTTTGACCGAACGGACTTGGACTTGGCCAGTGGTCTCGACTGTCCAGGCAGAACCGACCTGCCTTACGAAACATGAGGAGAGAGGAGCCGCGAATGAGTAGTAAGGTAAGCCTCTCAGAGGGTACACAGAATCACAGATCACGCACAATCCCGACCATTACCTTACTTCACCTCTTGGAACTCCCCAATCGAGGTCGAGACAACATTCGTGTCTGCCGTTTATGCCGTTGCAAGTTTGAATGGCTTGGTGTGGCGGTGCATGCATTTTCAAATTGCAATGCATGTTATCCACCATGATCCATGTACTGATGTCCTCCCTCTATGCATGCCTGATGCGACTGGAAGCTGCAGGGTATGTGTCAGCGCAGTCCCTCCCGTCTTCTTCCTCTTCTACAACGTCAATTGGTAGCACGCCAGCCAACCGCCGTTCTCATGCGTTGTCTTTCTTGGTTGGAGACTCCAGGTTGAAGCGGTGACGCAGGGTCTGGGAAAGACATGGCGACCTTGTGCGCTGTTACCTTTGTTTATTCGTGGAACTATTGTTGCAAATTTGCTCTTGTTGCATTCCCGCGAGGTGCTCTGTTTGACCTCGAGAGCCCGTGGCAACAGGGTACGTATACGAAATTCAACTTCTGCATGAAATGACAGAGAAAAGACGGGCCGTTGTTCCTACGGAGCTTCATTCCATTGCAGCGTCGTCTGTACAATCAGACCACGGTGAACCTGACCAGGTAAAAGTATCAGGCCAGGGATATGCTTTTCTTCCCGCAAATGGCGGAGAAAGAGAGGTAAAATTCTCCCACTTAATTCGAATACTCCTTGTGGACGGATGGTAGAGAGTCGTCGAGGATTCCGTGTCACATTGGGCAGAAAGGAAACATTTTCCAGAGGAACATAAACTTGCCGTCATGACTCTTGCCGTGTGCGACTTAATACCGATCTACAGCTGCGTACCTTGTGCCGTCTGGTGATCGCCCCGCACTTTCATCCTTCCCGTCCCGTGTCGCAGCGGCTATCACTGCTGACCAAGGTTGCAATGAGACCGACAATAGTGAATGGTCAGTGGTCACGATCAGGCTGACGTGGAAGTTATCCCAGGGAATAGAGAGAGACAGACATCTGGTTGACTTTACGAATGGGATGGCACAAGGAGAAACTTGCATACATACCCTCGTTACGGGTCATCTACCCGGCTGGACTCCCATCACAGGCCCCTCTTGAGTAGAAAGCTATTTGCATCTAAAAGGGTCCCTGGGTCGTTCATGTCTTTCGCTCTCAGTTGCAAGACACCTTTTGAAGTGGTGAAGCAGTGATGGAAGGACATGGGATGCCAGGTTTTGCACACAATACTACCTTGGCTAATAAGAAGTGTCGGAGAAGGAAATGTCTTTTTTGCTCTAGATGATCCCTCATCTTAGGCAGCCTGAGTGAATGGATAATATAGGTGAACACCACTGCATTGCACGGCGACAGATTCATTACATTTGCCATGTGTTCCAAGGGTACTCCAGCTGCAAGCCAGCCTCGCTTGTGAACAGAGAAATTAGGTCTGACGTCCAGGTTCCATATCATCAAAAAGAGTATGGTCGTGAAGGGCGGTAGCCTGTAAGCTATATCATGTGAAGATACCATTTCGCAGCTTCAGTTGTAGCTCGGCCTTCTAAACTTAACATCTTGTTATCTTTATAGTCATTGTACTTGAGTGCAACAGACCAAATGGAAGACCACGACGCTACATGTTCGCCTTACAAGTGTGCAAAGTCTCGCGAAGGCGTGGCCTTGTCTTCCTTGTTGCGACGATCCTCAGGTTTTTCTGCGCCTTAGCTCACGTGTGCCCATGTCTCATTTCCAATATCGTTTTGGCATTGGCATTGGCATGGTCATGGAGATATGCCCCCAAGGACTGCGCTTGGGAAACGATGAAGTCTCGTTTGCTTGTGGCTTTTCTCTGCAATTTTCGAGGGCAGCAACTCGCTCAGCTTTCTCGCTTGTATATGTATCTTGCTACCGTGCGAACGTTGTTCATGAACCTCTGCATATTTGAATTTCCGTGGATTGATTGAAAGCGACGGATTATTTGCACACATATGTAGGGCTAGCGTTGCATTGCCAACGAACATCAAACAGCCTACCTATTCCAGCCCTTCATCGGCCGAGTTCAGCAGCTCCAGGCTTGTTCTCGCCGTGATTGTCCCAGTCTCAGTCAGAGACGCTGCGATGGCCGAAGTGGCGGAGTCAGACTTGAAACGGCAGTCCTTATGTCTTCGGACGAGTCCGAGAGGGCACTGGAATGCAGCAGCATATCCTGTACCGCTGTGGATAGTAAGAAAGGAGACGACAGCAGCAGAGACGTGACCGAGACAGATAAGAGACAGGCAAAGCCTGACAAAGACAGACATCACGACGTGCAGTGACTGGTGGTATGATCAAAGTTCGACCCCTGGATGCCAAGAACTGGACTCTTTTGGCGGGCCAAAAATTTCATGGAGGCTGGAGAATTGAACATTTGAGCACTGAACAGCTTCAACCTCCCCTCCACTTACGCAGACGCGACCTGTCAACCAACTGTCACCTGCTCAAGACGGACTCGCTCGATCCAAATTCGGAGTGCTGGGAGGGTTCGCGCTGTGTGCTGGGCTTCCTTCCCAATGGCCAGGTGCGGCGGGCTGGAAGCCTTGTTCGAGTCCAGAATACGCAGATGCGCCCATGCTGCATACAAGCGAGCTGCGAGCTGCGAGCCTCGAGCCTCAGCGTGACCTACAATTCTCATGCAGCTACGTATTTATGAATGAGCGAGGCTACTGCACAGGACTATGACTCGCTGTTGGCCAAGTCGAGAAGTGGCCTTGCATGGAGCAACTCTTAACCATCCACTGGCGAAGATATTCCGAGGGGCGGTCTTCTAAGCCAGCATTGAAGAAACTCTTTCTTACATCTGCCACCACAGCCTCGCGCGTCACACGACAGCGAGTATATGTGCCTCCAGCGTGTTGGCAGTTTCGTTCGCCTCTTTTACAGAACAGCCGGCGACATACCGAGATCTGTCAGTGAGTGTGGGCAGGCGTTGTCGATTCGGCGTCCGTGACCCCTTGGACCCCTGCAGCTCGACAGCCAGTTTGGAAAGCTTTGACATCCCGACGACGCCTCGGACACTTGTCTTTGTTACAACACGTACCTTCGGGCCACCCACTTCCACGTAGCACCCTATCCCGTGCTCGCTTCTCCGGCAGTGCACACGAGCCTACGCCTTGCTGACGCGAAAGGCTGTGGAGATGGTAAGGTTCTCGTTCTATCTCCCCGCCTGCCCACCGACCCATCTGGATGTCGCGTGTGAGGGAAGGCAAGCATCTTGCATATACTTTGGCTGGGAGCCTGTTGCATCGCAATCATCCTTTTTGGGCCCTGTTCCTGTTCAATTTCCTTTTGCAAATGAACCAATGTGTCTGATTATTGATTCAACCCATCATGACGAGTGAGGTGTCGGCGAGTGGCCATGGAGGAATGAATGCATACAACGGATCTTCGTTGGAGATTGTTACTGTCGTGCTGATTGCAGTCTCCTTCGTCGTGGTTCTTGTTCGCGGTGTGGCCAGGTATCGGATCAGCCGAGTTGCTGAACCTTCAGATGTCCTGCTGCCTTTGACTCTGGTAGGTCTTTGTCTCGCCTACACCAACACTGCGACGACGATTAACTGAAAAACTTGCAGGTTGTGGCCATCGCGCAGAGCGTCTGTGTCCGAGTGTCGCTGTCGAGCGGATTGGGCAGACATGTGGCCTCGCTAAGCTCCGACCAGCTCACGGAATTCCAGCAGGTTAGACATCTTCTGGTGTACCGAGCATATCGAAGGATGGCACTGACCGGTCATACTCTAGCTCACATACGCCAGCAACCTCCTCTTCCAACTGGTGCTCTCTCTATCCGAAGTCATTGTGGTCCTCCTTATCAAGAGCGTCGAGCCGCAGCGGCCAGTCCGCATCGCCTGCAATGTTCTGCTTGGATGTATCGGCGTCTACACTACGCTGTCCCTCTCGATCCTTGCTTTCCAGTGCTCTCTTCCAGAGCCATGGCTGGTTGCAGCAGACAGATGCGTCGACCGGGTTAGTCACACTGGGGATCTCCAGCTCTGCCTAGCATTTCCCAAGGGCCCTTCAGCTAACAGTACCTTTGCCACATAGCAATCCTTCTTGACCTCGTTTGTCATCGTCAGCATTATAATCGACGCAGCCACTCTCCTCCTACCAATTATCATGGTATGCAGGCTCAAGACGCCTCGAGACAAGAAGATCTTCGTATGCATCCTGTTCGGCACTCGCCTCGCGCTCCCCTTGGTCACCGCACCACAAATATACCGTCTCAAGAAGGTGCTGGTCTCACAAGACCAAACATGGGACCTGGTCTCCTTCCAGCTCTGGGAGCAGATCGTCATGAATATCAGTGTCATCACGGCCTGCCTGCCCTCGTTGGGCCGGATGCTGTGGGAGTTGATGACCCGGGGCTCGGCAGGACTGAGGTCGACCTGGGCCGCTTCTCGAGATTTCGGGCACGAGCTTGGTCTGGACAAGGGTCAGGGTCAGGGCCAGGGCCAAGCCCAAGCCCAAGCCCAAGCACGACATCTCGGTCTGGAGAAGCCATACATCCAGCAGCCGAGCCCGGCTTTCTCTCCCGCCGGCGAGAAGGGTAGCTGGGGCGACCAAGTGATTGTGCAGGTGCGGAGTATTGGAAGCTTTGAGAGCTTCGAATCCGGCCGCACGCTGGTGAGCCAGGAGCCCACTGCGGTTGATGTGCAGAAGCAGGAGGAGAAAGACGAGCTGCCTCCTACCATGATGCCTCAGCAGACCGCAACCGGGACCGGGACGGCTACTGCTTCGATGCATTATGTACCACGCCGGCCGTACCACCACTACCGCCGCCCGCTCAGCAATCTGTTGTCTCCGGTGCTGGAACAGTCGCCTGCTCTGGGAGCAGCATTGCCTCCAACACTGACCGGTCAACACTACCCTCACCACCAAGGAAGGGGTCCATATGAAGCGCCGCCACCTGCATACTTGACGCCTGGTCCGCGCGATTCCCCGACCAGACCGTGGGATACCACGAGTTCGCTGTACGACGAGGACCTCTCTGAGATCGACATCGACAGCTACTATATGCAAAACAACCAGATCTCTCAGTCGTACCACCCGAGCCGCACCGAATTGGTCTTGGATAGTATGATTGAAGATCTGCAGCGGGAGAACGCCGGCGTGAAACCCAGTCAAGGACCCGGTGGAGCCTGGATATGAGGCTGAGGTTAAATGAATGATGTTAATGATACCCCTGGCCAGGCTTGGTGGTCATGCTGGGCTTTACTCTTTGATGGATCATGTATCTCTACCTAGGATATACAGGAATTCCTACACAACGATGCCGGACTATTTATGCAGAACTAAGAACCCGATTATGACCAAGTCAAAAGTTTCGTATTCTTGAGAACAACGTTCATGATTTCATATAGTGGCTATTGATATAAGGCTTTCGTCCGACTTGATACGTGCCGAACCGGGGTCTTGATAACATGATGGTGTCAAAGTATAGACATCTCTTTGACCATGATCCATACCATACCTCACCTCTGCAAGCGCAGGTGGTAATGACATCCTCTTCCTTACTTCTGTTCTCCGCCAACTATCTTGTTCACCGTTCCACCCAACGTCCCATCGCCCTTGAAGTGCTTGCCAATGATCCCCTCCTTATCTAACGGACCGCCGATTTTCTGGGCCGTGCCCCCGATCGCGCCATGTTCGGTGAAGTGGGAGCCGATTGCGCCTTGAGAGCTCAACGCTGGTGCCACACCCTAGACAAAAACAACCTGCGAGTTAGTCACTCACTCATATACAGACGCAATTCTTCAGGGCACAGGACGAAGACATTCCCCGACCGTAACCAGATACGATACCAGCGATCAACGAGAATGGAAGAAAAGAGACAATCAACCGTACCTGTTTCGAAGCGTTCTCAGGCAGCGACGTCTCGGCATTCAGAGCCTGGTTCCCCGCCGAAGCACCCGCGTCGAGAGCCTGACCAGATCTGTTGGAGGCGTCTGTCGGCATATTGCTGCTGTCTGATTTCGGAGCGGGGTTGTAGTTCTGGTAGTTGTTGTTGTTCGGGTCGTTCTCCTTGGTCGGTGGTTTCTGGCCGATAAACTTGGAGGTGTCGGTGTGAGATTTGAGGATGTTAGGCGTCATCTGGTGGTGGTGGTGGTTGTTGGTCAGGAGGGACGTGGGTGTTGTATACCTCCTAGAAATTGAAGAGATGGAGCTTGAAACAAGGAAGGCACCTATCGATCCATATATATGAGAAGCAGCAACCAACCGGTCACACCTCGTACCCAGTGGACGGGCGATGATGCTATTCCCTCGAGTCGCAGCACCCCCTCATCAAATCTGTCATCCGAGTCCGTCACTGCCGCCACTACTGGCTGGCCTGCGCTCATAACCTGGAGTGGATGTCATCCAATATGGCTGGCGCTTTTCCTCAGTATAAAGTATAGATGACGGCATGGAGCTGCGCTGAGAATCACAGAGGTTCGTTGCCCCTTTGTGGTTGGCTCATCACTCACTAGCTGGCCTGAATGATTCGTGGCCCGACCTCACCTGCTTCTTCGATATTGCATCATGTTTCGCCGATTTGCGGTGATCACGCATTGGCTTGCCAGTGGTGGTCGCTGGATGAAGATGCAGTTGGTGTCATAGAACTGGGGAAAAGGGAAAGGAATTCTGGTCCGATGGCCAATCGCGTGAGTACCTCGGCTTCGAGATATGGATCACGTGTCAGGCTTATGTCATGCAGATAAGGGGTTGAGACGAAGACGGCTCTTTGTTGCTCATCAACACTGTCAGTACGAATCCTTAGATTTTGGATGATTGACGCCCACTGGAAATCCAGTAGAGTCTACCGGGACTGGTGGTCGGGAGTCTCTCTTCTGTTTGTCTACACAACACAGCCAGGGAACTCTGCTGAAACGACGACGGCCGATGATGCAGCCCATGGCGACCGTTGCAAATGTCCCTCAACTACAAGCAGCTTTCCAAAGCATGTTGGGGTCTCTGAAGGAAACGATGCTGTGCCTACTAACAATGCCCATGTATGAATGTATGCAGTGATTTGTGTTCATGGCAAGGCTCCCACCCCTTTTTGTATGGGTTACATCACGTGACACTCGCCTTACTTTCCCGATCCTTGCCCCGCCCCTTTTTGGTCGTCGAACCAACCTCTGTCAGCATCTTCTATTCTGAACACAGTAGAGGAAGACTCTCATACACTGGCCCAGGGTAAGTCTGGTATGGATCGCTCAATCATTTCCTGCTCGACATAGCGTGACCAGTCTTTCTTTCAGGTCTCTATTCTCCGCCCAGGGTGTCTCTGGAGGCCTCAATCCGAACTGTCAGGACCCCTCAAAGAGGCAGAGTCTTCAAGTGGTTTGTATCAAGGATGATCATATATCGACATGCCCGGGGTTCCATCAGGGCGCGGCTGCGACGCATGCCGTAAGCAGAAGAAGAAGGTAAACACTCAGACACCAGCCGCCCACCAGGCCTTCCCGTGGACCGGATTCTGATGAACGCGACCACAGTGCGATGTTGATAATTATCCATGCTCTCGATGTCGTCGTCTAGACATTCCATGCATCGGACTAGGACGACAACGGTACAAGTTCGTGACTCCTCAGACGGGTTCTCCAGATACCTCCGTCTCTGCGCGATGGGAGAGCAGATCACCAACCCGACTATCCGACTCTCGAAGCGACTCGTCAGCGAGCACAACTCTTTTTCGGAGTCTCTCCAACGACCACTCGTGGCGTGTCAGCGCTTTTGTAGACAAGATCCAACCCTCCACAGGTGTCAGATTCAACCTGGCCTGGACTTTCGGAGATTATCTCGTGGATGTGCCTGCTCGGCTCGGCACGAATGATGCCCTGGACAAAGCTGCCGATGCCGTTCTGGCGGCGATGGAGAGGTTTTCAAGCCATGGTTCCGACGTGGCTCCCGTTGTTCTCGAGAAGTATATCCGGGCTCTGACGGCGTTGAGAATGTGCTTGGACGACCCGGTAGTAGCGAAGTCGAGCGAGACGCTCTGTGCCATCCTTCTGCTGTTGACGTGTCAGGTAAGGATCTCTTGGTGTGTTGCCTGTGGCGATCAGTTCCCGTGTTCGTTCTGATGCATTAGAAGACATTCCTCTGGACTCCCGCGGGTGTCCGCACCACTCATTCTGAAGGCGCAGCTCAGATCCTCAGAATGCGCAGGCGGCCTGGCAATCGGGACCGTTTCGAGACAAATTTGCTCCTGAGCCTTCGTGGGGTCGTGGTAGGTCACACCTGGAAGCAATATTGGATCTGTTGGAGCCTTGGCCTTCTGACGTAGTGAATGCAGCTGTTTGAGTCTCTTTTCAATGACCGCATTGCGTTTTCCGATCAAGAATGGATCGAGATGTTCCAGACCAGCAACGACACACTGAGTCTGGAAGGCCGACTGGTCCAGTGCCTGACCCGGGCGCCGAATCTGATGCGCCGAGCTAAAGCCATGCTTGCAATGCCGGATGGCTGCGGTCGCAGCCTCGTCGACCTCCAGCATGAAGCCGGGCGTCTTCGCGACGATCTGGAGCCACATCTATCCGGCCTTCGTGAACGGTGGCATGCAGTTGCAGTTGCAGAACTTGACACCATGTTCAATTCTCAGCAGAGTATTTGGGTCGCCCTGAGAGACTGCCACTATCTCCGCTCGTACAGCCTCGGCTTGGCCATTGCAATTGTCGTCAACGAGATCCAACTCGCCTTGTCCGATGACCCGTCCCACATTCTGGCGGAATCGGAACAGTTTGCGACCGAGTTAGTCTGCCTGGGGCAAATCGGTTGTCGATATCGACCTCTGGGCGCTTCTTCTCTGGGCATGTGCCTAGTCGCCGCCGAGCTTGGAGCCAGCGATCCTGACACGAAACTGGCCGCCCGGCAGCTGCGGTTAGATTACCACTCCGACTTTCGTGGAAAGGACGCACATGATCTATCCTCGATGAAACTCAGGTTAACCTGCAGCCGTCACACATCAAGACCTCGAGTATTGCAATAGCACCAAAGTCTGTGCTCTGATGCCATGCTTCAAGTGCCTTAGTCACGCTATCAAAAGAAAAGAAAGAACAACCATGCGGGTAGTTGGCATGATGAGAAACGCCTTCGCTATTTGATACCGAGCGAAGCTCTCCTTCCAACACCGCGACGACATACGCAGGATCGGCTCAGCCAAGGTCCAGCGTTGCCGAAAGAAAAGGAAAGCAAGTAACCTACACATCCTGGCTGAGGGCGACCGCTACACATCGCGAGTTAGATAAGTCAACTACAGATATTGATCCGTCGTGTGAAATAAAGAGCAACGAACAGTCTGCTGGGTAATGAACGCAAAACAAGTAAGAGGTTGGTGATTCTACCATTGTTGGATTGTAGACCACCACTAACTTTTCTTTCCCGTCGAGAGTTTTGCAACTTGTGCACAGTATGGTCATTCCAATTATCTGATCAAAAGAGGGACATCCGTCTAGCAAATAGGATGTGTCTTGCCGTGTTTGCCTTGGAGCGAATGCTTCTCATGCTTGTAATGTGCAATGTTGACACCCGCCTTGCCTGTTCGACTGTGTTTCTTGACATGCCTTAAAAAAGTGTTAGCCTTCGATCTGTCGGTCCAAAGCGATTATGGGGTGCTTACTCTTGGTAGCGCTCTATGGTCTTGCGGTCCATCTCACCGAGCAGTTGTAGAGCCATCTTGATGTCATTGACAAGACTATCGCACCGGGCCTTGCTGAAATCCTCACGGACAACCACACGCATCAACTTGAGCTGTTCACTATGCGGTGCCATCGTATAGGCCGGGACCACCCAACCGCGTTCGCGTAGCTGATGGGCAATAGTGAACTCGTCATAAAGATGATCATCCTCAGAGTTCAGTCGGAAAGCGACCACAGGTAGTGATCGACCACCACCAGGTGACATGATGACGAAGCCCAAGGCCCGGAGCTGTGCGGCAAGGTAGTCGGACGTGCGGGTCAGGTTGAACATGATACTGCGGTATCCACGCTTTCCCAGTCGGATCATCTGATAGTACTGAGCGATGACATGGCTTGCACCTTTGCTGAAGTTCAGGGTGAAGGAAGCTTGATCGGCTCCTAGGTAATTAATGTTGAAGACGAGTTCCTTGGGCAGAAACTCTGGCGACCTCCAAACGACCCAACCCACACCGGGGTATACCAAACCATACTTGTGGCCCGAGACGTTGATACTCACTACCTTTTCGAGCCGGAAATCCCAGACGAGATCCGGATTGACAAACGGTGTCACAAACCCACCAGAAGCAGCATCAACATGGATGGGACAGTCGATGTTCTTCTCGACTAGGAGGTCGTTGATCATTTGAACATCCTCGTACTCGCCAGTGTATGTCAACCCCACGATGGCACAGATACCGATGGTGTTTTCATCGATCAGATTGACGGCTTCTTCTGGATCGATGACGTACCGATCCTTGGTGCAGTAGACGTATTTCTCCTCCACATCAAAATAACGGGCAGCCTTTTCCCAGCATACCTGCACCGCACTGTTCATGATGATGTTGGGCTTGAAGGCGTCTTTGCCCTCCGCCTTGCGCTTATTGGCCCATCTTCTCTTCATGGCCAGCACAGCCAGCATGATTGCCTCACTCGAACCGAGGGTAGAAGTGCCCATTGCGTTCGACCCGTCTTCAGACTCCGGTGCGTTGTACAGTCGAGCGATCATATTGACACAACGGTTTTGGATTTCGGCGGTCTGTGGGTATTCCTCATAGTCAATGAAGTTCTTCGAGAATGCTTCGGTCATGAGCTTTTCAGCCTCGTCTTCCTATTCCCAGATCTTAGCAAAATATTGGTAGCATTTCCTGGTGAGCTTAAAACTAACCATGAATGTGGTGACAAAACTGGCCAGGCTACGGAGCGGTGTCAGCTTGGTCCCAAATCCGATATATCCCTCCAACTCACTTCAGCATAGGGTTTCCATCGAGACTGAGCTCGTCTTTGATCATACGATATGCAACTTCCTTGGGCATTTCTCTTTCAGGCATTTCATGGGAGGGTAGATCTTGGGCTGCGAAACGCGAACCGTAGACGGACGTGGAGAACTCATCCTCTCCGGGAGGTTCGAGAGCAATGTGTTCGAGGCCAGGAACCATGGAGGTTCTGCGTTTAGGAGCATCGAAGTCCTCGCCCTTGTGCGGGTCGGGCGTTACACTGGCGAGGTGCACCATTTTGACTGATCAGTGTTGCTGGAGGAAGAATGGTGGATGAGAGACGAAAGAGAGTAGGGACAGAGGTTGTTGCAGGAGCAAAAGAAATAGGACCGGCGGCCCAGGGGTTCAAGAAGGAAGTGAGCGTTCAACAAGATGGCGGTCTGAGAGAGGAAGAGAGACGTAAGGGGAGTGAATCCAGATGGTAGGAGAATGGAGTGCGTTGCGATCTTTTGTTCTGGCAGGACTGCTATCTACACAGTCAGGTACAGAGAGGATACATGACGAATGGCTGCGTAACAGCTGTTATTTCCTGGGTCCCGATCGCCCCTCCACTGAAGTGACGAAGCAGTCTGGATGGGGAGTAGTGATGTGGACAGTTGAATGACAGTGCAAGTTGGTAATGGGTGACCGTGATGATGAGCCTGAGAGCAGTGATGCCGGTGCAAGAGCCACAAAATGGTGGTGCCAGGGGTGACGATTGGCGGGGACAAGACAGCAGCCGCAGCGCAGGGGCTCGTTTTCGGGGGCGCAGGCAAGAAAATTCATTTTTTGGGTCTGCACTGCTGCAAACACAGCTAGCTGGCTGAGCGATGTGCCCAAGCTCCGGTTTTTCCTGCCCACACTGCATCATTCAATCCACCTCCAGTCCACCACCACAACCATGTAACAACCGACAGCCACCGACATCAGCTGGAGAATTGATCCATCAAATGCCATCGGGCCTCTGACCCACGGGCTCTAATGAGCTTGTCATTGCTTGGTGTTGCTTCTCTCCTCGTCCCCTGTCCCAGAGACGGCCGCTATTGGGTGATGAGCGACTCGACCATGCGCCTTGTTGTTGCTTGCAGTCCTCCTGCTGACGACGCAAATGATCGGATCATCCCCGCGTTCAGTATTGTAGCGGCAAGCTGTAACCTGCGCATCGAGTCCAAGTACTGTTTGGGCCCAGCATTACTACCTTGCACCTATTTCAAGTTTCTACTGGAACAACGTACACGAGCAAAGCCGTTACCGCCACTTGAACCCTTTCCCCCGCGATCTCATTGAAGCATGCTCTGAGAGTGAGCAGACTGGGGGGCACGAAAACCAACAGATTCGTTGAAAAGGTGGATAAGCTACGCTATCCAGCAGGACTTGGATTTCTCTCATGAGCCCGTCACGGTACATTACTTTCAAACTAAGACGTTCCTCCCAGTGCGGTAAGATCGGGCGGATGAATCACAGCAAGCGGGAGTTACGCTGTCGTCCGTCGACGTGGGCACACCCGCACGCTTCAAGACGTGCCTTGGGCCATCACGGTAAGGACTCTGTAGGTTCAAATCCGCTGACCATACTTTTACGACCCACCCTTCTTTGCTCGAAAAGAGCCAGCTGATGCCTGGCACGCGAACGATACCAACACAGTCGGGCAAGCTGTCAGCTGGGTATAGTTCCGAGCAAGCTTGTACCGAGGATCTTTTCCCCTCCTGCAATCGATGGAATCGAAGCCTTCTTTCGCTCGGATGACTTGTCCAGCTATATCGCGTCACCCTCCGCAGGCGGCGAACGCATACTACTGATGGGCAGGGTGAATCCGGTGTCAAGTCAATTATATCACAGCGAAAGAACATCCGTCACAGATGGCGGCGGCACTCGCTGCGTCAATCACCAGCCCGCAGCCCTACTCTATTCGGTGCAGAGGTCGTCTCAATGTGGACTATTCTTCTCAAGGACGTTGTAGGTAACAACTTCCGTGCTGCTTGTATGTGATGACTCTATCGACTGCGCCACAACAGCCCCGTAGACGACCTTCACCACGTTTTCTTCCGGGCACAGTGTCTGTACAATGGACCTGAGTATTGCGGTGGGTGTCTCAAGCTCGGCCTAGGAAGGCCGAGCGTGCTTCTGACATCTCTTGACTCTTTGTGTTACCAGCAACCTCGTGTTGCGCCTTTTCCGCTCGGCCAGCGGCTGGGCGCTCTGAGACATGATCCTGAGACTGCTGGAGTTTTCTCTCGATTGTTCATTTCTGGCACCTCTTGCTGACCGGGCGGGTTGCAGCAGAACATTGACCAGTATTGACACTATCACTGGATGCGAATATTTTGGGGCATTGCTACGGTTGAACCATTTCACCTTGCGCATCAATGGCACTCTCTCTGTGGGCATGTTATCAAATCGGCATCAGAAGAGCGAGAGCCCCGTACAGACCCTCAATTTGTGCGGCCTGACATTGGAATAACCGGATCCTACATGTTCTGGAACCCAAGTATGCGACAACCCTTCGCCTATCTTGGTCATGAAGAGTTGCATACTGAGTCAGGCGGTCTTGGGAGCGACGTCGAATGCACTCATCCAACTTCCTCCTCAGATCAAGTATCCGGATCTTGGGCTCAAAATATAGCTGAAAATTCTCCGTTCTGTCCGACCGCGATGCATTGGCATCAGAACTTGGTCCAATCAATTGTATATATTGGGCACTTGGTGTTCCCATAAGCCTCCCACACATTTCTTGGAAAGGCAACCAGCCCTCGAATCTGTTCCATGCAGTGATCGTTGATTGTCGCCTTCCCAGTCATATGATATGGTGGCGAATGTGTTGCTGCTTGCGGCGTTCTCTTCTATAACAGTCGGATTCCGTCTCTGTTGCCACTGACTAAACCCTTCATCCAGTCGCCAAACACAGATATCCCGACAGTACACCTTCACCTACCTGCTCAGTCCCGTTACTTGGACTGCAAACTCAGCAGAACACCATGGCTACACAGTGTGCCAACACGATAGGTCAATCCAGACGACCTATTGCAATGCTCTCGTTTGGTACGTTCCATACTCGCCCTCTGAACGTGGAAGGGTGTCAGCGGCTTTTGGTGTTTTCTCTTGACCAGATCAGACGCGCTGTGTCATCTGGAGGGTCCTGCCATTGTCACTTTCTGTACGAGTCTTCTTCTTGGGATGATATTGCAGCCAGCCATTTTCTGTATTTCTTTCAGCAGTCTGGTTCAACGTCTTCATAGTTTGGCTTTGAGCTAACCATGTTTTCACAGATGGAGGCGGCGTCCGGGGTCTTTCGTCGCTGATAATAATGCGATCCTTACTCACGTTTGTCACACAAGAGCTTGTCAGAAGAGAAGCGATACCAGAAGATCACCCCATCTTGGATCCTCAGGAGATCTTTGACGCTGCTGTTGGAACCAGCACCGGCGGGTTGATTGTGCTGATGCTTGTCAAATTGGATATGACCGTGGACGAATGCATTCGACAGTATAAGGTCTTGTCGGGAGAGATCTTCTCGAAATACCGCTCGTTGTTGAGGAGAGTATTCGGTTCAGATTGGTCGAAATTCTCAGGCAACAGACTCCAAGGAGCTGTGGAAAAGCTTCTGATATCCAGAGGTCATCCCCATGACCTCAAATTACGCGGCAGCGTTCAGCGGAACCAAATGCATGGGTGAGTTGACATGATCACTAAAACCTCTGCCCGCATTTGACTGACTCAACCGAGGACCGTCGTCTGCCACGAGAAGCTACGGGCACATCAGATGTTTCTGTGCACACATGAGTGTACAGGACCCTACCGGCGACATATGCTTGACCCTGACCTCGAGCTACGACACGCAGCCCGGGCGACGTCAGCCGCACCATCGTATTTCGAACCGATGGTCATCCAAGGAAGATCGTTTGTCGACGGAGGGTACGGTGACACCAACAACCCATCCTGGGCAGCCAAGATCCACTACCACCAGAGCCATGGCCTTCCTGCAAGGCATCCTTTGGTTTTGATCAACATCGGAACCGGCACCTTACCAGAAGGCTCCGACGAAGTCCGCCTTCGCAAGCGGCCCTGGTGGACCAAGCTGTTGCCAAACAGTCTAGTGGAGGCCCTCGGGCTGCTGTCTGATCTTGCCAAGATGGCAACTGAGTCCGAACAGCGGGCGGCCGACTTGTCCTATATCGCCGCGCTTGCCCCTGAGAAGCTGTTTTTCGAAAGGTTCAGTGCCGATACAGGAATGCACAGCATCACTCTGGACAAGTGGCAGGCGGTCGTAGACAAGCATGGCCCAAGCGAAATTGAGGTGAAGACGGAAAATTACCTTGCGAAACCCGAAGTCCTCATGCGGCTGAGAACGACAGCGGAAAAACTGGCGGATGTTTACATCCTGCGCAACACCGAGCCGCGAATTTCTCTTCCTCTCCCACTCGAGTTATCTTTGGGGCCCGAACCACCATGCTGGAACCAAGCAAGGTGGACACCTGACACGACGGCTTCCCATTTGTATGTCGAAAGGCTACCCAGCCTCGCTTCAGGGACCGAATCGATCCCATCATCAACTCCTTCCCTTCCGGCGACTCCAGATCCGTGTCACAGACCGATGCTATTTGCAGAGGTCGTTGGAAAGGCGCAAGACATCCTTCGAGTGGAAGGCCAGTTGTTGGAGATATCTGCAACCAGGGCTAGGCGCGTGTCCACCCGTTGAGAACGAGGGCACACGGTTTCTTCGGCCCCTCATCTAAAAGCGTCTGTTTTGTTCGTGCGTGTGGTCTTGGGAGAGGTGCGGATCGTTGCCTGCTTCTTACTTCAATAATGTAATATTCGGTCATTCATGCAAGGGAGGAGAGCAATTGTCAGACGCATCAGTTAGTTCCGTAGGTAGGTAGATACCTTAGGTAGTTCTTCAAGTTGGATAAGGACTGTCAGTAATACAGAGTAGTAGATATTGGGACGGGGCAGAAGCAGCAGCTGTACCAGACTGCGCAGAAAAGCAGTGATCCTGCCTGCGCCTGCAGGCATCCGTCAACTGCGTCTCTTGTTCTTGTTTCCCACCTTTCTACTCCTTCGCACCTCGCCTCCCACTCATCAAGAACCTCCATCTTCCGCTCATGTCTTGCGCCGGCTCTCAATGATTGCAGTGGCTCAACAACCGAATCCTTTGTACCACACGAGCCCCCTGCTTCGGGGTCGGCTAAACCAGTCAAGCAAATCAACACGAGCCCCATATCAGCCTAACCACCATCTGGGGTATAAAGTATAACCCCAGCAATATCGTGTTTCCCAAGCTGCTTGCTTTGTTTGCGGGGAAATGATCTTGACCTATAACCGGACAGATTGACCTCGAGACTTGATCGAACTGCCTCGCTACCACACCTCATTCAGTCGCTTGCTCTCCGCCCTCCGCGGGCTCCACATCCTGTGATCCTGAGGAGTCTCAGACTTCACGAGAAGTTTTCTTTTCTCCCACACAGCCACTGGCCGAAACCTCAGCTTCCTGCTTGCGGGGTTGGCGACTTTTCCTTGAGCTAATGTGCCTGAAGATCAAAGCGAAGCAGATGAAAGGGCCATGGCCTGTGGCCATTGGCTATTGGCCATTGGCACCTCCTGATTCCGACCACATTAGAACTGACACCTCTGGCCTTCCCATACCTTACGCCTGGGACCATGGCCGTACCCTGCATGCGGCAAGTGACATGACCGCCGGAGGGATGGTGTTATTTTTGTGTCCGATGCATGCCTTGTGCATGAGAGCCACCGGCAGTTGGCTAGTCAGTCAACAGCGATTGTTGTGTCAAATAACAATGTCGAATGCTTGGAGACTGGCTCTATTCCGCAGAGTCCCACATCTATGGCATCTTGCAAGAAAGGAGCCGATGACCTAAGTAAGCGGACGGGGGAATAAAGACGACTCTTTCGTCTGGCCGTAGACAGACAGGAGTTTCTTTCAGCTCTTCTTTGCGCCCTTCCTTCGATCGAACGATCAAGCCTGTGGAAAGTCTCTCTAGCAAGATGTCGTCTACAAAAAATCGTACTTTATCTGACCCAGACATTGTTGAGGAAAAGTCCGGCTTGTCGCACACCCTATCTGCCGGGGCGATCTCAATCAGTCCCGAGCTCTTTGAAAAGGTACGCAAAGCGAGCCTCACGAGATTGGAACATTGCCCATGCGCGCGACCTCCTGCTAATCTGGAGTGGTTACATAGCTCTACCTGACTCCAAAAGTCCCCCATGCTGGCGACAACATCAAACGTTTCGCCAACCCGACGCCTTTGGGCTTCGTGGGGTAAGCTCTCTTGTGCAAACAGCACTTTGGGAGATGGAAGCGCTGAGACAGACAGCTTCGTTATCTCGACCATGACCTTCGCCATGGTTTCAATGGGCTGGGGCAGCGCCGAAGGCTTGTCGCCAGTTGTGTAAGTCCCTGGACCATGGAGTGTTCCATTGAATCTGCCGTCGGCTGATCGCGTGACGACGACAGTGGCATCTTCTTTTTTGTTGGCCCGGTCCTACTCGTCCTGACCACCATATTCGAATGGATCATGGGCAACTTCTTCCCCATGATGGTGTGCGGTCTGTTTGCGGTGTTCTGGCTGAGTTTCGGCATGCTGCAGCTTCCCACGCTGGGTCTTGCGGCGCCCTATTCGGCCAGCGGCACCGATGCAGTGTCCGGCGCAGCGACCAAGGAGTTCAACGCCGTGGTTGCTCTCTACCTGATTGTTTGGGGCTTTGCGCTGTTCACGTTCTTTATCTTCACACTCAAGACCAATGCCGTCTTCGCGCTTATTTTCCTCTTCGTCACCATCGCCGCTTGGGTCCTCAGCGGCGCCTACTGGAAGGTCAGCACCGGGGACTACAGCAAGGCGCAGGACTTACAAAAGGTACGTGCAGTTTTTCCAGCTTTTCCAGTGTTCTGTTGTGGACACTGGCCGAACATTACCAGCCAGGTGCTAAATGGTCCATCCTAGACGGGTGGAGCCCTTCTTTTCATCGTCGGCTGTTTGGGCTGGTACATGACATTCGTGATGATGGCGGCAGAGATGCGCCTCGCTGTCAGCCTCCCCGTCGGCGACCTCAGTCATTTCTGGCCAAAGACCGACCTCGAGATGGGCCGAGCCGAGAAGCAGGCTTAACCTATGCCCGCAAACAGCCCATGAGGAGTTGATTGACAATGGACGTGTTGGAGAGGCTCACCTCTGCATTTCCCCAGAGAAGGAGTAGCAGTGGAAGGCCGGGGAGATCGCTTAGCAAACGAGAATGAAAGTATCTCTGACTCTCGGGCCGCTAGAAACCCCTTTGAATCAGACTCTGGAGGTTGTTTGATATCATGTCTTGCCGGGTGAAGTGTACGAGAGATCCAATACTAATGTGTTGTGTATCAAGCACGACGTGGTCATTTGTGCTATCGGCATCAATCAGTCTTGCTACTCCCTGACTTTGGTTACCAGCCATATCTTGATTTTGCTTTTGGGTTTTGCTTTCTGGAAGGCCTAACTTCTAAATTGTGTTCACTATACGTATTATTTGAGACCTTTATCCCTCAGCCGCAAAAAAGAAGCCCCTCGATCAGTCCAAGAACTTTTCATGCGCTTCCACTACACCACCTCTCACCTTAATACATCATACACGGATACATGCACACAAAGAAGCCGGTCTAACAATCCTGTGCAGTACTGACGATTCAATTCCCATGATCAAAATTTATCACTTTTGCAGTAACCTCCGAACCACCTGGATTTGGATGTGATGCACTCAAGGCTTTTCCGACTCTATCCGCCCCATTACTCACACTGCATCTTCGAGAGCGTATTTTCCGTAACACTCTTGAAGATGTTCCGAGCTGAACGGCACATCGATTCGGATCAGGCGACAGCTTTGTTGACAATGGCCACGATGACCTCTCCGTCACAGCTCTTGCATTCAGCTTGCGGTAAGTCGCACTCGTATGACTGCGTAGCCGGGTATGTCAAGTTGAGATCGGCGAATTTGGTGAGAACATTGTACGGGGCTTCTCCAACACTACATGATTTGTCAATCCCATACGAGCGATGTGCGCGAGGCCTCGGCTCGATAACTGTTCGAGTTGCGACCACTTCCAGCCTCAGGGGCCTTAAACATACCTATTATCAATATAGGTGTGCGCCAATTCAAGCGAAAGGTTCCCCACGCCGCTCCAAGAGGTGACAAGGACGGCAAAGGTGCCGTTGTCACAGGTGTTTCCCGAACTGGCTGGTGGACTAAGACCCACAGCCCATTCGACACAGCAGTGTGTTGAGCCGACCTCAGGAGTATCTTGGTCGCAGAAGTCGACTGTCTATTGTCAGTAGAGTGTTTGTTTGGGGAATTGCTTCGATGGGGAAACTAGAGCATATGCTGGTGTCATGCAGGCAATGGGGTGTCGGCTCACATTCAATGTAAGTGCTCTCGGTGGATTTGATGTCTGCTTGGAAGGGAGACGAGACAACAACGTTGGCCATCTCGAAGTTGCCAGAGAATGCTGCCACGATGGAAGAGGAGAAAGCAGCGACAACTGTCAGGAGAGCGACGAAGGCAGACATGCTGATTGAGATGCTTTACCAGGACTTTGTGAGATGGCTAGGAAGTCTCGAAGCTGTGATGGTCGGATCCAAGAGATGCTGAGAGACACAGACAGAGGGTTCAAAGCCAAGGGGAAAGTAGTGGATTGATCGAGATTCGAGAATTTGTTTGATCTGAGGAAGGCTGGGGAAGGAACGATGGGAAGCAGCAGGATGAAGGTTTATATCTCGCATCACGGGCAGCGTAACCGGCGCTCCTGAAAATCTGCATTTCTCACCAGGTCCGTTTGCCCGCCTCTCTGGACCACGCAAGAACAAGTTTGGCGGACAAACATCAGGATGATGCGCCTCTGCATTCTGTGACGTTGATAGACAAACATGGCGACAGTGCAACCCTTGGCGAATTTGAAGACAGCAATGCTTGTGACCCAACACCTGCATGCTGCGCCCATTCAAATTGCCGTCGAAAAGAATGTCCTTCCAGAACCCAGCGATCCGAAGTTGAATCGGCGACACCGCATGAGACATGCGGTCGGGTCTTGCAGAAAGCTGGGAAGGTTGTGTGGCCCAACGACGAGGACAGAGGTTGCATGGGACCAGCATGAGTTGGCTGAAAACCCCTTGCATGGAAGGACATGCGATGCGACTCCAGCCTTCCACTTGCCTGGTCCTCGCGTCGTGCCCCTAGACCGGAGAATATCGGGGTTGGATAATGTTCCAACTTCTCAGAACATTCGAGAGAGCCTGCCAGAAATAGTAGGGGTTACACAAGAGCAGCAGAGTGAGAGGCAGGCAAAGACACGGTGGCATGGGACCAGCATTGTGGCGTCGGTTTTCGTGCCGACTGCAGGACTGCGACTGCTCTGCTGGTGCGCCGACGAGTTGCATTTGGCGGGCATGTGAATCAGCATGGAAGGGGCTTTGCTTATAAACGGGACCGTCGATGGAGTCGCGCAATCGAACCGAGAGATGGCTCAGCTGTTATTGGAATGGGCTGTATCGCCGTATTAGAGCTGAGCCTCATGCACCGGCCAGTAAAGGTCGGTCGGCACGCTCACCGTGTAGGCGAACGTGGGAGAAGAACACAAGAAGCGAGTGTTTCCGTATCAACGAGTCGCCTGACCGCGGGCTTAAAACTGTTGTGTAACCAGATCAATGGCTGAGATGATAGACGGTCAAGGACATTCTGAGACATCGGAACGGCCACCGCCCACGGAATTTAAGGAAGTCAATTCCCCGGTCGGTCTGCCGTGAAGGCCTCCTGTTCTCCCAAAATTCGCGCAGGTTGTCACCACGATGTGCTTGACGGTTGAAGGCGGCCGCCATCTCCGTTGTCACGGTGACCTTGACAAGCCCGGTTGGGTCATTACCTACCAACCCAGGGACACTCATATGCCTTGCATTGCCTCACAACTCAGTGGTCACAACTTCCATCCCACAGCATGGGAGCGCACGAAGACAAAAAAGAAAATATCATCCGAACAAGGATACAACTCACGGGCAGACAAAAAGGAACAAACCCAATGGAAACTTTCAACTTATGCCATGCATTTTCCCCGGAAGTCTACTGAACCTTGACCCCCATGAGTATTTGTGATATCATTGCAATGACCGAGAATCCCCAGCCCTGCTTATCGCTCCTTTGGTCCACTGCAGAATTTGCAGTGGTGTTTCGAGCCTTTTCAAGCCACCCCCAACAACCAGAAGCACCGGTACCGGCATCTCCACAAAGTGACAGCAATCGTTTAACCCTTCTTCTTGCTGACACCGACAGTGCGACCTCTTCTGCCAGTGGTCTTGGTGTGTTGACCTCGGACGCGGAGACCCCAGTAGTGTCGGAGACCACGGTGAGCACGGATCTTCTTGAGACGTTCCAAATCCTCACGCAGCTTGCTCTCCATGCCGTTTGCCAGAACTTGCGAGTTCTTGCCGTCGACGATGTCGCGTTGTCTGTTGAGGAACCATTCTGGGATCTTGTACTGAGTCGGGTTTTGGATGATGGTGACAATTCGCTCGAGCTCTTCGGTGGTGATTTCACCGGCACTATAGACCCCAAGTCAGCCGTCTTTTTCATCCCGGCCATTTCAAAAATTCCACATACCGCTTGTTCAAATCGACATCGGCCTTCTTGCACACCAAGTTGGAGTAGCGGCGACCGACACCCTTGATCCGGGTCAAGGCGTACATGATCTTCTGCTTGCCATCGACGTTGGTGTTGAGAAGACGGAGAATGTACTGGACTGTGATTTGAAGTTAGCTTCGTGGCTCTGCCGACGGGATTTGGCGTTGTTTCATACAGTTCGACTTCTCTCCGCTGACGAGAGCTGTTGAAGAAAAAGTTAGCCATCAACATCGATCACAGCGCAGGCGCAACATGATTCGAATCCTCCCAGTGAGAAGCATCTCATTTGAGGATCGAATATCATGTCACAGCTGCTAGACTCTGGTAGTACGTACACATGATGGGCAACAGTCTCTCCTTGACGGGCTTGTTGAAGTTGCGATGTAGCGGACCAACTTTCTTCAAAGCGATCAATGTGCAATCCTCGATGTTGGAGGGTTTCGGACGAGGAATTGTGGGCTTGGCACCCGAAAAATGAGCTACTCCCAAACTCGACTAGCGGATCAATATATTAGATAATAGATAGTCCGGACTATGGACTCACGTGCCTTGTCTTATCGGCTGTCACATGATGTCAGGGGCCCAACCCCCATGCATTGCAGTGCAGTGCCGATAGTGCCCCGAGTGGTTCGTCGTCCAGCAACAAACAGGCTGCTTCATTACGAGCCGCAGTTCGATGATCAGCATATCATCCATCGTGTTCTCACTATCTTGATTCATTCCATCTCTCATCTCTCATCCCCTTCATCTCTGCCACCCTTCCCCATCTCATAATCCTTTCTTTGTTTGTTTCCTCCATCAGCCCAGTGCCAGCTCGACGCTCACTTGTCTGTTGAAGCATCTATTGGACAACGTCATCGGTATTCGCTGCCGCCTTAACTGGTCACGTAGACGAACCTCGATCGATTCATCGGCCATCTCCATCATGAAGGCCTTCGCTGCTGCCCTCCTGGCGGGGGTCGCCACGGCTGCTGTTGCTCCCCAGCAACAACCGCTTCAACTCCCCAAATCCTTCCCCAGCGAGGCCAAGAGTGTCCTCGACAACCAGCTCCATCATCTCAAGGACGCCCTCCGCGGACTCACCGTCGAGGCCGCAGCCATCTGGGATGAAGTGGCGGCCTTGTACCCCGAAGACATGAGCGCGGCCAGCTTCTTCTCAACCCCAAAGAAGCACACTCGTCGACCGGACCATGAATGGGATCACATCGTTCGTGGGGAAGACATCCAGAACGTCTGGGTTGACAATGCCAACGGCGAGAAAGAGCGTCGTATCGACGGCAAGCTTGACACATACGACCTTCGGGTCAAGACCGTGGACCCGAGCGCGCTCGGCGTCGACCCCAACGTGAAGCAGTATTCGGGATACCTGGATGACAATGAAAATGATAAGCATTTGTTCTACTGGTTCTTTGAATCCAGGAACGACCCTAAGACCGACCCGGTCGTTTTGTGGCTCAACGGCGGCCCCGGCTGCTCGTCGTTGACCGGACTATTCCTCGAGCTTGGGCCTTCGCGCATCAACGAGAAGCTGGAACTTGTGGCAAACCCGTACTCTTGGAACGACAACGCCAGTGTCATCTTCTTGGACCAGCCGGTGAACGTCGGATACTCGTACTCGAGCTCCAGCGTCTCCAACACAGTGGCTGCCGGCAAGGACGTTTATGCCCTGCTGACCCTGTTTTTCGAACAGTTCCCCGAGTATGCCAGCCAGGATTTCCACATTGCAGGAGAGTCCTATGCTGGACACTACATTCCAGTGTTTGCGTCCGAAATCCTATCACACAAGAAAACCAATATCAACCTCAAGTCTGTCCTGATTGGCAACGGGCTTACCGATGGGCTGACCCAGTACGAGTACTACCGACCAATGGCCTGCGGTGAGGGAGGATGGCCCGCAGTGCTTGACGAGCAGTCTTGCCAGGCCATGGACAATGCCTTGCCTCGGTGTCAGTCTCTGATCCAGAACTGCTACGATAGCGAGAGCGTCTGGTCGTGTGTTCCGGCCAGCATCTACTGCAACAATGCACTGTTGGCGCCTTATCAACGCACCGGCCAAAATGTCTATGATGTGCGCGGCAAGTGTAAGGACAGCAGCAACCTATGCTATCCCGAGCTTGGCTGGATCAGCAAATGGCTCAACGAGGAGTCTGTGATGAAGGCCCTGGGAGTGGAAGTGGAGGGCTACGATTCCTGCAACTTCGACATCAACCGCAACTTCTTGTTCCAGGGTGACTGGATGCAGCCCTTCCATCGATTGGTCCCTGGACTGATCGAGAAGCTCCCGGTGTTGATTTATGCAGGTGACGCCGACTTCATTTGCAACTGGCTGGGCAACAAGGCGTGGACCGAGGCGCTTGAATATCCTGACCACAAGCAGTATGCAGCGGCCGAGATGAAGGACCTACGCATGGACGGCAGCAAGGACGGGCGGAAGATCGGAGAAGTCAAGTCACATGGCAACTTCACCTACATGAGGATCCACGCGGGCGGGCATATGGTTCCCTTGGACCAACCCGAGGCCAGCTTGGAGTTCTTCAACCGGTGGCTAGCGAAGGAATGGTTCTAGACTCCGGTCTATGGCAGTCAGGAATCCGAATGTGAAGGCAATATATCACGCTGGTGAAGTGAATTGGGGACTGGGCTGCAGTGACGAAGACATGGAAGGCCTGGCGATGGATTCAAACATGACTGATCAGAAAGCATGGTAAAGGGTCGCTGGCGGTTATGTATGCACTATCACCGCCGATATACAACCTTAGATGCATACATTGACTCATCTAGATGTATCTCACTCATCCGTCTTCCTCCATCACTCATAGTTCCTGTTCGTATCTTCTCTTTCCAGCGAATACACCGGTTGATTCGGTCAATAGTCTGATTCTGGCCATGCAGCCAGGCAGTCAGAGAATTGTTTACCATCACATCGTCGAAAGCGCCCAACTTGAACTTGACGTCTGCATGATCCCATCCCATCCCATCCCCTGTCTTTTGCTGGCCAGGCTATTCTTGGAGCGGACATCGATTGGATGCGTGGTCGTCGCCATCACACCAATCACCAGCGGGTTAAGCGCCGAGTGGGAGAGAGGCCTTCTAGCTCCCGTATTTTGTTCATCTTGTCCCATCTTCCATCCCTGCCAGCCTGTTCCTCGCTTCTCTCGTCCCATCATCTCCATCGCACTCTGGCTGGTCGACTTTCTCCCTCTACGCGCCCGGCCCAGTCTTGTCATGCTACAGCTGCCTCTGACTGGCCTGTTGACTCTCCCACCACCCTCATGTTCTTTCTGCAAGACCCTCTCTTCAACATGGCTCTCTGCCTGGCCGACCTGCCATGGCATGCCACATGCAGTCTTGCTCTCGCTGCCAAAAGGTCTGTAACCGGACCAGTCATGGGTCTCTCCGCCTCAAGGTCGGTGCCGCACGCCATGTTGCTTGTAGCTAAATATTGCCATCCCCAGCCCGCCTCTCTGCAACTTGATCCCTTTCCTCTCTTCACGCAAGCAAGTCTTGTTTAATTTTGGTTGTGCGGTTACAAAGAGCTATTCTTGAAGAAAAGCGAGAAAGAGAAAAAAAGAAACAACATACAGTTCATCGTTTGTTTTGACACCACCTAATCCGTCTGCAAAGGATAGTGTCTGGTACACTATTCTTGTGTTGATTCCCTGACTGCAAGACAGCCAACCAGCCAGCCAATTGACCCATCTCTGGTCTTGCTTACCGGTCTATTTTCAACAAGAAGAGTGTCCTCGACGACGAAGACGATTGCGGCATCGATTCGAGCTGGCCTCGAGATCTCGCTCCCGCTCCATCTAAACGCCTGCCGCTGGTCAACGACACCACGACACATCACCCGTCTTTTTGCAGACTCATCCGCCTTTCAATTCTCTTCGTCAATATCCAGTCTTGCTCCGTTGCTGGTCGACGGCTTCCTTCCACTTGTCTACAGACGAAGTGAACTCTAATAGCTCCTTGTCCGCCTTTGTGTGAAATTTGACACCGCACATACCAATCTTGCTGTGCCGCCCCTCCGACATCGTTCCCAAAAAACAATCTAATATCATCAACTGTCAACCTTGTTCAAGCATTCACTATTATTACTATTATCAGCATCAGCATTGTCGATATTTCCATCCTGTCCCATCCTTTTTGGATCCAGTCTGGTCGATTCGAGTCCGAAATCTCCAATCAAGCGAAGACCCTCCACGCCGCAACGCTGCTCCTGGCGAGTAGTGTACACCAGCATTCAGTTGTCCCCCAACTCCCCCCTGTCAAGCTACTGTCGAGCCACTGCAAGTCGAGCTGTGCCGCACGACCTTGCAGCATAGCATACCCAAGACTGTTCAGTTCAGCACCAGCATCTTACCCTACCCGAGCACCCGGGACCCAGAGCCGAAAAAGACACGGGCTTCAGCCTCTGTCCAGTCTTGTCTCTTGCACGCCCGCGTCAGCGTGGTTTCCCTGCACGCCACCCACCTACCCACGACGGCTCAACGCTGCTATTTTAGCTCTTCGCCTTCAAAGCCTCAAAAGGCACATTTACCCCCTTTGACGCCTTGTGTGGTTGTCCGTTTCACATCTACGATTGCCGGTCAATCTACTCCATCTCAGATCCAGCAACAGCATCTTTCTCAATCCTTCCTAGGTACTCTCGATACCACGTGGCCTTGACGTATCTGTCGAGGAAGCTCTGCCACTGCCTCTGGCCTTAGATCTCTCCCTGCAAGAGAGGTGTGTCTCTTGGACTCCCATCCACAAAGCGTACACCGTGCAGTGCAATACGCACGGCATTGTGCCTTTTTTGACTCCACACGAATCGACATTCTTGGAACCTCGTTCTGCTTTTTGGCATCAGCATCAGCATCAACTTATAACCTTTGGTTTAATTCCATCGACTTGACAACTTAGCTCTTCAGCATTTTTCACGAAACTTATTACGCACCGTTACGAATCAAGAGTCTCGACGACAGAATATCTCTTTCATACACCCATGTAAGACTATCTACCCCTTTCTCTACAGAGCCTTATGCTGACATGTATGTGTTTCCAAGTCACTATAAACATAATCCCACCGACCAACAAACCAAACCCAAAAACAACCACAGCAGAAAAGACAAAAGACAAAAAGGCAATGTCGTCCCCAGCAGTCCAGCTCTCATTCACTCTCCGCACGTCTCCCAACGTCCGGACTGTCCATCTCCTCGGCTCATGGGACAACTACAAGTCCCAGCTCCCCCTTTCGCTGGTCAAAGACAGCACCGCCAAGCCGGGGTCCTGGAAGGGAACATTCCGCTTCCAAGGGTCGAACGCGCTCAAACTCGGCTCGCGCTACTGGTACTACTACATCGTCGACGGCTACCACGTGTCGCACGACCCGGCCAAGGAATTCGTGACGGAGAAGACGACGGGCCGCAAACTCAACGTCATCGACGTCCCCAAGGCCGGCGGTAGTAGCAGTGGCAGTGGTGGCAGGACAACAACAGCAGCAGCAACAGCACAACGACCTACTGTTGCAAGCACCACCACCACCACAAGCTATAGCAGCAACCGGTACAGTCGAGAAGTCCCACAAGGCCGGGCCCTGAGTCCCGGCAAGATCCAACACCCCAAGCCCGGCAAGCCGTACGCGTCTCGACAACTGCGCGAAGCCGATTACGAGCACTCGCCCGTCGACGACCTCGAGGAGCGCTTTGCCGGCTACCGCATCAGCGCGGACCAGTCGTCGTCGTCGCCGTCCGAGTTGTCCGACGACAGCTCGTCCAGTGGGACGGCCTTCTCGCGCTCGTCGCCGTCGACCATGTCCAGCGTCAGCGATCGGAGCTGTCGCTGTGAACGCTTCGGCGTGACCCGGTCGGGACAGCGCGTCAAGCTCGACTGCGGCGGCAAGCGCTGTGGGGGGTGGAGTTCCAGTTCTTCCGAATGTGAGTCGTCTGTGGCTAGCGAGGAGGACTCGAGCGAGGACGAACGTGCCCGTCGCGCCAGGATGCATAAGGAGGCCGAGAGGAGGCGGGCGCCGCCTTCCTCAAAAGCCCATGCTGGCGCCGATGATCGCAGGAGAACTGTCGTTGTTGAGAAGAGAAGGAGATAGCCGGTGCTTCTATGTATGTGTGTGCATGCATGAATATTGGAATGCGTTGATTGGTGAGTAAACCCAGAAAGGGTATCTGAAGGGGCTAATCCGGAGACAGGCAAATTGTTGTATCTTGCTATGGCAGTGCACTTGCATTTCGTCCGTTCATTTGAGAGCGACAAGAGACAGCGGACACTGTCGTTCTGGCATCATGGAAGAAGAGATACAGAGTCAACCTCTCCGGAGCCATGTCATCATCTGTCACTCAGCAACAATCCCCGTCGCGTCCGTCCGGACAGCCGTCAATGGGACTTGTCATCTGCAGAATAGGGAACAATTGAAGCCGAACCCAATCTCTCATGAGAAGGGAATTGCTTGACTCAGCCGGATCCGCTGTGTTACTCGCCCATCATGGATCTGGGCTTCAAACTGCCTCATCTGGCAGATGTGCTTACCAGGTCGATATGCAGTGAAGCACAGCGTGTGGAAGGAGGAGAGAAGAAGAAGACGAAGACTGAGGATCAGGGGCGACGGCAAGATGGCGAGGTAAATGAATCGAGAAAGCGAGGGGATCTCGATGGATGAGGGCTTTTGGCCGCAGGAGAGGGAGAGAGAGACAGTCGGAGGAGTAGCAGGCGAGTGTGAGGACAACCGAAAGGGGCTGAGGTAGGCCACTCGCTACTTCTTCAGGTGCAGACATGAAGATGAGAAGAAGTGATTGAATCGTTGGCTGCCTGACTCGATAACTTGGATATTTGTTCACAAAGACACCATTCAAGTTGTCTGGAGGTAGGTGGTGGGGGAGAGGAAGGGGAAGATGAAGAGCAACCGTTACAGAAAACGAAATTGGAAAGCAAACCCCATCGACAATGATGTCCATGGAATATCGAGTTTCTCTTCACAAGCACTGCTGCATCTCTGCTCAGCTGGAATCAGCGCTTCTTGCATCCAGCACTTGGGGTTCAACTTGTGAAAGAAGACGCTCTTTTGTCTCCTCCAGACGGGCAAAAGTGAGGCAATAGCAGAGAGACAGTTCGAAAATATAAGTCCATGCTTGCATCAACCCAACTCGCATTATTTGGCATTTTCACTCCTCGATTGCCGTACTAGCGGGTGCCTCAGTAAACAGGCAGCCAGTGCATGGCTTCTTACCGGCTTGTCGTCCTCCGCTATTGAATGTCTCCCGTTTTCTTGGTTCTGATGCACATTGTCGCCACCGAGGAAAAGGAGGTTCAGAGCCAGCAGATGTAGACTTGGCTCGGCTCCTGCAACAGCCTAGAATGATGCTCAGATCCAAAGCCGAGGTGGAAGGTCGATTCCAGCAAACTCCGAGAACCGGGAGGCTCGACATGTCACATAAGTGTAGAGGGAGGAGCAATGTGGTGTTGGTGTAAGCTTGTCGCTACTTGTCTCACCCAGATTCAGATGCTTTAGACTTTACATAGCCTTGAAAGCCGTTCCATACCTGGATGTATCACCTTTTCCTGGGACTCTCCTCTTATGAATGTCCTCAGCCAGAGTCTGCAAGACAGAGCTTTGCGCCGGCTCTAGGTAGAAGAACTTTTGAGACTGCGCGCGGAGTAGTTCAGAAATAGTGTCAAGGTCGTCCAGCGCACCAGTCAACCGGTTGGCCACTTCATCCACAAACCACCGGTGGTCCTCGCTATCCGGCGCTGCACAGAAAGAACCAACGCTGAGTATCCAAAGTTGCACCTCTTCATGTCCGGCCCAAAGCTCGTCAGCAATGCTAAGGAGCGTTTCGCGTAAAAATGGTGCAATGATTTTGATCGATCTCTTGCGCCCTGAGACGGTGAAGATCAGAAAGATCCACAAAACAAGAGCGGTGCGGAGTGCGCCGCTACGAGGGTCGTCGAGCTGCATGGACAGAAGGCGATGTCGAATCGTCAGGGTTCGGATATGGACCCAGTGAAGACTATCTGATGGAGGTTTATCTGCTGCTCTGTCCGATGACTGAGATGCCCGGAGTACCGACAGCGCGACCGCTAGGTCGAGAATGATCCAGCGTAGGTCTGCCGGGACGATGTCTTGCTGGGTGGGAGTAAGTAGTCCTGCTGCTATCTTCACTCTGCCAGATAGCAGTTTCCGAAGTTCACAGATGCCATAGGTCGTCATGGGATGGTCATCACCAGGTTCGAAATCGGACGCGGACCAGAGAGGCTTCGCTCTAAGCTCGGCCGCAACATAGCCGTCACCAGTCAGGAGGAGGTCTATGAGTGGCCCGTCCAAGATCTTGAGACCGCCCATCGAATCCACCATCGATTTTGCAGCTTTAAGATGCACATATGCCGCATCGACATTATATCGGTACCATTCTGCGCAGCCGAGGTTGAAGATGTTGAAAACCATCCTCCCAGTGATGGGTTGGCGGCTGTGTACATATTCCTGCGAAGCCTTTAGGGCTTTGTGGATGTAGTAGGTCCCATCTGCGGGCGAAGGGATCCCATCGATATAGGTCATGTAGCTGGCCATGGAAGCAAGAAGGGCATACATGTTGTACTGATCGTGCAAGCAGCCCTGCACAATGGACATGGCATCGGAGCGAAATGTATACTGGTGGTCCAACCGAACGGCTCGTTCAATATGCCAGATATTGGGATGGTGGACCCGCAGAAAATACTGCAGGAGGCTGTGTACCGCTGCATCGACCGTGATACAAGTCACGTCGAAGGGGTCAAAGCTTTCCTCCGCCGAGGCTGGGAAGACTGGAATGATGTGAGGCGAGGTCTGCTTAGGGCCGTTAATGGGCGACATTTCCCAAGGCGCTACATGGACATGGCCTGCATTGTGTTTGGGAGCAGTTGACTGCTCGGAGGCGGTTAAGACATCGTCGCCCGACTGCTCAGGTCGATGACCTGGATTGCCAGATCGGTTGCCCGGCTGGAGCAGGCGCAACGGAGTCGCGTGACTCACACGGCCTTCTGCTTTCTTGTATCTCTGACATTTCTGTACATGACTGTGGATTGAGATGCGTTCATGTCTATTACTGTGAGAAAGTGATTCGGATTGAGCGTCCTTGTTGATGAACATAAATTTTGAAGCCTTCATGTTTAGTGAGTGTAGCAGCTGGGAGCTTGCGGCGCCTCTTTTGTATGTTGACTCAGCCCAGGGGAGCTGGGTAGTCATTCATGCAAGGAAGGGATAGAAAGACTCTAACGCTTGTTGAGGCTTGGTTGCGCCCCCAAGAGGATGGTTACATCCGACCTATCTTACCTTGTCCAGTCGGCGGGGATCCCGCAATCAAGGTCTCGTTGACGGGTAGTAAGCAGCGCAGATGAGAGCTTCCCGGGGAGTTCGAGAGAACAAGTCAGGCCGAAGAGCTTCGGTTTCGGACAGTGCTACCTTGAAATTCCCGACTAGGCAATAGGTCTTTCCGATGTCGAGCACGGCAGAAATATCATGCTGGAATATGGGACAAGACGTTAAACCCCGTGGTTTCTTCTGCGCAGTTCCATTGGTCCGGCCTGCAAGACAAAGCCGTTGTAGGGGCCAACGGATGCAGGCTGACTCAGTGAATCGGCCAAATATTTTGAGCTCTGGTGGCATGTAGAGAGCGAGTGCCAGTAGAAAGGCGGTAGGCTCTGATATCCGGCGTTGAGGCCACAGAACAACACAGATGTGACATAACAATGGAGACAGTGTACTTTAGTCAATCGAATATGGCCACTTACCTATAAGTAGTAGTACTGCGCTATTGGAGAATGCAACATGCAGAGGAAGAGAGAGAGGTATCTATCTATCTCTGCGAGACAGAAGAAGATGGCAAAATTTGACACACGGAAGATTACATGTTCCGGCCCCGAACTTCTCCTTCACCTGCGATCTACTACGTAGAACTACCTGGTAAGTTGGAGGTACGCACCTAATGACTGACGATAGAGATGTACTTAACGTAGCAGTGAATGATGCCTTAACATGGCTGCTCACAGCTAGGTGCCTACCTGCACCTCCTCTCCAGAACAGCCTTCTCCTCCTCTTCTCCCCGGGGAAGCTATGGCCAGCATCCGGAGACTACGGTCCAAGGGATCTTCAACCACCTGTCAACGCCAGCCTCCTTCTCCTCCTCTGCCGCTACTGCGGAGCTCCGGCCTTTTTTAGTGGTGGGAAGGGAGTGGTCGACGCAACTCCTCAGCTCTGTTCCTGTTCTCCCCAACCTACGCTCGTTTTCGGACCAAGAGTGTAACCACTACATTGGCGATGGGCGATGGGCAATGGGCGATGGGCAATGGGCGATGGGCGCACATTCGGCTTCTCTGCCAGCCGCAGAGATCGGATACTAGATCAGATCAGACCGCTGTAGATGACAGGCAAGGATTGTCAAAGACCATTTGATTATCTAGCTATAAAATTGCAGCCCGAGAACCATCCCAGCATTGTTTTGGCTGCATCATCATCTCAAAAGAAGTCGTTATTTTTCGTCTCCCTGGCGACCATTGCTTCGCGGTTCAACATCTATTCAGGGTCTGGAATCTTCAGCACATATCGGCCAGCGATCTGTCCTTGGTGCATCAAGTCGTACACCTTGGGGAGATCCTTCAGTTCCACCGTCTTGAATGGAACCTTGATCAATCCACGAGCAAAGAAGTCCAGGGCTTCCACGCCGTCTTGACGGTTACCGACGTAAGAGCACTGAATTCTGATCATCTTCACCACCGACTCAAACACTGGTGCTCGGATGAACGCCTTGGCAGGGAGACCGATCACAACCACCGTACCACGGGGACGGACATATTCGGCGGCTTGCTGGAAAGGCTTTTCGCTGGCGGCGACAAGGAGGACAGCGTGGGGGCCCAGGCCATCCTTGGTGGCAGCCTTCACATCCTTGGTGATATCGCTGGATTTGGCAAAGTCGATGAACGCCTGGAAGAATGGGTTAGCTCATGTGGCATTCGCCTACAGCTGTAATCAACTCACCTGGGAACCCATCTCCTCGCAAAGCTTCTTCTTGTCATCGCCCGTGTCAATGGCAATGGTGTGAAGACCCATCGCTTTCGCATATTGTTGGGCAAGAGCGCCCAACCCGCCACCGGCTCCAACAATACCAACCGTTTGGCCGGGCCTTGCGCCCGACTCTTTCAACCCCTTGTAGACCGTGATACCGGCGCAGAGGACTGGGGCGATCTCGTCGAGAGGAACACCCTCGGGGATGTGGGAAACGTGTCTTGCTGATGCAATGGCGTATTGCTGGAATGTACCATCCACCGTGTAGCCGGACAACTTGGCATTCGGGCAGAGAGGCTCGTCCGCTTGCTGGCAGAATGTGCAGGACAAACAGGAGTCGTTGAGCCACTTGATGCCGACCGCTTCGCCGATCTTGCAAATGTCGTCGGTCACGAGCTCTCCACGCGCCACGACGATACCTGCGCCCTCATGGCCACCGATAAGAGGCAGTTTGACGTCGAGGGGCCAGTCGCCATTGAGGGCATGAAGATCGGTATGGCACACACCCGAATACTTGACGTTGACGAGGACTTCCTCAGGGCCCGGCTTTGCGACCGGGATCTTCTTGTATTGCAGAGGGCCACCGACCTTGTCGATGACCTGAGCCCATTGTTCGGAGGGGATTTTGGGGGAGGACATGGCGGATGATGTGTCAAAAGAGTTTGGTATGAACAACAATCTATTGGAATAGACTGGCAAAAGAGAATCTGGAGATGGGTTTGTTTGGGGAGGGTATGCTGTCGTGGTCTGAGGGAGAGATGCGCGTTTATGTAGACGATCAATAAGCTTCATCAACCCCTCTCATGACCTGTGCCACCCACGTCTTCGACAACGTTTATGCACAGGATGAGCGGAAACCCCTCAGCAGATCGGGCATCTAGCCCAGGGCCGACGCCTCTACGAAGATCGGTATTCTGTGGACCGAACGAGCTCGTGGGCGAATGGAACCAATGACACGGATACCCCAGTGCTCCGTCTCATGACGGGTATAAGGAGGCCTCCTCTACAGAGTAACTGGGATGATGTGGTTGCCCAAGCACAGCCTGTCACGGTGGGTCAAGAAGCATGGACGAACGGATTTCTGGAAGAATAGGACGAATGGGAGAGGAACAAAGCAGTAGATGCACCCCAAGCTCTGAACCATCGTCAGCTAGCATGAAGCTGCAAAGAAAAATGGAGATTGCGTCGAGGGGCAGGTTAAACATTTACAGCTCGATACGAGATGTGTATCATAGTACTCCTATACTTACCTAGTAATAGAGTGCGAGAGCTCTTCCATTGAGCTTCCAGCAAGCGAGACGCGGTGCGCCGAGACCAGGGACTCGCGGATCAGACCATGATCAGCAGTCATCTTCCGGGACAAGGGCCAGAGCTGGCGGAAATGCAACATCCAGTTCGAGTTGTGCCTCATGAGGAGAGGGGTGCTCATTCGGGGACTCAGGACTGACGGAACAAATGCTTCAGATGGAGCTCCGAGGGGTGGGAGACATTCGACATGGCGCAGGCAATGCGGGGGATTGCAGCGCAGGCGAAGTTCGTGACGCAACAAAGCTCCTTCATCCTGTGCATCCATCCAGTGCAGTGGCTAAGGGTTAACCCCTCGATGATCCTAATAATGCAAGCGATCAGCTATCGCTAACCGATGGCTTTTTTGTTTTTTTGTTTTTTTGTTTACAAAGTGGCATGATGATGTTGAAAGTGGGGGTGAGGAGGGTTCGCTAGTAGGTGCTACAAGGGGTCTACAATCGGCTGTCAGGATGGTTGTTGCCTCTCACCCGATAGTAAAGGTTAAACGAATTCCAAGACCTGGACCGTGATACCACTGCAGTAGATATTCACCATCGCGGCCCAGGCCTCTCGCTACAGCAGAGGAGCACTCGAGACGACCGCACCATTTTGACCACGCCTGCGCTGGTCGCTTTGGTGGGCAGCGATGGTAGGGAGATGGCTGCAGGCAAGCGCCCTCACGCGTCCGGCATCAGCAACTTGAAGCCAACCTCACGAACTTCAAGTTACATGCAGCGTCTCAGCCATATGCCACAATGACCTTGTGGCTTTCATGGCCAGCTTACTGCGGTGAGGGCATCCTAGGTATACAAGGGACACTACTTGCACCGGTCAACACAACTGTCCTCATGCCTCGTCCGCGAAAGTCGAAGTCCAGGCTGATCTATGAGCCCTATCGGGGAAAGCCGAGTCGATTATTTCGTTTAGGCACCCAGCGAGCCACTGCAGGTATGATGTTGCGATTACGCAAATGTGGACTGATGTCCGCATGTTAGAACAGGCAAAACTTCGCGACGTCCCTACTGATGATGACCATCGGCGAGCAATCCGATCAGCGACTCTTCTGTTATCATGGACTTTAAAGCCACCGCACATGCGCTGCGATACCACCACCATAACCACAATCGGCGTGTTGACGTGGCTTCCTAGCTGCTGGACATGTCGAGCTTGGGAAAAGGGGGAACCAGGAACAGGTGCATGCTTAGGCCAGCTGTACACCACCTTGCTTCGATTCATCGCGCGCGGATGCATCGTCACCGGTTTTGGGGTCTCGAGAATATTGACAGAACAACGATTGTTGATGGAGGGCTCAGCGGAATTCTTTTCAATGATGGAGAGGGCAGCCATCTTCGGGGAAACAGGCAAGCCGATGCCGAGCACCCACAAGTTGAAGCTGACGGACGCGGCGCCCAAAAGGATCCGGAGCGTGCCTCATTTTTTATGCTGCGCCGTGAAAGCTGACCTGCTCAAACATGATCCCTATTATGCGGCCGAGCCTGGAGTCTCCGAGCCCTCCTGCTGTTGGAGCACACATCGTGAATTGCAATGTTCTCTTTTCATGCGGCTGCTCGCCACGAAGCAGAGGCAGCAACAAAGGAAAGACCGCACAGGAACTAATATCCATACGAGTGATCCCTCTGTTACCGGCTCGCCGGCTACTCCTGGCATACGCGGGTCGATGTGTAACGGGCCACTCAGGAATAATGGCTTCAACTGGCACCGAAGCTGGTGCCTAGGTAGGTGTGTCTCCTGCTCACGAGCGTTCGCCGAGAATCATTGATTATTGGGCGGCCTCCGGTGTCCAAGGAAGTCTGGTGGGCTGCCGGCCTCACTACTACTGTTCATTGTGTCCTGCTGACCAGAAATTATGCGGGAATGGATCCCCAGAATACTACTTGAACCCGCCGGCAGTTATACATTTTTTGAAGGGGGCCAATCGTCGACGCCCTGAAAGCAAATTGAGACGAGAGCGAGCCGAGGTATGCACGTGGACGCACCCACCAACAAATCACCGTATGCCTGGCAGTGCACAGGTACGGTACCTTATCTTTGGGGAGCCCCTTTGCCCCCGCAGCCTGCCCTTGGGGTTGGTTTTGACTGGCCCCGCATCCCCGGTCCGAAGAACTGGAAGTTTGCTCCTGAAGGGCAAGAGCAAGAGCAAGAGCCTGCCCGCGCTTGCGCTTCAAAGGTACAGACCCGAACCAAGCAAATTGCTCTCATATTGCCTTGTTCAATTGCCGCGGCTCATCGCCGGTCATATCTCCGCAGAACAGCAGGCATATCCCAGATCATAAAGACCCTCCACACCCACAGGTCTGGCAATTTGTCTTAGGTTTTCTTTGCCCTTCATTTTTAGCTTCTCTGTTCTTTTCATGATGGCTACCAACGGTACCAACGGCACGTCATCTCATTCGAGATTCGACAGCTCTTCGACTATTCCCTTGTGGCTAGACGGCCAGGAAGTCAAGCTCTCGTCCACATTCGACGTCGTTTCCCCGCTTGACCACAAAGTCCTGTATCAGTGCTCGGCTGCCGGCGAGGAAGATGCTCTCAAGGCCATCGCATCAGCAGAAAAAGCCTTCAAAACATGGTCGAAGTCAAAACCAATCACAAGGCGAGACATATTCCTGAGGGCGGCGGAGGGATTTAAGCAGAGGAGGGACGAGCAATTTCATTATATTCATACTGAGACTGGCGCAGCCGAATCCATGTTTGCATTTGAGTATAACCTGGCGTACGAGGCGTGTATGAGTGTGGCGGGCCTGGTTCAAGTGGCCACTACTTCTACCATGCCGGTTGTCGCCGAGGAGGGTAGGACTGCGATGGTGATCAAAGAACCCTACGGCGTAGTTCTGGGGATTGCTCCTTGGAATGCCCCCACCGCTCTGGGTGTGCGTGCCTGTTTGCAGCCCCTCGCAATGTAAGCTCTCGACAAACCCGACTCTGTCATTGGAGAATAGCTGACATTCTCAGGGGAAACACAGTGATCCTCAAAGGTCCAGAAGCAGCACCGGCGACATACTACACCATTGCGTCGGTCCTGCACGAGGCTGGGCTACCTGCGGGCTGTCTCAACACAATCTACCATCGACCTGCAGATGCTGCAAAAGTCACTACCGCTCTGGTCTCCCATCCAGCCATCAAGAAGATCAATTTCACCGGCTCTACCGCAGTCGGTTCCATTATCGCGTCTATGGCGGGCAAATACCTCAAGCCAACTGTCATGGAACTTGGTGGCAAGGCGCCCTCCATCATCTGCGAAGACGCCAACGTCGAGACTGCGGCGCTGCAATGCGCGCTCGGTGCTTTCCTGCACGCCGGGCAGATCTGCATGGCCACCGAGCGTATAATCGTGAATGCCAAGATCGTCGACAAGTTCCGCCCCGCGCTCAAAGCCACCCTGGACCAGGTCTTCAGCGAAGAAGGCTTGGGGATTCCACAACTTGTGACGACGGCACCGGTCGAGAAGAACAAAAAACTCGTTTCCGATGCTCTTTCCAAGGGCGCCGTCCCCCTCCATGGCGACCCTGATCACCATGAACCTTCGAAAACGAAGATGCGGCCCGTCGTTATCGAGAACGTGCAGCCGCACATGGACATCTACCACACGGAGTCGTTTGGTCCGACCGTATCTCTGTTTGTGGTGAATTCGGACGAGGAGGCCATTGAAATCGCCAACGACACCGAATACGGTCTCGCCAGTGCCGTGTTTACAGAAGACCTCCGGCGTGGATTGCGTATCGCGCGTCAGATTGAGACCGGCGCTGTGCACATCAACTCCATGACTGTACATGATGAAGCGGCTCTTCCGCACGGAGGCGCGAAGAAGAGTGGATTTGGCCGATTCAACAGCTTGCAGGGTCTTGAAGAATGGGTCCGGACCAAGGCTGTCACATGGAAGGACTGAATGGAGAGAATAAGCATGGCGGTTTCGATCACAATCAACGTGACCGGCCATTGGGATTTGCTTTTACGTTCAGGGCATAAGCCATTGATGTATTCAATACCATTTCCATTTCGCTGATACTCGCTTCATGAGGACATAACACGTCTCCGTTCAGATGGACTCCAGGATCTATAATTTCGGCGTGTCTGTCAGATTCTCATAGCCGTCTTCTGTGATATGTATGTCGTCTTCGATCCTCACTCCACCCACGGCCCAGTATCGATCGAGCACGCTCTTGTCTATGTATTTGCTCAACTTGGGGTCTTCCAGGACTGGATCCAAGATGAATCTACAGAAATAGATGCCCGGCTCGACGGTGATGACCGCGCCCGCCGGCACCTTTCCACGGACTCGCAAGTATTTGAACATGGTATCCGGATCGTCGTAGTTGGCATGGCCGCCGGTATCATGAGTGTCCATGCCCAGATAATGACCCAGGCCGTGCGGAAAGAAGGCGACGCTGACTCTCTTGTCGAAGATCTCTTGCTCATCGCCCACCAGGATGCCGGCCTTTTTGAGTCCCCGGATAGCCACCCAGTGAGCATGTTCATGCACGTCTTCCCACCTTACATCAGCATGGAGGAGTTTAAAGCAGGACGACTGCATCTCGTCGACGATGGAATAGATTATCTGTGACTCGGGCGTGAACGTGCCGGAGATGGGGAACGTGCGGGTGATGTCGGCGCAGTAGCAGTCGTACTCGGCGCCGGCGTCCAGGAGGATGTTCAGCCTCTCGCGCAAAGGCTGGTCATTCCGTACATAGTGTAAGGTCGAGCAGCTGGTGCCGCTGGCGCAGATGGAATGGTAGGCTTGCTCATGCGCGCCGTTGGAGATGCAGGTTCCGATAAACGCGCCGTACAGCTCCTGCTCGTTGGCCGCAGTGCGGACGACCTTTGCGGCCTCGACGTGTGCAAGCGTCGAGATCTCGTTGGCTTTGCGGATCAGTGCGACTTCGTAGCTGTCCTTTATAACGCGGCATTCGTCAATCGCCGTCCTGAGGGATGCGAACTCGGTCGCCGCAAAGGCCAGGAATGTGATATGCTCCGACACCTGTTCGGGGATGGCGTAGACGGTGGTCGACTTGGACGGGCCGTACGCGGCCAGCGCGGCATTGACCTCGGTGGTGTACAGGACTTGGTCCACGTCGTATTTCTGCAGTGCCTCCTCTTTCGACTCCGGCAGCCCGGACCAGATCACGCTGTCCGGGTCCACGGGCGGGATGAACAGCGTGAGGATGTCTTGCGGGATGTTGTACGTGAGGTATGCGTCCGGTAGCTTGCAGCCGGAGAGGTAGAAGAAGTATCGACGCTGTCGAAACGGCATCGCCTGGTCGTCGTCTTCCACCATCTGTGTCTTCTGCGCTTCCAGGTAGATGACTCCATCGCGCGACAGGCCTGCGTCGGTCAGGTATTTGGCCACCCGCCGGCAATGGGCTTTGGCAGGATATTTGCCCTTGAGTATGTCGTCCGTGGCCGACATGGCTGCTGCGTGCGTGAACTGGGACTGGGAAAGTCAAAGTCAGAAGCAGGCCAGTTGGAGAAAGAGCAAGTTGGAAGACTGCAGTAGTGGTGGGACGACCAAGTGCATGCCTCCAAGTTCTAGTACCGTCGCTCCGCACTTTTGTGCGGGCAACATGCCTAGGTACATCCTGTAGTATCTCGCTAGGTACCTAAGGTATGTATCTACCCATCCTACCTGAATAGATGCTTGAAGTTATACTCCAGGATGTGGGCTTGTATATAGCGAGGTCGATTTGCAGTCACTTGGATTGCTGCCTCCACTGCTGCATGTTTGAGGCTTGGACAGCATTGCCAGCTCGCCAGATAATTGTACAGCAACGTGGGGTGTCGAATGACATGCCAGTAGTATGGATGTAGAAACACTCTTATCTAGTTCGGTCTGTTGAAGGTACAACGTATAAACCAGCGTATCTTACTATGGTATACAGAGATGCACCGTTGTCTGTGATATAGCAATAACGATCTCCTTAGGTAGGTAGTAGTAGTAGGTGGGAAAGCAACCTCCTCAGCCAGACGATGGAATAAATCATGGATCAAAAGCGGCATGTATCCCAGCTTCTTCGCTGGGAGGACGCAACCTATTTCAGCTGTCACAATATTGCCGCTTTTGCGCCATTCTCCCCTTCGAGTTCACCAGGAATACGACGGAGTACGCTCCCATCTGGTGCTTTGACGTCGTTCCCGACCTGTTGCAAGGTGTCTCGTGCTCCCGGACAATTCTTTCCTGATAACGCCTGCGGCTCCGGCGTTGGCATGCCCTGTTGACACCTCGGGCGCTTCCAACAAGTCAGTCTGCCGATGGCTGGACAGGAGTGCACAGACAACACTGCATGCGATTTGCGCAGTCTCCATCAGGCCGTCCCCTTTGTGAGACAACGGACCGCCAGCCGACCATCCCCATGTTCTGCAAGTTGATGTTCGTGCACATTTCTCATCGCCAACCCGTCGTTCCGTCTTTCACCGCCTTCGAGACCGAAAGCGGGGTGCGATGATAGCTCCTTCAAGAGAGAGGGGAGCATCGAGTACAATGAGGCAGGACAACGACGGAGATGGCTAGTACTACTAGTAGGCCAGGACATTGGCCACCTACTTGGAAACATTCTGCTGGCTTGATGCATGACACTGCAGGGGACTAATGCATGTTGGCGAACCTAGTCCGAGTCTCTCCTACCAGAGCTTGTCAAGTTGTCTGTCAATTGGGATGTTGATATCTTCGCCAACAGAAACCTCCTTCAACGGGCCGAGCCTGACGAATAAGCAAGCCATCCGGTGGACTGATTCTCCACATGCATCGATACCTTTGTCCACACACTACCGTCCACCTATCTAGGTACCAAGAGATTCCCTTCGGCACGAGCGTATCTTGCCGGTCATCTATACTGGATTCAGCATGGGATATCTACCCTTTCCAAGCAGAAATGCCCTCAGCGTCTGATAGCAGGTCACTGTTCGCTGTGAGATCACCCGCACATGCCTTCCATCGTTGACACCATCTTTGCCAACGCATCCAAATGACGTGTCAATCGGGGGCAGTTCACCCATCGTATCTACCCGAATGTCTGAAAACACTGGTCATGACCGGCATGGTTTTCGACGTATCGGATCTTTGACACCAGTGTATCAGGGACGGTCTGTGTCACCTAATGCGAGGCATCCCACTTCGTCAGCGGGTTGTGATTATCCCATGGAAGCATTGGCCTCGAAGAGTGTGAGTTTAGGGGAGAATGATACCCACTGATCAGCTCTCGTGGCATGTGGCAGGCAGAACTACGAACAGAATATGAGTGACAGCTCAAGTCAGCGTTGGAGCTTTTGTTTCGACCTTGCCGCTCTCTCGGTGGTCCATCTCTATCCTTCTCTCTTTCTTTTGATCCCACAACCAAGGACGTGGAATCTATTGCGTGTCGTGCCGAGCAGAGATTGAAGAACGATATGGAAGGCGTAGAGTGTCCCCAGTCTGAAATTGTTGGCGATCTTCGAATACAGCACAACCCCATGGCGGAAGATGTGCAAAACGATGTCTCTGCAAACAAGGCTGATCTGACAGACAAGGAACCTGAGGCGGGACAGTCGAAACGGAAGGATAGTGGCGTCTCCCTAACGACCTTGCAGTCCGATGGTGACCATATCTCTCCTGATGAGTCAAAAGATGAGGATGTTGAGCCCATCATTAAATCGCCATCTGGAACAGAGCCGACAGTGTCATCAAATGGAGTGCCCAAGTCAGAGGCCCAATCCGATGAGGATGCCTCAAGCGGAAATGTCCAGCGGGAGAGAAATGCCGATATACCAGCCCTCATCTTCGACATCGGTGACGTGCTATGCAACTGGACCGCACCAGTAGCCTTGCCTATAGCGCCTGCGATGTTGCACAGGTTTCGCAAAACACGGTTCTGGTACGAGTATGATCTCGGCATGATAACACAAAACGAATGCTATGGCCTGCTTGCTGAGCAATACAGCGTCTCAAGTTCGGACATTGCCCAAGCTTTTGACAAGGCTCGCGACTCCTTGTCGCCCAATTACACTGTGTTCGAGATCATCAAAGGACTCAAGGCCAGGTACCAGGCGACTCTCAAAACATATCTCATGTCAAACATTCCAGCTGCTGAGTGGAAGGCTCTGAAAGAGAACCCAGATTTCGACTGGTCTCTCTTCGACGGTTTCTTCACGTCCAGTGCTGCAGGCATGTGCAAACCCGAGTTGCGCTTTTACCGGCATGTTCTGCGGCAGGTTGGCATGAAGCCCACAGAAGTAGTGTTGGTTGATGACAACGCCGAGAATGTTCTTGCAGCACGATCTATCGGAATCAAGAGTTTTAGGTTTAGGGGATCCGAGGGTTTAGACCGGTTTTTGAAGACCACCTTTCACGATCCTGTGCAAAGGGGCCTTGAGTATCTGAAGAACAACGCTAAGCAAATGTGGAGTGTGACGACGCAGGGGAGAGAAGTGAGAGATAACTTCGCCCAACTCTTTTTGTATGAGGCTGCGGACGACATGTGAGTCGCCCGATCAACGTGATTAAGAGGACATGCATAGCTTACCGATCTGAATGTACAGAGACCTGGTCAACCTGACATTTTACGAACGAACATGGAACTACTACATTGGTGAGATGAGGATGGGCACCGTACCTTTGGCCAAGACCTAACTCATGGAACAGAAAAGCCACTGGACACGGTTGAGAAGTTTCCTGATGATATTGACACGACTTCACTGGCAATGATTTTGCTGCCTAACGACATTGAGAAAGCTAATGATATCTTGGACGAGGTCCTAAGGCATACCAATGCAGATGGCATCATCATGGTAAAGACTTGTCCCTTTCAGCCCAAGAGGGAGCCCCAAGAATCTGTCAATCGTGCTTACTTGTGACAGACGTATTTCGACAACAAACGACCTCGCGTGGATCCGGCCGTGTGCATCAATGCCCTTCGCTTCTTCCACAAGTACGCGCGAGGGGATGCAGCTGCCCTGCAGCCCACCAAGGATTGGGTTTCGGATGTTCTCTTCTATCGAGCCTACCTGGACGGCACATACTACTACCCGACGGGAGACGTCTTCCTCTATCTGTTCAGTCGTCTTCTGACTGCCAACCCTGAGAGCGACATGTACCGCCGTACAGCGTCGTTGTTGCGGGAGAGACTACAGGAACGGATTGGCACGAGCGGTGATGCCCTAGAATTGGCCATGCGCGTGATTGCGTGTCTTGACATGGGCATCAAGAATGAAGTCGACCTGAAGAGACTCGAAACAAGCCAGCAAGAGGACGGCGGGTGGGAGGTTGGCTGGTTATGCCAGACAGGCAAGACAAGTCTCGAGATTGGGAACCGAGGCCTGACCACCGCCATGGCTGTCAAGGCGATTGAGATGGCGAGGAAGACGAGATGAGCTGCTACCGAATGTCGAGCCAGGCGGAAGGGCCCTGGATTGGGAAACAAGCATTGCTCCCTAGAAAGGTCGGGCTGCGTGGTATGCCCTTACCTTTTTCTCCATCATTCATTTGACCCTGCTGGCCGCCACCGAATGAGGGTACGGCGCCAGATTGAAGTACATACTCTTATAGACGTCGGATCCCTACGAGATCTATCCATAGACAAGGCTGCGATCCTTATTACTACTAGTAAGACGGAAATCAGTTGCTTAGGAAACGGGCGGGCCATGATTGGTGTGCTGCCACTCCATATTCGGACGCGGGGAAGAAGTCGCTTTCATACGTCATCGGCCAGAACGAGGCTGTCAACTGGCTGCTATTCTGTACCGTTACTATTGATTCGTTGATGCGCAATATTTGTTCATCCCTTTGCCCTCCCTGCTGACCGTATTCTCTTCATTACTTTGTAAAGCATACTCGCCAAACCCACCCACTTCGTCTACCTAGTACATGATACTTGTACCTCTTACACAATCTGATATCGAACACCAAGAACCCGCAGTCACAACAGTCCTTAGCACACAGCATCTATCATCCAGCTTGTCCCGCTTGCAACATACCTGATACTTCTCCTGCCACAGCATCGAGTTCATCATCACCATGGCGACTCAAGTATGTCCCGTGGTTGGCACGACCAACACAGTCCTTCCTCCCCAACACCCCAGCTTCGACATGAACCAACCCGGCCTCGTCTGTCCCGTCACCAACGCCAGCACCGACCATCACCACAACCTCCACAAACACCCCGGCATCTTCAACACATCTTCATCCGACGAACGGTTTTCCAACGCCGGGTCCTGTCCCGCCTTGTCCAAGTTAGTCAGCCGTCCTGAACAACAGGCCATGGACGAAGCGATCTGTCCGGTGGTCGGGACCGTTTCGAGCGTCCTGCCTCCCAACCATCCTTCCACGGCCGGGGCCAAAGACACCGACGTCTGTCCGGTGACGAATGCCACACTGTCGCATCACAGGAATAAAGTACATAAACATCCAAGCCTTGCGACGGTGTCGAAGGATGCGGTTTGTCCTGTTGTCGGGGTCCATGCAAAGGTATAAACTAGGGAAGAGTCTCGTTCTGCTGGCTTGTAAGTGGGGATCAGTTATAATCTGGGGCGTTGTATGGGGCTTGGTGCCATACCATTGACTCGCGTTGGAATTGTAAGGGTCTTCAGGCTCTGGCGTAACAAGTCTTGCTTGTTGGGCAGCAATATGGAGTCAGGGCTGGTGGGTGTGTGGTCAAACCATGATGGTTGAAGGACTCTTTCTTAGTGCATTACCAATGTAATCTTTTCTGCTGGTAACAATACCACAAACCTCGCCAGTCTCTATGGTGACATGAGTCGCTGCATAGGTACCTTAGGTAGCCGTGATGGTGTAATGATATCTTGCCTGCTAGGTTTAGTGTTCCAATCTTCGTCCATCCTGATACGGAGACGATCATTCATTCGCTCAAACTTGAGGGGGCAGATCAAGCGCTGTGAGTCCATCAATGCTGGAGAACGGAGAGCATGGCCTGCGGCCACAAGTTTCGCATTCTGAGATGGGTACGTTGAAGAGTAAACCGGCAATGAAGCTATTGCTCCGAAGGATTGGACAAAGTCATGAGGGACGGGTGGGAGCGACTGCTTTGAATGGTAAACAAATTGCCTGTCCGCTATTATTCAGGTCCAGCTCTTCGCTCTTCGCCTTTCGCCTTTCGCCTCATTGCTGCGTGATGCAGTGCCGAGTATTTATTGCTTGGCCCGTTCTCGGCTTTCTTGTATCAGGTAACTGAAGATCGTGCCTATCTCGCTGCACCGGTCGCTTGGCTGTCTGGTAAAGGCGCAAAATATGCACCTCGTCGGACCCAGCCTTCAGAAAGAAAATTCGATGTCAAAGTCCCTTCTATCTCTGAATCGACATGAGAAATCCCGTCACGCTGAGTTCTTCGGGCGCTGCGAGCGTAATCCGGAGCGATGCAATGAAGGTCTGCAGCTTGCGGGATTTATCACATTTCAAGACATCGGTATTATCGAGACATCTCTGGGCCCGAGTGAAGACAAACGGGCAGCGTGTCCAAAAGTGTTTCCTGTCCAGGTGCCTCAGACGTCTGGTGTTGGCAGTCGGCGCGAAAAGCGCAGTTTACAAGGTCTTTTGGCTTGATGGAGACCCGATATCGCCTCCTACACAAAGACACACACCCGAACCCCAACCCGTTGTTCGCAGCGACCCTTGTCCGCTGTCGGGCGTCTGCGCGTGTTGGTCGGCTACAAACTAGCCAGGAACAGTGGATCTGAATCTGCTCAAGATCTCCATCCAGAAACAAATGGGCAAATCCACCAGCGGGAATTGGCCACGGCTAAACCGGCACAACGACGTATCAACGGCCACTCGGGCCATCCTCTCCTTGATTCGGAAAACAAAGACAATGGGTGCCATTCGTTGCCCGACCATCGGCTCCAGGATCTCCGATGCGTACATGGCTGTTCTCTACTTAATGAAACGGACCATCTGTGATTCAGAGATGTTGCTGTTCCCTGCCCGTGACCAGATGTCGAGATATGGTGCTGTCCACCACCCAAGCAGCACCGGACGAGGAGGCGGGACCGACAGAAACAGCAGAGAACGGGGCGACGACAGTGGCAGTGCCATACGCCGACCAGGAAAAAGACGAGATCCTGGTGGGCTGGGATGGGGACAATGACCCAGAGAATCCGCAGAACTGGTCGACGGGCGTCAAAGTCTGGGTGACTTTCCAGCTGACGCTGTTGGCCTTCGCTGCGAGCCTGGGATCGAGCATTCTCTCCTCTGCAAATCCCACACTTGCCAAATATCTTGGGGTCAGCGAGATCGTTGTGACACTGGATACCTCGCTCTACATGTGAGTTTTGGATTCCCCTCGGCGGGAAGTGCGTGAGTGTTCTGCCTGGAGACTGACGGTTCGTCCAGTATCGGCTTCGCATGCGGCCCTCTATTATGGGCTCCCATATCGGAAATCTGGGGCAGACGAATATCCATGCTGCCGGCCATGGCTTGCCTGGGCATCTTTTCGATTGGAACAGCAACCAGCAAAGATGCCGCGTCGGTCTTCGTCACTCGCTTTTTCGGTGGCCTTTTCGGCTCGGCTGCCGTCAGCAATGTCAATGCCGCCTTGGGGGACATCTGGTCTCAAGAAGTCCGAGGCACGGCCGTCACCCTGTATGCTGCCTGTGTCGTCGGAGGCCCGACGCTGGGTCCTACCACGGGCGCCGCCATTCTGGTCAACCGGCACCTTGGATGGCGATGGACAGAGTACATCACGGCCATAATCAGCTTCGCCGTGGTGGCGTTGACGTCTTTCTGCATGCCTGAAATGTATCCCCCGATCTTACTGAAGCGCAAGGCTCAACGACTGCGCAAGGAGACGGGCAACGACAAATTCTACCATACCCATGAGAGGCTCCAGTTGGATTTCCGGTCCATCGTCACCAAACAGCTGTCTCGCCCGTTGATCATGTTGTGTACCGAGCCTATCGTCACCTGCATCGCCTTCTACGCCTCGTTCGTCTACTCGATCCTCTATCTCACTCTCGAGGTCTTCCCCATCGTCTTCCGGGAACAGCGCGGTTGGGGCCCAGTGGTCGGCTCGCTGCCTTTTATCGGTCTTTTCATCGGTGTCATCTCTGCCATTGGCATCAACTTGGGTAATCAGCCTCAGTATATCCGAAAGAGTCGCGCCGCCCACGGCAAGCCAGTCCCAGAGGCAAGGCTGCCACCCTTATCCATCGGAGCTGTCCTCATGGTTGCCGGACTGTTCTGGTTCGGATGGACTGCGGCGCCAAAGTACCACTGGATCCTTCCCACCATTGCTGCGCTGTTTATCGGAGCTGGATTCAACACGATCTTCCAACAATGTAAGTCCTGTCTTATTGCCTCGTGCAAAGGTCGGCTCCGAGCCAATTTGCTTCCCTTCCTTCTTTCACTGACCCTGAATCTCAGGTATCAACTATCTCGTCGACGTGTATGGTCTCTACGCAGCCAGCGCCACGGCGGCCAACACATTCCTCCGCAGCATTCTGGCTGCAGGCCTCCCTCTCGCCGCTCGGCCCATGTTCCACAATCTGGGAGTCGGCCCGGCAATGTCCATTCTCGGTGCTGTTGCCGCCGCCCTGCTTCCCGTCCCGTTCCTCTTGATGAAGTATGGGTTGGCTCTCAGGAAACGCTCGACGTATGCTCCGGTGTTGGACGATTGAGAGACCCGGTATACGTGCCTTGGAATATTACATCTTGAATCTCATCAATAACTCTACATTTTCTAAAGTGCCTACAAGATTTGAACATGAATCTGAATCCCACTTCAGGACAATCGCCCGGCCAGAATGGGCGATTACAAGACGCAGATAAGATTCCTGGTCATGTCACTCCGACCCCCCCCCCCCCCCCCCGAATGGCAGCGAACGGCATTGCACAGCATATGCACGAGAAGCCGACACCTATAAAATAGGCTGTGAACATGGGAAGCCAAGCCATCCCGGATATGAATGAGAGAACAGCGAAGTTCACGCTCCGCTTGCCCAAAACCCAAGTAGGCCAGCAAGTAAGGGCAGAAATTATACAAAAGCCATGGTCTGCAGAGATGGGCCCCTAACAAGGAATGGCTGTTCTGTGAATCCATTGTTTCACCGTGAACTTCTTGCTGATGGCAACCCTACCAGGTCACCCAAGGCTCCACGAGGCGGGTGGCTGATCTAGGCTGACTGGGAAGGCTCGCAAGGCTGACAAGGCTGACAGCCCAAATCAGCATAAGAAAGTCGGACTGGGCTCTGTCCCAGAGTTCTACGGCTCCTCCACCTCCATCAAACTTCGCATGTGGTAGTACCGTCTATGGTATCTATTACTGACGATGTTGTCGAGCGTTTATGTTCGTTACATGCCATTGTGTGTAACGCTTCACCATATGCTATCAAATGCTATGCTACTACAAGCAGTGAGACAAGCGTTGTGGTTCAAGTTCGTTGTGAATTGGGAGGACGCGAGAAATCTATCGATGATGGAAACGGGACTCGGCGCCAGTCAAGGAGGTGGAAAACATGGCTGTGGAAGCGTGGCCGGCGCGCCCGACCATCTAGAGAATCCGGCCAGCAGGGGGCGCAAGGCGACGAAGAAATATCGCGCTCCAATGCTGTGCTGTAGAGACAGAATTCCGGCCAACGATTCTGCCTATGTCCTATTAGATGCACGAGTGGTGGATCTACACGAACATGTCACAGACCATCACTCCAGATTTGTTGCCTCATCGATGGTGACAGGATGCTGGAACCGCTCGGTGCCAGAAACCGTTCGGCCAAACGAGTTGAGGGTAGAGTGATGAAGCCATACCATCCTTTTAACACAATGACCAGACAATGGTTCTCAGTTCGCTTTTGCCCATCTTCATCAAAAGAGTTTGCAATACATCCTCAAAACTCTAGATTGTGGTCATAATCTTGCAGGAAAGGGCGAAATCTTGCGAATCAAAGTTGAGAGGCTCACCCACTGACTGTTATTGAAAAGTGCCAGTAGATCTCACCTAATAGGGTAATACCTCAATGCCTCGACCAACGAGATCGAGGTCGTGTCCGAGATGCCACTTGCATGGAAGGCCACTTCACAATCATCATGAAGAAGACAGGAGCCCGCCTTCCCGATCTCGGCAATATCAACATCTGACAAGATCGACTTCAAGCATGACCGTGGCAATCACCGGAGGGGACATCGGTACGAGGACCATCTTGGTCGGCTAGAGCCCAAATCGACTGTCTCGTACGGTTACGGCGCTTTCGCAACACCATCCAGATCGGGATCACAGGAAAGGCTGATGATGATTGAGATGGATCAAGAAATCCAAAGAGCGTGGACACGGCATCAGTTCGACCCTGACAGGTTCACTTCCGAGTCGGTAAAGGAAAAGTGCAGACGAATCCTGGAAGAGGTTCGCCTCGAGGAAGAACGCGAGCGGAAACTTCGAGAGCGGAGGAGGGATCTCGATGTAGAGATACGGGAGATTCAAGACAGATACTTACACCATTATCCGTACCATGATCTGGTTCGTCGTCGTACGCAGGCAGCGGCTGAGGGTACGGAGGCTAAAGGCGAGGCGCAGGAGCCTGAGGCTGCGGACGACAAGTGAGCAGGGCCGGTTGAGATTCAGGTTGTACGAGGGCATAGCTTTCATTTCTGAACCTTGACTTGGTTCGTGGGGAAGAACTGACGGAGATGATGAATTCTGCTGTCTCCCGCGGGGCGCTGAGAGAGCTTTTCGACTGGCGGCCTCGAGTTGTTTGCCTTTTGCTCTGGTGTAACTTGACTCCAACCTCCGGGCAACAGCTGTGGGGGATGTAGTACATCAGATTAGCATCTGCCTGCAACGAGAACTGATACATTCCATTGCTGCTCAGTACACAGAAGTGGTCCATCAATAGTCTTTGCAGAGTCGCTACTCCTCTTAGCCCACCCCAACGACAAGCTGATCAGCATGGCAGACGATGACTGGACATACCGACGTCGAAGGATCCCGATCACCAAAGGATGGGGGCCTTGTAAGAGAACTTACTGGGTACCTGTCGATGAGCACTACCGTGGCAATGACGGTCGGAGGACGCGGACGCTCTCCAGAACAATAGGACTTGATCCCGATGCATTGCCTGAAAGAAGAAGAGGAGGGGTATACTACCTCGATGACGACTATGAGCCTAGAGACTACGCAGGGTTCCGTGAGATCATGCACGATGACAGAGCCGGCCGTGATGAACGCGTTCAGCAGCGATATCCAGACGAAGGATGGAACGCGGTATGGCCGTGGCAACCACCCATACCGTGGGATGCCCTAGACCCGGCCATAGCAGAGGACCTGCAGCAGTTGGAAAACATGCGAGCTCAGCAACACCAGGAGCGCATGGATCGACAGAACCAGGAAATCAATGAAATAGACGGTCGGGCTGTTCAACACATTCAGGGGATGCAGGAGAATCAGCAAGAGGGAGGGGACGAGGGCAGACTCCAACGACTGCGAGCTGAGATGGCAGCCGATGATGAGAATCGAAGAAGACGGCGAGAAGAGGATGACAGACGAGAACACCGAATGGAGCGAGCCCGTCGTGAGCAGTATCATTGGGAGCAAGAGAGAGATCGAGACCGAGAGCGGCGGGCGAGACGGAGAGGAAGGCCACAGGGCCGATGGGGGCGATTGGATCGGTGGTAACAGCGGCTGAAGGTCTATGACAGAACATTCAATTTTTGATGGAGGTTGAAACATCTGTTTCTCTGTGAAAGAAATGTTTGCTGAAGCTCAAGGACGATGTCGACGGCGATGATGATGATCATGATGATGGTGGATGCTGCATGGTGGATGCTGCATGGTGGAAGAAAAGGGGAAAGGAGAATCAGGGGCACAGTTTGACGGCGCAGGGACGCAGCCTGGTCAAGGATCGGAGTTGCGAGGTGCGCGTGGCGGATTAGTCCGCCAACTGCGCCCGGAATTGACCGCCTGAAGGACCAGGCTTAAGGAGACGGGCGTCCACATCAACATCACGCACACATCTTACACCTCGCACTTTGTTCAATTTGTTGTTTTAGAGGATTGTAGACTACTATTTGGTCCATCTGTGTTGTATATCTTGTAGCGTCCTGACTATCTACCCCCGAATCTGCTCGTCAAAATGGCCCCAAAACAGCCCGTCGTCTCTGAGAAAGGCATCAAGTCTCCCCTGTTCTCTCAGGCCATCATCCACAATGGCACTGTCTACGTGAGCGGAACCGTTGGTATGGTGCCTTCGACAGGGAAGATCGTGGGAGGGAGCGTGGAAGACCGGACCGTAAGCGAGACAACCATCAAGTTCGCTCTAGATAATGACCCGTTTCAACGCAGAGACAAGCACTTGAGAATATCAAAAACGTTTTGGAGGAAGCCGGAAGCAGCTTGCAGAACATTGTCAAGATCAACATCTTCCTGACTGACATGGCTGACTATGCCGCCATGAACAAGGCCTGTGCGTACAGTTCCAGCAGCTGCTACAAGCCTGAACCGGCCACATTCCACAGACTGACACGCGAACAGTCCTCGATATCGTCCCAGACCCAAAGCCGGCCAGATCATGCGTTTGCGTCAAGGAGTTGCCTGGCAAGACTGATGTAGTTCCTCCCAATTCCTTATGTTCTGGGAGGCTCTCACTAATGAGTGTCAGGTCGAAATCGAGTGCATTGCGCATGTATAAAAGCATTTCAGTACGCGGCAACGGTGCACCAGAGAGGGCCATACCAGCCGAGCGTTTCAAGGAATGAGACGACGAGGTCTTAAGCTTTTTGCTGCGCACTTGCATTTGGCCTCACTTCAATTTCATCTCCAGTCTCATTTTGAAGAGATCTTATTGTCCACTTGTGTTTGCGCCGCTGAATAGAGTTCCGATTACTCTTTCCACGCTATTGTCTTCAATGGAAGCCAAAATGGTAACAATGAACAATAAAGACTGTGAAGACATCTTCAATGATAAAAACGGCCGATTCTTCTCCCTGCTTTCTTCCGTTTTCGGCGGCCCACACACCGCAAGCATAACCGCCCATGATCGCGATATATCTACCACAACGGCTATGCTTCTCTTTTGTTCCGCATTTCTTTTCGTGGTTGCTGAATTCTCTAGGAAGACATCGCAATATTCACAAATCTCTGCAGTAACATTGACCAGGTCGAAATGCCTTCATCTTCGAATCCGCCCAGACGGGCAATGACCCGACCTTCTCCATACAGGAGACCGCCCAAGACCGCAGACACCTCCGCGGGCTCTGCACTTTCTTCCATTTCTGAGGAAAGTGACAAGTTGAAACCAACAGCGAAGTCTCGAAAGTCTCGAAGCCGATCGCCACAGAAGAAACCTCAACAGCCCCAGAAGCCCAGCGCAAAGGCCAAAGGGAAGGCCAGAGCTCGGTCGGACGATGAGGACGAAGATGAGAACGAAGACGAAGACAGCGAGCCAGCAAAGCTCAGCGCAAAGGCCAAAGGGAAGGCCAGAGCCCGTTCGGACGATGAGGATGAGGATGAGGATGAGGATGAGGACGACGAAGCCGAAGACCCTGTTGGAGTGAAGCCTTTGCCACCTCCGGTGCCAAGTCCTCGGAATAGTTCTTCAGAAGCAGCAAGGTTGACCTTGAAACCCCCCATGCGCGAGACGCCACCCAGGGACCTATTGTTGCAACCAGAGACATCCGCTCCGAAACGCATGGCCGACTTGATCGAGGGCCGACCTGTTTTGATCGAGGGTCGACCTGTGAGAGCGTTGTCAACGACACCGACGCCCAGTCAAGGTGCTGCAATCCCAGCACGAAAGTCTCCACAGGATATATCAGCTGGTGCCCGTCGACGCCCCAGAGCTTCGGTACCTTCTCCATCTCCAGCAGCATCGACCGCAACAAAGCGACCGGCTTTACGGGCCGATGTCACACCTACAGTAGCTTCTTCCCCGAAGCGTGTCCGGATCCAAGAGCCTCCTGCCTTGAAACCTACCCAGGCCGAGAAAGTCCCTCCCTCTGAGAGTGAGAGTGAGAGTGAGAGTGGGAGTGAGAGTGGGAGCGAGAGCGAGAGCGCATCAAGCGACGAGGAGTTCCTCCTGATCGAGCACGCAGATGAGTTGTTTCAAGAGGTGCTCGCCCGCCCGCGAGCCCTAGAGCTGGATGAGATATCTGCCCTCTTCGTCCGTCTTCAGGAGACGAGCTTCCGATTCTCCCAACGGCATTTCGACTACGAGCTCACAGCCGAGCAAGAGGCGGCCTGGCCCCTCCATCTCCTTTCCACTCAATACAAGCATCTCATGCTTATGACACAGTTCATAGCCGATGGCAGTCGATACAGCTGGCGCAACTTCTTCACCAAGCGTGCGCACCGCGTTCCTTTGATACACGGGACCATCGGCGAATGGTGCAAGCACCGGATCTTCAACCACACGGCATTTGGAGTGCCAGATTACCAACAAAAGCAACTCGAGGCTATCGACCGTGATTACGTCCAATACGACGCCTTTGTTCGCAGCAAGAAGCGCGCAGAAGTCCTGGAAGGGCTGAAGTTCCAGTGGGGCGACGACGATACCGAGGACGACCCGTACTTCCCCGTCGAACACTCTAACAACCTGGACGTCGCGTCTTTCGAACTGGCCGGACATTTGCTGCAACTCCTCGAGCCTCTGCTTCCCCCGCCGGTCTTTGATCCCCTCCGAGGCAAGTCGCCTCTGGCCGGAGCGGAAAAGGAGCAGGCTGACTCGTTGCACCACACCATATTCATGGAACTGGTGGAACTGATCCAGCTGGCAGCCAGCCTGCACCTCTGCATTCGTCTGACAGGATACAACGGGACAGTTGTTCGCATTGCACCACACGTGGCCAAGGGAAGCGCGTACGACATGTCCCCCGACACAAACAACATCTGCGTGAACGCCGACTTCTGCAACTCAACTAAGCCGCACGCCCTCGGCCCTCGGCATGCATTACACGTGAAGATGACTTGCTGGGGACGAGTCGAAGCCGTGGTGCCCCACGGCCCAGACCGGATGGAGCTGGAAGGCCATAGGACGGAGATCCAGAAAGAACTTGGCGAGGAAGCCGATTTCACTTGGGCCGACGTGGAAGACCGAGTATTCCCCCTTCTGCCGTATGATCTGCAGAAAGATGATGCCGGCCGAGTCGCAGTCGAAAGCGACCGACCTGTTCGAGGCACCGAGTGGAGCATTGGCATCGCCAAAGCCGCCGCGGCAGAGCGCAGAGAGTACACTTATGGAAAGAAGCGTGGCCATGCCGATTCGGAGGACGAGCCTTCCTCGTCCACTGGAGGCGGAGCCGGAGCACGACGACCACCTAAACCCCTGCGCGGCTCTTTCGTCACAGTCTACCCCAGCCTCGCCCCGGCCAATGTCTACTGCGTATGGGTCGACGATGCGCAACCGGCATTCCCGCGCCGGGACGGCATCACTCCATCCCACCACTATGAAACATTGGAACAAGCCGTCGGCGCAGCGCGCAGAGCCAGAGGCATGTACTATCGAGTCGAAGATCTGGGAATCCAGGCCGTCAATCTCGTACTGGAATATCGCGCCTACGAGTGGGCGGTGGCGACAGGCTTGCTCGGCGGACTGGCCAGCGGGATGTTGATCGTCGCGTTGCAGGCCGCCGCAGCTCGGAGCGCAGCAGGCTTTGCCGTCAACAGTAAACTGGCCGACCTGGTCCAGCTGGCCCGGGATATCCGCAATGGTGTACCCCTTCCCTTCTCCACGGGCGCCAGATACTTCTCCACGCTCAAACGCTCGTCGGACCATGTCAAGGCTGTTTTGGGCTTTTCGTCCGTAACAGATCTGCTCCCTTCGCCGACACTGCCTGTGATCGCGGCTACGACGACTTTGAGTTCGACCTTGACAGGCTGGAGCACTGTGACTGTCCCGCCATCGGACGTGGTGGACATGTTGGCATCAGCATGGAAGTCCGCGGAGTCCGTCGGGCAACCCCAGCCAGAAGGGTCCATGCAAACGCTTACAATCCATGAATTCGGAAGGACACGTATGTCTCCAGACCACCCGGGCCTGAAGATTGTGCAAGCACTCATGGATAAGGCCCGCGAGGAGGATAAGCTCAATGAAGCCCGCCGAGAGAGATGATCAGGTGGTAGGAGTGTCCGTGTCAAACGAACCCCGAGCCATTCGCCCTCTTCTACGGAGTCTTCGATTGCTGGACCCGTGTCCCAACTGTCACCGGCTCTTTTAATTGTCGGGGACTACGCCATCGCAGGGTAAGAACAGCGGCTTGAAACCGAAGATTGACAATAATTTCGGACAATTATGCTTATGTGGTTAATGGTCGGTCGTTGTGCAGACCGGGGAGATCTCAGGGACCACGAGAAGAAGATAGATACTATTCTCTAGATCCGATTTTTCGTTCAGTGCAGATTGTAAGCAATGCAATGTTATCAAATCTCCCCTAGGAAATAGATATCCGAGCATGCTCATGGCATAACTTGTGTCTTGATTGAAGAAACAGCGGCACAAGAGCCAGATTGTCGCAATTGACAGGTCCCGTATATAGTCCCTAGGAGGTATACGTCTAGTAGCAATAACAGTATAGACGACAGGTATTTCACGTCAGCATGTGGTCAGGGTCAGGGCCAATCAAACAATTTTCATTTCAATTCAACAACAGTGTATCTTCAAGTTATTCTGGTAGGCTCCTCCACCATCTACGATCACTGACTGGGACGTGTAGAAGACAACTCGGGCGTGGACTGAACGTGACCTTCCATTCATGGATCTGCACCTTGACCGGTATTGAAGCGATCCATCTGCCATTCTCAGTCTGGACAGGAACTGCCATTTCGCCTTGCTGCGCTTCGCTCGTACATTCTTATGATCGTCTCTTAGGAGAAACATGCCATGTCCCCCACCCTCCCTTGCCGCAGAAATCACACATACCCAAGCACGCAACAATATGACAGGCAGCGACTCGCAACTCGTCAGGACCAGGCAGATGTCGTTTTGGGTCCGGAGCATTGCAAATCCCGGGGTCTGACGCAATGTTGATGTTCCCGAGACAAGACATTGTCGTATTGCAGAAAGAGGCAAAGACCATACTCAGACATGTCGCACAATGGTAGCAAAAGAAACGAGTGGCTCGGACATTTCTTCGGGATGAAGGGGTCTCTTAGGCACCCGGGACCCGAGGTATTGTGATGGCGCATCAGTTCTTCTCCGACTTTAATTCACCATTTCGTCCCAAGAGTCCACTGACAGCGCGTTCAATAGTACCGACCTCTCTCTGCACCTTGAGCCAAGAGACCTCTGCTCGTGCTGCCTCCATCTTGGCCTTCTCCATGGCTTTCTCGGCATCTCGCGCCGCATTGACCACTTCAACCATGCATTTGGAGAGCTCAATGAGAGATGCCTTGCGTCGAGGGCTGGCCTCCGCTCGGGCAAGGTCCAAAAGGGTGTGTGTCAAACCTGTTGCTGTAGACAGAGAAGGCGAGCTGCCAGGCGAGCTGGATGAGGGGGACAGTAAAGGCGGAGATGCAATCTTTGCTAGAGATGGCGATCTCGGATCCGGGGACGGTCTGGCCGTAGCGGTGAACGGAGTGGTAGGGCTGATGAACGGGTTGCGTATGACAGGTTGCATTCCTAAGTTGGAGGTGTGATGAACGCTATTCATACCTTGTCCAGCCAGTCCTTGATTGTTCGACGATAAGGGGTTAGACAATTTGGGATCCGGGACTGGCTTGCGACGCATAGAACCTTGGAGACGAGGTTGGCCATTAAACATATTTTCAGAAGCAGCCGCGTTGACGCTTGTGGTGGATTCGATCGACCGCTTGTGAAACAGCCCTCGGATGTTCGAGATGACCTTCTTACTGCTCGAAGAGGGACTATAAGATAGTTTTTGCGATACCTTCTTCGCCTTGGAAGACTCGGATTTTGGATCCATGTTCTGAGAGAATGCCCGAACATCCTTAACGTTTCGATTCACTCTTGGGTCACCTCCATATGCTCTCGCGGCTTGGGACGAGAAGAAGTTGGGTGGCAGCCCTTGCTCCGGAGAAGAGACTATGATCGGTGGTGGCTTGGGCTTTCGTGACGAAGTCCGAGGAGGAAAACTGGAGCTTGGTATCACACTACTCTCTCGGCTTTTGGTTTTGTCCATGAAGTCTTGCAAATATCTCTCCTGGCTCGCCTTTTCCTGCTCGAGATCCTGGAAGAGGAATGGTGATACTTCTTTGGTGGGTGCTTGACGCAGGACAATGGTGGATGGTCTTGAGCGGATGGAAGTCTGGGTAGACGACGGTTTACTCCTCCCTGGAGCAGTGGGGAGGGCAGAATCCTTCTCGTCCGGAAGTACTGGCGGAGCATCGTCACAGAGCTTGAAATCGGCGAAATCTTTGCAGGGCCAGTCACCATGGGTGAGGCTGGAACTGCCACGCGCCGCAGGGAGGTCTTCTGTAGTGGGCTCCACAACATCAAGAGAAGTCTGAGACTCGACAGACGGCTGCTTTTCATCCTCAACATCACCGCCAGGCAGTTCCGCGGGCAGTGCACCTCCATCAAAATGGTCTTCGTCGATGAGCTTGTGAGTTTCTTCATCTTGTGATTCCTTGCCAGGGGTCTGCGATCGCTCCGTAATGCTTCGGGCGAATGAAAGAGGCCGTGCCAAAAGCCCACTGGATCGTCGAGAATGTTCTTTGACAACAGCGGACTGATGGAGATCAGGGGAGCTTGCCTTGTATCTCAAAGTGACGTTTGCGTCTCCGCTCTCGGTAAACTTGGGTTCGTCCTCCTCGCCTAGGAGTACGCGTGACGCTGAATCAGTAATGCGGAGTGTTGGTCCTCCCGTAGGAGTGTTCCGTACACGTCTGACGCGGAAGCCTCCAAGAGGGTCGGAGCCATGGACAGTAGCACCAGAAGCCTCGCTTTCTGGAAGAGACTCAACGTCGTAGGGAGCTGGTGTAGACAAGACTTCTTTCATGCTCAAAAGTTTAGCCTCCTGAGCGGCAACCTCTTCACGAGTGTCCAGTACGTTCAACTGGGGCGTACTAGCCGTGCTAGTAGCATTGGCATTCGCCAATGGCTCATTTTCACCATGATCTTCCCATCGTGCACTCGTATCTTCGTCCAGCGTTGGGTCACGACTACCGTTATCTGCGCCGTTGTTATTCCAGCTGCGTGCTGACTGGTTACCCCGGCTTGGCAAAGGGATCGAACTCTGACGGGCTGTGCGTTTGGAGGTGATGGATGTCTGAGTGACCTCGTCCACGCGGCCGCGTGAATGTTGTATGTTGGTAGGTGGTGTGACGGGTGTAGTCCGACCAATTTTTGTATCGTCCTCGATATTTGGCAGAGCCTTGTTCAACCTCGCACTGACATGAGGCGGAATTGTGTATGGAGAGCCCCGAGCCGTGACGGCATGACGACCACGCGAGGTCGAACGGAAAGGGCCACCTGGAGATACCTGTCTGGCTTTTGCCACCGACGGAGACTGTGTCTTTTCTCGGATCGCATGGAGACGACCGTCTTTCTCTTGTTTCTTTTCACCAGATCCCCACGCAGTCTTGCCGATAGAACGACGCAGTCGCATTGCCGAGGTCTTGGTCTGGCGAACAGTGGGAGTGTCAACATGACGTGCCAGTGACTCAAGCATGGAGTCTCTCGGCTTAGGGAGTTGGCTCGAAGAGAGTGGTCGATCTGAAGGGTTTGCCGGAACGCCGAGGGTGGCAAGGCTGGCAGAGACTTTGCTCGTCGCCTTGCCAGCATTTCGAGCAACATCTGGAGTTGAGAACTGAACCTTCGCAGGGGGCTGAGGCTCTTCTTCTCCATGATCGTCAATGGTTAATCCGCGAATGCCTTCTATGAAGCTCTCGCCCAGGCTTGGTTTCGAATAGGACGCTGTCTCTTTGTGGCGGACTGGGACCGCGCCAGATTTTGATGGTTCCATCGTTGGCCAATCCTCCTTGGGATTTTGACCTTCGGCAGGCGATAGAGATCGGCGCAGGGGCCGTTCTGTGCAGTCAATAAGAGATCTGCGGACAGGGGAGCCAGACTTGACTGCTGCTACTGGAAGACTCGGTAAGGGTTTATCGGACGGACTTGGACGAGGTAGAGGCTTGGTTCGGTCGCCAGGGTTGGGTGATTGTGAAGAGGGGAGCGACTGGCCCTGTTGTCAGATTAGTGAATTTTTGGACAATGCCCTCTGAAAGCACTCACAGTAAGTTTGGAAGGCGAGTTGTTTCTGCGTGAGACCAAGGCTTTCGCGGCATCTTTGGTCCCGTGTTTTGGCTCCATCTTCTCCCGCGACTTTGTGAAGCCAAAATGTTTTGAGGCACTGCTGATCCAGCGTCTTTTTCTGGGCTTGTCTGCGGATGAAGCAGGGTTCAGAGGTGATGACTGTGCGCATCCAACAACAGCAGTGCACGACCTGCCAGCAGGGTGATAGGAGTTGACGAGAACAGGATATCTAGGGACGTGAGAGATAGGAGGGTCGCTGAATGGTGTCACCTTGCGAGGACGCAGACCGGTCGGCTTTGCTGACGGTTGACTGTAGATCTCATCATAGTCATCGGCGCGAGCATATACCTGGCCGCCTCTCAGCGACGACATGGTTTGAGGATTAGGCGGGTCTGCGCGAAGTAGAACTCTAAAGAAGTTCTCGCGCTGTGCTGTTGAGAAATGTGGTGGACGTGAAGGAAGATGTTTGTTTTGTGGGAGTAGTTAGTGTCGCTCAATTCGGCGCATGAGTGAATGCCAGATTAATGGAGGTTGCGGCAGAAGGACCTTTGTTCGCCCATTTATCCAGCTTGTTAAGACGGGAGGGAACCGCTAAATCAATTCATGGTCTCAGCCATCAGGTCTCCTCCTTGGGTTGTTAGATAACACCACATGTTCCATCCACGTCCAGCACACTGTGCCAAATCTGGTGAAGGTGCTGATCATGGGCCCTTTCATCAATTGCAGCGAGACCACAGCCTAGTCTAGTCGTGGTCTTCCTCTTTGCTGCCACTTGGCCCGACTCCAGAGACTCTTTTCTGCTTACTGGCTTCATATTGCTCCATATTGGTCGCCTTCCACTCCGTTCCCCCAAGGTCAATGTCCTTCAGCCTTCCCTCATCGTCAATCTGGATTCCCTGCTCATCGGCGATCGCCTCAAGCCGCCGTTGTTCCAGGAGCATTTCCCGGAGGAAATCCGTCGTCTTCGCTAACATGACTTGCTCACTCCGTTCCTGGCCTAGAGCCCCTGGCACCATACGTGAGAGCTCGGTGAAGCGTTCTCTGATCGCTGTTCTTCGTTTGTTTTCGGCATCCTTATGGTTGAAACTCTTCTGGCTTGCTGTGAGGCGCGGTTTCGACGTCTTCGACGTCTTCTTGGCCGAGCTAGACCGTCTTGCCGTTGATCGGGCTTCTGATGCCTCCGATGACTCCCTTGAGGAGGGGTCGGACTCGGTGGCGTCTTCCTTCGACATGTTTGTCGATCTCTGTTCGATAAGGCCAGCTATCCTTGCTCAAATTTGAGAAAATGTGTCTTTATTGGTTATCGAAGTCGAGAGAAAGTGGAAGGCGTCGAGAGGTAGAGATTAGAGGCAAAACCGGGGAAGTCCAACCTATTGTCATCTGTTCAGAGAGGGATGTATGCAGAGCCATAGGGACCCTGCATCTGCCAGATGAGCCGACCTATATCACTGCCAGTGGCAGAGGGTGTGAAGAAGAAGACTGCCTGTTGAGCATCAGGAAGGCGCCAGATTGTTGTATCGATAACTACCTAGGTACCTTAGGTAGGTACCTGCCTAGTAACCATTCAATGTGACTTCCACTTAAAGTTTACTATATTTCTTTGGTTAGTAAGCCTGGCTGCGGCTTTAAGCCACATGCATGTGGCTAAGGCCGCCCTCTGCAAGTTCCGCCACTTTCTGTCGAGACTGACCATCGAACTCGCCTTTGCCATCATACTACCTCCACTGCCAGTACACCAAACGTATTAAAAAGCCGCAGTTCTCTTTTCTTGGGTTTCGCAAGCACTGTACATACTTTTCCTTCTTGTAAACCCAATCGTTCTGCACTTAACAACATGAGCAGCCTCAGACCACTTCATGGCGCCTGCAACTGCGGGCGCATTATGTATTCCGTGGTCGTTCCGGAGGACGCAACAGAGCGAGCACAAGTCTACTTCGACGACAGCAGCGACAGCAGTAAGTCCTATCAATCTTTGGAGGTCGACCACAAACACACGAGTCTAAGATCTGGCATAGGGCGAAGTCAGGCCACACCGTTAACAGCATGGCTGCGGGTTCCCTTAACCTGGTACTTCTCGTCGACACAAGCCTTTTTCCCTGACGAAACCCATTCCTCAATCCGACGCACCTTCTCTCCAGTACATGAACCCCACAGTCAGCGTGTGTTTTGTGGCTACTGTGGAACGCATCTGTCCTACTGGACCGAACAACCCTCCACTGAAGCAGAGTACATGAACATCACTCTGGGCAGTCTATTGAGTCGGGACTTGCAGGCACTTCAAGACCTGGATCTGCTCCCTGAAGACTTTGATATGGAGGATGTGCAGCCCAGCCAGCAGAGTCAGGTTCAACCCCCAACAGAGCAAGCCGTCATCAGTCAAGGGAACCAACCAGGGCTCACCCGAACACAGCGGACCGGAAAGCGGGGAGGACTGTCTTGGTTTGAAGAGCTACTTGAGGGCAGCCGTCTAGGCCGCACACAGAATATCAGACGTGGCGTGGGAGTTAGTGCAGACGGTTCTACCTCGGTGGAATGGGAGATTTCCGAATACATCGACGATGGAAGCGACGAGCTGGAATCTGCCTCCACACCAACGGGCTCGAAACGCAAGATAGGCGATGTGGGCATGGTGTTGTGAAGGTACATAGCCGACGACCAAAACTGTTCGGAGGCCCTTGTTGTGAGAGGAGATAGAACGACAGATGCTGGAGTGGGCACGCCAACGTTTCAGCTCGTACCGTTGACCTGCGCTTTCCGCTGAGATAAAAAAAAAGCTCATAATATGGGGAGCCGGGAATTCATAGGGAACACGAATAACTCAACGACGTTGATAGTTGCAAAAGTTCAATATCGACTACAACGATTTGATGCCGTTGGGATCTATCTTTTGGGTATCTAACTTCGTGCCGTACAGTTCTGATCAGATCAGATTTCCTTTTGTCTCAGAGCTTCGGGTAGCGTCGCCACCTTGCTGTTGAAGAGTTCTTCAGCTTGTTGCCATACTCTTGTCGTCTTGCGGTCCTTGAGAGACAAGAGGCTGGGCAGAAGAGCCTGGCTGAACGCTTCGCTCGCCTCTCGCGGAAGCAGGCTGGGCAAATGATCAATGGAGATGACAGAAAGAGGGGGGTTGTCGTAGCCGGGCACTGGTAACGTCGGGTTTGTGAAGGTGCTGTTCTCAGTGTAGATAGGCACCGGGTTGTGCGGGTTGGTGGTATCGCATGAGACGTCGCAAACGACGGAGAGCTTGCGCTTCGGCGAAGATAGCGATTCTTTGTTGAGGAACGGTGCGATCGGCTCGGAGAGGTAAATGCAGTTCACAAAGATGTCTGACTCGACGATCTCGCTGAAAGGACCGCCCTTGGCCGTCTCGGCCATATCCCACTTGATGATCTGCTCGTCTGGAATGCCCACCTGCTTGCACAGGTCGACAGCACCTCTGCCACAGCGACCGAGCGCGCCAATGACGAGGACCGTAGGCTTGCGTCCTGCAATCTTTTCTCCTTCCGCGATCTGGGATCGGACATCGTCGAGCAGGAGGCTTTCATTGGCATAGCTAGACACGCCTGGCATTGTCTTTGCAGAAGGATTCTTCAGTTGGTATGCCCATGCCATGACGGCGAGAGCGGCACCAGCATAGCCCGCGTGGTATCCGAAAGCTGCAACACGCCGGCCAGAATCGTCGGTCAGGAACTCTAAATCGAGCAGTGTCCCGCCGCCGCGAGGGAATCTGGAAAGGACGTCTTGCCAGCCGGCCTGGCCCTTGTAGCAGTGGGCAAACTGGACATGTGTGTGCTTGAGAGGAACTTTTCAGAGTCAGAAAAGCCATGATGCATGTTCTTTCATGTGGGTTACAACGTACACTTTTCCTCCGGTAGCTCTTTGAGACCGACAATGATATGGTCCGCTGGGGCGTCTACCCATGAACCCTCAGGAACAAGCGTGGCGCCTACAGCCTCGAACTCGGAGTCGTCAAATATTCTTTCCGTGCTTCGCTCAACGTTCACTTTGTAACCCGCATCGAGCAGGGCCTTGGTCGTCGCAGGCGTCACTTGATGGCGGTCAGTCATGAGCTATCTGAGGATGGAGGGGCAACGTACAGGCAGACCTATGCTCCAGGGGCTTGGACTCTGCTCGTAAATGCAGTGTAGTCGCCATAATTGTTCAATGTTTGTCGATTGAGAGGTCAACACGCTTCCTATAATTGCAGAAAGTTGTTCAGTGTTGTAAGGACGTGCTATGACTCAAGTCTTCAATGCCGCAATCGGGCTGGAGGACTTTTCCCCAGAACTTTTCTGCCACCGCCAAATCTAGGTGAAACGCGCGGAACCAAGAGTGTGCCTGACAACACCAGTGCGCATTCCCCATTTGCATGCTTCAGAATAGCACCACACAATAATGGCAGACTTGAAGTCTGCAATCCCTACGGATGCGCCTCCATCTTATGAGGCTGCGTCTGTCCCTCCCCAAGAGCCGCAACCCGGGGCGCCTCCACGCCGACTTCGACCTCCTCCGCCGCTCGAGTTGCCCGCATTGAACTTGTTGCGCGGCAAACGGGTTATTCTCGCATCGCAGTCCCCTCGACGAAAACAGCTTTTGGCGCAGATAGGCCTGACAAATGTCGAGATTGTGCCGTCAAAATTCGAAGAGAACCTTCCCAAAACGCTCTCGCCGTTCGAATACGTTCTCGCAACAGCAACTCAAAAGGCGCTGGCGGTCTACAAGCACGAAGTGGACAATAGCGAGAAGGGAGAGCCGGGATTGATCATCGCCGCGGACACCATCGTGGTTAGCAGCTTAGGGGAGATTTTGGAGAAGCCTAGGAGTGAAGTACATCATATCAACATGCTCAAAGGCTTGAGAGATACTGGCTTGCACAAGGTATACACGGCCGTTGCGCTCGTGACGCCTCTTCAGAGCGCGCGAGATCCGGGCTATGCACTGGAAACTGCGACAGAGGAGACGACAGTCAAGTTTGACCATGAGATCACAGATGAGCTGCTGATGGCGTACGTTCGCACGAGGGAGGGGGCAGACAAAGCAGGCGGATATGGCATTCAGGGCACTGGCGCTATTCTTGTCGAAAGGATAGAGGGAAGCTTCGATAATGTGGTTGGCCTGCCATTGAGGACGACCTTGAAGCTCATTGGAAAGATTATGGCCAAGTCTGATGACGATGACATGCTGGCAGGCGAAGAAGATCTGCTCGAAGAAGAATGAATGGGCCAATAGATCATGACTTGCATATAACTCGCATTGGGAGGCGTCAAGGCGCCAATAGACAGGACGTTTGATTTTGGGCGGTCGATCTTATGAAAACAAAGCGGATCATATGGCCAGTGACGGGTGTCGAATTGCGAACTCCTATTCATCTCAAAGAGGTCATATACATATCAAACTCGCCGAAAACGCACTTCCAGCCTCTGGAAGCCAGCTATTTCAGGTTCTTCAGCTTTCCGTCATGGCCGAGTGCAGACACATCTGTTTTGCCAATGGTTGCATCGTTCTTCCCAGCATGCCAGATTCTCTTGACTGCCTCGGCAACACCAACATCATTCGTCTCGAATTCGTAGAAGCCAATCGCAACGACGACAGTGGCCAGGTTCAACAGCCACATGAAGGTCTTCCTCAGGGTCGGGTGTTTATGGATGGGAATGTAATCAATGATAATTGATCTGCCACATTTAGCTCGGGTAGCCCTCCAGGGTACGGCTGGGACTTACTGAAAACCCATATGTGAGTGCACAATGATGGAGAAGATAAGGGCTGCATCCAATGCTGGGCTCACTGAGCCAGCAGCGAAGGGAGCAATGGTCAACGGTACCAAGCCGACAGAGAGCAAGCGTTCAAATGTCCAGTGATAGCTGCCGTGGAGAGGATCTGGCTTCGGGACTGGCGCCGGGTCATTGACTGTACCGCTGATTACTTGAGGACCAGCAGGGAGGATCTGTTTTTTCGTAGTCGTCGAGAAAGCTGCTGCTCGAGAGACAGCTGACCATTTCGGCAAGAGCAACAGCCGCGATGATGTGGACGGAGCCGATCGGAGGATGCGAAGAGGTTGAGTTGTGGAGGACAGCAGTCGACTCGGAGAAGAGGTGAAAAGCTGCGTCTGCCGTAGCAGAGTAGTTCTCGATGCTGCCGCCATAACGAATGCAGATTCGAGTTATCTAGTCGCCGTCGTGGGAGAACATGCGAAGTGAAAGCAAGAGTGTCGGATCATGTAGCGACTGCGATGCAGTGCTTCATCCACGGCACCTTGCCGACTCCGCCAAGCACATTGGCCCGAGCCAATCATAACCTTTGCATTTCATACTAATATACTCACAATACCCGGTAGCACATGTATGGTTCGTATATACTACGGTTGTAATTGATACAACTGCTGTACAAATATCCTACTAGTTGCCTGCTTGCATCGACCAAAACTCGCTGGTCTTGTAAGTTGAGATGATTACTGCTGCCATAAGCAAATCCGCAAATGGCCATGGTATAAGTAGCTCTTTGCTGCCCATCTTCGGGTCTCGATGAGCCTCATAGCGAGATCTCAAAGAGGTTGCCTCATGCTCCGCGATGCATAGAAGAAACGCTAGCTGAATGTCGGGGAAGGTGATATAGCTGACCTACCAATGACGGCGTATGTCCACTAGAGTTTCCGGCCAGAATAAAGAATTTGTAACGATATAATATTGGTGTACGGGATCCGGGGCAAACCTCTGCCAGCCAGGTAGGTGGGCAGGCAGTTACGTTTCAGCCCGACCAGCCTACTAAGAGAACCCGTAGGGTAGCCGTCGGGATCCAAATCATCAGCGGATGTCAGATACGTAGGCAACTGCCAACCCATGTTAAGATATACTAGTACGTAGTTGCAGCTCGGAGGGAGAACTAAATCCCCGGCAAAACACCTGTCATTTTGCTGGTTCCAGCCCGTTACTACAATAATGCACCCGGTCTAACAAGCTCTAGCTCTGTAGATAGGGCTTGCTGCAAGAGGTAAAAGATCCTAGTAGATGCCGAAATAGGGAAATATCTAGATGCCGGACAACTAAGGGCGCTAAGGACGTGAGCTGCACACTTGTCACAAACTTGAATATCGATAATGCGTTGTACCACAATAGATGTGGTTGGCGGGCACCACGCGGTTAACGCGGAGCATGGGCGGCAACGGCGGGTCGGTAGTAGGTGTAAACCACCTGTGGGTGGGGTTAAGCTTAGGTGCAACTAACTAGTGCCACAGGATGCGCGGTTATGTTTAACTTTAACACGGAAGACAGCGAGACGGACAGGCAACATATCGTACTAAGGCGTCTCTAGTCCCCTGATTGCGAATTCTCCGCCCACTGCATTTCAAGTTGATCGCTCACAACTTCCCAAGGTCTGGAGTCATCAATTGAAAGCCTGCGCCCTGAAACCTCCCTCCCAAAGAACCCACGTTGTGTGTGCTCAAGATCCTAAAGAACCTGTCGATAACCCCAATGCCTCGTGACATTTACTCCCATCTGGTAGAACCCATTACCAACTAATCACAACATGTCGAAGCGGAGTTGGCAAGAGGCTAATCTGCCCTCCCCTCGGTCTGCTGCAACAAGCCTTCAACAAGCTGGTTCTTCGACGTCGCCCCATTCCTATGCCTCGCCTGCACAACCCACCTCGCCGAGAAAGATACGCAGTTCCATGGACGAGCCTCCTCTCCTAGCCAAAGGCCCTCCGAAACCGCAACGAGCCAATTCCGTCAATGGTATCCATGGCGATTCCAGTAAACTGCCCGGAATATCAAGAAAAGTGAAGGCATGCGCAGCATGTCGCAAGCAGAAAGTATGTAGCCTGCGGTTCATTGCCCCTACGCGACACTAAATGGTTGAACTTGCAGATAAAATGTATTATGCACGGAGACCCTCCATGTCAGCGATGCAAAGAGCGAGGGCTGTCATGCCGACTAAACAAGAGTCTACAAACCCTCATGTCGGAGGACTCGAAGTGGAAGGCGGCAGTCACGAAAGACGTAACGTCGCTCTATTCCACCGTGGAAGAGATAGTCCGAACACTTCAATTGCCGGCATTACCGCAGATGCTTACATCGACGCAAGACCCAGCGATATTTTTTGACCAGGAGGATCACAATGACCAAGACGATGAAGATCAATCGCTTGACAATTCGCCCAAGGTTACACCCGTCGCCGACAACTTGTCTCACGTCCCGATTGAGTCATTGTATCAGATCACCGGCATGCGGTCTTTGCGAGCGACGGAGAATATAACGGAGGACCAGTCGCGAATATGCAAACAACTGCGTGACACTGATTTCATAGCCCGAGGCATCATCAAACTAGAAGAAGCCGAGCATTTGGCTACCTACTACCTGAGCAAACTCGATCCATACATCTGGCATATGTGCATGGGTTACAAAGATCTCGAGTCCTTCCGACGGCGGTCACCCACCCTGACTGCCTGTATTCTGACCGTGGCCGCTCTTCATGACACAAAACTGGGTCATCTCTACTCCATATGCAGCAAGGAATATCGCAGGCTAGTGGCCAACGCCATGTTCGAAAGGAAGATCGACATGGAATACCTGAGAGCATTGGTGCTTGGTTCTTACTGGCTGAGCGACATCTCATGGACGCTCTCGGGATATGCCATTCGCCGAGCCACGGAATTCCAGCTGCGGCGGTACTACCATGATATTGCAGAATCAAACCGGTTCCCAGGCAAGGTAGACCAGGACACCCTGCAGGAAGCCATTGACGGACTCCGCGTACTATATGCCCTGTACATCTGCGACCATCATCTTTCTATTCTTTACGGTCGATCCTCCATTATGCGCGACAACGAGAGCTACATCACAGGATGGGAAGCATATCTTGCTTGCTCGTTAGCCACCGACGCCGACCGCAGAATCGCAGGACAGATCTGCCTAATGTACCTGATGAACCAAATCCGGGAGACGCTTGGTCCCGAAGACACAGGCTCGGTCTTACCACCTTCCGCTCTCAGCAAGATCGCGGGCTTTGAACGGGATCTGGACGACTGGATCGCAAGATTTTCCAGACATAGTAAGGCGAGGAGGTCCTTTTTATTGCATGCATCACTAACTGCCATATAGATCCAAGCAAAAAGATCGGTAATTGGCCGAACAAAGGCGCCATCATGCAGTACCACTGGGCCAAATTGTATCTCCAATCCTATGTGCTTCGAGGACTCCCTGAAAATGGGGCCGTCATTCCTGAAGCCTTTCTCGAGAATGCGTCGGCCGCTGTATTCGCGGCGACAGCGATCATCAATCTCCTGTTAGAGGATAAGGATGCGCAGCAAGGAATTGCCTACGTTCCACACCACCTTCACGGCATGGTCGCGTTCGCTTGTATGTTTCTGCTCAAGGTTGCCACCAGGCACAGCGAGCAGTTGTTTGTGGACAAGGCCCGCTTCCAGAAACTGATCGATGCGTTGGCTCAACAGTTCAAAGCCACCAACGTCGGTAAAGACCATTTGCTCCACCGGATGGCAGAGGGATTGGAAAAGATGGCAGAAACTCTTGGGGGATCGGCCCGTGCGAAGAGTCGCACAGTCAATGGCACAGACGGAGACCCAAGTCAATCATTGACATCTCCAAGTCTGGCCACGGGGAATGCTACCCCTGATCAGAAACCCCACAGGCAAGCTAATGCTCCGGAATACAACTCTTTGGAACCTGCCGCCTTCGATTTCGGGGATCCTGCCCTCGGACTTGGCATGCCATTCTTCGATTTCGAGGGGACAACCCTGGATGCAGGAGAATCGATGTGGAATTTTGCGACATAGGCGTGCATCCCGAGTTAAACTCCAATTTACTATAGCATGTTGAACTGGATGGCTGCTATATATACTGGTACTGTCACACGGTTGTAGTAAGCTCAGTATAGACATTGTCCTCTCTGTACCATTGTGCTCGTGTGCTCCTACTCTTCCCTGGTTATGTACATAGACTAAGGGACCATCAGCTTGAATGTATGTAGTTGATCTGGCCAATCACAAGAGTGGTAAAGAACATTGCCTTGGCAGGACTAGCGCCATTTTTGCAAAGCACTGCAGAGCCCATCATCTCGAACTGGAGCTCCCAAAGTGAGAGAAGGCAATCTGCTTCGAAGCTCGACAACTTCATCTCGCACCGCAGCTGCCCGAACCGCCCCTGCGTCCTCGCTCATTCCTCTCCATGGCGTCTCAGCGGCTGGCGCTGAACCTTCAGCGTTCCCTTCGAAGCCGGCAAGCTCTGAAGTCCATCCAATCTCCTCTCCGACGCTATGCCAACCCCGTCACTCCCACAAGAACAGAAAGCACGACGCTGTCGAATGGCTTGACCGTACGAAGCCCCGATACTGGTGCAAGGGACGGATGAGCTGATCAGTGATAGATTGCGACCGAGCATTCGCCATGGGCCCAAACCTCGACCGTGGGTGTCTGGATCGATGCTGGGAGTCGAGCGGAAACAGACAAGACGAACGGCACAGCTCATTTCCTTGAGCATCTGGCCTTCAAGGTAAGGACAATCGTGGAAGATGCTAGGACACAGGCTAAGAAATGAAGGGCACTGGGCGACGCAGCCAGCATCAACTCGAGCTCGAAATTGAAAACATGGGTGGCCACCTGAACGCCTACACCTCGGTATGAAAACCTATTTCCACCACAGTGGCCATGGGCTAACAGTATAAAACAGCGTGAGAACACCGTGTACTATGCGAAATGCTTCAACTCCGATGTACCCAAGACGGTGGACATTCTTTCCGACATTCTGCAAAACTCGAAACTTGATCCCGCCGCCGTCGAGCGAGAACGGGACGTGATTCTGAGGGAACAGGAAGAGGTAGACAAACAGTTGGAAGAGGTGGTTTTCGATCATCTACACGCCACTGCATACATGAACCAGCCTCTCGGACGGACCATCCTCGGACCCCGAGAGAACATCGAGAGCATCTCCCGTCAAGACCTAGTGGATTATATCAGCACCAACTACACCGCAGACCGCATGGTCCTTGTGGGCGCAGGTGGTGTTCCCCACGAGGAGCTGGTCAAGCTGGCCGAGAAGAGCTTTGGCTCGTTGAGAACTGCACCGGCGACATCGTATGCTGCCGAATTGGCCGCCGAGCAGAAGCGCAAGCCCGAATTCATTGGCTCCGAGGTTCGAATCCGAGACGATACCATTCCGACCGCCCACATCGCCATTGCCGTCGAAGGAGTCAGCTGGAAGGATGATGATTACTTCACTGCATTGGTGACTCAAGCCATTGTTGGTAACTGGGACAGAGCCATGGGTAACTCGCCATACCTGGGCAGCAAACTGAGCACCTTTGTGCATGCCAACAACCTGGCCAACAGCTTTATGAGCTTCTCCACCAGCTACAGCGATACCGGGTATGTTGTCACCACTTGTTCTTGCATGCGCGCTAGCTAACATCGCTCGTTCCAGTCTATGGGGCATCTATCTCGTCTCCGAGAACAGGACCCAACTCGATGACCTGGTGCACTTTACTCTTCGAGAATGGACACGACTCTGCTTCAACGTATCCGAGGCCGAAACGGAACGAGCCAAGGCGCAACTGAAGGCGTCAATCCTTTTGTCGCTTGACGGAACGACCGCAGTTGCCGAGGACATTGGCCGACAGATCATCACCACCGGACGACGAATGGAGCCCGCCGAGATCGAGAGAGTGATTGGAGCCATCACGGAGAAGGACGTGATGCGTTTTGCTACAAAGAAATTATGGGATCAGGACATTGCCGTGTCTGCTGTTGGCTCGATCGAAGGTCTGCTGGATTACAACCGGATAAGGAACGACATGAGCCGCAACACGGTGTAGAAGGTAGGCGGTTGTTCGATGGGAAAAATGCAGGATTGGGCACAGCTAGCTGGGGTAGAGGCTTTGTATTGTACAGTGCAGCAATAATGCGAAAAGAATTGCAGATATAGGCACGACTCCCGTTTGATTACCGTTAGATACGGACTCTTGGCGAGATTGCAACGGCCGGCTTACAGAGTACAGAGTCAAGGCTTTGGGTCTTTGCTCTTCGGCTTCTCTACTCTGTATCGCAGACGTGTGCAGCCTGCACCATCGACAAGGCTCCATCCACAGTCCCTCTTCGCCGCGTCTCTTCGCTTTCAGCTGAGCTTCTTATACCTGTACTACGTCGAGTCTTGCCTTCCATACCCAACGAGATCGATATCGAACACTGCTCGGTCTTCCGTCCCATACTTTGCCCACAGCGTTGGGCCGGGAGAAACTAAAAGGATGCCAGCAGAGGAGGCCGTTGTCTCGCGTGGGACCATGTAGTATATACAGAGGTTAAAAATGCCACCCACCAAATCCGGACCAATCTCTGACGACGGACGAACTATCGTCCGACTGGTCACAACTGTGTGGTTGCTTCGAGTACTTTACGCCTTTACTCTGTACCTAATAAAATGACCCCGAGGATCGAGAATGTTCCCTGTTCCCATTTATTACTACTATATTACTATTCTGGAAAAACCCTCGTCGTTGATACCTCGGCAATTTGGAGCATTTTACCTCTCTGTATACAACGATCGAGCTTTTCCATGACGCAAGAACTTTGTCAGTCCACAGTCTTTGTTCCATCAGTGCCTCGTCTCATTGCAATCTGCAATCTACATCCAATGCATCCATCCATAACCCGCATGCCATGATTGGCCACGAAGAGCTGTGGTCGAATTCCTTCTACACACTGCAGTAGATGCGATGGATACCCGGGGACATGCTTCAAACAGGAGGTAGGTCCGTTCCTCTAGTAGCTTACAAATAGCACGGCCTCCGATCATGATACAACTACTGTAAATATATAAAAGGGAGTATCCCAGGGTAAATGAAAGTGTTTGGCTGCCGTCGATTCGATTCGATCTATCAGGTTACCTATCTCTATCGCTCCGTGGCCCGTCCATATATATTCTGTGGCACACTCTCTCCCTTAAGGATTAGACATACATACCAGTATCACGAACTCTCTCTTGCCCCGCCGACAATGTCCACCAAAAACCTCTCGCTGATCTTCACCAAGATCCCCGAGGCGTTCCCCGTGCCCGGCGAACACCTCACAGTCAAGGATGTAGGGTTCGACCTCTCGCAACCAGCGCCGCCCAACGGCCTGGTGCTGGAGACGCTCTACGTCTCGTTCGACCCGTACCTGCGCGGTCTGCTCCGCGACCCCAAGATCCCATCATACATGCCGCCGTTCCCGTTGAACGGGCCGGTCGTGGCGGCGTCGCTGTCCAAGGTACTCAAGTCCAACGACCCGGCGTTCCGCGAGGGCGACATCGTGCAGGACAGGCTTCCAGTGCAGCAGTACAACGTGTGGCAACCGTCCGAGTCGAGCCCCGCGAAGCCGCGCAAGATCGACCCCAGCGCCGGGCCCGAAGATATCCGCCACTACCTCGGGGCGCTGGGCATGCCCGGCCTGACCGCCTACTCGTCGCTCTATGAGATCGGCAAGCCGAAGAAGGGCGAGACCATTGTCGTCACCAGCGCCGCGGGCGCCGTCGGCCAGTTGGTCGGCCAGCTCGCCAAGCACGAGGGCCTGAAGGTCCTGGGCAGCGTCGGCAGCGACGACAAGCTCGAGTTCATCACCAAGGAGCTCGGCTTCGATGGCGGCTGGAACTACAAGAAGGAGAAGTCGACCAAAGATGCCATCAACCGTCTCACGGACGGCAAGGGCATCGATATCTTCTACGACAATGTCGGAGGCGAACAGCTCGAGGGGGCTTTCGACACTTTGAACCTGTTTGGCCGGTAAGTCGAACACCATCTTTTTCGTTCTGGACAGATAGAGCCCCCCGCCCCGGCTCTCAAAAGGTCCAGTCGATGGAGGACCGGGGTTCCATCTACCAAAAATATCTGGATGAAAGCCATCGTGTGTAGTACAGTATACTGACATTTTCGGTCCTCTTTTCTAGGATTGTCGAATGCGGCCAAATCAGTCAATACAACCTCCCACCCGACCAGCGCTATCCGATCCGCAACACGTTCCAGACCGTAGCAAAGCGGATCACGATGACAGGATTCATGGTCGGCGACGCCAACATGGGGCCTAAGCACTTCCTAGAGCATCAAAAGAACGTCGGCACCTGGCTCAAGGATGGCAGCTTCAAGGCTAAGATCCACGAGTGGCAGGGCATGGAGAATGCCGCCGATGCTTTCGTCGGTATGTTGAAGGGCGAGAACTTCGGCAAGGCCGTGTTGAAGGTCAAAGTGTAAGAATAGTATGAAGGTTCGCTCCAGCTTGAGCGCATTCGGCATCGGGATGATGGTCGGCACTTGGTAGTAGACTTATAGCAAGTTCCCCTGTAATCAAGAAGAGACTTGAAGTTGCTATCGTCTTGTCGAACGCCATCGTTCTTGAGTGGAAGAGTAATGTCTTGTTCGATATGGCATAAAAGGCACTGCATGTAGAGAGATATTTCAGTAGTCGAGCGATGACAAATGACTCTTGTCTGTAGATAGAGACCATTGACGGATAATGGAGCATGAAGCCTATATCCAACAAATTAGCAATCCAAGTACTAGCTACTGATAACGGAAATGCAGAGTGTTTCTGTACAACCTTTGATTTCTTCTCCCGGCAAACATGATCACAGAGAGTGACGCCGCAGGCCTCCACAGGCAGAGATGGAAATCCGAGATATCCGTACACTCACAATGGCAGACATCTGACCTCTCCAGGCCCACGTCGAAGCAATTTGATAGGAGCCCCGAGATCTTAGACATGAGAGACCATGATCGTGGTGTAACGCCACATGATCATATATATCCCGCCGGCTAAGCCCGTCTTATTGAGATGCACCATTTCGGGAGACATCACGCAGTTAGGTGCGAAGGTTCCGCATACTTAACCAAGCAAGAGTCTCCCCTGCAGACCAGCAAAGCTGCTTCGAGGGATACGGATGCGGATGCGGATGCGGATGCGGATGCGGATGCTTGGCTGGGCAGGGCGACAATTGTAAAGCCAGACCAGCTGCTGAGCAGACGACGTACCCATCACACTCAGCTCGTCGTATGAATGCTGCAATGCCTGCCTGGACAGGTCAGACCATGTGATCCATCCGACTGGAGTGGTGAGCAGGCCGTGGTGTGAAGGCCTGGCATGTTCCAGTGCCCCAGGATAGGAGTTACCCCCAAAGTTACCTCAGCGACTCAACCACCATAAGTCCGACTGGTCGGTCATACTATGGTGTTCGTTTCTGTCCGACATACATGGCTTTGAGCTCCTGCAAAGGAGGAATACTTTCCAGCATCCCCGGCTGCAGCAACGGCCACAAAATCCCACACGACGGTTTGGCAACTCCACTTCCACCTCCACCTCCTCCAATTTGGACCTCGACAGTCTTGGTCGGCGTCACGACAACGTCGCAAACGGTATCGAATTCTTCCGGGCGCAGTTCCTCGTCCAGAACCTGACAATCGTGCACCACTGCAGCCACGACCGTGTCCTGGTCCACGACGCCTAGCATGGACAGCATTGCCCACTCCAGATCGAAGAACCCGTGTCCCTTGCCGAAGCGCACGCCGCGGAGATTGATGGCGCCCGTGCCCGTCACCATCAACGGAATGCGCCACCGTCTGGAGACAATGTCTGCCAGCGTTACGTGCTGGCCCAGACGCTCCATGCCGTCCAGCGTCGCGGCGAGGCGGAAATCCGACGTCGCGATATGCTGCGGGTCTAACACCCAGAAGCCCCGGCGAATGGCGTAGGTCGTGATCAAGATCGTCTTGCCATCTCGTAGCGCTTGAAGGCGCAGACTCTCGAGGCAGTTGTCGGGCGTGATGAAGAGGATATCGCTGCTGAGATAGATTGGCAGTTGGACGAGTCGTTCGGTCGCCCGGTCCGAGCCGTCAAAGTCGGCGATGAAACTGCTAAAATCGAAATGGTGCCGAGAGTCCGGTCGGGCTACTTTCAGGAGTGGCTCCCACACGCGTTTGCGGACGTCCACTTTCCCCTCGGCAAGACTGGTCATGTTTGTTGTGGTTCAAGTTGTTGTCCCTGCGGTCCGAGGTATGAAGTACTTAGAGATTGAAGAGAGTAGATTAGAGCACTTGGTAGGTACTACTACTACCTAGTAGTCTGAAAATAAGTGGTAAGTACAATGACGGATATCTGGAGTAGCTCTCGGCAATCATGTACGATGTAAGAGAAGAGGCTGGATGTTGTCGGCGTTGGAAAAGGGGTTGTGAATGAGATGATAAAGACATATTAGTAGTATATCGCATTATCGATATGAGATTAACCGCAAAGTATCCTTTATCGATTACTAACTCAAGTACCACGTAGTACTACCACGTAGGACTCAACAATCTTTTCTAGATGGCGCTGGCACAGTAGTACCATACACTTCAGTGTGTGGTTCCCTCCGCAGGGACGCAGTCGGCAAAAAGGCTATTGTACCGTGAAACCACTATGGCCAAGGTCAGCATCATCGGCCCACGAAGACTGATACGTGGTATCATCAGGTTTCCGAACTTACCCATCAACAACAAGACCAGCCCCGTACATGAAACTGCTCATAGGAGACGCCAGGAAGGCGATGGAATCCGCGATCTCCTCCGTCTCTGCCAGTCTTCCCGCAGGAGTCCTCTCGATCTCCTTCTGCATGGCGCCGCTTGCGGTGGCCTCTTTCAACAAGGGGGTAGCGACATACCTGAAGTATGAAGGGATTGACATTTGTTTAGCAAAAAGATCAACCGGGACGACATTGACTGAAGTTCCGTTGGATAAAGCTTACCCTGGACAGATGGCATTGATTCGAATGCCGTGCGATGCATACGCTACGGCGTCGGTCTTGGTGAAGCCCAACACGGCATGCTTGGACGCCGTATATGCCACTGCTGGGATGTGCATCGCTGTCCCGACGACTCCGTACATGGATGCCATGTTCACGATCGTTCCTCGGCCGTATCGAACGGAACTGGTTGAAATGTTAATCACAGTTCGAACATGTGGGAAAGAGGAAGAGGAAGAAGAAGAAAGAGCAGGATGGCTGGCTTACTTTGGTTCCAGCGGCTCCTGCTTCAACATCTGTCTGATCTCTGCTCGAGAACTCATCCAGACACCGTGCATATTGACCTCGACGACTTTGCGCCAGTCCGCCGTGCTCAGGTCGGCTGACGCGTCCAATGTCCCTGAAATGCCGGCGTTGTTGACGGCATAGTCGATCCGGCCGAATTTGCTGGCCGTCGCCGCCACGGCGTCGTCGATGGCTTGTTCGTTGGTCACGTCGAGTTGCAGGGGAAGCACTTCGACGGCGGGGAATGATTTCTTGATCTCTGCGCCGACCTGTTTCACCGCCGAAGCGTTCAGGTCGGCGATGGCTAGGGCTTTTGCGCCGTGCTTCGCGAACGAGAATGCGGTTGCTTTCCCGATACCTGGAGATAGGTTAATCTCGCGTCCCTCATGCCGGTGATTTCAAGGAAGCGGTCAAACTCACCCGACGCAGCGCCCGTAATGAATCCGACTCCTTTCAGTATCGACGCCATCGGATGGGTTATGATAGATGTTTGTGTCTTTTCGCACAGGATGGGTTCGATAGATGGTACTTTGTGGAACTTGAAGGGATGGACTTGGACGACACCATTGTTGGGTGATGTGCCTGGGTACAGCTACTCAATCTATACTTGAAACTGGTGTAGTCAAATACAGACTACTCGTAGTGTACTACTACTAGTATCTCGTGCCGTAAAGTGGTGCGATTGTATGCCGAGGCCGAGGATGTGGCCAAGGCTGTGGCTGTCAACATCACCTGAGGATTGAGATGCCTTCTCCTCATTTGGTTCAGCCTCGCCCCGTCTCTTGTAGACAGTCTCCACGCAATCTGCTGGCCTGGTTCCGATTCTGAATGTTCATACCATCTCCTAGGACCATGCATAATTCTGTGCAATCCAGTACTACTGCAGCAAGTAGTTGAATGATATCACCGAAAATACAAAGATCCGGCTATATTTCTGAGATTTGGGAAGGCAGCAGATTGGACGCTCTATCTAACCAAGACCCCGGACTGGAAACCGCAAAATAACTTGGATCCAAGCGTGCGACGGATCTTCAATCCTTCTCATAATGTTCTAGAAGGCACCAAACCGCTTCCTTCCTGACTACTCACACCCCAGCCATTATGGATGCAGCTCGAAGAGTGGCATGCGCGCCGTCGTCCTACGTACTTCCCTCGCTGTTGACAAGTCAACACGCATTATCACTGCGAGATAACAGCCTTTCTCATGCGTGCCTTTATGTACGTGAGTCAAGCAACGGTGTCAGGGAACATTTTTTGGGGTAAATATCGGGAATATCATCCCCAGAGAGAAAAAGGGGGCTGCGTCAATCCACGGTTCTGTTGCCGCTGCCGCTGTCAGTATATATATGATATTAGTAGGATAGGTTGAGCTTCGTCCTCCTGAGAATCTCAAGCTTGCTGTGACTAGCACTGGCAGCCAGTCTGAGGAGCACAGGGAGACTAACATCGATGAGAAACATAGTGAGGTAGGTATTTCATGCATTACTGGATTCTCACAACTCCACGCAGTCCGGGGAGAGCATAGAGCATGGGCCCCTACTCATACATCATAGGAATACCATGATACGTAGATACTTGACCTGCGAATGCCGTCAACCGGACCACAGGGCGAGAGGAAACAGCACCCGAGAAAGCAATGATGAAATCAATCGACTACCTAGGGATACGAATGTTCCTGTTGCCCACTGCAGCAGCTCGGAAGCGCTCGGGTTCTCCAAGTCTTGTCCGAAAATTGCTGTAGAGAAGGAAAAGGAAAAGGAAAAACGGTCTGGCCCGAGGCCTGGAGTCGATTATTCCATGTCGGTTCTCCCGGGTTTGCTCCGGTTTGCTCCAACAGAGCAGAGCTTTCAAGTCTGTCAGCAAACAACGACGGGTGTCGATTGGATGGATGGATCCACGACGGCAAATCCCGTCTTCTCATTCATTATTGAGTAAGATCAAGATGATCCAATGATCCATCCATTTATCTTATCTCAATCCTCGATTCTCAATCAGCGTAGGATTGGGAACAGAAACACAATGAATTATGAGTAGCTGAGCTCCTCCCCGCGGTCTCAAGCCGTACGTAGGTCAACAAGATGTAGATGCAGATGCAAAATAAATTCATTATCGTATATATAAAGTGTCCTTTGTCCTTCCAAGGGATCTGCCGTATCGTCATTCGTTGTCTCTCATTAATATGTATGCCGGCTCCCTCTTAGGAGAAGTCTTTGCAAAGTCGTAGAAGAACCATTGAAAACCCAGAAACAACAACAACCAGATAAGGCGCCTGCTCCCCTCGCGTCGGAAAAGAAAAAAAGAATCCAAACAAAGGCATCTGCCAACAGTAGACGAAAAGCTTCTTTGGAACTTGAAGCGTGCGTCTCTCTCTCTCGCTCTCTCAGTCGTATCTTGGTACCTGTGGCATGCCTCCAGCGTCGCAGAGAGATCGAAGATTTCAACAAGCTGTATTGTTCCAAAAAGACAGTGTATGCCTGGCAAGTTGGCTCATGCAGTTGGCACCGGCCGTATGAGCACATAGCCCGTGGCTGTTATCCAAGCCCATAACCGAATCGACACTGGGCGTTGACGTGGACTTCGTGATGCGTGAATTGGAGCATGATTATCTGCCCAGTGATGTTGATGGTGTTGAGCAGATGTGTAAAGATGCAGTGGGAATATCGAGAGACGCCGACCATCAGAAAAGACCTGCTGCATTCAATCCACTGCTCGAGGTGGAAAGAGGTGTCAATGGAGTGTCCTCGGCCGTCCTCGGCTGTCATCGTCCACGCGGGTGTGATTCACCAAACAGTATTTCCAGGTAAAATGAAAAATGATAGTGATCCGGGGCTGGTACCCTTTCCGAACATGCCACCGTCCTCATGATGTCGACGGCGAGCTCCTCGTGGATTCTGTCAATTGGCTCTGAGCCCGTTCAAGTTCTCTCTCGGCTTTGGCTTTGGCGGCCTTGACACGGTTCGAGGCCTTTTCAATGGCCTTCCTCCTCGACGCACTCCATTTTGTGACCTCTCCGGCGTAGTAGAGTCGATATGCCACATCGTTGTTGCTGACATCACCCTTCACCGCATGGATGGTGTACACGGGGCCGAATTCGGGGTCGACATACTCCTCGACCATTTCCAGGCCCTTTTTCTTCAGCTGAGTATTAAGGGATTTCATTTTGGCATACATTGTGGGAGGGTAACCCGGAAGCCGGACGAACAGGTAAGATATATACCCTGGACCACTGTTGACACCACGTGACCGGGAGTGCGGCCGTGGAGTAAAATCCGAGTTTTGACCGCCGACCAAAAAGAAAATTTCTCAAGCCACTTTTTCTCTACCGCCAGAGCAAGATGTGATGAGGCTGACCGGCTACTGGGCTAAATAGTACCTGGCAGGTAGCTGTCAACGAGGCTGGACGACAATGACGTGCATCGGTCGGTTCCCATGCCCGGATGATGATGGTTCGATCTATCGTGACATTCAGCACAAGCTCGGATCCGTCAGATGTAACTCACCAGGAACCTGATCGATCCGATGGTTGTCCTTAACAGTCTGTACGTGTTGGTGTTGGTGTTGGTGTTGTTGCTTCACAATCGAATCTTCGCCCCCAATCCACGACCCTCGTACCAGATCGATTCCTGCCATTGACCTATCTTGACACCCACGTCAGCTCTGGCGTCGAGTTTCAAGCTCCCTCCAAGAGCGTCTCTTATTGTGCCAAATGCATTACTGTTCCAATCTACGGGCAACCGGGGGGTCAGGTTTTCCCCTGGTACTATTGCGAATGGATACTCCCAGGCGATGGTGCCAATCTCGCTGCCATTGTGGTATGCTGCAGCATCGATACTGGTGACATACATGGCAAAGGGCGACACTAGGACTAATGTGGCCGTGGACGAGAGTATATGCATCTACTCTATCAGCCGTGTTATCCTCAGGGGCATCGGCAAACGTACCGTCGTCTCCTTCAAGAACTTGGGTCCAAACATCTTTGGCGTCGGCACCGTCATTTCCACCTTCGGATCCGGGAAGTTGGGGATCGAGTCGGCGTGGCTTTTGATGGTCAGTGTCGTGTTGTAGCCGGAGATATACTGCGATAACCATTCACCGCCCACTGCACCGACCTCCCAGGCTGCTCTCGCGGTGATTTGATTCGGACCAGGAATGACATCTGCCGAAAGCCATGCGTATCCGACTCGCGTGTCGTTGACCCAAAGACTGACATTGCAATAAGGAATCGAGACGGAATACTCGGTCGGGTTGATCAGATTAACCGTTGCCTGCAGAATTAATGATGTGTCCGACGTATCGACGACTTCCATACCCTTGAGTTCTGGCATTTGAAAATTCCCGGTCACTGGGTTGACAAAGATATCTCCCTGCGCCGGGATCTGGCGCACCACGAATTGGCCCAAGGCAGTCAGAGTGCTTACGTCGACACTGGCATGGACTGAAAGTGCGGCACCATGGCCAAACACCAAATCCTTAACGACTTTTGCAAAGACTGCGTCGTCCTTGATTTCCAGGGGTGCGTCCTTGACGATGGACTGAACTAGTAAGTCGTGGCCGATTTTCGTTGCATTGGCTGTCTGCCATTCGCTTAGATCCAGATTACCCAGCAGGTCCCCCTTGTAGAAAACATCCGCGTCCGCTCTGACTCGGTCGACATCCAGGTTTATATTCATGTCTGGAGGCAATGCAACCAGGACTGTGACAACCGCCGAAATCTTGGGTCGTGTCTCCTTGATCGGGTCAGGCAGAGAAAAGTGCGCGTCGGCCAGCGAAAAGTTCTTGATCAGGTTGTCAAAGGGGTGTCCAGGTAGAGAAAAGGGGATTGTGGTCTCGCGCAAGATCTTCCCAATCCACTGCGGTGTATTCTCATCCTGTTCACCACCTCGGATGTACACGGTCGTATCTCTCCCTTCCAAATACTTTCCAATGAAGGTATCCAAAGGCGATGTGTTTGAATTCGGACATATTTTGGTCAGAGACGTCGGCAATTGACGCACCAATGCAGTAACGCTTGCCGTGATGTTCTGCTTCGGCAGGATATGTATCGCACTTGTTCTAGCGGTCGCAAAACGCAGATAATCATCCTCGCAATCCGGCAGAAGTACTTCAAACCCCAATGTGGGTATGTCGAACTTGAGAGGAAAGTCGTTCTTGACCGAAACATTGGCCATGGCTTTCAAACCTTCGGGGTGGCCTGGAACACCGTACTCGGCGAAGCGAACCTGTCGAATGTCTGGTTCCGGCATTCTCGGGACATCATGGCCCTCAAACTTCAAGACCTGAGCAACCGTCTGCTCGCCCAATCTGACGAGACCACTTCGAACCGGAACCGTAGCAACGGCTCTGGCGGTGACTGCCTTTAACTTCCCATCCATAAAATCTTTGGCAACTCTTCGGATGCCATCAATGTCACCGGGCTCCAAATCTGCCAGGAGGTCGACATGGTTATGATGATGATTGCGGATATTGACTTTGACTGGAGGAAGTGTTGCTGTACCCAACAAAACATTGTCATATTCGGGTAAATAGACCTTGACATTGGCCTCTCCGCTCTCAACTTCTCGTGCGATCCATGTCCCGAATCTGCCCAAGTCCCTTGTTGGTTTGTTGCGCACCCGTGAAGCATCGAGGTAGAAGGTTCCCTGTACCCGGGCGCGGATGCCGAGGGATGTGAAAGAATCGATGGACAGGTTGGTCGGTTCGAACACGATGCTCTGTTTAGCATATTCCTCGATGACCGACGGAAGGGTAAAGGCAAAACATGCGGCTATAACCCCGACACATAAGATGGACAGAGCAAGGATGGTTGGCCATCTGCTTTGCTTTTTCTTCCCATTCTCTATCGACTCCACGGAGGAGACAGACACTGAAGGCAGGTCGTCATCGTCCGATTGGTCATTGTAGCTCGTCCGCGAACCGTCTTCGGGTCTCGAAAGCAGGGGAGTTCGTTCGGATGAATGCGGCGACGTCTGTCGCGACGACATGATAGTCTGCAGAAGGGCTTCCCTATTGCGAAGCAACTAGGTGATCACCATTGTAGAATTGAGGTGGTCAACACTGGAGGCTACAGTGGTGAGGCTGGATGTGATGTGATTCTAGGATATTAGTATCAGATCATGATTCATCATGCGGATGAAACGAAGAGTGAACATGCGATTGGAAGTTGTCTGCCTAACAAAACAGCACCACTGCAGCACCAGGCACAGGAACAGGAACAGGGAATTAGCCGGACTTTAGGCGCCCTTCCCCCCAATGGGTCACCCAGAGAGGTGCTTGGGGGCGTCGTGCGGGGTGATGGATGTGCATCAGGCACCCAGATATACCTGACTGCTTATGACAGCATGTGCTCTATCTGCTGGTCTCAGCACTGCGCTCCTCGCCCGTGACATAGAGAGGCACCTATAACTTTTGTTGTTCCATCTCATCCAACCTCCTCCTCAGGTTTGCAATATGTCCCGGTGTAGTCTTGCAACATCCTCCGACAATGATACCTTTCCACGCCCCTCGCTGTCTGGCTTCACTTACAATCTCGAGCATTTGCTCGTCCCAAGGTCTGCTATCGATGTCGTCGCCCACCCATCTCTGCAGCTGTGTGTCGTAGACCTTGCGTCCAGCACCGTCAGGATACAAGACCAGCCTAGGCAACTCCATCGAGAGGGATCTTGCGGCGTCCTCGAATCCGCGAACCAATCCTGCCACCTTATAGATCTTGGTGCAGTTGAGCCCGATTGCGAATGGCCTGCGTTCGCCTTCGAGCATGGCAGCCACCACGTCCTTGATCTCCGTCCCGTCGGGCAGCCTGTCATTGTCGCTGGGAAAGACACACGAGATCCAATACTCCTTGTCGGTGATGGCGCGCATGACCTTCCTTGCCGTCCTCACTTCGTCGAGCCTGGGCAGAGTCTCAAAAGCCACGAGATCAATATCTCTCCACGCCTCATCCTGTGTAAACGCGGATATTCGTTCCATATGAAACTTGAAAAGATTGTCTTCTTTAATTGCCCCATAGTCTCCGCTATACTCAGTGCTAGGAACCATAGTTGCACCATAGGCTCCCAGACTTAAAGCCACTAGACCCGGTCGACCGTTGAACGCATCCCGAGCGATCCTGACTGCAGAGCACATGTACTTCTTCGCCTCTTCTGGCTCGATGCCAGTGTCGCTCGAGGTCTTTGTGTTTCTGAACCCATGGTAACTAGCCTGGTAAGTCGCAGTGAGAATGATGTCGACACCTGCACGGGCGAAATCTCTTTGTACGCTCTGGAGCGGAGATGGATTTTCCACGAGCAAGTGGGATGACCACAGCGGCGTTTTGGTCGAGAACTGAACCCCGTGTTCATCCTCCAGCGTCGTCCCCAAGCCGCCGTCAAGCAAGAGGACGTCTCGGTCGAGTAGATGATCAGCCATTAGAGGATATCAAGCTGAAGAAAAAACTCCCAGTCGACCAGGTCATGTTCGTCAAAATTACGACAAGGCTGAAGCCCCGGCCACGAAGGGATACCTAAGGGGGGTGGGTCGATGGGCGCAATAGGCCAGAGCTCGGCGTTCCAGAATCTACGTCTGCACATTCTGTAGGTGGTGGACCTGAAAAGAACAAAGTAAAATGGGCCTCCTAAGCCTGAAGCTTCCCCCGGCTAGGGGCCTGGGGAGATTATCGCAGCCGAATCATTGGGCGTGGAAAGACTGTGAGTCAAACCGCAAGCATGCAAGCTGCACACGGCGTACTAGGCGTACTACGTACCTGTGACTTTGAATGGCGTCCAATGCACGCTTCCCCGCCATCAAAATTTATCTCGCTCTGTGCAGAACAAATTTTCCTTGACTGTAAATATAGTCATCTACATTAGTGTTGGGTCGGCGTCGCTGGCGACGGTACCTACCTCTCTGCAGGTTCAAAGATACTTGAAATTCGAATCTCAAAACCTTGCACTACAAAATCGCGAAGACAAAAAGCATTCCTCCAGCCATGGCGTCTCTCCGCTCTCTCCTCCGTCCTCTACAACACGTCCGGTCTCTCTCGACCGCTTCCTCAGCTGCTACCTCGAGCTCACCTTCACCGCGACATCTCCTGTCCATCTCGAACCTGTCACCGACGGAGCTGGCAACCCTAGTCAACAATGCCATAGCACACAAAAACTCCAAACTACCCACAACATGGCCGCTCCGAAACGGCCTCTCGAACAAAACGATAGCGCTGATCTTCTCAAAGCGATCGACGCGGACACGAGTATCGACTGAAGGCGCGGTTGTCGCGATGGGCGGACACCCGATGTTTCTCGGGAAAGACGACATCCAACTAGGAGTCAACGAGTCGCTATACGACACGTCCGTAGTGATCTCGAGTATGGTGTCCGGGATCGTTGCGCGAGTCGGGCCGCACTCGGACATTGCCAATCTGGCCAAAGACTCGTCTGTGCCGGTGATCAATGCCCTCTGCGACACCTACCATCCCATGCAAACCATCGCGGACTTTGCGACGTTGACGCAAACGTTCTCCACGCCCGCGGAAAAGCTGAAGGGCCTGAAGATCGCGTGGGTGGGCGACGCCAACAATGTCTTGTTCGACATGTGCATTGGCGCCAGGAAGTTGGGGGTTGATATGGCAGTGGCCACCCCATCGGGATACGGCATTCCCGACAAAATCAAGCAAGAAATCGATGCTGCAGGTCCAGGAACGCTGTTAGAAACAAATACTCCGGAAGAAGCCGTCAAGGGAGCAAACATCATCGTGACGGATACGTGGATCTCCATGGGCCAGGAAGAGGAGAAGGCAAAACGATTGCAGGCCTTCAGTGGATACCAGGTGACAGAGGATCTGGCTCGACGGGGTGGCGCCGCTGAGGATTGGCGCTTCATGCATTGTCTGCCTCGACACCCCGAAGAAGTCAGTGACGAGGTATTCTATGGAAAGAGGTCGTTGGTTTTCCCGGAGGCTGAGAACCGGTTATGGTCGGCCATTGCCACTCTCGAGGCGTTCGTCGTCAACAAAGGAGAAGTCAAAAAGACCGAGCAATGAACGGATTGACCATTCTCTCAGCAACCACGGGAGCTGGCACATATGGAGCGGATGACCTCCGGCACGACGTGGTGTCGTCCGAGGCAACGAAATACAAAAAAGATAGTAGACATAATACTAGAGCTACGATAGATACACATGCTCATCTACAGTCCTAAGCCGTTTCTCAGGATGTCGACCAGCAAACGCAGAGTATCCACGTACAGATGACGATCTATGCGATGATAGTCGAAGCGAGGCCATTATAAAGAGCACAACTACACTGAGAAGGGTGCGTCACGTACAACTGAAAAGGCCTTATATACCTCTCTGTAGTTGTGCTTAAGTAACATCCTCCTAGTGGACCGGAATTGGTGGAATCACATGCATTGACTGCCTCGGTCTGGGGTTCAAGTTGTCAATTCTGGAGATCAATCCCGAAAGGACATCCAACTTCGAACTTCAAGTTCACGAGCAGACCTCCACCGCTGCATAACACGCCACCGCCGACATCATTCCACCCTTCCACACCATCGCCCGATTATGCTTTGATCACTCCAATGCCTCTGCGATAGTAGGCTGATTGCTTTGCTTCGAATCCTCGTCTCTCCTCGCCTCGAACCTGTTCCTGCTCTCGCTTGCGGCCTACCATTGATTGCGGAATATAACATAACTCCTTGACGAAGTCGCGCCCCATCTCACCCGGCCGCGATACATACAACCTACAGACTACATTGAACACTTAACCCGCCGACCAGACAAGATGGAGGTATGTGTCCCTATCCTCCCCTCACACACCTCACACACCTCACGCGTCGATCGAATCGTACGAACATGTAGCAAACATCAAATTTTCCACTCCAGCACCGCTCAATGTACCCATCATATCCAACTATGTCTTCCCCTGACAGCAAACCTACCTTTTGCTAACCGCTTGACCTCACAAACAGTCCCCAGCCCTATCGCGCTCATCATCGTTCGCGCCCGGTCCACACCGCCGCTCCCACCCGAACCTACACCATCTGTCCCTGGCGCCATTGACGCCGAAATACCCCATCGATCCAGCAGACTACCTGGCCTACTTCGACCCGTCGACATCGGAACTGCACACATCGGCCTCGATCAGCCAGATCGCCAGTCTGCCGTCTCCGGGCGGCATCCTGACCACTACGACGACAACAGGAGGTGACAGCCGCTCGGCCGCGCATTCGAGAGCCAGTTCGCGGACGCGAAAACTGAAGAACAAAACCATAGAGAAGACGAGGTCGGCGTTGTCTGTGCCGCCGCATGCATCTGCATCTAGCACCACAACCGCACACGCCTCATCTATACACGAGGGCGTTCCTTTTTACCTCAATACGCCGTCGGGAGCATTGAGCAGCGACGGCTTCGGACAGAAACATCACGCTGGGTTGAATGTGCATACTTCGGACGCGTCGTGGTTGATCCAGACCGGGTTGACACTGACGGAGGGTTCGAGAGAAAGTAAAGGCCAGTCGTGGATGTTCAAACGCGACTCGTCGACCTCCTTACACACCCCTACCGACGAGAGACTGGCGTGGCGGTCAGGGAGAGCCACACCCAGTGTCAGTCGTCGAAGCAGCCACAAGAGAAGTCGGAGGTCGTTGGCTATGACACCGGCTCCAGCTACGCCTGTGGATGAACCGACTCCTGATTGGGCTGATGACCACACTCAAGCGGAAATCGCTGCACAAATTGAGAGTGACTTTACCGACGAACTGGACGAGGACCCTTACGGACTCCTTGATTTCGAAGGGCAATTTGACAGTGAAGACGAAGAGGACGTACGACAGGAGATCTCGAAATATCGACTAGGAAGATGGATGGATGGAGTGGCGGACGTCTTTCTCCGTTTAGAAGACTTTCCGGAACCTGGGCGATCAGATCTGGAAGCAGGCAATGCTCAATCAGCTCCTGCACCAGCAAAAGACGTGGAAACTGCCAGTGTGGCATCCGAAACGTCAGTGGAAGCTCCTCCTGAGAAGCCCAATGGTGTCTGGGATGATGTGGCCTGGTTTGGTCGTTTGATAGCAAGGACTCTTCAGTCATAGCCTAAGCTCACGTCGAACCAGCTCGATTGCGCTCCACTGCGCTCCACTCAACAAACTAATTCGTGGATTTGATTCCCTTCCCCGATAGCAACTGTGCTTCTAGCCTGAAAGCTCGATGGTCTCTGGGATATTGCGATGTTTCTTCGTCGGTGGTGCAATGACGCTGATGTCGTCTTCCTCGTCATCAGCAGGAGCCTCACATTTGATCCCACCACGTTGTTGCATATCTGCTTCTGCTTGCTCCTTCTTGATCTTGCGCTTAGCTGCCTCAAGCTCTGCCTGTGATTGATTGTCAGCTGATGCATTGTGTTTGAGGACCGTATTGAAACACCTTTTGCCGACGGAGTAGCTCCACTGCCTCTTCCTTGGTGAGAGTCTCGGGATCTCTTTCCTCCAAGGGGACAGGACTGGGTGCTCGTGGAAGGATATCGAGGATCTGCAGCGCATCTGCAGCGCATCTAGTCCAGTCAGGATGTTGCGTTAGACCGAAGCAGATTCGATACACACCTTTGCTCCGATACAGGAAGATGAACACGGCAATGGGGCTATTGTCGATCATCTCCCCTGTGTAGGTCATCAGGGCTTTTGCTGGTTCCTCTTTCCCAAGGCTGGTCATATTGATCAGCGTTTCTGTATCGTGCCATCGCAGTGGTCACTCACCTGATCCCAATGTCCACTGCCTGTCCTTTCAGAGCTTTCTCCGGAATCAAGTCCTCCAACGTCGGGAGATCCCGGCCGACCATGGCCTTGCTTAGAAGTCTCTTGCGTGAAAAAGTAACACGAATGGTACCAATATGTCCATACTTCTTCTGGATCTCTGCCATTGTACCTTCAGGGGTTTCCTCTGCTATCATGGTAAATATCAACATCGTAGATGGAGGGAGCCAGTCGTTACGTACTTATCAAGAGCTCTTTCCACTGGAAAAGATTGACTTTCTTGTGTGAACGAGGACCACTCGTTACACCCTGGATTTGTTTGACGAAGTTCATACGATGATGGTGCTTGTAATCTGCTTTCTTCACGACAGGGACATGGACCTTCTGTCCATCAACGTAAGTAGTCAACGATAGGTAGTCGGCCGTGCCGAACGACAGATGTCCTTTGACCGTATAATTGATCTCGAAGTTGGCACCGGGAATTGCTTCAATGTACTTGACGATTGTGGAGGACCCCTAAGAAGAGCCATGAGCATTCAGCGCCGCGTCGTCGTCAGCACGAGGCTGATATTCCTGCACGGTCTTCCCACCGCTGGAGATTGTGATCTCAACATTTCCAAGGATCGCCATGAGGATGGACAAGTTGCATGAAGAGGGGTGCGGTGGGCTTGATGTACCTAGGAAGGACGGTGACTCGGGCTCGAAGTGGCGCAGGCGGATCGAGCGTAGCAGGAGCAGGAGCAGGAGCAGGAGCAGCGAAAGAAGGGTTCGCAACAGACGATTGTAAGAGGGCAAGGTATGAAGGATGATAAAGGAGGAGGTCAACGAGAAGAAAAGCGAAACAAGGTCAAGTGGTAGTGAGAGAAGCAGAAACGGATCGGTGGAAGCAGGCACGTTTTCTTTTCACCTTATGAGACTGTCTGGTAGAAGATCCTACAGTCAGTGAGACTGCGGCATTGTAAGCGCGTGAAAGAGCGTCTATTCGACTCTGGCCGCGTGGTTTGAAAGTGAGTCGAGCCTGGAAAGGAAGTCTTTTGATGCGGCCAGCAGAAGTACTTGAATAGGTACCTACAATAGCAGATACAGTAGAATATCGCCACTTGCAGAGGTAAATAGTGCAACGACGCATCTGTCTTCGTGTACAGAGTTCATTTAGTTACTTACATGGAGAGCTCGATGATTTTGGCAGTGTAGTGCAGTGCTGTGGTCGACTGTCTGAGGAAAATCGGCTTTGTCAGACAGCTCCTTGGCGAAATGTGTAGTCGCCAGCAGAAATTCTTCTCCAAAAGCGAAAATACCTTAAGTTTCAGTCTGACGAAAGCACTTCTGATACGCTAACTTAGTTTGGCAAGGTCCCCAACTTGAACCACTTTACGCGTGCCGACGGACCGACGCGTGACCCAGTTCCGACGTGAAACGTGAAACACTGGCAGCCTTGCAGCGACCATTCCTCTATCCCTCCATCCCTCCATCGCTGCATTCATCAAGCGACATCGAATCATCTGCCTGCTATAACCTCCCATGACAACATCTAGTATCACTTGACCACATTGCCGACCCGATACGAGGATGTAAACAAATCACACAGACACAGAACAACACCCTGTCAATCTCATAACAAATATATATACATCAGCTCATCCCCATCTCTACATAGCTACCTAGGTACCTAAGGGCCCTATACCACTGCGCCAGCTTCTCCCTTGACTCTCTACCGCTCCAACCTCAACCTCAACCAACCTCAACCTCACCTATACACCGGTTATAACAATGCATTCACTCATCGTCATCCTCACCCTTCTATCTCCCCTCCCCCACGTCTCAGCATGGGGCAGCCTCGGCCACCGCACCGTGGCCTACCTAGCGAGCATGTACTTCACGACCGAATCCACAGTAATGACCAACCACCTCCTGCACGGCCAGGACATCTCGGAAGCAGCCCTCTTCGCTGACAAAGTGCGGCACATGCCTCAATTCGCCTACTCCGCCGGCTGGCACTACATCGACGCGCGCGACGATCCGCCACGCCACTGCGGGATCAATATGACCAGGGACTGCGGCGACGGAAGCGGAAGTTCTGACCCTGCCACCGACTCTGACGCCGACTCTCACTCTGACACTACCGCCACCGGGGGCTGCGTGGTCAGCGCGATCGCCAACCACACGCAACGGGTCTCCAATCTATCTCTGCCGGCGTACTTCCGCGGCCAGAGTCTGCGGTTCATGATCCATTTCTTCGGCGACGTCCATCAGCCGCTGCACACGGAAGCCGAGGACCGCGGAGGGAACGAGTACGCCGTGACATTTGACGGAAAAGCCACCAATCTCCACAGTGCGTGGGACACGTTGATTCCGAATAAACTTGTCGCTACTGCCATGGCGAGAAACGAAACCAAAAGCAGCAATCATCACAGCGCTGACGTCGAATTGTTGGACGCTTGGGAATGGGCTCGCAGATTGTACGACAAGCATGAACGAGACGAATTAGGGGTCGAAGACCATGCTGATGACGATGACCACGACGAGTGTTTGACCGATCCGGCAGAGTGTGCGCTTCAATGGGCGAGCGAGGCCAATGCGCATGTCTGTTTGTATGTCCTGGCTAGAGATGTGCGTGGTCAGGATCTGGGCGGAGATTACTATGATGGAGCTGTGCCCATTATCAATGATATGGTGGCCAAGGCCGGTCGAAGGTTGGCGGTTTGGATCAACGCCATTTCCGCGACAGAGCATGATCATGCGGCGCTGCTGCAAACACAGTGACAAACAGATGATAATGACATGACGATTAGTTAGTAGTATATCATGTCTCAAAGACGTCAATCCCCGGAATGCATCTGGCTGGGGCTGGCCCAACCCTCCCTGTACTACTGGGGGAAGATATCGGAGTCTGCTGGGCGCGGTTCCTTGTCGCGTTCACGAAGAGCTCCCATTGATGATCACTTCGGCCTCGACTTCGTCGGGTATAGCCATGCTGACTCGTACTGCTACTGCTGAAAGTGGTCTGGGACGTAGAACATTGATGAGGTTAGACAGCCGGAGAAGGCTGTTTAGAGGGATCCCCAGGCTGTGAGGGCATTCCAGCAAGGATTGTGATGTGACAAGGCTGAAGAAGGCTGAAGATGGCTTCAAGGACATTTCTCAGCCATCACAAGCGTTGCTGCTATCTAATCACTCTCAGAGATCGCATTGTACTCATTCATTGCCACTGCCACTGCCGTCCCTTTGGAAGACCATCACCGTGTTCGGCCTGATCATCCCCAACGCCCTTACCCCGAGGCATCTGGGCAGCCGATGATACAATCAGAAGCCGTTGCTCTCATCCATGACTTTTTTGGCCATATGTTCCCCTTTCCCATCCATGGCGGTACGAACAGTTCGCTGGGCAGACGACACCAGTCCGCCATAATGATCCTCCAGTCTTCCTTTCTCGACATAAGTCTTCAGTTTAGCTTGCTCCTTGTCAAGGTCTTTCCGAAGGCTTTCCAGTTCATTCTCGGTAAACCTCTCCTGGAGACTGCTTGGGAAGGGATCACGCTCCAGAATTTCTTTGGGTGACAGCAGGTGGACATCTGTTCCTTGAAGGTGTCCCAGGGTGAGAAGTTGCTCGATGGTTCTAAAGAGACTGGTTTGTTGCATCTCGCTTTGCACTCTTTGATCGTCCTTTCCACTGGTCTCGTTCAGCAACAGCCAGTCGTCCCGAATCATTGCTCGTCTCCAGATCAAGACTCGAAGATCATCTTGCTTGGGAGCTGGCAATCCAGAGAGGTCCACAACCTGCAGAGATACCGAAAACTCTTGTCCGCGGACCTCGGGATCTTCTTCTGGGATCCCAGGCCAGTCCATCGGATCCATCAAGGTCAGAATATCTATCAGTTCTTCCGCCGACAATGGATTTTGACGCAACAGAGCCTTCAGACCCTGCTTCAGCTGTCTCTTCAGCGCGGGAAATTTCGATACCCAGCGTGTGGCAAAACTCTCCATAGCGAGATCAGCTGCTGCTTTGTCGTCTAGTGCGGGACCGACCACGGCCATCACATGGGAATGAAGCATTTCTTGGATCTTGATGAGCGCCAGTTCATCATCATACCGCTCGAGATCATCCGCTGTCGTGGCTCTGCCTTCAGCTGCAGCCAGGCCTGCCAATTTGGCAAGGGACAGTTCGGTTTTCTTGCTCCAGAGGTCATCCATTTCTTCGGCCGCAACTTCTTCAAGTGTTTTTTCGGCGCGCAGATAGTTTCCATTGGCGACGATGTCATGGATCCAGCTGAGTTTGCCGACCTTTTGGCCCAATTCTTCGGCCAGCTTAAAGAACCAGGTAAGGAACTTCTTCTTCTTGTCGTCTTCTTCACCCTTGAGCAAAAGAGATCCGCACTCATCATCCTCGATCAGTCGGCGGAAGTAAGCAAGGGCCCATCCTTTACCAAATTGATCGAAGTACATCTCGGCTTTGTTCTGCATCTCGGACAGTTTTCGTTGGTTCTCTTCGGCCAAAGATGGATCAGCCGCCACCTCTGCAGTCAACCGTTTATAGTAGTCGTAATGCAGATTGACCAGCATTCCAAAGTATCCGAACTTCTCGCTTAACCGAATTGCTCCTGGCATGTTGAAGGCTGAAATCACCAGTAATGCTTGAGATAGACGGTCTATCTCTTCATTTCGTAAGGCCTTGATTTCATCTCTGAGGGCTTCGGGATCCTTTTCCAAGACTTTCAAGTGGCACTCCGCTTGAGTGGTTTCTTCATCGACAATACGAGAAAGCAATTCAACTTGCACCGGCAAACGTGCAGCCAGTTCCTCGAGTGCGGTCTTGCTTGGTCCATCATAGGGCTTGCCGTCAAGATCCGTGGGCATCTTCTTCTTTCTGTTTCTCCCGTGGCTAAACTCCCACCACTCGTTCATGAAAGTACCAATGTCATAGATGATGCGCTGGCCGAGTCGTAACGGCTCCGGACGTGACGTCCAAGGGTGCGGGATCTCAACAGGAAAACCTGAGACCAGCACCCCATCTTTGAAGACTTCATCTCCTAGCCCATAAAGAGGAGCGTTGTCTTCCCTGAACTTGAAGGCGGTGCTATATGTTGCGATCCACAGGTCGGCGGCCTCTGTGTAGTAATCGGCAACAACTCTGGGATCTGTAACATCCATGGGCTCTAGTTCATGAGTGCAGTCGCCCAATTCAGACATCAAATGGCCAATGTGCTCAACGCTATTGACCAACCAGTGTCTCACTCGATCCTTCTCTCCCTTTTCTGGATCTGGGTATTTCTGACGGGACTCGTGCAATGCTCGAAGAGTGAAGTCAAGATAAGACATCTCCCGATCGCTCTGAGGATACCTCCGCTGAATTGCCTCTTGAACCTTCCAAAGCGCCTGAGCGGCTGCCAATTTCTCGGCATTCAACAACAACTCGAAGCGAGTGTTGCGAGACACTAGGGACGGGTAATGCTCCAGCAGATGTTGTGCCAAGTCATCGAGGGCCTTAGCCCGGATCCGCATCTGCATTTCGATGGAAGGTGCACTCTTCGGCAGGTGTTTGGATGACGAGGAGAGTATTTCAGAGCTGATGTCCAGTGCAGCGGTCTCGACTTCTTCGGCCGAGAAAGATAGGCTGGCATTTTTGAGATCCAGAGGGTTTTGTTTGAGACTTCCAAAAAACACTGCTTGCTCTATCTTGCTCTTCGCACTGATCCGGTCTTCAAGTTCATCAACATCAATTTCACCATTGTTTCGAGGATGGTAGGTCAATCTGACCACTCCGAAACCTTGCACGCCGAAAACGACCGAGGAGTGTTTCTCTGCCGTCTCCAGCGCAAACCCCAGGACCTTGTACTGTGTACTTTCCCGGAATCGAATGGCATCTTGAAATGGTTCGGGAAGCGCCTGCCGCTCCATCAAGAGTTGCGAGGATGGAGTCTCTCGTATCTTCGCAAGCGAGAACACCACAACAGCAGTCTCGAAGAGGACAAACGCCACTGGATGTGATTTCGCAACGCACAAGCGAGGCCGCCAGGCTTGTTCATCCGAGTTTGATGAGGAGTGACAGGTTATGGGATGGACCACTTTAACTTGGGCGCCTTGGTCGACAAGCATCTCAATGATGAAATATTTGACGCGCTCTGAAGTCGACACCGAAGCCAGCACCATCATCGGTGCACCGTGGCTTTCTCGTCGAGTCAACGCCGTGCTTGGACCTGCTGAAAGTTCCACATCCAGGACCTCGACATCAGGTTGCGCATCTTCAGGCATCGATGACTTCAATGCTTCAAGAACTTCATCTTTGAAGCTGAAAGAAGCCTCGAGGCTGTTACCAGAACTCAAGGTTGTACTCCAGAGTTCCAGTTCAGCATCTTGAGTTGCAATGACAATGTCTCGCTGGCCCTTTCGTGAACCCCCGGCTTTCACAATGGGAATTCCTTTTCTTCGATCTCCACCGAAAACATTCCGAATACTCCCTAGTAAGCCTCCTGTACCGTTCGTTGGTTTTCGCAGAAATTGGACACCTATACCAGGCCTTCCCATTTGATCTCGGATGGTCAGATGAGCTGCTCGGCCATGTCGTAATGCAAGTATGAATCCGGACGGTTCAGCGTTGACCAGCTCTTCGACGACTTCATTGCTCTGCAATTGTGGTATCGAGCCTTGGACGCTGGATGTTTGGCCAGGCAGCAAAGATGAGGCGCTGGATATTGTTTCCCAATACACGACTTTTCCTGATTTGGCAGAAACCGCCACAACTCCTGGTTCTCCGCTCGCTGCTCGGGCCGTAAAGGTTGCCAGCGGTAGCGGGTCGTCGATCGAAGCTGGCGGAAATGGTAGTTTGAAGGTAACGACTTCTCGGGAAGAAGGGGTGGATGCGCCTGTATTGTAGGGCCAGATGATTGCATCGGTATGGGTCAAGGCCAATGCGTAGCCATATTCGGGAGAGATCACGCAGGAATATGGGACTGCAGGGCGGTTTCTGATCTGGTCCGGCAGAGCGGGTAGCTGAGACACAGTGTAGAACTCATTGTTGGATAAGATCAAGGCCGCGCTGGCTGCGCCTGACGCTCTTTCGGACCGCTTTTCAGGTTTCTTCGCACTCCGCAAAGTCAATTCTCTCGTGGACGCAGCTGAATGGGTATTCTCATGGGCTTTCTCGTCGTTTGCTTCGCGTCCTGCGACCTCATTTAAACTAGCCTCAGCCAGAGGTTCAAATGTGTCTTTTCGAAGGGCCGACCGTTTACGTTTCGCTTGTGGCAGCTTGATTGAATCATCTTGTCCTGCTGCCTGTCGAGTTCTCTTGGGCCGCACAGACTGCGGACGCGCAGTCTCTGGTGAGAACATCTTGCACAGGTCACACTGACGTCCAAGACGTCGAGAAAGGGAGAAGGGACGAGCAACTGTAACGAAATAATACCGCGAAATTATCTGGTTAAGGGTCAATTGAGATGTGATTGTTATGACCGTTGTAAACCCCGGGTTGTGGTGGCCTGCGTATTTCGCGTCCGCCAACACTCCCGTTTAGGACAAACCTAATGCCGCCTTAAGGCCGTCACTATTTGCGCGCTACGTGGTCTTGACGCCTCTTTAAACAATCTGGCAAAAGAGACGCAGTCAATGAACTTCAAAGGCTACCTAACAGGTTCGACTACTACCGATCCAATACATACAGGTACATACCGTAAGGTGCTGTGGCCCAGCTGCCTCCATGTCACCTACAATCGTCCAATGGTAAAAGAGCGTGTCCATTGTGTCATAACTGAACTGATTGCATTGATTCGTGCTATGCTAATACATGTGGGTTGAACCCATTTCATTCCATGGAATCCTCAGCTTTGTGTCACCTTGAGGCTCTGTGAGCAATGTGACTGCTGTTGTATCTTGGTATACATTCGTGAGCACCATCCTGAGCGCCATATGTGAGAATGAATTGGCCACCGACTGAATGACCAATCATCTCTAGGAAGGATTGTTTTGTGTTGTTACATCTTCTTGTACTCCTCATCGACACTGCCTGCGTTGGTGCTGGAGTCGATGCTCTCTTCCTTGGATAGGTTGGAGAATTTCTCAACGTCATCCTCGGTCGGTCCATGCAACTGCTCCTCGAAGACGGGGTCGGCATCGCGGGTTTCAAACTTCGTCTTGAAGTCACCTAGGCCATGGGTGCTGCTGTTGGATCGACGACGAGTCTTGCTAAAGTTGTAGCCATAGTCTTCGACTTCCTCGCCCTCGCGACCCCTATCGTCATCGTGAGTATGTCTGCTGACATCGGCAAAGAGCAGGGGTGAGATCATACCAGTTTCCCTTGCCAAATCCTTGTTTCTTGACACTGGTCGGATCGGCGTCGGCGTGACCATGTTTCGCGAAGTAGCGAGGGACGCGGTCTTCAGCAACGGCGGTACCGTCAGCCAGAGCGCTGTGGTTGCGGTCGTTTCCTTTGGTGGTGCGAGTCACTGACGGAGGGTTAGCAGCCAGCGTCGGAGAGGTCGGAATGACTTACTTTTGTAGAGAAGGAGGGATAGGGCACGACACAAGTGAATTGAAGGAGTTTCAGTGGTATTAGAGTCGACGAGGTAGCAGATTGTTTGCTGAAGAACAAGTCAGTGTCTATCAAGTGAAGTTGGAGTTAAAGAAGGGGACTCGCGACCCTGCAGTTCAAGCGATAAGACGCTCGGACCACATTGATGAGGATGATGAACGAATAAATGGACTCTGCGGTAGCGCGGTACGAAGGAAAGGCTTACCTGGTGTTTGTCTGCGATAGGATGGTAGGATGATCCGAGGCAGGAATAGCACAGAGTTACGCGAGATGTTTGAGAGCGTTGTTGTTGTTGTGATTGAGTTGCTGCTTTGGTTTGGCGTATTGTACAGGACGAGGGGAATGGCCAGGAAGATAAATGCCGGAAGTTATGTGACAGGGGCCGGAAACTCCTTATTGGAGAAAGAAGGTGACCGAATAACCCAGATGGTGTGTTCAGGCTGCGATGAACAGCATCTCCTGCTGTCTCCATCCTCGCTGCTCGCATGACCTCCTGGTCATTCTGGCGCCTTCCTTGCCGTCGTCATTGCACCTTCCCCGGATTTTTCATGCTGCCTTAGTGGCTGGCGTCATGGACTAGTGCTAGAAATGGAGCAGCGCTGGCGTTAGCGCGGGGTTCTGGACTTGGCCTCATCTCCACCCCAACTTGTAATGCCGGAACTTGAAGAGGGCTGCAGGCAGGTACCGGCAGCGATCGATCGAGTTCCGGGCCTTACTACTGCTAGTACTATCACTACTGAAACACTGCCTAACATGCAGGTGGACGTGGAGTCCAGGCACCTGTAATGATACTAATTGCGAAGTGCTTGCGAGTTCGAAGGATCGCCACTTGCTGGCAGGAGACCATGGAGACAAAGAACCGACGAAATAATGTCGCAGGCTTGGAGTACTCAAGGCTGTGTTAGAGAATAATATTACATCAGTTTAGGCACTACCTACCTAGGTACCTAGGTATTCACTTCAAGTTTAGGTACCTAACCTTTCAGGTTATTATCGGTCAAGGCGAAAGATCTGCGTGTAGATTCCAGCATGATACACTGCTTGGAAGTACCTAGGTAGGTATCTAGGTACCTAACGTATTATCTCAATTCAAAGCTCCATGCCAGCGACACGTTACCGGAACTCTAGCACCTGATGAATGAGCAGCTGGTCAGCCTTACCTCACCCAACCCATAACGATGGGCAGGTGCACTGTGTAGTGGGCTGACAACGGAATATACCGGTATCCGTTCGTCACGTGCGCGATACAAAGTGGAATGGTGCTCGAGGTAGCTTTGGTCACAGGTGCCAGCCCTGCTATTTCAAGACCCCGCAGGGATGAATAAGGTAGATAGCTCTAACATCAGCCTGGGTCAAAGCCGGAATCAAAATCAAACAGATTCGCACCAAGAGACCCAGGCATAGAAGGGACATAGGTGCCAGGACTTACTAGCACGACTACGGTACATAATCATACGTGCGCACTACCGAATCAGAGGCAGGCAGAAACCCTTGCACCGTAATACGTAGTGGCATTTTCCAAGCCGGTAGCGCCCCCTCCAGCCCTGGCTGCCAATATCTACTATTATTGGTCAGCAAGTTCGGCCAGGGTCTGCGATTTTAGTAATTCCGCTTCCACCTGGACGATTCAAAGTTGTGTTCCTGTTGCTCGTGGTTTTCTGCGCTTACTGCAAAGTCCTCAAGTCCATGAACCACCTTCAATACCGACGCTCCTTTGATCCAGCAACGAGCCACCATGTCGCCTTCCGTACTCATGGATCTGTCGGATGACTTCACTTTCCCGGTCGCAAAAGCCCCTCCATCTTCGAGCCGAACTCTGCTCCTCTCGCCACCGTCGCTCTCATCCCATCAAGAGAAATTGACCGCAGTGCTGGCAATGCACGATAGGACCAAGACAGACATGCAGATGCTGGATAGATTATCGCTCGGTCTGGTATCCCTCCCACAGTCGACGTATGACCTTATCATGATCCTTTCCGACGCCGATGGGACTCGCCGCGAAAGTCAGAATTTAATAAATCGGGATATGCTCGCTTCGCTGGTCAAAGCCCTCAAAAGCGGAGGACAACTGCGCAGTCAGGATGGACAATTCGGTAGCGTTGATGGCGTGGAAAAGAATGAAGCCATCTTGGCAGGCCTGTCATTCCAGCCTGGGACGGGATTTTCAAAGCCAGACTATGGGGTGCAGGAGTCCGTTCCGTTGAAGTTTGGAAAGAAGAAGCCTGCGCAAGCCGTAGGCGGACCCAACACAACCAATGGCACAGTACCGCTCGCGCTCAACGGCAAACGGAAGAGCCTGGATGCGGTTCCTGAAGGGGTTGGGTTCGATGATGGGACAAATGACTCGGACGATGAATTGATTGATGAAGATACTTTGCTGGACGGGGAGGATCTACAGAGACCTCTTAAGATTCGTATGTTCATCACACGCCGCTATCTGTGGGTTCAGGATCATGCTGACATTTACAGCTGTTGAATGCAAGCCGAAGGCCAAGCGACGACGCGCATGTAAAGATTGTACATGTGGACTCGCAGAAAGATTGGAAGCAGAAGATCGAGCTCGACGCGAGAAGGCCGATCAAGCTTTGAACACGATGAAATTACAAGCAGACGACTTGGCTGAAGTCGACTTCACGGTGCAGGGCAAAGTTGGAAGTTGCGGCAATTGCAGTCTTGGAGGTAAGAGAGAGCCCTCGTTGTCCTGACATGTTTATCTTGCTTACCGTTTCTCCGTCCAGATGCTTTCCGGTGCGATGGATGTCCTTATATCGGTCTTCCCGCCTTCAAGCCTGGCGAGGAAGTGCGTCTCTTGAACAACGATATCCAACTTTAGACTTCATAGGAGCATTTGCGGACTGGATTGGCGTTTCATGGCGGACGGTGATGGAATTGTATGAGAGGCTGGGATACAGCTGGTACATCAATGGTGTACAATGAATGACATGTAAGCGCGTGGCGATAGAAAGCCTTGGAGCCATGACCGGACGTAGGTCAGGATGTTTCCAATTCGACATCTCGCAGAGTGAGTGCCGTTATTTCTGAATCTATGTTCGAACCACTAAAAACCGGGGGATAAATACGCCGGAATATTTCCGAGGCCACCTTGTAGAGAGGAGAGAAGAGCGAGGAGATGAGAGAGGCGGGTTGACGAATGGTATGTGGCGGGAGATAAGCGGGAGGGTTTGCCGCTGCCAGTCGTCGAGTCCCTTGCTCGGGGTTTCCGCTGACTCCGTAGGATTGAGAATTGGTAGAATTGTAGACCGGCAGCCCGTCCTACAGAGTTATTGCCGGACTGCGACAAGAAGATTATTTCGCCATCCTGACGGTTCCTGGAAGTTTCACACTTTGGCCTTTATTACCTCGTGTGTCTCATCTCATCGCAAAGCACCCTTGATCAAGTTTCAATAGGTCTCCTCCCTGCTCTTGAGAGGCCGTTCTGCTATCGCCGCCAGCTGGTCCTTTGCAGCTGTAGCCCATCGGCAGCCTCATAAATCCTTTGTTCATCGACGTTCGACCAGCAATTTACAATCATGTCTTTCTCGTCGCTAGTCCAAGATCTTGCCTTTCGCGACCAGGCCAATGCCAGAGACAGCTCGGTCAGCCTTGACAACCAATCCACTATCTCCCGACCCTCACAGGCGCGGTCCTACACCTCAACCGCGGCGACGAGCGTCAGCATTGCAGGCGACATTTCGAGTCAGCTTCATGCTGGATACAGTCACCCATTATCAAGAGCATGGCAGGCAGAGAGACAATTAACCAAGGTATGTGGGAACACGGCCAGCTAGTAGACCTAGCAGTATTGTGCGCTTGCTAACACAGTGCATCCAGTCCATGTTGATCTACCCTCTCTTCATCACCGACAACCCCAACGAGGTCACTCCGATCCCTTCGCTGCCCAACCAAAACCGCCTCGGCTTGAACAAACTAGTTCCATTCCTTACACCGTTGGTCCAGAAGGGTCTGCGATCGGTCATTCTGTTTGGGGTGCCTCTTGCTCCTACCGCGAAAGATGCCTTGGGCACTGCCGCCGACGACCCTGAAGGTCCGGTGATCAAGGGCATCCAACTGATCCGTCGGCATTTCCCTGAACTGTTTATTGTCGCAGACGTCTGCCTGTGCGAGTACACGTCTCACGGCCATTGCGGCATCCTACGTGACGACGGGAGCTTGAACAACGCCATGTCGGTGGAGCGTATCTCGGACGTCGCAATGGCATACGCTCTTGCGGGCGCCCACTGTGTGGCACCGTCAGACATGAATGATGGGCGGATACGAGCGATCAAACTCAAGCTGATCGAAGCCGGCCTCGCCCACCAAGTCAACCTGATGAGCTACGCGGCCAAGTTTTCGGGCTGTCTGTATGGCCCTTTCCGTGATGCCGCCGGATCGTGCCCCTCGTTCGGCGACCGAAAATGCTACCAGCTGCCTCCTGGCGGACGGGGCCTGGCGAGACGGGCCATTGCACGAGATGTCCAAGAAGGTGCGGACATCATTATGGTGAAACCCGCCTCGTCGTACCTGGACATCATTTCAGACGCCAAGGAACTTGCAAAGGACATGCCGGTCGCCGCGTACCAGGTCAGCGGCGAATACGCCATGATCCACGCCGGAGCCAAAGCCGGGGTGTTTGACCTCAAGACTATGGCCTTCGAGAGCACAGAAGGTATCTTGCGAGCCGGCGCGGGCATCGTCGTGAGCTACTTCACACCCGAGTTTCTGGATTGGTTGAATGCATAAGGGATACGGTCTGTGCAGCGATCATGTGTGTTTGTTTGTGTCTCGTAGCGGGACCGGCGTATGGGAGCGATGAAGGTGGTTGCGCACAAAATGAGTCTTGCGGCTGGAACCGAGATTTGGCTGATGGAAAAAGAAAAGAAGAAGAAAGAGGCCGCAACTCGGCCGGTGAGAAGAGATGTGCTACTTTGCCCTCTGCGGTTGCAAGAGGGTGGTATGAATATTCGAAAGAGAATTGACGCAATTGACTCCCCGAGCCAAACCTCTTTGTCCAAACTAACACTTCTTTTTGTTGCCCTTACACAGAGATCCCTCTATACTAGTAGTAGGTAGTGGATGTCTGGCGTCTGCCTCCATAAGCTCTTGAAGAGGATGAGCCTCGTGGCATAGTAGGGCCAGTCCGGAGAGGGGTGGGCTCCTTCTACAGAGATCTAGCAGCCAGGCGGGCACGATCAACTTGAACCGGACAAGAAGCAAAGGAGGGAACCGCCCACGGAAAGGAAGCGGATCGCTTAATAGCAAGGACACAAAGATCCTCGTTCACGCCCTCTCCTACAGCTTCCTAATGATTCGTTTTGTTGGAAAAGGAGAGCAGTTGATAAAGGTTTCGTCAAAAGTGTACCACGTACTCGTATGTTGTTGATGTAGCCTGGCTTGCCTAACGTCATCTGCTACGGGCATGCCGATGATATGGAATCGGGGGCGGTATTTTCCCTATGGTGTGCGACACCAGGGAAGATAAGTATGTATGATCTTTCTCATGTCTTTCGCGTCACATGTTGTTTGCCTTCTTTCGTCTCTCTCTGGTTATCAAGCTTGGAATGTCGGATCCATTCTCCAGAGTGCTGACCGACTGTCCTCTCAAGCTCTGCTCTTATTGACTGCCTTCCACATGCTGACTGTTGGCAATGATGATATCATAGCTCGGCTCGGCTGTCTAGCAGCTGGCTTTTCTCGATTGTAGTGGCACAGACGAGATCCCCTGGTTGGGAGGAGCATAGTCATGAATCTGGGATTCGCCCGTTGATGGGTGCTGCATTGCCTTATCGCGGAAGTACAGTAAGTGTAGACGAGGCCAAGCCCGGATTGTGCCCGTTTTGTCTGTTTTGCTCCCCCCAAAGGCCCAGTTAGACAGACACTGACACATGTTTACCATTGGTTCAGAACGTTTGGAGGTATTGCAGCTCAGCATACAATGCCGAGTCATCGGCTGGAACGACGAAAGTGGTAACTGGCCGTGGAGATACGACGCTCAATTGTTGAACCTTTCCGGCTCCGGGTCCTGGGCCTTTTGGTATGGTGAAAAGGTTGGTTTCGACCTGTGGCTCTTTGTGGTCAGATCAGACCAGCCGAAGCGACTGCTCAAAAACCGCGGATCCCAGCAGTCAGTCGGAACGGATGGGCTTCAGTGTTCAACACCCATTCGTCCAGACTGATGAGATTGGGCTCGCTGAATAACAGGTAGAAGTACTTCAACGTTTCTGCGAACCAGAAACTCTCCATGTCGTCTTGTCTTCTCGCCAGGACTTTTCTGACCATCAGTCCCTTCTCGTACCGGTCCTGGTCGTATGTCTCCATTGTGCTCAGGAGAGCCGCGTGGCCAAACGCAGAGCGGGTATGTGCGATGATGGATTCGAACATGGACCAACCAACCTCGCGCCAGTGTTCGTTGCCGGTCATCCTCCACATGACAAAGACGGATTCGATCGCCTCGGGCCGCAGCTTGTAAGACGGGTCCGACACCTGCAGAAAGCCGGGTGGGAACCGATACTGGTCGCAATCCGCATCCTGGCAATGGGCGGGACGGCGGCTTTCCTGTTCCCAGTAGGAACCGTTCCAGTCACATTGTCTGCCGTCATTATCTGAACACGGGAGCGCCGTGAAAGCCTCGGGCATAATGCCTGTCGGACTGTTGCGGTACGCCCAGACACAGCCGTTGGTGATCTGCTCGCCGATGTGGAAGTCGTCGGGCTCGTTGAAGATCCGCGATGCCATCGCGAACATGCCTCCGGAGAAACAAGCCAGATGTTCTGTCCGCGGTTCAAGCAAGGTCTGGTTGACAATCCGTGATCTAGTAACGATGCCGGGGAAGATCACCTCGGTCTTGTCGGCGTGCGGGATGAAGGCTCGAAACAGGAGATGTCGCTTGATCTGTTTGGATGCCGCCTTCCACATCGATTCGTAGATCTTGGTCGTCTTGCCTAGCAGCAAGTGGGTCTTGACCAGATACTCGTAGGCAGAGTCCGAAAGCGCACCGAGGGAGTAGCGGAAGTTTGCTTTGACGAACATGGGATCGGTGCCGTCCGTGGCACTTGGAATGACAATCTCCGGCCACAGCCCCACAATGCTGGATTGGTCCTGCGCCCGAGCAAAGGTGTTGCTCAAGAAGTCGACCGTCTTCATGTATTTCTCGTCTCTGGTGATCTGGGAGAGTCTGGCAAACTCCAGGTACAAGCTACCGACATCGGCTAAGGGAGCGCTGTTGGAGGCCATGAGTACGCCTCGCTTAGCTCCCAGTTTGCAGTGAGTGCATGGCATCCCGTTTGCAGTCCGGAAAGCCGAATGCAGCATATCGCCCAGCTCCACCAATTTGGGAAGGAGGCGAGCGTCGTTACTGAGATCATAAGCCGCCATCAACCCTCCCAGATAACGAATGGTCGATTCGAACAGGTTGACGTCACAGTCGCCTGCCGTGCCGGTGAAGTCAATGGTTAGAGTGGCGTTGACCGCCTCATCGAAATCATCGTCGAGTCCCATGATGTATAGGGTGTCCAGAGAATCGACCAGCGTGGCTGACCAACCACAGAACTGTTGTTTCCTACTTCCGGACAGGGGCATCAATCCATCCGCCATCCAGGCATGGTCTTTGTAGCCCGTCCAAGCATGTAAGAACTCGCGTTTGACTGCATTCTGGCGGGCCGTCTGGATCTGAGCTTTCCGTGTGAACTTGTGCTGGATCCTGGTCGGTTTTGATGGGCTGGTTGAGAGAAAGCTAAGGATCACAAGGAGTGTGAACAATGCAATGGCGATCTTGACGCGTTTCCTGGGCAGCATGTTTAGCCACGCCATGGTCACCGTTCGGAGATGGACATGGGCGTGAGGAGTTGCTCTTGTGAGGGTAAGAACAAAGCCCTTTATGGAGGTCAGTGGACAGAGGGCACGACGATGATCAATCAGGTCATGATCCAGGCGAAGGGTAAGAAAGGCAGAAAGCTGTTCTGTACAGTATAGAGGATGGAGAAGGAGATGGTTAGTCGGTGTGTATACAGAAGAGAGACAAGGCGGAGACCCCAACAGCCAAACTAGCAGACATTGCGGGAGCAAACCAATCTTTTAACATTTGACACTAGTCAACGGGAGTCAAACATTGTCTCCTTACTAAGGAGCCGCAGGGATGTGACAGTTGAGACACCAACTGGCACGCCTGCACCGACGTTGATCGGTTGGCGCGAGGTATGTTGCAGTTGATGTCGTGAAATGCTTGGAATGAAGGGAAAAGGAGAAGTTGAAAGGGGCTGCAGGCGATTGGTCGGGAGGAGAAATGCCAAGCTTTAGTCGTCGCCGGAATAGGAAGTAGAGTGGATGAAGTTGAAAGGGAGGAGAGCCAATTGAAATCATCCTGGTAATAATACGGGCTGGTGTTACAATACATGTACCGTATCCTTTGTTCCTCTCCCTTATTCAAACTGTACCTATACAGCCTCGACCTTACCATATTTCTTCTTCACCACTACAGAGACTACGGTCAACAGACTCCATGCTTCAACTACAGCACTGCTCTATTGTTGACACAATCTTCAAGTTGAAGTAATACAATGAAACATAAGGTAGATTGGAATTGCACAAGGTTTTCTTGAAAGGCTTGCTTTTGTCAAACACCCGACTTTTTGTTCTGATACAAGTCTTCTCCAGAAAAGAAGATTCGTTTCCATCCACTCTATTGTGGCGTCGGTGGCGGTATCGTCGTGCTTTGACTACTTTGCCTCGAGTTTCCTGTCTTCGTTGACTTGTTGGCACTCGCTCCGGCCTCTTGTTCCAGAAAATGCTGCCACAGCTCTGCCAGTGACTCCTTACTCGCCGACGATGCACCAGGGCTAGAAACACCCAGGCTGTCCGGGCCGAAGTACTCATGGTGCAAAGCTGGTGTGCTCGGCGTGCGGTGGAAGAGCGGCGACCCGGGGAGTCGGAGGGAATTGGAATTCGAGGCAAAGGTGTTGGAGCTGCCGTGGCCTCCAGGCCGCGCGAGGCCGGCTTGTTCGCGTTGTTCGTCCGTCCAGCCTAGCAGGGCGGCGATGAGTTGGAGGACTTGGAATTTCTTGGGGTCGGCCCGGTCGAGGGCGAGGAATTGAAGGAAGTGGTTTGTGACGATTTGTCTGGATAGGAAGAATTTGGGAGTTGTCAGCATATAGAGTAGAGTACAGAGAGGGGATCACGATGTCATGCCGAAGATCTGCAGGAGGGTGTATGGGAAGTCTTGGGCAATGGGTCTGTAGATCCAAAAACCTTGCCCATCGTGCCATGGAACTCGGTATCTTGAGTCATGTCTGGTTGTTGAGTGTTGCAAAGCGTCGTAGGACAGGCAACCCTCCGAGGCCTCGACGGCACGTCTTGTCCATCGATGGGTCTCAATTTCCCCGTCCACAACACCAATGCAACACACACCGACACGATGGTCACATAGTGTCTGAATCTGTAACGACGATGGCCACAGGAGTTGGGAGATGTAAGGGAAGAGGGAAAAGGAAGACATGGAGAAAAGAGGAAAGAAACCAAAGTATGCCTCACCTGTCCACATTGTCCTCTGGCTTGCCCTTCTTGAGAAACCTCAAAGCCTTGGTAAGATGGTCGTTGAGAATGACCGCCTCGTGCCTCAGCTTGCCGATCAGCAGGTTTTTCTCCTTGACCTCCTTTTCGAAAGGCAAGGCCCTTTCGAGTTCCTTCTTGGTCTGCTCCAGCTCGGCGACAGTCGTGTCGTGTTTCGTCTGGAGTTCGTGCAGCTGTGCGCGTAGCTCTTCTTGCTCCTTCTGATTCGCCTCGACGAGTTCCTTCAATTCTTGCTTTCGAACCGATTGGATCTCCTGAAGCGCTCTCTGCAATCCATCGACAGTGTTCGTTTGAGTGTCACGTTCGCTTGCGGCTTTCTCGTACGCCTCTTTCAGGGCAGAGACCTGCTCCTCCAGATCGACGTTCCGGTCGGCCAGATCGCGGCGCATAGTACGTTCCTCCATGGCCAGGACCTCCCAGTCATGCATGGCCTGTTTGGCACTTTCGAACTCCTCGCGAAGGTACGCCTCCTGGTCGACGAGCTCTTCTCGCTCCTTCAGCCAATTCTGCTGGGCCAGCGTCAGGCGATTGCGCAACGTCGACAGTTCTTTGGACTGCTCCGCCGCTTTGGTGGCAAGGTCTTGGTTGCGTGCCGTCAGCTCCTCGACCTCGGCGGACCGCGCGGTATATCGTTCTTGGAGTTCGGATTTTTGTTCTTCCAGCTCGTCTATCTGGGTCCTTGCTTGCGCCAGGTCTTCCTGTTCCTTGTCAGTACGCCGAGAATGCCCGGGAGATGAAGAAGTAGTATTATAGAAACAGAAGGAGAGGGCTGGACGGAGTTACTGTACGTACTGCATCGGCCTTGAGACGCTCTCCAAGCTGAGATCGAATCGTGTTCACCTTGCCAAGTAGCGATTGGTATTGCTCTTCTGCGCTTTCCTTCTCGGCTTGTGTCTCCGCCAATTCGCTTCGGACAGTCTCGATGTCGGTGGCATGTTTGGACCGTAGTTCCTCCAGTGACTGGCGGAGCTGAGTGACTTCAAGACGGAGGGCATCGCGATCTTTGACGAGCGCGTCAAACCGTGCTGCAGCATCGTTGTTGTCGACGGATTTCTCTGTTTCGTTCACAGTCCTGGCATCCCCATTTGTCAAGGCTGCGGAACTTGTCTCCTCCGTCGTAGGTATGCTTGGTTCTTTTTCTGGTATTGGTTCTGGTTCGTTGACAGACTCCTGCTTGCTGTCCGCGTGCACACTCGCCTTGGTGTCATCTTCTAGTTCTGTGTCCTCGCTCTCTTTCTCTGCCGTATCCTTTGTCTCTAGTTCGTCGCCAGGATCAGGAGTTTCGGGCTCGACGGCGATCGTGGGAGCATCTACTGCCGGGGACGGGGCAGTAGTGCCTTTCTTCTTGGACTTTTTCTTCTTTTTGGATTTCTGGTCTGTTAAACAAATGTCAGCCAACCTGCATTCCGTCAACATCATTAACGTCAACCGCACCTCCTGGGGGCATTGAAGCCATATTCGTGGACGACGTAGTACGTTCACAATGCTAATGGTGTTCGTCAACCGCAAATGTAAATAGTATATGGAAACGTTGTCCGAACTCGGGATGGTCGTCCAATTCGCAAGACGCCGCGTGTCCAATTGTCTGCTTGGCGCATTATTTGCATACATGTATTGATGGCCGCCTCATTAGATATCTACATCTACCTTCGTCTCTTATTGCATCTTGAAGACAACACCATTTATGTACCGAATACGTTGCAGTGACTCAATCAGACATACCTCCCACTACCAACAAGCAAACAATGAGTCTCGCAGCGCTGTTCCCTGCAGGAACCGGGGAGGTTACCATAATGATCAAGGGCGAGTTTCGACACCAACTCCTGAAACCGCACCGAGACATACTCGAGCTCACTCTTGTTTGCTGGTTGACTCTTTCCTGTTTGAGTTCCTGCTGGCTGAGTCTCTGCTGGACCCGAGGCCGGTGGTGCTTCAGATGGTCGTCGGACTACTCGACTTTGCAATGAAGAACTTGAACGCGGTTGCCGACCCACCGTTTCTTACGTCCATTCCAACATGTACCCTGACTGGCACAGCACTATAATGGACCCGGATTCCCTAATCCATAACAGATCGACTTGTCGTCATGCATCAGGCATGAAGGGCAAAACACATGCGTTTCCTGGTTGCATCACCTATGCTTCCATGACGAGTGCTAGCGCTCGTACAGCTTGCTTGAAGATCCATGATGCACGGTAAGGATTGAGCAGCAGTATCAAACTCTGTCAAACGGACTGGCTGTCCATAATGGTGCGAATATCGAAGTGAGACTACCGGTGCGATGCGAATAGTCGCGTCTCCCGGACGACAGCAGCGAAAAGACTACATCTCATCGAAAGGTAGGAAGAGGCTGCATGTTGCAAGTCGTTGCAAGAGAACAATAGGTATTTTCTTCTTGAAGCCATCTTGAAGAGTTGCAGGACTGCTGGACATATCTCCGAGGAGTCGGCTGTCCGAAATATATGACCTTCGAGAACTGGATAGAATATCGCCGAGGATCACAACATGCAGGCCTTCCAGTCTTTTTCAGACTGTCGGCCAACCTGGCATCTTCAGACCCATTCTGTCGTTCCAATTACCATTGCAGCAGAGGGTATCCAAATCAGTCATCAAACTCTCTTTCATTTTCATCATTTCATCACTTCCGCAAACAACACTCTCATCCCCTTCAACAGCGTCCCTATCTCGCGTGACGAATTCAAACGGTCGACCACTTTATCCACCTTCGCACCATCCAGTCTCGGTTTCATATGTACCACAGCATACTTCCCCGTCGCCGTAGCAGGAACCTGTAACTCGAACACCGCCTCCCTCTCTTCATCCCCCTTCCCGCCCTTGACAGGCGGAAAAACAAAGACGATCTTGACTTTATTTTCATCGCCACTCCCTTCAATACGGCAGCCGAGATGTGTTTCCCAGAACCCCAATTCCGGCCCATTCAATCGACTCTGCTGATCCATTTTGGCAGCATATTCGCGCTGCGCCTGTAATTTGACCTCGATCTGCCGCTGTGTTTGTGCAATCGCGCTCTTCAGCCGATCTCGCGCCGCGGCTTGGTTGGCCTGGTGAGCTTCCAGTTTGGAGATTTGTGCATGCATCTCGTTCTTTTCGGCTTGTTCTCGCGCGAGGACGTGGTTATGTGTCGACAATGTGGACTGTAGGCTTGTGATTTGTGTATTTGCTGATCGCTGCTCCTCTATTCATTCCACACGACATAATGACCAGTCAGCTTACTTCGCTTTGCGACAGACACTCGTGCGAGCTTCTCAAGGACAGGCGATCTTTGTTTCTGGCCCTACTCACCGTGCAACTCTCCCAGATGCGCGCGGAACTCGTTCCTCTCTTCAAGAACTCGTTTCCTGCCTCGCTCAATGAAGGCGTCAAACTTTAAGCTGAATTCGGTCATGCGCTTTCGCAGGTCGTCAAAATTGAAGTCTACCGTCGGTAATTGGGTCAGAGGATTGTCTGAATAGGACATGGGGGCGTTTTGCGACTGTGATGTCCGGAATGAGGAGGTGCTTGCGGAGAAGCATGCTTGAGACATCGTTGCAGTCTTGCAGGGAAATGTTCTTTCGGTGATTGTATAGGCTGATTCGAGTGCGCGCGGCGGTCTCAATTGAATCGAGGTGGTTGATACCTGGTAACTATGCAAACCGCGAGTTCGCTGAGCATTGATGATGAAGTTCAGGTTGGCGTCTAACTAAGGGAACCACAACACGAATCGTCGTCCAGGCAACCACCACCAGTCTTGGCAGTATATTCTCAGCTTCATGTAGGCGAACACATCACATCTCTCATAGTAGCATACCTTATCGTGCGAGCAGGTACCTCAGGATCTACAAGGTAACAATGGTACTGGCATCATAAGGCCTCTTCGGCCTATCCCCGTCAATTGTACGAAGAAACCAAATACACGCCTACTAAACCGCGACACAGACAGCCATCCTATTTCATCGTGCCCGATTGCATTTCCTGCTCCAACTCCTCCCTCCCTTCCGTGTTTTCTGAGCTGGCATCCCCATTTGCCAGCTGCGACAGCATAGCCTCAATCCTTGTTATAGCGGCCTCCATCTTGTGCAACCTTGTGTTCGCCTCCAGGAGCTTATCGTCCCCATCATCGCTATAGTCGACGATGGAATCCATTCTTTCCCCTCTCATCATTTTGCGGTGATGGGGTGGATGACTACCTTCATCTTCTGCCTCGCTCGAGTCTCGGAATTCCTCCCTTGGGGATCCCTTTGGAGTCCTGCGGTCCTTGCTTTGGTGTCTTTCGGCTTTGGAACTGGCAGACATCCGTCGCTTCGAATCGCTTGCTCGACTGCTTCGTCGAGACACCGGGGCAGGGTTGAAACCTCTACTCAAATTGTTATTGACCGCTTTTCCTATCCCATCACCATATTCCAAATCATCCTCTTCAGCTATTTTGTCCAAGACTGGCTGCGGTGGATCAATGTCAAACACTGCATGGATGTCTCCGTGGACACTAAACCTCGAGAGGGCCCAGTATGGCGATTCGGCGGGTCTCGGCCCATTGGTATTCTTCCAATCTATTCTTCTGGCACGGTAAGGTCGAGGTTTGTCAGACATCCACAATGTCTTTCTTTCATACCAAGCAATCACCAACAATGTCGGCATATTGAGCGTCCGAACCGCTGCAACGTTGATTTTGTGAAAAGTTCGTTCCGAAACCACCAGTTTCAGCGGAAGCATGATGATCAGTGCGGCGATGTTGAACGGCGGCATATATGCGAATATGGCATCTGACTTCACCCCCTCGAAGGTCAGAACTGCCCGACGGAAAAGAATCTCCTGAATGGCATTGGAGACGATGCTGCTAAACGTGGTGGTCAACATTGAAACCAGGATCGTGAGGAACAGCGTGTTTCCGAGAAAGGCGAACAGCACCATCAACACCGGTCCCAACAGCCAGTGGAAATCGACGGACTCGTCGATACCGGTACCATCGAGCCCGAACCAAATCCAAATCATCCATTTGCCAATTGTGACAGACTAATCATGTTAGATGCTTCCTGAACGAGTCACCCAAGACTTACTGAATGGGCCCCAGCATGCAACCATTTCAGGCTCAACATAAATCCCGCGAAACACCAAACAGCAAGTGCAGTAAGAGTGAGAAAGTCAGACATCATTGCTCGCAAGGAGAGGAACAACATATTCTCCGACATGATGTTGAACGCCAGTCTTGGAATCAAAACTGGCGCTGCACAGCTGAGCACGTCAAGAGCCGTCCGGGCCCACAGGATGGAGTTGTCCTGGTCGTCGATTCGCAAAGCATGGAGTCGAAGAACAAGATATATGATGAAGATGGTGCTGAAAGTGGCATCCAGGAATGACCACAAGTTCTGGGTATAGACACCCCAGCCGTGTTCGAGGATGGAGGCGAATTGATCGAGGACCTGCCCATATTAGCTCAGGCTCTACGGTACAACCATCCGCAACATACCCAGCCAGCAGCGTACAGGTCAAATACGGCCTCAACCGGGGTATATCGCGTGTTCAGCCGACTTTCTCGACCCACCATGAGTGCAATGTACAGTGCAAGTAGAATGACGAATTGGAAGACCTCGATGACATTTCGGATCCGAGGCACAATCAAGCGGTATTGGTTCAGCAGGGGCGCTCTCCTGGGGTCATACAAGGAGATCGGTCTCTTCTTCCAACCATCGGGGATGATGTCGATGAAACTGCTTGGGGTGTAGACCAGTTTACCTCGGTAGATGGCATCCACGACTTTCTGACAAGCACTACTGGCCAGAAAGCTTTTGCTTGCACTCACAATCGCCAATTCGAGAGCAGTCAGCTTCTTTTCGATCTTTTTGCCGCTCCTTCTAGCTGCCCAGTGAATCGGGTGCGTGCTTTTCTGCACGATTTCCGGAGGCGCCCCCTGGAACGGGTCGAAGCCGGCGACCAGTATATTAGCCAGTTTCAGCAGGCCTCGCGGACCAGGGTTGTTTTCATTATATCGACGAAGAACCTTCTCGGCGGCCAGCTCGCACAGAAGCGCACGGGTGAGATTGACTGTCTGATGATGTGTCGCGAAGGACTGCTCACGGATGAATTGCATCCGGTTGACGAGCAGACAGTATACTAAGGCAGGGTCAGTAATAATCTTCACTGTCAGGATGTTGGAATAGTGGCCAGACCGAGCGAAAGGTCCTGTTTCCCGTAGATGGAATCGACCAGAGGCCGAACGACGGAGATGTTCATGCGCGGTGCTTTCAATTGTTCCAGCGAGTACGGGTCATCTGTGAGTGGTTGGTGGTTAGACTGATTGGAGACTTCCTACTTCTCGCTCTCCTGGGTCAGGTCAGCCTTGCTCACCAATGCTGTTGATGATATCTCTCCGAATCCTATTTTCCAGTTAGGTCAGCGCTCTGCACTCTTCACAGCGTCTGCTATCACGGATGGCATGGGGATTGGATGAGGGAACGAGCGCTTCTTACCGGAGAATGTTTTCATAGACATTGCAATCTGCATTCCTATACAGATCTGCCCCTGGAGGCGGCTCGGCCTGATCGCTCGTCCAGGTGCAATGAGGCGGATACAGCCCATCGCTATCGGCGTGATCTTCTTCGTCGTGTTGCGACGCCAGCAGAGCCTCGGTCTCTGTTCTTTGGCTATTCAGGCGGAACTGGCGAGTGAACCCGCGCGAACTGGACGATCTTGAACCGAACGGTGGCATTGTTTGTTACTCTGGCTGATCAATCGCTTATCGAAGTAGTTATGTGTGTGTGTGCATAGTGACATTTGACAAACATCCGATGTCATGTCTATTGATTAGTTCCCCTATACTAGTAGTACCTACCATCCATCTGAACGACTTGAATAGCATGCCATGATATGGATATGGATATGATGCCAGCAAAAAGCAATCATAAACCTGTAGTGCAGTGAGTGTCTCACAAACCGGACTACGTCGTCAGCCGGTAACCGTAATGAGAATGTCATTTTGGGCACTAATAGGATACCGATACCCAGCATACGCCAATCGGAGGGTTGACAGCACTGACACGATAACCTTATCAGACCAAGCTTTTACTAAGCATTGATATCTGGCAAGGCAGATGCTAATTTAAGATGCTCAATGGAGACATAACCACTTACTTACTAGGTACCTTACCTTTGCACACCATCTCACTCCTTGGGAAACGAGGAGTTGAGTGGCCAAAGAAGTGACGTTCGATGCGCTCCTGCCGTTGAGCTTGATCTGTCTCGATACAGACCGGTGCCAGGGGACGAAACGCGTGCGCGAAAGGATGATTCTGATCAGCGTTTAGGACTGAACCAGTATCTTCATCATGGCAATAAGGCGACCTACGAAGACCGACGCTGAGCAGTATACTCGCCAGCTCTCAGGTTGGAATCGGATCGGTTGCCTCCATCGTATTGAAGACTGAGTAATTTGTCATGCGAGAGCTGGACCTGGCGTGTGACTCTGGGTGTAAGACCATGTGGAAGGATCGGTATCGTCTTAAGAGCATCGCATCAGTTCTCGAGGAGTCGATGCTTGTGAGGTAGGCGATGCCATTCCAGGAAGGAAAAAGGATTTGCCGCTCTTGTCGTTTGCAAGACAGTCCCCTCACTCATTTCCAAGGCCGTCGGAAGGGAAGGTGGACAGGTCGAAAAGGGTGACCAGACGTTGAAAGGATATGGGGGCGTCCGTTTCAGACTTCTTTCTCATACAAAGGATTTAGTGCGTTCATTATCATTATTTTAATCAGTCCTGCTCTTCTAGGCCGCCGCTCCCGGGCGGTCTCGGGGGTATTCATCTCCTTCTTCCCCAAAATGCCGCCCATGCAGTGATGAGATAGCTCAGCAGACAAATCGCCTCCCAACATCCTTGAACACATACATACCACCATGATCACACACACCCAATACAATGCAGGATATTTTCCTAATTGCATTCATCAAAGGCAGGGCTAGATGGACTCATCACATCGATTCATCGTAAATCATATCATAACAAGATCATGACAGTAGCAACCACCACCAACACCATGCCGACAGACCATAGGTTCGCAAACGGCCCTCCATCCTGCGCTTCATTGACGACCTGATACACCACACTCGCCGTCTGCGTGGGGGTGGTCACGCCCGGCGAGGTCGACACGACTATTATGACGAGGCCGTTGCTCGTGATGGTCTGGGTCTGTAACCCCGCGGCGGCCGCGGGTGTCGTGGTGGTATACGACGTAACGGTCGTGGTGCCGTAGCCGTAATCGTAGGTCGTGGTGGGTGGGTAGTTGCAGTTGGTGGCGCATTGGTCGCAGCATTCCCAGTAGACGACGGTCGAGGTTACAGGGCAGGGCAGCACCGAAGTGACGGTCACAACGACGTTCTGTTGCGTGTAGCATGTCGTGTAGGTCGTCGAGGGGGTCCAGTATGACCAGTATGATGTTGTGGTTGGGGTCCACCATGCGGTTGTCGTTGGTTCGGGAGTCCAGTAGCCTTGTTCACTGTAAAGCAGAAGAAGAAGGGAGCAGAGAATTAGTGAGAATGCTTCTCCGTGATGATGGGTTTTGCTGATTTTGTACCTTAGGCTGGACACGGTAGGGTAGGGTAGGGTAAGGTTAGGTAGGATTGGATAGGGTAGGGTAATGTAGGGTTGGGTCTCTTCCTGTACAGGTCTTGCACTAGCAGTCCAGAGAGGGATTGGCGAGGCTGAAGTAATAAGTGGTCACGTACTATGTCAAGCCTTGTCCCAGAAGGTTGAGAAAGAGGACGACGGCGGTATTGAAGCTGAGCATCTCGTCGGTATTGCATTCGCATAGAGGTTGGAGCTAGGATATGAAGTAGGTCGTCTCAGCCTGACCAATAAGACACCTTGACGTGAGGACGATGTGTAAGGCAACCCCGACGGTAGGGCATAGAGGGTAACAAGACAGCTTAGTGGCAGGGGTAATGGGGAAAAGGGAATGGGAAACGAGAGACAAAAGCGAGAGTGGACAGAGATGGTAGTGATGGCCGATGGGCAAATAGCGAGAAGTTGAAGTTGTAGAATAGTGGAATGAAGCGATAGGTGCGGCCCTGCCTTAGTTGGCTACCTCAACCTGGCATGCAGTGAGAGACTTCGAGGCTTCTCCAGTTCCGACAGTAAGTAAGAAGGAAGATCTGCGTCAAGCTGCAAGGCGAGGCATCGGTAGTAGTAGTCGACGGCGTTGGGTCTGCGAAGGTACTCTGTACCTCAGCTTGTCTACAGCTAAGCTGTATGTCCCGCAGCTAGGAACCTCGTACACAACGTGGTCGTCAAGCTTCTGAGCCCCAGGGGAAATCGCCTGACTGAGTTCAGCTCCATCCAGCTCTGCGACGAGAGTTCCAGCTTTTTCCAAGATCCAGAAATATACCGCTCGCTACATTCCCGGTTTGTAGCAGCTGCAAGGACCGCAGTAGTGAACGTGGACTCGAGCTTAAGCGACCCCGCTGTCGAAGAAACATGCAGTGAGTCGTGGTTTGCCGTCCGCCCCATGCAAGAAACAAGGGTGGTGGTAGGCTCCTAAAGCCACGGCAGACTCGATGAAAGGTAGTCTTATCTCGACGATGATTGCTCCATGACCTGAGCCGTGATATTTGGCGCCATATGGGATAGGCTGGTTGCTAGTAGGAGACTTCTGGCGACCATGGTTTGGCCTGGTCAGCCCAATCAGGGTGCCATCTGCCATCGGTTGACTTCCTCGGTGGCTGGAAGCTACCGTCCCACCTAAGACAAAACCAGGATGAGCAGTCGAGCATGCAGTGTCTCGCAGGACGATGCAGAGCTGCAGCTTGACTCCAATCAAGTCCCCCGGCTGGTGTTGGAAGCTTGCGCGTACTCTGTACAAACACGAGGTCTAGACGACAGTGGTTTGGCGAGTGGCGTGGGTCTGGTCAAGCCCGTGTCCGTCTCTTTCGAAGTCCGTGGTGATGGATCAAAGCACAGAAGACAAGCTGCAAGATGATGTCAATGTTGATGAACTACTACCCACAGAGTAGGTCCATAGTCTGTAGTCTGGTCCATCGCGGGAACTAATATTTGAGATGGAGACGCGGCGAGTCAGCAAATTGTTGGCATTGGTGTTGATACTAGGTACGTACTCTGTACTGCGAAAGTGGGTTGGGGGTTTGTTCGGCCGCCGAGGATACCAACGATACTAGGTATCTACTTGGTAGGTAGCCTTTCCGGATGCCAGGTATTTCCACAGTCTTCTATGTGTCTAGTATGTGGCTTGAGTTCCTCCACACTACTATAGTCGTTGTTGCAACGAACCAGACTCAAGGAGCACTTGCACCGATGGGAATATTGACGCCCGATATGCCATCCGACTCCTGACCCAACAGCCAGACAATAGTGTCTGAGACTCGCTCGGGCTGAAGCAGTGTGATGCCGCGTTTGGCCATATCGGCCACCGCCTCTTCCTCGTTCTTATACCACTGCAGAGACATTCCAGTCTTTGTCGCGCCTATATAGAAGTGAAACCCACTTGTCAGAACCTATGGTTCGTTCCGTCTGATAATGAAGACCTGGGCGGTTCCTTTCACTTACTGGGAGAGACGGCATTCAGTCGGATGCCCAACGATTCCAGCTCCTTCGAGACCGTGGTGGTGAGACTAACGACCGCTGCTTTCGTGACACAGTACGACAGAATTGTTGGATCGTGGAACAAACTGGCCGCGCTGGCCACGTTGACGATGCTTCGGGGTGCCTTGGGCAGATCCATCATGGCCTTGACCTCGGCTCGCATACAATACAGGACACCGTTCAGGTTGATGCCGACCACTCGATTCCACGTTTCATCCGTCTCATTCAGAAACAGGGGTGGTGTCTGCTCTGATGTGCTGCCCTGGTTGATGACACCGGCGCAATTGACTGCTCCGTCCAGGGCGCCGAACGTGTTCACCGTGTCTTGGATCCACGCGTTGACCTCTTCGCTCGAAGAAACGTCGACTTTGGCGGTCAAGACTTGCAGGTCGGGATTGATGTCCAGTAACGTCTTCTTCGCATCTTCGAACAGGTTTGGGTTGACGTCGCCGATAGAGACGGCGCGGGCTTTGAGTCGTGCCAGCTGGCAACATGTATTCAAACCAATCCCTGACGCCGCTCCGGTAAGTGCAAATACCTTGCCGGCAATGGATGCCATGCTGCTAGGCCCGGTAATTTGAGACGCCGTCGGGCTGTTGAATGACAGGCGAGTGAGTATCCTGGTATACAGTTCTTGTTAACGATCGGATGTGGATCTCCGCAACAGCGCCGGAAAAGGAGGGAGATGTGACAGATGAATCGCGCCCAATACTTATCGCCACAAGTTGTCAGTGACAAGGTCGTAAACCTCCCATGTGTCTCTTATGAGAGGGACAGGTTATTAACTCGCGAGGTGACAGCAGATTGCATCTTCGTGCAGTGTTGCTCGAATGCATGCCACGTTGCAGTCTCTAGCTTCATGCAAGATAACCAGCTGTCACTTGTGTCAACAGCCCGGCCGAGCGCCGATAACGACATCCGCGGCTTAACAACATAATGCCAGTGGCGCGGACTGATACGTGAGGCAGAGGAGATCTCAGTGCATTTGCTCGAATACCGAGAACAACTGAGACGAGGTACTGTCAGGCATATGAACGGACGAGGCTGACCAGTCACAATCGCTCTGACGGGTTCACCAATGGCAGATCCAGCTGTATCGAAGAAACAAACAATCAGTCTACGCGAACAATGGCATGCACAGAGTACTTGATGTATCGTGACTTCATTTCGCCTATGGAGTGCAATGCAAACAATCACCTGGCCCCTATGCTCTACTGGCCAGCTCCTCTTCCAGCACCAGCTCCGGCGCCAGCTCCGGCGCCTCCACCCATGAACTGTTGCGCTCTGGAAAACCCCATGTCAGCAATAGTAACTCCAAGGAAAGAGGTAGTACTCACAGATTGGCAATGTTAGGGTCCTGCATCATCTGTTGGATGGAACTCATGTCTGGCATGCCACCGCCGCCACCCTCTCGCCGGCCTTGCATCATGTTTTGAATCGTAGGGTTGTTCATGATACCACTCAAGGCATCGGGGTTCCGCATCAGATTCTGCGCCATGGATGCAAACATGGGGTTGTTCATGATGCTGGAGAGATCGGGCATGCCGCCGCCTCCCCCGGCGCCACCTCCACCAAGCATACTTGCCAGTCCTGAGAGATCAGGCATCCCACCTCCGCCTCGGGTGTTGCCTGGAGCGTCGTCGACTTCGTCCTCGGGGATCTTGTCCTCTTCGGCTTCCATTCTAGCCAGCTCCTTCTTGGCAGTCTCGAGTCCTTTCCTCATGGCCTCACTTCCACCATTACCTTCAAACTCGATCCCTTTCTCGTATGCTTCCACGCTCCCTTTCGCGTCACCCAGGGCAAACCGCGCCAGACCTAACCTTGACCACGCCTTGGTATATTTTGGATCGGCCGCAACGGCTAGCTCGGCATCCTGCACTGCCGACGTGTGATCGCCAAGCGCCGAATATGCGGCCGCGCGGTTGGACAGATAGATGGGGTTCGTAGGAGCATACTTGATGGCCTCGGTGTATTTGGCAATGGCAGTCTTGTAATCTTTCTGCTGCATTGCAGCATTTCCGGCACTCTTGAGTTTGTCGGCCTCGGGATTAATCGCAGACGTTGTTGAGGGTTTGGGAGCCGATGTTCCGCTGGAGGCACCGGTTCCCTTCAATTTCTCATAGACGGAAAAGATGCTGAGCAGGGATTGAGATCCGACTGCTTCAGATATGGCTGATTTGTCATTTGGGTCGACCTTGAACGCTTCAGCGATACAATTCGTGGCGACCTCAATGTTGTCCGCATCGTCAGAGGTGAGGGTGCCATCTTTGAGAGAGGCCGACAGGAAGTCAATGATTGAGAGCGCCAGTCGTTTTTGGGAGTCTGAGGGTGGCTGTGCACGGTCAGTAGCTGTTCGCCTTTGACGAACACACACTTACCATTTTGATGACTATGGATACGTTTGTGAGGTAGTGTGTAAGAGTCGTGAATTGAATGAATTGAGGGTCGACTGCGTTGCGTGTATGTAAACAGTTGCCAGCCGGTAGGCAATCCTAGTATGATGTAGGCAATATCTTATCACCTTGGCGGCTCCAGAAGTTTCGCCCCAAAGCAGGGTTCTGACCAAATGACGGCTTGATAGGGGTGATGACAGTGTTAATCAGGCAGCACTTTTACCACTATTTCCTCGTCAGACAGCAATTATATCACTCCACTTCAAGTTGACACCTTTGACTTTCGAGATAGAGAAATTCACCCTTCACTTTTCTTCTTTTCAATCCTCCTCTCTAAGCAGGCTTCAGGCATATGCGCAAAGCAGAGAAGACACGTGGCACATCAGAAGCTGCATGTTGGATCCTGCAGCGCATCGGCAGCTCATGATCACACCCTGCAAACCATCGGACTTTTGATATGACCAGACGGGGCTTTGAGTACTTCTGATGATTCACGCCTTGCCGACGTCTGGTTGGCCTGCTCATCCTACTAGTATGTGGGTAATTGATTGACCCTGCATGGTCTGTGAAAGCATCGATTCCTACCATCCTGGTGGAATCTGGACAGGTTTCTAAAATCTCAAGAAAGTGACAGCTGAAGAGCAGCTGAAAACCAGAAATGCAATGCTGACAGTGACTACTTGGCCACGCGCTCAACCTTAAAGGTGCTGTGATGCTAGGGACACGGCCTCGCAATTCCAAAATAGATACAGGAAATACATCGAGAGAACCTGGAAAGATTGCGAGCCGATGCTCCGCTGGAGGCGACAATTCTGAGAGCCACCACCTGTGCAAGACTATGATCTTGGATGGCGCGGTTTGTGTCTAGGTCGGAAGGCTGAAGCGGCTTACCGAATCTCCAGGACTTGGTCCCGACGGATTGGTGTTGTCTTGGTTATCTAAGTGAGTATATCTGCAGATGGCCACAGCCCGGGAGTCTCCATTCACATCAGCAGCATGATTGTCAAGTGGGCAACGGCAAATCGACCGAGATGCTACATGCTATATCATTCTGTGGTTTCTCAAATGGACTTTATCCTTACTCACCTGCCAGTACAAATTTTGATTAATTTAGGATGCTCTCAAGATGCCCGCAGAACGATACCCAGGAACGGAACGAAACTCGGATTTCTAAGTCGAAACTCCTACGTAAGGCTCCAAGCTCGTACGTATTCGAAATCGACTTCATATTCGTACTCCAGGCTTGCTTATTTCCTCCACACCAAGTGTTGCTTTCTTCGCGTTTCCGATGATACCTTCGAGTATGGCCAAACTTTCGGGACGTAGACAAAATCTCATGCCGGGTCGAATCGTGTTCACTATATGGACAGCATGTGCGACCGACTCCCTGAAGTTGAGCTCATTTTTTCCAAGCCACGCGCTGTCGAAGACTGCCCTTGTTTCAAATGGCTACAATATATATAAATATGTGTTCCTGAACTGGCGACCATGGGTGACACCACAGAGTTGAAGACGAATTCAAAGATGATCCATTCCCAAGGCTGAAATACTGGGTCTGCTTAAGGAGCTCGGTAAGGGCCGAAGCTAGTGACCGGAGTGGCTGGTGCCTTTGGGGGCCAATCCGATGGCTGGGGTGGTTCAATGACATGGCCGCAAGGTATCAAACGCCAGCCTCGTTGTGTGCTTACTCTAATGTCATCACGGACAATCCCAACGTGCAAACTCATCTTATTCCATTGGTGATCGCCATTTGGAGTGTGCACGGTCTGTGAAGGACTCGCTATGATACACTAACTATCTACTCCCTATATCAGCCCTTCGTCCCTGGTTCGCGATGCCACCTGTCATGGATCTCATGCGTCGCACACTCGACCCAGCTGAAACATCAGACGCTTTCCGGTCTCAATGGAAACACCCTGGTGATGTTTTCTCCGTCTTGCTGATCTTAGGCGGTGATGTAGTCGGTCGTGCTCTCGCTCAACTTGCTGGTACTTCCATTACCCCCGTGGCATTCTCCTTTGGTGAGTGTCTTGGGTTCTGAAATGGTCCTGCAGTCGCCTGCTGACCCACGACTCAGGATGGGTGGCATATGGGGTTTCCGCGGTTGTCTCTGCAGTCGGGGAAAACAGACTGATGCCCCTTCCAGACTGTAACTGCCAAGTCATCAATGGCAGGTCGGGCTATGTGCGCGGCAATACCAGCTGGATCATCGGGCGGATCGTGCGAGATTTCGACAGCTGGATGGACGACAGAGTGCGAGCGAAGTTAGACCAGATCCTTGCAGATCGCTGGGAGCACGACAAAGCCAAGGTCGTTAATGTCGAGCCTGGCGCAAACGTGAAGAAGCCCGCCCAAGCTGGTCTCTGCATATCGATCTACAACGCGGGGCAAGCGGTCAAGGGATACCCTGGCTACGACCTCGTCTACTGGATGGGCTTTGCCACGACCGTCGTCCAACTCGGCATCGCTGCCATTCCCTGCGCCATCTTCGGCGATTGGGGTATCCTTCTGGTTACTGTCGCGGGTATCCTCCTGTCCTTCGCCACTGGCAGTCTGCCGCAATGGTGCAAGGAGAAGTGGGCATGTCGACAGAGGTCTTCGAAGAATATTATTTTGACCAGAGGCAACGGAAGCCAACACGCCATCGTCGTTCTGGGCAACGGCAAAGGATTCGATCTGGAGGACCTTGCCGCCGGTCAGACCAACGTCGATGTCTCGGCCTCGTGGGGAACCAGGATCGTGATGAGTATTCTGGCGACCCTCTGGATTCTCTTGCTGCTGACTGCAGCCGGCCTCAAGCGGAACACCTGGTTTCTGCTTGCCATTGGGGGCGTTGGCATCGTCCAGAACGTTTTCGTTGCCGGTTACAGAAGGTTCCCAGAAGCATATGGGATTCCACTGACTCTGGAAGACGTCATTGGTTCCCACAAGGTTATGGATGCGCTCTTTGCTGTCGAGGAGAAATACCCTCATCTCGGGGCGAGTATGAGAGACACTTTCTTTCCTGGAAAACTGCGTCCGGATGAAGAGAGGAGATGGCAGCATCTCGCAGTGGAAGCGAATGCAAAGGCACATTCGCAACATGATGTCCACACTCCGACTAGTGCTGGTGGTGCACTCGGAAAGGCTTTCGATAGCCATAGTGGCCGGCGTACTAGCACTACTACCGCGGCTGTAGGCACGGCCTCTGGTATCAACAGCGACAAGCGACCGGCCACCGGTTGATCGAGATGAAGTCGGAAAACTGTGTTTTGAGTCATGAACGGGCGATTTATACCCATTGGTTCCGGCAGCGATGATCTTGTGTCTTGTGATATTACGACATTTCACGATTCAGGATGAACATTTATACCGACACGGCATGGACAAAAGTACTGAGCGATTTCTTGGATGGCACAGATTGTGATCCGACTGGATACATTAGTTCATCGGGTCCTCTGAACCCCGGGATCAAAAAGCGTATATGGTTCCTCAGGCTGTTTTGGATAGCCTATAAGGCTGGAATGCAAATGGATGATTTGAATTCTAGGTCGTGATCTGACATCGACTCTGGCTTCTTGCTATGCAGCTGTCTTTATCCCTGTACCACGACACTCCTGATATCCTGCAGCGTCTGTCCAACGAGCTGCGTCCGTATCTGATCCGCCAAACCCGAGGCTTATGCGAAGCCCCTTAGGCTGGTGTTCTCCTTGCCCGCTTTGCCATAGTGCCCATGCAAGTTGCCAGTACATTTTCGGCCAAGTTTCAGCACTCACAGATCAAGAGGGGCGGTACATTGGCGCCACCAGGAGTCGGAGTATCCCTTTGGAGACAGTCTCGTTCGGGGCCGGAGTCAAATTGCTGATGTCTTGCGCCGTTTCAAGTGCGTAGCTGGTACCTCAGTAAATCATGCTTGAGCACCATCTCCTTCTTGGCGAGAAACTCATCGGCATCCCAGGCCACGCTGATGAATCTATCATTCAGCCTAATATATACATCTTGTCAGTCGATCGACGCCCCCCTTTTCGTGATGCGAAGGTGAAGCGAGGAATTCGACTTACCATTCTCGCTTCTCTTTTGTTAACCAGACAAACATATCGCCCGCTAGTTCCGGCGTATCGTAGAAGTGCTCATACATATACTTCGGCATACCCCGAGCCAAGTCTGTCTCGACACTTCCAGGGTGTACGGTGTAAACGAGAAGCCTTTGGTCCGCATACTCAGCGGAGAGGAAATTGTTCAGTCGTATCACGGTATTTTTGCTCGTCTGGTATGCACTGGCCCCGGCCCTGGCGCCAAGAGCGCCCCTGCTGCTTACGGTAATGACGGTTTTGTCGCCGTTCTCGGTCTCCAGCATTAGTGGGATCAAGGCGCGGTCCATCAGGTACACGCCCTTGACGTTGACTTCGAAGGCCTTCCACCATTCGTTGACGTCGGACTCCACGATCGGCTTCCATGGCTCGAGATAGCCGGCGTTGTTGATCAGGATGTCGAGACGGCCGAATTCGGTCCGGACCTTGTCCGCTGCTGCTTGGACTTGTGTTTCGTTGGTCTGGTCGGCGGCCAAGGTGAGGATCTTGGGCTGTGCACGGCCCGCCTTCTCGGCTGCTGTGTGCAGTTCAGGCACAAGAGATGACAGGTCGGAGCGGGCGAGTATGGCAATGCCGGATGCTCCTGCTCGGGCGAATGACATGGCTGTCGCTCGACCGATGCCCTTCGACGCCCCGGTGATGAGAACATATTTGCCGGAAAGATTCGCGTTCAATGGGTCGATGGTTGGGTATGTGTCGTTATGGATGGTCGGGACGAAGTTGATGACTGGAAGGAGGTCAGTATGTCGTCACTTGCAACAAGACTCAAAGAGAAGGGGGGTTTCACCTCGGTTTACGTCCGTTGCGACTGAAGGCGCCATGGTCGCGGTCGTATTGCTTGATGTAGTTCGTCGTCGGCTGTATTGGGATCGAAAGTAGAGAAGGGCAGGATTAGGTCAAGGAGGTTTGGAATGGAATCTACTACGTATATATATGGGCTTCCACTGCTCCTACCCACCTACCTGAATAGATTTCGACCTTAACCGGTCTGTGCATGGGACCCGTGTGTTTTATCGAGATGAGGCTGTCTGAGCGGGATAACACCGAGTCTATCTCCGACAATGAATATACGACAGCTCATCTTGCGGCGTGTGTTCATGAGGAAGGATCTGGTGCATCTCCATGGTGGATCAGTCATTGTGTTGTAGAGCATAAGTATGGAGTAGGTAAGGTACATGTACCTAAAAGACTGCAAGTTCTGTCCCACCCGATTTCCGAGAAGATCCGTGTTATACGAGAAACGGCAATGATCGTCCTGGCTCCACGTTGCACGTGTGAGCACACCGAGGACCGTATCACGTGATTGTGGTAAAGCAGCATGAGTGTAGCTTGGCCACTAGTCCCTTCTCAGGTATCCGACGTTCATCCAGCACTTGAAGGGAAAGTTGGTCATCCGCTTATTTGGCTTCACCACGATCCTTCAACAAGTCTTTCCTCAGATCCTGCACTAGGAGACTGCACCTTGGAGAGCTCGCGTCGGCGATGAGATGTCTGTAAACAAAGATGGTCCCCGTTGTTGAGCTGTCAAGTTATGTATTGGCCATGCAGTGTGCCTCAAGTCTCAGCATATCATGGCCCCCAACCAGAGACAGAAGTCGACAACGGCGAGAAGGGAACCGTACGCGTCAATGAAACCCATGATACAACTGAAAAGACAGAGGCCAATGGGGATGCTGCTGGAGTGGCCAATACGATCCTCGATCTGCAAACGGCGCGCAATGATCACCTCTTCGCGACAATCACTGCCTCCAGACTAGATCTATGGTGCACTCGCCCAGTGGTCTTACTTGCCTCGTTGTCTAGATCAACGAATTCACTCCAGACCTATGGCAGCAACATATCTGTGGTGTTCAAGCCAGATTCAAGTACCATTATGCTGCGGACCACAGGGAGTTATTTGATTGTGTATTCGGTTGAAAGTGACCCAACCGCGCGAGTCTTGCAACAGCAATATGGATACAGTCAGGCAAAACGACAAAATCTCATGCGGAGTTTCGGAGTGGATGATACTGCGGGTGTCGGCGAGGTCCTTCTTCGGTTTCGACGCGCCATCAAGATCGATGCGGGTATTAACTCTGTCGTGGCACTGGATGCGGAATTGGTGGTGGCGACGACGAAGCCTGCCGCTGTGCAGTGTATCAAGTGGGAACCGCCTAAGGATGGCCCTCATGCTGCAGCTCAACTACTGACCAAGATGGACTGGATTGGTCATAAATCTGCCATATCAATCATGGTCCATGATCGGGCAATGAATCTCTCAGTCTGGCTGTCGCAGGACGGATATGCCTACGCAGTTCAGCGAATCAGGCCTCAACTGCCTAGGTCCACATCCTCATCCGACTCTCTTCCCTCGTCGAGGTCTTCCACTACTCCTTCAACACGATTGTTTGACGGCTACTGCTTCCATCAGCCAGATACCTGGGGGGAAGCGCGGCTTGCGAGCATTAATGCGCGCTTCTCACTGATTGCTATCGCCACGTCTGGTGGTGAGATAATTTGCTATGCCGCCAAAGACTACGTAGGCAACATCCCATTGTCTCACACATTCAAAGCATCTACTTCACCCTCATCTCGGGGCCTCGTGACACACCTTACTTGGTCACCGGACGGCTACTCTCTCTTCGCCGGCTACGACCGTGGATGGTCGATGTGGTCGGTATTTGGAAAAGAAGGAGCTTCAAGTTTCCACCTAAACTTGACCCATGCAGAGTCAAACAATGAAAGATGGCTGCTCGCCGTCCAACGGGCGAGCTGGATCAGCGGTGGCGGAGAAATACTAATCACATCGCCGCATGAAGAGACGATATGGAAGCTTGATATGTCGCGCAGTGCAGCCATAGGCTGCTTTTCATGCGCAAATCTTGTCCGTGCCCTTCTCCAGACACCTACCGAGTTAACAGTCTACCGGGGTCACGAGCTTCCAGACTTGACGTCCATCTCAAACGAGGCTTCACTATGGCATCATGCGCAGTATCCTCCAGTCTACCTCCACAACCAGTGGCCTATAAAGTCCTGTGTTGTTTCACAAGATGGCAGATACATCGCCATTGCAGGTCGTCGAGGGCTCGCCCATTACAGCCTACAAAGCGGACGGTGGAAGACATTCGCCGAGTCTGCGGTGGAAAACTCATTCGCCGTCCGCGGGGGAATGTGCTGGTTCAACCACATCCTCGCCGTGGCCACTGAAAATGCCGCAGGCTATGATCTGCGTCTCTACTCGCGCGAGCTCGAGCTTGGCCGATTTCCTCTGCATACAGAAGCCTTCTCCATGCCCATCGTGTTCGTTGGACCATCAGGCGAAGATTCCCTGCTGGTGTATACGTACGAGAACATCCTCTATCATTATATCCTCAACATCACAGCCCGAGGCGCCCAGCTCGTGCAAGTGGGCCAGATTGCATTCCACGGGATCGTACGTGCACCGAGTCGCGTGCGATCGGTAAGCTGGGTCCTCCCTGACTCTCAACTACGAAACGGCGATCCTTCGCGAGATGTGGAGTTTGCCTCGGTGCTGTTTCTGGTCGACGACAAACTGGTTCTGCTGCAGTCATCGCGCAATGATCAGGACGAGTTGAAATACGACATGCGCGTCATTGCCCAGCATGTCGAGTACTATATCCTGATGCGCGACCAGATCTACTTCAATTTCACCGGGCCCGAGGAATCTGCGCCTCCGACCCCGTCACCCGGGGCAGGGTTCAACAACATGCGCAGACAACATCAGTATTCACTACGGGACTCTTTGTGGATTTTCAGCGGCGACGAGCTTCGTCTCTGGCCTGACGTTCGCGAACTGTTCAATCACGCAGCCGACGGAGATCTGAGCACATCTCCGCTGCTTTCGATGTCCGTGGACTTCTACCCGCTATCCATCCTCTTGACCAAAGGCGTTGTGCTGGGCATCGAATCCGAACTCCTGCAACGACGCGACGTCAACTTCGCCCAATTCCGATCCGGAATCCGGACACAGCTTTTCCTACCCTACATCCTACGCCACCAATTGTGCGAAGCGAAAGACACGGCCGCGGCATTTGGCCTGGCGAACCAGTACCAGCACCTATCATATTTCCCACACGCACTGGAAATTCTGCTACACCACGTCCTTGACGACGAAGTGGACCGGACCAGAAAAGCAGAGCGGATACCCAACAACAATGACAACGACAACCAACAGGTGAATGACGAACCGTCTCCAGGCCCGTTGCCGGCAGTGCTATCATTCCTGCAATTAGTCCTCCCTCCCACGACCTATCTGTCGACTTTGGTCCAATGCATCCGCAAAACAGAGCTGAGTTCCTGGCGGACATTATTCGCCCATCTCCCGGCCCCACTTGTGCTGTTCGAGCAGGCGCTCGAATTGGAGGACCTGAAAACAGCCACGGGGTTCCTGATTGTACTGCAAGGTCTCGAAGAGGATGACGAGTCAGATACGTACGACGCCCGCAAGTTCGAGGGCTATGTGGTGCGGCTGATGAAGCTGGCACGGCAGAAGTCGGACTTTGAGCTTTGCTCGGAACTGGCGCGATTCATGATGGGCATTGATCCGCGAGGAGAGGCGCTGCGAAGGGTCATTGTCGGGGTGGGCTTCGGGCGGAAACCAACGCATCTGGCCCCGGCGCGAAGTGTGTCTGGGTCGTTGGTTATTTCTCCTAAGCAGAAGAAAGTAGAAGGGAGCGCTGAGGCGGGAGGAGAGTCCAGAGCACGTTCTGGGGGTGGCGGAGATTACTTTTCTCCGTCGCCTGGTGGATTTTGATGGCACTGGCTAAAGTACGACGAAAGATAGATGTTAAACCTCTTGAATTCCTGATATCTGTATACCTTCCAAACGTGCATCCTCTGTTGTGTTCCCACCCTATCACAAGCCATGATGAAGTCGTGCTGTGCCGTTTTGTCTTCAATACCGTGTGTGCGGCGCAGAGTCCAGACACGCCCCTTACGACAGTGCATCGCACGCCGCACCGACCCCTACAGGTATGGACGGGAGACGGCAGATGGCAGACGGCCGTCAAATAACGCTGTCGTTGTTTCTTCGTACCCACTGCACTCCATGTCTGTAAGTATACAGGCCAAGCCACAGAAAAGCGTACAAGCTCGACTCCTCCAGAGTAATCTCAACCTCAGAGCGTATAAGCACAAGCATGGTTTCTGACCTCGTTGTATCTGTATCCCATTCCCAGACACAGCGAAGAAAATTGTACATACAACCATCCAGCCAAGAGTGATGAAACAAATGGTTCAACCCAGCCTTCTGACCTTCCGACTTCTGGTCCCGCCAAACTTCAGGCGCGTGGCATCCGTGACCTTGGAGACCAGCGGCTTGATCATCCTCCCCTCGGTCCCGAGCAATGCCTTCTGAAACGCCTCTCGCCCGGGCCCATATCCTCTCATAATGATTTCTATGCCAGCCCCTCCACCCATGGCGCCCGGTTTGCGGATGTCCGCCAGCGTCATCATCTGGTTATGGGTCGTCTTCTTGCCTCCGACTCGCCACTGCTTCTCGGCCATCTTGCGGAACGTGTACGCGGCCAGCTGGAACGAGGCGTCGTACGAGCTGCGCTGCGCTTTCCGCAGGCCCAGGTTGCCTGTGGACAGCGAGATGATCGGGTTCCGCGACGGCTCCGTGAACGTGATGTGCGTGTTGTGCTTGTGCGCGTAGACGGTGATGTGGTACGGCTCGTCGGCGGAGACGCGCGCGCTGGGTCGCGTGGCCGCTTCGTCTCGTGCGCTTCGTGCAATTGAGCGAAGGTCGCCCGTCAACAGGGAACTCAGGCCCGAGCGCTGAGCGTTGTCGCTGGATGGAGAGGTTGTCGAGGTCTTTTGCGGTCTTCGGAGCGCTTCGGCGATCTGGTCGAGAGCCTGGGGCTCCTTGGGAGGCGTCTCAGGTTCGATTCGGATTCCAAGCCGTTCGGCGAGACTGCTGGGCTCCTGGCTGCGTGTGGTGTTGGAGGCACTGCGTCGTGTCTGTGCCATGTACGAGCGTTGACATGACCGACACATGGACGTGAGGATGCTGGGGCGAGCCATGGCGGTGGCCAGGAGGAGGGTGAGCTGTGGATAGTGAATACTCAACACAGTCAATTGATCAGTCGTCGACAGCAAAGCTACAAAGATTCCTCAGTACGTACTAAAAGTACAATTTGATGCGGCCGTTTGTTAAGTGGCTGCTAACCCGTTCTCACAGCAAAAGACGGAAGGTTAGCCGAATGCTCTACCACTTTTCTAGTCGCTGCTATTCCGCCTCTACAACCATGAACAAGCTCAGTCTCAATTTTTCCCACGACGGTCAACGCCTTCTTTGTCGACCCCGTTTGTCAAGATTCCCGCCCATAGCATGGTTGTCCCGTGTCGCGCACCAGTGTACGGTGTCCGTCAGTATGTGACAGCCAGTGCGCCTGTCGCCACATTACCATTACGAGCGGCGCAATATGGACGAACAGCAGCCTCCCGGAGATTGAACTCACCACCGACTCAGTCGACGCCTCTATCCTCTTCCTCATATCTCACACCTTTCTCTCCTAGACTGGCATTGTCAAGCTATCCTCTTCTACGATCTCTACATACCTCCCCCCGGCAATACCAGCAAGCACAACCAAAAGAAAACCAAAAGCAGGACGTACGAGATCCGCCACGGGACGAGAAACCCGAGCAGGAGGCTGGTGAGGGATCTGAACAGAAGAAGGATGAGGCGAAGGACGAAAAGTCGGAGAAGGACTCAAAACCTCCCCCACCGCCTCATGGAGACAAAACTCCGTGGCAGGTTTTCACCGAGACACTCCGAAACGAATTCAAAGCATCGAAGGAATGGAACGAATCCACCAAACAGCTCTCTGGCTCAGTCCAACAATTCACAGAGTCTGAAACGGTACGGAGGGCGCGAGAGGCTTCAGAGGCCGCCTCCAAGGGAACCTCGCAAGTCCTGAAAACCACCGGTCGTGCCATTGGCAAAGGTGCAGCCTGGACCTGGGACACAAAGATGGTTCAAGGAATCCGCCAAGGCGTAAATGCGACTGGTCGGACAATCGAGAAAGCAACTCGCCCGGTTCGAGAGACAAAGGCATTCAAGGATATCACTGAAGCCGTTGACGATGGAGCCAGCACAAGGTACGGTGGCTGGATAGAGAAAGAGGAGCGCCGCAAGAGAAGAGAAGCCTTGAGGTTGAAAGAGGAAAGGGAGGGCACGCGCGCTCCGGCCGAGCCTATGGTCGAAGATCCAAAGTAAGTGAAGCATACAACCCGCAGAGTCGACTTGTCTAACATCTCGCTAGTGCTGGCACGAACATCACGATCCACAAGGACGCGGCGTGGAAGGAGTCCTGGAACAAATTCAAGGAGAACTCGAAACTCATGCAGGGGCTGTTCAATATGAAGACGACGTACGAGGAGTCGGAGAATCCGTTGATCTCGACGGCACGGTCAATTTCGGACCGTGTGGCCGGATTCTTCGCCGAGAACGAAACGGCAATGGTGATCAAGAAATTCCGCGAAATGGACCCGTCGTTCCAGCTGGAGCCATTTCTACGAGAACTGCGAGAATACATCCTCCCCGAGGTCTTGGACGCATATGTCAAAGGCGATGTGGAAACTCTCAAGCTCTGGCTGTCGGCAGCGCAATTTCAGGTTTATTCCGCTCTGATGGAACAATACACTAAGGCTGGATTGAAATCAGATGGGCGGATCCTGGATATCCGAAATGTCGACATCTTGAACGCCAGACTCTTGGAGCCCGGCGACATTCCTGTCTTCATCATCACCTGCCGTACGCAAGAGGTACACGTTTATCGCAATCAGAAAACCAACGAACTCGCTGCTGGGATGGAGGACAAAGTCCAACTGGTCACATATGCCATCGGCATGACGAGATTACCTGAAGAAGTCAACAACCCCGAAACCCGTGGGTGGAGGATGATTGAGTTGCAAAAGGCCGCCAGAGATTACATCTGATGGAAGAGCCTTCTCGAGTCTAAAGGACGACGAAGGGTTTCGAGATGAGATGGAGATCGTGTGTGTGTTCCTGCATTTAGCGAGCATTCGGGACCGGAAAAGAAGAATGCCTTTTTTGCCGCTGTTTCTCTCACGTCTTTTTCTCCGTGGGGAGGCCACTTTCCCCAGCAGTGTCCACTGTTGCTGAATGGGCGGCGGTCTGGATATTTTCCCCTTGCGATGTATTTCTACTCTTGTCCGGAGTTTGACGAGGTCAGGTTGGGTCGGGTCAGGTGCGAAACGGATGCATCCGACGGACGTGACAGGACCGGACGAGAAGTCTGACGGCTGCTAACATGTCCAGCCTTTGGTGACTTGTGGTTGTCTGAGAGAACTCCGCTACCGCTTGTCGGGCGAAGAGTCGAAATGACCAGAATACAAATAATTCTTCTCTCGATCAATCGTGGAGTCTTGTGCCCTACTATGTTCATCTCATGCCGTCTCCTCTTACGTGGCCGAACTGTAGAGAGTTTTAATGGTGGAGGATCAAGGTCGACAGTGACTACTGTTTATCTTAGGTATGAAGAACGAAGCGACGAAAAGGAAAAGCATACAGGTACCTCTGTGATAGGTACTATCTGGCTGCGATGATGGCTGCCCTGTGCAGGTTGGTTACTCGACGTCATCTATACACGGGGCTGTCTCTCGCACGTGTCTGGCTGGTGACTGCAGTGCCAGTGATATCGTGTGACCTGACATTTAACCTTCACGCTTTACCACTCTCAGCCATGTCTAGCCTTTCCCTTCCCTCGCTTGACGACAACGACGTCATCGCGCAATGTCACCCAGAAGCCAGGCATCAACAACTTGAACCCAACACGCGGCTAGAAGAGAGATACCTTATATATGACAACGGGCAACCAAAGTCCTCGCAGGTACTATTCGAATGTTCCTCCTCCGAGTTTTAAACCTCAATCCGTGACCAAATCTACCTTTCTTCATACCATCCAATCCCTAACCCTACAACAATCCACAATCATGCCTCTCGTCGTCCCCGGCATCAACTCCAAAGACTCCGGTTCCGGCTCCGGCACGGATTCCTGGATGACCAAGCTGATGGGCAAGACACTTGCAGACAAGAGCGACGAGACGAGTTTCGCGAAGAAAGATCTGCCTCAGAACCACCGCGTCGTTGAAGAAGGCGGTTTCTTGACCATGGACCACAATCCTGACAGGTTAGTTTATTGAAATCTTCTCTTTCTTCTTCGCTGTCTCTTTCGGGAAAGACTGACAGAACGAACAGACTCAACGTCCATGTTGACAAAGACGGGACTGTCAAGAAAGTCACTAAAGGATAGAGGTCGATCCGAAGTACCGCTATATGTACATGTACCTCGACTGTCCTTCGAGTCCTTCCTACCTCTCAGAGGGTCACGTCCAGTACACCCACTATATTGTATGACACACACCACCTGCACTCTTTCTCCAACGATCACATTACGACATCCATATATGACTATGGGAAGGCTTGCTTGAGGAGACGTGAAGTTGACTTCTCCTCTTATGAAAGATGAAATGAGCTTGCGGACAGGGGCATGAATACCAATTATTGCAATTACAGTTGAGCTACAATCCAACATAGAGCAAGAAACCAACTGCAAGAAACCAACTTCCAACTCTTCTGCTGCAATACGAACAACAGAGTCTGTGAAGTCCTGTGCTTGTTGTATTTCTATTCCCACCCTATCTTTATCTCTTTGTCTCTCAGCGGTGTGAGGACTTTCCTTGGGGTATCACTTGGGTGCTGAATCAAAGTGTCGCACTGGGCCGGACCAGACCAGAGATGGTATCTTGAACGAACATACAATGCCACTCCCCTCCTGCCAAATCAAGAGTGGGACCAGCGTTTGACCCCTTCGCTGTAGCTCCCATCGATGGATAAATGGAGACACCGACACGCCAACACAACGACAGTATCATCACACTTCCTTCAACGCCCTGAGCGCTCTCTGCATGCATTTCAACCGTTCTCGTTCCTTGACCACCACATTCCTTGCTAGTCGTTTGATCTCATCTCTACCCCACTCTTCGCGCCAGGTAGTCCAACCAGCCAACTCGCCAACCACAACTTCTTGCGTGTATCTCAACTCCTTGCCTAGTCGTTCGATGTCCAACCCAGCCTGCACGATCTTCTTCTCTGTGTCTTTGGCAGTCTTGGCTCGGTTTTCTTCCGTGCCGGGGAAATTGATGTTCATGATCCCTTTGCGCGGGGTGGCGTTGTTGGCGAGATTGGATTTGTACTTGTCCAGGGCGCGCTGCGTGGAATAGATCTGGCCGACCAAGGTGCTCGGTTTCAACAGTGCCGATTGCACGGCCGCAATGGTCGCGTGAAGAGAGCTGAAAGATAAAACGAAATTGGCAAGCGGCGACGATGCAGGCTCCGTGTGCATCAACGAGGCGAACTTGACCAGGGTGTCGACGTGCTTCTGTGACAGAGTGGTGGCTGGAGGACCTAGGCTAGCCAAAGCGACCGCACATAAACTCATTGCTTCCGCCAGATCAGCGTGCGCTTGAACGTAGACATGGCCTCTCCGGACCACCGACCGGGTACTGATATTGAGCCTTCGCACCATCTCCCGCGAATGAGTCACAACCGTTTCAACGGTATTCATGTCCGCTCTGGACGTCAACGGTTCATACTCGTCCATGATCTTTTCCTGCACCAGTTCCGACTTGAGCTTGGCCCGCTCCGCCATTTGCTCTTGAAGCATGTCTGGCACCAAGAAAAACTCCCAGAGCATCTCGTGCGTCGAAAAGGTCGGATGGTTTATTAGCATCTTCAGGAACCGGTCAAGATAGGTTTGGGCGTCGTATAAAACTGCCCGGGATGGTCGCGAATGAAGTTGAAAGGGGCTTCGAAAGTTGGATGTGGATATGGTTGGCATATACGACGCAGGAGAATCCATCAGGAGCCATTTGGCCAGGTTCTCGAAATCTTGCAGAGATCTACGACTGGTTGTGATCGTGTATGTTGTACTTGAGACGGCCGGGTTTGGGGCGCCTGATTTGAGAATGTATCGTGACGAGCCATCCTCGACGAAAAATGACCGTACAATCGACGTTATCCGACCCGCCATGTCTGCAGTGTTCGCGGGTGCGAACAATGTCAAGTCGTCGATTCGATTTCGCACTTCGTCGTCTTTAGCCAATTCGACTGCGGTCAAGCCTCTCGCTTCTCTCAGGTGCAAATCTATTCTTGGATCACCCAGGAAGATGCGGACCATATCGACTCGACCATACTTGCTCGCAAGCATCAACGGCGTGAACTTTCTGTCGTTCATGGCGTTCAAGTCTACGTCACAATATTGGAGGATCCTTTGCATGATGCCGGCATCATTGACAATATGTAGCAACGAGTTCCCTTTGTGATCGGTGTGCTCTTCGATACGCAGTGGCCCATCATCGTTCTGTGCTTGCTTCGCTGCAATGAGAGCTTCTGAGACCATGCTGCTGTAGTCGGGATGGTCGTATGTGCGACAGATTGCGAACAAAGGCGTGTGCCCGATCTTGTCCTTTTGTCTCCAGGGAAGGACGTTGGCAAGCCTCTTGATCAATTCAGGCGCGTTGAATAAGTAATGTGCCACACTTCGGCCACGGGAATCCGTTAGGGCAAGATAACTCCTAAATCTGGCTTCGTCGGCATTCTGTTCTGCATACTGAAGAATGATATCGACCAGTTCGGTATTAGCAAGCTGAACCGCAGCACTCAATAATGAGGTCCCATCCTGAGTCACATCCGAAAGAACTTCGTCCGGCGAGTAGTGTTCGGAAAGGCTCAGCAGGTACCGGAGAGACTGCGGCTGTTGACTTTCAATTGCCATCATCAGGATCGAATTACCCATTGCATCTTGTGTCTGTGCAAGGCTCCGGACAGAGGTGTCGCCTTCAAGGCCACTGAGGGTGGTGTCGATGGTAGCAGCTCTGGATGCCAACGAGAATGAAGATGAGATGGACAGGCTTCGGGCAGCCATTTGAACCTTTTTCTTCAGTCTGGGTATGGAAGGCCTCTTTTCCGCTGCTTGGAAAGGAAACACGTGCGACAAGCCACCCTCGTTGGAAGAAGTCCGCGAAAGTGAGCTATGAGGTCGAGGTTCGGACAAGCAACTGGAAGAAGTTGTGATCCTGGACAAAGGAACTTCGGCAGGCTCATCGACAGGCTCATCGACAAACCCATCCGACAGAATGGCCGATTCTTCGAACACCGACCGGACATCATCAATTTTGCCAGCCTTCACAGCGTTCCAGAGTAACTGATTCTGTTTCGATGCTTTCCGAAGTCCAGCGGCATCTCTGGCCAGGTAGGTCAAGACAGCCTCGAGAGTACTCAGTGCATATCCAATCTCGCCACTTTCGACATCGTCAATGTAGATGAAACGTTGCATGTAAGACAGTCTTGCTTGGAGATGCCTCACCGACGACCGGATGACGACCAGGAGTATCAATGACACCAGAACGTCGGCATTGATGGTCATTGCTACTGCGCGTTTCTCCACGTCCGAGATTCCCTGCGGCTCAGAAACGATCTTCTGAGTTTCAAGAAGGATATCCAACATCTCCTGCGGACTACTAGCCACTCCCATTCTCCGGAAGGCAGCGACGCCACGAGAGATCCGGCCCATCAGCTCTCGCTTCCCCGCCCGGCCGTCCTCGATCGCAATTCCTACTTGTGAGACGTCCAGGCAATCCATCTGCCGTATCCGCCGGTCCAACTCCTGGTCTTGAACCTTGTAGAAGGCACAGAGGCGTGGAAATAGGAGAGAGTCATGGACGTACTCGGCAACGTATCGTTCAATCAGCCTCTCAACGTCAGGGCCCGTCAGATCCGTCGTAGCGCCGAGGTAGGAAAGTTGTTGTTTGTCTACACCTTGAAATAGATCGATTGCGGCAGTAACGGCCGTCTCCAGTGCTCTTCGCATCAGGTCCTCCTCATCTTCGAAATAAGCCGCCGAGTTGAACGGAAGTTTCAGCGACCCATTTGATTTGATCGAATCGTTTTCCGAGGCCTGGGTGGTTCCATCCAATGAGCCGTTGGCAGAACTGCGGGAAGGAGGTGGAGGTAGTGGCCGGCCCAATTCCTTGCCAAATTCGTTGAACAGCCTCTCCAGCCCCGGTTGCATTTGGCGTCCGATCATGGGGAAGCTGTTGAGAAGTTCACTAAATGTCTTGACATCTTTCTTCTTCGGGGTCGGAGGTTCAGAGGAGGAAGCAAGTGCAGGGGGAAGGGCCTTGGTCTCTCCGAAGATGGCGGGCTTGAACGGTACCGGCTCGAATAAGCCGGTGAGTGGTTTGGAGATGTAGTAGACAAGCCATTGTTGCATGTCATGGCCCGGGGAGTAATACAGGAGGTCGGTCAACAGGGTGGCCTGGGTCAGCTGCTTGAATCCTTTGTTGGTGTATACAACATTCTCCTTCAGAATCACAGACCTCCCATTCACGGTCGCATAGGTCTTTGCCTTGTTCCGATTGTCGCGAACATTGCCCTCTTTTCCGGCCACACTGGGTAGAATTCGGAGGAGATGACTGCCCAAGAAGTCCTCATCCTCGACCTGCTCGGCAAATCGTTTGTGGGTGTCTCTGTCTTGGCCGTAGAGAAGGGACTCGGTGGTCGGAACAAGGAGGACATAGTTCTGAGCGGCGAGTGCACTTCCTAGCACACTACTCTGAAAGAGCGCGCGGAGAAAGGGATTCAGGACGGGCATCCAGGCGCGATGGGCCTAAATTTGGCAGCGCGGATCATTGAGGCGTTGGCTGCATCGGCATGAGAAAGTGATCAGCGTGGGCTGATGGTCCGGTTCGATCGTAGGAGGCGAGGAAGGATGGACTCTAGATGAGATTGTCGGAGTGGACTGTTGAAGGCTTTTAGGGACGGTGCGACAGTTGTTGGACACGGGGCTGTAATAGATGCCACATGCCAGTGCAATGCTTCGCGCAGAGACAAGATACCCGGGTCATTGGATGATCATTCTGTCCTGAGTGGTCGCACAGGTCCGAGTCGTATGTTACTAGGTGAAGCACCTTGTAGCTATGTGGTAACAGGTACTTCGACGTGACTCCGACATTCCCCAGCTTTTCAAGTTGCTTGCAAAAGCGCAGTTTCTACCGTCTCTGTTCTCTTGGTCCGCAATACCTGCCTTGCTTGGCACATGATCTACCACTAGTATATAAGTTGACGTCGTCGCCACTAAATTGTAAAGGACCATTGACCATAAGTTGACCGTTGAAAAAAAGTCGATTGAACTCGGTCTTCAACCATCATGGCTCGCGGAGCCCATCGGCGGCATCATGCACTGAGCCAGGGATTGGACAGAGAGGTATCTTTGACTCCATGGCTTCCTACTACCGCGATGTAGTAAGAGTGCTCATAATTGACAAATGCAATGCATACAGGTATACCAAGTCGTCCGCGCGATCATCGACGAGCGCACACAATACGGCGACCCCGACGCCACCTCCAGCAGTCTCTCTTTTGCCACAGTATACGACGCCATCAAAGCCTCAAATTCTAGTCTGAACCGCAAACCAAAGAAAATACTGGAAGACAGCATCGAACGAGTTCTCGAGACGATCCAACAAGATGCGCAGGTCGATTCTGAGGAGTTGGACAACGAGCTCACACAGGAGACCTCGCAATCACAACAGCAGCCTCAACAGAGCTCACTTTCCAGCGGCCTGAACAGAAGCATTGTGGGAGCATGGGCAAGACCCTCCGGAACTTCTACACCAGACGCATCGGCATCGCCCAGAAGAGACCAGGAAATAGTAGTGGGAAGAGAAAGGGGCAATTTTGCCATGGACTCTGAACCAGTTTCCTCCGGCACGAAACGCCGCTCGGCCAACAACGAGCCGTACCAAAAGCGCCGCAAACACACAACTGCTGCCTCCAATCCGGCCATTGACAAATCTCCGCCGACTCACGTCTCGCTTGCCTCGATGGGCGGCGTCGACGCCGTGATCCAGCAGTTTGAAGACCTACTAGTCCTTCCCATGACCAGGCCGGAGATCTACACATCCAGCAAGGTCCAACCTCCTCGGGGAGTCCTGCTCCACGGTCCACCAGGGTGCGGCAAGACGATGATCGCCAACGGATTCGCAGCCGAGTTGGGTGTCAATTTCATCTCCATTTCAGCGCCAAGCATCGTTTCAGGGATGTCGGGAGAGTCGGAGAAGGCGTTGCGCGACCATTTCGAGGAGGCCAAAAGAGCGGCTCCGTGTCTGATCTTCATTGACGAAATCGATGCCATCACGCCCAAGCGCGAATCTGCGCAGCGGGAGATGGAAAAGCGCATAGTCGCGCAATTGCTGACCTGCATGGATGACCTTGCACTGGAGAAGACGGATGGGAAACCGGTGATTGTGTTGGCTGCGACAAATCGTCCGGACAGTCTCGATACTGCCTTGAGAAGGGGTGGGCGCTTCGACAAGGAAATCAATATGAGCGTACCAAACGAACCTGTGCGCGAACAGATTTTGCGGGCCCTCACGAAGGAGACGAGCATCGCACCTGACGTAGACTTCTCACTCCTTGCCACACGGACCCCCGGGTTCGTGGGCGCAGATTTGAACGATCTGGTCTCGACGGCCGGCGCGGCAGCTATCAAACGATACCTCGACACTCTGAAGGCCAACTCCGAAACAACTTCCATGGACGTTGACCAGGCGGCGACAACGGTATCACCTACAATAGCCTCACTCCGTCGCCTGATCAAGTATACTCGCGAGAACCCTCCAGAGCCGAATGACGATGATGCGACAATATCAATCACCTTCAGCGACTTTATGACTGCTCTTCCGCAAATCCAACCTTCCGCCCTGAGAGAAGGTTTCGCCACGATCCCTTCCACGACGTTCACCTCGATTGGCGCACTGAAGAATCATATCACGGAATTGAAGACGGCCATTATCTATCCCATTCTGAATCCGAAGGTATATACCACTTTTGGCATCACCCCCTCTTCTGGCGTCCTGCTTTGGGGTCCGCCTGGCTGCGGGAAAACATTGCTAGCCAAAGCATGTGCAAACTCGAGTCACGCCAACTTCATCAGTGTCAAGGGTCCCGAGTTGCTCAACAAATATGTCGGCGAGTCTGAACGTGCAGTCCGACAGGTCTTTAACCGTGCGAGATCCAGCGTGCCTGTGGTCATCTTCTTTGACGAACTCGATGCCTTGGTGCCCCGACGCGACGGCACCATGTCCGAGGCGAGTGCGCGGGTGGTAAACACTCTGCTGACGGAGCTAGATGGCGTTGGCAATAGTCGAGAAGGCATATATGTCATCGCGGCAACGAACCGGCCGGACATCATTGATCCGGCGATGCTGAGGCCCGGTCGCCTGGAGACATTACTCTTCGTCGGACTTCCCACTGCCGAAGAGAGGGTGGATATTTTGCAAACTCTGTGCAAACGCTTGAACAACTTTGTTTTCGATGAATCCATGGCCTCCATCGCACGGTCTTGCGAGGGTTTCAGCGGTGCCGACCTGGAATCATTGCTGAGAAAGGCAGGTTATGCGGCTATTAGCCGTTGCGAATCGCAGCTGGATTCTTTGGAAACAGGCACGATAGTCGCAGCAGACTTTGAATTGGCCAGAGGCGAAGTCAGAAGAAGTGTTGGGATTGACGACATGAAGCGATACGAGATGCTGCAAAGGCAATGGGGGAAAAGTTGAGACCTTTGGAAAAATGGAATTAGCGAGCCATGGAACCAATGCTCATCGTAGAAGGAGACACAGCCCATATCATTCGACATCGGCTGCTCAATGCTAATGCTGTACTTCTCCTAACTCCTTCACCGTATTAAGCACGCCTGACAGCATCCTAAACCCCAAGAGTGAACGTCGATATCCCAAGTGAAGTTGATCCTGGAGGACACATGAGTCTCAAAGCGAAAGCATGGCGTTGGACACCTGACAGACCTCTAGTCCCATCCCCGATCCGGCAACCCATCATCTTGGGGGACCTCCAAGGTCTCAAGAAGCATAATCCAACAGCGCCTCCCTTAGCACGCACGACTGGAGTGTAAAAACAATTCAGAGTGACTTCAGAAAATTGGCAAGCGAAAGCTCTCGTCGCTGAATCTTCGGCTTTCTGTCGAACTTCGACGACTTCCTGCATCCGAGCGAGAATGTTTCCGCAGCTTGTTAGGCTTGTTGATGGCCTTCACATTCTCGGGCCACAGGCCGAATTCCTTCACACTGGGGCCCTTGGCCAATGTCCCAGCTGGTAACACTTCAAACCCGTCGTTGATCTTCCGAGCCCGGGTGCTTGGGATGGAGATCGAATCGGTACGCGAAGTGGATGCGCTGGTCACACTAGAGCTTATGGATGACTTCGGTGTGTGCGTGGACGTCTTCGAATTCGTGTCACTCCCTTTGGAAGAAGTTGACATGTTCGCGTTGAGTTTGGCTTGAGTCTTTTGTGTCCATGCTGATGGAGGGGCTTTGGTAGAAGGCAGCGATTCCACGAAGGCGCGGAAAGGTACAGGCCGCGGACCTTCCAACCTCAGTGCTTTGCGAGATTGTTGTTTGCCCAGGTTCATGTCTTCTATCCTAGAGGGCCAAGATAAAGCACGAGCGGGGAGTGAATCATTATCCTCGCCATCCGGAAGCGACGGTGCCAGAGGTGATGTGAGGATCAAGTCGGTATGTCGTTGATCCCTGGGCAAGAGTTGTCCGCTTTCTGCAGCATGAAACTTTCGGTGGGCTTCCATGCGCTCAAGCGGGTGACAGTCAGACTTGGTTTCCGCCCGTCTATATCCAGCCGATCCCATCTGTCGGCTTCCGATCACGAATCTGCGGCTTCCAGAAGAGGGCTGGCTAGCGATTGATCGCAGATGCATTTTGTACGGAGAGCTGCCTGGTTTCGCTTGCGGTGTGGCAGAGTCGACGGCTGTGTAACCGATTAGCGGTCTAGGACACGATTTTAGTTGGCGGTCGAAACACAATGCTACTTTACCTGGTACAGTTCCCGCCGATTCCGATCGGATGTATGGGCCATTGTAGCTGATGATCAGAGTCTTTCTCTTCTGTTTCATAGATGAAGTTCCAGGAGGCGGATCGATCACTACTGCCGAATTGACGACCGGTCCGCGATCTGCAGAACGTTAGAGCTTTGAGGACAAGAAAGCTGTCGCGACCTTACCACTTGGTGCTGTCAGGCCTATATCTGCAGGATCGTAGAGGCAGGTGAATGATGTGGAGGAGTCTGTCTTGGGGGCAACTGTGGCTTGGAGAAAGGCCACCGGGCGATCTTGCTCGGTAGGATTGTAATGTAGAGGAGTGACGTTTCGCGAGTTCCAGACGCCTTCAACTTCGGAGTCCTCCAACAGAGCACGAATGCCGAAAGGGATGTCATCGCTTGATCGGCCGACAAGAGCTACCTCTCCCCTTTCAGCCTCTTCCTCGGCGGCTCTTTTCTCCAGCCGGATGTTCTTCCTCCAATTTCTCAACTTCACACAGAAACCAGTGATTAAGGTTATGGTCTGAGGGAGTTAGATTTGAGATTGACGGAGTCGCGGGAGAACGAACAAGCAAGCCACCTAGAATCTACGTACCAGTCAGCCCGAAGCAGATAGTGTTGGCCAAATGAAACTCACAATAGCCAGTCGGGCCCATGTTGGCCAATCCACAAAGAAAGCCCCATTTGGAAAAAAAGCAGGCATGCTGATGAGCGACCATATGGTATGGATGCTAGAGGCTCGGAATGATGAAGGTTGGCATCCCCATGTCTGTAGAGCAAGGGAGACAAGTACCGCACAAACGATAGAGCAACCGTGGAAATAGTGAAGTGCAGCACGAATGACAGAGCAGAGAGCAAACCAAAGTGAAGACAGAGCAGTGTTGCTGGTGAGGTTGGATGACGGCGGCACCTGCTTGAGATTGGTACAGGAACGAAGAAGAGTTGCCATCGCGGCTTCCATTCTTGCCCGCGCCAGACGAACAGCAAGCAGCGAAAACCCGAACTTGAACTTGAAGATGAATGGACCAACCTAGGAGGGCCGCCATGGCTTTTGGAAGAACGAGAAACATGGAGAGATCAATCAACATGAGGCATCCAGGCGAATGCTGCGATAGTTGCCTGCGCCTTCAGCTTCCACCACTGCATCTATACCGACTGTCCTGCAGCTGGCCGATCCCACCACATTTTCAGCATACCTTACAGTTTCCTCCATGTCAACACGCGTGTCCAGAGCAACGAAAACAACCTTTCTCGCACTCCGGTCCATGACCTCGAACCTGCATGACCGTTGAAAGGATCACTCAACCTCCCTGATACATGATAACGCTCATCACAATTTGGTAACAGGGCCAAGGGCAACCAAAATATAAGAGACGGTAGGGCACATGGCATTGCAGGTAGAGGAGGACCACGCGTATATGCAGTGCTACGGTACTCTGCACACGTCGGCCTGGAGACAGAGATGGAGAATGAGAGATGCAAATGTCGTCTCCCAAGAAAACATCCCCATCCTGAGCACGCCTTGCGGAGTTGCGCCACGCCACGGCCTGTTAACCGGAGCTTGGATCGCCAACGTCAAGCGGTGGAGTTTTCTGGATCGACTGATTGACTTCAAGTGGCTTGGACGATTATATCATACAGAACCGGTCTAATCGGAGAGGACCGGCCATCTTTGTCTTCCACTAAAAGATGAATACAGAGTAGAAGAAGATCGTCACGACAAAGAAAAAGGGAAACAACGATGCATGTTTCACAGCTCAGGGTCCACGGATATCGAGGTATGGGATGAGGACAGATCTGTCTCGTGCTTCCCCATCAGTGATCCGTACCTTGCATGTGTGAGAGAGAAAGGCCGACTCGATGGTCAGTATTTGCCCTAGCAAAAGTTGTGCCGCAAGATATGCACTGGAATCGGGCGCACACAACACAGCACTGGCACTAGTACGTGGCTGACGGGTAATTGACAAAGCGACTAGGGGTCCAACCCACTGGAGTCAATCGATAAAGGGTTCGCGATCAGCGGTAGAGGCGCCGGATACATCCAATAAAGCCAATAAAACCAATAAAGGGTCGCTGTGTTTGATTCCCGGCCTTCCGAAGAGACCACGGCGCGGCAGCAATAGTGTGCTATACTGGCTATAGGTATGTACTGTTCAATAACTCGGTACCAGGTGCTAGGTACTAAGCTACAGTGTTGAGGTACTGTAGATTGCAGCACAGCACCCATTGAAGACCTGCCTGGTATCTCAAGCCTACCAAACCAGAGTAATCTCAGGGCAAAGGCCAGGTCCTCCCGGGTGGGTAGCTTCCTCGCGGCCTTACCCGGGTGCTGATTCTTTAACTAAAACGCAACCCTGCCGCTCGTGACCGTCACCACCACCTCCATCCTTACGACTTCTTTTCTATCCTGTCGCACTGCACGTATCTCCCTTGCGGAACAAACAGAGATACATTTTCTTTTTCATCCTCGCCCCTTGTATGATCCTCCCTCAATAGATTTAACCTTACGCAACAATAGAACCCAGGATCGCCGACCATGCCTCCGTTTCGTATGCCCTTCACTACCAAGCGGCCCACGGTCAGCACAGAGCCCGTCGACGAGAACAGCCGCCCGACATCCAACGATGGAAGCGTCACCAGCCCGTACAGAGACAAACCTTCTGTAGCCCTTGGGATTAAAGAAAGACGAGAGGCGCCGGATGAATTCAAGTTGAGTTGTATGTCGCCCTCCTACTGCCCCGCCAAATGCCTTGCATGAGGTAGACAAGAGAATCCGGGCTAACCGTGTGTTCAGCCGTCAACGACAGTGGTGAATACCTGCCTGTAAGCAAGGGAATTCACACGCCCAGATCTTGTGGACTACGATTGACGCCGGTTCTAGCCATCTCCGACAGAGAAGAAGCCCTTCTGGGTCAAATCTCCATCTACCACAAGCAGCAATCACCGCAGTTGCTTCAACGAGAACGAACCTTTCTCCATTTCCCGTGAATCCTTCGAGTCCTACCGACGGTCTTTCGTAAGTGGTTGTCGCGTCTACAAAAACAGAGGTACCTCACTGACACGCGTTGCAGGACATTTCCGGCCGGTCCCCCATCGTGCTGACGGACAGCTTCAACTCGCGTACATCACTAGACTCACGACCGTCGACTCGATTCCCCACCCGATCCACGTTGAACAGCACCACGTTTGAGAAGCCCACAGCAGAGGAAGAGGGGTTTGAGGATGTCAAGTTGAACGAAGAGCCGAAACAACAGCCCAAAAAGAAAAGCTTTCTCTCCCGGTTCGGCGACTCCAGCAGCGACGCCGCTCCTGTGAAGGAAGACGGCAAACATCATTTCCATCTGCTTCCGGGACGAAGACGAGGTCAGAGTGGGACAGGCAGCGAGCTGGGAGAGATATCTCGACCCGAGAGTAGTGGCAAGGCGGAAGTGACGGTACGGTAGAGCTGCAATTTCGCGGGTTCAAAAATCATCTTTCGAGGACATGCATTATGAATAATTGGCATGGGTAAGGGACATGGGATGGAGTTCAAGGGCTGACCAGCATCGGCGGCATTGGTTCGAAACATCGCACCTGGGCATTTGCGGCGAAGCTCCATACAGGAAGAGACGAATCTGGAGGCTACGACACTGGATGCAGAATGCAGGTTACAGGACTTCGGATCACGACTGGAACCGATCTGGATATCGATGAGGTCTTTGCTGGCTGTGATTGACGGCTATTGACCAGTGACAGAGTAATTTTAATGTTCAGAGACTTGAAGCACGACCTGTTAACAGTCTGTTGGTGTCTCCAATCGTCTGATCAGGGGGGGTTTCGGCGATGCGTTTGCATCTCTGTTCCAATCCGGCATCCCGCCTTTGTTCCACTGCAGTCGAGCTCATTCTGAAGCGCTGTCGTCAATCTCCTTCTCCAATCGATCATAGGCCAGTTTCAGAGTGTCGACGATCTTGATCAACTCGTCTGGCGTTATGTTGTACGGAGGAGCCACGATGGCATGGTCTCCTCGGGTACCGTTATACGTGCCGGCGCCCGGGTAGATGGCGACGCCGAGCTCGAAAGCGATTGCTTGGAAGCGCGCGGCGAAGAGGACCCCGGGAGGGAAAGAGTTGCGCAGGGCCTTGTCCTGGACAAACTCGAGTCCCCAGAACAGACCGCGGCCTCGAATGTCGCCGACATATTTGGCCTGGGCGAAAGTCTCGACGAGCAGAGCGTGCAGGACGCGGCCCATGCGAGCACAATTGTCGATCATGCCGTCGCGTGCTATGATCCTCTGGACGGCCAAAGTGGCAGCACACGCTACGGGATGGGCCTGATAGGTATGGCCGTGGTTGAAGCTGCTCGTGCCCTTCTTCACGACCTCGACAACCTTCTGATGCACCAGCATGCCAGCAATGGGCGCGTATCCTCCACCGAGGCCTTTGGCGATGGTGACGATATCTGGCACGATCCCCTCCTGCTCAAAGGCGAACATGGTCCCCGTGCGACCCATGCCGCACATGACTTCATCCAGGATCAGCAGGATCGAGTATTTGTCGCACACCTCCCTGACTCCCTTGAAATAGCCCCTGGGAGCGGGCGTGCAGCCACTGGTGGCGCCGACCAGTGGCTCTGCAACAAACGCAATGACCTTGTCCGGCCCGATTCTCTGGAAATGATTGTCCAGAGAGCTGACCAGCTTCTGGGCAAACTCCTCCTCCGTCTCGCCTCGCTGCCAGTTGGAATATTGGTACGCATACGCCGGACTGACCCAGCTGATATTGTCCAGCTGGAAATTGGCATACGGCACCTTCCGCGGCACGTTGGAGCTCACGTTCATCGCGCCCACCGTGGAGCCGTGGAACGCCTGCCGGCGGGCCACGAGTTTGGTCCGGCCCCGCTGGCCCAGCTCGAAGAAATATTGCCGTGCCAGCTTGAGCGCCGAGTCCATCGCCTCGCTGCCGCTGCCGACGAAATACGCTCGCGTGAGCCCGAACCGCCCGCCGCCCTGCGGCCCGTCGATCAGATGCCGCGCCAGCTCTTCCGCCGCATCGGTCGTGTACGTCAGCGAATGGACGTAGCTGACGCCCGACTTCATCTGCTCGGCTACGGCTTGGATCACTTCCTCGTTGCCGTGGCCGAGCGATGCCACCGCCGCGCCGCCGCACGCGTCTATCACCACTCGGCCCGTGTCGAGCGTCAGGTAGATCCCCTTGGCCGAGATCACTTTGGCCGGTTGCTGCTGTAGAGAGCGGTGGAATAGTGCTGAAGGAGGAGGAGGAGGAGTCGATTCTCCTAGTAAAGGAGCCGGTTCTGTTTCGGCCATGGTGGTCGCCGTAGCAGTGGTGTCTGAACCAGGGCTTTTGATGTCGATACGGAGTGTGTCGTTTATCGTCATGATTTGTTTTGTTCACCCGAGGTGCCCTCCAACACACTAGATGCTGCTAATGAGGGTATTGACGAGATGTCGATGCAGGTATGTAGTCACCGACCTCCAAGGATTCTGTCTCGACCACTGCAAACTGCAGTCTGACAACGACCAGAGTGCGATCCTGCAACGTTTATATATATATACCTAATGTACCGTACCTGAGGTAGAACTGGATAAGATGGATATGACGATCGGTCAGGCAGCAAGCCTTCTCAACGATTGTTACTACCCAAGTAGGTAATTGTTGGATCAACCAGGCATCTCTTCCCGACTTGATCGGCGTCCATTTAGTCTGTAGTACTATACTACTAGTACTATGTTTATGTGGCATGCTGTAGCAGTTGATTGGGCAGATATATGACGATCTCCACTACTAGTATAAAAAATCAGCGTACTTAGTCCTTTAGCACTACTACTAAGGTACCTAATGCACGCTAAGGTACTTAAGTACTACCTTGATACCACGCTGGTGCCTACTGGCAGGCAGATCAACCTGAACTTCATCAATCTATCCAGCATCAGTATGTAGATCGTCATGGCAAATGACTGTTTTGCCCATCCAACTAGATAACAAAGTAGTATTGCATAGTGTTAGTGTCCACGGCTATATATCGCCTACATACGCACCGACCGATAAAGAGTCACCAGAGTACAAGTACACCCAAATCACCGCCGAAGTCCGGGGGTTCTCCTTGATACTTATCTCAGATTGGTAAGCAGGGCCAGTATTCCTTCATGTAAGAAAGATTGTTGATGCCTACGTAGGCATCAAGGTATTGTGATATCAGAGATCCCTCAGAGACCATGCGTGGCCCATTCTTTCGCTCCTTGAGGCGGCGTGTCTCAGTCAGTTCCAATTGCAGATCCATCCTTTCATAAAGTCCCGGGGTTATCGCTTTTGGTTGGCCAAAGCGTGAGTGTGAGGAGGACGACGTGTCGAAAGACAGACAGCTGCCTTGCTAGCTTGATATATGATTCGAAGCCGGAAACACATGAGGCAACTAATGCAGAGAAAAATATATATCCACAACGCTCAATCTGAGCTGAAATGTAAAGCATCATTCTATCTCATCCAGGAACAGGCGGGGAAGAGCTCCGGTTTCGTAAATCGAGGCTCCCCAAGCAACAAGTAGAGCAGACCAAAAGAGCAGAACCTGTAACTCCTCTCGCTAGACAACGCGGTCGCCTTCTGCGCTTTTTCCGCACTCCTGTTCGATTCGTTGTTGGACAAGACCGAATCGTCGCATCTCTCGTTCTCTTCATTCTCTGTCTTGGCCAGGGGCCATATCTCATGGGTTGACACACCATCACTCCTTCTCCCAGCCCTTTCAGCGCAGCTCGTCTCAGCAACATCCACCTCCAGCGGGCCTTAAAGCGTATTTGTACCGCACGTCATCAACGCCCTCCGCAAAGAAGAAGTGGAACCCGTAGTGCGGTGGTTGATATCGTTGTATTGATGATGCCTGTCTCTCCATGTTTGCGCCGTTGATGTATAATCTCAGGCGAAACAGTCCTCGTACTGCTTGCTGTGCTTGTTGCTTGCATGTTCGTCAAGACCCTTGCGCGCCGTGGTGCTCTGGAAGGTGGCGAAGCAGATCTTGCATTTGATCGACTGGGCTTTTGCGTTCTAGACATCAATCATGTCAGTCGGTGAGGTCTATCTCCTGGAAAGACTGTATGAGAGTACACAGTGGCAAAGGACAGACTGAATTCAGAATCAAAACGCAAGGAATAGGAAAAGAATCGATGAGGCACGAGATGCCTAAAATAGATCCAAACACCCAAATCACCGGGAGGAGCTCCTCTGGAAGAGTGAACAAAATCGGCCCTAAGGCCCTTGAAACGGAATCCTTCGCTCGCTTGTATAAGTTCAGGTCACAGACCTAAACCAGAGTCGTAATATCCATAGCACCAAAGGCCATGGGGCCTGTGTCCGGGTCCTGAGCTTTGGGTCTCATGTCGAGTAGGGCTGAATCCCGGCAGCATGGGCGAAAACGCAACATCACGTTCCCCTACAGCCGAGTACACCGTTCGATGCCATGTAGACATTCCATGGTCACCGGTCTACGGTGAACGGTGAACGGCTTGATTCGACCACAAGAATGGCACGGGCGTTTTGGGAGGAAGACCCAGTCAAAAGATCAAAGCACAACGAGTTCTCAATATCAAAGATCAAAGATCAAAGACCAAAACAAAACACAGCAGTTTGTGCTTTATGCCTCGGTCACATGCGGGAATATCGAGAAAACAAAATTGGACTCGAGCCAGGATCAAAACATGTACGGCCCCTGCCGGCCAACTCGATCCGCGAGCATGTTGGAAACAGGCAGCGGAAACATTGCAGACAAACACTTGCCAACGAGAGCACCAACGAAGATATGAAATGCTACAACGTACCGATTTCAACTGGCTGTTCGGCTCCTTCTTGCCGTCTTTGGCATTCCGCTCGCGCTTCTGAGCGGCTTTGGCTCCGTTACCCATTGTTCCCCGGAAAAGAATGTAGTTGTAGAACGGGTCTTTTCTGTGCGCAACTCGCTGTCGGATTGAATGAGTGCAACCGACCGGGTGTGGTGCTGATAGATAGGCTGCTTGTTAAGTGGTAGAAGGACTGTAGTTGTATGCAGTGGGTAAGGCGGAAGGAGGTGAGGAAGAGAACGGAGAAAAAATATTCCTTTTTATTAGTAGAGTGATTAAGCTACCAAGGTAGTAGTGTACTAGTACTACCGTTGTACAGCTGTGTACTAGTGCCACGATAACCAGTGGCCAGAAGGGTCTAGCGCCCCGTGGCCTGCAGTGATTGCGATTAGGCACGAGATATTAACCCAAACGCTAAGCCTGATTTCACTAATGGCGCGGTTCTCAATCTATGAGAACATGGTGTGATTGGTGCCAACTTACAATTGGGCTAAATACCATGCTGTTAGTACCGCAATGCTTCTCCAAACTCCCGCTGTCTGTCTGTTTGTCAGCCTCGCACCGTAAAACATGAGACCATCCATCGCCAGGGACAGTGAAAGACTTGTACTCCTAGGCACCCTTCATTCCGTCATCTGGGGAGAAATAGATACAATCCTCCCCCCATGAAACCCAGTAACCAGCGTCTACAGCTCACAGTATAACATTGCTCCCCATATTGGTTGAACGATGACCATCTAGTACGTTCCTTCTTGCGATTAACTCGACACCCGATAGAACTGCAACCCGGTCTGGATATCGCCGAACTTGGCATGCCACATGTCCTTCAGGTAACTGCTCCGAAACAGCCACGGCCCACGATCACCACCCTTGGGGAGAACATTGTCCTGCTCAGCGGCCTTGATATATGTACTGTTCAGATTGAGCAGCGGCTTGTCCAGGACTTCTTCCGTCTCGCCCACCCGGGGGACCATACTGGTCATGTTCTTTGCTCGCGCCGTCTTGAGCAGCCGCACCCACAACTGAGCCGTGGCGTCCGCGCCCAAGGTCCAGCTGGCATCGGTATACCCGAAGACGAAGGCGAAGTTGGGCAGGTCTTGCAGCAAGGCGCCGCGCCAGACGTATTTCTGGGAGATCTGGTACGGATCGCCGTCAACCAGGATTTTGGCGCCGCCTCCGAATCGGATTTTCAGGCCGGTTGCGGTGATGATGATGTCTGCGTCCAGACTGGCTCCAGACCGGAGACGAATGCCCGTCGGACTGACGGTGTCGATGGTGTCGGTTACGATGTCGGCCTTGCCGGTGCGGAGGGCTGCAAAGAAGTCGCCGCCTGAAAGACACAAAAGGAGGATCAGCATGTTTCTTCATCTTTGGGGGTTTCCAGACGAGAGTCCTGATGAAACCATAAAACGGAGAAAGGTTTGTTTGGTATTGACTTACCAGGCGTGATACACATCCTCTGTTGCCATGGATTGTACTTTGGCACGAAATGCGGCTCGAAGGGAATATTGCTGGGAAGTTCCTTCTCGGTCGCGGCTCGAAGAATCTTGATCCCCTGGTTGGGGAATAGGCGACAGAACCGGATGAAGAGATAGCCCACCAGCAGGAAGCGGAGCCGGATCAGTTTGTACGCCCATTTCTCCGGCAGGATTTTCTTGATGTACCGGTCCATCGGGACGACTAGGGGCACTGGCAGGAAATAGCTGGGCGATCGTTGAAGCATGGTGACCGATTTGGCTCTGTCCGCCATGTTGGGCAGTAGTGTCACCGCGGTGGCCCCACTGCCGATGATGACGACTTTCTTGTCGGTGTAGTCGAGGTCTTCGGGCCAGAATTGCGGATGGATGACGGTTCCCTGGAAGCTGTCGATGCCGGGAATCTGAGTGGTCAGACCCCGGGCATAGTCGTAGTAGCCGGTGCCCATCAGGACCTGTCGCGCATAGTATCGTCGCCGGTCGGTGCCGTCGACCGTGACCTCGAGTTGCCAATGTTGTTTCTCGGTCGACCAGTTCATAGACTCTACCTGGTGCCGGTACTTGATGTGCTTGTCGATCCCGTGTCGTTCGGCCGTGGATTTCAGGTAGTTGAGAATCGACGATGCATCGGCAATGGATCGATCTTCTTTCCATGGGTCCCAGGCGAACCCGAATGTGTGAAGATCGGAATCGGATCTGATGCCGGGATATTTGAAGAGACTCCAGGTGCCTCCCATCTCCGGTCGGCCCTCGAGGATGGCATAGGAATAGTCTGGGATCCCTTCTTGCAGGCGATACGCGGCGTTGATCCCACTGATGCCAGCACCGATGATGATCACATCGAAATCGTTGTCACCCATCGTGCAATCGATGGCTTCTCCAGTTTGAACAACAAGGAGAGAGATATGTATAGTAGGAATGACCTACTCAATGCACAATAGTGGCTCAAGGTTACTGGAACGTGAGAATCTGTTTGAATCTTGGAGGCAGGGAGGATGTATTAAACTGCAGTAACCGACCAAAAACAGGTCTGACTGATAGTATCTGGATTGAGGTGCCAGTGCTTACCCCCCCCCCTGGCAAAGTCAAGAATCAGCCTCGGAGGGTTGCTTCGGTTCAAGTTTGGGATTCGATACGAGACTGGGAGCGCCACCGGGGTGCTGGATGGAGGTCTTGGAGGTCTTGGAGGTCAATCCAACGCGGTGTATACCTGCACCCGAGTGGTTGGCTGACGTCTGGACCGAGATGGTGGTGGCAAGTCTGCGGAGAGACAGTCCCAAAGTGTGGAGAGATGCGTAGACGACTCTGATCCTCGTTCATTCCTATAGTCATTGATTGGGCATTGGAGCCGATCGAGTGCCGTCAGGATCGAGATACCGAGGTAAGGGATATACTTACAATACATCTCCTGGTTCGTCTATATCCAATTCTATTATAGACCTGGGATACGAACATAGGTTGAAGTCAGATCCCTCAGCCAGTATACGCGATACGCGCAACGAAGATACGGTGGATGCCAAACCCAGCGCGATGTTAACGACCCATACGAGAATCAAGACAGAATAGTTGCTTCGCTACGATATTCGTATCGACCAGTGTCTCTTCCATCCTCCTGCCACTTTCCTTTGCCGGTACATCCTGTGCAAACAGCGACGCCGTCATCCCTCAACGCGTACCACTTTCCCACTCTCATCAACCAGGTGCTTTTCAATCTTCTCCGGGCCTCCACCGACGCCTGTACAGATGACACGACTGATGCCCGCTTTCAGAGTCATCAGCGCCTTCGAATCCAAGCTGCCGTACTCATTAGGTCGAATCTGTTCTGCGAATTCCCCTTCCCAGCCCGGTAACCTCGGTAGAACACTTCTGAACACCCCAGCGACTTCATGTGTGTGTTCTGCCAGATAGTAAATGACCGCATTTGGGCCGGCATCGAATGTATACGCGCAAATCAACTTGCCTGCCTTTCGATTCGCCGTCTCCACGGCACTCATGGCTGCCCGAGAGACATCGTTCAAGTAGTGGATTGGCGGCCACGAGTCCAGACAGATCGCGTGGAACGAATTCGAGTCTTGCATGGTGATGCGGGCGAAAGTCTCAAAGTCCTTTTCCTGGATGGCCTTCTCGATCTCCGCCATCCTTTTGGGGACAATCTCATTGAATCGTGCTGGTGCCAAAGTCGACGTTTCGACCGTGGTCTGCATCCCCGCCGTCGAAGGCACTCCCTTTTTCTCCGCGCTGACCACCAGTATCAACGCTCTCATTTCAGGCCAATGCGACATTGGCGCCACCTCCTCGGCAATGCTGTCACTGCCATCTTCTTTGGTTCCTGCTCGCCAAGCAACATAGCCACCCATTAGACTTCTGCATGCTGACCCGGACCCCTGCCTTGCGATCAAAGATAGCTCTTGCGGTGTTTGAGGCAATTCGTAAAGGTCAGCAATCGCTCTGACTAGCGCTGCGAACCCTGCTGCCGAAGAAGCGAGACCGGCGGCTGTAGGGAAGTTGTTGGACGAGACAATGCGTAGAGTCAACTTGGACAATTTAGGCAGAGATGCATCTTTTGCTTCTAGTTGTTCCCGTAGTGACCGGAGGTGTTTCAGACATGCTTGCGTTCGTTTGGAGGACTGAATGTCTTCGGGCTCGTTGTTGAGAATAAGAGAGTCAGGACCACTGAAGGATTCCGAACATGATGCTGTCGTATGTGTCCGTAAGGATTTCTGCGACAACGTGACCGACAGTGAGGAATTGGTGGGCAAATTAAGAGCTGTATCTCTTTTACCCCAGTACCTGTTTCCAACGTTAGAACCCTTCAACACTGTTGCGACGTATCTTTCATTGATTGATCGGACGGGAGGGACAACGGCGGCGGCGTACCTACTTGATCACCGCAATGTTGACTGGAGCAGTCGTGCTTGCACGGTACACTTGGGAGGAGCCAGACATGATGGCTACACTCTGCACGAAAGGACCACAATGGTGAGGAGTACTAGGGCAGACAGGTCTGAAGCTCTGGAATAACTGTTCCAAATGTGTGGGCGCAAGTGCAGAGTAAAGAGTAAATAGTCTGGAGAAAATGCGGGCAAAAGGGAGCGACCAAAGAAAGTCGGTGTCACGTGGCTTGGTTCAAATGTCCAATGATTCTACAGCGGTTGTTTTTACTCAGCACCTTTGGATCATACTGCGATACCATCCCCCGGCAAGGCTCGTTGTTCGCCGTATTCCTAGATCGCCGGTGACGGGCAGGAACTGAAGCGATTCTGGCCTATGAATGGTGGTGATGAGAGAGACGGACGCATTTATCGGAGTGAGGCTGAGAAAGTCGAGGATTGATTGATTAATAACTCGTTGGAGAACTTGCAGTTTGGTCTCCGATCTCTTCGCAAACTTCACAAAACACTCAACGTTCTCCTTCATCTCAGCCTGCCAACAACATTTCCAGCCCTCGCCAGAACACAAACTCCAGCTCCAACTGTATTGTAACATATATCCGTTCCTCCAACATGGGCTGGTGGAAGGCCGACCCGGTTCCCGACTCTACACCTCTTCCTCCTCCTCCTACACCTCAAGTCTTGTCGCATCCACCACACCCAATCCCTCCGCAGTCGACCAGCGATCCGGCCTCAGCATGTCCGGTCGACCCAAAAACAAGAGCCCTATGGCTTCAGCAAGCGCAGAAGAAATCCCAATCTCAATCCCAATCCCAACCGGCCACGCAAACGAACACACCTCTCCCATCCCTACCACCCTTGCACCCGACAATCCCGCTACCCTCCCAAGCTCCTCAGCAACCAGCAACAGCAATCAAGCCAACGACCTCCTATGGCTCTTTTGAAGAATGCTCCTCCGACCGAATATCACAGTCACCCAACACAGAACCGCAGTTCAAGACTCCACGCCCCCTATCTCAAGAGCGTGCTGTCTCGTCCATTCCACGCGCCATACCTTCCGCCGGGCTCGGCCAAAGTCCTGCAACCCCCATGAACAACGAAGCAGAGACAGGCGTGTCCAGCTCCGGCAACTGGATCTACCCGAGTGAATCGCAGTTCTTCAACGCCGTCATGCGCAAGCAGACCTCCTCCAACCCGGCGGATCTGGTCAGTTCCATCAGCCACATCATCCCCATCCACAACGCCGTCAACGAGCGTGCGTGGTCGCTGATCAAAAGCTGGGAAGGCGATTCCTCCGCGGCGTGTGGCGGACCTAAGCTGCTGTCATTCAAGGGTCTGGGGAGTGGTGCCAAGTCGCCCAAGGCCCGCGTCAAGACGTTCATGGGCTATACGGAGCCCTTTGACCGGCATGACTGGGTGGTGGAACGGTGCGACGGCCAGACGGTCGAATATGTCATCGACTTCTACCAGGGCAAGTCGGAGCCCCAGACCCGAGATACTGCTCTCAACTTCTATCTGGATGTCCGGCCCAAGCTGAACACGTTTGAGGGCTGGAAGATGCGGGCCGAACGCTCCCTGGGTTGGAGGTGACAGTGAACAGCTGTAGGAAATGTACCATATTGTATAATGTTATTCCATCCATAGAAGGCCACGAACTGTACAAAGGTGACGAGGAAGATGATCCCACTCTCTGCAGTACTACATGTTTCGCCCGTTGTACATATCAACAGTACTGATCAAAGGAAATGCCATTCTTCTACATTCTTCTCCAGAGCACTACCTACTCAATTGTATGTCTCTGCATTACGGATCGCTCCGCCTACACCTCCACTCTACCTTCGGCCGGTTGCACTGACTACCTGATAACTCTGCCGAGCCGAGCTGATAAGGTAAAAAGAGGTGTATTGCTGCCCCGACCGGGCGTTGCTCTCCGTGGTATCATCGAAAAAACAAAATCAGGCCACAACAAATGCTTCAAGGCTGCTCCTTCATGAAAGCCTAGGAATCCTCATTAACGCCAACAAACGCCAGCAAACCCATCGAATCCAGGTGCAAATGTGGACCAGTGCGTAGGCAACCTGCTCTGCCGCCTCTGCAGTTATGTTCTTAGGAATAGATCCCTCTATGGACGAAATGCAACAAACCCCACCACAATGGTGCATATGAATGCAGGCCGTTTCAATTCATGATGATTAAAAATCAAGGTGCAGACTCATCCCACCCAGTGACAAAGGAAAATCGTTTCTGACGTGACTTTGTACGCATCGCATGATGATTCCATTTGTATGCTGGAATTGTTCATTGTTCTGGTGTCTCGAGTTGGCCATTTCTCGTTCCGGCCATTCTCCTCTACCAGTTGCCTGTTCGGACCATGGGTTGCTCCGTACCGTAGGTGTTGGAAAATAGTTGTTGTCGAATACTCTGCTGCTGTTGCTGGTGACCCGACTGATTCGCTGGCCTCAGCCATCCCTGAGCGTCAACGAGAGCTTCATAGGCTTCCCTCAATCGTCCGCCGCTCTTCTCGTTGTGGGCTCTGAGTTTTTCTTCCCAGCCATTGTATTGTAGTTGTATACCGGCACCCCTCTTGCTAGCTTCTTTGATGACACTGGCCCAGGCCTTTGAGATTTCATCATAGGCATTTTGCTTGGCCAGATTGTGTTGCGGGTTGTCCCAATCGGGCAGGTCATGTATAATCTGCGTCACTCCGTTGAGATACTCGAGGGATATCGAAGACTGTTGTTCATTTGGTGGCAAGAAGTGCGGTGTGAAGTCGGTGAGAGCCTCCAGGAGATCGTGATATGGAGCACGAACTCGATCATAGGAATAGTCGGATCGTGGGTTCGGGTCCAGAGGGAAAGACGCCATTAATCGGTTGTAGTATTTCCGTAGCACCTGTAGTGTGCTCTGAATGCTTGGTCGAGGGCTGACTTGGATGATTTCATCTCGTAGACCAGGGTTTCTATCGTACACGGATTTCAGGACTGATCTCAATGCATCCTTATCCAGTGTTTCCAGCAGTCTGTCCACCGACAGTGCCCTGCCAGCCAGATTCGGACGAGCTCTCTTTCTCGAAGAAGGTGTCAAGGTGTGCGGGAGTCGAGCGTTGGATATCGCAGGCGAGGTGGACATTTCATCATCTCGATCCGGGGAGGGTGACGCTTTTCGTTTTCGAGAGGGGGCGGTGACAGACACTGCAGTGGCGGTTAGTACACCACACGTAATGGAGGCCACAGCAGGCAACTGACTTGATCTGCTGGGAGAGAGACGAGTGTGCTCGTGGAAATGCGGAGGGACTGGCGGCGTAGCCAGGCTATTCATGGTGGCTGCGAAAGCCGGATGTTCAGGGACGCTCTTGTTTGCCTGAAACACAGTAGACGATGGGTTGTGGTGTTTGGCGGAGGTTCAGGCGGTATGTGGATGTAGATTATCTCGATGAGACAGAGAGTGGTGAAAGAAGGGAAGAAAGAAGAAGCAGTAGATGTGCCAATCAACAAGGCAGAGCGGGCGGTGAGGAGGCTGCCACCACTTCAACTGCACCTGATTCCAAGGGATTGGAGATGGATGTGATGGCAACGCACTTTACTTGGTGGAGTTCGAGTTTGGAGCGAAGTTAATGAGTTGACAACTTCCTTGCCCGCTGCCTCGACGCACCCTGATTTGCTATCATTGATTCGCACTGACTCCTCGGACCATCGACTCGATCAACAGGTCTGTTTCACTACTACTACTACTACTACTACTACTACTGCAGTGTCTGTCACTGCCCAGTCCACAGAAATGTTTCTTACAGTCTGAGGTCGCCATCGAACCGTCATCCACCGCGGGTCTGTGCAGCTTGCATCTCCCTCCAGCCGTCCCCCGTACGTCTCAAAGCACTTTTGCCTCCCCCTCTAGTACGTTGATTGCATCTCGGTTTCGACAAGGAAAATGCTACACGGCCTGTCTACGGCTGCAGCCTCTACTATGAGAACGTCAAACAACAATTGCGTTTTAGTGCAGCTTTCCGCCACTGCAAGGCTTGAAACGTATTGATTGGGGTGTGTTCATGACAAGAAAGAATACTCTGCATACAGCAGCAACAGCAATGGCCTTCGACAATACGCAACGCAGCGTAAGAGGGTTCGCTCGTGGGGCAGCTATCCAGGCAATAACATCATACCTGCTTTGCCCACGGGATCTCTTCGTGCAAATGGTATTGTCCAACAGCCGTGGGTATTGTACCGTGTAAAAATCCATGACTCCCACAGAGTCGCTATGCATCGCTCAAAGCACGCTCGTTTCACTGGCATGTCGAATCTAGAGATACAGTGACTGCGCGGCCACAATATCTCGTCTTACCTTGCTCAACGCTTCCTCAAACTTCTTCTCCAGTTCTTCACTTCCCATGACTTTGGAAGCTTCAGCCATCTGCCGTAACGCTTCTTCGAGTCGTCGGAAAGTCCGAATCAGACTACCTTCGTAAACATCGGTCATTTTGCTACAACGCAGTCAGTATAAGAATTTATGAGACAGTCGCCAGCCCACTTACCAGATATCGCCGAATGATTTTCCTGTAGCCCAAGCGAACATCACAGGCATCAGCTGCCATTTGAAGCTCTGCACGTATTCCTCCTCGTTGACCGGCAACTTCGACTCGGCTGACACCCTGGCGATAATTCTAGCTTGTTTCTGAATTTCGCGCAAAGGTCTTGCCAGATCTTCTGGCAACGTCGGCTGTTCGTTGACCTTCTCCTCGAAGACGAAACAGCTCATGACAGCAGCACATTGTTCTGGGGTCAAGTCGTTGAAGAATCGATTGAACAAGAGCTCGCTAAGCATCAGTTCGTCCCCAGTGCTGATCTCACAGGCAACACGAGCTTTCAGCTGGACAACTTCATCCTCGTTGATGAATTGTAGTCGACGAAGGACTCGCTTGCGACATTTGAGCTCGTCCAATTGCATGATGGCGTGGGCATCCTGGATCTGCTTCTTCAGGGCTCGGATCTTGTTGGTCAACTCCACCTTCTTTGCATATTGGTTGTAGAGACCTTCCAGCCGCGGGGAGTTGTGCAGAGGATTGGCCATGAGCCTAGACTCCATAATCGAAATCTTTCGAAGAAGCTCCTTGAAGGAGTTATCCGTGATCTTCATGTTCTCGATTGGATCCAACACCGACAGACCATCCGGAAACCGTCGCTTCACTTCTGCCAGAGATTTCTGGACCTTTTTGCGCTCCTCCGGGTCTGTCATGTCCGCGGGAGGAAAGATGCGGACGTGAGAGATCTTCTGAACGCATTTCAAGAGGACTGGAACCACCTCGATCTTGGACTTTTCGCCAGGTTGAGGAGGACGAATGCCGGCTGGCAAAGACTGGAACGTCTTGGTAGCGGGAGCTGGACCCTCGGCGCATTCGAGCGCGATGTCGAGAATCCATTCTTCCTGAGGAGTCAACTTCTCGTTAGATCTACCTTGGTTTCTTTTCGCAAAGTTGATCACCGCTCCCCACCCAAAATCATTCTCGCCGTCCTTGACTTCGACCAAGCGACCCGGTTGCATGAATGGCAGACTGTAGTTTGGGTGGATGACGACATTTTTCATGTCTTCGCCGTAGACGTCCAGCTGTTTTCGAAGTTCATAGTATGCACGAATGGCGCTCTCGTCCTCAATTACCATAGCAGACTTTTCGGTCTCTAATTGCTGCAGCTCTCTCTCCAGCCCCGACACGCTGGCAGTGTTTTGAAATTGGTGGAAACATCTCTCCAACATGAACTCTGGAGAGATGCCTTCGACGCGTAGCAGGTTTAGAATCATGTTGTAACCGAGATAGAATGCGGAATTTAGTTTGTCTTGTTCACCGCGGACAATCTCCTTGGCGACGGTAGGCTCCATCTGCTCGTCGATCATCATGATGACGATACCGCGCTCATCGAGGCCACGACGGCCAGCACGGCCAGACATCTGAATGAACTCGGATGGTGTAACCCAACGTTGTGAGATGCCATCAAACTTGCGGACACTGGTAAACACCACTGTCTTGGCAGGCATATTGAGTCCGATCGAGAAGGTCTCGGTCGCGAACAGAACCTTGATCAACCCTTCTTGGAATAGAATTTCAATTGTTTCTTTGAGAATGGGTAGTAAGCCAGAGTGATGAATGCCAATGCCTCGCCTCAACAGCGGTAGCAGGTGTTGGATTTGTGGCAAGTTCTTGTCTTCGGGGGACAGCATCTCCAGTGCGCTGTCGAAAACTTTGGAGACCATCGCCTTTTCGGAATCGTCGTTAAAAGACATGGTGCTCATCTGGATTGCATATGCCTCACAGTCTCTCTTACTGAAACTGAACACAATGACTGGGTTGTAGTTCTTGGTCATGATCATGCGGACAATCTTGTAGATATCGGAAGGACCCTTATTCCCTCCTTTGTTCAACTTCTTGTCCTTTCCTTTGCCTTTTCGACGAGCCATGGCATTAGCAGGGTCGTCTCCATGCTTGGAAGCAATTGTGCTCATGGCCTTCTGGAAGTTGTCTTCTCGGAAGACACCTTTCTCATCCACAATGAGGTGAATACCATCTGCTCCGGCTGGGAAGAAGTAGTGTTGTAACGGAGTTGGTCGAAAGTCAGTGTAGACGACGTGACAGGGTTGGTTGTGTGTCTTGGTGATCCATTCGGCGAACTGCATGGCATTGGGAATGGTTGCCGACAAGAAGACATAGCGCACTTTGTCTGGAAGCAGGATGATCGTCTCTTCCCAAACCACACCTCGAGTCTTGTCTCGCAAATAATGGATTTCGTCGAAAATGACCCATCCAACCTCTCGCATGATTTCGGATCCTCGATACAGCATGGAGCGCAGGATTTCGGTGGTCATGACGAGACAAGTGGCCGTAGGATTGATCGTAACGTCTCCAGTCATCAAGCCAACGTCGCCAAAGTCGGCCTGGAACTCTCTGTACTTTTGGTTGCTCAGTGCTTTGATAGGACTTGTGTAGATGACCCGCTGGTTGTTCTTGAGACATTGTGCTATGGCATACTCAGCCACGACAGTCTTGCCGGCGCTAGTATGTGCTGAGACTAAAACACTCTCGTTGCGTTCGATCGATGCGATAGAGACTTGCTGAAAAGGATCGAGCTGGAACTTCCATGTTCTCGCGGGCTCAGCGGGAGGTTTGTGTTCGGAAATCGGGACATAGTCGTAGTCGGGAGGAAGGGCTACTTGATGACGGACTTGGTGTGAGAGAATGACTTTCTCCTCCTCTTTGGATGCCTGCAAGCCGGCAGATGCCGCCACCTCTCTGGACTGCTCGGTTTCAAAGGTGTCGGTGACGACGGGCTCCGGTTCATCGTCCAAACGCAGACGCTTCACGCCTGCCTCATTTCCAGCTGGACTTGTGGACCCATTGTGTTCAGACTCTGAGGTATTCACATCACTAGAGGCGGCGGGTGCCTCGTCACCGTTGACCGCATCCTTTACTTCACCATTCGCCTGTCGCTTGAGCCGCTTTCGCTCTCTCTTGTGGGGTGTAGCGGAGCCGCTGTTGGCGGGTTGCCCACCTTGAGGATTGTCCTCAAAGACATCAAAGAGCTCATCCATATTGACTGAGCTGTGGGTGCCCCACAAACTGCGTTAGAGAATGGGAATGTCGCGAACAGAGAAATCTGCGGTAGACGGACTAGAAGCGTAACGCAGTAGAGGGAAAGAAAATCCATTGCGGGTAAATTAACGGGGCAACTTTGCCGAAGCCTTGCCAAGCCTCATAGCTCCTGCAGCTTCAATCCGGTGGAATGACTGACGGACTTATGAGAGACTCACTCATCTTCACGACTCTGTCCCTCTCTGAACATTATCACTCTTAGTGTGAGAGAAGCTGTCGATGTATGTCTGCCTCCGTCGCTTCTGTACAGTATGCTGATCATGCAGATGAACGCCCAAACCATGCTCCGCGCCAGAATGGCAACACAACAGATTGCCCGCCGCGGCTTCTCTACCACCCGACCTCAATTCTCCAGCCCTTACCACTATCCCGAAGGCCCGCGAGCCAGTTTACCTTTCAACCCTAAGACACGATTCTTCTGGCTGCGATACTGGACATTTATGGGTAAGAGGCCTGTTTCCGACAGGCGGGGGCAATACACTGAACATTCTGTAGCCACTGGATTCTTTATCCCATTCGGCATGGCTGGTACGTATTCGACGCTGGATAACTGGGGATTCTTACTTACACAATGGCAGTTTGGCACACCTACAAGGCTTGAGTTGTTTGGATGAATCAGAAGTCTGCTGGGAGAACATTACAGGTCGCGTCGAATCAGGTCTGGGAGTGGCGCTCCCAGTGGCCGGTGTCTGTACAGAGCCCTGAATAAATACACAATCATCACAAAGGCTTTCAGTTCACGCAACTTGTCTCTTATGATCTGCTTTGGATATCTCTGGCGCACTGTTCCGCCCTCTCCTCTCCGTACTCTGTGTATGTGCATTGCGGGAAATGGTCCAATCAGAATACGCGGATTGACGTAGTAAATTTAATTATCCGACGACATTTTATTTTTCGCCGTGAAATAGTTTGTATCTGACGCCAAAGCCCAAATTGCGACCACTACCTGGGTCATGGTGGCTCCTAACCACGATGAGGAACCTCAAGACGATTGCATATCATGAAACGAGGCTGAAGAACGAGTTGCCGTTGACCGCGACGGCCTGGGATGCTGGGAACGACACGGTAATTTGTGCCTTTGGGCCTACCCCAACACAGCCCATCATCGAGTTGAAACGGAGGAATCCTTCTCTGTCCTCCGGCGACGATTTTGCAAGCATAACATCATGGGATGCTCCTTGTCCCCTGCCGGACCTCGACTGCGACGAAATCCTGCTTCTGCAGCATTTCACTGACATTGCGACATCTTGCCTTGTCCTGGCGGGCGGCGATGTTGTGGTCGTCCGTGAAGATCCCTCTCCGGACCAAGAAAAGATCGAAATTGTCGGGAGTGTTGATGTTGGTATCTGTGCCGCTGCTTGGGCTCCAGACGAGGAACTCCTGGCTATTGTCACCCGAGCAGATACTCTAGTGTTGATGAGCAGGAACTTTGAGCCGCTCAACGAAGCCACACTCTCCCCAGAGGACCTGAAAGTTTCTAAGCATGTCTCGGTTGGCTGGGGCAAAAAGGAGACTCAATTCCAAGGCAAAAGGGCCAAAGCAATGCGCGATCCTACGATGCCCGAGACTGTCGATGAAGGAAAACCAAGTCCATGTGAAAATGGCAAAGTTACAGTCAGCTGGCGAGGTGACGGTCAATACGTGGCCATCAACAGCATTGTCCCAGGCCACCGCCGAGCCATTAGAGTCTTCTCTCGCGAGGCTGTACTGGACAGTGCAAGTGAGCCTGTTGATGGAATGGAATCTGCGTTGAGTTGGAGACCGTTTGGAAATCTGATTGCAGGGATTAAGCGGTCAGACAACAGGATAGAGGTCATCTTTCTCGAGAGGAATGGCCTTCGACATGGCCAGTTCGATCTCAGATTGACAAAAGATGAAATGGATAGCTGGGCATCCGACGTTACTCTGACATGGAACAGTGACTCAAGCGTACTGGCTGTTACATTCAAGGACAGGGTACAATTCTGGACCATGGGCAACTACCACTACTACCTTAAGCAGGAGGTTCAGCTTGGGTCGCACCAGAGCAAGGCTCCCTTGCGCTGGCATCCGGAGTCACCGCTGAGAGTGTCATTTGGAGCTCATGAATACTTGTTGGATCTGACCTTCCAGTCCACTGTGGCCCGTGGAAGCACTGTCCCTCCAGACGACCATGGGATTGTCAGTGTTATTGACGGCAAGACATTGAAGCTCACCCCGTTCAAACAGGCTGGTGTCCCTCCGCCCATGTCTTTCTGCGAAATCTCTTTCACCTCCAATATTGTTGATTCGGCCGTCAGTCAAGACGGACACAAAGTCACGGTCTTAACGACAGACACTATTGAGTTGTGCCAATGGGTCACTCGGTCGACTCCAAAAGGCGAGGCCAGATTCACGACGCAAGTCCAGAACTATTCCATTGCACTTCCGCGCGCAGGAGACTCGTCTCAGAGTCTTCGATACACCCAGGTCACGCAAAAGGCCGACGAGGTGTTCCTCCTAGCCCCTGCCCAGGCGAACGTCGGGGCAACCTGCCACAAATTGGAATGGGGCAATGACCCATCCACCGCAACCTTTGAAGACGTTTCGACACCCCAGGGATCTCAGAATTTGCTCATCGACACCTTCTTCGAGACCCTCTTCTGCACCGATCCAAGCCAAAACGCTACTCTTTCAGTGTCCGACCCTCATAGTCTTGATCAAGTTCGGCTGAGCGGTTCCCAACCAAACAGTTCCCTCTTTACAGTCCCAGGTGGCGCATCCAATGAAATTATAAACGGACACAGCATCCAGTATCACAAAGTCTCACTAAGCCCCAAGGGCAGTCTATACGTGAACGATACTCTTCTGGCCCGAGAATGCACATCATATGTTGTCACCTCGGCCCACCTCATCTTCACGACTTCGCAACACCTCTTGAAATTCGTCCACCTGACTGAGCCTACAGACATGCAGGTACCAGGTGACACGCCCGAAATCGACGAAAGATGTCGCAACGTGGAACGCGGCGCGAATATCGTCACGGTCATCCCCTCCATCTACGCCCTGATCCTACAGATGCCGCGTGGCAACCTCGAAACCATCTATCCTCGCCTGCTTGTCTTGACTGGGATCCGACACCACCTCAAACAACAAGACTATCTGGCCGCCTTTTTAGCATGCCAGACACACCAGGTCGACATGAACATTCTGCACGACTACGACCCGGAGACATTCCTGGCCAATGCGCCCAAATTCATCGACCAGCTGAAGAAACCGAGCCGGATCGACGAGTTCTTGTCCAAAATCAAAGACGAGGACGTAACCCAGACGCTCTATCGAGACACTCTAACCGCACATCCTCAACCTCCGAACCAGCCAGAGAAGCCTTCCAACCCCGTATTGGGAAACAAAGTCAACAAGATTGCCGACGCCTTCATTTCAGCCCTGGCATCCAAACCGTCTCAATACCTCCAGAACACCATCACGGCCCACGTATCCAAACGACCACCTGACCTGAACTCTGCTCTCTCACTGGTCTCTTCCCTCCGGCAGACCTCCGAGGAAGAAGCCGACATGGCAGTCGCGCACCTCTGTTTCCTAACGGACGCGAACCGGCTCTTCGACGCCGCGCTGGCGCTATACGATCTCGACCTGACGCTTCTAGTGGCGCAGAACGCCCAGCGCGACCCCAGAGAATACATGCCGTTCTTGCAATCGCTGCACGAGATGCCTGTGCTACGCCGTCGATACCAGATCGACAACCACCTGAAAAAGTACAGCAAAGCACTGGCATCGTTGCACGCACTCGAAGCCCACGATGAGGTGCGCACATACACGGTCAAACATGGCCTCTACACGACGGCGATGGATTTGTACAAATACGATCGAGAACATCTGGAGCCCACGACTCGCCTGTATGCCGAACATCTGGCAAGTCAGTCCCAGCACGCCTCAGCCGCGACTCTGTTCGAGTCCTTGGGTGACTACGAGACAGCATATCCGCTGTACGCACTGGCTCATAAATGGCGCGAATCGTTGACTTGTGCGACCCTCGTGCCTGTGGAGCGTGAGCGGCTTCTCAATCTTGCATCATCCCTCGCCACGACTTGCGCCGACGTGTCGCGCGACTACCGCTCCGCCGCGACAATCCACGCCGATTATCTCGACGAGATCCCCGGCGCCGCCAGACTGCTTTGCAAAGGTTCCTATTTCGCCGATGCTTCACGCATATTAGCCATGAGAGGCCTGCAGGCTGAGATGCCGACGATCATCGATTCCGGCCTGACCGAGAAGTTCGGCGAGATTCTCGAACTCGTGGCTGACTGCAAGGGACAACTAAGTGCGCAGATCCCGCGGATCGAAGAACTGCGGCGCAAAAAGGAGGAAGATCCGTTGGCCTTTTATGGCGGCGATCCGAGTCTTATGGATGCCAATGCGGTCGATATTCCGGATAACATTTCCCTCGCTGCCACCGATGCAAGCACGGTTGGTGGCCAGAGCTTGTTCACGCGCTACGGGTCCAACGCTAGTAAGTTCGGCGGCACCGTGGCGTCGAATGTGTCGAGAAAGACGTCTAAGACGAAGCGACGCGAGGAGAGGAAGCGCGCCCGCGGGAAGAAGGGGAGTGTGTACGAGGAGGAATACCTTGTCGCCAGCGTGGCAAGATTAATCGACAGAGTTAATGGCGTGCATGACGAGGTTAAGAGACTAATCAGTGGCCTGTTGAGACGTGGCATGCGGGACCAGGCTGCGAAAGTCGATGAGGTCTTGAAAGATCTCGCTGAGCAATGCTCCAAAGCCAGAGGCGAGGTCTGGCAACTCCCTCAAAGTGATCAAATGCAGCCAGCCAATCTCTACGATGTGAATGGCGAGGGTCGGCCTTCAGGAGCAGACGGCGTCTTCTGGGACAGCCAACAGGAAATGCAAAAGAAAGAGGCGCCGGAAGTCAAGGCATGGGCTGCGAGTGAATTGCTCACGTCCTAAGTAGATCGACGCATCAAGATGTTGTCAAGCATTGACCATAATCTCGGCTTCACTGCTTCTTGTCTTTTCGACGTACAACTCATCTAACCTGCTCCATCTCCCTTCTTTGGGACTGCCGGCTGGTTACGTTCCTCGCTGGTATGTTTGCACCTTCGGATGACTGTTGAGGTGCATCCAGTCGGCGTCTTTCGTCAGGAGCACCTGCTATGGGTTGCCCATTGGCACTCTTAGTCTTCTGTCCGCTATTGGAGAATAACTGTCTCCGGATGGGTGGTGCCGCAATCTTCTCTCTAGGTTCATCTCTTGGTGGTGCCTGGACTGCTTTCTTTGCTTGGTTGAGATCTGAAATTCCCAGACCAACGTCGATCAGATAAACTTGGAAAGCTGACAACAACTCCTTCAGCCCAGACCTCAACCTTCCAACGATGATCTCAACTTCCTCGATATTTCTCGTTGATCCGGGGTCGTTTTTGGCCACAAAATTTTCAATAACAAGCAACGTCCTCGTGAACGTTCGGACTGCTTCTGGTACTGTTGGCGTGGCTTTACCATAAGTATCCTCGGAAAGACTTGCCACGAGCATTTTTGTGATGGAGTCAATCACATCAACTATAATAGCCGCATTGCCAAATGGTGTTCCGAGGACAGCGGCATTGATCTTTGCTGCATTGGTGGAGATGAAGAACCAACCCACGGGGCTCCTCTGCAGAGACAGACTCCATTGCTCCAACAAATTCCGAGCAGGCATATCATTTGCGCCTGGGCGCTTCGCATATTCAAGCAACTTCGTCTCCACTGCTTTCGTCGTCCTCTCGACTGGCGGGTGCCACGGATGGGCACTATTACCTATGTGTCGTAATTGGTTCGAAACTATCGCCTCCGCCTTTCTGGGTTTGGGGCTCGGTTGGAAGATTGGTTGAGCAGGCAGTTCAGGAATAATGTGAGGAAGGGATCTGACAGAACTGTTGTTCGTAGGTTGTGGTGCAACAGACGGGGGACCAGAGATACGGTCCTGAATCTCTCTTAGAACTTTCAAACCTGCTTCCGAGATTTGAGTCCACACTGGCCCACTGGGTCGCTCAATATCCTCAAATATGGCTCTTCTTCGATCCTTGTGTTTCTGTGCAATGATGGCAAGCTCCCAAAATGCGAAGGTCTTGACAACATCCCGCTTGGCTTTCAGACCATTGAGCAGCGTCCCATTTGGATCTCTGCTGGAAGCTGAAAGTGGTAAACCAGCTTTGGTAGGCTCCTGATTGAGGTAGGTCAAGAACAGGACCGACGTGATTTCCCACGTGAGGACCAACAAAGAGCCTGCCACAAAACATCGAGGTAAAAATAGTCCTAAGGGCGGATATCCAGTAGCCTGAGCATTTGCCCGTGACAGATTAAAGAAGGGCTTTGCAAGCATGAGATGCAGCTGCCAAAGAGGCTGGCGGAGCCAAGCAGTGTTGAGAACAATCGCCGTCGCCAAAGACAAAGCTGCAGCAATGCCAGTTCGGTAGAGCGCAGGTATCAATCTCTGTTGTAATCGTATCTGTATCGGTTCCAGCTGATGAGTGTTCGGGCTTTTCCCCTCGGCAGCCGCAGTTGCAGGTAGGTGCGAGACAGGAATAACAAGCGCTGACTTTCCGATGTAAAGGTGGTATCCAGCGTAGGCGAACGCCGTAACTAGGGCATATAACCGGAAAAAAATCGGTCTCTCATTCAACATGTCGGGAGTATTGTGGCTGCCTCTTGTGATCCATCCGAGATCTGGGGCCGACCAGACGTAGGCTTCGGTGAACCACCACGCCGAAACCACATACCAAAACATCGTTTGAAGCGCGGTGATGCTGAGAAAGTTCGTTCGGATGGTAGCAAACGGCGAGGTAGTGGTTTGTCTGCCAATGCTGAGAGTCGCTATATGCAAGATGAAGATGAAGAGGCTGGACATGAAGAAAAGCAGGGCTCTGATCCCCGCAGGCCCAAATGGGAACCATGACCAGAAGAGATCTAGAAAAGTCAGGATTCTTCCTAGTCAGATAGAGAGGAGCGGCACATACCTCTCTTGGACCCCAGCCAGAAAGCATTATTGAAGGCGAGAAGAAAAGATATGAGTGCAGCATGCACGAACCGTGTATGCAGGGCAGATGTGAGGAATCTTCTGTAGGGCCGCGGAGCAGCAGCGACAGCCATGGAGGGGGTCGCCATAGCTGAATGAGAGGTTCAATCGAAACAAAGCATGCTCAACCAGCAGAAATCGACCAGCGTGACTGCAGTTGGCGTGTGCTCGAGGATATAACTGGTACGGAAGTTGTTGAAGGAATGAATTGCAGTGTGTAAACAGTCGATGCTGCGCGTTGCGTCTCCAAACTTTTTGGTGGTCGCTGCAGAGACTGGCCGAATGCTCCACAGTAGCAAGTTCTCCCGGACTCGGAGATCCACGTGATGTGCGCCCTCATGCGGAGGCTGGTCGCAGTCGCCCGTTCAATCTATCGTTCGTCCAGATTCCAGGCTTCCATGATCGCCCAGTCACTTTCGCACTTCCGTTACAACACTCTCACTAGCCTCCAGACCTGCTTTCACTCATTCCTCTAGCGGTCACCGTCCTCGATTTGCTCAACAGGCGTCATGTCGTTCGACAGGCTCTCTTCGCTCGAGTCGCAACCGACGACAACCCGGCGGCAGGACGATCCTCAGTACAGAGATGACCCCGAATTCCAGGACTTCACGGAATCATTGTCTACCAAGCTTTTCGAACTAGTATCAAACATCTCCCGCCTGTCCAATCAACTTGCCAAACGAGATACCGAGAGGGTTCGAGAGAGGGTACATGATTTGCTCGAAGAGACACGGGATGGCTTTAAGGATGTTGGAGAGGGCATCAAGAGGGCGCAAGCATGGCCGGACCTCAATGTGAGTCACCTGGCAGCCTCCCGAGTTTCGACACTGACAGGAAACAGCCTGCGCAAAGATACACGAATCAGAAACTATCCCGCGAGTTTGCATCGGCTTTGTCCGAGTTTCAAGTTGTGCAAAGACGAGCGATAGAAAAGGAACGAGCTTCGAAGGCTGCTCTGGAGGAAGCAGCGTCAGCCCAATCACCCTCGATGGAAGGAGAACAACAGCTTCAGACATTGGAGGAACCTCGACTGGCTCAGCAGGATGAAGTCGACTACCAAGAAAACCTGATAATTGAACGGGAAGGAGAGATTCGACAGATCGAGCAGTCGGTGGGCGAGTTGAACGAGTTGTTCCGCGATGTCGCGACTCTCGTCCGAGATCAGGGTGATCTGATTGACGCGATTGATGTCAACGTTGAGAACACCCTGACTGATACACGCGGAGCCGATGTCGAGCTGAGGAGTGCGAGTAGGTACCAGAAAAACGCACGAAACAAAGCCTGCTGTCTATTGTTGATCCTGGCTATTGTATTGTTAATTGTGGTCCTGGCTGTTGTGTTGGGATGAGAGGCAAGCCTGGAGAATATGGCGTTTCTGGAGTTGAGTCTCGGGGAACAAGGTTGGATTGTATGGCACACGGGGTCATCAGGTACATTGCTGTGTTATCAAGGCCCAGGGGGCGATGTGCTAGAGCATGGATTAAACTGACTCGAGACAAAGTCGTTAATCGTATTGCAGTTGTATACTCAGACACGTCTCTTACAGCATACTAATAAATACATTGCACATCTGCATGCGATCACCCTTTGACGGGGCTGTAACATGACTGAACTGACGAGGCTGAAGCCAAGACTCAGCCTTGTCCCGATGTCGCCTGAAGACGCGTGACGTCAAGTAATCCCCCGTACTCGGTCTCCTACGCGTCTGGACTCCGTAAGAATCCACGTCTACCATCGGCATTTTCTTTTGGTTGCCTCGTCCTTGTTCATTACTCTCAGTATCCTTGCGTTCATGAGGCATGATGGCAAGCCATGCTGCCGCGAAATCCAACCGAGAGATCTGTACTGGTGCCGGCGACCAGTAGCAGTCTAAATGTCACGTCACGCGGTCCAGATTGCAACAGCAGAAAGAGGAAGAGCGACGTGATTGATGCGGGTGATCTCGAGGAGGAGACATTCACCGCCAGATCTCTACCACTCGAGGAGGAAGGCCTCGCGTTCTGTCCGATAGCACTTATTGCCAGAGCATGTCTTCCTTTGGCTTGGCTCGACACCTCGCAGGCATTACCAAGCCCTGTCGTCGAAGCAACTATCTCTTCGGTGCAAGAATGGGAGCAGCGCGTACTTGTGGCTCGCAGACTGCCGAATGGCGGGCTCTATGCAGTAGAAAGGGTGGGCAATAACACTTATGTGGCGTGTGCCCTGCACAACTGGGTATCGCAAGACTGGTGTAAGGATGCTGCAATCGGAAAAGTGGCGAGAGCAAGAGTCGAGGATCTCCTGAAGCGAGAAGATGGAGCAGGTCAAAGGCATTCGAGAGCTCCTTCTTCCTCAAGCTTCGTGCCAGCCCTCCCTACGCCCAAAAGCCCAAGAAGGCCAACCAATCGACGAGGAGCTCTTGCAAGAATGTCAATATTGAATCCCAGGGATTTAATGGGAGAGGATACGACATCCCAAACCTCCAGTTCTCCCAGGACGCTCGAACCTGTTATTGTCCCATCTCCGACAACGGCACTGTTTCCAATCACTCCTGCTGCACAGATCAGAGAAGAAGACCCTTTCCACAGTGAGCATCTACCAACCGAGGTGGCAACTGAACCCGCCCACGAGCTCGCTCAAGAACCCGAGCGAGTACTGGACGTTGCTGCGGCGGTTGAGGAGCCATGTGCTCCCGAACGCCTTCGGAATCAGTATTTCGAGCATCTCTACGCTTCCAAGACTTCTCTGGCATTTTACGTCAAAGGCCCTCTGAGCCGGGCGCGAGCGCATGTGCGTTCAGCTGCCCACCCATCGACAGCAATTGCGGATTTGGCCGGTTTCTACGATCAAAGCATTCTCGCCACGAAGAAGATTGACTTGAAATACAAGGAATCTTTGTCCAGCATCGTCAAGGGCTTGGCAAGCACAAGCGAGCAAGACGGGCAGGATGTCCCGAAGAAAAGGAAGAAGAAGAAGAAGCAACAACAGCAGAAATTAGGCAAAGACTGCCTCTGGCCCGAAGAAGAAGATTTCATCAAGAAGTGGTGGCGCGGCCGAGACTTCAAGCCAGCCATGAACGGCCCCTCACTACTAGATGAGTTGCGTAGAGAGCTGGCAGACCTGCGTATGAGAGAGACTAAGATGCAGATGCTACTGGTACTCGAGCTCATGCTATTGAACCTCGCCATTGTCAAGTTGTCCGAAACCCAAGACACCGCTACCGGCCCGGAGGTGAAGGTCGAGTCTATCGAAGAGGACCCCTCGGCTATACTGGCCAAAACACCTCAGAAGCAGAAGCCCAAGAAGAAACGCGATCTAGTCGGCGAACTAGACACAATAGTGGATCGTCTGTGTATATGGCATACGGTGAGTCAAGACGAATTGAGCACCACCACCAACTCGGCGAACAGCAGCACCGCGGCGAAAGCGAGTGACTCGTTGCGTGATTTCTGCAAGGACGTTCTACTCCCCTTCTACTCCGCAAAGCTCCCTGAGCAGGTGAAGTCACTATCTCGGAAACTCGGCGGACCAGAAATATCGCCCAAACGGCCGAAGCCCGTGGCCCGACACCAGGGACAAAAGCAGGCTCTAGCACCTCCGACAGCACTGACGAGGTCCTCCTCATTTTCCTCCCTCGCAAGAGCCAACTCCAAGCCCGGCCAACCACAAATGCTAGATAAACGGACTCTCGAACGTGTTTTGAGCGAAGACCAAGCCCACCGACACGCGTCGCCACCGACATCACTTTCCCGCTCAGCGACCGCCCCTTTGAGCGCCATGAATGCAGTGATCCCAGCCTTGAAGCGTGAGCCATCGGAGCGACCATTGTCCCGGGGCGGGATGAGCATGCTAGCCAAATCCTCGAGCTTCAGCAATCGAGAAATCGACCTCGTCGCGGACTGCCGGGCTCATGAAGCGAAGCGCCGCAAACTCGACCGTCTGGCGCAACAGAAGCGCGAGCTTGAAGCCGCCATCGAAGCGCTTAGGAGGCCTAGTCGTGGGACGGTTGCCAGCGCGTTTATGGACGAGGTGGAGAAACGCGGCGAGAAGACGAAGACGGTGCAGATCACTGCGACTCCGCGGGCTCGCAGGATCGGCGACCGCAGTTTACATATAGGCCACAGTCAGGACCTTGAACACGGTCATGCCGAGCCAGAATTACCGCCGATCATACCTTCTCTCTCGCTCCCGGGGCACAAGCAGGACAAAGACATGATGATAGTTCCATCGTCAACGGCAAAACCGCGGCAAGGGGTGTCGCGGCCCGGGATCTCAGGCTCCGGCAGCATGGGACTTCCCTCCAACAGATCGTCCGCCACGAAACGAGCAGTGCTGTCTGCAATCCACGAGACCCCGTCCCGCGGAGTCCATAACAAGACTTCAAACCCACTGGACTTGCCGCGGCTGGTGTCTTCGGCCAACGGTGATGGCGGTCGCGACGGCGGCGGCGACTACTACTCGGCTGTTTCTGCCCCAAGTCTATCATCGGCTAGTGTCACCCGCTCTGGCCGGCCCGTTCTGTTCACGACGGTCCGGAAATCCGAAGTGAGCGTGGAACAAGCCTTCCGCGATGCGCCCGAGATCCCAGAGCGAGCTGGGAAAACGATGGATCGCGTGATGGGCGGGAAAACGCGGGCCCTCCCTGCCGGGTTTGGGGCATGGGACGACGCCGACCAAGATAAATTAACGTTGGACAGCAATCCCCGTGGGACTCAGAATGGGAGCCAGACGAGGACAGACGATGCAACGGTCTCAACGCATCCCATAACAGTCACAGTCCAGACTGGTGCCGGCGACGAGGCCGGTGACATCTATGCCAAACTCGGATGGAACGACGATGATTTTGACATCTAAGATCAATCAGGACTGATGCGTCCGATGGGTTCTTTGAACCCACTTCTCTTTTTTAGGGATGTCTTGGGGAGCGCCCCGTCCATGTCCAGAGGGAATGTCATTGGCATCAACAGCGACTCAAAAAGTCGATCTCGTTGACGAGGCGTGCCGGTGAGGCTATCGACATCTGACTGATCTCAGCCTTCCGGCAATCTACAAGATTCCTCGTTGGATGGGCCTTGTCCGAGATTTCGAAAAGACCGGAAGGGTGGGGCGTGATGTTGAGAGTCTGAGGCTTCTCGGGAAGATGTTAGGCAAGACAAGGCAAGGCCGTTTGGTGGTTACGCTGTGGTGACTAGGTGACGAAGCCATAGATAGACGAACAAGAACAGATCGCGACATAACGAAATAAATGCATATATTCCTTTTATATCAGGTCTTCTAAATCAATCCGTCGCTCCATCCGTTACACAGCCATTGTCGCCTAAGGGGCGGGATCGACATTCATCAGATCATCACTCATGATATGTAAAACCTGAGTGAGCGTGCCCAGCCTGCGCCCAGAAATGCCGTCCATCAAGTTCGCAAAATCCAACAAGACCCTCCTGGCGCTCTCGTACCCGCCCTGATGCACGACGCCGTTGAGACTGATACTCCCACCATGCTTGACGAACTGGTAGATACATGAGGAAGATGGTTGGTCTCCACTGTTGGCCGTCAGGCTGTGCTCGGACTGCTGCTCGAGCGACTCGGCGCCGAATCCCAGATCGTGCAGCTCCATCCAGTCGGGCTCAGCCTCGACCAGTTCGACATGCGCGGCGCCCTGGCTTGATATCGAGCCTGGAGTGACCATGAACAAATACAAGCCCAAGACCAGAGCCGATGCAAAAAGGGCGTTGACTGAATGGATGGTCACGTTGTCCGACACCCGGCGCTCCGACATCAGCTTGAAGTTTTGGGCTGCATGGACGCAGGCCCGACGTGCAGCTTGTGTCTGTGACCACTGGGCGACGTTCTCGAGCGCGGCAGTTGCTGGAAGTGCCCCGTGGCGACCGGCGGCGAGTTCAAACAGCCGAGGATCTGCCAGAAGCATGATGCAGAGACTGTGCCAGAGCACGACGCAGTTTGTGTCGTCGACTTTGGACAACGGGCCCGCTGTGCGGTTCGCCGCCAGCACGGCTGATATCACGGTCTTTGCTCGAGTGTCGCCAACGTAGACGTGCCAGGGAATGAAGGCGCCCACGGTCAATTGATCGGTGGGCATCAGCCGCTGGTAGGCCTCAAGGATCTGGATCTGAAGCAAAGCCAGCAGTGACGATCTACCCAGGTAGCCCAATCGACCAATGGATTCCACATCACGTTGAAGTAGGTCTTCGAGCCTGAAGGTGGGCGCACTTTGGCTTTCTCCACTTCGCAGGAGTGACTGCCATTGAGTGGCAGATTTGGCTTGGAATAGTGCCTCATCGCAGGGTGCAAATACACAAACCATCTCGGACCGGATGATGGGGGCTTTGGATAAGAGGTTTGCGTACCACGAGTCAGCCAGCAACAGGCCGAGTATGAGTCTCTTGGCCGACTCAATGCGACTCCAGGCTTTCCACCGGTCGTCTGATTCAGCCATTTCAGACAGCACAGCATCAAGAGATTGGCCGTCATCTGCCGTAAACAGACCGTTCTGCTGAGCCATCGAAGTCAGACTGACGTACAGCATCTGACATTTGTTGAAGGAGTCCTTGTCGCCCGTGACAATGGACAAGTTCAGAGTAAGAAGTGCTGTACCGAAGACAACCAGTTGTTGCACTGGGGGAGCAGAACCTCCTGCACACGCAGACAGGTCGTTGCAAACGCGTTGCAGAAAACTGGGAAACATTCTCGACACAAACCGGGTAGCACCGGTTGTGCCCAGAATACTCAGTCCGATCAAACAGATGGCGAACAACATAGGTGTTGGGGTATTTCGAACAGAGAAGGTGGCAACATGAATGAATGGAACCGTAGGATGGAATCGACGAAAGAAGAGACCTAAAGCAATGTCCAGGATCTCAGCAGGCGGAAACTCCTCGTTTCCATGGGACAAAGCCGGATCGACGAGCCCTTGCAGTTTGGGAGACTGAAAAGTCACTGGGATAGGGGTATGGAAGGTGTCGCGTAACCGAGCCCGGCAATCTGTGTCGAGTCCCCAGTTTGAGGCCGTCCGAAAGTCGTCGGCGGCAAATGGAGTTTCGGAGAAGAGATTGTCCATGACGGATGAAGCGGCCTCTTTCCAGAGGATCGGCATGATACGATGGTTGCGAGCCGGATGGCGACCCCAGCAACGCTGGATCCTTGAAAAGCGTTCTCTGGGGACTTTAGCAATGGTTTTGGTACGATCAACGGGATCATAAGTCGTTCTATTGGGCGGGTCCTTTTCCTCGAGGTATTGATGCTGAATATCGCCGAGTCCGTAGTTCTGGAGAAGGTCGGGAGACTGGTCCAGGTCTCCTAATGAAGGGAATAACCACACCTGGAAAGGATCATGGAAGTTGTTTTGATTTGCATGGTTGGACGGCGGAAGCCAGTCGTTGTGAGCATCAGTGAACTGGTGAGGCGCGAGATCAGACCTCGGAGTGTGGGCCTGATTTCCTGGAGTCGGTACCGACGGCTCGAAGGCGGAAGCCTCGCCGCTGGTCTGCGAAGGCGATTGCTGCTGGTGCTGCGATGAAAGGGGGTCCTTGGATATGGGGTTGACAGGGGAGGAAAGGTTCCAACTTGAGCCCGAGAGCTGCAGGTTGAGGGCATGTGGCTGGCTGCCCGAGCCGTCAAGGAAAGGGTTGGAGCCATTGATAGAAGCATGTCGATTTGGCCGGTTGTGCTCACTTCCTCGGTGTGGAAGATAGTCGGAGGGCGAAAGGATCTGCATCAACGGGATGCCAGTATGGGAGCCATTTGCAGCACCAGCAGCAGGAGAATTGACATCAAAGACGTTCTGAGGGGGCTGAGGGGCCACCCCTTCAGAGATGGTATTTCTGCGCGAGGACGGATTGGCCGGAGTTGATTTCTCGTTCTTTTGAGCGTGACATTTCATATGTCGGAACAGGACATCGCTATTGTGTGATTGGGTCAGGATACATGATGCACAGTGGAACGCAAGGTACTTCTCGCTCCAAGCAAGAAAAGCAACGCGAGGGAGTTTGTCTAAGACATACCTGCGGGAGAATGCTTTGTCACAGACCGTACAAGGATATGGACGCTCTCGAGTATCTAACAGTATACGTCAGCAACGACACGAACGATGAGGTTGGACTCGGGCGGGATCGGCTAAGTGCAGACGTACGAGAGCGCTCATGGCGTTTGAAGTGTTCTGTTTTGGTGAAGCGGCGGCCACATACGGTGCACTGTCTCAATACCATGGCCGCGGTGGTCTTTGGCAGCTTGCGGAGGGAGGAGCAATATAGGAGAGGGCGTCCCGCAAGATGGAAGATGCCAGTGTGGGAGAGGTGGAGGGAGGAGCAGGAGATCTCAAAACCAGAGATTTCGCGGAGAAAGAGTGGAGGGCGGATGCGAGGCCGAACACAATCTGGGGTCTTATCCGAGGGACTGGCACTGGCACTGGCACGGGGACGTGTGGTCTCTTGATGGGACATTTCGATTGGGTGGCAGCAATCCCTGGTACGTTGATCGTGACCGCTGCTCTCTTCTTTCATGCGGGACAAGGAACAGTGGTTTGAAGGAGTAGGTCGGTTTCGGAGTAGCCAACAGGGCCCGACGACATCCCCGCGGGGTGAGATAAAAGCAGGAGAGAGAGGGATGGGCTATGAGAGGTGGCAGGCAAAGACGCGAGAGAGGTCTGGACATCGAGAAAGGGAAGAGGAAGAGGATGCGGAGGAGAGGAGTTGGAACAGACGACGAACTGGCGCAGGCTGGTTGGACTCTTCGCATCCTACCTAGTCTTTCTGGTGTTCTTACATCTTCCTTTAAGAGGTCCAAAGGCGCACGGCACTCTGGCAGCTCGTGACTGAGCTCGACTGCAATTGTCGGTGCCTTTTCCTGGGGGGGGAACCAAGGGATGGAGAATCGTGGGGGAGTCGTAGAAATGGAGAAGAAGCGGGAAACTTGGGGCGCAGGCAATAATAATGGGAATTAGAGAGATGGAGTGGAGGGGCAGAACTCTTTAGCAGCCTAGGGGCGCAGGCAAATGCCCAGAGATGCAATGGCGGGGCAGAAAGCTGGAATCCGGGGCTATTCGTTGATACTTCACAAGCACTTCTACTCTCCTACTCTCCTCCTACGACTTACCAGTCAACCAGCCAGCGGATCTCGGCTGTAAGAGTGAGACTAATAGCTAGCCAGTACATGCAGAAACACCAACCCATAAAACACATGCTCGCATTCACCGGCATTCGGGTTCCGCAGTAAGGCGTCTCGACCTGGGCAGTGAGGGGACCTTGAAGCGACGCCTTCCACAGATTCTCATACGCGCGGATCATGGGGTGATAGTCGCGAGGCAGCCGAACACCTGGTTGGCTGAACGCCGGGTCTTGCTTCTCGTCCGGCAGTGGAGCCAAGGTGAGACAGTCGACATAGACAAAGACCACGATGCCCCGGATGGGCCGCCAGTCGTGGATATCGTCGTGCGCGTTGTAGCCGACCAGCTGCTCGACGCAGACATTGCCTTGAGTGTAGCAGTCGTCATTGCACCGGCTGCCGTAGCACTCGGTGGAGCTCCCGCAAGTGCCTTTGTAGATTGGGATGAAGGTGAAGTAGCCGCATTCGCCGTCGGGGAGAGTCTTGCTGAACTTGTAGCCTTGCGTGATGCCGGACTTCGTGCTGTAGCCTTGCGTGATGCTGATGTAAGACCAAGTCAGCAAAGACGAAGATCACAGAACTTGTAGTGACTTAGGCAGCGGTTGCTCATTGATCTTATAGAGAAGACCTCGCCAACGATTGTTGACGAGGATGGTACGAGGCAGTGCTCTCATCTAGCCATGTTTCTTCTCTTTTCTGTTCTTCTCTTTCTATTCTCTCTTCCCTCTTGCTCGCTTCGCAGACATTCGTAATGTGAAAAGGGCAGTGGATAAATCCTCTGAGAGAACAAAGTGTATGTGAACTAGTAGGAGGATATATACATACCCTGCAGTAAGTACTTGAATCTTGACGTTGAAGTTCAGCTTTGCCTTCCATGCGTAGTTCTGGTGGACAGACTCCGACAAAGTACAAGTGAGACCTAACAGGATATCATAGAGTCAGTCTATATGCCAGTCACAAATATAGGGGTGGGCGTTGTATGCGAGAAAACAACGAAAGAGGGTAATGGTGGATTCCGAGTTACGGCGCGCCTCAGCCTCGCGACAAAATGGTATAGAGGGAAGGTTGAGGCACGCCATAATGGTATAGAGGAGAGGCTATAAAAGCCGTCATAACAAACATCCAGAGGAGAGGAAGGTGGCGACTCAAGTAGATGACCATGCCTGCGAATATGTTGAACGTTGATTGCCCTTTGGTGCTGAAACTGTTGCTTGACCATCACTTTCTTCCCAGGAATCTTCAATCCAGAAACAAAAGACATCAAGGAAGTATGATTTGCTTGTTTGCCAACCGGAACTTGACTTACCGCCACGACACACAGGCACACGCACGTACGGCTGCTCCTCGCCATGGTAGAAAGTCGTCCGGACCTGACAGAAACTGGAGCACCCACTGATCCAGGACTTCCGCTCACACTCTCCATTCTCCAGGAGATAGAAGAGGCATGGGCATTGCACCGTGCCGTACTCATGGTACAGAAGTGGCATCGCGTCCTTCCACTCGCAGATGTCGAAGCTGGGACTGGTGGCGTTGCTGGGATGGGCCGATACGACAGGGAAAGCAACGAGGATGGTCAGAAGGAAGAGAGCCATGGAGGTGGTCATTGTCGCTGCGATTGGAGCCATTTTGGCACTGCCAGGGTGACGGGGCACTTGAGAGAAAGCTGAAGCGCGTTCTGCCGCAGTTGAGGATTGTGAAGGAGGGTCAGTCTTATGAAAGGAGGGAAAGAGCGAGCGCAGCCAGCAAGCCTGAGCAAGGGAGATTGATCAGGTCGTTCAGCACAAATGTCGCGGCTGATGAGAGAAGTTGTTGCACGAGGTAGAAGAGAGAAGGGATGAAAAGGACGAGAAAAAAGAAAAGGCTGCGCGAGGATGAGGATAAGGATCAAACGTGACAAGTGAAGTGAAGTTCAAGTGAATGAGTGCTTGTGTTTGGGACAGTACTTAGTCTTCACTGACCTTTCCCTGCCACGGCGTCCGCCATGCATCGCAATGGACGATGAAATGAAGATGGGGAGGGAGCCCATCAAAACGAGGAAACGAAATGCTGTTTAGAGCCCAGGAGCCCACCATGTTGAAGATGAATGCCCGGATCAAGTGCTTGTGCTTGCTGTGGGCAAAAGAACAACGACACTCCTGATATATGCCATGGTCCTCTGTCAATAACAGATTCCACAGAGTTTCAAATCAGGGGTTCATCCGACTCCGTCTGTATACGATGGCAGATCTCAATGCGACTCCCCTGTGACGTGAGTCCTTTTATGCATGCGTGCCAGCCATGTCTTGCTAGTCGCAATGCGGATTCTCTTTCCAAAAGCCATGAACACCAAGAGAGCCAGATCGTTGGCGGCCAGGACTCCACAGAAGATGCCGGCGATGACGTTGATGTAGCCGGTCTCGAGGATCCAGTCCAGCAGTTTAAAGCCCATGCCGAACGAGATGGCCTGCTTGCCCAAGTTCATGGCGATCAGCATCTCCGACAGATTAACCGTGTAGCTGTCCACGGCATAAGCGAGCGAGAAGGTGAAATAGAAGTAGGCCGACCAGTTGACCATGGCCACTCCCGCAAAGTAGCCAAACCAATGGAGGTCTTGTCCTGCAGTGTAGCCATACACAATCAATCCAGCAGGTCCAATGAGCAGGGCTGGCAACAGAACCCCCAGACGCATCTCAGCCTCGCGTATGCCGTTGTTCTTTTTCGTCAGATACGCTGCCAGTCGATCGGACGAGGTCGTAAAAGGGACAGCGAGGATGTAGCCGACCGCGTTGCCGACGGCGATCAGACCAGAGTTTGTCTAGAGAGGATTAGCATAGCGTCCTTGGAAGATTTCTGTTGCTGGCTAACCTGGCTCCAGTTGTAGGGCGGGGCAACGATCTTGATGGGAAAGGTGTAGTTGAAAGCCAGCGCACCCAGGCCGATGTAGATACCGTAAGTCGCCACAACCCAGAACACTGACGGCACAAAGAAGTACGAGAACGAGCGTAGCGCGGTCATGAAGGACGGCGCCTCCCGGTCATACACACCCCATGGTTTCAGGGTTGTGATGAAGGACTTTCGAGGAGGCGGTGCTGACGAAACCTCTCTCAGTTCGGCGTCGACGGCTTTCTCGTTATCGTTGGACGACTCGCTGGCGGCCCCTAGGCGGGCCTTCATCTCGTCCCGCTTGTACCACGTCTCTTCCACAAAGAAGAAGGCGAGAATGAACAAGACACACGCAAACGCAAATTCGACGTAAAAGAACAGTCGCCATGAATATCCTCCCGCCAGCATGTAACCGGCGTAAAGGGGCCCGGTGGCGCCCAGGCAGAGGCAAACGGTATAGTAGCCCAACCGCTGACCACGTTCGTGCAAGAAGAAGATGTCATTGACCAATTGCACAGGCAGCGCCTCGCAGACTCCGGAGCCAAAGGCATGAACGATTCTAGCGGCCATGAGGCTACCATAGGAATTGCATTGAGAAGCGCCAATGAGTCCAGCCGCGAACTGGGGAGGAAGGTTAGCGGGCGAATCCAGCGCAGAGGTGAGGTAGACTCACAGCAATGATGGAAAACAGCATGACCGGTCGACGACCGAATTTGAGGTAAGCAGGAACCAAAACCAAAGACCCTGAGAAGGTCAGATAAGCAGCCTCGTGACAGGAGCAGCATGATTTCACTATGCATACCGAATCCATAAGCCAGATTGGGATATGATATCAACCCCGATGCAGTAGCTGGCGAGATTCCAAACGACTCGGCATAGATGCCAATGTAGACGGAAGGCCCCAACAGTGACGAATTGCCCAGAAACGAATATGCAGAGCAAATGATCAAGATCATGGTCTTCTTGTAGTTGGGCCATTGTAGAGGATCATTGGGGTCGTCGGCCGGAACCGGAAATAGCCCCTGTCCATAGCCAGTGTCATCTCCCTCTATATGGCAAGGTCAGAGATTGACTTTCTAGATCTCGTTCAAGGCTTCGACTTACCTAGAGCTCTCAAGTTCACAGTGCCTGGAATGTCCTCCTCGTGCGCATGGCTATATTCAGGTCAGTATGGGGACGGCCGCGACGTTGAACAAGACTTCAACATACCTGTGCTTGAGGTGTGGTGGGTGCGCGCCATGTTCGCTGTGTTCATGATCATGACCAGGAAGGATATGCATGGTGAAACTCGGAGGCTTGGGGTCTCGGGGACTTGGAAAAGCCTACCGCCAGCACAGTTTGCGGTTTGTGGTATAGACACCGTGGTTGACGGATGACAGAACCATATGCTCGGGGAGCCACCGTCTTCATAAAAACAATGATCTTCCTCTTTACCCACGCCCAGATTCTTCATGGCCTGGACCATAGTCCAGTGTCCACACAAAATCCTTGTCAGATCATTTTTTCTTAAGCCGTCATCCTCCAGTCCATCGTCTGTGGGGCGAGGCGGGGTCTCCACGGTGCCTGGTGTCTGTGTGTTTGCGAGGTATACCTCTGCATGGAGTCCTAAGCGGGGAACAACACTGGCCAAGGGGTTTCGAGAGTCCACAGGGTCGAACATCCGTGGCGGGATAGCATCGTATTACCACTGCCGTGATACTGTGGGGGGCATGACATTCGGCGTCTACGATCAGCCTGATTTGTCTGTCCCCTGGCATATTCGGCAAATATTCAAGCCCCGACCAGATTCGCCCAGGCGAACAAGAACAAGGCTTCCTTTTGCCGTGCGGGGGTCATGGTGATTGTCGAATGGACATGGTCTTCTCTTCTCAGTCGGCATGTTGGCCTTAAGCCTTCTGCCACTGCGCAATGCACTGAGCCTCCGGGGATTGATCAACGTCCCGAATAGCATCGGTAGCTCCAGTGCGCTAGGATCTCCTCTGGCCCGGGAATGATACACCTGGGACTGCGAAGATCTGATGACCCTTTAACCCTCGCGTGGAGCGTCACCAGCTGGTGGAATCCCTGGAACCTAGGGCTGATGAGACTTGGGACAAGTCGAACAGAAGAGACGAACCTGATCCCGAGAGAAATTGCATTGGGCCCCGAAACTGGCGGCCAAGGAGGCCAAGCTACCAGGTACATAATAGCTGGCGTTGGTTCGCTTGTATCAAATTCGATGAGGCATCCATCTGCTTCTGAGCATCCAGCCCATCCACGCTTGGTCACGAGGCTCTAAGACATTTGTGAGTGCAAGGCGTCAAATGTCCCTCATAACTGAGGATCTGTCTGAGGACGCGAAAAAGCCCGTATCATAGACTGCCAGTGGGGGGTGAGTCGAAGAATGTATTGCTAACAAACCGAACGACGCGTCAATCCAGGGGGAAAGGCGCATTGAGTAGAGTAACACGTCCATCTACACAAACACCAAGAGATATGCTGTATGTGACCCGATCGCTCGCTTGTGTCCAACAGTCCAGCAGAAATGAATCATTCGCCTGTACACCATATATACCCCCTTCACTCAGCTCTGGGATAGAACGTTTCAGACTGCCTCCCGTCCTCGACATCTGTATATACCATGCGCAAACGGGTGATCGATCGGTTTGACACATCCGCCTGACCAAAGATCATCATCCCTTGCGATCAAAGTCGACTCTGAGCAGAAGAGTCTCGAGAAATACCTAGCCAGGAATCAGGAATCAGTCGCAGCCCTCCAAACAACAGAACAGAACGGCCTCCTTGGACAGCCAAAACACAACTCACCTTTCCACGCCTCCTCGGCTTTGGCCTCAGCATCCCAACTCCACAGGAACCGCTGCATCTCCGGGTCTCCCCACTTATCATCGCTCTCACCACCAGACGACAGGGCCTTGAACTTGAGGTCTCGGGCCTGCTGTTCCGGCCCGTCGGGCAAATGGAGGGCAATCCGCGTGGTCAGACACGATTGCTGGATATATTCGGCGCGAGCCTTCTGGGCGGTCTCGTACGCTTTCAAGGCATGTGGGATTTCTTCCTTGGAGGAGATCGAAGAGAGCACGACGCCCAGCGACGCGGCGTCTTCCACACCCTGAGCTGCTCCCTGAGCGACATATGGTCTGTATATATTTCATTTTCAATGTCAGCAATGGCCTTGATGTGCGTCTCGGCCCAATATCTTTAAGCCTTCGGGCCCATCGGCCTTCGGGAAGGAAGAAAGGCAAGAAAGATCAAGGAAGAGATCAAGAGGACTTACAGCATAGGATGGCACGCATCACCAAGCAACGCGCAAGACCCCTCCGTCCAGCGCAGCAGAGGCATGTGCATGCAGAGTTTCCACTCCAGGACGTCGCCCTCCGGCACGAGATCGAGCATCTTAACCAATCGGGGATCCCATCCCTCGTATTCCGACAAGAGGATCTTCTTGGTCGTCACCGTGGTCCAGCCCTCGTCGACGCGGCCGCGGTCCGGGTGGGCCAGGGCCATGTTATACACCTCGTGGTTCCGCACGGGGTAGGCCATGATATGTCTCTCTGGGCCGACCCAGCGAATGGCCTTCTTTTCCTCAATGAACGGTAGCAGATCCGGGTGCTTGCTCATCACGTCTCTGCTGAGCACGACGCGAAACATGGCGTCGCCGGTCGGAATCGCCACGTCCGTGTCGTCGCCCAGGATCTTGCCTCGGGTGGCCGATTTGATCCCATCAGCCGCGAGTACCACGTCGGCCTCGATCCTCGTCCCGTCGGCCAGTTCCACGGCTGCCGGGCTGAAGCGGACGTTCCCGACCTTCGTGTTGACCTGGAGCTTCACGTTGGACAGCGCCAGAACCTTCTCCAGCAGAGCTCCCTGCAGGTCCGCGCGGTGCACCACGAACTGCTCGCCGTGTTGCTGGTTGATCGGCACGCTCCCCAACAGGCTTCCTTTCTCCCAACGCAGAATGTGGATCGCTTGCAGGGCGACTCCGGTTTCGCGCACTTTGGCTCCTACTCCCCACCGGTCCAGGAGGCGAAGCATGTTCGGCGCAACCTGGATGCCTGCTCCGACTTCTGCGATCTCGGGCGCGCTCTCGAGGATGCGCACATCGTGGCCGCGTTTCCCGAGCGACAACGCTGCTGCGAGTCCGGCTATACCTGCCCTAGATGCCCACAAGAGAGAAGTTTAGATAAAGGAATGTCCGAGTTGGAACAAATGGAAAAAAGAGAAGAGGAGAGAAAAGCAAAGAAACGTAGCGGATCAGGGGAGGAAGTTTAACACGAACCCTACAATGATGACCTTCAATGGGACTTTCGCGGGCGCATATTGTTTCTCCCGCTTCACTTCCGTCCTGTTCTCCATGTCGGCAGATGAGGATGTCCGGCCCAGACGACTCGACCGTGTAATGTTCCTCGAGGCGAAGGCTGCAACTCCTCTGGTGCAATGGTCCTTCCGAGAAGATATTTCTCTTCCTTCAGAAACCCCAAGATCCTACAAGGCTCGCAGCTTGCTAATATCATTCGTCAGCCTCGAAACCGCCGACTGCACAGATCACCCTGGTTTTTCTTTTCTTCTTCGAAATGGCGCAACGCAACGCAACGCAACGATAAGCTGTGCTGTGAACGACTCGGACGGAATAATAACTTACAAACAATATAATTCTCGGACGGTCGTGGGTACTGTAGACTCAGCTCACAGTTGTCCCTGTCACTATCGAATCTAGGAGTCGGCACGGCAATTAAAGGGACAGATTTGAATTCGAGATCGGTCGGCACAAAGCTTCGTACATCAGTGCAAATAGAGAGAGACAAACTTGAATCAATGCAGTGGTAGTGGACTGTTCGTGGGGCGAGTTCTGTCGGCAGATGATGGTTGAAGGCACGGATGGAGTCAATTGCCTGAACAGGATGGGTCGCTTGTCTGGCATGGGCTTATGAGGCCTAGAGAGGCCTAGAGAGGCATATCTCGCTCTGTAGATTGGGTAGATGGCTCTCTAGGCTCTCCAGGGGCCAGCCGAAGATCCGGTCTCGATAGCCGGTAGTTGTTTTTAGCTACTACGTACTAGTTATTTGGTAGGTAGATATCTAGTACTAGGAGGGAATCATGCGTGGAAACGATTCCATGATTCTGAAGAGCAAATGCAACTGCCGAAGCTTGTCTCTGTCGCTTGAATCTGCCGGGCCTGAGGCTTGAGTGTTCGTTCATTGCTCGTGCCTAAGGTAGCCTAAGGTACCTACCTATCTTATCTAAGGTATTGACCTGTCCAACACCCTGGCTAATAATACAGAGTACATACTACGTATAGGGGGACCTAATAGGTGTGTACCTTAGGTAGGTAGGTAGGTATGTACTAGGTCATCATAAACAACCTTTACAGCCCTCTCGGCTTTTCTGGACAGCCGAATACACCGGATAGACTCCGCGTACATAGCGAGCTGACGGTGCACAAGCAATGTTGATGTATATTCCATTGACGCAGGAAGAAGGGTCAGCACGAGCCTACTGTTCTCTCAAGGATGGAGCAGAAGCAACAGACATAGACAAATGGATCGCTGGATCTTGGAATATCAGTGGGAACTGCATTTATTCGCCATAGTCCATCATTAGTGGTCTCCTTCGAGGCCCATTAAAACTGTGTGTACGCAACGTGATCCAACAGGAATGCAGACGCTTCAGTCGTGTTCCTCATCCAACTCACCCAATCCAATGCAAAAAGAACAAATTCACAGAAGATGCCGGAACACCTCATGTACACAGAAAATCGACAATCACTCGAGACAAACAAGAAGGCATCATGCTTGCACTGGCGCAGCCATCACCAGCCTCTTCGCCACCATGGTGTGCCAGACCTTCCAATTGAAACCGAAAGCACCAGGGAACAGAGAAGAGAATAGGACCGGAAAGTGACAAACCCCCATAGAAAAAGGCTCAGTCTTCAACCGCCCTATCGCCAATGCAACCAGCTATCGTCCAACGCGTCTCACTGTGCTCCTTCCCATACATGCTGTCGATGGTCAGGCATCAACCCCATGTAACCCCCCGTTCGCTATGCAACAACCTAGATCACCAATGCATGCATCAAAACAACATTATTAGGTGTATAAGTCGGTGCCGTGCGCTCTCGGTCCTGTGGTCCAGCGCCATCCGAAGTAGTGGAATCGTCAAACATGGAAGAAAACCGCGCCTGCTCGGCCATTCGATGGAAGAACGAGACAAGCCCTCAGCCAGCTCATTGAAACCCTTGGTTCCATTGTCCCGCTCCGGGAGATGGGTTCTGTGGACCGGGCCAGCCCTGTCCGTGTGGAGGGTTCGGCGGCATGAACTGGTTCTGGGCTCCCATTCCATACATTGGGCGTTGACCCATGCCCATGGAGCCGTAACCTGCAGCATTCATCGCCTGGAGTCCTGCCCCAGGCCCATAAAGCTGCTGGCCTCCCATGGGACCTGAGCTCCCTTGGTGAGGAAGCATCGACATCGGCGGCGGTTGCATTTGCGGTGGATGAGGCGAGGGGCTAGCATGCGCAGCACCGGGCAACGGAGAAGGCATCTGACCCTGCGAAAGATCGGGAGAGAACTGAGGTGTGCTCATGCGATGCAAGGCCGGGGATTGGTGAGGCTGCGGCGGTGGAGCCCCCCAAGTCTGTGGTGGAGGTTGCTGCTGCTGGTTCATCCCATGCGGGGAGAAGGCGCCACCGCCGTAAGGCAGTTGATGCTGTGGGGCCGCAGATTGTGACATGGACAGATTCGACGGCGATCTTTGGAACTGAGGGTGCTGTGGTGCAAATTGAGAAGCGTCACGCGCAAATGGTTGCTGTAGACTCGGCTGCCGAACAGGTGACTGAATAGGTGGTGGCTGCTGGTGAGGGAATGAGGGAGGATTCATCGATGACTGAGATGGTTGAGTTTGGTGCGGCAGGGCTCCTGCTTGGGTCGACGGCAGGTCGCTGGTATGGAAGCGTGGTGATGAGAAGGAGTGGCTAGTCGTGGGGACTTCAGGTTCTGGTGGAGGCGGTGTCGTTGCAGGCGGCTCATGTGGTCTGCGCCAGTACTCTTCAACAAGACTGCGCCGGTAGCGATTTTGCTGGTTGATGCTCTTGTTGAAATCAGCGGCGTGACCGGCTTGACTGGCAAGGTCGACATCACTGCTCGAACGTGTGATATCTTGGTAAGGCGGACCTGTAATGTCCTGCCTGGGCCGTGGGATATCCTTGTACCTGGAGTCATACGCCGCATCAAATGATGACAGCTGAGCCATGGTGGAAGCGATCCCCGAATGCAAGGCAGGCGGTTGAACAGCTCCATACGCTGGCCCGTTGCTGTAGACGATGTCGCCATAACTAGCAACCACACTGGTCCTCGCGTTGAGTTGTTCTTGAGCCGCGGCCTCCCGGGCCTTTGCGGCTCCAGGCCTCTTTTCACCTGCGGCGTCCTGCTCGGTGAATCCTTGTTTGATGGCCTTTGCTTCCCAGTAATCATCCCGAACTCTCCTACCATCCTTGATGACACGACTGCCAAATTGCCGAAACATCGACCGAGCCGTGACAACCGCTATTTGCCGTGATCGGTACGAGTAAGGCAAAATTTCCTGGCCAACAAGTTCCTCTTTCTCTTTGGCACTAGCAATGATCTTGAATAAGGACCGGTTCTTGTTGAACAGCAGGTAAGAATCACGATACTGTAGTTGTCGCGCGCATTCAGTGGCCAACATGAACAACTTCTGACCCCTTCCTGGAAGAGTAAATGTTCGGATTTTATATTCTCGACCGCCCTGGAGGTATCCGAGAGCATCCACCTTTTTCTCTCCTGCTTCGTCATACTCACGCGGTACGTATTCATCTCCTTCTGGTTGCAGCACATCGCTCGTATGATCTCTGACCGTTGGTAGTGCTTTGATCGTTGACTTCGGTATCGTGCGCGGCGGTGAGGACTGAACCGGCGTGGCCGAAAGATGTTGGCCGCCGGATTGTGTCTTTGGCGTTTGTGTCAGATCGGGAGAAGTTTGGCTGGAAGGCGTTGGCAGTGCATCAATGTGAGAGCTGTAGTCGCCGGATGTTCGCGGCGTCTTCGACGGCCGACCACGTTTGCGAGGCCCTAACGTGTGCGCGTCAGCATGCAGGTCAACCGGCTCCAAATGTCCCAACTGACCTTCTTCTTCAACAACGTGCTGATAATCACCATATTGCTCAGGGGATCGGCTTCTTTTGATGCCTCGCGGGGCAGATTCGGTTGACGACTGTATTAATCCTCCTGTTACACACGCCACCTTGTTAGTCAACAGACGCGACAGAGATTTGATAGACAATGGCCATGGAAGTTTGTGATGACGATGCGCCCATTGCGCCAATGGCTCTCCGATGAGAATCAGAGGCCCGACGACGTGTTGAGTGGTCAGGTCGATGCACCAATGAAGAATACGTACCACTAGCGTTCAAAGCCGCAGGATTGATGGTGCCTGAACCATCACTCATGTCGCTGATACCATTCAGAGCATTTGTAGGCTGACGAGTCGGCGGGTAGATGGACATTCTAGGGCTGGAGGTGAGGTGTTGAGATGGTGGTGGTGGTGTTGATGCGCAGGCTTCGCATCAGCACACCAGGGAGCTGCGCGGCAGCACAAAGCTAGGTGACCCAAAGATTAGGGAGGGTGCCTGCGTCTGATAAGTTCCTCGCCTCTTGGAGCAGTCGTGCTACAGAAGGGTTACTGAGGTGCGACAAGACCCGTAGGAGGGCGCGAAGCAAGATGCGTGTATGTAGGCGTGCAGCGGTAGCGAGGATGACGAGGGTGACGCCGGACCACTCGCAATGGCGGATAGACGATGGGGTGGAGGAGAGAGCAGAGGCTGCAGCTGGCAGCTCGGGGGTACCTAGTAAGAAGAAGAAGAGGCGCTTGTTGGTCGTGGCCTGTTATGACTGCCTGGTGGGTGCACGGATGATGAGAGAACACAGGCAAGTAAGCAGAGCTGTGGGCTGCTCGGAAGTAGGAGAGCGCGCAAAAGTGCGCGACTTGGGCTTGGGCTTGAGCTTGCAGATGCTGGTCACGGTTTCCGCCGCTGTTGGTCTTTGTGTGTTTTTTTCCTCACTCTTGCTTCCTCGCTGCCATTCGTCTCTGCTCGGACCGTCGATAGGTAGGTAGTAAATTAACGACTAAGAAAATTGGGCCTTGTGGATGTCGATTTTGCCGAGGAGTTGGCGGCTGAACCGACACCAGTCAAATCGTTAGTGGTGGCGATAACGACAGTGACTGACAGACGGACGAGGAGAGAAAGGTGAATATGGCCGAGGAGGCGGTGCTGTTATAGCAGAACGAGGGTGGTTGATACCATCAGAGATGAGGCTGGCACTTGGTGAGGGAGAGTACGAGGTATGTTGTCTGATGATGGTGATGTTGATATTGTGGTGATCGATGATGATGATGATGATGATGATACTGCCGCTGCCGCTGCTGCTAATGATGGTGGCGATAGCAGTGGCTGATATTCTGGCGGCGACAGTCCGCGATAGGCTGTGTCCGGGAAGGCAGGAGTACAGAGGTACGTAAGTACCTGTAGGTATCTGAGGTAGCTAGCGACAACAGATGACCAGCAGGCTGTCGGTGGATCGCAGGCTGGTCAGGCTCCCTCTTGGAAGCACGAGTCAGTAGTAGGTAGGTCTAAGTTATGGCGCCCGTTGTGTATATGTGTTTGAGCTGGATGGAGCCACAGAGCGCGCCCCAAGTACTTGGTACCGCTATGAAAGGGTTGAAGCGGGCCACTGACAGGAGGATTGAGTTCTCGAGAAAGGAATGGTAATCAAGTCATTGGAGGGGGAGATGGGAGCCTCGCAGGAGATGTGCAGCAGAAGTAGGGGAGTCAAAGTGTGGGTGGACGAACCGAGCTGCAGCCGCTCGCTCGCTCGGTCGCTCAGTAGCTAACTACAGGTAGCTTAAACTACCTACTGTGCTACTAGGTACGTAGACAGTATAACAGGGTGGAACAGAGTGGAACAGGGTCTGGTGCGCGACAATGTTATCGTACAGATTAAGTAAAGGCAGTGAGTCGTCGAATCGGTCACTTCGGAATCGTGGCTCTGGGAAGAGATCTGGCATGAATGGGCCTTTGCTTGTCAGATATGTAGCCTGTCACCCGGCTTGACCCACGACTACCATCCTTGAGTTGATCGTCACTGCACGGTTCTTGAAAATGAACGAGATATGCAGTGGCAGCAAGCAAGATATGCTTCGGAAAGACAGCACGCAGAAAGAGTATAGAGTGTGAAGAGACAGGGAACCGGGGAGTAAATGCCCTGGTGCATCGACGCACCTACAGCACCCATAAGTGCCTATAGCATTTTAATTGACAGAGCTTTCTCCAGGTAGGTATGGTGACTAACTTATAAGGCCCTGAGGTACCTAGCTGAGGAGCTGTAGCAGCACCACTGCACAGGCGTGTGCGTCCATCAGGTATACTCTGTAAGTGTCCAGGCCTTAAGCCCCGGCTTGACAGCCCCCCCAAAGGCCATACTAGTATGGCATGCAAGCGCTGCATCTTGACCTTCGCGAGTACTATGGTCCTAGTATCCTTCAGTTACGAACCTCGTCGCATCTCATCCCATCCCATCTCAGTCCGTTGGTTTCACACTGTCTACCGTTTGGTCTTTTCATGCCTGACTCTTTCCCTCTTCCTCGTCTCTTTCTCTCTCTGCGAGTCTGGCACATCGACAGACACCGGTCATTCTGCCATACCACTTCAAGATCTGGCCAATTGCGTCTGCCACGCTGGTCTGGACGCCCTTATGATTAGGCTGCCACCCTCACCCTCACCCTCTATTGCCGCTGACATGCTCGCTCCTTGTCGGATTTCAAACAGGTCATCTGCTCCACCCCGACTACAAGATCCCTGTTTGGTGGCGGAAATGTCTCTCCACGAGCTCCCTTCCTTTTTGGTCATTAGGAACTTCATCAATCCTAACCCGGTCCGGCCACCATGACCCCTCCTAGGTACGCTCAAAGACCAGACGGGATCTGCCTCGTCCACCGAATCAGTGAGAACGAACTACAACGCTCCTCCCAGCAGGAGCTCAAGCCTGCCACCCTCTGCAGCCAAACCAAACAAGATCACATTTCGCTACGGACAGACTGCGCCCCTCGACGAACAGACCAGCATCTTTAGCTGATACGATTGAATGATTGGCCGGGTGCATCCTTGAGCACTACGTTACGTCCTGAATGCTTGCTCATTCGAGCCCTCCGCACCTCCTCTCCAACCGTGCGGCTTTTCCTGTTGGAGAAAGACCAGTAGGAAGGGCATGCTGCTTCCCAAGACATCTGCTGACCATCTTCTAAGCCTGCGGCCGGGTGCGTGCTTTAGTACTGGAGACAGTCTCATTCCGGAAAGAGCCTTGCTGCATCCTGACTGGTCTGCTCGAGCACTATAACCTGATTCTTACCATTCAATCCTCGTCCAAGGTCGCTACATCCTGGTATGCACCGTCCATTTAACGCGTCGGCCAGCGCGGGATGGGCCCTGGTCACGCTTAGTCTGCGTTGTGCCATCCTTTCTCCACGGCGGCCGTCCACCGTTGCACTCACGCCCCTGTCTTTCGATCTACCCGTGGCAGCGTCCGCTTCAGATTAACCTGTTTTGTCATGTTTGCGAACTACTGAACTTGACGACCATACTGTTCTTGCGGCATGCCTGCTGGGCAGTTGTCTGGTGCCAATCAACTTCTGCTTCAAACGCCCTCGTCTGGCCAGTGCGCCGACATGGAAGAGAGACGGCTGAAATATCGAGACGGCTTGCACCGCAGGCTACATCAACCGGTTCAGGTGAGGTGAACAAAGAAACTTATCGACTGCAGGGTCCGAGCGTAGTGTTCGAAGTTGTCTCCATGACGAATCCACGAATAGCTCGGTCCATCCACCTTGGGTCTCGTGTTTGGCTCCAGTCTTGCCTGATGCGCCCGTCGGCCTCATCTTGGCCAACCTGCTGATTGCCTTTTCCGCCGAACTCATGGGTAATCGATGTACAGAGTATCCTCTACTAAGACATTCATTCTAGAGCTGTTGGAGGACAGTGTGTCACTGACTACAGTCTATATTTCATCGACGAATGTCGCACTGGTGCAAAGACCAATTCGCCATTCCCTGTCGCATCCGTCCCGCAGAAAACGCGTCTGCTTTTGCGTTCTATCGTAACCATGTCACTCTCGAGGGGTTCATCGTTCTCCACAGACGGCTCTGTCGGCCGAATAGCCGGAAATCCGGTTAGGAATGGACGAGATCACAAGCGCTAGTGATGAAAGAGGTAAGCAAGCTCCTCGTCGCAAGCCAGCACCAGCTCGACTCATGCTCTTTACTCTGTACTGTGGACCCGCAGCGAGCACATGGCTTGAGCTGCTTGCATTTCCGAACAGTCTCCGCCTCGTCATCTACTCGGCGGCACCAACAGGGAAGTACGTGCCTTATTGCCTGCGCGTCAACTAACACAACGTGTCGGGTGCTCCGGTGTTAGTCCTGCAAGAGGAGAGCTCGCTTCTTCGGTGTTCACGACGCGGCCGAACAATCGCGGCTAGTCTCGTGTCTCCAGCCTCTAAAAAGTGAGACTTCAACTATGGTGTAAATGGTCGAGGAAATGATAAGCAGCTGCCGAGAAGCCACGGTACTGGATGGTCTTGCATACCCCCGCCTTCTTCGTTCTGATCCTTTGTCCTTGCTTCGGCATAGTACAAAATAGATGATGGCAACGCGGCATACTTTTCCAACGGAGTTGAGCTCTGTCTTGTGCTTTGGGCAGCAACGACCTGGCCCGACAGGGGCGGGGGGGACATACCATTTGCACAAGCGTAATGCGACAACGGCGCCGTGGCTGACGGCTGACGGCAGATGGGTTGAGCTGGTTGGTCTATCTGCCGTGGCGCCTACCAGGAAGAATGTGTGACTTGCGTTGCTATCATCCATTCACTGCCTGAACGCCTGACAAGTGGCGTGTACACCATCCAGAAAGCTCGATGTGCCGCCTAGCTGCAACAACTGTTCGGCCCGCCCCTGGTTCATGCCTGTGCCGTCGCATTTGGATGGTGGCAATATTGTGCGACTCGGACGGTTTCGAAGTGCTTGGAATCTGTTCCCGGCTGCATGCACACCCTCAATGTGTACGTCGTTTCTGCAGCACATGAACTGCGCGTGCGTGCTCGTTCAGGGTGCTCTGGGGAAAGACTTGGAGGCGCGGTACAGCAACAGCAAGGCCAGGCATGTCCCATTGAGACTGTCTTGTTCCATACAAGCGGTTGTTCTCGATACAGACTCCCTAACGCCACCGCAGTCAAGGCGTATACTCTCGAGTCTCCTCAGTGCGTCGATAGTCCACTCGCCAGCCGGACATCAGCCGAAATGCGCGGGGTAAATGGAACTCAGGTCGGCATGGACTGTGCGCAGGATCTGCCGCCCGACATGTATGTGATCCAGGGATCCAGGTTGTTGCAACACACTCGCACACAGACACACGGAACGACACAGCTGCGGGCGCCGTGGCACGTTGAGCAGATCGACACGAGCCGCTTGCGCAGCAGTTCATCTCGCCGCGATGGCTGTACTCACCATGCCGGTAAGCAAGTCGGTTGCTACCGAACCGCATAAGCAGTGGTGGACATGCATCCATGACATTGTCCATCGAGTATTGGTATTTGCTCATGCGCCAGTACGCGCTGCCTGTTCACGAAACCACACCACAACCACAACCACGCATGCAAGATCGTCCAAGTGGTGTGCTCAGGACACCCTACAGAATACGGAGAATCTGTTCAATATACATGCTATGCTTAAAGGAACCCCTTGTAAATTGAAATGCTCCTGTGGTCCTCGGGGAGTATCTTTCAACCCCAGCCCTATTCTACGCGCCCCCTCACTACCTATCATCAAGCAATTACCCTTTATTATACTGTCTCTACTCCTTCATATATCACATATGTCTGGCTCGAGAACACTGCATCTCGCGCACGACCATCGGAAGTCTGTCCTTGTCCTTGTGCAACGCGATCGTGGATGCACCGGCAACACCTTGTCACCCCTTGCAGTGCCCCTGTCTTTTATGCCCACGACCAGGCGTACTGAACTTAGTGCTGGGAAAGTGATTTGCCATGCATCAATGTCAGATCACTGGCCCCTATTCATACATGACGTCTCAAGGTTTCCAGGCGTCGGGTTCGTCATACCTATACTATACGATTCAGAATCTATGGAAATGAGCCAAAAACATGTACTGGAACATGCAGGATAGAGGCATTCCTGTCACTACCTCTCGACGCCGGCTTTTGCATCACCATGTACCTCTGTCAACTCAGGAATGTCCGCCAGAAAGCGCGAGCGTGACTACAACTACGACCACGACCATGAGCATGGACACGTCGACGGCTCCTTCCGGTGAGATACTGTGCAACTGTGGCTTGCTGAGCTTTGAGTTGGATCTCCATGCAATCTGACTCATTCATCAACTCCATTCATTGGAAACCCGCAACGGATTATGCCGAACGCCTCGACATTGACGATTCATCGACCGACCATTGTCGCATTCGATTGCTTATCCGCTCCCTCACTCTCTGCCTTGAACAATGAGAGATGATGAGTCGTTGTCCCTCGATTCCAGCGCTCTTCAGTCGGCGTCGTTACCAAGCATCGCACGCTGTGCCATATCCCATGTTTCACGCCTGAGCTCTTGGACACTCTACCGCACGTTGTCCTGTGTTTTATGAGCTCATCGTCTAACCAATAGCTATCGCCGGGCTAGGTAAGCCTAGTTCTGAGATCCAGGACGATATCTGCTTCGAATAAGGCAACTGTCTCGTTAAGCATCTCAACAAGCAGTCCTTCCTTGTCACCAAGGTGGTATACATAGGAGACCGGCGGGCGCAGGAAGAGAATCAATGTAAGCACCGACGTCCTCATAAGTCTCCCCACAACATACAACTACGAGTTGCAGCCTGTAACATTCCACTTATGAGGCCCAATCCAAGGAGCATTGGACAACGAAGGAAACACCTCAACTTCAGGGGATTTCGAAGCACATTATTTGTGACATCTTCTTTTCCATTTTGAGAGGCTACAATTTTGTACCCGTTTCTCCACCTCGTTAGCAATTCTGTTGTATTCCAGTTCCAGCTCAGCCCAGGGGTATGCCTTGTCTTGCTCTTATGGCATAGCTCATGGCTCATAGCTCGTGGTTTTGTAGGTCATAGGATTAGACTTGGCCATCTTGCTCCTAGCCTTCCAGCCATCCACTCATTTCAGGCTCTCTCTTTCTCTCAGGTAGAACTCAACGCCTTGTGTGAGGTATCACGCTCGTGACAAATGTGTCCGGTGATTTGGTGGAAACCATCTTATTGTGTTTGACATAGTTTCGCCATTGGTGTTTGGGGTGAGCGTAATTGGGAAAACCGTGAGTGTTGCCAGTAGAGGCGGTGGGCAATGGTGGACAATGACATCGCCACTTGGTGCCTGGCTCAAACCTTTGCGTGTCTCTCTTTCTGCGTACGTGTGTACAGCAAGGTGAGGCCGATCACTGGCGCACAAAAGTCTGTGTCTGATGGTGTTTCGCCTTCTGTTACCACCTCCGTTCACTCCTTAGCAATCAGCCTTCGTATGCCATCTTCTTCGCACATCGCTGATCCCTGAAGGCATGCTATGGTGTCAGTGTCAGAGCCTCAATTGGCACTGAAACGTTTTAACCCTTGCTCCTGACTCACGCGCTTCTGGGAGTCATGCCTGGCCAGTGATCATGATTGTAATTCGCAGTCGTACTTGTCCTAGTCATCTTCCTGATACTGAAGCAAGGTGGAGCTAAGTTTGGAAGAGACGAGCGCACAGGGCCCCCTCCGTGGATCTGGAATCGGCGGGATCAAAGATGGCGGCTTCGCTCTGCACCAGCCAGTCTCTCGTAAGACCAACATTGGACAACCACATCGCAAGAGCGGTGTCCTTTGGGTCACGAGGAATGACGAATCCAGAACCCGGGTCCACCGTGACAACAGGCTCCATCTGCCTGAGGCTGAGAAGGAGCCGGATGACTTCCGCAAAGCCTTCGCCCTTGCTGGCATAGTCGCCCGCTGGGTGGTGGAGAGGCCATGCACCCGGTTTCGTAGTCTCGCGGTCTTCCGCCCACAAGCGGTAGAGCCAGCACATACGCTCTGCACAGTTGAGCAGAATGAATGCGACAAGGACGGTCTCGACGTTCTGGTAACGCTTACGTTCGAGTACGCGTTGCTCCAGGTGGTTCATGACGGCGCGCCCGAGTTTGCTTGCGCGCTTTTCAACAGTGGATTGGAGCTGGAGAGTCATGATAGTGCGAGTGTGTTGGTAGTGTTCGCCGTCGATCGTCAGGATCTCGTGGGTCGTGTTGTCTTCCAGCATAAAGTGTGGCCCGATGTCTCTGTCGGTGAGAAGGACCGTGGCTGTCCAGAGCTCAATGACATCTGGTAGGAGGTTATCGTTCTTTTCCGTCGGTCTGTTTCGCAGTTGGTCGTCCTGCATGGCTTGAGCCAGTGTCAAAGTCGCCCGGATCACTTCTGATCTCTCTCGATTCACCAGCGGTACACGGATCTCCTGTAGAAACTGTTCCACCTTGACACTAAGCTGGTCGTCTGTGTTGATGACGAAAACATCTTGACCATTTGCACTGGCAGGGGACTCTGCAGCCTTATTGCGCTTGACTTTGCTCTTCTGCGCCTTGATTTGGAGCTTCTGCTCTGGTAGGTACCACGCGAGAAGCCGAGCGTCTAGGTTTTCGAGAGCCGACCAAGCCTTCAGTTTGCTGAGTTCATTGTGGGCGAAAACGCCATACGGCAAAACAGAATACAGCGGGAATGAATCGGCAAGCTTTGTGCGAACACAGGAATGCTTCCAAACCCGAGGCGACTCGACAGCGGAGCAGGTCTGACACGGCGTCTCCTGAGAACACACTTTCTTGAGCATGCGGCAGCGCATACAAGCCCCGAGCTTACGTAGCTCACGAACCTCTTTGCGACGTTCTTCATCAAATCTGCCCCTGACCTTGGGCTTCTGGGATTTTGCCGGCGTGCCAGACTCGGCGACAAAATGGGTTGGTCGAGCATCAGTATTAGCATTCAGAGGGATTGCTGGGAGGAGCATGCGAGCTCCGGTTGCAGCTGGAGGTTGTAGGAACGGATTGATTGGCTGCTCAACAGTATTTGGTGTATCCGCAGATTGTGTGCCTGGCATGATCGTCGGCCACATCAGTTGTGATTGACCTTGTACAAGACTGTGGTCCTGAAGACTGTTCAGAATTGCATTTGACACTTCATCCTGCGTCATGTTGATGTCGTTGTCGACCATCTGGCTGGCAAGGGTCTCATTTGCAGTGGCAGCAATGCTGCTGAGATCTGGAGGATGGGTGCTCGCCACGGGCATGATAGTAAGCTCATCTTGCGTGACCGGTGCACCACTGTGCACAAAGGAGTACTCTGCTGGTAGGCCCGATGCAGTGGCCGTGGGGAAGGCTGTATCGTGTTAGAGCAGGCTGACAACACATTTATATCATTGTAGTACTCACCATTGTTGCTGGCGCCCATACCGTCTTCATTCAAGAGGTGATCAGCAAACTGCTCAGCATCGAGTTGTGGGTCAAGGGGCATCCGGGGTGGTTCCACCTCAGCATGAGCCTGGTTCGCCGGGGTATAGCCAGAGTTGTTTTGGGCGTTTCCGCCCACTCGACGGGACGCTTCGGCCAACACGTTGAGGCCGTTGAAATTCTGAACCTCTTGCGAGGTTTTCTGGCTGGCTGGACTGACCAGATCTTCTTGTGGGCCGCCTCTTGAAGTGTTCTTGCTCGGCTCGAGGCCGAGGTCGGTCAGGTCGTGCATGCGCATGACGATTCGGGTCCTCTCAAGGTGCGAGATAGAAGGACATTTCTTGGTCAGATGGGTCGTGAGCCCCTCCAGGCGCCCCTTTGCGAAATGCTCGCCGCACTTCTTGCAGGTGTGGGCATAGCGGTTCGACGCGTCTCCGATCTTAGAGCCGCGCTCAAAGTACTCCGCGACAAGAGGGTTTGGCCTGCGGCCCATTGTGACAATGTCTGTATATAAGGAGTATGGTTAGCGGATCACAAAAGTTATGTTGATATCATACAGCCTGAATGAAGGAGACTCACACAATGTTGTTTGTTGGCACACGTGTGTCAGTAGAAAGGATTGAGAGAGGAGGAGATCGTGCAGTGAAGTGAGAGATTTGTGAGACCAGTGTTAGAAGATCGTGGCTCCCAGGCGGACGCCAGGTTCAGTCTACAGCCGACGTGATCACAATTGAGTGTGGACCATGGTCAATCAGAGTAAGATGAGGGAGTGAGAGTTACAGCGCTCACGAAGTCAATGCTGTAGGTATGTATGTATACAACCGCCATGCTCGAGGTCAAAAATTGGACAGGCAGTATTTTCATTTGGCCAAGGCGGTGGCTCGGACTCTTGGGCGGTGAGATTCCGGCCTCCGCCATGATTGGCTAACGGGTCGCGCCTTTGCCCGCAGCGGGCTCCATATAATCTTAATCATATTCGGACTAGTGGGTCGAGGAAGATACTAACTTGATCTCTACGTTGCTCCCCTTTCATCTTTCTATCTTGATCCGCCGTCACTGTCAATTCAACTGCCTACTCAATGCCTTCTTGGATATTGGCCCCAAGTTGATATTCTCATATTCTCATGTTCTCTGTTGGCTCGTCGATGCTATTATGTTCCACAGAATCATTGCCCTGGAGACGTGCTGAGGGTTTGATGTACCCAAGTACCTATCTTACGGATTTCGATGCTCCGGCGGTCGATATGTCACCCCCAGGATTTCGAAGATACGTTTCTCATCATGGCCTTCGAGCAGTCTACCCTGGGTTATGCGCTCCCTTCCCTGCCCTCTCATGACATCTGCGTACAGCCCATGCTGGTTCAGCCTCATCTGCTTCCGGCTCGCATGCAACCTCAAGCTCCGGTTGAAGTAGTCGTTCCCGGTGAAATAGATCAAGGCCGCACCGAGTTCGGCCCACGGCACGAAAAGAAGATCAAGGCGACGCCATGTCTTCGAACCCGGCAAGGCTGATGCTCCATGCCATTTTGACCCCGAGTCTTGATGGTGAGTCGTGGCCAGAGCCACTTTCAGGAAGCCTTGAGCTGTCAGCTCCGGGATGACTGTCTCCATCATCAAGGCACGAATCTGATCAAGGCCCGCATCCTTCTTGAAGATCAGGATATCAATGTCACCACAGTCGGCGCTACCTCTGCGGTAAGAGCCCCCAATGATCATTTGTGCTTCGGTATCTGCGGCTCGAAGCGCCTTCTTAACGATCGCGGCATGTTGAGCGACTTCCGCTCGGGGAATCCGTTGTTGAAAATCTTCATAATGCTCGATTCCAATGCGCTGGTTTCGGTTGAGATCGGCCTTTTGATAGAGATCTTCCAGCGTGCGATGACCTTCAGCAATCCACCGGGACGCTGTGGGAAATCCTACGTGGTAAATCCCCATGAACAACCGGAGGATCTTGTCACGAGGGTCGGCCTCAGCATTGTCGAGTCGTTGCAGTTTGCCGATCGACACGATCTCTTGGATCTTCTCTGCTAACCTGTCGCCAATCCCTCTGACCGTCAACGCCTCTTGCTTCGTCCTGATCAATCGCCGCTCTTTTCGCAAAGCTGCTACTGCCTGCCGGTAAGCTCTCGTCCGCCACTGATCGCCAGTGGCACTGTAATAGTCTGCCATCTTCAGCAGCTTCACAATGGTCTGCTCGTTTGGGTTGTCTCCTTTGCCACCATCGTGCTTTTCCATGCACATGAAGCCCGCATTTTCTTTTCGAGCTTTGCCATCACCGTGGAATGGGGCCGGCTCTTGGTCAACAGGAGGCTCGTCTCCCGGAGACTTCGCACCGTCATCGAAGCTCGGATCAATTGAAAGGCTACCAAGGCTCCGGACGTCACGGATCGCGTTGTCCAGCTCGTCCTCTGATTCGGTTTCTGCATCCAACAACGCACATTCGGCGGCATTTGCTTCCAGACCCTCCGGAGTCTCCTCATCCACAGCTGATGGAGCGAATCCATACCACTACCAGCAGTCTGGTGTTCCCGCCGGTAATGTAGGACCGTGTTTATCAATCGAATCTTCGTGTTCGATCAGGGGTTTGGACTGATGTTGCTGCTGTTCCTTGTTTGTTTCTTTCAAAGCCTCAGATCCAGATACTTGGAAGCGGTTCCAGTGAGTGTCGCAGACAGCCCTACGAGAGAAACACTCAATGAGCCAGTTCACGTTGACCAAAGTCGGACCACGCTTTTAATCCTGTTAGCGATGGGATATTAACCTCGGGACAATTTTGCACTTACCGGGATCTCTTTGCAGGCAAATTCTTTTGATGCTTCGTGCACGTCGAGGTTGTCGCACACAATGATATGAGTTATACCATTGCACCACTCGTTCGCCCAAGCAGCACCATACTGGATGGCTTTGTGGATTCGAAAACGCCGGGCTTGACAAATGTCATTGTTTGGGACGAAGTCTGCCAGAGTTATAAGCGCATGTACTCAAACAGAGTCGGGGAGATACATACAGAAGAGCAGTCCTTTGAGCATCTGCTCCCCAATGGGTACCGGCGGCAGTTTCTTGCTGCCCAATTGATGCTTGCGCTGCTTTATATTTGATAGGTCCGTCACATGCTTTCTTTTCTCTGAAGACCTTTTGGTGGTCTGGACTGCAGAGTCAACAACGATGGACGGCGATGTTTTCAACCTCCTTGCACGAGATGGAGCAGATTTCGCGGTGAGTGCAGGTTCTGAGTCTCTTCGTCGGAGCTCACGGTCCGTGGATGGTGCTCGCTTTCTCTTCTCAGGCAGAGCCTTCTTCTTTGGTGCGTCGACAGGGAGAGGTACTTTCGCTTTCTTCAGAGTGTGATCCACAGCGCTGACTGTGCTGGGCACGGTTTCTGGCCGCCGCTCACCAACTTTGCCTCTGGTTGTGATCTGCTTTGCCCGTTCATGTTGGACAGCATCTAGGGTTTGGTCTGGTTGCCGCTTGGCTTTCGCAGCTAGTCTGATGGGAGTTTCGACCTCACTTTCTGGTGAGTCATCGTCAAGAGAGTCTAGGAGATACAGATCACGGAAGAACTTGTCCTTTTCAATCTTTTCTTGCGTAGAGACCATTGTGGCTGAAAGGAATTGTTGGTGTAAGGGTCAAACCTAGAGGCGCAAGAAGGATTCATAATAAGAGTATGTGCAGCTGACATGTAACAACTCATCTCTCACCCAGAAGTGACTTTTCTTTCATTCACTGAACAAAGAAGCGGGGTGTGGGACAAGACGACACGGCACGACGCGGTCTCTTTGGGTGACCATTGGAATCGAGACACGATATCTGCGCCTGATCATGTGATGCCAAGACATATTCCTGCAAGCACTTGAGTCCGAGTACCAGTTCCACTGGCAATGCAGTAGAATCGCTGGGAGTGAAAGTACAGAGCTCTTATAGATTGAGGTTATTTGCTCTTCAAACATGGCGCGTGGGGAAATAGTCGACGTCTTCGTCTCCCTGGCAATGCGACCTCACAGTCGTTGCTTGCACCAAGCCCCACGGTTGTCTGCGAGAACTCTCCGATATGCTTCCACGTCGACCACGCCCGCGAAACCCGCTCTGCCGGCGAAGTCCAGAACTGATGCTCCCAAACCATCTATACCACTCCATGTAGGGCTGGACCGCAATCCCGAGGGACTTTCCGCCATCTCAAGAATCCCCATCCCCAAGGGAGAGAAAGGCGAGAAATTCATACCCTCTGTGTTAGCGCGACCTCTCGGTCTCACATATCCTCCTCGCCCGGGACAGAACAGTCCCATCGACCGCCGGACGCTCCAAGAGAAAAAGGCCGACTTCACGAGCTACCAAAAAGCCCTAGAACGGCGGCGAGTCTACCTCCGGTCGTTCTTCCGTCCATACTTTCAGGAATGGCGTCGGGTAGACCATTGGAAAGGCAAAAGCTTTGTCTCGAACGACAGGCTATTCAAAAGGGAAAAGGCGTTGTACTTTCCAAACATATGGGGCCAGACTCTCTCAAAAGACGGGGACGGACCAGATGGTGGGCGAGACACCACTCCGGTCCTCATGGGCAAGATCTCCATCATCGCCATGCAGTCAGGACAATGGGCAGAGGAGCAAGTCGACACCTTCGTCAGCGAGAAGTCGAATCCGCGATTACAGGACATCATTGCGCAAAGCGACGGTCTGGTGCAACGAGTCGACATCAACATGCAAGGAGACTGGGCGCGGTCTTTGCTGGTCAAGCTATTCAGCGGGAGATTGAGAAAATTGGTACCGGAGGACCGCTGGAACCGTTACTTCATGATCAAGCTGCCTCGAGACATTCGTCGTGGATTGTCAGATGATGTGCGAGACGCCATGGGTCTGCTCAATTCTCAGGTTGGATACGTCTACCTGGTCGATTCGAGCTGCAAGATCCGATGGGCCGGAAGTGGCCATGCATGGGAAGGGGAAGTGGACGGCCTCAACGCCGTCCTCCAGAGACTGATACAAGAAGAAAGAGCGCTGCAATCATCGTCACAATCGACCAACTCGGTTGCACAGTCACAGCGATCACCCGCGATCACGAAATCAACCCCGAACTCCGCCGACACAAGCCCAGATGCAATTCCGTCCGCCGCTGTAGCTTGATGATAATTCATTCAACCAACTCCCAAACCCATGCAACCCATCATTATCTGGTCAGATTACATTATTGATCACAATTCTCCGGCTTCAATCTAAATGACGCAGTCAGTCAGCAAGTCTCCTCGGTGTCCAATGATGTTTCAGCACTCACCCGCACTTCGGACATGGCTGGTCAGATTCGGCTCCATCAAGGATATCATGCTCGATCCTGCACTTCTTCGATACTGTTGTCGCTTGGTCCGACTCGCTCGCCGCAGATTTGGAAGGCTTGCGTCCCGTTGCGCGATCGCATAAGGAATGCACATAATATGGAGCCGGCCGAGCGGTACCAGGGCAGCAACCCCAGTGGTATGTGTAATAGATGCACATGAGGCGGGAATGGTCTCAGGCCAACACGAAAGATGCCGGTGATATCGCTGAATCGCTGTTTACCCTTCCCGTGGCCGATTTGGATGCTTGAAAGACACAGTCTTGTCAGGTTCGCACGGCTGGTTTCTGTCGAAAGGTGGTGTCTGAAACTCCAACTGCAGCGTTGTCTCTGTCGTTGTTCTGTTTCCGTCTCCGAGATGGCGGTGGTTTTGGCTCCTGGCGTCTGGCGTCTGGCCTCTGACCTGATCTGACAATTGGAATCTAGCTCTGCTGGAAACCCAAAAGTAGGCCTGGTCCATATCCTCTGGGTTTGATACTAGTACATGCGCATCGCAGCCCGGTTTGAGGCCCAGCGCTGAATGAAGTTGCTAGCAAATACAACGTCGGCTGGTAGTGGTTGTGCTTGTTGTTTGCCACTTCAACCAAACATTCGTCGTGTTTGGTTGTTCTTTGTTTCTTTCTTGCCTTTTCCGGCCCAAATCACAGCCGAGTGACACGCCTCAAAGCCTTGAGGTGGTGATTGTTTGTCTGCTGCGTTGCCGGTTGCCGGTTGCCGGTTGCAGCAAAGAAACATAAAATATGCGACCCCGTTTGTTGAGGTATTCTTGTGTGTTTTATGCAACAAGATATGTCGTTTGCGTCTCCAATAATGATTCAATGGCCTTTTGCGATTTGGCGACGTCACCTTCAAGTTTTCTTTTTCGATAGAGCGGACCAGCGCAGATGCAACAATTAGACGTGCTGGACAAGTCGATCTTACAATGTAGTATACGGCAAGATTGTATTATACAGTCTCAACGAGATGTGTGTTCGAAGACGAAAATAAGGTATTTAGAAATGGTCCCAAGAGGGAGAAATTTTCAAAATCTAATTGCCGCGCCCAGCCCCGGAGACAAGACAAAAGGACCAAGACTGACATGACAGTATTATGAGCCCTGTGCACTGCTTTACAGTGCCAGGGTCAAAGACACTATAGAGTTATGTAGGTACCTTACATAAGGTATCATTTCCCTCATATCTAGAAACACTGCTTCCAACATCCTAGTATGCCACGGCAAAGCCGTCATGATCTGAGGTAGTATAGCCAAAGCGTTGTCGTTCTTGGCCAGTGACCCGGGAAAGCCTGAAGTCTACTACACCGAGACTACCTATCTTCGAGCATTGAGTCGCGCAAGACTGGATTGACTTCTCGAAATGTCTTGACCCGATCAAAAAGGCAGCGCGCAGACAGGCGAAGACGATGGATGTATCATGGGAAGACAGACGAAAATGTTGTGGAGGATATCAAATGGACATGTACTCGCATTGTCCTATTCTCGTCCGTCTTTGCATTCTATCCTGCCCTAGCGCACCTAAGGATATCTGAGCTCGGAGTATCAACCAAAAGGGTTATGCCTCCTTCCTTATAACGTTGGCAATTGGTGCGGCGTAGCGTCCATCGAGCCTTGCTGGGAACGCTCTAAGGGGGGTTGAGAAGGACCGAGGAGTTCACGGGTCTCCATGTGGCCATCTGATCTCCGTTGAGAGTATGGCAGCAGTGAGCCACTACAATGACCGACCATTCATGCCTCTATTGCAGGATATCCCAGACCCAGCTGTCGAAGGCCACAGACAAAGGGCCACTGTCGTGGTCCCATCGCAGAAATGCCTCGATGAACCTCTGACACGCCCGTGTGAGAGGCCCATTCGCATTGTCCCGATTAGCTCGAATGCAAGCACCAATGTGCTATTGCCAAAGCTGAGTCGTCTTGACATCGAGAATGAGCCAAGAATCAGTCATACAAACGAGCTGGACATTATCGACCAAAGGAGATTGCAGGGCCCGTTTGTTGGTAGCGTTGCAATAAGAAATATCATTCAGATACCCCTGCATAACAAGTTCGATAGTCGTCCTTGTAGACGCCCGGACGGATGACCTCGTGCTGCCCGGATTCCGTGTGCTTCGATCTCTCTGACTGCTCGCTCCTGGAATCGAGGTACCTTGCAGGGGTGTGATTGGGTCTCTGGGTCGTATAATGGAAAACATAACCAGCCCTTGTCGGTTACAGAGTGTGTTTCCTCGACGATGCTTTGGTGAGCCTCATCTCAAACCGACGGAGACTTGGCACATATCAGCGGTCGAGATCGGAGCGGAATCGAGTTGACTGCCATCGCCCGCCACAGCTCCCGTGATCGAGACGTAGATGTCGTGAAAGATGCTGGCAATATGCATCTCAGTGCCCAGCCTGACGAGACCTTTTGGACCACGCAGTCGACTCTCGCTAAGGGAGGTATCAGAGGTGCCGGCTGTGTGAATCCCGCTAAATGAAGAAGATAACCAGACGCCACAAGCTCCTCAGTATCAGCTGAAGTAAAGCAGCACAAGAAAACAAAAGGCGATAAAAGACCCCAGGATGATCCCATCGCGTCGTCTTTTCGATCCGATTCTTGAGATCAGCCCGTTAACACCAGGTATTTGTGCCGCTGCGGATGTAATCCTCCGGTTGATGCTGGACAGTGTTTCTCTCTGGATGCCGAAGTTCTCATTGATCGCATACGCCTGCGCCAGCACGCCATCAATCGTACTGTGGCTCTGATCGAGCCGAGCGCGTTCCTGCAGCATGTATTCGGCTTCCGCCTCGGCAGGATTCGAACTTCGAAATGCATCAATGTCAGACCGCACATTGGCCAGCAGATGTTGCCGGTCGCGTGCCTCGGAAATGGAGGATTTGAGGCGCCGTAATTCCTGGCGATGCTCGCTCAACAGTTCGCGATGGCGGGTAAGGTTGTTCTGTTTTAAAGTGGAAGTATTTAAAGCGCTCTCGGAGTCCAGGAGTCGCGAAAGTTGCGATATCAAGCCATCGCGCTATATCTCCGTGTCAGGCGCACTGGCATATACTTTCCTGCATTCTTGAGGCATCGTACCTTCTGTAGTAAATCCTCGATGTCGGCCTCGTTTCTTCGTTCTTCGTCGGACGGTTTGGGAGGTAGGTTCGGCGTCGAAGAGTATTGCGAGTATGTGTGGAATAACGCCTCGGTCTCAAAAATCATTTAGCACAATGCACCATCCTTTGAAGGGGTGCACCAACCTGACTCTCAAGAGTCCTCAGCTGTTGACGCAACTGCGCCCAGCCTGCTCCGGTCGTCATCGTCTAGAGGCAGTACTGTATCGTGGAATAAAAGCATGCAGTCGTGCTACAATCTGGAGTGAAGTGTGCAGACGTATGTCTCCATGGTACTCATCCAGGAGCATCGACTGTTGGTCGAGATAGGAGAGTGTGTGGTGTAATACTACCTACAGATAGTGGTAAAGAAGGGATCCTACCGCCAGCGAACTTCCTGACGAGGCTCATGGCAGGCGGACCCCGGCCCCATCCTTTGGTCAAACACGCCAAGCCTAATCCGGAACAGTCGATCCACCGCACATCTCCAGTCACGTGTTCAAATCTTGGCACCTCACACTTTCCAAAAATTCCAAGGTCGCAGGTCGCTACCACTAAGGACATTGACCTGGCCGCCCATCCACACGACATCAATCCCTTCCAAGCACGATTTTTGACGTCGACTAGGTCTCCCAAATAGTCACCATGGTACGGTTCCCCGAGTCGCACAAGAAGGATTTCTGTGCATTGCAGCGCAGCGCATACTGACTGGGACAAATAGTCGACCAACGCAAAAGTCAAGCCCGGCCAGCTCTGGGGCAAGAGCAAGGACGACCTGAAGAAGCAACTCGACGAGCTCAAGGGCGAGCTCGTTTCCCTCCGTGTCCAGAAGATTGCCGGCGGTGCTTCCTCGAAACTCACCAGAATGTACGTTTTCTTTGCAACGAGATTGATTCCACCACCCAAGCGAGTGCGCAGGATGAAATGGCAGATTTTGGCAAGATGAAGGCAGAAAAAACTGACAAGCATTCTCTGGGAAAATAGACATGATCTCCGCAAATCGATTGCCCGCGTTCTCACAGTCATCAACGCCAACCAACGACACCAGCTCCGCCTGTTCTACCAGAAGAAGAAGTATCTTCCTCTCGACCTCCGACCCAAGCAGACCCGTGCCATCCGTCGCCAATTGAGCAAGAAGGACGCCAGCAGAATCACCGAGAAGCAGAAGAAGAGACAAACGCATTTCCCCCAGCGAAAGTATGCTGTCAAGGCCGAGTAGATGATGAGCGGTGGAAAGTTGGTGGTGCGACGTGTATGCAAGTGCGACAAATGAAGCGATGATTCGGGAGGCATGGAATGGGATCGGTAGTCCCCGGTCTCGAGCATTATTCTAGGAGCGTCGGCTTGCGTCTTAGCTACGGAACTGAGCACAGGACAATGCAGAAGTACATCTGGTCCTGCCAGATTACGTGGTGAAGAAAAGCCTCAGTACCTAAATTTGAAGACAACACTATGGTTTCAAGAATATTGGCCTTGATCATTGACGATAAGAATTGTCGGGGCGAATGGCTGTAAGCCTGGCCGTGGAAGACTTCGTAGCTTTCGGGGAGAGATATTGTAGACTAACAGTCGATATCAATCAGTTGCCGCTACGCTCCCAGGGCTCGAGAGCCCAATGCCCATCGCAGACACATCTCGCCAGAAGCCCGGCGACTTGTCTTGGCCAATCACGCGGTGAGACGCTGATATCCTCATTGAAACTGCCACATCTCATGCACCGGCGAACCATGAGCACGCCTGTGCCACTCGGATCCGGTGCGCCTTTCAATATCGGCTTCTTGCGGTGGACATCATAGACGACGGAGGACGTCTTGGACCCATCACTTTGATGACCGAGTATGTCTTGGTTCAAAAACACATACTCGATGTCGACCTGGTCCGTAAAGAGTTTCAGTCGATCGATCAGCATTTTCGCCCGTAACCCGACTGGACTGTTGAACAGCTTGTTCAATAAGACTTTGATCGTTCCTTGATACGCTTCGTGGACGATGCCTGTCGCCATCATGTCGAGCTGTCTGGTAGCAGTTCCAGGAATGTCACCTTCGATGTCGCCTGGCCCGGACCAGCGATATTCCAGTAGTGCTTCAATGGCCTGAAAGCTGATTCCTTTGTTGGTGGTTTGCTGCTGAATACACTGAAGCACTTGAACGTGATGTGGTGTTTTCGGTTCCGTGCCTTTGGCGTAAGCTCTCACAGCCCTGACAAATGCAACAAGAAATTGGCGAGAGCAATGTATATTTATGAGAAGGGCGACCAGCCCCTGGCTGCCATCACCCTTGGTATCTCCTAAGCGTCCAATGTCCTTGTCGTCGAACATTTCGGGATTTGTCTCTCTGTCACCCACTTCCAGAATTGTGCTGATGATGAATCGGACGACCGACAATCCCCATCTAATATTAGAGCAGAGCATGTCGGTGAAATCCTCGGTCATGACAACGTTCAGATTTTGTACTTCTTTCAAGTTCATGAAGAGCAGAGTCGCCGTGTGGCGTATGTTGTTCGCAACCCATGCCCACTGCGCACTTAAAGACCAGCCCTTTCTCCCCTCAGTTGGAGCAATGGAGGGAAGCTGTGGGCAATTGGCAACGAGGCATGCGTGGTAAGCCATGACTCGCCCCATGACCTGTTTGTGAAACAATTTTTCAAGCTCCGAACCGGGTGTCTTCTCGTGCACAAATTCGTTGTCACGGAAGAGACTCCGATACATGCCCGAGACGATGGTGGGCGTAATGGCAGTCGGTATACTGTGTAAAGCACACATCAGCACGTCGTCGCAAGTCGAATTCGTCCAACAGGCTCGTGCAAATGTCAGATTCAGAGCAGCAATGGCCACATCAGCATTGGGATCTGGTGACTGCTGCGATTGCATTTGCACTTGTGCTACTTGGTGTTCCATGGTGACGATTTGGGTCTTCCCATCCTGCATAAGGTCCGCCTTGACACAAGCACTGGGTGAGAAACTCGAACAAACGGCATTCGGTACGAATGGGAACACGAAGCCTGCTTGGGACATGGAAGAGGTTTCCGTTGCTGAGGCAGCAAATGAGACGGGGGACAAGTCCTCCGAGCTCAAAAAGTCCGTTCGACCTTCCTGCGTCGTTACCACGAGTGCTGGATAGCCATCTACGTGATGGACCGTGGTAATCACCTGCTCCTCTTTGTCTGCGCGACGTTGCAGAGCGTAGGTGGAGGGTGATCCGACCTTGCTGGAGCCTTTTGATGGTAACTCGGCGAATCGGGGATGCAGCTTTTGCTCGACCGAAGTCACAGCCCATCTTTTAATCATGCTTGAAACCAGATAGCCGTGATCGACTATGCTAACTGCCTTGTTGACGCCTGAAGAAATGGCCAGAATTGTTGGAGGTGTCTGAGCCGCCTTTTCCATGTCTGGACTTTGCACGACCTCTAGATGAGTAAGACGCCAGGAGTCTGGATCATACATGTCCCCCAGCGTGGAAGACCCGGCTGGTTGCGATGACACCTTGCTAGGGGCGTACTCGACATTGATGGCTGGAAGCCCCTCAACCGCTTGTCTGACTTCGGTCCAGTCGAAGGAGATGAGACACACCGATATCAAGGCTTTGAACGAATGCAGAGCGACTAACATCTTGCCTTCCAACGTTGGGGCAAAGCTGGCATGGCTGTACAAAATGTCTTCAGAGGGCGACAGATGCTTGGTGACTTTGGTATATTGACCATCCCCTCTCTGGAAACACAATGTGAGAAGACCACTGCGGTGCACAACCAGAATGGCTCGGTGCCAGTAGGGGCCGAGTGGTTTCGCCCTGGCGTTATTGTGAACCCATCGAGAGTCGGCCTTTGTGGCAAGCGTCACGACATTCCTAAGCCTTTCTTGCCGGTCTTGATTGAGCCATGTTACACCGACGGGTTGAGACAGTTCACTTGGCTCGTCCAGATCTCCTCGACGAGCCAAGATCAAGCGATTAATGGCGACAAGGGAGGTGTGGTAGACCCAAGTTCTCCCTTTCAGGTCGACGACGGCCAGTTCGCCTCCCGTCGCACTCCAACTGAGGTTCACAGCATCCTCAAAAATAGTGGTCAGGGCATGTCTATCGTTGAGTTGCCATGCCTTGGCATCGTGGCTGTACCGAAGACACTCGAGATAGACGGTGGAACCATCGTCGGAGATGCTGGCAATATTCCCATGTCTCGACCAGGCTATGCGTTCGAGGCAGCCGGAATACCATCGGCGATGCAATTGCTCGATGACAGTGAGGTTTGGGGGTAGGGCGACATTCGGTACGGATCCAAGTTCTGTTGTAGGGTTGATGTGCTGAATCTGGTGCATAGAATTCTGATCGAAGAAAGCCTCCGGAGCGAAGTCGCCAGGGTGATCCATTTGACTCAATTGCTCCATTTCGAGCAGGATGCGTTCATACTATGAATCGTCCATGTCTTCCATGCTTGCGCTTTATCGTGTCTGCAGGGTTTCTTTTTCTGCCTGGTGATGGTGTGCGGCTTTTGTTTGGTGAATTCAACGCAGACTCCTTTGATGTAGTGAATGTTTAGCCAGTGATACGGTGTACTTGATTGGCAGCAGCCAACTAGGTATATGCCGAAAGAGGCGTGTGTGAATCTCGAATTTGAAGCGTGATGATAGATGTCCTGGTCACCGTGTGCAGCGTGGAGTGCCACAGGGAAGTGGGTTTAGGCAAGAACAGTCCTAGGGAGCCGTCGTGGCACAGGTGGCTCGTGTGAAAAGGCTGCAAGACTGCGCTGTGGCTTGAGTGAGGATGGTCAAGCCACAGCCTGCGTTTCAGGTCTGTCTGTGCCTGTAGTTGTAGCCGGGGTAACGGTCGGCACTCGGTAGAGTAGTACGAACTTCAGGTGCTTTGGAGGTCGGTAGAAGATTTGCTTGAGAATTGCAGATAGATCAGTATAGTGAGCAAGAAGGCAAAGCCTGGTGTGCAACCAGCGGGAAATAGAGGAACAGGACGGGGTATGAAGCAGAGTTGATGTGCAGTCACTGAGTCACTGTAGTAGAGAGCAATAATGGAAAGCCCAGAGGGATACTACCTACCTAGGGAGGACTCCTGGTAGGCACTTTAGGCCAATGTTTGGTTCCAGCAGCTGGTTGGGTGCCCGAGCACTAAAGTTCACCCCCCGCAGCCTCGTTACTTGTTGGGGGCTTGTTAGGCTCCTCGGGCATCTGTTACGCCTTTTTAGTATGCTTGTCCAGGCACCACAATAGCCTAAAACGCGTGCTATTCAGGCCCGCAGCCCGAATGCTATTGTCTGATTGACCGATTGACCGATTGAGATTCCGATCCTTTGTTTTGACTTTGTTTGCGTCCCTCGCCGGAGAGTCGGCTCTCTTCATTCTGCAGAGACGCTGCAGGGCGCCTTTTAGGCTCTCTCCGTCTTTCCGTTGTCTCCTGTGTTATCCCGCCCTCGCAGCCGCTGACGATTTCTTCCACCACTCAATCTCCAGATCGGCTCCCTGTTCCTCCCACTCCTCCTTCCATCATCCCAGTTGAGTATGGTTTAGTCCAGCCTCATCTCATCCTACGCCTCGTTCTCAGCTCATTTTTCGAATCCACCTGCCTGCGACTATCTCGCCGTCGTCGACGCACTGCGATCTCGAGTCTCTACTACGTCGTCTCGAGTCTGTTGAATTGCGATTCGACGGAGAAAATAGCGATCCGGCTGTGGGTAGCTCCTTCCCTTACCAGAATCTGAATCATGCGATAAATCGCTGGGTCATGAAAAACAGCACAACAAACATGAACGCCGACGACTTCTCCGACCTGTCTTCGCCGTTGAGCTCGGTTCCCAGCTCTCCTCTCAGCTCTCCTCCAAGCTCGCCCATCTTACCTCCTGCCTGGCAAGACCTGACTCCCCCACCGTCACAGCATGCCGGCGACGAAATGCCACCTGCTCGCAAGCGCCGGAAAATTGAACCCAGGGTTCGCACAACCCAGCACCTGGACCTCACGTCAGACACGGCGCAGTCGGAGTATGATCGATCCGAAGCTCTAGACACCCTCCTGAAGGCTTTGCGCAACAGGAGGAAAATCGTGGTCATTGCAGGCGCCGGCATCTCCGTCTCAGCTGGCATACCAGATTTCAGATCATCCGACGGACTATTCAGGAGCTTGAGGGACGAGCACAAACTGAAAAGCTCTGGTAAAATGCTTTTCGATGCGTCCGTCTACAAGGATGATCATTCAACTTCCAGTTTCCATGACATGGTGCGCAAGCTTTCCACCATGGCTGAAAATACCAAGCCGTCTGCTTTCCACCGCTTCCTGGCCAGACTTGCTGTCGAAGGTCGCCTATTACGCCTCTATACTCAGAATGTCGACGGCCTGGAAACGTCTCTACCTCCCCTAGCAACCCAAGTACCCCTCAGCCACAAAGCGCCATGGCCGCAAACTATCCAATTGCATGGCGGGTTGGAGAAGATGATGTGTCAAAAGTGCAGACATGTTTCTGATTTCCAAGCCCATCTCTTCAACGGACCTACCCCACCACTTTGCCCACAATGTGTCGCGGCGGATACCGTACGAACAACACATGCGGGCAAGCGAAGTCACGGTGTGGGAAGGTTACGACCTAGAATTGTTCTATACAACGAACATAATCCTGACGATGAAGCCATTGGTGCTGTAACGAGAGCCGATTTTCGGACAAGACCTGACGCGGTAATCGTTGTTGGAACGAGCATGAAAATCCCAGCGGTACGAAGAATCGTCCACGAAATGTGTCAGATTGTCAGAGACCGACGAGAAGGCACTACGATATGGCTCAATAGAGACCCGGTTCCCCCTGGCAAGGACCTCGAGAACTGCTGGGACCTCATTGTGAAGGCGGATTCCGATGACGTGGCGAGATTAGCAGGCTTGAAAGAATGGGACGATTCCAGCCCTGATGTGACAGAGCCCTACACCGAAACCGATCTCGAGAAGGTCAAATCAAGTCAAGGAGAAATCGAGGTGGTCATTTCCGGGTCTCCCAAGAAGGAGGAAAGACCTGCTCAACCGTTGTTACCTTCCGCTGTTCCAAACACGATGACTCCACCGCGCAGCCAGAACGGAGGGGACGTTCCAAAGAAATCTAGGGAGAGCCAATCTTCGAGTGCCTCGCCTGTGCGGATCAAGTTATTTGTCTCGGACCGGAGCAAGGCCTCTGCACAGGTCAAGAACGCGGCCAGTTCGGGCAGGTCTCTCGCCGATGTGCTGTGTGGAAAAGAGAACAAGGTCAAATCTACCAAGTCCAAGACTTCTCTCAACAGGAAGCCGAAGGTCACCAAGATCCGAGCTCGCAACAATCCTCGATCACAGACATTGATCACAGGCAAGATCACGAAATCAAGCGCCGTGGAGAATACGGTAAACAAAAAGCCGCTGCCGGAACCGTTGTCGCCTCGTCGCGATTCGAATGAAACTCTCATTCCTCCTCAGAAATCGGAGTATTCCAGTCTAGAAGGGAGCCCTGCACCAGAAACGCCGCCCTCGATGAACGATGAGTGGCAGAAACGGGAAACAGTGTCTCCTACAGGAAGGATACCGTCCGACATGGTCAAGCTACTGAACTAATACCGTGGGAAAGCATATTCAATGATGCGAGCATTATTACGGGAAGAATGGCGAAGAGAGCCTTCTCCGTAGGTTCTCATGTTCTCAAAAGCATAGGAGAACAAACTCTTGACACAATTGATCATTCGCGTGGTTTCAGCGTGGAGAGAGCGTCGTATGTCGCATATCGCCTGCGTCGTTGGATTCGCAGGAAGGGAGCCTACAAAGACGTGGCTCGAATAAGGGGCGCCATGCGACTGTGTTCTATTCTTCCCACTTCTCGCATGGTAGCATGCCCGAACAAGGGGCTTTTACGCATGAGATCAGACAATGCATTTTTTCTTCTTCATTTGCTGGAGGGACACAAACAGACCTGTAGCATGTTCCTGATATCTCAACATATCGATGCGATACTGAGGACCAGAGCGCGTCTCACTCTTGCTGATATGAGCGGACACCACTTGAGACCCAGATGTTAGTTTGAACCGAGATCTCTATTTGAGCATAGCATTACCTTACCCTTCGATCATAAAATTCTCCTGTGCACGTATATTCGTGTCTGTTCAAATAAAAATGGACAGTAACAAAACAATCCGCGGCAGGACAATTCAGGACTGGCGGAGGGGCCAATGGGTGTAGAATTAGAAGATGGATTACGCATGATCAGGAGAATATATGACATATAATACCTAGTATATATCTCTGGATCGAGCATAAGGGTTTTTATATGACATTCAAATATGAGGTTTAGGGAAGAGACAACCTATCCAACATCAGATTCCTCAGAGACTCCTCAAACACCATTATTGATGGTACAAGACTCCGTGGGCTCGACCCCTGCTGGCTTGACCAGGTCTCCTTTCTTGTCTCATCTCTCAACTCTCATCGTCAATGCAACACATTAAGCACAATACCAGCGACGATTACAGCGCCTGCCCGACGCCCTGTCCCAGATACCCTCCGTCATGCTGCTGCTCCCTAGCGAGATCACTCGCCCTCAGCCTCCTCCTCCGCCCATTGATTCCAGCAATACCTGAGTCGCGCATCCCATACGATCCTCCACTGTCTCTGGGCTTACTAGTTCTGCTATTGCCATCGTCACCAGTCGTCCTCTCACGCTGCCATCCCGCGGGCATGCCCGTGGAGAGGCGCCAAGTCGAGTCATAGCCAGACATGGCCGTCGCGGCCACGGCATTATCATCACGTCTCCGGGCCAACAGTTGGGATGTGGAAGGATGGTGGTTGTGGTTGTGGTCGACAGAGGCGGAGGGCTCCATCGTCTGGAAATCCGAGTCAGAGCCATAGCTGTAAGTGTTGTGATTGTGATCGAAATCGTAGTCGCCACGGCTGTTGCTGTTGCGCTGAGGAACGACTCCCATGTCAGGATAGCGACTGTCGCCGTTCAGACCTTTTGCTAGAGTGTTCTGCACCGAGGCGATGTCATCGGACTCGGGGACGTGGACGTAAAAGCCGTCTGATGCAGCAGCTCCGCCGGCCGACTTTCCAACTCCACTTCCACTTCCGCTGCTGCCTGACATGCCAGTCATGTCGACAGGGTAGTATGGCTCGTAGAAAGAGCTCGGGGTGGCGTCATAGCCAAGGCTGGGGGCGTAGTCAGATTCGTAGCTGTAGCGGGCTGCGCTGCGACGGCGTGGGCTGCGAGTCGCTCGTTCTGTCACTAGTAGGCCGTTGCTGGTCCGTCGAGGAGCGCGTGGAGGGGAGTTCGATCGATCGCGTTGGATCTCGCTGGACAGGGGGCTCGGCACGGCTGGACGGTTGCTCTGACCGACGACCGCACCGGCGTTGGCCAGAGCTGCGCTGTTGCGTCGGTCATTTCGAGAGGATGGCGGTGATGGTGCGGAGGAGGTCTCATGGGTGTTTTGCCGAGGCTGACTGGGGGGGATAGCCGCCTCTTGAGGCGCGCTGACTATCAGAGTTGGTCGCTGTCGCGATCGGCTACTGGTAGGAGTAGTGGTAGGACCGTTGTCGGCGGGGTGGTCAACATTCGAGGTGGCATTGTCGCTGGAGGCGTGGCTGGAAGTCGATCTTCTCGAAGACTTGGACGCTCCAGAACCTTCAGGGTGCGACGGAATCTGTGCATACTGAGGGCTTTGGCTTCGCCGGGGACTGCGTCTACCGTTGCTGCTGCCGCTGCTGCTCGGCGAGAATGGGTGGTTATGATGGTATGTCAGAGCTGTACCGCCAACAGCCTCAGCAGCGAGACTTGGTGCACCGGCTGACAACTCGGCGTGGCGCTCCTGCTCAGCATTAGGCGGGATGTATTCTTTGTCAAAGGCGGCATTGGCTCTGGCGGCGTCGCGGCTGAAGCTTCGATGATGCTCGCCACTCTCGCGTCCGGAAGGGCCATCAATTAGGGCACCGATTTTGGCGTTTGGGTCAATCGGCGAGACCGGAGAATAGGGCCATGGCTCGGCGTGGTTGATCTGGTTCACTGGGACTGGTTTGCGGTTGATCTTGTATCGCGGCTCGACTTCTGGGATATGCTTCTCATCCAGCACTGCGTCAGTGTGCGAATCCCGCTGGCGATGCACAAAGTCCTCCTTTGCGGCTGCAACTGCCAGCGCGGCGGCGAGGGTAGTGTGCTTGGACCCATTGTTTTGGGGCACGTTGCCTTTGGAGCTTGCTGGAACTCCCGTCCGTTTCTCGGTCAAGAAAGGGTCATCGCCTGGCACCATCCCGTCAGTAAGGCCAGCCCTGGCGTTCGGGGCTGTTCGCCTAGGTGGTGGCACGACAGGGACGAAAGGATTCTCATGCTCCCCGCTATTCCGAAATGCGGGATGGTCAGACATGAGAGGAGCGGCTCCAGAGGCGCCGGGCACAAGGCGTGAGGTATCTCTACTTCCGGTGAGAGTGGAGGCTCGATCCAGTCTCCAACCTTCCACCTCGTCGTCGCCTGGGGAGAGGGCCCGATGCCGAGGAGACTGGCCATGGTGCCGCCTCTTTCGGCATAATAGCACCGTGAGAATGGTCATCCCGAGGGCGAGGGCGCCCAGGACAGAGCCGAGTATTATAGCTAACTTCGAGCTGTCGTGATTGGACGCTGACGTCGACGGATGGGTTGTATCGGTTGCGGCAGCAGCTCCCAACACTGAAGAACTTCCCAAGGACGAAGACGGTAAGATCAACGAAGGAACTACCGACGAGGACGTCCGTGAAGACGTTGATGCCGAGGTCTGGGAGTAGCTGGACGAGGCGGCTCCAGAGGTGGGAGAAGACAGCAAAGACGAAGTTGAGGATGGCGACGAAGTTGTAGTCGTGTCTGGACTAGCCTCTGGGACGACTATTGATCTTTCTGGCGTGCTTGATGACTGAAAGCTGGACGAGGTGGACGTGGTAGCGACTTGTGACGAAGATGAAGCAATTGCTGCTGAGGCCGCCGAGGCAGCTGAAGCCAGTATTGAGGTCGCTTCTGTGTATATTGAATATGCCTCCGACGCAAAGATCTCCAGTGGATCCGCAGTGTTTTGTTGCGCTGCGACGAGGGAGAAGAAAGTCGGTGCAAGCACCCACGCCTTGCGGACCCTCATTGTTCGCCCGCCGAGTTTGGGAGCTCTGTCGTTGGTGTTATAGATTTGCCTTCTTCGCTCGGGAAGCATGCTGTGAAGCTAGGACCTCAAGAGGGAGACAGGGCATTTTCAAGAGATTGAAGTCGGAAATATCATAGCCACACTCAGGTGGAATAGCAAGAGGATCACTTCCTCAAGAAAATAAGTCACGGCACTTACCTGGGTATTTACCTACAGGGTGGTTCATAAACGCCGGATCTTCGTTTCTGCGCATGGCCTCGAAGATCTTCATGGCCACAATGCCTAGAGGCCGTTGTGTTCTCTAACACCATGCGCGCAGGGGAGAGCGACGAGTTGCAGGTCTTGCAGTGGTAGATCTGCATGGGCCTGGACCGGATTCGCATACGCAGCTAATGCAGCTTCATCCTGTCCCTGGAAGCGGCCCGACGATGTCATGGTTGGCAGTGGACTAAGGTAACCGACTGAAGGTGTTTTCAAGTCTGAATGGACGTTGAAAAAGAACCTGGATGTTGACTGGGAGGAATCCTGGACAGTATACAGGGGTCGTCGATGCAGGGACGGAGGTGATGCTGTGGCGTGAATGGCGGCTTCTTGTGGCTGCGTGGCTGTGTTCTATCGACCCGGCTCCTGGCGTCGTGCCAGTGGCGAACTTGTAGCCATGGAGGTTCTTCCAAGCAGATGGGTCTTTCATTGTGGTGAACAATAGTTGGAGCCTGGAGAGGAGATAGTAGGGAATCTGCATTAGCAGTCTCGCAGTCTCGCATTCTCGCATTCTCGCAGTTTTCCTCCCCTGAAGCTTCTGCAGGAGTCTCGTCCATTGGGAACTGATAGACAGAAGAGTCGCCACCAACGCTTCACGAGGCTGATCATACCCTGAAGTATTCCTGATCAATTCTGTTTTTGTCTTATTTTTAGACAGCCTGTAGGGAGGAGCCATCATCGGTTGTACTGTGTAGCCAGATAAATCCGCTGACGATGGCCAACCGGACGGCTAAAAGTGTCCGGCAAGAGATGTCGAAGATTATCAAGACCACTTTCATGTCGTCCAAACATCTGGCCATGGTCTTGTTAGTAGTGTCTAGTGTTCGACCTCTACTGCCAGCCGTAAGGTCTCTGGAAATGAGGACTTGATGGCCACAAGAAGAGAGGCTGTTATGGAAGGAAGGTTCTCGCATGGCTTCTCATTGGTACAGTTCGAGATTGCCCAAACCCTCTCGTCTGTGGTGCCGAGGACTAGCAAGCTTCTCGAACCATCGTGTTGTCGAGAGCTCGCCAGAGCTCAGTCTGTCAACACTAGGAGCAGAATATTGCCGATTAGTGCAGACACATTGTACATCAAAGGAAGGAGAACATTGAGGGTCTTGTGAGTAGATAGATATACGTTTCTCGGTGCCTCGCAACGGCTGGCGAGAGTCAAAGGACAGGTACCTGGTGCTTGATCCAGGAGAACCTGTTATGTGGCAGGCTTAACACTTATTGTTCGCCTTTTGTGAGCATCTGGATACTACTCCGATCTTCGTGGACAATGTCCAGGAGTAGCACATGCCAGCTTACAGAGTCGTAGATATCATGGGTAGTACCTTTGTCCGTAGAAAGAGAGTACAACAGACAGAGTGTGTCTGACTGCGTGATTGGGCCTTTCATCTGAGCACGTGATCTCTTATCAGTCGTCTTCGAAATCGATCAGGTGACCCTTGCGGCGGGCGGATGGAGGGTCCGCTGGTGCCTGATATGACCCCACCCAATGCTACCTATACAAGCCTAGGTCCGCGGCCTAGCACTTTCTTGGCTGCTATCTATCACATATAATTGGTCTGTATTCGAAGATAGTACGCAGTAGCGGACATCATGTGGGCCTTAATATGGCCATCAGGTTCCGCTGATGTGCTTAGAATCCACTATTTGCTCAGCATCGGGGTCTCTGCGTCTGGTTTCTGGGTCTTTGCCGCCCCCCTTCGCTCCTTCCTCCTTCTCTCCCCTGCTCTTGCTTTCTGCTGCTGCTGCTGGTGCCTTCTGCTTTCTGCCGTCTGATCCTCGCCTCTTCCTGCGAACCTCTACCATACAACCTTCCACTCTATCCAAGCCACGACTACACCTTGTACCACTGCTGCTACTACTACCACTTCTACTTCACTCTTGTCTCCCTTTTGGTCGCCTCAAACAACACTTCTTGATCCCATTTCTTCCTGGCTTGTTCTTAATACACATCCCCTTTCACTGCGCCTATTCCTCTACCCGTCGCCGCCTTCTCTCCGGAATATTGGCCACCACAGGGATCCGCTTATCCGCATCTTCTGCGTCATTCATTCCATTCCGCTCCCGCACGCCATCTGTCCTCTGTCTTGTTCGATAACGACTCTTCAACCTGACTGGGCTCATTTCGCTCCTTTCTGCCTACCTAGCGCTGCGCGCATTTTGTACACCAACTAGTCCTTGTAATACACAACAACAAAACTTCCACATTCGACGCCTGCGGAACTCCTGCACAAGCATCAACCACGAATGAGAAACTTCATCCTGCTCGACTTGATTAGCCCTGCTTGTGTCGACTGAAGTGCTTGGGAAGTACATCCACCGAATTCAGTGAATTAGGAGACCATTGCGGTCCTGCGTTGGTCAGAAGAGTATCTTGGGTGGGATCACAAAGCCGGTGCTTAGTGAGGGAAACATATGGCTGGTGGCGATATTCCGAGTCTTGGGTGACTAGGCGGTGCGAATGAGCGATCTACAATTGAATATCATCCCCTATTGCAACGTTCTGAGGAGCGCTCCGGTATGTTGCGCCTTTTGTCTTGGACGGGATGTGATAAGGTCAATTCTGCAGAGATGAGGATGTTTGTCCCTAAGCAAGAATCACTTGTTTCTGGTGGTCTTACCATACCATCTCCTCACAAACGCAAACAATCGCCCGACCAGCAGGGTCAGCAATCAGAGAGGAAACGGACAAAAATCACTGGCAAAGATACTTCACAGGTGATGGCCTCCGAATCAGGAGATGCCCTTTCTTCTACTGGACAAACAGCCACTTCATCCTTCGCTATGCCTGGACAACCATCGTTCCTACCTTCTCCTCCTGAGATCCGCGCTGGGGATTGCGAGATGGACGGCTTGGAACACGAGACACAGTCTAGTAAGGCTGCTGCCGCGGCACGTCTACAATCCATAAGGAACGTGGTTCAAACCCAGCTTAGTCTGGAAATCGTGCTCAAGCATAAAGAACTCCGGCTGATCGACCAGGAAATTGCCAAGTGTCAAATCTCCTTGGAGCAACTGCGGCGGTGCACGGAAATCCCTTACCCAGGTACTGAAGGGCCCTCTTTGGCAGTGAGCGAGGGTACTGGACATGCCTTGCGTGGCTCCTTCCCGACTCCTCTACCCAAATCCCCGGCTCCGTGGGGGGTGACAAATGGTCCTTACACTCGTCACTACGCGAGCTGGCTTCTTCCAGATCATCGATTCGATGGCGGTGAACCTGAGCCTGTGAGCAGCTTCCCGGCAGGCAAGTCTCCCCTGAAGTCGAGATCGACCAGGGGAAGTATTGTGGATGTTCCGCAAGCCTCAAGTGCATCTCGCTCTCAACGCAGTGGCAAACTCAAAGCTCTACCGGCTGGTTACGGTCATCCCAAAGAGAAGGCAACTGGTCCTATGATTGTCAAGAGGAAGTCCGACGGGCGCATGGTGAAGCTTGTCTGTCCCGACTGTGGTAGACACGATTTCGGCAGTGCACAAGGATTCATCAATCATTGTCGAATAGGACATGGCAGGAGCTTCGCAAGTCACGATGCGGCCGCTGATGCTTGTGGAGAACCGGTCGAGATTGATGATTCGGGAGCAATGGTCGGTATTGAACCTGTGGCTACACCCACAGGTGGTAACGTCCATCCTCTCATTCGCTCTGCCAAGTTGTTGCAGCCCTCGGCACCGCGGACGGCGCAATCGTCGCCATCCTCAGACGACGACGGACGAGTGGTCAAGTCAAAGGAAGTATCGCCCGACTTTAAGGGTTCAGTGTTGACACCCAATTTGTCGGAGCTGGTTAAGGTCAAAGGACTTGGATTTGATCTTCAAGAGATGGTAATTGATGCTAAGCAGAAGGTTGAGATGCCAGAGTCGGATTCGGAGGATGACCAAATGGATGTTGATGTGCCCATGCAAAACACAGCGCAAGGCCGACACCCGCAAGTGGCTGGAACGAAGCAGCCTTCTAAATCCACCAAATCTCCAATGTCTTCGCCATTGTTGAGTACCAGCATGTCGAGATCGGCCGCCAGTACGCGCAGCAGTCTGCCACAGTTCGACGGGGCGGCCGATAATACCGTCCAGCAACGCCCGAGAGGAATCGACATCCCCACTGAGCAGACCTCCATGACTGAAATGCAGCCTTCAGATCCGTCCCCAACTAGTGAGTCCAACCAGGCTCCGAGTTTGGTCGACGACGACGAAGAGTTCGAGCCTCACTCGCCCACAAGCAGTTCCGTGTCTGATGAACAAGACGTTGGTGAGGTTGATTTTGAGGTTCGAGGCGACGAAGACGACGATGCCCGAAGTGTATTGCGAGGTCCAGATTTTCAGCCCAGTTGCACACAACCTGCAAGACCTACTGGGCACGTCAGACGACCTTCGGCCATCCGTCGACAGGGTGAAGACCGGGAAGAGAAGCACGTTACTTTCGTGAGTCCAAGTCCGGCCAGAGACTTGCCAGCACCTCGTCAAGCCGGTGACCGGAAGAGGAGGAAGGCCTAGAGGGGTCTCTGTTAGGACGGCTGCCTCAATAGAGTGTATGCCCAACAGAGGTCATTGTGAAGCATCATTGCACACTTCAGTAGGCGTCCAGGCTTTCTTTCGTTGAGAAAGGAGTGACTTGGTGTATGAGTGACGAAGATGTTGGATATAGGAAGGGGCGTGGTTTCTTGAAAGAATAATCACGCTGATCTCCAGAATGTGTCATGTAAATATCTTTGTGGCGTCTGAGTAATATCGGCCATGCTTCAGAAGACCTCGTGTGTGCAAATCAATATACAAGACTCAACTCTATGAAAAGCATGGCCGTCTTTGTTAAGCCACATATTCGTCGAGTATGTCTGTGCTCAACGTGCCGTGGTCGTCTAGTAAAGCCTTGTCAGCTGGCAAGGCTGAGGATCTTCATATCCACTCCCCTGCGCGCCATTGCGTCAGATGTTTCTGGAACCGCCAAGGCTCGGATTCGGTCTTCTATAATTCGATACTACAGAGTATACTACTACTATTAGCCATACTCACAGTGCGGGAACCGCAGCCCCTGATCAGACAATTGTTCAATCTTGGAGATATAACATCCCACAGGTGACATAAGTCTTTGAAGTGCATTCCCACTGATTCTTGAGGACAACAGGTCATCAAGACCCAAAGGGCAGGAGGTTCGGACAATGGCGCAGAAGTGTGTACACAAGGGATGCGGGAAGACGTTCACCGATCCTGAGGAGGAGTGCATATACCATCCAGGGCCGCCCGAATTCCATGAGGGTCAAAAAGGTGAGTTGTTGCCATTTCGGCTACCTCAAGCTGCTCTCATGCAGCTTCTCTGCCACCAGGGGGTCCGCAGTAGCGCAGCCCATGGCGGAGAAGCAATATCCCGATTACAGGCATGGCTCCGTCCATACGAGAGATGCTAACGAGACTTTGAATGATGACCTACAGGCTGGAAATGCTGCAAACCTCGAGTCTTGACCTTCGACGAGTTCCTGGCCATCCCACCCTGCACCAAAGGGAAACACTCGACCGTTGACGACACACCCGCACCACCACCCAAACCCGAATCCTCTACAACAGCGCCGACGCCTGTAACCGTGCCCATCACGAAACCTCTCTCGACCAACCTCGGCAAACCCAGCCAGCAACCGACCGCGTCGTCGACACCCAAGCCTGAGCCGCCTGAAGACGAATCGGACGACTCCGATGCCGAAATCCCTGCCGGCGCGACATGCAAGAGACGAGGATGCGGGAAAGTTCGCGACGAAAGCATTCCCCGCAATGAGGAGGAGTGCGTGTATCACCCAGGAGTGCCGCTTTTCCATGAAGGCAGCAAGGGCTGGACATGCTGCAAACGGCGAGTCCTGGAATTCGACGAGTTCATGAAAATCGAAGGATGTAAGAAGAGGAAGCGGCATTGCTACGTGGGCAAGAAGAAACCCAACAACAACAACAACAAGGCCGGCGGGACCAACGGCGCGGCGGCCGCAGACGAGGAAGAGGAGATGCTGAGTACTGTGCGCAACGACTTCTACCAGACGCCGACCAGCGTCATTGTCAGCTTCTACTTGAAGAAGATTGTCAAGGAGAAGGCCAAGGTCGAATTCAAAGACAACGGAGTGGACATTGATTTGGATTTGCCTACCAGCGATGGCAAGCGGTTCAAGGCTACGATACCGCTATTTGCCCCTATCGAACCCGGGAAGTCGCAGTTCAAGATCATGGGTACGAAGTTGGAGTTGGAGCTGGCTAAGAAGGATGGAACGAGTTGGTCGACGCTGCGGAGTGACGAGAAGGGCACGGGCGAGAGGATTCAGGTTGGAAGAGCTGCCAGATTGTTGTAGAGGGTTTCATTTGGAGGCATTTCTCGCTTTCTTCAACAATGGCTCGAACATCTCAAAAAGGACGATCATACGGGCATAGCAAGGGCGTGGCTGGCCATGGTTTGAGGACGCTACGTAAAGGAGGGACATCACAACACAAAAGAATGTGTTCCTGCATCGAAGCTTTTGGGTTGAGCAAATAGAGCCAGAGCAGTATCATTTTCTGCATATATAGCGGACACAGGAAAAAGCATTCCCACTACAGAACTTGCACCTACAGTGAAACCTCGTCTTCCCTTCCGACGACCACGACATCAAACATGTTCCGTCCAGCGCGGAACCACGAATGATCAGTGTTTCGAGTTTTCTCTTCCTCAGGTCTCGTGGTTGTGTCTGACTCCATGATCTTTCTTGTTTCGACCCAAACTCTTCTTGTTCTTGCTTCTTTTTGCTTTCCACTCATTGTCATTGTTTTTCTTTTAGCAATGCTGAACTTTTCAAATGCTGGTATGTATCATCTCCTCCACAGCTCCACGCGATCGAAAGCGCATGCAGCCATAGTATGTTTGGGAAAAAGGACGGTGACTGGTCTTCTCTCTGCGAAGCCGGGAACGGAAGGAGATCCATTGAAGAAAATCAAGAATAACCCTCAGCAAGCCACCGTAGTGGAGCTCCGGTGTATAAGTGTATACTTTACATAGGTAATGTAACACCTCTACTGATGATGAAGAAGAGAAAAAAGAAAAAAAAGAGGGAGAAAGCGATTGCCGGCGGAAAAGATATTTGTATGACAACCTTGCCTACGTCCCAGTCGGGTATGGCGGCGGCCTTGGCGAAACGAGACGTTTTAGCATTAGTGCTCACGCTGCTTTTAGTGGGAGTTTGACATCACCATCCCCTGCTCAGCCTTGCGTGGATGTGGAAGTTATGTATCAACGTCCCGGTACTACACTCCAGGTCTCAATTGACAAGGAGGTTTCTGACTGCTTTCACGGCTTAACATTCCAATTGACTACGAGTCGATGTTTCAGGTGCGTTGACGAATGTATGCTGCAGGAATATAATGTCGATGGCGGGATAGATACAACACGACTTCTCCAGCCTGCTTCTGGAGCCATGTATTTCCTGACCACGGATTTGTCCTTGGAGGGCAGCCATCGTCGTCACCCTGAGTATAGGGAAGGAGAGAGAGAGAGAGCGAGGCCTGCAAATGGCTTCTGATGTACCATTGAATCATAGCCAGTGCAAGTACGAGAACTACTTGATTGTTTGCAGTGCCTAGTGACAGGGTGATGTGGTCACCGAGGCATTCCATGCCAAAAGCTCTTGTTCACCATTGCTGCTGCCATAACATGTCTCCCATGATGGGCGATCGCTGTCTGGCAGCAGGTATTCGACACCAGCATGATCAGCTCTCTCTTGCTTTCCATTTAGCATCTCCCAGCATATTAGCATGGTAGTCCGCCATAATATCGACCAAGTTAGGCACTCTGCACCCACACCAGATCTTGCCGTTCCCATTTCTCAAAGTTTCTGATTCAAGACTTTTCGTCCGCTGGGTCCACGTTCCGGACCGTGGAAATATGGTAGCGACAATCTGGTAGTGATTGAGCTGTAGAGCCCGTGTCTTCGACTCGGTGGCTAGTCACTGGACTCATCCTTGCCATCTTGACTGTCATCGGGTGTATCCTCCTTCTTGACAATTCTGCCCTCGATGGGTTCAGCCTTCAAGCCGGCTGGAGCTCTTGCCTTCGCCTTCGCCTGTGGAGTCGCTGTCTTGGTTTTCTTCACAGTTGGATTTCCAGCCTCATTGTCATCGTCGGCCGCTTTGCCCTTTCCTCTGGCTCGCTTGGCAGGAGACTTGGTCGGAGTCGTTGACGTGCTGCTACCATCACTAAGGCTGCGGGCGATGTCTTTGATTTTTGCGATACGGTGAATGATGGCCTTTGCCGTACAGTCTATCAGACAGTCTGGTTAGTATCGTAATGGGCAAGAATAACACAATGTTCGCAGGGGACTTGGGAGCGAGTTTACCTGGACCCATCATTTCCGCAACGGCTCCATTATTGATTTTCACCTCAGATGTTGCAAGCACAGCTGCGAATAGCTATAGTCGTGCAGTCCAGTCAGCAGAGAGAACAGAAGATGACAATCAGGACGAGCACATCGGGCGATAGAGACGTACCTTGGCATCGGCGTCAGCATCCCAAGTCATAGGCATCTTGAAAGATTGTGAAGTGGTATTGGCTTGAACAGCGGGTTTGGTGGTAGCGGTGATTGGAACTATTCTGAATCAGTTTCTGACTTGAAGGAATAGAGGAAGGTAGGAGATAAAAGGGAAAAGAAGACACTCACTCTACTTTCGAGTACGACGATCAAGTCTCAGCTAATAAGCGTTATGGTAGCCGAGGATCCTAAGTAGGTCGAGCAGGTTTGGTAGAAAGAAGAAAGGTAGAAGAGGGAGGAGAAGCAGGTATTTATGGAGGAGGCCAGTTCGTGATTTGATGTCGTGTTTTCGGGTTAATACGCTGCAAATCGTTGTCTCTCCCTGAGTGTTGAGTGAAAGAAGAGTGAACTGACCTGTGTCCCAGGATGCCTAGTGTTCTGATCCGAGTCGACTGTGACTGAGTCTTACTGTTAACCCGAAAGAGGCAGGCCGACGTACAAAAGAGCTGAGCGATCCTCATGATTGTGATCATTCGATTGAATCTGAAGTTTTACCATACAGACGCTTCGCACCTGGATTATGCCTTATCTGGCTGGATCATTTTTGGCGAGACTTTCCATCGATTCCGAGTACATCTCGTCCAGGACTGGCGCTTTTGGAACATTCGATCCTGTGGCCGATAGGATTCGCTTATTCCCTATCCAACGCTCCTCCATCCGACCCGGCCTCAAGTTCACCTGAAATTCTGAGACAACCTACCACTGGCTGTTGGCTCAAGATGACAGGCCTGTGCTCTTCTTGACCTCATTACCTTTTTGACGCATTGCTGTCGATCTTGCGGACGATCACCATTGCCAGAGCTGCAGTTCGTAGTCCAAGGTCAACCACCATGGAAGCCTGCTATCAATGAACTGGTTCAACTTGGCCCGAAAGGCTGATCTGGACTGCTTGAACATGGAGTAGAAGGCAGAAGTGTTCGACAGTTCTTAGTGCGAAACGAAATAAAGTATCCATCCTGCTGGTAGAACAATTCATTCCAGACTCGCAAGGTCAAGTGGAACACTGCTCCCCCTTCCTGCTCGGTACCTTTTAGGTACTCCTGTAAATTGTCGTGGTGGTGGCAACTGAGAATCGTCCTGGAACTTCCATCTATTATCCTCGATCTTGATGGGCCCCGACCGAGCTGAGGAGCCGATCGAGCCTCCATTTGTGAGTGTATATGAGCTCGCATCCAAGGTTGAGTGCGAAGGACGTTGCGATATCCGTTGAGAAGGAGGCGGTGATACAGGGGATGAGGGTGACGGGGGAGTTTCTGAAGCACCGTGAGATGGTTGTCTGGCGAATGCGGCAGTCGCAGCTTTCATTGCAAAAGAGGACCCAGAACCGTTGGTCGTTGGATGTGAGCTCGGCGGTGGAGGCGGTCCAGGCGGCGGCGGCGGCGGTGTTGATCTAGAAGGTGGCTCGGATGCAGGAGATAGTGGCATTGGCGGTGGGGGAGGTGCCAAAGAAGGTGCTGCGTTACTTGGAGGAGGAGGAGGCGGAGGCGGCGGCGCAGGAGGTGCAGGACTTGCTGTAGGAGGCGGAGGCGGCGGTGGTGGAGGAGCTGGGGGAGCAGGGCTGGCGGCTGGCGGCGGTGGATGGGGAGGAGTGGGAGGTATAGGGCTTGCTGTTGGCGGTGGTGGAGGCGGAGGGGGAGGAGCGGGAGGTGCAGGGCTTGCTGTTGGCGGAGGCGGAGGCGGAGGGGGAGGAGCGGGAGGTGCAGGGCTTGCTGTTGGTGGAGGCGGAGGCGGAGGCGGAGGAGCTGGAGGAGCTGGACTTGTTGATGACGGCGGTGGTGGAGGTGGTGGTGGTGGAGGAGGAGGAGCAAAACTCGAGGATGAAGAGAGCGGAGGAGGAGGCGGTGGAGCGGGAGGTGGCCCAGAAGTGCTCACTTTCCTTGCTGTCGGAGGAGGGGGCGGAGGCTTTCCGATCGCCAAATTGACCACAGATGACGGTTTTGATAACGGTTTGGGAGGAGCCTTTTTGAGATGAGCTAGCGGACTCGGTATGGCCGGGGCAGAGTCTGTTGATTGTGGAAGAGGAGGCCTGATCCCAGGAATGGGAGGAGCGGGCATCGAAGGTGGCCGAGGTGCGCCGCCCAACGGTGGTCGAGGGATTGATGGATTGTTCGATTCCGAGTCCGAGTGAGCGCCATCTTGACCAGCACCGGTGTCGATTCCCCCTCTTGTCTTCTTCAACTTCGGCATGCCTCCAGCAAACAAGCCTCCCAGTTGTGGAGCGCCTCCCAGGCTGGCCATAGCATCTCCCCCTGTATCACTATTGCTTCGGGCTCGGTTTGCGTTTGGAGCTGGCGGCGCCAGACCGCTTGGTGCTCTCATTCCTGGTACTGGCGGTGCGCCGGCCACAGGTCCACCTCCGCCGCCGGCCTTGGTATTTATCAATGGCGCTGAACGGTCATTTGTGACGGCCTTTTTCAGCCTCGCTCCTTTCGTGATGTCTGATAGTAAAGCATCCTATAGCCTGTGTTAGTCGTCCGGTCGACATTTGCGCTCTATCCTGGAGGGCCATATCACTCTTGTCTATTCTTAGGGGTGGGCAACGTACTCGACTTTTCGCAACCGCTTTGGGCGGTGCTGCTGGGAGGGCATTTCCTGGAAGAGGCGGTGGTGGTGGAGGTCCTCCCGAACCTATACCTGGAGGAGGCGGTGGTGGAGGTGGAGGAGGTGGAGGAGGAGGACCAGGCATCTTGTGGTGGTTTCGTCTTTCGTGCTTCTCGTCGTTCTTCTACCACAAAGGCTTGAAATTGACACGGACAAGGTACTCGATAACGGCACAAACAAGGACTGGTAACTGCCAGGAGGACTCGAGGTGTCTCAGCAAATGTACATCGAAGAGGTAATGGCAGCCTGAGGCGCAAACAGGCCGCGCATTTGCAAATGTGAGAGAATCAATCAATGAAGAAGAGTCGGTCCCTAAATTAATGTATGGACTTCAAGTTGGAGACGTTGGTTGGCAAGGGCTAAACCGCAGTTCGTCATACGAGGGCGGCAGAGTTGCCCTGCAGAGACGGACTCCCTCTGCCTGGCTACTACTAACCACCTTGTACTCCACAGTATTCGTACGTACTACCACCATTGGACTGCCCACAGCTTGGATTACTGAGTCCCTGGGGCATATCACAATTCATTCACATCACATCCGCAGGCAACAAGATATCCCAAACATGTTAAGCTGTTGGACGCGCGTTCCTGCAAAGTGATTTAAATCTATTGATTGCTCACACTGGCAACCCATGCTTCGTTTTTGCAGACTACCGGATCCTGCCGCCTGAAGCCAAGGCATGCCAGCAATCGCACAAAAAACTATGGAACGAACGCCCCCAACGTAGCAGACCTCTGTAACAGACCAGACACAGGCAGATCATTCATATGCGTGATTGAAGCATTTTCAACTTGGCAAGCTGGCTGCAGTGATGGCAATCTCGACGTGAAATTGGGATTATGTCCACTGCAGGTCTTGCGAAGACATTTGTTGCGAAAAGAAACATGAACTTCGGGCCGATTTGTGGAAGATGACTGGCTATGTCTGTCAAGCCACTGCTAACAATGGCCCCTTCTTAGAACGTGACAGCAAAGGTTGATCAGTTGTGACCGGCCTTCCGGAGAGAGTTGCTCAACCATTCGAGACCTTCATAGAGACCATCACCCGAGGTAGCGCAGGTGGATTGAATGTACTGTTTCATACGTTAGTTGCCTGCATGCCTTTTAGGGATATTGTTTGCTCTTACCCAGGCACGTTGTCGAAGACTGTGGAGACCAAGCTTGTCGGTGATTTCGGCGGCGTTCATGGCATTCTGCTGCAATTAGACACTGATTGTTGAATCTATCGGGACGAAGACTTACGGGAAGATCCTGTTTGTTGGCGAAAACCAAGAGCAAGGCATCACGTAGCTCATCCTCGTTGAGCATGCGCTGAAGTTCCTCACGTGCCTCAACAATACGATCTCGGTCGTTGGAATCGACAACAAAGATGATTCCCTGGGTGTTCTGGAAATAATGCCTCCACAGAGGTCGGATCTTGTCTTGACCACCAACATCCCACACCGTGAATTGAATGTTCTTGTACTCGACCGTCTCAACGTTGAAGCCTGCGAAAGGGATTAATTCGCGTCACGAGCGTCGCACGGAAGAAATTCGGCGTACCAATTGTGGGAATTGTGGTACTGTGGACGTTAGCAAGACATCTAAAGGTAGTCACCAGAGGTCGTCACATACACAATTTCGCCGAGCTTGAGTTTATACAAGATGGTGGTCTTTCCAGCGGCATCAAGACCCACCATCAGGATTCTCATCTCTTTCTTCCCCCATAGCCTGTCGAAAAGCTTTGAGAATGCAAGACCCATGATTGCGACTGAGCTGACGGGGAGCTGCGAAGAGGGAGGCAGGAGAGGCGGTCTGGCGATGATAGCGTTAGTGAGATGCCAAAAAGCGCGTAAACTTCTATGAATTGTGAAATGCAATACACAGAGGGGGGATGATCGCAGGATCTACCGTGTCGCGAGATATAAAGGTGAAGCCAAGGTTGTCCCTTTGAAGGCACATGTGTGGCCACTTTGTCCTCGCGACCGTGGGTGAGATCCGGGATCAGGCAGACAGTATTCATTTTTCACATACCAGAGAGGATGGAGTGACTATTCCTGGGGCAGGAGTAGCAAAGAGTGTCGATAGTTCGATGGAAATAATGGGTGCACGAGTCGAAATAGGACGATAGTCAATTGGGGGTGGCCGAGTTCGAGGTTGAACTCGCAGGTCGCAGGCGCCAAGCCAAATCTGTTCGGCTGACAACTTGAAAGTCCTACTACGAGGACGAGGGGATGGAGATACCAGACTACACCACAACGCCTACACTGTACTCCACTACTAGTACTAATCACTGGCCACTGTTCACCGCGTCTTCAGCAAATGTGTGGCTTCTACTTTAGCGCGCCATGGTCTCTCGGGACGTCTTTTCGTATATTCAAGCTGGCATTGAGGACGCACAAAGAACATACATACACGCTCGGGCTGCTTCAAGGGGCAGGGGCTTGGTCTGCACCGTAAGGATGGGTCAATCCTTCTTCTTTACATACCAGGTCAAGCATAGAACGCTGTCATCATCTTGTCAGTTCGGCATCTATAACAAATCTCGACCAATAATCAAGCAGTCACACCACAAAAGAACACGTGCGACACCTTTCATCCCTTTCGACAAAGGGGCTTGACAGTGCTCGGCTGATAAGTCTAGTAGATTGGCGCTGCATGAATAGCGGTCTCATATACTTTTTCAGGCCTATACATGGCCAGTCCTCCCCTCCTTAAACATCGATCCTCATCGCCAACACAAAACATGTTCTTCCTTCCTTCTCGATCCTCTTGTTCTGGTTGATGACCTCGAAGCCCCATTTTTGATAAAACGCCAATGCGCGCTCATTGCCGTGGAGGACGTTGGTGACACACGAAGCAGACACTCTGGTTCTCTGCTGCACACTCTTCCATGACCATATCGATGGTTGCTTGCACCATTCGCTTTCCTAGACCGAGGCAATAGAAGTCCACGCCAATATAAAACGCTGCCATGAAGTACTGAAGTAATCCATAACCTGCACTGTCGGATTTCTCCAGGTCTGTTGCGATGGCAATCACATACCCTACCTGTTTGCCTTGAATCAAGCCAGATCTCTCGTCCGAGGATATGGTATTGGGATCAGATGAATCGCGCTCGGATCTGAGACCCTTCTCGGCCAGAATGCTTGAGGCTGATCGACCTCACTGTCGTAGATGGAAACGAAACTGTCAGGAATTTGTTTCAGGCTCTTCAACCGAAGAGTTTAGGCGCGAGGAGTGTTCGAAGAGGGTATTCCGGTCAGGAGCCGGTCTGAGAAGCCCATGACTCGAGAACTTGCATGCGGTCATTGTTCACAGGCTAGTCTTAAAGGTATGATAGGAACCGCATAGTCTTGATCGTAGTCTTCACCCCCTCTGACCGGAGAGGAGGGTTTCCTGCGACTGTGTCACCTCAGGAACCAGCCATTGGGTACTCCAACGTCTGCCAGCGCGGCCTCATCTGATCGCTCTCCATAGGAGATCAGCCACAGGAAGGCAAGAGGGGAAATGTGGGTTGCTTGGGATTGACTCGACAACTCAATAGCTTACTAAGCAGTCTGAAGCGACCCCAGGAACCGAACGCCTCCAATGGGAGCAGACTTGAGATGCAAGAATCCACTTAACCTGATTAGGCCTTAGCTCATCAAAAGTCTTGGCACTTCACACTGGATTTTCGACGTCGAACATTGGCCTTCGCATCGCCGTCTTTTCTCTCAGACCACCAAGTTCTCGCGCAGTGCCTCACCATAAGAATTATATCAATTCTTCTGGAAGACTGTCCTCAAGATGTCGAAAATCACAGTCGGTTAGTCTTTTCCCCATCCATCTTGCGCCATTTGTGCACCAGAAATGTGCTGACAGATTTCCTTAGCCGGAGTGCGCCAGAACGTGCAACAACTTCTCGATTACTCTTTGAACGAGAAGAAGCGAAACTTCCTCGAAACTGTCGAACTCCAAATCGGCTTGAAGAACTATGACCCCCAGCGTGACAAGCGTTTCTCTGGCACCATCAAGCTGCCGACCGTTCCCCGACCGAACATGGCCGTCTGGTACGCCACCCCGTATAATGCGCATTCGGGTCAACGCAGGAAGCGAAGACCGAACAGCATGACAGCAGCATAGCAAGAGAGAAGACAGTACTGACGCAAGACACAGTGTTCTCGGTGACCAGCACGATATCGACCGAGCCAAGCATTTCGGTGTCGACGCCATGTCCTCGGACGACTTGAAGAAGCTGAACAAGAACAAGAAGCTGATCAAGAAGCTCGCCCGCAAGTACGATGCCTTCGTCGCCTCCGACAGCTTGATCAAGCAGATCCCTCGTCTCTTGGGTCCTGGTCTGTCCAAGGCCGGCAAGTTCCCTACCCCGATCTCCGCCAACGAAGATCTTTCCGCCAAGATTACCGAGGTCAAGTCCACCATCAAGTTCCAGTTGAAGAAGGTTCTGTGCATGGGTGTCGCTGTCGGAAACGTCGGTATGTCCGAGGATGAGCTGATCTCCAACATCATGTTGGCCATCAACTACCTGGTCAGTTTGTTGAAGAAGGGATGGCAGAACGTGGGAAGCTTGACCATCAAGGCTACCATGAGCCCGCCCAAGAGATTGTATTAAGTTATATATCTCTTGGTGGCTGGCTCATGCTTCGCTTCGCTTCTCGAAGTCAAGTCTTGTCGCCTCACGGCACGATTTGATGGCCAAAGCAGTCAAGTGTTATCACTTTGACGAAAACATGCAGATTTCATAGTTCCGCATAAGAAGCCGAAATGAAAGCCATGAGACGACGCCAGAATTTGGTTCCCGGCGTAGTGAATTATTCCGTTTTATGTTTGTACACGATGCATGCTTACTGCATGCCCTCCATCAAATCCGTCTTATCGAGAATCATATCCCTCATCCCGCATTCATCTCTTAGTCTCTGCCAATCCTCGCCTTCCTCCTCGCCCCATCGGTGCTTTTCCTGGAATCCCCAAGCCAAGGCGAGCCTGTCGAAGAAGGCGCGTTCATCTTCGCGGATCCATCGGTCGCTCAGGCCTGTCCCTGGGCGCCAGACGACACGCACCATCTGGTCGTTGGACGTGGTTATTGCAACGAAGCCGATTGTGGTCAGTGTGCCAATGTAAGCCGTGGCCGCTGCGATGGCCGTGTATTTGGCCATGTCGACGTCCATTGTGTTCTGCCATTGGGATACCCAACTTGCTCCAGCGTATGCGGCGACCGGCGTCCCTGCAACGAACAAGCCTGGTAATGATGCACGCCGCAGGACCCTGTTGGCGCGGAAAGCCGGAGTTGCTACGGTTGTATCAATGATAGCCAAGGCCAGCGCCAGATTCTTCTTGAGGATGGCCGATTCCAACGCTGCCTCAGCCAGATCCAAGGGAATAGCGTACTTAGGCACTTTGGGCCATGGGTCGGAATAAGTGACTGGCTTCGTCTTTGGGTTGGGTATCTTCTTGTGTGCATACAAATGGAATATCTCCGGAAGGTACTCCGGCTTCCCGAGAAGACACTGAATCCGGACGTACACTGCGAGTATCTCCTGGGAAATGTACACCTTCGGGTCGCGGAGTAGCGTATAGGCTAGCTCAGCGATTGTGTCTGCAGCGTTCTGTCGGAATGGCGCCGACATTTCCCTATCTGGTATGAAGACTGGACCATCTTTCGAAGCATCTTTATCCTCAGCCAAGTCACGAAGCACTGCCTGCGATAGATCTTCCCCTGGCCTCTCCGTCACGTCATGAGGGCCATTGCTTGTCCCAAAGACAATACAATTCGCGAACTGATAGCACCCCAAGATGATAGCCATGACTTCCTCAGCCGGGGCAGCAACATCTTGCGATGTTAGGCGCGAAATATCGTCCTTTAGCTTCTTTAGTCCTGCGGCGGGATTGAATGTTTGGAGGGAGAGCTCTGGAGGGATCTCGATACGATCAGGCGTCGGTGTTGGTTGAGGTTGCGATGCTCTTTCAGCTATTGCTGCTCCTGTCAAGGCAGCCTTTCGAGTCCTTGGAAGGAGTGAAGCATGTTTCCGTGACTTTGCCGCTACATCCTGCTTTGGAGTAATTGTTGCCAATGAGATAAAGTGCCGTCGACTTGGGTTCAATGCGAGGACTCTTTGACATGAACGACAAACAAAGCCCGCTTGTCGCGGCACTAGAGTCGCCATACTAGGTCAGGTAGTCGTGCTGGTACTCGACGCTGTGTTCATGGAAGAGGGCATCACATACACTGTTCTATTGCGCAGAAATGTCACTGCCGTACTAGTACTACGAGGCACATCGGCAGGACTTCGGCAAATATTGCTCACGTGAACGCTTACCTAACTCTATAACGGTGAGGCAACATTACGCTGTACGATGTCCTAGCCTAGTAGTTTCAACTTCCTTGAGCTTGAGGTACCCTGCATTGGCACAACCCAGTCACGTCTCACGATATTTTGAACACGACGTTTGCTGGTCTTCGTAAGGATCTGCTCGCCCCTCCATCAGGGCAACCAGGAATCTTACATGTGCTGGGGTGACAATCGAAAACCCCGGTTGTTGATGAGGCGGCACTCGAACACCTACCCCTTCATGAGGCGAGGTTTCGGCAGCCATGCCATCTTCTTTACCACCTCCAGCAAAGTTAACAGCGGATGCCGTGCAACGAGCACTGGAGCTTTATCCCTTGCTCGTGGAGAGGGTGTATAAGGCCAAGCTAAAGGATCCGAAGAAAGTGGCGGATGCTCTCAAACGCGACAAATGGCGGTTCGGCGAGTTGCCGGCTGCCATTGCTGCTATAAATTCAGGAGGGAGCAACGAAACGAAGCAGTCGACCTCTCATAACGATATAGTCGACGGGGCACTTGCCAAAGACGCTCTTGAGAGGCTGGTGCAGTGGAAAATGTAAGCTTTACCTTGCTCAATGGCACCTGGAATTGTCCTGTTTTGAGGCCCTGAACAACACCACCGGTGTAAACCATTGCGGCTGTCAATCAGCTGCTCTTCTTCTGCACAAAAACGGCGAATCTCTGGGACGAATGATAATACCGCGGTCCCAATATGCTTGCTCATATCCCAAAATCGCCTCTAGGTGACATCCTTAATCTTGATCTTGGGTTCTTCCTCTTTACACTGGCCTTGTCTCCCTTACTTCCACGATCCACAAGGGGCCGTCGTCCCAAAATAATCAATATAACTGTGTCCGAGACCTGACATTTTTCCAGTACGCATGGCCACTCTCGCCCTTTCTTGCCTGCCATGGTGAGAAAGAACGAAACTAGTGCAGTCCTGACTCAGACCAAACTGGCTTGGGAAAAGCTATCGACACATCAGACAGGAACAGCCCCGTCGACGTCAACAGTCACTGCGGCTCTTGATGTGGTCTGCGAGCTCAAAGGCATCGGACCGGCAACCGGCACTCTGATTCTGAATGTGTACGACTCGGACCACGTGCCCTTCTTTCAGGATGAGATGTTTATGTGGTTCTTCCCGCACACAAAAGGCGACAAGCTCAAGTATACTCAGAAAGAGTACCTGCAATTATTTGATTCAGCTCGACCGGTGCTGGAAAAGCTAGGTATTAAAGCTATTGAGTTGGAAAAAATCTCTTACGTCCTCGGACACTTGGAGTTGCTGGAGCCAAATGAAAGAAGCAAGCTGGAGCATGACCTCAGGTTGAGTGAAACGGAGACCAAGGACGAAGAAGTCAAACAAGAAGTGACTTTGGAGGACAAGAAAGTCAAGACCCACCAACCACAAAAGCAAACAAACACGACCCAGGTAGCAAAACGAACATCATCGACACTCGAGATTGATAAGAAAGAGCAGCAACCACCGAAGCGCCGGTCACAACGGATCAAATGAAGGAACAAGCTTGTTGCGAAATTAAATCAACGATTAAGGTGTGAATTGTTTATGTCTGCTCCCTGCACACCCCGAAGCAGAGAATAGGTGAACGCACACTTTCCCCCAAAGACCAATGCAATGCTATGAGACTATCCCGCAAGCACAGCTTTCACCCATATTTTGTATTATTACAAGACGAAGCCGAGCCTCGCGAGAGCCAGGCCGAACAGGCTGCCAGCGATTCCTAGGCTGGCTGCACCATTATCGGAGCTGCCAGTTGTACTTGCCGACGCGGAGGCTGAGGAACCAGAGTCGGTGGCGTGCTTGCATCCTGAACCCTGGCCCCCCACGGGTCAAGCAATCCCAAGGTTTGTGGCCTTGTGGTTTGGTTTGGGATTCGCATGAGCAAAAGAGCCCCGCTGCAGGAGACGGGCAATCACACACAGCTAGTCCGTGAAGCTAGCTTCTGAGGTGGACAGGATCTGTGCAACGTCTGCGGAGAATGCCTCGAAAATGGTCAGAGGCCGGATGTCTTGAACCGGCCCCAGAGCCGATGCCTGCACGTGTTCACTTACCTGCTCCTTAATTTCCTGGCTTGGCCCCTTTTTCACGAGAACTTGCATTCATGTGAGTAGCAGAATGACACCACAGAGACAATATGATGTTGCAAGTGGCACTTACAGAGTATCATTGCAATCTGGACACCTGTCGCGATATGATATTTGGCGACAGAGTTCTCAGCAGGCGCCGATATCATTCTGTGGCTGGAGAACGTAACCGTTGCCTGTTATGGACTAGCTTCAGTGGATATATATTGTTTATCCGACTTCCCGACGATCTCTGACTGGCGGGTTTCCAACGTCAAGTGGAAAATGGCTCAGCTCGTACCACCACTCACTCACTACTGCCTTGCCCTCTTCCTGTGCACAGCTGTAACCTGGCTTTTCATGTTCTGCCTCTGTGACTAAAAGGCCATGCATCAATACTGCTTGCTAGGAAGCCAAGTTTCAGGTGCTGTGCTCTGTCATGGCATAATATGGTGTTCACAGGCAAACCATCGAGAGCGTGTGCTCATTGCAGAAGAAGGAAGCTCCGAGTAAGTGGCTATGTAATCATCTACGAAGATTTGCAACCCTGCTAAGCAAGTCACAAGTGCGACCTTCGCAAGCAAGCATGTGGTCAATGTGTGAGAGCCGGACTCACGTGTTCCGGTTACCGTGACCCGAATCAACTGAGGATCCGAGACGAGAGCAATTTGACGAGACAAAAGGTTCTCGAGAGTCGTCGAATCATCAGGTTGAATGTACAGACCATCGACTTATCCATTGAGGAGTTAGCAAGGGCCACCTTTTGCTCTCACTATGTCAATGGCCTGGCCAAAACCTATGATGTGCTCCAAAGCATCGGCAAACAATCCCCACTGGACAAACACCTGGCGGCCAGCCTTGATGCCGCTAGCTTGGCCTTCTTCTATTTCCGACACTACTCCACGGATGCTGCACGGCGTGCACAGGAAAAGTACTTGTCAGCCTTGCCGCTAGTAAACAAGGCGCTGGGTTCCGCCGATCTAGTTGCTCGTGATTCGACGTTGCTGGCGGTACTCCTGCTGGACCTGTTCGAGAAGATCATGAATAACAATCCCCGGTCATCAGATTCATGGATGAGCCATGTCAACGGTGCTTTGGCTCTCCTCAAGGTGCGAGACGTGCACCAATTTCAATCCTACGTCGGGCTCCGGCTTTCCGTACGTCTTTTCACAAACATGCTCATCAGCTGCGTCGCGGCAAATGCTCCCATTCCACCGGCTTTGGATAAGCTCCGTCAGAAGCTTGACCCCTTGCTTGACCCCTTGGATCCCAAGTGGCGAGTGTCGGGACTCGTGATGGACTATTCGAATTTCCGTGGAGCGCTACAGACTGGCTGCCTCGCACCCTCGGACGTGGTTTTACAGGCAAAGATTCTTGACGACAAGTTTCGTGTGCTTGCAGAACGCCTTCCTCCGTCGTGGATTCGTCACAGTGTTCCGGGCTCGAAGCAGTCAGATCGTGTCTTCGAACAGTACTATGACGTCTATCCGGATTACTTCACAGCGCAGACCCGCAATGTGATTCGAATGATGAGGATTCTTTTGCATGATACCATTCGATCGGCCTATACGGAATTGGCGACCTCTGACGACTACCCATGTCTCGACCAACACATTCGGTCCTCCGTCGAGATGATTGATAGTTTGGCACAAGAGATATGCGCTCCCGGACCACAATTTACGGCAGTTGAAAACGTCCGTGACAAGATCGATGACTTTTCGTCGGTGCGGAAAATGCATTATTATACCCTGCTGTTCCCCTTCTATGTGGCTGGGCTGTTCGCGAGCCCGGAGAGCGGCATCACGGAGTGGGTTGTTTCCCGACTAAGATCGATGGCGAGCACATCAGGAATCAAGAATGCTCGTCTCGTCGCAGATATACTTACCGCATCAGAAAAGCCTGCACCTTGGACGATCTACGCCGTTTTGGGAAGTTATGCCTTTGCGGCCTGAACAATGCAGCTAGGGATGCTGAAATCCAACAACGGGTTGAGAACCCCCATGGCGTGCTAAACCGCTTTGGCCTGGGCCTATATATATCTCCATGACTGTCTTGCAAGGATCAGTGTCGGGGGGTGCATGTCTTCTGGACTCGTTGTACGCTCAGACGATCACCGGTAACTTGCAAACCGGTGGCGATATCATCACATCGTAGGCTTGGCCTTCCTCCCGGTGTCAGACTTGCTTGACCGAAGGAGATGCAAGGACGGACTCGCCGCAAGGAGCTCGGTTGGGTCTTTCGCAGCATCAAGATGGGCAATATATACGGTACGCTGCTGTGGAAGGCCTCGAAGAACATATGCCCGGCCAACATTATGTACTCGGGAATACAATAATCCACGGAGTTGCACTGGGACAACATATTGAGTGCTGCGTCCATGCTGGCTCTGACCGCAGTCGGATGAAGGCCTCCCAATTCCGAATCATCCTAAGTATCGCACCCATCAAGGATCGGAAGTCTAAATTGTTAGATGTCCAATATAATGCCACAAATCGATCGAGCAACAATTGGCTGCATGTTTGATTTTTGATCCATTGCCTGTCCAGGCCAGGGAACCTTGTGACCGCTAAACACTTGCCGCGACGTCTGTGTCGGCTTGCCATCTTACTCGTTCGCATGGAAAATGGGTCCCTGCCTCTACCCAAGAATGAGTCTCGCCTCTGGGTCTCATGACTGGAGCATGATGATTTGTAGCACAGTAGCTTCAACGGTTGATTGGTCGTCACAACTTCGTTTGTTTCGGATTGCGCAGCGGACCTCCTATCATTGTCTTCCATCTTTCATCCACCGTCTGTTTCTCGAGTAACGATTTCGCTTGCCAGATCTGATTGTGCTCGTCTTCATCCTCCTTCCATATCTTCATTTCGCTGGCTATCCAGGCGCTGGAGTGCTCAGCAGTCCTGTCCACAGCTTCCATGGCAATCAAGTGTCCAATATCCTCGAACAATACACTTTTCACTCTGCCGGCTGGGGCCCCTCCGCTCCCGCCAACACCGACACCAGTATGTTCCATCTTAGCCTTGCAAGACTCAGGAGTCCCGACTTCGGACTTGCCGCCGAAGATGTACAATACACTAGGCCGCAGCTCTTCCAGCCGGAAGAATGCTTGGTGTGCTTCCGCGCGATAGAAAGGATATATGGTGGGAACAGTAGGATTCACGTCCGGGTGAGTTTTCCTATTGACGGGTTTCCCATTGTATCCGTACCCTTCATAGTTGGGCCGCAGAAATGTGAAGACTTCCTGGTGAAGTGAGGTGGTCAAAGTCACTTTCGGCGGTTCTTTCTTCTCTGGGTGTATTAACGTGGGCATGTCTCGTAGGCCATACTGGATCCACCGATCCAACACCCTCGGATCCCATGCTTGATAGAATTTGCTGGCCTTGAAGCCTTTTGCTGCTTCTTCTCGAGAAGGCCAGACGTCGCGGCGGAACGTAGACAGACGCGCCGGGCTGGGGCCAGCCTCTGGGGCGACACTGGAGTGTATTTGTATTACTGGATCGATCAAGACCAACGTGGTAAGGAGACGGGGATGTATGTATGCAAGATTGACCCTGCAGAGGGAAGGAAAGTCAGCTACTATCCAACGGATGAAGACAGGATGTGCCATACAGATGGTTACCGCCCATTGAGTGGCCGATGCCAATCAGAGGCCGGGGCATTTGATCTCTCTTGAGATTGATGAGATGCAGCAGGTCTCGGGCATGGTCATTCCAGCTAGGGTCATTCCCGAGGAGCTGCTCGTTGAGAACACTGCTTTGGCCCTGTTGCGCAACGTCGGCGATCCATATGCTTCTTATTCGGAACCCATTCGTCTTCGAGCGAGCGTGAATGTCGTCCCATAACGGCTCGTACAGTTCCTTCGGGAAGGCGTTCGCATGGGCCCCTATTATGGTCACATCCCCTGGCTGCGGGTTCGGGTTGTCTTTTGGTATATATTGCTTCACTGCTAACTGTAGTACATCCTCTTGCGAGCCACTTAATGCTCTGGGGTATTCTCGGATATGTTGACATGGGATGGTATGCTCGACGACGTAGAAGGACGACATGTTGTTGAACGTCGGCGAGATGACAGGCTAGCATTCAGATTACAGGAGGAAGATACTGTCAAGGAAAGAGAGTCATCCTGGAAATGGTAGCATAAATGCTCCAGGTTCTTGTGGCATAGATCGAGTCCTCAGGTCGAAGGCTGTGTAGATCCGCATGTTGTCGAACTGCCGAGGTTCAAGCCGTAGGCGGAAGTCGGTACCCTTTTATTGCAGGGACCTGGATAAGAGCATCCGTCCCCTTGATCTTCGCAGAGAGTAATGTCGTCGGTAGTGTCTCGATCCCACGCTCACACCGAGTGGAAGAGGTCGAGGTCAACTTGTATAGCGTATTGAGTGTCGAGGGCGGAACCCTGGGTGATAAATGACTAGGCGAGGCTGAGCAAGGCTGAGGTCACATGATCAGGCGCGTGGCCGCCACTTCCTGACTTGACGCGCCGCGCATTTCACGACCACAGAGCGCGTACGAAATACTTCAGGTTTCTCCAGTCCAGCAACTGCGACTGATATGTTTTCCTATGACCGCCACTCTATTTAATACCTGCAAAGATATCATCCGTAGCTTCGTCGGCACATCATCGTCCGCCAACATGGACCTCGACGAGCCGCAGCCGCAGGGCTTGTTTGCCAACTGCAGCTTCGCCATCGTTCGTTCCGCGACTCTCACAACCAAGGATGCCGAGTCGGTACGTACCGAGTCATCTTGTGTGAGGATTAAGCTGACGTTCCCTAGCTGGCAGGTGAATTGAAACTACACGATGGCGAAGTGTACATCGACGATTACCCCGAAAACAATCTCGATCTCTCCGGCATCACACACGTTATCGCGACCACCTCCGACTTCCCCGACTACCACGCTTGCTGCGATGCCCTCATTCCAGTAGTCAAACCCATCTGGGTGTCACATTCGCTTGCTAAGGACAAATTGATCAACCCCCGTCAATACACCCCCGATCCACGTTTCTTCATGTCCGATGTTGTGGCTTGTGTGGCCGACCTCCCTCATGGTGACGCCGACGCCATCTCTGGTGGGATCCTCGCTATGGGAGGCCTCTTCTCCACAAAGTTCACCAGCCAAGTCACCCATATAATTTCACTTTCCAGCGACTCTGAGGCCTGCGACTACGCTCAGAAGAAGCGGCTCAACGTGAAGGTTGTACTTCCCCACTGGGTAGACGACTGCCTGAAGCTGGGTAGAAAGATCGATGAACAACCCTATATGCTTCCAGATCCAGAAATCTTGAAACCTCCAATGGGCAAAGCGCCGTCTGGGAAGAGGAAGACACCGGTTGAAGGTGCCACCGATCCTGATCCTTCTCAACAACAGCCGCGTTCGGCTCAGCCTCGTCGGCTACGCAAGGTCTTCAAAAACAAGACTGTGATGCTTGCAGGAGATCTTGGAATTTCGCAGTACCTGCGGGATATTCTACATGAGATCATAACCGCTGGTGGAGGAGAGTTGACGGATTTTGTGACCAAGGCCAACATGTATATCGGCAAATATCGTGAGGGCAGAGACTACAAGATTGCTTCGAGGGCGGGAAAAGACGTGGGCAACCTGGCTTGGCTCTACTTCCTCATTCAGACTGATGAATGGACTTCTCCTCTGCGACGCTTATTGCACTATCCAATCGTGCGAGGTGGCCTCCCTGGCTTTCCATCTCTGAAGATTAGTCTCTCGAACTACAGCGGCGAAGCAAGAACCTATCTCGAAAACCTGATCAATGCGACCGGCGCAGAATGCACAAAGACTCTGAAACAAGACAACACTCATCTGATCACTGCGCATGTCATGAGCGAAAAGTGTGCAGCTGCGAAAGACTGGGGAATCCACATTGTCAACCATCTATGGCTGGAAGAGAGCTACGCACGCTGGAAGATGCAGAGCATCACTGACGGAAAATACACTCATTTCCCCAAGCGTACTAACCTGGGTGATGTCGTGGGCCATACTCAATTAGATCGCCATGTCCTCGAACAGTTTTTCCTTTCCAGTGAGGATACAGATATGACCGACGCTGAAGAGCCAGGTCCAATGCGTCCAATGTCCAAAAACACAGTCTCTGCCGGAGGACTCAAGCAGACAAGGAAGGCGAACCGAGGGCAAACAAGCAACGATCCGCCAACTGAACAACTTCGAACTCCAGTTCCACCAAGATTTATACCCACAGGAAAGGAGAATGTCACACCTTCTACGACCAACAGCCGGAAATCGAAAGAGGTTGCCTCGGCGCGTCTGCACGAGCTGACACCTGACATACTCTTGTACGAGAAAGAACGCAAGCGAGTTGGAGGAGTTGTCTATGGCGGCAGACGAAAGGCCGGTGAAGATCGGGCTCCAGTCGAACGGAAGCGGTCAGCGGACCAAACATCAGCAAACGGCGGGGAAAGTGACACTGCAACGAAGAAGATCAAGCGATCGAATCCACAACCAACCATGCATTTGATTATATCTGGCTTCAACAAATGGGTCGGTCGCCCCAAGATCGAGGATAATGACAAGGTATGTACTCTGATGAGGTCCGCCGCAGCACATCCTTTGCTAATTTGTTCAGAAACAACTCAAAAATCTGGGCATAATATGCACGTCAGACCCTTCGAAAGCAACACATCTCGCGGCTCCACACATTGTTCGGACACAGAAATTCGTCACGGCCCTAGCTTATGCTCCGCTGGTCATATCCATCGACTTCATTGATGCGTGCCTGGATGAAAACAAGTTTCTGAACCCGGAAGATTTCAGGCTGCAGGACGAGGAGAATGAAAAGCGACTAAACCTTTCGATTGAAGCCTCTCGAGAGCGGGCGCGGAACAACCACAATCAACTGTTGGAAGGCCGGAGCATCTATTGTATGGAAAACATACATGGTGGATTCGAGACGTTCAAAACCATTGTTGAAGTCAATGGTGGTCGATGTTTGCAGTGGCGAAACCGCAAGGTACAGACCGTACCGTCCAGTCGAGCCGACAGTGAAGGGAGCACGGACAATGATGCAGACCATGATGTCTACTTGGTCACCGATGGGCGAAAAGAAAACAAGCCCTCGTGGTCTCGTTTCAAGGAAATGGCAGAAGAAGGTGGAAAAGTCCCGCGCATCGTGCTGACCGATTGGCTCCTCGAGACCGCAATGTCTCAACAAATCCTACCAACACAACCATACGAGGTGTAGCTTGCGACCGAGACATGGATGTTGCCCCTTATGTGTTGTATGAGTACCGGACATGATGGATATTGTGAACGACTTCATAGAGCAGGTGTATGCAATCTAGCTCTTTCAGAAGAACTTGACACCCTGCTGGTCTTCTGCACCAAAGACTTGAGCTTTGCCCTTTTTGACCAACGTCTGGAGGCTCTTGCGTAGCACTTCCATATCCAGACCATAGAATTCCTGCTTTTCGGTGGTTTCCCCCTGGACCAATTCGTAGAGGGTCAGGACTGTGCCTTTCTGGCCTGTCTCATCGACCCAGGCGGCAATCAGCGTCGCCCATTCCTCCGGCTTGCGCCACCAGATCCAGGCCGACGCCTTCTCTGGACCCAGCCACTCGGCCCGTTCATCGCCCGCCTTGCTCACCATGTAGTCGATGACTGCTTTGGCATCCTTGAGACTCAGACGCTTCTTCAGTGTAGCATTGTGGAAGAGCGGCGTGTCCAGGGCTTCGATGATGGTGAGCTGGAATATACGATGATGCCTGCAATATCTCTGGATGAATATTGACCATTTCCTCAACTGGGCCTCGCGGGTCAACGCTGTAGGTTGAGGGCTGAAGAAGGGAGGGAAGTTGTAGCTTTTGGGGAACACGAAGTCGGAGGCATTCTCCTGTTTCTGTCCGGCTTGATTCATAGCCTTGGAAACAAAGCCTCCTAGTGCAGTGACACTACCGCAGCATATCTTGAATTGAGTAGGCACTCATAGATTCAACGTAAACGACCGCCGTCTCACAGTATGTTCATAGAGATGGGAGAGAAGATGCGTCGGGCGGAACAACGCTCCGCCGAAATGGTCTTGGCGGGGCTCGTCGCGCCTCCACGTCTCGCTTCGCCCAAAAGTTGCGCTCCGCGTAAGAAACATAATAGGATGCTAACTATATTGCCGGTCCCCTGGTCAAAGGAACTACAGGACTGTTTCCACGTCGCTATCCATTCTCCGCCCACCACATACACATGAACGTCCGGATCCTGCGGCACGTCAATCCGTGAGACCCCTGGCCGACAGGAATCTGGTTCTCCCTCACCATCGCCGCAACCGCAACCGCGCCTCTGCCCGCAGCCCTTGACCACCATGCCTCGCAAACGCACCCGCGACGAGATGGAGGCTTCGGAGCCGGTTGAGAAGAAACAAGAGCCTTCATTGCTTCAGAGAATACGCAATATGTGGGAGTTTGCTTCCGTGATGCAATACATTTTCATGTTTGGCAAAGCTGTCAAGATAGACGAGGACTTTGACATCGAGGTGCGCCATAAAACCCCTTCTACACGCGGGCACTGCTCTAGAGGAGACTGCGGCGGAGTATAATTGATGCGCGGAAGGGCTAATTATGATCTTGAAGGACTTTGAGAACGAATGCCTGAAGCCAGGTCACTCGGAAAAACTTGAAGAAATCGGTCTCACTCTTCTCAAATGGATCTCATCCCATCGAGGACTCAAGTTAGTCACCCCTTGCTGCGGCGCCTTGGTCCAAACTAACTCGCATCCAGTTATGACATCTGGGACGAGTACACTCGCCGCCAGTACCTCGCCAAAGCACCACATCTCAATCCTTACGGCGACGAAGAGGAACCCAAGCGGTTCCGTGACTTCGACATCTTTACCAAAATCAGAGTCTTGCACCAGTTGACCGTCTGGACCTTCTGGAATCCCGATCGCATACGGGAGAAGATGCCTGAACATCCGCGTGAGGTGGATCAGACGGAATGGGTATGCTCCTACCGTGCTGCATGATAGGTCCCAACCACTAACATGGTCCGAACAGCGCATTGAGGAGTTTGGCTACGATCGACATGACAGACAGTACTACCTTCTCGACGACAACCGATTCTACCGTCGCACTGATCCTCCCCTACCCGCAGCCCCGAAGGCCAAACCTAAAGCAAACTCTAAGAAGGCACTTGCTGCCAGACGAAGACAAAGCAAACGAAGAAAGATCGAATCCGAGACACCCGAGGTCGAAGATGAGACGCAAGATACCCTAGACGATACTGAGGTCATGGAAGAGAGAAAGCCGGAGAGCTGGGAGGTCGACACGTTCGGTGGATATAAATGGGAGTGCGTTGCCATCACTCTTTCAGACTATCAAGAACTGTGTGAGTGTCTCCAGAGTTCGAGAGATCCCAATGAAAAGGCTCTACGAGAACGACTGGTAGAGGAGGTCATCCCGATCATCGAAGCCGCAGCAGAGAAACAACGTCGAAAGATCGAGAGACGAGAACGCGAACTCATGATGATGGAGAAGATGGTCGGGGCCAAACGATCGAACCGTCTTGCCGACAAGCAAGAACGAGAACGACGAGAGGCAGAAGAAGCCGAGGCCGAACGCAAGAGACAGGCGGATCTAGCTGCTGCTCGTCGCGAACAAGAAAGACAAGAACAGATGGAGAAAGAGCGACAATACCGCATGATGACAAGAGAACAACGCATCAAGGATCGAGAACACCGGCGACTCTTGAAGGAAGAGGAGCTTGCAAGAGATGCCCTCGAACAGCAACGTCTTGAGCAGGGTCAAATTCGGGGGTCTAGCAGACATCTCCAAGACCGGATCGAGAAGACCAAGAAAGAATTGGAGGACCTCAACGCCGAGGAGGATTGGACTTTTGATTGTTCTGGCTGTGGCATGCACGGCAAGAACTTTGTAAGTCTTTGCTGTTCTCCTCTGTGGATTGCCATAACTGACACTGTCTAGGATGATGGATCTCATAGTGTCGCCTGTGAGAGATGCAATGTTTGGCAGCATAGTAAATGCTTGGGAATCTCCAAGTCCGCGGCTGAGAAAGACGACTTCCACTTCGTCTGCGACGATTGCAAACGCAAGGAGGAAGACGCAAAGAAGCCCAAGATCTCGCTCAAATTCAAGGTCGGAACATCGTCGTCACCAGTCCAACCAAGCCCTGCACAGATGCCGGTGCAATCGCCTCCTAGGTCTACGTTTGCTGGTGTCGAGATTCCCAGCCAGAACGCCGTCCGAGCACCGAGTCAGGGGTCATTGACAAACGGTTCCCAGCCCCAGTCCTCGCCACCTGGTCAGCCAGCACCATCACCGTCGCGTATACCACTTGTCCAGAACGGCGACGGCCAGCGATACGCATATTCGCACCCAGCTTATGGCTTTGCTCAGCAGGCAAATGCCGGAGCAGCTTACAATGGAGTGTCTTCATCTAAACCCGAGGGACAGATGGCCGCTTCCCAGCAAGGCTTCCGCTCTCATCCTCCCCCGCCCCTGAGCAACGGCCCCGCGAGGAGTCCACCTCTTCAAGTCTCGACCAGTCCTTCTTATCAAAATGGCGCCACATCTCGAACTTCGGGCTACCCTCCTAGTCAGAGACCGATCGCCGCTGCACAAAATACTCCGCGTCAGCCATCTTCAACCGTGAATGCACAGACTATGATGGACAGTGGTCGCCTTCCATCTCCAGTCATCAACCGCCCAACCATGTCCCCTACTCAAGGCAACATGGATGTCGGCCCTGTTGCAGGCATCCCTCAGAAGTCGACAACTCTGGACCAACACGCCGCCAATGGCACAGTATCCAGCGTCAACGGGTATCCGCAAGCGGCGTCCAACGGTGTAGGATCTCAACCGCAGGGCACGCCTCGACAGCCCAGTTCGGGTGAACCAGCACAAACCCCCCATACACAACCATTCTCCGGTCTTTCGCCAAAGAAGCAACAAACTCCTCTTCCGCTTGGACCACCATCTATCATTCCACAGAAGCGAAACACGACATCCCCTCCCCTGACAGCCCTGGCAAACCCTGCAAATGCGGCCGGATCTGGTCCAGCAGAGAGACGAACAGTTAGCGGCACGCCCATTCTCCCTCCTGTCGAGAACCTGAGGCCGAGTCCCGAACAGATGAGTAACATGAGCAGCAATGAACCGGTCCCTACTCCGAGTAAGCAGCCTCAACATCAACTTCAGCTTCAGCCTCAGCCTCGGGAATCTCCTCAATCACTTGGCGGAATGGACAACTAGTTTCGTCCAGACGACAGTGATACTGGAAGACGGATGTCACTGCATTTGGTTGTGAGATAGAGATATCTTGGTCTTTGGGACGAATTGGAGCCACTGGCGCCTGGGATGATTAGGCGAATGGGACAACCAGATTCGAAGTTGGCGATAGCCCTAAGGGTTTAAACCATATCTGTTGGTTGAGATCCTGGGTTACACGAGCGAATGATATGACTGTGGATGGAATGATGGCCACTGGCACGGATGATGACATGAAATGGACTGGGATGGGATCCGAGGGGATGAACTAAGACTTGGTATGAACAGTGAGCCTTGCTTGATAAAGTAAAGGAACTTTGCTCTGGCCATGACTTGCAACTTTGTTTCTGTTGTATGACTTCCTGAATCACTGATTCGCCTCGTCCAGAATATTGGATGCGGTAGGAGACAAGGAGCATGATTGAGGTCTGCCATGGTTCGAGCGTAGAGCATGTGCATCAACTGCGTGCATCTTGATGGATGTAGATAGGAGGCCTTAACAACATGTACACCTACCTACCTCGGCGCGAGAGACTCGACACAGACAGGCTCTGGTGACATTGTCCCATTTTCCCATCAGCACTTGTTCTTTTGACTTGAATCCATGGCCTTGTCCCCCCAAGATGCATGCGTTGCTGCATCCCACCCAAAAAGGCCGAGTTCTGAAACAAGGAATGACTTTGTGCGACCATCAATGTACGCGAAGGCTCCAGCTTCATATGCAGGCTTGCGGATTTGGCAAGCATGTGTTCCATCGAAGGCAGGTCTTTGGGGAGCCAGGCCGGGGTTGGTAGAGTGTCGGGCTGAAAAGGTGCCTCACGCGATCGTCTTGATTACTGAATGACTCTGCGGCAATGTACTATAGGCATCGAGAACTGTTTATCTTCGAGTATGATGGACATGAGCATTCGACAAGACGAGACAGGAGTTCAGATGAGACAGTGAGGAAGACGAGCGAGCAGGGAGTAGAAGAAGCCGTTCGAGGTTGATGGTGGTTGTACTTGGTGGTAGTTTAGTTGCTGAGTTATCTACTGTATTTACTTTGTGATGCTTTTGGCGCTGCGCCGCAGTTTTGGCCCCTCGATCACTCTCTCTCTCATCACCATCACCACCACCATCACCATCATCATCGCTGAACAAAGCCAGCTCTCGACTCGTCAATATACGAACAACCCCCAGAAACCATCTTCGTGTGTTGGAGCTTTGGGGGCTAGCTTTTCTGTCTTTGACAAACACTCTGGACTCGACTCTTGGGACATACAAGACGCTGCTACCGTACTCGATTGCACCTGACTGACTCTACTACTACACCACGCTCGTTATAGTTACTCCAGACCAAGACCGTCACTGCCGCCGAGTCCGATAGTACCTGTTGGCTCGAAGCCCGTCTTGACCTTTTACCCAGTACTCGATTCTTGTATATATCGTTCCCCCTCCCCAAGTTGTACCCTTGTGCGCTTTGATGTTCTCTCCACCGTCGCGCCGAATGTCATCTTCCGATCCAGATCCGCTGTCAGCACTCTAGTCATCCTTCGAACAAGTCAGTGTCTGGCGTCGGCTCACAGCTGCGGACACGAACACTGTCCACGACCGTCATTAGGTCTTTTGTCAGGTGTCAGGTGTCAGGTGTCCTGCCCGGTAGCGGTTCGCCTCGATCCGTCTGGCCATCTCTTCCCTGGCCATGCCACCGTACGTCACGGCGGAACAGACACGAAACATCCTCATCATTGGCGCCACCGGTGTGGTGGGAACATACATTATACGCGCCATTGTCGATGCCAGAGAGAACTTTGGGCGAATCTGTGTCTTCACCAGTGAGAAGACATTGGTAGAGAAAGTACAAGATATCGCTGCGTTGGAAGCATGGGGAGTCGAGATCTTCACCGGTCGCATGGAGAGCGAGAGATCCGTCAAGAGTGCATATGAAGGTACGTCAGGACGTTGTGTAACACAATGCAAAAGGAGGCTGCCGTGGCCCGCACACAACAGGCAAGAGACGCGTGGGACTATGCAGAAGCGGTTGTCGAGTGCCGGTCGCTAATATACGCAAATCGGAACAGGCATAGATACCGTTGTCTCCTGCGTTGGCCGCGCCGGGATCGAGAGGCAGATAGATCTCATTACCTGGGCCGAGCAGGCTGGTGTGCGGCGGTTCTTTCCCTCGGAATATGGCACAGACATTGAATACTGGCCCGAGTCGGCCCAGGAGCCGCCGCATCAGCTCAAATTAAAAGTCCGAGCGCACATGAAGACGATGCAACGCTTAGAACACACTTACCTGGTCACCGGGCCCTACAGTGACCTGTACTTTGGGACCATGGAAACCCGGCCGGAATTGGGCTACTTCGATGTCAAGGCAAAGAAGGCGGTGCTACTTGGTGATGGCAATGGGGCAGTCAGTTTTACGGCCATTGCAGAGTATGAGGACTCTTCTTGTTGTTTTGGCTGTCTGAAGGCCATCCTTGCTGATCCATGATTACTTAGTGTGGGCAAATTTGTCGTTGCGGCGCTCATCAACACCAACGCGTCAAGGAATGCTACGCTGATCGTCCATTCGTTCACCGCGACACCGCATGAGATTCTGGCCGAGTACGAAAGACAGACCGGAGTCACGTGGGAGAAGTCCTACACCTCTCTTGAACGGTTGCGACAAATCGAAAGGGAAGAGTATCAAGTACATTCTCGACTGGCCACGGTGGTGACACTACGCCGCATCTGGACCGAAGGAGGGACCTTGCACAAATACTACGATGAGACTGTCTTGGGACACATCGAAACCGAAACCCTGGAGAGCCAGGTCGCTGCTAACATCCGCAAGCAGGAGGAAGGCGAAAACAATTTCCCAAGCTTGCTGAGGAAGCTGAGTCTGGTCTGATGGTTGGAGATGGAATCGTGTGACCCGGCCTGTTCCGTGCGAGCATACCGACCTACAAGGGTACTATGTATCCATATAATCACGAAAGCATGATTTACGACGGAAAGCAGCATCAGCGAGGGTGGAGTGTTGGGTCATGACTTTGGCAGAGTCTATCTTGGCCAGTATGGACTGCAAATATGGAGTTTGGTTTCTGTTACGTGTATACTTTCTGCCGCTGTTGGTGGGAGAGCGTGCGTCTACTCTCAGCATTCACATTCATATTTGCATTGCAATGACAATGACATGGACGTGAAAAAGTATCAAAATGTAGGGCGTTCCTTGGGAATGTGTTGACTCGATATATATATACATGTATGATGTATCTCTATAGGCTGATGAGGCTGTCAATATGTAACGACGCAAGGCTGGGAATCCCTGACCTTGACGGAAAGAACTCATCGAGTCTTGAGACCTTGATGTCTTAGGTCTCTTCCAGTCCATCACCCCGGTCAAGAAGGAATGTGCATAAAGGGCTATTCACATATAGTAAGTGAATATAGATGTACATATATAACCACCTAGGCCTCCTTTTCTGGAGTGGTTGGTCTGCTCCCTTGTAGCATGACAGAGAGATATCTTATTCAAGAATCTGCCACCGCTGGTCTCCGTCCTTGTCCACAGTATCAAGAGAGAGATATATAACTCTGTATATTCCGATGATTGTTGAGTAAAGAGTCTAACTGATATGAAGTTGTTGACCGAGAGAGACCGAAGACCACAGTCCACTCTGGGTCCCGATGATCAGTAATCCAATCAATCAGAACAGACTTGGTTGTGTATTACTACTAGGTATTGTTGTCTTCAATGTCATCCTAAGGGCGTATACATCGATCTACGTACGACTTTGCCGACCTGGTTTCCTGGTGCTGATTATATCAACTTCTCGACAATATATATCAATATATCAATATATCAATCAGCGGTGATTTTGCCCTTCGTTTTCTTCTTCTTCTTTCTTTTCTTCTTCGTCGTCGTCGTTTCTTTTAAACGACAGTTTCCTTCACGAGAGAGGAGCCACAGTTCGAGATCGTTATCGTATTCTTCCAGCACGGTGTCGACAACAACGTGGTACATACAGAACAGACGCGCCTCGACGATATCTAGGATTGGACAGTTAACTGCCTCAGGGATCTACTAAGCGGTGTCTGTCCTATCACTTGGGAAAAAGACTAAAATCGACCAGACAAGCTAGGTCTTTCGGTCATAACGAGGAGAACGACGTTTCTGATCTCCATCTGCTCTTCTTGTCGCGAATTGTCAATTGTCAGACTTATGGTCCAACGACCTCGGCAGCAGGAGGTTGCATAGCGCGAAGTGCGTTCGCTGTCTATACGGACAGGGAATCAAGAGACGACAGGAGAGATTTACTCAGCTCACGGAACTGCATTTGAACTCGGCAATCTTGTATGATCTTGTCAACGGCAGAGGTTGTCAGAGCAGCGTCTACGTGGAGGACACGGATAAGCCGCGCTAATCGCGAGACAAATGTGTGGAGGAATACCTCGATATCGATTCCCAGCTCGAGGAGGGCCAAGTTCACGAGACTTGTTGATTGTTTAGGAGGAACCCTTCCGGAACAGCGAACGAAGAGGAGACTCTCAAGCAGAATCTACTCGAAACAGAACATACGGCGAACAGTCTCAAGCGGGATTTACTCGACACAGCACCTCTTCTCGAAGACAATCCAAAGAACACCCCTATCCTCTTCCTCTTCCTCACACAACTTCAACACATCCAGCCGTCTCAAGATGGCCAACAACTCGAAGACCACGTCTTTCTTCCAGAACCCACCCCCCCTACCACCCGGCAGGGCCCAACACCACATTGTCGTGCTGGAAGCGATACACTGCGTCATGCCGGCGTTCTCCTTCACGCACACGATCGAGCTGCACCCGCGCACCGACCCGGCCCAGGTAGCGGAGCGCATCAAGGACGCGACGATCGTGATCGCGTGCGTCGTGCCCGTGACGCCGCGCGACATGGACCACGCGCCGCACCTGGGCATGCTGGCCGTCATGGCCGTCGGGCTCGGCTGGGTCGACAAAGACGACTGTGCGCGCCGCGGCGTCACCGTGACCAACTGCGTCGCGGGCAACGTCGACGCCGTGGCCGAGCATTTCCTGGCCCTGTACTTCGCGGCTCGCAGACAGGTCGTGCGCGTCCATAACTCGGTCACCGCCTCGACCGAGTGGCGCGACCAGGGAACGCTGACCAAGGCCTTTTGGTCCGGTCCTCCGATAGGCTGTGGCCAGGAAACCCTGGGGATCATGGGCTACGGCGCGCTGGGGCAGAAGATCGAAAAGCTCGCAAGGGCAGTTGGGTTTGGTGAGGTGTTGATCAGTGAGAGGAAGAATGTTGGCCAGATTGGCAATGGCAACATCAATACCACCACAAACACCACCACCACCACCACCACAAACACAATCAGAGACGGAAGAGTGTCCTTTGCCGAAATCATCAGACAAGCCACAACCATCTGCGTGTGTCTTCCTAAGGAGAATGACACGGTCGATCTCACCGCCGAGCCGGAATTGCGAGCGATGCGTCCTGACGCGCTGCTCATCAATATGGCTCGTGGAGGTATCGTGAATGAGGCAGCCCTTGCCAAAGCCTTGAGGGAGGGCTGGATCGCCTGTGCTGCCACTGATGTCCTCGAGATCGAGCCGGCCTGGCCTGGGTCCGGCCCGTTGACGCCGGATCTGGCAAAAGGGGAGGAATCTGCCGTGCCGAATTTGACTATTTGTGAGTTGGTCCTCCTCTCCTTACCTTACTGAATACTGACCGTACACCACGTTCTCTTCCATGCAAGTTTGTTGATGTTTTCCTTTTGGGAAGTCCTCTTCATTTCCCCTTTTGTTGATCACTCCTTGTCTGGATTTTCTCTTCTCTTCTCTTCGTCTCTTTCCTTACCATGCATCAGCGGTCGAACCGTGTCTCTTTTTCCCCTCTCTTTCTTTCTTGTGGATCGTTATAAGACAAGGCTGGAACACTACCTTCTGACTTCTTTTCTCCAATCTAGCCTCGCACATCGCTTGGTACACGCAATCCACGATCAAGAACTACCAACGTCTCCTGAAAGAAGGCATCGAGGGCTGGGTCGCGGGGTCGTTGCAGGAGACTCCTGACCAAGTCAACAAGGTTGTGGTCGTGCATGGCGGCAGAATCTGGAGATGAGAGAGGCGCTGCCGCCATTCAGCCTCGCTGCCGTGTGCCAACCATTACAGATACGCAGCCTGTTGACATCATCTCACAGGACACAAGCATGCTTCTATATTCACCATGGGGAGATACATGACACACAATTGAGCTGCTGCAGATGCGAAACCGAAATCTATTGCTAGGATGATAGCATTAAGGACGCCACACGCACAGCCCATATCAAAGAATACTCACTTAATGAATCACGTGCCACTTACGGGACATGATGTGGTGATGGTGCAGGTGATGGTGATAGAAGTCCATGCTGGATTCTCATGGATTGATCGATCTTCAGATCTACACGGGAGTTCGACCACAACCACATATATACATCTCGTCTCATATCCTGCCCTGCCCTGCCGTGCCGCTCGTTCCCTATTCTAACCATCCATCCTCCCAGTGACAATCAAGTTCAACCATATGCCCAAGCGATATCCTGCCTTTGCAATCTGCACTCTGGCGACATCATAATGAGCCTCATAATAACTACGGCTCAGATCCCCATCGTCTTCGACAGCATCGACCCCTTCCTGCAGGACATCGGTACAAACAAAGGCATTGGCCTCGCTCGCCCACTCCATTGCCGTAGCCAACGTATTGTTCACCGAGACGACACCACTCAGCCAGCCATTAACGTTCCAGCCATAATCTCCAGCCTCGATAGACTTGGTGAGGTTCTCGGCGAACTCATGCGCGTCCATCCCGTCGGCAAGCTGTTCCACGATCTCCGTGTCCCAGATATGATGCAAATTAGTGTCTTCGCCATCATAGGTGACGTTGATAGTGTTTCCGCCGACATCGAGCGCTTCGTCATGGAGAGGTTGATGAAGATCGCCGATGAAATGAATTATGAATCTGGCTGCATCTTTGAGGACGGCTGCACTGCTCGCATTACGACTGCTGGATGGACGATGATGGCCGTTTAGTAGAATCGAAGTATAATTGACGATGGCGCTGACGCTGCACCCGGCATCTCCGCAATCTCGAGCATAATCAACCGAGCAGGAAGACGGAGGATCATCGTTTGCGTCAATGTAATGCAGAGGTGCAGTCCATCGGCCTTCACTGGTATATCGGTATGAATCCGCCCAGGTGGATACGTTGGCCATGTAGTCTGTTCGGTTGGACTCTAAGAGAGCCTTGATCGTTGATTCGGTGGCCGGTGAGACATAGGATTGTGCAATCCAGGCGACGGTCTCGTGGCCAAGTGAGCCCCAGGCATACGCCAGCTTGGTGAAGGAGAAGCTGAGGGTGAATGCCAGAAGGAGGACGGGTCTGAACCGTATTGTCGTGGAGGAGTAGTGCATCATGACTCCACTGAGTGTAACTCACCTAGTTACTCTCGATGTGACGACTTCCATCCCTATTGAGTTCGAGGAGGAAAGACACTTATTTATAAGTCATCTGGTATGTGGTTACCTGCATTGGCATGCAAGTATGCATGTAGATCGCCACATCGAATGCCCCAGAGTGGTCGTTTGCTCCGTTCCAGTGATGATGATAGATAGGCAAGCAAAGCATGTCTGTTTTCCGATTGAACACTTTCGTGACGTCCTGCCATTTGTGGGTTGATTGGACATAGTGGCGCGACAAGGGTGGCTGTGAGTGCATTGAACGAGCACAATGCTGTCAATCTCCTGCAATACTACCTCAAAGCAGCCAATCAGGATACCTGGGTCAGCCAAGATGTCGATATGTGCAGGGGTCGAAGCAGGGGCAGAAGTTCCAACTCCAAGACCCAGGTTCAAGTTCAATTTGTTCTTAGAGACACATTTTCACCGAGGCGCCGCCTCAGGTGGTGAGGACTTTGCGCGAAAGAGGAAGTTCGAGACGCGGCTCATTTCTTGCTCTGCTTCGATAACAGGTTCAAAGCACTTCCGGCCAGGATAAACGCACATTGGTCTTTGCTCAATGTATGCTTGACTGGAATGCTGAAGCTTTCTCCATTTGTCTTTGTGACGCGGAGCTTGATTTCGCCTTGGCCTCCGTTCTGCAAGACATCCCATAGACCTTCTGTGTCGACTTTGTCACATGCATCAATTCGATCATAGTCTTCCTTATTCGCAAAGGTCAACGGCACCACTCCCTGCTTCTTGAGGTTGGTTTCATGGATACGTGCAAAGCTCTTGGCCAATATGACCTGGCCTCCAAGATATCTCGGCTGTAAAGCGGCATGTTCTCTTGCGGACCCTTCGCCGTAATTGTCTTCGGCCACCACCAGCCAATGTTGACCTTGCTCTTTCCATTTCTTCGCAAGATCTGGAATGGAGAATTTCGAGCCGTCGTCATCATAAGCAACGTTGGTTTCCCCAGTCGCTGCATTGACGGCACCGATAAGGGTGTTTTCGGCAATATTGGGGAGATGCCCTTTATATTTGAGCCATGGACCGGCTGCAGAAATGGTATCGGTGGTGCATTGACCCTTAACCTTGTACAAGACCTTGAGCCCCTTGAGGTCGCCTTCTGGGAACGGCTCAAACGGTTCCAAAAGAGCCAGTCGGTCAGACTCTGGGTCCACAACAACCTCGACACTGGGATCCGGTTCAGCAGATGACGGCAGAAATGCGGGATTCCCAATTGCGAAGCCCGAGCCTGGTAGCTGGGAGCCTTCAGGAGGCTGGAACTTGAATTTCTCGCCTGAAGGCAGTGGGATCTCATCGGTCATCGGATTGAACGAGGTGGATCCGGAATATGAAATGGCGGTGACGATCTCGGGAGAAGCCAGAAAACTCATCGTTCTAGGATTTCCGTCGTTTCGACCGGGAAAGTTGCGATTGTAAGAGCAAAGAATGGCATTGTCTTCGCCCTTCTTGACCCCGTCAGTACGTTTCCACTGTCCGATACAAGGTCCGCAAGCGTTGGCGAGCACTGTGCCGCCGGCTTTTTCAAATGTCTCAATAGTCTTGTTATCCTCAAGTGTGGCGCGGACCTGCTCACTGCCAGGGGTGATGAAAAAGTCGGATTTCGGCTTCAACCCTGCTGCTTGTGCCTGCTTCACCAAATCTTCCGCCCGAGTCATATCCTCATAGGAACTGTTTGTACAGCTGCCGATGAGACCTGCCGAAAAGGTGTCGGGCCATTTGTTTGTCTGAACCGCATCCTTGAACTTCGACAACGGCGTTGACAAATCAGGGGTGAAGGGTCCGTTGATGTGAGGCTCGAGGCCGGACAAGTTGATCGTGATCTCTTGATCATATTCGGCTCCTTTATCGGCCCGTAGGAAGTTGTGCTTTTCCGATCCGTACGCAATCCCTCGGACGGCGTCAATGATTTGCTCTCGTCCTGTAGCCTGCAGGTAAGGAATGTGGTTGTCGGAGAATGGGAAAATGGACGTGGTGGCGCCAACCTCGGCCCCCATGTTACATATCGTAGACATGCCAGTGCAGCTCAGTGTGTCGACCCCAGGTCCATGGTACTCGATGACAGAGCCTGTTCCGCCTCGGACCGTGAGGAGGCCTGCAAGGTGTAGGATCACGTCTTTTGGTGAAGTCCAGCCACTCAGTTTGCCCTCTAGACGGACACCTAGAATCTTAGGCGCTTTCAACTCCCATGGGGCGTCAACAAGTGCATCAACAGCATCAGCGCCACCAACACCAATCGCGATGGCACCTAGACCCCCAGCATTTGGCGTGTGACTGTCAGTACCCAACATCATCAGACCTGGTGCCGAGTAGTTCTCCAACACTGTCTGATGAATGATGCCGGCACCTGGGGGCCAAAATTCAATCCCATATCTCTTTGCGGCAGACTCCAGAAAATCAAACACTTCCTTGTTGCCGGCAATCGAGTTGGGCAAGTCGGTGTCTGCGCCCTTTTCCCCCACAATCATGTGGTCACAATGAATACTCGCGGGAACGGCCGTAGAGGGAAGGTTGCAGGTCATGAATTGCAGAATGGCCATCTGAGCGGACGCATCTTGCATAGCCACTCGGTCGGGCTTGAGCTTGAGGTTGGCATTGCCACGAATCTTGTTGCCGTTGTCGGTGTTGGTCAACAATGACTCCTCGGGGTTGTCAAGGTGGGCATAGAGGATCTTCTCCGCGAGAGTCAGCTTTCGAGATCCCAGAATGGCTCTGACGTCTTCGAATTTCTTCAGGATCTTCTGGTATGGAGGAATGGCTGCTTTCCTCCTGGAAGCTGTTGGTTGGGCGTGGACCGCGTACCCTCGACGGAGTGCTCTGCGGGCAGGAGCGCAGGCGGCCAGGTCGAGTGGACATCGCCCTCGTACGGGCGGCACCCGTTGTAGTAGGACAGACATGTTTGGCGTACTGTCCGTATGAGAGGGGAGAACAACAGCAAGGAGAGAGAAGTGACTGCGTTGCTCAGACGAATGACTGGCAATTCAAGCCCAATTTTTTTTCGTCTGCAGGCTAAAATAAGTAAAAGGCTTCATCTCGGGGTAAAAGCGGGCCGAGGTGCGCAAGGCCACCAGTCATATTGCATCTAATTGACTACTCCCCATAATCGGATATCATTTAGAAGGTACCTTAGCTAGGAATGGTAGTCTGTACGTACTGCATGATGCTGATGGGTTCATGAGGCTTCGTAAATGGTTAGAGGATACCTTACATGGGTAAAAGGACATGATCATTGAAGAATCCTGTAATGGGTACAACATGTCTGCAAAAAGATGACCGCCAGCCGATATCAACCCATGGCTTTTGCCGCTGCGACTCCTTCTTGCGCCTACTGAGGGTTTCCAGCACGGCACGCAGGCCACCCGGTTCACGTGGGTTCACGCCCAGCGATCAAGGTTTGCAATAGCTCGTAATCAAGTATTCCAGCCGCCAACGCGCCCAATTCAGAAAATGACAATTCGGACACAACCACCCTCAGATCATGATTCCTCATTCTCCTCCTCGGCAGCCGTCCTTAGGTCGTAGGCAAGGTCATAGCATTCCGCCAGCAGATCGTTGACGCTTCCTTGACCTTCTGGGATGTCTTTTCCAATCTGGAATTTGCCGTCCACCCGCATGTTGTCGATGGAATTGAGTTTCATGCTATAGGGATATAATTCACGGGGATTTGACACGCCCCCTGCTTTCTTAACCTCGACCAGACATCTCCGCAGCGTCAACAACTGGTTGTAGATGGGTAGAAGGGCCTCCGAAACCGGCTCCGAAGCAACCAAAAGCTGGTAGATGAAGGCATAACCGCGACGGATGAGATATAGTAGGGTCTGTTTTACAAGTCAGAATGAACACTTCAACCCCGCCGGGAATGTACCTACTCTTTGTGCGTGCAAGTCTGCCGGATGGCCCTCCGCGTCAAAGAAGTTGCCGTCTTGTCGGGAGTCATCAATACGATCCAACTTCCGTTGCCACATAAACAGATCGGTCTCACGCAGCGACCAGGCTTGGGTCATGGTCAATCGATCAAGCTGATTGCGAATTTCGATGAGTTGATCGTAAAGATCCTTGAATCGCTCATCGATCTTGCCTTTTCTTTGGGAACGGTTAGCATCCCCGTAGTTCCATAGGCGGCGTAGCGATCCATACCTCTCCTCGACCATTTCAGCGAACCTCAGGCACCTGTTCAGTAAAGGCACTACAAGGTCTTGTCCTGACGGAGTGTTGCCCGACTCGTCCGGCAACTGGCCGTCTTTCATGGTGGCTTGAATCTGTAGTAGTTGTTTGCGTAGTTCGTCCAGATCTTTCTGACTATACTACAGACACTTGTCAGCAGTGGCCCATCGACGTGTTTCAGAGACCAACCTTGCTTCTGGTGTTCAAGGCTGCGAGCGCCCGCAGGATTGAAACCAACTTCTCCCAGGTGGGAGTCATTTCTGGAGACAGAGTCGCGAGGAAATCCCACAATTCTCTTAACATTGCTTTGCACACTTCCAGGCGATGTTGTATCCTTGTCAGCAAATGATGAGAGTATTTGTCTGTCCCATTCTCCAGCGTAGCCTCCATCTTTGCGATTGTGCTTTGGAGACTGGTCAGGTCCTTCTTGCTATAAAAGGCCGCCTCTTTCAGATGATGGCACAGGCGGGTGATGTTCCCGGTCATGGCATACAAGGCGGGCGCCTCGTTATTGCGTCCGACAGCCATGAAGAATAGGGAGATCAGTTGTAGGCAGTCGTCTAGGACGGTATCGACGCGGTTCTGTACCAGATGCTCCGTTCCGCGGAGTTCATTCAGCAGGGACACTTGCTCGATGACTTGTTCGTATAGCGGTAGAACATCAGAGGATTTGAGGTATGTGCTTTTGTCCTGCTTCAAAAGAAGCAGCTTGTCCCTGACCAAGAGGAGTTGGTCCAATATTGGCTTCTCTTGGGGCCCTAAGGGCGCATTCATGATAGGCGAGTCAGCCATGGCAAGGAACGAGCATGAAATGTGTGTAAGAGGTTCGAGAGAGAACGCTTCGGACAGTTTTGGAACGGGAGCAGGTCGTCGCCGTCACTGAATCGTCACTCGGAGCAAGATAACATGGGGTTTCCGATCGTCGCAGGAGGGTTATCTGGTCGTTCAGGTTTGGGAGGAGCAGTGGTGGCTATCCGGTTCTCAGTTCGCCGCGGGCAAGTAGGTGTGATTAGGTAGGTATGTACGACTGCGGCGCTGTAGTCAGTAAATACTAAGCGGGGGAGGTCGGTGCAGGTGGTTAATTAGTGGTCATTTACACACTAAGCGAGGGTGCACAGAACAGAGCATTAGTACCTAGTAGTAGTCCACCTTCTAAACTACCGGTATTCAACCTCATCCTCTTGCTAGAGTCTATCACTGCAGTGCATGTACTTCTACTACTATCTGATGAGAATGTATATACTCTCGTCCCACAGCAATTACAGCCAGCCTGAAACGATGGCCAGGAAGTATGCAGACCTGATTTCACTACTTGTATTCCTACCTACCTGACCTACCTTACATACTAGCTACTACCGCTGAGCTGCCCCTCGCCTTGGCGGAAGCGCCCGCTCCGGTCGCGCCGTTGACTGACAGACAAGCTTGCACTTCAACACATGACTTGCCGAACAGGCCCTTAGGTACTTACTCAAGGTAAGGTAGGTAAGGTACCGGCTGATGAGGGCTAGGAGGCTCCTGAGACCAGCCTTGTCACCGCCGTGCTGTCCTCATCATTCGACTTGAGTGCAGCCTCTTCACGATCTTCAAATTGATGCGAAATCTGGGTGTCTTGCGGACAAAATAATCGACTTGACGCTTTGCAGCATGGTAGTTGGGACAAACCATGATCGGAGGGAAGTAAGGCTGCCGACCCCAGAGCTGCTGGATTCGCCGGTGAACTTGCTTTCTGTGAGGCTTGTCTTTCGACTTGCACCAGATCAAAGGACTAAAGGAAGGTTCTGCGCTCTGATCCGAATATCTCGCGGCGGCCTTCACCATCGCATCAATAAGTCACCCAGTATTATTCGTCCAGCCGGCCGTTTTGGCGTATTGCAAAGCTTGAACCCCCAAACGATCGATTTGGCAGGGCATCCTACCATGTCGGAATGATACAACCCCATATACAGTCAGCTCCAGGTTCTTCAGCTCGAATTTGGTGTGAATCAAGGCGCCATTGAAGCCCAGGGAAGGATTTAGAGACCTTTCTCCTACGAGGAGTATATTGATAGGTTTGCAAACAGCGAAGATGTCCGTTCCATGAACTGTTAGGGAGGAGATTAGTCTGAACTAGATTGCAAATGGTCTAGTCCTATACTAACTTGAAGTTTACCTCCCGTGCTCTGTACTGCGCAGTAACGGCCGGTGTCTTGTAGGAGGTGCCTGCCGACCTTAGCTACCTTATGTTCGGTAGGCACTCAGCTCCTAACGTGTCCAGGACCAGATGACCGACACCACCTTCGAATACTCCTTGATCCAACAACTACGTACCTGTTTGACAGTCCATCGCTGTATGATCAACGTTGATCGAAATACAAGAGAGCCGGACTGTTGTTCAAATCTCCAGCCTCAGCCACAACCCACAGCGTCCCTCGTGGCAGCCATCAGCTCTTTAAGCGACCGACACCAGAGACACACAGACACGGTTCAACGCCCATGAACGAGCCTATCATGTCGAACCAGCCGTCCCTGTCCTTCGCTTATAATTCGGATACTCAGGTGAGAAGTAAAAGACGGGCGTTCGTCCCCAAACGGACCACTGGTGACGTCGATTGACAGACTCCTAGACAGGGATCTTTATTGGGTTGCGGTACAGAGTATATTATTGATTCAAAGAATATTGTTGCATTTGTTTCGGTCGGCTAGTCGGCTCTCGGACGACCATCGTCGATATCTCCACAACCCACTCAAACTTCCCGCTCCTGTTGGTTACCGCCGCCATGCAAAACATCCGCAAAGCATTCAGGGCGGGTATGCCTCACAAGTCATGGTCGGCCGGATGTGATCGGGTTGAAGAGGAAGGCTATCTGGAGAACTGTACTGGAGAGGAGACCACAACTCATGGGGCCTAGATGGCTAGTATCCCTGGAGCCGGGGCGCTTCAGCCACCCGGACCCATCGACAGCAAGCTCACGATGGCCTAATCCACAAAGTTACGGGCGAAGTGGGCTCCCTACACATCAGGTCAACTGTCCGCCAGGATCGTCACTTATTGACCTGCACGGCCCCGGGGGTTGCCACGATTACAGCCTGTGTACCAAACTTCGTTATCGATCTCATTTTTGTTCTTATTGCCTGTTACGAACCTGAGAAAACGTGTCGACATAGATACATTTACTGCAGCCTCGCCATTGACGGTCCCGTCGGGTTGTCCCAGCCGTCGACCGCAGTGGCATTCGCATCGCTCTGGAACAATTTGGTCACGGATATCTAGGGCGGCTTTCCGCTGCAAGAATGCGACATATCGAACAAATCTCTTTCCACAACGTCGTTCTGGATCATTCCTTACAGGAAATGACTTGATCGCACTCAAGCCGCGTGCTTTCAAATCAATCCCACGAGCAAGGTCGCTATGGGCATGAATGTGTTCGACACAGTCCGACGCGACCAGAAGTTTACGCTTCAAGACTTGGGAATATTGTCCTCTGTGGGCCCCGACGGCAAGGAGCGATGGACCATTCAGCTCGATGAGGGCACAAACAGCGACCTGAACAGCTCTCAGGCTACCTTCAACAAGTCGACTGGCCGGTGGATGCTTACAAACTCGGAACCAACAAAACTGCCTATTCTCATTGATGAAGTTTCTACCCAACTTTCTACGCCGTTCTCTTCTCAACTTTCTCTCGACAGTTCTGCCCAGTCCTGGACGCAACTTCTCCCCATAAGCAACGAATGGCAATGGTTTTTGACCGGAGTCGACTGGGCTCTTACAGAATTTGGACCCTTGGGAACCTGGCCCATCTCCCTGAGAACCGCGGTCAACCTATTGTTCGCAGAGCCCGGTCCGGCTGTCATCTACTGGGGTCCGTCACTTTGTGCTTGTTTTAACCAGAGGGCATATGAAGATGTCACAAAACGGCTCAAAGGTCATGCTGGCATTCAAGGTAGACCTTTCAAGGAAGTGTGGAAGGAAGTGTGGCCTGACCTGCAACCTTTCTATGATACAATGCAAGAGCTGAAGCATGGTTTGGAAAATCTGAATGTAGCGGTATACCCAGAGCAGCCTGACGGTCGCAAAGAAGAGACGTTCTGGGATGGGGCACTTCTTCCCATACGAGGGGAAAATGGTCAAATCACTGGATTTTACAATAGGGCGACAGAGACTACCACCGAAAAAATCAGCAAGAGGAGGTCAGACACCCTCTATGCAATATCTGCCTCACCTGAAGACGCCAACGGCTCGGTATGGAAGCACGTCATCGACGCACTCGGAACAAACGAGCAGGACTTTCCCATGGCATTCGCTTATTCCGCGGAGGATAGCACTTCGGCCTGCCTGTTGACCTTACGAGGATCGCTCGGTCTCCCTCCAGATGGTCACCCTCTTGTCCCAGAGCGCGTTGACATTTATGACGGGTCAACAGGCTTTCCCTTCTTCTACCGCAAAGTGAAGACTACACATAAACCAGTTGTTCTTCACAAAGCCGACGGATCCCTGCCTGATGGACTTCTCGATGGCTTTGCCTGGCGCGGCTATGGTGAAGCTCCAGTCACCCTGATTCTGGTACCAGTATCTGTCAGCACCGCCCTACTTGGCATCATTGTCTTCGGATGGAGTCCGCGAAGGCGATATCAACCTGCAGACGACGCCTTTATCAATGCTATTTGCCGGCAAGTGTCAGCGACGATAGCATTTGCCATTGACCGCGAGGAAGCCCACCAACGTGCCGAGAGGATCACAATGCAATTAGCCCACCGGGAGAGGCAAATCAGAGAGATTGCAGAGCACGGTCCTGTTGGCATGATTCGCGTCACCCCGGACGGTAAGACACTGGATTTATTCCGTCCCTTCGCTCTCCTTGCTGACCTTTATTCCAGGAAATATCGTATGGGCAAACTCACAGTTCTATGCCATCACCGGCCATTCGGTCGAAGACCAGTATGAGTACTCGTTCGCCGAAGTGCTCCATCCCGATGAGCGTGAATTTTGTATGGAAAATTGGTCCGTCATGGTCGATCAGCACAAGTCGATCGAGCAGGAATTCCGCCTGAACAGAAAGTGGCTCCCACCGCCCACTGCAGGGAATCCCAACCCACAGGAAGAGAATTGCTGGATCTTGGCAAACGCCTTTCCGGTCATGGATAACGGCGTCACCCACAGCGTGGTTGGCTGTGTCACCGACATCAGCCGTACTAAATGGACAGAGGAGATTCAAAGTCGTCTGGCGGTTGAAGCAACGGAAGCCCGCAGACTCCAGGAGGCCTTCATTGACGTGGTTTCACATGAGATGAGGAACCCTCTGTCAGCCATCACTCAACTTGCAGATGGGATTGCCTCCTCTCTTGACAACAGTCATGGTCAAAAGCACGATTCCAAGCACGCCGTGCTCGACATACTTCGGGAAAATGTCGAAAATGCGAGAACAATCCTGCTCTGCGCCGCCCACCAAAAGAGAATTATCGACGATGTGCTTACCCTGTCCAAACTCGATTCTCAACTTCTTTCAATCACTCCGGTCGTGGCCCAACCACACGCTGTGGTGGATTCTGCCCTGACGATGTTCCACGCCGAGTTCGAAACAAATTCCATCGTCGTCGAAAATATAGCAGACGACATGTATGCCAAATGTGGGGTGGATTGGGTTTCATTGGATCCGTCGCGTCTTACGCAGATATTCATCAATCTCCTCACCAACGCCATCAAGTTCACGAAAATGGAACAGGTCCGAAAAATCACTGTCCGACGGTCAGCCTTCCTCACTCTTCCGCCGCCGTCTTTGCAAGGTGTCAAATGGTTCCGAAGCGATCACCGCAGAAGAGATATAACTTCGTCAGGAGATTGGGGCGATGGTGACCTTGTGTATCTGCTTTTTTCCGTGTCGGACACGGGAAAGGGCATGGAACAGGAAGAAATGGCAAGACTGTTCCACCGTTTCCAACAAGGAACGGAAAAGACCCACATCAAATATGGTGGATCGGGCCTTGGACTGTTCGTCTCCCGCGAGCTTACAGAGAACATGGGGGGTGAGATTGGCGTTATCTCTGCGCCTGGGAAAGGGAGCACCTTTGCGTTCTACATCGAGGCACGCAAAGCAGCATCTTCACAAGATCACGCACAAATTCTTAAATCTCCAACATCACCGGCTATCTCACGACGGCCATCGCTGTCGCGCCGAATCACAGGTCCGCACCCCCAGCAGATCCACCCGCCCCTGCCAGAGGAGCCACCGCCCGTGCGAGTCCTCCTGGTCGAGGACAATGTTATCAATACCCAAGTGCTCACCAAGCAGCTCGAACGCATGGGATGTACGGTGCACACGGCGAACAACGGGGCCGAAGCGTTGGATTTCCTCCCACGACTGAGAGCGTGGCACAGCCAAAACCAGAGCGCCCCCGAAAGTGAAGACCCATCTTCGAACCTCGACATCGACATCGATTGTATATTGATGGATGTCGAAATGCCAGTCCTGGACGGCCTCAGCTGCACCCGACGGATCCGCGAGCTGCAGGACCAAGGTACCCTGACCAGGCAGGTTCCCATCATTGCTATAACGGCGAACGCGAGGGCCGAGCAGATCGATGCGGCGTTCGAGGCTGGGGTTGATGCCGTGCTACCGAAGCCGTTCCGTGCCATTGATGTGCTCTGGAAAATAGACGAGTTGATTAACGGAGATACCCCTGCATAGCGACATGTATTGTAATATTCTTATATCAATGATGGAGTCGGGACTGAATGGGAAAAATTGGTTGGGACGGCGCGCAAGGCTGACAGAAACTTTGATACAGATTAGAACGTTGTTACAATTAATTACTGTATGATTACCAAGTGGAATGTTGGCCGAAGCTTTGGCAATTGGTTTCTTATAGGCTCACGGTCTGGTTTCGGGTATTGACAATCCAGTGTCATGTAGTCCCATGGCAGAGAGAACTTGCTGTCTGTTCTTTGTGGCCTTTGTGGTGGTTCTGACTGATCTATTTCACAATTGATCCTCATCATCTGGATCGGGCATGCCAGGGTCATGTTTCCAAGCAGGCTGATGGACTGGGCTTGAAGGATCGCCTTTGCCGGTCGATGGTACAGCCTGAGCTTGATCGGCCTGCTCCTCCTCCTCCTCCTCCTCCTCTTCTTCCTCCTCATATACCTCCCCTTCCTCGTCGCCGTCTTCTGCCTCTACGCGTCCTCCATCCTCAGCTTCAGTGACACTGACATCTTCAGCCTCGCTGCCCAATTCTTCAGCAACCAGATCACGACTCTTCGTCTTGGTCTTCCTCCTTGTTTGTCGCATATTCTGCTGCGCACCGTTGTCATCATCCTCGCTGTCCTCGTCACTCCCACTTCCGTCGCTCTCGCCTTCACTGCCAGGATCGTAATCCTCTTCTTCCTCATCCTCCTCATCCTCGAGCTGCTGTTGCGCCTTTTCCAATTCGGTCCGGGTATCTTCTTCGTCTCCAGATCCACCGACTCCCTCAGTTCCCGCTTCCTGCTTCCCACTTCCATTCGCGGCGGCGGCAGCGGCAGCAGCATTGGCTTTCTTAGTAGCTCTGCGCGACTCGGCGAGACTGGCATCCTGCAAGCCATGTCGTTTCACGTAGGCGTCTATGCCAGGAAAATCGGCCTGGTCCAGCATAGAGAACTCGACTTCCTGCACGGGAACATCATTCGCCCCAGCACCATCAGACGACCCGGGCGGTAATCTGTACGCGATATTGAGATTAAAGGTGCGCTGTAAGACTGAAGTATACGAGATAGACTCGATATCGTCGAACGCGAAGAAGGAAAGCGGCTTCTTGAACCCGAAGAAGATGCCGGTGTGCAAGAAAAACAGGTATCCGTCTTTACTGCCGCGGAAGGCCTTGACGTGATAAGCTTTATCGCCCTTGCGGTGAGATTCGGGTTTGGCGCTGGCGAACTCCTCCGCGGTCGGAAACGTCAGGTTGATTCCACTGCTCTTTTGCAGAAGGAAGTCCAGAGCCTTCTCGAGGATCTCGTCCGGGCCGGATGCGATCTTGGCCAGCTCGGGACTGGAAACGTGGCATGATTTCAGGGCCCCATGGTTGACCGTCCAGATGATCGGTTCGGGAGGAGGAAGACTGTTCAAATCCCCCCCAGTCCGGGGAATAAGGCAGAAATTGTACTGTTTCGCCGCCTTTTCGGGCACAGGCAGCCGCAGCGCGTAGGCGAATCGCGAGAGAGGCACTTCCATGTCGATCTGGCTCGTGGCAGGGTTCCGCGTGAATATCGTAAACGTCGTGTCTGGGTCGTGCATGTCTGTGCCGTATTGCGCGATTCCGAGGTGTAGTTTCTTTCGCTGGGGTAGGGAGAACGAGATATCTCTTGCTTCTAGGATCACTTGACGAGGTCCTTTTTGCTCCTGGGTCCCGTCTTGGCTGTTTGGGCCGGAGATAGAGGTGATGGGGAGGCTGCCGTTTGTGAGTTTCCGCTTCTTCGACGCATGGAGTTGGTCGTTGTCGCCGTTATTGAGGCTCTGCGGGCCGTAGTAGAGGATGTACCGTGCAATTTCCTCAAATAGCGTGTCGTACTGGGGATTGACGTCTACGTAGAGGTTAGAGATGGGTGTTCCGTAGAGCGTAGAGAGTGAAGGCCATGACAATGCCATTGAGGAGCAGGACAGGTTCAGGTTCGCGGAATCCAAACATACTCAGTACGTCGAAGATCTTCTGCTTCAGGACATCGTCGTGCGCAAAGGCGCGATTGATTGCGGCCATGTCGGTCATCGTAAGTCTGTGTGCGCACAGAGGGAGATGGGACACTTCAGTTGTCGCTGTCGAGCTTGTTGTTCGAGTTGCGCCCAGGTTGGACGTCGGAGGAGATGGTAACGGTTAATGTCAAGAGTCAAGGGTCAGGACAGCATAGGAAACTTGAACCCTTTGAGAATGGGCCAGGACACCTGTGATACTGCGACGGTTGGATGATGCATTCAAATCAATTTGCTCTATACGTACCATATCGCGCCGTGCCCCTGACGCGTCGGGCCTTGTTCGCTTGCCGCTTGTAGCCTCTTCATCATCAACAGAGCATTCAGGCTGATATACTTTCTATTCTACAGAGTAAATGTTGGATATCCCTGACATCAGCGACAAATCGTTCGACAATTGCAGCTTGTTTACTCGGTGCTCATGTCTTTGCTACTACAAGTCTTCAACATGCCAGACTTGGACATCATCATGGTCACCGAGATCTCTAGATATAGTCTGCTTGATCAAACCGCTCCTTGGGCCAGAATTTCGCCTTGATGGCGTTGCCGTTGAAGATACGCCCTTCCAATGCGTTGACTGCCCTCAACGCGCTCAGCTGGCTCACAAAATGGACAAATACCAGCGGCTCATCCTCCTCGGCTTCGGGTCGGTGAATGTAGACTCTCTGGACGGTGCCGTACTTTTCACCACATTCCTCGCCAATCTCTTGCATGATTCCTCCCTCCCCTTGAGCCAGCTCCTCGTCCAGATCCAGGCCGTTCAGCATGCCTTCTAGTCGAATGACCTCTGACATGGCTCCGAATTTGCCTTCCTCTTCCTCTTGAGCGACTTTGGATTTGTTCCCACCGAGGATCTTGCCTGTGCCAATAGGTGTAGCGTAGCCGCCACCATCGGCATCGGATTTCTTCTTCCGCTTGTCGACTTTGGCGTACAGGGGATTGATGATTCCACTTCCTTGGGCACCTAGACCTTGACCTTTGCTCCAACCATATTTCGACATCAGACGTTCCGCAAATCCTGCTTGACCAGGACGTTTCGACGGTTGATTGTCAGCGGAGTCGTTGGCCTCTTGTTCCGACTGTGCAAGTTTCTCTTCCAGTTCGGCGTCAGAAGCAGGTATCTCTGCCGGTGCCGCAGGCAGGTTGTAACGAACCGGCGCTCGCGCAATCTGACCTGGTGGAGGCTGGACTTGGGGTGGAGGTTGCACTTCGGGCGGCGGCGGCGTCTGAGTTGGCTGCGTCTGCGTCAACCTCATCCGACGGAGGTATGCATCTTCGCCTGTTGGATCATCTGGCACATCAGCAGGCGGCGGCGGTGGTGTAGAAATGGCCGGAGAGCTCTCGTCATTCAAATTTGGCGGCGGAGCAAAAGACATGCCCGGTGGAGCGAATTGTCCTACAAAGAGTCAGCTGAGAGCGCAACGACCGTTTCCTCTCCGGTTCTTACGGTTCAGGGGACGGCTGTAGTCATCATCCGTCGACTCGCCGGTGTCTCTCCGTCTCAAGCGATGTCTATAGAGCAGATCTTTCCATTCTCTGACCTCGCGAACCTTTTCTTCACTATGCTTGTATTCCTCATAGTTGTTTGGCCGACTGGGGTCATAGATGTCATCCCAATTTTGAGCGAAACCGCCATTATCCTGGTTCTTCTTGCGTTTTTTGCGGGTGACACGTGGTCGTTGCCCGCTCGTGTAGAAGTTGTTCACGTCGTCATCGTCGGAGGCGCCAGCAGTCCAGTCTGCAAGAGTTGTCTTGGGCGCAGATGGCCGAGTGGTCGGGGCGTCTGTCGAAGCATTTTCTGTGCCCTCAGAGCGAGGCACTGTTGGAGCGCTGAAGGTTGTGGATGACAAGGCCGCGAATTTGCCAGCGATGGCCTTCGCCTTCGCCTTTTGGGCCGCCAATTGCGGTCTTTTGGTAGGTTGAAACCTTAGGGAAGCTGTATATCACCAAAACGCATGGCACACGTGAGCAAAACTATTCGGCAAACCTTTAGATCCTTACGATGTTGTATATACCGGCGAGTGCTTGCTGTTTCTTAACAGCTTCATCTTGTTCAGGAGAGCTTTCAGCCGGCCTGGCGTACGACACTGGCGCGCTTGAGATTGTGCCAGCCGTAGCACTGTTTGGGTCGAGTAGATTGGCGTAGAGAGACAGGCCTCCTTTCGCAGGTGTTGGAGTATTGCTGGACATGTTGATGATTACAGGCGGTCCTTCATCAAGATTGCGACACGGCCCGAAACATCAAGGTGAACATTCGGGAGGCTCGATATGGCCGCGTGACGAACGACGGACGGTTCTCGGGGGAAAAGTGAGGGCGAAGCAGGAGACGAGGAGGTTCAACAGGGCCTTGCGATACGTTGACTGGGATGTGACCCGAACCTGTATGCGGGCGCCCACCAATCGAGGAAGCAGGAGTTATAGCAAGGCACTCCCCTGGTTGCTTTTTCGGCTGTTCTTCACAGCGAAGCAGAAATCGGCATCGGAAGCAACCGTGAAAGATAAAAATGCTGTGGGAGGATGTATTGAAATCGCATCTATTGACAGGCCGAACTCAAGCGATGCGCAGGCTGTTGCTCGGCTCAGAGTCGTGCTCTCCTTCTATCACGTCATTTCTCTGTCCTTTACTTTGTGTGTTTCCTTAGATCTTGCTACTTATAGATATCTAAATAAACTGTCCCCGAACATCTGGTTCCTACTTCTTCCGTTCTCTCCTTTCCGCTGGCTTTCCAGCAGTGTTCCAGCCATGGTCGCTTCCACTCTGTCAACCTCGTTCTCAGGAACATCCTCTGCGCCAGCGATCATCGTACCTGCGAAGCCCAATGCTCTGACCATTTCCTACCAGCAACTGACGCAAGATATCCTTGACTTTCAGAAGAAGCTTGCACAGCTTGGGATCCGGAATGGTGATGCGGTCTCAATATCTCTACCCAATAGCTACGAGTTCATTGTGTCTTTCCTTGCGGCTTCGTGGCAACGAGGAATCGCGGCCCCTCTGAATCCAGCCTACAAACAAGACGAATTTGAGTTTTATATTGAAGATCTGTCCTCGGCCGTGGTAATTGTTCCAAGGGGATCGTACGAGAAAAATATTCCGGCGGTGCGGGCGTCGAGGAAATACAATGCGGCCATTGCGGAATGCTATCTGAAAGGGTCAAGGCTGGTTCTCGACGTGAAAGAGCAAGGAAAGCTGGCCCAGAGACAGTCCCAAACAACATCCCATGCTCAGCCCGAGGATGTTGCTTTGGTGTTACACACGAGCGGCACGACTGGACGGCCGAAAGCTGTCCCCTTGACCCATCGTAATCTCACAAGGACCATGCAGAACATCCAGAACACGTACGAGCTCACACCGAAAGATCGGACAATGCTGGTCATGCCTCTCTTCCACGTCCACGGACTTCTGGCTGGCTTCCTTGCACCGCTGAAGGCTGGAGGCTCCGTCATTGTCCCTCCATCATTCTCCGCCAGGTCTTTCTGGGACGACTTCATCACCTATAAAGCGAATTGGTACACGGCCGTGCCGACGATCCATCAAATTCTTTTGAAGAACCCGCCACCGAATCCCAAGCCAGAGATCCGATTCATCAGGTCATGTTCGTCGCCACTGTCACCGAAGACCTTCCAAGAACTCGAGCAGACTTATGGGGCACCTGTGTTGGAAGCTTATGCTATGACGGAAGCAGCGCATCAGATGACTTCGAATCCACTACCACACAAAGGCAAGCGAAAGCCAGGAAGTGTGGGCATTGGCCAAGGGGTGGAAGTCAAGATCCTGGACGACGAAGGCAATGAGGTGCCTCAAGGGACAGCAGCAGAGATCTGCATTAGAGGTGAGAACGTCACCAAAGGCTATCTCAACAACGAGAAGGCAAACAAGGAGGCCTTCACCAAGGGAGGCTTCTTCCGAACTGGAGATCAGGGCAAAAAAGATGAAGAGGGATATGTCTACATTACTGGGAGGATCAAAGAATTGATCAACCGAGGAGGTGAAAAGATCAGCCCGATCGAGCTGGACAATGTGATTGCAACACATCCTGCTGTTTCGGAGGCCGTGAGCTTTGCTATTCCCTCCGAACTATACGGTCAAGAAGTTGGGGTGGCAGTTGTTCTGAAACCCGGGAAAAGTGTGACAGAACAAGAAATCACCGAGTTTGTCGCTGGCAAGACAGCCAAGTTCAAGAAGCCGAGCAGGGTGAGTCTCCCATGCAGAGCCTATATTGCATACAAGGTACTAACATGAAGATGTAGGTTTGGATTTTGAAAGAGATACCCAAGACAGCGACCGGGAAGATTCAGCGACGAAAGGTGGCCGACTCACTGTTGGCCAAGGATAAACCTAGACCGAAGTTATAGATGTGCGGTCAACATTGCATTGGACATGGATTGTTGCAATATACGGTGATAGAGAAGACGAATTGTTACCCTGCTTTGGACAAAGGGGGAATTCAGAAAGGGGCTGATAAGGCTTCGATGGCTTCCTGGACGATTTCGTGCACAATGACTTTTGTAGACTGCTGTGGAAAAGCCCAGTCGCTAGTCGGAGGATTCGAGTAGACATGTACAAAGATAGTACAGCCATGGACATCGACGCCGTGACAGATAGGTATACAGCCAGGACTCTGTCTGATCATAGTCGAAGGTCCCGCTCCGATGTCGCCCGCTCTCTCCAACATCGGCTTGGCCTAGTCACGTGTAGACAGAGAGGAATAGAGAGTCCGTACTAGCGAGGTATTACTTCTATGATTAATAATATACCCATTAGATCTCATTAATAATGGGTGTTGAAATGGGCGCCCTGAGACATCTCTTCCACCACGATGGTTGACCGAGACATCCCATAAAGCTGTCGGGTTCTCTGGTGATTTGAAAGCTTATAAATAGCAATAGCACCTTTTGTATCTTTCCTTCTTGATGTCTTTCGCACTTCGCACCAGCAGAGCTTGTACACATCACCTACCAGCCAGCTTCCGACCGAACACTCTCTTCTTGACCGCACCAGGTCTTCGCTTTTCCAGAATGTCTTCCACCGCACCCTTGGCGGACTGGCTTGTTCACATCCCCGACATTCCCGGCGCGCTAGAGAAGCGTGTTGCCGCCCGTTCTGATCATCTGGCTGGAGTGAAGCCCAAGGTCCAGTCGGGCACAGTGGCCTTTGGCGGAGCGACTTTGGCCAAGCATCCGGGTCCGGGCGAGTCTCTAGCTATGACGGGGAGTGTGATGCTCTACAAGGCAGAGAGCGAGGAGAAGGTCCGAGAATTGTTGGAGGATGATCCCTACACCAAAGTTGGAGTTTGGGATGTGAAGAATGCAACGATCTACCCGTTCTTCTGTGCGGTCAGGACTCCTATGTGAGAGGTGGTCGAAAGGATGCCATGAGTGAGAGGGACTGAAGCACCAGTTCGGGTTTGCAGAGAGTACGATTGAGCACGGTCAGGAGACTTCAGCTGGTGTTGATGTTACCTGGAGACAGCTTGTATCAGCACACGGGTCACAGCCAGGTGTCCGATCACACTCCGGTCGGGATACAGGCAGCTTGTTGACCATCAGATGCGGGCACATTGGGAGCAAAGACGGACTGAAGTTGTCAGAGGAAGCTCTGTGTATAGATCCAGAGAGCCATGTCGGTGGTGGCAGGCTGCATATTGTTAAGGTTCACCTCACTTGTTGGACTGAAAAGGCCAAATGAAACCAGATCTCAACTCTTGATTGAATACAGAACTGTGTCTGTATGTCCTTTTGGTGAGTCTCGTTGCTCCTGAGACATGACTGCACTGTCTCGTGTGAAGCTGGAATTTGGTGACGTGCGCTTCAGGTTCGCGGTACACACTCGACACTCACTGTCTTTGCCATTCCTGCAGGTTGCCGGGTTCACTCCATCCAACACTCACACACTCACACACTCACACACTCACACACTCACACACTCACACACTCACCACCACTTCCCGCGTTACCTGTCTCCAGCAACTCATTTGAATCTCTCTGTCAGACTCGGTCTGGTCATCGGTAGCTCACTCTTCTGTTGTTTCATACCTTGCAGACTCGTTTCTGTGCTTTCTCTGCTACAAACATCTCCCCAAACAAGCAGTTCCTTTCATTCCAGCAACTCGCTGCCAACAGTTCACAGCACGCTCCATCGAAGCCTGAATACCAAAGCCACATCCAGCTTCCAAGATGAAGCTTCTCATTCTTTTCTCCTCCTTCCTCGTGCTCATCTGCGCCGTCCTCGCCCAGCAACAGCCCAACGATGCTCCCATCACAGAGAACAACCCTAAGATGGCCACTTTTCAAGCCATTCTACAAGAGAAGAAACCCATCCAAGGACAGATCACGGGCGTCTCCAGCAACAACGGCACAGGAGTGAACTTCAACATCAACTTCTTCGACTTCCCAGACGCTGCGATGGGCCCATTCAGTGAGTGTCAAACCATCACAGCCTACCACACTGTAGTTCTACAATCTATCTCCTGTCTTATGCTTCCAGATCTCCCAACACTATTTTCATACCTTGATTCTCAAGCTAACGTTGCCAGAATACCATATCCATGACCTCCCCGTCCCTCAAGATGGAAACTGCACCGGCGCCGGCGGCCATCTCTCCCCCTACGGACGCAACGACACTCCAGCTTGCAATGCCACCCAGCCTGGGACCTGCCAACCGGGCGATCTGAGCGGAAAACATGGGGCCATCACCGACACCGCACACGAAAAGAATTACCAGCTCATGTACCTTGATCTGTATGTTTCGACGGATCCACAATCTGTGTCGTTCTTTGGGAATAGAAGCGTTGTGGTCCATGCCGCCAACGGCGCGAGATTGAACTGTGGCAATTTCACACAGCAGATGGCTTCGAATACGACTGGCAGCGGTGGGTCGACGACAACCACAGCTGGCACTTCTACGCCGACAGGGGCAGCAGTCGGATTGGCGACCGTTTCCAAAGGCGGGTTTGTCTGTGCCGTTGCCGCAATGGCTTACATGCTGGGGACGATGTAATAATGAAACCAGAGTGATTGGGATCTACCACCTCAGTTACAAAAGTGTTGAAAGCCGGAGCGCTTCGATCAATGGGCTGCAGAAATACTGTGAGATCGAGGGTTCAATCAAGTGAGCTGTCTCTGAAGACTACAACAGATCAACGACAACAGTGCTCATGAAAGCCGGCTCATTAGCGATGGATAGCCATGCTATCCAAACCACGCTCGTTTACTGGGAAAGGTGCAGGTAGATAATACCCATGTACGTTAATGAAGTTGACAACAAATCCTCAGGCACATAACCGGTTTCCTGCAAAGAACCTCGACGACCATTCCTCACTATTTCAGAAGACATTGTTTTTTCCAAATCATGTATTCGTAAACCAGTAATATATACTTCTTCCTGGTCTCGTATCAGTCATGCAATCCATTCCATGGGAGCGTCTATTTCACCCTCTTCCAACCGACAGCGTCACCAGTGACCCTCGTGCACTTTCTCCGCCGAACAGCCCACTCTCCATCACAGAGAAACGCATTCCTTCAGATCCATCTAATCAACTCAGTCTCTGCAGAAACCCCATCTGAATCAACCTCTCCACGTCGCCATGCCTGACGTAGAACTGACTATTCTTGGTCAAGTTGATGACCCCATACTCCGTCTGAATCTCCCCGGCGTCCTTCAACACGCGAACATCGATGAACAAGTCGCGCGGCGGCTCCAGCGGGCCCGTGAGATCGATATCCGTCCACTGGCCTTTATATTGCGCGAGGAGATCGACGTAGCGTCGGAAATATGATTCCTCTTCTGGACTCAATGAATCTTGAGTCGCCTTGACATCAGACGACTGTTGTTGTTGTTGCTGGTTTCCTTGATTTTGGTTTTGGGTTTGGTTCTGTTCCTTTTGTTCTGTATGCGCATTATGCAATTCATCCAACAGATCCCTCCCCTCCCACGCCATGGTTTCCAGTCTTTCAGCACGCACGCGGTGGTAGGCCAGCAGACATCTCTTGTTGCGCCGCATGCTCAGATGGTCGACGAGCAGCGCACATGCCGTCGCGGGGTGTTCGGCCGGATTGAATGTGCTTTGGCTGCTGCCTGTTTCTTCGTCGATTGCGTTAAATGGTTCGAGGATCCGGGTTACGTCGCGGTCGAGGTCGCGCACTTCGCGCACCACGGCGCGCACCAGTTCGGTTTGGTATGGCGGGAGGGCTGGGAGCGTTTGGGTGCGTTTGGCATGTTGGACCTATTGGTGAGGTGATGGTCAGTAAGATAGTAGCATTGATTGAGATAGTAGTGTCTTCAACTCTGTGTTGAGTACAGGATCCGTCTTCCTTCGGTCGCAGATACATATTCCTTGAGTAAAATGGTTCAAGGGAAAAGATGGGGGGAAGACCAGAGACTTACGAGCTTGTTCCCAAGCTCCCCATGCATTTGGGATCACATAGACTAGTTTTCTTTTCGGGAGAGCGCGGATCTGGCCTCTTATGGCGAGGAGGAGGACAACGAGGACTGACGCATTCAGCAACTGGGATTCTAGACAGGCGAAATGGACGAGTGTTTATGCGGGGACGTGGAGTGGATGGAATATCACCTGTAGTTAGTAATATGGCAAAAATGCCCCTGGATTCCAGTCTCCCGACGCGTCGGCCGGTCCGCCAATCAGATGCTGCGGATTGCCGCCGTTTGCATGGGAATGTGTTTGTGTCTTTTATCATTAGCGAGACATGTTTGTTGCTCTTTACTTTTGTTTGTACTTTGTTCATATCGTGCTCTCGAGATACAGGCAGTCTTGACATTATATATATCTGATGGGGCGAGCTGCAGGATGTCATTTTCTTCCCTTGCCCGGTTGGTCTGTTGCCCCTGGATTCTCAGCCTCGTGGAGAAGAAGCCCTCCGTCTATGGAGAAGTCCTCGCAAACAAGCCAGCAGAGCTCTGTCAATCAGCTTTTCAACCGCCGTTCTTTCAGTAGGAGCGAATGAAGTATCTCGAAGAGTAGGTGTTGTGAAATATGTTGTCTCCTCTTTCTCTTCCTCCTCCTCCTCCTCCTCCTCCTCCTCCTCCTCCTTCCCCCATTCTAAATGTTGACGAGACTTCAACAACTCTCTCAATGATCACTATTGTACAACACTCCGAAATTCCAATCTTTTCCGTGTACATCGACTGTTGCGCAGCAGAACTCTTTGCAGGTTTCTTACTTAAAGATAGCTATATCCGCTCTTCAGACATAATGTAAGTTCTCTGTGTGCACACTCTGGAGCCATTTGAAGCGTCCACTCGCGTCCAGCTGACTAGATGAGCTACCGTGCTGGCTGGCAAGCCTCTTGATCTTCCGCACTTATGATGAGTTGTGCACGCACTGTGGTATGCGGTATCAACCTACACGCTCCTCTCTATGGCGCGGATGCCGAGAGTCCTTCAGTCTTCCCCTCGGCACCTGCTTCACACTTTCACGAAACCTCATCTTCTTCTCCTTCCATCTCATCAGTCTTTCCTCTACTTGATTATCCTTTTTCCTTTCCTTCTTCATCTCCTTCTTCCGGTCTTTATCTCCTTTCAACACTGGCAACTGCCAACGGCAACAATGTCTTCAGACCCCCTAGATCAGTTCCTTCCTCCATTTCCCAACCCAACATCCGCCAGACTGGTTAGACGAGAAAGACGCAACGAGTCAGGAGCTGTCATCTTCACAAACTACAGCATAGAGTATGAATACGATCCAATTGAGCCCAGCCCAGCTCCCGAAGTGGTCCAACGTGACGACATGTGTTCCTTCATAGAGGCAGTTAGGAAGTTCATCCGCCGTTTACGTTGCCTTGTGGGAAGCTTCCTTGTGGGAAGGCAGCAGGATATCACCTATCAAGACACGTGGAAAGCGAAAGGACTGGCTCAAGATTGTTATTGGCAAATGCAAGAGTTGCTCGACCAGATTGACATCAAACCCATGACGGAATGGCTCCACCACGCAGAACACACCATGACACTGATCTTGGCTCGTGGAGCAGTGATAGAGCACTTTCTTGTCACTCCGGAACGAGACAGAGCTGCGAACCAACATCTGCTGTGCACGCAATACCGTCTTGAGGATGCAGTGGTGCGCACATTACGGGCTGAATTCCGCAACTTGCTCGACATGGAGATAGACGACCTGTCGACGCCGCGATTAAACAGCATCAGGTACAAAGGCGGCTTTGTGTTTGCGGAAGACCACAGCGAGAGCGACGCGGATGCCGAAGAGGAAGAGAATGACGAGCATACCATGACCATCGACAATGCCATCAACGTTGACGACAAGGGAGATGCCATGGGCATCGACAACAGTGACCCGGATCTAATGGAAGACGTCGTCGCTACAACGCTAGAAGGCCAAGAGGCAGAGGAACATGTGCATCAGTCGCCCATCCGAGAAGACGATATTGTCGTCTGTGCGATATGTAAGGAGGACTTTAGCCATCCAGACAACCGCTGGCAGGTCGCCCTGAGCCAGCCGGTCCCGGCGCCTCTCTTCACCCACCCTTGTTGCAACCAGGCGTTCCATGCGACGTGTCTTATTAATTGGCTTCAGCCAACAGCCATTGAAGAACACAAGAACGGATCGTGCCCCTGTTGTCGGGGGGTACTGGATGATGAGTTTATGATTAAAATGATGGACCACCGGACCAAGGAATTGGGAACGCTGTAGATGGAGCACGACAGCGTCGCAAGGAGAGAATAAGATGAACAGATGAATTGGGTTCTTGTCGACTGCGCGTGGCAATGCCTGGGAGAAGAGTTAAGGTCGAGGGGACGAGCTTGTATGGCTGAAACGGCACATCTTGATAAAGCAGTAGGCAGGTTCTGGACTGCTTCTAGGAATGACGCCGACCGTCTATGTATCATAGGGGCAGAATGGTGTTAATGCGACCGACTGCACTTCCAGAGAGAGAAGGAGACCATAATATCCCAAACTGTCTATTCGCTCCACGGCCTCATTATATGACTTTCGGTTGTTCACGACGTCGCCCCTAACTCAGATCGTTCTCCCATAATGTTTGGCATCCCGTTAACTTTGGTAGACTCTATGCTTATAGTATTCAAAGTCGTATAAATGAACCTGCTTCCCTCCGCGACCATAAGTAACAGCTTGGTCGTCTGATACAGTACGTTCCTCACCTATCATCGTCATCTGCCACTCACTATATTCAGTTGCCAGATAGGTCGCCGCCATAGACAAAAGACATCGACATCCTCGACTCTGGGTCTTCATCATATCAGACATGATATTATAGCTACCGACGACAGCACCGTGGGGAGAAGGATTTAGGACACAACACATGCTGCTCTGTATGTAGTCGGCCTCCTTCACACTTCAAACCTCTGACAACTGTCGCCTTTCAAGTAAGTGAGATTTCTTTTCCTGTTCTGCCGTCAAAGCCGTCCAGTGAAATTGTTGCAATTCCAAGCAGTATTTGGAATATCCTAGAAAAGAAAACTGGAGAACATCCGTTCAATAAGAACAGACCAGATCAAGAAAGGCTCTGTCTCCCTTGCTCGGAAGTTCCTCTTGCCTTGAAAGATCGTCTGGATCAAGATCGACCACTTATTCTGAGTAGAGGAACAGAAAGACTGTGAAGCGCTGACAGTAGTAAGAGATATCGACGTGACATATTCTGGACTCGATAACTAGTCAGTTTGTGGACGGCCGTAAGTGTGACGACGTGCAGATGACACCCCAATCACATATTGGCAGTGGCATGTCCCGCTGTACTAGGACGTAGTAGCAAAAGGACAGGTAGGTGTATGTGTATGTGTAGCGGTACCGACCGATGAACGTTGTATCGGGAACGACCAATAGAAGATCAGTAACGAAGGTTGAACCGTTGGAATCGAATCCGAGAAAACAAGAAGGATTGGTTCGGGGGAGAAAGATGGAGAACCCACCCCTGTATATGGATCGATCTGTGACTGGATCCAAAGATGGGACCACCTTGCAAGGTATAGAACCAACAAGTATTTGTCAGGAATGAATTGACGGGCTTGTGGCAGAGCCGCAGAGGCCAACCGGGGTACCAGTATGCCGACCATCGAAGCTGTCTGTCAAGCATCCATCCACACATGAATGGGAACGGGACACCTGTGGATTTAGAATATAAGGAAATCACTGACATGATAGTAATACTTCAGGATAGGGAGATGGTCAATCCGGGGATAGTTACCCACTGTAGTTTGGGACAAGCCAATGCCAGGATCAGGATGATGTGCAGCCGATACAAGGTTCAGAGATGGTTTGGGATTGACTTACAGAGTACATGATATGAAACGCACCCGCTTGAAAAAGGTGTTTCCGAACCAATGGCTGATGAAGCGCCTGGGCCTGGGCTAAGATGCATGAGCTGATGAACCCCTGGATTCAAGTAATGGCAGGGATGAAGCATTGCGCAATCAGATACCCCGGAAAATAAATCTGACCATGTCGCCATGGTACGGGCAGCCAGGTATATGATAAATAAATTCTTCCCTGTAAGTCACTGCTGGGATCAAAAGGTCCCTAGCATCGTGGTTGAGAACTTGCCAAATAGTGGTATAAGTCTCATATCATCAATGTGATTGGCATTGCGCATCATGAGCGACGGCCATGGTGTATAGTAGACGCCATAGCTAGGGATCTCACCGTGTCCCATACTTTTCTTCTCTCGCTAGAAGAAGGATTGATCTGCAACGAGCTCTCTGGGCGAGCAATAGGAACTGAACTCAATTGACGCCATTGCGGCTGAAACGCGTTACAGAGTCCAGACTGGGATTGCCCAAGGAGAGAGAGAGAGAGAGAGAGAGGCTCGGTAACCAAGTAACCAGTTGGAGATTCATACGGATTGCTCCAATGGAGGTCAGATACGCCAGATATGCGCCATTCGTCCGAAAGCCGGATACATGGTTTGTATGGAGGAGGCATCTGTGGCGGCTCTGGCCCTGGTATGCGGATGTAACACGCCACAAATGGATCGAGAATGTCAGATACTAGTACCGATTGAAGCTTTCGAAGATTAGAAGCCGTCCAGTCAGAGACGATTGATAAAAGTGCGTCCATTTGTATTTCTGGCAGGTACAGTAGTACTGACCACAGATCGGTCGACCAGTCAAAGCTGAGACTGCAGGGCTTTTCTTTTCATGTGAACGGTGTCAGCAAGCAAGTAAGCTTTGACAGACTGTGACAAGGTCGGCCAACTGGTAACATCGCTCGCTGGTGGAGCTGTAAGCGGTTCCGTCGAGGCTGAAGTCCAAGCCATAGAATGCGGGAGCGGGCCGACTACGACCAACAACTTGACACACGGATCCAGATGACGCCAGATAGGGCAAACTGATCATAGAGCTGAGCCCTGCACAAGCATTAGTCCGCGAGCATATCGCTGAAAAGCGGAATGCGAGATCGGCGAAATCAGGTCTTTGCATTCAAATTTCAAGCCGGGACCGCAACAACAGCTGAAAACGGCCACGGTGGAGAAGGCTTGTCTAGTATAGCACTGCAACCACAACCGCAGCTGCAGTCGACGAAGGAAGTTGGCTTGTAGCGTATCGGAAAATATGGAATGCGGCAGCCAGTTCCATGGCGATCATGCGCGTAGCCGCCCGTCATATCTCAGTGTTCGTTGTACAGAGCCAGTTAGCAACCCCCTTGGTAGCCAATGAGACCGGGAGAAGAAGCCGGTTGAAATTGAACCAGTCGGTCAGAATCACGACACAGGCCACAAGCAAGAGATTCAATGCTTGCAGGCGACAGCAGTCATTTGACAAAACCAGGGCGGGGCTGGTAAACAAAAGAAGAATCCGACTGACTTGGGTTTTGAAAACGGATTTCCCAAAACATGTCAGGAATGTGAGTCTGACTGGGGTGGGTCCGAGCATCGGCAAGAAGAGACAGGGGAGGGCAACGGTCCATTCCATTCCTCCAAGGAGAGACTCACTTACAGTACTCACCCAAGAGGTGGGGAGGGGGAGAATTGCTCAGGGTCTCAGAGCTACTCATCTCTTGCAACGCCATCATTGCCTGCTGCTGCTGTAGTGTCCTCTCCCTGTTGATTCACACATCCTGATTCCTCGAACTCAATCAAGATCATACCCGTGGACATGGATGGTGATGGCTTGGTTCAGCAGGCGTGGATCTTACTTACTGTGGGAACATGGCTTCAGCACTACTGGCAGCAGCAACGGCCACGGCCACCATAGGAGGAGTATACTGTATGATGACAACAGGTGCCTGGGGTGAGTTGTTCGTCTTGGTTGAACGTCTTTTTCTGCTTTCATCTCAAGCCGAAAACAGAACAAGTGCGTCAAGAGCCAGAGAGAGAGAGAGAGAGAGAGATCTTGCCCATGATTCCGGATGCGGCACCTTCATCTTAAAGCGTCGTCCAGGGACATCGACCATGAGCGAACGCAACAAGGCCGAGACTCTCACCCGTCGATTGATATGATGCCTTTGATTCTTGTTGTCTTTCTCTCTCCTTCATGTTTCTTCTTTGCAAACCACATACAACAAAGGTGGCTTTACATCTGGTCAGTAACCAGTTCATCTGTCCGTCCGAATCAGTCCGTCAAGCTCAGCCTAGCCTGTCGGTCTTAGAGCTGAGATTGGTCTTTTTCCCTCCAACTCCCAACATCTCGCCCGCCGGGTAATTGAGACAAAGCCCAACAGCCCTAGCGTCATCAGGTTGCAGGCGTGAGAAGGCGACTTCCCACTCACCGCAAGTATCATACACCAGGCTTGTCCTGCAGTGGACCGACATCCTATTCCCAAAGAGCCATTGACGATCATCGGTCTTGCTCTCTACTTCCTCCACAACGTGCATCGGGTTCCTGCAACAATCCCTCAAAGAGAGAGAGAGAGCAAAGGAGGGCTTTCATCCCGCAACATATTGCCTCCCCCAAAGGTCTTGGGAGAAAGGTTTCTTTCATCAATTGTCCTTTCCATCAAAGACAGCGGCGCCATTGACTCCCTGTACACCAACGCTCAAATCTTTGCTCCATTGTGCAGCAGTCCATCAGGCCACGGAAGACAGCATCGTTAGTCACCTCCAACAATCCTTTCTCCTCAGCCTCGCCAGGGGCTCGGCTAGCTGAAGGCGCCAGACGAATCTGCATCTCTCACCCTAGCAGACAGTCAGCAGAAGGGTATACACTCTGCAAGGCCGCCCAACCTTCCACGGCCTCCGATATTAAAGCTATCCAGCATCCTACCTTTCTCTCAGCAGTCTCTTTGAACAGTGTTGAGCAGAAAAAGGAAACCACCTTATAGTCACCATCACTGCAACAGCTTCTTTACCTTCATTGAACATTCAGAAAGAAACTTTTGCGAAAAGCAATGTCCCAGAACACAGGCACGAGCAGACCTCCATCGCCTCCTCACTCGGTGGACGGCCATTACAACATGGGCGACGACAATCGAGCTGGCCAACTGGGCCCCGTCAAGACAGAGCCATACACACCACCGATGCCGACGAGGTTGATGAGGGCGGACATGATGCCACAGCAAGCTTTTGTAAGTACCTGCAATTTCGAGACAAGAAAGACACATACTGACTGACCGGGAACAGCATCCTTATGTCGAACAATCCCTATATCCAGAGCCCAGTCAAGTCTACTATACACACCAGCATGTAAGTGATGTTCCAAACAGACTTTGGCAACCGTAGAGAAGGACCATACTGACAAGTCTCCAAGGCTATGATCACCTCTGAACCATCCCACACGCCGCCACCAGGCATGCTCAACATGGGCGTGCAGACTCGCAGCGGAAGAGCGCTCGCAACCACCCCCTCAAGCCCCGGTAACACCGAATCGACACGCACATCAGCCTCGCCGGCACCACGCAGTCAAGCACGAAGAAACCTCAAGAAGAAGCCAGCCAGGAAAGGCGCGCCCGTGATCGACCAGCCCCTGAGCCTACTCACCAAAGACTACACAACACCAGTGAAGGACATGGGCGCATGGGTGCATCGACCAGTGGCCGACCGGATGGCCGAAGTGGAGAAAAAGAAGGGATACATCTCGCGACCGATGAACTCGTTCATGCTGTACCGAGCCGCGTACGCCGACCGAGTGAAGCAGTTCTGCAAAGAGAACAACCACCAGGTCGTGTCGCAGGTGACGGGCGCTTCATGGCCACTGGAGCCTAAGGAGGTGCGGGAAATGTACGAGCGGTATTCTCTCATCGAGCGCGACAACCACCAGGCCGCCCACCCGAACTACAAGTTCGCGCCCAACAAGGCGGCCAAGCGGCCCAGACCCGGACGCAACGACGACGACGGTGATGATGCCAGTGACAGCGATCCAGACTGGGAGGGGTCCACCAGGAGCTCCAAACGCAGTCGCAGCGCCCGACGCTTTGACAGCCGAAGCGCCTCGTCGACTCCGTTGGAAGACAGACCTGTTCGCTATCATCACCCTCCTCCCATGCAGGCTGCACTGAATCTTTCCGGCTATGAGATCAGCAACCCATATGGGCCGCCACCTTTGGTCATGGGTCCCGGGGGCATGATTGGCGAGTATTATCAGCCCTCGTCGACGGCAATGGGCCCCTATGGAGAGCAAATCAGCGATATCAAGTATGAGAAGATGCACGATCCTTTCCCTTCCTACCAGACCACCATGGGTCTTCTGGGCATGCCGAATGCCGGTCACCATGAGCTGTTGTCGTCTTATCCGCCGCCGCAGTCCATGGAATATCCCGTCCAACACAATGTGCTCGATCCGCGTCTGGGCCATTTTGACCCGAACTATCCGCTCGTCTATTACGGAGACGCGATGAAGCCTCCCCAGGAGATCCCAAGGACAATCTCCTATGAGCCAGTCTCCCAGCTCGAAGTCGGCTATCAACCAGAGGCATATCACCCGGGACTGGCCACTTTGACCGAGGAACATGATGTTTGGGGGGATGCGGCGCATGCTGGATCCGACTTTGACTCGGAATTTCAGAAGTTAAGGTGAAAAGCAGAGAGATCTGCCGGCCTGGGACGTGATGGCCGTGATCTGATTTTCGCATAGCCACGGAGTATTACTAGATTTCTCTTTCATTTGGTTTGGAATTGTCTGTTCGATAGTCAGTGTGGAGCGTCGCTCAGAGACCTCTGGGATTCTTTGTCAACAGAAGGAAATGCTATCAGAGTCAGTCTCCAGCAGGCCCAACATAGTTCTGAAATGCTGTCCATAGTGCCATTAAGTACTGGAACAAAGAATTTGTATGACTATCCTTCACCACTCGCTTGCTTTGCGGGAAACAGACCATGAGTTTGTAACGTGACACCACATAAGTCGTAATCGGCATGAGACTGCACACAGCCCTCGCCATTGCTCCGAAAGATAACGAAAAGAGAACCACACCGAACCAGGAGCGTAGCGACGGCGATAGCGACTTGATCCCTGGTTATGCCCCATTGGTCTCAGTCGTTCCATCATTCCCGTCAGCTCCTTCAGCTTGGAAGAATTCCACAATTGCTCGAGTGCCTCTCGGTCCCAGTCCCTTTGGCGGATAACACAGATAGATCGGGTCGTCCATACTGTTAAATTTGGCACGGAAGCCAGTCTTCTGTTCCAGACGGAACTTGGCAGCCAAAGTTTGATAGATCGAGTTCAGTGCGGCCGACCTGATGTTGCCCATGTTGTGTCCGGTCGTCAACTTTGCTGTCGCCCCGGCACCGAACGTACACGTTTTGTATCCCGACTGTGCCGCCGTACTCAAGGCTGTCTGTACGGTATACTCGATTGAACCGTTGCTTGCGCCCGGGAAATCCAGGGCCCATTTCACTTGTACCCCATACCGTGGAGCGAGCTGCGCCAACACCACCAGAGAATGGATCTTCCCCTGCTCGCCCTCTGCGACATAGTACCGCCGATGAGTACTGTCCATGAACGGGGTGATCTCACTCAAGTGGACCTGTGCTCCCTGACGACTTTGCTGCCACTCCTTGATCCGGGCTTCTATCTTTTGGCGCACGTCTTCAGGAACGGAGCTGCCATAGTCAACCACCTTGACGCCATCTTTCTTGGCGTGTCTGATCTTGCGTTCAACATCATTGTCCACGTTGATGTGTTCGTCGTTCGCAAGGTTGACCCGCTGTTCCGCCACATTAGTAAAGCTTTTCCATCCTAGCTTATCACCCAAGACCTCCTCGACCTCCTTGTCCACCAGGATGAAGAGCGGCTTGAGCTTGGTCTCTCGACGGAGCCAGTGAAGGAACGCCGTTATCACGTCCTCCAGCTGCCTCGCGTCACAGAGAGGGTTGCCGGCACAGATTGCGCGGTTCCGAATGGGAACATAGCCTATGGCTGCTCCGGTTTTGTCGTCTCTCCAGATTTGGAACCTCTCATCCATCCAGGAAGTGTTTGTCGCATCACCATAGTTTGCCACCAGGTTTTCCAAGGGCGGAAGATGACCTTTAGGCCTCTCCAAAGTATTGTCTTCAGGATGTCGCAGATGACTATCCTTTGGTGCTGGGAAACTCTTGGGGTCGCGGGGGAAGAGTGTCGCAAAACGCAGATTGCCGAGATTGAGAAGCAATGAAACCAATCTTTCAAGTCCGATTCCTGCCCCTGCATGTGGTGGCGCAACCCATTCGAAAGCCTCCATGTATTCCTTCAATGAGCTGGGATTCATGCCGGAACCTTCCATTCGTTCTCTCAGCAAGGTATAGTCATGCACACGTTGTCCGCCGGAAAGAATCTCTTGTCCGCGAACAAAGAAGTCGAACGAGTTGGTGACTTTGTTATTATTCGGGTCAGGCATGGTGTAGAACGGGCGGGCGTCGGTTGGGAATTTGTCCAACATGTAGTAGTCAGTGTGATACTTCTCTTTAACCAGTTCGCCGAGTCTTCGTTCTGCCTTCGTCGATAGGTCCTCGTATTCCGACTGCTGACTGCCATCTTCGTTCATCCAGCCCGATTCATTTAACAATCGAGCACCTTCCGCAAATGTAAGTCGGGGAGTTTTCTCAAGCCAAATCAGATCATCATGAGGGAAGTGTTGTCTCAAGACTTCCAGGTCATTTCGATGTCGATCGTAGATAGTCTTGAAGATGCTCTTAAGGCATGCGTCTATCAACCACATAGCTTCGTGGTAATGTCTGTTTATCGCCATTTCTAAATCTAGGCCCGTGTATTCGGTCATATGCCGCGGTGTGTTTGAATTCTCTGCGGAAATGTTAGACGACTCGAGATGACCAGATTGAATACTTACCAGCTCGAAAAACTGGACCAATCTCATACACTTTACCAAAATCTGCGGAGACACACATCTGTTTAGCCAGCTGAGGACTCTGTGCTAGGAAAGCTGGGCGACCAAAATAGTTGACCTGGAAGACGTCTGCTCCGCCTTCGGTGGCACCGCCTTGCAGTTTCGGAGTGTGGATTTCAAGAAATCCTCGATCTTCCAGGTAATTTCGGAACGCTCTGCAGACAGCAGATTGGATTCTGAAGATTGCCTGGGACGTGGGAGTTCGCAGGTCTAGGATGCGGTTGGCCAATCTCACCCGGTCGGCGATGGAGTGCCCGTCTGTTGCTGCCTCGGCCTCATAGACACTGAAGGGGACAGGGCTGGTTCTGGCGGATACGATATGCATCTCCATAATCTCCAGCTCAAGATGGTGTGCGCTGGATGACTTGACTGTCTGCTCGGGTTCTTTGACTCTGGCTTTGACCACCACTATCGTCCCAGACCGTATATGGTGAGCCCACCTCACCATGTTCTCGGATATCTGGCCTTGTTTCATGCTGAGCACGCCTTGGACCGTGGTTGTCTGTTCCCGAAAAATGACGAAGGCGAGTTTTGCGCTCATATGCCTCACAAGATGGATCCGCGCGCGAAAGGTGACTTCTTGGCCGATCGAGTCAGGAGTGAGATCGGTTAGAGATGTCCAGCCGGTATGTTCTCCATTTTCGGCGGCTTCATTCTGCGATTGCATCACAGGTAATTGACCGTAATGGCATTTGATCTTCGGAGGGTCATCGTTGTCGAGGAACTCATCCAAGCTTTTGGCGCTCTGGGCAGACGGAGTTGCGCTCGATGAGTCCGACCCCGACGCATCCTCACTGGACCAGCCACTTCCCTCCTGTTCTTCTATGCGACGGGCAATGTCGTCCTCTGACCCTCCGCGGACACCATTGCGGTCCCGGTTCAGCGATATACCCAATTCTGGCTTGTGGCGGTACAGCTTCTCGCGAAGAGTCGACAAGAGATTGTTCGCCGGCGCCATGTTGATGTGGCTGGATAGAGCCGCCGGGGTTTTGGGCTGTTCGAGAAGAGGAAGTGAGGTCTGGAGGAGGCTGGTCAATACATTCCCTGGCAAGTCAGAGGATGACTATATAGCCCGGCGAGAACAGCCGGGGCATATTACACTGCAGCCTAAGTCGAGCAGGAAGGCGGGTTGGTGCTACACTGCAGTGCAGTCGGTTCATTTGACGTCATTTCGACGGTTTAGAGTGTTAAGTGTGAAGCAACTCTGACACTGCCTGCGTCTCGCAAGCAAGTGCCGGGCCACTATCAACCGCGACGGCCTGAAACGTTGCCTCATGGCCGATGATCTCCCATTCCAGTTAAGGTCCATGATGCGGATGTCAAAAAGCGATAGAACTCGGCAGCCTGACTTGATGATGAAGTCACAGACCAGATGTGATTCTGTAATTCCCCCTGGCGGGATCCGCATCCGCATCTGCCAACCGAGGCACGGACAGTCAGTGGCCAGTGAGTTTCTCAAATAAAATACAAGTGTCAGGTCCCGGTGACGCCAAAACAGCTTCTTTGGGCCTGGTTCAGCAGCCTAGCATGGGCAAGGTCTCGATCTAAAGGCCCGGGCAGAGCCAAATGCTTGTCCCGAGATTGGCAGAATGCTTGTTGCTTGAAACTCGGTCGACTGACGCACTCTTGCTGCTATAAAAAGTCGACTTGACAATTAGATTACTCATAACCGAGGAAGTCGGGGCGGAGCTCCGTTTCATCCACGTGACACTCTATGGAGCCCGGCAAACCTGCCTTGCCAAACTATGCGGCCAAAAATTTGTCCCAATTGTTGCGGACCCTGAGGATTGCGATGTGGTAGATCCTGAAGAGGCATGCTACACAAATTTCCAGCTACAACACTCCTCGTCAAGTCAATCCAGAATAACTGAATCCGAGATTCGATTTGACTACGATGGCCAAAACAAAGTCGAAATCACCGCCGAAAGTGAAAGATATACTTCATTCGACCAACGCTCCGCTTGTCAAGTCTCTGCCCAAGAAGTCCTCACAACGGCCCATTGAAGATCTTCTTACCGAAGCCGCTGAGCTGCTGGAACAGTCTCAACCCGAACTCGCCCTTCCCCTCGCCGAAGAAGCCCTCCGCAGACTCGAGTCCGAAAGACAATCCACCAGCGAGGACAATGACATCGACACGCTCCTGCGCCTGGCCGCAGAAGGGAAGCCTACCCTCCCGGCAGCGTTGACACTGGAAGCCGAGATCCAGCTTGCCATGGGAAACGTGGATGCGGCTCGGAGAAGTTTCACGCGGGTAACCCAGATTGACCCGGATGGCGCGCTGGTGAGTGCGGAGCCGTGGCTGTGGTTGGCGCAGCTGTGCGAAGGTGGCGGCGGTGAGAGTATAGCAAACTTTGAAAAAGCGACAGAAGTACTACGCAACGAGATTGAAGTCTTGGAGGACGACGAGGCAAAATCGTTGGATCAGACGACCACGATCCTGGACGAGAAGAAGGCGAAGCTGGCCAACGCGTTGTGTGCCATGGCGGAAGTCTACATGACGGATCTCAGTTGGGAAGAAGACGCAGAGCAACGATGCGAAACACTGGTCACCGAAGCCGTGGCCGTGTGTCCGGAACGACTCAGCGCCGGAGTTCTGCAGACGCTCGCCAGTGTCAGGATAAGCCAGACAAGGGTCGACGATGCCCGCCAAGCCCTCAAGCGCAGCATCGACATTTGGAAGGATATCCCGCAAGAGATTGTTGACAATGACGAACGGCGCCCTGATTTTCCCACACGGGTCAGTCTGAGCAGGCTGCTTATGGAAGTCGAGCAGGAGGCCGAAGCGTTCGAAGTTCTAGAGGGCTTGATTCGCGAAGACGACCAGAGCGTCGAATGCTGGTACCTCGGCGGCTGGTGCCATGTTCTCATGTCGCAGAAGCCTGACGTCGTCCCCGAGACGCAGGCCAACAATCAAGAAACCGCAAAAACTTGGCTGGATAATTGCCTCAGATTATATCGGGTGCAACAGTACGAGGACGAGAGGTTACGGGACCATGCGGTTGAGCTTGTCCAGCAGTTGAATAAGATCCTAGGTGTGGAGGACCAGATGGACGATGACGAGGCCTGGGAAGATGATGAGGAGGAGGAAGATGGCGACGAGGATCTCGAGGTCGAGGTCGAAACAAATGGTCATGAGGATGGGGATGTAGAGATGAACTGAATGTCCTGCGCCGCAGAAGAGATATGCCTGAGCGCACTTTGGCTCCCATATCCACGTAATATCACAGTGCCAACGAAGAGCATTGTCTAGTTCAGTGTCTGCCACATCTTGCCTCTTCATCTAACGACGCACCGGAGTCACCCTTGGCCACGTCTCAACACTTCTCTCAAATTGCAGGCAGTACTAACGCTGGCACTGTGCTACTCGCATTGAGACAGGGGGAGAACTAACGGGTTCGGGTTTCCACTCTTTTGGATTCCAGCTTGTCGGAGTCTTTGCGGAGACTTGATGCCCGAGATGCTTTATCCTGCAACGGCCCGCAATCAATCCATCGCCATCATAGCCGCAAGATGTCGAAGTGTGGAACTACGATGGTGTCTTTGCGTAGGATACCTCGAACGGGAATTTCTACCCCAAGGAGACAGCTCTTCCAGATCAGTGTATTCCTTCAACTGCGATGACACATCACCCGCGATGACTCGAGGTTGAAGCGATTGAGCAGACTGCACATCCATATCAGAGCCTTCGGCGTGAAAGACAGACACGGGCGTAAGGTTGTGGAGGACCATTGCAATAGAACTCGGACCTTAACACACAGTGTTGCTGTCAGGCAATATATGTTTTGTCTCTCACACCGAACGCTTCAGTATTGCTCTGGACTGACAGTGGTAGGGACGTAGGGCGTGTTGTTTGTGTATGGCGATATGGTGCCTCAACTCCCGTGGAAACCGTCGAAGCGTTTTCGCGGATGTAACTCGACCCGTGACCAGGGCGCCAACTGAAGAGAATCAAGGTCATATGACAGCCTCGTCGTGACGTTCAGTCATCCTGCCATGCACTCTTCTTGACGACGTCTTGGGACCTGCTGCCCCCAATACCAACCTTGACCTTTGACCAGTCATTCTGTAAGGACGTGTCCCGCTCATTGGTCTCTTGTCTTGCATCTTCGAGATAGAATCGACCACCTTCGTAACATCCCAGATAGAGACCACTACCGATGGAAGTCCAACATGCACGCAGCAGAGCACCCCGGAACAGACCCCGTACTCCTTCAGCTTTGAGGATTTCTCGGGCCACATCGAATCCACTCTTGCCTGTGCCTCGTACGCCGTTCAAAAGCCAATTTGAAGACTTGGCCTTGAGGTCCTTTTTCGGCCCATCGTCCCCAGACCCAGCAGCGAGCATGATCCTCGTTTTGACGACATCAACAGGCGTGGTGATCCATGCAGCACCACTACCGGCAATACCAGCGCTCAGGGCGGTGATACGTGCGCGTTCAAATATTCCATCGACCGCTTGACCACCCTTTTTCAGCTGCCGTCTTTTCATGAAATAGCCCTTCAACGACTCGAATGCAGGAAACTGCAGTGCAGTGAACGGCAAGTTCCTCGCAGCCAACGCAGTATAACCCCTCCAAAGCCTCGCCGGGTGCTTCCTGAAGTGTCTGAGAACCTCAAGAGACGTAGACCGGCGTGTGCCAGCACTTAGCATTTGCGCATTTTGCTTCAAAACTTCCGCGGGTGTCAAGATGGCGCAGCTAACCAGCTCGGCGGTGCCACTTGCAACAGCATGAATGGCAGGTTGAGGGAGGTATATCGTAGAGTTCGGTGGTACCAAGTCCTTAAGACCGTACTTCAAGGCTTCATAAGTGGTGAAGAATGCGCCCGAGGAAGGGATCGTGATGAGGATGATGGAGCCAACGCCTTGGTACAATCCACGGAACAAAGACCGGTTTAATGTGCCATTGGAGTTTCTGTACAGCTTTTCATAGTCCTGCGACTGAAGCCGTGTCTTGAGGGTGTCTAGAGGATAAACGAGCAGATCAACCGTGAATGCAGCAAAAGCACCAGCCTGTGAATGTATGAGCAAACATTCGTCAATTCGAGCTGCTGGGCGCATCACTTACAAACCATATATCAAGATTAGTATTGGACGACATGGATGGCCAAAGGGCCTAGAAGACGCAGCAGGAATGTCAAAGAGAGATAGCAGTATCTATGTCCATGTAGAATACGTGAGCTGTTGTGAGGAAATATCAATGACATGGCCAAGATAAAAAAGGTATTTTGTCTGATCGTCATCCATGACATAGTATTATAAGCACGATATGTACTTTTATTGACCACCAGCCATGTTGGACGCTGCCCACTCTCTACTGTCAACTCCTCAGTCCCTGTACTTTTGATCCCTCATTGAGGCTGTTGCAGTCACAGACTCCTGCTTGGTTGAACATGACAGTCCTCGCCGGTTCCATGTGAAAATGGTCCCCGAAGTGTATCTGGGCGCCTAGTATCCTATAATGCCATGCGCTTCAAATCACAAGCACCGTAGATGTAAACACAGGTCATGTGCAGAAGATGAGCGGCCAGACCAACACAGGCACTCCCTCTCACTTCCTTTGCACAGGCTTCGTCTCCTCTTCTCACCTTTTCTCTATATTGTTCAAGTCGGCAAACCTCCCTCTTTTGAATCAGTGCTTCGGCAAACCTTCTGTATCAGTCACAAGTGTCTCGCTAAACCTTCCTTGTACAATTCATCGCAGTTCGCAAAAATGTCCCTCTCACCCACAAAGCAGAGTGACCACGAGCGGCAGGTTCAAGTGAGGAAGCCATTTACCGACGACCATAACTCGATTCTCACCGGTGAACAGTACCTCGTAAGACAACCGGTCGCAATCTACCTCGGATATTCAATCATGGCTACCACCGCTCCCATCGTCGAGTATGTTCTGGTCGCTCATTTCTAGATCCACAACTTTACTGACCATCGTCGCAGGAAAGACGCTCCGCTCAAGGCGGTCCAGCTTGAGGCGCTGGTGAGTTTCGTGTACAGCGAGGTCTTCTTGTATTGCAAACATCTTACACAGAGAACAGGTCGTCATGAAAGTCATCAAGCATTGCGCCAGCCGCTTCCCCACCACCGCGACCGGCAGTCTCGTTGGCATGGACATCAACGGCACCCTCGAAATCACCAATACCTTCCCTTTCCCAGTCGTCGATCTTCCTCCCGAGGCGCAATATGAGCAACAGCACTTCAATAGTGCGGCCGCGGCTCCACGGGCAAAATCCAACACTGCATACCAGACCGAGATGATCAGAATGTTGCGTGAGGTCAATGTGGATGCCAACAACGTGGGCTGGTACACAAGCGCAAACTTGGGTAACTTTGTCAACGCAAACTTCATCGAGAACCAGTATCACTATCAGAAGGAGTTGAACGAGAGAACTGTTGCGCTTGTCCATGATGTCAGCCGAAGCTCTCAGGGAATTCTCAGCATCAAGGCTTTCAGACTTTCTCCTCAGTTCATGACTGCCTACAAGGAAAACAAGTTCACCACCGAGAAGTATGGATGACCGCCCGAGCTGAAAATGTGCAGTGCTAACATGTTGGAATCAGCCTTCTCAAGTCCGGCCTGAAATACACCGACATCCTGGTCGAAATCCCGGTCACCGTCCATAACTCTCATCTTGTCAATACCTTCCTTCACCAAGTCCCGCGCATGCTCGCCTCTGGTGCCATGAAGCCCCCAACCTCTGTCGATGAGATTGAGAACAACCCAGTGGTGAAGAACGACACTCTTGCTCCAACCTTTGAATCATTGTCCATCAACATCGACCCATATCTCTCCCAGACCGCCGACAACCTTCTTGACTCGATTGAGACTCACCACGTCGAATCCAACAACTTCTCCTACTACCAGCGAGCTTTGGCTAGGGAACAGGCGAAGATCCAGCAATGGCAAGCGAAGCGAAAGGCCGAGAACGCAGCTCGTGCACTTTCCAAGCAGGCACCGTTGCCGGAGGATGAATGGCAGAAACTCTTCAAGTTGCCGACGGAGCCAAGTCGCTTGGAGAGCATGTTGAACAGTCGCCAGGTGGAGCAGTATGCACGACAGGTGGATGGATTCGTTGCAGCCACATCTGGCAAGATGTTCTCGGTCCGTGGCAATCTTCTTCCCGGTGACGGAAAGGAGGAGTGAATTGCGAGCAGCAATCGTGGATTGAGAGTGGGAGATGAGAGCGATCGAGACGACGAATGATTCGTTTCGAAAAAGGGTCCAACAAAACCAGCGAAAATGCGTCTAGTTAAGCAGCGAGCTAGATCGGCTCGTGCTGGACTGACATTAATGAGCTTGAGATGACCTCTACCCAAATTAGCATAGAATAGCATGGGCCAGGCGTTTTGGCGTTGTTGCTGGAGGCCTCCCCGACCGGAAGAGAGGCATGCTTGGTTTGAGTTCCGGGAGGACACCGTGGTCATCTTGATGAGCTTCAAAAAGTTAGGTACGGAGGGCTTCTCAAGGGCATGGTCAGAAAAGAAAGAAGAACCGAGGCAGTCGAGAAGTGCAAACAGCGACATCACTGGCATCCACTGCCAGTATGGACATGAATCTGGGAAAATGAACATTTGAGGGCACGCCAGCAACATTCCCCCGTGCGCGCTTCAGGAGAATATTGAGCGATATTCTTCGTGCTCGACGTCTTGTCAGCAGCGTCAAACTCGACAGGCTTACCATCGCCGTCAGACATTTGTTCGATATATTTTAGCTTTGTCTCGACCATCAACGCAACGATGGATTTCTCATGCTCCTCTGATGTGGTACTCTTTCACCTGGCCACTGGATCAAGGTTATAGGAGTCCTTCGTCTGCTTTTGCTCCATCCGTCTCGTTTTTCTCTTCGGTTGAAGCCAGCGGCTCTCCTGGTGTGTCACTGAATTTTGCCATCATCAAACTCCAAGATGATCCCGCCATGTCATGCCATCTGGGATAGGCCTGGATCGCATCCTGTTTGGCATCATCCACAGATATACGTTGTCCCGAAACTCCTCTGTATCAACATGTAGTCACCAACTGATCCTTCTCCCCAAACACCTCGTGTAGGGATGCAGATGAAAATGAGACTGCTGTAAGCATGTAGCCTGTTTCCTGAGTATGTTGTTCAGCTCAGTATATCAGTGAAATCGAACTGTATCGGAATGTCAGCTGGATTTCCCCACAAAGATGAAATGCTCCACCCCGGCCAACGTGCTTCCACCATTCCCCTGTACTTGACGTCTCTTTAGACTTCAGCCAACCATTCTCACAGGCTGGACGTTCACGCATTTCAGGGATATATTTCTCATCGCGTAGGCCCGTTCGTGGACTGTTGACCCCTGGAATGATCTTCAAGACGTGACCATGGACAATGTCTTGTTTCCAGAAAAGAGAGTGGTGTATTCGAGGACCTTTCAGTCTTGTGGAGGGTAGATCCGGGCGTTGATCCGGGCGTTGAAAAGGGCGGCTCGGTCCTTTCCAGCAGACAAGGGAGCATGTAACTTAGTGGAAGAGGGAGAGTTTGATTCGACATCGGGTGTAGACTGTACAATAGCATAGAAACAGTATCTCTGCTGTATAAAAGGGACGTTGTTCCGAATCTCGGCCATTCTTCAGAGGTGGAATATGAAATTGAGGATCTGATAGTAATTTGTGTTTTTAATGCCGCAGCAAATGCAATGGATTGGCAGCAAGGAGGTACAACAAGCGGACAATGTGTTCGGCCGTAAACAAAAAGAGGACGAGGAAGAAGTGTTCAGAAAAGCTGTCAAGTAGAACTCAGCCCAAGAGGTAGGAACAGCGCAGGCAAAAGGAATACCTACACTTAGGAGAGTAGAGATCGACTTAGTTATTGTTCTTCAAGTCGCAATGCAGCAATTCGATCTCTATATGTCTAGCATGCGGAAGCATCTGCTTCAAAAGTCGCAGGAAGACGTACACTGAATGCCAGATAAAAACAGATTGATGGTGATAGAAGAATGAAACGATTGGGAAAACTGAAAGTCGAGCAAGCAGGTTGTTAGGTGGAGGGAGGATCAAGAGGGAGCAGGGCCGCCACTGCTGCTGCTGGAGGCACCGACGACAAATGATCAGGCATCGATGCAGAGCTGAGGCCGATGCAAGACCTTCAAGTTAGGGGCTCATTGGGGGCACTGTGCTGCCTGTTTGCGCTTTATAAGCCTTGCTCCCCATAAGCCTTGTTCTCCGGTGTAGACGAAACGCATGTTCGCTGCGTGCTGGACTTTCCCACTGCAAACCCTGCGCCCCTGTTCTGCCTGCTTTTTGTAAGGGTCCAAGCATGGTATGTCACCACCCCCAGGCGAAACCACTCAATCTCGCAGCAACAACATCCCCCACAACCACCTCTGGATCAAGAAGGAATAGGTAGGTATGTTCAACATTGCTGTATGTACTGTAGAACTGTAATCAAAATGGCCTTCCTCGACAATGCTCCCAGCGAAGCCATGATGCATGGTAGGGCGAGCGTGTCCGCTAGAGGGTCTTCATCCAACTCACGCATCACACCGTGACTCCTCCGTACACCGACTTGGACCACAAACGACCCCAAGCTCAGCAAAGTTCGCCAGCCACTCAAATGAATGAAAACCTTCCCCGTCGTAAGCTCGTTAAAAGTTCGAAAACCTTGAAGTCCACCCTACTCTTGAGTTCCCCAAGGTATCTCTGGGGGCGAACCCATGCCCTGACGTTTTCTGTGAAGCGAAGATGCCGGACGCTGCAATTTCCGAACATCAGGACGTTGCCACCTTGTCCATCTGCTGCTGCTTCGCAAGCCACAGAGAGAGGGATTGGCTTTCCGTGCTGCTCCGTGTCGGATTTGTAACGGCAGACGCATGATATACTTTGAAGCTCCATAGTATGTTCCTTGATGACTCAAGGAGAGAATGAGGCTTGGTTAGTTCCAATTGCGGGCTTCAGCACTTTGATCGGCGTCTCGAGCTCTCCTTTCTGCTTCGGAGCCAGAGTTGAGCAATTGGTTCTGAGTCTGCTTTTTCTGGCTGGACAGTTGGGCAGAGAGTTTTCCTCCTGCCCTGTTTGCTTTGGCAGCCCGTTCCTATAATGGGAATAGATTAGTTGATTGATTCCTGTATCGGGGCCGTATCCACATCGGAGGCCAGTCAATATAGACTTTTTCCCTTCCCTCTACAGATTGGGCGATGGCTTGCGTCACTCGCACCGTTGGGAGGCAAAAAAAAAATGCAGCAATCAACGGCGCGGCTTACCTCAGCTGCTCTTGCTGCGGCGCTTCTAGCATCGTCCGCACGGGAGGAACTATCTGGCCCTCCAAGTGTTCGGCCAGGCGTGCTGGAAGTCAGTTTCGGGGGAAGAGGGGCTGTGGTAGGCTTGTTCTGAGTGGAGGGATTTGGACCGCTACCCTCAGCTAGAGTTCTTCCGGGGGTGGAGAAGGGATCCGGCTTGTTCGCGGATTTTGAGCAGATGTTGCCCATGACGGTCGAGTGTGGAGTCCCTCAACCGACAGAGAGCTTGGTTCTGCAAAAGTACAGCCTGGCGGGGGCCGAAGAGAGAAGAACGCGGCCGTAGCGCCAGTCACGAATCTGTCCAAGTTGAGTTGGATGCAACGTAGTACCTGATGCAACACAGCAAGGTGACGAGAAGGACGAGAAGTTGATGCCTGCAGTGCAGTGGTGAGCGAGAGACTCGGAAGGTAGAAACGGAGGCTCGGAGGGAAGTTTGGCGACGCTGCTTGGCGATTCGCGGACCGACTGTTGATGGCCCGGGATTTACCCTTGTAACAAACACGTCACGTACGGTACCAATCACAGCGTGACAGCCTATACCAGCCCTCTTTGGAAGGCGCGTCTCCTGTCACATTCTGTATTCGCACGCAATGCAAGGCTGCAGCTACGATCACTCAATTCCAACGTCACCTGCTCTACCAACAAGTGCTGCAACCGCGAACACGTCGATTCTTGTCAGGTCGTTCGGCATCACGAGGACGCAGTCAAACCAAGTGAGTACCGAATGTTCATGGCAAGGCCAAAAGATCTGTGCTGTTTCTGTTGTCCAACTCTGGGCCTGTTACCTTTGACCATACTTGGTAACGGGACCAACGGTGACCAACGATACCGTCGTCGTCGTCGCCGCCGACACTGCCTCACTACAAAGACGTTAAACCTTGCCTGCCGACGTTTGACTCCACCTGTGGCTTGCTCCACCATTTTGTCTTTCTTCAGCGAACCGTCCGAGATCTCCTCCCCTGTCTGATTGAGGCTGAACATGATCGTCGACCGGGATCAAGGTCGAGCCCAGTTCGTGAGCAGCCTGGCGATACTTTGCCTGTTTCGGCCTTGGAGCAAAAAGATGGGCTGCGTTGTTGTTGCAAGGATCATGGGGGTCCTGGCAATCTCGCCAGAGAGGAATCAGGCTTTCCAGATGCTGGCCCTCTCGCTCAACGTTCGAAGATTTGCAGTCCTAGCAGTGGCTGGAGCTCCTCCGTAATGGGGAAGGTCAAGACGGGATTTGCATGCAACGTGACTACCAAGGGCTGCAAGAGGCCATCGGTTATTGAACTCTCTCAGCGGAATGGATGTCCGTTCCATGCCTCTGCATTTGGAAGCTTCTCTTTGGCTCCTTTCCACCAATTCCGGAGGATACTTTCGCGAGCATGGTTCATCCATTCCACGATGATTATGTTGCATTTCCCGCCGCATTGCTGGAATCAGGTATCTCGACATTGTGTTCCAGGCGATTGCAAAGGCAATAGCGATCAGAGTCATTGTTGGGCGATCTTCATGGCAGGCTCGATCCCCCAGGTATATCAGACACCCTTTTCGTCCCTTCTCTCGTTGCTTCTCCCTCCTCTGTATCTCTCTCATACACCACTTACACACACACTTACACACACACTTACACACTCACACACATTCACACTCACTCACTCATACACACACATTCACAGTCACACACACACACACACACACACTCTCTCTCTCTCTCTCTCTCCGTCTCAGTCTCTCTCGACAGAACACATTGGAGAACTCCCAGCAAACAAACGACAACACACAGCACACATTCTCTCCTCTCACTCTCTCACTCTCTCTCGAGAAGACGCCAAGCAGAAAACAACTCCAACCAAGCTTGAAAGGTAAGTGGACTCTATTCACAACTACCTGGACATGTCACTGGCTTCCAGGAGCCTGTGACACCCTTGTGTTCTTCATGCAACAAAGCTGATACTCCCCAGACAAGATGCCGGGCCCTCACAAGTGCAACGAGTGCACTGCGGAATACACCACCCCGCGTGCGCTCCGGGAGCACAACAAGTGCAAACATCAGGGCCAGAAATACCGCTGCCCCTATTGCAGCAGGGAGTGCAACGATGCCTCCGACAACAGCAGGCACAAAAAAGCGTGCAAGCTGCGACCGGCCGCCGTGGCAGTCCACAAATACGTCTGCGCGTGGCACTCGTGCACGCATAGCGGCGACCGCAACGACAACGTTGCGAGGCACATGAAAGCATGTGCCTTGAAACCTGCCAACTTGGTAGGTACGAAACGGCCTATCAAGGTCCATTCCCGAGACTTGGTTGACAGCGAAATCCCCGACGTCAGCCATCTGCAGGTTGGGGCGCCCCTGCCCCCATTGGAGCGAGCGGAAGAGCCAATGGCTTTTCCTGGAGGGTTGAATGGAGCTCAGTACGCTCCAGTCCAATACGCTCCGCTTGTCGACGCTGAGGAGGACGTGATGGTCCCTCCCATGGCCCTTGCGTCCTCCTTACTGGAGAACGCCAATGACTGGACAGCACCCGAAGATCCTGTCCTCCAGGAACTCGCCGGCGGCTTCCCTGGTTTCGATCAGGGAGCAGGCCTCGCCGCAGAGGCAACGGCCATTCCATCTCAATCCAATGAGATGGTCTTTACAGGCGTTGTCGGGTTGGCGGAATCATCTACCAACCCAGTCCTAGGGCAGGGGATTGACCCCCGCCTTCTGTCCCTCACACCGTCCGAGGGCAATCAGGAGTCCGACTGGTGGTCCTCGGTGTGAAGGAACAGTGGAAGGTCTCGGGGGCGCTCCAGCTTCAGTGGGCACCAAGCGCATTTATCTCCTCGGGCTCTACCAGTGGCATTGACTTGCAAGCCTCAACCTCAAACACCAATCCAGCTGCCTGCCTCAAACCTCACCTCAAAAAGCTCTCGCACGACACAACATGAACCAAGAGCACAGAGCTCGTGCTCTGCAAAGGCAATCCTCAAGCAATTACAACGGGCGGTCTGCTGAAGCCCTTGAACATCATCATCATGTTCTTTTTTCTACTCATCACCCATCTCGACTTCCTCTGCTCTCCACACACTCCAATCAGTCGAAAGCAAATGCTTCCTTTCTTCAAATCTATCCGACAACAACTCCTCCAACTCCTAGGGAAGAGGGTGGCTGGGTGGCTCCATAGGAGACTTCCTCTTTTCACATCAACGTTCACATCGACATCAACCACTTTCAGCACGCCGCAACCGATATCAAGACATCCTTTCCTGGGTAAGTGGGTGGTAGGGTGGTACCCAGGGAAATCTTGTGCTTTGACCGCCGCCATCTCGACGCTTCTCAAGGCAGTACAGCAATTCAAACCGACCTAAACCGTTACTCTCTGGGAAAGTGGGTGTTGAGGGCGGTGCCCAGAGAGTCTCCTCTCCAGCGCCTAACTATGCCTATTATGGGTACCCCCGGAAGGATGTTCAGGCCCTGTGTGCCTCTTCATCACTGCTTGTGGCCCCCATAGCCTGCCTCTCCAACCCAACACTCACCCGCGTCATCGGCACCTGTCTAGCCTAGACAATGGCCCAACCAACTCCCTTCAGGCACTAATCGGTTCCTTCATCCCCAAATAGGGCCATGCCGACGCCTCACGCATGCAATAGCTGCCTATCTGGGCTTACCGATGCCCTCATCAACATTCCAAGTTACAATATCCGAGAACTGAGGCCAGCAGCATCCATGGAGCATCAGACTGCCCTTACCCTCCCGTCGATTGCAAACTCTATTTCTCACCGTGGGCTGATACGCGAGAGTGTAAGTCCGCGCCTCTGACTGCTGTTTGCTCACTGTCAACAGCACATGGCCGACACGCAGTGGCAACAACACAATCAGCGCTACCTCTCCTTTCCCTTCCCCTCGGAGTCTCCTGGGCAAGAGAGTGGATGGGCGGTGCCCAGGAGATTCATGTCCTTTGCTCTCACCCTTTCCGGACCAGCCTCTCACCATTCTGGCAGTCCTCCATTATCGGCATAACTTCTCCTCGATCCGTCACCGGAGACGCCTTGTGCTGCGACACCACTACATCTCTCACAACCTGTACCGAGAAAGTGGGTGGGACGGCGGTTCTCAGGACATCTTACTTGGAGATTCCTTGATACTTGAGACAACATCTCACTGTTGCTGGCTTTCGCTAACATGTATCACTCGGCGTTGACAAGGGACCATTCCCATAGACGACTTCAATCATCCGAAAAAGTCGTCTCCGTCAACTTTGACCTCCCCGTCACCATCTCATTATGGCCACTGACAAATATTCAACCAGGCTTCCTGAGCAGCGGGTGGCTGGGCGGCCCTCAGGAGGTCATTGTCAATTGGCCGTCCTCTTCGGGTGAGTATCTTGTTGTCGCTACCTCCTTCTCATAACTTGACTTCCACTGACGACGTCCAGACTACCAACATCCCGAATCCGACATTCTCCCTGGGCAAGTTGGCGGTTGGGTGGTGCCCAGGGAGTCCTTGCTATCATCCCAGTCATGGTGAGCATTTGACCCTTACTACCTCTACAAGCTGGATGGTGCTAACTTAGTACAGACTCCGACTACCAATGTGACCGCATCCCGTCTCCCACATTCTTTCTGGCAGTGGCCGGCTCGTTGCTGCCCAGGAAGTCCTTGCTATCCTATCGTTGAGCTCACGGCAAGTTTAGCATCAGTGCTATCTCACCGTTGCAAACAGGACTCACTGCCCTACCGCATTCGCCAATATCGATCTCCAACATTCTCCCGGGCAAGCGGGTGCTTGGGTGGTCACGGAAAAGTCCTTGCCAGCCTACCATCGCCTTCACGGCAAGTAGGCTCTCTGTGACCATCTTGTTGTCACAACAGGAGCCACTAACCAACTACAACCTACCAACATTCCGTCTCCAAGGTGCGATAGATTTTCTTTGCAAGTGACTGGCTGTTCTGTGCCCAGTGAGTTCTTATTGTCCTGTCGTCGCTTTCCCAGCAAGTGGGTTACAGCTACTGTCTCAATTCCACAGTTAGGACGGTCCTAGCCTACTGCACATCACCAATATCTTGTCTCCGATATACCTCCTGGGTAATTGGGTGGTTGGGTGGAACCCAGGAGGTCGTTGTCGTCGTTCTACTCTCGCTTTCTCAATATGGACCATGCCGGTGTTACATCAATGTCACAAGCTTACACCCATACTAAGACATGACAGGTCACTAGCATCTCGCCGTCAGCATCCTTCCTGGGCAAGTGGGCGGTTGGGTGGTGCCCAGGAAGTCATTGTCACACAGTAGTCACTTTCCCAGTAAGGTCATGCCACAGTTGCAAGGTCGATCGCTAACTTATCACACAGTGCACACTAGCAACATATCGCCTCAAATTGGTTGTTCTCGCGAGTCGCAAGACTCATGTAAAATCTCATCCCATAGTATACACTATTGGATGATTGCTAACTCTGGAATGAATCTCTTACATGGTGTCTCTTGATGAGCTTCCGGGGTATGTTCTCGTTGTATCCGTGATCTCCTGGATGGTTTCTAACTCCAGAAGTTCGCACACAGCTTCTCCTCGTGAGCCCTGATCGTGGGCCCGAGAGTTCGAATTAAGTAAGTTTTCGTTTTGTATCATTTTTGGATGTGGCTCGCACTAACAAGTGTCCTCAGGTAGATCGTCGTCCGTCGCGCTTTTTCTTTTCGTTGCGTTGTCCCTTATGCAGAAATGGGATTCTAGACAGAACTTGTTCCCTTCATTGACCACATGAAGAGGAGACTTGTGATCGTGAAGGGAGTATTGTGCGATCACTGGGCGTCTCAAGTCCTCGACTGCAACAAACCCAATTTCATCCTCATCGTCTACTATGGGTCAGGGTGTTCATGCCCCTGCCCACTGGATAATGTCTACTGTGAATGACGACGCCTCCTCCTGACATTGCTGCTACATCTGACCGCCATAAGATCTCGTGAAGTTGGCATTTCCAGTTCTACGGATTCCAGAATCCCACCAGCAGAAGTCAAGGCATAGAGAATGCTGTTAACCCGACAGAAGGACGGCGTAGAAAATCTCACTTCAGAGGCTTGATCAACACGTTCTCGCTGGAGCCGTATCCAGATTGAACTGACTCAAACAGATTTCTATGCTCCAGATATGGCAACAAATTATCCATCCTTCTATAATTTGGCATTAACATCGGCATCACCATCGTCGCTGGAGATATTGGTGAATCCCTTGACCTTCTGCAGGTCCATGATTTGATTCGGACCGCCAAAGCGACCCTGAGTATCTTCCCAGTTCCTGCCAACAGCAGTCTCGGGCCTCCATTTGAACGAATCCTTCAGCTTAGGATGCAACTTCCCTTCGATAACATCGGCAATATACCCTCCGACAGCAGGGATATGCATGAATCCATGACCGGAGCCACCAGCACCGATAATCAAGGAGGGATGATCGGGATGTCTATCGATCAGAAAAGACCGGTTTGGGGTATCGGCACACCAGCACAAACGGCCTAGCACAAAAGGTCTGTCTGCCAGTTGGGGCATGGTCTCGCGCAGGAACTGGCGACAACGCTGTTCGGCATCAACTGGGAGTAGGTCAACCGGTAAGGCAATGCTCTGCCTAGATCCATCCAGACGCTCAACCCAGTTGCAGTAGCCAGGATGCTCGTCGCACATTTTGAGTTGATGCTTATCCTCGTCCGGTTCCATGAAGAAGCCCTTTTCGATATGGAACAAGACGGGCAAGTTCTTGAACAGTCGCGTCTCGTCGGGCGTCATCTGAATATGAGCCAAGGTCCAGGCGGTCGGCCGTAACTGGTCCTTAAAATCGAGCAACTGGTTGGCATTTGCACCGGCACAGAGGATGGTTATATCAGCCAGGATATCGCGGCCCTCTTTGGTCCGGACGCCCTTGACGTCGCCGTTGCCAAAGATAAACTCAGTCACCTCTGCGACCACGAATTTGGCACCCAGTCTTTGCGCCTCGTTGAAACACGACTCCATCGCCTTGCGTGCATGCACCCAGCCTGCACCGGTCTGTTTGTACAGGCCCTTCCAGCCGGGGAACTCGCCCTGCAGAACACCAGCGGGCATGGTTTTGCGGAAGGATTCGGCGTCCTCCAACTCGACGAACTCCGGGTTCAGGTCGGGCCGCTCGCGGTCGTGTAGCTTCTTGAGGCCGTCCGGTGAGCTCGCAGCCACAATGTATCCCGTGTCGTGGAAGTACGGGGTGAAGATCGGGTCGTGCGTCCAGCCTTCCATTGCGGTTCGAAGGAGATAGCGAGAAACCCACGCCTCGTCGTCGCCTTCGGAGAAATTGCCTTGTTCAACAATCTTGTTCACGTCGTTTCCTGCGGATAGAGGTGATGGCATTGGATACGGATCGACCAGGGTAACATTCTTGTAGCTTCGTCGCAGGAGGTGCAGGGCTGTTGATGATCCCCAGGTCCCTGCTCCGACGATGAGGAAACTTGATGACTTTGTGACCGGCATTGTAGAGAGATATGAAATGTTTATCAATGGTGTTAGTTTTCGAGACTTGTGATTGATGGACTGAGCCGTTGACTTGAATCTCAGGTTATATCAAAAAGTCTGTTGTTCACTCTTGGTCAGAGGTTGAGTTGATCGGTGCTGTTGACAGTGTAGACTGGAGGATCGAGCTGTAGATATTATGACTACTAGTATATTCGGATCCAATGAGAGGGGATGGGTAACACGTTAGGTAACTTGATATATAAGAAAATATCTTCGCCGTCGCCTATGAGATAATCAGGTTTCGTGAATTTCGGCAGAATAAATCGAGAAGGATGAATAACGGTCATCATTTGTTTTTCTTCGCCATTTGGACCTGACTGTGCTTTATCTTCTAGAGTCATCAAGCTACTCCTGACTGCTGTCAACTGTCGACCTTCCCGATTTGATGCCCATCAATTTTCTCCACTCCCGCCCGCAGAACCGAGGGAAAAGTGGCTCCTATGGAAAACCGGAGGACGATAGAACAAGTCTCAAAAGTGGGATATCGAGAACTGAGCAGGTCCAAGCGAAACCCTGACAGCCACCAAACCACGCATCTTACAACAGTACATACACTTCCGGCATGAAACGCGAACGCCCGTCTGGTGACACATGGCAATGCGAGAAAAAGACTATGTTGTGGATTCAGCTTTGGTGTTGGTTCGCAGCACCGTGTTTGATGTGCTTGATGACTTCATGTCAAACATTCGCTGGACCTCTATTCCAGCTCCCTTGTACTACTATGACAAGATGTGGCTCAAGCCTCATTTTGTACAGATCTGGCTCTGGAATGAGGAAACACCAGAGCTCAAGGATTCTCTTCTGATTGGGCTTCGAAGGGTGAAGAATGCGAAATCTGTTCTCCTCCCACCTTCTTCCGCCTTTTGCACAATATCGCATCCTCCAACAAGGCTCCGCCCAACGAGTTCACCAAGAGGATCATACAGCTAGACGCGGCTGGGCTCGGCTCGACACCAATCAATAGCCCAAGAATCTGTCTCTCTCACAGCTTCTTCTTGGATTCTTTGAGTTCTATTTCCTCGCTCCCTCCTCTTCCCGCCCGATCTCTTCTCTTCTCTCACGCTTGGTGTCGATTACAGCACGTATCTGAACGCCAAGTTCTCTTTATCTGTCTTGTCATGAAACCCTTCCAATTCTCCGTCGACTTCCTGGATTTCGCCGCGAGCCAAGGCTGCGTCACGCTTCTTGTTCTCTCGAGACATGTAAAAGCGAAGACATATGTTGAAACAGATCTATAAATGGGGATTGGATATTGTCAGCTCAAAAAGATCTTGGAGTTAGCGTTGCAGGCGACAGGAAATTGGTAGGCTTGACAAATACATGCCGAGATGTTGACATGTAGTCCTCGATCAACAGAAGTCCAAAGTGTGAAGCGGGCTGCTAATGCAAAAGATGAAGACTTACGCTCAATCCAAAACAAACAAGCAGACCAGTGATGGCGGACTTGTAGACAGGTGCTTCACGGGGGAAGAAGATATGAGGACCGATCAGATTGCCGACCCCAAAGGCGGCAAAGATGACCGCATTGACGAATGATCGTTTGGTATGTCCGGCAAAGTTGGAGGCCGTAAGAGTCCAGCTGAACAGATTGGTCACGCCAAAGATGAATTGCAGCCAGGTACAGCCGAGCAAAGCCCATTTGTTGCCCGGAGTTCGATCGATGAACCGGATTCCGAACAGTCCAGCCACGTTGGGGATGTTTGCGGCGATTGAGATGTAGATGATGGTGTTCGGTATCTTGGTCGCAATATAGCCGAGAATGGGTTCGATCACGGCCACGAAGGCTCCGGTAGGCATTTGGAGGAGGACAGTGTCCAGGTCGCTGAAGCCGAATCCTTCAATCAAGGGAGATGCAAAGGACGAGACGCTGGAGTTGGCTGCAAAGAACACATTGGATTAGCCATGAGAAGAAAGAAGCTTCAAGGTAATAGATGTGCAGTTTGTCCTGAGCCTTGATTGGTGTCTGTTGAGGTGGTGACTTACAAATACCGTTGGTGATTTGGAAAGCAGTCAAGAGCCAGAGCTTGGGGTCGGTCAGGGCCTCTTTGATCTGGTGGGGTTTGAGCTTCTTGTCTTGGATGCCGATTTTGTTGGTGGAAATGCGGTGGATGACAACCAGCTTCTGGCGACGTGTCAACCATCGAGCCTCGGTTGGTGTGTTAGGGACGAGCCACCAGAAGACGGCTGCCCAAACGGTGGTGACGGCTCCGACAAACTATTTGCATTCAGATGGTCAGCCTACAAGAGACGGTGAGGTCATGAGTGGCAGAGGGGAGCGTTGATCGTCTTGAAAGCCCTCAGGGCCAAGCGCAAGGACGTTTCATTCGGTGCTTAGTACTTACCAGGAAGACAAGTTTCCAGTTCGACACGGAGCTGTGACTGTTCCCGAGACCATAGGAGACGATGGACAGCATAACCACACCACTCCCGAAGGACGATTGCCAGAAACTGTTTCGGATCGGAGTCTCTTCTCGCTTGTAGAAAGAAGATGTGATGATCATCATGGTGGGGGTGATGCCGACTTCGAGGCAGCCTGATTGTTTCGGAATGTCTGTCAGTTCCATGATCACGGACCTCCTACAGTTGAACGGGATATCTCACCCAGCAGGAATCGCAGAACGGCAAATCCGGCAAATGAGTTGGCCACACAGCACATGAGGGTTAGGAATCCCCAGGTGAAAATGAGACTGGTGGTGTAGGTGGCAACCGGTAGTTTCTGGAGGAGGAGCGTTGATGGATATGCCCACTACAAACAACAGAAAGCTGGTCAGCTGGTGCTGTCGTTGCTATCTGAGTGGTCGTGGTTGACTTACAAAGAGGTATCCGAAGTAGTAGATACTTGCCAGCCAGTTGTAATCTCCCGGAGTCATGTGCTGTTGCGAAGAGGATTAGCTCGTTAAATGTAGATGTTTCCAACGACAGGCGCAGACTGCTCACCGTGTCTGGCAGCAACTGGTAGGCGTAAGCGTATCCGAGAACGGAATTGTCCAGGAATTGCATGGCATAGGTGAAGCAAATAACAGGCATTAGAATCAGGTCACATCTGCGGCGCACAGCCTTGCTCTCCGCCTCCAGCTCTCCCGGAGGAATGGTTCTCATCTCTTCGAACCATCCGAGTGCGATGTCAACTCCTTCGGGAAGGACAATGTCGACTCCGTCCTGGATACTGCCCTCCTTCGAGGAATGCTTTGATGGCGCTGCAGGCTCAGCCTTGCTGGTGATGGTGTCCACTTTCTCCGACATGGTGGGATTGGTGGGCGCGCTTTGTTGATGCCGGTTTCGGTATCTTGGAGGCTTGTCTGGCCCCCTGTGACAGAGGGAGATGAAGACGAGATTGGAAATGAAGGGAAGAAAGGTTGCCAGTGAGCAAGAGGTCGACTGGGAACGGGGATGAGGCGACGATACTTGGGTGGTGGTTGCCTCGGCCCTTTATGTATGTCGCATTGCTGCATCTCCCGACGAGATTCAATGCTAGTACCACCGACCAGTCGTTGTCTTATCTGAGGGTGTTGGCAATAGGCCATGTACCTCAGATCACTCAAGATAAGCTGTTTCGACGAAATGCCTGTCAATTGATTGGAATGAGAGGTACACCCGATGCTCGGCAGCGAAAAATAGCGCTCAAAGAGAGAGCTGGAGAGAATATAGCTTGACGCCCGAGAGACTAGGACTCCCTAAATTCCGTCCCATGCGTCCTCGCGCCAATCAGCTGTCGAGGAATGGAGGTACCCCAGGTCCTCGGCAGGTTGCTCGCCGCCTCGCGGATTAGAAATGATAGAGACGATGTTCCGCATCTGTGGTGAGTCTGAGGGGAAGCGGCACTGGGGGACTGATATCTCTGGCGTTTGATGGCACGAGAGCCTGGAGGTGACAGAAAGTGGGTAAAATGAAGCTGCTGCCATTGACCGCTTGAGCTCGCTGGGCTGTCTTGGATGAGTCTAAGGAGGTTGATATGAAGGTACAACCGATATGGACCAGTCTCCACTTTTGACCGTTTGATACTGCGCTATACCCGATCGGGGGGTCCAGTCTACTTCTATATCGGGACAATCGGCGTCAAAACGAACCTTATCACTTGCGGACCCTTTGAAGGTCCAACCGACATTCTACATCGAGGTCGGACGAGCAGGAGGGAGAGAAAGAGACGCTGGGACTGATAAGGTCATGGATCTGTTGCCGCTAGGGGACTCACCTGCATGTCGTGATTATGCACGAGAATGGACCAGAGCCCAGAATACAAGATAGACACCATCATTGTTGAGATGATACTAAGCGAAGATTGACGAGTGGCTGTTGCTTTATGGACACGACGAGCACCGGGTTTGCAGGTCTGCTAGTTATCTAAGGGCCGCAGAAGGGTCCGTATCAATCTCTGGTCCTAGACTTTCCGTCATCGAGTAAACAGCAGTGATCCTGGTCGTTGATACTGACCTCTAGCATAAGCAACAACTGGCATACAACTAACGAAATGATTGAGGTCAATTGTGTTGGAGAGTCTTTCGAGGTGAGTCTCGTGGCGTGTCCAATTCAAGGCTCCTTGTGATCTGATGTTTTGGTCTCAGATTGGCTTTGAGCATGGGACAAAAGCCGCGCCGCAAATCGCCAGTACCATATCTTTCTATGCCGACTTGTTCCAGAAGAAGTGTCACCTGAGTTGGAAGCAAGCATGCTCCAAAGCCAACGGGTTTGCGCCTCACATCCATGAGAACTACCCTCACCTAGAGATTGAGATGCAAGGGATAGCCCAAGGGGCCGGTGTCGCCTACGAGGAGATTCTGGCTCTCAATGTGAGATCTGAGCTGTTTTTCGGGGCTGCTCTGGACGGCTGCACTGCTCTTTCCTGGAAGACGGGAGCAACTTGTTATCTGGCCCAGAATTGGGACGTAAGAATGCCCCTTTGAGACTATTATGCCAGCCCACAGGCCTCAAACTGATTGATCATTGTCAACGTCAACAGTGGATGGTTGAACAAAAGCCAAACCTTGTGCTTCTACGACTCGTCCAGAAGAATAAGCCAACCATCCAAATGGTCACAGAAGCAGGCATGATTGGGAAAATAGGTAAGCAGAGACTGCGCCCCATGCCACTTTCTGACTCTGTGGGTTGTCACTGATCTTCCTGAAGGTCTCAACTCTGCAGGCATAGGTCTTTGCGTCAATGCAATCCGTTGCGCAGGAAGCGATGTCAACCGCACCCCCATTCACATCATGTGGCGGGTGATTCTGGAGAGCACTTCAATTGCTGCTGCTGTGGAAGCCATCAACGCCCACGGGTGCGGAGGGGCATGTCATATGCTGATAGGAGACCAATCGGGGAGCATTGGAGTCGAAGTCACGCATCGAACTATCAAATACTTGCAACCAGACGACAAAGATCGAATCTTCCATAGCAACCACATGTTAGAATCACATCCTGGTACGGACATGCTTTGGGTCAACGACAGCTTGAGCCGGGTCAAGAGAATCCGCCAACTGGCAGATAAGTTGCAAGATGATGTGACTCAAGACTCTCTACAAAAGTTTCTTTGTGACGAAGAGAACTATCCCTGTTCAATCAATCGAGATCAGAGGGGCGAGAGTGATGCCGCCAGCATCTTCAGTATCACCATGGACCTCGGCAAGATTGAGGCGAAGGTCTTGCTGGGACGTCCGAACAAGCCTGAGAAGACCTATGTACTACGCCCTAGGACATTGAGTTAGATACCACAATATATCTATCATTCCTTGATGGAGTCGGAGAAGAGCAGATTCACTTGTGGATAGCATTGGAAAATCACATAGTATCTTAATATTGAGGTGTTGTCCAGGCCAGTCGATCATGACTCTTCCGCTATTGATAGCAGGCAAATTCCTTGTCGTCCCAGAAATTAATCTCTCCCTTGAAATTAGGGGTTACCTTTAAAACCAAATTTGCTATCACAGAGCCAGGCTGATGAGGCTCCACCAGTCGAGGCGTGATGTTCTCAATGTATCTTTGGAGCTCCTCCTGAGTCATGCCGTTGTTGTCTAGATATGAGGTGTATAGTCAGAAACCTTCCTCTGCAAGTCCTTGGAAAGATATACTTACATCCACCCTTCAAGATCGCTTGGACCATAGGAGTGTTGACGACGCCTGGATACAGTCCAACAGCAGTGATATCCGGTTCCTCCAAGGTCACCACTTTGATCACATAGTTGACCGCCGCCTTGGTCGCTCCATAGGCGCCCCATGCTGGGAATGAGACTTTGTCTGCAGCGTCTGACGATGTGAAGGCAACTCGGCCTTTGGTCTTTCTCAATTCTGGAATCACCGCCTTCAGCTACAGTCAACTGGTCAGCAACAGTCCAGATGCTTCAGTCATGAGGCTGTACACACCATTGAGATGTGAGCAACCACATTGATGTTGAAGATCTTTGTCCAGGCGGCCGGCTCGACCTCAGCTATCCTCATGACCGGCGCCATGATGCCAGCATTCAAGGCCACTGCGTCCACCTTACCCCAAGTGTTGACAGCGACTTCCACAGCCTTGAGGTTGGTCTCATGGTGGCTAACATCACCGACGACATATTGAACTCTGCCGACACCATGTTTGGCCTGGCATTCTTCCAGGGGGGCCTCGTTCAGGTCGACCAGCACTACGCGTGCATTCTGTTCCATCAACTCGCTGACGATAGCAGCACCAATGCCGAAACCTCCTCCCGTCACAATGACAACAGGTGATTGAGCCATCTTGTCTGGCAATAGTTGCTTGCGTAGAGAAACGGGGGGACGGCTGACTCTGGGATATGTTTCTTTCCTGGTCTTTCCACCTCTCTACGGTATATCAGATCTCCTTAAGGGATGATAGGGGCCAGGATCTCTAGTCGACATGACTTGTGGGTTATTTCGTTGGCACAGCCTTCGCCCCCTAATCTTGCCTTGCTCAGATAACATCACAGCCTCCAATCTGTGCAATCCTTGCCTAGATTACTTGATAACTGATGGTTGCTACGCAGTAAGATGTCTCGACGTTATCCATATGGGTCCAACGACGTGTTGAGGCTGCAGAAGGTACAGCCGACAATAGCGGGTCTGGACTTTTACTGCATAGACAAGCGAGAGAACAATATCCACATCCCACATCTCCCGTTCCCCATCGTACAGCTTTACATTGTGTTACCAGGCTAAGGTAAAGCGGGTTTCGGCGATTCACTTGTTACAGAGGCCATTGGGTATTTCATCGGACGCACACATCACACATTGATAAGATGCAACCAGCTCGACGAAACAGAGCAGCCAGCCTCGTTATTCATTGAAGGTACAACCGAGATAACGATAGCTGCTAACCATGGACATCCAGATCACGGCGGACAATGCAGATCGGCGGGTCGAAACGCAGCGGAGTTCAGTATGAACAAGCGACCCAGACATCTGGACACTGCCGTGGTCGTTCACGCGGTCAGGTCTCTATCTATCCTCGGCTGTACCTTCAGGACACTGTCTTTCCCCTTAAACCTGTGGAGTGCTTTGCTGGCAGACTTTGGGGAGCGGGTCTGGGGAATTGCTCGAAAGATGGGAAGGTTCTTATCTATCAAGGTGCAGTAAGGATATATTGATCTTGTTGGTATAACTATTCGAGTTCTGAGTTCCATCGATTGTTCAAGCCGCATTTGTTGTGTTATTTCTCTCTATCAACTACCAAAATGGACTCCAAAACCTTCGTGTCAGAGCACTACGACTATCCAGTTCAAGAAGAAGGGCCACCACGCCTGGCCTTGAAAGGCGAAGCAGCTCAGCCCCGCATCCACTTCGATCCGAAGAAGCATTTACGATTCCAGCTGCCGGAAAAGACATATACGCTCGAAGACCTCAAATACAATGTCAAGCAATCCGTGGGCAAAGTGGCCGCGACGGACCCTTTCCCACTGTTCACGCCCGAGGCTGTGATTGAGATGCGCCGCGAGCTGCTCAGCGAGCGCACGATCAAGAATTGCATGACCTACACACGCCCAGGCTCCGTTCAAGTCCGAGGCGCCTGCCCGCAGTACGCCTCCTTCGTCTACGAGGCATGGACGCACCCGGAAACGATCATGGCGGTGTCCGCGGTCGTCGGCCTACCAGTCAAGATCAACATGGAGCAAGAAATCGGTCACACCAACATCCAACTTGGACCCACAGGCTTGGAGGGGCTCAAAAGCTTGACTCCGGAGCCGTTGGTGCCCGAGAACCCCCCGGTGGATATTGAAGAGGAAGATATCAAGGAAGACAAAGACACTGATGTGATCGAATGGCACAATGACATGTACCCGTGGTCCTTGGTCGTTTCGCTTTCTCTGCCACAAGGACAGGGTGGAGAGACTGCTTGTCTGTGTGGAGACGGATCGATCATCAAGGCTCCTAAACCCGATGTCGTAAGTGGAAGCCAATGTTCTTACCTTGTCCCCTTTCCCAGCTCCTCAGTTGTGGTCTCTTGACTCGAAATTGACTCTTTAATTGGACAGGGTTACGGTGTTCTTCTTCATGGAAGCGTTGTTCTGCACAAAGCCGTCCGGGCCGTTGGTGCTGAAGAGCGTATCACCATGGTCTGCTCGTGGTGGCCGGCAGACCCTCTACAGCATGATAACTCCAAAATCGCCAATACACGGGACGTCTCGTTCAAGCCGGAGATGTATTATCAGTGGGCCACGTATCGCTTGGAAACGCTGGCTGCCAGATGTGCCGCGAAGGCAAAACAATACCGTGAACATCATGAGAAGAAGGAGAATTACTCTGACGCCGTGGTTGATCCTCAGGAGTTTGCTGAGTGGGCAAAGGAGCAGATAGCTTACTTCGAGAGGACTTATGACCATATGAAATAGATATGTGTATATTGACTGGCATGGAATGGATGTAGTCTACATTTGTGTATGGTAGTTGCATATCGGGAGCTGAATCATAATCACTGGTCTAATCATACAAGGCTAATATTCTCACTGACGGGAACCACATACTTCTCCCAATCATTTCTGGAATAGTGGCTATCAGCAGTCTGCGAGAAAGGATCCTCTTCCATGTCTCTGGCCTGCCAAACCTGACTGATGATAGCTCTCATACGATCAATGTTGGACACGGTCGAAGTTTCCATGATATGAAGGACTTCCAACACCAACTTCCGCCCGTGAACAGGACGACCGGATCGCTCATCAATCCACAAGTCGTCATTATAGTTGTTTAGCTCGACGGCAGCGACAAACACGGGCCAGGTAAGGCCAGTCATGAAGCCCTTCTCAATAAAGCCGACGACCTGGCGCATGATCTGCTCGACCAGATAGATGACATGTGGCGTCGTCGGTAAGGTGTTGTACAGCGCACAGTTCAGATAGAGCAGAGCTGCCAGACGCTTGATACTGGCAGACATCATGAGAAATTCGTCTTGATCGTTCTCCACCGCTTGCTCGAGACTTTCCAGCTTGAACCGGGCCACGGCACAGGCATTCACAAATGCATCGGTAATGGATATCGTTGGATCCGCGTACGCCGCTCGACTCAGTTCCGTGATGGTGCAGAGCAACGCAACCAGTTCGGGGCTGCAGCCCATCCAGACATCGACCACCTTCTCGCCGAAGTTCCAGTAGTCACGACCAAACAGGGGTACTTGAGCACATGCCGTCCGGCCGATCACGTCGTGGAAGGCGAAGAACCTCTCAGCAAAGGCGGTCAGGTCGTTGACCTCGACCTCGGTACCTGGAATGCGTTGCAGCTCCTTGCGGAATCTCACCATGTCATGCGCCCCCTTCAGATGAACGACCCAACCCTTGTCGCAGTCTTGGATGATCTCGTATAAGCAGAGCACCACCATCGTGATCAGCGTGTCAGAGCTGGCAGCGACTTTCTCGGGTCCTTCAACGTGGAACCTGTTTTGTAGTTCCTGGAGGACCTGTGCTTTGAGTTTCATCGCTGGCAGTCTCCAAGCCGGCTCCTTCTTGGCCCGATGACATGCCGACAGAGCCAGAATAGACAAAATTCCCGTGTTGGAATTCGTCAGCGTGAAGGGGAGAATGAGATTGGCAAAAGGCGATTGTGCCAGCTTGCTCGAGGTCGTGAGAGGACATAATTTTTGGACGTAGTAGTTCAACAGCATGGATTGGTCTTCGTCAACTATGTGCGGGATCAGGGGCAGCGACCGTGACCGGGTCAAGGCGGTGGAATAAGAGTTGATCGGATATGGGCTTGAGTCGGCCTCCAAGGCGGCATTGAGCCTGGAGGCGAGGCGTTGTAGATGCGCTCCGCCATAGCCAGCAGCCTGCCACGCCTGGGAGCCGTTGTGTCTGTCTATCCGGAGAGGCTCTTCGAATGTTTGGGCGGAATAGTTGAGGAAATGATACGGGTGGATTGGTGGCACGGGGACTGGTCGCCATTGACCTGGTATGGCCGGTACCGAGGTTGAGGGGAAGGTTGCCGTCGACGAAGACGAACACCCGGACTTGGACCACACTCCTGCCCGGCCAAAAGCTCGCCCTTTGGACACGTAGTCCTCCTCCCATCGGATCTCGCTGCCATAGTCGCATTGTCGCCGGGAAATCTGGCATCGGTGACACGTGGGCCGTTGTTCATCGCACTTGACTTTGCGTGAGCGGCAAGTCAGGCAGCCTGCCCGCGTGCGTGGCTTGGGCGGTAATTGACCAGGCCGGCGTCGACGGCCCATGACGAGAACTGATGAAGGTCCAGCCGTTCCATGCGACCTAGGGGTTTCATTTGTAGTTGTGACTGGACTAGTAGTCTCGAGGGAACGTGTGAGAGAATGGAGCCCTGGCTCGAGGTGGATCCGGGACGCAATGGGACAAGAGTAGTAGATAGCAAGGAACTGCGTGAGAGGTCGTTCTATGCAGTCCACCCTTTGGCTGGTCTGTCTTCGAAGTGACTATAGCTTCTGGGATCTGACAGAACGATTTGATATATGCCAATCTGGTTATGTGGACTGAAACTCGCCTTATCTGTGCGACCACCAGCGTGGATAGAGGCGAGACCCACATGCTCGAGAAGAGGAGAGTGGAGTGAAATTGATAAGGTCCAACTCTGGTAACAGTCGATACCGTATCTTGTAACTGCCCGTAACATTGTCAAGGCTTGAGAAAGGCATCTTTGCTTCTTGACTTGTGACTTACTTCGAATCGTTCTTCCTCGTTCATTGACACAGTGAGACAGTAAGCCAGTGGCAGGGAGGATACTTTGGTTTATTTCCTTTTCGCGTACTCAACTGAGGTGTCCACCAGGCTCGACAGGCGAAGTGCAGTCGTCCCCACCATAGGCTGAGCCAGTGATTCAATATGATGCCGAACGTTGAAGGTGTCCCAGACATCGGCGCTGATGCTCCAGTAGTGATGCAATCTGGTTGAACCGCAGCTATACTCGTTTCCAGAGGTTGGTCCAATGTCATCTTTGTTGATCAAACCCGCGAAGAAAGTTTGCCACCATTGTTCATCTGACTATCTAACACCATGGGGACAAAGAGAATATTGATCGGCTATGGCATTGATGTCGATGCTTGCTCCAGCGCGATCAATACTCGAGATGGTGCCAAACCCGACCTGACCAACATCTCGCGCGGTACATTCGGGGCCACTGTCGGTGTCCCCCGTCTTCTGGATCTATGGAAAAAGAAGAACATCACCTGCTCTTGGTATATTCCGGGTCATACGCTGGAAACTTTCCCAGAAGAGATGGCTCAGATCCGAGATGCTGGACATGAGATCGGCTTGCACGGTTACACCCACGAATATCCAGGAGATCTCACCCGTGAACAGTTTGAGACGACTCTGGCCAAGACGATTGAGATTCAAACCAAATTCTGCGGCAAGAAGCCTCGAGGGTTCACAGCTCCGGCGTGGAAGACGAGTCCAGATATGGTGGAGGTTTTGGAACAATATGGCATCGAGTATGGTGAGTGCGAGGAAAACGTGCCATAATCGTTGCACGCTGCTGACTCCCACCGGACCATTCCTTCATGCACCATGACTTCAAGCCCTATTTCGTGCCCTATGGCCGGGAGCGGTTCAAGGCTACAGACTACAAGAACCACCCTGGGACGTGGATGGTGCCGTTGCAGCAAAGCTCGCCGTCAAAAATGGTTGAAATTCCTGGTAACTGGTCCGTAGACGACTGGCCGCCTTTCCAATTCGATCCATGGTCCAATTCGGTAAGTCACTTTCATCGATCGCTAATGGTAAGAAGCTTATGGGAGTCAAACACCAGCAAGGCTACGTTGATCCCTTCAACATCCAACGGCAATGGCAAGAACAGTTTCAATGGTGTTACGAAAACTATAACACATTCATCTTTCCCATCAGCATTCATCCTCAAGTCAGCGGACGGCCTCATATCCTCAGGATGCATGAGAGGTTCATCGACTGGGTCAACAATGAGCATGAAGGAGTTGAATGGTGCACTTTCGCGGAAATGGCAAAAGAGTTCAGAGAGGGGAGGATCTAGACACCGCAAGAAAACCCGATCCAGACATGCCGATGAGCCACCGTGAGTGTCCTGGATATCTGATGATCATTGATCAGCCCGCGAGTTAGAGTGATATAGATAGATTAGTAGTGAAGAAAGTAAGAAGACGATGAAAGATGGCTCGAAGGAGAAGTTGGAGTGGGGATTCAGTCACGTGACTTATAATTCCATCACGTGACCGCTGCGTTCATCAAAACTTCGCCCGATGGATCATTTGGTCCGGATCGCATTTGTCAACGCAAAACGATTTCAACACCACTCCCTTTTCTCAAAGATCATCTGTTCCGTCTGTCTCCCATCTATCCATACCTGCACACTCACTCGCGCTCACTTCGCTCATCATGTCGTCTCAACGAGAAGCCTACACTCTCCCCACGCAGTCCAGCGGCTTCAACCAGTTTGCTTCCGGCTATGCGGCAGGCGACGCATCTGGTGGCCCAACCGTTCAATATGTCTGTGGTGAATGCGCCGCAAAAGTCAGTCTAGGAAGAGGAGATGCCATCAGATGCAGCATGTGCGGGCACCGAGTGCTTTACAAGGAGAGAACCAAGCGGTATGGCTCAGCGTTCACGGATGCCTAAGTCTCGTACTGACAGAGTCCTAGCATGGTCCAGTTCGAAGCCCGATGACCCATGAAACGCGAGAGAAAGCGCGAGACAGGCCCTGCGCGAGGGGATATGAATCAAACTGGTCATTCTGTGCATAGCGATGGCGTACTACGGGATGGAGGAAGGACTGAATGTTTTTTTGAGAATCAAGGCATAAGAGGCCAAGCAAAGAAAACAACCATACATGCGGGTGGGAATTGCCGGATAGCAGGACACCATGCTTCAACTTTGACAGTTTCCGTCTATAAACTGTTGGTGAAATCTATGAACTTTTGAAACTCATCCAAGGCTCTTCCGCTCTCTATGCACCAGCGGGCTTTCCTGACACCCTCCTTCCATCGTCCTCCTGCCGGCCCTCGCTCTTTGATGACTTCGCCGCTTTCGCAAGTATCTGCTTCACAAGCGCCGCTTACAACAAGGAGCGCCGCGACGTTCATCAAGACGAAATGTAAGATGGGGTCATCCGGGCTTCTCTCGTTGCGCAAGATGCTCATCAAAACCTCGGCATTTTGTCTTGGGAGTTTGCCGCCTCCAACCTCGGACAATGGGTGTGCAGGAAGACCGAAGTCAGCCGGTTCGATTTCAAACTTCTCGATCTTGGCCACGTATTTCGGAGGTGCCTCGTCGTCGCTTGTGCCGTCGTCTTCCTCGTCATCAAAATTCCCTTTGTATTCGGGGTTTTTCGATTCTCTTAGTAACCAGCAGCTTGTCTTCCCAGCGCAACTGATCTCGTCCAGATCTTCCTGGCCAGAGACTACCAATGCCTTCGTCGCGCCCGACAGGAGCAACGCCTGCGCATAGATTAGCCCCAGCTTCTGGTCTGCCACTCCATACAGTCGAGTCTCAATATGCGCGTCGACAGGATTCGCCAGAGGGCCCAACAGGTTGAATATCGTGCGCAGGCCCAACTCTCGCCTTACGGTGGCAGCATATCTCATTCCTGGGTGGAAGTTGGGCGCAAACAAGAAGGTGTAGTTGGTATGCTCATATGCGTCGGCGAGGTGCTCGGCGGTGAGGGCTTCGATCTTGGGTGGTGTGGGAAGTATAGCATTGAGGACGTCGGCGGATCCGGACATGGATGTCTGGGCTCTGTTGCCATGCTTCGCCATGATCAAAATTGGCGAAGCAATGATTGAGGACGTAGTGGAGATGTTGAAGGTAGAATGCAAGTCGCCTCCTGTGCCAGCAATGTCACATAAGCCTCCTCTGTATTCTCCCAGTTTGCGCCTCCTCTTTCCCACCGCCTTTTTCAATTTCTGCTTGTCGAAAAAGACCGCCGCATCTCGCATTGCCTGTGCACATTTTGCAATGACATCTGGGTGTCTATCCTTGCCGCTGGAATGTAGTAAGGTCAAAAGCGCTGCCAGCTGCGTCGTGGTGAGTCGATTCTCAAACGTCCTCGAGAATGCTAGTGCTATATCTTCCACGTCGACGTCGTTGTTCTGTGGTGCTGGGGCGGAGAGCTTTTTTAGTAACGGCGCAATCGAGACATGTGTGGGAGGATTCTCCATTTTCCGGGCGCACAAAGACCTTGTGTCGTCTTATAAGCAAGCGAGAGCTATTTCAAGTTAGGGAGGTGCAGTCCACGGCGTTCCGGAAGCAAGACATGAGACGATGGCATTTGACTCTGGTGCGAGTGTAAATATCTCCGGGCAACCTTTCGCGGCGGGCTTGCGCGGGCTAAAAGCGGCAACCCATTTGCCTCCGAGATGAACCCCCTTTATTCGGTAGAGAGACAGTGAGAAGTAGGTGCAGACGTCAATTTAGAGCAGAGTCATCTTGCAAGATAGCCTGGATTCTTCTTACAGAATCTTATATACTGGGGTGTTGCGTGGGAAGGCTGAGACTCAAGGGGTACAATCACCAGACAACATCGTTGAGGCGGCGGTATTTTGCAAGGCTGGCGACGCTGGCACGTGACGTCGAAAAGACTGCGTCCATTGGCACTTCGAATGGTGAATTGCTTCGACCGCCGTCAACTTTGCATTTTACAACTGATCTCCTCCAATCTCGAAACCTTTCCTAGCCTCATCGACGTCTAGAGGAGTGATCATGCCTCCTCGTCTACGGCTGCGTTCACTTGCGCAATTAGCGGACCTACAGCTCCAGCGAACTGCCTACACATGCGGCAGATGCCAGTACGCGACAGCAGTAGCTACGACACCGGCACCGTCTGATGCACAAATACATGCCTCGATACCTTCATTATCACGATATTCACCCGTCCAGCCGCCGTCACATCGAAATCCTGCGTATCGGAAGTCACAACTCCTGCGATCCTACGTTTCTCTTCTCCAGACAACGCCTATGATAGTTTTCTTCCAACACACCAATCTCAAAGCCATAGAATGGGTGGGCATCAGACGCGAACTGAGGGCCGCACTTAGGAAAGTCGACGAACAGCTCGCCAGGCAAGGATCGCCGCCGGAAGATCTGATTGCAGACGCTATCAAGATCGAAGTCATCAAGACTAACATTTTCGAACCGGCACTTCGTGTGGCAGAGTACTTCAAGCCTGGACAAGTGCAACTTCCACCCGAGCCGATCGGGGGATTGAGCGGGATATCTTCAGAAAAAGAAGATCCTTCTCTGACGCATGCGCTGTCTGAAGCAGCATATAAGGTGGCGAGCGAACACAAGGGCGAGCATCCTCTGACGCCTGTCCTTGCCGGTGCTGTCGCGATTCTGACCTTCCCTTCTGTCTCGCCGGTGCATCTGAAGACCGCCTTTTCTATCTTATCTCCCCAACCACCGACTTTCCCGGCTCCTACACGTCGGGCAGTCCCGTCGTACTACGAACCTCCGGTCCAGGATGGTCTGAAGAAGCTGTTGCTCTTGGGCGCGCGCATCAATGGGGACGTGTTTGATATGGAGAGTACGAGATGGGTCGGGAGCATTGATGGTGGGATTGATGGATTGCGTGCTCAATTGGTGGCTCTTTTGCAAGGATTTGGTGTCGCACTTACAAGCACCCTGGAAAGCGCGAGCAGGAATTTGTGGTTCACCATGGATAGCCGAAGGAACATGTTGGAAGGGGAGCAAAAGCCTAAAGAGGAGAGCAAGGAATGAACCCCGTCACGACCGTACGAGAGTCGTTTGTGTGGGGCTGGTGTGGTACGCGCCATCGGATTTGCTTCAACTCCGAAGGACGCTTTCTGATCCAGCAGGCGACGTTGCGAAGACATGGTACTACAGACTGGGATCGTCGGCTTGAAGCTTGACAAGATATACAGGATTGAATGCCACTCCGGAGACTGGAGAGATAATGTGTTTGTGGCTACCAACTCCAGGGACAGTCAGCTAAGGAGTGTTCGACTGGAAAGCAACACCGCTGTTACAATATGGATTGTGAGATTGACGGCAATCGAAATATTGGTTGATTTCTATGTAGAGTACTCGTTGACCCACGTTGTGCCCGCCCCTTTGGTTTGAAATCGCTATAACCATCACCTCCACCGTGAGTGCCGCTAAAATACACAATCCTCCTGTGTCTGATGCAACTTTCATCACGAATGACGTCCAAGTGGTTGAGGGTACAATCACAAGCATTCATTCATCATCTGATCCAGGAACCCAGAATGCCGGTCTAACTGCTCTCTTGCAGATACAATCCCCGCCACAAGCATTTGGTATGAGGATAGAGACAAGAGATCAAGCCATGGCGTACGTGGAAATGATGCTAATGGACCAGTACACACCGACCTTGTTATGTTCACTTCTGAGACCGTCGACACAACAGAACAATTGCAACATGAAACATGAAACACACTATGATGTCCGTTTCCGTGAGCGTGGAGAGTCCACACCATAGACAGTCTTGTATTCTTCTTCGTACCGGGCTGCGTCCGCGGCTGCCTTGTCCTCATAAGGCTGTGAGATTTAATTAGCAAAGATGTCCAAAGCAAGCAATTTGTCCTGTAGAGAACTGCTGGCAGCACGTACCTTCTTCTCGGATGGTGACAAGCTCTTCCACTCCTTTCCCACAAGCTTGCCTGACTCTCCAACAGACATTCCCTTCAGATCTCCAGACTTATGACGGTCTGTAAAGAAGAAGGAGTATGCATTCTGTGGCGCTTTCACACTCCGGTCATCTTTGATGGACAGGAATTTGGTTTTCTTGCCTGCCGCCTTCGCCTTCTTAGCGAGCAGTTTTCGGGCGTTATTTGCTTTCTTGATTTCAAGTGGCGTAAAGCTCTGGACCCATCTCTTGTATGCTTCGATGTTCTTCTCCTTGTTCAGGTTGGCTTGGTGGTTGTATTGCTGCGCAAATAGTTAGAACTCGGCCGTAATATTCTGAAAGGGAATTTGATTACCTCGCGCTCTTCAGGAGACAAATTTCTGTATCTGGCAGACGCTTCTCCGGCGTTGCTCTTGACATCACCACCTTTCTTCGCCTCCTCCACAAATACTAAAGTGAAGGCTGTCTGAGGGAGCTGTTTTGGTTCCTGCAGTAAAGCAGCAGCGCGAAGGTCCGCTGCGTCTTGTCGTTGCTTCTGAAGGATTGCTGTCTTGCTCAGAGGCTTCCTGCCCTTGGGTTTGGCTTTCTTGACAGCCTTTTTCTTGGGCTTCTTTGTGGTCTTCTTTGCAGGTTTGGCTTCCTTGGTGAGCGTTGTGGCGCGGCGCTTTGGAGGATCGCGTCCGGTGTGACTTTTTGGTCTGCTTGCCGGCTTCTCAGTGGCTGTCGCATACGTTCTTGCATGTTTGTATCCGGAAACACGGTTCAGGTATGTCCGGCGACTGTAGGGTCGTTCACCACTGCGTGTGCAGTTGCAAGAAACGCGTAGTAGGGGGCTGTTCGCAGCAGGTCGCGTGAACAACCAAGTCCCCCTACCGACAAGCTGCTTGGACAAAGTCCGGGAATAAGGCAGTGTGGCCGTCATGACGACCTGAAAATAGCGATGACTGAATCTGAGAAGGTAAATCAAAGCAAGGAGGCCGGCATTGGAATGGAGATGATATCAGTTCATGGAGCCACCTCTGTTAGTATTCGGTGGCTGGAGCCTCGATCCCAATGCGCGTAGAGCTGGGGTCACGGTCCATCCAGTCACGTGGATGAAGGGTCTGCTTATGTAAATATGCCAAGAAAGCGGGACGATGGCGGCGCTCCATCCAAGTTCGACCCTTTGCAGCCTTGAGGCTCAACGGGCGGACATCAAGATACAATAGACTGCGATGGGAAACGGCCGACTTGAGTAATAGTCACGCCTGACTGATACAACGTGCGGCTACCTCTACAAACAGGAGCTATTGTGTGAAAGACGAAACTATCCAGTTCGACTGATCGCACTCGCCTTCAGAAATCCTTTTCGAGCCTGGTCCTTGGTTGCGGTACAAGCAGTAAAGCTCACTTATCTGCAGCCACAGGATGGCTAGGCACGGGGACACTCGCTCACCATCACCTACAGGCAGTTCTTTTTCCTCGTCAAAACGAAGTCGAAAAGATGAGGACCGACATGAGAGAAGTCGTCGGGAGGATGACAGAGGTCATCGGCGGAAGTACTCCAGATCACGGAGTCCTGATGTATGTTGCTGCCACGGTCTCCCCATCTCTGTGGATCAATGCTTACACTCTTTCTGCACAGCGCCGGTACCGCGACCGCCGTGACCGTGACCGTGATGGCTACCGGCGGCGAGACCGTTCCATAGACCGCCGATACGATAGCCGGAGAGATGATGATTATCATTATTCGAGGCGGGATAGGTCAAGAGACAGGAGGCGTTCCCGAGATCGTGACGATCGACGACGGAGTAAAGACAGAGATACACGCTCCAAACGAGACGATTCGCGTGATAAAGATCGTCGTCCTAGGGATGAGTCGACGGAATCAAGAAAGCGGAAACGGGAGAATAGTCGTGCTCGTGATACGAGACGGGACTCTGGTGGGATCTCTAGAGAGGTGAGTTCCAAAAAGACGCTTCAATCATACGGCGCTCATCACCACCTACAGACTTCGAAGCCGCGCACCCCTACCCATCAAACGGCCGAGGAGCAGAAGGCTGCTCGACTTGCGAAGCTGGAACAATGGAAGAAGAAGCAGGCCGAAGAGCAAGCCAGAAAGCAGAAGGAGCTTGAGGCTTCAGGTGGAGCACGAAGCATTCTAAATGAGATTGACAGGAAAGCAGAGCTCTCGCCGGCTGTAAGCTCGCCGCAGTCACCTGCAGCTAACATCTCTACTACTACGGCCCCTGAACCCACTGCACCTTCATCCAATTCTTATTCCGGAAAATTTGACCCAAAGGCCATAGTGAAGAAAGCTCAACACGGTCCTGCGTCGGCCAAAGTGCTTGGTGGCGACGTACCGGCCCCAGTCCTCACCAATGGCCATTCGTCGCCAAAGGATCAGCCCAATCCCGCCACAAATGGCTCCTCAACCGCGAAAGCGTTGAAGGCCAAGGGTAATTTGGGCAAATTTGGGCTTGGGAGCAAGGCTGCAACCGAAACTGATCTTTCCAAGTCAGCGCTGGCTTTTGAGGACGACGAGGGGACAAAGAAAACACTTTTAAAGCTCCCGGACATGCAGCTTGAAACCAATGGTGACTCTCGTGCTGTCAATCCGGACGAAGTAGATGGCGAGGATGATGTTGACATGCAAGATGAAGGCACAGAAGAAGAGGCTATGGCGGCCGCACGTGCTGCCGCAGAGCAAAGAAGTCGCGCAGAAAGGGGCGAAGATACAGCCATGACTGATGCATCCGCGGCAGTGTCGACGACGGACGCTACAGATGCCCAAGCAGAGGAAGAGGATGTAGATCCATTGGATGCCTTCATGCAAGATCTGCAACCTCAGCAAAACACAAAATCATTTGGACAGAAGTCGAATGCTAAATCTCGCCAGCAAGAGCCAGAGGCCCTGTTCTCAGACGATGACGTTGATTTCACTGCAATCGACGACGACAATCCCGACAACATCCTTTCGCTGGCAAACGCCACTGCGAAAAAGAAGAAGAAGGATATTCCAGCGGTCAATCACTCAAAGATCAATTATGAGCCATTCCGGCGCAACTTCTATTCGGAACCTATTGAAATGGCAGAGATGACCGAAGAAGAGGTGGCGGTCCTGCGAATGGAGCTTGACAACATCAAAGTGAGAGGTGTGAATGTCCCAAAGCCTGTACAAAAATGGGCTCAGTGTGGTCTGGGCGTACAGGTTCAAGAAGTCATACAAAGACTAGGCTATGAAGCTCCTACCAGCATTCAGGCTCAGGCAATTCCTGCAATCATGTCTGGTCGAGATGTCATCGGTGTCGCCAAAACAGGCTCTGGCAAGACAATTGCATTTCTCCTCCCGGTGTTTCGGCATATCAAGGACCAGAGACCGCTAGACCCACTGGACGGTCCGATTGGGCTCATCCTCAGTCCCACCAGAGAGCTCGCCACGCAGATCCATAAAGAGTGCAAGCCGTTCTTGAAGGCTCTTGGGTTGAGGGCTGTCTGTGCTTACGGAGGTGCACCGATCAAGGATCAGATTGCCGATCTAAAGCGAGGTGCTGAGATTGTGGTATGCACACCTGGTAGAATGATCGACTTGCTTGCCGCCAACGGTGGCCGGGTGACAAATCTGAAGCGTGTCACGTATGTGGTACTGGACGAGGCAGACCGAATGTTCGACATGGGTTTCGAGCCTCAGGTCATGAAGATTCTGTCGAATATTCGGCCAGATCGTCAGACAGTGTTATTCTCGGCCACCTTTCCACGACAAATGGAGGCGTTGGCGAGAAAGACTCTGAACAAACCGATTGAAATTATCGTGGGCGGGCGCAGTGTCGTAGCTCCGGAGATTACTCAAATCGTCGAGGTCCGAGACGAGAGCACCAAATTCGTCCGATTGCTGGAGCTTTTGGGTAAGCTATACGAAGACGATAAGAACGAAGATGACCGTGCTCTCATATTTGTTGATCGGCAGGAGTCCGCCGACAGCCTGTTGAGGGATTTGATGAAGAGAGGATATCCATGCATGTCGATTCATGGTGGGAAAGATCAAATCGACCGCGACTCGACCATTGCCGATTTCAAAGCCGGTGTGATTCCCATCCTCATTGCCACCTCTGTCGCGGCTCGTGGTCTGGACGTTAAACAATTGAAACTGGTGGTCAATTATGACGCGCCAAATCACTTGGAGGACTATGTGCACCGAGCTGGTCGTACAGGAAGAGCAGGAAACACTGGTACTGCAGTGACCTTCCTGACCGAAGAGCAGGACCGGTATGCAGTTGATATCGCCAAGGCTTTGAGGCAAAGTGGTCAACCGGTTCCGGAATCAGTGCAGAAGCTTGTCGATACTTTTATGGAGAAGGTCAAAGCTGGCAAGGAAAAAGCTGCAGGATCTGGGTTCGGTGGCAAAGGTCTTGAACGACTGGACCAGGAACGCGACGCGGCCAAAGCTCGAGAGCGCAAGACATTTAAGACCGGAGACGAGGTGGAAGAGGAAGAAGAAAAGGAAGACAGTAAAGACGTCAAAGTAGGCGACGATCTATTCGCCAAGGCAGCATCGAGTGTCAAGGCATCCGATGCGCCTGCTCCGTCCAGCTCTCTCCCCGGCGTCCCCAAGGGTATCGATCTCGACGGCAAGATCACAGTGCACAGGACAGAACGGGAGGCACCATCTTCTGGACCTGCAAGTCAGATGGACAAAGTCGCCGCCGCTGTTGGTGCCATCAACCAGAAACTGTCCAAAGCCGGGATCATGCGCTCCGGTGTGCCGATCGACAACAAAGGTCCAGATGCCGGTGCATTCCATGCGACCCTGGAGATCAACGATTTTCCTCGTAAGTTTTTGTGCTGCTTTCCTCTATTCCTCTCCCGAGAGTTTCTGAACGATTTGCTAATGTTTGTTCTCATTGTAGAAAAGGCCAGATGGGCTGTCACGAATCGGACCAATGTCGCCAAAATCCTCGAATCCACAGGAACTTCCATCACCACCAAGGGCTCCTTCTATCCGGCCGGCAAAGAGCCAGGGCCGGGCGAGAATCCAAAGTTGTATATTCTTGTCGAAGGCGATACGGAGGTCGTGGTGCGCGATGCAATGAGAGAGTTGATGCGGCTGTTGAAGGAAGGGACCATGAGTGCTGCGGAGTCGACGGAGCGCACCGGAGGACGATACTCTGTAGTTTAGTTTCAATGGATGGTTGGACGAAAGTCATGTGCGTGAGAATGATGTCCAATATAATTTTCACCTCAAGAATACGTTTTGGTTCCAGAGGGCATTAACGTCTGCTGCTATAATGCATAGATGTCCAAGATGTAAGCACGAGGCGGCGGGTGGACGCTCAGTGGGCATTCAATCAGATATCCGAATGAAAAAGAGGGACGGTCACAGATTGATTGATGATCGATGATTGTTCAATATTCGATTAGAATTGAAGATTTCGTACAGATGTATATCCAAATAGTACCCAACCCAAGTTTCATCGATAAGACGAATGCAGACAGCCTCGTCGCTAAAGCGGCAGGCGGACACCAACGCGGACCCAGTGGTAGGCAAGCAGTTGGTGGGCGCTTGGAGTCACTTGGGAAGTAGTACCAAAATGCGGCCATAGACGTCGATGATCCTGAAAACCTAACAGAAGCGTAGAGATACTTGCACCTATTGCCCCCTCAGCAAAGCCTACCTAGCTAGATATGCGAAGATCGGCTTCCGACGTTGACATAGACGCCCATGGCCATACTACCAGTCGTGGTCATTTGTGTGCTCGACGGAGATGGATAAGAGATACTCGGTGGACATGTAATCTCGGCGGTCAGCCGGACTGTCTAGGTACATCTTGAGATGATCCGCAAAGTTCGGCCCTCACGGCTCTCACGGCTCTCGTCTAGATGAGGTTCGGTTGCTAGACAGGACAAAATCATGGAGACCTGGACCGGTTGATCTACCGAAGCTCCTTCGCATTCAACCTTCGCATTCATGTAGATTGAAAGTCGCCACCGCTTGGGGCAGGTATCTGACACCCAAGCCAACAGTGCGGTACGCGAGAGTGCTTGAGAATCAGGACCGCTGCACCAGGGATTCGTGCATGAGCCTTGTCGCATCTAGTGAAGCATGGCAGGTTGCAAACATTCTTAACCGACTTGCCTCTCAAGAAACGTAGTCACTAGTATCGACATGCTAAAGGATACAGTCGACGGTCACGCAGGATTCCACCTTGATCATGTACGCGAAATACCCCCAGTGGTCCTCGACGACCTGGGCTCCGAAATCCTTTTCCAACCGGCATTCCGAGACGAACTGTCCACCGAGGACGTAGGATCTGTGCTGCAAACCTAGTTCTTCGGCTCACGCGCCATGTCGGTTGAGAAAGTCCCTGCGGTCTGCCAAACCTTAACCTGCCCAGAGTCTGTAGGGAAGTCGCACAAGACGGGAAGGAAGGTAGACTCGACAAGGTGAGCAGACAGGTTCGCCGCTTCAATAGTTCGTAGTAACCCGATGATCGGACGAGGTAATGGGAGATAGCATGCCATTGCCCACCAGTGAGTAGCGTCGCAACAATGCAAACCGCACACCCTCCGGTCCCTGGAAAGAGAGTAACGAAGGAACGAGCAGTCTAGATCAAGCTAGTGCCAAAAGCAACAACTTTCAGATGCAAGGGCTGTCCATCCGTCGTGGTTTGGTTTGGTCAATGAAGGACTGCAGCGATGCCCTCCAGTAACGTCAAAAATGGCCATCGGAAAGGTGGCGCAAACCAACGCAGACAAGTCGTTCAGAGAATTGATACCAAGAGTAGCTGTCCAACATGACAAGCGAGCTGGTGTCCAGACCAGACCGCGGATAGAGGGTATCGAAGTTAAAGCGGAGTGTTGAAATGCGCCGGCGGGATGTGGCTGGGATGGGTATTCTCTATACTGGTTACCGAAAGAGGGAAAGCACTTGCTGGTAACTTGCATACTGGAAAAATCGATAGTTGACAGTAGAACACAATCCCTGTACCCACAGTATGTATGGAGTTCCGGAGGCTGTCAAAAGTAGTTTCCCATAGTACCCTGGGCCCTGAATGAAGCTCCTAGCTTGGCAAAAGGCTGTGTATCTTATATCATGGCTTGAAGTCATCGGGTAGTGAGCTTTGCAGCACTGGCATCGGATGATGTATCCAAAGTCAAGTGGCGGCCATGATCAATCCATGCATTTCAGGAAACAGGAAGTTGCGCGCATGACGCAGAAGTGATTGTCCATCGCATGGTCATCTGGCCGTCGGTAGTTGGGCTTCAACGGACGTTGTGCGGTACCTGGTGAATCTTCCCCACTCGATAACAGTCAATCCGTCCGTGCGATTGTCCCAAGCCACCGGTACTGTGACCGAGCGCATGGCGAGGTAAAGCACGGTTGACAAATGAAAGGGCGGCGTGTGAGGTGATCAAAGCGTCGTAGGGAGACTGCCAGTGGTTGAAAAAAGTGAGAGGAGAAGAACACAGCGGTGAACGAGTCGAGTCCGGTATAGTACTGAGGGGTCAAACAAGCTCTGACCTTTCTCTTTCAATCAAGAAAGTAGTAGACAATGGCCGTGGCAAGCGGTGGCCAGTCTGTACTCTGTGGTAGGACCGAGTCAAGTCCTGGGGGTGCCGTGATGAGTTCTGCAGATGGTTGGAAAACTCGAAGAGAGTTCGGTGGGAAAAGGCGAGAGCCGAGACGAAGTGCCAGTCCTTCACACACCAATCTTCTCTCAGGGTTGGACTCTGTATGCTTAGCACCTCGTACTATTGTTCATAGTCACATTGAGAAAATCTTGATTGATGCCTTATCGACTTCCCGTCGTCCATAATCCTTGGGCGGATGGAGGCACACGGAGCGAGGGATTGAGCAATCTGGATCAGATTAGATTAGGGTTATTCAACACGTGATATCTTGGCACATTTCAAAGTCACGTGAAAGCACAATTAGACACCGAATCTCTGCCGAATCTCTCTTCCACCGCATACTGCACCGGAGCAGGGGCAACTCTCGTCGATACCTGGTTGGCATCTTTTGTAAGACCATCCTTGCAGACCGAACTCAGTCAGACACCTTGCAGTGACCGAGTGCCGCAGAGACCAAAGGTAGGTTGGGGCTACTGGACTGGACGGGACGTTCACATCCATTCTCTCATCATCTACCGCATACAACCTTGTCATGCAATGGAGTTACGTATCACCTTTCATATCGATCTATGCTCTCACCGTCTGGCCGTTGCAACCTTAACTCAAAGGACATGGAACATACGAAGGCCTCGACCTTGGGAGTGTATATGGGCGGAGAATTCGACGAATGCCAAAAGACTTGAACGCCTCCGTTGAGAAGCCAGAGCATCTTGACTTGACCACGGCGAAGTCCTGTCTGGATCATGGAAGCACGAACCAGCTGGATTGACCAGCATCAACGATAACATGCGGCAACCGCAACAATTCTTCCGTCCCACGCACCGAGGTACAATGCCTGGAAAAATGAGCAAGAAAAGACCTCGAGCCAGCCATTCGCTATAGGATACTCTACAATAGGCAACTGGGAACGAATCCTGAACGGTGGTCTCGACACGACAAGGCGTTAGCGTACAGTAAGGAAGCTGTTGCCATCGCCTGTCAGGCACTCATGCACATGTCAGGCTTCCGAAGTGACATCCTGCAAGCACTATAGTAGTAGTGGCATTGTGCAATGCAGCCGAACGCCAGCTGTCAACACATCGCCATTACCATCATGATGTATCTTACGCAGGACCAAAACCTAAAAAACCCAGCTTGGGACTTTGTTAGCTTGGTACGGCAGAGGCCCCGGAACCCACTGAGGCGGCAACCTTGAGTGTGCCCGAGTGGGAGGCTACCGACACCATGAGACCCGTTGAAACCTTTACGTTTTGCCGAAGATCTTAACCGCTTCGAGGTTCACGGGCGGGTTGGAGTGTTAACAGCAAAGTGACGGCGGCTGGCGTTACTGGGATACAATGTGCCTTCGATGCGCGAACGTGTCATACTGGAGGACCACCGAAGATTTTCAACAAGGCCTTTTCTTGTGGTTGGTCAGACTAACCCATCTGGTGCGCAGTCCTGCGAGAGCGGCAGGAAGGACTTCATTCTTGAAACATGTGGCGACTTGCGACTCGACAGGTCTGCTTTGACTATGATGCTGTGCGACAGAGTGCCATGGTGCGGTACCATAAGCGATATCAAACAACAGACAGCATGGCAGCTCGGTACCTAGATAAGCCCAAACTTGAAAGCACCCACCACCGCCGGCTGTTCAACACGTGGGTAAACGCAAGCGAGCACGGCCAGGCGGGAGGCTTGATTCTTGGAGGTGAGGGTGTGCCGGTGCCTGAACGGTACCTGAAGCCTACCCTTCTTCCGTCTAGTTTGACCGGAGTTGACTGCGGCATTTTCAAGGCGGGCTCATGGTCAACTTCCAATCGGCGGGCTTTGGTGCCTGGGATCAGTGCTTGGTGTGGACTCCCTGGTCGAAAAGGTACCGTGTGTCGGGATTGGCCCAAAACTGTTCTGAACGACCTGCATTAGCCTGGGGCCGCCGGTACTCGTGGCGTTGCGATTGAGTTTCTATTGGGCGACTGTCTGGTGGATATGCAAACCTCCATCGAGCGCATCCTTTTTCACCACCTAGGGGGATCCAATTCACGACATGGACAAGTCGGCTCAACCCCTTGTCGCCCGCACTCGAACATGCATTATTTGACCGGCTCCATTTTCATCCTTTACGGATGCTGCCAGCGGTGGCACTACGGAGTTTGATTCTGAACTACCGCCCCAGAACCCTTGTCGGTCTATCTGTCTAGCTGTGTCTGGGCCGCGGTTGCGGTTGCGGTTACCGACTGGTTGACGGCGCTAATGGAGTATGGGCGAAAATCTCTGAACGGTGCAGGGAGGGTCCATCTGGAAGACCAGGGCCCTGGAGTTGAGATGCTGTGGGCGCATCGAGGTTTTGTTGATGGCGATGGGAAAAAGGACCGTGTTGAAATTACTTAAACCCACGGTCCTTCTCTGTTGTCACCTTTCGCTTTTTGGAACCATTCGTGTCAATCCTTCCTTTCCAGCCTCCCTCTCTACAGCCTCGAGCAGGTCTCTGAACAGCATCATTCCTTTTGCTGCAAGAACCCATTTGTGTCGACTTTGACCACCACTACACAAGGACCACTCCTTTCTTCAGCCCCAACAAACCGACTCTCAGTTCCTTGAGACTTTCACTCTCTACGAGTAACAAAACCACCCACCACATCAACCAAGATGCAATTCAAGAACATGATCACTGGCGCAGCCGTGCTGCTTGCCTCCGCTCCCGCCGTTATGGCCATTGGCTCTGCCACCGTGGTGAACAACTGTGATTTCCCCATCTACTACGCCTCTGTCGGCCAGAGCTACACTGCCGACATGCAAGAAATCAAGGGCAACTACACCGAGAAGTACAGCCAAGAAGGTGTCGGCATCTCCATCAAGCTCGCCCCCGTGGCCTCAACCTCTGGACCCGTCTCCCAATTCGAGTTCACCTGGGCCAACGGCAAGATCGCCTATGACCTGTCCAACATTGACGGCTACCCATTCTCCGCCGGTGGTATGGAGATTGTGCCATCCAAGCAGGGCGACTCGAGCAACCCGACCTGTGTCCCCGTCGACTGCCCTGCCGGTGAGGCCGTCTGCACTGCCGCCTACAACCACCCTGATGACACCCGCACCATGGTCTGTGACCAAGATTCCGATCTTGTCTTGACCATGTGCCCAAGTGGTTCATCCAAGCGTGATCTCGAGGCCTCTCACCAAGGTCACGTCCACTACCGTGTTCACGCTCGCCACATGCCCAAGCTGGCATAAGCGGGGGATGGCCATGCTACCACAGAATTGCAAACGAAGACTCCCAGCATCAAGCAATGCCCTTTTTTGTTGTCAAGCACGACAAATGTTTTCCATCATCCTTTTCCTCTTGGCGCAGCTAGTTCTGCTGCCTTGACGAAGCCCTCATTGTCGCTCCGCCAAATTTCTCCTTTTACGCTGCCTGCAAAGTCACTCTTTTACGACATCCTCCTTGAGTCGACACAAGGACATGTCATTACCCCTGCAGGTTCAGTACCCGATCTCGACGATCAGCTTTTTCCTCTCTCCGGCGACAGGTCTCCCGTGGAACACTACGCTACCAAGGACAACAAACAAAGGGCATTTGATGATGCTCTTGGGGCTACGAACTAGAGATTCCCTACATGAAATGACGAACGAACAAAAAACACACGCGAAACCATGTCATGACTCCAATGACTATGACTAGCAAAGCAACGGCGATGGATAAGGAGCAACACGCGCCTGTGGTGGTTTGGGGGTTCCCTGTCTTTTTTCATCTTTTGACTTTGGATACATGGCTTTCAGGCCATTCTTTATCGACATTGCTTTGAGCAACCTTGCCGCCTGATTTACATCTCATCTTGTTTGTTACAAGGTGGATGTAGTTGGGTTGTAAGACTCATTGCGTGTGCAGATAGTGGGAGGAAAAACCACTTTTGTCATTCTCTTCGTATGGAGTATTCCTTTGACAGTTGACCAAAAGGTTGGGAAGTGCAAGGCTGAGTGGTAGTATTACCAAACTCGCCATCAACGTTGAGCTTCTCAGCTGGTTTTGTTAACTGGAGAAGGGTTACTTCACGTATATACATTCGCTTCTTGATCACACTGCTTAGGGACAATAGATATATGAAAACTCCATAAGTGTTGCTGTTCTTTGGTCCTCCTACTTTGATGATTGATATGCTAGTACCCCCCATGCACTGCTTTCACGGTATCGTGTTGGTATGTTAGGCTGGATTCAACTGAAAGTCTTCTACAACCAATGGACTCCTAGCGAGTTATTGACGACCCGCACATATCATCAACCTCAATTCCAATTCCAATCTCCGATCTCAGATCTAACCCACTGTGAATGTTGTGATGTTGTTGCTGGTGGTTGTTGATATTTTGCGGCAGGGAAATTAAACGCTGGGTAAATGCTGACGACGCCCCCTAGCCTCATGGGATCCTCCTTACCCTAGCCTCCTCAGCCCTCCAACTCCAAACTGACGGATATTGGCCTGATGATCTGTGCTGGGACATGGCAGTTCGGGAACGTACATCCACGCGTAAGAAGAGGGCGTTCCAGCCACCCCGCCATCAACTTCGGTTATGTCAACCGCCCCTTACGTTTGTCTTGTTTCATGACAGCTGGTTGAACCCACGGTCAACGCAACAATTGACACAACCGTATAGTGCACAAGAGACCCAGGGCGGACTGCGGACTGCGGACTGCGGACTGCGGACTGCGGACTACAGAGGCCAGACGCCGGACGCCAGCGGAGTTGAAGCATTGACGTGTCCTGCCTACCGAGCGACGTACCGGCCGTGTCTTGAATCGCGTTTCCTGCCTCTCTTCCCTTGATTAACGCCAACCGTTTATATCGATGCAAGGGTTTCCGAAGTGAAAGCTATGATTGGAAACAAATGCAACGGATATACAGTTCTCTTCTCGCCATTGCACAGATCAGTTGGCCCCGGCCTGAACGAGGAAAGGAAGGATACGTAGACAGGCCTCGGTGATCCAATGATACTGAAAAGGGGGGCAGCCTCTAGCGAGGAACTGAAACCCCCTGTCTCTTTTTGACCCCTTTCGAGAACCCTCATTACGCTTTTGTCTTTTGTATTACTTGAAACATGAAACGTGAAACATGAGACCTGAGGGTCGAGGGGATGATGGGAGTGCTATCCCAATCTTGACTGCAGACGCATACTTAGTACGGACATCCGTCTGTATGTTCAAGGGTTGGATTTTGGGTTCGGATGCAGAAGAAGGTTTCAACACGCGAGACGGAAAGTCCCGCCTCGTCTTGCGAGTCTGATATTGGGACAACCTAGTTGACCTATAACATTATCATCGCAAGAGATGTAAAAGTCGCTTCTCTAGCGCTTGAATGTCATGGTCGACCACTAGGTATGTCGATCCAGCCTGAGAGATATGATTCCAGTCTACCAACTGTTCCTGGTACGCCTCAAGGCATCACTTGCAATTCAGCCCCGTTCTTGGTGCCTGTTGGTTACTTCGACTCAGCTGTCTGGTCATACCTCCCTAGCCATGTTTGTGTGATTTGGACGACGATACATACTTGAGATGACGGTGGTGGCTGTACTTGGTCGGGGCTAGCTGTCGATTGATGATGATAATTGTGAGGTAGGTGCATACTTCAGGTAGGTTCCTGACTATTCAGCCCCAAACTGAGACATGCAGACTACTAATGACTTCTTACCAGCCTCGTCCGGAACTGACCTATCATGAAACAAGAGAATCAGCTCGATCTGAGAGCTTGAGACAGACAACCACAAGGCTGACCAGGGCCTTCCCTTGTCCATTCATATTTGGGGGCCTTTTGTTTGGAGGATAACCCGTACCTGAATATCTTTCCCAAAGTTCGGCCGTGCATCAAGTCATGGATCCAATGGAGTGCGGTAAGCAGGAGAGCCAACCCACATGATACTAACTAAGCGGTTGTGGTTGTGATCGTCCCTCAGACCAGTGCCAGTGGATAACAACAAACAAACAATATACTGCGGTTCAGGCCGAACTTGCCGGGCGTGTCTGAAACCATAATCTCCATGGCACATGGATGCTCTGATCAATATGGAGTGTGGAGGCGAGCTCATCAAATTGCGATGTCCCAGAAATGGAAATGTGCCGGGTGACGAACGGGTCGTCCTGCTGAATCTCTGTATCCTTGAGTCTCGCCTTTAGCATCAGCCTTGTCCTATCAAGTCAGGCTTTCTTCCGCTATGCGATGGACGACGGCTGTCTTGAAGCCGTGGAACACATCTTGCTTGGTATTCCTGGATCAAGACATGGGCAGGACAGTGGAGCATGAGAATGGAAGGGAATAGTGCCATCAAAGGCTTCCGCTTCAGGTCTGAAGGCCGACAGTCGTCCCGTGAATCTCAAACATTATGAAGCCGAATAAATATTGTATATAGCCTCAGATGGACAAATGGGGATCTCATGTAACTTGCTTTCCAGAGCAGATTGTTCGGACGTTTAGTGCGTACAAAGAAACACGAGATCACCTTCTCGAGATCGACGTATGGGCATATCGGAGTTTGGTGACAGGTGAAACATGTTAGTCCACAAACATAATCTTTGGTCGAGGACCACTGCACATCGCCTGTGTGATCATCGCTGGCCTCTCGAGACTGACGGAACAGGATATTCAACTAAGACATAGAATCTGAAAGTTTAACCCAAGTCCTTTGATGATCTCCATCCTTACCCTAATTCAACATCTTCAACAGGGATGGACAGCCGAAATAAGCGACGAGACGAAAAGGGACAGAGGCTCCTCCTATGCAGACAGACTGACTCCTCATGTCCGCTGAATGAAGGTGGTTGATTTCACGAGCTTCTCACACAACCCGCGTGGCCGTGCGAGGAGGGTTACATAAGCCATCATTATCACGAAGAGGCCACGTGCTCAGCTTCCACGTGACGCCTTGAGCTAAAATCATCCGTCACGTGGTTACATTGTCGGAGTCAGAAAAATCTGCATTGGATCCACTCATTACTCAGGTCTAGTTGTACAGCTTCTCTACGATGTAGAGTTTTCATCGAAGGACTTTTCCCGGGTATCTGCTGTCCAATCGAAGCCATTTCTTGAGGGTCGATTTATTCTGCCCATTCCGGTCCACAGTGCCGAGTCCCTCGTCTCGATGTCTCTTTGGTCTTTGGGCCGGGTGGATTCGCACTCACGAAGCACCGAGCCTACAGACGGCCGCCTCCGAATCGTGCCCTGAGTTGCCTGAACTTCAAGTGTGCCTCCAAGACCCTTGAGACCCTGACCTGGACGCTCGAGCCCTTCTTCCAGAATGTACCCGCTCTGGGGCTCTCAACTTGTGGAGGAGAACTGTGCCCATGGCTACGCTGGGGGAACGTGAGAAGAGATTGGTGAGCAACGGATCCGAAAGCCCAAGTCGACGTGCTTTGCCATTGCCATTTGCAAATAATGTGCTCGTCTTTGCTTGATTTGTTCGCAGTGAACAAGACCACTTTTCCTCGTTAGCTCTGATTGATGAGTCGAACCAGAGCCACTGCGGCACCTGCTGCCAACACTCCTACTACCAGCATCTGCACTGCTCCTCCTATGCAAGCCCGATAGTTGTCTTTGCCTGTCCAACCTCGAACGACTCCAGTCTTGACATAGCCAAAGAGCAGCAGGACAACCCCCATCAATGCGATGCTCCACCAGAGTCCGGCTAGAACATCGTTTCGGGGCACGAGGAAATATGGTATCATCGGGAGAAATCCGCCGACGAAATAACTGACTCCCAGGGTAATGGCTGAGAGGTAGGGCCGTCCAGTGTCTGGCTTGGCCGCTTGGAAATGATGTTGCATAAGAAATTCTTTGAATGTTGGAGGTGAGGCTTTGATCTGGTCCGCTATCCGTTTGGTGTCTTCCACGGACAATCCGAATTGCTCAAAATATTCTTGGACATAGTCTCGCGCTGTGTCTGGTTCTTGCCAGATCAAATCATCGCAACTTCGATCTGTTGCGTGGTACGAGTCTCTGTCTGATGTTAGTCGATGAGGAATGATATTGTCGCCTTGGGAGTCAACTTACACTTCGCTTTTGGCCCCCACATATCCGCCTAGTCCCATTGATATTGCTCCAGCAACGAGTTCTGCAAGGCCTCCCAATATCACGACTCGAGTGTCTCCCAAAGCCGTCAGGCCTGCTGTGAGGGCAAACGGTACGGTGAGACCATCCGACAATCCCAATATCGAATCGGACACTATCCTCGCATCGAGTCGGAGTCTTGACCAAAAGCCGCCCATACTTCTCTGGGAACTCTTGTCGGACATCAATCCGCGCACTGGTTGACCTTCGGAACCTTGAAGGGTGGATGTTCTTGATAGCAACGGTCTGTTCGCTTCAAGATCGGGTGCTGTTGGGAGCGTTACTCTTTGTGACGATGTGCCGTTCTGGCTCGTCACTAATAGCCGGTCGCCGTCCTGGCTGGTCATGTTGTAAGCCTCGCCTTGCGTTGATTTGCCCAACACTATTCCTATTTTCCCGGTCTCCACGATATTCGGTAGGAATCGTCAAAGAATTGGAAAGTAAAAGACTTATTGAGATCCAAGAATTCTATCTGTCTTCAGCGGTGAGAATATGATATCTTGCCTCTCCTCTTATATCGCGCCAGGATGAGCGTAGGACGTGAAGGGGGTTCCTCCAAACTCTATGCGTCTGGCCAATCAGAGGGTGTGAAAAAGTCAGCGATTTGATCCGTCAGTTCAGCTAAGGCCAATTGATGACGGTTGAGTAGAATTGCACTTTCTCTATTGGTGAATATAGCCTGCCATGAGCCAGACTTCTTTCCAAATCCTTTCGACCCCAGATCACCCTTATATCGTGCAAGATGCGGCGGTCATCTCGCTGTTCGGTTGTAAGGGATAAAAGCGATTCCTCCACGTGATTGCAGCCTTGCGGGAATTCAGCCAATTGCCAAGCAGCGTCTGACGATCAGGCAACAGCATAGCCACGACAAAGAGTAACCGCTCCGTGGTGCCTCCGCGGGCATAAGATAGGGCCCGGGAATCAACCAAGCAGATCCATCGATCGATCAGGCAACATCTATCGCATTCTCCTCTATCCTTCTACGAGTATCTCACAGAAAGAGCATTGTGAGGAGCTTGTAGGTCAGTTACCAGTCTGCGCCCCTGAGTATGATGTCGCAAATCTACATCACCTGCAGCATATTCTACGTCAGCTCGTAGGACTCGCTCGGCCGAGCGCGCCTGTAACGAAGATCACATCCTTCCTTCCTTCTCTTCATTCATGCGTCCTCCTTCCTCTGTCTTGTCGGGTATACATCAAAATGGGAGAATATGACGTTGCGCAAGGTGAGATTGGAAGGAAGCTGCATGGGAAGGTGCCTCCCACGCTTTGCTTCCACCTTTATCATGTCCTTTTCTAGAATCCTGCTCCTCACGTTCTTCATACCATTACCACCAGCACCACGTACTTGGAAGCATCCATTCTTGAGCTTTGCTTGGGCAACCGAGTGTAGCTGCAGTTGAAGTCCGCTCTTTATCTCCCTGTATCGCATCCTTCTGCACCTGTTGTTTCTAGCTTGACGCTCTCTCGAACCATTCGCGCCTCGTCTCGTCGTCAAGATGTACAGCAAAACTCTCCTTCTTTCTGTCATCTTGGCTGAGATCTCGGCAACCCTGGCCACCCGAAACTCCCATACCAGTTGCAGTCCTCTTACGCCGGCAGCACGCGTCACCAATAGGCATGTTCATGGGCCCTTCCCTATTCAACAGGTACTCGCATATCCGAGTGTAAGAGCTGGGTTGTTGGAGAGAAACACCGGAACGGACTTGGTCTGCTTCACTGCCAATGCCGGGTCTTGTGCCGAAGTTTTGAAATTTGCACACTGTTTGGCATCCCGCACGTCTGATGGTGAGGCATGCGTCATCAACCAAGGCTGCACGATCCAACTCATTCAGTGTCCACCAGAAGCCTTCCCCCTAAAAGACAACTCTGGGTGGATGGACAAAGATGGATCCTCCAAGGACAAAGCTGGGCCATTCAATCCTGAAGACCAAGCAGGCGAGTCCCCAGCAGACTCAATGCTCATCGCTCGTACCCCAAAGGAGGAGCAATTCGTCATCCCAGCCGCCCCGGCTCAACCTCCCAAGCCGGAATTGAAGAAGAAGTCACCAATTGTGATTGACATCGATCAGTCCAACACCATTGCCGAAGAAGTCGACTCGGCAATGCCAGACTCGGTCAAAGAAGCAATGCTCAACAGCGACTCTGATACTGCTGTTCAGTCCTTGGCTCAAGAGTTCTCCGGCGACACTCTTCCTCAATAGTATGAGGACATGCCAGCAAACGTCAAGAACTACTATGCCACCATCACAACTCCCCCTATGATGGTTGCAGCAACCACCGACGAGCCTACAATAACGATCAACAAACTTGGACTGGTTCGTCGCGCCGACCCTGTCATCGACGGATGGGTTTCAAGCATCAAGTCATACGAATCCCAGATCAGTTCCTTGTCAAGCGCCGCCAGATCACGTTCGGATATGGCCAAAGCACTTTCTAGAACCGCCAGCAGCGAGTCGCGCAGAGCAACAAGCCAGGGTGATACGAGCCTGGCGACCACGGCGGAACTTCTTTCGCTAGCAGCTTCTTCGGAGTCTGTACTGGCAGTGTCCGAGTCCAGAGCCGCTCAATCGGCTTCCAAGGCGGTTTATCGCGCTCAGAGCAGCGAAAAAGCCAGCGACGGTGTGCCCGTTCGTTACACAAGTGCAGCTCTGTACTCCAGTCTGTCGTGTGTTGTTGCATGCCTCGTCCTGGCATCTGCTCTATAGAAACTGGGGTTTGAAGAAGGGTGTCGTGTTGATGGATTGGTGTGAACAGTATTAGGTTAGAGTCAATTCACATCATTAAATAGCGTTCATCTCCACCCGCCGACTCTTCCTTCGTCCCAACGAGCTCGCATTTCCCTTCTCTTTGCGAGAGTTGTAGCTCCTTCTCTGATCCTACGGATCCATTCGGTCACCTCCTTCTCACTAGCTTTTCCATCACCACCACCATAGTACCCGTCGCCATCGCTGGACCCCTCCAGGAAGCTCTCTTCCATAGCTCGAAGTACAGCCTCCTGTTCACTGATGCTCGAAACTAGCCGTTGATACATTTGTCTAGGACCCCACGGTGACAGAGCATCGTCCATTTCACGCTGTTTCCTTCTCCACTGGTTCTGTAGAGATGTATGATTCAGCAGCAACTGTGCAGTTTCGTCTCGCAATTGGCGCAATTGATTTTCCACCTGCGCTACCTGTTGTGCAAGTTGAATGTTTGCTTCGATCGCGGATCGTAGCGGGACGAGTGAGGATGCGTACGAGGGGTGGGTGGTCGCCAACGATGCCAGCAGAGAAGGGTTGTTGACAAGCGGGTGGAGTTCACTGGTCGGCTTATCTTGAAGCTGTTTCGGGACCCATCGATCAGAGAGTGACGGAGGCGGAATGGGGATATGTTCCTGTTGCCGCCCTTGCTGTGTGTGGCCAGTGGCTGGTGTTGCAGAATATGAGCCTTGGACTGTTGGCAGCGGCGGTTGTGGACGAGGCGAGTTCACCGACACGCCAGCCTGAGATGAGCCAGATATGATAGGAGTCGATGAGCCCAATGGGGTAGCGGATCGACTTGGGTCGGCGCTCATATGTGAAGTTGGTTTGGGTGGAGGAGGTGGAGGTGGAGGGGGGGCTGCTGCTGTGATAGGAGATGCCGGTGTCGACGAGATGGGTCCCGCATTGGGCATGCCTGGAGTTGAGGAGCTGTTGTAGTAGGATTCTGCCATGTTGGGATAAGAGCAGAAGGTAGGACTATATGGAGGTTGTGATCTCGCAGGGGGATGTAGGAGTAGTGGTCTAGAGTGATTGATTCCTAGCATGTGCGGGCGCGCTACAGCCTTGCGGTCCACCCGACAGTGCGGAGGAAGGCTGCGGAAATTCTTAGCTTGACTTCGCCTGTCCTACCATATGACAATCAACCATCACAACCGACCTTTTCCATCATCATCATCGCCAACACCCTCCACCTCCACCTACGTTCGAGTCCACTGATACTGTAACTGCGTCTTTTGGTACCAATTGACGTCTGTTTCCTTCGTCGTCAAAATGGACTACCAAAACCGTGCCGGCTCCAAATTCGGCGGTGGCGGCGTCGCCTCACACTCCGCTACCAACGCCGACCGCAGAGAACGACTACGAAAGCTCGCCCTAGAAACGATCGATCTCGACAAAGACCCCTACTTCTTCAAAAACCACGTCGGCTCCTTCGAATGCCGGCTCTGTCTTACGGTACACCAAAACGATGGCTCCTACCTGGCACACACGCAGGGGCGGAAACACCAAACGAACCTGGCACGACGGGCGGCACGGGAACAGAAAGAAATGCAAAAGGATGGCCAAATGCTCGGCGGACCCGGAGGCATGATGGGCGTACAAGTGCGCAAGAATGCGGTCAAAATCGGCCGGCCGGGCTACAAGATCACCAAGGTTCGCGACCCGTTGACTCGACAGGTCGGGTTGCTTTTCCAGCTGCTGTATCCGGAGATCGCGCCGGGGGTCCAGCCTCGTGTGCGGTTTATGAGCGCCTTTGAGCAGAAGGTCGAAGAGCCGGATCGAGATTATCAGTATTTACTCGTTGCCGCGGAGCCGTACGAGACGTGTGCGTTCAAGTTGCAGTCGCGCGAGGTCGATCGACGCGAAGGGAGGTATTGGACTTGGTGGGATGCTGATGCCAAGGAGTTTTGGTGTCAGGTGCTTTTCAAGACGGAGAGAGATGAGCGGTATAGTAATGTGCCTGGGTTGGCGCCGGCCCCGGGAAAAAAGTGAGCAGGATATGGAGGAATGGTCCCTGCAAGAAAGATGAAAGCCGGCAGCGAGAGGAAACGAATATTCATGAGTGGCTATTGATGTGCCGACGTCTGGCATCTGGCACAACAGGACCTATCCGTTCGAACATGACAGTGCTGTGCTGGGGCCTTGTCACACTGATGCAAATAAATGTTGGGTGGAAAACAGTGATACCGCCTATCTGGCAGTTCTTGTGTGCTGGTCTCCTCCCAGGACGGCCTTGAGCAATGCACAGATGACCTCAGAACTCTACCAAGCCAGCATATCAGCGATATCCAGGCAGTATTTTGGAGAATGGATCCTCAGCGGGGATGCCAGGCTTGACCACGATCTCGAACCGGTCTCTTGTCTGATCATGCATGCGAGTCTAGCATGATTACGACCAGACACCACGGCCGCTCCAGAAACGCCTTTACCTACTCACCACTTTTCAAGCAACGCCTCATGCTCAACACGGGCATACTGCAATCAAGAAAGGCAGAACCGGGCACATGTCCGTTGGGCGTCATCAGAGCGACTACGCCAATTCATTGTGTTCACGCGGATGTGGGCAACACCATACAAAGACGTTCCTGAGGCATCATATGTAGCGATCAAGAAGATTGACTGCTTCATTCAAGCTTTCCATTGATTATGCTTGATGGTTGACGGCCATCGGCAGCCTTCTGTTTATACATCTGCAATGCCCCATACGCCCGTCGCCATGCATGCCGAGTTCAAAGTGCTTCGTAATTCCAAAATTTCCCATGTTCAACAGTGTTATGTGAACCATTCATTGCTGCGCCAACTGTGCCTTGCCCAGCATCACCACGTCGCCGTATTCCTTAAGATTGAAATCCCGGTCGATGATGCTGTCCCAAGCACGCTGCAGCTCTTCCTGGGCCTTCTTGTTCTTCCATCCCCACCCTGGCCGCTCATCTCGCTCGTTGCTGTTTGGTGCCTGGGATTCGGTCGGCTCTTCCCCTCGTTGGGCCGCATCGATCGCAGATGGTGCTGTAGATCTCGGCGCACTTCTAGTCGCAGCTATGTTTGCGCCCACGTGGCTGCCATTCGGCATGGATGATCCTGTTCCTGCGCCTCTTGCTTGAGTCGTCGACACTGCTCCCTCGTCGCTCTGAGATTGTGGCTGCGACAGTGGTGGAGATAGGTCGCCTGGTGCAGAGGCACTGAGGTGGTCGCTTGCCGGTGGTGTTCGTGGATGGTCGGTGCCGCCGTCGCCGCCGCCGTTGTTGTCGGTGGGCTCAGGAAACAGGCTGTCGTCTTCGAAGGACTCGTCGATCTCGGTGGTATCTTGAAGCGCTGACGGGGTGGAGGAGGTTGAGGTCGTCATGGTCTCGTCGAGGTCCATAGCCACGGCGTGAGATGGGGGCCTGGGGGTTGGTTTGCTGTTTGTCGATGTTTGCTGATTCCCGCGTCTTTGTGGTGAGACAAGTGATTGTGATGAAGTCCGTAATCAATTTATGATGGTCTGCAATCAACCGTAATGCTTTCCAGATACAAGTACAGGTACAGGTAGATATATATCTGGTGTAACGGCAGGTCAATCACTTGAATGACCCTATAGCGGCATCTAAACTGTGACGCCGCAGTCCGATCTCGCCAAGCATTATTAGGCAGTGCTTCGGAGCCTTGTGACTTGCAGACTCCCTGACATTTCAGCCTTGCCCCGCAATTTACTCCCAGATCTATTCCTCACTTTTAGACTCTCTACATTCTTCTCTACTACCATTAGACGGCGAATGCTCTACGACTATGGCCCACAACAGAAACAAGCGCGGCAGTGATCACGATGATGATGACGATTACAAACCCTCACCCCCGAAACGACGCCGCTCACAGCGCGTTTTGACACGCACGCCTAGTGGGCAATTGATCTCCAAGCCGCCTGCCTCGGGACCTCCCAAACCATTCGATCGAGACCAACTAGCCTACACCGCCAGAGAAACCATCCGCCTTCTTCCTGGACTACTCATTACGCGTCCCGACGCAAAACCAGACGGCTTCCTCTGCCAAAAGCACCAGGTTGGCCCGCTGGATCAGACCTTCTGCCCGAGACTCCCCAAGACCAAAGTCCGCGTGATCAACAGCGACACCATCGAGGCTGCTCTGCAAATATCCCGCCGCTCATCAGACAAGCCCATCTGTGTTCTCAACATGGCCAACGCGATCCACGCCGGAGGAGGGTTCCGAAAGGGTGCGCTGGCACAGGAAGAGGCGCTCTGCTACCGAACGTCGCTCAGCTATTCGCTCAAAATCCGCCACTACCCTATTCCCGACAAGGCCGCCATCTATTCGCCCACGATCCTCGTCATCAGAGACAGTCTGGCCAACGGTCATGGTGTGCTGGACGCCCGCGACCCGAGTCGACTGCCTGTCATCAGCGTGGTCTCGGCTGCGGCGATCCACAAACCCAAGACGAAGGTGCTGGCCAATGCCAACCTACCGCCTGCGATGTCGGCCGTCTATACCAGTGCCGGTGATCGGGAACTGATGCGGGAGAAGATGCGCATCGTCCTTCGCACTGCCATCCGGAATCGACATCGCAAGATCGTGCTGGGTGCGTTCGGTTGCGGTGCGTTCGCCAATCCGCTGAAGGAGGTGGGCGATCTTTGGGTCTCGGTGTTGAAGGATTTCGAGTTTGCAGGGGGTTGGTGGGAGGAGGTCATCTTTGCGGTGCTCAGCAGTCCTAAGGACCCGAACTTCGACTGGTACCATAAGGTCTTGCATGGGTTGGAGGTTTAAGGAGCAGGGTTGCCTGACGGATTGGCGTTGTGCTTGTGCCGTTATGGGCAGACTGTGACCGGCGTACACAAGAGGAGCCTTTTTGCTTGTTTCCACAGGCGTTGTTGTTCTCAGCACCAAAAGACTGAGCGCTTTCGCTTGTCCGCTCACTCACCTGGAGTTTATGGCGGAATTGAGACTTTTAGCGTCTAGAGAGCGGGAGAAACATCCTCCTTCACATTCAAATGCTTATGACAAGCCTCGACATGGTTCACCTTTCCTCTGCCACCACTTGATGGGAATGGCATCGAATACAATGCCTGCAAGACCCCTTATAGACACTTCGCACACTCACCACTATCTCAGGCCTCCTGCGTCATCATTTTGAACACCCTTTCCATCACGTCCCAGCGCAGATCCCAGACGTGGTCGTGGTCCGTCCCTTTGACCGTTTCGCTCGCAAAATCCACGCCATCTACGTCTCTCCAGCACGCCTCGAACCACCTGGGTCCCTTGGAGCCCGCATCGCCAATCATGTTGTCCTTCTCCGCAAAGAACATATCCACCTTCAGCCTGGCTCCCCCGACCCGTCTCACTGCTTCGGCCAGGCGCGGCGCCAGCACATCAAAGTCGCCCCAGTCGGACCAGCCGTCCTTCTCGACCCCGTTGCGCAGTAGCACCTGCGTCTCTTGGCCCAGGCCACGCACACTATCCGCGAAGACGTGCTTCGGCACACGGTCGCGCAAGCCTTCCTCGAGGTCGACGTCCGGGCCCTCGCGACCTGAGGGTTCTGCTTGGGACCAGAGCTGCAACACAGTGCCTGAGACAGCGGAACTGACGCCGACCGCAGGGCCCAACGAGTTGACAAGGACAGCCATCTTGTCGGTCTGGGCAATCAGCGAGCGCGGCAACGACGAGGCCAGCGACCAGACGCGCATGCCCGAATGCGATGGGTGAATCCAGGGGCCGGCCAGGGCGATATACGGCCGCGAGGGGTGTAGGAATTGTGGATTGTGAACGGCAAAGTCGAGCCCGAAGACGGTGCCCGCGCTGTGGCAGCCTACAGAGACGTGCTTGATGCCGAGGTGGTTGAGCAGGGCGGGCATGACTTCTGTAATTGGGGATCAGCAATGTGGATGCTGGTAGTATCATTTTGAAGAATGTATCTTTGAATTAGATGACTCACCCCGCCAAACCTCGAGCATTCTCTCAGCCGGTACGCTGTCGGTCTTGCCAATGCCCGGGCGTTCTGCGCTCACGAAGCGGACCTTGTACCTCTTCGCCAGTCCATCCTTTGCACCATGGAACAGCCGTGAAGACATGAGTGGCCCGAAGAACAGAAACACCTGCTCCTCTCGGTCAGAATCATCGCCGGCATCTTCGCGATGATAGCCAAAATCGGCATAGGAGACCTGGAAGGCTTCGGGGCGGCCGCGCGACGGATCGGCAGGCAGCTGGAAGGTCCTGTTAAGGCAAGGATCATTGATGTAAGTGGTGAACTCCTCTGGTGAGAGAGTTTTCGTTGTCGTAGTGGTTGTCGATGTTGTTGTTGGGGAGGCGGAGTGCATCTCTGGTGAGGCCATGGCGGGATACACTATACAGTTGAACGGTCATGCTTTGAACTATATGGCGTGGGAAAGGTGTTAGCGTGAGGGGGAATTGAATTATGAGCATTCAACTGATCCGTAAAGAAGGAGGATCAACATTCACCGTCAGCGTGACAGACCGTGGTGGTGTGGTTTGGTTTGGTTTGGTTGTTTTCGACCTATTTGGTGCCCGCAATTCGAAGAGGATAATGCCGGGTGCCAAGTCTATTTCCGATATCACCACCTTTTAAAGTGCTCTACATTGGTACATACATATATACCAATACTATACTCTCGGCACGATTAGTTACTCTGTTGGCTACTCTGTTGGCTACTCTGTTGGCTACCCCGTTGTGACTACCCTCTGAGAAGAAACGCTGTTGACTTCATTTCTTACCCAACTCCTCACCATTCTGTCTATCATCAAACAAACGGCTCCAACTCACGGACCTTCTCAGCAAAGGATCCATCTCCCGCCCCCAGAGCTTTGTTAGGCTGGCGTGCCTCGATCTCCGGGACAATGCTCTCTGGAATTATGACCAACTCTTCTTTACCGTAATTGGTTTCGGTGATTTGAGTAAAGGCCACGACTGCCTGAGGCACCAACGCAGCGAACTGCAAGACCGTGTGAACGATCCATTGATGCCTGTCCGAGGTCCCCCCAGCGGCGATGCCGAAAGCCACGGCCGTTCCCGCGGCCATGACTGATCGAATCAATCCTGCGTATTGTCCGGACTTTCTGGGATCGTTGGTGAGAGAGGCCAGCAGCCAAGCAACATAGACCGGGCTCATGGCCCCCACTGTGCTGAAGAGGACGTCCAGGACAAAGAATCCAGCGAAGTGGCTGCTGGTCCAGTCGTACGCCGGGTTGTCCTCAGGCTCATCCTGTGGCAGGTCGTTGTAGAGCCAACCACCTTCGCCGCTATAGATGCTAACGATGATGGAGGCAAGGACACAAAACCCGACTCGGGCGCGTGTGGGACGACTCAGGCGAGGCCAGTCAAGGAGCATGCCCATCCTAGTCGAGTCGGTCAGCAAACATGACGGGTGAAGGGGAGGCTGTCTCCAACGTACGAGAAAGCACCTATGGTGGAGACAACACCAGAGATGACAGCGACCAAACATCGCGTGCGCAGGTCAAAGTATACGGCTATGGGACGCGGCTCGTCAGTATGTAGACTCTCGCTGCGGTGGGATATCTTGACGGGAAACTTACCACTGATGCCGGGCTGCAGAATCAGCACAAATTCGGTCACAAAGAGCGCCGGAGCCAGTGCCATGGCCTTCCAGTCAAAGACCAGCTTGCAGACACTCACGACTTCTTTGATCAGAGACTCGTGTTTGTAAATGGCCAAAGCAGTTCCATCCTTACGGCGGACGTCTTCCGGCTTGATGAGGAACCAGGTCAAGGCCGTTGCCCCACACATGATTCCAATGAAGGTGAGGTAGACTGACAGCGGGACGCCACCACTGCTGACATTGCTGATGTTGATTCCCAGCACGAGGCACGCCGCGACCAGGTTGCCGAACGCTTGCATGGCGGCTTGAAACCCATAGAATCGGCCTTGAAGTGTCAGCGATCGATCCAATCATCAGCATCTTCAAGCAAACCTTTTTCGTGTTCATCCGCATATGCCATGGCAATATAGTTCACGCCCGCCCAGAGCTGGCCGGCACTGAAGCCGAGGGCAACGGCCCCGAGAATCGGCAGGACTAGGATGTCATACTCATCGAACAGGAGAAGACCAGTCACATATAATGGATATCCAGAGGCGCCCAGCTTTCAACATATCAACTCTGATCTCAAGGAACGAGTCGACAAGGACTCACCATGACGGCATATTTGGGTCCGAAGCGGTTGATTATGGAGCCGGCGAAGAAGCCCGAGATGGCAAAGATACCGTAGAGGGTCGACGAGGTAATGTAGTTCATCGTCAGGGAATTGGGCTTGCCGGCTCCGGCACCCAAGTTGGCGATGGCAACATAGATACCGACGGTACCGAACAAAACCGTTCCGGCGATCAAGTTCTGTACAAGAGGCCGGGTTTGCAGCGTGGCCAGCGATCGCAACATCTTGGCCTGTCTTTGTTGTTAAGCGGGAAGAAGAGACTGGCAGATTTCACACCACGACGCGTTGTGACAATGATATAAGACGTGCGACTGCGACTCGAAGGAGCTGCATGTCATATAGACACGGCGCAGAGGTGGAGTTTTATAATCCATCGTCCTACTACCGTAAGTCCTGGGTAGTGGAATAAAAGATAGGCGGTCTGAGCTCGCCGTTGAATCTCAATATGGGAAATGAGTCCAGCCTCGCTGATCAGTAACTGATACGGGGCGGGCATCACGGGAATTCCGTGGCTTGTTGTTTGATCAGAGTCCTTATCAGAAGCCGTGAATCAGTGGCTGTCACACGGAGATGCCGTCAAGCATCCCGCCATCGGTGCCATCCCGTATTGCGGCAAATCCGTCATGCGCCGTCGATGTCCGGCTCCACCTGGACGGGAAAGCCTCGTCGAATATGCCCAATACCCTTCCTCATCATACATTCATATAGTTGTTGTGAGCCAGCCTATATTCCATCGCGTGCTATCAAGGCCGTATCTCATCCTTCAAGACTGTCTGGTATAGCAAGAAAAGATGGCGTCAGAAACTCCGATTCATGTGGTGATCGAAAAGCCGCTGTTGAATAGCATTCCGGCTCAACTCGTCCCGGATTTCGACCCAACATATGTCGAGTACTACAACAAATACAATGCCGGTCGCCTTGCCACACATCAGGTGCCGATTGAAAGCTATCGAGCCGACCCATTCAAGTACACCATCGCCTATGGACGTGAACTGGTGCCCAACGACGGCGTCAAGATGACTGACCAGCGATGCCCGGTCGACGGAGGCGAGATCACAGTACGAGTGTATGAACGAGAAGGCTCCAGCTCAGCCTCGGCGCCCAGGAAACCAGTCTATATCAACTACCACGGCGGCGGTTGGGTCTTTGGAGGATTGCCGACCGACCATGATTTCTGCAAGCGCATCGTTCGTGCCTTGGACTGTGTTGTCTTTGATGTCGACTATCGTCTGGCCCCAGAATACAAGTACCCGATTCCGGTCGAGGATTGTGTTGCTGCGTTCCACTGGGTAAGTCCAATCAAATCCCTTCCGTCAGGCCCAGGACGGCGACATCTGTAGAGACCCTCTTCTGACCACTTGGCTCAGATCAGGGACCAGAAAGTGGATGAGTTCAACCTTGACCTCTCGCGCATCGCCATCGGCGGCTGTTCGGCCGGGGGTCACCTGAGCGCCGTGGTCGCCCATGTCTGTCGCGACGCCGGCATCCCGCTCGCTCTCCAGATTCTCTCCGTGCCCGTCACCGACCTGCACGTCTTCAGCCGCGACGGTCCCATCCGCCCGGATCAGCCCTACCCATCCTACAACGACCTGGCCGACACGCAGCCCTTGCCCCGGGAGCGGATGGAGTACTTCCACAAAGCCTTTCTGGGCACTCCCCGCCCAGACCATCTGGAGAATGACTGGAAGGTCTCGCCGATTTTGGCGCCCAACTTTGCCGGCCTGGCTCCCGCGCTTGTCATCACCGCTGAAATGGACGTGCTGAGAGACGAAGGCGAGGCGTATGGTGCCAAGATGAAGGAAGCCGGTTGCGAGGTTGACATCGTCCGCTTCAAGCGGGCACCGCACACTTTTATGCTATTAGATGGTGAGATCCGGGCATTCCCCAGTATTGTCCTTGTCTTTTCTTTGCTAACAGCTTCGACAGCGATCCTTGATTCCGGCAAGCAATACAACGAGGTCACATTGGCAGCTCTTAAGAAGACTTTCAAATTATAGGGAAGTGTGACACGGTTATACAATTAGTTGTCGTCTGGCGCATGGAAATCGGAGACGGTCCCATCATCCATGGAGTCTGGGAAATACCAACTCCTAACTACTGGATAAAGTGGTAGAGACAATATAGACACGTTTGGACATCACATTTTATTCTTCATTTTGATCTTTCCCCTCCTGAGCCATTGAATGATGGAGTAGTCCGAACCCCATGTGACCATGATTTTGAACATCCTTCACCTATGCAGAGTTTTCCAACTTCAGATCAGCTCGATGCTCAGCGATGAAGTCGTCCACAAGTTTTACAAACACGTCAACATCCTTCATTGTGGTCCCCAACGAAAGACTGATCATGCCTCTTTCGGCGATCCAATAGCTCATTTCAATGCACCAAAACCAGAAGAGTTTCTTGAGCTCGGGGATCGAATGATGGTCAAGATCCTCTACACGCAAGGGCGTCCTGCCATGTTCCAGGAAATGCACTGTCATCACGGCGCCGACACCAGTGATGACCATCTTGGTGCCCTTGGCGATGGTCTGGAGCTTGGTGCGAAGAGACTCGCCCAGGGCATTGAGCTCGAGGTTGGCCTGAATAGTGTAGACCTTGGAAAGACCAGCGTAACCCGCTGCCATGGTCAAGGTGCTGTTGTTGAAGGTGCCGGAATGGGGCAGAGCAGAAGATTGACGCGGGTCGTACGTCTGGAGAAGCTCCTTTCGGCCCCCAAAGGCCCCGAATGCCAATCCACCGCCCATGTATTTCCCCAGCGTGGTCAGGTCGGGGTGGAGACCAAACTTGCCCTGGAGACCCGAGGGATAAAGCCGTGAGGTCATGACCTCGTCGAGGATGAAGATCACCCGGTGCTGTAGATGGGTGAGTGACGCGATCCACGAATTGTTGAAAGGACTGGACGAAAGATGTGGGTCGGATGACTTACTTTTGCTGACAGTGACTGAATCGACTGCAGGAAGCCGAGGTCGCCTGGTATGGAGCCTCCGGCGCCTTGCATGGCTTCGACGATGACAGCAGCGATATCATCATGCGACTCGAACAGAGATGAAAGATTCGCTTGGTCATTGTACGACCCGAGAACCCAATCGCCCGGGTCGACGGTGTTTTCACTGACGCCATGAGCAAAGCCCAACACGCCGCCGTGATAGCCACCAGTGAACGCGATCACTTTCCGCTTGCCCGTGACCTTTCGAGCAACGCTCAGGGCGTACAGATTGGCCTCCGTGCCAGAGTTGCAGAAGCGGATATGCTCGATAGATTGGAATCTCGAGCACAACAGCGATGCGAGCTTCGCTTCTTCGAGGTTGTGAGCACCCAGATTGACGCCGAGCTGATCAAAGGCAGAGATAAGCGCTTCGCGAATGGTACCGTTGGAGTGTCCATAGAGCCCAGCGGTCATCTCGCCCATGAAATCCAAGTATCTGGGTCGAGCTTGTTAGTCAATGTATGTGTCAAAAAGGCGTATCCGCATACTCATGGCCATCGACATCCCATAACCGGTTGCCTTGGCCCCTTTTGATGCAGATGGGAAATGGCTGGTTGTAGAGGACTGATCGAGTATTACCTCCCGGCATCGACTCCAAGGCAACATTGTGCGCGGCTTTGGAGCCTGGGTTCTTCGAAGCATATAACGATTCGGCCGTCTGTAACTTCGTCTTCAGTGCCTGCTGTGAGCATGTCCCATTCACTCCGTCGAGAGAGATCCTAGCAGTTGTTCGGCCGGTTTTCGTGACGGTGATGATGTCTGTCATGATGAAAAGTCTTTTGGACGTGGTCGGATAGATGGCCTAGCTAAACATGAACACGAGCTTCCGAGGTATCAAGAAACCACCGCCAGGAGTTGTCGTTACGATTGAGGTTGAACCCAGCGCTGGATTTAAACCGGCCATCAGCACAGGTCCAATCCAATCAGCCCTCTCGTGAACAAATACGGGAAAGCCGCGACGGGGCCAGACGTCCTCTGGCTAGGTCGCCCTGGCAGTGGACTCTCCTGCAGGGTCTCATGATTTCGAGTCGAGCCGATAAGGATGGACGGTGTTTGTGGATTTACTCGATCGAGACACGGAGTGTGATTGCAGTTTGCGGGTCGTTGCGGACCTCAAAGCGGCGATGGCGGATGCGCAGCGCGGATGGAAGTCCAGGATTATCTTTGATCCGTTGTTCCGTGGCGGAGATGCCGTCAAAAACTCGGCTTGGATCAGGCTGCGTCGTGCATTTCTCCATCAGCCGCCCGCCTCCACATCCGTCTCTCATTTCACCCGCCTCCCACCTTATCCTTATGCCATGCCCGATATCAGCATCAGCACCCCATTAGGCTCTAGTCCGCACGATTCTCGACCCTGGACCGGCCGGAAAAGGCCAGAACAACGCACGGCGCTTGCATGCACGTTTTGCAGGTGAGAATGGGTCCTTTGGTGAGCACCAGCAGTGATCTGATCAGTAGATGACAGGCAACGGAAAATCCGCTGTACGGGCGAATGGCCACAATGTCGGAACTGCAGGGCCCGTCAGCGAGATTGTATCTATCCGGGGCAGAGAGCCAAACTGGCAACCCCTCCCGTCTCTCACGCATCCGCCACTGCAAGCGGAGCGAAAGGGTCAAGTGAAGATCTAGATTTACAGTGAGAGATGATTGTCCTTGACGAGCAAAAGACGATGAATGGCCCGAGTGGTGTTGACCATTGCCTCTACACAGATTGCCCTCGCCGCAATTACGCCGATCCGCCATCGTCTTCTTTCGGGACAACTATGCCAATAGCCTCCTATGTTTCCTACCACCGCAGCAATTGGTCGATGACCCGGCGGGAGAACAACTGCCGTTGCCTTTGTTGCTATGCATCCTGGCATTGACATCAAGGTGAGGTCCTTGGCACCCGACGAAGGACGGCATGCTAATCAATCACCAGGTTCCTACCCGGTCATACATCTTCGTCTACTGATGGAGCGGGGGTAATCTCTCACTACGACTACACTGAATGGGCCAGGCGGGAAGTTGATCGTCTGAGCCTGTCCAGTCAACCTTCGATCACAACCATCCAATGCCATCTGATCTTGTGTGTCGTCGAGGTAGGTGATGGCCTTGAGCACCCAGCATGGTTGCGCGTCGGCCATGCTGTCCGGCTCGCTCAGCTGGCCAGGCTACACAAAGAGGATCTCGACCAAACATCCTTTAATTGGGGCAGTCCCCGGCCTGTCTTCGTCGCGACAGATCTCGAGGCCCGCCGTCGAACCTTCTGGTGCATCTATTGCTTGGACAGGCTGTTGGCTAATGGCCGTGACCGCATTGCCAGCTTTTCCGTTGAAGATATCACCACCCGTCTCCCTCAGCCGGATGAGGACTTTATCTTCGGTCGCGAATGCAAGGCTGGCCGTCTGACGGATCCGGTCGGACGTGCACAAGGCATGACCGATGGGCCTGAGAGCTTACTCGCTTACACGATCCGCATTATCGACATCCTGGGCAACATAGTTCTGTGGCATGGTCGGGGCGGGCGCCGTCGTGACACCCGCAGCCCATGGCTGGTGGACACGCCTTTCAACCTCTATGCAAATGCCCTTGCTGCGTGGAAAGAACGTCTTCCCATCTACTGGGACTACCAGCCTCGGAATGTTCCCCTTGTCGCTGCCGCCGGCCAAGGGAAGCTATGGGCGCTCATGTTCATGTTCTATTTTCAAGCCAAAACGTATCTTTACCGAGAGTATCTTCCCTTCACCCCGTCTAGAAACTACGACCCTGCCGCCGGTGAGAATCCTCGATGTATATTGCATATTAGCGATCGCTGACGCTCAACAGGCCCTTCCGACGGCACGCCTTTGCTTCCTCCTGATAGCGTACCTCCTCCGTCTTGGTGGAGAGACTATGCCATCACGATGGTGGAAAGTGCAAACTCGGCCGCCGACCTGTACACACGGATGCATGATCTCGATCTCGCGCCCTCGGCATATCCTTTTACTGGTCTCAGCTTGTTCACGGCTGCGAGCATTCACGCCATATTCACGAGTTTCGAGTGGGAAAGCCTGAGCCCCTTCGTATCAAGGATGAGCGCCAGAAAATATTTGTCCGTGAGCATGCGGGCGTTCAATTCCTTGGGCCAATATTGGGACTTGCCAATCTACTGGGTATGTTGGTGATTCTTGGTTCTTTGCCCCATACCGCGGTATCTGTTTTCAATGAAGCGTGTAGCTGACCCAAGGTTATACGCCCGCAGATTCGTCAGATCTCGCTCTATTACAAACTGAACTACCTCACTCGTCTGTCCTTCGTCGGTGGCGCCGAGACTCTGAGCGCCTTGAGGATGAACATCCAAGAGGTCAAGGACGGCGTCATGAACTACCTGCGTCAGATCAGTCCCAAGGACCGATCTTCACGATTGATGAATTTGAAACCCACATTCGACTTCGAAGGATGGCTGCTAGCTATCGAATCCCAATCCACCAGGCGCGATTCGCATCCGCACGAGGACGTCAATATGACCTCCGAATTCGAACATCCGGGGCGACGTAGCGGTGATGATACGACCGCCACTCACAGTGCCCCGAACGACATACCTCCTCCTACAACCCTCGCCGCGCCCGACTCAACTTCGGTCATGGTCTCGACGTCCGAGACCGAGCAGCAACCACCCATCCGGATGGAGGTGCTGCCACTGGAGGATCTCTTTCGCGCAGGAGCATTCTTACCTTCGGATGGCTGGGATGATCTGAGCCTTGAAGCCGTGTACTGGGACTGCTAGACTTACAGGAGACAGCTTGCCTGATTTCGATGTCAGGATCCTCAAGGCCGAAGTGTGGTTTCATGTGCATCAGTGTTCCTGGTTGGAGCCTTGTCCCACCCCACCTACGCATAGCGCATATAGGTGTTTGATGCGGTATTGAAGAGGGATGGCTTGAGCCTCCTCGCACGTCGTCTAAACCCTGCGCGTGGGATGTCCGCTGGAGGGAAGCACCACAACTCAGCCACATAGCGCCGCAGGCATGGAAGCGTCGCTCGGCGTTGTTCGCCCTTCGCAGAGGTCTTTTACATACGTAGCACCTGGATGAGGTTTGAACGGAGGGCGCCACAGAGGCAAGAGGGTGTCCAAAGGATGCGCAGTAGATGGCAGTAAGGCGCCTTTCATCCAAGGCGTCCGAATCGGCTCCCTACCCCAGAAGGGCACGGAGACAGTCGACGCGGCCTCCGTTTGCTGCATGTAAAAGAGAGGTCCATAAATACAGCTTGTCCGGCGATTGAGATCTGCATCGGATTGAGGGTGAGGGTCAAGTCTGGCATTGCTGGACAACAGAAGGCGAACGCAATCAACTCGGTGCCGTACAACGAGGCGTGAAATCATCATCCAGAGAGGTGAGGTACCCTTCCGTAAACCCGATATCTAGGACAATTTCCTTGCCATAAAGTGATAGTCTGCGTTTGTCAATGCCATCCTCAGCCTCAACATGGACGTCGGGGGCCGCAGGGCCAGGTGAGCGTAGGGCGGCATCACCCTATTCCCCAAACAGAGCAGAGTGAGCCGCGAGCACTTGCAGCTTCCCCCCGAACTTGAACTTGGCAGACGTCTTCGTATGCAGTGTGCCGAACTTCTGTTTCCAAACTGCGGCCTCGACTGTCAAAGTCCAACGGCGACATACCTACGCCAGTGACTGAAGCCGTTCGTTCACTCCAACCCACGGCCTTCGACATGTTCAAGAAGGAGTAAGTGTCTGACCTCCACCCTTTCCCTTTGCATCAGAGGCTTTCCTACTCACACTTGTCCGTTGCAGCTTCACCGCGGGCGCAAAGTCCAAGGTCAAGTCTTCCGTACAGCGGGGCATCAGGGCCAAAGTCCTCGAAACATACCCAGACCTGGAACCACATATTGAAGAGATCCTACCCAAAAAGAGTCAATTGGACCTGGTGAAATTGTAAGCTGAAGTTTGACTGGACAGACACAACACCCGCATTCTCTGTCTATCTATCTCTTTGTGACTCTCCTCTATCTTTCATACTTGTGAATAGTCGGAGACCGGGACAGTGACGTTAACATACATGGCTTTTAGACCCGACCGAGTCTCTCTCTACGTACTCGACGACCAACCCTTATTCTACCAACACATGGATGACCCGATCGTTCCCCACCTCAAAATCGTCCACCAATACCCTCATGCATTCAAGACGTTGCGCATCGACCGCGGCGCCATCCGCTTCGTCCTGTCCGGCGCTGCACTCATGGCTCCCGGCCTCACCTCCGCCGGCGGGCGGCTGCCGGATAAAGACGAAGAGGCCAAACCCGGCGACATTGTGGCCATAGCAGCCGAGGGGAAAGAGGAGGTCTGCATGATCGGGCCCCTGGAAATGGGCACGGAGGAGATGAAGGAGAAGAAAAAGGGCGTCGCCATCAGCGCTGGGCATTACCTCGGCGATGGACTTTGGAAGTTGGAGTTGAATTGATAGGACAGGCCGATTGCAGGAGGAAAGCAGAGCCATTATACCGTTGAAGATCATCAATCCTGAATCGAAAAGCGGCCCAGGAAGACTTGGAACGAAAGAAAAAGAGAACAAAGCCGACCGCTCCCGACCGTTTGGGATGCCCTAATCGGTGCAGTTCCCCCAGAAACCAATGGCGGGCCGAGAATGTGACGGGAGACGATGAATCAAGCGTCGAAGTCCGGTAGTACCCCATACAGAGGGTAGTATCAGACGAGGCATGAAGGGGTATGATGGGAAATACAGATATTGGCATATCACGACAGCTCAGTCGAGGGTGGGATCTGGCAACGTCGAAGAGCCATGTGTCAGGTCGTGATGGAAACACCTTGGTGCGCCCGAGTCTGCGATCTGGCACAGAAACTACCAGCAGCCTTATGAGTCTACGGGGGCGAAAGCAGTATTCGCCATGGACAGGATAGCTCGAGAAACTACGACACCCACGTGCTGGATACAAGATACAGAACACATGGCAATGAAGATGGGGCTTGAAGAAGCTCTGTTCTCATAATACTCTTGTGTACAAACTTTTTGTCTTGCTCTGCTCGCCATGCATTGATCCATTGAGCACTGTGCTACTGTGTCCGCGCCTGAGGAAAAGCAAGAGGAAAACCAGCAGCAGTCGTAGACACATGGAGACCAGGATAGTGGTGGTTACGGTGACGGTGACAGTGACAGTGACAATCATTGGTGATTTCATGGCGCATGTCAAGGCCACACCGCGTTCTGCTGGTAGACCTGGTCTTGCGTAACAACTGGCACATAGCCGTCCTCCGCAGGTGGCGTTGCGTGGAATTAGTGTCGCTGCAAATGATCAAGGCGGGATCCGGTCGCAGCCATGGAGTGAAGCCCATCAACTCTGAACAAGCACAACTCCCACTCTGCAAACTATCCTTTCTGTGAATCCTCCAGCCCGTGGTGATCTCAATTTCCCTTGGTTAGACCGCAACAAGACCATGCCTTCTCCCCAACGCGCCGCAACCATTGTCATGACACAGTGTGAAGAAGGGTCTATGCAAGAACCCAAGGAGAAACGGAAGAAATGAGCGAGGAATTGACGACTGACGAGCTAGTGGTGACTCGAAACAAAACAAAGCAATGGGGGTATGATGGTATCGGAATCATGATCGGTCGTCGTGCGTGTTCTGGCCCAGCCGTCAGGGATATGGTCTCCAGCCTGTGGTATGCAAGGCCGTGACTTTTGTTATTGTCGGCATTGACGTCTTGTGCCGTTGCGCCTCCTTATGCTGTCCGGACAATGGGAAAAAAGAGAAAAGAAAGATTCTGACAAGAGCACTCCCCTCCAGCAAAGCCACCAACTCCTGCCGGAATGAGCAAATGACGAATGAACTTCAAGTAAAGTATGAAGTCGATCGGAGTGGTTGGTCTGATGGGCTATATGCTGAATGATGAAGCTCATTTGTTCGTGCCTGGATGGAAGAAGGAGATTGACATCATTCTCGATCTCACCGCCCAGTCAAATCTGCTCGAACGCCCGTTGAGAGATGCTTGGAACATCGACGTGTGACATAGCTAGTGGGGAAAAGGCACATCTTCCAGTTTGGTGAAGATGAACAAGGACATTTAGCTGATTCAAAGACAGCTTGGAATAATCTGTGGCTGATGTGACGAGGTGTTGACGTGGTGACGTGTTGACGAGGTTTTGGATCTCCCTCTCAACCACTTCTGTCGAGCTCGGCTTTCTCCTCAGCAGTGAGGACATCACGCAATCTCTTGATGGTCTTCATGTTGGTGGCTCCATTGCGCCAGGCCGTCCGCAAGGTATGGAAAATCGCACGATCCTCGCTCTTTTCGTCACGCATAAGTGTGGCCATGTCAGAGGCGAGGCGTTCACTGACCGGGATGGGTCCACCTAAGAGCTTGCCGTAATAACGGACAAGATGCGCCATACCACTGCCATGGCCTTGTTTGAATTCATCGACAGCAGTGGTCTTGAATTCTTCATACATGGCGACATTGAACTTATGCATCAGGAAATCGCCCCAGAAAGAATACAGTGGCTCCAAGGCTCCCTCGACGCCCAGCTGGCGTTGTTGAAATGCCACATCGTGCAGTGACAGATAGGTCTGGTCGTATTGTCCGAGCATTGGTGGTGGCAGATGAGTTTCCCGACCGTCTTTTGCAAAGTAGATGATACTGTTGCCATCACCAGTCGGAGTCGCATTTGGGAATCCAAACGAGATGGTTTCGGATTGCCCAAGTCTGCTTGAATGATTAATGGTTTGATAGAGACAAATGTTGAAGAACTCACTGTTGTGGACTCCCTGCTCCCCCACGTAGCCCTGGAATACGAGAGTGATCCGACTCGGCGACGCCATTGGTAGCTTCGTTAGCCCCAGTAGAAGCTTCTTGAGACGACGCTTCAGTAAGGTTGGAGAAAGATGCAGTCATCTCCTGACCGGCAAAAAAGCGTGGCTGCATGCGGATGTTGATGTGTGCAATTTGCTCGTCAGGAAACATATCTTCTTCGATGTCGCCACGAGAAGCCTGACGATGATGACCGTTGACCATGTGGTTGGGCGAAGCTGAAGCGGGGTTTGAGGGTGATCTCAAATTCTGCACTGCATCAGGCGCAGCGGGAGGAAACGATGGCATAGATGAAACACGAGTCTCATCACCGTTCACCGTCTCAAACGCGGGAACAAATGGTGCACCGGGAACGTGTCCATCCACCGAGGCCCCTGGGACAAAGGACAGTGGAGAGCCGGTAGGGAAAGTACCGTTGACGGGAGCGACGTTCAATTGAGGACTGCGGATCTGCCCGAAACCAAAGGCTGTTTCGAAAGACGCAGCTTGCTCGTGTGATGATTGGGCATATGGCAGGGGACTCGTCAAAGGCCCATCATTGCGAGCCGATTCGAATCTCTCCTCGACTGGAAGAACAAAGTCTCGCCAATTGTCTCGTCGTCGCAGGCGATCAGTGCCGTCGGGTCCAGGAAGAAACTCCACACTCTTGACCTGCTGGCACACGTATCGAAGAGTGTCCATGGTCATGGTGTCTTCAGTCAGAGTCTTGATCCGCTGGAAGTTTGCAATAACACTAAGTGGCACGTAGCCTTGACCATCCATGTGCTTTCTCAGAAACAGGTCTTTGCACAGGTTATCAATCGAAAAATAGTACTCACTAAACACATGTCAGTATTGGGGAATTGAAGTCGTCGAGGGAAAAACATACACTTGAGTCATGACCATGGAGAGCAAGGCATACGAGTTCAAAGGATCGTTATATGGCATAGCAGTCATGATACCCGGCTGCATCTGCACTCCAGATGGGTAGCCATACATTGCCACGTCAGTCTGCAACACCGGCATACCTTGAGCCGTGCCTGATTGAGCGTTGTAGTAACCTGGGAACATCATACCAACGGGAATGGATTGCGACCGGGAGGTGTTGTTAGCGCTGGCTTGCTGGCCAGGTTGATATGTTTGAGATGTCTGTCTTGAGCGACCCTCGGGGTGAGAATTCGACCTGGATGGCTCAAATCCGTTCTGGGGCAGAGGAGATGTGTAGGCGTGCGACGAGCCAAATGCAGGATTGTAGTTGTGGTTGCCTCTACCACGATAACCTCCACGGCCGCGCTCAGGGCGAGCATCACGGCGATGATTGTGTTCTCCAGAAGGCTCTCGGTCTCGCCAGGACTCGACTTTCTCACGCGCTGAATCAGGTTTGTCTCTTGACCAGTCACGATTTCTGCCAGATCCGCGCTCACGGGGGAAGTCGCCATTTCCTCGTGCATTGTGTGCGCCGCCTTTGGTCCGATCGGCGGGCAACGAATAGCGGATGGAGGGCTCACTTGAATGACCCCAGCCGCCGGAAGCTTGTTCGGATGCAGGATTGCCGTCCCCATTCACCATACGACCTCCAGCACGTCCAGTGTGTCTCGAGGAGGAGCGGGAGCTTTGATCAGTTTTTGGAATCTGATCTTCTCCATTCGGTTGGTTTGTAACCGCAACATTTCCGGCGACATCAGCACCGGCGTGTTCTTTGGCAGAAGGCACGGAAGGTTTGCGAAAACTGGGTGTCGACTCATCTCGGCTCGGTTGTCGCGTACCACTGGTGGTAGGAACAGATGCACCACGAGTACCATGATGACCTTCAGCTCGACGGCCTCTGTCTTGATCACCCAAACTTCTTGGGAGAGGAGGCGGCCCCATAGACCCTGTCGATTCTTGTTTCTCGGCAGGATGGCCACTGCCAGCGTGTCCACCACGACCATTCGAGTCTCGACCACCTCGGGCGCCACCTCTACCACCTCGACGAGCGGCAGACGGTGGGAGTTGCGTCTCAAATTTGGCCGTCGGAACGAAACGCATGGGAACCCACTGTTTGCCGTGGGATTTCTGACCCTGCTCTTTGGCATCCGGCTTCTCCACTTTCTCGTGAGCAGATGACTTGCGTCGTTCTTCCACATTCGAGATTTCAGGGGTTGGCCATAACTGAGCATCTCCTGCAGGTGGAATCCCTGCCTCTGCTCTCTCGGATCGGGAAAATCGGCCTGATGGAGTGTCCTTTCGACTGTTGCCCCGAGTGCTATCGGCATTCTTTGATTCCTGTTCACCGCTGACGGAGTCCTTGCTGATTGATTTGCGCTTCGAATCTTCGTTGCCATTTGTAGTCTTGGGAATTGGACCAGGCGCAGCAGGGACGGTGATACGCTGCTGCTCAACCAGGTCTTTCAACTTCGCCTGTTGAGCCTCTTTGCGTTGTTGCCAAATATTAACTGCGGGGAGCGGCGCCGCCTTGAGAGGCTTTTCTGCAGTCATTGAAGGCACCGAAACCTTCTCCCAATCATCATCCACTTCTTTGGACTTCCTCTCCGATCCCTTCTCTTGAGAAGAAGACTCGATTGATTGCTCCGAATATGATCGTCCATTCTGCGATGGCCTGGTCTCGTCTTTCTGGGAGTCATGGTTTGGTTCGTTGCTACCAGTGTCTAGCGGACCTGATCTTTCCTCTGGAGTTGAAGCCTGCTTTTGCTGTGCTGGCGGTGGAATGTTCTCCTTGTCTGTCGACTGTTGAATGGTCGGTTTGATATCGCTGGTATCCAGACTGGCTTTGTCATCAGACTCGGGTTTCGGGGTTGATGTAGAGTTGCTGGACTCGATGGAAGTCTGTTCTTTGGCACTCTGTTCAGAAGCGGCAGGGCTTTCGTTGCGGGGAGTCTGCTGCGCGGAGGTCGAAGGCGTGAGTCCTTTTGCGGCCTGTGCGTATGAGAAGACTGGTGCCGCAACACCGGTGCCTGAAGGGTTCGACATTGTCTCGGCGATGGTAAGCGCGAGAATTCCTACACCTCCTGTTCCACTTCCACAATACTAAACCCCAAACCAGCAACAAGCTGGTTGCAAGCTTGAAGAACCAGTATAGCCTGGTGGTCTGACCTGGATAGGATTGGAATCACTTTACAACTGTTCCTGACCCAGTATCTTGTCGGAAGGACAACAACGGATTTTGTGAACAAGGTTGTCTCAAACCCAGTAGTACAGTAGAATTTGTGACGCGACAACTCTTTTGATAGATGTGGTTTGTGCCCGAGCTGCCACAGCCGTGACTATGAGACCGGTGTCAAACAGCCAATGACTCGTGCGTAGTTCGGTTCGACAACCCTCGTTTGACCGACTTCACGATAACTCTGATGAGAGTTATCCCGGAGAGTGCGGATAGTCGGGAAGAGTAAGGTGCTTCCTTATTGTCTGTTAGTTGAAAGTTGTCTACGCCTGGCCCTCGGCTGGAATACTGACAAGGTAGACTTTGTTCTCCGATTGATGCACTTCACTCAGAATCGGCGACGATCTCGAGACAATGACTCCTTGCGCGAACAATTGAATAAAATTTAGGCAATCGAAAAGGTCGGTCAACGTCCTGAGGTAGAGGCAGGGATAGGTAGAAGGCCCCGCGGTTGGATTGTGCGATGAGGATGAAGTGAGGTGAGGCGTCCGAAACTTTTGTGAGCGGAGAGTCAAAGGAACGCAGCCGGACCCTGTTCATACAGCGCCGAGTAGCGCAGGGAAGGTATGTCGCGCTCAACAAGGGTGAGCACGAGCACGAGGGAGAGAGGCGCGTGAAAGAGGATAATAAAGAAGAGAGGACGGTGAGAGGAGGAGTGTGGATTGTGGGTAGAGAGAGTTAAGGTAAAGTGAGTGTGAGTGTGAGTGCGGAAGTCTTTTTCGTGCAAAGCTCCAGGTATGGACTGAATTTCGATTTCCTAGCGCGGCAAACTGGGACCAACGACCGTTGCACTTCCGACACCCGCGCAGCCAGATATTGTATACACAACAAGGAGAGACGTTAGATTCCTTTCTATCTACACTTTATTCTATCACTTGATCGTGGTGGCTACCTCTGTCGCTGCACCTGCTCTCGTTCCTGTTGACAAGTATCACCCAAAGGACCAAATCGAGAACCCCTCCTTGACTAGCAACCTCTGTGCTGCCTGCTCCTCCTACTCCTCTCCTCACACACGACTCTGACCAATACCGGCTGCATTGTCTGGCTCCTCGTCTCGATACGATTCGGCCCGTGTCTTTCCTCCCGTTGGCCAAGTACGACGACAACCGAAGACCCTAAGACTGCCGATCCAGTGATGGCTACCGGAGCCTCCATCGTTACATGATAGCTGCCCTCTCGCCCGAACGGAGCATGGCTGGATGCGCCTGTCTGTCCGAGGCTGAGGCTAGGCTAGTTCAATCAAGATTCGTTCAATAGTAGGGCTATCAGTGGTATCGTAAACGGATGTGAGTTAGCGTGACAGAAGATGCCATATATTGGTTGAAGTACAGGAGATCCCATGGCTACCGCTGCAACATCTCTCAACCCGTCTCTCGTCGCCATCCTCCTCGTCACACAAGCTCGCACTGGGTCAGGTGCCCAACTTGTGTTCCATTATCCCCCGGACCCGCTGTCACCAGATCGTGATTCTCCGGCGTTAAGATCCATTGATGACGATGAGGAAGAGAGTTCCAGCAGTGATTCGGAGGAGTCTTCTTCGGAGGAGGAATTTAACCTGTTTACGCGGCGAGTCCAGAATGGGGTAGAGTCCAACAGTGACAACCGCTCACAACGCTCTGATGACGAGGATGATGACCAGCTGGTGAAGAAGACACAGGACGATGGATCTTGGAAACCACAGTGGGAGCCTCTCCTCGGTCTGGGGGAAGACGGGCTGGTCAGCTTACTGGCTCCAGGTCGTGCCTGGCACAAACGCAAGTTTGAACTGGGAATCAACAACCTGACGTTTCTGGGGCGGCCGGTTTATGCCCGTGAAGATGGGTTATGGCGCAAGCCACGATCTAAAAAGTCCAGGTCTGCCGACGAAGAAGGGGCACAACAGTCTTCCGATGCCTTGGCAAGTGACAGCGAGAAAGACCAAGAGGTTGAGCCGAACACCAAATCCAAGACCAAGCGTCAACCCGAACCTTCGAAAAGCCAGTTGACCATGTTTCATGCTGTGTTCGTCATGGATCCTTCACCCCTAGAGCAGACCATGCGCGTCAAAGATATGTACGACAATGTTGCGAAGAAATTCTCCAAGGTTCTCAAATGGGAGCAGTCGCACCACGATTATGTCTGGGAACAATCGGAACTACTTCACTCCATCAAAACCACCCACTCCCACCAACAGTCGCCTACGAAAGCTATGTATACGGAAATGCTTCGAAGGTCGTCTCTGGCATCAGCCATTGCCAAAGTGTTTGACAACATTTCTGCCTCGAAAATAGCTGCGATCACACTTAGCTCCAAACTATCTGTGTCTTTTCAGATCCCTCCGATCACCTCAACCTCTTACCTGCCTTCGCTAAACGAGCCTCCTTTGGAACCCGGCCTGTGGCTCACCACTGCCACAGATGCCGTTTCGACAGCATCCGATTTGGACGCGACCTCGATGGGTGGAGCACTTCAACTGTCCAAGAACTTTACTCTCTTGTTCAAATCGAGTCCACAGAAGATCCTCAAGGACATTCAAACCGCCGGAGGACCACTCGCCCTGCCATTGGCGAATTTTATTGCCAAAGCGAATCCAACAAAGTCCTTTTATAAGATATCAGTCGCTGCGCAGATGTCTTTGGGAGACATTCAACACCTCGCTCGGCATCTGGTCTACTGGCGACGGGCGGTAGCGATACCTCCCTTACATCAGCGAAACACGTACATGGTGTCTCCGAATGCAAATATAAACAAGCTGGTATCGGCCTGCAAGTCCTATGAGGCCACGTTTCCCATGATGCCGTCCCTACCCAAGATGTTGAACTCTCTGTGTGGCACTCCTGTTCCTTACGGCACTCTCATACCCAGCAGTGACCACAAGGAAGAATACTACCGCGTGTTGGCCTGGTTGATGCGCGACGGGTGGGTGACGCAGCTTCGAACCTTTGCGTATGTGCGCGTCAGCCCGGAAGTGAAGAAGGCTGTGAGGGAAAGGGAAAAGGAAGAGGCCAACTCCAACCGCACGAACCGCAACAAACCCCCTGCCGACCCCAATGGTTCGGATCGTGATGTGCCAGTATCTCAAAGCTTTGGCAGCGGCACACCCACCACGGTCGCAAGCAGTTTGGTTTCGTCGTTCAAACAGCGGCCGAGCTTGGTCAGCAGACCGTCCAGTGATGGCCGTCAATCCATCTCAACCGATCATACGAGCACGCATGGGATGCAACAACCCAAACATAACCCCAAAGCAGCGAGTTTGGTTTTGTCGCCTCAACGTGCCTCTCCCGAAGAGTCACGCTGGCTCGACTATATCGGATCGACGCTGGTTGGGGCGACAGAGATCGAGACCGCCGAGCTGCGACAGTATTGGCCCATGTTTGTCAAGTACTTTACGGGCTCGGAAGCACTGGAGCGGATTGCTGTGCGCGAGGGCCTCAAGAGGAAATTCGTCTGGGACACGTTGGTCAAGATGGGTTTGAACTTAGACGGCGGCGTCGAGGATGACAAGGGGGAGAATAAAGGTATTTTGGTCGCCTTCCGACATTGGTAGGATATCAATGGAGCTAGAATCAGGAAATTTCCGTTATTTTGAATTTAATGTATACCTCTGATTAGCACGTCCTGTTCATTTCTTTCATATTCACCTTATCTAAGTACACCCCTTCTATGTCTAGTCTCATGTCTATGTCTAGGAAATCTATCCACCCTCTAGAATCTAGACAGGGTATCACTCTATAGAGGTCATACACCGATGGATGCAGGACTTCGCCCCTTGTCTCTGCTCTTGCCAGCCTGGTACTACGCCACGGTGCATCACCGCTGAACTGCCACCAGCTCCATGATGTGGTAGTATTGCAGATCTCTTTGTTTCGTTGTAGCGTGACGACACCACCCGTACCAGACCAGGCCACTGCCAGTAAATCAATCAGACCCCACGCCGGGAAAGCTGAAGAAATGTAGATTGCTTTCCAGAAACACGCCCGCCGACAAATACAACAGAAAGGTAAATCGTATCCTAGGACGTCCGTCGGGGCAAAATGTTGGTGAATCAGACGTCCAGAATGTAAACTGGCACATTATACCCATGCAAAGAATGGCATGTTCGAAACCGACCGGATTGTAGCTCTCTGTGCGCCTCGAGAGCCTCGCACTGCGTCTAGTATGACTGATGTAAGGGAAATTGGCGTTGAATAGCGAGCGAGTCCAATGGCGGCCAGCGAGGGACGGGGCGGCTTGATTGAGATAGCCTAAGAGCATGGGGATGTAAAGAAGAACAAGTCTGCCATCCTGCCACTTTGAGCCTGCGTGCTTTGACATCCTCATGCGCGGCAGTGCATCCAGAAGCGGATAATGCGAATGTCTGATGGCCGTTTATAGCTTGGCCTTGATATTCTTCTCCCGCAGAGGACCAGCCTCGTGGCCGATCTGTCCTTCATTCTGGTCGGTAGGGTGCGTAGCATGGTCCGGTTTCTTCGGAGCACTTTTGTACCCGCTCTCCAGGTTTTCTTGGTTGATGACCCTTCCGTTCTCGCCACGTCGAATGCCCAGCTCGAGGAGCTTCGCGAAAACGTTGGCAAAGTCGCGGAAAAAGAGATCTTTATCTTCGGCGTATTTGTCAACCCAGACGCGGAAGGACGGGTCATGCAACAACGCAATGTCCGTGGGAAGCATCATGAGCTCTTCAGGCTCTTCTCCGTCGGCATCTTCACCTTCAAGGTCCTTGTCAATATAGACGTACTGCTCGAATCCGTTGGCCAGCTTCTTCTTCTTCCAGTCATGCATGCGCAGCAGCTTGTAGTACATGTTGCTAAAGCGTGTTGGATTGTTGACCCATTTGCCTTCGAATCCTGATCGGTCGCTGTGGCATCGGCCTAGGTTGTGCGCACCGGACAACGCCACGATCTCTTGGTCGTTGAACCCCATGCGGTAGAAGATCCAGCGGAGGTGGTCCGCGTCTTTTGAGCCGTCGGGTAGTCGCCCGCGTGGAGGACATCGGCTGTCGTCTGTAAAGTCGGTCCGGCCGCCACGCCAGGAGATCTCTGGCCCGCCCATTTCTTTGATTGCAACTACCGCCGCCAGCGTCCATAAGTCGGCATATGTGATCCAGGGGAATTGGCGCTTGATGGGTTCGAGGAAAGCCCGCGCATGTTGTAGTCCCGCGTTGGCCGGGTCGCCGCCTTCTACCTCATACCGCATACCAGCCCCGTTCGAGCCACCCGTGTCTGTTGCCTTATCGTAGGTGCCGGCACTGTGCCAGGCCAGGCGGACAATGACTGGACCAGCGCTGCCATCATCGTAGTCGGGTTGCTTGAGTAGCTTGACAATGGCGGCGCGGACTTCGGCGAGCTGAGGGCTTGAAGGCGTGAGAGGGACGTCGGTCGTAGGAGGCTGAGATTGCGAGGACATCGTGTGGGATGTGACAACTCAGGTATTGAGATAAGTCGCTTGGTGTTGTCTTGCAAGGGGAACCGTACGGAGTGGTTGCGTATGGAATGCGTGGGTAACGTCTCTCTGTCACGCGGATTGCTCGGACTTGTAATAGGCGGAAAATGTCACAAGCAGAATCTCTCAGTCGCCTCTGAGGTAAGCAAAGATCAGGGGGATATTGTTTGAAGGAATGAGAGTGCTCAAACACAGAGAAGGAATCTGGCAGGATCAAAGATGGGAAAGATGGAAAGGGGCGAAGACGAAATGCATGGAACGAACATGAAGGCCAACAATCTACCTCGGCATCATCGTCGCACTTCACCAGAATCGGCGACAATCCCTTTGGCTGCTGCTACAATAGCTGGAGCATGTCTGTGGGTCTGGCGCTGGTGTCCACAGTTGCACTTCGAGCACATGAAAGATTGCTGCGTGAAGAGGCGGCGAGCGGACGCGCTAAAATGATCGCGATAAGAGGAAAAATCGGGCGAGGCTGAGAGCACCGGGAGGATGATGACATAATTGTGTCTCCATCACGGATTTCCAGGTGTAGCAACTCGTCGAGCAGCAGTCATTGAAACCTTCTCCTTGAACGCTGAATCTGTTTCTTAGCAATATACCAGATATTGTCTTTTTTGAGTCCTTCAATAGCTTCCTCCTCTTTCCGTAAAAACCAGCATCGTAAATGGGTTGTGGGATGTCTCTGTGAACGGAGAAAGGCGGTCGTGGCAGATTGAAGTTGCAGGGGTTAGCCTTTCTCCGGTCGTGCCGGGGTTGAAATATCTAGGGCCATCACGATAAGTCGTAATTCAACCTCATCCTTCTTTTTCATCCCCGACACAGCTTCGAAGATTAAGTTTGAGATGGCAACAAGCCCATGGCCCATAAAATGAATTGCTCTAGAACATGATGGTGCAGTTGATCGTGTCTTTTCGCCATCCTGGCGCGTCGAAGTAAAGGATGTCAAGGTGGGTGGGCAGGTAGGTGAGCGTGAGGTCTGATGCGAAGCGACCTGGTCATCATCAGCAATGTCTTCACGTGGGAATTGGATCATGTTACGAGAGTATTGGCGTATTAGGGAGCGTTTGATGCTGTCGTGGAAGCTAGAAAAGAGAGCAACGGGAGGAGATGCAGCTACAGTTGATCAGACCAAACTGAGATTCATTTGAACTCTTTGCATAATACACAGTTGCCTGTCCAAAACACGCTCTAACACAGCTTCCTTACTATCACCGCAGTCTGGGTCTTGGCGGCAGCACTGTCTGCGCTGCGCTGACTTCAAACCCCCCACTCTCACTCTCACTCTCTTCTCTTTTCCTTCTCTCCAGACATTCGAGCATTGCCAACATCGCTATCTTGGGATAGCATACCTCTTTTCTCGTTTGTCGGCACACTGATTAGTCGATCCGCATGAGGAGGGCCCTTTCTCTGAGCAATAAACTCAGAATCTGGCTACCATGGATCCTCCAGCTCCACCAGAGCGGCGCAGCAGCTTCGTCGCTGCATTGGAGGAGAGCCTTCCTGTTATAGATGCATCGACGATCATAGCGCAACGAAAGAAGCAATATGAAACGATCATGGCAATCAGGCATCGTGCTCAGGCCACCGACGATCAAGATGTCCAGGTCCGGAAGAACTCAGGTCTCATTGTTCCCTTTGCGGTTGAAGATGAGATCGACAGAGATCAGCATGCATACTAATTCGCTCCTAGAACATTCGCCCTCCCATGTATATGGTCTCGGACACCAAGATTCGAAGACCCTGTGGGTTTCTGGCCTGCCGATGACAAGCAAGCCCCTGGAGAGGGTACTAAACCGGCCATCGGCGATGAGAAGAACAAGTCCGATTCCGATGTCGTCAGTGTCAAACTCCAAGTCAATTCGGGTCAATATACCGCCATCCCGAGCCTGGATATCCTGCTTGACTGGGCCAATGTAAACTCACCAGACCGTCAGAAGTCACGCGCGGCCCGTCCATACAATACTCAGTTTGGCATTCGGTTTGACTATCAGCCTGGTATCAAAGCACAGGCCCACACTCCTGCTACAGATGTTGCCATGGCCGACACAGATGGTTTCGAGGTACAGTCGTTCGAAATGACCCCGCTGCCATCTGCGGATACAACCGACGAAGAGGAAATCCTCATCAGCAACGCCGTGGGCAGATTGGTACCTGAAGCCGAGCGAGATCTTGGGTTTCTTCTCAAGGTTACACTGTTCGGTGGTCGATGCGAGCAAATATGGTCTAACCCTGAATACACTGCTCTACCTGAGAACGCGAGGGAGGCCGTTCAACAGACCAAAGCCGACAAAGTGCCAGTCGTCCACTATTTCATCTGCAGAATCAGTCTCTCTGCAGATGGATCCTGGGCTTCGCAAGTGTCGGAATCCTGGGACCTCTTCATGGAGAAACATTATTCCCCTATGCACAACGCTCGAGACGCTGAGGGCAACGTGACATTTTCTCTGTACGATACTGAGAACGTCCACATCATCTTCAACCATCAGTATGCTTGTTACGAGTCGGCGGAGGAACAATACCTTGCAAAACAGTACCATGCCCAAAAACCGGTTGTTTTCCCACAGGCCCCGGACAGCATCTACAAGGTGCCTTTTACACCATTTTTCCCAGACCCGAAGGTCTTCGAAGCCCTGATGAAGTTGGGTATCTACTTCGAACATAGGTTTCTCAGCAGGGAACTTAAATATCTCCCCTGGTATATCCATAGTGCAGTGGGTGTCAAAGCATTCGAGAGCTACATGGTCAACCAGGACGTCAAGAGCAACAAGGGACTTTCCTGTCGCAAGATGCGCTTATCGTTCATACATCAGTGTACATGTTTGTTTTCTTGGCACGGAGTGCGATCGATGTCCCAACATTGCCAAAGGAGGGAACTTTGTTCTTCGTGGAACCCATTTCCGGAGATGGCCCTTACGTCGAATCGGCAAAACACGACCAGTTCCGGGGAATCGTCATACAGCATCCTAAAACACTGAATATGGGTGCTGATTTCTACATTTTTGCGCAGTTCCCGTCAACTCGAAACGCTCGTCGCATGGTTTTTCACGAGAACATCGACAAGGCATTGCAGCAGTCCAAGAGGCGAACCTCGGTCTATCTATATCCACGGTTCAATCTCACAACCGAGCAGCGGCAATACGACGCTCTAGAGACTATCTGCAATGTCAACAACCCATCCTTTAGGCATATACAGTTTCCGCTTTTCTGGCAGCAGGAATTACGGGTGCCGACGGGCACCGACTATCGTTACGGAAAGTCTCCAGAACTTACTGTTCGGAATAAGGTGTTCGATCACTGGAACTCTGTCTCGGGTGCCATCACCGCTAATCAGGGGTATTCGACGAACCAGTACCATGCGGACATCCTCAACTGTTTCTCCAGTCTACAGGGATCCATGACCCTACTCACTGGTCCAGCTGGGACTGGGAAGACAACCCTGATGTCGAACATGCACGTCCTTCCTTTGGTAGGTGACTACAAGATTATGGTCACTGCCGAGTAACAAGACGCGGTCGACAACGATGCCAACAACTTCTACGATATCTGGCAACGTGCAATTCAGTACTTCCAAAATACAGCGCCCGAAATCGCCGAAAAACTTCGAAACAAGCGACCTCTCCGTTTCGAGGCAAATGGTATGCCCATGTCCGGTAACGCTCTTCATGTCCTGCTCGAGCATACAAACGAAACCTACATCAGTAAGGCAACCCGTTCGGAAGCAATTTCGCCGATCCGGTAGTTTCTCGCTATATGGATCTCTTGTCCGCATACGAGCAGTCTATTGCCGATGAAGTCGTTGCGGATACAGAAGAACTCGAAGCGCGAAAAGAAAAGCTTCGCACCAGTGTAGAAAGTGCTCATCTTGCATACTCAGCTGCCGAGAAGCTCAACACTCGTCGTCGACTTGCTTTCCCCCGTGCAATGTCCATGATGGAGCAGCTTCGTCTTCAGCGGGAAGATGATATGGCCAAGGGCCGACCCGAATTGTCACAAGAGTGGCACGACATTCAAGTCAAACGACAAAATCTGGAACCATTGACGTCGGAGGAACAGAAGAAGTTTAACCGTCTTCGTCTGAGCCAGATGACTCGCGTGATACAAGGCGTTGATATTATTTTCCTGACGTTATCCTCTTCCGCAGATGCTTTGATTACGGAAAACATCAAGCCGGACTTCCTCTACATGGATGAGGCAAGCCAGATCACCGTTCCCTCCGCCTGTGTCGGCTTTCAACATAAACCATTGCACACGTTTGTCATCGGCGATCTCATGCAACTCGGGACCAGCAGAGCTGGGAAAAAGGCCAACGCAGCTCACGGTTACACCTATGTATCGATACTCGAGTATCTCCACATCAAGAAGGTGCTGGAAATTCCCAGCAAGATCCAATACCGCGTTCCTCCGGAGATCCTAAAGTTCGTCACGCCGAACTTCTATCCATCTGGTCTTATTGCCCATGAGTGCACGTTCAACGCCGCGGCAGAGGCGCATCCGGCCCGTGTGGCTGTCAGAGCCTTTTCTCAACACCTTGGGTGCAATTCACCCGAAAGGGGCAAGGGAGGCTTCAATTTCCTGATGATTGATGTCCCAGGCGGGGTTGGTAAACGGGAAGCCAACGGGCACTCCAAAGTCAATTACGCGGAAGCTTGGTCTGCCGCTCAGACTATAACCGACCTGCTGAACAGAGGCTGTCCGCTTACCGACATCTGTGTCATAAGATAGATACTACAAAGCACAGGTTAGACTTGTCCAGAACGTTCTCATCCAGAAACCGGAAATGGCAGAGGTCGAGTGTATCACCGTCGATCAATCCCAAGGCAAGACAAAACCGGTTGTTATCGTTTTGACAACTGCAACCTGTGTTCCGCAAGTCTGCTCAATGTTCGAAGGTTCCGTTCTGCAGCACGATGTTTCATTCCATCTTTCCACTTTCGTTCTTCAGCCATCTCGGCTGAACGTGGCTCTAACCCGAGCAAGCCATGGTACAATCGTCCTAGGTTGCGCCCGAAGCCTCGCTAAAGGGGGCTATTCGACTCGGGCCGGTGTTCCAAGTCAGGCAGCTGCCTCTTCCTCCGACGCCAGTGGCATCGTCTTGCAGAGCTTCGTGGGCTTTCACCTCGCACGAGGGTCATTGGGACGAAGCATTCACAAAGCCCACAATCCTCGCATAAAGGCAGCGCTTCCAGAAAATGTATACGACTGGTGGCACGATAGCATATCGTCTCACAATTCAAAAGCAAGTCTTTACTGGCTATTGGTGCGTGTAAAGCAGGTGCGAGCTCGTCGACGAGAAGAACAAGAAAGAGTGATGATTACAGCTAGTCAAATGACAACGTACAATGGCAACGACAGGTGGATCTCACGAATCGCACCAGGTCATCAGGCAAGGGAATCCGAGCACCGGCAGGCAGCAGGAGTCCCTCGCAAAGCGCCAGGGGCAAAGGCTCCGAAGAACAATGATCGGAAGGATCAGAAGGGGAAGAGGAATGATGCTGCTCCTGCTGCTGAAAAGAGACCAGCTGAAGGAGATGATACGGGTGAGCGGGAAGCTAAGCGAACTGCATAGAGGGATATGGAAGATGAACTTGGTTATTCGTGTACATAGTGTCCAGGCTACCTATTTGATGCACACACAAGAAAGAAAGTTCATCTCCATTCAAACCAGAGATCAGCATAGCGACCGAATCATGCATGATCACTTTCGTATGTCGAGTTCGTGGGGCCATTCTGGCACCATAGCAAGGACCTAGTGCAGCAGATGGCTTCTTAGCTGCAGAACCGGGGTTAGCGATATCGTAGTAACACGGTAGTAATACAGTCTCTAGAGCTAAGACGTGTTTTCAAAAGTGATGTGATTGTAGATGGTACTAGAGAGCAATGTAGAAAAAGCATTGCTACCGACCTTCCTCAAGACCTTGTTGTCCGCCGTACCCATGGTTCCGAGGCTGTCAATTGCTACCCAGTCGATTAGTCGATCTCCGAAGACTTGTAATGCTTCAGACATCATGCCACAGTGGTCTTCCCGCTTCCAATACAGGGTAAGCTTCACTGCCTGTAGGTACACAAGCGTAAGTACAAATAACACCCTCCACGTACGATCCCATCGGGTTTCGCCAAGGAACGTTCGCACAACCCGTAGGAACAAGTACACGCGTTTTTGACGGATAAGGAATTGGACGAAATTCTGGATCAGCGTCGGCCTCTTCGATGGTCACAAGCCTGAGGGGTACTCATGTGGACGAGGCTGTAGATCATTCATCTCAACAGCCACATAGCAAGGTATTCGCCAATGGAAGCGCCAAATTCAACTGGATTTCGGCATGTTTGGGCACCACGTCCCAACCATACTCATTCTTTCTTAAACAAGGTGAAAAGCCAATCTTGAGCGAGCTGCGCCATGTTCCACTTGCTCTTTGCTGCCCTGGGTATTCAAACTCTACTGTTGGAGCCACCTGATGAATGCCGATCGGGGGACTGATGCGCCGGGAGTTCTTAATGGGAGGAGAGCGTAATGGCAGGTCTCGTAGTGTCGTCGGCCTGCAAGACAATACCTCTGGCAAGGCTTGCAGCGACGTATCGTGTCGGGAGAAGGGGTCTCGTCGATTGCAGAACCGTTCACATCCGTCAAGCGAGGGGTGATATAGACTAAAGTGAACTAAGTTGATAGACGGACGATTGAAGTTTCACGACCGGCGATTGATATCACGTGACGCTGATTTGATTGGCCGCCTGGTGTCTGGCAGCCACCCACTGCGAGGTGACGATGCTGGAAGTGAGATCCACGCTGCAACCGAATGGTCCGTCCGCGCTCTTCTGAACCTACTACTAGTAAAGACCGCTTCCCACCTCCCACCGCTCCCTACCCTATCTTCCTCTGGTACTCGTCTTCAGCCTTTGCAGCAGTTTGGTTCGCGACAATTGCGGCGCAGCTGCACCGCGGTGCGATCTTTGTGCAGCTATATAGTTGTCACCTCCTCCCGCCGATACAATGGGGGAACAAAACTTCCCAAGTCACCAGAACCAGGAGAGAACCTCCTTTCCTCCCATACCAACACGACGAACAAGATCAGACGACACTGAACCCTGACCTTCAACACCACCACTCTACTCTCAATCAGAACTCCCTCCTCTTCAGCTCAATACTTCAGAGCTCCGAAAAATGGCCAAGGATACTTTCCCTCCTGAGCCACCTCATTGGCTGTTGCGTGGTATCCAGTCCGCCATATTCTATTACGTCTCTTGCGTGCCATGCCGCGAGTCCAAGCAGAGACGCAAGGCAATGCAAGAAGTCAAAGCAGCCCAGGCAAGACAAGAAAAAGTCGTCAACACTCAGCCGGGCTTTGTCAGGCAACCCATGGCATTCCAGACGAATGAGGCATGGGCGGAAGAACTACTGCTTGGTCCCGGACCACCAAAAGGGTACAAAGCCGACCCTTTGCTGGAAAGATTGCGGAAGGAGCAGAAAGAAGCTGCCAAAGCGGAAGCAAAGGCAGCAAAAGTGCAAGATGCGGCTACAAAAAAGCTTGGATCACAGAAGTCTGCCCAACCGGAAGCGTCTACAACTCAGCCACCTGCACCGCCTGTCGAAGCTTCTACGGAACCATCCACAACCGCCAAAGGGAAAAGGAGAGCCTCACTGCGCTCCACGGATTCCAAAGGGAACAACTACAGACTCCATTCCCGAGAGGATGAGAACCTCAAGAACTTGGGCGATAGAATGTTTGGAAGGTTTCATCGTGCGACTTCCAGCATTTACTATGATGAAGGATCGCGCTCATTACACCCACGAGCACATTCAACCTCGGACGAAAGCGAAGTGAATGATTACTTCAGAGGCAGAAATCCCTCAATCAATTCCCTCCACCCTCCGATTGTTTCTCAATTGCCTGCCAGAAGAGAGGACGTTGCATGGATGCTACTTGGCCCACCCAGTGCAGCCGTGATGGCCGGTGCTAAGAGGCCTGTCGCGGACCAGATGCGATTGCCAATGTGCGTCGTCGGAAGTTCGAAGCAATACATTATTCCAAAATCAGAAGTGGCGGAACTGGTCAATCCGTCCACCAAAGGCAGCGATGAACGCCATAGCGACCTGGAGTCCAGCGACAGTTCAGGACAATACGACAGCGATATGGACTTTGAGAACTTTAGCTCGTCCAAAGTCGATGAGTCGGCCGAACCACCCCTACCCATCCGGGTGAAGCATCTTTCGGAACCTGTCGCCAGACCGGTCCCGATCTATTCACCGTCGGTGATCACCCGAAAACCAATTGAAACCAAGAGACGAGATTCTTGGCAATTTCACTACGTTGCCAGCATTCCATCCGACCGGTCTATGGAAATGTGAAAAGCTGCGAGCTTACGGATTACTCGGTCCCCTCGGACCTATTCACAGTGGCCCAGTCCACCACTAAGCCCATTGGCCAACTTGGGCGATTTCTACCTTTGATTTTGCAATGCATGCAGACAGCTGGAGTTACTGTCGTACAGCAAGGAGTTCGGGTCTATCAGGAGAAGTACAGTTTTGTCATGAGGCGTGAATGAAGCAAGAAAACCGTGAATGAAGCGTTTTATAAGTGATGAATTGCTCTGATTGCTACTGGCGCATATGGGATTGGAGTTCGGCACAGGAAACCGTGGTATGAAGAGTCATACTGTTTTCAATTGTTTTGGATGCTTTTGATGGAGTCGGAGTACAGCAGAGAAGACCCAAGTCTGGCCTTTTCCGGAGTGATGAATTTGATTTGCATGCTTTCGGCGCTTGGGCATTGGATGGAGTTCTGCAAAGGAGACCATGACGGGACTTTTCTGGAGAGATGATCCTGCTTTGGCGCATTGGATTGGCATTGGAATTCAGCAGCAAAACAATGAGCGGGTATGAGACAGTCATGAGCGCGCTTTGAACACTCTTTGAATAAGTACATGAACAAGACATCAAACAAACGACCCAGTCCAGATCTCCTCGCTCTCTCTCTCTCTGTGCATGCCCGTGGACACGTTTCGAAACAAGCCCTTCCCTGTTGGTCTTGTCATAGCATTGCTGACATCTTCGCCACTTCTGGTCATTCACAAGAGCAGCCACAGAATCAGTCCGGCGTAATGATGTGGGCGCGTGGCAACCCGGGATAGATGCATAGACCAGCGTTTTGGCGTAGGGTAAGGCGCACGCTCCTCTGCAATGGCGGTCGGACAACTTCAATAGGCCCGTGGCACACCAATGATTGGAGGAGGCGTGGAGGAGGAGAGTCAGGAGGCGCTGGGGCGTTGCGGAGATGGAAGATTGAATCTCAACGGTGATTCTGGGATACAAACGAGAGACAGACTCGAATTAGCTGAAGGATGTATTGTGAGGGGTTGCAGTCACCTAATTAGCACAGTAACAGGACTAGATGGTGCACCTTCACTAACAGCTGCGGTTGCTCTCCGTCTCTCCACGAGGACCGACCATCGGACCACTCTGTTAAGATCACCACTCAACACAACATCCGCGTTTGCTCTTACTTCCTCGCTGTACGAGGACACTGACAGCTGAATCTTACACCAAGCAGAGCTCTCCCTTTCTTCCTCTTTAGACAAAAATACTGCTGTCTTTATCGCGCTTATCCGTGACAAGTCGACACACAACAGGGTACGTGGTGAACTGATGACGCGGAATCGTCCATGCACTTCTGTCTAACATCATGTAGCAAGTCCTCATCATCCAGTCCAGGACCTGTCGCGGGTTACAGTTGTCTCCACTGCAGTGTCAGGCCTGCCCTGCCTCTACCTCCCCGAGTCTCGTTCCAAAACCCACAGCATCGCAGCAACGAGCCATCCATACTCCCGAGACATTTCAATCAGCTCCTCAACCAGCTACTGTCCTAAGCAGACATCTACTGTTCACGCACTACTTCATTTCCTCATTTGAAGCCTCTCGTTACAAAGCTACCTACAATTCACGCTCTCTCCTCAAGGCTCTTGGCTCGCGACTCCAGCTCTGAAGTAGCACATCCCTTGCTTGGCTGCGCCGCGTCCCTCTCTTGGCTCCAGTTGATACTTTGTTGAGAGTAGAGGTCTCCATTGACAGAGTATCTTCCTGTCCGAATACCTTGTCTCAATCTATATCACGATCATTATTGCTACCGACAACCTGGCACCATCCAAGATGTGGTCGACCGCCGCTTCTTGGGTAGCACTCCTCGCGCTCACTGCGGCCCTTACAAAATACTATAACCCGGAACTCTTCAGCAAGATTACGGGGCAGGCGGCGGCTAGGCCAGAAACAAAAGATACGGCACTGAAGCCGACTGCCAAACGTAACAAAACTAAGCGCGCACATGCCAGTCGGCTCGACAATATCAGCAGTGGAACCTCTACCCCGACAAGTGCCCCAGAAGGCAAGGCCAGTAAGAGGAGGAAACTGATCTCTGCACCAGTCGACAACACGGTGGTTGCTGAAACTACAAATGGTCACCAGGTTAGCCTACCACGAGACGAGGATGGTGGGATGAGTAACAAGGAGTTCGCCCAGCAACTTGCCAAGGCACAAGCTGGTACGAAATTGGAGTCTTCTAAGTCGCAAGGCTCAAGCAAGAAGGAACGACGTGCTGCGAGGAAGACTTCTCAAGGGAACCATCCCAATAAGGGAGTTTCCGGTCTTTCCACCGAGGACTCTTCGACGACTGGCCGCGATGCAGATGATGATCTTTCACCGGTTGGATCACCTTCTACTGGCCCTGTCTCAACCGCTCCGACTTCCCGAGCAGGAGACGTTTCAGACATGTTAGAAGCACCGGCTCCAAAACCAACGACCCTGAGATTGACGGATGTCAAGGAGACTACCACCAAAAGTGCTCCCAAGACAACTCCTAAAGCCTTTGAGCCTGTATTGTCAAAAAAGCAAAGACAACGACAGGCTAAAGCAGCCGAGCAGAAAGCATTACGGGAAGAAGCCGACCGTGTGCATGAGGCCAAGAAGCAGCAACAGCTTCGTACGGCGAGGCTGGCAGAAGGGACCTCCAACCAAACCAAAGCAAATTCGTTCACCGCCAAACAAAATCCATGGCAGACTGGGAAGCCAAGCCCCCAGAAGTCTGTTCAAGAGCCACCCAAGACAGAGGCTGTCCCACTTTTGGATACGTTCGACACTGGGGCAACACCAGCTGTCAAATCCGACGTGCCTAATGGTGCAGTCAGTGCTAAGCCTCTCCCGACTATCATCAGCCCCGTCACTGACATGGACAATGCCAACGCCAACGCTGTTCGTCAAGAGGTCGGGGAGAAGGAAACCAATGCCTTGGCCGCTTCCAGTCGGGAAAGGCTGGCTCGACCTGCGCTACATGCTCAAGCTAGCTGGGCTGATGAAGTGAATGAAGAAGAGCAAGACAAGTGGGCGACTGAACTTGCCGGGGAAGAGAAATGGGAGCCAGTGACGACAAAGAAAGGGAAGAAGAAGGTCAAGAAGGATAACGATACGAGCAGTGAGGCCAGCTCGTCGATTGTGCGACCAGTCACAATGCCCAACAAGTCTGTGACTAACGGCACCAAGGAGAACGGGGTCAAGCCACGAATCGAGAACGTCAATCGATTTCAGTCCATCGAGCCTGTGATGGACCCATCGTTCAAGGACGCCGAATGGGAGGCTTGACAACATTCGCACAGGAGGGTACATGTGCTGCAACTCTGATCATGGTTTACTGGGAGTCTGGACTGTATTATTGTTGATATTCGAGATGCATACCTATATCAAGGCGCTGGTTTGCACATCTGTTTGGGAAGCGTTCACTTTCGGCATTGATCCATTCGAGACGCATGGAGAATGATAGGGCCGTGAGCGGCAAAGCAAAAGTGTCAGAGATGCGACGCTCCTAATACAAAGGAGATCGCAATGGCCAAATAAGCATTAGAATTGTTCGAAAATATCACAGATGTTGTTCTGCTTATTGTTGATCTGTATACAGCTCAGCCAGACCTGACAGCCGAGGGTAAACCGAATTGCTGAAAGATGGCAGTCAGAACCGACCATCAGGGGCTGAATATCCTCCGGTCTCAACTCATTGGTTAGAGATGAAGGATAGCGAGTTGTTTTCCCTCCCCGGTTTGGCCAGCGTGTTAACTACCTACAATTGGTCGAATACCGCTGACAACTTGAATAAGTTGCAGCGCAGGTCTTGAATTCGCTCATTGCACCAAGGTTGCTGACTGCCCGTCTACTTACTCATGTTCACCAGCTAGAACTCCCCTTTCTGTCCATTCACATTGGTCTCACAAGTGAGCAGTTGGGTGCGGATCGATATAATCTCACACCTGCGGAAACTTGACAGCATTCAACTTCAACCAAACCACGATCTTGCCCCACGCAATTTCTCGATTCGTTTCCTCTATTTATTTTGATTCCTTCTCCTGCTCCCCCTTGTTACCAACAGACAATCACGCCCGAACCGTGTTCGAATTGCCTCGCCCTCCTTTGACCGACTACCGCCTCCTTTCGTTTCCTCCTGTTCGTCGTCCGCACGGCAAAGCACACGTGTCACCATGGCGCAAATACGAGGAACTGCTGGGTATAACCTGGGGATGAACAACCAATTTGCTTCTCAGCGGACTAGCGAGGCCACCAGCGACCCGAGTCCTCTGGATCAGATCAGAGAACAAACAAGCAAGATTGAGGACTGGCTGACTACCATGGGCGAACCTCTGAAGCCGTAAGTATTTCTTTCGTATTGTTCTTCTGCAGACCGTGTCCTGACCCCATATGAATATAGTTACCTCCCTGCCATCGGTCGATTCCTCATCGTTGTCACATTCATCGAAGATGCTATAAGAATTATCACACAATGGAACGATCAGCTCACATACTTGAGGGATTTCAGACATAGTGAGTGAGACTTGACAAGCAGCTAGGTGCCAGATTCTGACGACGAGGACAGTTCCTTGGGGCATCACACATTTGTTCTTGATCTTCAACGTGATCACCATGTCCGTCTGCTCTACGCTGGTCATTATGCGCCGATATGGAGAATATGCAGTTGGTGGACTGCTCTCCGTCGTGGTCGTGCAAGCTCTTGGATACGGGCTCATCTTCGACCTCAATTTCTTCCTCCGCAACTTGTCGGTCATCGGCGGTCTTCTCATGGTGCTCGGGGATAGCTTTGTCAAGAAGAGCAGGGTATTTGCTGGGCTCCCCACAATGGACGAGAAGGACAAGAAAATGTACATCCAACTCGGAGGCAGAGTTCTTCTCATCTTCCTCTTCATCGGCTTTGTTTTCGCTGGTGAATGGAGTATCGGGCGAGTCCTGGTCAGTCTGATTGGATTTGTGGCTTGCGTGATGGTTGTGGTTGGTTTCAAGGCCAAGCTCAGTGCCATCATCTTGGTTCTCCTGTTGAGCGTGTTCAACGTGCTCGTCAACAACTTCTGGACAGTGAGTTGAACCATCCCTGCCATCTTGAAGAACATGCTAACTTTGTGGCCGCAGCTTCACAAAAACCATCCTCACAAAGACTTTGCCAAGTACGACTTCTTCCAGATCCTATCCATCATGGGCGGGCTTCTCCTGTTGGTGAACATGGGTCCGGGTCAATTAAGCGTTGACGAGAAGAAGAAGGTATACTAGACGCTGAGGTCTGCCCGTCGCGATGAGGTGACTGGAAATTACACGAGCCACCATATAACGAGGAGTACGAGACTATGCGAGACGAGCATGCATGGCGGCCTGCGAGATTTTGATCCAATCTGCGTGGGATCCTGCCAATCAGGGGAGTGAATCTACTTCAACCGGCGACGTCTGCATATCTGAGCGTTCACAAAAGACAGCCGAGTGCATCTGGGACGGCCCATCGTTTTAAGCCTCTCTCTGTGTGTAGCGATGAGCACAGCTATAGAGAGATACCAAAAGTCCACATGAACAAGGGAATTAGAGTCGTAGTCCTACACGTAGCCTGCGAGGAGGATGGAGTTCGCATCGCAGTTTGGTTTCCGAGTCATGACATGGGGAATTAAAGCTTTGACATGACTCGGGCGAGTTTCGGGTATTCATCACTCCGTCGGATCTCCGAGTCTAGTTGTCGCCTGTGCACCATTCCACAAGCGACTCGTAAGCAGGCTCTTGGGACTGTTCAATCCACCTCACCAGCAGATTTCCTGACGGTCCTTCTCCTTCAATCGTTATCGTCTGCCTCCTCGTCGTGTATCTCGCGGCTGTCAGTGAACTGTCGCGGCACACGTTTAGCCACTGTTGTTGGTGATCTGACGAGCTCCCTTCATACGCCAGGCAACAACACCTGTTCTCTGATCTCGAGTTTCCTAATTGAGCAACCAGACTACGTTGACTGACCGTCATGGCTCCCAAAAATCGCATCATCATCGACACCGACCCCGGCGTGGACGATGTACTGGCAATGTTGCTGGCATTCGCAGCCAAGGCAGAAGATCTAGAAGTCATGCTCGTCTCAATAACCTTTGGCAATGTCGACGTGAAAAGCTGTCTACGGAACGTGGTGGCCATCTTCCACATTTTGGAAAAGGAGCTAAAATGGCGAAAGGAGAACGGCAAGCCACTTGGATTTGACGGAATCACCCAATTCAAGCCCATCGTGGCAATTGGCGCAGATGAACCATTGCAAGACAGGATTGAAAGCGCTGACTACTTCCATGGCGTCGATGGACTGGCCGGAACGCACACCACTCACCCTCACTTCTCCCCCGAAGAAAGTTGGAAGACCCTATTTGAAGAGCCGCCTCCAGACTCATTCCTGACCGAGACCGCCAAGGAAGAAACAGATCTAGAGGAGCCAACGAAAACGTTCATCCCTTCACTCGTGCCCGCCCACAAAGAGATCCTGCGTCTCCTGAGAGAAAATGAACCAAACACCATCACTTTGATCTCCATTGGCCCTCTCACAAACTTTGCCCTCGCCGCCGCCGAGGACCCCGAAACCTTTCTGCGCTGCAAGGAAGTCATCAGCATGGGCGGCACAGTCGACGGCATCGGAAACGTGACCCCCGTGGCCGAATTCAATGTCTACGCCGACCCGTACGCTGCAGCACGGGTATATGCATTGAGTTCTCCAATTCCATCTTCCACAATGCCCATCGCGAATGCAGGGTCGCGATCGGTCGACTTACCAGCGTACCCGCCACGTCTGTCGAAACAACTCAATCTCAAGCTCATGTCGCTGGACATCACCGAGTCCCATATGCTCAGCCGCGGTGCGTTCACGGCATATGCATCCGATCTAGCCAAACAAGGCAGCCCCTTGGCGCAATGGGTTACCGCGTTCATGGACCCTATGCTCGATAAAATGGAGCGTCTGCACATCGGCCATGAAGGCGAAGGTGCCGCTCTTGCCCTCCACGATCCGCTGTGTATCTGGTATGTCCTGACACAGGATGATTCGCGTTGGAAACCTAGCGCCCGCAGTCCTGAGGACATCAGGGTCGAGACCGCAGGGCAGTGGACTCGAGGCATGACCGTCGGTGACAAGAGATCTCGCAAGCGGAGGAATAGTGATGGCGAGGTTCCTCACGACAGGGGCAACTGGTTGGGCAACAAGTCGGGAAACAGGATCTACAGAATGCTAGAGAGTCCGGGTCCAGATGCTGCGGCGCCCTACTTGCTCAACGCCATTTTCGGGCCTTGACGAATGCCGCAGAGAAATCGAAGCTTGTGACAACTACTAGTATTCTATTGCCAATACATTGCTAAAGGATCATGTTGGAACAATCAAACAATGGGGTAGTAGAAGATTACACCGGCGAAAGGACCAGGATGCTTGTTCACCCCCGCGCAGTTGCCGTTCAAGAGAACGCCTGCAACATCCTTGCCAAGGCAGGGACATGCAAGGAGGAAGTCGCGGGTCGGTGATATGTATACCTATACTCCAAATCTTGGAATATTCTTGTTGCTCTTGGTTCCGTCTCCCATGGTATTGATGGCCAGCTACAGTTGTTCGATTGTTTTTCTGCTTATATTGGAAGCGTGACGTGCCTCTGTGCTGTCTATGTCCATTATAGGTGCCCTCCAGGTCTGTCTTTGACCTTAGTATTGAATCTTCTGGTGTCCCGACATGGACCCAGCTGCCACCATGGCAACATGCAACAAGAGAAAGCCTGAAGCGGCTTCGACCAGCGAGCAGGCCAAAAAGCCGAGAGGTCCTCCCAACTCGGATGAGTCGAGCGGCGCTTCATCGTCGACGACGCAAGATGCAGGGCCCGGGGGTTTCCCGAGAATGCCCTTCTATGCGGAGCTCCTGGCCGAACTATGCAATCGAACAGGAACTGCAAGCATTGCTCACGATGTCTTCTTCGGCATTCACTTTGTCCTCGAGCTCTTGAAAGATGTGACATTGGCCAGGCCTGACGAGCCCACGGAGGAACAAAAGGAGCCGTCGCAGGCATTGTGTGTTTATGTCTGGCTGATTGTTTTGTATAGAAGCCATACGGCCTGGGGAACTCCAACCGACTCGGTGACACGCTTGTGTGGAACATATCTCACAGCTGCCTCCGCCATACTCGAGAAAGACCCAGTCGAGCGTTTTCGGCAGTCTGTTGTGAAGTTGGAAAAAAGATGTAGGCAAGATCGGGTGTATTATTTACGTTAGTATCGTGACATTCCCCTTTCCACTGACCTGACAGAGGATTATGTCGACGAGCATGCGCAGTATCATCTGGCTATATTCGAGTCACTCGGACGCCTCGGCCCGGTTGACGCCATCATACAAAAGGAATATAAAGGAATTTCAACGTCCTTAAGAGGGCTGATGACCAATCCAGAAACAGCAGAGCAGGCGAGGACGCAGATCCTGTTGATGTTCGCTTCCGTGGACGATGACTTTATCCGGTCATGCATCACCCGCCAGTTGGCACGGCACGAGAGAATGCTCACGCACCCGACCAAAAAAGCTTTGAAGACGAATGCGGCGCTTGCCCCGGATTTCCCTTGTCAATACACCAACTTGTTATGTGACAGGCTGGGTTTGCCCATGACAAACCGTTAATGTGTCGAGATCCTGGATGATATCCACTGTATCTAAGTGGCGGTCCAGAGAGCGACAAGATCGCTGTTCAAATAGATCGCGCAGTCAACACGACCAAGTCATGGTCCACCGGACTGGTACATACAGGGCTGAGGAGATACACCGACTTCAAAGATGGTAACTGTCAACAAACTGCACGAACAGGATCATAACCGCCGGTCCGTCGTCGAACATTTCGTCAGAGATCTCCGTCGCGATCTGGACATCAGGGCCGGCTATGACAAGCCGCGGCATGTACCATTCCTGGAAGTGGGATTCTCGGACCAGGTCATCAAGAGGCTTAGAGCGCACGCAAAGCATACTTGCTCCAACTACGTGATGAATTTGTTCCACGCCGCGACCGAGAGACGGTTTCCCGGTACATTCGAGTTGCATCAACACGTTTTATATCTGTGCTCCGACCCCGCCGAAACCTGGCTAGGTGAAATTGCTTTCACACAGCTCTGTAAGGGGTATATTACGGAGGGCTCCGGCTTCAGTCACCACGGTGCTGGCTTCTCCCATGGAAGCTCATATTGGAGTCGCACGGAGCAAGAATTGAATATGCTCTTTTTGTACAAGGATGCGGACGGGAGCATTCAAAGGCGTTTGAAAGAAGACGGGGAGCTCGCTCGGAAACTCGATTTTGGTCGTCCTGGGGCACAAGAAGAGCTCGTGGGCAAGGTTGAAAAGGATATCGAGGGCATGGAAGCGGTGCTAAAGATGGTGGAAACCATCAAGGAAATCCAAGAGCTCGATTCCGAGAAGACTGAGAATGCAACACCGGAGAATTAGGGACCATGAGTAGATTACCTGATATAGTACAATGATATGCTCGTTCTGGAGATACGGCGTACCCTGACAACGATACCATTATTGGGGAATGCTTCTTGGTCTCGCGTCGCCCACCTTGACAACCTCTGGTGATGCCTTTTAGTCTTGTGCTGCCCATCATGACACGATCATCAATTTACAATTGCGATCCCCTGTATGTATGCTTTTCTGCCTAGATCAGTAAATACACTCAAGACTCATGGGTTCATGCCATCAAGGGTTGTGCTGTCTTCACTTCTCTTGTGCTTCTGCAGGTACAGCTCCTACCACCCCTCTAATTTGGCGATTCTACACACAGACGACGTCGGGATACAAGTCGACGTATTCACCTAGCCACGTCAGTGAACGCGCCGCCGAGAGATGGTACATGGTATGGATGGCTTGCAGCAAGATGAAGCGACGAGCCGGAAACCAACATGATAGTAAGTCCCCAAGCTCCCCAATCCAGAACTTGTTGCGGTGCGCGTGCCTCAATGTGAACACAGCAATTGCAACTATCGCCCAGTCCATTTCTAGTGGTCTAGTTGTTGACATCTCCGATCAGATCCGCCAGATCGTACCATTACATGCCGATACTAAATCATGAAAATTTACTTGCCTGGAGCTCGTGCTATCCGGCGGTACCGTAAGTTTCGGTTTCTCACCGAAACTTCGGATCACTACCGAGCGCTTCGGGTGACCACCGAGCAGGATGTCGTGGTTCGATGTCGAGCTGAGCGGCTTCATACGGAAGGTTGTGACATAAAATATTCAGTCCATTGGATATGAGTTGATCTGGTATGGAAAGAGATCAGACTCTGGCATCCGCCGTGGCCGAACGGAATCCCGTTTGAGACACTTTCCAACCATGAAGTCATCATCTTCGAGGGTATTTATATCCTCGACAGCGAAGGCATATCGGTAAGGACTTCTCCAACAACACAAAGTCGAGTATACCACGCAACCAGCCTCTCAAGCAACCAAAGACTTACAACCAAACACTTAACACTTTTTTCTTGTCCTCATCTCAAGATGCTCGGAAAGGTCTCCCTCGAAGAAGCGTACGAGCTTCCTGACCAGGCTGAGGCCAGTCGTGATCAGGCGGCCTTGTACATCGCCCCCAATGACCTGGAACGGTATATGCGACAGATCAAATCAATCACCACTGAGCGTGTGACCCTCTCGGATGCACATGGGATTGGATATACCATTCTTTCCCTGACCGTCCCCGGCATTCAGGGCATCTCGGACAAGGCCACTGCCGAAAAACGCGCAACCGAGATCAACAACTACATCGCCAACGAGATCAAAGGCCATCGTGATCGTCTCGGTGCCTTTGCCACTCTTTCTATGCATGACCCGGCCCAGGCTGCCGCTGAATTGCGTCGCTGCGTGAAGGAGTTCGGCTTCCACGGTGCACTTCTCAACGATGTTCAACACGCCGGGCCGGATGGCGAGACGTACCTGTTCTACGACCAACCAGCCTACGACGTCTTCTGGGCTGAAGTTGTGAAACTCGACGTGCCAATCTACATCCATCCTGCAGCGCCAATGGGCTCCTACCTTCAACAGCAGTACGCCCAGCGCAAATACTTGATTGGACCACCCTTGAGCTTCGCCAACGGGGTCTCTCTGCACCTCCTCGGCATCATCAGCAACGGCGTCTTTGACCGCTTCCCTAAGCTGAAGATCATTGTCGGCCATCTCGGAGAACATATCCCCTTCGACTTCTGGCGCATCAACCACTGGTTCGAAGATGTCAAGCGACCTCTGGCCAAGGCTGCCGGCGACACATTCGCCGAGAAACCACTCCTCCACTACTTCAAGGAAAACATCTATCTGACAACCAGCGGCCACTTCTCCACCCCCACCCTGGAGTATGTTGCCAACTACCTCGGTCATGACAAGTTGTTGTTCAGTGTTGACTACCCATACGAGACGATCGAGAATGGCTGCGGCTGGTGGGACGGCGATGCAGACAACATCAAGAAGGCTCTGGGAGGCACCAAGGCCTACGCTGATGTTGGCAGGGAGAATGCGAAGAAGCTGTTCCGTCTGGGCAAGTTCCATGACTCTGATGCTAAGGTGAACTAGTGGAGGACTATATGGACAAAGGTTTCGACCTTCTCCGGCCGAGAATTCTACCATAGTTAGTCCCAATTCTTGATGAAATAAAACAATACTATCCCCAACATTATGTTCATTCACTTCGAGTATGTCGTGGAAGACTCATTTTGGAGTGCTGATGGGCTCTGGTATATAAAGCCAAACCCCCTTGTTGGAAAGGGAGACCTTCTCGAAAGCATGACCATGGCAACGACCACCATGAGGCTCCTATAATGGGGAAGAAGCTATAGCCTCAACAGACTGCCAGGGATCGTTGTGGATCCGGATCCCGCCGGCGATCCCTGCGCCCCGCATTTTTCCCCAAAGATCGCAACAGCCGGAGATTCCGCCGGCCAAGTCTTTTCTCCCAATTTTTATGGACACGCCATGACTTGTTCGCGGCAGCAGTTCCAATGATGGCCTATCAAGTATGAACATGGTCCCAGATGACTCTGCTTCAGCTCCAGCGGCCAAACGGCGCAAGGTCCAAGTGGCATGCGGGACATGCCGCCGTCGCAAAGTCCGCTGTGATGGAGGCCGACCTGTCTGCTCTGTCTGCCGGAGAAACGGTGTCAGCATGAGCTGCGTCTACAATGAGCCGTCGACATCTAACAGGTAATACGGCACTGAGTAGATCCTGCTTCTCGGACTTGTATCTATGCCCTATCCGGAAGCTGATGAGGTACTAGGTATATTGCCGAACTGGAGAGCAGACTGGCGAGAATGGAACAAGAAAGAGCCTCTCAGACGCCGAGGGTGGTAAGCGCCGGTGTTTCACCCGCTTCTCTTGACGGTACCTCGAGGGAAAATCAGGACTCGGTACCGCCTGCCGAACCTGGATTGGTGGATGGCTTGGTGATGGTTTCCCCCGGCGACACTCGAGAGGTCTTGTATGGCAACTCTTCGACAATATCTTTCATACAGCGGCTTTCTAAGACCAAAGGGGGCGGCCAACCTCAATCCAGCTCCTCTGAGAATGAAGCTGTCCCGAGTGATCACCTTGTCGACACCAACACTCCAATGACCCAGTCCACCCCAGAAATAATTCGGGATCAAGACCCGCGCGCTTTTGTCTACCCATCTCGTCCAATGGCTGACAACTTCGTTCTTTGCTTCTGGGACTTCGTTCATCCGGTCTTTCCCGTCATCCATAAGACGAGTTTCATGGAAAAGTACGAACGACTCTGGGTGCCTCAGAACGCGTCGAGCTCAAACAGCGCCACCGCCCACAATGATGAGCTAGTCTTTTCCGCAACTCTGAATCTCGTCTTTGCTCTGGGGTGCCAGTATAGCGATCTTGTCATGTCGGCTGAGAAGACAACCATGGGCGACGAGTTCTACCAGCGGTCCCGGAAGATCATCGTCTTTGATGTTATGGACTCAACATCGCTTGGCGTGGTGCAACTGCTCCTTCTAACGGGTGTCTATCTTCAATCTACTACGCATGCCAATCGATGCTGGAACACTATTGGCTTGGCTATCCGGGTAGCCCAGAGTCTCGGCTTACATTTGGATCGACCTATGCGAGTGAACGAGAACCAGCTAGGTCGAGAAATGAGGCGCAGGGTATGGCATACATGTGTCATTCTTGACAGGTACCGTACTCCCCTCATGCTAGAGATATTTTCTCTGTCTGTCAGATTTCCTGCTGACACTGGTCGCCTAGGTTGCTAGCCATGACTTTTGGACGACCTGCTATAATTTCAAAGATCTGGAATGTCCAAACCCCGCTCCTGATCGATGACGACTACTTGCAAGTCGACGGCGAAGGAACCCAGCCATCCTCCCACCCTTCCTACATGGGACTCTCTGTCTACTCGTCCAAGCTCTTCGAGATCTTAAACGACATTCTCAACATCTTCTATATCGAGGACTGCCAGAGGTTTCCCAGTCAAGATGGCGATGCGAACAGCTTCACAAAAATGCTCTCGGACGTCATGAATCTCAACAATCGGCTTGACGTGTTCATCGCCAGCGTTCCAGACTATTTGCAGCCCACATCGGCCTCTGTTTCTGGCGTCAATGAAGAGAACAAACATGTATCACTGCAAAGCAAGGTCTTGTACTGCAGGTATGTACGATCGAAGTGAATGTGTTACAACGTAGAGCTGATTAGTGGTCCTTGAACAGATTCCTTTACACGCGTATACTGCTGCTACGGCCAATCCTTCTTGCGAATGCCGAAAAGGAAGAAAGGAGGCGAACAACCCCTTCCTCACCAGTCCCAACAGCTGATTTAAGCCTCAATGAAGCTCTAGCGAGGAACGCATGTCGACTCTGTATCAAGACGGCACACCAACTTGTTGAGAATATTTATCAAAATCTTCACAGCACCTACCGAAGCTCAGGATGGCACACGGTCTACTGTATGAACCTCTCCCACCTTTTCACTCTTCACAAACCTTTCTATTTTGAAACCTGTCCTGATGTATGTTTCTCTAGTCATATTTGGGGCAGCCACCGTTCTCCTAGCCGGTCAAAGGCTCGCCGCCCTTAATGTCGAAGCAGATGGCATGTCGTTCATTACTTCATGGAACCGCTGTCTGCACGTCTTGGGTCATTACAAAGAGCAAATCCATTCAGCGCCCCAGGCCATTTCAGTCCTACAGGCTTTGAAAGCCCAGGTTGAGTCGTCTGGACGTCAAAGTATGTCCGATCCCATCCAGAGAGTCTCCACCAAGCATTACCGGAAGCTAATTGGTTTCGACAGCGCATACAAATGTTGCTGAAGACAGACAGCCGGGCAACGTCGAAGACCAGACCGCCCCTCCAGCAGTGGACGCGGTCCCGGAAGCAACACTTCAACGCGAAATGTCTTATCCGGGAATCAATGGGATTGAGCCGCTCTCTGAAGCATGGTTCAGTCAACAGCTGTCTACTTTCGATTGGATGAATTTCCCCACCGACGAGTTCATATTCTAGCGGGCTTAAGGGGGGAGGTCTAGCAAATTAACATGTCTGATTCAAGAGAGGTATGTACATTTTGCCATCCTTGCGGCCAGCTCCTCTTTAGTTGGAAACCTGATTGGAAACCTAGTTGGAATTCTGGACTCGTCTTCGTCTGAAACATCCTCCGTCGAAGCCGTTGGACCATCTCCGGACTGCTCGTTGTCATCTGCCTGCGAATCCTAATAGAGGTGTTGTCCGCATTTTCCTCGCAACAATCTGGCCCGCCTTGCCGATTCTCTTCATCATCTGGAAACACGTGGAAGGATGTTTGGTGGGCGGCCAAGGTCTCTAAGAGGCGTTGGTCAGACGCTTGCCCCCGAAGGGTATTTTCCTCCATCATCCTGTTGTTCCGCATCGTCGTCACAAGGAATTCGCTCCTGCCTTGTTTGACAATGCCTATCATGGCAATGGCAAACTTCATGTTCCGGTCCGCTTGATCTTGGGCGTCGGACGCTTGCTTTTGGGCCTCTGACAACTGCAATTTGATGTCTTCAAATTCTGCTCGAGTTGGAACGTTCTCAAAAGCCGAAAGTGCGCCTCGGAGCTCCTCATTTTCACTCCGAAGGTTCTCATTGTCGCGTCGAAAGGTCTCATTCTCGGCGAACATTGCACTGTACTGGGCTTCCAGTTGGTTATGTGCGCCCTTGGTATCTTCCACCTCACGTCGAAGTTGTGAGATCGTAATTTGTTCACGGCCAAGCTCGACAGCTGATGCATCGTGGCCGAGATGGGAGCCTTCGAATTTCAAAGCCTCATAGTCTGCCTTCAAATCATCGTAGGTGGTGCTCAATTTACAGAAATCGAAGCTCCAATCCTGGTAGATAGCTTTCGACTCTACTAAGTCGACTTGAAGGACTTCTACTTTCCTTCGAAGCACCTTGACTTCGTCCTCAAGTACTTGAAGCAGTTCGGGGCTGGCGTCAGATGGTGATGCCATATTTGATGAAAATATGAACCCGCAGTAAGCAGGTCTGCGGACTGTTCTCAAGGGACCCGAACGCCAATGGGCGTCGAGTCACCTGATGCAGCCGGGTGGGAGGGGGGAGGGGAGAGGGAAAAACACTCGCCGCAGCCAGAGGCACGCAGGCAAACAGGGCGCAAGGGACGGGGTTGGAGGCCTGTTGATGATCAGTTTGAGCCCACAGAAACCGATTTGACGGATCAAATTGAATGAATGATGAGTACTCACACTTGACGATGGCTTGAACAACAAGCCGCAGCATTCAAGAGCCTGCGCAATCATTCAACTAAAAGCTGGTTGCGACTTGGAGAGAGAAAGAAGGGGAGAAGGTTCTCAGATCGAAAGACGCAGTCTAGATACTACTAGGCTGCAGTGCCAATGTGCGATGGTGCGCGTTGCTTGGCGAAGTACGCGTGATTGATCAGTACACGTGAGACGCGTTCAATGCACCCTGCTCCGAGTCATATTTGATGTTTTAAGGTCGCTGGGACATCGCAGGATATCTACTAGTTATCTCTCCCAGCGCCGCCCAGTCGGGCCAGTCCAATCTGTTTCGTCCAAGTCAAACATGTCGTACAGTGCCGCTGCGGCAATCAACCACTGCAGAGAGAGTGCAGTCACATTAAACCCTCCATTCCTTTCTCCTCGTAATTACAGCCCTCTCTTAAACGTTAACGTTGATATAGTAGTTCAGCCTCGCTACCCAAGCCGGGATGTGGCACTACGCAGACTAGGGCTCCGGTGGCGCTGTCAGACTGTGCGTCTAATTGGAGGAAGTGTCGCCTACCGACCCTCCCTGGCGCCCGGACCGTCCCGTTCTTGATGGATCCCTCGGCAAGCACGGGCGTCATTTGATAGGGGCAAGCACGCTCGAGCGTATCCATCCGACCCTAGGCGGATCGATCGCATCCGCGCATCGTCTGAAATCCTTGAGCAACTTCACCGACGTCACGCTCTTGATGGCGACCAATCCATATGCATACCACACGCCTTAAGAGTGACTGTATGTCGCGGGACCGTACCTTGAGGTCCGGAAATACGATGAAAGGCATTTCCTGGTTGGACGAACTCAGCGATTCATCGAAGACTATCTGCTATGCCCAACTATGATGCCGACTCAATGGCGATGGCTCCTCATGTCTGGTCCATTGCCGATTACCCTCGACCTGACGCGCATTCACTTATCAACGTCGGTAAGTGCGTAACAAGACAATTTGTCGTCGGAATATGTCAGCGCCCCATCAACAAGTGTCAGAGACCCCCAGTATCGCAAGAGTGTGCTCTACGACAATTCCAACCACTAAGCATTACTAGTAAGACAAGGCTGATACGTCATGTGTCTGTACGTGATATGCGACCATTAGGAAGCAGGGGCGTGGATGGTCTCTCAAAGCTGATTAGTGTTTGTCAGAGCTCATAATGCATACACCTGCAACCTTCTTTTCGTTACACTCTCAGTCTGATTCCACATCGTCACCCAGCAATGAAACTGGTCCCATTCACAGCTAATTGCTCATTACCTTCCTTCCATCCATCCGTCACGGCGGCCTCGACAACCTTTGGTACTTTCTCGATTTGGGAAGGCATCGCCCGATCGAGTCACGGAGACAATCACTGTCGAGGAAGAGATACCTAGTGCCTGTGACTCTTCTTTGGTGCATGATCAGGATCACAGTAACGATTACACTGCAAAAGGAGCAAGGGCGGAGGGCAGCAAGCGAAGGGGGCAGGCCCCAGGGAGGCCCGGACACTCCCAGTGACCAAAGACGTTCAGCAACATAGGTGAGTGCCAATGAGAAGAGCCCGAACACGCAATTCTGAAATACTCACCTCGGCTAGATGATACCCTTCTGACCGGCTTCCTCCCCTCCATCTCACATAACTGGTGTTGGTTATTTCGGGAAAGATATCGAGGATATCTCGCTTCCACCTTGGACAACTGATACAGCCACGACGGCGCGGTGACCGGCCGGACAACATTGAGGTATTCCTTCGATCTCACCACGGCAACAACGGTCTCTCTACTTCAACAATTTCGATCGTGTTTCCTTCTCTTTTTTCGGACCAGGCTGGACCTTGGAGCCAACCTCTCGCGGAGACCGAAGAAATACTGGTGCCTACGGCGCGCACCACGGTATCTTTTTCTCTTCGGTCTCCGGGTTTGATACCGTGGTGCGCGCCGTATATACCAGGAGAGCAAAGATACTAAGCTCTACGGCGCGCACCACGGTAATCAGAGTTCAGGCAAATCCAGCGTCCTCGGGCCTGCGAATTCCTACCAAGGACAACCTTTGCACCCAATTTGCAACCGAGCTCATCCTCAGACGAAGCCAGTCTCCTAACATCAACGTGGCCATAACTCCTAGTCCAGACCGGACCGAATAGGAGTCTAAAGCATTTATAAAGTTCCTCTTACCGAGTCACCGTCTCATTCGATTGATGACTTTACCGACAACGAAGCCTGTCTCCTAACATCAACGTGATCATAACTCCTGGCCCAGACCGGACCATGCTCGCTCCAAAGAGTACCAACGCTGCCCTATCCACGAAGCCGCCTGTCCCCCGTCTAACACCGACTCAAGAGAAGTTGTTGTAGAAATAAGCCTAGCTTACGGGATCGCAGTATAAGGAAGAAGTTAGCATGCTACAGCTAGCTATCGGGTATATAGATAGGGTGGTGGAGGAACATCGTAAATTAAGAGAGGCCATGTTTGCCCTGGACCCTGCCGGGTAAGCTCATTGAGGATTGAAGGTGAATTAGGAGCTACATACTCGCCACCAGCGTGAGCAGCTTTACAACGGCTCAAAACGTCAGTCTTCTGCTGAGCGTCTGCTGTTGAAGCAGGATCTTTGCAAAAGTCAGTATTCGATCTGCATCGGGATATTCTTTTCCACGTTATTCTGCCTTTGCTCCTTCAAGACCCGCTCCGCTTCGTCTTCTATCTGATCATGTTTTCTGAAATGCTCGATATCCTCCAGATGCACCAGATCCTCCTCTTTGGTGTTTTCGTCATGGTATTTCTCGAAATGGTGAATCTGTTGTATCGGCTCGCTCGTCGAAGTTCATACTCGCTTTTGGCGTAGTAACGCCGCCGCCGCTAGATTGCGACTTAGAACCGAAGGACTAGTTAACGACAAACTAGGTGACTATAAAGATGGCGATGCCCTGAACGATTATCTATATTATTAACTATAACCATTAGTATATAACCGTGGATATTTTGTAGTTTTGTGTTCTCACCTTTCCTCCTTACTCTTACCGGGCGGTAGTAGGCGCGCCGCTACCCCTAGACTCCGGCATAATAGCTGCAGGAGACGTTGAGGTACGATTAAAGCTATAGTGTTAGACCTATTAGAATGGGAGGCAGGCGAGGGTACAAGATGGGTAGATTGACGACGAACAAGAGGCCTGCTCTGTCAGCAAGAATCAACACTCCTGTCTCGGACAAAGGCACCCGATAGAACAAATAGAATAAATTAAGGGCGAAAAAGAACAGAACAGTCAGCGTGGTGCCGTTGTTGGGTAGCACGTTTCGTGGAGAAGTCAGAGCCCGTATAGTACTAGGATGGCGTACTGTGCGCAGCACTTGGAGCCGTTGAAGGTGTATTCCTCCTAAGGGTCTGGCGGGTTGTAGAAGATGACCGACGTAGAACGGTCGTACCTCTGCTTATTGTGGCTGTCAATATCCTATGCCACCGGGCGCGCTGTCACATTCGTCGACTCGTCGTCTGTAAGCCGGGACTCGTAGCACGCGTTATTGTAGATGGTCCAATCTTGTCGGGCTTTGCATATTTTGACTGCAAAATTTGCGAGGCAAAGTTAGTAGACTAGCCACAAGAGTCAAGAGAGATGGAACTGAGAGGACAGCATACACCAGAAAACCTGCCATCCAACGCGGATGAAATAGGACGGGAGGCCTTCGTCGGATTAATCACGATTATCATTCTCTGGCACACCGATTGCCCAGGAGTCTCAATGGTCTGCCTCAGTCTGCATCCATCTGGCTCCGATCGTAGTATCTCACCGAGTCACCGTCTCGTTTAATTGACAACTTTGCCGATATTGTCAGCTCCGCTGAGAAGGCCATGACGGCGCCCTTGAACGAATTCGGAACTACCGAGGCATTTGTTCGAGTCGTGACTATCACTCCAGGCTCAGACCGCACCGAAAAGGAGTCAAAGGCACGTGCACAGTGGCGGACCGGCCGCTAGATCTGGAGACTCGGAATGGGGCCCACCTACATCAGTCATTAAGATGCTTATGAAGTCGTCTCTGAGAAGAGATGAAATGTGGGATCTTGATTATCTGGGGAGAGTGCCGTTGTAGTGAAATAGCTTAATATACGTACAACCAAATCTAATAACTAAATGGATGATCATGTCATGGTAGACGATAGAATTCATAAGGAGCCATATAAAGATATCATCCTCAGGAGTCCACTGTATACTCAGCATGATCTCAAGGGCACCAGGAGGACACCAGTATACTGAAATAGACAATAAACCACGTAGCAAATGTCTACATCGAAATCACTGATCGTATCATGGCAGGCAACAGAGTCCTACAAGATGCCACAAAGAGACGTTATCCGTAGGAGTACGCTGTACACTCAGCATGATCTTAAGGGCACCGGGAGGACGCCAGTATGCTGAAACCGACAATATACCACGCAACAAAAGTCTACAACGAAATCACTAATCGTATCATGGCGGGCGACAGGGCATATCATGAATTGTATTCACTGCTTTGTTGACTATGAACGAACACCTCGCCGCCTGATGGGCTGCATGACTATGATTCTGCCACTGCCCCTATCTTCAGCACGCCTCGCCACATTTCTGGATGCTTCCTAGCATCCTCGGAGGCGGAATCGCATCTTGCGCAGCAGGAAACGAGCTCCAAGCACGCAGAAACCGAGCAGAACCATGAAAACAACCCATTTCCACGCCCCTGATCGTGATTTGGCTGGCTCAGGAGGAAATTTGGGCGAGAACAGGTCTTTCAAAACAGCAGAAATGGCAGTTTGGCAGCGATTGAGAGCGGTTTCCATGTCCGTAGAGGCCTCAACATCGTCTCCAAGCAGTCGTTGAAGCAGGTTGGTGGCACAATTCTCGAGATTCCGCTTGTGACTTGATTCATTCGACGGTGGAGGATCGTCGTGGATGAGTGGGAGTCGAGGGACAGGAGGGCGATTGTCTGGGTGTAACATGCCAACAGGGACGTTCTTGTGAGCTACGGGAGCTGTATAATGTAGAGAAGCCCATGGAGAAGTCGGAGTAGCCGAAAGAACACTGGTTGTTGGCGCGTAGGAGAAGTTTGGATCCATCCATTTGAGGCCGTGAAGCCAGGTAGAGATTGTGAGGAACACGACGACAGTGACAGCGCCAGCCAGGACCAAGAAGCTGAGAGTCAAAATGACCCAGAAGAGGGCATTTCCGACACTGTTGCTGCGTAGACGGAGGAGGTAGTTGTAAACCATTGACTATAGAAGCCCCGTTAGTATCTCTTGGATGAAGAACGATCAGAATACCGATCTCAAGGCTAGAGCTTACCAGAAAGGTAAACACGGCTTTGAAAGGAGCAGCTGCACTGCGACGAAGACGTTCACGCTGGCTGTTGACGGCGATGTGGTAGATGTGCTCGTTGTACTCCAGATCGTCCAGATCGATGTCGTCTGGTCCCATATCCATTTTTGCAGTTGAGTCAAGGAAGCGGAGAAGAGAAGAAGCGGATCTGAAGAGTCGTAGGCCGTCCAGCGGAGAGAAAACGATGCGAGCTGTGGATCTGACTGTCCAAAAACCAATCGTCTAGAGTATGTCGTCGTAGGATAGAGGGTTATGGGTCGCCGGCGAGCTATACTGGCTGTTAGCAAGGACTGTAGAGCATCTGGAGAGGATGATATACTTCGAAAAAGGTGTGTAGAGGAAGGAGCAAGCGGCGAAGAAGGCGTGGTCGGATGGCAAGAGTAGACAGATTTGAGGCGAGTGGAGACGAATACCACGACTCAAAAGGCGAGGGCTATTGATCAAGTTCGAGGTTTGAATGGAAGACAATCACTCTCTTGATCAATTCATGAGTTGAAGAGATTTTAAGTGTGACAATTGATTCGTGCTAGCCTTTGTTCAGAGGTGAGACAGTCTGTTGGGGCGCGGTTTGTGATCGTCCAGGCGACGAGGCTGTACAATGAAACCGCAACCTTGGAGTGGCAGGTTGTTCTGCCGTGTGATTCAAGCCGTGACTGCGATTCTCTGCCTTTTGTTCATCGCTGTCGCTCTCACCTATCTCCATTCCTCGTCTATCACTCTGAACCTCTTTGACAGACAAAAAACCCCTTTTTCGATCAATCCATCAATCGAAATGGCCCGTGTGCGATCCAACGACCCCTCAGCTGGCAAGAAGTCTCGAAATGCTGCCAAAAAGAGAGGCAGAAAGACTCCAAGCACCCCGAGAGCCCACACGACTCAAGCTCGACGACCGCGTCTGCATGGACCATGGCCAGAAGGAGAGCGCAAGGCCATGTACAATACGATGAAGTACTTCCTTGAGCACGATCCCGACAAGGCGGACGAGAATTTGAGGATGTTTCTGAGCATACAACCGTCGATCTGGACCAAGATCTCGAGAAATGAGCAGTTTGAGCCGAAAGATCTGTCGAACGAGGCTGTGGCAGGCATCAACCAGATCATTTACGCCCGTGACATTGCCAAAGACGTCGATATCAAGCTTCCCCAGCAAAAGGTGACTCGGGCAATGAGGGATTTCAACGACGCCAACATGTGTAAGATGTCCCAGGCCAGGTTCGACGAATTGCAAGGCATCATCCGGTCTGTCGTCCCCAGAATGATGCTCCTGGTTCCCGAGGTCGCCCAGAACATCGAGCCCAGCAGTCTGCCAGAGAACGTGCAGATACTGATCCACAAATACCTCAACCAGCATCTCCCTGACGAGGTCCTGGCCGACATCTGGTGGGAGGAGGACGACGAAGAGGCAGAGATTGAAGGCTATGAGGCCAATGAGGAGGACGAGGACGAGAATGACGCCGAAGACATGGATCTGGACATGGACGAGGCTGAAGAAGAGGACAAGGACGGCAATCAAGGCCAGGAAATGGAGCTGGAGAGGCGGTTTGTGAGCCGGGAATTGAGCGAGACGAGCGAGGAGCTTTGAGTATCATGGCAACGACCTTCTTCTTGTATTAGTCATGGACAGGCAGGCAGCAAAGCAGGCAACCTCAGCCTTGCCGTCGTTGTCCCTTTCTAGCTAAACAACGAATACCTGCCGAATTGGGAAAAGGGGGTCCATCCCGATCACGTGATAAGTGGTTCTCACGTGAGCAGACGGACACACGTGACATCCATCGCTTATTCATTTTGCCGGTGAAACCACAACCTCGTCGTCTTCCTGATCCAACAATGTAGTTGCTTTTTGTGGCGGGAGCTTGTCCACGTCGCATTTCTCACCTGTTCGTTATGTTCATATCGGACACCACTTCAACAATGTATATTTAACGATGCTCTGGGGTAGAACCAGGAACAAGAGAAGGGAACAATCATACTTAAAGATAGGAGACTCCTCGATATCAATGCTGTATAAAATGCCGGTGTCTCCATTGAGCCATTAAAAACCCAGCAGCGGCAACGCATGCGAATTTTCTGTGGCTCCCAACCGACCATCATCTATTACAACCATTTATTATTCACACATAGAATTGACCAGGACGATGGCATCCCTGACCGCGTCTATCCACCATAAAGTTCTCTCGTTCCCGTCTGTTTCTTTCTCGCCGTTATCGCGTCTTAACAGCTGCTACTCGTTCGCTTCGTCCTCCTCGATCTGTCGTTCCCCCGCACATCTCCTGCATCGGCAAGTTCACCACAGTCATTTCGCATCTACAGCCGCACAAACCCTGGCCAAAGCTGCCTCCCCCACAGTCGCCGTCAGCAACCTGGCTCCCTCACGCCCTTATTCCTCTGCCACCACTCGTCTGAGTCTCATCTCACGACACCTCAACGAACATCACCAATCCTCGTACCCTCCGATCAACACTCCCTACACTGCCGAACGAGAGTCCTTGCCTGCCTCGACCGACGACCTTCCCTACACACCTCTCCAACGATCACCGTCTCACGTCCAGAAGAGACAGTTGTCCACCTCAGCATCCAACATGTCTACACAACCACCGCATCCTTCGCTCTTGATCCCGGGGCCGATCGAGATCACCGACGAGGTTTCCCAGTCTATGAGCCACTATGCCCAGTCCCACGTCGGACAACCTTTCGTCAACACCTTCGGCGAGACCCTGACTCTGCTCCGCGATCTCTTCCAGACCAGCAACCCAGGCTCGCAGCCGTTTGTGATTGCAGGAAGTGGCACTCTGGGTTGGGATCTTGTGGCGGCCAACCTGATCGAGCCGGGCGAGGATGTTTTGGTGCTACACAGCGGTTATTTCGCCGACTCGTTTGCCGAATGTATTGCGACCTACGGAGGGAAGCCGACCCAACTCAAAGCTCCTATTGGCGACCGACCACAACTGCCGGAGATTGAAGCTGCGTTGAAAGAGAAGAAGTACAAGGCCGTCACCGTCACCCATGTCGACACCTCAACTGGCGTCTTGTCCCACATCCAGCCTCTGTCCGATTTGATCCGTCGCGTTTCCCCCGACACGCTTCTGGTGGTTGACGGCGTCTGCTCGGTGGGTGGAGAAGAGCTGTACTTCGACAAGATGTCGATCGATGTGGCCCTGACCGCCTCGCAGAAGGCCATTGGCTGCCCGCCGGGTCTTTCCATCGTGATGGTGTCGGAGAAGGCCATGAACGTGTTCAAATCGCGCAAGTCTCCCCCGGGCAGCTACTACGCCAGCTTTAAGAACTGGTTGCCCATCATGCAGAACTACGAGGCCAAGAAGCCTTCCTATTTCGCAACCCCTCCTACTCAGTTGGTCAATGCCCTCAACACGGCCTTGAAGCAGCTTCTTTCCCAACCGATTGAGGCTCGTATCGCTCAACATCACAAGATCAGCCAATATGTCAAGTCCGAGATCACGAAGCTGGGGTTGAAGCAATTGCCCACAGACCCGGCCAACGCTGCCAACACCATGACAGCCATTTATTTGCCCGAGGGAATGACGCCTCCAGAGATCTTGCCGAAATTGATGGCCAAGGGTGTCATCTTTGCCGGAGGTCTGCATCGGGAGATCGCCACAAGATACATTCGTTTCGGCCATATGGGCGTGACTGCCATGGATGAGTCGAGAGGGGAGATTGACAAGGCTATCGAGGCTTTGAAGTCGGGTCTGGCCGAGGTGGAGAAGGCCAAGAAATAAAGTCGAAATCAATTGAAAGTGACTGCCTGATCCAAGGACTTCTATGCAACAGAGGAGGCATATTGCATAATTAAGGACCGTATATGGAAAGAAAGGCAAACGACGCGGATATTCTAGTGGGAGTACAAACCAAAAAAAAGGGGCCATTAGTGAGGAATAGACAAAATCAGAGAACAGTGTGTCTCGTTCGTATGCTTGATCCCATTTTCAAGTTAGCAATCCTTCACGGTTTGATATATGTATCGTACGCCGCACGGTGTCTATCTGGATCACATACTTCCAGCGTACAGGCGGAACTCCTGTCCGTTTGGACTGCAGGGTCTTGGGTGCACAAGAAACGCTTAACCACACAGGTAACTAGGATCGTTTATTTCCTCGTTAGCATAGAGCCACCAACCTGACAGTACAGATGATAGGGACATGTGCTTGTTTGTTCTCAGTCGGGCAACAAAGAGAGACTCTCGAATCGAGAAAACTCTCCTCTTTGGCTTGAGGGACAAGGGACACATGACATCCTTTTCGACATCGCTGAGAGGACTCTTGTTTCCCACCAGTAGCGAATATAAATCGGTGGATGACAGAGGTATTCGTTTTGTGGTAACTTGGCCAGACGAAACATCAGTCGCCAAAGCCGGAAGCTGTTGTTAGCGACTGGCGACGATTTAGAAGTATTCGGATTAGATATCCTCGAAGATCTCCAGTTGTTTGTGAAACGCAACAGCCGCAGCGAGAAAATTGTTGGCCATTGTGTTTCCTACGATAAGAGGCTTTCTTCCCCCCTTCTGTCATCCTGCTGCAGGACTCTGCGTGATGAGGCTTTCGGCAGACCTGATCACTTCTGCAGAAAAATCATACACGCTCTGCAGGTGAAGCGACTGGGTCTCGGAAAGACCGGAATGGGGATAGAACTGTGTGGTGATATGATCCCGACAATTTCGGAGAAGAAGGGCGTCCGAGGCCGCGCTTGCACTCGAAGGGTTGAGGAGGATGTTGCAGAATAAAACCAACGTTGCCGACACGGGATAGAAGAGCACGACCCTAAGTGATCCAACATGGAAGAGTCAGTAGTGCCCAGCAAAACCAAGTCCAGCGGCTTGAAACGCAGCATAACGGGAAGATGTAAGACGTACCAGAAGATGTTTGGGATTTTGACCAAGACCGGATCGGCAGCGTGAAGAAACGAAAGTAAAGAGCGACTGGACTCTAAAGCAAGGTCAAGACTGGAACTAAGACCTTCATGTACTCTGTGGTTGTGAGCCCAGTTCTTGCAGCGACTGCTGGCCTGGTGGATGGTCGTCATGCAATGATAGTATTCCAGTTGCAGGAGAAAGTAGCGAACACTCATGTTTTCGAAACACAGCGAGTCCTGAGTTTCCAGCGAGAATGAGAGCTTGGGCCGGGATTCTGCTGGGTGCGATTGTCTCCAGTTCTCCAACAATTCGTCCAGCTCACGAATGTCTCTCAGAATTTCGGCGTCGGATTTCTGCAGGGAATGTGGGGAATATAGCTTTTCGTATGCTTTTGACTTGATCAAACTCAAGCCTAGATCGCCAGGGAAGCGCAGGTTGCCATCGAAATCGGCGGCCCTTTGTTTCAGGTACCATTTGGGAAATGTCAGGTCACATGAGGTGTCGTTGATGATGGGTGGCCGTCCGGTGCGGAAGGTGATCTCTCTGTCTAGACTGTAACAGACCCAGAAGAGGTCTCGTCGATGGAGGATCGTCCTGGTTTCGATGCTCTGTGGCTCTGAAGGAAGAAGATCCAACTCTTCACCAGGGTAGAGGTGGGCACCCAACATGAACAAGAACCGCGATGCCGTCGACAGGGTGATATCCAGAGGTTGGAAATGTCCACAAGTAAATTGATAGACAGCCTTGCGGATGATTAGTGATAGACAAGAGAGTGAAGACCCTAAACTGACCTGCATCATAAGTGCATCCACCGCTTCGGTACTGGCACGGGCGTTCAAGATGTCAAGAAAGAGGAGTTCCGCCGAACTACCACCGTCCAATATGTCCACAGGAGGCAACTGTGACTCGGTGGCCGCATCGCCGAGCAGGGATGCTGCAAGGGCGAAGAACGAAACAATGCATGCTTTGGCTGAAAGAGCGTCGAGACTGCCGGTCAGATTGGCATCGTAAGCCTTGTCGAGGGTCTGCGGAAATAAGACTGGATCTGCAAGTGGAAAGGCATGAGAGGCCTCGGACCGGTGATACAGATCTAGGTATTTCTCCACCACCGCTCGAGGCGGCAAGTCTTGGATTCTTCCATCCGCCACAGTTCTCGGCCGACTTGCCCTGGGCCAGGCCGGTCGTCGGTTTTGCCAAAGTGGTCCCTTGGCCTCATGTTTGCCAATAGGAACGTCGTTTTCATCGGCCCGAAAACCTATCCATTTCTGACCCTCGCGCGAGAGGAAAGGGACTCCATGGAACATGTTGATATCCCCGAGCTTATAGCCGGCGCAGTAGATTCGTCCAACATTTTCGAAACTGGGAGATTCGGCTTCGACTGGACCAGGACGCCCGTCATCGTTAGGTTTGGTTATTGGCTTGGGGAGAGTCGTATGCGACGGCCCTTCATTTTCGCCTAGAAAGGTGAGTTTCAGTCTGTGACTCGGGGTCGAAGAGCATAGCGAACCATTGCGTCTTTTCAGATTATCCGTGATCAACTGCTCTATTCGTTCCATCCGGCGGACGAGGTCACTCTCCTCCAGTTTTCTGTGCGACACGGTCAATTGTCAATACACTGCATCAAATGGATAAAGTCATCCACAAACCTCGACCGGGTTCCTCTCCTTCGACCGCCTCGCATTCTTTCAAAGGTACATGGAAGGCCATGATGCTGACACCAATTGCACTGAGGTCTGACGCCGTCGCATTTGATCTAAACAGAACATAGTTAGATATTGTTGGGGAATTGCCAGAGACTGGAGCGAGTAATAGAATACCTTTTTGGCATGACAGGAATCACAAGCGCGCGATATTCTGGGACTAGCACGACTGCTTGTGATTGAAACATCGGGGGAAAGTGACGCCGGCGTGTCTGACATCGGAGTGATAGTAGACTTGCCGGTTGTGCAGACGCCCAGAAGATGTACAGAGTAGTGGCGCAGGATCCGATCCTAGCGGTCGCTTAGAACAAAGGCCCAGGCTTATCAAGATGCTCAAACCTGGGCGAAACTGGGCTTGTTTCTCGGGATTGGCGTTCATATGCGGCCGGAATGGGTTTGTTGAAGATGGATGGGAGATTTCGGCACTTAAAGAGACTCTCGGGTAAGTTGCTGCCGCTGAGTCAGCGGCACCTTAGTCAGCGGCACTTCGGGGAAGGCGGGTCCACAATTGTGACAGGCATCGTTTCCACTTCGGGAGCGAGATGGAACATCTGAGTCGGATCGGCTGCAAACCTGCCCTTTCCCGGAAGAATCAAGCGGTCTTTACGTTGAATGTTGATGCCCGGCAAGATTCAGATGTCGTGGTCTCTCAATGTTCTGGGTAAGCCGCTCTCTATTGGAGTTGTTGTGATTGACCTTGACTGAGGCCAGGCAATAAATGGAGCACGGACACTCGACGACCAGTCGCTATCATTCCTCTGGCCTTGAGTCTTGAGATACAGTCCAGATAAGGTCTACTAAGCACTCGGGACATATTAGCTCCGAGTGCGTACAGCCTTAGGCAGCAGCAATATCAATGCGGATCCCTCCGAGTCAACCGACTGGCTAGACCTTGTCAGGCTGGCCCCCCAAATGTGGATTCGAGCACAATGTTTTTGCATTCGCCGTTGATCGTATTTCCAATGCGTGGGTCTTGGACTTGACCCTGGCGAGGATGGACTACAAATAATAATTCTGGTCTGGCAACCCTCCCACACTCTGGGTTCTTCTCACTCACTCTAAAATGGAGTCATCTGAAGGTAGTATCCTAGGTACCTCGGAGTCTCCTACCATCGTCAACGAGGTAATAATGGGGGAGAAGAACGTCGACAGCCCAGATGCTCAAGGCCAGGGCCATGATACCCCGGCCGGTCTTCCCCGCGGCCATGACTGGGCATTGACTGATCGAGTCAAAGCCCAGTATGAACGGGACATCGCAACGTATGAACGAGAGAGGAAGTTGGGCGTCACCTGGTCCAATCTGACAGTCAAGGTCGTCGCCGCGGATGCTAGCATTCACGACAACACATTATCCCAAATGAATTTACCCAGGGTCATCAAAGAAGCCCGCCAGAAGCCTCCGCTCAAGTCAATTCTGCATGGATCACATGGCTGCGTCAAGCCGGGAGAGATGCTGCTGGTCCTAGGACGACCCGGCTCCGGATGTACCACACTGCTGAAATTGCTGGCCAACAGAAGAGGGGGATACACTTCGGTTGAGGGCGACGTGTTTTACGGTTCCATGAACCAGACCGAAGCAAAAATGTATCGCGGCCAGATCGTGATGAACACCGAAGAAGAGCTGTTCTTCCCCACCTTGACCGTCGGACAGACCATCGACTTCGCAACACGGTTAAAGGTTCCCTTCAAACTACCTAACGGGGTTACTTCACGAGAAGAATATCGCCAAAAAGCCAAGGAGTTTTTGCTGGAGTCGATGGGAATCTCGCACACCGAAGACACCAAAGTCGGCAACGAATACGTCCGAGGTGTGTCCGGAGGCGAAAGAAAGCGTGTGTCGATCATCGAATGTCTGGCAACTCGGGCATCGGTCTTTTGCTGGGATAACAGTACCCGTGGGCTCGACGCCAGTACCGCCCTTGAGTACACCAAAGCATTACGTGTCATGTCGGACGTGCTCGGCATTACCACGATTGTGACCCTCTACCAAGCAGGAAATGCCATTTACGATCTCTTCGACAAAGTCTTGGTCCTGGATACGGGAAAGCAGATCTACTATGGACCGATCAAGGAGGCGAAACACTTCATGGAGGACCTCGGGTTCGTGTGTGCCGAAGGAGCCAACGTGGCCGATTTTCTCACCGGTGTCACCGTGCCCACCGAACGACAGATTCGCCCTGGATACGAGAACCGATTCCCCCGAACCGCAGACGAGCTCAAGGATCACTACGAGAAGTCTCCCGTGTTCGGGAAAATGACTGCAGAATACGAATACCCCAGCACTCCAGAAGCTGAGGCAAACACCAAAGCTTTCCAGGAGGCCGTGGTCATGGAGAAGGACAAGCAGCTCAAACACTCCAGTCCTCTGACGACGGGCTTTCTCACTCAAGTCAAGGCGTGTGTCATTCGTCAATACCAGATCATCTGGGGTGACAAGGCGACATTCTTCATCAAGCAGGCGTCGACCATCATTCAAGCCCTCATTGCCGGTTCTCTCTTCTATGACGCTCCTGACAATTCGGGAGGTCTCTTCATCAAGGGTGGTGCCCTGTTTTTTGGCCTCCTGTTCAACACTCTGTTGAGTATGTCTGAAGTCACGGATTCCTTCCTGGGTCGTCCAGTTTTGGCCAAACACAAGTCGTTCGCTTTCTTCCACCCCGGTGCCTTTTGCATTGCACAGATCACCGCGGATATTCCTCAGCTTTTGGTTCAGATCACTTGTTTCTCGGTCATTCTATATTGGATGGCCGGTCTAGGCGCCACTGCATCCCAGTTCTTCACGTTCTGGATAGTGGTGTTTTCGGCTACAATGGTAATGTTCACCACCCCCATGCTGTTCAAACACGACTAACTCATCATTCGCAGTGCATGACCGCGTGTTTCCGAGCGATTGGAGCGGCCTTTTCAACCTTTGACGCCGCCTCCAAAATCTCTGGGCTTATGATCATGGTGGTGGTCATGTACGTCGGGTACATGATCACGAAGCCTCACATGCATCCGTGGTTTGTCTGGATCTATTGGATCGATCCACTGGCCTACGCGTTTGAGTCCATCATGGGTAACGAATTCCACAACACCATCATTCCCTGTGTCGGCACCAATCTCGTTCCCAACGGGGCCGGATACACCGATGCTCAATACCAATCTTGTGCCGGTGTCGGTGGTGCCGTCTATGGCCAGACTTATGTCACGGGAGATGACTACCTGCACTCACTTTCCTACCACCATTCTCACGTTTGGCGGAATTTTGGCATCGTCTGGGCGTGGTGGGCGCTGTTCGTTTTTATTACTGTCATCTTCACCACCCGTTGGAAGTCGGATTCGGAAAAGGGCAGCAAACTTCTGATTCCACGAGAGAATGTCCATTTGGCTCGTCACATCCTGGGAGACGTGGAAACTCAGGCTCCAGAGAAACAGGTCATCAGTTCCGACTCTTCACTCAGAGAACAAAATGCCGCGGCGGAGAAAAGCGACGAGGCCTTACTCCAAAACACGTCGGTCTTCACATGGAAGAATCTGTCATACACGGTCAAGACTCCTCACGGTGATCGCAAGCTTCTCGACAACGTCCAGGGCTGGGTCAAGCCCGGCATGCTGGGCGCATTGATGGGTTCTTCTGGAGCCGGTAAGACCACCTTGTTGGACGTGCTAGCTCAGCGCAAGACCGAAGGTACCATCGAAGGCTCGATCTTGGTTGATGGTCGACCTCTACCGGTCTCATTCCAACGATCGGCCGGATACTGCGAACAGCTCGACGTCCACGAACCCTACGCCACGGTACGTGAATCATTGGAATTTTCAGCCCTCCTTCGCCAGTCGCGGCATACCCCGAGAGAAGAGAAACTCAAGTACGTCGACACCATCATCGAACTCTTGGAGTTGGGGGACCTTGAAAACACCCTGATTGGCTTCCCCGGAGCCGGTCTCTCCATCGAGCAGAGGAAGCGAGTCACCATTGGTGTGGAACTTGTGGCTAAACCCAGTATCCTCATCTTCTTGGACGAGCCGACGTCTGGTCTGGACGGACAATCGGCGTTCAACACGGTACGATTCCTGCGCAAGCTGGCCGACGTAGGTCAAGCCGTGTTGGTGACGATCCATCAACCATCCGCACAGCTCTTTGCACAATTCGACACTCTACTTCTTCTGGCCAAGGGCGGAAAAACGGTTTATTTCGGCGACATCGGAGACAACGCGGCCACCATCAAAGAATACTTCGGTCGATATGGCGCTCCTTGTCCGCCCCAAGCCAATCCGGCCGAACACATGATCGACGTCGTGTCGGGCCATCTGTCCCAAGGCCGAGACTGGGCCCAAGTATGGCTCGAATCGGCCGAATACGGCAAAGTGACGCACGAGCTGGAAGAGATCATCCACGAGGCTGTAGAGTCTGCTCCCGCGACGCACGACGACGGACACGAATTCGCCATGCCGCTATGGGCGCAGATCAAGATCGTCACGCACCGGCTGAACCTCTCCCTGTACCGCAATGTCGATTACACCAACAACAAGTTCGCGCTGCACGTTTCGTCGGCGCTCTTCAACGGCTTCTCGTTCTGGATGATCGGCTCCGGCGTAGGTGATTTGCAGCTCAAACTCTTCACCATTTTCAACTTCATCTTCGTCGCACCGGGAGTCATCAACCAGCTGCAACCCCTGTTCATCGAGCGACGGGATATCTTTGAGACGCGGGAGAAAAAGGCCAAAATGTACGACTGGAAGGCCTTCGTCACCGCCCTGATCATCTCCGAGATCCCCTACCTGTGTGTCTGCGCCCTGCTGTATTTCGTCTGCTGGTACTACACGGTCGGATTCTCGGGTGACAGCAACGCCGGCGGCGGGACCTTTTTCGTCATGCTCTTCTACGAATTCCTGTACACCGGCATCGGGCAGTTCATCGCCGCATACGCGCCCAACGCGCTGTTCGCGTCGCTGGTCAACCCCCTGGTCATCGGCACGCTGGTGTCCTTCTGTGGCACGCTCGTGCCGTACGGCCAGATCCAGGCGTTCTGGCGGTACTGGATTTACTGGATGAATCCCTTTAATTACCTCATGGGATCCCTGCTGGTCTTTGACGTCTGGGACTCCAAAGTCAAGTGCAAAAAGCATGAGTTCGCCATCTTCAACACCCCGTCCAACGTGACCTGTCGCGAATACTTGGCCGATTATCTCCAGGGTCCTCAGGGCGCGCTTGCGAACCTCACCAATCCGGATGCCACGAGCGATTGCCAGGTCTGCGAATACAAGACCGGGGCCGATTATTTGTATACGTTGAATCTCAAGCATCAGTACGATGGCTGGAGAGACGCGGCCATTGTCGTCATCTTCGTCTTCAGCTCGTATGCGCTCGTCTATCTGTTGATGAAGCTGCGGACGAAGCAGAGCAAGAAGGCTGAAGGATAAGGTTTTCAGTCGAGGACAATCCGAAGTCTCTTGTTTATACCTTGTTTCAGCGGTCTCGTCTTTTGGTTGTTTTTTGTTTGGGAGAAAGTCTGGCTTGTCATTTGTGACACTTATTGGTCAAGACTGGCGAATGTTTCTGTTCAAGACGGTGCAAGTTCCAACTAGAGGAGCTCGGAAGTGCCAAAGGAGTCAGGACGATAGATTTGGCATTATGGCATGGGCATGAAACTCTAGAGAATACCTGACAGACAGTTAGAGTGGATAGATCTAGAGACCACATACTGCTGTCGTATAGAGAATAGATTGATGGCCGCCCGAAGTGGACAATCTCCAGTAGGGTCTCAGAACATACTGTGTACATATCTCGACTCGATACGTTGGCTGATAGTGTCGACACGTCGAGAACAGCCTTGCTGAGTCAGCATTCCCTTTCGCCCTCCTGTATTCAGACTAAGGCCGTCGGATTTGTACCCAATACTGGTGCCGGCCATTAGTCACTTGAGCTTTTGCAAAGACTGATACAGAAAGTGCTTTTGTGATTGTTCTACACTTCACCTATCGATCCGTCTATGTAGAAGCCACGCCAAGGTCTGTATACTTCGACTCTGGTTAAACATGAAGTCGTACAGCACAGTCAGTATCGTTCCACGAGGTTCCGTCGTGTATCAAAAAGGCATGCTCGATCGCTTCGTCTGCGTCGACGTCAGAGTCTGCCGCAGGGAGTTTGGGAGGAACCGGTTTCTCATGAAGTCAAGCTCTCATGAAGTCAGTAGATCCCTCACACTCATTGCCTTAGTTTTGTCTCTGTGACCCCAGCCTTGATCCATGCGCTCGTTCCCTCTCTCGAGATTCTGACCCCTTCCACCACCTCTCCACTCGTTCGTGAGCATCATAAGAGCGGCACCAGCTGTGGCTTCTGCAGTGGCCGAGACATCACTTAACACTGCGGGTGATTTGCTCTGAGTGCTTCTATCACATTGAACGCTGACGTTCATATGAGCAAGTTGCAGTGATGAACCGGCCAGGAGTGATGGCTGGGGATGAGGCAGTGGTAGATGCATTACCGCAGGCGATGGGAGCGATTGGATATTAGGGCTGGGATCGGAAGATTGGTTCACTGTTGTCCATGACCCAGACGTTGACGGCGCGTTGCAACCCAATGCTCCACTACCTGCTAACATACTGACATTACTGGCCTTTTGAGTGCGGCTCAGATCAGATGACGAATGGGTACAGTTGAGTGCTGGACTGAGGACAGTAGAGGTAGGTGTTGCCGAGGTAGCATCAGAGTGAGCGGCCAACTGGACTGGCGGGATTGTGGACGAACCCTTACAGTGGGAAACGACAGGTCGATTCTGGGATCGCGCTGAATGATTTTCTCGACTTTGTGACTGAGACTGCAACTGTGGAGAGGAATAGGACCAACTGCTTGGGGAGGCGTTCGAATATGTAGCCGAGTCTCTCAAAGACGATTCGTTGGTCGTGACCGTAGAATGATTGTAGCCTTGCCGTACGACGGGAGACGCTGGTGGGGAGACTTGCTCGCCGATTTTGTCAGGAATCTCTTCCACTTCTTCATTTTCGTCGACGTATTCCGATTGCTCGTAAAGCTTGGTCCGACTCGATTCGAATTCACCCTTTTTCTCATTCTCGGTCTTGAGTTGTGCCACACATCCTTCCAGATATCGGACATACTCGATGCCTGCCTGCAGAATGGCCAGTTTATGCATTTCCACCCCCTCACAGGCAGGAATCATGTCTTTCAGCACGCCGAACTCTTCATTCATTTTACACCGTCTGCGCCGCTCGATAATGCTGTGAGCAGTCTTGCGAGCTATTTTCCGACCTGCCGCATTGGTGGCCGAAGACTGCTTCTGTTTGGACTTGGTCGAGGCAGCAGTTTGCTTCGAGCTTGAAGTGTGAGCAGCCGCAGCCGATGCTGGAGGATGGTAGTCAGCCGAAGAGGATTTGGCTGTGGTCAAGGGCTTTGGTTTCATCTGGATGATCTTCCTAGCACGACTAGGCGGTGGTGGAAGCTCGCAACTCGATAGGATATTGACCGGCTCTTTGCTATACTTGATGACACCAGAGGCCGTCCGCTTATGTCGAGGGCTCGAATAAAGAGCATTGTCCTTTGGTGAGATGGGAGGAGTATTTTGAGGGACTGCAACGCCGAATGAAGTTCCTCGAGGGGACGACTTCGACCTGTTGAGCTGGATGTCTGTCTCGCTCGAACGGAGGGCCGGAGGAGGTAGAGCAAACATTAGCTCCGTCTCCGAGGATGTAATCGTCTTTTCCAGTGCTTGTAGGTCCGTCGAATTGGTCGGCGTAGGAGGAGGGCGTGGCCGGGGCATGTTGGACGGTGGACTGAAGCAAGAGGACACCACAAGGATGGCACAAAAACTTTAGGGAACTGCTGCTAGGTTTTCGGATGGATTGATCTGACTGAAGGAGAATAGACAGCCAGACGCAGCGCGGAAGTGATCAAGGTCCTGTCACTCGAGGCAAGGGGCATTTGGTATTGACAGAGTTTCAGGGCAAGACACGGGACAAAAGGAGGCGGAACTGGGAATTGAGATGATGGTCAATAGAGTCAGCATTTATCAAGGGCAGATACAGAGAAAGGAGAGCAGAGAGGTGGTCTTCAAATAGCAGGCAGACAGTAATAAGGCAGGATCACAGGAACAATCATGCAAACAAGACGAGAGGAGACAGTCACAAACGGGCATGTGTTGAATGAAGCACACGACACTCGTCAACCTGAACCGACAACCCTCGTGTGTGGTAGATGGCAGATGATAGGAGGATCCGAAGATGGAGGCAACATTGCTCGACCTGTTTGCGGATTGTCGCCATCATTGAAACTGCGCAACTCAAAGTCGACGACACGACGACAGGAACGTGGAAGACATTGCACGTGTAGAGCGAGCTGGGTGTGATTGGCACTACGTATAAGTTGTTTAGAGACTGAACGCGCTATCAGTAGTAGTGACGGCAACTAATAAACTTGGGGTTTAGGGGCTCTTTAGGCTGTTCAGGCGTCATAAGCCCCTGCAATTAGGCTTGGAAGACAGATGGCGGGGGTGCTAAGGTGCTTCTCTCGACTCCGCCAGGGTCCCCGCTTCACACAAAAAAAGTGCCCGAGACCATGCATCATGAAAATAGACTGGACAAGACCACAGAAGTCAAACACAGCCAAATTGAGAGAGGTCGGAGATCTGTTCATACCACTGCGGTATCAACTATCCCAATGGTCAACAGACAACTTCTCCATGATCCCTCGACCGAATGTGTTCACTTGATATCCTTCTTTTCTCCGTTTCCCACCCCATTCGAATCCGGTCGCTTGAAATGCACCTTCAAAGGTTCCCAGGAATGAGCATTGTACTCCTGTAGACGGTCGTTAGCATATATACCATCATTACCAGAGACAGGCAGACAGCAGACACTCACCTTCTGCACCTTCTGACATTTCTTCAGTCCCCAGTCCGTGACGCCGACCATCAGACAACTTTCAAACATGAACGCCATGCTACCCTCGCCCACCTTCTGAGGCTGCAAATCCATCGTCGACGCCTTTTCGAAAGTCTGCATGTCTGGACCATGCCCACTCATCGTATTATGTAAACTGGCACCAGCCGGTTGGAAGCCTCCTTTTCCGGCCCCCTTGGCATCGTAATTGCCCATGATAAGCCCCATAAACTCGGACATGGTATTGCGATGATACCAAGGTGGCCGGAAGGTGTCTTCGGCGACGAGCCACCGAGGAGGAAATATAACAAAATCCGCAACCGCTGTGCCTGCACCATGCGAGTGTGACGGAGCAGTAAGAACGGTAAAGATGGACGGGTCAGGATGGTCGTGAGAAATGCTGCCGATCACGGCGAACCGGCCAAGGTCATATTTGTAGGGATGGTAGGTCCCATGCCAGGCTACAACGTCGAACGGAGTGTGTGACTGCTTGGCCGCGAACAGGTTGCCCGCGAACTTGCCGTACAGAGTCCATTCGGTATCGTCATAATCCTCGTCAAAGTCGGCCACAGGAGTCTGAAAGTCTCGTGCGTTGGCCAACCCATTCGACCCGATCGGACCCAACTCGGGCAGCTTGAAGTGACCCTGATACAATTCCAGAATGTATCCCCTCACAGGTTCCCCATCATGCAGTGTGACATGGTATCGGATGCCGCGCGGAATCACGCAGATTTCATTTGGTCGTACCAGCATCCTACCAAATTCAGTGCGAATGTCGAGGACCCCATGTTGTGGAACGATCAAAAAGTCTCCATCCGCGCTGTAGAAGGCCGTCTTATCGGGCATGGTGGCGCCAGCCGCGTAGATGTATATGCCGATACCCTGTTTCATGACCGGGTCGCCCGCTCCTGCCACCAGGTGCAGCGAGTGGATCCAAGACACCTCCTTGTCGAAATCAAACGGATCCCATCGCAGTTGATTTGGGATGGCGTTGAAATGGGTGCCGAAACTTGGGGTGGGAGTGGTCAACGATTCGGCCGAGGTGGAAGGGACGGGCTCGAAGTTCTGATGACTCGCCGAAGGGAGGATTCGATAGAGCCATGATTGCAGGTTGTCGTCTCGGGGTGCGGTGAAAGCAGTGCCCGACAACTTTTCGTTATACAACCCGTAGGGACATTTCTGAGGCGAATTGGCCGCCAGCGGCAACGCACCCTTTATGGCTTCAGTCCTGCGCGACAGTGTTAGCTTGTGTCCGTCACAACAACACTGTCCATTCAGCTTTTCTTACTCTTTGTATCCCCCGAACCCATTCAGATATTCGTACGTATCGGTCACAGCGAATGGGGTTACAGGCATCGTCGATGGCTTGTTCGTCGGTGAAGGTGCTCACGTTGCGAACTAGACAGAAGAAATGTCAGTCTGGAACAACAGACGATGTAGAGTTGAGAACCGGCCAAGGTCGAGGTCGAGGTTGGGCAGCTGAGGGGAACAAGCTGAGGTCGAACTTACTTGTGAGGGGAGTTTTGTACTTGATGTTGATGTCCTTGTTCTCACGGTGCCGTTCGATGGCCTCCTGCAAACGTTTGAGGCCCTGCATGAGGGGCAATGTTGTCGCTAGATCACCTGAAATCGAGTAAATGCATGGACTGGCCACAGTCAAGAGAGGAGAGTGCGGAATGGGTCGAAGGGAAGTGAGGATTGATTCCGTGGGGAGAAATATGAATGAAATCGCGAAGGGCTCAGGGCCCTGGGCATACGCAGGATCGGTAACGAGTGGGCCGCCTCTGTGAGATCAAAAGCAACTTGTGGACAGAAGGAAAAGGTGGGCACCCGGCATCTAGGGGCCATGATCATGTCCAACTTGGGAGTGGGCGGCCTCCGAGAGCGAATGTAGCGCTGGAAATCGTCCATGATACGAAGAGGACAAGAAAATGGGTGGGATGGAGATCGATGGATGGAGTGACGGACGCAGCTGTGAATGGTCGACGAGCGAGGACGGCGGAACCAGGCGTAGCTTTTTTCCACGAACACAAACAAGATCGCAGTCGCAATAGCGGGATGTCGATCGCCAGGACCAATACTTGTCGGGGCGTGAACACTCTAGGTGACGCCAGGTCCCCTAGCAGGTAGCAGCTGTGCCCCAGCAAGCCTAAAGAAATTGAGCCGGAGGCGCCGCCGACCAAAACATCAATGCCGACTTTGCCGCGATATGGCACCCCAAGAAAAGGACTGCGCAGCCCATCAACACCTAAGCAGGTTTGCTTGCTTGCTTCGATTTGGTGTCTGCCCGTTAGGCTGTTTGCTGAGCCTGCCATCGTATAGCCGACCTCATTCCAATAATCTTTCTTCAATAGCTCGAACATGGCGATGCTGCGACGTCGGGTCGGACATCTAGGGTCAAAAATAAACCGTCGCCCGACACTGGTTGTATTATTGGCGTTTGATGACTGCGATTTAGGCGCTCGCCCCGGCCGGAGGCCCTAGAGGCACAGGGCCACTCGTGGGCAGGGCACAACTCAACACAAACCGGACTGGAGGGTAGGCGGTGGCATGCCTGATAACCCAGAGATGTCACAAGCAACCACTTGAAGCTTCTTGTGTCTGGGGTTGCATCAGAGACCTCGAGACAATTCTGCCGGTATTTTCGCAACAGTATTGCGCCCGGCGGCTGAACTGCGCCTTGGCAGGATGCGCCCAGCAATGGACACGGCACGTACAGAACTCTCCGAGTATTGTTGTCTGAGGACAGGTAGTAGTCAGGTCAGGATTCGAAGGACATCCGAGATAATGACGCCTTCAGGTCGTCGTCAGGTTCGCCCGTGTTCTAGAAAAGATACCTGCGACCACGCTCACACCCGATCGCACGTTGTTGATCGAAAGCACCCTTGACCGTCGATCGCAGGGGAAAATAGCCTGACGTTCGAGCTCCCGAACTCTTACACTCGATGGTCCTCGTTATCGTTCATCTTCGAACCCCGAGTGGCAAAAAGAGGCTTGCTATCCAAAAGCCTCACGCGCATCTCCAGTGACACTTCTTAGCGGCACGGGATTGCCGAGGATGGAACGAGTCTGCTCAGCGAATCATGTCACTTTCATTGCCCTGTTCCTTTGCTCTTATGTCATCGGTCAGTTCGTCTCTCGTGCCGCCAGTATTGAGGACGTGTGTCCATGTCCATTTGCCGAAAGAACGCAGAGGGAGTTATATGCAGAACTTCACGAGAAGCGGCTTGCACGATATCGGACCGCAGCGAATGGAAAGATCAAAGAGTCTGGACAAACACTGGCAGATAGGAGCACGGCACAACCTGACCGCGAGACAACGTGATTGTGATAGGGCATGGCGTGCTGTTTCTTGTTGACTAAACTCCAGTCTCAAATCTCACTCACCTTGCGTGGTCTTGATTTTCCGTCTCCGCCGCTGTTCCAACGAGTCCTTGGTGATCTGAATGATCTCGCTCCGCTGCCACCATTTCACTTGCTCTGTTGCATAAGAGTCCCGTGAACTTGACATGGCGGGAGGTAGGTAGACTGGACTGCGGTGAGTCGAGCGCTGTAGGTGTGGCTAGAGGAAGGCTGCCTTTAATCTGATGTCTGGTGTCGCTTTCTGCTCGACTGGGTGTCTTATGGCGGATGTGTTGGATGAAATAGGCAGGTATGTGTAGATACGTGCTCTCCGACTGGCAGAAGTTTCGAACTTGTGGGCTTCAGGACAAGCAGGAATGTCTGGGATAGGTATGTGGACGCAATGAGCAACGGACGTATAGTGTGAGCTGACAAGAATGGGCACTGGGGTTAAAGATAAAAAGGATGATGAGTTGAGAAAGTCATTGATACGCGAGGTATGTGGACGTCTTTCGGTCAGGCAGGTGCAGAGTTAGGAAGGTGCTGGTCGGTCAACAGGCGTTTGCACAAATCACCCGTTGATCACTTGAGAGGTATAGCTTGATGCCGGCGTGATGCAAATTCCAACAGATGTACTGGTTTAACTGGATACTCACGAATCACTACTCAATTGACACATATCTTGACAGCCTCGATAGAGGGAATAAGATATGATTCACGATCGGGAGTGCGACGTATATTCAGCCCAGCCCAGCGCCAACAAGTGACAGACATACCATCCAGTCAGTTTCAATATCTATCTCGATAACTGCTTCCACGATCCCGCACGTCCTGTCTCCTCCGACATTGATCCTCTGTCTACAAATCCTTAGTCCTCTCCTCACTCGCACGAATCCATCGATCCAGAGCATCTTTATCCCTGATCCTAAACCCGACCTTGAACGGTTTCGGCTCCGTCGTCAGCGCGGTCGGGATGCTATTACACTCCAAGGCATCAAGGACCGGCCAATCGCCCGTATCCTGGGCCGGCCCAAAGCGAAACGCGACAATCATCCTCAAAAACGCCGTATAGATCTCGCGGTTGGCCAGATGCGAGCCCACACACATGCGACTGCCCGCGCCGTACGCATAATGCGGCGTGCCACCACTGCCTTCCTGGTCATGCAGGTATCGCTCCGGCATGAACTGCGTCGGATCCTTGAAATGGCTCTCGTCGTAATCGGCCGCCCAGGCGTTCATGTAGAACGTGCTGCCGGCGGGGACAACCGCGTCGTTGTACTTGATGTCCTTGATACTCGTCCGAGGCAGGCACACGGGAATGACGGTGAAGAAGCGGAGAATCTCCTTGGTCAGGGCTGTGATGTACGGCACCTTTTCCTCCAGCAGGCATTTCTCCCACGCCTCGCCGTCATTGGGGTAGACTTTCATGATCTCCTCGTACGCCTTTTGCTGGATCCGTTGTCCCTGCGGCGAGGCCAGGTATCCTAGGCCCATGATCATGTTGCCTGGGACGGTGTCGATGCCGGCCGAGACCATGGTCAGACAGATACTTTTGAGTTCTGCTTCGTTGAGTGTCTCTTCGGGGTCCTTGATGATGTTGCCGGTGATGCATGGTCGGTCGGTTCCGTTGGCGATTCGGTCCTTGAGCATGTTGAGAAAAGCGGTCAAGTAGCGGTCCCGACGCTCACGGTATTCGGCAGCTGATTTGTTCTGGCGAGAGATCAACGGGAGGCGTAGGAGCGGGAGATAGTCCTGCCAGTTGTTCGATGTGCTACGGAAGTTGGACACTACCCGTTCAACATGCACCACTATAGAGGTTTGTCATAGGTTAGCCATTTTCCTGGCAGTCTACCTTGAGCAAGTCGGATCGAGGGAATGTGGAAATGGAAACGGAGAGCAACCAACCTTCTCGAAGCAGCTCCTGGTCTATTCCCCCGTCAATACGAACGCCATAATTCAGAGTCAAGCTGGTATTGAGGGCGAACCGGTGGAAATACTTGCGAGGGTCCAGGTCGATCGTTCCGTCCTTGCTGTCCTTGTACATGTCCCTGATGGCCACACAGCTTTCCAGGTCGATGAACGGCATATAGCTCTGAACGGCAGGTCTATTCAATGCCGTCGCTGCCACTTTGCGTCGTCGCTTGCACGATTCGTCCCACGGAGAAGTTCCGATGGTGAACCCTTGACTGCTGGAGACAACGCTGTGGAAGGTATACAGCGTAGGTCGGGAGATCAGGGCGGACTGGTTCGTGATCCAGAAATGTCGGACCGAGTCGAATGTGTTGGCCCAGATGATGCGGCGATTGCCCAGGCGAGTCTGGAAGACGGGCCAGCCGTACTTCTTTGCCCATTCGCCCGTGACGCGTGCATGGTCCTGGCCGAGTTGAAGAAGGTTGCCGAATAGCGGTACCCCGGGGATCTCGGGCAACCCTTTGATCTTTGGCTGGTCCGTGGAATTGAGATATCGGATCAGGAAGTATCCCAGTGTGAGAAGGATGAAAGAGACTGCCGTGGGGGATAGCGCTACAACCATCTTTGAAGATAGAAATGATCCACCAAATTGCCCCCGATCCGTATAGTGTCGTGTAGCGAAGGGGAGAATTGTTCGTTCGACTTGATAACGTGGAAGTATTTTGGTACTGTATACACAGATGCTGCACAATGATCTTGTTATGCCCTCATGCTCTCCCTTCTTCGTCAAGGGCAAGCTTCGAAATTGAAGGATTGATCAGGCACTTGGCTATGGTAGCATAAGATGGAAAACAACAATCGGGAACGACGAGGGTGCGTGACAACAAAAGATGAGGGACCGCCACTTATATCTTCTTCGTGTAGATTCGTGATGAGCATCAGGTATATAACATTTTGCACGAAATTCGGTGATCAAAAGTCAGAGGTCAAACCTGAGCCGCTTACCACCGGGCATCCTCACCTACCAAACAGCCTATTCGTCCTTTCCATGTCATCTACTGGGAGGGGTCAGCAATCTGCAAGACAGCGTCAAGGAAGAGGCGGGGAAGAAACCGCTGTCATCCTTGGTCTGTGTGGGATGCTGACGGCGGAAATATGGCCGTTCAGACCGCGGGACTGTGAAGAGAACAAAAAAAACGGTTTGGAGTGGGGTGTCTGGGGTAAGAACTAGACTAACCTGATCATCCTGTATCCCAGTCCGTCAAATCAATAAGATGGCCATTATTGGACCCTGGGGGAGGCGGGGCGGCAATTCCCCATACTAGATCTCCTCAACCGGATACGGGGCACGAGCTGGATCTCCAGGTCTCCAAGGCGGAATTGAGGACGTCTCTGGGTTCTTGGTACAGTGCTTGATACTCCGGATCTCCATCCATGTCGATACATCAAGCGTTGACATCTGGTAGCACAGATATCTTGTTGACTGCTTCAATTCATTGTCACTCTTTCGTGATGGCCGTTCAAGGCTCACTACAATCCAGAACCGTCGTCCGTGGTATCTGACCCCATCAAATCTTCGGTGCTGGGAGGATCTTGCCCGAGCATTCCCCAAAGCCGACCAGACCTGACTCCTCGGTGCCGGATACTCCGTAGAAAGTAATGGTGTCTCCATCCTCCAAGAACTTACGCTCAACTCCACCGTTCAGCTGGATGGTTTGCTTTCCGCCCTTGGTGATCTCGAGCATGCTGCCTTCTGTCCCTGGCTCCGACCCACTAATCGTGCCGGACCCCAACAGGTCACCTAATGCCATGGGGCATCCGCCGATTGTATGATGGGCGAGCATCTGCGGAAACGAGAAGAGCAGGTGTCGACCGTTGGAGTTGAGGATGTTTGTCGGCGGTTTTCCGTCGGCTGTGCGGGATTAGGTTCATATTTACACAAGATCGTCAGGACACAAAACTCACGTGTGATATCCACCTGTAATCGGATGTCATAAACATTCTTTTCCTCCTTTTCCTGCAAATACGGTAATAGCTCCGTCTCGTTAGGAATACCAGTGCATCGGAACGGCTCCAACGCATCGACCAGCACGACCCAGGGGCTGATGGTCGATCCAAAGTTTTTTGCCAGAAATGGTCCCAATGGAACATATTCCCAAGCTTGGATGTCTCGTGCAGACCAATCGTTCAGCAAAACAAAGCCGAAGATGTGGTCGGCCGCCTCAGAGATCGGAATGTTGGTGCCCATCGCATTACCCTTGCACACAAAGGCGCCCAACTCCAGCTCAATATCAAGTCGTTTGCAGGGACTGAAGGTTGGTACCTTGGGCGTTGCTGCCGGGCTCTCCAGAATTTGACCATTGGGTCTGGTGATTGGCGTCCCCGAAACAACGACCGATGATGCTCGACCGTGGTATCCAACAGGCAAATGCGTATAATTCGGTTGAAGGGCGTTATCGGGTCCGCGAAATAGAGAGCCCACATTAAAGGCGTGGTTCTTGCCGGCATAAAAATCGGTGTAGTCTCCTATGTGCATAGGCAGGTGCATGGTGACTTGATCACGTCGCAGCAAAGACTTCTCCTGCAGGCTGGGATTGCGTTGTAACACATCTGGGATGGACGTGTTCTCGGCAAAGACAACTTGCAGATATTTCCTCACAGCGCGATGGACTGGTCTGCCCAATGCAGCAAAATCGTTGAGCGTTGGCTTGGAGAAACATGCAACATCAAATCCCAGGGATGACAGAGCCCCAGATGCCGAGAATTCTTGGAGGTCCAAACAGTGATCACCAACGGCCACAGCTGGTCGGGGCGTTGGTTTGGATGGTGTCGAGATGATGCCAAAGGGCAGATTGGCCAGAGAGAAATGACTGGACTTTGGAATGGGAAACCACGACTTGAGAGATGCCATGATGGGTTCAATGTGTTTCTCGGTCGTGTCTAGAGAATATCTGCGATCAATTCTTCCTTGAGACTTACCGTGGACTGTCTAAGGTCTGGTTTTGGATGTTTGAAGCTGAGATGGGGAGCCTCCGATGGACAGGATACAGCTTGTTCGGAGTAATTCCGTTATTCCCCAGATATGTACTCGAGTCCTTGTCTCCCGGCTCTCGCTAACTACCCCTCAGGTTGAATTCAGTCATCCGGTAAGACTGGACATAAATCGACCCGTTGTTCTGTCAGACAGCCTCGCATAAGAGTTCGTTTGTTCTGAGAGCCCGTTCGACATGATCAAGCGTGCTGGGCGTGAAGTGGGCAGGGTCTGAGATCTACCTGCGATCTGCGAGTTCGGCCATGACTTTGCATGTCTCTGGACCCTGTGAAAGATATGAGAAGATATGAGATCTTACCGAGGATCAAGAAGTGTCTCTGCACAGATTCAGATTCATTTCCTCAAGGATTGGTAGACCGGACGACGATGTCTCCATGCTCTCTGTGCAAAGTACAACTTGTTCTTCTCCCGCATGCTGGAAAGGACGAGAAAAACACCCATCACGTGACCGTCGGGTACATTTCCCAACCGGGCAATGACGACATGACGGCGATTCGGTCGGCGAAACCCAAAGAATCCATCGAAATGCATTGAACGACGAAACGATGATGATGATGGAGAGAACAATTCGTCGCCTGCGTTATCGTCCATCATCTGCAGAAAAACCAAGAAATAAAATGCCCTCGTGAAACCTATGCCATTACTTTTACGGTGAGAATACCACAACAATTGACAGTTACTAGACCTTCCACAGTACACCACCACCTCGTTCCGAGAGCTCTCGTTTCCTACCTACCCATCCCCCCTAGTATCTAACCTGCCTGTTTCCCACAATCCAATGTCAGTCTCTACCGCTACTCCCACCTCCGTATCGACACCGACGTCCACATCCACAGCCACGACTCTGAGCGAAAAGACCGAGAAACTCGACTACCATTACGCCCAGCCCAAATGGTGGAAAGAGTCCGTGGTCTACCAGATCTACCCGTCGTCCTTCCAAGATTCCAACGGTGATGGCTGGGGCGACGTCAAGGGCATCACATCGCGTGTTGATTATCTGAAGAGTCTTGGGATCGATGTGGTCTGGCTGAGTCCGATCTACAAGTCTCCGCAAGCTGATATGGGCTATGACATTGCCGACTACAAAGACATCGATCCCATGTATGGAACGCTGCAAGATGTGGACGAGCTGATCGCCGAGCTGAAGAAGCGGGACATGAAGCTGATGATGGACCTGGTCGTCAACCACACCTCGAACCAGCACCCGTGGTTCTTGGAGAGTAGATCGTCCAAAGACAACCCCAAGCGCAACTGGTACATCTGGAAACCACCAAAGTCTGTCAGCAACGCCGGTGTTCCCGAACCCCCGAACAACTGGGCGCAGATCCTAGGAGAGGCCAATTCCGCGTGGACCTACGACACCACCACCGGCGAGTATTATCTGTCTCTGTTCACGCCCGAACAGCCCGACCTGAACTGGGAGAACCCCGAAGTCCGCGAGGCCGTATGGGATGTGATGCGATTCTGGCTCGATCGCGGCGTCGCCGGCTTCCGGATGGACGTCATCAACATGATTTCCAAGGAGCAATCCTATCCCGATGCCGCAGTCACACTAGACCCTCTCAGCCACAAATACCAGCCTGGATCGCAATTCTTTGTGAACGGACCAAGGTAAGTCCCTTTCTTCGAGACGTCTAGCTTGAAATCCGATGACTAACCGAATCTGTCAGACTGCATGAGTACCTTCGAGAGATGAACCAGAAAGTACTTTCGCACTACGAGACAATCACCGTGGGCGAGATGCCTGGTATATCAGATCCCGAAGAGATCTTACGCACGGTCGGTTCACACGCAGGGGAATTGAACATGATCTTCATCTTTGACGTGGTGGACATTGACAAGCCAAACGTCCGGATGGCCATGAAACCATGGGATGTCAAGGAACTGAAGTCGATCGTGAGCCGATGGCAGCGATGCATGATCGACCGCGACGGCTGGAACTCGGTCTTCATCGAGAATCACGACAACCCGCGCAGTGTGAGCAGATACACCGACGATGCCGGTGCGGTGCGCGACAAGGGCGCCAAACTGCTCGCACTGATGCTGACCACGCTGGGAGGCACGTTGTTCGTATACCAGGGTGAAGAGATTGGCATGCGCAATGCCCCGATGGAATGGGATGTCAATGCCGAGTACAAGGATATTGAGACCCAGAATTACTGGAAGAAGGTCCAGGACCTGCACGGAGACGACCAGAAAGAGCTCGACCAAGCCAAGAAGATCATCCAGATGAAGGCCCGCGACCACGCCCGCACTCCGATGCAGTGGAACTCCCAGGAAAACGCGGGCTTCTCCAAACCCGGTGTCAAACCCTGGATGCGCGTCATGGACGACTATAAGGAGGGTATCAATGTCGAGGACCAGATGAACGCCGACGATCCTAAGGAATTGTCCACCTGGCAGTTCTGGCAACGAGCCATCCAAAAGCGCAAGAAGCACGCCGACGTCTTCGTCTATGGTGACTACGAGGAGGTCGTACACGAAGATTCTGATGTCTTTGCATATCTCCGCACCAGCGCGAATGGTGTTGAACGCTGGTTGGTGGTCATGAACTTTTCCGGCAATGATGTTGAGTGGAGTTTGCCCGAGAATCTGAAGTTGGAATCTTGGGATAGCAGCAATTATGTCAAAGGCCAGCCAGACAAGCCACAGAAGGGCAAGATTCCACTCAGGCCATGGGAGGGGCTGTTGGCAAAGGTGAAGACGGATTAGAAGGGCTGGATTTTCGCCATGATGAGTAGCATTTTCGGACGGTCAGATATAGATGACGCTGTACCGATCCCGGTAATGAGTCGTTCCGGTTATAGAGGACATATGGGATGCCATCTAGACGATATAGACGATATAGACGATATACAAGAGGCGTTGAGTTACCATGACTTATTGTGATCAGATGCACCAGCAACGGGGCTGCACAAACCGAACAACAACATGGTATTAAATCAGATATGCGATCATGTTAAACGGCCGAGCTGTAGCATCTGGGAAAGGGGGTAGCTTGACCGTAGACATCTCAACCGACGATGACAGTGCCATCACCTCCGTAAGCTGCCTGGTTTGGTGAGTGGGTGGTCAGATCCGGTAAAAGCATACTACCTGCATGCCGTCGGGCTTGTTGCACGAACTCCAGACTATGTCGTCGTATTCCAGTGGGAGAAGAAGCCACCGTGTCAGTCACTTGTGTTTGTGGCACGTCTGCTTTTCTCCATCAGGGCACTTCCTCAATGGTGTTGGCAAGTATAGGCGACTGGACTGGCTGAGACCTGAGAGAAGACAAGACCACAAGGGAGTAGCTTCTTTCGATGAGTCCTGGGTAGCAATCACAGACAAATATATAAAGTCGAATTCCGAATCCAGCTGCATATGTATCTGACAAGAAGCCTTTTGGTGTAGCACAAACCACGGGAATACAACCGACGAAAAAGGAATGCTCAGCCGCCAGTTTGGGAATCCAGGGAGCGCAGAGTCGATGGTGATCGCACGCCCAGTAGCTGCATCCTTGGTTGGGCAGCAGCCAGCTCTGCTCTGTAGTATCGGACAGGGTTGTATCTGGTAGAGCAGCGAGGTCGGTGTTCTCTGCCAGTAACCAAGACTGTTTGGTTGATTCCAAGTAGGTGCCTGTTGATGTCCTCGTTGCTTGCGTACAATATTGGATGTCTGAGTTTCCAGCAATCATGCCCTCGGGTCGTATCTGCCTATAGCCGTAGGTCGCGTAGGTGTCCTCTCAGCTCTGTACGACAAGATGCATGTTTCTGCACGGGCCCGCGATACTCTGTAGTCGAAACGGCAGGCTCATCACACCAGCACTTACCGTAGAACCCTCACTGGATGCGTACTTGATTGCCTAGGATTGGTCACGCAGTCCAGACGTAAGGGGGGCGGTAGACTAGAAAGGATGCGGTTTGAGGTTCGGTTCCGTCGAGGTCGAATTCCGCACTATGAGAAGCCCAGCAAGGTAGGAAAACAGGGGGAATCGCTTAGTTGCTAGCCCATCCAACCTGTGCCAGGCAACTAATGGTGTCGGCTCGTGGAGAAGAGCCGGGCACCAGGCGGGAAGATGTGTGAGAGTCGTGTGGTGTTAGTCCATTCGGTTGCTTTTGTCGAAATAGTGTGCGGAGTTCGGTTAATAAAGGTTTGTTCGTGTTGGTCCTCCAGACCGAACTCCCCAGGCTCCCCAGGCTCCCCAGTCTCTTCGTCTCCGCATCTTTGGCGACCTGGAGATGGCAAGGTTGCAGATCCCCCGGATTGATGGCGGAATTTTCAGTGCCCAGGTTTCGGAAGGAGTAGGTAGGCATGCGTCCATCATCCAGTGCCAAAGCGATAATAGGAAAAGTGCCGCTTTGGAGATGGCGACGACTGATTCCTTCTCCTATTCCCAGCCCAGGGGCGGATTCCAGGCGATCCCAGGCGATCCCAGGCGCCCAGACTGTCCATCTCCCCCGGGCCAAAATCCCCATCCTCGTGGGAGAAATGCTTGGAACGCGGAGAAAGCCCAAATGACCCCAGCAAATCGATAGATAGCCAATGATGCGATGTCCGGGTCAATCTTTCAAATCCAGTGGACACGACAAAGCGGAAACAACCCTTGGATTCTGACGGTAAGGCAGTCAGTCCAGTTTGACTTCTCCGTCACAAGACTAAACATGAACCGGGACCCAAATCAAAGTGTCGCCCCGGCGTGCATAAGAAGTACCATTTTGCAGGACGTCCTTTTTGGCCTCCCAGTCGCATTTTCTCACCGGGGTCCTTCCTCCGTCCTTTCACAATTGCGACATATATTGTTCTTCACCATGGCAGACAAAGTGGTCAATCGGTCGGAGATTCAACACCTTCCTATCGAGACGGAATCCCACGATGTTGCCAGTCTCGACCTCAAAGGAGAGGGTCAGGAAATCGACCCTGTACTTGAAAAGAAATTGTTGCGCAAGGTCGACCTCAATTTGGTTCCTATGCTCTTCACGTTGTTCCTCTGCGCTTTTATTGATCGGTAAGACCCGACAACATCGCGTTCATGGTCTGCTCAGCTCACCTTCGGCCCCTTTGCAGGATCAATATCGGAAATGCTCGCATTCAGGGCCTCGAAAAAGATCTCAACATGACCGGCGACGACTACAATATCGCTCTTTTCATGTTTTTCATCCCTTATATCCTGTTTGAAGTACCCTCCAACATAGTCCTGAAGAGGGTGCGTCCGTCCATCTTTCTTCCGTGTATCATGATCGGCTGGGGTGTCATCACGGTCTGTCAAGGGGTCACCCAATCGTTTGCGGGCCTCGTTGTCTGCCGAGTCATCATCGGTACGCTTGAGGCAGGTTTCTTTCCGGGATGCTTGTATCTCCTCTCCATGTACTATCGTCGACACGAGCTGCAGTGGAGATTCAATCTCTTCTTTTCTGCTTCGGTCGTCGCAGGGGCTTTCAGTGGTCTTCTTGCATATGCCATCGCTCATATGGATGGTATCGCCGGATATGGAGGCTGGCGTTGGATTTTCATCATCGAGGGTATCGCCACCGTTATCATCGCCATCGTTGCATTGTGGATCGTGCCGGACTGGCCAGCCACTTCCAAATTTCTAACGACCAGCGAGCGAGAACTTCTTCTTCGCCGGCTAGTCATCGACGTAGAGGGCGCAACCATGGACCACTGGAATAAAGCCACCGCAAAGCGTGTCTTTGCAGATGTCAAGATATATCTCGGGTGAGTCGCTGTTGCTTTCCTGCATACGTTAGAGAGAAACTGACACGGCATTTCCAGCATTGCCATGTACCTGGGCATAGTCACCACAGGCTATGCTGGCTCCTTCTTTACTCCCACGATTCTCAAACAACTGGGGTGGACATCGATTCGTGCCCAAGTCATGTCAATTCCCATCTTCGCTTTTGCGACTGTGTGCACCTTGTGCGCAGCCATTCTCAGTGACAAGCTACGCCATCGCTTCGGTTTTATTGTCTTTGGCTGTGTTATGGCGACGATCGGATATGTCATCTTGCTCAACATGCACAAAGTCGCAGTTGGAGCTCGATACTTTGCATTGTTCTGTGTCATCGGTGGCGGGTACATTGCTCAACCTGTCACCCTCGTCTGGGTGAACAACAACATGTCTGGACACTATAAGCGCTCGATCAGCTCCGCAATGATGATCGGCTGGGGCAATACTGGAGGGATCGTTGCATCGTAAGACTTGCACCACCGCAGAAGGGTTCAGAACTAACTTTTATTAGCAACATGTTCATCACCAGCCAGGCGCCGGAATATCCATTGGGATTCGGCCTAGGGTTGGGATTGATATGGCTCTGTGTGATCAGTTCTACCGCGTTTCTGTTCTATGTCAGACGCGAGAACAAAATGAGGAACGAAGGCGCAAGGGACCACAGGTATAATCTTCCTCATGATGAGAAGAGGAATCTTGGAGATGACCACCCTGGTTTCCGCTTTACATATTGATCTGTGTCGAGCTCAACGAGGTGCGGGACATCTTCGCCGTTCTGGTAATAATCTCGCAAAGGCTTGTGCTGTCGGTAGCAACCAATTTGGTCTTGGAAGCCATGTTGACCGCCTGGCTATCTAGATATATAGCATGGGAACATCCTTTGGAGTGAGCCAGTATGTCGTCCCAGGTGACAGGTATCCGCATTGCCCTGTGCTGCTTGGAGATAGTATCCAGCAAGCTGAACAGATGTTGATGTTCAATCCGGGAGTTCGTAGCATAATCCTGCATGGAGCGTATGGTCTCGACTCAATCGCCTGCCAGTGGCATCGTCAAGGGCCATTATCAGCACGACGAAGTATAGAAGTTCGAGATGATGGCTTTTGATGAAAGGTGTCAACCAGTAAGTAGTCTCTGGGCTGGACATGAATGAGACATACTCTTCGGCCACACTGAATCAACTCAAGCTCTCCGCTGCCCTGTTGGCGCACGTCCGGCTAAATTCATGCCTGCACCAGCCAGTATCAGCTGCTTTTCTTCTTATGGTGCAGCACGACGGCATCCATTGTCGCAAGTCCTTTCGGTCGTTGTGTAGTCTCAAGCAGCCATTCAGCGTTACTTTCAAAGGCGGTGTTGTCCCTTTGTCCCCATGGTTCACACATGTTTCGTAGTCCCAATAACCTCTCCTCGCACCTTTTCCCAGTCGATACTGTTGTCTAATTCTTCATCCACAAGTCCCACAATCGTGATATTGTCCCCTCTCACCAGGTACAACCCATGGCTGACCTGGGAGCTCGGCTCAGGGTCATCGGCAGGCCGGATAATTCGCTCGACAGTGTCGTTCAAGACGATATTGGTGACCTGATCGCAAGACAGGAGGGTTCCGACCAGACTGCGACCATCGACTGTGATGACAAGGACTTTTTCTATAAAAAGTAAGGGGCTGGTCAGTATGCATTCCTACTGTCACGAAATATAATGAGAGAAGCAGCTCGTACTGTCAATGTAGGTTTGAAGAGACATTGTGACCGGCCTTAGTCAGGCGCGTGGGAGAGTGAGAGGGAAGGCAGCAGTCGCGACAACAGACCCGGCAGGCGCGAGTATTGCGACCGCCTAAGTCACACTGCAGATGCCGACACTTGGATCCCACTCAATACATGGAGGAATATGCTTGCGACTTGGGTATGTTCCTCATCCTTTCGTGAAAAGTTGGGCGTCGCAGCTGTACATTAAAAAGAAAGGAAACTGAACTGCGGACCATGCTAAACGGTGGACCAAAAACTCGCCAGGTACAAAATCGGCCTCATCAGAACCAGACCGAACCTCACCAAACAACGACTAACGATCATGTCATCTCACGTACCTCTCCCCTGTCGATCTCTGCATATGTTGGCTGTCTCTATCCGGTGCCAGCACTGAAAAGAACATAACAACAAGGGTGTTGATAGATGGGCCTTGATGGAGCATCCCTACATCCGTGACTGATCAGATTTCGCCACAATCTACATGTTATGATCGGGTGGCTGCCCCGATCACAACAGATATTAACTACAGGTCCAGAATTACTAGGCACATTGTCTAGGGTTCAAGTCCTTTTGAAAGCCAGGGCGGCCCCCTAGGCGACGTGGCCTATTCGTGACACTACAAGTCCTGTTGACCACCCATGGATGCTATGGACACACGGCCGTCTCCAAATTTGGAAACACTGGTATCGTTGTGGCCTGTGGCCATTAGCCTGAGCCAACACCTTCCCGCAGGAGATCTGATCACTCTCTCGAGATCGAGCGCCAGTCTTCGAGCACTCCTCCACGGATTCGGGAAACCGCAGCACTGGAATCTACCCGCCGACCCGACGGTTGTGCGCGGAGAACTGAATATCGGGAGACATGGAACGCTCTACTGGCAGCAACTCAAGAATCAAGCGCCATTTGAATGCTCATCCCGAACCCACACCAAAGGCCCTACCCCTAAGCCTTGCCGGTATTGCTCGAAGCCAATATGTGACGCGTGCATCGTGCGGTCATCGTTCGCTCGAGGTCACGAAAACACTTTCCAAAACCGGACGCGATCTCTGTGCGAGAAGTGCTGGGAGGGAGGCAATCCGAGCCAAAGTGAACGCTTCTTGCTAAACCCTCCGCATGACGCTCCGTCCAAGCGGAAATGGTATGATCCAGATGGCAGTACCAAGGATTACTGTACTTGTACTCTAAAGGACGACGGCTGGCTTTGTCTCGAATGCAAAGATCTTCAGAATTGGGAAGCCATGTCCTCCGCCGTCACAGTCTGTCACGGAAAGGACTGCAGGGAGCCACTGGATGATGAAAAAGAACGAAGGAGAATTTGTCTATGGTGCAACAAGGCCCTGCCCAGACAGATAGGTGGCACTACAAGGTATCACTGGAACCAGAAGATGATCGAGGCCAAGGCGCGGAATGCTGCTTCTCGCCAAGCAGATCTAGAGGAATATAACAGGAGACGCCTGAAGCTGACGAGGATGTCTCGGAGGGAGTTGCGCGGCGACGAAGCGGTCAAAGACGATCCAGATGCCGACGTCCCTCAGTTCGTCCGACATCTCGACACCCTCAATTACCGCAGTTACATGACCGAAGCCGCCGCTCCAAGTGGTGACTCAGTCTATAACTCGAAAAGAGGCTATTGGAGGTATAGCACGAATTTCCTTCTTGAAATGAGAAGTCGCTGCACTCACGTTCCTGTGCCGGCGAAGATGAGGGCATTTACGCCAGAAGATCAAGGAGCTCTGACCTTTGCACGGACAAATGGCGAGTTTCTAGACGGCTTGATTTCCTTTTCGACCAGCGGCTTGTCCATGTCCCCTGATCGTGTTGAGGAGTGGTGGACTTTGAAGGCTGTGATCTTGGAAGTCTTGCTTGTGCAAAAGCTCGGCTACGAAGCAGCTCAACGGGTTATGCAAGAAGAGTACGGGTTTTATGCGACAGTGAAAGAGTATCGACAGCTCTTACGTCTCTGGTATGCTCAACGCACAATCACACAGCACCGAAGGAGATCCATTGAAGAAGAAGGGGATAGTGCAAAGCTTGTGGAGACTCTTCGCGACAGGGACAGCGAGCCAGTCAGGGAACCCATCATTGTTGCCAGTGGTCCCATTGTTGTCAATGGTCCAGCAACAACAGAAGACCTCCACGACTCTCAACGTCATCTATCAACCGGTGGCACATCAATCCCCCTACAGAGAGCCCTGAGTGCTGGTACTGATGTTCCTTCTGATCATGGAGGAGCAGGAACCGACACACTCGGGGACTTAGTGCACAGTGGAGGACCCGAGGCGAGTGAACCAGGAGCTGCCGTCGCCACGATCTCGTCCGAAGCACCCCCTCTCGCCGAAGATCCAATTGAGTCGATCCTCCCTCCTCTTCCTCCTCCTATTTCGGACAGTGAGCTTCCAACCCTCGAGGTGACAAACCAGACACAGAACACGGTCGCCCAAGACGACGAAAACCCGCCCCCATATGCACCGGATGGATGGATTTGGCCTTGACAGACCATTTCACAAGAGCAATGGGAAAGCCAATCCATGCATGGTGGTAACTAATGACTTTGACGATGGAGAAGTGGGCTATATATAGGATATGGGATAAGTATGAAGACACTACTAATGCTCAACTCGAACAGGCCGCTGGAGTTGATTCATTTGTCTGCACCAGGACATATCTACATCATAAAACTCTCACAGAAGACCTCAGAGATTGAATCACTCGCTTTTATGGATATACATCACCAACTTCCATCCCCGGTTTCGATCCAGACGCCCCGCAAATCAACCTACGAACAAGGGCAGTTTTAAATCTAGTTTCTAATCTAGTTTCGTTTAATCTAGTTTTTAAATCTAGTTTCTAACCTAGTCGCGGAACACAAAATTGGAGGGTGGGTGCCCAAACTCAGTCGCGGATTGCTTACGTCAGCATGTCCGCGGGTCACGTGGTCGCACCTTCTGCAATCATAAAGCCGACAGTGTGAACGTACAGATTACGGGTGGCAGAGGGAAAAGGGGAGAATCATCTCAGTAGTAGTACTTACTACTTATACACTACTAGAGTAATTGATGCAGACTCAACTTTGTCAACCCAGTTCTCAGGGTAAAGTAGTGGGTACTAGTAGTAAGTACTATACTCACTGCTGTGTGTGCAAGGACGATAATATAAAATTCATGCACCCCAAAAAAGAACGTACCCCCCAAAAGAATGCCTTTTCAATGCAATGGCGACAAGAAACCCTCAAAACTAGAACTCGAATACGCAAAGTCAAGAAAGGAGCCCGGAGATGAGGTAAAAATAAGCTGTACTTGCATTTCAATCCATGGACGCCCCCTTGCATTTATATACGGCATTCAATGTCCTCCATGACCAGTCGGCAACCAACACTTTGGTCCGTCAATGGCCAGCAGATGCGGCTGCACTTACACCCGACCAAAGCGGACCAACACCATAACCCCAAGCTCGTCCATCGACGGCATAGACATTGACCCGTACCGATGCCTTGAGAAATGCCATCAACCCACCTCCAGTCTGTGGTGCGGTTCAAAGCGATGCGTGTCTTCAAACCCTCCGATTTTCCGTCCCAGAGGTCAGAAGAGCAATCAGCTTTCGTCTCCGAATCGAAGTATCACTCGAACTCGGCCGGAGTAATCGTGCATACACAGAGCGGCCAGCGCAAAATGAAACCAGATTCTATTCTTGCCCGAATCCCAGCGTTTCTTCCACGGCAATCGTGAGCTTTTGTTGAAGAGCCTCGTAGGTTTTGTAGGGAGGAAGGTCAAGTCGGTTGAAACTGTGACAGAGGTCAGTAACAAATCTTCAGACCCGCAGCAAACGATAACATACCAAGTGTGACTCTTGGGCAAAGCATTGATTTCACCAGCCTTTTCAATGGTGAATCTCCTTGGTCCGTCACTACCTTGCAAATCCTTGAATCCGTTGACAGGAATTCTGCTCGTGCCGGTGGCAAACTGCAGTAGACGACTCTTCTGTTCGGCATCCCAAGTACGAACGATTTTCCAAAAATTCTGAATCACTTCATCCGATTCCTGGTAGCCACGATAGTCGGTGTGCTTTTTCCAGTCGTCGACATCGATATCGGCGATACCACCGATCAAAAGTTCCAGCTCGCGCTCGTCGAAGACATTAACTAGATCTTGCGGGATGAGTTCGTTGAAGCCAGTGATGAAAGCGTTGAACTGCTCCTCCACCCGTTTGACAATCTTCCATTCGGTCACAAGCCTGAGCACGGTTAGAAGTTGGCCAGGTGACAGGAGAAAAGACATGACTTACTCGACATATTCCCTCTTGTTCTCGTTGGTAACTGGAATGTTGCGGCCGTCCGGCTTCAGGTCAATTGTCTTGGTCTCCCCGAATTGCTCGTCCTCAATGGAAAATGTCTGATCAAGCACGTCGGTAATGTCGTTCTCTAAACACCAGGTCAAGTTCTTGTGGTACTCTTCATCGACGCCCTCCATATCATTGATGGTAACTTTCTTTCGAAGCATCATTTTGTAGAAGGCGCCGATAAAGAAAGAGTCCAAGAAACGTCGATGGAAGATTGCAAGACCGACAACCCGGCCAATGAACTTGAAGTAGTTCAGATGCTCGGGATTGATGCCGGAATGAGGATTGATCTGAAGAGTGTAGTTATCGTGTGCGGAGTATTCGAACAAGCAGTAAAACGGATTGAACATCTCATGTGACAAAAGGAAAAAGAACTCCCTAAACGTTGTTAGCGTGAGCAGGCTCAACATTGACGAAAGAACTTACCGGGAAAGACCGCCGTAGTCCAGACCGTCTTCACCATCGAACTTGATCATCAATCGTTTCTTGAGATCCGTTGCACTTTGCCGCATGATCTCGGCGTAAGAGTCCTCGAAAATGGCACCCCGTCGGACTTTGATGTGGCATTGACCAGAGAGAATGCGCAGAGCTGGTTGAGACCGGAAATAGATGAGTTTGCGCCTGAAGTCACGCTTGTATTGAGGAACACCCTGATCCAAAGATGATGGCAGTCGTGGATCATCCCAGGTCGTCGTCTTGGTGTTGTGGTCGACGAAGTAGACACGGGCAGTATTGGTGAGTCGCATTTCCCAACCACTCGGCAATGGTCCCAACTGCGACACTGGTTGTTGTTGAATGGTGGTGTTGTTACCCGTCGGGTTGTTCCCATACATACGAATGTATTGCTGTCGTCTGGGATCGACCCATGTAGTGGTTCGCGTATTGTGGTCGACGAAATACGCTCGGCCTTCTGGCGTATGTCTCATTTCCCAACCAGCAGGGAGTTCTCCAGTTCCGGGGGTAGTGGCCCCTGTGGCCATCATCGAAACCGCATTGTGTTGAGAAGGAGACCCTCCCCGGGACTCTTGCAAGCTGGGCGAATTGGCACCCGTGCGATCCTCGGGCAACATACGATTCTGATGTCGTTGACGTTCTACCTGCATGTTCGCTTCAAGACGGGTTCGAGCCTCAGCCTCGCTCAAGTGGTTGGATGGTCGTGTCCATGTTGTTGTCCTGGTATTGTGATCCACATAGTAAGTCCTGCCCAGATTGTCTTCTCGACGTTCCCATCCGGCAGGCAATCGTCCTTGGCTATCTTCGAAGGAGCTGAACCCTCCTGATCTGCCTGGTCCATTGGACGTTGATTGCGTAGAACTGCCGTTCAGGGCGGTGGTGGAGGCTCTGGCCTCTGTTGAGCCTGATGTAGCCGTTCGTGACGGTGCAGGGCTCCTGGATCGGACGGGAAGGGTTTGGTTCACAGTGGTGGTACTAGAGTGAGGATTGGTGCCATTGACACTCGGTGCGTTGCTTGCGGCGGGTCGGTTTGGCTGATTTGGAGGGGTTGAGAGATTGGTGGATAGATTCACGATCAATTTTCCATGAACAACCAGATTGTCGGTGGACTTCTTAAGATCCCGCGTAAGCATCTCTGATAGCGGTCAGTGATTTGGTACAACAAGACACAATGTTAGAGATATTTACCATCTCCGCCAACGTCCAGGTCAATGACATCGCCAATGCGAACGTTGATGACTCCAAGGAAGCCCTGATCCTTCTTCTTGAATTTCTTTTGGTCGAAAATCTGGATGGCTAAGATACTGTCTTCGGTGACTCGCCTGCAATCGAGTCAGCATCCAAGCAGATGATAGATCTGATAGCACTCACATATCAAAGGATTCATTCCAATAAGGATTTAACGTTTTCCTAATGACGGATGTCGTCTTCGTCTGTTCTCCTGAGATGGTCGCAACAGCGAAAGGGTCGGGAAATCCTAGTGATGCCTTTAGTAACCATCTCTTTTTTATATTTGCAGTCGCGTGAACTCACTGAAAACATCTCTTTTGTACAACCCATCGGCTGCGATGACTGAAGAAGAGGTTAGTCTCGAAGATGGTTCGGGTCAAGGACACCATGGACGTACTTGTCACTCGCAGATTGGGCTCTCTGTAACATCGTAGTTAGTCCTCATACTCGGTCAGAAGGTTGAGATGACCACATACGCAGGTAGATTCGCTTCGGGCATGTTGTTCCCTTGACCGCGCGGTAGCGGTCGACGTCTTTAGCACTGGCAATTGGGCGGCGGGGTAATGATCTCGAGGGACACTGCGTGAGGATGAACAGCACGATATCCCCGTCAGACAAATCGAGGGGATCGAAATGAATGCTGATGAATTCTGTTCTTGTCAGAATTCCTCGAGGGGTGAGGCCGTGTCGTATTCGCGAGGCGAGCCACTGCCAGTGTTGGTTCCGCCTGGACGAGGCGCAGCTCGAGTGTGTCTTGGGCGCTAAGAACTTTGCGGAAGGGGACGGTATGAGGCAATGGATTTGGATCCGTATGGCGCAGGAATGAGAGGGTGGCGCTCATGTCATGATTGCATAAGAGGGAAAAAGTATGGACAATACCACCGAGTGAAGAGACTGTTTGGTCGTCGAGTTGATAAACGTGAGTGTACAGAGGTAAGTGATTCTGACGGTTCGGATGCTTGGGGTTGAAGAACCAGGGAGGCCCATTTGCACCCATGAACAAGGACTTTCCGCCTCCAAATCCGCGGCTACGACCAACTCGGCCGCAGCTTACATCATACTAGTACGAGCGCAGGGAGCACAGGAGGCACACACAACAGGGCTCGCGGAACTGTCTATTCCACATTTCGGCGGGTTTAGCTTCCTTACTACTATGCTCAACAAGCATTTGTCACCCTTGATTCACTTACTACCGCGTTTGACAGTGGAAGCCATACCATCTTCTACAGTTTAGGTCATCATTCATGACGATGGTATCTGGGATTCCGTCATGGCAATTTTCCTTTCTGACGCTGCGCTCACAGCAAATAATGTCCTCTTTTCTCGCGAATTGACCCTTGGAGAACCAACGGATATTCCTTTCTCAAACATCATCCGAGTGTCTGATATGCTTGAGTAGTAAACCTCTCCAGTACGGTCAAGAGGGAAATGGAAGCTTTTTTGTTGACCACTGCTCGAGCCTAGTACGGTGACTTTTGCGACGTCCATCGCTCATGCAACAATAATGTTCCCTCCACGTGCCGTTCAGCTTATGGCTCCCAGCGTGTGACAATCAAGTCGCCATAGATGTCGTTGGCCTCTCAATAAGGGGCGAATCCACGACCACGACCTCGGAAACCACCTCGTGGGCCACCTCTAGGAGCGCCATAACCACCACCGGGTCCTCCGTAGCCACCTCCAAAACCACCACGGCCTCCAAAGCCTCCTCGACCTCCGCGTGGCGGTGCACCTCTTCCACCTCTGCCTCGAGTCATGCCGGGAAGGTTGGTGCGCTTTGGGACGACCTACGCGATCAATCAGTAGAGGCCTGAAGAGTTCAGTAACAACACCAACCTTGAGATTGCGGCCACGGAAGAGGCTCTCGTTAAGAACCAAAGCCTGTGCCACCAATCCAGGATCCGAGAACTCCACATATGCATACCTGCGCGAACTCCATTAGCAATCCATCTCTTGCCAGGCAGCATGAAATGATCTTTGAATAGGTATTCAACTGCATCCAGCTCTTGAACAAGCCTTATGCAGAATAGTGCTTGGATTTCAAACCCACCCCTTTGGATGACCAGTGAACTTGTCCAGTAGGATCGTGACGCGGTTGATTGTTCCTGGTCCGCTTGCAAAATGTTCTTGAATCTCTTCCGGTGTTGCGCCGTAGTCCACGTTACCCACGAAGATACTGCGCGCATCGACGTCCTCTCGGTCTTCCCTGCGGCCACTCTCTGACTGTTGTTCGAGTTGACTTTGCATTTCTCGCAGCTTGGCCGCTTCCGACTCCATTTCGGCAACGCGCCTCTTCATGGCTGCTATTTCTTCCTGTAGAGTAAAAGTCCATGTTAGCATCGCTTTACCAACTGTAATCTGGACACTCTGAGGACAGCAGTTGGAAGCCTTACTTCTTCCTCTCCGCCATCTTCCTGGCTTTCTCGACGTTCATCTTTCACTTCGAGTTCTTCGGACATGTTGACGCAGTTATGGAGTCTCGATGTGAGGCTCAAGAAGGAGAAGGCAAGATCGAAGGGAGAGGAGGGTGATTTATATGCGATATGTTCGGAAGGTGAGAGGTCTCGTTCGAGATGGACTTTCTATGACTTGGGTCGAGGACAGTCACGGTAGAGATGGATGTGTCTGAGAATGACGAAGGACAATGGTGACACTCATGCGTCGACTAGCAGGGAAATCTGCTGGAGGTAAGACGAACGCAGATACTAGTTGCAGGGTACAACTTGAATGTCGCTGTCAATGCCTGAGCCGCACTGCACTGCATTTGCTCGCCGCGTCCCTGCCAAGGGTTGGTGAATCGACCCGTTTGGGAACTCGGGTGATGCCGCCCTGTAGGCTCATCCGGCTATTTCCCGCAGGTGACACTTATCGGTGACTATAGCCACAATAGCTTCATGAGATGAGCAATTTAAGTTCTTCTATTAGCCACTCTAATTCGACGTCTCTGCCACCTGTTGAGCCTCTGTATAGATAAGAAGAAGGTCTGCGAAGCCTTTTTGGAGTACAGTGTCTCGAAAGTCGAACATAACAGCCTCGCTCTCAACCCACTCAGCGTCTAGTTTATCAGTTTATCAGCTTATCTCCTTCACTACTGACTTGGCATTGGCTGTGGGACTGCCAGTGCTCGAATGATCGCCTGATCGCCACATCCGATCGAGCCTCTTTGTACTTTATACTTTACTCCTCCTTGGCCCGGTATATCCTTTTTGCATCAAACGCTCTCTAAAACCCAGGTCTGACACTGCGCGGCGCAAGAGAGTAAATGCGGAACGAAGGGGCTTGCCTAGAGTGCAGGCGCCGAAAGCGAAGGGTAAGCGTCTCCTCGTTTTCCTATTGTACAGCCAAATGGGACCATGACTGATCGAATGCCAGTGCGATCAGAAAAAGCCACGATGCAGCCATTGTCAGAAACGGAACCATGATTGCGAACTTTCAACCTTCAAAGTCTGGGAGCGTGGTTCTAAGCACAAGCTCACAAAGGAATACGCCAGGCGGTCTCATGGAGGTTCGTGTCTACCAGATCAGCTGGCACTTTCAATCGGCTGTATACGCAGTGCTAATAGACGACTCAGATTCTCGTTCAACCTATTCGAGTTCCCCGCCATCAGTCGTGCTGGACTATCCCAGTATCGATACTCAATTTTATGACCAAGACGTCCTGGCAGCTGCTCCCGTAAGTGGTCTGACGTCGCGGGCGAGCAGCTTTCCACCAGAGCACGAAACCCTAGAGACCAAGATTGTGCGAGATGGCCTGCAACGGTCACCAACCTCCATGTCGACACCCACGGACTTGCGCTTCCAGCAGCATCGCAGGTCGCCGAGTCGTACTAATGGATCCAATGGCCTACATGGATATACAGGCCCACACGGATATACAGCCCTACATGGGAATCATGGATTTCCGTTGGAGTCCTTGTTCTCTCAATCCATCCCGCTGACCATCTCAGCCATGCCTGAGGACCTCTCCATGTCCAGTGATAGGATGTTCCTGTGGTCATACTTTGTGCATCGAAGTACCAGAATGTTCCTCTGCTGGGATCCGCAAAAGGACCTCGGCAACGAAAGCTATCAAGACCCTTATACCATCTCGCTGCCTGCGATGGCCTTTGAAAGCTCGCCTCTCAGACTAGCGGCCCTAGCTTTGTCGGCCTTCCAATACGGGGCTAGCGAAAATGATGAGCGGATGATGCGCTATGCCGGGAAACTCGGACTGGAAGCGTCTCAAGCACTTACCCGGGTGGCCGGCTCCGACCTGTCCAGCTCTCACATGCTGACGACCATTGTGACTGCCGTGTTTCTCTTCTTGTTACACCCCGAATTCCACAATGACGTCCTGCCACTGGCACGAAGCGCCGCGGCGTGTCTTGCCAACGAGGGAGTCGCAACATCTGTCGACAAGGACTGCCTTTCCATCGCCATGCACTTCCTTCGATGGGCTGAAATATGTGCTCAATGCTCACTGAACATGGACGTTTCGTTGTCAAGCGACGAGATCCATGAAGCCATTGAGTATAAGTGGTGGGAGATAAGTTCCACCACGTCCCAAGCCTGCAAAGACTGGCTCGTGCATCCCTTCTACGGGTTTTCCAGTCGCCTGATCAATCCACTCCTGAAGTTGGCCAGACTGGTCCGTCGTGGACGAGATCTGGACGGCGATGTAGAGGATTCAGATGATTTGGCTGATGATGCACGCTCGAAGTTCGATGCAGAAGTCGACGCGCTGGAGGAATTGCTGCTAACATGTCGGGAGGAAGATCTGATTGCAGATGGGGGCCGGCCCAAAGAGAACATCGATCTCTTACGGCTGAATGATGCGAGTTATTCTGCGGCAGTTGTTCTATTCTACACACGGCTCCGAGATCTTCCATGGACTGCACCCTTCATCCGGCGACACGTCAAAATCATCCACGACAATATCGCCGACATCGACCCGTCGTCTCGTGTATCCTTGGGCATTGTTTTCCCGCTCTACGTTGCAGCCTGTGAGAGCGTCGATCTGATCACCCGGGAGTCCATTGTGAGCCGGCTCAACACTCTACCTGGGTACTGGTACAACCGGGAAAACCAACTGGTGGCGTCTTTGAGAGCTATATGGGAGTATAGAGACCTGAATCCCGGGTCTACCTGGAAGCAGTGGATTAATGGAGGTATGTCATTCCAGCGCCCTGTTGCTTTACTGACCGTTGCGACTATGAGGCTAATAAATGTTTGGCAGTCCCGTCGAGTGTTGCGAATTGCATTCCAGTGTAGGAGGTCACGCAGCCATAATTCTGTACAATACAAAACCAGCTTCGTATTAACCTGTCTACTTCCTGTCTATCATTTCACACCGCTTTCCAAGTTGCATTTGCTATCACCAGAGTTGGCGATGCGTGTGGTCCGTCCAGGCACCTCATCTTCCAATGAATTTGAGTTCCAAACTGCGAAGGATTGGGTAGAAAATCGCAGTAGTCACCACCACAAATTCGTCTCCCACGTCGCCTCCCGCAACCCCGATCAACTTTGCAACAGGACCGGCGTACTATTGGCAAGGTTAGCTAAATCCAATGGACGTATCTCGACTTATTTTTAAGAGAAGAAAAAGGCTCGTACTCACCCAGACTTGGTTCATTCCGATGAAAGAACAGCCGAAGCTTATCAATAGCGTTCCAAGGCCTCCAATGCCGAGTGGGATCTTTTTGGGATCATTCCAAGTGTCGTAGTCGTAGCCACCGATTCTTGGTCGGAAGTAGTAATGTTCAATGGCCAGGATTTCACCAAAGGCGATGGTCCAATAACCCAAAAGGACAAGGAAGTTGTTCAGAATGTCTTCTAGAACGTTGCGTCCTCCCCACGCCGCGGCGAGGGTGATTGCAGCGAGCAAAAAGTTCCAAAAGTATCTCGGAACGGCCATCCAGTATTTGCCCCAGATTTGGATGGAGAGGGAGCTGGAATACAGGATCCCCACCAGGTTCGACACTGCACAATTTTATCAGTCATAGGCACTCTGAAACTGGACGGCTCACACTTACGGAACGACAGTGCGTAGATGACACTGACAAACTTGGCCCATCCTGAGGGCCGCATGGTTGCCAGGATCAAAGCTCCGATACCACCTTCGTAGTATATATTCGCCATAGCCTCGTCGCTCACGATGATTCCACCATAAAAGACACCGAGAAGACCGACGAAAACACTGGGAACAGTAAGGCCAATCCAGGTAAGGCCGAACACCAAGCGCTTGTCGATGTTTGCTGGATAGTGGACATAATAGTCGCCTGACATGGAACACCAAGCGGCGCATGTACCAAATACACTGGCAAAGAATGAAAGCGCGGCGCCGCTTTTATCAATGCCATGGAGCTGTGACAGGCCCGGTGTCGGCGAATAGTATTTGGCTGACTGGCCCCATTCCACGCATAGCAGGATGAGGACGATGATCCAGGCAACCGACTCCCATCGATGGATGACAGTGAAGCCAAAGAGAGAAATGATGAATCCCAACACTGGGATGATGACGATACCCGTGGCCAGCGGGACCGAGTAACCGCTAACGGCAGAAATCAATTGACCCGCGAGAATGCAGTTGACTATGCCGAATCCGATGTTGACCACGATGTTGAGTAGCCCGCAGACTCTAGCACCCCAGATGCCGAACGCGAACCGGCTGAAGGCAATTTGTCGAAGGCCAGAGGGAGGGCATAGGGTCGCCGTGAAAGACGGGATGACGGCCCCCAACATGGAAGCAAAAACGGTGAGGATGGCCGAATCGGTCACTGAAAGCCCGAATAGAGGTCCAAGCAAGCCGATACTGATCAAGGTTGGACTCAAGAGCATGGAGAACCACAAGAACACCATCTGGAGGACGCTCAGTCAGTACACTTTTCATGCATCTAGCAGTAGCACGACTCACGTTGAACTTGCTGGGGGGCTTGCGGTCTTCTGTGGGAACTCTCTGGATGGCATCTTGCTCGACACCCAGTTTCTTGTCCATCCAATCTTCTATCTGTCGGCTTCGAAGCAGGAAGCGGGTGAAGAAATTGGTTGGATGCTCTTCTGAGTTGCCGGTCTCGACGCTGCTCGTCATGACAGGGACGTCTGCGACCGTCGCGCCTTCTTTGGCACTTTCCAGGTCCGAGGACTGGTAGTCTGGGGCTTCTCCCGTAGCCATCTTGTGGGAGGCCATATTGAAACAACTCTGTATAATAATGACAAGGAGAAGAAGTCAAAAAGAGATGATGTGTATTGCGTGGTAAATCGGAGGGATGCGAAGTCTGGCCCTCTTTAAACATTCGAGTATCATCCACGCCTCTCGTTCTTTTGAGATAACGACGGTCTCCGGGTCACATTCGTCAGGTCGGGACTCAGCGGCCAAACGACAATTATTGGATTATCCCAAGGTTCAACACACATCCCCAAAATCATGCGATGTATGTTTGGACCCACAGCCACTAAAACTTCTATATCAAAGCGTGGTGGGAGATTTCCCTAATCGGGTTAGCCAACTGATAGCACGCCGCCGTTCTGCCTCGCCACCCTTGTAACGTGCACTGGACCCATCTTCGGGCCTGGATCTCTGTGGGTTTGCTGTGGCAATGTAAACCAGATGACACACGAAGATGACAACATGCAAAGGTTTGAGAGAAGCTTCGGAGCAACAGTGTACCCATATAAGATCTGACTGTACTGTCGACCATCCTGTCGGCCCAAGAAGTTCGTAGACGTTGTGCGAGCAGACGACAAGACTACCCTCAAAAAACTCATTTCAAAATGGCAGGCACCAACGACAGTGTCCTCAAAACCAAATTTGGGGAAATCCGGGTCTCCGAGAATGTTGTTGAGGATGACTTTGAATCCATCCCAATCATCGATTTGACAGCGATGAAGAGTCCCAATCTTGAAGACCGGAAGAAGCTTGCCCAAGAGATCAGCCGTGTTTGCTCAACCGTGGGCTTCTTCTACATCAAGGTAAGCAAGTCATATTCTGCTGCTTTCAACACGACTGACTGTGAATAGAACCATGGAGTTGATTCGGACCTGGTCCGTGAAATCCATGCGTTGGCAAAAGAATATTTTTCACTTCCTCTGGAGGACAAGATGAAGTGTTTCCGAGGAGATTCAAATGTATTGTGGTCCGAGTCTGAGTAGGTCCGGTCAATTTGCTGATTATCACTAGGTTTTCCGTGGCTACACACCGCTTTTCAATGAGTTCTCTCAGGTTGACCATTCTGTTGGCAGCCTTTGCGAAGGATTTGATATTGGCTACGAGATTGACGGGGACCCTGAGAGATCGCCTGGTGATAAGCTGCCCGACATGGAGTCCGACATGTATGGGACAAATACCTGGCCAGATGCCCAAACGGCGCCCCGGTTCAGATCCACGTACCTGAAGTATTTCCGGGCGATGCTCACGCTCAGTCGCAACCTTTTGAAGATATTCGCGTTGGCTCTTGACTTGCCAGAAGACTATTTCGACAATGTGACCACATACCCCGGTTGCATGTCGAGGCTGATTCACTACCCGCCTCAGCCGTTGCCTGATAGCACCCATCCGGGCATCGCTCCTCACACGGTTCGATCATCCCCGCTGGCTCTATGTACGATTCAGAAGCTAACAAAAAGCCTTCCAGGATTTCGAGTGCTTCACCATCCTCAGTCAAGATGATGTGCGCGCCTTGCAAGTTCTCAACAAACGACAGCAATGGGTCACGGCAGAACCCATTCCAGACCACTTTGTCGTCAACATCGGTGACTTTTTGCAATTCTGGTGAGTCCTTCGCTTTGCTTCGGCGCCTGAGAAGCCGGCTGACGTTGTTCTGTAGGACAAACAACAAGTTCCGTTCGACCATGCATCGGGCAACCAACCTCACCGGACGAGATCGATATTCGGTGCCCTTCTTCTTTGGAGTCAACTACGACGCCACGATCTCTGTTCTGGACACTTGCCTTTCCAAGGACACCCCCCGAGGCGACAAGCAACAAAAGATCATGGCTGGTGATGTGGGTTTACTTCCTCCCTTGAGAACGAAAGGCCCATCTTTACTGACGCTTGCTTCCACAGTATGTTCGTCGCCAACTCGCAGCCGTCTATGACAAACCACTCGATGTGCCCGACTCTCAGCCGGAGGCTGTGGGTATCCAGATTCCGGTGTAGCCGTGATACTCGATTATGGAAGCTGCTCGTCAGCTTCAAGTGCATATCTGGGTGCTATGGGTTCATTCATAGGTGGCGTTCGTGACTTTGTCCATATGCCAGTTCTGGATCTTAGATCTATCAAAAATTGACGCAACAAATTCATGACCTAAGCATGATCACCGTATGAAACCGAAAACGATAGTGACTTGTGACTTGTGGCTCACATCGTGCTGCTGCATGACCCAGATCCAAAGACATGGACACGGTACCGGCATGCTCCTATGAGCTAGTAAACGACCAATGAGCATCCGTAGATTGAGCAGACGGGGCCGCACTGGGTGCTGTCAGATACAGTCGTCCGTAACCCCCAAGCCTTACCGTATCTTCAACGTCAGCAATCCAGTCGAGCCCAACCCTGCTGGCCTACCGGTCTGATTCGTCCTCCAAGCGACTTTCTCAGTGGCGCTATACAGAACCTTGTATCAATCGGTGGTTTATCTCCGGGCAATGATATCTGTCAAATAGGAGGCAAGGCAAAGCAATCAATTGTGGAACGCTCTTGTCCTCTTCTGGAAAATATACCGCCTCTGAACAGGCCCCCACCGCCGCCCCATTTCCTAATTCCAACCTCCATTGACCCACCGGCCCGCTTACTCCGGACAAGCTGCCCCCCTTATCACTGTCTAGATGTCTAGTCGACCCAAGTGCTCCACGAGCTTAAAACTATAGAAGGCTCCGTAGCGTAAGAGATAACAAGCTATGATTCCGTTTTGGGAAGAAGTACCGCTATGGCGTATTCCTTCCTGTATTGCTTGCTGCCCCTATTAACGACAGCGTGTCCCTTATCAAGATCCGGTACGCCAGGACCCTGTGAGGCTAGGAAGCCGCCGAAACATGCAAATCGACAGCTTGAAGCTCCAATCTGGGTACGGCGGTCGCCGGCCCTTGTACTTACTGTAGAACGAATTTGAATCATAGCCTGCTGATTCGCCTGAGCATATCCAAGTATCACTGTGGCCACTCATACGGAGGTCATAGCACATGGCTGCTTATCTCGAGCCTGTCTACCTACAACCTCGGGAATCAATGTAGGCCTAGACGGTTGGGGGCCACCGGGGTGGGGGGCACTCCTGTTATTAGTTTGAAATATCATAATGTTTCCCATCTTCAAGTGATTTCCCCTTGTTCTGCCGTAATATCGTCAAGGTTATATTGTCGACGAAACGTTAGTAGTGACCAAAGTATAGCCTGTGCCCCAATCAAACGCAAACCACGATCTATATTCCAAACACCATGTCGGTCACAACTACCACCAGCGTCGGGCGGACGATCCTGACAATGGATTCGGCATACGGCACAATCCAACGCAGCGTATCAACTGCGCCGCCACGGGAAGCGACGCGTGAAGAGATCCCCCTCATTGACGTGAGTGGCATTTACAGCGAGAACATCGAGGATCGCAAGGCCGTGGCAACCCAATTCAGAGACGCGGCCATCAACACCGGCTTCTTCTACATCAAAAACCATGGTGTCGATTCCGAGCTCATTGACAATGCATACCAAAACGCCCTGAGGTGAATGATGATCTCTGCCCTCCGGAGGCTGAGTTCTAACTCGGTGTCCCAGATTCTTCCATCAGCCCGAAGAGATCAAGAAACGAATCAGTAAAGACAAGTTCAAGTTCTTCAACGGATATTCAGCCAGGTATACAACTCACGGCAACAAGACGGAGTCGACAGGTTCGTGAATCGTCTCAAGCCCATTTTGCATTTGATTTCATGGACTGACAAAATACCAGACCGCAAAGAGCATATTGCGTTTCAATATCAGCCAGAACTCGACCCCGCATATGACTCTCTGCCACATCCCATCCCGCTATCCATGATTCCAGAAGAGATGCATCCTTGGTTGAAGGGAGAGCCCGAGATCTGGGAGGGTGTTTCGAACCTCCCAGGTTTCAAGGAGGCGTGGGTAGCTTACTACCGCAGCTGCCTCACCCTTGCTCGGAGCATGACTCGTACTTTCGCACTGGCATTGGAGCTCCCCGAGAACTACTTTGACGATATCGTCACCTATCCCGGCGCCGATGCCACTATCGCCTACTACCCTGGAGCCGAGCCGGGCGAGAAGGTGGATCTCAGCCCACAGAATGTCGGCTTGGGAAGCCATACGGACAACACGGGTTTCACGCTCCTATGGCAGGACATGGTTGGAGGTCTGTTGGTGCTCAACCGAAAGGGGGAATGGATCAAGGCATCCCCAATTCCCGACACTTTTGTCGTCAACATCGCCGATTTTTTCCAGCGCATGACCAATGATCGATGGGTCAGTACGGTTCACAAGGTTGAGATCAATAGGTCGCCCGAGCCCAGAATATCAATGCCTTTCTTTTTCGGTGAGAACCCTTCTGCTTTCTCCAGATGCCCTTGTTGTCCCAATGCTGTTTACAACGTTGTTCTGGGACTCCCAACTGACATGGGCGCACTTGCTAGGCTTCAATCTCAGCGCTACTTGCGGCGTCCTGCCATCATGTGTTACTCCAGAAGAACCTGCCAAATACGAACCAATCTCCTGCGGAGAGGTAAGACCCCGATCCATGACCTTGTGCCCCTGGTCTCTGGCATATAGCGGAAAGCTGATTCTTTGTGCCTCGTTTGTTTTAGTGGGCCACGCTTCGGATGATTGCATACGAAGGCAAGAAATAAGAAGTTCCAACCGAAAGAGTTCGAAGGGTGTTTGCAGTCGGACGGCAGGATGGTGCTTCGATCTTTTTGCTCCGCACCCTGACGTGACATGATACACGTTATGGGAGTGAAGGGAGAAAGGCCAACATAGCAATGAATTTGATAATCCTCAACCAATTCCTCCGTCTTTGTTCGGAACCAAAGGCAAGCATTCTGCCCGTCCTCGACATCACAGGGAACTTGTCAATACTCGGCAGATGATGACACACAGTACGATGTCCTTGTTCTTGACATTGGCTCTGTCACTAGCCAAGGGACTCACTCCTGTGCCACCTCGTGATCGATTCGTGTATCTACCTCCAGCGTAGGGTTGCTTATCCCTGTACTGTATAAGATACCCATGATGGTCTGTAAACTCTGCGCGCCGATGATGGGCTCTCAAATCGGCTTGAAGAGGCTAGGAGGCAGGCCGACGGATCTGGTGGGCCACAGGAGAGGGATTCCATAACAGGGTTCCAAACACTGTTCTTGATCTCGTAGACTCGGTTCGTTGTGTAGTCGAGATCGTATCTGCCAAAGGTCTGGACGGTTGTCTCAGATACATTATATCCATTGGCGTTGCTCTAAAAGCGGCGTGGTATTGGAGAGGCCGCACAACAGTTGCGAGCAGTTTGTTGTTTCCGCCAAGAATATATGACAGCGATGACAATGATCAATTGTACTATCAATCTGCGAGAAGACGACCACCTCATACGACGTCTCCTTCTCACGCCTTGCTTAATGACGGCAAGATTCAATGCTCAACAGCATATCGCATTTCAGATTCACTCCATCATCTTGTATAACCTCTTTCAGTGCTAGCAATGAGTCTGGCTCGAGAACTAGACTTCCACCTTGCGTAGCATACAGTCGACCCTAGCATGACGTCCGAGATGAAGAGTCCAAAGCTTGGAGTGGTAACGGCAGTGATGCGAGCACGTGAGGTCATCTCGGTGTGCCGACGACATAGGCTTCGCATGAAAAGACAATGAGTTGGAAAGGTAACAAGAGACGACAGACCAGAGCGACAACGATGTCGATAGGGACAATAAGGTAGGGCATCGATATGATGTTAGGGCGACGGAATCGGATGCAGCAGAACGTAACCAGTAATATTTGAAGACAACGAGGTGTGGCGACAGCGAGGTACGGGAACAGCGAGGTTTGGAGACGATGAGGTACACGCGAGGACTATTCCTCCCTCAACTTTTGGTAACGGTAAGGTGGAGACAAGGTAAGAATAGCAGCAACAAACCCATGACGGTAAGGTGAGGGCGGTGAGATGACACGACAAGGTGTGAAAGCAGTGGTGAGGTGAACAAGGTAGGTATGTTAAGGTGGAGATGACGTGGCAAGGACGACGTGGTAAAGATGACGGGATAGGAATAACAAACTTGGTGCTGGGGAGGGACAGCTTCGAAGAGGTCAAGACAGCGAGGTAGGGGCGACGAGGTAAGGCAATGAGGGAAGGATAAAGAGACGGTGACGTGGAGGGAAGGACGACGAGGGAAGGACGACGAGGGAAGGACGACGAGGCGATGCAATGAGGGAAGGATAAAGAGGCGGTGACGTGGAGGGAAAGGTCAAGAGGTGAAGACGACAAGGTAAGGTCGACGACTACAACTTCCCCCATACCTCTGCTCAAGGCGTCGACATGATGAAAGAGAGGCAAGGGCAACACTACAGCTCTCCTCCATACCACTGCACAAGACAGCAGCATGATGAAAAGCAAAACACCACCCAAACGCAGGACCAAATCAAAGAAGACCACCCAAACGCAAGACCAAATCAAAGAAGACCTCCCAAACGCAAGACCAAAGCAGACAACCACCCAAACGTACGACCAAATCAAAAAGATCAAAAAACCACCCAAAGAGATCCTGCCGCCGTGGCAAGAAGAACCACTCGGACTAGGAGTTCACTCACCACCAAGTCAGTCATCTATCTCACCCATCCCTCACCTCCTCCCCGGCCACTGATGACGACCACCCTCGCGCAGTTGCACCGGCTGCCAGCACATACTGCCCACCCGAACTTGGGCCTACCCCGTGTGTGCTCCTCCTGGGCAGCTCAAGGACACACCCAATCCGGGTCATCCGATGGATCAAAGATCCATCGTCGCGGATCAGGTGGTGGCTTGACCACCGGGGGAGGAGTTGGCACACGGGCGGCCTCGCTCGAGAAGGGAGTCATGTGCCGACGCAGCGCTCGGTACACCTGGGATGGCGTTCGTGTCAGTGGCGCCGGTGGCGATACCTCTTGGGGAGCGACCTCGGGCACTAACTCGAGGGTCCCCGGAAGGTCGCCAGCCGGTTGGGGAGGGGGCGAGGGGGAGGGAGAGGGAGGAAGGCTGACTGGGCGGGGCGCGGGCTCGTCGTCCTCGTGGAACTTTTTGCTGCAAATACAACCCATGGTGAATTGTGTAGTACTTGTGGCTGTGAATGCGGGATCTGGAGAAAAGAAGAGAAAACCTCAAAGGGAGGGCGAGGAAAGCCGTATTTATGTCTTTCGGAGCTCCCTCAGATCAACCTCTGGGGAGATTCTGCTGAGCAGGTGGCGGATCATGCTTTAGCTGTTGCTTTTGATCGACGCTTCTTGAACAATTTACGCAACATTGATACTTTGGTTCAAGATGGGCTGAGGCATACAGTGGCCGAGACGTTGCTCGATCCAAACAAAACAAGGCTGGACATGGGCGCCTGTCATTGGCGGACCCACCGCTGGGCGGCTCTGTATGGCTTTCCACGTTTTGCTGGCTCCGCTACATCAGCTGCCCTCACAAGTGAGTTATACGAAAGTTCACCAGCCGCCTCAGTTCGCACTTCGACTCTTCTGGATTGGCTGATTGCACTTCAGATCAATTCAGATCTCATGAGCTCAGCCTCACTGAAACTCTCGTTGCACATTCAGAATCACAGTTATGACTCTTACCGAAGCTACCATTGAGACCTACAACGGTCCAAAATGTGGACTTCCAATCGTTCAAGGTAGGTGATAGTTCATCCAGTGAACTCCCTGTCCTGCCACATCCCCATGTGGGGATCATTACTGGTCATGTCGCGGGCAGGTCGAGTCACCCAAGCCGAATCTGCCTCAGCCTCACTCAAACTTTCAACTCCGAAGCAGAAGGGCATGATCAGCACAACTTCTCCACCACCTCGTGCACATACGTTGGTTCATTTGATGGTGATGCAGCCAATCGTGCCTCAACTCGGTTCAGATCACGAATGCTCGACTTGAAACGATTCAGCCATCGACCACTGAGCAGACAGGATCACGAATGATCTGGAAATTCGAGGCCTCATTGGACAATTGCACACTTTGCACTTGACTTCGATTAGCTTTGGCAGGAATACTCAACAAGCTCAATTGGCTCCATCGAGTCCATGCAGCCAACCGCTGCTGTTGAGCACTGTTAATCGCTCAAGCATATGACAATCAAAGAGCAGTTTCCAGCAGGGGCTACGTGGACTGCGAAATGCATAGCCCAAGCCGACATCTTCGGCCATTGCAGCAGGCTCTTAGAGGGCGGCCCGGCGGATGGCAGAGTCACATGCTCGGCCACTATGAAATAAGAGGGCATGCGTACAGTGCAGCGTCAGCAGTGACCCCAGAACTAGATCGATGTCGCCGACGAGGTAATTTGCAAGTCAGCGCAATGGTGAACATGACTCCAGGCTCTTGCCATCTTCCTGGAGCAGGCATGGGGTCAGTGCAGCGACTGATAGTTTGTAGCCATGATCGTGGTAAAGACTCCTGCTTGAATCACATAGAAAACGATTCATTGGCCTGCTTTCCATCCTTCACCATCGCTGCATACAAACTTGCACCAGCTAAAATAAGACCGCCAAAATCCAACACTCTCGTCAAGACTGCCGGCAAGACTAGACTCAGGTCTTCCTCAACATGGGTTTGCCATCGTCCATACGGGTGAGGTGAAGTACAATACACGTGACTCAGCCTTGCGCCCACAAGGCTGTATCCACGTGGAGTCCCCATGGGAATTCGGCCCACCTTCGGCCCAGCACCATCCTCAAGAGCATCATACGGGTCCTCCTCAATTATCCATTGTCAATATTCCACAATGCGTCTTGGAAAGTGTCAGGACTATCTTGAAAAACAGATATAGGTGTACACAGCAATCACCTCAAAAGGAACTATGGTAAGAGCCTGATTTGCAAGTGCAGCACTATGAGAATATAACATCGTTTATGCGGGGAGGGCTTTGGGTGACACCTCGGTGCCATCGAATTCCTTATTTCTTCCGCCATTTGCATTTCTGGATCTTTTCACAGTCTATGCATTCACCTGCACATTCGGCAATCATGCATCATTTCCCCTACCTTCTCAGACATACTCAAGCTTCAATCTACGTTACTTAGCAACCTTGGCTTGTGGTGAGTCCAAACCCCTGTCTGGTTGGAAGGCAGTCACGTCATTTCCTATCACGATTGTGAATTCGGAAACACTTTCTTCTTTCTGAGTTCCATCGAGTTCTGACATGATGCATAGACCAGTAAGATGCTCACCGAGGGCTTCTTATCGACCGACTGCATCTCCTGGGTGTCCTCGTTTGCTGTCGAGACCACTTTCGCAAAGCTTCTTCAATCCAGAACAGCCGATAGATCGCTTAGTCTTGAGATGCGAATACTGGCGAGAGCAGAGTACCGAGTCCTGCACCAATTGCATGGCCTCGAGGATCACACCAGAACCGCCACAATGGCGACTTCAAGCCTAACGTTCGGGTAGCTGTGAGTTTCTTTCCTGCTTTTCCCGCAGGGTCTATATCATGAATCCAAACCCCCTGGGATTTGTACTCAACCTGGACCGTTTGTCTCTGTGCTCTTCTTCACTTCCACTCCTCAGATTGTTCAGATAATGGCAGAAAAAGCACCTTCCGTCGCCTCTTCGACGCCCTCCACCAGTTGGAAAGGATGGTTGTGGGATTCGGCTGATGTCTCCAAGGAAGAACGGAGATTTCTTCTCAAGGTTGGCTGCCCTACCATGCTCTCATTTCGAAGGGTGTTCTATACTGACAGCGCGTCTGAGCCTACAGTTGGATGCCACTCTCTTGACATTTGGGACTCTTGGAATGTTAATCAAATGGGTAAGTAACCTGCTTTATCCCCTTCGACCGAAAGTCTGATAACAGAGCAATAGATCGATACCTCCAATATCACCAACGCCTTTGTCTCAGGCATGAAAGAAGACCTCAATCTCTACCAGAATCAGTACAACTACATCGTCGTTTCATGGACGGTGGGATATATAATCGGGCAATGGGTATGCATCTTCTTCTATCAAGGTCACCCGGGTGCTGACATGGTTTAAATACAGCCATCGAACTTCATCTTGACTCGAGTCCGCGCTCATAGTAAGCATACTCACAGAGCGCTGAGATATAGCTAACCGTCTCCTTTCTCAGTCTGGATCCCTTTCCTTGAAATTGGATGGACAATCTTCACCTTTGCTCTTGCGGGTGCAAAATCATACCATGCAATGCTCGGTCTTCGATTCGTCGTCGGTCTGTTTGAAGCGGGTTATTGGCCAGCTCTTTACTACATTCTTGGATGTTGGTACAATAAACGTTAGTTGCCTTGCTCTGCACTTGGGAAATCATCTTGATAACGTCGCTAACGGTGCAATTGTCGAACAGGCGAACTTGGAAAACGAAACGGTATTCTGCAATCCGCGGTATCCATCGCACCGATCTTCAGCGGATTCTTGCAAGCTGGTATCTACAACTCTCTTGATGGCCATGCTGGTCTCGCTGGATGGAGATGGCTTTTTGGTAAGTCGACCCAATCCTACCGTTGTTGCTCTCCCCTCTCAAGTTACTGATCGCTGCTGTAGTCATCAACGGCGTCATTTCATTCCCAGTTGCCGCTCTCGCGTATTTCTGCTTGCCCGACACTCCTGGAACTGCGAAGCCCAACTGGCTGTTCACCGAGCGTGTAAGTAGCGAGGTCGTCCGTCCAGATCAGGCAACCCAAAGCCACTGACACTGTTGTTTTGCATATTAGGAGATTGAAATTGCTAGGGAAAGAATGTCAAGAGTCGGCCGTGCTCCTGAAGGCAAACCATACACAGCGAAAGTCATTCTCGGTTACTTTACCAGCTGGAAGACAGTTCTCTTCACGCTGATCTTCAGTAAGGTTCCTTCCTATCTGACATGGAGGACCAGCTTTGCTAATCTCTACAGCAATGCAACCCTTTGGAAGTCAGCCATTCACTGCTTTTGTTTTCTGGCTCAAAGCACACAACAAGAAAGGTCAACCGCCTGTCTACACAGTTGCCCAGATCGTAAGTTCCACAGCCTTTCATCCGGAACCCAGAAATCAGACTGACTTCTTTTAGAACGAATATCCAACCATTGGCAACGCCTTCACTGCCGTATACTCTCTCCTAGCCGTCTGGATCTCTGACGGACCCTTGAGAGGCCGCCGGTGGCCAATTATACTGTTTTCAAATCTCGTGGCCATCATCGTCTTCACGCTACTCGCCGTCACTCCTGTATTTGGCCCATTCTCTCATCGGGCACCACTTTACATTGTGTCAGGAATTGGTGGGAGTATGGTTCCATTGACCATGGCGTAAGTCCTTTCTTTGCATGTTGTCTCTTGCTCTCCCTTCACGAATGAACTCGAGCTAACGTAGCCTTTAACATTCCAGATGGATGGCAGAGTTGATCTCCGATAACGCTGAACAAAGGGCTTTTACAGCTGCGGCCATGAACACTCTTCAATGTGAGCCTCCCTTTCTTCCTTGTCATCGGTCGAAAAGTTACTGACATCTGTTTCTTCTTTTTCATAAGATACCTTCACGGCATGGATACCACTAGTTTGGTTCCAGCAAGTACACCAACCTAATGGTTCGTCTCACTCACTCTACCCTTCCCGTACCAGAGGCGCTGTTGAGCTGACTTATTCACTTGTGTCTAGTAACTCCCGGAAACAGAGCCGCTGCAGTGGTGGGTGGATTGAATGTGATTGTGTTCTCGATTATCGCGTGGCTTGCTCATAAGGAGAAGTTACGTAAGAAGGGAACAGGTCAACTCACTCAGCTCGAAACTGCGTTTGATCACTCGGACGGGTCTCTTGCACCTAACGCAGATGAAGGGAATGAGAAGAAGTCGGCGGCAGGGTTGAAGGTGGTCGAGATTTGAACGTTGACGAGTAGAAGGTCTGAGGCGGTTAGGCCTGGTTGGCGGATCGGGTGTGCTGAGATGAAGAGTTGGAACTTGTAGGTGGCAGCTCGAAGCAGGGTGCATAGCAGTATACACCGTAGCTTTGACTTCTGTTACAACATGGGAGCTGTAAGGGGCCTAGTACCTCACGAGATAGGTGCTCTGAATCCAGATCTCAAGTACAATGCCTCAGAGCTGGAATTCTCCAAAGCGGCTCCTGGCTGAAAGCGAACCCATCTATACGCTACACATAGACACCAGTCAAATGCAGAGTACATGCATGTAAACATCCTCGCTATGCTCAAATCAGACCTTTGCTTTCCACTCCCATTTCCACCCAAGACAAGCCCAACGGCTCAAGCTGAAAGTCATCATGGCCAAGCCCAAAATGGCACACATGAAGCCAACCATGATCTGAGGCCCGACAGACTCGACCAACTCACCACTGATTGGCACGCAGACCAACGTGGCGAGCGAGCCGATAAAGTACAGTGTGCCATAGTATCTTCCGAACTCGGCAGCTTCGCACAGTTGACCAATACAGGCCGGCGTCAAGGCCATCCACGCGCCCGTACCGAATCCAAACAACGCACTGAACGCATAGAGGACAGCCAGACTCGTAGTCCCGAAGGGCAACCATAGAACCAACATCATGACCAAAGTGAAGACGATCATGATGAGCAAGGTATTGAAGCGACCAATAAAATCGGACAAGAATCCCGGCAGAATACGTCCGACACAAGACACGCCATTCAGCACGGCTATGAGATAGAAGCCCGTATCGGCAGGATAGTTGCCGCTGTAAGTGGCATAGGTAGGAAGAATGCCCAGGGCACCGAACAGCACGATCTCAAACCCGAAGACGCTGATGGTCAGGAAAGTGAATTTGAGATCACCAAACAGGCCGAGCGAGAGGACCTTTTGCTGCTTCGCTTCCGGCGACGGCCGCAGCCTGGGTTTGGTCAAGATGTTGCAGAGGACCAGACAGGCCACGATGACGAAGCCGACAATACGAATCGACCACGCGTATCCGTACAACGGCAACGCTCGTCTCAGGATCAACGGGAACGTGACGCCGCCGACACTGGACCCGGTCATGGCGATGCCGTGCGCCAGGCCCCGTCGCCGCTTGAACCAATGGCTCACGACGGCCAATGCGGTCGTGGTCAGCGTCGCGCCCGCCGTCCCGCCCAGGATCCCAAGGCACAGCAGGAACTGCCAGTACAGTTTGCACTCGGCCAGCAGGAACACCATGACCACATAGCAGACGCTGCCGACCAGAGATATCCAGCGCGGCCCGTAGCGGTCGAACAGCGGTCCCACCCAGATCCCCAGCCCGAGCGCGAGGTAGACGAAGACGCTCGGGATCCAGCCCACGTCGCGCGAGCTGTACTGGGACAGTTGGTGCGTTTGCAGATATTCTTGCACCGTGCCCACCGATACCATGAACCCGAATGACGCGAATAGCCCGAGAAACGCCCCCAGGATCACCAGCCATGCTTCCAGTCCGCCTTCGGGGAACGTGTCGTCGGAGGAGGCAGTCGCGTTTGCCTCATCTCCTTCGATCTCGACGGGGATGCCGCCGTCCTGGTCATCGGCCGTGTTCGCAGATGCATTGGCTCGTTTTTCGGCGTCACTCGACAATAATAGTGGCAGTGCTGGTTTTGCTGGCGACAGAGTTCTGATGCTGTGGTTGCTTGTCACCTCCTCCCCGTCTGCGTGCGCATTTCGATTTCTATGGTCGTCGGAGCTCGCCGTCTGGACTACGGGAGATGTGACGGCGTCCATGGAATGAATTGAAGGGAAAAGGTTAGGCAATGCAGAGGGCAAAAATGAATAAACATGACTTGTTTTTCTCTTTCTATATGACAAACTCCGGACTCCCACACACACTCGTCATATCGCGCCCTTCGAGAGGATCATTGACATGGTGACTAATGGGGAAGTCTTTTCCTCCATGCTTTCTCACTGCGCAAGTGACTGGTTGATGGTGATACAATTAATCACAACTGTGGATGCATCAAGCTTGCCCACCCACGCTGTTCTCCGTCTGCTGCTCGGAATGACAAAAATACATATGGAGCAAGGTAGGAATGAAGTGGGGGTTTGGTATGTATGTATTCTATACCTACCGAAGACAGGATATGCGGTGACAAATGCTCACTCACAGTCCGATTCGAAACCAATGCAGCTCTTCTCACGGCTCAGACTTGCCTTTGCACTTCATGGGTTGACACGGCGGTTGCAGTTCCGTGGGTAATGAAAACAACATCCAGCACGTGTCTTTTGCGCCTCAGAAGTATCTGAAAAGATGTCATCATCGCCGGTCCAACGCTTTCAGTCTTCGGATGTCCCATTTCTCATCCATCTGCGACGAGCGTGTCCGTCCCCTTGGTCCTGCCCTTGCCAATATCCATCTTTGCTGTTCTCGCGCCAAACTGGATCGCTCGTTTCCTCTCTGTAGCAGCTCTTTTCATCCCCAGCTGCCACATGGCCAACCTCAACAGCAGCTTTGCCGGCTCGAGGTTTTCCGGTATGTCCACCTGCAAGGCGTCTTCATAATGTTTTGGTACCTTCTTCCCTGGCCGGAAACCGGTTTTCTCCCAGACAGGGAGATGCAAAGAAAATCTGACGAAATCCTCATCCAGGTAAGGATATCGGACTTCCTTGCCCCAGTGGCTTATGACCCTATCATCTCGACCCAGGTTGCGTGATCCAATACGGTTGATGTCCATTTCAAGCTCATCGGCAAGTCTGGAATAGCCGCCACGCTCGAAAGCAGCAGAGTGGCGCGAATAGCCTCCATACAATTCATCCGCCCCAAGACCCGACAGGAGGACTCGAGCTGTAGACGAAAAGTCTGCCTCAGTAACATCAGGCCCCTGCTGATTCTCCGATGATACGCCCCGTCCTCGAGCGGCGAAGTAGAGTGCCATTGCAATCGAGAGATCCATTTCAGTGTTGTGAGGACTCATCAGCCGTATTATGGTCGGTCGGTGGGCAACCACTTCCGAGTAAGGGATGTTGATGGCCACGAACCTCCATTTTCTGGCCGGACAAACTTCACAGAGTTCGGAGAAACTGGAGCGGCCTGTGATGCGGTCGGGACAGAGTTCGTAGGGCGACTTCGTGCGACTGACGTTTGCAGCGATGGAGCGCGGGTTTTCGAAAGCGACGTTCAGTAAGTCGACAGGCTCATTTGTTGGTAGGATATCGTGTACAAGGCGTGCCAGAAGGGTACAGTCCAGCCCGCCGGAGAAGAGTAAGGCCACTTTGGCAGATCCTGGACGGACTTGCGAATGTGAATGGTCGGGAATGTCGACAACCCTGAATTCAAGCGCCTCTCTCAACTGGGTCAAACACTGTGTCACACTAAGGGCTGATGGGATCAAGGCTGGTGGTTGGGTGGGCACCTCCTTATTAATCGCGGGCGGCGCATTGAGCCAGGGGAGCTCACCGGTCTTGATGGAACTCTTCTCGAACGTGATGTAGTGAATTGATTCAGGACTGACTTCGAGATGCGGTGTCTTGCTATTGGGTACGCCGATACTAGCCAGCGTCAGCGACTGATCATCAGACTGGTTGACGAGCAATGAGCGACGTCCTAGTCTGTCTCGGCCATAATAGACAGTAGAAGTCAGTGCGTTGTAAAAGACAAATGCGAAAGGCCCTGAAATGTTGGTGAGCACGTCGCAGATTCGCTGATGGGCCGCTGGTTCAGTGCTCTGGGAGGCTTGTAGGAGAAGATCAAACACTTGTGCAGAGTCATTCCCTTCAATGGCGACTCCATCAATCTTCCAGGCCTCGCCGTTCCAGCACAGAATGGACCCGGAGTCATGGTCACACAGAGGTTGCTGCTGAATAACATCGCCCCGTAGTGCTAATACTGAAGAGACAAATGTCAAGTGGACGCTCTCTGCCAGAGCAGGAGACACTGTGGCATTCAGGACTCTGTAACTGTCAGGTCCTCGTGCCTGTAAATTCGATACGATCCTAGGGTCGGGCAGACATGGGCGATCTCTTGCGATGGAGAAAAAGATGCCACACATCAAGGTAAAGGACAGTCCCGAGAGCTAGAGCCCCCGACTTGCTCCAAAACATCAAGGTACATAGGGCATCAAGAAGATGGGGAGCTTCTTCAGCCGTAGCGAAACCCGGACTCGGAGCCAACTTCGTGATGCCAAGAGATATCCAGCCGCTTAGTAATTCCTTAGTAATGCTATGGGCAGGCGGCAGGCAGAGATGATCGATCAATGATTGACCAAACAACTGTCAACGAGGATCGCCGAAGACGCCAACGGCCACTATCAGCATGGTATGTGATTAGATGCGTTGACCCTCCACCATCGATGTGTTAGTTCCATCATCATCAGCGCCAGTCGGTCGCCTGTTTCCATCGCCACGCAGCCGGGTGGCCTTGACAGCACTCCCAATCTCAACTTACTGTGCTAACATTGTTGCCTACGAGGGTTGTCATCATCCCGAATCCTTTCGAAGAACAAAGGCCCTTCGACCTGATCAATCTCAGCGCCCGCCTTTCGAGACTCGAAGACCTCCTCATATCACAATCACCAGCCTCGATCAATCGTCCAATTGTTGAGCGGGCTGTTTACGCAATTCCCTCTTTCTATCATTGCCGACGTTGAGGATCCAGCGGTGTTCAGACGACTTGACACGACACTTCAGTGCTGCCTCCATTTTAAAGCATGCAGTGCCATCTCCATCAGGCTCTAGAAACCGCCCATACTTGATCGTCCATGTCATCAGACGGCAATCATGCAGTTATGGATGCCACGAAGGAAACCGTTCCGCCGGAAAATACTACGACAGACCTCATAGACCTTGGAGAGGAGGAGGCAAAGAATGTCCTTCCACACGACACACCACAAGAAATATCTTTAGGAAAAGAGAAGCAGCCCGAGGCAGATACGGCAGAAAGAATTCAACAGCTCGGTCTTGAAGACAAGCCAGCCAATTCCAACCCTGCCTCAACTTCAAAGGGCCTGTCTTTCATCCCACTTCCGCCAGTATCCCCGGCCACCGATGAGAAGCCTTACCGAGATCCCACTCCCAAAACGCCAATCGTGTCCAGACACCCATCGGTAAGAGGCACGGCGGTAGAATACAACGAGAAAGAGATCACATATGGGGATGACAGTGAAGATGCATCGTTGGACGTTCAAGATCCAAAGGTGAGCGGTGCGAATGACATCGAATCCAGGACAGAGATCGAAAGCATCATGGGCCAATTTGAAGATGCGTCGGTTGCGCCGTCGAGAGAAGAAATCATGTCTCCAAGGCATGAGATAGCAGGCCCGCTGCTCGGATCAAGCGGTACTTTTCCTCCACGAAGATCGAGCCTGGAACATTTGCGCTCCAGGGATCTAGATACCATGGCAGGTTCACCAGTGGTGACTCAGACTGAGAAGCCGCTGCCTTCACCGCCCTCCGGTGCAGTCCCGGATGATTCTGGTGGGATGCGAAGCCCGTCGTTGAAAGGTCCAGCTGTAGCGTCGACAGCCTCCCTTCTCGCGCAGCCTCCTCCGCCAGAGCCGGAACCGGAATTGCCGTTTGATTTTCATCGTTTCCTGGAACAGCTTCGACACAAGTCAGCGGATCCCGTCGCCAAATTTCTACGTTCGTTTCTGACCGAGTTCGGAAAGAAGCAATGGATGGTACATGAACAAGTCAAGATTATAGGCGACTTCCTCGCCTTCATCACAAATAAAATGGCTCTTTGTGATGTCTGGCGTGACGTTTCGGAAAACGAATTCGACAATGCCAAGGAAGGGATGGAAAAGCTTGTGATGAACAGGTTATATTCGCAGACGTTTTCACCTGCGATCCCACCACCTCCCGCGCAACCTGCTCGATCACGATCGAGGGGGCGGCGAAGAGAGTTGGACAAGAATAACCTGCCTGGGAGGCGAGGCCAGCATCAAGAAGATGTCGAACGGGACGAGATTCTGGCTCAAAAGATTCGAATCTACAGCTGGGTTCGAGAAGAGCATCTTGATCTCGAGCCGGTGGGGCCGAATGGTGAGAGGTTTCTCAAACTCGCACAACAAGAGCTGTTGAAGATCAAGGGTTATCGTGCCCCTCGAGACAAAGTCATCTGTGTTCTGAATTGTTGCAAGGTCATCTTCGGCTTGTTGAAGAACTCAAAAAGCTCCGATACCTCAGCCGATGCGTTTGTGCCGCTGCTTATCTACGTCGTCCTCCAAGCCAATCCGGAGCACTTGGTGTCCAACGTGCAGTACATTCTACGATTCAGAAACCAGGATAAACTTGGGGGTGAGGCAGGCTACTATTTGTCTTCCCTATCAGGAGCAATCCAGTTCATTGAGAACCTGGATCGTACTAGCTTGACAGTGAGCGACGAAGACTTTGAACGAAATGTCGAGATTGCAGTGTCCCAAATCGCCGCTCAAAACCGCGAGGCCGAAGCTGTCAGCCCACGCGGAGCGTTGCGGGAGAAATCGAGTATCGCGGAACCGGAGCTCACACCAAGGAACTCTGTCGATGTGGTATCTACAAGCCCCACACGAAGGGAACCGAGTCGCCTCAACTCCAGCTCTGAAGGTGGCTCGGACGACAGCGTTGCAGGTCTGTTGCGTACCATTCAACGACCTCTGTCGTCTATTGGAAAGATTTTCTCCGATCAAGAGACATCCCTGGAACGCAGAGTCACCCCGACTTCGACGCCTCAGAATCCTGCACGGCTGAGTCCGTCGGTGTTTCAACCTCCACGAGAAGGCATGGTCTCCACTTACGATGCCCAAGAAGCGGCCGCAAGACAAGCCAGTGCAGAAGCTGCAGAAGCTCGACGAATTCAGCTGGCCGAGCACAGGACCGTGGTCGAGACCCTGTGCGGCATGTTCCCCAACCTCGACAAGGAGGTAATTGACGATGTGGTGCGGCAGAAGGAGGGAAGAGTTGGCCTGGCTGTGGATGCATGTCTGGCTTTGACTGCTGGAGGTTGATAGTGCGGGGTCCATTTCTGATATGATCAGAAGCTATTGGACTTATGTTCAGGACAACCTGGAAGCGCGCCGGGTTGTATAATGCAACAATATCTGCAGCAGAAGAACAAGAACCATCAGCCTGGTACCACGAATGCATGCCAGTCCTGAGACTCCTCGGCAGCGAAGCTGCCAAGTCTTGTGCGTCGTCTTATTCTTGGAACTTGGATCACTCGAAGCCATCGAGGGTGGCAGCGCCCGACGCCCGACCGGGACGAGGACATCATCATCCGTGCCGTGCTTTGGGTGTTCAAGAGCGAAGAGATGGGAATTCTTTTGGAATCACCAACCCTTTATAACGGACAGTATACCACTGGAGTCGCATTGAAGCAGGAAATGGGACGGACGGTTTAGGAGACTGCACAATCGAATTTATTCCCAGATGGAAGAAGACAAACATGGTCCAGCCATGTCCATGGCCATTTCTCTGCTATTCGGAAACCAGCCTTGACCCTGGGTCGGCCACAAGTGCTGCAAAGTCGGCAGTTTCCTGGACTGGACTTGAATACGTCCCCTTTTTCGGACATGAAGTATTCTTCCCGGCAATCAAGACAACGATGACTTTTCGTCGAAACCCCCAGAGATCCTCCGATAGAGGGCCTGTAATAAGTCGTAAACACATCATAATACAAGACCAAACAACCCGGTCCAAACCCATGCTTTTCGCACAGACTTCGAACTACCTTGATTCAAATGGCGAAGACCTCAACCGTGAGCGCCATCCATTCCCTTAATTTTGAGTAAAAGGCTCCCAACGCCAGAAGCGACTCTTCCGCAATTGCGACAGCCAACAAGCATTCCAATTCCATCATCTACCAGAAGTGACTTTTGTGGCCATCGCCCATGTTCAAGCACTACCTCGGACCACATCCGGGGAGAGCCCAACTGCGGCCCACCACTCGTCAGGAATCTCCTCTCTCCTCTGCATTCGGTCGAGGATGACGCTGAACACCTCCAACTCCAAAATCCTGTCGTTTCTTCGGCCAGCCTCAGTATCTCTCCGAACGCCTTCGGGGACCAAGTCATCCGTCTGTGGAAACGAGGAAACTGTTCGTAAGCGCCCATGTCGCGCACGGATCTCTCGCACATCTGCTTCGGTGATGCCCGAGGGAAGATCGAGATCGCAAGTGTCGTCGCCGCCAATCTCGCCGAAACTGGTTGCGACAGTGGTGGCCTGTGACGACCGATTCGAGCCGGACCGCGATTCTGGCCGCGAAGACATGAACGACGTCGCGGCGCTTGACCGGCCTGGTTCGATGGTGGTCAGAAGCGTGGCCCAATTTTCCTCCTCATGGGCATCAGAAGTTGGGCTCGGACTTCGAAGGCGATCACCGAGCCCGTCAATCCTGGAGCCAGACCCGATGACCGGACGTGGAGATGCGTGGTTGACCCGTCGGAGCGGTGGATACGAGGCCGACTCGAAAGTCTCCGGCGGCGCAGTGTCCACGAACCCATCTAGCATATCGCGTCCAGTTCTGCTTGACCGTCCCGCCCCCAAAAGGTCTACAGTGGCGGTGCCAAAGGGACCACGGGCTGGAGCGAACCCTGGAGTGAGCGTGGCGTTGTCGGCAGTCTCGACGTCAACATCAACCTCAACATCGTCGTCCAGGCCGGTTGGCCCCTGATTTGCAGGAGCTAACGAAGACCTGACAGTCCCCAATCGTCTGCGAGCCGACGGGCTGGGGACTCGCGTGGTGCCAGCCGTACGTAATCGTGTTCGACGTGATTGTTCCGAATAAGGCTGTGAAGCTGGTGCGGCGACTTCGAATCGAAGCCCAGATTCCCGCGACGGACGGGGTAAATGGCGCGCGATGGTGTTAAGGGTGTCAGACGAGAAGATTTCGATGCGCGAATCTAAATTCGTGTCATTGGCAGACGACACGTTGGCCGACGTGGGCCGGAGGGTGGTCAACAGGTCAACATCTGTCTCAATTCGCTGCATCAAATCGAGGAGGTTATTGTTGTCGTTACTGTTGTTGTCGGGTCGCCTTGCCATATCACGTTCAAGTTGGTTTGCCCGGGCGCGCTGCCTCATGCGCACCGAGCGAAGACGGCCCAGATCCGCATCCAGCTCGTGAATGTCGCGTTCGGTGTCATCGCGCGGTTGACGAGATGATAGGGAAGAATTCCTCGGCTCATCTGCCTGTTCTCGCCTGTCTCTTATGCGATCGATAAGGGAGCGCGAGAGGGGGGTTCGGCCGGGTCGCAGACTTGATTCGCGACGGATGGTAGAGCGCCTTGTAGCTGCGAGTCGATCGAGTTTTGCGGCGGCTTGGTCAACCGCAGCCTCGTCCGGTTCTCGGAACATACTATATTTTGGCCAGGCAGTTAGCGCAAGACCCCTAATGAAAGATGTGTGGAAAGATGGCATCAGCATGCGCCGGGCGAGCGCGCAGAAGTGGTGGTGGGGGCAGTGGGAAAAGCCAAGGGACGAACATACGGCAAGCCCATAATGTCGCGGTGAGCGCCTGAGCGTTGGCGACACGATTAAGCGTCGCGGTGGGAGAGGAAATTCGAAGTGGACAACAACGGACTAAAGAAACGCGACAAACAATGAAAAAAGGAGTGGAGAGGAGGATGAAAATGAGGCGGATTGTTGATGGCTTGTTGCTTGGTGATAAGGAAAGAGAAATAAAATACTGGGTCGGACGGGAATTCTGGGGGTGAGGGTGAGGGCGAGAGCGAGGGCGAACGAAGGCTCGAGGAGGGCGACGGGACGAGGGAGGCGGCGAGGGAGACTGGACGCCGTAGGGAGACTGTGGCACAGGGCGTTCAATTGGTTGGTGGTTCAAGAGGTGGTTGGTAGAGGAGGCAGAGGCGGCAACTGGGAGGTTGGAACTGTATCACGGCGGAGCCAATCAGGACTGATCAATGCTTGCGGTCACGTGAGTGAGTTCCGCTCCAGTCACGTGCTTTGTCACTTGGCGCTAAACCCAGCACAATGCTTGGCATCTACAATCATCGACCGGCGTGGGATCATCAGGCTGACTCCTTAGGTACGATTCCAGTTGCTTGATGAATATCGTCGCTTGCTTGATTATTCACTTTGGCCTTTCTGGCTCGGCTTCAAAGATCTCCAAACCTCCTCCGGCAAGAGACTGGCCATGATGCTCGCCTCACATCGTGGAGTTGACCTCGCTCCGTGCATTAAACTCTGTCCATTGCGGTTGCGCGAGAGGTACTTCAGGTGAGCATGGGTGTCTCGTATTCGCATCGGGTTTACCAGCATGGTGTTTCGTCAGTCGATGCAGTCCTTTTAAAAGCGAGATCAGTCTACGCCACAATTTTTACGGTCTTCCTCAACTTCACCCTCTCCCTCAATTTAACCCTCTCAATTCCACCCATGGTCGATATTTTTGGTATGGACCCAAGCTGGTTCCCTCCTACCGATCGTCCCATCCGTCTGGGGGGACGATACGTTTTGGCCGCAAATGCCATTCCCATTGCTACACTCTTACTCCCTCACGGCTATCTTCGCCATAGTCTTGCCATTCCAGCTTTGCTCTGGATCCCGTACAGTCTTAGACAATACACTACCGGCCAGACCGAAGAAGATTACCTAACGGCTATCAATGTGTGTATGGCTCTGGGGAAATATATTGACTTTTGCATACTCCGGACTTCTGAACATGCCTGTCGTCGCGTGGCACCGGATGGGAGCTTGGAAACACTGCAAGAAATCACCACTTTGACACTCTGGCAAAAGCTTCGATGGAATTTCGACCTCTTCACCACCATGCGCGGGATTGGTTGGAACTGGAGGGTCAAGAACGTCGAAGAAGTGGCCCGGGATATCCCGCGCAGGTAATGAGTCTCTCTCATGTGGTAATGGCGACTAACTCAGCAGCCGATTCATCCTGGTGCAAATTTTCAGAGTCATTTACTGTTTCGCTTTTCTCGACGTGTATGAATGGTGTATTCGCCGAACTTCATTTGGCGATGGTACACGTCCCATTCCTGACTTCTTCTCCGTCTCCCTTGTCCAGCAAATCCTCTTTGCTTGGGCGGGTGCCCTCCACAGTGGATTCACTATGGCTTTTGGATACTATTTCCTTGCAGCCATCACAGTTATGACGGGGCTATCACATCCACAATCGTGGCCGCCAATGTTTGGATCTTTCACTCAGAAAGGATATACGATGAGAAAGGTCTGGGGCTATTGCTGGTAATCAACCCACGGGGCGATCCAGGCCGCTCTTCTTTTTGACCAGCTGTACAGGCATCAGTTTCTTCGGCGAACGTTTGAGACTGCAAACTCGGGCATTACTGGGCTACTCAGAATCAAGAAAGGCACGCTTGCATCTCGCTATTTGCAGCTCTACGCTGCATTCTTCGTTTCGGCTCTGATCCATCATGTTGGCTCCCTGAATATGCCCTACTGCTCAATGGTGTGGTATCAGTTTCTCTTCTTCATGATGCAGCCTGTCGCAATAACTGTCGAAGATGTTGTCATTATCGTTGCAAACAAGGTTGGCTTGAGAGAAAGTTGTAAGCAACACCAACAAGGAATCCCATTGCTTCATGACGGTTAACTATCCAAACAGGGATTACCCGAATCGTGGGATATGCTTGGGTAGGATGTGTCTTGAGCTTTACTCTCCGATATGTGATCAAAGCTTTCGTGGAAGCCGGACTGGGCGACGCAAGACATCCATTTGTGGCCAGATTCTGCATCATGGACCGTGTATATGGTTAGAGGCATGACTGACGTTGGTTGTGGGGAGACTCTGCCTGGATCTTGTATGTCTGTGCACGCACCGTCTCCATTATTTTGGTGTTGTGTTGACCTGTTCTGCGCCACAGGGTGATTTTGAGTGTTGTTTACGAGCTGAATCACCCTTCTCAGTCGTATATCAGTATGGTAACAACCAGTGCTTGATAGACAGGCCATTAAAGCATGACAATCAGTTTGGCGGTCAAGCAAGACATCGTACATGATTCTGACGTGCATAGACTGACCACCAGTCGGATACAGCGACAAGAGTCGGGGAAGTAGGAGGTCGCGTGTAGCGACGCGTATCAGGTCCAGGACAAGGGACCACAGCATAGTACAGCACAGTAACAGACAAGATGGGGAAGTCCCTTGCAGTGCTGGTTAAGCGAGGCTTGCTTATAGGTACAGACATCCTCTAGTAGATGTTGTCAGTTAGAACTAACAGGACAAACCTATGTTGATGGCTGTATATTGCATTATTATCTTAGCAACTCCGTAGATCCGCAGGTGCATTGTGGCTAGATACCTCACACCTCACCCCACACCCTACACCCTACACCTTACTTACACCTTACTTACACCTTACTCTGTACAGATACCCAACTGGTACTGCACCACTGCAACTCTCATACGTCCCAACTCACTGTACACTGGCACTTCACTGCTATCCAGACTGTTTGTTTGTTTGATGTCCAATGCATCCGTTGTTCCGCCCATTGTACGGACCTAATCCACGCATACGTGGCAGCCCACTGTCCTCTCTGCAGAAAGCATCTGTCCCGCCGACCGAGCACCTCTCCTGACGTCCGCAGAAGACAGTCACCCTCTCAATCCCCTACCGGTATCCGCGTTGGTCTGTCCACCAAGCACGAATTACTTCCGAGTGCCATAAAGGCCGCAGGCCAGCGCACAAATGACGATCGAATTGTCGCGGCATTGACTCTGACCTTTTCCCCCTTCACCGCAAGCCAGAATGCCTGCTCGCACTGCCGACATTCCAGAAGATGTCCAGACCGCCAGACAGGTCGATGGCTTTGGCCTTAAGCCCAGAGTGTCTAGGGCCCCTACGAGCCCGACCAAAAAGGACGAAAGAACAAAGGCTCAGGATGTGGCAGAATTAAAGGACTATCAATTGGGTGACTGTCTGGGCAAAGGTGCTTTCGGTTCCGTGTACCGGGCCTTGAACTGGGGAACTGGCGAGACTGTCGCTGTGAAGCAGATCAAGCTGGCGGATTTGCCCAAGAGTGAGCTCAGGGTTATCATGCTGGAGATAGATCTGCTCAAGAACCTCGACCACCCCAACATCGTCAAGTACCATGGTTTTGTCAAGACCCCCGAAACGCTCAACATAATTTTGGAATATTGTGAAAATGGGTCTCTACATTCAATATCCAAGAACTTTGGTCGGTTCCCGGAAAACCTGGTGGCACTTTACATGTCCCAAGTGCTTCAAGGATTGGTTTACTTGCACGAACAAGGTGTAATACATCGAGACATCAAAGGAGCCAACATCTTAACCACCAAGCAGGGGCTGGTCAAACTTGCAGACTTTGGGGTTGCCAGTCGGACAACGGGTCTTCACGAGTCCAGTGTCGTTGGAACTCCCTATTGGATGGCACCCGAGGTTATTGAATTGACTGGAGCAACGACAGCTTCCGATATCTGGAGTCTGGGATGCACAGTGATTGAGCTTCTAGACGGGAAACCACCATATCATACCCTCCAGCCCATGCCGGCGCTGTTCCGGATTGTGAATGACGACCACCCTCCTCTGCCACAAGGTGCATCCCCATCGGTCCTCGACTTTCTGATGCAATGCTTTCAAAAAGACCCCAACCTGCGCGTCTCTGCCAGGAAGTTGTTGAGACATCCTTGGATTGTCAACGCCAGAAGAACCGACGCGGTCAAACCGAAAAACCCGACCGAATATACCGAGGCCGTCAAGAGTGTTCAGGAATGGAACGATGCGCTGAAAGATTCTCCCAATGGCAATTCTCTCAGAAAGAATTCCAACGCTTCTACCGGCAGCCCGACACCTTCTTCGGCAAAGGAATCTCTTCGACCCATCAAGTCCCAGATCAAAGCCGCTGGTCCATTACTCAACAAAGAGGACAATACGACTCGATTCCAGTCTCTGGAGGACGAGGACAACTGGGATGATGATTTTGCCACCACCATTTCGCCCAGCACATTCCAGCTACCCCATCTTCGACCTCACGATAACTTTGGGGGGATGCTGTCCTCTGAAAGATTGAAGGCGTTCGCAGCGGTCGAAAATGCGATGGGAAAGGAGAATGAGGCTACGGAAGATCAGGACTCGACCTTGAAGGCCTCTGCCGCCAATGCCGAATCGATTAGAACTGTTCGACTGGCAACCTCCAAAAAGCCCGAAGCCCGGCATGCTCGCAACAAATCCGAAGCTCCGCCAAAGGGCAAAAGCAAGCCCATACAGACTCCTCGAAAAGCTTCGTTACCATCATCACGACAAGCCACCAATCTTTCCAAGAATAAAGCTCCACTGCCCAAGGTTCCACAGAATGAACCACCCACTCGACGGTACCGAGAAAGTTCGGTGGAAGATTTCTCCGACATTATCGACGGGAATGAACTGGCTCTGGATACGAAGTTGGGAATGATGCGACTGGATGATGAGGCACCATCGAAAATTCTAAATTCGCCGAGCGTGACGGATTTGATGCAGAGTATGAGACCCCCAAGAGCTGGAGGAAGTCTGAAGAGGGCGCCTGTGCCTAGAAACAAGTTGTCGATGCGGAGGACGAGATCTTCGATTGAGATTCAACGTTTCGCCGAGAACGAGGAGGACGAAGACTTTTCCGACGTGCTCGCACAGACAGCCGCAGTGTTCGAGAAACCCGACAGTGAAGATGGGTCCGAGTTGATGTTGAATTCGAAAATGTCCAATCTGTCCTGGCTGCCGGACGGCGAAGACGACGATGACCCGTTCGCGCAACTCGAAGAAGGTCTGCCTGAAGTGGACCTTGAATCCAACATTGCTCGCGACAAGCATGCCCGGCTAAGGAGCGAGGTGGAAGTTTTGGTTGGGCGGCTCAAAGTCATGCAGGATGATGATGCCCTGTTACAGATTTCTGAAGAGTTGATGAACTTTTTTGACATCTTCTCGGAAACGAAAAGTGTCATTATCAGTGCACATGGAGTGCTCCCGATTCTGGAAATCCTGGAGGATTGTATGCGTCTTGATATCGTGCTTAACCTGCTGAAGATTGTCAACGCCATCATCTTCAATGACGAAGAAGTTCAGGAAAACCTTTGTTTTGTCGGCGGAATCCCCAAAATCAACAAATTCGCGTCGAAGAAGTTCCCTCGAGAGATTCGATTAGAGGCTGCTGCTTTTGTTCGGCAAATGTATCAGACGTCAACACTGATACTCCAAATGTTTGTCAGTGCCGGCGGCTTGACGATATTGGTTGATTTTCTGGAAGACGATTATGATGACGACCGGGAATTGGTGCTTATTGGGGTCAATGGAATCTGGAGCGTCTTTGAGTTGCAAGGATCTACTCCCAAGAACGACTTTTGCAGAATCCTCTCACGGAACTCGGTATTGGAACCATTGTCACTCGTCCTGAACCGAGTATTGAATGAACCATCAGATTCTGGAGACCAAAAGGAACTGGCTGCCTTGTGCGAAGGTCGGATAGCCAGCATTTTCTTTGTCTTCTCGCAAGCCGAGAACTATGTCAAGGAACTCGTGGCGGAAAGGACGGTCTTACATCGTGTTCTCAAGAATCTTAAAAAGATGACGCCGGCACATCAGGTCACCATGTTGAAGTTCATCAAAAACCTGTCCATGTTGTCCACGACATTGGATGCGCTACACAATTCCAACGCGATCGATGTCCTGGCCGAACTCCTGAGCAACAGCATGAACAAACCACATTTTAGAGAGATGTCGAATCAGATCTTGAACACGATTTACAATCTTTGTCGGTTATCGAAGCGACGGCAAGAGGACGCCGCTCTTGTCGGTATCATACCCATCCTCATCAAGATTGTCAAGCAAGAAAAGACCCCGGTCAAGGAATTCGCCCTGCCAATTTTGTGTGACATGGCTCATTCAACGAGGGCTGCGCGCCGTGAACTCTGGCAAAACAAGGGATTGGCGTTCTATGTTTCGTTGTTGTCTGATCCATATTGGCAGGTGACAGCCCTCGACGCCATCTTCACATGGCTCCAGGAAGAGACCGCTCGAGTGGAAGACCATCTTCTGGAGAACCAGAATTTCACCTCGGCCATTGTCGCCGCCTTGACCAGCAGCAAGTCGACTGCGTTTGAAAACCTTCTGGAGCCTCTACAAAAGCTGCTCAGACTATCTCCGCCCCTTGCCGCCTCTATGGCAAGGAGTCCGCAGTTGTTCGACACTTTGGGTCAAAGACTGGGTCACACTAAACCAGCCATTCGTCTCAATCTACTTCGCATAATCGGCAGCATTTGCGACTCGACAGAAGAAGGCTGTTTCCTCCTCGAGCAGTGTGGTCTATACGACGTGATTCGTGAATTATCCTTCTCCGACTCGGCAGTCTTGGTTCGGAGCATGGCAGGAGAGCTTATCCGCTCATGTGAGGAAACGGACAATGTCAGTATTAAGAGTGGCCAAGGAGGCACCACGGCGGCCAATGTTGGTCGACGGAAACATCCCGGCTTTCAACGCCGCACGAGCTCCACCACTCCTCCGCATCTTCTCGACCGTCAAATGAGTATGCCTACTTCTCCTCAGCTGGGCCGTTCTGAGCGTGCGAGCATCACCATGTTTGATGCTCCCGGTGCCCAGACTCCACGAAGGCAGCGCAACGGTATGTATGTCAATGGTGCCAGTGTGATGCGGCCGGCGAGTCGGGATGGGTCCACATACACGCGAGAAAACTCACCTGCACTCCCAATGGCAAGTCTCACGAGAGCGAACACTGCCAGTACGGTGACGGAGACGACAGTGAACAAGAGCAGACTCCCGCGACAGTCTACGGCAACGCCCGTTATAGCGGGTCATCATCGTCTTTCAAGGCAGAGTACGCGTGAAAGTATGGTCGGGTCGGCCAGGGGGTCAGGCCCGGGACCTACCGACAAAGAGGTCAAAACACGCGCTCACCAATCGTCACACAGCCAGAGCAGCGGGCGAAACACTCCAACGACTCTGACGCCGGTGGTGGAAGGGAGGTTCCGTCGACATGGCCAGTCGAGCAGCCTGAGTCAGAGCCAGACGTCTGGATTGACGAATAATAATAACAATACCGGCAATCAGAACAATCAGCATGTGTCGCGTCCAGGATCGCAGCAGACTCAAAGACCAGAGGTCACAGTAGCGAGACGGACCACGGCTCGGCGGCAAGGGGCTGGAGACGACCGCTGGGGCTAGAGTGCGTCTGAATTGTCCCAATCTGTATTTGGACTGGGGTTCGATGTCTGTTGCTTTTTCTTTTCTTGTCTTCAGGTGATCCAATCAGCTCGATAGATTGATGGCCTGGGGTGGGAGACAGAAAGAGATGACTGGATGAACAATGGTCATGATGGTGGAAATGAACACCACCGGAGCCATTGATGGGAGATAGAGGATGAATGGGAGTGCGGGCGAGCACATTTCTCCGGATCCTCTGTTTCTACGATTATGTATTTGCTAGACCTGCACCTGTACAAATAAGGACATAACAGCTCGTGGGGAGGAATGGCGACGACCTTTTGACGAATGTGCGTCCGTCCAGACGTCCAGCTTTGGAATTCGGGTTCGACGCCCTTCCATGGACTGGTAATATGAAATGGCTGAAATGGCGCTTGCGAGAACTGTGAAAGGGGAAGGGGATGGTTCTGGACCTCCTACCTGCTGTACCTCCATAGATAGGTACTTTATGGACCATGAATTGCCTCGCTGGTGTGGCGAGTACTGCATATTCGAATTCGAGCTGGCTAAGCCACCTCCGCCTCCTCCTCCTCTGAGTGATCCGACACTGTAGACATTCGAAAGTGAGAGCGGCAGTAGCAGGAGCAGTAGCCATAATCAGGGCACTGCTCCGTATTTAGTAGAGCCAGTCGTGCATTCTCAAGTCAAATGCGTTCCAAACAATTGCCTCGGTCTCGGCCTCGGCCTCATGTCTCGGATTAGTCAAGCAACTAACAGCGAGGACGTCAATACCGGTAAAAACTCTACGGTAAAGTATCGGAATCCACAAGCAATTAACAGCGAGACCGTATTCTGTAGAATAGTAATCTGTTTCTCGATGGTCGTCAAGGCCGAAGGGATCCATTTGTTTCGATTGTGATACGGTGAGGGTTTTGTGTGCGTGATAATGTGGATGGTTATTGGTCAGAATCTTCTCCACCTCGAGGTAATGAATGATGTCAGTTTTCATCTTTTCATCTTTTCATCTTTTTCCCGCGACCAGCTTCGATCGGTCCCAGAAAGACACAACGGGTCTATCAATGGCAAAGAAATAGCCGGCAGAACTGGAAAGAGGTTTCTCTGATCTGCCGCGAGAGTGCCTGAGGGAGAAAGAGAGAAAATTGCACCCAACTTTTTATCATCAACTGGCGCATGGAAGGTATCCTAAGATGTTTCATGGGTGATCATTTACTCGGGTGCTGCTGCTGGGAGTTAGCGGATCACCACAGCTGAGCCACACTGGAAGGGGGATCATCGCCGCCGGTCGAAAACGAGCGGATACCGGAGCCGGACTCTGTGGCAGATGGGTCCCGTTCTTCGATTCGCGGGTCCGTGGAGCCCGAGTCTCTGGATATTTCCAACGGCCGAAGAAAACATCCGCGCGCAGCCTTGTTCGTTGGCAACTTGTGTGTCAACCCTTGTAATGGAAGCACTTCGAAGAGTTTTTGTTATCCTGGAAACCCCCTCTGGCTCTCTTTCTCTGGCTCTGGCTCTGTGCTTTTTCGGTTGCAGATTCGCTGCCCAGCTACGGACGTGCTCCCCCCGGCGTTCACCGGGTCCTGGCAAGACCATGAAGTCACATCACCCACATATCCGTGACAATTTGATATTAGCGACCGCATTCACGCACGAACACGGCTGAGTTCCAAGGAGAAACAACAAGCTCTGGCAGCCTTCTCTCCACTCGTAGATATAGGGGCAAGATGGGAGGCGTGAAAGATATCTTGGTGGAGAGGTATAAAAATCTGAGCCTCGCCCATTCGGGAACGGCTCTGTGCGGGTTGCGCTGAAAATGACGACAGTGGGGTCTCCTTTAATGTCCAGGCCCGTGTCCATTTCCATGTCCATTTCCATGTGCCCTGTAGCTTTTCACATAGTAACTTTGGCACTCGTGTAGCTCTGGCTGTGGTTGGGTCGTAGATCTCTGGCAGATGGAACCTTGAACTTTGGGAGCTTCCACAGCGAGGTGATACCGGTGCAAATTCCAACCGTGGCGTAGCGTGCCGGGACCTTGAGACCTTAAGTCTTGGGCACCCGTCGACAACAACAAAGTTGTGGAGACCAATGGATCTGACTTACGTCTTTATCTCATCTCCCTCCTAGCATGACCTCAACGGCATAGAAACGCGCGAAATCCGAAGAGTGCTTGATGACAAAAGATAAATAGGTAGGAAGTGCGCTCGGTCAGTATTAGTCCCCCATATAAAAATCAGAGGAAAATCACACCCAACACTTAGACCTACCTTTCCCTCTTCATTAAGAGTGCATTCGAATTCAGAAATCCGATCCCACACAGACGAATAAACTCGACCCTCCATCATGTCGACAGATTACAAATTCCAGGGCTGGCTCGGCCTCGACCCGGACTCAGTCAACGGCAAAATGGTTTGGAAAGAATATGAGCCCAAGCCATTTGAAGAGAACGACGTAGACATCAAGATCACTCATTGTGGTGTGTGCGGTTCGGACATCCACGTTCTGCGCTCGGGTTGGGGTCCGTCAGATTATCCGCTTTGCGTGGGCCACGAGATCGTCGGTGAAGCTGTGCGCGTTGGTCCAAAAGTGAAGGACATCAAGGTCGGCGACAGAGTCGGGGTGGGAGCACAAGCAGGAGCCTGTATGAACCAGAATGGCGACTGTGAATTTTGCGCCGACGGCATCGAAAACCACTGTCCCAAGGGGATTCCGACATACGGTAGCAGATACCCTGATGGAAGCAAAGCTTATGGCGGCTATGCCGACTACTGGCGTGGAAGTGCCAACTTTGTGTTCAAGATCCCAGACGAGATCCCGTCGGATGAGGCGGCGCCCATGCTATGTGGTGGTATCACCGCTTTCAGTCCCCTAAACCAGTATGGCGCAGGTCCGGGGAAGAAAGTTGGGATTATCGGGATTGGTGGCCTGGGGCACTTCGGAATCATGGGTGCCAAAGCCCTCGGCTGTGAGACGATCGTGGCCATCTCGCGGACCTCCGCCAAGAAGGAAGATGCGTTGAAGATGGGTGCCACTGACTTCATCGCCACCGACGAGGACAAAGATTGGGCCACGAAGCATGCTGGTACTTTGGACTTGATCGTGTCAACAGGTAAGCCAGCTTCTAACCACTGATTTGCAAGTGACGTGGGTGCTGACTTTGGTGTTGCAGTTTCTTCTCCTAAGATGCCGCTTCAGCAATATCTCCAGCTGTTGAGATTCAAGGGCGCCCTCGTCCAAGTCGGTGCCCCTGATGACATCGTGCCTGGTTTCAACATGGCTGCCCTCCTCTTGAAGCGGGCCAGCATTACTGGCAGTTATATCGGCGCTCCGGGAGAGATTAAGAAGATGCTGGAGATCTTCGCCAAAAAGGGTGTGCATACGTGGACCAACAACGTTCCCATGTCGGCAGCCAACAAGGCTATCGTTGATATGGAGGCTGGCAAGGCCAGATATAGGTATGTTCTCGTTAACGAGAAACACCTGAAATAGATGGATACTCGGGTATGGCGGTGGAGGAGTTGTAGGCGAATCAGCACCTCCTGGAACGGTTTGCGACAGTCTTGAGTCGTATTCAGCGCTGTAGTCTCTGGTAATGGAATCTGAGACCAAATCCAATGGTATTACCCCTCCTGTGACCGTTCTTCGGCTGTCAGCGTTCTGCCAATGTGGTCGAGCCTTTGTGTCAATCCTAACACTAGCTTCCCGGGCTCTTGGATTGCGCTGAGAGTTTCCGGGAGTCGAGTAGGTAGTCAACAGGTCAGAATGACTCACAGTGCGCCATGGTGGACAAACTCCTTGCCCTCTGTGCATTTGTGAGCGCTGTCGATATCGTGATTCCAGAGAAGAAGAAAAAGGGATGCAAGTCGAGGTGGAAGGATGGTAGTGATGCTAGACACCGCAGGGTGACTAAGCTGCGCTGAAATCATCCAGGATTTCCTCATTCTTGCCCTGCGCTGCGCAATCTCTTGACTGTACACTGTTGCGACCTCGACAGACCTCACTGGACGGTTTTCGATCTATTTTCTGACTGTCTGACATTCAACGACGATCAGAATCTTCGCTCACTGCTTGCTGCCTGCGTCCGGCGTCCAATAAATGAACTGCTTGCATATGCCCCCCACGAAGCGATTCGGACGGCAAAAACAGCTCGGTTAGAAGAAGCACGATATCAATCTTTCCCACGGCCTGGAAGAAGGGGGAACATATGTATCATAGTCTGATCGTCTGCTTGTCTGCCCAGATCAGCAGCACAGTTGTCAACACATATGGACCTTAGGAGTGACTCAAACCACGCAGCCTTGAATGGAGCTAAAGATAGGAAAGAGTTCCGTAACTGACGGTTGACGATTCCACCAGTCCACTCTGGCTGGCTCCAAACAAGGCTTGACAATCTGACATGATCAGAAGCAGCTACTGCAAAAATGTGCTGGTCGACGGCCCGATGGGACCACAACAAGGCTCTGACATGCCTATCTGTACGGTTGCCTGGAAATATGAGGCGGCCTAATGAATCTTCCTGAAGTTCGAGTTGGTCATACAGGTCAGAGACTCTCTTGCTCGGTTCTAACCCCGGCGTTCGACGTCGATGTCACTGAAAAATCTCCGGCGGCATCTTATCACCAAGGAGCACGTGCATCTCCTTCGGATCCGAGGCATCAGACCCGGTCATCTTTCCTGGTGCTTGGTGGGGGCGGGACTTTATCCTGGTGGAAATTTCGACCTCTCTACTGTGATTAACACCCCTGGCTAACGCTCCACGTAGCCGAAGAGATTCTGCATGGTCAGGCCGACTGATTAGTCGTTTCAACAGCCTGAACAACAGCACGGGCACCTCGTTGGAGTTTGATCTGCGAGAAAGTCTGGCCAGCCCATATCAGAAATCAATCATCCCACCCGTGTGTGGAAGCGTATGCCGCAAAGGGCCATCCCTTTTGCCCGCTCGTGTTCATGATTTCATTTTTGTCTCCTCACCAAGCGTTGTGGCTTTCACCCCACGGGCGGGAGCTCCAGAAACGCAAAACAGACGGCTATATGTCGACTGTGAATGGATGGATACGGGGATTTACGGAGACTCCATGTCTTGGAATGACAGGACCCGAACCATCTCCGCGTCACTTCCTTCTGCTTCAAACCTCACAGCATGGTTGGTTAATTTCCGCCGCTTGCCGCTGCTACCATGATATTCATTCGTCAGCTTACATCGACTAATGCTGAGGTCGTCGTATCATTCATTACCCTGTCACCCTGAAGCGACATGGAGCACCCAGCTTATGCCAACCTTGGGATAGGTCACCGAGGAGAATCGATCCCCTCATCCGGGGCGGACGCGGCTTATAGGCCACAGATGTCGTTGCACACCACAGCACGAGGCTGGTCCCATGTCCGGCTTAGGCCGAAAATTACACAATTTTTTGTCTATCCCGTGGCCAAATCTCAATCGGCCGTAAACAAGCAGAAGCAGAACCTATGACTGCCAGCTGTGGATGCTGAGCTCCGGCCATGAGACGGGGTCCCCGGGTTCCAGTCATGACCCTCCATACTATGTATAACCCTGTCCCGTCCCTGATTCTCCGACTCTGGGGGTTGTACTTGATCTTGCTCTTTCCCACATGCGACTTCTAGCACGGGTCACATTTTCCCCTCGATTCAGCAGAGCAACCATTGAATCGGTAGTTGTGTTGCGAAAATGTCTCTAACCACCATGTCGCTCGTCGACCTTCTCTTTCCCCAGGCAGAGCTTGAGGCATTAGGGAATAGATGGCACGAGCCTGTACCTAAGAGAAGGAGGATCGATCCGGACGTTGGACCAGGACATGAGCGAGGGCCAAAGCAGGATCGAGGAGCGACCCTGGCAACGTCTCGGAGACACAACAGTGATTCAGCCGTGTATCTAGGTCGCCGGGGGTCCTTCGCAACAACACGTCGCCGAATGTCATCCAAATCCCACACCAGCACTGCTAAGCGATCCAACCCTGAATTCAAGCCGTCTGCCACTTCGAGCTCGAATACTGCCACTTCGACCTCAAGAAGCACTGCGACTACCAAGACTACTGCTCCTACAGCGAAGTCCTTCCTACCAAGCTTCATCGAGCCATCCATCTTGCAGAACTACCTACAACATCTTCATCCTAACGATCGTCCGCGCTACACTTTGCCAAACCACTCCCAGGGTGAGACCCACAGCCGATCCGATGAAGACGCTCGCCGAGTACCTCAAGAAGGGAAACACGACGAGGATTGTATATCTTCCCCAGGCGCTTTGACGGCCGACACCTCGTCCCCTGCACCATCACACGACCACTGCGCGACACCTTCTCCCGGAATCTATGAGCAGCTGCACTGTGCTCCGTTCAGTCATTTGATCCAGGGACTGCGATGCACCGAGCATGAACGAGATATGGTGAACGATCTTCTCAATCCGAGCCCATCCACGACACTGTTGCCAGCCGAGTTTTCCGGCATCCAGTCAAAACGCGAGGCCGAGCAGATGGACCCTTTCAATGAATGCTACCATGCCGACGAAGGCTACCTTCACACCATGTTCCCTTTTGGGCCCGCTCAATCATTATTCGACTCAGTGCATGATTCCAAGTTCTCGACGTCGTTTCCTTTAATGTCGGACGAGATCAGGGATAGCGATGTACATTCATCCGGTCTGAGCCCCGGGATGGAGGAAGACGGAGAAGAAACCAAATCTCCGGCGGGATTAGTGATACGTGACTACAGCAGTTTCGGTGATGATGACGACGGTGACGACGGTGATCTATTCGACTACGACCGAGCTGCTGGACCACCTCTAGCAACGCCATGAGGAAATGCTGGATGGCATGGTTTGGACCGTGGAATCTCTTTGCTGAGGCGACACCCATCCGCATTTCACAGCACACTTCGAAGAATGCCCAACATTGGCAGTCACCAGATGTACATCTACGGAAGACTAAAAGAGTGCACACCTTCGGGACCCTCGGCACCTTGACGCGTAGCGACGTCGGTTCCGAAGGAGAAAGAGGAATGGAGACCGAAATGAAATCAAATGAAATCAAATGAGAACCCGAATGTCAATGATCGATCATATTTCAGATTTGTGGCTCCAGTCTTATTACATTTTCACGTCTCGGCGTCCCATCTTGACGACGGGTATTTGTGAACTCTTCTGATCTGCTTCTTCCCGAATCCACGAAACATTTATTGCAAGCATGTGAAACAGTCCGGTACCCGGTGCTCATCTTCCACTGCCCTCTTACAGAGTATTGACATGACCGCAACCCCCGGACAAGACAACCCCACAACACCATGTATGATTCCACCTTGATACACCAATCATACGTACGATAAGGTATCTTACTTGTATCACAACGAGCATTCAACTCCCCACCGTGTACCACTTTGTACCGGGGCATCCGCGTGGTTTGAATGACCGACCCTCTTGCCTCATGACCCTGAAGCCAGCCGTTTCTAGCCGCCGGTTATTGCTGATGAATCTGATTCGTCTGTCTAGCCGGTCACCTTTCTAAGGCCAAGCCTGTCAACCACGGCTTTCTCTCCGCGCCACAACTGATCGACTTGAAGGGACTGCATATTACAGAGTACCTACGTATTTATTGGCATTCTTTCCTGGGGGTAAGGAGGATGTAAAGGAGGTCGGGTAGCTTGACTCTGGTTATATGCGGTGGATACTCCTAGATACCCGGTAAATGGTAGTATACAACCGATCACGGCTCTCGGCCCGTCCTGATCTCCTCGGGCTCTACGGGTTTTTGGTACGCGCGGTACGACGGCTATATGCTTTCCTGCATGGATTCATGAACTGAACCAAAGAACACTTGGATCCTCGTGAGGATAGGCTCGGTTGGGTCAAAGATACAAGATGTCATCGATACACTGCTTCTTCTTGGTAGGCAATAATGAACTGGGTTTACAGGATCGAAGGCTCTACGCGGTATGGATACTTGCGATCGAACAACTCCATCCTTCAGTGATTCGATGTAGATATCCTTCGTCTAGCATCTTTTGGTCACCAGTGGGTTTGTCGACACGGCATTGGGAAGGAGGCTGACTTTGTCAACGTCCTGCGCATGCCATGAATGATGGTGCTTGCATTCGATTGCTATGCTGATGATCTAGTAAGCACAAGCTGTTCTGTTTCCTGATATATGACTGCATCCGAAGCGAGACTGGTCTATCCCAATTGCAATTCTCCTGTTAATCACATGCCCACCCCATCTGCAGCCAGAGCGGCAATACTGTCCATGCGCAACATCCTCGCCTGCCTGAGATTGCTCTCCCGCACATCTTCACCTTCCTGGTCGGCCTCCAATTCGTCTTCCAGCCGCGAGACCTCGTCACTGCGCCAGCTGTCGTCGTCTATGCTCGGCACCACCTCCTGCACGGGCAACCGATGATCCAGGATATCACGGGCATTGCGCATATCGCTCTCCCTCGTCCTGGCCAGCGACTCGTCGAACGTTTGGGTGATCCCGGCGGCGAAGTTGCGCTTGGCCACCCGCTGCGAGGCCGTCTCGATGTCCACGTCGACAAACCACGTCTGGTCCATGAGAGCGTGGGCGTCGCGCCACCCGTCAGCGTCCAGAGCCGTGTACAGCCCCTCGAACAGCAGGATGCGCGCCGTGGGCGGGATGGCAATGTCGTTCAACACGGGATCCTTGATGGCGTGGTCGAAGCTGGGCGCGTAGATGGTCCGCGTCTCGGGCGTGAGCGGCTTGCGCACCTGCGTCACCAGCTCCAGATAGCTCTGCGCGTCGAACGTGAATGCCGCCCCGCGTCGGTAAATCGCTTCCTCCGCGTTGGGCATCTCGGCCAGCTGCTTGCGCGTCAGGTGGTAGCCGTCGAGCGGGACCACGAACGCAATGTCCGGCTGCGACGGGTCCGGCGCGACAGGTCGGTTGGGGAACTGTGTGTGCATCGTCTCATGGTGCTTTTTGTTCAGCCCGTGCGCGACGGTCGCCGCCAGAGTCGTCTTTCCGCTACCGGGGATGCCGGCGATGGCGATCATCAGCCGTTGTGAGAGATCGCATTTCGAAAACTTCTCTAGAATTTACATCAGTTGGCAACTTGGGGGTAAACAAGAGACGTAGAAGAGGTCGTCTTACCCCAAGTCTGGTCTACCAGACGCTGGACGTGGGACTCCATCTGACGCTCTCCCCCGTCAACCGGGACGGGAACTGAGGACTGTGTGGCTCGATCAGAAGCCGGACCCAACCTCTTGAAGAGTGTGTCTGTCTTGCGTAGCGATGTAATGGAGGACGGCCAAGACGGTCTGATGCTACCTAGCTGTTAGAGCGTGAGAAGATCTGGGTAAGAAGTGGTGGCTTTTGTCATGATCGCGAATGAAACATGGTTCAAGGCGTGCGTCACAGCGTTGCTCTGGAGAATAGAACTATGATCTCGAAACGAACACGGTTGGTGTAGGTATAAATTGATGAGATGGTTCTGCTGGTCTCAGGTTTGAAGGTACTCGGTGACGGGGATACTGGATGCTGGTTCATGCGAGATAAGGCAATCAACCCGCATATTTGGCAGCCCTGAGTAAAAGAATGACTTGATATCTAGAGATACGAGAAACAGAGTCGCAAGTAGCAAGTGGTCGACGTCGATGCGGAGGCGGAGCTTCATTCTTCCGTACCGTAATCACGTGTGGTCCCGTGATCTGGGGCCCCTTGTTCCCTGCGCCTTCTCCCCCAGGTTTCCACACGGGCGGCCGTCTGTCTTCCATCAAACAACCTCGAACGTTGTCGCATTCACTCATTTGCGCCGTGTTTGTCATTGTCTTCCAGCAAGCGTGATTTTTGTTTATGTCCCAGTCAATCCTTCAGTTCGTCTTTGTTTTCGGCCACTCCTTGCGTCGTCGGTTTCACGAGAAAACCACCAAAGCAACCCGTCCTCTTCACAAGCGAGTCCTTTCTTGCGCCTTTGATCCTCAAGTGATTACCAGTGATACCCCCATCAGCTATCCACTATGAAGAACATCTCGGTCCTCCCTCTATTGCTCGCCTTTGCTGTTTGCGTCTTTGCCGATGTTCCTCCAGCCTGTCTCCTCAGCGCAGTCAACACACAAGACGATCCTGGTGATCTTGCAGCCGTCTGCGGCAAGGAGGCTACCGATGTTCAGAAAGCCATTGCCAGCATTTGTGGTGCGAATCAGTCCGTGGCTCAGTCTGCTTTCATCGCTACTTGCTCGGGTGCCGGTTCTTCAGTTGGTGAGTTTTGTGCCGCAGGAGAGACGCTGAATAAGAAAGGAGCACCACAAACTAATTACACCTGCGTTTGCTTCCAAATTTAGCTCCTTACACCGCAACCTCGACATCCTCGAACAGCCTTACGAGCGGTACTTCGTCCTCCAGCGGAACCATCTACGTTACATCCGGTACCGGCGGCGCAGCTGCTACTGCTACTGCTACGGTGACGGGCTCTGCTTCTGCGACCAGCTCAACCGGGGGCAGTTCGGCGACTGGAAATGCAGCTGCAGATGTCAAACAAGTGGGTAGCTTCGCTGCTGCTGCTATCGCAATTGCCGGGGTCGTCGCTGTTCTGTGAAAGGACACCCCACAATTGACTGGTCTGACACTGAAGTCTTTCGCCGCGTTGATCAGGCAGGGCATTTGGCGTTTGGTTTCCATGGTTCAGATGTTACGGGGCACAGAATATGGTCGCTACGGGATCCTTGCAAGGCAGGCCTTGGCGGTCAGAGCCGATGGATTTTGCGACAACCATGGACGGGCGTGTCAAGACTTGGCCTTGTCCCTATGGACTACGATTGTACATTTTACCATCCTCTTTCTTCCTTCTGGAAGTTTGTTTCTGGGTACGGGAGTGACGGCCCTCTCAAATATCACATCGTCTACCTGACAGATCATGCTGGGCTTGCTGGTCAGGACTGATCTGTTCTGTCTTCAAGAAGACTGTGGTATGCTTTCTTTTTAGAGCTGGCTTTGGCCTATCATCAGACCGTATGTACAAGGACATAACCTCAAAAAGCAACCTTGATGCAGCTGTTTTTCCAAAATGCGAGACGGATGTGGCCTAAGCCCTACGCTGATCAACCACTGAGCAGGAATCAGACACGGTTTCATCAGCAACCTCTCTGCCGGCCATGATATAATCCTCCCGTCGAAACAAGCATTTCCCCCTCGTAAAGGATACGGTGTTGAACTTCATGCAACGCCAAATTCCTTTGTCTGCCTGTACCGTAGCCTTTTTCATCTAACGATCATGTCTTCTCGCCTAGGCCCTGTACCAATCCACTTGACCGGGATGCCAACCTCGGCTTCGATATACGCGACATAGTCTCGTGCTTCGACCGGCAGCTCCTCAAAGGTCTTGCAGCCAGTAGTCTTGGTCTGCCAGCCCTTAAAGGTCTTGTACTCAATCTCCAGTCTCTCCAGAGCATCGAGGTCGGCCGGGAAGCTATCAAGAACCTGGCCATCCACTTTGTAAGCCGTAGCAACGCGAATGACATCGAAATCGTCCAGGACATCGAGCTTGGTCAGATTTATTTGCGTGTAGCAGTTGACGGCGGCCGAATACTTGACCAAGACCAAGTCGAACCAGCCACAGCGACGCTTGCGACCAGTCGTCACGCCGAACTCACGGCCAATACGCTGCAGACGCTCACCATAGTCCGCGTCGACCGGGGAGATGGCGGCGTCCAGTTCAGTAGGGAAGGGACCGGAGCCAACGCGGGTGGTATATGCCTTGACGACACCGACGATGTTGCTTCCCGGCGCGGACAGGGATTGCGGAGACAAGCCAGCCAGGCCGGTGAAGACGCCGCCGAGGCCAGTATTGCTCGACGTCACGTACGGATATGTGCCATGGTCGATGTCGAGGAGAAGGGCATTGGCGCCTTCGATGAGGATGTTCGGCTGGGGAGCGGCCTCGCCGACTCCAGTGCCGTTCGCCTTGACCACCGCAGCCTTGGTGCCCACCGCCTGGGCGAGCAGAGGCGTCTGGTCGACGACATACTGCTGCAACTCGGCTCGGAGGGCACTGAGCTTCTCGATCTCGGCCTCGACGCTATAGCCCTGCAGCGCGGCATCGCCGTAAAGTCGACGGTAGTTGGCCTCCAGGTCACGCAGCCGCTTGACCCAGCGCTGCTGTTCGTTGACCAGCATCCAGAAAGTGACACCACGACGGGCGACCTTGTCGCTGTAGCATGGGCCAATGCCCTTGCGGGTGGTGCCGATCATGCCTTTGCCGCCCTCGACGGATTTGGACTTCTCTTCGGCCACCCCGTCCACCACGCCGTGCAGGTCGAAGCAGACATGGGCGCGGTCACTGATCAGGATGCGTTCCCGCACACCTTGTAGTCCTTTCTCTTCTAGTGCCTTCAGTTCCTTGAAAAAGCTGGGGATATGTACCACGCAGCCCGTGCCAATCAAGTTGATCTTGCACGACGGGTTGATCAGGCCGGATGGGAGGATGTGGAAGTCGTAGGTCACGTCGTTCACCACGATCGTGTGTCCGGCATTGTTCCCGCCCGCGGCACGGCACACCAGGTCGGCCGACGTGGCGAGGATGTCGACAAGCTTGCCTTTGCCTTCGTCGCCCCATTGCGAGCCCAGCACGAGCGTGACAGGCATCGTGGCAGTTGATGTGAGATCTTTCTTGCTACTTGTAAACAATTCAATGCGATCTGCGAGATCCGAAGGTGCGTCGGCAGGGAAGGAAAAGGGAGGGCAAAGTGGAAGACGCTTTTCAGATCGATATCCTCACTATCATGGCGCAATGGAGCCGGCTCTGTGGAGTGGGAAGAGGTACAATGAGGTTTCAAGACGCAATTCAATGGTCTCACGGTTCGAGGTGGTGGGGGTTGAGTATCGGTATCAGAGTGGATGAGTCTTTTTGTGTCAAAAACACGCACGAGGGGAAATTTTCTTGGGGATCAAGGAGCCATGTCCGCACCGGCAGTACTACAGCTTTGGCGGGGGTTTTTGATTGCTTTTCCCTCCTTGTCTCATTTGATGCTCGGCAGAGACACAGTTGACGTGCTCTGCTGCCTTTGGAACGCGCCTAGATGGGTACAGCATGTCCATGGGATTCGACGGTTCTGAAATGAAAGAGTCCTTCAAACGTGATATATCTTCAATACAAAATGATGGGACCGGCCATTTCATTACATCCTCAATCCTCCTCTCATCTTCGGCGTGATGGTCAGCCACTGGAACTGCATCAGAAACGCAATACAAGACTTCAGCTGTGTCTATTTGGCTCTGATATCAATATACAAACTCTTGACCGACCAAGGCTTCACTGAGCTTCCAGCATCTATCTGCATTCGTCTTGTCCAAGGCATACGGAGCAACCCATTTCGGGTCGGACGTTACTTGGGTGTCTGTCAAGTAAATGCCCTTGTCCACTGCCCACAAGTCAGCACGTTCCTGGGACAGGTGAATCGCATCCACTAACCTGAGAGCGTTGGGTCAATTGCTGCCCTGATCGAAGTCGAACATCCTTGTTCTGGTGTTTTTGTCTGCGGCATCATAATTCCAGTCTGAGAAGCGACAGCCATACTCTCCTTGAGTATCTCAGGTGTGAGGAAACGGTGGAGATTGGTCGGTACGCCTGAGTCAATCAGTCTGTTGATGCACTTGCTATGCCCCTTTAACAACTGGACACCTACTTCCAGGATCAACCGCAAATGCTGTCAGACCCTTCTTCCCCAGTCTGTCATTCAAGCCCACAGCCATCAGGATATTGGCGGTTTTGGATTGCCCGTATGCCAGAAACGGATTGTACTCCTTGCCGTCATTGAAGGTGGGATCGTCGAACACATCCGACAGGACGTTTCCATAACTTGAGATGTTGACCACTCTGGCACTCGCACTCTTGTCTGTGGTGACGAGCTTTGGTACGAGCAAATTGGTCAGGAGAAAGTGACCAATGTGGTTTGTAGCGAATTGTCGCTCGATCCCGTCCTCTGTCTTAGAATATGGACACGCCATGATGCCGGCATTATTGATCAGGATGTCTATCGCGGGAATGGTTTCGTCTTCCAAAATGTGTTGCGCGGCTTTTCGGACACTTTTCAAAGAGTCAAGGTGTATCTCAACGAATTTCGTCTCAATACTCGAATCCAGCTCATGGATCTTGTCAATGACTGGTTGGATCTTATCAAGGTCTCGTCCTAGCAGCACAAACATTGCGGGAGATCCTTTCGCCAGTGTGATCACCGTCTCAGAGCCGACGCTTCCCCAGCTGGGGCCTGTAATCAAGACTGGTGGTTTGATCAGTCTCCTGCAGCAGCTGATCGTTCTCGCTTGACTCACTTGTCTTGCCTCTGATGTGCTCCTTAAAAGTCGCGACCACCTCATCGCCAGTGGTCTCGAACCCAAACTCAACCATTGCTGATGTTCTCTTGCCTCAAGCGTGTCTTGGGTTCTGGATACTTAAATCGCTCTGCTGCTGACCTTGTCTGAGACCGCAGTCTTGTTGACATTCTCTCAGCAGGACCCCCGAGCTTGTCTTATATCCCCGTCATCCAGGCCTCCAGCATCGACTTGATCCTGGACTCCACCATATGCAGTATTCGGACAATGAAGGCGGCGTTTGCGGCTTTAATGCACGAAGCTGATTGGTGGCTAGCCCGTTTACTAACCTGGCTGCTGCAAGGCTGCAAGGCTGCGAGGCTGGCGGCCCCCGACTCCTTAACTCCAGCATTGTGCATACGGTACTTCCCATCGCATCATTAGATGTGAATGAGAGGTCAGCACCATCCGTCTTCGTGGAACTATGGTCAGGCACAAAGGAAAAACCCACATGGCATGGAAGTATGTAAGACCTACTAGACGTGCCCCATCACTCTACATACAAGGAGCCATCTCACGAGCAGAAGAGGAGCTCATTGAGTTCTCAACGTGCTTCTGCGAGGCGCCACTGAGAACCGGAGCAGCATGGTGGTGGCGGCGAACACCATCTATAGACGACTAATGACCATGTCGGTGTTCATGTCGTGTCTTTAAGAAGCGGTTGCACAGCCTTACCATCAGCGCAGATGGTTATCGCAAAGATATACGTGGCGGCCTCTTCAGGTTCAAGCCAGCTCCCACTGTCGACAGATATGTGCTGACCCTCACAAAGAGTCTTGGACATCAATCATGCAACACAGGTGAGTGCTTTCTACTTCACTGCAACCTCTGACTTCTCTCTGATCAACTTGACTTGACTTCTCTTCCACCCTCTTACACCTTTATCATCAACACTGTCATCGCACTGTCCCGCGTCTACAACACGACGCCGACAGTACTTTACGTCTTGTCAGCTATTCGTGGCCTAACTGACATGCTTCTCTGGTCGCGTGGACTTCACGGATGAGCAAGGCGCGAGGAGAAGAAGGATTCTGACTTGGTTTCTTTCATCCCGCAACCACTCCACCCAAGACAGCTGGCATATGGCTGAACGACAAGTCAACCATACCGTGCTGCTGCTCAAGATTCCAGGTACGTAAGAGACAATCTTATAGGAGTGCTATGAACTGTGCTAACAACAGCAGTGGCCAGATCCCTGTTCTCAAGTGAGGACAGATCGCGACGACCTTGGCTAAACATAGTCTTACCTTATTGCCTGCGCGACAGAGCTCACCTTTTCCTCCTCATCATCCCTCCTCACAGCCACGTCATGCAAGAACAGCAGCAAGACAGTCACGGCGCAATGGAGCAGACTCTAGAAGATGCACCTCCTCACAGCGTCAAGTCCGGCGACGACAATATTGCCAGCGATAACGAGTATGACGGTGACATCGACATGAGCGATGCAGAAGACAGCACAGACGAGGAAGACAATACCACTTCACAATCCGAGTCTGAATCTGGATCTGAAGCCGAATCTGGATCTGATTCTGACTCTGAATCCGAGTCTGAATCTGAATCCGAAGAAGAAGGCGAAGATGAACAGAACCAATCGCTTTCCCATACCAATGGCCATGCACGTGAAAGTGACAGCGATAGTGAAAACGAACATCTCACTATCACCGAACGTCTCCTCATCTTCAACGCCGACAGCAAAAACATGACCCCAGCCGAAATGCTACGCCACGTAGACAAACTGAGGAAGGCGATGGACAACAACACCGAGGATCACATCGACCCCTGGGCGAAGCGTGTCTTCACCACCCGTGTTCTCGACACTGTCGACGACGGCGTCAAGTTCCTTCGCATGATGCACCGCAAGCTACGCCAACTGTTCCAGAACGCCAGTGAGGAAGAGAAACCAGGCTGGGATGCGAAACTGCAGACATTGGACTTCAACATTGCCGTGCTGCGGGGGTGCTCGGTGGTGGCGAGAGCCGGGATGATGGTCGAGGATCGAATGAGAGAAGCCATGATTGAAGATCCTGGTTGCAACTTGCCTTGTTGTGCGGGTCGCAATGACTCAAGCCCAGGACAAGAGGCGTCAGAGGCCTGAAAACATTGAGTCAGACATGTCCGTGGCAGTGTCGCTCTCTCTGTGAATCTGGCTTGAGAACTTGAGCTGAGATTCCCTAAACACGGAAAAAGAGATCATCGACGCGACGGCAGGCTGATCATATGTCTGCAACAAGAGAAAGAGAAAGAGAGCTATTCTCACAACCACGGCTGGAGACAAGCAGAACCATTCTGCAGAGCTTAGAGCTAGAGCTAGAGCTAGTCACTCAAACGAGTGGTACATCTGTCCATGTCCATATCCCTTTCCAAGCCATGAGTCGAGTCCAGCCCAGCCCAGCCCAAACGCCACATGCACTCCTTATTCAGTGATCTTAGAACCCGCGAAACCCTACCATACGCATGAGTGATGTCTGCACATAACGTTCCCCCATCCTCCCATCCCATCCGTTGTTTCATTACTTCGCCGATCCCGTCATGACTCCTTTCTTTGTAGATACCCATTCATAATCAAAGCCATTCTCCGTCTTGCTGTCTCTAGTCAAATTCTGTCATCTGATAATGAACCACTTTGTCAACTCGTCTATCGCGTGCATAAATCTTGGATACACCGTACGCCCTGCATCTTAACCTCCGTTCCATCGTAAGCATTGAACTTCGACTCCTCAGTCCCATGGCAGATGTCACCCTAGCTTAAACGCCCCACCTAGCCAATGAGTAGGAAGCCTTCGTGGCGGTAGCATCATGGGACGTTTCTTTCGGAAGCGTAGTACTCCATCTATCCTGGTTCCGAACAGTAGATATAGTACGCCGACGCCGATCCAGGGAGGTGTCTGTAAGATAGAAGGGCAGGCGACAACTTCACCTGTCTTCAGTGGTATTGCGGATCAGGTTTCTTCTCGCGGTGGTTGATAGTCTTCGACATGACTAGAATCGATCACCCATCATCTGCCTGGGCGCGAGCGGCCGAGAATCCAATCCGAACCCGTCCACATCCACATCATCACGGCCAGTCCCCTGCACACGCATGTCTTCATGAGATCTGAGACGATCTGGGACACGGCGAGGTGTCAGTCGGCCAATTTCTCGGTCGTTCGCATCATGCTCACTCTCCCAGCTCGTACGCCCGCGATAGACAGCTTCGAGTTCAGCTGAAGTTGGCACGGAGGGAAGAGGTGGCGAAGACAGAGGCTGTGCAGGATAATAGGGCAACTGGGATTGTGAGTTGAAGCGCGAGTGAAGAGGCGATTGGCTTTCGTGGCGGTTATGGACGAGAATGCCGGGTCGTGAAGTTTCTCTCGACTTCGGCCGTGATAGTGGGGGAGGAGTGGAGATGGCGTTGGGAAGACTCAGGTTGGTCGTGCTGTTGTTGACGATGCTGTAAGACCGGGCGCGCGGAGGTGGTGTGGTGGATGTCGATGGCGGCATATTGAAGTTGAATGTTTTGTACACTTCCAGGTCACTCTGTTGTGGGCTTATTGGGCCTGCGCTGTCAGGGACCATGGTCGTTGCTCCGCTCGAGACAGTTGTGCTCCGAGCTTTGCGTTGCAGGGCTTCTTGAGGCTTGTTTTGCATCGCTGGGCCACCTGCACCTGATGGAGGTCCTCCAGGCGGCCCTTTTGGAAGTGGAGCTGCTGGGTAGAAGATCGACTTGACCACAAACGCGACACTGATTATGACGCCTAATCCACCCAGACCGACACCCATCAGCCAACCGCCGCGAATGCCGGCCATAGGGCTGTGGCCGTGGTTGTTGACATGGACCTCCACAGTTGATGCCAATCCAAGCCCAAGCGAAATAGAGTAGTTGACGACGGTGCTGATCAGACTGCCCGCCACGCCCTGCTGGTGAGGCGGGAAGAAGTTGGACATGATCAGTGTTGCGGCCGGGAAAGACATGTCCATCCCAAACGGCATGATAAGTAGACTGACAAACGTCCAAGTCCAGTATGATGTCCTGTTGACGTTCGGGTCGATGGCGAGCAGTAGCGGACCCAAGGTGAAAGCCACCAAGGCCCAGAAGAGGGTCCACGAGGGCCGACACTTTCGCATCATCCAAGCGGTCAGGATGGAAGCAATGAACGCAACGGGCACGATCGGCACGACGTGTAATGCAGCTTCGAGCGGAGCCTCGCGTTTGATCCCGAGGAGAAATTTCCAGAGAAACCATGTCCAGATCCCAAAGGTTGCCCAACCACATGCAACGGCACCGAGAACGAACCCGACATCAGCCTTGAGCATCTTGAATGGTACCAGTGGTTGTGCAGCAACTCTGAGCTCGATGACAATAAAGAATGCAATCAGCAGAAAGCCGATGATGAGAAGCATGAAGATATATTGAGTGCTCCAACCAGAGGCCGGGGCTGAGACCAGGGAGACTTGGATGCAGATTAGTCCACCGACTCCTGTAATGGCGCCCAACCAGTCCATGTCTCCCAGCTTCTCTCTGACAGGTCGCATCTGCTTTGGCGTAGGTGGCGGAGAAGGCAGAACAAGTTGCGCCAGGGCAGCCAAAAGACAGCTCACGATGGCGAGAGTGTAGAAGCTCCACCACCAGGACAAAAATCTGGCGAAAACAGCACCAAAGATCATCCCCATATATGCGCCCACAGGTGCACAAAGGCCGAACAATGTGAAAGAGAAAATCTTCTGTTTCGACCCTGGCGGATACGTTCGTCCCAACACGGCAAGACCGTTTGGAACCATGAGACTTGCGCCCACACCTTGGAACCCTCTGGCTACAAAGAAAAGCTCATACCCTGCGTAGTGACTCAGGCCAGCAACAACGCTCCAAGTACTGAGGAAACAGTAGCCAATCACTACCATCATCTTGTGGCCAAAGATATCCCCGAGTCGGCCTCCAACGAGGATGAATGTCCCAAAGGATAAGGCGTAGGCGGCGACGAGCCATGGGAGCACCGAAGGGTTGGCGATCGAAAACGACCTCGCAATACCATGACTTACTGGGAAGACTGTCGTCAAGGTCGACTGAGGGATTAGTTGAAGAAATGCCACCATGATATTGAATAGGATTTCTTGCTGTCGCGACATGCTTTGACACAGCCAACCACCTGGAGGTCCCGGGGGTCCACCTGGGGGTGCTGACGGCTTCTGTGATTCTGGAATGCCCTTTTCCGTCATGCCGGACATCTTATCGACAGTCTGCTGGGTGTTGGTATGTAGAGGATGACGTGGGGGAACGGACAGCTTCAGTCTATCCTGGCCTTCGGAAGACATGATCAAGGAGGCAAATGATTCATGTGTTACAAAACCTCAGTGACACTCAACAAAGGGAAAGGAATAAAGAATAAGGCGGTACGCGGGATAAGTACTAGGTAGCGAGTCCCTCAGGGCAAGAACAAGGCGTCATATGTGATATACAAGAATACACACGGTAGAAAGGCCGGGGGCGTACCGCGAGGATAAGATGAGGCAAGGATTGCTCCCAAAGCATTCTGCATGTGCATCGGCGCGCCGACTCGCCGTTGGTATTGTTAGAATAGTTTTGGCCCATATTCGCAGTCTGCCAGAGATTGACTCTGCAGGAACATATCCTACCAACTCCTGCTCCCAGGGACGGTACCACGACTGGCAGGGTGGGTCATCCCGGGAAACTTTGTCGGGGAAATGGTACTATGGTCTAGCAAGCCACCTCATTTTGAATACTGCGCCCGAATGCAGAACTCGGCTTGGACTTAGACGTAAACAGACAGCGCGCTCAGGTGGTAGACTCTTGGAGGAACGCGGGAAAGGCTTTCTTGGTTTCGATGGAATGCTTTTTGGATGTCGTTGCACACGTCTAGTAGACCAAGCGCGGGACAAGTATGATAGGATCGTCCAGCCATTTCCAGACTAAGCGTGCCAATCAGCCACAGTACTAGTAGTCAGCAAACGGTTCGTCGATAGTCATGATGATCCCAAACGACAATCTTTGCCTTACGGCGGCCTGCAAACATGGGGCCCAGGCCTGATCTGATGTCGAACCAGGTACGTACTGCCTGCCGTACTGTAGTCCCCGGTCAACACGGGCAACGCTAGCAGATGGTGTGTTTTGTGGCGTCAAGCTGGACAACCACTCACGACGCGGTTGGAGACTGAAACGAACCGCAGAGACGAGCGTGGTGATGGAATTGGCAGCAGAACAATCCATGGGCAGCTCTTCGTCTGCTTCTCGTTTCTGGACGAAGTCGGCGAGTCGGAGTTTCGAGGAGATTTGATTAAGCAACGCGGTGGAGCCCGGAGATTGGGCCGCTAAGCTACAACAGGACTAGTGCTCGATTGAACCGGACGCCAAGACCTGTCCGGATTCTTCTCCCTCTCGCTTGTTCGTTCAACAATCGCATCCTCGCACGGCAGACGGCAGACGACCAGGGATTGATTGACTCCTGTTGTCCGCTTTCCTTGCTGGTCGCCAATACAGGCAGGTACTGGGCAGGTAACACAGGAGTACCGAGTACTACTGTTGGAGGGTTCCTTCTCTTGAGTCTTCCTTTCGTCAGGGCATATGTCTCTGCCATCCGTCACGCTATATATGTTCTTCCTCTCAATTGCATGCTTCCACCGAGTGTCGAAACCCAGGAGTCATTGGGTACACTCTCCATGTGCAATATGGTGAGACCTGTCCAAGTCAGGAATGCTTCATGCAACTCTCCAACAGCATGGCGACGACTGGGTAGGCTCATCATTTTGGCATTGTTGGCTTTTCTTGAGCACCCACCAACGATTGTGGTCTTATCGCAACGTGAGCACAGTACGATAACTGAAACCAGATGCGGTAGTTTGCTGCTGCGGAAGGCTACAGTACTGAATCATCACTATTCATGATGTGACCACGCTGTACATGGAGGGAGCACTTTTACACGCTGTGTACAACCAGGATACCAAGCCCTGAACCCGGCGGAAGTTTTCACAAGACGGAAATGCGATTGTCAAATATCAGCCACTTTATAAGGCTGCACCTGTTTCAGTCAAGCCCAAGAGATCTTCAACCATTGGTGATCATCTCCCTGATAAGCAAGCGATAATAGACTCTGGCTGCCAAAAGAGGTGCTTATCAGAGTTAAGCGTGAAAGAGGTGGGACGGTGCCTGAGAAAGCTTACCACTCAACATGGTTGTCGACTTTTCGCGTCATCCCCTTCCCTGTCTGCCATATTTTGGTTCGGGACTCTATCAAACCTTTCCTTCCCGCACAGCGCCACGCCGCGCAAGACCAACGGTGGGCGGCCTGAGATGTATCTCCTAGGTCCAATCTTACAATTCTGGAGGGATTGCTTGACAAGCTGAGACATCGGAGCTGAACACGACACGTATGACAGACCTTCTGCAAGCACTCCAACTTCTGACTGGGTCCATTGATTCGTTTAGTGACCCTAGCTTCTGTGCGACGACAAAACGTGATATCAAGCATTTATGGTGTCGCAGGAGTCACTTCCTTTAGTTGTCTCACCACCAGACTGAGCTGGGCGGACGAATCTCGAACACAACCCTCTCTCCATGGTCGGGTCCAGGTGCAAGATGCTGGAACGGGGTCGAAACAGACTAGAACCGTATCTGCATCTTACCCCAAACTAAAGGACAACATGCACGGTGACAGGTATGACGATTCGTGGACAGCTAATGGTGCAATTGTTCTAGTTCCACCTGGACTCGGTCTTCCTGCATATCAACATCCTGGCTTTGCAGGCACCCGTCAACCTGTTGCCTCAGCTGCCTTGAAAAGTTTCTGCAACGAACTGAATGCTTTCTTTGCGAAAGGCCCCATGTCGTCTCCATACTTTTCCGGCCCTTTGGCATCAAACACTTCGACCGAGACCCAACTCCTGAAGCCCGTTTGGAAGACTGCCCGGGTGAAGTCCTCGATGGGCAAATATCCGCCGTCGTATGGGATGGGGCGATAGTCATGGCTCCATTGACCTCGAGGTCTTAATCCACTCTCATCCGGCTTGTCTTCCAGAGGTGGCTCTACCTTGTATGCATCGGAAATCTGCAAAAAGAAGATTTTCTCTGGCGGAATGGTTCGGGAGAGTTCTTCACAACTGGCCTTCCACCTCTTGTCCAGCTCACTTTTATCCACGTCCTCAATCAACCCAGATTTCGTGGTCGGACTTCCCCATTCTCCCCCAGCGCTCTGGAAAGTATCCAGGCATAAACCAATGTTTGGTCTGTCAGCTCTCTTGACGATGTCCCAGACGTCCTTCCAAGTGGGAGCGTAAGTTGCCCAACACCAATTCTCGTATGCGATTTTGAAGCCTTTTTCCGCAAAGATATCTGCCAGTTCCGCCAAGTCAGATGCCATGTCATCGAAACTGGACGAAATCCCTTCGGCGTCGGACGACCCAATCTATCATCAGGCGTCAGCATATTCACGTCTGTCAACCTTACTGTGGAATGGTTTTGGAGTGTCCCCTACCTGCAGCATATCTGTCCCGACGGCGTCCATTATCGACATCCAGCCCTTCGCTCGCTCAAAGGCATCCTTCCTTTCCTCGCTCCCCTTGGGCCACCCTTCGAAGTTGGCAAACGGTTGCAAAATAAGGACCTTCAAGCCATGTTTCTCGCACAGCTTTCTTATTTCTTGTCCCACGGGTCGAAGTGTTGCATAGTCTTTGGGATCGATTTCTGATTTGGTTTTCGAGATTTGTTGACCATATGTCAGAATGTCGGGCATGGAGAGTTCGATTGCATTGAACCCAGCTTTGGCGATGGCTTTGAGCTTTGCCGGCAGCGTGTGCTTTGATTCGTCATGTCCTATCGAACATGAGGCGTAACAGACTGGAATCTTCTGTCCCATGAACTCAGTCATTATGGGGTGAGAAGAATTGTCACAGCACTCGTAAGTCAGTCCACCGTTTCTCTTGCTTGCCAGTTTTTATTCGAATCGAGTGTTTCTGAACGTTTGATGATGTTGCTTTCACTATACAGTAGGTCGTTCAGTGAATACACTTGTCAACGTTCTTCTCACCTTTCAAACGTCAAGTATTTTGCATCATTTCTTCTTCTTCAGACATCGTCACCCTGTAATATCAGATGAAATAGTCACAGCATCACTGGCACTACGAGAGATGCAGTCACCATTGTATGACGTCACTCTCGCGTCAGTCCCTGATGGCGTAAATGCGACCCATCAACCGTCCAGTATCTTGAGGCAAGTGGTGCATCTGTCCATATCTACTTCATACTGACGCAGTCATGTGGATATCGGCTTTCCATCGATTCCTGTTTCTTTGGGTCGGGTCGAGATAAATTTTTGACATCCCGCAGGTATCCTCAAAGCGACAAGACGTGCGATCAAGAAACTTTCAAGTGTAGTATAACACGTTGATTCAACTCTAACAAGACCTTTCAAAATATTAAAACCAACAAGATGGGTGACAGTGGGCCCGAGTTCAAGAAGGTATGTTCTTTTTGGCTCCTTGGTAGCATTGATCTTCCAATGGCCTCTGGAAATCGACAGGAGCCACTACAAACAAGATGCTGACTATTTCTGTCATACAGCTTGGCATGATTGGCGTAGGGAGCATGGGTGGGATGATGTCTCTTTTATATGCCGAACATGGCGTTGAAGTCCATTACTATGATCCCAGTATGTGGTGCCTACCGTTTCTTGGAAGGCCCCGAAGCCTTTCAGAGCTCACAACTTGAAGCAAACGCTAATTACGATGGCATGGTGAATAGAGGAAGAAAACGCCGACGCTTTGGAAGAAAATGCAAAAGCAATCCATCTCGAGAAGAGTGTGGTACGGCAGAAAGACTACAAAGACCTGTGTGAGAGTCTTTCCTCTCCCAACTCACCCAAGCTTTTCGTCTTCAGCACTCCACATGGCTCCGTGGGCGACGAGATCGTCAAGGGACTACAGCCGCACCTGAACATGGGCGACATCATCCTCGACTGTGCGAACGAGCATTGGCAGAACACCGAACGACGACAGGAGGAACTAGAACCTGACGGGATCCACTACATTGGATGCGGTGTCAGCGGCGGGTATCAGAGCGCAAGATCCGGTCCGTCCATGTCGCCAGGAGGGAACGCCGAGGCGTTGAAGAAAGTGCTGCCCTTTCTGCAACGAGTTGCAGCCAAGGATAGACAAGGCCGGCCGTGTGTGACGGCGATCGGACCAGGCGGAAGTGGGCACTACGTGAAGATGGTGCACAACGGAATCGAACAGGGCATGTTGTCGGCGATTGCGGAGGTCTGGTTTATCATGAACAGGTGTCTGAAGCTGAAATATGAGCGGATTGCCGAGATATTTGAATCGTGGAACCAAGACGGCCCCTTGCAGGACAACTTCCTCGTCTCGATCGGCGTCGACATCAATCGCACCAAGGACAAAGACGGCCATTTCGTGCTGGCCAGTATTTTGGATAAAGTGGTCCAAGACGTCGACAACTCCGAGGGAACTGGAGTCTGGACCTGCGAGGAGACGATGCGGTTGCATGTCCCATCGCCCACGATCGCCACTGCACATCTTTTCCGCCTCGCTTCAGCTGATGCAGCCCGGCGCCTGGCCGTGAACAAGTCCTTCAACGGCGGCGTGCAGCCCGGCGTGATCAAACTGGAAGTGCCACACGAGAAGTCTCTGCCGTCATTCATCGAAGACTTGAAGCTCGCTCTGTATGCGGCGTTCCTGTCCTCGTTCGTCCAAGGTCTTCAGATCATCAAGGCCATGGACCACGAGAAGGGCTGGAACCTCGACTACCGTGCAATCATCCAAATCTGGCGCAGTGGCTGCATCATCACCAGCGGGTATATCTCCGATCTGCTGGACGGGGTGTTTGCGCGACCTGACCACGACGACGACAATCTGCTGGCCAACCAAGAACTGGGCGACGAGCTGAACAAGTGTTTCCCTCCACTGAAGAACGTCGTGCTCAAGAGTCTTGAGGCCGACGCATACATTCCCTCCCTAAGCGCCACGCTCGAGTACTACAAATACTCAGGCTCGACGGAGCTGCCCACCCAATTCATGGAGGCCGAGCTCGACTATTTCGGCGAGCATAGCTTCGACCTCAAATCCGAGGGGCCCGGCGAGCCTGTCAAGGGGAAACATCATTACGAGTGGAAGCCTGCGGAGGGAATAGCCGACGAGAAACAAGAAAGTAAATTATGAGGAATGAATCTAAATCAGCATAGTCAGCGTAAAATGTTATACACAGACCAGACCTGCAGATAGTTCTCCTTGACCCGCCCAAGTCTACTCTTCTCTCAAATCTGAGAGACAGGTCTATCTCTATATATCAATGATGTTGACTGTATAAGAATCTTCAACCTGATAGATCGCCAATGTCCAAACAGGATGCAGAACTATATCAGCTCACGGTATAAGACACCCGACTGGTACCTTTACTCCGACTGATCTTCTTGACGCCAACTGTGCCACAAAGATCCGTCGAGTCAACATGTGTCCCACCACAAGGGTAGACCTCCGCCCCAACGATCTTGACCACGCGATATTTCTCGCCGGGCGCCAGCCTGAGCCCACTGTCCGGCGCGGGGATGAGCCTCTCGAGCCCATTCGCACGGAAGTCATCTTCACTCCAGAAATCCACCTCGACCGGCATGGCGCGGGCCACGTACTCATCAACACGGGTCTGGATGGGAGCCTTCCACTTGCCCTCGATCACACCCTGGAACTCACACGCGGCGCTGTCCGGGAAATGGCTGGCCTTGAGCTCGTCGAATCCCGGAATCTGCTTCTCGAGCAAATGCCGCACCGCCGCGCCCAGCACGTGGCCTGCAGTGTGGAGGCGCGAGTAGAGCAGACGCTTTTCAACGTCCAGTGACTGTGTGATGGTCTCGCCTACACTGAATGGTCGTGATTCTTCACTGAAGCGGCCTAGGTGCAGCACTTGGCCGTCGTGCACGCTGTCCATGCGTACTGATGATACGGAGAAGGTTGAGCCGGTTGATGAGGTCATGCTGCCGGTGTCAGATGGCTGGCCGCCGCCTTGGGGGTGGAAGATGGTTTCGCCGGTGATGACTACAGAGTCGTCGTCGGTGCCGATCTTGAAGAGCTGCCGGTTCGCTTCGGCTAGGGCGTGGAATGGGGTCACTGCCAACACGGCGGTGGAGAGATTGTAGAGCTTTGCATTATGCTGGAAGGCCAGAATTGTTCGGGCGACAGGACTTGACATGTTTGCTGGTACTGTAGCTCAACTGAGCTCGCTGGGGGGAGTTGAACTTTGGTTCTCAAGGTAGTCTGGTTGTTCGCTGATGTTGAAAATGGATCATGATGTTATCGGTCGCCCATCTTTTGTATGTTCATCGACCGGGTCCTCGTCCACTGAAAGATGATTACTCAAATGTGACTTTGAAATCGAACCTGAGTATGAATGACTCCGAGAGGACAGAATTGAGAGGAAAGCAAGCGAATATGCTTCACAAAGATGTGATCAAAAGGCGTTGGCCATTGTTCACCTTCCATGATGGGTAAGCATGTTAGAAGACTTGGCCACCTAACATGTCTATTGTGCCAGCTACCGTTCTGACAGACCAGCTATCAGCATGCTTATGGGCTGTAAGTTGAGCAAAAGTCATGATATGTTGCTAACCACTCAACACCTGGATGAGCCTATGGTCAATTGATACACCATTGATACACCATGTTATTCAGGTTGACTGACTGGGTGGACAAGTAACAGTGACTGTCATAGTGCGAAATAGGTCCAATGGCTCACTGCGCACTTTAGACGTGACACGATTTTAGCATGCTAAATGGTTCCCGATAAGGCAGGTATGGCGAACTACTCCTTGCACGACTTGTAGACACAGCCATCTTGACACTTTTTACGCTTCACAAACCCCGTCAACATGAGGGAGGCGTAGAAACCTACCTTCTTCACTGCTGTCACTCTCCAGAGTCACCTCACTTGTGGCCGAGTCTCCTGTTTGTCTGTCTCGGCGAGATGGATGTGGATTCAGAAACCCCCAACTCGGGGTCTCCATTGTCAGATATTGACTCTGACGACTTCCCTGAAGATGTCAAATTCAACCCTCGATCGCGCTCCCATTCAAGAGTGTCTACGATCTCCGTCTCAGAAGATGATCTAGGATCTCCCATAAGCACGACAGCGCGAGCACTCGACATGCCGCCGGCCAAACGTCGCAAGACGGGCGCATCAAGCTATGACCATGCCACTCCCCAGTCAGGTTCTACTGCTCCGGCTCCTCGATCGCGGTCTCGCTCTCCTACAGGCTCGATATCAAGCGACAGCTCAGGCTCAGTCCCTACCTCGCCATCCTTTGCCCATCTCGGTCCAACCCACCCTCTGTCAACCGCGTATGCCGCAGCTCAAGCCAACCCCGAAAACCCAGAATTGGCAGACTATGTACAGGTGACCAGATGCCTTTGGGATGGCTGCACAGATCCGGAGCAAGGAAACATGGATAATCTCGTCGCGCATATCAATGATGTCCACATCGTTCCGCGTCAGAAGAAATACTACTGCGAATGGGAAGGGTGTCCTCGCAAGGGTCAGCCTCACACCAGTGCCTACGCGTTGAAAGCACATATGAGAAGCCACACGAAAGAGAAGCCATTCATGTGCTCGTTGCCGGAATGTGACCGCAGCTTTACCCGGTCGGATGCTCTGGCCAAACATATGCGGACCGTTCACGAAACCGAAGCACTCCGTCCAAGTGATCCGGTACCTAGAGGGCATACTGGAGGCATTTCCAATGGAGGGTCGACTTCCAATCCATTCAAGAGACTCAAGTTGACAATGGGCGGCAAGACCAACGGCGATAAAAAGGCCACCCTTGTTGGAGACCTTCCCGCGTTGCCAACTAGATACTCTGTGGCCATGATGGGGATCAATCCTGATGACGTTGAAATGGCGGATGCTGATGGTTCAGAGGAGCTTGCCGATGCAGTCGACGTCGACAGTGTCCCCCTCACGCTCCCTCTTCCTCCCGATTACTGGCCGGCCGAGATTTTGGAAGACATGGACGAGTATGAGCGCAGTCTGCCTCCTTCACAATATTTCCGACTGCTGCGCCGCCAAATCCAATGGGCCGAAGAGGAAGGTCGTGATCTCCAACGAGAGCTGGAGGGTCTACGGTCTACAGTGGAAGATGCTCAGGGTAATCTGGTCAAGAGAGGATCGGGAGACGAGAATGGGGCAGATGAAAACCGCAAGCTCGAGTGGCAACGGGTCGAGGACTTGTTGGATGAGGTTTTACGAGCGGAATGCTCCAAAGTCATGGAGATGATGGGAGGGGCTCCACCGGATATTGCTGACCAGAACCCGTGGCAACTGGTGCAGTCGATGGTCAAGGATCGGCCGTTGGCAGAGTGAAGGGCACCAAGCGACAGTCATCGTGCACAAGAGCCACCTGATTCTGTGTGATCGAATATCTGATCTGTACGTCATAATCCAGAATCGCTTCATGGGGGTTATTCTTTCTTCTGGGCACGTCACCTCGAGAGCACCATTTTGAGGCCACGGTTGTCGATAGAGATGAAATCGAGTGCGGCACAAAAACAGCGAGATGCAAGTACAAGAGGCTTCGAAGCAAAGCGATACCTTAGGATATGGATAAACTCCAGAGCGTATTTGTTGAACACCTTCGCCGGGAACCGACCAAAAAAGCCACCTGACCTTTGGAGACGTATTACCATCAATGGCCCATGCTAGTACCTGGATACCTATTCTGTGCGTAGGACTCGCCCACAACGCGATCAATGCGTAGTGACGTTAATCCCAACCAGACAATGATGACTGTCAGCACTCAAACTCGGGCAGGCAGATGGCGATAGGAGGATAAATAGCGCGCAGACGGGACATGGCGGAGTAGCGATGATGAAGCCGGACTTTGAGCGCTTGTTGCTACGAGAACAATACCTGCGATATGCAAGTAGGAGTCAAGATGGCAGCAATCTGTAGTAAACATCCTCTTCGCGGCCAGCGAAGGTTGAACGCGGATGTTTGTGCAAGGCGCGGTGCATGCAGCGCACAGCCTCAGCCTTTGCTGGGTCCTGGCTTCCATCACTCCTCGAGTATTGGGACCACGGTACAGGTAAGGTAGCTGTATTTGGCCCCCGCGGGGATGGTTGGCCTTGGTCGTCACGCTGTATCGGTTTGAAATCTGATCGAGCCATGCAGCAAGATAAGATGGCGTCTCAGGAAGACTGACAGCCTAACAGCAGATCCAATGGGAGATGGAAAATGGAAACACGCCTGCAGGGTTGGCGGAACTTGCACAGGAACGGTTAGAGCCTTAGGGCTGTGACTCACAACGGAGACAGAGGAAATTGGAGCTACACCAGAATTGTTAGCTGGGAGAGTACAATCTTACCGCAACCAGGACGTCTCTGGAGGCATATGCTTGTGTGTGTACGCTGTAAATGATGGTCATACATCAAATTCCAGGTGCCGGCTCATGATCAGAGAGTCGCATGCAACGACAGTTGAGAAGGAAAATAGCAGAAACAACCTGAAGTCAGCAGGACGCATTTTGCTCAGAACAATTTTCACGTTGATGATGCCAAAGGGCGCACACATAACAACGATCCGCGGTGGGATTTCAAACAAATGACCATAAATGACATGCAGTACTCTGGAAACAATTCGTATCTGTACCTGATACATGGGCTGCCCACAAACCTGTTGGAACCATGATGGGCTGCACTTTTGCGACAGACGCATTGAGTGAATGGCCTTCATGCTGCTGCAGACTCGGACTCCACTTATTATGAGTCAACAGCTACAACTCCGCCATCATGCAGTGTAACATGTTTCGACGTGCAGAAGCGAGCGATAGTTCATGTTCTGTACTTTTCCTTGTAGAGACGTGGACTCCGAGAGAGAGAGTCGACACAAGAGAAAGCACGGCTTCCATCAGACAGCGGTCGGGTCAAGTACAGATATGATACGGCCTCTGTAAGACGGGCGGGCGGGTACAGTATCGCCTGGAATTACCCTCGATCTGGAGGTAACAAGGTTTGCACTTCATGTACTCTTGTGCCTGTGCCATGCAGTGCAGTGTGTCTGCCTTGGATCCAGTGGGGAGTTCGAGCCTGTCCCGGTCAGCCGTGCTCTGTCCTCACTCACTTGCAGTCCTCAATCCTGCAACATCACCCACCATACCGACGCACTCAGGTGAAAGAACAGGGCGAATTGCTGATTCTATTTCACTGTTCTCTTCTTCTCTGTTATCATGGACCCGAAGAGTCCTCTCTGTCTCTGTCTCTGTCTCTGTCACCCGGAGCCAACAACCTAATGAACATGTGAGCCTTTTTGGCAACCGGGGCCTGATGTCTTTGACCAATCGCTGAGAGCCCTCTAGTGGAGCTACCCAATCGCATCTAGCCTTCCCGCATTGACCCACACTGCCAAGGCCCACTGCGACTCGCACTCACGGCAGGCGCGCTCAGCGTGCTTCCCACTTAAACTTCCTCCCGTCCCCGTGCCTGTTGCCTGATTTTCTCTTTTTCTTCTTCCTCTTTTCTCCATCACCACCAACAATCATTACACTCAGAGCATCACTACGACTTCATCAAGACATGGAGTCACTCTGATCCCCTCGTCGTCACCTCCCTATCTCGCTCACCGGCAAGATAGACTCAGTCATCCATCCCCGTTTACAACCATCTGACTCTCAACTCCCCCCTCGTACACAGTCTCCACCCGGAGTTTCTGTGAACAAAGGCTTGGTCGCTTCTCTTAGCAAGACCTCTTCACTGCCCACCGCAACCATTCACGCGTTGGATTTCACATCCTTCACCACGGATCAACAGCAATCATGGCGTTCCTCAACCCCAAGATCAACCGCTGCATTACCGCACAACCAGCACAGCTTCACCCAGGACTTTCAGCTCTTCGCCGCTCCGGAGTACCTCTCTCAGGTCTCTCCGACTGCCTCGCGTGCGCAGGTGATATCGAGTACAGCCCCTAAGAATTATAGATTGTCTCAATCCAGACAACTCTCCCTCTCCAGCAGAGTGTCTCCAGTTCAGTCTTGTCAGTCTCCGTCTCTCGGGCCTTTCCACTCAATCAACCACCGGTCTTATTCAACTCCGGCATTACCAAACCAACAGCGTCTTCGAAGACAGAGCTTGCATCAACTAGCTCGTTTGCACAGACTGCCCCCTGTTCCTCCATTCGATTCAACTACATCAACCACTCATAGAAACAACTCAGTTCCAACACTTGCACAAGGTACGAACCATCAACAACTTGCCCACAGTATCAGACCACTAACTCCCCGTTCAGGCGACATGTCGACCGTCTTTGATACTACCTTCCTCCCGGGAGGCGAGTTTCTCGCTTCCCAGGGTGATTTCTTGGACTTCGATACCAACTTCCAACCAACTAACTACACCGCTGTCTCTGGGATGACGTCGAATGATGGCACCGTTTCTCCGTCCGATCTCTTCAAGGATGATTCGATCATCATGTCGGCCCCGCCATCTACTGCTTTCCCCAACTTGAGTACTCCGGAGTCTGGCTACCTGGAGTCTCCGGCCATGGCCAGCAGCGGCCTGAACACCTCCCCATTGGAAGATGGACTTCTCGATAGCCAGCTTAACTTTGCCGAGCTTGATAACATGGCACCATTGTTCCCACAGAATGGCTTCGATCAATTTGCTCAACAGCTCATGTCAACTGATCCGGCTCCAACCAAGCCGAGCTTCAGTGCCGTGAAATCTCAGCCTTCTGCCAGCCCGTCTCCCATGGTCAGACAGAAATCATCTCCCGGCCGACCGCCGTCGATGCCTTTTGCACATGGGCACAAACTCTCGGAAAGTTACGGTATCAACAAATCCTCGTCAAAGTCGCGCAGCAAGACCTTGCCCGAAATCAAGATCGACAGTGAAGATGACAAGGAAACTGCCAAGCGGAAAAAGAACACTGCTGCCGCTCGGAAGTCTCGGCAAAGAAAGCAAGAGGCGGCTGAAGCTGCCGATGCAGAGATTCAGCGCCTTCGAGCCATCATTTATCGTCTGGGAGGTGATCCCGATGCGGAAGTTTGAATGAGTTTCAGTGACGGAATTTTTTGATGAATCGAGGACAGGACAATCAGTCTTGTCTTGATGCTTGGTTTCGTTGCAATGCTTCGGACCATATTGACGCTGTCGCTATCTGCTAGGTAGCACTCAACGCAGCTGCATGACGCTTGGGGTTGGGGAATCATCAGGCTGAAGCCGTGAAGGCTGCCTTCGCCTTCCGCCACGTCGAGAATTTTCTTTTTGTATCGGTTCAGGCGATCATTGAGGTTGATGAGTGTTACCCTCGGGGGTTCTCAGGCTTCTTCTGCACAATCTCATCGCTATGATTTCTTTATTGCGGGTGACGTTCAAACTTGGGACCGCGTAACAGTGGACTCGGGCATGTTGTCCCCGTTAGTCAGTCTGTTTGTTTTGACGAAACATGGCCGGTTCTGACCGTCTCCCTGTCACGACATTGATCAAATTTCCTTTTTGACCTCCGTGGACGTGCAAGGATATTTGAGTCTTGAAGGGATTGACTCGTGGCCTGTTGAAAAGTGTGATTAATTCTTGTGATGATCATGAATCCCGAAAGGGTGAAAGGGATGCATCACTGGTCATTCCTTACCGCGATTAGCTAGCTATTTCAGACAAGACGTGATATCCCGTCTTGCCCTCCAGACTCTTTTGAGTTGGAGTGATGAATACAACTCAGTCTCTACAACTTCTACCTGGCTTCCAAGGCTCTTCATGTCTTGCGACACACCGCCACTCTCAATTGTAGAGGTCAAACATATCTGTTAGATTATCTACTCCCTCCCTACCTACACTGTGAACATGTTGATGCTTGACCAATGCACAGCAACCGAGGGTTGCAGACATTCTTATCATGTTGCGTGCGCCTGCCTATAGTCTTGGAGATGACGATGAAAGTGAACCCCAACAAGCATCGTGCCTGGTATAGTAACGTGGCAGCGAAGGAACGTTTACAGAGTACACAAGACACAAGACACAAGACACAAGACATACGGCATCCAACATCCAACATCCAACATCCAACGTCTAACATCTATAAAGTCCGAGAAGCACAATGTGGCCGCAACTTACCTTAGGTATCTAACTATCCACTACTACGTTCTACGTACATACGTACTTGGTAACTACTAGTATGAATGGGACAGGACAGTCATCCTCCTTCAGGATATCGTTATAAATCTCGCTGTTGGGCGAGCAACTTCGACCTCTGACGCCCGTTCGGGGTGTCGAATTTCCGAATCAGGATATCGATACCCACCTTATTATGCCAGTGCGACTTGGATACAGCGATCGGCCGATATACCTTAGCCATTACAGTGTGCAGGGTGATCGTTACGGCTGGATTCTGTGTACAACGATACTAAGGTAGTTAGTACCTCACCTACGTTACCTAGGTGGGTAGGTATGTTCGTTCAACCCTCCTGTCCCAGTCTTCCAATACAACTTGGAAATCAGGATCCTTAGTAGCACAGAAGGACAATCAGGGCCATGGATGATACGAACAAACCAAAGCATTATCGACTCTTGACATCTGTTATTAGCTATTACTATCTCAAACTCGCTATGCTGCTGCTGCTGCTGCTGCTATGCTACTGAATTTTTCTGGCCCTGCATCATCTGTCACCACTATCGCACCATGCCATGTCGATGACAAGATATCGAAGTGTGCCATCCGATGCTTTCAACCATCACATTTTCACTTCAACATGTGACCAATCCAAAACAGAAGTGATCCATAGACACCAAGCCCACCGGGAATATCGCAAAGGACTAATAAGCCTCCTATTAGTTCCCCAAGGGTGGCTTCCACCGCCTTCCATCCAGTAGCACACACTTGCTTTCAATGGGGGTATCTCTTTCTCATAAGGAACCAGACTTTGCATAAGCGGGGTATCTGTACTAAAACGCACATTTGGACACAATCCAACACGAAACAAAACAAAAATTGGCCAATTTCGATCTAGTGGTGGTGGGTATCGTGGAAAAGCAGACGGAAACATATGCAAATGAGTGGTGTTCGAGTTTGTCGTCGGAATCAAGGAGCGGGACTGGTGAAAACGGAATGAAGGAAAAGGAGCAAGCCATTGCAGGATTCGGGCGTAGAACCCATCTCCGAAATTCGGATCGCGCCACCTCAACCGAAGAGGCCAGAGAGACGAGAAGGGCTGTGAGGAGGTAGCGAAGGATTGCTGTAGTTCCTCTCGTCCCACCACTTCTCAAACTCAAGTGGACTAGTCGCTCGAGGTAGTCGGGCTGAATGTGACAGAGAGTTGCGTGGTGTCTTGTCTCTGACCTCGTTGGACCTTCAAGCTGCCGCCTTGACCTCTGGAGCCGTAGAAATGGTGGCGGCGGGTGCGGGCTCGGCCACCACGTCTTCTGGGACAATATCGCTGGTGGTCTTCGGCTCAGACGTCTCTGCAGAGGTCTCAGGGATGGTGGTTGCTTGATGAGCCGTGGGTGCAGTAGTAGCAGCTGTCTCAGTGGTGGGTGCGGTGGCAGTCGCCTTCTCCTTGGGCCCTTCATACTTCACCGCTTTACTAGCACGGCGAACAAGGTTGCCAATCAACTTGCCTGGCATGGGCGATTTCTCCCGCTTGGGCTCGGCAGTCGCGTCTTCGGCATCGCTGGTCTCGGTTTTCTTCTTGTTGAAAAACAGCGAAGTTCGGCGCTTGTTGTCGCGGGCAGGACGCTCTTCCTTGGTCTCAGCCGGGGTGTCGACGATGGCCGACTCGTTTGGATCGGCGCTGGCAGCGGCAACGGGGTCTTTGGCGATCGCATCGGCGGCGGCCTCCTCCTTGGTCTCCTCTTTCTGTTCCTTCTTGCCTTCAAGCTTGGCCTCAGTCTTCTTGATGAAACCCAAAAAGCCACCCTTCTTCTCCGTCTTGGGAGCCGGGGCTGTCTCGGCCGGAGCAGGAGTGGCCTCCGTAGCAGGCTCTTCAACTGGGGCTGCAGAGGCGGCAGTATCGGCATCAACTGGAGCAGTGACATCCGCAGTGTCGATAGGCTTTGTATCGATTGGCTCTTCAATCTTTGGAGCGGTCTCGGAGACAGGAGGAACATCCGACGGTGCAGTCGCTTCAGATTCCGTCTTCTCGGTGGCCGGGCTGGTCACACGGTGCTTGAAAAAGTTTCCAAAGACAGAGGCGCGCTTAGCCTTCTTGTCAGTCGCGGCTGCTTCTTCTTTATCCTCCTTCTTGTCGGTTGCAACAGCAGCAACTGGGGCTATACCGTGTTAGTTAGGTTTCCTTCGTCACGAATGCTTCCACTTACCATTCGCGGCAACGGCGGCCGAAGCTTCAGCAGCCTCGACAGCCTTGCTGATGGTCGGCTCCTCGCTTGCCTTGGCTTCTTCTTTCTTCTCTTCAGCTTCAGCCTTCTTCTCCTCCTTTACTTCTTTCTTGGCCTCAGCTTTCTCTTCCTTCTTCTCGACGAGCTCATCTTTCTTGCCGAGAAGGGTTCCGAAGATGCTGCCACGCTTGCGGGATTGAGATCGCTCCTTCTTGGTCTTGACGGCTTCATCGGAGCTGCTGGAAGATATGCTGGCGTTATCGGCGGCGACAGGGGCGGTGACTGCAGCGGTGGCAGTGGCAGTGGCTGCATCAAGGGACTTCTTGGGTTCCTTGGACTTTGAGCGGGCAGTCTTGACCGAGGTGACCGGAGCAATAACGGCAGGTTTGGCTAGAGCTGCATTAGCCGACGATCATTGGTGGAACCCATAGGTCATCATGAACAGTGTAAACTCACAATAATCCTCGACGTTCTTCTTGTAGCTCTCACGTCCAATAATTTCCTCCTTTAGACCTTTGGCTTCTTCGACGGCCTTCTCGACCGCGAGAACCCAGCTGTCGCGCTCTTTGGGGGTGTTGGCCTCAAAACGGTGTTGATGGCTGCCAGCCTTGAAGGAGAACTGGTTGTAACCTTCCTTTGCGACACTGGAAGCATCGGCCTGCGCAATAATGTTAGCAATTGTCATCCTGGAAAACACCATTATGGGAGGTTGTTGCTTACCAGGTTGATGATACCGACCGGAGTTGGCTTGTCCTCGACGCGCTTGGCGAAGAACAACAAGCCCTTGCCGGTCTCACGAGCCCATGCGGCGGTCGAGTGTTTCGCGTCAGCCTTCTCTGAGCGCAAGAAAGTGGCCAAAGATTCGGTTGAAGATGGCTCTTCCGAGAACCAGAAGTAGTGCTTGGTGAAGAAGAATTTCCTGGGAGCAGACCAATCAGTATTGAACGTTCGGCTTTGAATCGACCAAGTCATGCGCGCAGGCAAACATACTTGAACAAGGTTGGCTCCTTGTATCCCAAGACACCTTCTGTCGCAGGGACAGTCGCGGCAGGTGTTTCCTCTTTCTTGACCTCTTCGGCAGCCGGGGCCGCAGGCTCTTCACTTGCGACAGCTGCTGCGGGAGCAGACGATGTCGTCTCAACCGGAGCAACTGACGTCTCTGCGGGAGTGGTTGAGGCTTCAGTAGGTTCGGGAACCGCCTTGGAGGTCTCCGCCACAGGAGTCTCCTCGACAGGTTTGGGGGCTTCGACAGACATGATGATGATTGTGAAGTCGAGCGCTGGTTATGTGCACCAGTGGTTCTGAAATGGGATCAAGATGTGCAAGATCAGGTCTCCAGACAAAGAAGAATGTGTCTGACTAGAACTTATGGATGGTGTTTGACAATACGAAGGGCGAAGATTCACCAGAATGCTTTGTATGAGCACAGGGACCTCTTGCCTATGAGGGAGTATCTTGAAATACTAGTAGGATGAAGATGAGGGAGAAAAGGTGCAGTTGCAGGAAGCGAAACCGCTGGATATGAGAAGAAGGGTCTTGTTTGTGTGAAGAGGGAGGAGAAAAAAGGATTGGACAAGAGGAAGAGGAGCGAGATTGAGAGGAAGGCGCGCGCAGGCAACGAGCGAGCGAGTGTGAGATGAAGGGATGCTCCCAAGATCTTTTGTCTTTGACCAGGCTCACGCCGGGGGCATTTTTGTTTTGGGTTCGCCTTGGGTCGCTGTGGTCGGCGTTGGCCAGCGACCAGTCATGCGCCGCGTAGGCCAAGTAAGGAGCCTCGAGAGAGATTTGGAGGCGGCACTAGGTTCCAGGCTAAGCAGGGCCAAACATGCCTCACGCGGCCACTAAGTGTCCAGGTATCCCAGGTGAACTGCCAGGCTCAGCCAGGTCCACTCTTAACTACTCTTTAACTGGAAGCCCAACTCCTTAGGCCCCAGAAGCCCAGAGCCACAGTTAAGTACCCACTGTGGTACGGTTATTTTGGCTCCACCGGTCTCTAAACTAACACCACAACGACGGTCGACCGTTGTTTTTCTGCCTGCACCGCCATTTCGGTTGCCTGCAGCGCTACTATGCTAGAGAGAGACGGGAGTATGTATACAAACTGTCACGGGATAGAAGCGAATGGAACTGAACCGACATCCAGCCATACTTGTGTATACTCTTTCTGCGCCTAGAGCGATTTCATGAACATGTCGTTGCTGATGCCTACTCTTTATGTCTGGCCCTCGTTTTCGACTGCTAGTATGGAGAGGAGGCGGTCAAGCAGTGGCGCTCAGCTGCCTGAGGGTTCTTGCAGCGACGCCTGTCGGTGATCATCCCAGACTGGTAATGTGTTGGTATACAGATGGAGACCATCTCGACAATCGACAATCGTCCAGACTGCTTCTCTCCTGCCCAAGCTGGCTATCATCGCCGTCTTGTCTGTCCCTAAAACACCTTTTCCCCCAAAATCCAGTTGTTGAGATATCCACTTCTGTTGATGATTGACAGCAGCGCACGTCTGCACCCCCTCCCCGCCGTCGCTGTCGCTGTCGTCTTGTCGTTCGTCTTGTCTATATGTCCGTCCGTACGTCTCGCAGACCTCGATGGTGCTACACGAAGTATAGTGGGGCAGGAGGGCAAAAGCATCACACCGAAGCGTCAATTGGTCAACAAGAGCACCGGCGTGATAAGTGCAGGAGAAGAGTGACCAGATGTTGAGTATCACGAGAAAAAGATGAAGCGGCTGTTCCAGTATTGTCAGTGGTCATGCGACCATCCATCCCAGTGCAGGCCTAGGGTTGAGATGACGTGCCTCATGCAGCCATCACATGCTCTTATTGCCATCATAAACTTGTGAGTAGATGATTGAACTTGAACGTGAGTAGACAACTAGTCCTAGCCTTCATCATGGTCATCCTACTACGTACCTAGACGCGTGGACAGGTAGGTATGTAGACAGGCACGGGCTCGCCGTTGGACTCATTGAACGGATACAGATCGAGATATTCATTTCAAGACATTATTATTTTCAACGGTCCTGTCAGGTTGTTAGTGAGGAGAACTCGGACAGATTTCTGTCTGAACAGTGCGTACCTAATCTTCAGAAAGTGTCCGCTTTGCCTTTGTGTGATTCGTTCCCTAGGAACCCGTTCCACTTGCAACGTAGATCGATGGAGTCTGCAGCCAGACGCTGACTTATCATACTGCCAAAGTTAGGTCCACCGGCTTGGGCTTGAAGGTCGTCTGACAATGATAACTTTTTTAGGTCAGCCACTTCACGGAGAAGGAGCGAACAGCAGGCCCTGCGACGGGTGTCAAGAATCGTTCAGGCTGGGTTTGGTTGAGGTTCTGTCAGAGTAGTTTTGCATTGGCTTGAAACAAGACATGCTCATGGACTGGACTGGACTGGGCTGGTTAGCTACGAGAACAATACTGTCGTGCTCGCCCGTCACTCGTGATCTTTTAACCTTCGATACCCCTGTCCTTCAGAAAACTCTTACAGAATCAGTCAATCAGTCAGTCAGTGGCTGGCTTCCAGACCTGAAAGCGAGACCCGCCACCCAAGGGGGAGAGGATGTTAGGTATCTGTAGGCACTAGGTAGGTAGTCGGTCAGGGAATCTGAAACGCGGCTTTTGAACAGTCCAGGCTGGCTGTCTATAATTGGATAGGTAGGGAGATATTAGGGGCACGGCTGCCTACGTACTGAAGAACCCTCCCTCCTAACACACCCCCGACACAGGATGATTACTTGCAGAATTTGAACTGAAGACCGCGCGGTGGGCAATTGGTAGGGATGAGAGGAGGGAAGAACCCTTGTAGGGCTCTGGCTGCACCAGGATCACGTAACCTCCAATCCGTGCTTTCGCAAAAGAAGAGATAGTTCGTGTTCCAAGGTCTAACTTTTCTTGAGACTGTAGGTGGAAGGGATATCTACTCTGCAAGCAGTACAATCACCCTTCATTGCAAGCGTACGAAGGAGAACTAGATAGACAACAGGACAGGGGTCTTCATTGCTCGCTCAACTAGTCGAGATGCATGGTGATAGATTGATCCAGTGCAGGTCGCTTCAATGATCTCGAATCACGTCTCATCAGGAGGACTGCTGTGTACAGAGTAGGCAGAGGAGACTGGCCGCAACAGGCCGGGATCGTGCCGTCCTGTACACATATGGCCTGTACACCTTCGCCGGCAGTGCCCATGATTGTTGCCCTGATTGGCCTATACAGTATCTACTCGGTGCCAGACAGCCCGGCTTCTTTTTGTATGTTCATCATCCAAACGTAAGGTACCGTCCCAAGGTATATCCAGACTTTTCCAAACAGGCTGCTCACAAGTGCCTCCTGGGTTCGATCGTTAACGTATGTAACTGTGCCTCTCTCTCAGCTCGCCATGGTCAAGACATAAGACGTAATCGCGTCCATCCTCTCCTTCGTCAACTTCAAGGTGATGACCAACAACTCTTGAGCCACGTCGGCATCTTGTGCCTGCATTTCTTGCCACCTCTTCCCATCCAGTTGCCAAGTGACACAATCCTTCTCTGCCACCATGGTCGCTGTACGCGGCGTCTGCGAAAAGAAGGGCAACTCTCCGCACGGCCTGCCGGCGACAATGAGTTCGGAGAATTTGCCTTGTGGTAAGTCATAATCGGCACGTAGGATGCCTTCCTCGAGGATATAGAAGCCATTGGGCCGGTCACCGATATTGAAGAGGATGGATCCGGAGGGGTAATGCACCTTCTCAAAGTACTGCGTCGCGCGATACCAAAAGTCTTCGTTCTTGTCACTCAGATCCGCGAAGATCTGGAGCAACAACGGCAACGGCTGCTTGAAAGTCTGCCATTTGCTCGTGCTGGAGGGATCTTCATTCAGCGCAGTCTCGGCGACTTCATGGAGGAACCTTCGGCGTGGCGAGCTCCCCATGAATTCAGCCTTGTAGGACTGGGAGAGGTCCTGGCTGCGGTGGCGATTGCGAGGAACATCTAGAGTCGACAGTCGCTTGGTCTTTCGATGCTCCTGTTGCCGGTAGAGTGCCGTCAATAATTCGTTCTCACAGTGCTCCAGTGCGACGTTGAGGTTGGGAAAGATGGCCACATTCGACTCCGCTGCGAAAAGGCCGACATTCTGAAGAGCTTGCCCAATCTCGCCATCCACATCCAGACTGCTCACGATGAACTCAACCCCCCGTTGCTGGAGGAGGCGATTGATGCGTGTGAAGGCCTCGGCAGCGGAGAAGTCAACGCCATTGATCTGGGCCATATCCAAGACCAAAAACCTGAGGGGTCGGTCGCGGAAGGAATCGTCCGCGAGCAAAGCCCGAATCCGATTTTCCACTCCAACGATAGTCCCAAAGAACAAATATCCCGCCAGCTTGAGCAAGAAAATCTGGTGACCCGTCTCTTTCAAAAAGTTCAGCTGTACCGGTGGTCGGCGGACCAACGATTTCGCAACCGCACCAGAATACTCAGCCCTGATGGCGGTTCGGCGCGAAGCTTGAAGGACAAAACTCAAAGCTGCGAGCAGTATGCCAACTAGTATACCAGTCACAAAGTCCCATACTCCCATTGTGACGACGATGATGACAATCGTGGCATATTCAAGCTTGTGGACCCTGCCCCAGGTCCCAACAAGGGCTTCCTCCAGAAGCTCGATACCGAGCAAGAAAATGAGAGCCCCAACAACCATGATAGGAATGAAACCGATTATCACTGGACCGACCAGCATGATGCCAAACGTAGCCACGGCAAGCATTAAGCCTGCCAGACGATCGTTGCCGCCACTGTCCATGAAGAGCAGACTGTTTGTATATACCAGGTAGTTCTGCACACTGCCGCATAAGCCGCTCAGACAATTGGACACACCGTGAGCAAGAAGTTCACGGTCCACGTTGAGGTTGTCTTCGCCGGTGGAGATGCCGAGCGCCGGCACGTTGATGGGAACATGCAACACCCCGAAAAAGGTCAAGGCGAACATGGCCGGTATGGTATCGGCCAGAGCTCCCCAATGAACCGCCTTGAAGTCATATAGGGTATAGAAGTGATACCATGGATTCTCGGCCGGTGGTGAATCGAAGACCCAGCCTCGCGAATGGAAGGTTTCCATGGGAATGTCCAGGGCAAACTTGAAAAAGTAAAAGATCAGTCCGACCGACAAAAAATAGCCACCGACCAACAGGTTTGATTTCACAAATCGCTGCACAATGTTAAGAATGATGGCAAGCATTAGTGGAATGATCCAAAGCAGAATGGTGTCGCCTCGAACCAGCTCTTTCAGAGTATCAAGATTATACTCCAAATTGCCAGGGAGGCGAGCAGAAACCTCGATGCCCGTGGCAACAAGAAACCAGCCGACACCTCCGATGCAGCCCAGCAGAATATGGCGAGGAAAGAATCCAATGAGAGACCCTAATCCGCAGGCTCCCATCAGGAAGAAAACCACCCCTGTGAGGACAGCGCTGACAGCAAATGAGAGGATCGTCGTGGCCAGGACCGATTTCGGATCGTCTTCTCCAACCTTGTTGAGGATTGTAAAGGCCATTTTGTGGAAGAACGGGACCACTTCGATCATCTCGGATCCAATTCCACCACGAAATACAGACCCTCCAGACGAATACACGACTTGGGCCACTATTGTGCTGACATAAAACATGGATATGCCATCCGAGCCCAGATTATCGAAAATCTGGTTGCCCAACGGAAACAATATCATTCCGTACGAGAGCGCATCGAGGATGTTGAGAAGTAAACCTAGGAAAACGGCCGGCAGGAGACTTGCCGGATGCACAACGACCTCTCGATATACGGCACGCGGGCTCCATGTCTTCGGGTGTGAGACGACATAAGCGCACGACCGGGCCCGTCCCGCCGTTGCTCTCAATTTCTGCCGGAGACCTTGAACGTTGCCCGGATATTGTCGCTCAATGTCGTCCAATGCACCAAACTGTATCGAAGCTTTGCGGTCTCCCAAAAGGGGCGTCCGCTCACTCGAATCTTCTGATCTTGGCCTTGTGGAGGTGGCTCGACGGTCTGATGGTATCTTCCCATTCTGTCCATTCTCATGAGGCGCTTCTTGATGTGAAGAGTTTTCAATCATCATGCTCAGTTCAGAAAGGCGAGGCTCGCTAGTAGGGGTCGTATCGTGGTCCGAACCGTCTCGTGACACAGGCTCAGACACTTCCTGAATGGCATCGGGGTGATGGTCATCTTCGGGATCCGGAGAGGGGCTTCGTGAAGGGCTCCCCGGATGGGAGAGGTTGTCGGAGAGTGCGAACGAAGCCAATTCCGCAGTCTGATCCCGTAGTTCGGCCGAAGAAGAGTATTGAGCAGGATCTAGCTGGCCATGGAACGAACGATGGTAGAAAGATCTCGCCGGAGTCCTCGCTGCCGGTTGACTGGAGGTAGAACTGGCCCGGGATCGACGGTTGGGGTGAGACCGGTCCCCGAAAGCTACCGGGCTGCTTCCCTCTGTACTATGCTCACTGTAAGACTTTCTCGACGGCGACCCGGGCACTGGACCCGACCGAGGTCTAGAAGAAAAGTTCGATCTGTGGCGGGCATGTTGCTTGCCCGGCGCAGTTGTCGACATTTCACAAGCTCATGAGGTTATCATGCTGACCAGCACTCGCATATGTTACTCGTGGCAGCACCCAATCCCAAGCTCTTCAACGGGCGGGGACGGAATGGCGACAGTTTCTCGGCCGATGGGGTATATACGGGAATGAGGGATGGCGTCAACGAGGAGTAGGATTTTGGTATGGACCAGGTCGATCGAATATGTTGTGCTCTCGCACTTCGGGCGGTCGTTTTAACAAGCTGTTGACCTTCAGCTGCGTTATGCTGAGGAGAAACACGACGTGAGGTACGAGGGGTAGAACGAGTAGCAAAATACCCGGACAGGGGACCTCCAACGAGACGTGAACAACAGGGGTCCGTTCGAGAGCTCTGCCAGTCACTGTAGCCCTTGTTGGTCCCTCCTTGGTACCTTGGTGAAGAATTTGACTCCCGCTACCGACCTGGCTCGAAAAAATGTTGCTGTCGACGAAGCCTGCGCCTGCCGCCCAATGATGGTGGTTGGCGAGATAAAATGGTTGCATCGCGAGAGATAAAGCAGACACCACAAACATCATCAGCTTAGCAAATATCCATTGAGCCCCGCAAAATCGCCTGCGGTTCTACCAAACGTCTCCAATACATTGCCCGAATTTTCCTAGGCTCTACACCTTGGTATTGTCCAAGTCGACGGGCTCGGAACGAGCATCTATCCTTGCGCATCACGCGCGTTCGAGCAGCCAGCACGCAATCATGTCCTGAAGATCTGTGATCGGCCATAAGAAAGGTCCAGACCAACACCAGAACGAACAACAGAAGTCCTGGAATCGCTGAACTGCCGTTTCTCTACAAGTCTGGGCTGCAGAACAAAGATAGACAGTGGCAAGCTCTATTCGCATACTCCGTACCGGATACGATCAGGTCGGCACTTTGTCTCCTATTGAACCAACCCCCTGATTTCCATCCATGCACTCGCCTCGTCACCGCAATCCCTCTAACCAGACTACGAGCCTCTTTTTGATGATGACACCTACCAGCTTTCCAGTACCTTCCTCCGTCACACACAGGTGCCTCAGTCCGAGCTTGCCAAACATCTCGACGGCATATTCCATTGGGGCTTTGGCACATATGGACAGTGGGGTTCGATCGACAAAGTGTGACATGTCAAGCTCGCCCTCATGCTCGAATGGTGCACCCTCTACGGCCGGAGGTAGTAGACGGACAAGACATCCTTCTGGAAGCGTCCGGCCTAGGTTCTCCAATCCAAATTTCAATTCACCCTCCGCAAGGTAGCCTTGAAGCATACCATGCTGCACGAGGACAAGTCCTGCATCCATGAGGCCTCGACGTTGGAGCTGATGTAGCTTCTGGGCCAACAGGACCCGAGGTACCACACCGTTTTCGGGCACGTCCACTGTGATCTCGCGCATCGTCTGAGCAGGTGGAATGAGTTCCTCGACGAGGTAAGTATCTTGCTGCACCAGCTTCATACTGTAATCAAGATCAAGGAATGGATGGCCAAGGACTGTCTGTGCCAAATCGTACACACCCTCGTGCTCAAGCGCATCCGCAACCCATTTTGCTACCATGATGCCGATCATGTTGGGCACGATGAATTCAAGCTCACCGGTCAGTTCGAACATGATGACCGCCAGGGAGATTGTCATTCGACTAACTCCGGCTAGGAAGGCCCCTGCTCCGACCATGGCGAAAATTCCAGGAGAGATAGAGCCTGCCAGCAAAGGTATTTGACCAACCAACCTTCCAAAGAAGGCTCCGCCATCAAGAGCAGGAATGATGATACCGGAGGGGACTTTGATGCCAAACGTGATGATTGTCAAAACGAGTTTCACAAGCGTGCCGTAGGCCAGCCAAGCAAGGTACTTGGGAGAAGGCGCAGCATGCCCTTCCTGCAGACATACATATGCCATCCTCGAGTTGTCCGAACAGTCCACCAAAAGGTTCTTGATGATAACATCGCCAGGTTCTCGAGTAAGCGGGTTGGGATATTGCAGAAGGGCCGTGACGAGGACAACCAAGAAGACCTCAAACACAGGATAATTCTTGATGATGTTGTACTTTCGGAAGCTGCGAGACCAGAAGAAATTGGCCTTGCAGAAAACACCACCGAAAATGCCGCCAGCGATCCCCAGAACGACGAACACGACATAATGGTATGGTTGATAACTCGTACCATAGTTGGTCTCAAACAGCACCAGTTTTCCTGTGCCTGTAGGGTTGAGCGCTCTGAGAGTCATGGCCGCGAATAACGAACAGATGAACGCTCGCCAAAGGACCTTTCGAGGGAAGTACGTGGAAATCTCTTCGTAGGCAAAAAGCACACCTCCAATAGGAGCTCCGAAGGCCACGGCTAGACCGCTCGAACAGCCAGCAGAAAGAATCTCCCGAAGCTTGCGACCATTCTCACGATATTTTGGAAATTGGACACCGACCAGGTATGCAACGCACGTAGAAATATGAACGAAAGGCCCCTCCTTTCCCAAACACATGCCCGTAGCCACGGCGAATACAGAGCCCACCGCTTTGACGATCAACACGTTTAGATCCAGGAAGTGTGGAATGACAAATCCCGACAGGATAGTCTTGATTTCGGGGATCCCGCTGCCCGCGGCCATGTATATCGATTTTCCAGCTGGCTCCGGCTTCGCCGTATCCGCAGGGGTGGGTTGTTGGCCGTTCATTTCCATGGGTACTCTGTCGCCCGAGCCTGGAGCAGTTGCAGGCAGACTCCTCTTCGTAGTCAAGGTTACTGAGCCGCTGATGATGCCGAAGAGGAGGGCAAAACCGACGTATATTCCAAACCCATGCCAGTATTTATCGGTCCAATATCTCCAAGCAGGACAACTCTCACCCATTTCATCCGCAAAAGGGTCCAGTGACGCCGTCGGAGCGCAGCATATGTCCTTACTTGCAAACACATTGGTCTTGCAGTATCCTGTTTTCCAGTCGCTGATCGTGGCGACAGCGACGTCCACAGCGTAGGCAACACATGCCGTCAACGTGCCAATAACTGCAGCCACGATCCATCCCTCGCAGGAATCAAAGGATGACCTGAGTTTATGGCGGATGCCCTTCCCGGTGTGGATGGAACGGTAGCGGAAAGAGTCTTTGACCTGCAGCAGGTTCAGTGAGGGAGCCTGGAGACTGGTGGGTTACTGACCAGATCGTGAAGCCAATCAATCGTAGTATAGTCATTGTATGGCAAACGCTCTCCAACTGCGGTCTCTCCCAGAGCCTGTTCTTCCTTGCTGATCTGGGAAGAAACAATGGATGCAGCTTCTGCTTCGCTCAGCCTCCTGCCATGAGCGAGTAGGTGCGTCCTTTCATCAGGGCGTTCTTCGTCCATCGCCATGCCGGGAATGGCAACAGCACTGAAGCTGTGCAGGAGGAAGGATTCCAAGGAGTGGCATTTTGGAAAGATTCAAAGGTGTTGCCATGATGGCTTTGGCGCTGCGTCAAGCTGCAGTAAGATCTTGGATCTGCATCTCCGTGGACGTCAAGAGCGCAACAAGAAGTCTGACGGCCACTGGATCGCTGGTCGCTGGTCTCTTGAAGGCGCCGATAAGCAGCACGTTCTGACATCTTCTGCCGCCGGGCGAGATAACAAATTGATAAGAACCCGCTGAGTATTCCAGTCACGGGATATGACGTCCGGCTAGCAGCCTCACCTCTCAACGGTTATCTTATCAACCGCGCCTAGCGAGGACCTCAGGTACCTGTTGAAAGGAAGAGATATTCAAGCCTTCGAATGAAAGACCACGACCTTGAGTATGGGGTGACGACTGCGACACTTGGCCATAACCAACGCGATGCTCCCTGGTTGATGGCACGTACTCCTTTTCCAGGCCTAGGAGACCATCTTCCCTAACATGTCGACTCAAGGGATGGAGATCAGCCAGTGCTTGGAACCGTGAAGGCAGCCTTGACCTTCACGAAGCCACATTCCGCTCGTATGCGTTGCAGCTCCGATTGAGCAAGCCTCCTTTGATCATCTCGCGTAAATGGCCAGAATGCGACAAGGCGCAGCGGCCAGAGCAAACGCAATCCATCCGTCCAACGTCTCGTTCCTCCTCTCGCCCCTCCCAGCGGAGAGTCTGATGAAGGGAAAAAGAAAGGAACACCTTCCAGTATCTCGTCTGCAAGGGCTTGGACAATGGCCGTATAGTATCGCTGCCGCTCTTGCACCTCATCGGGCTGGACGCCAGGAAACCGCAGCTTCAATGCATTGAGGAGTTCCAGGAGAGTGATGTGCATCTTCAGGCGAAAAGAACAGTAAGACGTCCGACTGATGAATGCACGAAGGTTGAAAGGCGCCTCTTCTGATGAATTGGCATTCGCGTCGGACCCAGATAAGCTGACCCGCGGAATCTGTGTGTCGTATGATTCAGTGTCAAGCAGTGCGACAACATTCAGTATGTCCAGGACTGATTCCAAAGAGTCAATGTGGCCTCCGTCGATGAGCTTACGCCCGTTTGCACAGATTTTTGATGCATGATAGCCATACACAGATTCTCGATGTAAGTGCATATCGTCATTGTCGATATACTTCTCCAAGGCTTCGAACCAGGCTATGGACTCGGAGGGGCATTCCACACCATTGACAAAAGATTGAATTTGCTGCACGATATGTCAGTCGAAGGCCTTTGCTAACCAGGATAGACGCACTGACTACCGTGTTATATGCCAGCCAGAAGAGGTTTCGTGCAACGGGCGAAGAGAAGCGTGATGTTCCCCTGAGTCGAAGCAGATCCGCTAACCCCTGTGTATGGACAAACCAACTAGTTGAGCCAGACCTCTCCAACGGAGCAGAAGGTCCTACAATGACCTTTGAATCGTCAACGACAAGGAAGGTTAGAACGGGGAACGGACTTTTTGTTACCTCATACAGGCTCAAGAGCCAGACACACGTGAGGGTTTCATCCTGGGTCTGCAATGTACGATCCCCAAGAGCGGCATTCGCGGCGGTCAAGGCCTTGCCATAGTCTAGCACTCGTTGAGATTGCGCCTCAGCCGTGCGACTCAGGTTGCTAATGAGCGCTGTCGCAATGGCACGACATGCTAGTGCAATCGGGGAGTTCTCTCCGGATCTCGCAACCATCTGAGGCAAGAATCCCAGTAGGCCCAAGGGCCTCTTTCCTTGGTTTGGAGAGAAGATGCCCCCTAAGCCAGGGGGGAGCAGGTCAATGATCCGTGAGACCGCTGAACCACGGGATAGTGAAGGAGATCGTTTCGATCCCGAATAGTAGCCCACCAGACCTACATGTTACAGTCAGATTCGGTTCCGTCATATGCTCAGGAACTTACCAACACCAGCACCGCTGGACCAGGGTGACGTTCCTGCATGGGTTGCCTTGAGAGATACTTCGCGGCCTCTTGAGCTCTCAACTGGCGACATCGAGTGTTGCGACCAGCTCGGTACCGTTGCGACCCCGTATTTTGGACGGCGCCCTCGATTCCCTCTACTGGCAAACGAAGCAGAACTCTGTACGCGGAAAACAAGGTCCGACTCGTCTCGATAGCCCGGGCATGTCATGCCCAGCCTCTTGCATCGATCGCATCCTGGCCGACCTAGATCGCACTAGAGTCTAGGGTTAATGCAAGTTTCAATGAGTACGTGACCTCAAAGACCCGACTTACCTCAACTCTTCCCTGCCTGCAACGATGGCAGCCTCGACTCGGTCGTCCAACGTTTGGCATCCTTGACAGATGACACCGGCAGTCGAGGACACACGAATGGACAGATATGCTCTTTTATGGTCGAAACCAAAATGCTCTGTCAGTACGACCCGCTACAGGTTCTTTTTCGGTCGATGTTCATCTCGTGAGACGCACCATGTATGTCTCAACGGACATCATCGCGAGTTGCGCCCCGTGTGAAGTGGCTGAGTGCTAAGCCTGTTGCTACGGGGCCGTTGTGGATGAGGCCAAAAGGACAGTGAGGCCTGAGCCTTTGAAAGCTCTGACGGAAGTGACCAGGTCCCTCGCGCTTCTGACTCAGTATGGTTTGTTAGGCGAACAACTATTATTATTCATTGTCAGCATGGGAAAGAAGCCTGTCTGACCAAGGCGGTCAATTCCGGGGCCTATCGAGTACTCACTCAACGTACTGGCAAAGACGGTATGTATCAGGAATACTGCCTAGGGGTGCCTCGCGAATGGACCAGATTGGATGATAACGGTGGATGTCATTCTGTCATACAAAAGGCTTTTCCCTCTTCCCGTTGAAACCACGTTATTGGCTTCACAACAACCTTGCAATGCAGGGGTTTTCCCAAACACCATTCCAGATCCGGTAATCGATACGACACTAAGCTTTGTTCGGCTGTGGGTCACACCGACAAGGCTGAGCCCCGTTCACCTCGTCCTGTAGCTTCACTTCAACAGATACAAGCCTCAACTGATCGACGGTGCTTGGGCTGCTTAAACATCGCATTATCCAATGTCTATATCGAAGGACATGCCAGGGTCTATAGGGGCGGAGCATCACTCTAACTCGTGACATACTCCGAATGAGGGACGGCTGGCCTAACGACAACGACGTGGTTCCTGGAATCGCAGTCAACATGGCAGAGAGTATAACTGCAAGTGTGTCCTCGGCATCCACTCTCCCTCGTCGCTTCATCTTTGTGATCTTTTCAGCTACAGACAAGACCTTTCTACTCGCCGCCAGAACACCGCTCACCGATCTTGTCAAGTTTAGTCCTGTGGGCTGAGACACAATGGGGCTCTTTCATCACGATGGTTCAAAGACGCATAATTGCAATATGCCAACGCATTTTCAAGCTGGTATGTAAAACCCGGCGCATTCAAGTCTGATCACAACCTCTAACCCCTGCGGCTAGACGCTCCGGAACCCTTCATAGGCAATCTATCCTTCCACAAGTTAAACATGGCGGTTTCGGGGGCATGTGCTGCTTTCTCGTGCCTGTCTATCTTCGTGTTGATGGCGCGACATGCCATGCACTTCAGCAGACCAAATGAACAGACCAAGTGAGTAGCGACGCAATTCCACAGTCCGCCGTCAACGCTTCTCACACATCTTTTGATTCCAGGATCCTGAAAATATGCGCCTTGATCCCCATCTATGCGGTACTGTCCTTCATCACAATTGCGGTGCCAGACAGCTACGTTTATTTGACCCCTTGGATCGAAGTATTCCAGGCAATCGCCCTTGGGAGCTTCTTTCTCCTCCTGTGCGAGTACGTATCACCCAGCGCACAGACTCGCGACGTCTTCTTCGCCGCTCTAAAAGTGTCCGAGAAGAAGGGCAAACAAGTTCAAGGGCTGGGATGGTACAGGGTAAGAGATTTGGCCTGAATACCCCTTGTCCCCGGGTCAAGAATCAAGATGACTGACACTATCTCTATAACAGAGACGATGGTTCCTCATCTTCCAATACCCGCTGGTCACTTTCGCAGTCGCCATTATCACAGATGCCACACAACCAAGTAATGAATACTGTCTGGAAAGCAGTAACATTCACTTCGCACATCTCTGGGTAGGACTCCGAGTCTCCGACACGAAGACTTCTTGAGCCACTTCAGCTGACACACAACGCGCATTGATAGTGTTCTATCGCGAGCCGCGTCTCAGTGACCTTCGCCGTTATCTCAGTCCTCCGGTTCTTTGGGGTACTGAAGAAGGACTTGAAGCACCACAAACCTGTTGCCAAGTTCTTGGCCTTCAAGCTGATCATCGCGCTCACCTTTGTCCAAAGTGTATGCTTTCCAACACATTTGTACCAACAATGCTGATGACAAGACCAGATCATCTTCCAGATTCTCCGCTCGAAGGATGTCTTGACGGGGACCTCGAAACTCACCTACGCAGATGTCAACTTCGGCATCCAGACCATGATCATCTGTTGCGAAATGGTGCCCTTCGCCGTCTTCTTCCACTATGCCTACGACGTGCGTCCTTACGACATCTCCAAGCCGCAGCCTCTGCCCCTTGCTGAGATGACCGAAAGTCCCAACCTTCAGAACCTGCAGACCGGCTATGGTGGTGCTGGTCAGTACCAGTATCCTCAGCAGCAGCAGCCGCAACACCAACCCCAGTCTGCGGTAGAAGGCACACGCTTTTATCAAGGTGGTCCTCTAGGTATCAAGGCCTGGTTGAGTGTACTGAATCCGATGGAGATTCTGGAGGCCAAATATTTTGCTTTCGTCATGAAGTCCGAATCCAAACGAAGGAGTGCTGAAGGCTCTCCTGCACCACCTTACACATATCGGCAATAGGTACGGGCTTGCGACAAGACGATGTCGTCCGTTCGGCACGTGCAGGGTGGATGTGATCAAAAGTTCGCTGCGATTTAGAGCGTATCTAACAGCGAATATCACAGTTTAGGCATCACTACTATAGAGAGAAATGTAGACCATTCGGATAGCTGTTACGTTCCCACGTAGCACAGGTAGTTGTAAATATCGAGTTTGTGGAATTGCGATTTTGAAAAATGGGCTCCTGCCAGTGGTCCATATGCTCCGCGTTAACCTGTGGAGTAAGGTAAAACTCCTCAAAACCTCCCCGCTTCACCCGCATCACTCCCCAGAAACTCCATCCGAGGCATCTTTCGGCATGGCATCCCCAAGAGAGTCCTTCCAGACATGTCAGCGTCTGGCGCTGGACAGGCTCCGACCAGGATGTGACTTATATCATGTTCGGAATTCGAACTTGAAACCTTCTTCCTAGTCTTTTCCAGGAAATGAGTACAACAAGGTAGTGTTACCACCGAGTTCCCCAACTATCGTTGCTCTGGACCCATCGTCCAAGATGTCGTCCTCAACTACTCCCGTTCCGTTCTCAGAGCCTGCATGGCTCGCAGGCCTACCCTCCCCCTACTACAAAGAGACGCACAGGAAATGGCAGAAAAAGTGTCGCGCGTTTGTTGAAGAACACCTACTCGCCAATGCCATGGAATGGGAGCGAGAAGAGACAGTGCCCGACCACGTATTCCCGACATTTGCTAAACACAACATGCTCATCCCGAACCTGCCCGCGCCGCTGCCAGTCGAGTGGTTGAAGAGACTGGGCATCAATGACATCTTGGGCACCCCAGTAGAAGAGTGGGATTACTTACACACGGGCATATATCTGGACGAGATGGCGCGATCAGGGCTCGGCGGACCGGGCGGTTCCATGACAGCCGGACACTCATTTGGTGAGAGACGTGCCACTCTTGCAAAAAGGCAGGCTGGATGGGCGGTCTATTGACACACCAGAGGACAGGCATTCCGCCCATCATCAAGTTCGGCAGCAAGGCACTGCATGAGAAATTCCTGCCCGACCTCCTCCCAGGCAAGAAACGATGCTGTATCGCCATCACCGAGCCGGGCGCCGGCAGCGACGTGGCGAACATCGCGACGACAGCCACCAAGACGCCCGACGACAAATACTACGTGGTCAACGGCGAGAAGAAATGGATCACCAACGGCTTCTGGTCCGACTACGCGGCGATGGCCGTCCGGACAGGCGGACCCGGCGCCGCGGGTCTAAGCATGATCGTCTGTCCTCTCAAGGGGTATCCGGGCGTCAAAATGCGTCGGCTCAAAGTGGCGGGCCAGATCAGCGCGGGCACGACATACATCGAGCTCGACGACGTCAAGGTGCCCGTGGAAAACCTCATCGGCGATGAAGGTATGGGCATGCGCTATATCATGACCAACTTCAACCACGAGCGGCTGCTGATCGCGGTCTCGGTGACCCGCCAGGCACGCGTCGCGCTGTCCGCGGCGATCGAGTATGTCATGAAGCGCGAGGCGTTTGGCAAGACCCTCGTCGAACAGCCCGTTGTGCGCCACCGGCTGGCCAAAGCCGGCGCCGAGCTCGAGTCCCTCCAGGCGTGGGTCGAGCAGTTCCTGTACCATATGACGCAGCTGTCCAAGGCCGAGGCGGACGTCAAGCTCGGCGGGCTCACTGCTCTGGCCAAGGCGAGGGCGGGGATCGTCTTCAACGAGTGTGCGCAGACCGCGGTGCTGTTGTTCGGCGGCAATGGCTACACGCGCACCGGCCAGGGCGAGATCGCCGAGAGAATTTACAGAGAGGTGCCCGGGGCGAGGATCCCCGGTGGGAGCGAGGATGTCATGCTCGACTTGGCCATCAGGCAGCTGGTCAAGAATTATCGCAATGCCTCCAAGTCCCTGGAGAGACCGAGTGGGAGTAGTAAATTGTAAATGAGAGAGTAGGGGAACTAAGAGAAGGTGGCTCAACTTCCAGGTTGAGTTCGCTCCATTTGCTTCAATGGTTGGCTGTGTAGCTGTATAGTAGTCGGAGACAGCGGAGAGAATCTTCGGTCCATCATCCGCCGAAAGGGGCTCCGTCGGTTATGGAGGCTCTCTAGGCTCTCTAGGCTCTCTATTGGGCATAGGCAACCCCTATAACCTCTTAGCCGCTCTTACGCCCACGTTCCCCACTGCACATCGGCTCAACCCCGCGTTGACTCCGGTGACCGACACCGAGTTGAAGCTCTCAACTTGAACACCTCAGCTGTTGGTCCCCTTTCGATGCACGCCCTCTTACAGGACAGCTAAGTCAGATACTTGATCCGTGTCTGCCGTCCTTCTATCCTTCTCTCTCCTTTTCCGGCTCGTATCTTCTCGTAGCTGCCACGGTGCCGTCGAGAGTCTTGTTGCTAGTCCACCTCCCCGGCGCCTGTCCTCGACCCTTGCAGCAAGAGTTGGCGGGCAGTGACCACACATCTACCGTCTACGCAGAGACTTCCTCTAATTAAACCGGAGAAAGTGCTTTTGTTAAGATGGCCACCGTTATGAAAAACTCCAATACCCTGCGCAAAGCGCTAGGCTCAGGCTCGGGCCTGTCGTTCGGGGCGTGGCAGATGCTTCCTGGCTCACATCTGTCACGCACGATCGCGAGGGCAGGGTATGATTGGATTTGTATTGATTGCGAACACGGAAACATTGCGGGTCAGTGGTGACACTTGTTGAAGCTTGGCTCGCATTGGCGAGAGTCGAGAGAGGGAGCTAATTTTTGGTCTCCGGGAATGCAGACAACGAGATGCACGAGTCCGTCCATGCAATTGCTGCGTGTGGCGTGAGTCCCATCGTGCGGATTCCCGCCAACGAAGGATGGATGGTCAAGCGAGCCCTGGACGCCGGAGCGCATGGAATCATTGTCCCGTTGTTGTACAGCGTTGAAGATGCGAAGAAACTGGTCCAGACGGCCAAGTTCCCGCCGGTGGGCAAGAGAGGTTTTGGGAGTCCGTTCTCGATGGGCGCGTTCGACGTCAAGGGCGACCTGACCGGATACGAGTACATGAAAAACGCGAACGCGAACCTTTTGACTATCGTCCAGATTGAAACCAAGGAGGCTTTGGAATGTGTGCGTATATGTCCAAGTTTCTGGAGTCGCAAAGTAGGTGGAGGCAAGCTGACAAGTGTGGGCGTCTAGGTCGAGGAAATCGCCAAAGTCGATGGTATCGATGTGCTCTTCATCGGACCATGGGATTTGGGTAACAACATCGGATATCCCGTCCAAGGCGACTTCGCTCCGGAACTGAAAGCGGCGATTGAGAGAGTCTTGAAAGCCGCCCAAGCCGCGGGCAAAAGGTCGGGGATTTATTGTCCTTCGGGCGAATTTGCCAGACGGTATGCCGATATGGGATTCCAAATGGTAAGTGATGGCCCTGCCTCCGTATACCGGCGCGGTGGTGCTGATAATCGTGCCTTTTTAGATCAGTGTCGTCAATGACATGACGGCCATTCCGACGTTCATGGCAGAGTCGTTGTCCAAGGCCAAAGGCTCCTATGGCCATGCGGCTGCGCAAGCCATCAAGGGCGCCGCTTACGGAGCAGCCAATATGATGTCGCAAGAGGAGAAGAAGTGAAGCCGCCATGTAGAGTGAGATAGGCAAAAAGTCACGTAGACGATGCTTTTTCAACCTCGTCCACAGCCTCTTCCACCTCCTCCACTGTAAATCGATGCATGAGCTTTTTGGCGGCCTCCAGCGATAAACCACTTTCGCCGGCTTCTTTCCCGCCGGCAACTTTGTCCACGTGTAGGACCGGGACGTCAAAGTCGTAGACATCTCTCCATTTCTCGTGCCCGGGACTCATGATATCGATTTCTCTGTAGTTGACAGGTCGCCTGTTCTGGACCTCGACAATGCGTGACTTGGCCACGTCGCACAACCCGCAGTTGGCTCGGGTGAATAGTGTCAATTGCACTCTGGCGGCGCGGAGGGCAATGGAAGGACGCATTTTGAAGTCAATGGAGTTGGAGTCCCACGAGGCACGAATGACCAGGGGTATTGCTTGAAGTTTGGATTTCATCGACAAGTTTGAAAGGGATCACCAGGGAAGGGAAACTCTGGCCGCTGCTTTAATGAACTGTCAACCAGAGTACTGCTGCTGCTTTTACATAGCTTGCCCCAGTACTACCTGCTCCCATCAAGTATATTCGGACGTCGCTTCTTCTTCCTCGTTACTGACTTACCTGACGCACATGCGATCAATGGTTTCATGCTTCTCGCTTTACTCGACCCTGCTAACACCGCCGACTCCTTGATAGTGTGCAGGGGGTGGCAGGAGTCGGCGTCTGGGGGCCAAAATGTACTGGAAGCTCAATCTAGGGGATGACCTTGTACACAAAATGTGCCACCAGGAACATAGCCCGGTGAGGGTAGTGCAACGTTCCGCGAAGTCCTCCTGTGGCGTTATCTTCACCCACTCATGTTCCCTCTTTAATGGGAAGCGCGCGGCAGGCGCCTTCGCAAGGTAGCAGCGCCAGTGTCTCTTTATTGTTTCGCACTAATGGTGCCGATGCGACTCAGTATCAATGTCTATCTTGCGCGAGTCAAGCGTTTGGAGTCAATGAGCATTTCGCCCCCACGAACTCGCTTGCCGGACGATCACCGTGAAGCCGCTACAGAGGCTGTAAGATGGTCAAGCCACCTTCGAGGTTTCTGGCGTGACTGCTCAGCGGTAGCCTGAAAATGGCAAGCCGGACAAAGACATTCTGCCGGATGAAGGTGAAAATGACTTCGACTGGGGCAGAAGGTACCGGGGGATTGCAGTCGTGTTCTCGAGGGCATGGAAGGTAGGATGAACATGATTTGGTGTCACAAAACTTGCCATCATTGCAGGATCTCCTCTGTCTCTCTATTGTTTATGGAGGGTGTACATCAAAGACAACGCCTTAGGTGGGTGACATCTCTTGAAGCGCACTAATGCATGTCTTTGCAAGACGATGACTTCTGGCACCGTCTCAGCCGCAAGTAGACCATGGCTGCTTAGGTCGGCCTGCTGCGGTCACTTACATTAGAGATGGTATAAGAGCTTGCTGGCATCTTTGATTTTGCTTGACTCTGGACCACGCAATTGACAGAACTGAAGAGGTTGAACATTCCTTGTTCGAGAACGAAGATATTTGGGAGAGCCTCAACCAGTTACAGAGCCGTCCAGACATTCGGAGAAAGGCAAAGCTGAGAAGGTCCAAGTTTGACAAACTTCAGCCTTGGTAGCATATTACATAGCTTTCACCACTTGACTCAAGACTCTCCCAGATGTACGACTTGCACAACTCCCCAGGACCTTCTTGGAGTTTTACGCCTAGCCAATCTTCCGAAGATGGAGATTCCTGGCTACCGTCTTCTCCGCCACAATCCTTGAGAAGTAGGTACCCACAAGTTGCCACGTTTCTTGCAGGCTACTGCTAATGTGAGTTCAGACGACGCTTCACCAGTCAGCAAGGAGAATCATCAGGATCGAACCCGAAACTATTCCGACGAGAAGATTGTTGTGGACCGCAGCAGCAACAAAGAGGCTATCGACACAGTGCCACGACCCATTTCTGCCCAAATCCCATCACCTCCTCAGGAATTAGGAAGCTCGCCGACATCAACCCAGCATTTTCCAGGCTCGGACGTATCTAATGATAGCACAGACGTGGACATGTTGATCCCCGATGGCTTGCCAAGGGAAGAGACTCCCGATGAGCCGTTCTTCAGTCCGGCCTTTCAGTCTGCCTTACATGCTTGCCAGACCATAGCCAATGACACTGCCTCTGCCATCGAGAAGCTTCTGCAAAGCGGCTACAAAAGCGATGATCTGGATAAATTCAGAGCTGATGCGGAACGTCTTAGTATGGATCAGACGACAGCATTGAGAACGATAGCTATTATTGGCGATTCTGGCGAGGGTAAGGTTCAGAATGGCAGATGAGAGCAATGGCTGACAGCTCTTCAGGCAAGAGCAGTGTCATCAACTGTCTCCTCGATTTTCCCGAGTTGGCCAAGACGGTAAGTGGACATAGTCCTTCGAAGTCACAAGCTCATTGCTTGATACAGGGAGATATCGGTGAGGCATGTACATCGGTCGTGACAGAATACCGCCTGAAGACGCAAGAGCAGCAAGCTCCCATCACCATTGAAGTCGAGTATCTTTCAAAGCAGGAGATTGAACAGCACTTGGAAGAACTTACCTGGAGTTATCGCAACCTATTCCTTGTCAAACAGGCTAACGAAGCTGGTTCCTTGAGAGACGAACAGGGCCGACAGACTCTGAGCGACAAGGACTACGAACGTATCGAGCGAGAAGCGGAGCATGCCTGGTCAGCACTGGAAGCGGCATTCGGGCATCACGCCGGGTTCGGACGAGAGATGCTGACGGATCGTTCACAAGATGTACCCTCGATTGTTGCAAAGCTGGCTCGATGGTCTCAAGAGCTTGAATGGCCGGAAGGAGACCAGGAGGGATTTTGGACGACAACAGCTACCGATGCTGACGAATGCTGTGAGAAGACGAGCATCTTCATGAACAACCGGTTCTGGCCATTCACAAAGATTATCAGGTTGGATCTGAGCTTCTGCCTTAGATTTCCCCTTGGCTGACCACCCGCGTTAGAGTGTTCGTCGACGCTCCAGTTCTTAGGCATGGTGTTGTCCTTGCCGATTTGCCCGGTGCGTTATCAAAACAAAACTCGATCAAATTTCACAAACTGATGATGGCGATACAGGTCTACAAGACACAAATCTTGCCCGGGTCCGCCTCACCCAGAATTACCTCCTCAAGAGTGATCACGTCTTTCTTGTCACCAACATCATGCGCGCGAAGACAGATGCCTCACTGAGGTCCTCGCTTTACCAGGCTCTGGCGCAGCATATCCCTTTAGAATGGGAAAATTCGGCGGGCCAGAGCCTCAAGATGGCAATTGTCTGCACCAAGATCGATGTATGTAACGAGGATCAATGTCTCGTCCTTTGGGAACAAGTCTGTCTGACTGTTTACAGGGGATCAACATGACCACCAATCGACGAGAATTCTGCGGTCCAAACAAGCCCATCTCACCCGCCGAATGGGCTCGTCTCGACAGAGAGCTGGAGAAGGCCAAGTCTTCGAAGGATGAAAAGCTGGCCAAATCATTCAAGAGAAAGTATGTGCGAGTCACTCCCTGAGGCCGTGAATGAAGCTGATGAATCGTTAGGCAGAAAACCCTCCTCATAGGGGCGCGCAATCGTCATGTCACCGCGGGTCTGCAAGCCGCCTATGCTTCCAGAGTGCCAGGGGGCCAACTGGACGTGTTTTGTGTTTCGAGCAAGCTGTTTGACAAGTACAAGAGCTCCGACGACCTCGACTTACTGCAAATGAGCGGCATACCGGATCTTCGACGGTTCTGCCATTCTATCACGGCTTCCGCGAGGCTTTTACAGGCTCAGAACTTCCTTCGTTCCAAATTGCCTAGCTTGCTGACTTCGATTGAATTGTGGGTTACCACCCAGGCCGCGTCGACTCCTCCCCGGGGGCTAGATGCTGCCCGCGCCCAAGAGGAATGGAGAGGCCTAAGAAAACAGGTGCTATTATCTTCCCCCAATGCTCTGTGTGCCACAAGCTGACCGCCCAGACCGTCAATGAGGTCGGAAAAGCCGCAGATGATCTTCATGACGAGGTTACCGAAAATCTCTTCCAGCATTTCGGTCAGTCTGACCATCGCCTTGAAGTTCCTGACAAGAAGCTGAATATGGCGGTAGAGCAGAGGAATGACGCGTGGGAAAAGGAAGCAGAGAAGAAAGGTCGAGAGTGGTTAAGCTGGCATTGGAGTAAGTCATGCAACGCCCCGACACGAGCAGACGCTGCTAACCACTTGTCCCGGAAGCCCAATACAATGCCTGGATCCTAAGATATGGTGACCACTATACCGCCAAGAGAGGCAAGGTGAACTGGAACGCAGAGCTGATCTGGAAGACCAGGATGGAGCTGGAAATCCCGTGGAACTCGTTGATGGAAGAGCGCATACCTGAGACCTTTGAGAAACTGTTCAAGGGAGTCAAGAGCCACCTGATGGAGCTCAAAGAGTCGGCTCAAGGTGAGTGTGGGACCATGATATCTGGCTTTTCGAGATCCAGTTCTGATCCTCAGCACGCAGACTCGGAACTCGACACCTTTGCGCAGAGTCTCGACCTCAGACTTCATGAAGTTCAGTTTGAATTGGTCAATGCTCAGCGGCTCCTCCTTCGAGATCTAAGGTATGTTGGAGTTTCTCGTCTGCAGGAGCTCGACGTGAATGATGCTGTGTTGGTTTTTACTCATATTCTTCAGATTGATCCGTCGGAACGCGTCTGAACCGAACGGTGCTGCATACATTCTCGCCGAGATGATTCCCGCCTACCGGTCCGCAGCAGCAATATATGGTCAGTCAATGACTGCCGTTCTAACCCAAGTTATCGTCCGCACTGACCTTCTCAAACGTAGGAACGGGAAAGATGGCCAAACAGCATGCAATCGTCCAAGGCCGAATCAGTGATGGAACTCTGTTCCCGAACATTTCCGACAGAATGTTGAACGACATCAGTTCAGTCCTGGATGAAGCGTTCCATGGGCTGAGACAGAAGATGAATGATATTCTCCGCCTCATTCGCGCCGACCTCAACCTCGCCGTGCCTTCTCATACATCACACGTTCGATTTACCGATAAAGAGAGACATGCACGGGAGCAGCTCGCACAGGAGATCAAGAGATTGCAGCGAGAGCACCAACAGCTGCTCGAGGGTATTGCGGATCTTGCATAGCCAGTACAGCTGAGAGAGTTCTGGAAGGGATCGAGATCGTCGGAGTGCGACTATCTTTTGAAATGGGCATTATGGAATATGTCCAGTCGTTCAGGCTACTCAAAGTGCATTTTGATTGCAGAGAAGGTGGGAGATGCTTGCGGAATTCGTCTCTTCGTGTATCATTAGGTGTTCGGCGTGCAGGATAGATGTCTAGACAGATCATGATCACGTCGAAGGATGCCTGACCATACAGAGGTTGACATACTCGCCGTCCTTCCACGGTGAGATTTCGAGCGGCAGTCGGTCAACTTCTGCAAAGCCTTGTTTTCGATAGAGCCGCACAGCCGCCGGGGACGCCTCGACATACGTGGCAAAGCCTCGGTCGTCCGCTCGTTCTAAACCCCAGTCGAGCAGCAGCGACCCAGCTCCTTGCTTCTGGTATTTCGGGCTCGTGCCTATGGCTGCTAGAACTGATGCTGCAATGTCAGATCCGGTGAGAGAGAGAGAGAGACTTCACAGTTCGGTTTTTTCTTCTTCTAAACACACACACAAAAACAAGAACTCACACGCATAAGGTCGCTCTGCACCGATATTAGCGGCCACAACTTCATGTCTTTTCCTGACACTATTGTGAAGCAACCTGCTGCCCAGTTCTTTGTTCGAGTCAGCAGGCAGAGGGAACTCGCGGGTCAGCATTTCTTCATCAATCTCGTCCTGGCTTTGGGGAGCGTAGAAATGCCACACCGCGAAACTGGCCACCTCCCCGGACATGGCTTCCTTGACGACCATGATATGACAGCTCGGATCGCTGTACATGTCATTCTCGTAGGATTTCACCATATGCGTGAGCGAAGTCGACGTCGCGCCGCGCGGGAAGATGACGGGGAATGCATGGTCAGATGCGCAAGCGGCGAACTGGACGTGGGCTACGGCTTCGAGATCGGACGGCGTCGCAGGGAGGACGACGAAGGTGGGCATTATGGTTGCTGGTTGTTGCTTCTTCTCGATTGTGTTCAGAGGTGAGAGTTGTGGGCTGTCGTCGGAACTTAGGATAGCTAAGAACCTAGGCTAGTAGGCGGTACAGAGGGCGCAGGAAGGTCAGCTCTGGGGCTCCGAGCAATCCTTCACTTGCGATCCAGCCCTTGACTGCATCACTTTACTTTGAAGAAGGGGAACACCACCACAAATGATCCTCTCACGCCTGTCAGTTTAGGGTTTGGAGTTGAAGGTAGGATGGGAGATGCTTGCTTGCATTCAACTTCGACATGGATGTGCTGAAGTCGGTTGCCGGGAAATCGAGGTTGTATGGGGCTATAGAGGCTAGGGAGCCCTAAGGAGCCTTAGGAGCCATTATATGGCCCGTCGTGGCTCGTGGTGAATGGATTTACTCTCCAAGGCTCCAGGGCTCCCAGGCAGGTCCAGGTTGTCGGTTTAATTAGGATTTGGCGCTGCTGCAGGGGAAGCTGGGCGTGTGGCCAGTCATTTTGGTGCCTGCGTACGCTGTACAACCCCCCTTAGGACCCCTACACACTCTATCTTATGGGGGTGAGGAACACTGCCTAGGCATTGCCTTAGGTGCATTACAATGCCCTGGCCGCCGATGCTGATGTACGCTTCAAGTAGACGTTCTCTCACTGCGGCGTCCTCGGGGGGTTTCTCACAAAACAGCTCATTTGTCGTAGCAGCTTAGCGAACTGCTGCCGGTGATCAAACTGAGCAAGCCAGTGCAAAATCTCTCATGATGATTTCTGCTCCAACTTCCGGCTTACCACCCAACAGGGCTGTTCACCTTCTTCATTCAAAGATTTCCTCGCTCAACACAGCTTGACAGTCTAGTTTATTGCTCTCCATGGTTTCTATCGCTTCAATATTTGACTAAGCTCTACACCGAAAGCCCAGGTTCTGGCCCCGGCCAGCTGTCAATGCTCAATATCCTTCCATCAGAACGGATCAATAAACCCGGAGTCGATCGATAGCCTTGGTCTGTGTTCGATCGATGACACTGGCGCTCTCCACTCACGGTCGCACGGTCTCGCACTTCTCGTATATCAAATTCTTACAACCAAAAGTCGGCGACGAACAAGCAGCCATGCCAAATGTGAACGCCTATCCCATCCCTCACGATCTTTTCATCCAAGAACTCCCGCCTTCGCCGACATTGACCAACCCCGACATGATCCTTCCGTACCAACCCATTGATGCTTCCAGTCCGACTCCGTTCGCTTCATCGCCGACCCTACAAACATCGCTACCCGTGCGACCCGACTCCGCAGTCTCCTTGGGTTCTTCACAACCGGATCACGATGCCTCGATCGAAGTCGGAATCGCGACAACCGTGAGGATGCCTCCGCGCGCAGCACCTCTTATCGGCGCCGGCTACGATGGTTACGAGCATGGGGCACCCTTGAGCGACATTGGAGAGGAGGAAACTCCCAGGTCAAGGAAAAGCAGGAGAGCAGACAATTTAGTCAGATCGAACGCAGGGTCACCCACGCCCGCTGGACGACCGTCGCACATGATGCGAAGAATGAGCACACAGTCGTCGTCAAGCAATAGCTCTGATCTGGGAGATTGGGAAGATTTCGACACATCGAACATTATGAATGAAAGGCTGGCTGCAGACGTAGCGAACGTGTCGGACGACGAGATGGATGAGCCCGATAGTAGGAGGAACTCGACTGTGGCAGCAAGCCCAGAGGATGAAATGACCTTACTCAACGAGCAAGCCGAAAGGATTCTTGCGAACGCGCGGAAAAGGTTGACGCATATGGAAGACCATCTGACCAAAGCTCGTCATAGCATCCTTATGTTGGCCAGATCATCACCGAATGCGTCGGAGCAACATCAGCCTGCTGGCGGGCTGTATCGTTCTATTTCGGCAGCAGGAGCAAGCCATCGCAAGCCCCGGCACCTGTATCCCGTCGTCAGATCAAGTTCGGCAGCGCACACTAGAGGTGGAAGCGATGTGTCGAGCGCAGGGCTGAAGCGTCTTTCTGTCGTCCCGGACGTCAGGTCTGCGAGTGCTCTTGAGTATGGCCGAAGACAAGAATCGCCGCAAGCCCAGAATTCGCCGGCGAGTAACCACAGCTTCAATTCGCCTTTGCGCGTGCTTCAGGAAGAACAGGACACTCCCAGTACAAGCAAGACTTCTCCGGAATCCTCGGTTCCGAGGGGTTTGGGTATAAATACTTTTGCGGCCCTTTCAAAGGAAGACATTTCTGCCACCATCAGCAGCCCAGCGACTGCTATCCCTAGCTCTCCTTCGGCAATGTCCAGCCGGTCAAAAGAACTCCGAGAACAAATGTCGGATTTGCGAGCTCGGATTTCTGATCTGAAGGAAAAAGCTCATGCTGATAGCTTGAGGAGACAGAGCATGCAGAGCATTCGCAACTCAAGCCCGTTCACCGACGCCCATACGCCAGAGCAATGGTACACTAGCGCGCCCGAGTATAAAGAAACAGGAAGCCCGCTCAACACAAATGCTGGAAAGGGATGGAGCCCGCTCAGTACGAACGGTGGTCAGGACTGGAGTCCTTCTCGCAGCAAAAGACCTGTGGAGATACAAATCACACCAGTGACTCCGCAAGCACAAACATTCAGGAATGTCAAACAGCCCACGACGGATGATTCCAGACTGTTAAGCGAGGCAAGGACAGACAAGAACACTCCTAGCCTACACCGAGCTGTCGATTTGAAGCCTGCTGGGCAGGATGACTCGATCTCCATCATCCAAGAATCACTGTACGAGGACGCGGCGCAAGAGTTCGACGACGAAGAGCCGGTAGCAGCTTCGGAAGAAGAACAGATCTATTTGAACGAAGTCTTAGAGGAGAGTCTGCAGGAGGCAGAGCCAGATCTTCCAGAGCTTGTCGAGCTTTCCGCGGATGGTGCAGCAGAGCGACATGAAGACCGAGTCGATGCGTTCGACTACGAGAACATGTTCCTTCACAGTGCCTTGGGCAATTACACTGGTACTGGTACTAGAAGTGAATCTCCTAGCGAGAGCGACAGCAGTAGCACAGCAACTACTCGAGTTGATCAGAACACCCCCACCACAGACGATGGTAAAGGCGAGACAGACACGGTCACGGATGCCGGCACAGAAGAGGAAGATGAGGAAGAAGTAGGAGGAGAAGAAGAAAGGGAAGAAGCGACCACTCCTGTTCAAGAGACTTTCCCGACATCGATTGTCGAACCCGACCCCACGACTTACCTTGCAGCGCCTGTCAAACCTTGGACGAAAGCAGTACGCAGCAACAGTATGGATTCTGTCTCGACAGCCGCCACCTTCGCCACGGCCGCGGAAGGAGACGGTGGTGCAGAGGAGGAGGAAGACAACGACGTACCGAGTGAGATCCTCCAGTGGGGAAATGGCGGCGGCGCTGGTGCAACAACAGGATTCCCTCTACCGCCAGTGAGTCCCAAACGAGAAGTTTCTGTTCCTCCTCCTCCTATGTCGCCTTCACCTTCATGGGGCGGACGCGTCCAGCAAGGTCCCAGCAGGACACCACATATAGTCCAGACTCCTACATCCGTCGTCGTTTCGAACGGCATGCCTACCCCTCCCATGCAGTCTCCGGGCACTCGGTTCGCGGCATCCTCGGGAATCAGCCAGTTGAAACCCGTCCAGCCCGACGACGGCGTAGTCGACCATCCTGCAAACACGGAGATTCTTATGGAAAGCCTGGTCAAGCTCGCGGATCCGGATTTCAAGATTGCCGAAGGTCGGGAGTCAGTCACGTTCTCTGACGTCGACAAGGGGCTTGTCCTTGATCTTCTTCGAGCTGTTGGCGGTGTGTGTAATGAGATCCTGAAGGCAGAGATGGCTCACGAAATCCGGGCCGTGAAGGTCTTGCGGAGAAGGCTGGATGACTCGCGGAAGTTGTTGGAAGGTCATACGATCCAATGAAAGGAATGAAAGGAACGGGATGGGATGGGCCAGGTGGCCAGCCACGGCTTGTACCGGTGTGCAATATTTGATGCCTGGCGAAGGCGAGGAAATAGTCTTTTGGGGGGGGGGGGGTTCTGGTGGTCAGTCTGATCATCTTCTAGATTCTAAGGGGGAAGGAGATTTCAATACCCATACCAGCAAGGTGATCTGGTGTACAGTGCGAAATCGGAGGCGTTTCTTTTCTCTCTGCAAATATTTGTCCCTTGATGTGGCGGTAGCTGAGATTTGATCGGATCTGATCTGGGGATGGTTACCTGTCACGATGGCGGCCTCGAGAAGTCCAAGTCAAGGAGGAGAAGGATGTGGGCAGTTTGGGTTTTATATCCATATATTGGAGCTTGGTGCCATGTTCATGTTTGAGGTGCTCATATATATTTTTTTATACCCACTTTGCAAGTCATGTCACTCCGCAAAAACCTGCCAAAGATATATCTAGCTATTGTGAAGAATGATGCGCTTAGAAATGATATCCTTCTGTTTTTTCTCCCTGTACATTGGTCCCTTGATATCTTTCCTCTCTGCGAGTGAGTGATGGTCGGGCATTGTTCAATCAGTCTTGTAGGCCTTGATGCTTCGGATCGAGAGGATGAATTGTGAATGAGCAGAGAGATACTTTCGGAAGCACTCCTATCCAGAAGAAGACTTTGGCTCAGGTTTGTCCTGGGACTCGAAAAGGCTGGACTCGAAGAGGCTGGACTGCAACTGTCTTCAGCTGTTCGGGTCCCAAGCCATCAAATTCGATATCTTGCTCTACAGAACGACAGATTCTATTTCAGCTCAGCTCGGTTACAAACAACCTTTTTCCTTTCCTCTCTTGTTTGAGTTCATCCGGGGGGGCTTGGTTCCGTCATCCTGCCCGGCCGTTGTCAATTTGACAATTTGACACCGGGCCGCGCTGTCTGCTGTCTGCTGTCTGCCGTCTGGTTTAAAGTTGACTGAACGTCTCAAGGAGGCGGAAACGGAAACTAAGTGTCTACTTACAGAGTACCTTGCCCTTCAGACTACGGCACGGCATGACTGAAGCAAGACAGGGGAGAGGTTACAATATGGCGGGAAAGGAACAGGGAACAGGGAATAGACTCAGACTCAGAGCCAGGGCTTGCCTCCCTTAGGGGCTTACCTACAACTTGAACAACTCACCGCTATTTAAGTTCGACGGATATTAGACTGCTGTGTACTAGTACGGCATGATACTCTGTAGAAGGAGCTGCGTAAGGTAGCTGATATCGCCTATCTTGCCTAAAAGCTCTTCCGAACTTTTGTCAGGGGAAATTGTACGGTCTGGGTGAAATCTGCTCACTTGTCCCAAGATAGATCCAAGATAGATCCAAGATAGGGGGTGGTCTGGCCCAGGATCATGGGCATTGGGGGAGGGGGCCCGATCGTAAATGAGATTGCGCGATAGTGAAACTAGTAAAGTATCAATCAACAAGGGTGCTTTCCAACAGCAATAAATGCGATGTGTTGATTAGTAGTTCAAGAGCCTGATCGGTCGATTGATCTAGGATCTCAGGGTTTGCTGGCTTGAGAAGAGCCGGGATGGACAGTAAGTAGGGACAAGAAACGAGAAGCGACAACTTACAAGCAATAATGCCAGCACAGGGATTTGAGAAACGGTCAGTCTAAACCCAATCCCATCAGTCGGTGTGTTTTGTTCAAGCTGTCGGTTGTCGGTTGCAAATGAGAGATAGTATCAGTTGATAGGCTGTACCACAACCCGGGATCCGTGGTGGATGTCAACATTGATTTCTTGCACCTTGGGAAACGACTATTTGGGAATAGGATCTAGTACTAGATATCGGGGATGTGGGCAATGGGACTTGCATACTAGTACGTAGTATGTATCTTGTCGACGGGTCCAACGGGATGAAAAGAGAAAGAGCAGGAGCTGCAGTGCGTACTCTTTTCCTGATCAGGTAGTTCTAGATGGAGATCGGAAATACTAGGACTGTAGGCTGAACGACATGGGTATGCTGTCTTTGTTTCGTCGCTGACAGTGACTCCGGATCAGGGATCTGAGAACAAGAATGGCCGCGCCCACAACCACGAATCCGGCTGGCGATTCGTGCCAGGGGTCCGCATGTGTGCATTATTTGAACGAGACATTTGACATCCCCGGGGGTTGGGGATGGGGATTGTCCTGCAGCGGCCTAGGTGAGGGTGGTTGGTCCAAGCAAGCCTTCTCCTCACATGCTCATGTCTAGGTACTAGGATGCTCTTCCCATGCCCTTGGATCCGTTTCCGAAGTCGAAAGTCGAAAGTCTCCGGAGGACTACTGCAGTAGCTATCCAGGATTTCAGATGCTGACTGCTAGATCGTTCGGAGAAAGTATCCTTGGCTTCCTTGTTCTGAAATGAGGTTTGTACAGGGTTCTCCTTTGAGACGCAGCTCGTGAGAGTATGGCGCGTTCTTTCTCGTATTGTCGTGTTCTCAAGGATTTGTCCTGGAAGCGTGCGAGCGGATCAATGAAATGCTGAGCCGCGGTAAGCCCAAGCCTCGAAAGGAAGAGAGTTCAATTGAGAGGACCAGCTGGGAGTTGCGGCAGAAAGAAAGAATGTCTCGTCAAGAAAGAACTGGCAGGAGAACCGCATCCGAAGTACATGTCTGTATACTGCTTCAGGCATGGTATAGCATCAGCGGGAGGCTGCCACATATATGTGTGCTTGATGTCCCATGTCCCTGGTCGATGCTTGCTTGGTTTGTTTGTTTTTGCACGGCAAGACTTCAGAGTACTTCATTTGCTCTCTGGACCCTCAAGCTCACCTTCTACAGTCGCATTCCAGTGAATGTGCCTCTTTGCCCTTTTCAGTCCAGTTGTTGAGTGTTTCACCTGCATGAATTGAGTCTTCTCGAGACGCGAGAAGAGCTCGAACCTTGACCAAGTTTGGCATTCTGATTCGGGCTGCCACTGTCCAGCAGACCAGTGTGGAACTGCACATCCGGTCGGCCGATCTGCTTTGAGGGCCGTGATGGATGACACACGGGAAAATAGAAGGGGATCCGTCAAAACCGAAATCACAGTCCTGCCTGGCATATCCGACCTCCTCCTTGGTGTACCAGCAGCAGACTCGAGACAAGTACATACATTGCACACACGAGACATAATCCCTGCGGTGTCATCAAACAGATATGTCTTCACGGAAACAGAGAGGCAGTTTGACTCGGACTCCAGCCAAACGCATCCATCAACAAGCCGGGGGATCACTCCAGCTGTAGGGTGTTCGAATCAACAATTCCACCGAAACACCAATACAGCAGAAAGTTGGACCACGATCAGAGCGCCTGCACCGAAAAGAATAGCACTTGGAGGGCTGAGACCACATACCTTGCCCGTGACACCAGGTCAGCCGCCTTCGCCGCCGTACACTGCGCCTTCGTCAGCGTGCTCGACACCAGTTGGAGCGATCGATCGTCCCGAAACTGCTTTGGAGGACGTGCTTAGCCAGCAAGATCCAGACAAGATACTGCTCGCCGACCTTGTCTCCAACTTCCTCCACGGTTCGGTGGCTCCTGCTTATAATCAGGGCTGGTATCGACCTCAGTCTCCGAATAACAAGTTCAGTCACAGGCTAGAAGCTAAAGTCAGTGCACACACCAGGGACGACCTTGTGAGAGAGTTCTTCCGCCGTAACGAAGCCCGCCAGACATACGGCGAGCAGGTAACGATTCCAAGAAGACCAGATCAGGGGAAGGTCGGCCTGGATCTTTCAAAAAAGAACATAACTACGCAGGCGGAGTGTTCAAGGACCATCGACTGCAGTCCGAATGAATCGACCAGATTGCTTAAATATCAAGGAGCCAGAGAAGAGCACAGGGAGCTTGAAAGGAGCAGGCGAGATCGGCACCGTGACCTTCAGATGCAGAGTGCTCTTCGCAGCTGTGAGATTGCTGCAGATTGCGGTGAAACACATGCAGACGAAGAAAAGTTGGTGCAAGGTACCCGAAGGACACGAGCGAAGGGGCCCGGAAAGGATGAACAACTGTACACAGCCATCTACTCTCACGAGTTCAGTGCACGTGTAGTGCAATCAGAACACGATGGGCGTAAACGCGCAGAAAAGATGGTGCAGTTGTTGCTCCAATACCTCGTCCGAGAACAGAGGCCGGATCTCAACGCCGTCCGGGAGTTATGTCGTCGTGACATAAGGTCTTCAAGCTCGACGGCACATTCAGAGGAAAGGCATAAGCGGCCTCGAAGCGATTCTGAACAAAGTTAGGATGCGGCTTGAGGTTGGAGTTGACATGGACAATGATTGCGAGGTTCGAATCAGCAGATAGTCCGCTGATGTGTCACGGTCGTTGTTCTCAAGATGCCATAGTGTCAACGAACCCGACAAGGGCATTCCACCTTCAACCACGGCTGGCTTTGGATCTGAGCAACGCGCTGCCTTTGACTTCGCATTATTTACCCAGCCTTCGTCCAACTCTGAGCGGAAGGTTTGGGCACGACAGGAACGCGGTCCCTCGCTGTGGCAACGATACCGTACAACATCAGGGACCTGATCGTATCACCCCAACATCAACGGGGAAATAGTTGGGACCGTTGGATTCTGGAACTCGGGTTTATATTGTCACATCTGGTCGGCTACTTGCACACTCTGTACCCATAGAAGAGTGACTTGTAGAGACAGACCTCTAGTCCAACACGATGCGCAGGGAAGAAGAGGTGGATGGAAGTATGGGCTTACCACGATGGCTGCAAGCGATGTCTCTCCTTTTACTCCATAGATAGATAAGGAACGTAATGCACTGTGCACACCGCATCTCTTCTATCGATATCAATTCGTTACGGAAGGCAACGGTGTGGTCTGTACAGTTGTAGTTGAGGCTGATGTCGATGGTGGCAGTCGAGAAACTTGAAGCGTGGAAAGCCTCGTTGAGCGGGCTAGACCTCTTTAGGACTTAGTGGAGAGACGCGGACCAGCAGCGAGCAAGAACAAGAACAAGAACAAGAGCAACGGCGACGGCGACAGCAGCAGCCAGACCAACGCCATCCTCCTCCTCCTCCTCCACCTCCACCTTCAAAGCCACCACCTGTGAACAAAACTATACTGACTACTCGACATACACATACTTCACCTCCTAATCCTTGGTCGACCGACCGACCGTCTGTCACATCCAGCTGTTTCTCGCCCGCCAATACAGCCTCCCTAATCTTCCTCACACGATCGCATAAATCCAACCGAAATCATCCTCCGCCTCTCCGCCTGCGTTTCTCTCCTCCTCTTGGCCTCTTGCGCAACTTCGGAGGCCACTCCGTTCGTTTCTTCTCTGCGCCCTCCAAAGGTGGTCACGACGATTACAAGACCCTCCTAGTGAGGCTGTGCCCGTGCTTGCGCTTATCTCTTGATCCTCCTTTTCGATCCTCCGATACCTTGATCTTCTCCCTAATCACCATGCTGCTCCCCAAAGGCGGCGTGACCTGGAAGTCCGCCAAAGCAAGATTACCACCATGGAGAGCTATATTAATGTTTTTGACCCGGACACGATTTCTGGTGGCCGTCGCTCTCACTGGCCTGATTGTGTTATTATGGAGGGGGATTTCTGTATCAACGCGGGAGATGTCAAAGTAATTATATTCATCAGCCGCGTCACGAGCAAAGAAATATCGAATGCTGATTGCGAAAATAGTTATTACTGCTTTGGTCCCTCGAAGCCGCCGACGCAGATGTCCATCAACGAAATGGTGGCGTGGAACCAGCACTTACAAACACCAGTGCTTTTTAATCACCACGAGCCGCTCGAAGTCAACGCGAGCACTATTCAACGGGTAGACCTGAACCCGATCGTCTCGACCCCGAGGGCAGTCAGCAACCAGGAACGAGTCCTCATCCTGACGCCATTGCGGGATGCCTCGCCCTACTTGATCAAATACTTCGATCTCCTCACCGAGCTTACCTATCCTCATGACCTGATTGACCTTGCTTTCCTGGTTGGCGATTCCACGGATGACACTCTGGCAGTTCTGTCGTCCGAACTCAACCGCATTCAGTCGCGGACGGACAAGATACCTTTCCACAGTGCCACAATTGTAGAGAAGGACTTTGGCATGACATTGAACATGGATGTGGAGACCAGGCACGGCTTTGCCGCACAAGGACCAAGAAGGAAAGCAATGGGAAGAGCGCGGAACTACCTTCTCACCGCCGCATTGAAACCTGATCATGCCTGGGTCTACTGGCGGGATGTCGATATCGTGGACAGCCCCAAGAAGATCATCGAGGATTTTGTTGCTCATGACCGAGATGTTTTGGTCCCGAGTAAGTGGCAACCTACTCAACTCCCAAAGCTCTACATCTCTACTGACACCGCTATGCAGACATCTGGTTCCATCGTTACGAGAACGGTCGCGACATCGAAGGCCGTTTCGACTACAACTCGTGGATCGAGTCTGACAAGGGCCGACGGCTGTCTTCCACCCTCGACAAAGACATTGTGCTTGCCGAAGGTTACAAGGAGTATGACACCGGCCGGACGTACATGGCCCGCATGGGTGATTGGAGAAACAACAAAGATGAAGAGATCGAACTAGACGGCATTGGAGGTGTAAATATTCTGGTCAAGGCCGATGTTCATAGATCAGGTGGGTTGCTTTGCTGGAAGACAAAGTCTTGCATCAACGTGGACCTCGTCGCTAACAAAGTCTTCATAATAGGGATCAACTTCCCCTGTTACGCCTTCGAAAACCAGGCAGAGACAGAAGGCTTCGCGAAGATGGCCAAGAGAGCAGGTTATCAAGTCGTTGGCTTGCCGAATTATGTTGTCTGGGTACGTGGTCCACTTGCGTGCTTAACTGGTTCCTTCCAGGGTTTTTGTTTCCGCTCCGTGCTGTCAGCTGTCAGATGGGTTACTGACACTCTTCACCTCTAGCACATTGATACGGAAGAAAAGCCAGGCAATGCCGGATAGACAAAAGATTTGAAAGGATCATGTCGCCGAACAACTCTGGTTCATTGTTTGTTTATACGGGCATCTACGCCTTTTGGAGGTGTCCTTCCCACACGTCAAGCGCTCTGGAGTATTTACTTTGGGCCTATACCTCGCTCGGTAGCCGAGTGGTTGTACCCCTTAATGAACGTCTCTTTTGTCCCCGGCCGCTCAGCGAATCATGAAATTGTCGTCCCGACCATCCTGCGCCTCATCTTCCCCAACAAGCAACAGCATCCTCGATATATACATATCTTTACGTCGTTATGCTCACTCATCTCCATGCGAATATCGGGCGAAAAAGGTTGTTGTTTTCCGCAGTGATGGCAGTCAAGTGTGTATGAAGCCCCGGGGGCCGTTCGATCACGATATCAATCAGTGTGAGATTGGGATTGGGGTCGCCCGTGGGTACATGCGTTGATGCCGGTATCATTGGTTGGGCTGTATCTGCCGCAGTCGCTGGACTCGACCGTCGAAACTGACCAGCCATTGCTCGCACTGGGCCATTTGGTCAGGTCTGGTCAGGTCTAGTCTGCCCCATGGCATTCGGCTTTGGGAAAATGGTCTCGGTGTTTTCAACGGCTGGTTGGCTCGGTGGTTGGCTTGTGTCACCTCTGTCGCTTGATGGACTTATACCAGATAAGCACTCTGCGACGGCCGGCTCTTTTATGTACCGTACCTCAAAGATAAAAGAGGCATCATTGGGGCATGCTTGGCAATGTTTATACCTAGATTCTACCTCCCTGCTCTTTCTGACTCTTCCCCCTTGTCTCCGTTTCATTGATTAGCAACAAATCAAGAAACTTGGTGGTATGTATCATGATGGCGAAACTGTGGGCATTCTTGGAGCTCCAGTTTCCAGTGTCCGCTTTGAGGTGGAGATAGAGATAATTTGACGGCGAGCATGACAGGGACAGGGAGATGGAAAGGCTGGAAGACGAGAGAGAACGAGGAAACACGAAACAGGAACAGAAAACAGGGGAAGCGGAAGAGAGAACATATGATCAGAATGTGAAATATGAAATATGAAATATATGTCGATTGCTTCTTGTACCCTGCCAGTGTCTCCGTCAAATACAGCCTTCTTGTACCGGAGTACCCTTAGACAAACCATATTCAACTGCTCTCAGTCAGGCGCATCCAAATGATCAGATATGGCACCCCGTTTCAAATAACCCCAGGAAAACGTCATTCAAGAATGCAAGCAGAACCTCTCCCTCTCTCTGTGTCCGTCTCCCTCAATCCGTGACGTTGCTCTGTCTTTGTAGATTCCCTATAACGCCGGCGCTGGTGAAGAAGAAAAAGAAATATGTGTGTGTGTGTGTGTGTGTGTGTGTGTGTGTGTGTGTGTGTGTGTGTGTGTGTGAGTATGTAGCAGATGAGACTTCCAGCACTGTATCGTACCGATCCAGAAGCATGAAAAGTCGAGGCTTTGAGGGGAGGGGACAGAGATCCAGTCATATATATAGGAGAGGGACAAATATGACGTGTCCTGTCATTACTGTCTCAGTCCCCGCTTCTCGATCGTGCGTACAGGGGCGGAGATACAGATATAAGACGATGCGCTGGCGAAGTTGGGTCACGGACGGTTCCACCATTCTTCCATGCCCTGTGCGACAGGCTGGGCAGGACCAGTGCCGAAAGGTTGAGAATTGGCTTGCGGTTGCGGTTGCGGTTGCGATATAGGTGCTGGATAGCCAGTTGGCAGCATGGGTGGAGACATGGGAGGCGGGAAAGTGGGAGACATTGTTTGGGAGTTGGACGGTGGGAAAGTGGGCGAGAGAGGGAGAGGTTGAGGAGGCTGCTGCTGCTGACTGACAGACTGAACCAGCGGCTGAGGCAGGGGTTGTTGTGGTGCAATCGTGTTTTGCTGGGTCATGAAAGGGTTGCTGGTCTGATAGCTGGTATACAACGGTTGTAGTTGCTGTGGTGGAGGTGGCGGGTTGTTGTACGGTTGCAGAGGTGGACTGTTGAACGGCGAGGGTTGTTGTTGTTGTTGTTGTTGTTGTTGTCGCGAATTGCCCAGTTCGATCAGCTCGGCCATTTTCCCGCCCGGAATCGTACTCTCGAGCGGCTCGATGCTCTCCAGCAGCAGATTTGTGGGCACGCTCACACTTCTGGAATGAGAGCGTACGTTGCTGCTGGTCGGCAACACCGAGTTCGGGCGAGGTGAGGTCCTCTGAGACAGGGACGGCGTGTTGCTTCTGCTCCGGTCTCCCGGCGAATACATTCCACTGGCGGCGGCGGCGGCGTTGTTGTTGCTGGCGGTCCTGACACTTCCGCTCCTGCTCACGTCCGCACTCATGTTGGGGGTCTGTTGGCCATCGAAGGTCCGTCGGCTGACGCGGAGAGGTTGCGGCAGATCCTCGTCCCACGTCGATCCGGTTTTGTGCCTGACCACCGGCCTCAGGCCGGATCCTGCAATGACTTCGACGCTGGTCCGTTGGGCCACGGGGGAGATGGGTCCATCCCAAGCTTCCTGAGGACGCCAGCTGGTGCGAGCATCGTTGGCCTCTTGTTGGTCTCGGAGCGTGAGGATCGGTCGGTCGGCGTCCGGATCCACGTAGCTGGCCCCGGTGCGTTGGATCTCCAGTGACTTGGCCTCCCGGGTGATCTTCCTCTGCTCGTCATAATCGTCGCGCAGGCCTTCCCAGCGCTCATAGTTTTTCTGCCGCTGCTTATCCCGTTTGTACTTGACTAGGCCTTTGTGGCCCAGCCATATTGAGCCGAAGATCAAGGATGTCATTGTGTTTCCGTCTCTTCCGTTTTGTTTTCTGCCGCGGCTCGCAGGTCGAGCGGGCGGGGGTTCGATAAGATCGTAGAGTGAAGAGTTCCGTAGCAGGATTCGAGCTGCAGAAGCAAGCAAGAGAGCCGAATTGAAAGGATTGATCTTGTGCTTGGAGGGTCTTAAGAGAGTGTCGTCTGTCTTCTTCGATGCCGGCTGTTTGCCGTAGTATGGGAGGTAGAACTGCTTGTTGGTCGGGTTGCGGGGCGTGCGAGTGCTGCAGCGGTCGACGTTGCGACAGTTCCCTTGGGATGCGAATGATGGTCAAATGCTATTCAGCGATCGCCAGCACTTTGTGTATGGAGGTTTCAGATTCACACAGGATTCGCCTGGTCGGGAAACGAAGGTCGACAATGTGAAGCTGGGGGGATGATAAGTGAGCGGGATAAGCAATTGACTGTGCAGTGAGCAGTGAGTGGGTGGGTGATAGCCAGCTCGCCAGATAGATGCGAGGCGAATGTCCGAAACACAGCACTGGCAGTGGCAGTAGTGAGCGAGAGCACTAGCTGCAGAGGCTCCCTAGGTAGGTAAGGTACCTAAGGTAGATATCTTTTGAGATAGGCGTGGGCCTCCTTCGTACACCGTAGAGCAATAATCCGAGAGTAAGGGCGGAGTTGGTCGTAAACTAAGGTACCTACTAGTTTGTGCCTAGGTTGAGAAGGGTCGGTACGCAGATACGGAGATACGCAGATGAGGAACTCAAGCACTGGCAGCGATAACAAGCATCAACGCAATGGAGACAAGCGTCGTGCTGGATCAAGTCCAAGTCTTCGGTTCTGGGTGTCAGCAGCCGAACTTCTCAGAAGATCTCGTTCGGGCCATAGTAAACGTCGTCTTGATTTGTCTGTCTACTACCTCTGGACATCGGTTCTGCTTTGATCGTACCTGGATCCTGGCTGGGCCGCTGATGGGCCACCATGATGTCAGCAAGTCTCCAAGGCCAGATACCGATGCAGCTCGCCAGATAGTAGTACAGAGTAGGCTGTCGATGGCAAAAGAATTGGCTTCCATGGCGCGATTGCTTGATTTTAAAATATACTTGTGAGGCCAGCTCAACAGATACAAAGTAGATGCTAAGGACCCTTTGGTGTGTCGAGTGATATACTGTGTAATGCTTCCACCATCCTTACCATTGCTGCGAACCTTCTGTAGGCGCTCAAATCCTCTTGATCGTCACAACAACGCTTTCCTCGACAGCTGAAGACCCAGAAGTTGCTCGAGACGATGGAACAGAGGCGAGACTAGTAGTACTCGAGTGGCTGCGTCTTCAAACACATCATGCTCTGTACAAGCATGAGGATCGGAGTAGGACCATAGGCACCCTCTGCATTAGGTATGATTCCTGTAGCTGGTAAGCCCTTCACAGGCACGGAGGAAGAATACTCTGCTAGACAGAGGGAAGGGATACCATCCAAGTTGTGGTGGCCTCGAGAGGATGCTGTCCAGGTACCAACTGACCGAGAGTCGAGAGTTATAGGCGGTGAGGGCAGTTGAGGGCAGCTTGCGGAGAAAAGAGTCGGAGCTTCCAATAATCAGGCCACTACCTCGCTCTTTCAAGTCATGCTCGCTATTTCGCCATTGAATAACCATGCAATGGCAAGACTCAAGAGAAAGATAAATCTCTACATCCAGCTTCTTGATTGATCACTGGATAACTGATACCTGACTGGTTTGTGAAAATGGCCCCCAAACGCTCCGGATGGAATCCTCGAGTAAGTCCTCCCTACAGTCTGTTGCTGTCAACAAGCTCACCGGCCTGCAGGCTGTCACCGCACCCGTTGCAGCCTTTGTCATGGCTGGCCTACTCTACACCTACTCTGTGACCTCCATTCGAGCGGCGAAAAGAAACGCTAGATTGCACCGCGAAGCCGACGGTGGACAGCTCGACATGCGTCGGGAGAGCTTGCGCAGACACGGCGTACTCGACCAGGTCGAAGGCACAGGCGGCGTGGAACTTTTCAGAGATGCAGGAGCTGAGGAAAAGAACGAGTCGAGATTCTTGACGGAAAACAAAGCAAAGCCGCTGGGCTCAGAGCAGAAAGAAGAAACAGGCGCACCCCGGACCCAGAACGAGGGAGTCCTCGATACCTACCGCGGGCGTCGCGGCCTCAAGAAGCTCAAGGAGGAGCATCCACAACAATAAAATGGAGGAAGTCCTGTTTAAGACTGTCACGGCGGTGACTGTTCAGACGCGACTGACACTGCCCGGGTCCCCGTCGCTCGCCGACCTGAAAACGGCGCACAGGACCTCAGTTTCGTCGGTCGTGAAGATCGGAACGCATCTTGAAAAGATTAAAGGACTGCCGGCGCCTGTGTCCACGACGACAACCCTTCCGAAAGCCAGGTCGACAACCGCCTCGACGGCTAACTGAACCGCCCACCAGTGCTCCAAATTCGACCATGACTCTCCGGTGTAAGTCAGCCAGCGAGCATCAACTATCCCCGCTCTAAAATGAAAGCAGCAAATGGGCGATTTCGATGAGGCATGCTTCACATCGCTGCATATCCAGTGATCAATCACAGAAACTTGTAATCATAGTCCGAACTTCGGCATTATTGGACCGGAGTTGGTGGGTGAAAAGGGGGCACTTATCAATAAATATACCCATTCTGCAACCCTCTGGTCTTCAGCAACTGGAGCTTCCCCCAGGTGGCAGATGATTTCAAGTCGAGCGAGATGGATGAGACCCCGTGGGTGTGGGAACATCCCAAAGCCGTGACCAGCTGGAAGTCCACCGCATCCCCAAGGTTACAACCATGGGGTCTCAATATCCGAAGTTTGTCCATGCCCACAAAGTATCTACGTCCCATTACTGGCTCCATCAACACCTTCCGGATTTGTGTAGCCCGCACTGTCCACGTCATTTTCGGTTCCCGCGACGAGGGTTTGACGAGGATTACACAAGAGATTTGTCCAGGGTTGTCCGCGGGCAACATCCCCCACAACCCTTGAGCATCTCTACCCAGGTATACAAGTTATGGCCATGGCATTGGTCGTATGAACGAGCAGGCTGATGTGCAAACTCAACTTTCCCAGAATGATACCGAGAAAGCCATTCATCTGACGGCATATTGGCTGTGAAAAGAAACCGTGAATCAACCTCCGACCATCTTGGCCACCGAGCAAAGCCTTGTCAGGCACGTGACCCACTCTGCCCCCTGGCAAGGCTCAGCTGCCACTGACGTCGACATGTCAACGGTGTAACATCGCATGGGGATCGACTATGGACTTTTTTGTTTTTCTTTTCTTGTCAAGAGACCGACCCGGGTCAAGACCCTTCCCGGCGACTCCTAGGATCTCTCGTCCGGCACGAATGGCGGCCAGGATGAAAGACGCCCCCATTCTGGGCAGCCATGCCAAACCATCCGCTTACAGTAATACATAGAGTTTGTACCCTCGCACAACAAGCCAAATCCTTCTTCCAGCTTATGATTCCTTGTACTCTTCTTCCTGGTCCCATGTCAAGATAGAAGAAGAGGTCTGCGGTAGACCATGTTCCAAAAGAAACCCCCTACTGTCCGGCGAGGCGGATCGAGAAGGCCCTCGTTCATGGGGAATGGCGATGTGGCCGATGTCGAGGCCGAAAAGGGCCCCTTCAACGATGATTCCAAGATGCCTTTCCTCACCGTGAGAACATTCTTCATGGCCGTCCTGGTCTCATTCGGCGGACTATGTTTTGGTTATGATACAGGTAGCGATGGATTGTCGTGTGTGCTCGGAATCGGCGTGACTGACTGAATCCACAGGACAGATCTCCGGCTTCCTGGAAATGGACGACTTCCTGCGCAACTTCGCCAACGAGCGCAATCCACTAGGGTTCGATAACGTGCGATCCGGTCTGATAGTCGGCATGGTGAGTTTGGCAAGGTCTGGCAATACGTTGGACAATCAAAAGTTGATATATATATGCTTCCATAGCTCTCCATTGGTACCCTAATCGGAGCACTCATCGCCGGCCCCGTCGCAAACAACAAAACAATCGGTCGCAAGTACTCCATCTGCATCTGGTCCGTTGTTTTCTGCGCCGGTGTCGCCGTACAAATCGGTTCCCTCGGTCCACGATGGTATCAACTCATGATCGGACGGATCATTGCCGGTTTGGCCATTGGAGGCATGTCCGTCGTGGTTCCGGCCTACCAGGGCGAATCCAGCCCTCGACACGTCCGAGGTGCTATTGTGTGCTGCTACCAAGTCAGTTGTCCCAAACCCTGTCCAACTGATCTTTTTCTTGGTGATTACTTACACTCCCGCGATAGCTGTTCATCACAATCGGCATTCTGATCGCCAATCTGATCAATTTCGGCACCGAGAGCATACAAAACACGGCCTCATGGCGTATCCCCATGGGAATTGGATTCTTATGGGCCATTGTCCTGGGTACCGGGATCCTATTCTTCCCAGAAACACCCCGCCACCAATACCGACACGGCGACATCGACCGGGCCACGACCAGCGTCGCCAAATTCCACGGCGTGTCCGAACGGCACCGAGTCGTCCAAGAGCAAGTGGTGGAAATGCAGGAGAAGCTCCAACTCGAACTCGAAGGCGGCTCTCACCCATGGTACGAAGTCTTCACCGGACCTCGCATGCTGTACCGCACTCTGCTGGGCATGACCGTCCAAGCACTCCAACAGCTGACGGGCGCCAACTACTTCTTCTACTACGGCACGACGGTCTTTGCCAGCGTGGGCTTATCGAACTCGTACGTGACCCAGATCATCCTGGGCGCCGTCAACGTCGGCTGCACGTTCCCGGGCCTGTACTTCGTCGAAAAGTTCGGCCGTCGCAAATGTCTCATGGCTGGCGCGGCCTGGATGTTCATGTGTTTCCTGATCTTCGCGTCTCTCGGCCAGTTCGCCCTGCAGAACGCCGACGGCACCAACAACCAGACCATCGGCTATGTCTTGATCATCTTCTCGTGTCTGTTCATCGCTGCTTTCGCATGTACTTGGGGCTGTCAAGCTTGGGTGGTTACTGCGGAGATCTATCCGTCCAGATACCGGTCGCAGGCTATGGCGCTGTGCGCTGCCAGTAATTGGTTGTTCAATTTGTAAGTGTTCAGGACAAACAAGGACGTCGAAACATTGGTTTTGCTTGTTCCGGCGGCCCCCGCTGACTGATCTCCTTTTCTCCACGATTACAGCCTCATTGCTTTCTTCACACCCTTCATCACCGGCGACATCAACTTCGCCTATGGCTACGTCTTCGCCGGCTGCAATCTGTTTGCCCTGTTTTTCGTCTACTTCTGCCTGCCCGAGACGTCGGGCCGCTCTCTGGAGGAGATCGACACCATGTTCCTCCTCGAAGTCAAGCCGTGGAAGAGCAGCAAATGGATCCCGCCGAGGGGCGAGGAACTCATCACCGCCGATAGATTGAGATTGAATACTGGTGGGAGAGGCATTACCAAGAAACAGGAGGCCGGGTACGGAGCGGCGGAACAGCGCGAAACGGTTGGTGTTAGTGATGGTCCGAATGGAGGACACGGGGGTGGAGTGCTTGGTGGTGCTGATGCTGGTGATGACTTGCCTCATGTTCCTATCGTTTCGGGCCAGAATCAGTCTCCTATGGGCGCTGGAGTGCGTGGCGAATCGTTTAGAGGGCCGCAATGATCATTGACGGGAAAGACGGGAAAGAAAGAATAAAATAGATTGGGAAGAAGAAATGTACAAAGGAAAAGGAAGAAGATTATGTTTTCAGAGAACAATAATTCCGTAATAAGAAAAGAAAGGAAAGGGATACTGTCTTCTGTTGGCCTGACGTGGACGGCTGCAAGAAAGGGGGATTCGAGATCTGACTTCTCAAAGCCGGCAAGGCGTTCTCAAAGAGTCGTCGGAAGAAAATATATTATATATTATATCGTAGATCGTAGATCTGATCTTTGAAACCGAAGAACATCATCTTGTATGGAAGTATTACGTAGTATCTGTGGCATCTCCAGCCATTTTCGACCGAACAATCGATCAATCATCAAACACAGGCTTTTCTGATGAATTTATGAGATGAGACAGTATTCGAAAAGGATGAAGAGAAGATGTAGGCTCGGACGCTGCTATCATGGAACGAGCCCTGAAAGTTGAAACGTTGGATACCGGTATAACGAAGGGGAGTTTCCTCCTGAATGCGATGACTTGAACACTGACTGCTTCGGTCGATATCTGCTTTGAATCCCAACAGAGCGAATCGAGATACAGACCCGACCCAACCCGAAAATCAGGACTGCGATGTGTGTGTGGTGAGGCTGTAAGCTTTTTTCCCCGAATGAGAGTTCGAAGCGACAGCCGATGGAAGAGTTGTGGGGTGTAGGAAGTTTGGGCAGGAGGCGGGAGGCGGGAGAATCGGCGATGCTTGAAAGTTGATGCTGACAGTCCCGTATGTTGTAACTAACTGTCAGTGTCAGTGTGATCGCACGTCTAGGTCATGATGGTGTGCTGGCCGGCGAAGGGGAAGTGGAATATGAGTCTTCAGGAAAGAAAAAGTGAAGATGGAGAAGGAGAAGGAGAAGAAGAAGGAGAAGGGTGCTGTCACCTGGATAGAAAAGAAGAAGAGTGCTGTTACCTGGATAGAGAAGAAATGATTTCTTGCTGGCCAGAGATCTGGGAAGAAAATAAGAAGGAAATCTTTGGATAAGTCTTCTCTCAGTTTGTTTGGATTGTGTTGTTCAGTATGAATGGTTGGATGGAATGCTGGTGCTGGTGCTGTCGATCGTTGTATGTGGATTGTCCATAGATCATGGAATGCTGATTGGAATCGGAACCGAGTCAAGCTTTGGGCCAGTATGGGTCTGGCTGATATCTAATCGACCTGGTCTGGCGATCTGGAAGGTGTAGAGGTTGTCGAAGCTGTCGAAGCTGTCGAAGCTGTCGAAGCTGTCGAAGCTGTCGAAGCTGTCGAAGCTGTAGAAGCTGTAGAAGCTGCCGTGCTCAGCCTTGATCATGTCTCCTTCTGCCGGGTGTAGTGGGTGCAATGAGTCGGGTGTCGTAGCAGTAGCAGTACCAGTAGGGCTCATTAATGACTTGACGCTTCAATGACCTGAGGACCTGAGCTTTGCTGGGTGACGAAGCAACTCCTCAGCTGTCCCGAATAATGCAAAAAGCCTTCAGCCTTGCCTGTCATGGACCATCACTCTTGAGTAACCCAACCCAGTCGTGATCCTTCTGACAGATATCTCTGGATCGTCGACGACTATTCCCTTGTTTACCACTCAAGAACCATCTTTTCATTCTTTCTTTCGTTCTGTTTCATTCCGTTCTTCTCACTTTCCCGATATCTCAGCCTCTCTCAGCCACCGTAAGGTATCGCCAACCAGGTACAAACTGCCAGCGATACAAATCGGCCCTTTTCCATTTCCATTTCCGTTCCCGGTCCCTTGGCAATTCACGATCTGTTCACTTCCCCGACCACTCGCAATCTTGACAGCCTTCCGCACCGCCTCGTCAACGCAGCCAGTCTGAGCCACCTCGACAACACCATCAGTGATAAACTCACGCACCACCCCCGCCAGCTGGGAAGCATCCATACTCTTGACCCAAGGCATACCATCAACCGGACCGAAGGAGCAAGTGACGATATTATCCGAGGATCTCAGCAGAATCGACAGCATGGAGCGGACATCCTTGTCATTCTTTGCGGCCAGGACCCAAGTCACGGGACAATCGCCTCGGATATGGCCATCGACATAGTCGGCCAATGCGTGCGCTGATTGGGGATTATGCGCTCCGTCGAGAAGGACTTTGACAGGACCATCGGCGTCTGTATCTGCATCTGCAACAATCTCTCGGTCCATCGAAAGCACTGTTGGCGATAGACTGAGCCATTCGAGCCGACCGCGCAGAGACGATTGAGCTTGACGAACGAGAGATGGAAGGGATTGTGTGATTTTCGAAATACGTTCTTCGAATGTCGTTGGTACTGTCGGTCTCGTTGAGGTTGTTGGGCTTGTTGATGGTGTCGTCGATGGTATCGCTGTTCGTAATTTCTCCAGCTGCTCTTCCGCAATATAATATGCCGTAAACGCCGTAACCAGATTCTGAACCTGATGATCCGCCAATCCAAGCTGAGCAAGTCCTTGAACGGTCACCAACCTCCCCTTCAGATCTTCAGGTAAAACGAAAAGACCAGCCCCCTCTCCAGAAGCAAGCTCCTCTTCCTCCACCTCCACCTCCACCTCCTCCACCTTCTTCCTAACCACCTCCAACACCATCCCATCATTACTCTCATCGACGACAACAGGCACCCCCGGCTTGAAAATCCCCACCTTCTCCCTCGCCACCGCCTCCACCGTCTCGCCCAGAAACTCGGTATGATCGAGCCCGACCTTGGTCAACACGCTGACCAAAACATCCTGGGGTCTCAGGACGTTCGTCGCATCCAGACGTCCGCCGAGCCCACACTCGACCACAGCAACATCGACCTTCTCGGCGGCAAACAACTCAAACGCCGTAGCTGTGAGGATCTCAAATTCAGAGGCATCCTCACCCCCCGGCCCCGCCCCGGCCTTGGACTTCACATCCCGTTCCACAGATAAAAACAGGTCACGGTCCACGACTTGTTGGTCGAGCGTGATGCAGTCCCATCGGTCGATCACATGGGGCGAAGTGAAGCGGCCGACGCGGTAGCCGGAAGCAGACAGAACTGTCGAGATGAGCGCCGCGACGCTGCCTTTGCCGTTGGTGCCGGCGATGTGGATGGCTTTGAAGGGTAGGGTTGGGTGGGCTGTGAAGAGGGGGGCGAGGAGACGCGAGATCCGTTGGAGACCGAGATTGATCATGGCTGAATGAGATAGGTGTATGAGAGAAGGGGTGTTGTGGTTTTAGTAACAAAGATGGATGTCATCAGGCTGAGATCAAAATATCACAGCGTTGATCGTGGGGATCGGGTCTGGTTCATTAGATCTGTGGGTAGCGGTAGCGTCGAGCAAGACATCTCTCTCTTGGACCGAGGGGTTCTGGATAGACGAGATTATGGCCTCAAAATGCCATAGAGGAATCAGTCATGGAGGTTATTGTTGAAGGTAGCAGTAGCAGTGCTGTCGACAAGTGTTGAGTTGTAGGAAACCAGATGAAATGCTCGGATTTGGTTCGATGAAGTGACAGAATTATTCGACCAATTCAAGTTTATATACGGTCGACTGTCCAATCAGAGCGTCCAGTCGCGGCTTGACGAGGCTGACCAATGGTAGGGCAGATTCACACCATATACAGAGTATAAATGACACAGAGTACAATACTTCCAGCACGCATTATGGGCCAGATTATCTCTAAACCCGTCGATTGTGACAGAGCTGCCATGCGCTATGCATACCATCGCTGTCTAATATAATCATAGACCGCTCATGGTCGGCATACCCTTCTCTGGAATGAGGTTCTTCCCCTGGGACACCACCCCAATCTTCCTTTCATTCACCCTTCAAGCCCCAGATGCCTCCGTATAGACAAATACCGCTCATAACCAAACAACTTCAGCTCAATCTTCATGTGACTCCACCAGGCATGGAACAAAGTGAAGAAATTCCTCGGGTTTAGCAAACCTCCCTGCCGACGAATCCTGTCCTTTTCCTCCTCCCACACCCTAAGACTAGCGTACCGCGCAAGGATCATCATAGGCCGCATTGGCTGCTTCGATCCCAACGACTCGTCCAAGCTGCGGGTGAGATCGTTCGTTTTCAAAATGAGAAGGATAATCCGAGGGACATGTCCCAAAAGCTGGACGAGTTGCTGGATGAGATCGTCCCCAAAGGCTTCGGTGAGGACCTCCTTCTCATGTGAGTCGCGCATCGACGTGGCGATTTTGTGGCTTTTCAAGACCCGGTAATCGCGACCTGTAATGGCCGACGCGAAGAGGGGGAATTGGTCGTCGGTGATGCCGGCGATTTCGTAGGCGTATTTGCGCATTTCCGCTTCATCGCCGTTGATGACGGCCAGCCACAACTTGGCATAGTCGTGTCTCAGCTTCTTATCCGGCATGCGGTAGAGCCCGTGGTCGTAAAGGATGACATCGAAGTTGTGCGGATACCTTCGCTTCGGGTTATGGCAAACCGCGAGATTGCCGCCGTGTGGGTCACAATGTAAAGGCGCGTCGTTTTGGAAGATCATGACATTGAAGATCCTGGCCAGCGCCGCCGACACTTCCTCTCTGGAGATGTTATTCTGGTCGAAGTAGGCCCAGTTGTCCACTCGGGCTCCCGTCACGTAGTCCATGACCAGGATGCGTCGCCTTGCGGAGATGACTTTCGGAATGATGACCGGCAGGTTGGTGTGTTGTTCGAAGTATTCCTTGGCCCTCATGGCGTTTGTTCCTTCCAGATTGAAATCCAGTTCTTGCGGCAGGGAGATATCCATCTCCCTGCTCAACCACTCCAAGTCGTACTCGGGAAAGGCTCTTTTTAACGTGCGGAAGGTAAATCTGGTCAGGGCCAGGTCCAGCGGCACCCACTCTTCCAGACTGGGATGTTGGACCTTGACCGCTACCTTCTGATCGGAGTTTTTCAGCTTGGCGATATGCACCTGTGCCAACGAAGCCGCTCCAATGGGCTCCTTTGAAAACTCGTCGAAGTCGTCTTCTATCCGGTGGCCGGTGTCGCGGAGAAACATGTCTTCTATCGACTCGAACGACGACACGGGACATTTGTCCTGGAGAGGGATAAAGGTCTCGGTCCATTCCGTGGGCAGGAGATAACCCATGGACGACAGGTGTTGGCCGAGTTTGATAAAGACCGAGCCATTCTTCTCCAGCACTTTCAACGTCCGTTCGGCGCAGCGTTTGTGGCAGGCTTTGAGGATGGCGGATTCCTGTTCGGGGTCGTCGAGGTCTTGCTTGAGCGCAACTCGATAGCTGGCCACACATTAGCACCTTTCTGCATTTTTGGTCTGAACCAGAAGCGCCCCGTACTCATTGATGCACACTGCCAACGCCGTGACCACCCGACCAGTGCGTTCTGCGGCAAGCCAACCATGTTTGATATCCTCGCCGAAGAATAGTAAACTCGCTCCTAGACCACCACCAGCCGCCGCCCAGACCACGCCTCTGCGCGGCCGAATAATCTTGACAGGTCTCTTGGAGGAGCTATATCCGCGCCGTGAGCCTTGGAACGGCGAATGCGAGTTTTTACATCGGGCGCATGTCCAGATGGCGCCTCCGCGCGGGAGGGCGTTGGGATCGAGTCGCATTGAACGCAGACAACGGGTTATAATCGTGGCATGGAGGAGAGGGTGTTTGGGTCGCAGAAGACAGAAGCTGACTAGAGATCGAGTCAAGATAGAGCTGTCAACAAAGTGGAGAGAGATGGGCTGATAGATAACCCATCAGCAGATCCGATCAGGTTGAAATGGAATAAAATGGAGGGCGCCGGGATGGAGAAAGATGGCATTGCCAGTATTGTTGAGAGAGTAATAAAAGTAGTATGGCCACCATGCCACCGTCGGCACGCGGTCTCCCGACAAGACGCGCAATTTTCCTCCATTATTTGACTGTGTACAGAAAGTACTACGCAGGCACACTTACTACTAACAGCAGTCCATCGCTCACATCTATCACATACATGTCCTTGTCTATCCAAATACACATCTATCTCCTGTCCATATCATGCTGCATCTCATCTATCCCATGGTCTCATGATTGATTGATTGACTGACTGACCATCATCTACTCTTTACTGCTACCAAGACATCTTATACTCCCTTACTCCTTCACAGGCTCCCTCACCAACCTCCGCCCATCCAATCTCACCCTCTCCACCATCGTCGGCCGTCGCATATGTAGATACTCCCCCAGAAAGCTCTCTGTCTGAATCCGGACCCTCTCGCGTCCCTCATACCCCATCTGCAGATACAACAGCTCTCCCGCGGGACTGGCCTCAATCCAACACGGCAGCATGAGGGCATCCGCGACGTCGTTTCCCCACTGCATCATCATCCGTCCGCATCCTTTGCCCTGATACGCCGGGTCGGTGAAGAGCAGGAAACACAAGACATGGCCCTCGCGACACTCACGCCGGCGACGGCCGAGGAAGTCTCGCATCAGAATCGCCGCGTCCAGACGTTCCTGTTCTGTCTTGAGATACGCGAATGACGGTTCCTGGACGGCCGCCTTGGGTTTGATGGTTTCAGTGGCTGGGATGACAACAACATCATGATCATGGTCGTCACCACTACCAGTCTGTGAGTTCTCGGTAGGTCGTCGTTGTCGGTGTCGCTGCTGCTTTTCGTCCTCCTCCTTGGGCGTGACATAGGTAGGATAAACCTTCCAATTACTGCTGCAGACAATTCTTTTTCGACGTTCCGTCCCGACCGGATTTCCCCGTTCATCGAGGATCTTGACATCGACTTCGGCATCGAGGTCCTCGATCTTGAGAGACACGTCGGCCGGGTCTTCTTGGATTCCTTCCAGCATCTGTGTTTTGGCGTATGCGTATGATGCGGGGCTGTCGCGGCCGAAGAAGACGTTGGCGAGATCGATGTTGTGAAAAGATTGAAACATCATGGGCACGATGGCATCGAGGTCTTTTGGCTCGACGCGAGATAGGACGAGATGCATTCTGGGGATTGTTTCGTCTTGTCTTTGTCTCTAGAGATCTTGCCTTCACATGACCTTGCGAGACAGGCATGCAGGCTTGGTGATGACTTGAGACTGGCAACCCTCTGTTTTCAAGGCTGGCAATGAACTTCCAACCTGGGACGGACCAGCCGATTCTGCTTGAACAAGATAGGGGGGTTGCAACGGTGCGAGTCGAAGAGACGTTTCAGGTGGAAGATTGGCTGCACTTCGACATAGTGTATCTGAAACATACAACAATAGTAAGCTATTCTAACCCGTTCGCAACCAACAAGAGTTAGTTCGTAGGGCACTGCATGTTGCACATAAGGGGGCCCTTGTTGACTGGAAGAAGCCATTTGCTGGGTACGAGATATCATACTACCCTGGGCTATCTATCATCTTACCTATAGGCAGGGTGACCTATCCGAGGTACTACGTACGTACGAGGTACTTGTTCGCTTGAATGATCCGTTAAACGTACCTGGCATCAATTCATCGTCATGCAGGTTGGTAAGCGGGCGTGTAATATGTTCTAGTAGGTATGCAGGAAGATGACTCGCAGTCATAGTAACAATCACAATCACAATCACATCACAGTCCTCTTCGTTACCCGATTCTGAGATATCGAAATCGGCCTGGGAGGGCCTGGGCTAGTCTGGGTCTGGTTTGAAACACATACTACCTGCCGTAGTTTCAATTTTGCTACGTATCAACGAGTATTAAGGTCATGCCTTACCTCTCTGCCTACCTTAGGTACTTGAGTAGGGTACTTGAGGTCAGAAAGCTGTCTTGGTCTTGATCCCAACACCGTACTAGTACAAGCAGTCGTGACCTTGTGGAAGTGGACCTCAACAGGAACATGCAGGAGACAAAGGCAAGGTCATGCTTTTCAAGCAAATTCATTTACATTCCTCATGGTACCATTTCAATTTTTGCGTGGTCGTCCGCCGCTGCTATGTATACCTAGGTATGCCTATGCTGATGCCTATGCTGATGCTGCTGCTGAAGCCAATGCAAAATGCAGAATGCAATCTTTGGAGGGAAGGCGGGCTCGTCTTCCCCTTTCACCTTTCCAATTCCAGTTCGTGATGAATCACCCATCATAATTTCGTCAAAGACAAGGCAATCCAAGCTGAGACGATAGAAACCCGTCAGACTTGTACCAGCCTACTGAGACGAAAGCTTGAAGTTTGGTCCAGGCCATGACGATATTCTTCTCCCAGTTGAGTGTTTTTGTCTTTGTTCTTTTTTTTTTGTTTTCGTTGAATCTCTATCCATGCTTCCCAGAAGCTAAAATGTCATGTTCGTTTGGCATAGGTCGAGCGACTTCTCAAAAGCCGTGACCGAATCCGCATCCTTCCAGTAACGAGGGTTTCCCCAATGGTTCGTCGTTCCGAAAGAAAGGATTGAGGGATCCCGTGGTGAACCAATGTTTGGGAGAGGGTTCCAATCTAGTTCAACCACCATTGGATACCACTCACACGACCATCACCAGTGCCGTCGGTGATGGCGCTGAACAGAGCGTCAGTGCAGTCGATGGCGCGGTCAACACAGCCCATGCACTTGTCGCCGACTTTGGCCTGGACGGTGGTGCCGGAGGTGGGATTGTACAGAGTGACGGATCGGCCACAGTAAGGGTTGCTGTTAGACAGACTGCCCATGAAGCCGACTGGCAGAGCAATCTGCATGTCACTGCTGGTGTTGACATCCCAGCCACATGCGCCGAGACCTCCATCCCAGTGAGTCACGTCACCGACACAGGCATCTCCTTGACCCTCGCAAGTTCCGCTGGCTGAAGCGGTGACAGCCCCGGATCCCACACTGGCAGCAGATGCTGATGGAGCGGCGGCGACAGCGGCGGAGCTGGTGGGGACTGCTGCTGTGGTAGAAGCGACCGGGGCAACATAAGGCGATTCAGATGAAGGAGCCGGAGCCGGAGCAGCGACAGCGGCTTCAGATGAGACAGCCGCCACGGTTGCGAAAGTGGATGGAGCAGCGTTGGTCTCGGCGAAGACAGCAGCTGGTGCGTCGGTGGAAGTTGTGGTCGGGGCGGCGACTTCGACTGGAGCTTCAGTGGTCGTGGTGAAATCAACCTCGACAGAAGTTGGGGTCGCCGTGGTAGTGGTGGTAGCGATCACCTCAACGGGCGCTGCTGAGGAAGGAGGGGCCGTAGCAGCAGCGGGATCAACCCAGACAGTGGTGGTTTCTTCGACGGTCACCCAGACGACCTCGGTGTGAGTGTGCAAAGCACGTCCGTCAAGCATGGGAGCGGCCAAGGCCAAAGGAGCGAGCAGCGACGCCGCGAGGACGAGGTTTTTGAGAACAGCCATTTCGTCAAGAGATTGGAGGTAGTGGTGAGCTATGGAAGCTCTTTTTGGGACGAGAGTGAATAATGTGAAGGACTGGAGATCTGGCTCGACAGCAAGATGAAGTGATGAGACACTGAGATCTGGATTCGAAGTGATTCAATCACTTGAAGGAGTGTAGTTTGGTTGTTGTTTGTCGCGATGACAAGCCCTTGTCTGGGGTTGAAGAAGGACAGTGGGAAGGACGTCAAGTCCAATTCCGGGAAAGAGAGACGGATGCAACAAACGCGCAAAGGAAAGGAATGCAGTTGGCAAGTGAGCGATGAAGAGAGCGATGAAGAGAGCGAAAGCCTTGAATGTCAAGGAAGGGGACAAAGGGAGAGTAGATAAAGGAACGAACAGGATGAAGTGGGAAAGGAACGGATGTGGATTTTTTTTTACCACCACGTAAAGGACAAAGGATTGGAGCCGACAAGACGGACGAGAGAGACAGGTCTTTTGCTCGTCACCTTGCATCTCATCCGATCGAGAACGACAGCCTCCTGACCCCTGGCTCTCGAGGAAAGCCTAGACGGCGGACAGTGGACACCGGCCAGCAGTGGAAGCCTCAAAGGGGATGCGGACGAGGATGAGGATGTGGATGTTGGATATGCACACCAGCCTCCTCTTCCCCAGTCTTTTCTGTCCCCCTTGCATACAACAGGTACACGGTACTCTTTTTCTGGTCGTGCGATGGGGTAGTGTAACTCTGGTCCAGGGGGCGAGGATCCAACCGAGCCAAACAGCGATCGCGGATGGGAGATTCGGGAGAGACAAAGGATCCAAGGTGCCAATTCCGGTCACGGCCACGGCCACGGCCAAGGTCCCAGTTGGTAGGAGCCTAGCATGACAGGGCATGAATGGCATGGCATGGCAGCAGTAGCCAGTGGTATGTTGGCTGTCGGTTGTCAACAAACTGTCAAAGAGTCAACAGACCAGTCTTTGTCCACGGTAACATATCCACCGCAATGGTATCCAGACACTGCACCAGACTCGGCCCTGAAGCAGGTAGCTAGTAGGACGTGTAGTAATAGTACAGAGTACCACAATTAGCACTCCATCGACGGATGTTGGCCGGCTCGATGATAGCTCGGTGGTGGCTTCGCAGGAGGATGAGGAGGTGCCAGTGGTAGACGACGGGAGGAAAGGGAGCAAGGGAATGAATGGCTTAGGAAGCTCCTCAGGCAACGCGGACTCGGGATCCTGTCTGTCGACTTTTCAGTATCCATGTTACGATTCGTCGCTGCAAAAAGACCCAGAAAAACGTGTTCAACCTTCATTCAGGAACAGCCGAGTCTAAGCCTCAATCGTCCAAGTGGTGACGAGCTTTGCTCCTGGTGCCTGACGCTCCAACGCCGACGGGCCCTTGACTCTGTCTTGACCATTCGCCTGATGAGTCCGACTGTTGCTTGTTCCTGTTCCTGTTCCTGTTCCTGTACCTGACATGCAGGCGGTGCATACGGGAGCCTCCCTAGCCCACCTCCACGATGGTCAAATGGCTGTTGAATAAAAGAAAAATCAAAATGTTGAACCAGTCTATCGAGACCCTGCAGCGGCCGGCTCCCTCCTCCTCTTCGTCCTTATCCTCACCCTCCTGCGCACGTCCATAGCCTGCGTCTGTGGTCCCGCAGCAGGACATGCAGCAGGAGCAGGGAAAAGAGGATGGCCGGTCAACCATACCACCGCTTTCTGGTTTGCGGTTGTGGTCGTCGCCGCTGTCGGTCTACATACACAACCCTGTTCCACCTGCCTTTCCAAGGCCCATGAGCGCACATTCGAACCCTTGACCCCATCGTCCTCCGATGCGTGCCCAATTCTTCGCAAGAGTCGCCTTGCAATCCGTCTACAGGGACATCGGAGTCTCGATCCTTGGGGATCGAGGCAATACTACCTACCCATCGGTCTTCTCCCATGGCGAACCCACGCCTCGACTCGAGTCGACTCAAGTTGATCCTCTTTTGCCCACTGATGTCAAACAGAGGAAGCCTTTGCCCATCAGTCATCACTGCTTGAACTGAACGTGTTTCCTTCATTACCGAATGATTCCACCGACAAACCAATAGACTGGCCCTGCAGGGACTTGACAACTCATCATTCGCGCCTACGGACTCTGGGCAAAAATCCCCCATTACACTACTGTTATTAACGAATGAGACAGAGTGCTGCAACAGCCCGATGCGTACTCTTCTCTCACGGCGGCCCTTCCTGAGCAAGATTCCGCGTTCGGACTTGATCTCTCCTCTTTGCCACTGAGTACTTCTCCTTGCATACAATCCGTCTTTGCTCATCTAACATCGACCTGTGTGCTGTTATGCCTGAGGAGCACTCCAGAAAACAATTGGATCGATCCTATGTACGCCCAGGATTGGCCTGTGGCATATTGAGGTACAGTATAGACATATAGATCTCTTTCACAGTGTCAAGTGAATGCACAGCCCTACCTACCTAGCAGATTCCCAAACCATGTCGCTTGAACGCAGCAAGACAATAAAAAGAAATCTCCAAGCATTCCGGGGGGAAATATTAGTTGGATAGGCCCCGTACGGGATATCTACATCCATCGTACCCAGACCCGTCCTTCTCCAGCCTCGGCGTTCATTTCTGTCTCATGAAAGCGTGATAATCGTCGTCAATCTCGTCATCATTTCTCACTTCGTAAGAAGCAGAAGCAGCATGAGTGGGAGCAGGTTGGTGGTGAGTGACCATCGAATCGGAATCGTCTCTCTCGTCTTTTTCCTCCTCATGGGCTCTTGTTTGACGGTCACGGTACTTGCCACCGTCACCGTCGGACCCTTCTGCTTCTCGTGCTCGTCCACTGCTGGTGCCGACACTGTTATTGCGTTCTGAAGACTGATCAGCAGGCCACAAAGCAAGTTCGCCAGTATATCCCTGAGAAGACCTTGTCCGGACCGGCTCCAGCTTCCGTGTCACAATCTCACGCTTCTCGTAATCAGCAAAGTCCATGGTCAAAACAGGTGATGAAGACGCCGACAGAGTGCCATTTCGACTACTCGTTCGTTGTTCGACATGTTCCACCGACGGCTTTCCAGATTGTCTCGTTTTCCTCCTTCTCTTTGCCATCATTGCCTGCTCATACCCTGGCCGCTGCTGCTGATCATAACTTCCGGACTCTCTTTCCTGCTGAAGCACCGTCCGCCTATGTCTCTGAGCATGCTCTTCCCGTGTCGGATCAACCTGAGCCCTCGCTTCCGGAACCAGATTCAAATATAAGGGGAACAGCATGCCAAACACAGCGACCGCCAACGGCACACAATATGAATACCTCAATCCACGACCATTCGCCACTCCCCACTGAATCGGCGGGAACACAGCCCCTCCGGAGATAGCGGCAGTCATCAGCGCCGAGCCGAGTTTAGTCTGCGCGCCGAGTCCACGCATCGAACTGGCGAAGATATTGCTGAAGATACCGGCTTCGAAGAGGAACGTAAGGATCCCAAACACGGCTCCGGCATTCCCTTCCAACTCCATATTCAGCGAGAGACACACCACAAGACCGATGAAAAGCGCGAGCAGAACCCATCGCGGTTTGAAGAGGTAATTGAGCAACGCTGTCGCGAATCGTCCGACCGTAAACACGGTATGTCCTATTGTCAAGAAATAAAAAGGGTGAAGATCCGAGCCTGGTTTTAGCAACGTGATCAACGGCTGTAGATTGTTGCCCACACACTCCTGCAACCCAACGTAACACCATTGACTGAACACGCCGAGAGCGAGCGTCGTGTAGACGACTCTCCACGGGATACCGACCACAGGAACTGGAGCGGCACGGTACGCGGCACTGCGCTTGTCCGCCATTTCCTGCAGTTGTTCGTCTGTCGCCTCGGGAAGCGGGATGTAGTAGAACACGACGGCGAGGGCGAACACGAACAAGGCAATCCCAAGATACGTCCACTGCACGTTCACCAGCGACGAAGCGTCCAAAACGTTCTTGAACAACACTCTAGTCGCCAGTAATGGAGAGCAGACTGTGCCGATGGCCTGGAAAGCCTGCGACACATTGAGCCGCACCTCGGCGTATTCCAGCGGCCCGCAGAGCGCGATGTAGGGATTCGCGGCAACCTCGAGACACGCGAGACCGTACCCGACCAGGAAATTCGAGACGATGAAGGCGCCGTAGGAAGTCAGCACGGCCGACGGCCAGAAGACCAAAGTGCCGCAGCCGTAGACGCAGAGGCCGGATATCATGACCGCTTTGAAGCCGTACCTTTTGATGATGAACAACCCCAGCGTCAAGGGGCCAACGAGGTACCCTGCGAAATATGCAGCATGCAGACCCAACACTTGGCCAGTAGACAGTCCGGCCACCGTCTGGAATCTGGAGTTCAAAGTGTCCAAGAGCCCGTAGGCGCATCCCCAGAGGAAGAAAATCCCAGTCACCACGGCGATCGGCCAGATACTCTGTGCGCTGGACAGTTTCAGCATATTCCTGCTGCCAGACATCTTGACAAACCCAAAGTCCGACACGGTCGTCTTGTTGGTATCGCGTCGAGTGAGTCTGCTGGTTGCTGTAGTCGTTCGTCTCACGGTGAACGACACACCGCCGTCATCGTCATCTTTGTCAGGCGGAGCGGCAAGCATGTTCAGAAACCCCATCTGATCGCCGTCGTCGTCTCCCGTGTACTCTTTGACGCTGGGGCTCCTGAATGCGGCCGGGTTGGTCACCATAGACACATTCCCCCGCAGAGCAGTCCTGGTATCAGGCGACGATGATGACGCATCCGGCTTTCCATGATCGGCGCTATCGCTCGAGGTGAGATCGTCGCCGGGATCTCTGATGAAGCTCGGCAGGAATCGCGAAAACAGCGGTTTCAAGCTCGGCACACACGCGCAGATGATGCCAATGCAGACCTCGACGGCCGACCACATGAAACTCAGACTGGCGTACCACGAAAAGTCATTCTGCTCGACAACACGGGTGGTCGTCCCGCCGTCTCCCCGGACGACTTTGAGCCGATTCAGCGCCGCGGTCTGCAGATAGGCAATGCGAATGACATCGACCGCCGCGACAAATGCGCCGAAGCTGAACGTCACGACCAGGATGATCTTCTGCTTCCGGGGCAGCCGCATGCGCGTCAAGATCGGCATCGGGAGAAACAGCACGGCGATGTCGGTAACGATATTGACGGGCGCGGAGGACAAGTACAGCGTGACGATGTCGGTGCATTTCACACGGCCCAGGGGAGTCGGGTATTGATAGCCAGCCCCCACCGGTCGACATTGGAAGATGTTGTAGAAGGTGAGAGCCGCTCCGGCGACGTTGACCAGCGCCAGAGTCAACCAGTTGCACCATTTGAAGACTGGGTCGACGTCCTTGCTCATGACGGACAAATAGAAGACGACGATGGACGTCTTGGTCAGCATCAGCGCAGGGTTGTAGAGGATCGAAAAGGCATATTCGGCCTTGCGCAGCGACCCAAACGAAGTGTCGGCGATGTCGGCCTTGTGTTTGCCCAGGCCGTAGGTGACGGCGATGCAGATCGAAGTCGAAAACCCGACCGCCAGAACCCACGCCGCCAGAATCCACCAGTCATCTTGCTTGACCGACTTGACCAGCCAGAGTCGGGTGTAGAAGCGCGCGGCGACAAAGACTGTGGCTAGGACCGTGATGACGATGGTCACGGCCGACGTGGCCGGTCCTCTGTCTTGGACCATAGATATAGAAATACCTAGATATAGATATAAGGATAGTAAGTGTCTCCTCCTTCGCCCTCGGTCGGCGACACATTCGTTTGTCAAGTCATCAGCCTCCGAATCATCACTGCGTGCGTCATCGTCGTCGTCAGCATCATGTCCGACCGGACGAGGAGGTACGGCTCTCTTCGAGAGCGCCGCACATGAGCTGGAGATCGATGTTGAGAGACACACTGTGGTGTACCAAGACAGCACAACGGCGAGGCGAGAGGGAACGGGGTAGCCGTTATACTATACTGAAGACAACGAAGTCAACCTGGAAGTAAGTAGGTCGCAGCCGCAAGCGCAGCAAGCGAGAAAGGACATGGAGGAGTTAAGTTTTAACTCAACACCCGAGGCCAGTCGTTATGACATGCCAGTGCAGTGCAGTGTCCCATGACGGTTGGGGGGAGGCATGACGGTTTGGGGGAGGACGGGCGGATGCTTTGGCTCTCACCATTTCCTGGGGTACCTGAGAGTTTCGAGTAAAAGGGACGACAGGACGACAAGATGACAGGACTCTCATCGGCAAAATCCAAGTACGCCATTTCGCCGCTGAAGAGGGGGTTCAAAATCCACAAGGTGTTGTTGACCCCGGACAATGGACACTGGACACTGGACACTGTTGGAGAGAGGTTAAAACCCCCGACCCGAACACGCGGGCAGGGCGAGATCCATCCATCCATAATCGAATCATCGAATCATCGAGTTGACTAGGATTTACCGAGTGAATAGCCAGACAGACCTCAGTGGTCGAATAGGAAGAGTCATCGATCTGATTGAATGGCGACATGTGGTGGTGGATGGTGGATGGTGGATGGTGGATGGTGGATGGTTGATGTTTTGTGACAGACTGGAGGAAAATCATTGGAGGAGGGCGTCTTGTCTTGAGAATACGAAGGCGGGCGGACGGCTAGGGAGGCCATTCGATTGCCCCTCAAACTGTATAAGTGCAGTGGCGTACCATCCGAGGTCCCGACACAGTTTCGTTCAAACTCTGGGAAGCGAAGAGGCCCTTTACAATTCTTAGGACTGGACTGATGTGTTCGTGATATCTTCTGTGGCTTCCATCCTTCCTTCCTTCCTTCCTTTCTTTCGGCGGTGTGGCGCCATCAGCTGGTTGTGTATGGTGGGTGACATTTCAACGATCCGCGATGAATATCAGGAGGTTATTTTTCACCTTCGCAAACAACTTCTCACAGGAGAGGATAGATATTTCAGTGCCTTGCTCTCAGCGTCAAGAAAGCGGCATTCATCCTCTAGAACTGAGTCCAGGCTCTCACAAAGGACTGACGAGAAAGCCTCAGGTATTTCAATGGCAAGCATCGCGTCCGAATACTCCAAGGGCAATCTCCTTCAAGAACCATATCACAGCTTGTGCTTCACCTGGGAGGATCTGGACCTTCCCAAGTCTCCAGAGTTCGCAGCGTGTGTTTGTCCGCTCCATAGAGGTAATACCCCCTTAGACATGCCGTCAATTTGTCCATATTGGAGTTCCTTTCCCGTAGTGGCCAACCCTCGGGCTGTACGGTACCCAACACATCACATTCAGTCTTGAGCAGCACAGTACCAGTGTCGATTCCCATTCCTGCAGCGCTTTCTTCCATCTTGTAGTTGTGGTTGCTGTGTTCGTTGTTGTAGTTGTGGTTGTCGTCGTCATCATCATCATCCTCCTTTTCCATCCACTCTATAAGGTGGCCCATGAACGGGATTTCCAGCCGCCACGGACTGGAACTCGAAGCAGATCCAATGGCGACGACTGTCCACAGTGTGACTTCTCGTTCTGTCACTGAAGACGGATCCCAAGGGTTAGAAGGGGTCGATAACTCCAAAGTCACGTCGCGCAAGATATTCAGGTACGGAGGACGCCCTGCACAAGTCTTGATCGTTGCAGACCCGCTTCTCAGCAAAGTCTCGCGTGGCTGGTTGTGGTAGTTGAAGATGTAGACGAGCAGGGCAAGCAGGAGTCGATGATCCGATGTGGTCGGTCGGGTTTCGTCGGTGATGCGCAGTACTCGAGACATTTCGTTGGCGGTATTCACGACAGGATGCTCTGTCCCGCTGTTCACAACTTCAGGGATGTTGCGTTGTCCTTGCGATATCTGCTGGTAGATGCGTTGGAGGATATCCACGGTTTGGGTCGTGATGAGCCCTTTGCTGGCCAGAACCGAAAACAGCCGCTGGAACCCTCGTGCCGGGGAGCGTCTGACGGGGACGTTCTCCTTGAACCTGACGAGGACGTCGTCGTCTGTCAGTTCAGATTCGAATTTGCCGTGCAACAGTAACGGTAGGAAGAATTCGCTCCTGGATTGTGGCCAATGGTCACGTCAGTAACCGCAAATCGAACCAACGTACAGCTAAGCAAATGCAAACGGCAGAGGAGGTGGATATAGATATATACTTTAGCAATTCGTCCTGCAGCTCTGGGTTCAGTTTCCGAATCCCGCCTCTGGTCAAGACCATTCCCTCTTCTGCTCGCTTGTGCATAGCATAAGCGTTGAGATCGCCATGCGCGGCCTGTCCAGCCATCGAAAGATTCATATTAGTCCAGTGGCTCGTCACGAAGAAATGCTGTGGGCGATCATCAGGTCAGGCTCACATCGACATCCATCAGCCAGAGAGCGGTCAAGATGGCGGCATCGTCGTCCGCACACTGTGCCGTCTCGACCTTCATCCTCAACTGCTTGAGCGCTTCGCCTCGGTGGTACAACGCCGTCCAGTGGGTGTTGCCGAACCCCTTGATATCGATGTTGTGATACACCTGGCTCAGGGCGATCAATGCATGGAACATTTCCGAGTGGTTCATGGCTCTGTTGAACCAGATCAGGTAGCGGCTGGTCTCGACCGCCAGCGCCGGACTGAATCTGGGGGTGAGAAATCGGATAAAGTAGTCCACGAGAAACGGTATGTATGGTTGGTAGGCGATGGGATACGTGGTGAACGGGTCCGCCTGCGGGCTTCCTAGGAGGCGCTCATCGAGAGGCTGGATGTCTCGAGGAAAACTCGGTTCTATAGACCTGGCGGGAGGAGGCCATCTCTTTGTGGTCGGACCTTGTCTCTCTTCGGTCTTGAGCACGGCTGATGAGATGGATTCACCACCACCAGGATGTCGAGAGAAAGGCCGGTAGTGTGTACGGTCTAGCACGATCCTTCTGGTCGTTGGTCGGTAGCTTTTTGATGCATGGGAGGACACTGCTCGTCGATTCTGGCTGTTCTGGAATTCGGCTGGATTGTTGTACGTGATGAAGGTGTTTCTGGCGGCATTGAACGACATTTGGCTTTCTCCTTGCAGCCGATTGACTACTGATTCTGCTTCAGAGGATTGTAAACAGAAGTTGCGACATTCGAAAGTCGGTATGGGGATCTTGTGTGAATCAGTGCTTTTCCACCACCATCATAGTCCTCTATCAGGTTACAGTCGTCCAGATTACCATTGAGCATACCACAGTGGATACTCACCGGGACTTTTGACCGTGGGATCTGGTGGCTAGATAGGCTCCCGAGTGATCGCAGATTCTTGCTGACCAAGGCGAGTGAGGCCGGCGAGCTCCGTCTTTTTATCCCAGGGGGCCACAGCCTTGCGAGAACAGACCAAGGATGTTGTCATGTCAGGCTAAAGGACGGCGATGCTCTGAGAAACGTCTTTATCTATGTATGGCGGCGTCTTTGCCCGTGTCCCGTGCCATCACTGTTTTATCAAGCAAATCTGCAGCCTGGCATCGATGTCATCTCACGCATAATGGTTGCTTGCCCAGCCTCGGCAGAAGTGGAAGCATGTATATACCTCAGGTCGCACTGCAGTGGTAAGATGGCACAGACTCACCTGGTTCACTCATCAGAGGAACCATGAGTATCTCCAAGAATCGAACCGTATCTTGAGGGTGCAGGCATCTCCATCTCCGCCCCTGTTCATATCTTTACGTCAGCGCCCTGCATATCTCGAGTCACCTTTGCTTGTCGACGTGGATTTGAGGCAGTAAGCACCATAGAACGAGAACGAGAACATTCGTGGGACCCCTATATATATATACTGTGTATAAGAGAACCCATGTCAAGATGACACTCAGTTGGCTTAACTCCATCCATATATTAAATTGGAATGTTGAATCCCTGGATCACTGCCATGACAGTGTCGTACCATCGTGGTCTTGTCAAGAGAAACCCATGTCTGCTTTTCTAGGTTTCCGCCCATCGTCTTTCACGGAGAGGTATTTCGGTGCCTTCTTTGACTCGGGTGCCGTTCTGTTCTGCCCTCCACGCAAAGTATTCCCCGAGACGCACCTCCGCATACGAGGCATAATCGAAATCGATCTGAGAGATGACGGCCTGGATCAGAGCCCAAATGCCCCAGAACAGTCCGGGCATCCCACGGTATCGGTCCACTTCGTCATGTAATACGTCAAGCATATCGTCAGATACAGGGTTGTCGCTGTGGGCTTTGTACGACTCGAGGTAGTCTTGAAGGAATGCGCGGCGTACAGACTTGGTGGGCAACATGTTGTAGTCACAATCATAGCCACCCCATTCCGCAAAATGATTGGCAATGTCGAAGGCCGCAGGGCATGGTGTGGCATATTCATAGTCGATAAATGCGACCTCGATTCCGCCGTCCAGCTTACTACTGGCGGAATCCTGGGGGAGCATTATAACATTTGCACTTAACAAGTCGCAATGTCCAAAGACCAGCCCGTGAGATCCCGGCCCTCGGCCTTTATTGAGGTCTTCGATCGATCGGTCTAGCTCTTTCTGCAGGAGTTCTTGCCGGGCCTTCTGTTTGGGGGTGTCGCGGGGAAGCGCTTCGATCCATTTCTGCATTACTGACCAGACATTATGCACGGAATGGCCGTCTGCAGTATCGACACCAGACGGGCGAGAGTCATGAGCAGCCCCGTTGGTACTATCGACACCGTTGGACTGGGCCACCGAGTCCACGGGTAACAGCGCATGCCACTCCCCCAGACGTTTTGCAACCGCTCGCCATACGGGCTCTGAGATGAGATCCCGGGGAGTGCAGACTTGGCCGACGATGTATCGGTACAGAAGGCCGTTCTTGAATCTTGCCAGCAGAGGAGGAGCCAGTCCTCGCTCTGCCGCCAGCGCATGGGATTGCGCTTCTCGATCTCGGTCAATGAGGATCTCGGTGTGATTGCCATAGGCACGGAGGAGAATGGAGTCTCGATCGATTTCGGCTTGGGACTGTCCTGGAAGATGTTTGGCTATCTTGAGTAACTGCAGAGAACATCAGCATGGGCACGTGCCTGAGCAGAAACCGGAGGGCTCACCGTGTTTGTGATGCCGTCGGTGAACCTGACAATCTCCAGCTCGCCGGGAGCATCCCTCCATTTGGGCTGTATCCTGTAGACCAAGGCGCGAGCGGAATCATCCACATTCTTATTGTCAAATCGAAGATCAACGAACGGTAGCTGGGGAGGCGCTCCGTTTGCGGTACCGTTGGGTGCCCCCATAACCGAGCATTTGCAGGTGCGGAACAAGGCGGTAGTGCAGTATAGGCAGAGCAGAGAGTAGAGTAGAGCAAGTCCTGGTCACGGAATGAGCAGATCAGGTCGGTCGTTATTTAGGGTACGAAGATTTCTTTGAGAAGTTGGGTTGGAAGAAGGATTGTTTGAATTACTGGATTGAGGAAGATGGAGCACAATGCAGTCAGTGGACTCGGAGGGGTTGCAGAGACGAAGGAAGATCTGCAGTGAGGTAATAATCGCTACTAGTACTATTAGGTACGTAGTATGCTTGCCGCTTTGTGCGCAATCGCACTGTTAACGCCGCTTGTGGCCGGTGTGATTGTACCGAGTACGTATTTTGGAGCAAGTAGGTGTGAGGGGCTGATCAGGCACTGGCTCTGGCTCTGGCATGGGACCCTTGGGACCCTTGGGACCGGTACGCCCCTACACTTCTGCTGCCAAAGACACTCGGCCCTTAAGCCTGATTAGGCTTCTTAGGCCTAGGGCGCCTAGGCACGCAGGGTGCGTAGGGTGCGTTTCCACCGCGTCCCTCGGGCGAGCTCCGGGTGCCTGACTGGCATGTGCATCATCCTACATGGTATCCTGTGGTATCTTCCATGACTCTGGCCCAACCACTTTGTATGCCCAGACACCATCCTCTGTTTGCCGGAGAAAGAATCCCGTCGTATCACCAGATTCAGAAACTCCTTCGGCGTCGATGCCAGGCGGCCAGGTATTTTTTTGCAGACATATGAGCACGCCTACAGAACACACCCAAGGAGATATCATTGATATACCAGGAACAGAAATGGTTCGTGTTGATTTGGTCATATTCATCACTACCCGGAGGCATCCCTTGCCACTCTCACTCTCATAGTCAAAGAACCCGCCAATCCATTCTATATACCTTTCGACTTTTTATCCTTCTTGCTCTTCTTGTCCTTCCCGGCCTCTTTGTCCTTTTTGGCCTTCTTCGAATCACCTGCTCCTGCAGCTCGAACACCAATCTTCTCCAGAATGATCCGCGCACCAGCATTGTCCTCGTCCAAGGACGAAGCACGCTTCTTAAGGACATCTACCAGTTCGCCTCGATGACTGAAATCTGCTGTTTCGAGCATGGCGACGACCACAAACGAGTTCGGTCCCGTAGCCCAGTTCACAATCTCCGGCACGCCATTGTCGTCGTCGCTTTGGCTTTTGATCTGGCTGTAGAGGAGGTCATGAAACTTCAATGGTGGATCAACCTGCATGACTGTCTTGGTGCTTGGGTCGAATCGTCCGCCCTGCACCAGACCCTTCAGCAACCGTCCGAAGGGCGGCGCGGAAAGAACTTGGGTCATCTCTTCCGGCAAATCACCCTCAGTTGCCAGACTGGCAATGGCCGCCAACGCGGGCCCTTTGTCTCCAATGGCGCCCAGCAATGTCTCCAACATGAACTTGCAGCCAAAAGTTGAGCGTGCCAAAGCCTTGGTTTGCGAGGCGATCAAGTCCAGGAGAGGCTGGGAAATCCCCTTTAGAAGTTCCGTGCGACGGATTTCCGGGTCTTTCTTCGAAGTCTGACCTCGGATCTCACGCACTTCTTTGACGATCGTCGCGGACTCGTCCGGAAGTAGCCACTTGGGCGCATCTGGGAACATGAGATACAGTAGAGGGATGCGTGCTGTCAGGTCATCCACCTGCGCCAGCAACTCTTGTTCGCGCGCATCCTCTTCCAAGTCCTTGCTGAGCAACTCGGGAAAAATCGCTTTGCTCGTCATGACCGTGTCATCGATGCATTCATAGGCGCCGAGCAAGACTTTGTGCGCGTTGACATCCGAGGCCATGAGCCGGATATGCGTCTTGAAGAATTTCATAATCCCTCGTCTATCCTTGGAGTTCCCGTAGGCGATAGCCAGGCATACAAGTCGGGAGCCTGATTTGGTGAAAGCCAGGTTCTTGTACAGGTCACCCTCCTCATCATCGCGCAGCATTGCCAGAAATTCTTCCACTTCGGGACTTCCGGGCTTGCAGTTCAAAAAATACTGCAGCAGCGCATCGTGCAGGATGGTGAAACCGGTGGTCTTCTTCTGCACGAGATGATTTGTCAATTCCTTCAAATGCTGCATGATAGGACCTCTTTTCTCCGGATTCTGCTTCAAGATCTCCGACAGGTCGCCGGTGACCTCTTCAGGGGTATTGGTGGACCTGGCGAACACCGAGAACTCGGGCCCGTACCATTCCCTCAGTAAGATAGCCTTCTGTTGCTTGGACGCGATGCCTCGGTAGATGTCGTCGAGAATCCAGCTTGCCTCAGGGTGCTTGATCAATCTCTTGACATGTCCATAGAATTCCTCGATAACGGCATCCCGACTTTCGTCATCTTTGACAACCATCTTTGCAATCAGGAATTTGGCGTATTTGGACTCGGCCAGCTCTCTGTACGTGCCCTTCAAGTCCTTCGTGATCTGTTTCCTCTGTGCCGGGGTAGCATATTTCAACGCACATTGGACTACGCGCACAGCGTCGTGCTTGAAAACGAAATCTTTCACTCTTCCCGACAGGATCTCAAACAGTTCTTGGACGAGCACATCTCGTTCGTCCTTCGGCACATGGGATTTGCGGCGCAGCCGTTCCCAGATTTTCTTGGATCGTGCAATCGAGTCGGCATTGGGTTTCGCGGATTTTCGGTCCTGGGCCAGTGCCTTTTGCTTTGCATGTGCTTCGCGGGAGGTAGTACCTGTGAGGATAAACTGGTCAGCATAATCAATCTTCCTTCCAACGTTGTCAGCCAGGATATTCTCCATTTACTCACCACTCAAAAATGGCTCAGGCTGCTTCGGAGGCCTGTACACTTGAGGCCGGTACTTTTCCTTCTGCTTCTTCAACTTGACATCTCCCGCTGCTGGAGAATCGCCGTCGTCGGCCGTGGCGAAGCGGATAAAATCATCCTCCAGCGATTCTGGCTGCGATGAAACCGCTTTCTCCTGCTTGGAGGAATTCTTGACGGTCTTTGCCTTTTTCGAGGCATTTGACTCGGTCGTGTCATGTGTGCGCTTCGTTCCCGCCATTTTCGACATGGTCTTCGAATTTAGATGGGCAGTCGTTCTCAGCGTAATGGCTCACTGCATTCGCCTGGAAACTTTTTCTTCCTCCTAAAAATTGAGTAACAAACCAGACAAACTCGGGCTCCACTGCAGTGACAGTTTGCGGGCTCCACTTGGCATGTTTGCTCTTCGGTTCATGATGTCCCAGGTTCGCTCCGATAATCCCCCGGTCTAGGAAGCCCCCTGTTTTACCAGCCCTCACCACATTGCTATCAAGATCTGAACAACGTACTACTCTGTATATTATGTGACTTTAAGGTCTTATCAAACTTGCACTTCCCAACTCGAAGCTAATAAACGCTTTCGCTTCGCTAGCTTTGAAAAGGAGGCCTAGGGAAGGGCATTCTAAACAGAGACGTTGTCCACGTCGATGGCAGACTGTCAAGATGTGATCCCCGTCATCCCTCCATCTTTCTCTCCCTCATGGTCCTTTGTTGTCTTGCAAGACTGTGCCTGCGAGGCACTGGGACTCCGGGAGCGCCGAAGAAAGCCTCCTCCATGTAAAACTTCGAGTCTGGTTACAACATTAAGCCAGCCTCCTTCCATGTTAAACAGCTCCTTGCTGAAGTCAAAGAAAAAGACAAACCTCTAGAATATGGCTGTGTGGCAGGCTGACCGGCCGACCTCTTTGCCCTCGCAATTGATCATACTGACCCCAACATATAGACTTGTAGAGCATCGTCAACCTTGACCGCTCGCGATATCCTCTGGGACCGACCGATTAACACTAACGCTCCTCTTCCGATGGAGCGGTCAGCCCAGGTCTTGCTATATACCCTGTGCCGGGGGCCGTTTCTACGCTTTAGGTATGGTCCCTGCCGCCACCTGTGTGCGACGCCGAAAATCGGCTTTCACGGCTGCCGACGTGGTCCTGGAACAGGGACAGCTTGACTCGGCGATATCTCCGCCGGACTTGGAACGAATCCATACATTGGTGCAGAGTTTTGCGAGGGAGTCTGATTTGAGTCGGCTTGCGACGATGGTCCGGGTGTGGGTGCGGGTGCGGGCGATGGTATTGTTGCTGGTGCAGGTACCGTTGTGGGTGGTGGCGTTGCTGCGGGAGCGGGTGCGGGTGCGGCAGCAGGCGCCGGTACAGGTACCGCTGTTTGTGGCGCTGTCGGAGACGGCGTAGGTGCCATTGGAGACTGCACTGCTGGTGCTGGGGCCGGCCGAGCAGCAAACGGAGGAGGGGGAGGGGGAGGATGAGGCCACATTGGCATTCCATGCCGAGCTGGAGCTGGAACTGGAGGTCCCGGCGGGTGAGCCATAGGTGGGTAAGCCATAGCCGGAGGGGAAGGAGGAGGATACTGCCACTGTGGCGGAGGATGGGCATAGTGGGGTGGAGGATAGTACGGTGGTTGAGCGAACCCGGGCGGCGGCGGCGGAGGTAGATGTTGTGGCGCTGTCCATGTTATAGGAGTTGCGACTCTATTCTTTTCAGCCTCAAGGGCTCGGATCTTCCGCTCTGCCTCTTGCAGCCGGGCCTTTAGGAGGTCCACGTCCTCAGAAGGCTTTGACACAGTCTGCGCCGGCGGCACAGCCCCAGCAGCAGCAGGAGCCGTGGCAGGAGCAGGCGTTGGGTCTGCATTTTGTGTTTGTGCACCGGTAGAGGCAGGCGCACTGAGTCTGGGTCGTAGTGGTCGATGCCCTTTACCCCCTCCCTTGCTGCCCCAGTTTAGTTCTTCACCGGACATGAAACCGGACATCATGCCAGGGAACAAGTTCTTGCTTCTCCGTGACTTGGATGCATCAGATCGAGCCCCGTCTGGAGCTGCATGGTCGATGGCAGTGCCGCCCGGTGTAGACGCTGCAGTCAATCCAACTGCGTCGCCTTCAGTCCCTGTCTGTTCTGCACCAGCAGCCGCGGCTGGTTCTTCCTCAAGTCTGCCTGCAGAACCTAGAAAGTCAAATAGAGGTTGCAGGCTACTCTCCCGCGCATTTTCTGGGCGTGATACGGTTCCGGTTTGAGGCAGTGGCTCTGTAGCACGTCTTTTCCGCTTCGGCGTCCCGCTCGATGGTGGAGCTTTCCTCTTTTTCTCTTTCGGTTTCCGTTTCTCTTTCGGGACTTTCTCCTTGGGTTTCGGAAGTTTCTCTGGATGAAAAATCTCCAATATTTTTCTTCGTCTGCTATCCCGGCGCGGTGGTGGAGCCCGTTCGTCGTAAGTCTGGTGAAGCGGGATATGCTTATAGTGCAGTTCCAGACTCTGTTTGGTGACCGAAAACTTGATCGAAAGAAGTCCCTGGCACTCGTAAACTGGCTTTCTGATCTTCACTCCCAGTCTGATTTTGGCTGCTCCTTCATTGGCAGCTCTCCCTTTATTGAGCACAGAGTCATTGCAGAAATACGAAAACCTGCTAGCTTGATCTTCTCGACTAATCCAATGATTGTGGAAACTGTAACGATTGCCATCCGCCAGCTGAACCGTGTCGACTAGAGTCCTGGAAATGGCCTTTTGCATGAGCATCTGTTCCTTCGGGTCCTGGGTGGTCTGCAGGGCGTCAATGACGCTGACAGCGGTCTTGTTGAAAGCACTGTACATGTACGGCGTATTCTTGTCGGGAGCACTTGGTGTCTTGGATTCTCTGGCGGAAACCATAAATGCAGCAGTAACTGGAAAGGAGAACTCTAACGTGGTATGTGCAGGATCTCCAGTTGGATTCGCCAAATACTCGCGGAGTTTCGTCTCCAAGTCCTCGGCTCTCTGGACTTTGAAGACCACTGACTGTCCCAGAGGGTCTTTGGCCTGTCGACCTCGACGACGCGGTTTTCTTGGAGCAGGCGCGTCCGATCCATCAGGCGCGTCCGCTCCATCAGGAGTGTTGTTCGCGTTGGAGTCTGCATTGGCGTCCGCATTGGCGTCCGCGTGGGCGTCCGTATTATCCTGAGACGTAGAAGCTTGCTCTGGAGTCTCGGTCGATGCGTTATTGGTATCTGGGGTGTCCATCGCGAGAAGAGCGGTGTTGTTTTGGATGGAAATAATAGGCGTCTTTCGCAAAATGCAATAGAGCGAAGTTGAAGAAGTTGAGCGACTTTGAGATCGCGCCCCTGCCAAGAAAGCACCTTACAGCTTTCTCATTGGCTCTCCTTCCACCGCTCCCAAACAGTTCCAAGTTGTACTTCTGTCCCCACCAACAGTCTGCGTGAGGACACATGCTCACCCGAGGGTTCATCCCAGGACGTTGTGTCAGGAGCCAGGCCTACGTGAAACTGAATTTCCGATATTGTGGCCAAACACTCAAGTACACCTCGACCATGGCACCGACCAATGTCCCTACCGACGCGCCTCGTCCGATTGTCCTCTCCGGGCCCTCTGGCACTGGAAAGTCTACACTGATCAAACGACTTTTCGCGAAACATCCCGATCTCTTTGGTTTCAGCGTCTCCCACACTACCCGGAAGCCTCGTCCCGGCGAGGAGAATGGCGTCCACTACCACTTCACAACCCCCGAAGAATTTGAGAAGATGATTGCGGAGAATGCATTTGTGGAACATGCCAAATTTGGCGGAAACTACTATGGTTCGTCGAAACAGGCTGTCCAAGATGTTGCTGAAGGAAGAGGGAAGTCCATTGATGGAACACCCGCAGTGGGAAAGAGAATATGCATCTTCGACATCGAGATGGAGGGAGTGAAACAAGTGAGGAAGAGCCCGTTGAATCCAAGGATATGCTTCATTCAACCGCCCAGCATTGAGATCCTCGAGCAGAGACTGCGCGGTCGAGGTGACACGAGCGAGGATGCCATCCAAAAGCGCCTGGCTCAAGCTAAGAAAGAAATGGAATATTGCCAAACCGAGGGCAAGAACGACAAGGTCATCATCAACGACGATTTGGATGTCGCATTCCAGGAGCTGGATGAATGGGTGATGCAAGACATCTGATTATCATCTTGACTAGACTCTACCAACCGATGGTACAATTCCAGTCGTACATGGGCGTTTTTGAAGAAGAAGATGGGGACCATGGAGCCAGTTCGAGCCATGAAATGCTATGACGATTACTTGTATCCGGATTGAAGACGAAAGACCCGCTCTCCATAGTAGACGCTAATAGAAAAAAGGCACCCTGACGAGAAGGATATGGCAGTCACTCAACGTCAACCATCGCCCTGTGAAATCGAACCCTATCTGGCTTTGAGCCTCGATATGTGCGACTCCTTAATATCCATTCATGGTCATGCGCTGAGAACCCCGGCTCAATTCGCGATCTGCGGAAGGGCTGATGGGCCTGCTTCCAGTCATGCCACTCGCTGCACTGCTCTCCTTGAGGGCTAGTAGCTGCTTGGCCCGGAATGTCTCGTAGTGGATTTGACTGGTGGTTTCGATGAGGTCTTGGAGGTGCGTTCTGGTGAGGAAATTTCGGAGGTAGACGAACTCGGAGTGGTTCTCATCTTCGACGTTGATGACACCCCATTTGGTCTGCCTGCCGCGCACCTGCTTGCCATTAACGATGATCGATTTCTCGCTGCCCACTACTGCAAACGGAATGATGTCCTTGATGGTGGCATTGGTGGCTCTCTCCTCGTCATCCAGTTCCTCGTTGTCATATGGGTACATCTTGAGGTTGTGGAAAGCAAACTCCTCCTTGATGCGCTCCTTGAACGCCCGGCGTTCTTCGAGTGTGAGGGAGTCGGCCTTTGCAATGACGGGGACAACATTGACAACATCGGATAGTTTCTTCAAGACCACAATGTCCAGAGGCTTGAGGGCATGGCCTGAGGGTTGGATAAAGAAGAGGCAGCAGTGGATGCGGGTATCTTGGATGTAGCGTTCTCGTTGTGCCGTAAGTTCTTTTCGCAGGTACGCAGAGTGCTGGTCTTTGATGTACTTCACGATGGGATCCCAACTAGATAGTTTTTGTCAGTGATGTTCGCAAGAAGGGATCGTCAAACCCACCATCGGTCATTGTTCACTAGGTCGCCGTAGCCGGGTGTATCGACTATGTTGAGCCGCAATCGCACACCATTTTCCTCGATGACTGTGGAACGGTCAGTGTCTGGCCATCCCGCCTAAAAAGACATTCACTGACTGTGGGAGACAGTTTGGATCTCGGTTGTGGAACGTATCTGTTCATCCGGTCTTAGGCGGCCTTTGGAATCGATAAGATGCGAAGCAAAGATAGTGTTGATCAAAGTTGACTTTCCGAGACCGGTTTGACCTGTAACTTCATGAGTCATGGATAAAGTAAAGTGAGAGAGACATTGTACATACCGACACAGATGATGTTGAACTGAAACCCTCTCTTCAACAGCTTCTTCTCGATTTGTTGAGTGATGCTGTCAAAGCCGACGTGGCTCCGCGGGAAGACCGCGTTCCCCTGCGGCATTGCCATGGTCATGATGTCCTCTGGTCTGACTGTGATGTCAGGTTGTTTGGCGTGATAGAATAAATTCCTGATTGTTCAATCCAAACGCGCAAGTGAATCGCAAGATCAAGAGTGTGTGAGCGAGCAGTTGCGACTGCGACGAAAGTTCCCCAGACCTGTCGAGATGCACTGCAGTACTATCCCCCTATTTTGTCTCTCCGTCGCCAAGGGACATTATGCTAACCTACCCCTGTCTAACCCACTTTTGGCACCTAGGTGCCGCCGCTATAATATATCTCTGGCACTCCTTTGGTCTTGATTTGCAGATACCCTGGAGATCCCGAAAAAGCTCTCTACCAATACTGAAATATGTCTTGATTTCAATCCGCACGGTTTACTTCCTCTGTCCGGCGAAGGCATACACGATATGGCGTTGACGGCTGCTGCTGGCAACAGCCAGCTTTCTTCATTCCTCCTACGACAGACACGCGTTGCCTTTTCGACAGTGCTCCGGACATGGTCTTCTCGCACTCTCCTCTCATCCTCCATCACAATTCCTGCTATTACAATCAACGTTCCTGGACTCCTCACAGATATTTGGGAAGGAATGTTAAAGGCTGTGCCTAAGAAAAAGACATCCCATTCGAAAAAGCGGCATCGGCAGTTGGCAGGAAAGGCGTTGAAAGATGTAAAGGCAATCAATGAGTGCCCTGGTTGCGGAAGGCCGAAGAGGGCTCATACCCTTTGTCCATATTGTGTCTCAGGTTAGTATGAGTTGTCACCCAGATGTGACTCGTTCTGACCGGACCCAGAAATCTACGAGAGCTGGAAAAAAAGAGATGCGCAAGCAAGAGAAATGACCAAATCTGATAAAGAGGCCTAGATGAGACAGAGCAAATCAGGACAATACAGGAAACGACTACGTGCACCAAGGTCTCGCCCCAATGACGCCAAGTCTGTGCTGGCGTCGGGACTGTCGAAATGGCTGCCACACGAGGATGAATCATCGTCACGCCAGACAATATATGATTCAGTTTGTCTGAAGCAGCTAGCAACAGTGTCCGGAGACTCGGCATGGTCAAGTTGGGGTCGACAAAGGCGACCGGTAATCGCGAGCCGAGAACAAGAGTGGTGAGCGTTCGAAGGCCCTGGCTGCGACAACTTCGCGGCAAGGCAGACTGGACCGCTGCCGGGATGATATGTTATGGAGAGGAATGGTCACCACCCGGTGTTTCAACTGGAGTTACAACTCACACTGTCGACCAGATATAGGGCCTCGATCTGTGAAACGCAACGCATGGTCCAGCTTTCTGCCAGCGTTCGCCTGGGCTAGGTAGATAGTTGTGTAAAATTACGTCACCTGTACAGTAATTTTCGAAATATAACGACATGAAGGGGAACATTAAAGTACCATATGTTGATCTTCAATCTGACCTTTCAGTGAACCGGTCATATTCGATGCCACTCATACAGTAACATCCGACCCTCTCTCCAGATTGTGATCACCGGCGGCGCAGTGGTAGAATGCAGCGCAGACGTCAAGATGGTTTGTCACTTCCACATGGTTCTGGATTTGCTACAGCGTCGCTGACAATAGGAATAGTCGAAGCAATATCTCTCGCAGCATGCGATAGATGAAGGTCAGTGTGTCAGGTCTGTCGTCTCAGACATACGTCCCCGCTGACATGAATTCTTGCAGCACATGCAACCGACGTCTTCGCGCTGTCCGCGACAACCACCCAAATCCTCAGCGGTTCCGGCGAGTCCTCGATCAAGATCTACTCCACCACCGACGACGATTTCCCCATCACACAGGTTCTGAAAGACATGCACAAACTTGGCTGCCACCATCTCGTGACGGACCAGGCTGGCACGAGAGCTGTGAGCGTGGGCTTCGACGGCAAAGTCAAGCTATGGAAGTACGAAGAGGGTATGTGGAAAGAGGACGGCGAGATCGTGAGCGAAAGTGCACCCAAGAAAGTCGGCGAAACATGGGCTGTAGCCCTTTCGGTGGACGGACAATACTTAGCTGGCGCGACGCACGATGGCCGCGTGAATGTCTGGGATCTGTCCAACGGGCGGCAAAAGATTCGGGAGTTCGAGACGAAAGGCAGTTTTGGCATGTGCGTTGACGTGGTAAGATAATATTGTTATGCTGCCGATGCTGGCGTTACGCGGATGGGAGCCATAACTGACACTTTTGCTTGTCAGTCGCCGGATGTCCGGTTCATCGCCAGCGGCCACGAATCGGGAAACATCTACCTCTTCTCGACGGCCACTTCTCGTCTCCTACACTCGCTACCAGGCCTCATCAAGCCGGTGCGCGCAGTCAAGTTCTCGCCAGGCAGCACGCTCCTTGCGGCGGCGGGGGATGCACGTATCATCTCTCTCTACGATCCGCAATCCGGCGAGCAGGTGGCCAATCTGAGCGGGCATGCTGCTTGGATTACAAGCCTGGACTGGAGCCACACCGGCCAGTATCTGCTCAGCGGCAGTCTGGATGGGAAGGTCAAGGTATGGGACATTGAGCGGAGGACTTGCGTTGCGACGCATAGTGAAAGCGACAAGGGCCTCTGGTGTGTGAGGTGGTTGCCCAAGGGTGAGATGAACAAGCATAAGGCGGAGAGGTTTGCTACGGCGGGCAGTAATAGGTCCATCGCCATCTACCGGGAGGCTGCGGGAGGATGAAGGAAAATGAAGAACCGTGACGACAAGGAACAGATACGATGCCTCTCGCCTGAAGAGCTTCATGCTCGGCAGATACCGTCGACGACTGAACGATCCGCATTCGGAACCGTGTGCAGCAAGACAACCTGCCAACTACCTACATGGACCTCCGAGAACAGGTTCACTTTGGGTGAAGCTTCCATCGAGTGCTAGGCCGAGCTCAGAACAGTATCGTGTCCGGCAGAGGAAGCCTGCTCAGGGCACAGGATGGAAGTGTAACATAATGCTATGAGAAGTTCGGCATGGCTCGCTTTGCAACGATGGGAAAAGGGAAAAAAGATAGAACGTATGCAAAGACCATCACAAGAAGCGTTCTGATCTAGTCTTCTCTGTGCTCTCTCGACCTGCTGGGTCTCCAATCCCCGAGCCTTACAAGTGACTCCGGTACTCATGTCTTGTATAAAAGCTATGGTTTCATTCTGAGAATTGTATCTCGTCAAAGTCCACCCATGCCCACCTGGCTTTCACGCGAAAGCAGAGCTAGGGTGAAACGATGATGGAGATGAAGGTTATTTTCGTACCTTTGCAAATGGTTCGATCTCGGCACAAATTTGACAACATCGCTCATGGAGGAATGGAGTCGATGAAGCTTCGAAAGCGCCTGATACCTACCTCACCTACCTTGACCCAGTGACCGACGAGATTTGGGTTAGAGTGTTTTCGAATCCCAATGTCAGGACTTTCAAAGACCCAGATGTGAAGAGGAAGTGAGAAATCAGTGATAAGTGATGTGAGAACTGGGGTCTGGTAGAATGGGGGAAGAGAGTGACCATCATTCACTCACCCTTGTATACTTTACCAGGCCCAGTTGTCACCGTGGGCATTTTATGCTTTGGCGCTTCTGGGCTTTGTCGACAGTTGCTTACCATGCCCAGTTTGCCTGCTGAGCCAAGGAGTTGTCGCAAGGGGCCTGGAGGAGGGAACGGGGCCTGGGGATGGAAAGAGGGCTTGAGGAAGGGGAGAGGGCAATGGTGGAAAGGAAAGGAGAGGGTAAGGGCAAGGGTAAGAGTGAATGGGAAGGGAGACAATGCTGTATAAATTTTATAGATATATATTGTTTTTTGAGGATTCTGTGAGCCAAAAGCGAACCGAAACCACCACGGTCTTGCCTCGACGACCGAAGCCGAAGACGCGCGAACCAAGCGGAACGGATTAGATAGGCTGCTTTTTCGATCTCGGCGACTCGGGAATGTGTCAACGCAACCTGTGAATGCATTTAACAAGGGTATGTAGAGCGCCTTGACAATAAATGTGAAGAGAAGGAAAAGTGGTAGGCGGCGCGAGGAAATATTTATATCTGCGGTTGTTTGCGCGCAGAATGATATCGAGGCTTGGCGAATTTGGCATCAGGCTGAACTCCTCAGCCTCGTACTCTTAGGTAGTTCAGAGTATCTACCTGTATACAACGGGCCTCTACCAATGCCAACCTGCATAAATTCGTTGATCTTCGAGACTTATAGGAAGCGACCTACACGCGCGGTTGAAGAGTGTCATTCGCAGAATTAAGCGCGTCGACCAGCTCATCGGTGCTTCAAGATCAATGTTAATCATACCTTCAGTCAGTCCCTTTCCTTGAGCATCCACCCCCTATCTTACATACATGGAAAACATGCTGGTTGACAGTCCCAGTGTCCGCTTTCATGCCTATCCGCACACTCGGCTTGGACGTGTGCTGAGGACATCATGTCCGACAGACATCTCGCGGGAAAATTGCTTCACTTGGTGTGCATGAATTAGGACTTCGCTCTGTCGCTTGCACTCCAATCCGACCGAGTACGAAAGTCTTCACATCTGGGCCCAGCCGTCTTGGAGAATGCCGTGCATGGCCCTCAGTCATCGCCAGTCCTTGCGTTTCTTTGCATCAGACGAGTAACTTAAGTTTTCCCCAACATCCTGGTCTGCCGCCGATATCGAAAACAGGCACCCCCAGAGACACAGAGTAGAACGGGACAGATTTGGCCCGCTTGCGCGAATCATGAACGATCACAAAACCAGCTCAGTAGATTCGCTAGCTGGAGAAATCAAGCTGATGGTGGCATCATAGACCTCTCTCGTCGTCCTCTTTGGACCGTCTTCCGAATGCGTACGCAAGACCACCACCGATGAGATTTGCAAGACAGAGTCCCATCGTGGCACCTCGAATAATTCCACGGGCGCCGAATTTGTTCATGAAGCCGACTCTTCGTCTGCCCGCCAGAACTAAGTATGTCCCACTGATAGCAGCAGTGGTCCCTGCGCTGTCAATCTTGAAGCCTTGGAGGTTGAGATATGTGGAGAAGAGGAGCAGCGGCGGAAAGATCATAGGGAGCGGTTGAAAAGGCCTGGCATGCTGGGCGAAGACGAAGGTAGCGAGAAGAGCTGGGGGCACAGGGTTTTCTGTCAACAGGGTAAGCAAGTAGACTGGACACAGTCAATGCGATGCAAAATGCACAGAGTGTATCTTGACGGACCTCCCCATTTTTTGGCGCTCTGCAGCACCGACTGTTTCGCCTGCTCTTGTTTCTCAGGCATTTCGATGGATGAGGAGCTACAGCTTTGATATAGGTGTCTTTTGAAGCGAGATCATGCCGCTGCAGTGGTGCGAGAAGAGTTGAAGGCCGCAGATATGGGTTGGGATCCTGTAAAAATAGGTCCTTCTGGAATTGAGGATGTCGGGAGATCACAGTAAATGGACGTGGTGCGTCATCGGTTCTGAGAGCCCAAGCGGTACCTCAGGTGCTGGAAAGAGCCTATAGCAAAAGAGCGCCAGCCCGGGCGTGGCTGCGACAATGGGCGCTCGAAGCCAACCCACCAGCTAGTGCGGCATGGTACTACGTATTTCTCTCCCTTTGACCACCTCACCCGCTTCCACCAGTCGGCTGCCTGGCTGAACAACTCCATCGAATGCTATTGTTGTCGCTCTCGAGAACTGCCCGTGATTGCGCCTTACAATCAACGCATCTGATTCTACTTCCAAAGCCATACACCATCCTTCAACCGCGGCATGTCCGCATCGGCTTCGGGCTCGGACGCCAGGGCAAACGGCTCAGCAAAGTCCCGCGAACACAATCAAGGCAACCAAGACAGAAAGTACACACCTCAGCAAAAGGCTGAGGTGATTCGAATACGAAAATGCAGCCCGACGGCTTTCTACGAGATCCTTGCGATCGAGAAGACGGCGAGCGATGGAGAAATAAAAAAAGCATACAGAAAATTAAGTCTCTTGACACATCCTGATAAGAACGGACATGAGGGCGCCGATGAGGCATTCAAGAGTCAGTATACATCTATCTGATATCTCAGTGGGCGTAGTGTTGACAAAACAGTGGTGTCACGGGCGTTCCAGGTATTATCAGATGCGGACAAGAAGTCGAGATATGATCAGTTCGGCGGCGATCCAGACAATCGCTTCTCGAGTAGCAGTGCGGCCGCCGGAGCTAGTCCCTTCAGCGGTTTTGCGAGATCGCCTGGCCGCGGCCCTTCATATGAGGACGAGATATCTCCAGAAGAATTGTTCAACAGGTTCTTTGGGGGAGGTATGGGCCAGGGCTTTAATTTCGGTAAGACATGGGCGAGAGCAAACGTATGAGACGAGTTCGCTAACTGCATCAGGTGGCGGCGGTTTCGGTGGCCCTCAGTTTATGTTTAACATGGGAGGAGGCCCCGGGTTTACAGTCCATCGCATGGGAGGTGCAACACCAAGACGAAGGCCGAGAGACGCAAGCGCAGAGACTCCTTCCGGCGGGTTGTCTGCCCTGCTTCAACTTTTGCCGCTATTGCTGCTTTTTATTCTACCATTACTTTCCTCATTGTTCTCCGGCTCAGCCAGCCCCGGGCCTCAGATTCGCTACGACGCTCCTGTCCCACCACATACCATGCATCGTGTTACACCCAGGTACAAGGTCGACTATTTCGTCAACCCTGCGGAAGTCCAAGCGCTGACATCGAGGCAACTTAATTCCCTGGACCAAAAGGCGGAGGTAGACTATGTGTCAAGTCTGAAGTACCAGTGTGACAACGAAGTGCATCGGCAACGACAAGAGATCAATGATGCCACAGGTTTCTTCTTTACGGACGAAGATCGACTGAGGAGGGCGAGGAATATGCCTATGCCTGGGTGCCGAAGACTGGATGAGATGAAGATCAGCCGGCGGCCATGAGCAGATCTTGAACATTCTGTGCTTTGACGGCCCTTTGATTGCATCATCGTTCGGTGTTGGCGGCGTTATGAAGCATCCCAACAACGGAGGGCCAGCGTACATTTTCAATACTCAGAGTGTAACTGTAAAGTGAATGAAGGAATATGTAGTATTGACCGACGCCGTTTAATAATGCGTTTCTGTATGGTTCCACCGTGCATAGTATTTAGCGGCGAGGCTGAGTTACCTCACTGGCGCCTCAGGAACCTGGAGTGGCGCTACCAAGCATAGTGAATTAATCGCAGGCGGAGGTCAGGCTGCGTATCTCCGATCTTCGACCCCAAGAACCGTCTTCGACCAACTTCATCCTAGACTCGTCGTTCACATTTGTCATCTCTACAACCCACCGACTTAGCTACCTACCTACAACAATGTCGGAGCCATCGCTGGACGCCGAAAAGGTGCGTGGTATATCCTCAGTGATCGAAATTATCTAACAGCGACCAGATCCGCAATAAGAGACTGGCGAAGTTGCAACAGTCGCAACTCCCGCCCTCGCAAGAGTCCGCTGCCTCAGAACAAGATGGCTCACAGCCCGACCGTCCTGGTCAAGATGGCCCAGCCCAAACAAACTCAGCTACGAATGGTTCAGAGTCGACGCCATCAGTCCAGCCCGCGACTCCTCAAGAGAGTACTCCGGCGACGCCCCTGCGGATAGATTCGCCTATCCCATCAACCAGCAGCCTCTCTAAAGTCACTTCACATTCAACCTGGGATCAGACACATCCTGAGTCGCCCGCACCCTCCGCCGATATCTCTTACGCCCCCTCTCCTGCGCCTTCGATGCAAATAACGATCAACCCTGCCGCCGACGTCCAAAAGCGAGACTCCATCAGCCTAGAGCGGCCGAGTTCTAGGCAAAGTGAAACCATCGAACAGTGGGAGGATCGCACATTGAGAAGCATCTTTCGTCTCAGTTTCGATACTGGACAAACCAAAGACATGCATGGCCAGACTCTGTATCCCATATCCCAATTGAAGGAAGAGCTGGAGGCTGAAGAGAAACCCCTACTGTTGAACACCGACCTGCTCGAACAAGCCATCATGGAAGCTGGTGCAAACTTGGGCAAGATCACTCCCCACGACTGGCTCTTTGGATGCTGGAAGAGAATCACCAGGTTGAGTAAGGCTATCAAAGATCGATCGCCTGAAAACAGAAAGTGGACGATAGTATCGGAAGCAAGGAGACTGTGCATGAACTGGTGTCTACTGTCCGTCACCAACCCAGACATTTTTGGTGCGGAGTACGATGGAGTCTCTGCACTCGCAGATCACCTTCTTTTCGATCCGGACGAGGATCGAGGTGTTTGTCATGATTTCCTTTCGGAGATTGTGACACGGTTTGAGGAGGACGACTCCGTCAGGGAGGTTTTCATTGCAGCCGTGGAAACACTGAGTCGGCGACTCTCCAAGTTGACAATGGACAGTGACTATCGACGGTATACTGCCATGTTGCGACATCTTATCAGATACAAACCTCTGGCCGTTGCGATCACCAAATCTCCGATGTTCGTCGACAAGTCTGTTCCAGCAGCACAACTAGAAGTTGCCACCCTGCTTGGTCCTTACTTTCAGATCTCACCCCTTCAAGCCGAAGTCACCAAACAATACTTTACCGGGCCAAAGACGATGGATCCAGGTCGAATTAGGAGCGCACAACAGTCTCTGCAGATGGCTTTGCGCGCGCATCAGACTGAACTATTTGACATCGTCAATACCTTGGTCCGCGCATCGCCCGAGTCGAGAGAGCGAGTCTTGGATTGGTTCGCCCTCGTGGTGAATTCGAACCACAAGCGAAGAGCCATGCGAATCGACAAGACGACAGTGTCAAGCGACGGGTTCATGATCAACGTCAATACCTGCCTAGATCAACTCTGCGAGCCTTTCATCGATGCCCAGTTTTCGAAAATAGACCGTGTCGACATCGACTATCTGCGACGACATCCCCGGGTCGACATCAAAGACGAAACGAAGATCAACTCGGACCAGGAGAGTTCAGACGCTTACTACAAGGATCAACTTGAAGGAACAAATAACTTCATATCAGAGTTGTTCTTCCTCACAGTCGCTGCTCATCATTATGGCAGTGAGGCTGCCCGCAACATGCTGAAGGACATGGATCGGGAACTCAAGCACATGGCCAAGCAGATCGAACAATTCGAGACCGAGCGGCACAAATATATCAACAATCCAGCGCAGCTGCGGATGTTCGAGAATGCACTTAAGAAGTACAAGGATCAACACGATAAAGGGCTGTCCTACAAGTACGCTGTTCAAGGGGTTCTGCTTGACGAGCTTGCTCAGACTCGGTCAATGCAATTCATGCGATTTGTGACTGTCTGGTTACTGCGACAAGTGTCCCCACACCGCCAGTTTCCCAAGGAGGAACTCACCCTGCCACTCCCTGACGAACAGCCCGAGGCTTTCAAGAATCTCCCGGAATACTTCTTGGACGTTATCAGCGGCAATTTCGGGTTTATCATGTACAACATGCCACAGGTCATTTCGTCAACTCAGTCGGATGAGCTGATTATGCTTTGCGTCACCTTCCTACGAAATTCAGAATACATCAAGAATCCCTACCTGAAAGCTTCTCTGGTCACGATTCTGTTCCGGGGCACGTGGTCCTGGCGTCAAGGGGGCAGGGGAATTCTGGCAGACCAATACAACAGTTTGCCCTTTGCTGCGAAATATTTACTGCATTCTTTGATGAAGTTCTTCATTGAAGCGGAGTTCATGGGTGGCCACGGTCAATTTTTCGACAAATTCAACGTTCGGTTTGAGATCTTCCAGATCATAAAGTGTATTTGGCCGAACCCCGTTTACAGAGAAAACCTTCTCAACGAGGCCAAGGTCAACATGGAGTTTTTCGTGCGATTTGTGAATCTGTTGTTGAACGATGTGACATTTGTTCTGGACGAGTCCTTCACCGCTTTCCACACGATCTACGACCTGTCGAAAGAGCTCTCCCTGGCCGGGACCACATTGAACGAACAACAACGACAGGAGAAAGAAGAGGCATTGGAGGCGGCCAAGGGAAAGGCGAAGTCATACATGCAGTTGACGAACGAAACCGTCGACAATCTGAAACTGTTCACCGAAACCCTGGGCGATGCCTTCACCATGCCCGAAATCGTTCAACGACTGGCAGACATGCTTGACTACAACTTGGATGCGATGGTCGGCACCAAGAGCTCGTCCCTCAAGGTTGGCAATTTACAGGAGTACAACTTCAATCCGAGAACACTCCTCAGCGAACTTGTCGATGTCTACCTGAACCTCAGCGACCGAGAGAATTTCATCCTTGCCGTGGCTCGTGATGGCAGGTCCTACAAACCGGACAACTTTGCTGCTGCGGGAAACATCCTGCGTAAATACGGCTTGAAGTCTCCAGAGGAGCTCGCCAAATGGAGCCAGTTCATGGAAAAGGTGGCCAAGGCTCGAGAAGAGGATGAAGCTGCGGATGCAGATCTGGGCGAGATTCCTGACGAGTTCCTCGATCCCTTGATGTACACACTCATGGAAGATCCGGTGCGGTTGCCTGTGAGCAAGATCGTGATCGATCGCAGCACGATCCGCAGCCACTTGTTGAGTGATCCTCATGACCCCTTTAATCGGATGCCTCTCAAGATTGAAGATGTGATTCCTGGTATGTCTTGATCCTTCTCTCTCTACTCCCGTCTATTTCAGCTTGCTAATCTATGCTCTTGTCCTGCAGCTACGGATGTCAAAGAGGCAATTGAAAAGTTCAAGGAAGAGAAGATTGGCAACCGTCGTAAAGACTTTGTGGAAACCATGAAGACGGAAGCCGGTGGCAATGCGGATGGTGAGCCCATGGACACGTCTCAAGCCGGTGGCAATGCAGATGGTGAGCCCATGGACACGTCTCAAGCCGGTGGCAATGCGGATAATGAGCCCATGGACACCTCTCCTTGAGGAGCGGAAGAGGCACACCGCCCATGGGATCTATGAGATCTACGAGGTCTGTCGGCTATGCAGACTTATGCGATCCTACCACCGGAATGCTGCGAGGTCGGTCAATGGTGAGCGATAGAGCAGTGCCCAACATGGCACCCTGCACGATCCAATACTAGTATTCAGACTTCGTATCTGTCGGCTTCAGGTGCCGGCATTTAGGGAGACTCGGTGTTGTAGCGATGTTCTAATTCGGAGACATCGGGCTTTATATACCGGATGGTGTACAAGTGCGATGACCAGCTCTGCCTCAAACATGGCGCGTTGGATTGCATACATATAGTGTAGACCTCGAAGTCATACAGATACATAACGATGGACAAAGATGTCGCGACACCTACAGTTTATATAGACCTGTTCTGTCTTTTGTGGATGATGCATATTCTTTCGTCGTCCCCTATCGCGAGCGTCTTGTAGAATCCGGTGTATCCTTGTCGCCCTCCTTTTTCAAAATCGCCTGTCGTTGACACATTTTGCTCCGTGAATTACATGACAACTTGGCCATACCCGGAGCACTCACTTGTGCATGACGGCGACGAGGACCCGAAGAACACCTCTTATCTGATGTATATGAGGAGATTCCGACCGGTGTTGGGTCTGTTGCCTGATTAGCATCACGCCCGAACTGTACGCTGTCCTCTTCTCACCTGGAGTGCAACTTCGGCATAGTGGCGACCTAAGTGGTATTACATGTGTCTTGACGTTGCGAGAGACGTTGTACAAGTTCCATAATATGTTTGAATCGTCTTCTGTAGGACGTGCAGCGGTCTGTTAACACGTAAGACGATTCTTGGGTACAGTGCCGACCGAAGTACCAACGGAATATCCTGAACGATGAAAGAAGAGAGCATCAGAGGAAGAAACTAAGAGTAGACTCCCTATATTGACTGACGCACCTGCCTTTGTTGCTTGTGGAGTTTCACTGTTCTGCTCCTTACTACTATTGTTCGTTGGAATCCCATATTTCCCAGCACACACTCTCCAAGATGTAGTGGACGGTGGGCAGAAGTGGACGGCAGCTGTCGGGGTTGCCTGTGCAATCAATAGGCTTGGGCTCGGGACGTGTAGCATCTCAATCTCGATCTCGATCCAAATCCATCATTCCTTGCTCTGAAGCTTTTGCTTTTTACTGGAGGAGTCTTGGGAGTCTTGCCAAACATCTGCATTCTATGCCATCCCCATTCCCCTGCTCTTTCATGCCTTGTTGCCTGCGCCTCCGTCTTTCCCGATAACTTGTCCATGCTTTCACGAACACGACCAATTCTCATATCGGGACAACAGTATATCCCATCTCCAACTCTTGCCATTTGGAACTGTTGTATTTCTCTTATCAAGCTTGGTAGTGTCACAGGCTCTCCGGATCGTGTGTTTATGTCAATAGCAGAATCTCAGCCTCGTCTGCTGGGTCCTTTCCGTCGATTTCCTGAAAGCGTTAGCGTGTTTCCGGATTCGGTACAAACTGTCCCCAGAATGCAAATCGACCCACTTGTGTTCCATAGAGACATCTATAGACGAGCGTGTTTCTATTGTTCTTCCAGTAGATGAGGTCTATGGTTGTTCCTGTTGACCTTGTTTTACTGGCTTTGCATGACCATCACCGACATTGTGGCTATTGTAGAACGTGTGAATTCAAGATTCGGGAAAACATTCCCGCGCCACTCCTTCACTTTTCCAGTCCCAGAAAGGTCATTCTGCATGCAAGCAAATTCACAGCGGATCTGTAGTGAAGACAGACCGTCTATTATGGCATAGCTTACGCGGTGAGATTGCTTGGCCAACAGTATTGTGATGGCTACTATTAAATCTCTTCTCGTACTCGAACTCTTCTCTGCTCTGTATTGTTTCCGAATCTCATCTCATCCCATCACTCCATACAATCTCATCGACTTTGTGCTCAGCTTTCAGAAACTCGAAGAAGATATCTCACAGACTCGAACTGCATATCTCAGAGACTCGAACCACATCGTGTAAGTGATCCGACACTTCTTGTGATCCCACGCGTGGTAGAGAATCCTTCAAGTCGAGATCGTATTCACTGACTGATTTTGATTCCGTGGCAGATCCAACCTCAAGCCTCAGCCGATCTCCATACCCTCCTTCTCCAACCGCACCTCATCGACGCCATCGATCTGCCAACATCATGGAGAGAATAATACTCCAAGGTCAACTCCAGACCGAGAACCGCTACCGCCAACACTTCTTCGAGGACATCTGCGACATGATGGGCGATCTAAGCCGAGGCTCTCCGTTGAATCCGTACCAGCGTCGACAGATAATCATTCATGTTCAATACTACCAGCGGTCTGGAAGAGAATTGTTGATGCGCATGGCTCTGGAAAACCTCTTTCGAGCAGCGAATCTGCCCTTTAACTTCCAGTTTGAGATAGTTGGCATAGAAGAGTTGGCACAAGCACTTGGTATCATCCGTATCAATGTCACTGTCCCGAATTTCGGACCCGGAATCGCAGGTAATATTGGTACCGGCACCATGGGGCAGGTGAATCAAGGGCTGGGTGTCACTGGTGTCACTGGTTTCCGCAACACTCAACCACAACTCGGCTCCGCTCCCAGTGGTATAACTACCGGTAACAATTTCAACGTCGCTTTCAATCAGGGTATTGGCCAACAAGGACTGGGCGCCACCGGGGGGCTGGCCGGCACCTCAAGTTACGGCCAGCCGGTGGTCGGTGTCCCGCCTCCCCAGTTGGCACAAGACATCACCGCCGCTGGTCAAGAGAACGCGCACTCGTCAGGATCTGGCGGCCAGGCCTATCCCCAGCAGACGGGACCTGTGCCTCCTCCCTCGACCTTCCTTGACCAGCAGTTGCAGGACGATTTTGACTTTCTCTTCAATGACGACAATCTCGCTGGTGATGATGCTGGTACCGGCCCAGCATATCAATATGAAGATGAAGTTGAAGGTGAAGCCGAAGGTGAGGGTGAAGGCGAAGACGGATCTGAAGATGAAGATGAAGATCAAGACCCATCCGACCCAGACTCATGCACCACCACTCCCGCAACAAAGAGACAAAAGAAAGCAGACAAGCCAGCAAACCCCTGGGTCTTTGTCTGCGACCGCTGCGGCGCTGCAAAGAGAGAGAGACGAGACTTCACTGCCCACCAGCGCCACGGTGCCCAGCGAGACGGCTTCACTCTTGATACTTCCGTCAGCCTCAACCCCCCAACCTGGACAGGCAAGGGTGACAACGACACAGTATTCCGCGGAACCATGCTGCATGCGCCAGAGACAGCAGATCTCCCCAAGCCGACAAATCAGATCTGCATGAACAACCTGCGGGAGTGGCAGGCAGCCCGGGAGCGGGACGGCCATAGACCAAAGACCGTGCAAGCCAAAGAGGCCAAGAAGGCGAAGGGTGCGGCGGCGTCCCCGGATCCTTGAGGGTTGCCTCTTTGGTTTACCGTTTGGCGATGGTGGCGACCGTGATGGCAACAATGATGGCAGCACCATCAGGTTGTTGAGACAGCTGGGAGAGCCTTGGGGGGAGGGCGTGCGGCAACGTCAACTCCAATTCCAACTTGGGTTGTGTGTGCTTTGTATGAATATTTCAGGGGGTTGACAGCCTTGCATGGCCCAATTGGGCATGCATTATGTATGTGTCTACGATCCATGTACATCGTCGATAGCAGAGAGACGCCGTCAGGCTATCAACACTACGGTTGGTGGCTTGTCCAAACATGTATGATACACCGATTTTGCTGCGACTTACTTCCACTGTGCAAGTTCGTTCAAATCACCCATCTTTGTCTCTACCGTGGTTCTGTGTTTGCTTCGCAACGACAAAGCCCGGAAGAGACCACCGTGAGCTGAACAAGTTCGGGATTTCTAGGGAGACACATAATATCAGCGCAAGCAGAGATGACCGGTACGCAGCGGCAGCTGTTCAAACACAGGTTGGCATTTCATTTTCAACTGGAGTGTAATAGCAGATGCTAATCATGATTGTGTGGCCAGACATCGGCTTCGGGTGTGAGAATACAGGAGAACCGTCGCCGTTTCGATGGCGTCTCCGAGTACGATTGTAAGCTGTGGTGAGGAACTAGAGTAAACAATCTGAAGCAGAGACAATAAGTGAACCATGAATTCCATTCTTAACGAGGGTATCTGTAGAAAAAGCATCGCAATAGGTACTGTCCGGGTATAGCATATAACAAAAATCATCCAATGTGTCCCAAGATATCCCCAAAACTCCTGGCAGATATATACCCAGAACTCCCGCTGTGTAGCAATGGCATATCTATAAATCCCATGAAATTCCTAGCACCTGGCTGACAATGTCCCAAATGTAATTCCCTGCCAATCTCGATATATCCTCAGATCCCAGTGACTCGACGCAGATCGAAGACTGCTCGAGACGTGGTGATCCATGTGCAGCCACATGTGTTGCACCGAAGGTGTCAAAGAAGGGCCAGCTCTGTACTCGACAGGCATTCGTGCATGGAGCTCGGCGTCCCTGTAGACTTGATGCGTGAGGGCGGTGGCCTCCATCTGCTTTGGAGGGCAGACTCTTCTTGATTATTCCCAATAGGGTGCAGATATGCGTAACCGCATCTGCTGCCAGTAAATGGCAAGGTCGAAGGGCCGATGGTGCGGTACGTATCGTTTTGTCGCCAAACCCACATTCCGTAAATGTACAATGCTTCATCACCGGTCATATCTTTGTATCGGCGACTCTCGATCCTGCTGTTGTACAATATTTTTCGCTGGGCGACATGCATTTCAAACCGCAGGCTCGGGGACTATAATGCCCTTGTCGCCTTCGTCGCGCATTCTTGCGGTACGGGACTTCGGTCCGAATATCTCAAGATGTTGGTAATAAAGCCACATGACGATACAGCTGGAAGCAGACGACGTTAGCCTAGGCCTGCATTCAATGATCAGCAGGAATGATCAACTCACCTAGCAATTGTCCCGCACAGTCCGAGCCACAGGAAGACCACACTGGCAATGGCGCGGGCATTGTGTCGGTATACCAGTGGAGGGTTGAGCTTCTCTTCTGCAATCATTCGGGCATCTTCAGTATCGGCCGAGACCCAGGCATTGCCCGTGGCCACAATCACGGTCAAAGCCAATGCGTCCGCCAATGTCATAATGGTGACCACTACGGCACTGATCTTCCATGCCCAGCGAATTCTCGGGGGTTCGTAGCGCTCCGGGAAGAACAGGTCGAAGAAGAAGGCCGCGCCGAAGATCGTGGCGACAGCGATCCCCACGAAGATGTTGTAAGAGGCAATCCCGACGAAGTCGTCGTTGTGCACGCTCGCGGAAGAATGTAAACTCTCGATTCTCTCTTGTTGGTCCACATAGTCTATAACCGAGCATTAGCACCATGTCACAACAAACGATCGCAGCTGAAAGGCTCACCAGATAGAGCGGCAGTGCCGACAGACTCGGAGACGACGCAGAATATCATTGCGATCTGGTAGACCACAAACTTGGTGCGTCGTAGATGGTAATCCTTGTTGCCAAACATGTACGAGCTCTTGAATTTCCCCCATTTCATGTCCCTCAGATCGAGGCCCCATATGACGGCCATTGTTGGTAGATAGCAAACCGCGATGCAAAGCCTGCGAGTGTCTGAAGAGAAAGTGGCCTAATATCGATCGCGATTCGTTCTTGGAGTGATGTGCTAGGTGGGTCTCGCGAACAGTATCAGCGTCCGCGAGTTTCGAGTTTGACGTCACACCGAAGACAAGATAATGATGAATAAGTTTCCAAGGAGGTAAGAGAATGGAACAGACGAGAGTGGGAATGGAGGAAATGGAAATGTTATATTCGGTGAGCAACGGTTAGTTACAAATGCGTATATTCGAAATGGGCGGATCTCAAACAGATATTCTATCCATTATTGGAAGAGATGACCAATGAGGCATATTCGTTTCCTGTCCTGCTCGTGTCCTTGTGACGAAGTGACGCGCTGCGTTGTCAGAATGATGGCAGATTTATTTTGCGGGCCTCCGGTTGATCCGCTCACGGTGAGCGAGGGTGACAGACAGGCCCGTCCTCCGGCATGAGTAGTCAGCCTGGTTGGCAGCTAGTCAGCTCTTTTGCGTAATGATCTGGACCCTGGCCGGGGTCTGGAACCCACTCGTGAGCCGTACAAGAGGCATTTTCCGCAGAGTGCTTGACCAGGCTAAACGCCTCCTATGCCGCATTTGTCGTCGCCCAAGTAGCCCCGGGTTGCCGAGTGGTGAGTGGTTTCGTCTAGGGGTCCTTATGACGCAGACAGCGCGGATTTTCGGCCTGGAGGTAGATCGTAGGAGAGGTTGAAGCGCCTCAAGTCTGTCAAACACAAGCCTAAGCAGCCCATAGAGGGGACAACCCGACATCATACTCCGGGGGTGGTTCTTTGGTCTTGCCCATCGTCGTGAGGCCAAAGGGTCCTCGACCACTCAGGATCCATCTAGCGTATCGTCCCTGCTAAGACGGAATCGACTTCCTTGCCGATCTGCAGCGTAGCCATCTTCTTGGGCGACGATATGCATAAATCGAGTAGGCTTGAAGGGCTTGGAGAAGCTTGATAATCCTCGGCGCATGTGCTCTTTCCACACTCACTTTGTGATACGTTTGATGTGTTATGGGCCTTGGATAGCCATCAAAGATGTCGGACACCCACTGTCAGCTGGGGTCTTTCTCGAAGCTGAATGCAGGTCGATCCAAAAGTGCCAGGAGTTGCAATTACTAATATGACCGTATCTCCAGGTAGCGAAGCCTGATCCATCTGGCGAATCGAGCTATCGGATCAGGGTCTATAAGGCAACGTCCCTAGATCATCTGTCCTAGAAAGTCTCCTGGGCTAGTGTGTGGGAAGTGTGGCGGCTCTCATGATCGAGGCGAGGAGCCACTTGCACTGGTTGATTTTGATGGCTACAATATATACATAGATATGAGTATGTTCCGGTCAGACGCATGTGTCGACTACACCTCAGTTGGGGCCTTGTTCGGGGTCTGTCCGCTCTCGTTATCTCTTAGGTGCTTGTCGTTGCACATTCTGATCCTTGCCAGGGCTCTCGGCCGAGGGTGAGACCCTGCAGCAGTTGAGACCAGGGCATAAGCATTCCACCTAGTAGCATATTGTCCCAACGTGGAATCCTACCTTTTCTCAACCGCACGCCACTGACCAGAGCGAGACGTAACAAAAGAGCATTGAGTAAGCGGAGAGCCTTATGGTGATTGGTATAACCACGGTGGTTTCCCAAGAACTGATGTACAAAATATTATCAAACAACAGAAAGACAGGGTGAACATGTAATGAAAGTTGGAAGGATGAAGGAGAAGAGGAACAGTGAGAACAGAGAGGATGCTTAGTCACGCTCTTCGGATTAAGTTTCCCTGTCATTCTCACTAAATGTTTTATGAACTCTTGGCGGATGGAGTTGGAGAAAAAAATTTGGGACAATCGAGTTCAAGTGAATTGGCAGACACGCTCCAGGTCGCTGTGAACTTTGAATCCAACATCTTACATTGCAACTTTTGTAGATAACTTTTCACATTTTCGTTGAGCAGGTTCCGCACCTGATCCAATTGCAACAATGGGTGAAAAGAAACGGAAGGGTAAGTACAATTCAAATCACTCCCGGACTCTCCACGTCCTCGAATTAACCGATTGTTTGCAGGATCGTTGGGAGCGACTGATCTGCCTCTCAAGAAGAGCAAGAAATCAAAGAGCACAGATGCTACCAAAGACCCCGTTGAACCTAAGCCAGTGTCTACCACAGAGCCAACTGCCGCATTTGAAGTCGAATCTCGGCCTTCAAACGATGCCAGCACCAAGAAGTCTCGCAAGCGTGCTGCCGATTTCATGAATGAGGAGGAGGAAACAACCAAGACTGCCGCTCCCCTCTCTACTGGTGAAGTTGTCGAAGAGCCTACTTCCAAGAAGTCGAAGAAGTCGAAGAAGAACAAGAAGAGCAAACAGGACGAATTGCTTACGGCTGATGGTGTCAATGGCGTCGTGGAGCACCCTGGTGATGAAGACCTTGAAACTGCAACCGCACAGAAACCCGTCACTACATCGATGCAAGCCGAGGCCGAGCGTACCGTTGATCAGGAGCTTGAAGAAGACTTCCGTGCAGTTGCGAGCGAAGACGAGGCTGGCTACGTTGATGAGGTCCCCGCGGATGACAACGCTGCCGCCCTTCTGGCCGGTTTCGACAGTGACTCGGAAGACGAGCAACAAGATGCAGGCCTCGACCTCACCACCACGCCTGCCCTGCCCCAATCCAAGAAGGTTCGCAAGAAGTTGGACAAGCTCAAGGCAGAAGGCAAGGATGATGGTCCTGGCGCAGTCTATGTTGGTCGCGTGCCTCATGGATTCTACGAAAAGCAGATGAGGGAGTACTTTTCCCAATTCGGCGACATCACCAGATTAAGACTCTCCCGCAACAAACGCACTGGAGCATCCAAACACTATGCTTTTATCGAGTTCAGTTCAAACGAAGTTGCCAAGATCGTTGCCGAGACCATGGACAACTACCTCCTCTTCGGTCATATCCTCAAATGCAAGTATGCTCCACCTGAATCGCTGCACCCGGATGTCTGGGTCGGCGCGAACAAGAAGTACCGAAAGATTCCTCACGAGAAGCTTGAAGGAGAGCGACTTGCCGCACCTAAGCCCGCCGACAAATGGCAGAAGAAGGTGGACAAGGAGCAGCGAAGACGTGAGGAGAAGGCGAAGAAGTTGAAGGCCATTGGACTGGATATGCCAGAGTCAACTCTCACCAGACCTGAAGATGTAGTGCAGGAGAAACTCATAACCGCCGAAGAACCCAAACTTGTTGAGGATCAGGAGCCGGCTCCAGCAGCTTTGACAGAAGCCACCACCGAAGGAACAGAGAAGGAGTCAAAGAAAGACAAGAAGGCAAAGAAGGATAAGAAGGATAAGAAAAAGAAAATTGATGGTGATGAAGACAAGGAGATGCAAGATCAGTCTGCTGAGAACGTCGCCGCCTCCGAACCCGCAACTGCAGATTCCATCGAGGCAGCCGGAGCTGAGGCGTCAAAAGGAGCTAAGGCTGCCAAATCCGCAAAAGAACCTCAACTATCAAAGAAGGAGAGGAAGGCGCTGAAGAAGGCTGAAACCATGCCTGATTCAGATCTAGCCAAGGACGAAAGAAAGGCTCTTAAGAACGCCCAGAAGAAGCTTGCCAGATTCGAGTAGAATGGATCAAAGGTCGAAAAGAGTCCCAAGGAGTCCAATGAATTGACCACGGCGGCAGAACAGCCCGTCGAGGTAGAGGCAGTAGTCGCCGAGGTGAAGGCGCCAGTAGTCAATGGAGTTGACACTGCAGAGGAGGCCAAATCACCCAAGACGGACAGCAAAGCCGCCAAGAAGCTGGCGAAGAAGGCTGCAAAAGCAAAGAAGGATGTCACAGAGACCGTGAAAGTTGCGGAGACAGAAGAGAAACCTGTCCAGGCTGCCGCATCTGCCGAAAGCCCAGAACCTGCTCAGACTGCAGAGCCAGCAGCTCTTGGAACCGATGCCGACTTTGTATCTTTCGGGGAATACAACGACGAGCAGGAAGCTGGAGCCTCAGAGTCCGACTCGGGCGACGCCACACGTGCCACTCTATCCAACGCCAGCCGCGGGCCTAAAGGCAAGAAATACAAGGAGAAGAAAGAGAAGAAAGAACGCAAGAACCTCGTCAAAGCCCGTGGACCGAAATCGAAGCTTGTCCCAATTCAGCCGAAGCCCGATACGACAGTACCTGGAAAGCTTCCCGGTGTTCCTCTTCTGGGAAAGGGCAAATACGACAAAGCTACTCGTCAGGCTCACAAGGAGTTGAAAAACAAAGTGTTGAAAAACAAGAAGGGCCCGCGTGGTAGTGCGGCTGGTGGTCCCGGCGCTTAGGAGACCCGGGTCTCTCATCCCTTCCCTCCTCCACCTCCCAGACAGAAATCAGCCTTGCCGCAAGGCCTCAAGAAGACTGTCTTCGAAGACTGAGTGTGGTTGTCATAACTCTTTCGGTTCACGAGTCTTACTTCCCAGGACTCAATTCTTTCTCGGTCATGTCTAATCCCTGATACCAGCAATGCCAGCGTTTCGGAATGAAAGATCCAAAAGCGTGGTGTTTGCCTGGCACATATTTTCTTAGGGTAAAAGTTACGGATGGGTGTAGCTGGAAGTTGCATTCAGGAGGCAATGGACTCTGGCACATCCAAGATGATCGATGTTAATACAAAACAAGACCTGTGCAGGTTTGCTGAGGCTCAGCCCACAGCAGATGCAACGACCCGTCGGCCTGCTCTGCAGCGGAATCAATTGGGAAGCAATTGGGAAGCAATCCAGCAGGCAACCAACTCATGTCACAAATGACAAGACAAAGAAAGTCATACCCTTATTCGGCTGACTCTATGCTCCTCCTTATTTCTCTACATCTTCCTCCGGTGGGGCTCGTTCTCCATTTAGCCCTCGGTCCTCAGCCCTCTTCATGGATCTCATTTGAAGTGCAAGGCTTCGATTCCCTTACCACTCCGGATGGTGTTGTCCTGGCGTCCCTTGGTCTGGCCGCATTCTTCTGCTTCTATCCATGTTATCGTCCTGTGCCTGTCTCCTTCCACTAGGTCTTCTTCCCTCGCAACCGCCCATCTCATCAAACACAGTCCCCATCATCTGCTGACAAACCCACCTGACCGTCCGCGTGTGCAGACTACTTCTACCATTTCCCCTTGACATTGTTCCAACTCCTCCACCATGTGCATGTACGCTTGTCCTACCTTCAGCCAACGCCTGGAATATGACAAGCTGATCCTCTGCAAACTCGTCCATACTAGAGATGGAGACGGGGGTGTGGGTGGAGGCAGAATGCCTTTCTTCGCTGCACTCTCTCCTCGTGGGTTTACACTCCTCCACAAACTCGCGGACAAGACGGCCCACCACCTCCGACACAAGACGCCGCCTATCGGCCTCTGTACCAATTTTGCGTCCTGACCCCAGATGGTCGCGCCCAAGTCGATACCCCGCCACGGTATGTGCCACGAGCAGAACATACAAGCGTCGTTCATCCCCAGATGCTGGACCGGAAGATTTGTGAAGCGTGATGGGAAGCGAAGGGGCCGAGAAGCACGGAATCGCACGCAGAGAAGATGCCAGTTGCGACTCGAGCAGTGCGTGTGTTTGAGAGCTTCCGGATATGATGGTCATGGTGATTTGTGTGATGGTGTCGCGAGTCTGCATGTGGAAGGGTGACAGATGGAAGCGACAGCTTTTATGAGGTGTATTCTCATTCTCATTCTCATTCTCATTCTCAGGACCATTGTCTTCTGGTATGCCATTCTTCTGGCCATCCTTTCTCGGGATCGGCTGCTGGTGCTGGTAATGATGGTGACAATATGGCTGCAGGTGATTATCGACAGTGATCTCAACCTCCCCCAACTGCGGTGCACTACCTGCCCATCCACGTCTATGGACATCGACAACGACCCTGGGCAGTCCGATCTTTTCGCACAGCGGGAGGAACACTTGCTGCATGTACTCGCTCGACGGGGATTTCGGGACATTGGTGCCTCCCTTGAGACGGATGCGGAACGCCGGCTTGGAACAGGATGATGATTGGGGCCATGGACACGATGAAGAAGGGGTATCGAATACAAGCTGAGAGGTTGTCCTTGGGGCAGCGGTGTTTTTTCTGTCATTCTGATTTTCAGGGTTGGATCTTCTTGTTGATCTTGGTCTTGACCTTGGTCTTTCGGTCGCGGAGGAGTATCGTCGTTGTCGAATTCCTGCTGTTGCTGTTGCTGTTGATGCTGACAACAAGAACAATCCAACATGGAGAAGAGAATATACGGAAAAATAGCCTGCCATACGAGCCAGACACTGCCTGGATTTTTCAGCTCGAGGGTCTCCACCACTGTCTCTGTCTCTGTCTCAAGCACCATCCTATGATCCTCCCACTTTGAGGCTTGTACTCGTGTTTGTGTACATGTCTGTGTTTGTGTATGTGTTTGTGTCCGTGAGTCCATCCTCCCACGAGATCCCCGTGTCCAAGGCCGGAACACAACCTCACAAGATCCAACTTCGCCACCTTGGACATCGGCACCACATTTCCCAGCCAACCACTCCAAAGCAGCCAGATGGCTTTCTTTCAGACCACCCCCTACTGCTGCCGCTGCTGGTTTCTTGGTCTTCGCGGCTCCATCACCGTCATCGCCACTGCCGCTGGCATGTCGCGGAAGAAAGAGACACCCCCTAGCTAGAGAGGCCTCGACTGTCTTCTTCTGCTGCTGCTGTTCTTCTCGATGCTGTCGTCCCGCATGGCTTGAACGCGGATATCTTTTCGAGGCCCGGTTCGCACGGATATGAGTGATGCGGACGGGAATGCCTTCGATTGCGGAGATGGACAGAGCCACGCGGACGAGTTGGCCGCCGCCTTCTAGGGTCGAGCCGTCGAGTGTTAGCATTTGTTGAGATTATGTTGATGCGGTATCTTAGAAGTATGATAAAACAAAAAGTAGGGTTTGTGACAAAAGTAAGGGACACAGTGGTATTGATTGTTTAAGGTAGGTACCTAACCTAGCCTTGTCCAGGATATTGGTGCCGGATTGAGAGTCGTTGTACGGCCGCGGCCGCGGCAGCCTTGTCATAGCCTTGTCATACATACAATGTCGACTTGGTTTGCGGCAGCCCATTGGGAGGTGGTGGTAGTCTGGAGATGCCATCGTCCTGCACATGCAGCACTGGCATGTTACTTGCAGCTATTGGGGGCCAAAGGTGTGACTGTTCATCAACCTTGTATATCGCCAATCAGGCCCAATGAAGCATTGAAGAGTCACAGCACAGCCCTGGGGTGTTGCTGATATGGGTGCGAGGTATGGATTTGTCGAGACCACTCACCTCATAATACTAGTGTTCTTGTCCACTTTGCGGCTATGTCTAGCCTCATGGAATGGGCCTCGATAAGGGCGTGTACAGCTGTGACTCAATGATGGGACATCTCAGACTGTGGGGTCTTGCCTGGGCTGATTCACTGTTTGGCCCCGGTGACATTTACTTGAGGTCAGTCATGCTACCAGCCACGACCCCGTTGATCAAGAGAGAGGTCGACGCTACTCAGAGACATGGTCATACGCCATCATTCTCTACTTCCCCTGCTATGCTCGAGTGCTATTGAGTGGCACTGCTTCGCCCATCACCATCCATCCACCTTACCATCTACACATCTCGATCAAAGTAACTCTTCACCATGCCCTCAAGGGTAGGCTCGTATTCGACCAACTCGACCTCGCCACTGTCCTCATCCAAGACAGTATTGGCTTGCACAAACACCTTCCGCGGTGTCTTCTTCTTGAGCACAATAGGCCTCGCTTTCTCTGCCCACCACCCGTCGACACTGGTGATGGTGTCATACAGCTGTTTCCCTGCTTCGAAATCCGCCGTGGCTTTGTAGATGTGGAGTTTCTGAAGATATGCCTCTACGGCGGGCCGGCCGTGGGAGAGAATCTTGCTCCGATCCAGGAATATCTCCAGATCATCGGGATGGTCCAGGTCTCCATTCACAGCCTTGATCTCGCAGAAATTGCCACCGGCATCCATGAAGGTGCGAAGGATCGAGTAGCGGGCTTGCATGTGTGCTTGTCCCCATTTCCGAGACTTGGGATCCCAGTACTCCAGAGCAGCCACACCGGCTCGAGCCATTTGCAGGTACGCCACATAGAGAACATCGCCAGCTTCGTTGCCAATCTCTTGAGTACCGTCACCGAAGCCAAAGATCTTGAGGATCTCAAAGTCGCACGAAAGAGCCATGGCCACGCACTCCGCTCGACATTCTTCGTACGATGAGGCGATCGAGCCAAACACACTCGACCAGGTCTGTCCGGGCTTGTACCAGGTAGTAATGGGTTTCTTGGTCACGGGGCTGATCGGGGGATGCTGGAAATCAAAATTGAACTCGCCAGGAGCGGTCTCCTGGAGTAACTTGCCACAGCCGTGTCCGAGGAGCTCGTGGATGCCTACCTGGACCTCAAAGGCGGGATCCCGGTAGGTGCGATATATCTGATCGTCTTCCTTGCGGATGAACGGAATCGGCTCATTTGGTGCTTTGGCACTCAGCACATTTCCAAGACTGACGTTCTTGAAGCCCTCGTTCTGGCGAATGAAATCATAGTTGGGAATGTTGATTCCAGCTGGAATGCCGCTGCCGGCAAAGGTCAAAACCTCCAGCGAAGTGAAGTCTGGGCTCAAAAACTTGTCTTTTTCAAACTCCTCTCCCCATGGCAGCTTGGGGATCATACTTGGAGCGGCATCGACTAATTTGCCAAATGCTCGTGTTCTCTCTTGATTGACGAATGCGACAAAGCCTTCCCATTCGCCGCGCACTCCATGAGGGTCTCGGTAGGTTTCGATGAAGCCGATGTCTGTCTCAACGATAGGCTTTTTGTTTTTGATCCAGTAGCGTTGTGATTCCACAAAGGCTTGGATACTTCCAGTCCCGAAAGACCTGGCGTACTCATCGAGCATCTTCTCTTCAACCTCGTTGGCCGCCTCTTTCCGTGCCTTCTTGAATTCCAGCGCAATCTTTGACATTTCATTCTGGTAATCCCCGAAGACGAGGCTTAACGTCTTTCCAGCCAGCTTGCCAGTCAAGGGGATTGACGACACATCACCCAGATCTCTTTCCTCGGCCGGCGGGTTGCTGACGCCCGACGCAATCAAAAGTTCAAAGTTTCCCGACTCCAATTTCCGCAGACGGGTGTTCTCTATCAGCAGCTTCTTCTCCTCCAGGACATCCCCAACGATGGTGATCTCTTCTTTTGTAATTGTCGGTGAATCTGGGTAGTAGTTTGTCATATGTCCAGCCTCTGGATACCCGAGATGCATCAAAGCCTCATCCTTCGTCTCGTAGATGCCTCCTCCAGTCTTTACGGCCTTGTCGTGGAGGCTCTTGCACTCCTCGTTGACTCCACAGAGCTTCTCAAGAGATTCAGGTGCAATCCTCGGAATGAACTTGGAGTCACCGAATCCCTTGTAATTGCCGCAGTTCCCGAGGAACTGGGCAGAGTATTCCAGCCATAGTGTGATCTCGGAGGAGGACACGGCCGTGTCATTAGATAGTTTCTTGTAGTCACCGCCGCAGGCACGGTGCAGTGCAAGGATTAGATCGTAGATGACGGGCGACTCAGGAGACACCTGGGCCAAGGTCACTCGAGTCCCATAAAAGGAAGCCCGACTCAGATGATGTGCATAGCGTTTCTGTTTAGACGAGAGGGCGGCAAAATGAGGAGCGATCTCCAACTGAACGACGGTGGGAGGGTGGTCGGCGAGGTAATGAGATCGAAGAGCCGGATCCATGGCGGTTGAAACAGGCTGAAAGGTAGAGAATTGAGAGGTAAAGTGGGAGAGTCTACGAAGACACTTTTGAAGGGATGAGCCCAGAGTCAATCTGGACACAATGGTCATGTATAGGGGGAAAAGCGTAGTCGCCGGCGGCTGCCTGTACCATTAACAAGTACAACCCACGCTGAACGCTCACAGTATGCCCGTAGTAGATTGTAAAGGAGGGTGTCACGACAGGTCCACGCCTAGAGCTCACAGCAGCTTATTCCGAAGTCTTCTGGTTGATTAACAGTATCTTCGACATCGACGACGAGGCTGCAGTTCAAGACGAGCGACGATCAGGCTGCGGGGGAGCAAAGCTGCGTTCGAGTGGTCCACCGTATTGTGTTGTGTGTCTTAGTAAGCAGCTCGTGCTGGTCTTGTGGTCCGCCGTAAATGCTATCTTCCCCTGTCTTGTCGCGCTGTCTGGAACCTTGGTTTCTCAATCTCGTTGCTGACCATAACATCAAGTCAGCCTCTTCAGTGTGAAAGACTGGCGTCCCATTGACACTCGTTTTGGTAATCCGACTTTAGCGAAAAGAAGACGGCTGAGAACCAGATATCTCTATCATTTCCTCCCATGTCATCAAGCTGGCATCCCTGTCTCACAATAAGCGGCCATGTTCTCATCCGCCTTCAAGTCATTCTCGTCCAACATCACAGCCAACTATGAAATCTCCAGGCAGTCCTCATCTACTGTAGGTGTCTGGACCGTCTTCAGCGCCAAGAAGAAAAGTACGGGCGTTGAGGCGTCAGTCTTTGTCTTCGATCGGAAAGCCTTGGATGTCGGCAGCAGTGGGTTTGGTCCACGCTCGACCAGTGCCACATCGCTCCGGAAGGCCCAAGATGAAGTTATTGAGCGCCTAAAAAAAGAGGCGAGTAGCCTTGCTCGTCTCCGTCACCCATCTGTTCTACAGCTCGTTGAACCGGTGGAGGAAACTCGCAATGGTGGTCTGATGTTTGCAACCGAAGCAGTGTTGTGTTCTTTATCCGCTGCCTTGGCACACAAGGATAGGACTGGTGGGAGAAATGGGAGAGGTCTTGAAAGGTCCTTGTCTGACGACGGCTCTGCCTCTCGGGCTCTTCAGGATGTCGAGGTCGACGAGTTGGAAATCCAAAAGGGTCTTCTACAGGTGGCCAAAGGGTTGGAGTTCTTGCACGACTCCGCAAAACTTGTTCACGGAAACCTGACGCCCGATGCCATCATGATTAATGCAAAGTCGGACTGGAAGATAGCGGGACTTGGGTTTTCTGGGCCGCCGGATGGAGCAGAAGGACATCAGCCCGTGCCCCAGATTTCACTCTCCGAAGCACTCTACCATGACCCGCGATTGCCACGCGCGGTACAAATGGACCTGGACTATGCGTCTCCTGACTTCGTTCTCGACGCCAACATCAACTATCTGGCAGACATCTTCTCACTTGGTCTGGTCATCTTGGCCCTGTACAGAAATCCTCACAGGTCTCCGATCGAGACCCATGGCAATCAATCAACCTACAAGAAACTCTTCAGCAATTCCTCGACTGTCCCTTCGAGCGCCAACAATTATCTTTGCGATCAAAAGCTTCCACGCGAACTAAACGTCACATTGCCACGAATGCTGACCAGGAGGCCGGCCCAGCGACTGACGGCGAGCGAGTTTCAGCAATCGGAATATTTTGACAACATACTCGTCAACACCATTCGGTTTCTGGACGCCTTGCCAGCAAAGACCGCCGTGGAAAAGTCGCAGTTCATGAAAGGGCTGGGTCGTGTCATGCCCCAATTCCCCCCTTCGGTGCTGGAAAAGAAAATCCTTGGAGTCCTCCTAGACGAGATGAAAGACCGCGAACTACTGCCGTTGATCATGCAGAACATTTTCCACATCATCAAGGTCATCCCCTCCAGTAAGGAGGTGGTGTCGGACAAAGTGCTGCTACGCATGAGAGACATCTTCCTCAGCAAATCGAAATCGGAGGAAAGAGACAGCAGCAAGGAAGCCGCTCTACTTACAGTTCTCAGTAACGTCCAGCTGCTTGCCGATAACTGTTCCGCTAAACAATTCAAAGACGACATTCTGCCCATTATTCATGTCGCCATGGAGTCTTCCACTCACTCCCTCACCGATGCAGCTTTGCAAAGTTTGCCGGTAGTGATGCCGCTGATTGATTTCTCGACGGTCAAGCATGATCTCTTCCCAGTGGTGTCAAGCGTATTCAGCAAGACAAACAGTCTTAGTATCAAGGTCCGTGGACTGGAGGCGTTGGGAGTCCTTTGCGGCGTCCCTGGCAGTCGAATGACCAGTCGTGCCGATGACTTCTCTGGGGCGGCGGAGGCAGAGACGAAAGACAAGAGCGTGTCAAGCTTGGACAAGTTCACCATGCAGGAGAAGGTGGTTCCTCTCTTGAAAGCGATCAAGACCAAAGAGCCTGCCGTCATGATGGCTGCACTGAAGGTCTTCCGACAAATTGGAACCGTGGCGGACAGTGAGTTCCTCGCCCTGGAAGTCATGCCCATTCTGTGGACTTTTAGCCTGGGGCCGCTGCTGGATCTCCCACAATTCAAGGCCTTCATGGACGTGATCAGGTCGATATCTGCCAAGATTGAGAGGGAACAGATGCGGAAGCTCCAGGAGCTCTTGTCGAGCCGACCCACTGAATTCCGACCAGCGTCAGTATCGCAGCCTTCCACCAGCAATGGTCTGCAGCGAGGAGGTGCGGCCAATGGTATGGAAGATGACTTTGAGAAGCTCGTCCTGGGCAACAAAAACAACGAGAAGAAAGATGTCTTTGCCGGTGCTTTGGCCGAAGGAGAACGGTTGACGCCGAATCCCCCGTCCTTTTCGTGGTCCCCCGTCTCGACGACCAACAAGAGTGTTTCCACCCATCAAGCTCTGTCACCCATGCCCATTCCTGCGCTTCAGCCTCGACCGGCGTCGCGCTCCATTACTCCAGATGTCAACATGTCGGCGTTCCCAAGTTTGCAGCCTGCTCCACCATCTTCTGCCTCGATCTGGGCAACATCCTCGCCCGCTCCCACGACGGTACAGAACAATAACCACATATTGCAACCGTCAGGGTACATGTCCAATCCACCCACTGCCATTCCATCTCCGCCCGTGTCCACCAACGCATGGCAGCTTCCACCTCCTCCTGGGACGCAGAATCGACCCACAGTATTCGTTCCGAGCATAACGCCGCCAACACTGAGCAACGTACAAAGGAATGCGTGGCAGCAACCGAACCAGAGTCTTGGAATGTCCTCCCAGCCAAGGTTTGCCGGATCGATGAATAACATCTTGCAGCCTCAAAGTGCCCATCAACAGCCTCCTCAGCAGAAAAAAACGGGATTGGATAAATACGAGTCTCTCATCTAGTATTGAAGCCTACTGGCCGTGTTGCAATGGGGCTTCCTCAACATTAACTATACCCTTCGGCTCAAAGTATGCTCGGGATGCGCGGCTGCTGACCTGACCTTCTGGACATAGCCGGCAATATCGCAAGATATACACCGTTATGCAGCCCGAACCCGCTCTACAATCATGTCCAAAGAAGCAGGTGCCCGGTACGTAATGCCTCTGCATCGGCACCATGCTTGTCTGGTCCCACGTCGACCATGCAGCGGACTTGTCTGGAAGAAGTCCTCCACACCAATCATTCGACCACGACGTTGCTCTGGGACAGTCCCGGCTAACCGCTTCGGGAATGTCGATATCCGTCTGCCATTGTCCTCACTCACATAGCACCACCATCGACCACCCACCATCCAATCTGCTGCACGAACTGTAGCCACTCGCTGTGCTACTACAGGCCTTGTCAAGGCACGGTTCCTTGCCGATCAATGGTATAACGAGAGACGAGAGACAAGAGACGCGAGACAAGAGACAAGAGCTTCCAAGCTCTCCAGCGGTCAGCTAGGACGGAGCTTGATCTTTAAAAGCTTACAAGTTATGCGAAGCTTGTCTTCGACATCTTTCCACAGCCAGCTCTGCAAAGGACAAGGGATATTCAATATAGCATCTAGAACAACAAATCCTCACTGTCACTGTCACTGACACCTATTCAGCTGCTCACTCAAAGTTCAACCATGCGTTTCTCCATTCCATTTGCCACCATCGTGACCTTGACCTTGACTCTTTTCGTTACCCGCTCGTCCGCCATCTCCATCCTCCTAGGCAACGACGATGGCTTCGCAGCGGCCCAAGTGCGCGAGTTCTACCGCCTATTGAAAGCCGACGGACATCAAGTCGTCCTCGTCGCTCCGGCCGACAACGAAAGTGGCCAAGGCGGACGATCCGTCTTCACCACGTCGAGGAACCTGACTGTCGCTTCGGAATTCGGGCTCATCCCCGCTGGTGCTCCTTCGCTTGGCCGCGATCCCGCCGATCCAGACGTGTGGTACTACAACGGCACGCCCGCCGCCTGTACCTACGTCGCTCTAGACTATGTGCTGCCGACCTTCTACGACAACCGCACCGTCGACCTGTATCTCGGAGGACCGAATTTCGGGTTAAACGCCGGTCCTTTCTATTATACCCTGAGTGGCACTATAGGTACGAAGAGAAGAGAAGAGACACCCGCATGGGATCTGTTTTCCTATGAGACAGTCGTTACTTGTTCAGATTCAGCATTCATTGTGGTACTCGTTTTTTGGCTGGGAATTTGGATTCACCATCATGGTGCTTGTCACTTGTTTTGGGTCCCCCATTCACTGACGCTTACACCACATTTACTGACGCTTTACATTTGTCTGCATCTCCAGGTGGCACGTATGCAGCTATCGGACGGAATCTTCCCGGAATCGCCTTCTCAGGAGCCAACTCGGAACAACGCTCGTATACTTGGATCAACCAGACCACCGTGTCAGGATATCCTGATCCAGCGACCATCCATGCTCAATTGGCTGTGGACATTGTCACCCAGTTGGTCGGTGCATCGAAACCGGGCGAACGTCTGCTGCCGCTGGGCTATGGGATCAGGTGAGTTATAAAAATTCCAAGCAAGAAGAAAAAGAAAAAGCGAAGGGGGTTGCCCTGCAGAGATGACTGGAGTACACAAGTCATGTCAATGCCTGCCCTATTTTCCACAATTGAATTGTCTCTCTTATGACTTCGTCTGTTTCCTTTTCGATTAAGTCAACCTTGTTCCTTGATCTGACTTCCGTTCTAACTTCTGTTTCTTGCGGCTTTCAGTGTCAACGCCCCCTTCATCACATCTCTGACCAACGACTCCTGCATCTCCCCATCGTTCATTCAGACCCGTATCACCGGCGGCGCCGTCACAGATAGAACGGTATACAATGCGACCACTGGGACATTTGGATTTGCTAACGAGCTCACCGCGGCCATCAATACCTGCATCAACGGCGACTGCGCCCTGCCTGGCGAAACTGACGTCGTGGACTCCGGCTGCGCCGTTGCCGTCTCGGTCTTCTCGATCGACTATGATGCCCCGCTGGGCCCGGCGCAGGCTGGAGTGAGACAAGCGCTGGCGCCGCTTGTGGGGTTCGAGAAAGCTGAGCGTGGAAAAGGCTCGAAAAGGAGCATTATGGTCAAAGCTCGCGAGGGGTTGAGTAGTAAGTGTGGCCCCGAACCTGATCCTGGATCCTTGTTTTTTGCTTCTGCTTCTGCTCCTGCTTCCGTTTCGCAGTTCGGAGCTCGAGCTTCGGAGGTGATGCAGAGTGACTGCAAGTACTGTGCTAATACGGACTTTTTCTTCATGTAGAGGAGGAACGAGTAGCCAGACATCCCTTGCGCGAGGTATAAGACGTGACTTGCAATGGCTGGAAACGGGTCGATTAGGACTTTAACGAGATGAACAAGGGAAAAAAGGAGGGACGTCCCACGTTGGTCTGGCGAGAGAAGACGTGCTAGGTGTTGTGTCTTCTGAACGCCATGATGATATACCATTTTCTGTCCTCAAGCTTCGGTCGAATCTTCATGAACCTGTTGAGAAGGGAGGAATGGCTTAAGTACAGGCGCTGATCGGATATCATCGATGGATGGATGATGCTCAAGCCTGAATGTACAGGTAGAATACTAAAGATGGGGGAACCGTAAGTGACCAACACGGAGACAGAGTTGACATATATGTATACAATGTTGAATGCTGTGAGAGCAATACATACCTGCCTACCTTTTCGCTCTCATCGAGACAGATACAAACAAAAATGCATGATTTGTATACACATTCAGCTAGTTTCTGTGTTCAATGTATAGACAATATTTGAATAACCGAACTAAAATTCTTGGTTGCGGGTCGCAGACAGCTGATAGTCCAGGAAATGAGTCTTTGAAGATCGAGCGGCGAGTCTTACCATTCCACAGTGTTGCTGAAGCGATCTCATCTGCGTGTTTGAACTTTCTACCGATCACCTATGACCTAACTGGGCCGGCCAGACAATGCTGGGGCGAGCGGTAGAGTTTGTATTAGGGAGTAGAACGGTAGACATCGCACATCTGTATCCTTTGTTGATATCACTCCGGGAGTCCTCCCCGAGGAGCTGAGCTGAGATGAGACAAGCCGAGTTTCCCCTGTAGCCGACTTTCGAGCCTCGATGAGAGACCATGGGAGGTCCACTCGACCTGAGTTCTCTCATGACTGCTGGAGCATTTGGCGGTCCACGTTCTGCTAGAAGTAGAGCTTGGAGAACCTATCTGTTAGCCCCGAAGAAAGGATTGGATGGTAGCTAGCCTCTTAGAATCTGATCTAGCGGCTCACATATGGTTGTCGGTGCAACGGGTGCCCTTCACCACCACAAGTACCACAACTTGCAAGCATATGACTCGCTTTGACTTCACTGCCGCGTCACTCACGAAATAAATGCTGCAGATATATTTCAAATGCCGAATTTCTGTCAACACCAAGACCCCCAGCACCGAATGGTCCAGGTCAAACCACTTTGGCTTAATGGCAAGCTCGTCTGTCCCATACAGGTAGAAGTGGAAGGCAACCATTCGACTGGGCGATGCGACGAAAAACAAAATATCTCGAGTTCGATCCTCAATCTAGGCAACACAACGACTTTTCGAGCAAGTCGGCCACCACAAACCCTACGAACCCGGGTTGACGCCAACCAGCGAAACGAGAAAAAGATCGAAGTCCTGCGAACCCGGCCTAACACCAACCACCGAGCCCTCTGACGGAAAACCCCTGCGAACCCGGGTTTCACTTCTCACAACCTCCATAGCAAAGGAGCTTGTGAAAAAAGTTTTTGTTGCTGGGATGGACGACTGATTTTCTTTTGGTGTAAGGGAAGCACCCTAGGAGATGGTGTATGTATTCACTGTAAACACGTGCAGTGTTATGATGCCTTCCTTCAAGGGCAGCCTTGTTGGTCAGCCTTGCTATCGTGGTCCTTACCGACTCTCTTGGTCAACTCGTCATACGTCAAAAAGTCCTTTGCAATAGCTCCTTGAAGGCTGACAACACTCGGCTGGACAGACCATGAGTATGCATCATCGTGGTATATTGCTGGCCAGACGCTTTTGTCTGCATGGCATTGACTCCTTCGGCGCCGGTCTCATGTCCGACGTTATCTGGCGTATGTTGTCCTCGAGGATGTGCTGTGCCACGGGTTGCAGAGAACGTGCAATGCACATGGCTCTTACCAGCAAGGATTTTTGACAGCATCTCCCACAGCCATGCTGGCGCGGCTTGCGTGGAGGCTAGAGGGGTATTCTCCCGTGCATGAGTACCTATGCAAGAATATCACGGTCAATCACAGACCATCGACTGGAGACCATCGGCTGGCCTGTCAAGGGAAGGTCTAAATAGAACCAGATGTAATGGCAGGCAGTTGTTCCAGCGTCTTGCAGCAAGACGAGTCCAAGTGTACGACCGAGCTGAGCCTGTCTGATATACAGTAAGTTGGGGATATACAGTAAATTGAGTTGTTTCAATGGATCTCCCTTCTGGTTTCAGCCGTGAGGAAGCTTTACCAAACCATCACCAGCTAAGGCTACGACAACCGAAGAGAATTGCCAACCTCATAGCCGTGCAGAGCAGGTAAAGCAATGCAGACCTCCGGCGTCAAAGACAACCGAGTCAACTCCTCTGAGTATCGAAAGATATATCCACCCACATTCAGAGTACAGCACACTCATTAGCTCCCACAGCTCCCACTCTTCACAATGGTCCACACCCCTGTGGTCGTAACACAGACTCAGCAAACGTGGGTTTCGGTAAAGAAGGAGATGTCCCCGGAGACAGGAGGACTAGGAGTCATAATCATCTATACATAAGGTTGGCCGAGGTGATATGAAGTCGTGAGCAACTATGATATCGATTTGCAGTCATCGTGATAGGTTACAGCGCTACTAGTAGTAGTTCGACGGACAGGGCGTCAGGGGTAAGGCGTCAAATAGATAGTAGATAAGTGGTTCTTATCCGATCTCGCTGGGCCGGGGAGTCATGGAGGACTCCGAGATGACTATGTGCACAACGAAATCAAAGACCAGAAACTGTGGACAGATGAGTCGTAGCAGACGGTTAGCCACGGCATGTAGAGATGCTGTCGACTATCGCAATACCAGGATACAAATTCCGTTGCTCGGTCCATACATGTATTCATTCTTCAAGCGGAGTTGGAATTGAGCAGCGCAGTCTCAGTCTCAGTCTCAGTTCGTGCCAAGCGCCGAGCTCCGAAATCCGGGCCTGCGCTTACGGTGGAAATTGTATGTCGACTCAGAATTGATTAAAGTGGCAGAGGTGGTGAGTCGTACATTTATTTCATTATCAGCAACAGACCGCTGACGGCTCGGGAATTGACTAGTTCCCCCTACTACTACTACTACTACTATAACAAATGATTTATGGGGAGTGTGGACTGACTAGGTACAACTATACTAGCCTCCCATATCGGTCCAGTCGGTCGCTGACCATCAGCTTATTCTTTATTCCTGACTTCTTCCCACCCCACCACCGCACCCACGGCGTGCTTGTTCCTCTCCTCCTCCTCTAGTCTTCTCTCTGCGTGGAATGACCGATAGTTAAAGAGAAGAGAAAGAAAAAACCACAATTGCTGCTCGCGACGCCCATCACAATGTCACTTCCTCGGCTGTTCCGCGCTCCTTGCGCAGCGCGCGCACTCGCCCGACCAACCGTCCGACCGGACCCATGCCTGCGGCTGCTCCCCACATATAAACCCTTCTCGACGTCGCGGAGGAGACAGGATAGTTTGGCCGTCGACGACGAGGCGGCCGCCAAACTGCCGGGCATCGACCCGAGCAAGCTGGAGGTGACCAAGACAATCACTCCGAAAGAGCTGGTGCCCAACAAGGATCTTGTGTTTGGACGAACATTCACTGGTGAGTGGTGTGCTTGGAATTATGACTTGTGTTTGGGTTGTGTTGTGGAACTATGACTTGTGTATGTGTGATGCGGCCAAACATGTATAACTGACATGATCGGTATGGCCAGACCATATGCTTTCGATCGAATGGACGGCGTCTCAAGGCTGGCAGACTCCTCGAATAACGCCGTACCAAAACCTGTCCCTCGACCCGGCGACCTGCGTGTTCCACTACGCCTTCGAATGCTTCGAGGGCATGAAAGCCTACAAATCCCAACACGACGGGTCGCTGCGCCTGTTCCGCCCGGACAAGAACATGGCGCGACTGAACAAATCCGCGGCTCGCATCGCGCTGCCCACCTTCGAAGGAGACAAGCTGGTCGACCTGATCGGGAAACTGTGCAAGCTGGACGAACGCTTCATCCCGTCCGAAAAGGGCTACTCGTTATATCTCCGACCGACGTTGATCGGCACGCAGCGCACTCTGGGCGTCGGCCCGCCGGGGTCCGCACTGCTGTTCGTCATCGCGTCGCCCGTCGGCCCCTACTATCCTACAGGCTTCAAGGCCATTTCGCTGGAAGCCACCGACTATGCCGTCCGCGCCTGGCCCGGTGGCGTCGGCGACAGTAAACTCGGCGCCAACTACGCGCCGTGTATCGTGCCGCAATTGAAGGCCGCGAAGAAGGGCTTGCACCAGAACCTGTGGCTGTTCGGGGAGGAGGAGAATATCACCGAGGTCGGCACCATGAATCTGTTCGTGTGCATCAAGAACAAGGAGACCGGCCAGAAGGAATTGCTGACCGCGCCGCTGGACGGGACCATCCTCGAGGGTGTCACGCGAGACTCGGTGCTGGCGCTCGCCCGCGAACGGTTGGTGCCCGAGGGCTGGAAGGTCCAAGAGCGCTATGTCAAGATGCAGGAACTCGCAGATGCCGAGGCCGACGGCCGCTTGGTCGAAGTCTTCGGCGCCGGCACCGCCGCCATCGTCGCGCCCGTGAGGAAGATTTCGTGGAGAGACCGCCTGATCGACTGCGGCCTGAAGGAGACCGAGGAGGCCGGTGAGGTCGCGCTCAAGATGAAGAACTGGATCGAGGGCATCCAGTACGGCGATGAACCACATCCTTGGAGTGTTAAGATCCCCTGAACGCGAATGTTAAACTCAGCTCGTGCAGCGTGAGCCTCCTGGAGCCAAGACACAATGAGGGAGAAGCAAAAATGATGGCATATGTATGAACAACGTACAGTCTTGAGGAATATAGATGTGGCTAGCGACCTAGCCTGAGATACAATGCGTGAGGTTCAACGCCTGCTGCAACAGTCAATCATAGCACGAGCGCGAGCAAGAAAAGAACAGTTTCACACCACCGCAGTGCTCATCTACTACACCTACACCAGGCTGGTACTAAGTCACATCCGATTGCTCGAGTGTTCGTCCATGGTGAGGTTACTAAGGGGCAACGCAAGGTTCTTGATCCCAGTAGAACATGCGCATGTGTTATGGGTGAGTAGGGCTGGGCAAAGAAAAAGAGACTTCGCGTTCTTGCTGCGTGCAACGCTCACTGCCCAACCACAGAAGTCGCAAGACTTACCTTCGTACCAGGACCTCTGAAGTGTCTGGTTTGTATGTGAAGCTTCATCGTCGAGTAATGCCCACACGCATCGTCGCCCCGGGACCGAGCTGCACGTTCAGCTTGCGAGCCAGCTGCGCAGGAACTCACTGTTTTGGCCTTGTGTCTAGCAGCCCCTCTGGGAGCTCAGCTCTCGGATTCAGGTGATACCATTGCCGTCTGCGCACCGGCAAGACGACAGATAGGCCGACCTGGATGCTCTTGATTGAATCATCTTGAGTAGCAGGCAAAACCCAGCAACCATGGATACGGGGACATCAATGATTTCAGATAGGGGTTGTGTACTTCCTTCCGTTCAGTATAGTATCATCCCACTCAGAAGCACCGGTAACAATGTAGCTGCGACGAGACCAGTTTTGATTCGCACCCCAGGTCAACTTGGACACTTCATAGAATTTCAGTAATACCTTCTTGGAAGGAAGGGCCTGGTAAAGGTTCTCTCCGTGGTGGAAGGAGAGGCTTGCTCTCGAGAAGCTGGATATACGGACAGCCTCCCAAGTCCTTTTCGATGGGAAGAAACGCAACGTGGACGTTACGCCTCGAAATGCATAAATCCAAGGTTCCGGGTTGTACGGTTCCGGTCAGAAGCTTTTCCGGGGGTCCCGCGCGGGAGGGTGATGTTCGAGTTGGGAGGAAGCCTACCTCTCCGCATCGACAGCCATGTCATTTCCGCGGCATGCCATACCGAAGATCCGCTTTCCGGGAGGCCGGCATATCAGGCAATACTGTATTGGGCGGCCATGTCTGGCTGCTTTGAGTTCCAAAGCCTGTGTCGGATTCAAGTTGCGGGTCTACCAGTCCAAGGGGCAGCACCGAAAATCAAGTACTCTATACGTATCGCAGTATTCGAGTGCGTTGTTTTCATGAAAGGCCCCAGGAACGAAGGACATGGATGGAGAAGACATCGGCAGCCTCGGGCTTCAATGACGACGCCTGGTCTTGTCCTTTCATCATGTGGTGTCACCAGAACCGAGTGGCACGCCTTATCCTTGATTAGATTCTCATCGACGATAAAGAACGCAATCCCCATTGTTCTGCCTCGATGCCTGGACCGGTTCGACTATCCGCCGTGCTCCGCTTCCGATCAACAGAGGGGAGGGACTCTGTGGTAGAGCATCGACCGATCGTGGTAGTTCTCGAACGATTCGCCGAGAGAGTGCCAAAGAAACAAAGAAATTCCCAAATACATACCTAGGTATGGTACGAGTTGCTGCGGGTCATCGTTAATGGCTGAAGTCCCTAGGGGGACTATACTCCGCTTAATGTATATATCACCCCGTTTAGATCATTGACTTGAAGTCCATTCTCAGTGCACACGTAAGATGCTTGAACGGCGGGTTTCTCCACGAGCAGCAAAAGTCGGTAAGGTTAAGACACTATTGGAGGACGACTGAGAACATCCGGGGAATCGTTATAAACCCCGTTTGGAGGGGTCCGTTTGGTGTATCCGCGGGCATGAAACCGTGCGCATATATTGCACGGTGACAGGTGCCTCTTTGAGGGTTGCGCGGTCGCTTGCGTGGTCAATCTGTTCATGTCGACGAGGCACCGGTTCCAGTCTGAAGCGCGGACTGATTTTGTCCATCGAGTGCTCGGGGAAATGGGTTGACAAGAATGACATGGAGCCATCGGGGCCCTATGTCTGCTTGCTGGAGAAGACGTTCGTGGTAGGAGGTTGTCGGTGGTGTGAAGCAGTCCGCCGCCTTTGAGTCGACGCTGGTGTGACATATCCTATTTCTTTCAGCGTTCAGCGTTCAGCGTTCACACGTTGGCCCCTAGCCCCCTAGCCTGGCGGCTACTGAGTTCCACGCGCTTGTCCGCTATAAGGAAATGCTGGCCTTGCGAACCGAAACCGGGCGATCCGCTAGCCAGCATGTTTCTATTTTGATAATGGTCAACGTGTGGCTTGCTCCCCGCCAGTAGACAAGATCGAGCTAAGTGGTGCGCTCCGTAATCGTGACGCTGTCCAGTACAGTACGTGCGTACCACTGTTCTTGAAGCTTTCCAGAGGCTTCGTGCTACTCTAGATCACGCCTCGATGACAAACGCTGCTTAAGGTTCCAACGGTTACTGGAGGCCGGCCACTCGAGCCAGTCCTCCCGACGGTTAGGGCGTCCCATCATGACGTTGGGGGTATGGTCGAAGGTGCCTGCCTGTAGGACGGCAAGTGCTGTGGTGAACAACAATGATTGGGCAATCATCGTGTTCATTCCATCAGGATAGTTAGACATCTTGAAGAGGGCCTGTACCTTATTTGGCGTCTCATAGACACAAGTCGGAACCGCAGCACTGAATTTGTCCCTCAAGGCCGAGACTTTTGTAATCGTTATTCATCAGGATGTTTCTGTGGCGAACCATGGTGCAGGGTGACTCTGGTCTTGGACATGGTCGCGTGGTTCGACATCGCCAACTGGGTAGCTTCATACTGCCCGAGTCGATGTCTTTGGTCCCGCCTTTCGTTGGATCGGTAACATGCTGCTTTAGTTCGTGTACACGCGTATCCCAGAATAGACCCCAAACTGGAGACGGGAGGCCCCGACCTGGCAAGTTGTCTGTTTGGCCAGCAATCCCTGCTGTGTTGCATGGTTACGTATGGTAACGCCGTTAGCACGGTATTGTGGTATGGCTTCCAGAATCTTTTGCTTCCGCCTAGAAGGTTGGCTGGCTGCACATAACGCAGTCTTCGATGCAGCCCAACCTGGTCTCTACCATTGCAGCCCCTGGTCCAGCATAGTAGGGGTAGCGTCCGTCCGCAACGTGCGTGATTTGGTGCCTACAATGAGGGTGCAGTTCAACAGTAACAGGGTCAACTCTGCCAACCTAGCATATCTTCCCTATACCGGGCTTGCTGGAAAGGCCCTATGAGGCATTTACAAGCATCTTCAGATGCATGCTGTCCACGGTCATCCGCTGCTCACAACGGGTTCGTGTTGGTGGAGCACGTGTAAGAATAGGGTTTGAGGTCATTACACAGCCAGCCTCGCTGCCGAATCACTTCTTCCGTGTTCTCGACAAATGACCACAGAAGGTTTATGTTTTTACTTCTGAGCACTCTTGCAACGTCCCAAGGACGTGGATGGCGGTGCGGAGATGAGATCGTGTCAGCTGATGAGCATCCGCTGCGAGTTACCTGCTTTGGTGAATGCGACCGAGTTAGCGAGCGGTATGCTTCACAGGAAGGCTGAGCACCGCATGTTAATCCAAGGTGCGATATTCTGAATCCATTCATGTTGACCTCCAATACCTTGTCATCTTGTTCGTGTGCGCGTCCAGAACGGCTCCGGCTCCGCAGGTGGATGTAAGATGTCCTTTTGTTCTACCGCACGTTGGGGCATGTGGAGATGATGACCTTACTCAGCCTTGACCCAGGTGAAGAAGATTGGCGGTTCAATATTGACAACATCATTGGAGAAAGAGCCTCTGTATCGAGGAGCGCGATACCGGTAGCGAGAATAGCGGCATATCAGGGTTGTCGCTGCAAGGTTGTCGTCATGTAGGTCGAAAGTCCGCATGGGCAGTTAAAGCCGTGGCTGGTATGCGCGATTCGGGTTCAAAGCACCGACACGCAGGTGAGTGCGATTCTCTCCTCTCGAAGCCTCGTTTAAGGGGAGAGGGCGGGCCGGCTTCAGGTCGAGGGAGGTCAAGGGATGTCGAGCAGTGACCTCCCGCTCTTCGCATTGCGCCCGTGCCTTTTCCCAGAGCACTTCATATCATCTCATTCCTGTCTTCTCTCCATTTCCTTTGACTTCTGGCAGAGGAGGCGTGTGGCAAATAAAGACTCCACAATATCTGTGGGTGAGGAGACCGGATCAATCGTCAAGAAGTGGCGAGGAGCACACGGCGATGGACTTGATTCGCAAGCGAAAATCTCCTTGTTGCGAGCCGAAGAAGCTACTGATCCGTAAGCTCTCATCAACAACTATGAGAGACCAGTGAGCGTACCTTCTGATCATGATGCTGATCCGTTTTATGTCGCTTAAGTCCAGCGGCTTCGAGTCGCTGCATGGTTTGCCACGGTAAGTGGGCTTGAAGTGGTCCCATGGAATGAAAATGAAGGCAGCGGGAGACCCAGCATTACCTTCTGGACTGCAGTCTTTCTTTGCAAAGTCAAGTTCCCAGGACACGGTAGATTGTTCGCGGCCATTGACTGGGTTGCGGGGGAGAAGTTGGTCTTTTAGGATCAACGTGTAGACGTGGTCGTCAGACTGCAAAGGGTCGATCGAGACCTCAACTCCGGCGAAAGGGGACAGCTTCATGTGCCGATCATCGCCTACAGTGCGTTGAGACGCAAAGCCCGCCCCGCCCAAGGTACCGATATCAAGATGACCGTGGAAGCAGGCCGTCGAGCCGCTGCAATCCAAGTAGGACTATCAGAAGAATCCTTCGGGTCAGCAGTCGGACCAATTGGAGTACAAGGTGCATATAGCCTCCCTTATGCCCTGCAGGCTAGATAGTAGGCGGGTCCAAGTCAAGCGATATAGCAGAGAAGCAGCGAAACGGGTCCGCACACATACCTGTGACTTCCCTCCTCGAACCCTGTCGTCGCTGGAGGTCCATTGGTCTTGGTGCCAGCCCCTAGAACCGACCAAGGCTTCACAGTCAGTGGTTCTGCGCCCTCGAGGTACAAGCATGACCAGAAAGGCATAGAACGGGGCCTGTAACTAAAATAACAACTGCTTACAGCTCTGACCCAAACAACACCTGTCGCTGCTCATAGGAGCCCATGATTTGTCACTGAGGACTGGGGTGAGCTGATCCGCCACTTGCCTGCTTTCTTGTGGACCAATGTCTTCTTCCGCGTCGAGGCTCTCGATCCTAGGCTTTCTTTGCCTGCAGTTTGGTGTTAAAGGTGCCTGAATGCGCTGCGGCGTTGGAGAGTTCTTAGGGAGGAACACTGCACAATCTGCACCACCCTATTTTGAACATGGCAGCGGGCCAGCTGAGGAAGAAGGGGGTCTGGACGAGATTCAGCCGTAGGATTCACTTATCTGCGGCGTCTGCATGAGGGAATGGTCTAACCGGTAGGTGTGGTGGAAAGTACATAGCAATTGAACAAAGCGATGCAGTGTTTATCTGCCGCCCTTCGGTAGAGTTCGGGCTAAACCACAAGCGGCCATTCACCGTTCAGCCCTGCAGTACGTACGTAAAGTACCTGATAACCAGGCAGGAACTCGGTACCGGTAGTATGTACCTGAGTACCTGAGGTGAACCAGCTGAAGACGCTGAACAGCACACACCATCCAGCTGGCTCAAACTACGATGCATCGGCTCATGGTATAGAATCATATGGGAAACGTTATGATATCTTGCCGTGTAGGGAGAATAGATTCATGTCATGGTAGGAGCTTAATTCTCCCACAGTCGCTTCCTGATCAGTCGAATATTGAGCTCGCTGTCCATCCTAAGATACCCTCTCAAAATCCCTCTGCTTGCTACCATCGCTGTAGAACATACATTCCCGAAACTCCAAAAGTCAGCTGTTTACAGATATCTCTCTCCAGGGTCTCCCATTCATCCAGGCCCGTGCCGGGTTGGTTGAATACTAATGATCTCCGCCAGCGGGACGCTTTTGGTAAAGTCTGAAGCATATCCTTCAACTCCTGCGCCCATATTCTATCCAAATTTCCCTGGCCACTCCGGATGGCTTTTCGTCAAGTAGTGATTGCTTTGAATGGGGTTCTGACGCCAGTGACAATTGTCGCTGGCCCTTCAATTGCAGCCAAAGTCAAACATTTGAATGTTAGGACTCGCCGCGCGGGAGACCGGGGTAAGCGGTACATCGAAGTAGTTGGGCGAATTGTGTGGTGAGTGCACCGAGTATGGATCTGTGAGCGGCGGTGTCTGCCCAGAGGACGTCAGCATCTGAGCTGCAGAAGTTGAATCGAGGTTAGGGGAATCTTGTCCGCGCGCTGCCCGAGCTGCCAGATGGATGTCTCATGCTGCTCAAAAATGCGGGCTGGAATATGAACGCGAGAAGAAAGTGGTGGGATTTACATGAGATGTGGCCCCCGTGTATGCATGATTCGAGGGCATTTCAAGACCAGCCAGAGAGGCATAGTTCATACTGAAGGGATTCAGGAAGTCGTCATCGCTCCAGAAATGATCCTGTTTCCCATATGTTGACGGGAGCATGGCTGGTAATGTAGGAGGCAGGCTTGATGACGTGACGTTCGCAGGATAGTACGAGTTCGGAAAGTAGCCTGGCGTACTCTCGTAAGAGGCCTGTTGCTGCTCCTCGTACTGCAGGTATGCTGTGGTCGGTGGGTACGTCGAGAACGCGAACTCCGGTGGGGAATGAAGCGATGCATGCCGTGTCGAAGGGGTATCAAACAGTGATGAATGATCATCAAAGGGTAGTAGCTCAGGAGAAGCCCGTTGCATCTCGTGGGAAGTCGCTGACCCCGACGTTGATGTCTGGCGAGTCATGCTTTGAGGTTGCTTGCGGGAGTTGTCTTTGGTTACGGTTGTTGTGGCCAGTTCCGCATGTGTCTGTTCTGGAGAAGCAGAAGACGACCCAGCACGACGCTCTAGGTCTTCCAGTCTCCTCTTGAGTTTCTTGCGGTAGTTTCGCTATCCCGAAAGTCAGTACAAAAGACTTTCGGCTGTATGCGAGGCTCCCACGTACCTGAGCAATCCGGTTCTGGATCCGTCGTCTCTCTGCAAGATCCGATATCTTGGTCCAGTCTTCGTTGGGGTTGGCCGATGCGCTGAATGCCGAGCTTGTGGCCTGTGTCGATGCATACCTCGACTGGCCGACCATGGCCGATGATGGGTAGGAATAGCTCTGACTTCTCTGCATGATGTTGAAGAGGGTTGATGTGGTACGTGCAATGAGTGAATCAAGGGTCCTTGATACCTCGGAATTGTCTGTCTGGGTAGGCTGAAGAGAAGTTTCGGGATGGACAAGAGGGAAATGTCCAGGACTTAATAGTCGTTGCTTCAGAAGTCTGGTCAATCACAAATGCATGAACAGGTCCACGGGACGCCCAATCTGGTCCCTGATATATACCATCCTTCCTGAGCAGCCGGAAACGGCCAATACAGCGCTTGACCCGAACAGTGCTAGAATGTGGCCGCCAGGATGAGTTGAGTAATACACCGTACCAGGATACAAAAGTTCAACCGGGGTGCGGGACCCAGGTGTGAGTCCACGAGCAGCGGGCCACATGTCCATCCGCCAGCACAAGCACCAGAGCATTTTCCTACATCGTCACATTCCTGCGCCCTACGGCTGCCCTACCCTGCAAAGCGACGTGCGGGAGAGCAGGGGGCTCGAGGGGAATTCCTCATCGTGGACCAGGGTCCGTTGACCGCCCCGGGGCCCTGTCAAAGGATGTTAGCGCGTCCCACGTTGGTGGAAATAGAGGACCCGAAACGCATGAGCCGGCCGGGGGCGGTTGAGGCTGGACAGCGAACAGAAAGCCGGCATGACACGGAAATAGGGATGGATACATGCATTTTTGGCCATTACTCAGTGTAGAAGGCGACGGGAGTGGTTGAGCTGGGGTTGAGCTGGTTGCGGTGGCTTCGACTGTAACGTCGTAAAGAGGCTGCGCCCCTGTTGCAAGGCTAGCTCCTTTAGTGTTAGTAACTTGCTGCTCTGAAGAGGAAGGGCGGTCTGCGCTCTGGCACAAGCAGCCACTGCAGCCTGCGCCGACAAGGGCGCCCGCCTTTTTCGAGTGTACACGCAGCACCATACACCGTAATGTAAGGTACTCGCAGTCCACCACAGTCTATCACTGCATCAACTGGCAGTGCCTTCAGTGTCCACCTGCTGCTTGTCCACCATTGCCTGCGCTTTGTCTGCCTGGGCTGCACCACCAACACCACCCAAAACATCCTTCGACCAACACCACCACCACCCACCTTCTTCTTTGGAGCCCTGTTCAACATACTGCTAACCGTCAAATCATGGGCCTCCGGCACGAAGCATCTTATTCCCTCCATCACCTGCTTTCGGCTATCTCCGCCATCAGCAAACAGACACCAAGCAGTCCTGTGCCTCAGGCTTGGCCCTCGCTCTGGTCAGTCAGCTTGTTTCGTGTGAAGCGATGAGATTCCGCCCTCCTACTGTGTCTCCGGGACATTCCTCCCAGGTCTACCTCGCTGCTCAATGCCTGTGTCGGTCCTCCGTGCACGAAGCGAGCGTCCACCCTTGCCCACCACTTTCCCTTTCAAGCCTCTCGCTTCTTCGAACTTGATGAGCACAGCAGCAGTCCACGCTAAAGAACGAGCTTGGCCACAGCGCCCACCACTAGCATTTCGGATATCCTAGACCAGACCCCGATACGCTAAACGATGGATTTGGAATCTATCAGGGTGTTTACAATGTACAGGTAGGTTATCAAGCGATACGCCGTATGTCAGTCAATGTACCAGTACCTGGCCCCCACGGGAGAATGCCAGCCACGACCTTTCATCAATAAGTGAGGTAACGCTACGCTGAACGCCCAGGTCCTTCATAACACGCGGGTAGCTGGTCATCATGAATTCTGCCCCAAATTCTCTCCTATGATTGATGAGTCACTACTGCAGGATGACAATATCAAGTGCAATTTGCGTTGGTGATATCCGACATGATTGTCGAGCAGCTACATACAATCACCGCCTCTGGAGGCAGAGACTATGTTTCATGGCAACGACACACGCCAATCTGCGAGAGAAAGCTTTGTGGACGGTCAATTCTTCAATGGCTCGCACGTTTAGCATGCTTTTCGCAAATCATGTTCACTGCCTATACAGGTCTGCCTTGCCCGTCATACAGCCGCACCTAGAATCATGAAGCTGTTCGAACATGGACAGGAGACTAATGTGGATCGCCATATAGTTCTTTCGCCGACGACTTGACGCCTTCGCCGCTTCGAGCTATGTCGGAGAGAATCTGGGTGATGGTTGCTGATTCTCCGGATTTCGTCTCATGATGAAAACGGGCTATGGAGTCCCTCAGTCCCCAATGTTCCATGCCGCTTTTCGGTTACTACTAACATCGATCTCCCAGATCCGTCAATACGCAGACGGCTTCAACACGGAGTTTGACCGACTCCAATACCTATTCCTCCAACAGCTGGCCGATCGAGCCCTGCAAGTGTTCTAACCACCTTACGCTCCTGGGCATACCGTAGGCTTCGAGTCCACTGATGTGGATCTAAAGGTTATCACCCGATGTACGAGACATGATTTGACCTCCGAGTACCTTCTATTGTTCTGGCGAATTGTCAGTAACATTTACTGATATCAAAACAAGAAAGGTCCGCTCGGCGGCCGCCAGACGGTTTCATGTCTGCGCACTTCCCAATAACATCTTCGGCTCCTGGAACCAAACTTAAGGTATGGCTACTGTACTGCGCCTGTAGGGCTGCACCAACGTCAACCTAGCCACCGTACTAACGCACGTCTGGAGGGGATCTCCTTAATCCCGAGAGCCAGTGGAAGACCTCTGGCTCGAGTCTACCATGGTGTTACACATATTTGGCTCCATGAGCGTGCTGTTCACAATACATTCGTTTGAAACGCACATGTGTCCATACCAGGCAACGTGACAGAGCGTATTAGACCTGCAAGAATCCACAGACACAACCTCCTCACTTCGGGATCAATCCAGGATCCTACGGAACATTTGGCAACCTATTATGCCTGGCGTCCGTGACTATTGGTTCCCGGCTATCCGGCACCTCATTGTAAAGTATATCGATGGAGGCGCATGTACAGTGGAGAGCGACCAAAAGGACATCCCTCTCCTGCGCCTTGAGGTTACATGCATACCAGCAAAGACCATGGCCACCCTGCCGTTTGGGTAATCAGGGTGGTCAGAAGCGTGGAGATCTGAGAAGCTCACTGTCATCATGTGCGGAAACCCATGCGATCAAGACGCGAAATACTTGTGATACGGCGTCGAGGCTCCGTGGTGAGATATTTCAATCACCCATGGCTACCCTTTCCAAGATTGTCACAACCTATCAGCAGGGAGTGGCCCGCAGCAGGCCAACCCGAACATACAACCACGTTTGTGTCTCTACCCGCGGTCATTGGCCTGAGCAAGATGTAATTAAATGTTCAGCTGGAAGGCGGGTGGAAACATGGCCCCTTCGACTGCTCCCCCCATTTTCCCCATGCAGCAAAGCTATCCTCACTGACAGGACGTTCTCCGCCAATAGGCCGGCTCGTTTCCCGTTCAGCCCTAAATACACACCCACTCCCCGAACGAGGCATTCAGGGCAGCAGGATCATTAAGCCTTGCCGGCGTTCTCTGATCCCGGCTTGGACCAGGATGCCCACCACGCCAGCATGATTCCGGCATTTTCGCAGCGAGCTGTGAGCAGCGCCTCACCAAGCGGCCAGCGCATACCGAGGTCTTTGGCTAGATCGACGCCAACGCACCGATCGGCCGCTTGCCTCGCTTTCAGTTGTTGATGATGAAAGGGCTGACAAACAAAGCACCAAAAATATCACGACCACAGACCGGAAAGACTCGTCGACATTGTCACTACTGACACCCCGGGGCGCGCTTCCTCATGTCCATTGAGATGTACTGCAGTGTAGGTCTAAAGCCTCCCAAAGAGGCGCCGTGGATCTGTTCGTGACATTATTCTAAGCGCTTGTGCAGGGAGTACTCTGAGATCCTATCGTGGGACGTATACCAGCTTTCGAGTGAATCAGATGGCGTGAATTCTCTATATTGGTACTGGTATGTGGTATTCATTTTATACTTAGTCAGCGATCATCTTCATTATCTGATGGGCAAGGATCTTTCTCAGTCGTGGTCATGAAATGGTAGACAACGGAATGGCTATGATATCGGGATCCGGCCTTCCACGGTACTGGGTGAGCAACAGGGGGGGCTCACCTTCAAGATCGTTCACATCCATGTTGCAAAGATCCTACTGTTACTACCAGAGATGAATGGGCAGGTTGGATACAACAATTCAAGCCTGCCACTCAACCAGCGCGGTGTTCTCCTTGGAAAAATCGGTGGGAGGATTTATGCGCGGCTGAGTAACCGCAGTCAGCGTCGACATGGTATCAGATCGTCTGATATAATCTCTCCTCCAGCATCAAAAGCTATAGCCAATCCACGTGTCCATGGTGCGAATGCCCCTTTTTGGCCACCGCTCTTCTAAAGAAGGCGGGTTGCAGCTGAATGGAGTGGTTGCTCATAGGGCTAGCAGGGGTTTCAAGTTGGATTCATGGTCCTTCGTGTGGTATTTGCGTTTGATCCTTCTGCACGGCAGCTGCACACGGCAGCTGGGCCCCTGGATCCGGGAACGCAAGCACATGGTCTCTTTCTCTTCGCGCTCGAAGCGCAGCCCTACCTGGACAGCTCCTGCGGCGCCCGCAAGCATTGTCAGCGAATCCGGGTTGAGAATGTGCTCTGAACCGGACTAAAGTGTTGGTCATCTGTTGAACGCATCGGGCAAGAACCACTTCGTCGGTAGGATCAGCAGGCTAGATGCTCATGGACCAACATCACGCCCTGCTGTTTCAAGGAACGCATGGTCGTTCCGCCGAGCCTCTAGCATCAGAGGCATGGCAATCCAAGATTGGGACCTGCAGGTGCGCAGAGCGAAATGTCCACACACCGCGATGCCGACCGCGATGCTGAGTCACTGTGCTGGCGGCTTGATCGTTTAGATTATGGCCGGTCAGATCAGTTCCCAGGTACGTGAGCGGCGGCTTTGCGGCCCTTGGCAGTCAGAGCGACAAATGGATGTGGATGGATGCCATCCGAATATGACCAGTCTAGAGACACCACAGTGAACGCTTACGTTGGGTGCATACCTCTTCCCAGTCCCAGGTAGGATGAGATGATCATAGAAGGTCAGTGTCTTCTTGGGGTCAGGGTGATGCCACGAAGATCGCTCCGAGCCGAACTTTTCACGACGTTTGGCCGGATCCAATCAGACCGTGGTCACACTCGTTTTCGGGCATTCAAGATTGACCTCACTTGTCTCCAAACATATGCGGATGACCGACCCAAGTCTCGTGCGTGCAGGTCTTGGAGTTTTGGACGAGAGAATCTCTGGCCTAGCGACGGGCGGACGTACCTCATGTAGCCGGACAAAACGGTAGGGACTAGACTTCAAGGTAGAGTACCATGCCCCAGGATGGCCGTACCACTATCTCTGGCGAGGTGTCGGCATGGAGAAGGTCCGGAGGCCAACGACCTCACGTCTGCCCTTCCTTAGCATTTTCGCTGCCGAATCGCCGAGAGCTGGGCTTTCTGTAAGCTCATACTGGCCTTGAGAGGACAATAATCGTGAATAGCTAGTACTAGACAGACTCCTGTTGCTTTATGTTTTCATGCCGCGACACTGGTCTAGTCGTCTCAGGATTCTGTCCATTTCGGGACCATACTGGTAGCTGTACTGAAAGCATCGCCCGGGCCATATTTGGAGAGGGTTGTCTTCATGGGAGGTTTGTCAACCGCCGGTTCGTCGCATTTGAACACGGGTCGTGCAAGGCTACCGATGCTGGAATGGTGTTTGGAGATCGACATGACCTAGCGTCAGGCTTGTATTGGAGTAAACCGCGGAAAGGGTGTCCAAGTAGAGTGTCACCCTCACCGTCGGAGGTGATGGCTACCTATGAAGCTTTCTTCGGTGACATAGAGAGGTGTACTGGACAGACTGACAGAAAGCGCATGCTGAGCTTAAACGAGCGGTCCCAATGGTTTCGAAGGGCGAACGTCGAACTCTTCCCCGCCTCTTCTCCGCAACGGGGCACGCAGGCTACTAGTTACTGACCTTACCACTAGTAGTCGGCTAAGGGGCTGATCCCACCAACTTGCCCGCCTCTTGAAGCTTGGGGAGACTTGAATCAGTCCCCTAATCCCTTACAATTTGCCTGCGCTGCCCGCTACCAACCCTCATCGCTACTACTGAGAACAGTCTTCCCACTCCTCCGCCCGCCCCGGCGTACAGAGTATACTGTCAAGGCGGCCACCCGCCTGTTACTCATAATTCCGCCTCTCTCAACCCTCCTTGAACTGCGGAAAAATTCCTCTACGCGTTCGATCACTCCACGGTATACACGAGCGTCGACCTCAGCTTGCGATCAGATGCAATGGCTTCGAGCGTGACGGCTTCAGACGCCTCGCCGGCCCCTACCAACGGCCACGGCGAGAAGCGCAAAGCCGAGGGAGACGCCTCGGGCGACAAGCAAACACACACAAGGTCGAAAAGAAATAGATACATTTCCATTGCGTGGTAAGAGTCGAGGGACAAGGTAGATGCGCATCTTACTTACACACCGGTTGTCAACAGTAACGAGTGCAAACGCCGCAAGATCAAGTGCAACGGTCAAACACCATGCCAGCGATGCGGCAATCTCTCGCTAGAGTGTGTCTATGCGCCAAACTGTTGCACAAATTCCCTCAAGGACTCGGCGTATGTATTGAAGCGGCCATTCCCCTCTGCAACATCTCTTGACGATCGCGCAGTGAGTTTAATCAAATGCGCGAGCACATCAGGGCTCTGCAGGACCAAGTCAATGAGCTTCACGCCAGTCTGAATGAGCTTCGAAACAGGACCGATGCCATGTATTCCGGTCCGGTTGACCCCAACTTCGCTCCGGACAGCACGCAACGCTCCATGTCCATGTCTGTATCGCGCACGCTGCCTCCACTGATCTCTTCAAAGAGACCGCCGCCGAGGGCCTTACCACAGTTCCATGGACCTACCAGTACTTTGTACGGGTTGGATGTTGCCAGATCGTCACTGAAGACCATGGGCATAACACACACTGCACCGGAGGATGGGGCAGTGTCCCGCGAGCGAAGCCGAGCAGCCTCACCGGCATCGTTACTACCACCACATCCCACCAAAGATCCCTTGTGGCTCATTGACTCCGCGGAAGTCGAGCGCCTACTGAACGTTTATGACGAAGAAATTGGCATCATGTATCCGGCAGTGGATAGTGAGAGGCTCCACAAGCACGCTACTGTGCTCTATAAGTTTATCGGGGCGTCTCTGCGAACAGGCTTTGGGCAACCCGGCCTGCCAGGTGCTGATACCTTTGACGACGAGGACACGACCATCCTCAAGATGGTTCTCGCCATTACTTTGACGGTCGAGGGCCATGGCCGCAGTGAGCTCGGCCAAAGGTTTTTTGACGCGGCGAAGCCAGCCACAGATCTGAAACTTGTGACGGCATTGGACCTCAAGTCGGTCATGTTGACTGTCCTCACAGTGGGTCACCCAAAGGAAGGTTGCGTGGTTCTTGGGGCTGACTCTGGTGCACAGGCTACGTTTTACTTTCAAAAGGACGAGGAAGCACAAGCCTGGCGGTTCATTGGCATTGCCGCACGCATGTGTATCGAGATGGGCCTTCACCGGAAGGACTCGCTGCTCCGCTCTTTCACCAACGAAGCTGAATATCGGCAGGCGGTCCGGATCTTTTGGACCGTCTATGCCCTTGATCGTCGTTGGAGTTTTGGTACGGGGATGCCATTCGCGTTACAAGACGCAGACATTGATCCCGCGTTACCGGAGCCAGTATGTATTTGTCCGCCTCACTCGGCTCCCATTGCTAATCTACGTCAGGATGAGAGCCATCAATATCTAAGGCATATTACTAAATACAACCAAATTGCTACCAAGGTGTGGTATCACAATCTTTCATACGAGGCGGGCCAGAACACCAAAAAGGACGAGATTGGCTTTCTGGACTATCAGGTTCTACAATGGTACCAACAGCTACCCGATTCGTTACAATTCCGCAACCACGACTTTCCTCGTGAGAAGGACAATTCTGGACGGGCCGTTCAGCGCCTTCGCTTGCTCATGTATCTGCGGAGGAACCAGGCGCGCATATCAATATACAGGCCCATTCTTCATTCGGCGACTAGTATCGTGGAGAACCGTCACTACGCGCAGAACGTGGTCGACGTCGCCAAAGATACGATCAACACTCTCACTGCGGTGAATCAGGTTTCCGACATTTACAGGACGCAGCAGATCTTGTACAATTATTTCTTGGTCCAGGCTTTGGCTGTCCTCTTCCTCTCGGTCGCCCACGCCCCGGGAATCTTCTGCGCTCAGACGAGGCAGGAATTCTACGCCGCAATCGAGATTGTCAAGGGCTTCAGCACGAAATCTCACGTGTCAAAGCGACTTTGGAGAACGATCCGGGGTTTGAAGGACGTTGGAGATAAAATCGGCCTGTTGGCTCGAGTAGGCACTTCGTTGAACGATGCGGAGCAGGATGCACATTCCAATGCAGCTGTGGCGATGGCGGGTTTGGCCGGCCACAAAGTTGACTACAATTCCTACGGGAATTCTCATCAGGGCAATGGAAACCAGGAGTTGGGGGTCAGTCCGGATGATGCTCTCCAGATCACGAATGAGTTGTCAAGCCTGTTCGAACTGGCGGGCGGATACGGTAGCACAACACCGGCTCCAGAAGCTTTCAATTTCGTTGGCGCGGCCGGGGATGTTGGCTTGGAAGGCACCAATGCGTTCGGGAATGAACCTGAACTGACGAGGATCATGAATGAGTTGTTTTGAGGCCGATTTTAGCAGATTACGAGAACATGACATCTTGAACCATCCGCCAAAATGAACTGTAGTCTGCATGAACCGCCGCAATCATTCTTACAAGTCACTCCTCTCCTAAAATTCACAGCCTGATGCCCGCCATTTCCAGGTGGAACTCAAATCACGTGTTCTGATATGCCAAGACCCGCGCAGGTTGCGTGTCGACTGATTGACTGATCGATCGATCGACTCAGGCTGCGTTCAACGTCGGCGCATTCGAGAAGCAGTATCCATTGCACCTGGTACTGCCTGGTTCCCTATTCTCTACTTCCAGGACGGGGCATTCTTCTTTGATTCCTTTCAGTCGCTTGGCCTTTTACTCTTCCCACGTTCGATCGTGTTGACTGCTGCTGGGCAATCCCACAACACCAGGTCGTGCGCAAACAAGGATCACACCTTGTCTCAACCCTTCCCCGCGGAATTCGTCGACTGAACCTGTGCTGGCGATAGTAGAAGAGCCCTGTGGCCTTTCGTATGTTGGCATTGGGTTGAGCATCAGGCATATCTCAGATGTCACCGTAGCCATCCCGATTGCGGATCCCTTCGAGCCCCTCCACGCGCTGGAACCCCTCTACTTCCTCTTCCACGAAATCCAACGACAGAATAACGAACACAAGGCAAAAGAACTCTCCCTCTCAGTCAATTTCCACTCAAAGTGTCTGCAGAACTAGCTTCCGATCTGGCCGCGGGCCTGGACCGGCTCGACATCCAGTCTGAATATTCGGATTCTCTCTACTACCAACAGTTCACCAGTTCGTCTGCCACGGTATCCGACATGTCTCAATCATCCTCTCAGGCCCCAGACAGCTGGATAGGCACGTTTTGCAACTTGGTAGGACATGAGTATTTTGCAGAAGTCAGCGAGGATTTCATTGAAGATGACTTCAACCTCACAGGGTTACAAGCACAAGTTCCCATGTACAAGGAGGCTTTGGAGATGATCCTTGACGTGGAACCATCTGATACGAACTCGTCGGCGCTATCCGAAGAGGAGGAAGAAGAAGAGGAGGAAGACGACGGTCTTTTGGGAGAGGAGTTGGACGAGCCTGCGCAGAACGGTGCCGCGAGACGACAATCTGGTGTTTCTTCAACCGGTCGACGACATGGTCGGACTTCATCTGACACATCCGTCATTGAATCGTCGGCAGAACTTCTTTACGGGTTGATCCACGCCCGTTACATTACTTCCAGACCGGGGATCCAGCAAATGATGGAGAAGTACGAGTTGTCACACTTCGGCTTCTGTCCTCGTGTGTATTGTGCCGGTACCAAGGTGTTGCCAGTGGGCTTGACGGACACCCCCGGTCAACAAACCGTCAAGCTATTCTGTCCCAGTTGTCTGGATGCCTACACACCCCCCAACTCTCGATTCCAGGCTGTCGATGGTGCCTTCTTCGGGACCACATTCCCTTGCTTGTTCTTCATGACTTATCCGGATCTGGACGTGGCTCCGCTAAAGAAACGCTCGGCCCGCGATCCAGCACAAGCCAATGATGATGTCGAAAGCACCCTGAGTCCAACTGAGACCAACACGACACACACTGGAATGACCGCCAGCAGGAGTTCGAGTCTGACACTACCGCAGCCTCCATCTATTCCAGGCGTGACACAGGGCAAAGATGAAAAGGCCTCCGCAGCACTCACCACGCTGCCTCCTCAACCACCGACAATCAATGGGATAGCAACGCACAACCTTGCTCCAGGATTAGGCAAGGGGAAAATCTACGAGCCCAAGATTTACGGATTTCGAGTGTCCGAACGAGCCAAGACTGGGCCGAGAATGAAATGGCTGCGGTCGAAACCCCTGGATATCAACGAACTTGACGAAGCTAGACTCTGGCACGAACGTTATGGTGGGACCGTAGACGGTGACGATGAACCACCTGTTGCTTCCGAGGGTCAAGACAACGAAGACGCCGAGGAAGAAGGGGAGGAGGAAGGGGCTGATCCTGACGGAGACGCCATCATGGCCAGCCAGAGTCAAGCCCAGAACAACACCCGAGCGAAATCGAAACGACAGCCTGACGGCGACGGCGACGCTACCATGACAACTCAAGCCCAGGGAACCAAGCGGGGCAAGTCGAGACGTAAGTCTACGACTACCAAGAATCAGGGAGTGGAAGTGTCGACGCAGCAAGGGGGACAACAGCAGACAGCCAACAATTGGATATGACAGGACGATGACCGATGACCGATGAAGCGATTGAATCCACGAAGAACTAGGGCCACCCGACAACAAAGGCAAGATCTGGCCGCCGTTCTCTCGTCTGTAGCAGGGTCTTGGCGCGATGTCCCTGTCCAATATTACCGGTTTCTACGGCAAGGTCTCAAACGAGGATAAAGTGTGGTGAGTGTTCCAAGGCGCATGCATTGATCGATACACGCTCATCGCTCCCCGACAAAGATGCCTTGGTCGTGGCATGCTTGACTGTTCAAGATTGTGTTGTATCGAAGCGAAACCGAAGCACCTGGACGCCTGCCCGCCTGCCATTGAGATGCATGGAGAAACGGACACACAGACCTTGACAGTCATCAGTCAAACAGTGACGAAACGAAAACGAAGACGAATACGCGTCTTGAAATCAAGATGATGATTGTGACTGCGATTGTGAATGGGTGTGGACTTTCGAAATTCCGAGGGATCAGCGCGGAAAGCAGACCAGCACACGACACACCACACGGATAAAAAAGGTCTGCCTTAGATGTTGCGTGGCAAGAACACAGGAGAGACTAGATTCAATCCAATCCAACACAGGGTGCGGAACGACTTCTGCGCGCATCGGCACCGGCATGCGTAACTCTAGTGTGGTGTACATGGATACATGGAAACGTGGACATGGGGAGCCAGGTCGTTATTTCAAGAGGCGCGAGGTGGCTCAAGTGTCATTGATTATGTACTGTACAACAAGAACACAAACACAAGAACATGGGTCTTCTTTCTCCTGTCTCTTTTTCAGGATTCGTGTCGTTGTTCTCGGCCCCGGTTGTCTTCCTCAGGCCGTGTTCCCCTTGACATCGATCTGCCTTATATGATCTACTTCGTTACTTGTACCACC